AATCACCTATTCGCGGCCAACGATACCTTTTGCACCCTGCCATGATGGATGCAGCTCTTCAGACACCTGCATTAGCCAATCGCTCCGGATATTTCCAAGAGATCGACACCTTGCTTCTGCCGTCTCGCATGAAGAAGATCTCCATTCGTATGCCCACCGACAAGACGGATATTGCCTTTTGTGCTACCAACACATCACCTGTTGGTTTCACCCGAATCGAAGGAAGTGTCCAGTGTTACGACACCTTGTCAAAACCCTTCTTCGTGGTTGAGGGTCTACAGATGGACAGAGCCACGGGTGAGGACCAAACTACTCTTCCTTGGCTGCGACTCAACTGGAAACCTGATATCGGTGATATCTCCCACAATGGTCCCTCGACCAGCTCCATTCAGATCAGGAGTCTTCCAGCAGAGAAGAAGCTTGTCAACTTAGAGGATTTGGTCAAGGAGCTCATACCCATGATTATTGAGAATGGTATTGAGCAGGGTAAGAACCTGGCTCCTCATTTGCAGTCGTATCATGCATGGTTGCTTGAACAAGCCGAGTTGCACAAAGCAAAGCTCGTCGCACGCCACAAGCAGAATGGATTTGCCACAGTTCAAGACGCCATCATGAACGTTGTTGCAAACTCTGGGATCTCTGAGACTGTTGATGCTTCTATCGTGTCGCAACTAGCCATTAACATGGCAAGGATCTTTCGCGGAGAAGTCGAACCTTTGGCGGTTTGGCTCGAGAACGATTTGCTCTACAGATTCTACGAAGAGAGTATCTTCACAACGAGTATGAATCAGAAGCTTCGTTCTGTTGCTGAGCTCTTGGCCCATAAGAACCCAAACATGAAGGTCTTGGAGATCGGAGCTGGAACTGGTGGAGCAACGACTGAGATGCTTAATGGCTTCTCTAATGCTGGAGGGTCTAATGCTTATCAGTCGTTCACTTTCACAGACATCTCAGCTGGTTTCTTCGACAAAGCGAAGAAGAAGTTTTCAGCTTGGGACAGAATGGACTACAAGACTCTCGATATTGAGAAGGATATTTCTGAGCAAGGATTTGGCTCAGAGAAGTATGATCTTGTGGTTGCAGCCAACGTAGGTTTCTGGTATATCTTACGGCATGTTACCGATTACTGATAACTTTCTCAGGTTTTGCATGCCACTGCGGACTTACCGTTTGCAATGAAGAACATTCGATCATTGCTGCGTGATGATGGATACCTTTTGGTTGGTGAGCTGTCAGAGGGTAAGCAACCATGCTCTGTTTATATGATGTACAATATGAGCTAATATTTGACTTTGCAGACCTCACATCGGCCAATTTCCTCTGGGTACGTTCAACAAAGCTTTATTCAACTTCAACAGCTAATCATCTCCTAGGGACCATTGACTGGTTGGTGGCTGCGTCCTCGATCTCCAGGTCGTTCTGGTCCTGGCCTTTCCATGGACGAATGGCGAGACGAGCTCACTGCGGATTTCGACAACGTCGTTGAGATCGAGGCTAGACGTAATGAGACTGCTACGGATCAAATCTCAAGCACTATTGTGATGACTGCCCGAGCAAAGCCAGTCGACTACGCTCCACCCGAGCCTCTCTCGGAGCAGAGGGTACATATTGCCGGAGTTGGCAACGACTCATTTGCTCGTGACCAGATTAAGTACCGACTCTCCAAAGGTGGTGTCACTACAACTTCCAGCAGCCTGGAAGATCTCACTTTGAGAGAATGGTCGGGAGAGTGGCTCATCATCTTGGACGAGGCTGAAGGAAGTTTCCTTGCTTCCCTCGATTCGAAGCAGTTGGAGGCTTTGAAGTCATGGCTTACGAAGCCTATCAAGTGCATCTGGGTCACCCACAAAGTGTACCTCAACCCTCAAAACACGACTGGAGGCCTGGTCACAGGTTTCGCACGAACCCTCCGAGGTGAGAACAGTCAGCTAGAGCTGTACACATTGGACCTGAGCAGCGAGGGCGACGATGCAGCCAACATTATCCGCCACGTTTTGGAAAGAGCCCACTACTCTCATGGAGACCCCATCTCCAGACTGGACTATGAAGTGGCTGAGAAAGATGGACAACTCTGGACATGCAGGCTCGTCAAGGATGCTGGCTTGGAAGACGCCTTTGGTCCTGCGCGTAAGATGGAAGTACCTGCTGGCCAGTTGGTTCAAACTCCGCATCGCTTAGTCGTGGGGGAACCAGGAATACTGGACAGTCTAACCATGGCCCAAAATGATGGACACTCGGTGGTGCCAGATGGACATGTTCTTGTTGAGGTCAAGGCTGTTGGCCTTGACGAACGAGTAAGTACAATTATCCCTCTACTTGCAGTCAACAACTTACTAACTTTATGGTAGGATGGATGCATCGCTCAGGGATCCCTTCCAGCGTTGGAGTTCGGCCGCGAGTGTTCTGGTGTTGTCAAGAGCTGCGGTGCTGATGTCGCATCACTCAAACCTGGTGACCGCGTTGCTGTGATCGGCCAGGGAACTTTCACCACGCAATACCTGGCTCCTTCAGGATGTTGTGCCAAGGTCCCTGACTGGCTTTCTTTTGAGGTAATTGATCCCTATAGCACAAACTAGTAGGAGCACAGGCTAATAGGTTCCATTTAGGATGCTGCCGCGATCCCGGCAAGTTTTGTTACTGCTTTGTACGCGTTGACCACGCCTGCGAGAATCACTGTCGGTCAGGTATGTAAACCCTAATTGCCCTAAGAAATCAAGATTATTAACGAGATACAGAAAATTCTGGTCGCCAACGCTACATCCGTCCAGGGCATCGCTTTGATCAAGACAGCAAAGGCGCTCAAACTTGACGTTCATGCCACTTTCAGTGAAGGTGACAAGTCTCTTCTTACAAAGCACGGTGTCTGTTCATCCAACATATTCCCTGTCTCTACGAACGCTAGCCGTCTCAATGCTTCTCGCACTATCAATGGTCAGATGTACAAACTTGTACTGAACACTCAGTCAGGCCAATATGCAAGCTTTTCGCACTTGGTCGCGAACCGTGGAACATATGTCGAGATTGGTTCAGGTGAATTGCATGAGGATGAAAGCATTCTCCGACCTAACAAGAATGTCATGTTTGCTTCCATTGATCTCGCTGATGCATACCTTGAGAGCAACGAGGACCTTGGAGAGTAAGTCTATTTTCATTCTTTCTTCCTAGACAGTTCAATCGCTGACATCTCACTCAATCATCAGGCTGCTAGACCAAGTTATGGTTATGGTTGAGAGGCGAGTCCTCGACGTAGACCTGTCAGCTTCGGTGTCAAAGCTTCACTCACTACAATCCGCCTTCTCGGCACTTTTGGAAGACGGTTCGCAGAAGCAAGTCGTCTCACTTGCAGATGTTGACGATGGGCATATGATCAAGGTATGTACTATCTCTCTACTTCGTGAGGCAATTTATTCTGACTTATTCCTTGTACAGACACGACCCAAGACTTCTGTTTTCGATCCCCGAAAGACCTACATTATAACGGGAGGTCTTGGTGGTTTGGGCCGTGCAATTGCAATCTGGATGGCTAGCTACGGTGCTCGAAACCTCGTTCTGGCTACCAGCTCTGTCGCAAAGGCCTGTCAATCCGGCGATCTGCTCCAGCAGCTTTCATCCTACGGATGCCATGCTAGTGTCGAGGTCTGCGATGTGGGCAACTCTTCAGCTGTCGAACGTCTCATCTCTAGTATCAACACTCCTGTTGGTGGAGTCATTCACTCAGCATTGAGACTCAGTGTAAGTTCTCAAAACATTTACCATTTTCGAGTATATTCCTCTGACCGCTTTCCAGGACTGCTTCTTCGAGGACATTACCTTGGACGACTTCGACGCAGTTTTTGGTCCCAAGGTCAATGGTGCTTTGAATCTCCACCACTGCCTTCAAGGTCAGAAGCTTGACTTCTTCGTCATGCTGAGCTCTGGATGTGGAGTTCTGGGTAATGAAGGCCAATCCAATTATTCCGCGAGCAGTACTTTCCTCGACACGTTTGCCCGCTACCGTCAAAGCCTTGGTCTTCCGGCCTCATCTATCGACCTTGGTTTCGTGGAAGATGTCGGAAACATCAGCGAGCGTCCTGAGATCCAGGCTTCTTTGCTCTCCCGTGGTCTGAGACCCATCACAGTACGCGATGTTCTGCGCGTGGTCGAAGGTGCTATTGCTACAGGCTATCCCAAGCAGGTTAACACAGCCAGCGACTCCGTTTATGATGGCTTTTTGCAAAGTCAGATTGTCCTCAGTTTTGGCATGATCGACAAAGCGACAGCAGAATGGCAGTCTTGGGCCAAGGACGCAAAGTTCGGCTTGCTACGATCAAAGGCTACTGACAATGCGGCAATTGATGCCGATGCGGGAGGTGGAGAGAGCGCCGTCCAGACAGCTGTCAAGGCCTTCCGAAATACCCTTGGCCGGTTGGTTGATGCATCTGAAGGGAAGGAAGCTGCTTTGCAACCTGTCGTCTGCACTGCTCTTGTTGCCAAGTTGGCACAAGTACTGTCGATCAAGATTGGCGAGATCCAGCCTACACGGTCAGCTATTCAGTACGGTATGGATTCACTCATCGCTATTGAGGTCAGGTCTTGGGCAAGATATGCTTTCCAGATTGATCTGCCTATTAATGACTTGACGAACCCGTACAGTATTCAGGATTTGGCAGCCAGGGTTTCTCGAATGATTTTGTAAGGAGCCCATGGTTCGTTCTTTTGCGAAGAGAGGCATATGGCTCTAGAGTCTCAGTTTTGATAGTTGGCAGATTTGATATACAGATTTAATTATCCTTGGAAACCTCTTGGCCATGTTATATGAGATATGTGTGTGTAACTCTCAATCTTAGAGAAATCCTGTGTTTTATCATTACCTCGTCATAAGTCTATCGGTCTAGTCCATAGCTAAAATAGCTCTCGTTATACTTCAAGCATCGCGACTCATGCGCTAATATCCGCCTATCGTGAATGCCCAAGCCCAACTCCACTCATAACATTTCCGCAAAAATTTCTCAAGAAAATATTCAAAGTGGTTTATCTCCTAAATATGGAAGCGGTGTACCGGACCGACTAGTTTGCACAAGGGAGGATTCGGATCTAGAAGCCGTGGCAGAGTTTGAACTTGATGATCTGGGTATACCATCCCACGGCTTTTGGGCACAAACCGTTATTCTATATTGCAATTGTAAGTACGAGGCTTCCAAAATGCAGAAAATTCTGTTTGAGGATACTCACAGCGTCATAAAAGAATGGTATTTTGTGTTGCCAATCTCTTTTCGGACTTCGGCCAGAAGCGTCAGCACTTGTTCAGTGCTCCAGCCCAGCCCTTGCGTAAAAACAGGCATTGTCAACGGTTCAAGGATGAGGAGCCAGTTCTGGGTCATCAAATGGCCTATACGCTGAAGCTTCTTCCCTGGATAACACGCATTCGTTGGCGCGCCGTTTCTTGTCTCAATGACAGGCTCAAATCCCCCATTCTGGAGCAATGACTTGAACGTTTCCGGGTACTTGAGAGTAGTACCGAAACTATTCAATCCTTCTTCTAGTAGGTTGTTCCATTTCCGAAATGCTGTGCCATCTAGTGAATGGTTGGGCGACTGTAGGGTTGCGATCCATTCTGTCAACTCGACCCATCCTCCAGGTCTCAAATTTTCAAAAGCTGATTGGATTAACTTTTGCTTATCGTTGATGTCACCGAGTTGTCGGATGTGGATGAAGTCGAAGTTGCCGCCGCCGGGAAAGTTCCAATCTTGTGTTATGTCCATTACTTTAAAAGTGCAGTTAGACTTGGAGTACGGGGGGCGAACGGGATCAATATCGACTCCAAGAACAGAACAGTAGGGATGTTTCGAAGCTACAAGACGTAACAGCATAATGGTTAGCTGTAAAAGTGCAGAAAAAAGTTGGAAGTAGGTTACTTGCCGAATTCCTATTGACAGATGTTAGATAAAGATATAAATCTCGACTTTCAGAAGCGTTGGAAACTTACTAATGCCCATATTCCACCCCCTGTACCTACATCAAGCGCCCTTTTTGGTCTCGGTGTGATAGGTGATAACTGAAGTTGTCCTTTGAAAACATTGATAATGACAGTGTGTTGAATTACTGGCGGATAAGTGTCAGTCACGTACGGAGATAATTTGCTGGGCAGCTCTGATACATACCATTTCTATCTTGTTCTTCCTGCATTCAGGGTTAGTTTGGGGCAGGAGACGATACGAAGAGGAGGGTGCGCATACCTGGTTGTTTGGCAAGTGCCCGTAACCTACGAAGTGATTAGTTCCCAAACACTGATAAATTGTAGGGTGAGAAACTTACGAACAGAAGATTTAGTTAACTTGTTGACCATAGACTGAAAGAAACGTTTTGAGCGTGACGCACTGATCAATTCGGTTAGCATCAAATGGCAAGAAAGGATAGTAATCATACGTCTTTAATGGTTTATAAGTCGAAACATATTCATCTGAAGAATCGGAAGAGTCTTCCAACAGTTCGCTGCTAGGCCGCAGACTGCTTGACTGATGAGGAGCATAGTCTTCATTGGTAGACTTTTGAGAAAACAGTTAGTGCAATTCCAGAGAATAGAATGATGCATCATATCATATCATATGATGTCTCCTATACTCACATCATCGTGTCGCACCCTTGCAGCGGCGGCCGGGGAAAGAGTTTGCCGATCCCATCCACCTGAGCGTCGGCTCACGGGGGTTCCAGGAAGACCCCCACTCCCGCTTCCACTCCCTGTCAGATTCTGGCTGTGGGCGTGACTCTGGCTCTGGTTGTCGCTTGAGACGCTAGAGGCGTAATTGGAAATGTTGGATGAGGACGAGGCGGTGAGTCTTGTCGCTGCCATAGCCCGGTCTATGGATCCCCCTCCAACACTCCTCAATGAATTCGAGTCTTGCCCATTGTCTGGCGTGTCTGCCATTTGTTCTGATGAAAATTCGAAAGTAGCACGGGCCGTTCCGACGCCAAAGAAAACCGATTGTTTCGTACTCTCCCCTTCTAGGCCTTTTTGGTGTTCGCCGATGGTTGGTGGTTGTGTTTTTGACTTTGTCGGGAAGTCAAATGGGGTAATACCAATCAATTGAGCAGTGAAAAGGAAGAGAAAGAGAATAGAATAGTAAAAAGAGCCAAGCTTTTCGCCGAAGAATTAATTGCTGCAAAGAATTCAAGGTGAGTCAATATGTATGGATATCACTCGCAGATCTGACGTCTTTGAGAGACACAAGCCAATGGGTCTTGAAATTTCTGAATTTGGGTCACCTCTCTCTCTTCTATGTGCCGACCTCTTCCCTCCCTGCATTTGGGCATTGAAACCTATCCTTGTTGGTGTCTCGCTCTCCCTATGATCAACCCACTTTCTAGCCCTCTCAGGTTAGCACTGAGCTCGCAACTGCCAGCGCGTCCCTGCTTGAAACTGATTAGAGCGTCGTTTAGAGTTTAATACTGGTTTGGTATTTTTTCAGCTTCATGACGTTAGTGGAGAGTACTAAGTTAAACGATTGGGCAAACTACGCTGAAAAGCACTTGTCACAAACTCCACAGCGTGTGATATCGCTAGTCAACAGCGGCACGTTAAATTATAAAGTGATAAGACATCAAAGCGACCAAGCCTTGTGATTTATTACTAGGTCATATGTTTCAGTGTACACACAAGCTGAACTGTATATACATTTATCAACGCTCACAGGCTTGCACATGAGCATCCCATGTTGTGCGAACCCCTGGCATCGATAGCACTGTACTCCGTAAACATGCATACATTCGTATCCCTAACACGTTTGGTGGAGAACCGCCGTCTTGTGCATTCTGACAGGAGCAGGGGCTGTTCGGTACTTCAAATGAAGGCCGGCCCTTTTGCTCGCTTCCAATTAAAGCAGCGACACTTTCTAGTCAATCTTCATAACCACGTTTATGGGCAAACCTTTGTGCTTCCTGATAGGACATACATATTCATAGATCGAGATTTGCCAATCTAATTGATACACCAAACAGTAGTTCTCACCCCTGCAGCATTGATGGCTCGTCTAACTGTTCTAACGTGCTATAGCTGCTACCCTATAAGGAACTCAATTGTCCACAGACGGAAGCCTTCAATGAAGATGCCCGACTTGAAACATGATCTACTAGTCTAATAGCCTTATTTATACTCCGGTCGGATATCTATCTAACTTTTAACATGCCGGGACGACTCCTTTCTACTTCCGGTGGTAGAACCAGATACAAACTGTCCTCGTGTTGAAGTGCCATTGCCACGACCCTTCCTACTTTCATTTAACAAGGTCCCTTACCTAACTAGTAACATATTGAAAACTACCTTAGTGCCTAGCTTCAGTATCAGATTCACGAAACATCTTTTCCTCAAGTGATAGAGATTACAACCAAATATTGTGAAGTGCGTTTATCATCTATCTGGATTGTTGCTCATTACCCCGCTGGGTTGAGGGCGGTTTGGCGCTGACTCGGATGTTTTCCATGAGACGTTGGTAGCTTGGCACATCCATTATTATGCTTTTATCTGACTGTTGAAGATATATGATAATCGTAAGCAAACATTCGCGACCCCGAGGTCTTGCTGTGCAAGTTTGCGGGGTCACATAAATAGCCTATATTCAGGTAAGCTGCATGATATAAAATACTCTCATCTTCCAGGCGTTTTAAGGATAAGTCCCCCTTCTAACCAGTTTACATCATGACTGGCCTCATATATGACCCCGAATACTTCAAGGCGATTGGATCGCCCCCCAAAGGACCACGGGCTGACCCTCCAAAGACAGCCCACGAGCTAAGATCTAACATTGAAAATACCATTCGCTATGTCGTTACCAACTCGCCATATCCTTCTGGAGTCAAGGAAACCGTATACAAAGTCAAGAGTTTCGACGGAACCGAGATTGAAGTCACCCGTTTCGCATGCGAAGAAACTCTGGCCTCGGAGAAACCTACGCCTGCAGTCGTCTATTTCCATGGAGGTGGCTTTGTAGCGTGTACTGTACCACCCTTTGCGCCGCAAATCGCGCGTTTCGCGAACGACTCCAAGTTGCCGTACTTCGCTGTTGATTACAGGCTGGCCCCAGAGCATCCTGCTCCAGCAGCACTTGAAGATGCTTGGGCGGCCATGGAATTCGTATCGAAGTCTGCTGCAGAACTCAATGTCGACCCTACCAGAATCGCATTGTATGGCGACAGCGCTGGTGGTGGCCTTGCTGCAGGCGCTGCTTTGATGGCCAGAGATCGTCGTCTTAATCCTCCGATAGCGAAACAACTGTTGATTTACCCGATGCTGGACGACCGATATAATCTCAAAGACGATGACCCATATCTTGAAGTCTTGGCAATGAGACCAGCAGGAGCAAAAGTCGCATGGGACGCCTACCTCTCTAAACTGCGGGAAGGTGATGATGCGCAGACTTTATCTTATGCTATTCCTGCCAGAGCTGCTACCTTACAGGGTCTTCCATCTACATATATCGATATCGGATCTCTGGACCTCTTTCGAGATGAGAGCATGAAGTACGCCAATAGATTGGCCAATGAGCACGTTGAAGTTGAGTTTCATCTTTGGCCAGGACTACCACATGGATTCGATGGTATGCGAGAGCTTAGCTGGTTTACCAGAGCTACGGAAAGTCGTGTTAGTGCTTTGAAGAGAATGTGATGCACTTCATGTCCATAGAGCTGCGCGGAAAGGTTACCACCCAAGATAGAGAGCCTAGACAATGATTTACTGAATTAATTTCTAAGATAGGACTCGAAAACTACGTCAGTCTTGACAAGAATACCATGGCTGGGCAGTAAAAAATACGCCAGACAAAAAGGGCAAAAACGACCGATGCACAATGAAATGACACTCCAAAACCTCCAGAGCCGCGTCAATAGAAATGCGGGTGAGTGTGGGGTAAAAATGTCATCAGGAAGAATAAAGTCTCGTTCAACAACTGCCAATGTTACTATGCGGCTAATATCGAGCCACGGCAGAATTCCTATTGATGCATTTTCTTTTTTTTCTTTCGGTAAAGTCGATCATCCCCCTCAATGGCCGGTAAATCAAGACCGAATTCCTGGGCGGGATCGACAGGTTCGGCAGCTGTAAGCTATGTCATGTCATGTCTTGCATGCAACGCGGGTTATTGATGGCCGAGCTTGCTGATCAAAAATATGTATATAGTTAGTTGGGATGCTGCAATTGACTTTAGAGTTGTACGCCCGCTTTACTTGCTAGAGGCATTGAGTCGAGAATGAAGCTGCTTTCGCTTTCTACTGTTGGGCTACTGGCCCTGACAGGGTTCTCAATCGCTCAAGAGAACGCCAACGTCCCAATCCAAGACAATGGACTGACTAACATTGTTCAATGGTAAATTGTCCCAATTGACGCTGTTTTTGCAATTCTGATCAATTTCTGCAGGGATGATCACAGCTACCTCATCAATGGCGAGCGAATCTTTGTCTTCTCTGGAGAGTTCCATTACTGGCGACTACCCGTGTATGTCTGATCCTGGTCCGAGTCCCAATCATCATTACTAACGATTGTAGACCTGAACTCTGGAGAGACTTACTAGAAAAGATCAAAGCGGCCGGTTTCAATGCTTTCAGCATCTACAACAGCTGGGGCTACCACGAGGCTTCCCCAGGAGCCCTCGACTTCGAGAATGGTGCGCACGACTTTGTGTCTATCATGACGCTGGCAAAAGAGCTTGGTCTCTACCTCTTGATCCGTCCCGGTCCCTACGTAAATGCCGAGGCCAATGCGGGAGGATTTCCCCTTTGGGTGACGACCGGCGACTACGGCAGGCTACGAAACGACGATCCTCGGTTCACCAAAGCTTGGTCCAAGTACTGGGCTGAGATCTCCAAGATCATTGAGCCGCACCTTATCACGAATGGCGGAAATGTCGCTATGTTCCAGGTAAAAACAACAGCTCTCGTGAGAATTAAAGGTTATGAGTTAAAGACTAACGACTCTAGATCGAGAACGAGCTCGGTGGTCAGTGGAAGAACGACGACAAGCGAATCTTGAACGAACCCACAGCCAATTACATGCAACTTCTGCAAGACGCTGCGAGAGATGCTGGTATTGACGTACCCGTATTCCATAACGCACCCAACACTGTAAGGCTCATCCATTATCTTTCTCAATTAGACAAAGACTCACAATTTCTAGCGCACCTTTTCTTGGTCGAATGACTTTGAAGCCAATGCAACCGGAAACGTCGATGTCACCGGTGTAGACAGTTACCCTTCCTGCTGGAGCTGCAATCTCGACGAATGCACCGGAACGAACGGCGAATATGTCCCTTACAACATCCAAGACTATGTCACATACTTCGCCAAGCAGTCTCCTGCCCAACCTCACTTCCTGCCTGAGTTCCAGGGCGGATCTTACAACCCCTGGGGTGGTCCCGAGGGCGGCTGCCCAGGTGATATCGGCCCTGATTTCGCCAACATCTTCTACCGTGACTTGGTTGCTCAACAAGCCACGGCGATCTCGCTTTACATGATGTACGGCGGTACCAACTGGGGCTGGTTCGCTTGCCCCGTGGTTGCTACTAGCTACGATTACTCTTCCCCAATCTCTGAGAACCGTGAAATCTGGGACAAGTACTACGAGACCAAGTCGTTGACTCTGTTTACCCGCGTTGCGCACGACCTCACAAAGACCAACCGAGTTACCAACAGCACATCTCTCTCGACCAACGATGATGTTCTCATTTCTGAACTTCGTCACGAGGATAACGGTGCAGCCTTTTACGTGGCTCGACACGACTACTCGCCATCAGGTACAAAGGAGACCTTCAAAATCCGTGCCAACACTTCCGAGGGCGAGTTGACCATTCCTCAAAGTGACCACATCACAATCAACGGTCACCAGTCCAAGATCATCCCTACTGACTTTCACTTCGGCGAGAAGACTCTTCTCTACACTACTGCCGAGGTGCTCACTTACTCTATCATCGATAAGAAGGAGGCCATTGTTCTCTGGTTACCTGAGGGTGAGTATGGAGAGTTCACTCTCAAGGGACACACCGAGCTTAAGCATGACAAGTCTCTCCAGGGTATCAAGGTCAAGGCGGGTAAGAAGAGTATTACAGTCAACTACACCCAAAAGAAGGGCCTGTTCACTCTCAACATGAAGGATGGCTCAACGATTATCTTGGCTGATCGTCAGACCGCTTACAAGTTCTGGGCACCAACATTGAACAATGATCCTTTCGCGCCTGTGAACAAGACTGGTACGTTAAAACCTTGAAGCAAAAACAAAAACAAAAACAAATGCTGACTCCTCCAGTTCTGGTTCATGGTCCTTATCTCGTCCGTCATGCCACCGTCAAGAATGATCAGCTCAACATCGAAGGCGATCTCGACAAGTCTACCGAAATTACTGTCTTTGCTTCCGAGTCTCTCAAGTCTATCTCGTGGAATGGTGAGAAGGTCAAAGTCTCATCCAAAGACGGCCATAAATACACTGCCAAGCTTAAGGGTCCCTCGAAGATCAAGCTTCCCAAGCTTGATTCGTGGAGATACACCGACAGCTTGCCCGAGATCAAGTCCGACTACAAGACTTCTTCCTCAACATGGGTTGGTAAGTGCTCGTTAATCTTTGAACGTTTGCGATTGTGTCATTGACTCTGAGTAGTGGCCAATAAGAAGAACACCACCAACGCGGTGCTCGTTCCTGATTTGAAGAACCCCGTACTGTATGTTGATGAGTACAACGTCCACTATGGAAACCACATCTACAGGGCCACATTCGCCACGACCGACAAGGCTCCCACTGGTGTATATCTGAACATCACAGGAGGTTTGGCCTTTGGCTACTCCGTCTGGTTGAACTCTGACTACATTGGTTCTTACCTCGGTAATGCTACTGTCGGAAAGTCAGGACAAGAGTTCTCATTCAAGAACGCAACGTTGTCCAAGAAAGACAATGTACTTGTTGTGTTGATGGATAACTCGGGTCACGACCTTCGTGAAGGTGCCCTTGACCCTCGAGGTATCACCAATGCGACTCTCATCGGTTCTGCTAAGGATGGTTACAAATTTTCCGAGTGGAAGATTGCCGGTCACGCTGGAAGCGTTGAGGGCGAAGTTATTGATCCAGTCCGAGGTCCTCTTAATGAGGGTGGTCTCTATGCGGAGCGCATTGGTGCTCATCTTCCCGGATTCTCCGACAAGAAGTGGAAGTCCTACTCATCCAAGCAGGGAACCCTCGTCAACCCTTCGGCTGGGGTCCGTGCCTACAGAACCACTGTCGACCTCGACATTCCCGATGGTCTTGACGTTGGAATCTCATTCAAGCTCACTGCTCCCTCCAACACGACCTTTTCATCCACCAAGAAGGGCTACAGCAACCGTGTCCGTGTTCTGCTGTTCGTCAATGGTTACCAATACGGTCGCTTCAACCCTTACATCGGTAACCAGGTCTCTTTCCCTGTCCCCCCTGGTGTCCTCAACTATAGTGGAGAGAACACTATCGCTGTCACTGTTTGGAGCCAGAGCGCTGAAGGCGGTGAAGTCAAGGTTGAATGGGAGGTTGACTATGCGCATGCTTCAAGCTTTGACGTCAAGTTTGACAGCAAGTATCTCCGTCCGGAATGGACCGAGGATAGACTGCAATACGCATGAGTGGATGAGGGTTAGTTAGAACGGTAGAGATAGAAAAGAGTCAATCCAATTGCCCTGTTGCGCCACATATTATGCAAGGCACATTTTCAGTAGGCAGGCTTAGGCTGCTAAAGGGCCTGGCTAGAGCAAAGGCTGCTCAGCCGCAATCACCAGTGTCTTGTACTACATTTAGTAACTGGATTGGTTGCTAGTTCTCATGCTAGCCTTTCAGCTCGGTGCTCAGCGACCATTTGTGGCGTCGACTATTGAACCCATTTCGAACTCTCTAAACAAAGTATATCTGCATTCTGTTTTAAGCTTGATATGGGCTTGTGAAGTTCTCATGTGTTCTTTTCGGATTGTGGTAATATCGCTTGTGCTTTGACAACATCAGTCTCGTATAGAAAACGGACACATGCTTAAAAAGGGTCGGGTTGATCGTGGTAATGACACGCGACACAGCTGAAGCTATTTTGGGCTTCCCAACAGCTGTCTTTGCGCTAAACACAGCCTCAGTGTCGCAAGCCGGCGTTTTAGTGGCCGGTCTAGGTACCAGCTGCCTGTACTTGCAGGGTCTAGACTGCCAGAGCCACCACTTGCATTCGCAACAGGGATCAAAGATCTTTGACCAGAGGGAGGGAGCTTATTATTAGCTCGATGCTTGAGTTGTTCATAATAGAACTTGCTTCAGCTGAATTCGTTTTTTTTGACTATTTTCACAAATATTTCGTCTGTTTTGTTCAATACAATTTGGTCGATCCCCATACCAACCTACAAAAACAGACCCATAGATTACCCGATAACCGTTGGCCGACATGCGTTTCGCTTCAAGCATCATTGTAGGCCTTTTGGCTGCCAACGGCCTTGCCCAAACAGTGGCAGACCCAGATCAACAACCAGAGCCTTCAGCCATCGCCGAACCTCAACCATCAGAACCCGCAGCGGAGCCTTCAGCGCCTGCTGCCGAACCTTCAGCGCCTGCTGCCGAACCTTCGAGTCCATCAGACAATGACGACGACGATGACACACCACAAACAGATACGCAGCCTACAGCTGTCCCAGAGCCCACAGCAGACGAGCCTGTAGCCACAGGGGATGCTTCCCAAGTCTCAGAGGGAGAAGAGCCTACAGCTACAGCAACCGATGATGATGACGACGACGAGGCCACAACGGCAGCTGAGGGAACGGCGACTGCAGATGGTAAGACGCAACACTGCCAACAGCAAAACAAACCCACATACTAACAGCGATTTCAGCTACTGCTACCGACGACGATGCCACAGCTACAGCGACCGAAACAGACGACGACGATGCGACTGACACAGCCACCCTGACGGCCACCGAGAGCGCAGCTCCAACAAGCACCGGTGCCGTAGTAGAAGTCGATCTCAAGAACGCGACTATCGGCGAAAATGCAGAACTGATTAAAGTCGACGGAAAGACTGCCATGTACGTCCACATGATGCTCCCCAATAAAGGCATTTACTGACCCGTTGAACCATAGAAAACTCAGCGCTCCCGCCAACGGCCAGGCAACGTTTACCGTACCTGTTGACACCGACAGCGATAACTTTGACGATGACGACCTCATCTACATCGTCGCATCCATCCTCGTAGGCGAAGGAAGCGCCAAACTCCGAAAGAGAGCTACAAAGACGGACTGCACCTTGCAGATCCAAGCTGGCAGCGCAAACGTCTACAGCGAACCTCTATACACAACCGATGGCAAGTTCCAAGACGTCAAGAGTAACGGTATTCGATCTTCGGATAACCCCGGCGCTGCGAATGTTCAAGTTACGCAGTCATGTGGTGACAAGCCTTCGCCTCTTACCGTTGGCAACGTTCGTGCTGGTACCGACAGTGGAATAAAGTCAAGCTCTGGATCTGGCGGCAGTGGAGGCTCTGGTGGAAGCGGTGGTGGAAGTGGAAGCGGCGGGAAGGGCGGCAATGGCAGCGGCAGCGGCAGCGGCTCAGGCACATCCACAGCTGACGGAGCCAATGCAAGCGAGACTGGTGATTCCGGTAACGTCGGATCCAAGGCCAAGGCCAGCATCGGGGCTCTTGCTGCCGCCGTTCTGGCTGCTGCTGCATTTGTTTAGAGGGATCACCAAGATCGAATCATGTATGAAGCATAGCGGGAACTGGATGGGTACAGGTACGGGCGTGAAAGAGTTGGGAGCGATCCATATGAAGCTTTTTACGAACATTAATTTAAACCTAATTGACCAATCTTCAAGCTCCTTGTTGCCTCCCTTCGTTGTCCCTTCGAGGTTCATTTGCATACACAGAGTCCAGTTTCTCCAGCCTAAGCCACGCCCATGACTCTCTTGTCATCTGCAACCAATTTGTGGTACCTCGATGCAGTGCGAACACGCAGCGCTTTACCGTACTTGATGATAACAAATACGGCAGAACAAGCAGCTAAAGCGACAAATGCAGCAGAGACGAAGCAATTCTGGTAACCCAAGTTGGTGATCCATGGTGTGATGCTGTGGTCGGTACTTGTTAGTAAACTGTCAAAGCCATGGTCAACTTGACTTACCCATAGCTAATTGCGAAAGACATTGTGTTTCGAACCAGAATAATGGTCGTGATAGCATCACCACTAATATCATAGTAGCTATCAATCAAGTAGTTGATGCTGATGATCAAGCCTATCACACTTGTGGTCGACAGAGCGCACATGGCAAAGATCAGACCAAACCAGTGCACACCATGCTGCGCTCCAACGCCCCAAAGGATCAGAGATGCAGGAACACCGACAACACAAATGGCGAGCGGCCACAGACGATGCTCAGCTTCCATGATACCATTGTTGCGACGCGCAAGTTTGACGGTCAGCCAGTCGCTCATACGTCCTGCGACAGCGAAAGCGATAATGGTACCGATGCAGCAGGAAAGGTAGCTGAGGCCGACCATGGATGGCTTGAAGCCTTAGCCTGGACCAGAGAGAACAATGGATGCTGTTGCGTTGAGCACGTTGAACCAAATGAGGTACGAGCCGTAGGAGAAGCCAGCGAAGAAGATGACGGGCCACGAAAGGTACTCGATTGAGCGCCCAGCATGTCGTGCCATGCTCTGACCGGGAAATGGATGCCAAAGGGACATCTTCTGCACAAATGTCTTGGGTTTGGCGTACTCTTGGGCCGTCTCATCAGCCTCTTTAACTTCTTGGTTTCCGCCTTCCGCCTCTTTCTCGCCAGTCTTGCTAGTATTCTCGTCGCTTGCTCGAGTGGTTTCGATCTGGGGACGGTTGATGTCGCGCGCGACGCGGATGTAGTTGGTCTCTTCCATGAAGAGGAACAAGAACACAAAGACAACGGAGAGGAAAATGGCGGGCCAGTAGACGACCCATTGCCAGCCTTGGTACTCAGCGATGAAGCCGCTAATGACGGGCGCAAAGTAGTTGCTTCCTGCGAGGGCGAGGGCGTAGATGCCGATATAGGTGCCGCGTTGGTGGGTGAAGTACTGCCAGCGTCAGTCAGTTTCGGGAGTTCATTGGTGTATGTAGGCACTTACGATGTCGGTGACAGATATCTCGGGGAGGGATTCAATGGGTGCGACAAAGAAGCCTTGGATGATGCATTTGGCAATCCATTCCACATTGCTCGACACATAGGCACTGCACAAACACGTTCAGTTTTATTCCAAAGGTTGATCGCTCGATAGTATTCACCTCCAGATACTGGTGCCCTGACGATCATGCTAGAACAAACTTACAAGTTTTGGCATACCAGCGATAGAAGCTTGCGCCGAGGCATCCAGTTGAGAGGATCGTTGGGATCATCAGATGGTGCTGGATCCAAGACGATGTCGTCCTCGCCACCACCTGCATGGCGAACGCGCAAATTGCACTGGACGTCCACCAGATGGATTGTGCCGGGGATAGAGTCTGATTCTGGCATTTCAACGAGCTGAATTGATATGGTGATTGAATAGGACGAGCTCTGGGGCTGATGTGTCTCAGCGCATTGTATTTTCGTCTATCAGGCTCTGTGTAACACCTTATATGCATCCTGCCTCGTCGCGCATCGCGTTTGTCACTAGACGGCGATACAGAGTGGCAACGGTCAGGATAGTCACCAACAAATCGTGCGCGCGCCGTTGTATTGTTCTCAATGAGTGTTGTGCGTGTGGTTGTTTGTGGCCCAAATTTGTGTTGGTTGAGACAATGGAACGCCGCTTAGTATTGTTCTTCGAGGCCATCTCGGAGTAGGAGGTGTTCGACAACCAGGCTATTGGTCACGATCAATCTACAGAAGAGGGGATTCCATGCGGCTGAGATTGAGCAATACTTGGCGTGGGATTCATTTCTATAACAGGACACGTTCAAGCGATAAGTCTGGTCACATAGGCCAAGGTCATGGGCCGGTTCGAGGTCTTGGTGTTTACGCCACCAACATTGAGTATGCAAGACCGATCAGTTGACGATATGGGTCATTATTTTCAGCCAATGCACATAGCGACATATCTGAAGGGTATCAGACGTGATTTCAGCTATCTCTCAGCTTGAGTGTGGTGGTGTTTGTCGACTTGGTGCTCTGGCCCCAAGCGCGACAGAGCCGACATGTAAGAAGACCGAGCGAGGCTTTCGCTACCCAGTAGACATATACGATCTCCAAGTGTAAGGGGACATCTAGTCATTACTCTTGTTCCTTTCCCTCTTGTCAGAGATTTTCCCCGACTCGATAAAGACGCTCGCAATCATGAGTCTCACATCTTCGTCAGCCTTGCAGCGTGAACCATTGTCTTCGGGCAAAACAGCATCAAATATCACAGTCGAACATTGTGAGCCTGTCAATTCTAAACAACTGACCACGGGCAACGTGCTCCCAGGCCTTCCGGTCGTTCAAGTGGCACCCATCTTTCGTGGAACCGTCGAGTTCGAGGCCAAGCGCGCTGCTCTTCTCGAGGCATTCACGGCAAAGGTTCCTCGGGAATTCCGCCTCCCAGTCGAGCTCATTAAGAATCCCCCGAAAGACGTATCATCCATCCCCGCGACATGCGGTATATTGACGCCAGCCAGAAGAGGTCGAGATCACCGAGCATGATGCCGTTGGCCTTGTTGACGCGATCGCAAGTCGAAAGCACAGCTCTGTCGCTGTCGCACGAGCCTTTCGCAAGCGCGCTATCATCGCGCATCAACTCACGTGCTGTCTGACCCAGTGGTACATGGACGAGGCCATTGCTCAAGCCCAGAAGCTAGATGCCTACTTTGAGAGATACGGAAAGCCCATCGGTCCTCTGCATGGTGTTCCTATCAGCATCAAGGAGCATATCCAGGTGGCCGAGACTTATTCCTCTCAGGGTTGTTTCGCAAGCATCACCTACGATGATACAGACGCCGACATTGTGGCGATCTTGCGTAGTCAAGGCGCTGTGATTTACTGCAAGACAAACCAGCCCCAATCAATCATGCACCTGGAGACAGACTTGCACTGAGGAAGAGTCCTCAATCCATTCAATATTTATCTGTCGGCTGGAGGGTCGACGGGTGGCGAGGCGGCCTTGATCGCCATGAAGGGTTCGGCGCTCGGTATCGGCACAGACATCGGTGGAAGTATTCGAGGACCATCGGCGTTCTGCGGTATCTATGGCTTCAAAACGACATCGAATACGTTGCCAACGAGAGGCTATGCCAAAGGTGCCCCACCTCCCTCGGTACTGAATGTGCCTCTCTCGACAGGACCCATGTGTCGGTCGTTAAGAGATATGGATCTCTTCATGAGGTGCACCTTGTCGGCGAAGCCATTTCTTTCGGATCCGACTGTGACTCCTCTTCCTTGGACAGGCCTCGACACTTCGTTCAATCGGCGACTCAAGGTGGGCATCATTAGTAATGATGGCTTCATCGAGCCCCAACCTCCCGTCAAGAGGGCTGTGTTGTGGGCCAAAGCTATCTTAACCGATCGCAAGTACGCGGACTTGATTGAGGTAAAAGACTTCAAAGTCTTTGGTGCTGAAGAAGCCTGGAACCAAGTACGGAGACTGTACTGGCCAGATGGTGCTCAACTCACCAAGAACGGCATCATCTCGTCAGGTGAACCCATTCATCCTCTCACGGAATGGATTACCCAAGACGCCGAACCGTTTGGTATGCAGACAGCGCTGGACATAACACTCCAGCACAAGGCTAGGGACGACTTTCGCCTATCTTTTGCGAAGAGCTGGACCGACCAAGATGTGGATGTCATCGTCGGCCCGTCGTTTGTTGGACCAGCGTGCGCCCACGACACGGCCTTGTACTGGACGTATACATCGCTGTACAACGTTGTCGACTACCCGGGGGCGGTGCTTCCAACGCCCATTAGGGCTGAGTCTGGGGAAGAATACGACGACGGGTATAAGCCGTTGAGCGAGGCTTGTTTGGGTTGGTTTAGACGCGATTGAGAGAGGGAGGAATGGAAGGCATCGCGTGTATCCTAATTTTAGGTAGGCGCGCTGTAGGTAGCGTTTGAACAAGCTGGCTGTGCAATGTATGTTCTCGATGCAACGTTTGACTCTTAGATTTAAAATAAAGATTGTTACTCTGTAATTGTCTTTCTGAGGTTTGGTGATATGGCTCAAACAATTTTGTTTTTTGCGACACACGTCATAGTTGGGGTTTTGCAGAAGGCTTTGCTAGCAAAGGTAGAATCTGCAGAAAACTCTCGTGCACCTGATTTCGTACTCAAAACCCGTCACCGTCGCCATTTTCCGAGTGCGATGAATAATTAATGTATCAAAGATAGACTAAACATAACAATCAACAATACACTTGTAATTACCATAGGCAAAATAGTATCGTATTCTTGATGTTCGCGCATGCCGAAAGTATTGCCATCGCTGATAAGCTACCCTAAAGACGAAAGCTGTGTCTTCTCATCGCCAATCGTAGGACTTTCAGCCGCTATCCCAATTGAACCTCGGCGCCTCGGTAACTGGTTTGTGGGTACCCAAGGCCTGTTCAGGCTTTTGCGAAACCTGCAATCGGAAGACAACAGCCCTTGCTAGCACACGCCACCATCTAGCTGAAGTCTCCCACTAGACATTCCCCGGAATCAACGACGTCAACGGAAATACGGCATGAGAGGCGAGTAGAAGCGCTTGATTGGCTTCGTGATGTTGAATTCTTTGTCATAGCATGAAATTGTTGTCTGAAATATTACCCCAGATGGTTACACTTGCATTAGCTTTCACGATGCCATGATTGCGTGGAGATGAAAACACGGGGTGCGTTGACAGGAGGCGAATGGATGGGTCTGGGGAGACATCGCGTGTCTTGATGGTGGAGGCTCAGATAAAGTGTCTTGAACAAACGTTACAAGTCCATTTTAACACCAAGTCAATGATCTTCGTCATCAAACACTCGACATGAATTGAGGCGAAAGGCGCTGACATTCCGCCAAGGAAACAGACGGTTGCTGCCGGCTTGGCTGGGGGAATGACCGGAGATAAACATTAGAACCATGTCTCGGTCATGAACTTTTGAATCGCATCCTCCTGGTGTAGTCCAATCGCTTGACTCGACGAGAACATCATTCCGTATCGAGAAGTTGGCTAGCAGATAACCACCGCATTGTAATGAGAGATAATAACTTTATTCACCCAGTTGCCTTTTACAGGGGCATTTACTTGACGGTAACACGTCATATGACAATTTGGAAGTCGCTGTTTGGATAATACGCATCTCGTCTCGTTTCGTGTATGGAGAATGAGAGATAACCTTGTTGCAAAAGAACCTGCGGGGAACTATTCTATTACCCAATAACGACCTTCCTCTTGAGTAAAGATATCAACGGTTCCTGGACGGGTAGAGATAGACACGGACGCCTTTTACGTAGGAGAAATTCTTGTTATGGTGGGTTCAGGGTCTTTAGATTAGTGAGCACTGGACACGGACAGGGTGGCGGACCTGGCGACTGTTACGTTACCACGCGATTGGGAAGAGAGTGTGAGACGGAGAAAAAAGGCGCGTCGTACTGAACAGCCTTCAGCCGCCTGCAAAGGGCTTTTGAAGTTGGCCGTCAGCTTATTAGTCTAGGGGTTGGAACTTTGCTACATTCAGTAAAGACTAATGCAGCTGCGGTGCAGATCTCTATTGATAGAGACGGCAAACTTTGATGATGGAAGAAACGTTAATCAATGTCGATTGACATCTTGATCAATAATAAGCATAACATCCATGATAGTATCTGGGTTACCAATCCGATCTCGAAAAGAACAAAAGAGTCATCCGGGGCGGATTCGCCGTCTCCGGAGAGCGAAGTCGCGACAGAGACAGAGACAGAGTCACCTCATAATAAATTGTGTTTAACTGCCCGCCACTATCTCAAAAGTCTCCAGTTGTTAGGCGAAACTGTGGGGTGCGTCCAGTGTAAAACTCTCCACTTGGCGTGCCACCTTCGCTCGTACGAGACAGGGAAACTCTCGGGTCTTCGGCATCCAAAAGACTTCTCGAATTGTTCTCTGGACGGGATTGGCCACAGCCTCATCTTTCGGTGGACTCCATATCCGGGCCGTTTGGTGTCTTCCGATCAAAGGTTCCTCTTTCCGTCGGATGTTTTACAGCAACGGGCATGGCCTCTCCGAAGCAATGACTGTCAACGTCTCCATTCCAACGTTTCCATGACAGAACATTTATAACCATCTCTGGATTCTGGCAGTTTTTATTACTCTCTCATTACTCCTTTCTCATCTCTCTTCTCCCCTTTGTCTCTACCTCTCACCTGTCATTGATAGTTGTATCCAGTGGCAGTCAAAAGTTTTCCTCCTTCTACACCCTGCCTTTCCTCTGCAACCATGGCTCAGAACCACGAGGATTTGGCCGCCGAGTACGTTAAACTCTGTTTTCAAGCTTAATCGAGATCCATGCTAACTCTCACACCAAAGGCTCCACGAAGAGCTTAGTGACCGCACACAAAACGAGAAGAAGACTGATCTCACTGGTGGCTTCATTGCTCCTTCCGAGATTAATGAGAAGCAATCTTTTGATAAGCAGTCTGACCCTGAGTTTGGTAACACACCTGATGGCGAGGAGCCCAACAACCATGAGAGGGCCACTCTCCGCCGTGTTGGAGAGAACCTTCCCGCTTCAGCTTTCCTTATCGCTGTTGTCGAGTTGACAGAACGTTTCGCCTACTACGGTGCTCAAGGTCTATTCCAGAACTACATCTCCTACGCTAAAGATGGATCCGATGGTCCCAAGGGTCTCGGTATGGGTAACCAGGCTGCTACTGGTCTGAACCTGTTCTTCCAGTGGTTTTGCTACGTGACTCCCATTCTCGGTGCCATCGTCGCCGATCAGTACCTCGGAAAGTACAAGACCATTCTCGTGTTCTGTGGCTTCTACTGGGTTGGTCTCATCATCCTATGGACGACTGCACTTCCCGCCGCTATGGCTGTTGGTGCCAGCAAGCCCGGTTACATCGTTGCCATCATCGTTATCGGTCTGGGAACTGGTGGTATCAAGTCCAACATTGCACCTCTTATCGCCGATCAGTACCAAAGACGCAGAATGGCCATTCGAACTGAAAAGTCCGGAGAGCGAGTCGTCATTGATCCTGCCATTACCTACCAGCGTATCTACATGATCTTCTACTGGTGCATCAACGTCGGTGCCCTTTCCCTGCTTGCTACCCCCTTTATGGAGAAATATGAAGGTTTCTGGACTGCCTACCTGATGTGTTTCTGCATGTTCAACATCGGTATCCTGACTCTTGTCCTCCGCCGCAAGACCTTTGTCAACCGTCCCCCTCAGGGATCCGTCATCACCGACGCTTTCAAGGCCCTCGGTATGATGATTGCTGCCCGCAACACCGATGCTGCCAAGCCCTCTTGGCGCGAGGCCAACGGCAAGACCAAGGCTGTCCCCTGGAACGACCACTTCGTCGATGAGCTTAAGCGTGCTCTCCGTGCTTGCAAGGTCTTTGTCTTCTACCCCATCTTCTGGGTTTGCTATGGACAGTTCTCCACCAACTTTGTTACTCAGGCTGGTCAGATGAACGGTCACGGTGTTCCCAACGATCTGATGCAGAACTTCGATCCTATCTCCATTTTGATTTTCACTCCTCTCATCGAGAAGGTTCTCTACCCCATTCTGCGCCGCTTCGGAATCGAGCTTCGACCTATTGCTCGAATCACCATCGGTTTCTGGTTCGCTGCTCTATGTCTTGCTTACGCCGCCATCGTTCAGCACATCATCTACTCTTCTGGACCTTGTTATGAATCTCCCAAGGATTGCCCTGCCGGTATGGTCGACGGCAAGAACCTTCCCAACAACGTGCACATTGCCATCCAGACCCCCGCCTACATCTTCATTGGTATTTCTGAGATCTTCATCTCCGTCACTGGTCTTGAGTACGCCTACACCAAGGCTCCTCCTTCCATGAAGTCTTTCGTCCAGTCCATCTACCTCTTCACCAATGCTTTCGGTTCTGCTATCGCTGAGGCTCTCGTCTCTCGTGCCAAGGACCCCGACTTCTTGTGGCTCTACGTCGGTGTTGGTATCGCCTCCGCCGTGACTGGCTGCATCTTCTACGCTCTATTCCGCCACTATGATGCTCAAGAAGATGCCATGTACGATCTGGATCGCGATGCGCCAGTTCTTACCCATAACGGTATCAAAACTAATGAGGAAGAGGCCCATTAATTGACGAAGACCAATGTTATACCTGTATTATAGTGATAGTTGCATAGTTTAGTCGTTTGCATAGCGTGGGGCGATGCAGGCGGCATTTTAGGTTTATGATAGACTCTTTATGAAGATATTTTTAATGATACCTCGAATCGCACCTGCGTGAAACATGTTAATCTACAACGACAGCGAAGGATATGTTACCGAAGACTTGAAATCTCAAGATAGTAAACTATAAACTGACTATATGTCGTGCCCTATGCTCCCAGCAGCCATTCGGACCCTGTGCGGCCAGGTTCCCCGACCTGGCGCCTCTGGGGCAATCTAGGACTCCAATACCAGGCCAAAGTTAATCAGGATCATCCACTACTCTATCTAGCCCGCTGAGATGTTTATTTCGTCGTTCAGATTAAGTTTCAACCCCCCCGCATTGTTAAGGCTGCCTACATAAGTCGTTCGTTCAACCGTCGAGACTTTCCTTGCCCTATTTCCAGACATATGCTCGTACTCTTCCAAAGGAAACCCGAGATCTTGTATTGACCATCTTTGCTTACTGATAGCTAAGCATTGAATGCAGATATCATTATCTAGTGTGGTTTGATAAGGCCTGGAGACCTAATCGTATGGAAGGAATGTTGAGAGGATATCAGTTCATGGAACTACAAATAGTCCCTGTGTGTAATCTTTTCTTTCGAGTCACGATCTATCTTTCACGCCCATTATGGAGAGCGCTCTTCTTGATAGTTTACCGTAGAGCTCGTTGACTTCGCGATCTTCTTCCTCGTTGCCGTGGTAGTAAGGTTGATCTGGAAGGGCTAAATATCCCCTTGTCAAACTGCCTATTCTAGTGGGAAGCAGAGAAGATGGCGTTTTAGTTTTAGTGTATAAAAATAAATGACCTAAGGTAATAGCCTAAATTCCATAGAGTGACCTACTAATTTCGTCCCTAATACCCCAGGCGGCGAACGTTTCTGATACTATGAGGCTGTTCTTCCATTAGAACGGAAGATCAAAGCTAGTTCCTTTACTCGGACCGATGTCCCCACCGTTGAAACGCGAGCGGGTATGTATTTGGACCGTAGTCAATATAATTCTTAAGCATATCTTTGCTCTGGGTCTGTGTGAGCCTAATTTGTTGCTTGGACTGGGCTTTAGTTGTTTCCTCAGCACCCTACTCTGTATCCTGATGGGCATCACGGATGCCTTGTAGTCTCTTTTTCCTGGAGTATTGTCTTGTAGAAATCCGAGTACTTAATAAAACTAGTTCCACTACGGAGTTCTCACAGTGGCGATCGCAATCCTACTTTGTGGTATTGTGAAAAGACGGTCACTGCCTCCAGATTGACTACCACCTTCAACACTCTGCCAATCGGTGACTGGGTTCGAAGAATTTAGCCTCAAATTGTTCTTCCAACTATCAATGCTTGTTTCAGTTATGCCGAGGACTATCTTCCGTAAAAAGGCAATATTATGCCGCACGGGCAATAATTATCCCATCAACCTTTTTCAATAACCAAGTGGACTGTGCTTGAAATTTCGGATAGTCAGACCCTGCATGGATTTATATGCCGGTAATAACAGGTGAAAAAACGGGCCTAGGTGCTACTTTGAAAGTAGTCTCCGCCTTGGCAGCAGATCTCAGTCGGACCTTTCTAGATTGGAGGTAGGGCTTGCTTTATCAGATCTTTCACGACGATCTATTTTACGTGGCTGTTGTCCTCATTTCCAGTTTTGTTCGCTTCCCTATTCTCATCCATTCGAGGACCTCTCAGATAAAAACAAGGGCAACCTTATACACGATGAAGTTCTCTTCTGGAGTCACAGCTGCCCTACTGGGCGTTTCGTCAGTTGTCGTTGCTGCACCCACAGAGCAGCAGTCCGCCAGCAGCCTCGTCGTGGACCTCAACAGCAAGGCTTTGTCCGCACTCAAGAGCTCTGAGACAAAGCTCTCCGAAAGGTCTGGTGCAAAGAAATGCACGACAGCCAACGCTGAAGTGCGCCGTGACTGGTAAGTTTGTTTCAGTCATTTCAATCTTCTTCTCCATCATAACGTGATTTGTAGGAAAGCACTTTCCAAGAAGGAGAGGAAGGCATATATCGATGCTGTCCTTTGCCTTCGTGAAAAGCCTTCCAAGGCTGATCCATCTTTCGCACCTGGTGCCCGTACCAGATATGATGACTTTGTCGCGGTTCATATCAACCAGACTTCTAGTATTCACGCAACAGTAAGAAATGCCACGCAAAATCTTTGAACATACAACTAATATCACAGGGCAACTTTTTCACGTGGCATCGCTATTTCGTGTATGCCTACGAGAAGGCTCTCCGTGACGAGTGTGGTTTCAAGGGCACGCAACCTGTAAGTGTATATTCCCTTCCATCGGCATGACTTACAGTCTCACAATGATTAGTACTGGAACTGGTTCGAAACTGGAAATGTCAGCACCAACCCGCTTTTTGATGGCTCTGAGACCAGTATGGGTGGTGATGGCAAGTACGTCAAGCATAACGGCACTACGTCCTCAAACCCTGCGGGAGACATTGTCCTACCCAGCGGCAAAGGCGGTGGCTGTATCGGCTCTGGACCCTTTGTCGGAGCTAAAGCTAACCTAGGACCCCCGAGTCCGGGAATGGACGGTATGACGGCGTCTAAAACTCCTCTGGGGTATAATCCTCGCTGTCTTCGTCGCGATCTGAACCAGTACCCTATCGACAACTGGATGACGCTACCTAACCTGTATAATGTTACAGTTGGAGACGCTTCGAATAGCATTAAGGACATGCAGAATGAGTTCCAGGGACGTTTTGCCGATGGGTTCCTAGGTGTACATGCTGCTGGTCACTTTGTCATGGGTGGCGATTCATCCGACTTTTACTCTTCTCCAAATGAGCCTGTTTTCTGGCTGCACCACGCCATGGTCGACCGTATCTACTGGATTTGGCAAGCTTTGCACCCTAAGCAGGCAAGGGACATTGCTGGTACGATCACTATCGAAAACAGACCCCCGAGTAGAGATGCTCTCAAGTCTGATGCTCTCGACGTGGGAGTCAGTATTGACTTTATCACGATTGATGATGCTCTTGATACCCTCGGTAGCACACCTTTCTGCTATATTTACGAATAAGGAGCAATTGGAAGGGATAAAATGGTGGGAAAGTCTCAGTTTAATCTTATAGTAAAGCCTTGGTTAATGAATGTCTCTTCACTCCATTAGCGAGCAAGAGAACAAGCTTGAAACTTCTTGGCTAAGAGAGGGTATATATAGGCCGCCCAAAGAGTTCAGAATGGATATTTTCTCAACCGCAATGTTGTTGTGACGACTGATCAAACCGTGTCATGATTCTGTTGCTCAGTTGGTTAGTCACTGAAACCGTCGAGATTTTTAGGTACTCCCCTCATGCTCTTTAGGAGGAGTCAGTGGGGCTTGTCGCTGCCCCGCCGTGTTCGGTTCGGATCCTTGAGCTTTCGCTATCGTCGGAAAGTTTAGCCCAGATGGACATTTGAGTGACAGGCAGTCCTCATTAACCCGATGACATGACATTATTCCCAGTGGGGGACGATGAGGCTCATGCTATGACCAGGTCCCCAGGTCCTGTCAGGGACTGTCATTACCCCGGATTGAGAGATGAGGCAATTGACTGATGACACCCTACAGGAATTGGTATGCCACATTTACAGACCTACGACTGAATGTATGTAAACTATCTGTGAGAATAAGTTTGTAAATATTTCACATCTCAAACCAAACAAGAACATTCGTCACAAGTCTTGTCAGATATTCTCACCAACCGTAGTTGTCGGGTATTGATGGAACGCTTCAATATGAGAATAGTCAGCAAACCGCCGTTTATCGTACGACGACCCGATCCGGTAAAAGAAACCGGCAATCCATTCATCCAGAATAAAGCAAAAGAATTGGAGAAACAAAGACCCGTGAGTAAGAGAATGATGAATCGGCATTTTGGTACGGCACCTTCGGGTAAGGATATTTCCGCCGAGTACGGGGATCACTCTACCCCAAGAAATGGTGGAACCAATAAGGAGCTAGTATTTGCAATGGTCATTCTGACGTGGAGAGCCGACTTGAATTGCCGCTACCGTTTGCATCCCAAAGATCCAGATCCAGATCCACGGCCCCGCCCCCTCCATCATTCCCGGCTACGATAACGGCAAACATTCAGAAGGGGACGAGGTTTACTTAAATCTCTCCATCTGCACCCTCCCTAAGTCATTCTCTCTCTTCTTTATTCACCAACCCTAAAAGATACCCCAGATTCCAACGTCTACTACCCCTCACTCAAAATGTCCAACGGTACAAACGGCACCAACGGCGCCTCGCCGCAATCAAAGTTCGACCCCAACTTTACAGACCATGTCATTGGCCTTATGAGCCCCGAGACCGAGCCTAGACAGCGCGAGATCCTCACTTCCCTCATCCGTCACATGCACGACTTCTGCAGAGAAGTTGAGCTCAAGCAAGACGAGTGGATCATTGGTGTCAACTACATCAACTCTCTTGGTCAGGCCTACAAGAAGAACCGCAACGAGACATGGCGTGTCTGCGACATTCTCGGTATTGAGTCGTAAGTCTCACCCAATCGCCCAACACACAACATCTGCTAACACTTCCAAGGCTTGTCGATGAGATCAACCACAAGGTCGTCACCGACGGTGGAAAGGCTCCCACATCCTCCAGCATCCTCGGTCCCTTCTGGTCTCCCGAGACCCCCTTCCGCGACCTCGGTGGCAGTGTTGTCCAGGACATGCCCAAGGATGGTCAACTCACATTCTTCCACGGTGTCATCCGCGACGTCGACACTGGCAAGGGTATCCCCAACGCCGTCTTCGACATGTGGCAAGCCAGCACCAACGGCAAGTACGACGCCCACGACCCTGAGAACCAGTCTCGCCACAACCTTCGCGGCAAGTTCCGCACCGACCAGGACGGCAAGTTCTGGTTCTACTGCCTTAAGCCCACCGAGTACGCCATTGACACATCTGGTCCCTCTGCTGAGCTTCTCCGCATCATGGGCCGCCATCCTTACCGCCCTGCTCATATTCACATCATGGTCACTCACGAGGACTACCTTGGTGTTACTGCTCAGCTTTACCCCAGCGACGACCCCTACCTCGAGACCGATACCGCTTGCGCTGTCAAGGACGACTTGCTGCTCAACTTCAAACCTGCCAAGGACGACCCCAAGGGCGCTACTCTCGATGTCGAGTACAACGTCAACCTTGCTTCCAAGAAGTACAAGCCTGACAACACCATGTTGATGCAGAACGCCAACCAGGACAAATTCTAAGCAAAAGAAAAAGAGAAGGAATAAAAAAAGAAAAAAGAACAAATAAAACAGAAAATCATAGGCATTGAGATGGCATGTACATAGTATTTGGCATGGGTATATATTAGCGTTGAAGCATGAAGAATGACTAGTAAGAAATGAAGTTACTGCAAGTTTTTCACAAATAATTACATTGTTCAATCTGCGCAATTTCTAAATAATATGTGAACATTTAATATTCAAGCTTGGCAATCTAGTTTCATCAACTTTTATGTGAAATGCAACGCAATATGACCCATCTCCAGGCGTTGAGGCTGTCGTGGAGTTCTCGTGTTGAAACCGCAACAACGCAAATAAACACAGTCGGATCAAACCACCTGGGCCATCATGTTTCGTCTGAATCCTGTATTGGCTAAACTGCCAATGCCAAACGAAGGCAAAACGCGTATCATGCGCCAGGGTGTGGCGAACCCAGCGTGCCGCTTGATTACACTTACGCGCTCTCGAATCGTCATACGAACTTGGCGAGCATGCACATCCAGACCAAGCAAATGGATTGGAGTGCTTACGACTTGAGATGCAGCAGGCATGAACAGCTGAGCCATTTTGAGCCTCGAGTCATCGGATTTGAAGATATCGGCAAACGGGGTGATGGATGCGAAAGGAAACTCGGCAAGCTTAGGAGCAATCATAGTAGGCAAGTTGAAAGAAGCGTAGATAGTCACTGCATCTCGAAGAGTGAACAAAGCATAACTCAGTAGAGGAGTCCCAGCACCGCAAGCCATGCGAGAAAAGTATGCGTCTTTGAATATGCTGAGTCCGGAACTGACGGTCGTGGTAGCAGCGAACTTGGCGGGGGAAGAGCAGACGATGGATGGGTCGAGGTCATATTGAACAGCGTTGAAGGAATCGAACATGTTGGCAGTGGCGTAGGTTCCGAAGTAGACGAGGAAGGGTATGAAGAGCGAGGCAAAGGTGGCCTTGGGCTTGGAAGCCCATTTGCGCATGGAGCCCATGACCGAAGTGTTGCTAGTGGCTTTGTTGAAGACAAGTCTGTGAAAGATTGTGTTAGCCATCAATTAACAGGTGGGAAAGAAGTTTATGGCTTTGAGAACTCACTTGTCAATAGCTGTGACCCAGGGAGTGACCAAAGCAGAAGCAAAAGCTGCAGCGGCTAGGTCAACAGCAAAGTACTGCATTGTACAGTGCTGCTGCTCCCGTATACTCATAACGTCCGTCATTTTGATGGTAGCGAGAGCCGATGGACTCAATTCACTTGGTAGTTGGTTTTGAAAAACAGTACAGAATTTTGAAGGAATCCTTTGAAAGCTTGGCCATGACTCTTATATAAACACGGCATCTGACGCCGAAATACCGAACCACCGCGTAATAGTCATACTGAATCAACCTATCAAAGTGCCAGAAACGTTCCGTAGGCTCTCAACTACCGATTTAGTTTCAGCCCGACACGTCTCAACAAAAACCCGACATCAAGGGCTAACCTTGAGGTACGTTGCTGTACGACAATCACGAAAACGATCAGGCTGAGGCGTTGCCAATTCGGTCTAGATGGAAGCTCACCTTGTGGGTCTTTGTCAGTGAGAGAAGCAATGGTTGGATAGAGATTGCGGCAACGCTAATCTCAATGCCGTCTTGTGTCGGGTTAACAAGGAGAGGGATTGACTCACCAGCCTTCACCTAGGTGACGATTACGACTACATCCTTTCGGTTATGCTCGGAGTCTTTGTTGAGACTTGCTAGACTCTAGATCATCCATGTTCTAGTATTGCTCGGCATATAAACTTCTAGACCGACATTCTGTTCTCTCCTTGTTTAGTGACAAGTCTTTTATTTCCCAGCCGTCTCCGCGTTTTCCCCAAGGATGGTATGGGAATTGTTGACGCGCTAAAGCTAACCCCAGATTCATCTTCAGGGGCTGAGCACGGACCTTGATGACACTGTCAGCTTCTGGTTCAGCTTTCAGCCTCCTTTTTTGATGCAACCACAAAGTGATAGACTAGTAGTATGATCAGTGACAACAAGAATGTTATCCATCTATCTACGATTATTTCAAAAAGTTATCTCTTTGTTATCGCTGACTCGAATTTTCACCAATACTTCTTCTGACCTTCTAGACGTTCTAGCGTATTGTATGCTTCGGCTTTAGACGGTTCATCCTAGCTTATGATTCTGGACGTGGTTCCCACTTCTCAGATTGATAGCGAGATGAAACTTTCTTATTGCAACACAATAGCATAGCCGACGCTTTCCGCAACGCATATCAGCCTTACAGTACTTTCGATGCCAAGTCTCTCAAGCAAGTGGAACAAGGTGGAAAGAATGGTCCCGACCTCTAGCACTTTCAACTGTAACCCAAACTCACTGGGACACTGGCTTCATCAACGCCCTTTAAGCTTAATGCTATCGACCAACCGTATGTCCATCTTCTCAAAGAAATCTACCAGAGCAGAGCATGTCCATACGGTCAGAGGAATACACAAGTTCCATTTGGGGCTTACCGATGTTGTTCTTAAGCCGAGACATCGATCGATACTGGGTGTATGCTAGTAGACTAAACTGACCGTTATTTCCCTATGTGTACATGACTCACTAAGAATCATGCTGGTGAGTGTCAGCTTCACAATCTGATTCTTGAAGCTTACCACGTGGTCTTGTTGCCATTGAGCCTTGATTAACCGAAGGGTGTGGACATACACTGGCCTGTAGCCCTTCCGTACCAGCAAAGCATGTCCAAACAAGGTGACAGGGCGAGGATTAACAACGGTCTCACATTATAGCTCAGCATCAAAACAACTTCCTAATGGAATGATAACCAAAACCAACATCCGTCAGCTCACGCATGATGGAGCACCTTGGGTCTAAATATTGTAGACTTCCCAACCTATCACGTTTCGATTCAGAACGCCATCATTTCCGCCTGTACCGGGAAGATGGCACGTAAGACAGGTGAAGCTGAACTTGAATTGTCATGCAACTATGAGTGAGGTGCATGTCGTGGCGGCGCCATAGAAGCTTCTTGAAAGTCGACCCCAACCGCCACGTTGACTGGACATAACTTGGCCAATGATTGACCTTGAAGACCAAACCTTAACCCAGCAGAATATGAAAGAGTTTTGTTGGTAGCTAGAATCAGAATCCTGTAGGAGAATAACACAAACGATGGCGCCATTCAGCTCAAAGTAAGTTAATTACAAAAGTCTATATGATCTAGAATAAATCCAAGTGCTGATCCATCTACCTTGCATCGACTGGTATCCAATCAAAATGCACTCCAGTATACCATTTCCCTAGGATCGGCCATACGTTTTATGTGGACTCTGAAGTTGAAGTTTTCTTGTTCGACATCTCGACATCGATCGCGGTTCCTATATCCTTTGGTGCCTTGAAACCGAGATGTGCGAGAAAGCTGGACGGGAAGAACACATTATAGAGAAAGGCGACAATGAGGATTGGCAATGTATCGAAGACGTACTGGCTGTAATCATCGTTAGCATCGTGAATGGGTCATCATTGATAGTTCACTTACAACCACTCTTCCTGATGTGTTTTTCCGTCTTTGCCACCAGCAAAGTCAACCTCACGGTACACAGAACGAACCTATTTAGACGGTTAGCGTATATATGTCAACGACGTCTGGGTTTCATCTTACCAAGATAAGAAGGCATGACACATTGACCACAGTCAACAACGTCTGCCACTTCTTAGTGATGTCATACTTTTCCTGGTTCTGTCTTGCGAACTCAGGGCTCAGCTTCCTGGCTGCAAAATGGAAACGAATTGCTGCAATAGTGAAAAGACCGAATCCAGCAATCTGAGTGCTCACACCAACAAGACCAAGAGTCTTGCCAAGGTTGAGCTTCTGTTTCGCATTGGAGTCTGTGGGATCAGTGCCAGCAATGAAGATTGCGGCAACGAGCTGGAGGATGAGAGAAATCACGTCGAAGCCAACGAAGAGAAGGGTGATAAAACGAGCTTCAAATCGATGAGAATTAGTAAAGTGCCACTTGTTTGGCAAGGATAGACTCACGAGGAACCCAAAGAAAGCGCAGTGTCCTCGACTCAGGAGGGACAACCCAGTAGACAATTCTACCAAAGATGACATAAATCACACCGGCCATCAATACCGGAGGGAGGATGATGAGTGTAAATTGGAGCACATATGGCTTCTTTTCGGTGGGCTCAGAGGCAGACTTGATCCTGGCGGCATATCCAACAACCTCCACTAGTCAATTGGTTAGTCTGAAACCCAATGTGAAACATTAGTATATCAACGTACTAGCGATGGCTAACAGCATAAAGATCCAAACCCAAGCCTTTTTTCGTATGATCTGGTAGAGCGTCACAAGGAAACTCAGGCCAAAGAGGCCAGCAGCCACTCCTGCCAAAGGCTTGGAAGGGTTGTAGAGATAATAAGACATTGTTGCGTCCATAATGGTGAAGTTGTAATGTGAAGTGTGTAGATGATGATCTGGTGTGAGATTCTTGTTCATTCCTTTATGGAATTTGGATCATATTATATAGATTCCCTTGTTTCACAGTCACTAACGAGACATCGTCAACATATCACTTTTGGTTCTGACTAACAAGCCACCTCCACAGAGTCTGGACCGATGGAACGTCAACACCACAGCAATGCCTCGAAAGGAATTCGAGATACGTCAAATGCGGTCTGGTTTAAGCCACGCTGAAATGCGTTCATGCCGTGGGGACGTCACAACTGGGGCTGGGCGGCCAATCCGACGGCTGATTCGAAGAAGCTAAACAAGCCAGTAATACGTGGCGTCAAATGTCACTGAGCTAACACGCAGCTACCTCGAATCAGAGTCTGCTCCAGGAAACAGTTTTGGAAGTTTGACGTGTAACGTTTGAAACTGCCATAAAAGCTTGTCCAAGAAGGCTATGCTGGGGAAATAAAGTTCAAATCCCCAGAAGCCACGTTTTTTTCACCTTGAAATGGACGTCTGCAAGCAACCTTCACAAGATTCTCACAGAGGGTGTCGGAAAGTTGAAATACCGATACCGATCTGACAGTTCCTTCCGGAGACTTGACCTCCGACTCCCGATGGTATCAAGTCTGCGAGAGATGAAGTGACATATGATTGTCCCAAGTGTTGGAAAGTATCACGAAAAGTGCGGGTTGTATTTTTTGGACATGGAGGAGGATTTCTTTAGTCGGAGCACTTACGGTAGACAGTTTCGAGGAAGTAACGACAAAGCCTGGAGAGATTATTGAGAATACCAATAATTGCGAAACACATTTAGCCAGAGTATAAACTAATAGATATTGCGCCCGTCGTGCGTGGCTTTAATCATTACCGTAAGGGCTTTTGAAGTGGCGAGTATACCACCATTCACAGCAAAAGTATCTGTGGCAGTTTTAGTTAAATAGACAGCCTCCGAGCGAAGAGAATCCAAAGCTGAAAATGTCTTGTGGCCTCCACAACAATAGCATGATCTATTTGTATTGGTGATACATGTTTTGATGATATTGACATATTCAATTCTACCCTCTACTCTTGTGACCAAACCAGTCATTCTTATGCCCCTCCACGGTGTAGATGACCTTATGGACCATTACATCCTAATCATATGGTCTATTTGTGGACAGGCAGAACTTCCTGATAAACCCAAACTAAGCAACATCTTTCCACAACCCTTGAACTGTTATGTACTCGGCATAGGCTACCAAGAAGGAAGCAACCACTTCTGGGAATATTCCTCCACCCTTGATCCAATGAACTGTCACTGGGCCATATATCAGCATCTGCACAAGCTTTCTTCTCCATTGTACTGCAGAACCCTCATCATCGTCCTTAAATCCACGATTCTTTAACGAACGGTCGTGAAATAGCTGTGCAAGTTCAGCAAAGACGTAGACACCCCATCCCTTCAATGACCAAATCATAAGCTTCGATTCCCTCTTTTCCGACTTTCTGAGCACGCCGCGTCTCGTAAGCCATGCCAGGTTCTCGAAGCTAAGGTAGCTAAGCAACCCAAGGATATATGTGGCTCTGATTGCTTTGCTGACAAGATAATCTTTCGGGTTCTCGTTACGTTCCTTGTTCACGTCTCTTGTCCTCATGAGGCTCACAATATACTCTTTAGATTCAGCCCATATCGCAAGCAGTCCCCATAATCGTGTTATGATTTGCCAATCATCAAAGATATTGGAAACTGCTCTCGCCCGCTCAGCAAGAAATAGTTTGTAGGCACTAGCTGTCGTCATATGCGAACCCAGCTTGGAAAATGGTAATGATGTAGATAGTCTCGACGGCATGTTTTTTAATAACAAGCTGCTGAGCCTGGTAATCCACTGGATCAATCGTTCGGATACTGAAGTTTCGAGTGCGGTTGCGATAAAATGTGTCGCGCAAGCTAGAAACAGAATGACGGCATCATGGCTATCGCGAGTGTGCATAACCCGATTCAGATGTGAAATGAACTCATCGAGCTTTTTTATCGGGTTGGATTTTTTGTTAGACTTTATTGTGTCAATGGTTTTGGACGATTCTGGCATGGCGATGTGAACATCTTTGGGTCGGTCTTCTATGATTGTCGTTGGAAGGGGTTCGGGATTTGTCTTGTCAGCTGTTAGTGTAGCTGGTGTCTGCACTGGTTGATCCCCAATATCTGCCATTCTGTATGGAGAAGTGGTCCGGAATGATAATGAGATTTAGGAAATCTGGATTCGCTTTTATCGTAATTGCGAAGGATTGATGAAAAAATAAGCCGACGGCCTATTTGAAGATAATAACGAAATATTCTTGCGGGGATCTTTAACTAGTTCGGGGCAATAATTGGCGTTTTATCTGTAGCTAGCGTAAACTGCTTGAAACGACATAGCGGTACGTGTGGATATGTGACGACCAGCTATTGGCACCGATTTCAGAGGGAATCTGGCTTTTAACAATGTGAGGATTATCCCTGCCCAGATTTAGCTCTGCCGGTTTATTGTATTACCGGTCGTTATCGCCAGGCGTCTTCCGAGATACAGTTCCGCCAATTCCGAGAGTTCCGTTTGGATACGACAGCTCCTGGTGTTGCAGCATGCTACCTAAGTGATATCTTATAAACTTAGATAATTATGTAAAACATCTGTCAATCCCAATCTCTGTTTCACTTTAACACCTCTCTTGCCAACGACTCCAACGTGATACTATTGCGCAATCCTGTCTACTTCACGGGTGCCAATATTTCTTGTCCCCACTCAAAGTCTGAGCTATTGCCAAAATAAGGCAAAGTTGAGCATTTCTTTGACCGACTACTGACAAAAAGAAGGAAAATAAAAACGAATGTCCTCCAAGTGAATCAAGTTCCAAATATTTCCCCGGAGGCGCGGGATATTGCTAAGATAAATAACGGATAAATGTTATGGTTATCTTGTGGTCGATACTAGTTGGCTTCGTAGACTGAAATATCCCATACTTGAACTCTGAAGATCAAATTTATACAACGTCTATTATATCAATTGGACCAAATAAACTACCTATTGAACAAGTTCTTGCTTTAAACCTTCTTGAGCATAATACAACTTCAGTCCTTCATAGCAGCCCAAAAATAATCCATTACCCACAGCAGCCGCTATGCAAGTGACAGTGGCACCTCTAAAGAGCCCCGAAACTCCATCTCTCACCAGAATACCTTTGGCGATCGAAAAAGGGCCGCTTGCTGCAGGCTTTCGAGCCTTTTCTAGACTCAATGCCGACGTGAACAGTGATTCAGGTTGTAACGGATGACTGGGCGGGGCCTTTTCTGGGAGACGCATCCTTGTTTTCACAACATCGACAGGAACAAAGAGCAGGGATGCGATAGAACCCCCAATACCGGCTGTGATTCCGCTGACTTTGACTTGCTCCGTGATACTTGGCATGTCGTCGAATTGTCTGAGCCATCTCTCTTTAAGGTATTCGTATATCGAGAACGTCAGGCTAGTCCGTGGAAGGTTTCCTGCCACCAGAACCGTGTAGCCCGTCCATAACTTCAAAGGTTTTCGAATAAAGTGCTTCAGGGCCGACAAGACCGGGAACCGTTGGCCTCCACCTTCAGAGAATCTTGAGACTTGCGCGTTCTGTTTAAGGACTTCAGAAGGGTTGATGATGGCACAAGCAACCATGTCCGCAAGAGCACTACTCGCAGCATGCACAGCTGTTTGAGACAGACTACCCGGCTTGAGACCTTCCTTTGGTTGTAGAGTAGCTTTTGCTTTCTCGTAGATACCAAAGAATGTGACGGAAGCTGGTATTGTGGTTATGACCGTCGGAGCTATGCCACGGTAAAGGCCACGGAACAAAGCTGGCTGTAGTTTGCCCTCATGGCTTTTATACTTGGGTATGTACTCCGGAGACTGAATTCGTGTGATAAGAGTATCGAAAGGATGTACAACAAACTCGACGCTTAGAGCCGCAACAGCTGCAGCCTTCTTAAGTCAGTCATGCCAGTATTGACCAAGAAATCGGCATTCCTTACCAATGATATATCCGCAGCATCTGCGCTGGAGGCTGAGGACATTAAACTAGAAGATTGGACGATGAATGGCAATTATTCAGATAGGGAAGTAAATTCTTGAGTAGTTGGCGTGGTTTAGTGCAGTATAATTCGAGAGAATCAGGATCTGAAGGTCGAAAAGTCTAACTTGGTGAAAGATCAACTACGTCAACATCGGCCAAACATGGGAGCAATGGCGCTAGACTATTGTCCCGACAATCATGGGATGAGCCATCAATAAGCGAATCATCAGTCGCTTTAGATAACAAAATGCCCTCACGTACGTCGACAGTCTTACCGTTTGGTGATACACTCGTCTTTATGCGCTGATAAGTCGTTGTTGATCAGTGACACGATTCGCAGTACATTCACCACCAAGTACTTTGACATCATCGGGTTTACCGCTGTAGAACATTAGTCATCAATCTTATCAATGAGGATGTCAGAAACATAGACGCGGGAGGGACTGGGCGCAGAAATAAAGACGCTTACTCCTCACAGATCTAGTGGGAAATTCTGGGTCACTATTTTTGACAGTCAGCCTCTTGCCGTAAATCTTTCTGACACCTGTAAGTGTCCGCTTGTCAGCAGCAATCAAATCGATTTTACATTGGCTCAATTGTGCTAAACACATAATGCATCATGTCAAATCTCGCTTTTACATAAAGTCGCGCAGAGTAAATGATTATATATCAAGACCCGATGAGTCAATCAGAAAGGCCATCAACCGACGCTCATCAACGACTCGGCTTCAGGCGAAAGCGACAACAAGTCGGACGAGCCTGTGATGGCTGCAGGCTCCAGCGGATAAAATGCGACGATAGCGCCCCATGTCTCAATTGCCGCACCCGTGGTAGAGATTGCAGCAAAAGCACCATATCACTAGTATCAACTCTTCCTCAAGCTCAAGACGAGATTGATAAGCTGAAGCGACGAGTCAAAGAGTTGGAGGCTGAACTCTCACGAACGCGCAGTAGCAGAACGTCGCCAATCGTACAAGCACAAGAGCCAACGCCACCCAGCAGCTCACCTTCTCTCGCGCAACCAGTAATCCAAGAGACAGCCAAAATAAAACCGTGGGATGGCGTTTATCTTCGACCAGCACGGTCTCCCCATAGTGCATGGTTTGGGCCGTCTTCACTTTACTTCTTTACCCATCGGCTCAGTACATTCTTGAGTACCCAGGCTGAGCACATGCTCATTCACCTGGCAAGTAATTTGGAGTTGCGCGAACAGCCGACGGTTGCTCAAGACTCCTCCAGACTCTTGGCACCGCTGACTGGGACTCACGACGAAGCCTTTTATTTGACGCCAATCCAAGAGGAGTATTTTCTCAGTTTGTATTGGGAAACATACCACACGTCGCTATATGCTATAATCGATGAGGCGAGCTTCAAAACACACGTTCAGTCACTATATGTCAATGTGCCACCAGGGCTCCCTAGAAAGCAGTCAGCACTTTTGGATATCATTATCGCTATGTGTATGCAGTATCACATCTCTTCTCGGCCAGCTGGAAAGAAAACGTGTATTGTAGAAGACAACGACGCTACTCTAGCTGGTCGATGGTATTATAGGCGAGCCCAGACTCTGCTGGCTTGTGAGGTTGAGAGTCCTTCACTGTCAACTTTGCAATGCCATTTACTATGCGGTGTGTATGTCTGTGTTGGCTCTTTCCACAATATGGCAGACAGCATCTGTTCTCTCGCTGTCCGTACTGCCTATATGCTGGGTCTTCATCTGGAACCACCATCGACGTTACCCTCATGCGAGAGGGAGCTAAGAAGACGTCTGTGGTGGTCTGTCTTTGAACTGGACGCTAAAGTCGGCATCAAAGTCGGCCGCCCATTCCTTGTCCGCACTACACACACGATGCCTCAGTTACCCCGAGACAACCTTGCAGCAGCCATTGAGTCAGGGTCAACATTTGCTCCTATTGGAGATAACGCTACTTGGCTAAGCTTCAGCCTTCAAAGGTTCAAACTTTACCAAACTGCGCGAAAACTAAACCTGTCCTTCTACGGCTACGAGCTCAAATTAAAAGATGGAGACTCATTCTATAATGACAATGAAGCCATGGACGATCTTGCATTGAGTTGGGGTCCACAAACAAGGGCCTTGACCGAGTGGACTACGCAAGTTCCTCATCCTCTCAAGAACAAACGCAAGAATGGCGTTGCGTTTTCTTGTGACGGTTCAATACTCGATCTTGAACAGTATGCACCCATCTGGCTGCAAAGACAACAATTATGTCTCGAGCTGGAGTATAATCATCTATGCATTAGTCTTCACCGCCCCTTCATATCATTTTCACTCCATCAAGGAAACAATACAATCGCAATGGCTGTCAAGTGTGCTCAGCATGCAATAGAGCTGACCAATATCACACATCAGGCACTGACCATGACGACTGTACTCCACGGCTGGCACGAGGCCTTTCAGTGGCAGTGGAGTGCAGCCATGACGCTTGTGGGATTCGTAATGGCAAATACACAACACGTTCTTGCGTCAGCCGCCCGAAGATCCATACAATTGGCTGTGTCTGTGCTTGATATGTTCGCACCAAGCTTTGACGCTGCCGCGAAAGCAGCCATTATTGTCCGGACATTGCACACGAACATTGAATCTGTTATGACGCAGTTCGAAGCCCAGATAGATCACATCGCGGGGACAATAAACGAGAATCCCTTGTTGGATAGGGCCATCCCTTCACAAGAGGATATCGATGAAGGTGTTCCGAATCAATTCGAAGGTGTTGGAAATGATCTTGATCTTTTGGACATGACCATGAACGTTGATTTCTGGGCTGAACTGGACATGCTTTTGCCTGGAGGTTTTGGGAGTAACACTGTCGCATCATCAGAGTCATGAGACGAACTCGTAGTCCTATATTATTTTACATCGAAGAGATAGACTACCATGGCTTTCTTTCCGGCTTATCACTTGGAATCTGTTCGAGATTGGGTTGTATGAATTCTTTACAAATGATAGATCATATTTATCAGAACTACTATTCTGCTCAAACTACATCAACGAGTGAAAGCTATCAACCTTCAAGCCTCGCTCCATTCAGACAAACCCACAGTTCACTGCTCTTAGCGGAGCCTCTGAATACAGTCTGACTACAAGGCCTCAAAAACAGCCACTGCGGCTTCAGCAGTCGATGCAGCACTAGCAGGGTTCTGACCAGTGACCAGGCGGCCATCGACAACATGAAAGTCGTCCCAAATGCCAGGAGCACGTTCGTCTTTACGGTAGAAGTTAGTTTTTGGCCACTGATAAACAATAGAAGGGAGACTCACAGATTGCACCAAGACGATTTGCAACTTCTTCAACCAGCTCACGGTCCCAGCTTCGCAATTCCTCCATGATCTTCATCGTGGTCTCGGCTTCGGTGGTGAATCCGGTGATCCTCTTTCCCTTTATGACAGGCTCATTGGTAGTGGGATCAATAAGATGGGCAAAGATAGCTGCGCCATGACAAACTGACGAGACGACTCCACCGTTTGCCCATACTTGAGCAGCAATTTTCTGAAGGGATGTCGCAGTAGGGTAGTCGATCAAAGCTGCATGTCCAGCAGAAGCATAGAACAGCCCGTATTTGGAAGGGTCCAGTTCTGAGGCCTTGGTCATGTTGTCAAGCTTCTTGCGGAAATCGCTGTCGGGGTTGGACCAGGTAGTCAGATCATCACCGTTAAGAAAGTCAGGTTGCTGAGAAAGCCAATCGGGAGTGTAGCTGCCGGTCTCAGAAGCAAGGTCCACCTCAAAGCCTGCGGCAGTGAGAATATTGTATGGATGAAGAGCTTCGGTGATAAATAGGCCGGTGGTTTCTGTGCCTTGGAATAGGCTGGCCGAAGCAGAGGTGACGCTGACGAGAGCACGACGAGGAAGAGACATTTTGATTGATTGAGCACGATTCGATTCTAAGAGATTTTTAGGTTGCAATACAAGAAGCGGATGTCTGTGATCGATTCCTGTTAAGATGATGTTGCTCGATGGAGGTTGAGTTGCTCTTTTTTAACATGTTTCCTTGGCTAATGATTAGGATAGTTTATATACATTATCAAGGACCATATCCGTATAAAGGATCAGATAACATGTATCAACTCCTTCTTAGGCTACCAATATCGTCACAAGCGGTATCATTGTTGCTGGAGTATGAGTTATTCCCATTGGTTTGGGTAAGAAAGATATGAGTTGTAAACTACCCGGAAGCCGTTGACGTCATCAATGTAGCCTTTCTTATCTTATCTCGTTGTGCTGACTCCGAACACTCTGAATAATCTAAGGAAATATTATGGAGACACTAAGACAGGAGATACTCCCATTGGATATCCAATTTGTCAGCTCAAGGAGTCTTTACGAGTGGCTCGGATATCACCGAATCAACTTTTTCTTCTACGGAGTCCCGGAGTTGGAAATCGAGTCATGCAACGTTATGACATAACCTTCCAATCACGTCTAAACCCACTTGCAAGATTGAACCAAGAGAAGACCTTGGAAGATATTGTTGATCACTAATTAAGCTTTTCAGTCTTGTGGATATAAGAAGACCCATAGTCCCAATCCAACATGGCTTTCAATATCTTCTCTATTCTTGATCAATCTATAAACAGCGATTGCATTCACTTATCGTTTCATCATCATTACAATCATATCAAACCAGCAATATGACACTATCTAAGACAACACCAACTGTCTCTCCTGACAGCAGGCTATTCAAGCCTATCCAAGTTGGCAATGCTAAACTTGACCACCGAATCGTCATGGCACCTTTGACTCGTTACCGTAACGATGACAACCACGTCGCCAAGCCCTTTGTCGAGCGATACTATGCCGAGAGAGCCTCGGCTCCAGGTACACTCGTCATCTCAGAAGCTACTGGTGTCTCAATGCAAGACACTGGCATGCGCCAAGGCCCAGCCTTTGTCACAGATGAACAAGTCGCTGCCTGGACAAAGGTCATTGCTGGTGTCCACGAAAAGAAGTCCTTCTGGGCCCAACAGATCTGGGGTCAGGGCCGAGCTTCTGATCCAGAATACCAGAAGGAACGCGGTTTCAAGTATCGCTCCTCCAGCAATGTGCCTATCGAGGAGGGCGCCCCTGCACCTGAAGCCATGACTGAAGAGGAGATCCAAACCTTTATCCAAGACATGGTTGCTACTTCTAGGCGGGTCATTGACGCTGGCGGCGATATTGTCGAGGTTCACGCCGCCCACGGATACCTTATTGATCAGTTCACATCCGACTCTGTCAACAAGCGAACTGATAAGTGGGGTGGTTCCACTGAGAACCGCGCTCGTCTTCTACTTGAAGTCATCAAAGCTGTTTCTGCAGAGGTCGGCCCCGAAAGAGTTGCCATTCGTCTATCACCATATGCTTCCTTCCAGGGCGCCGAGTCATCAGACATTAAGGAGCAATACACCTACATAATCAATGAGCTCAAGAAGATCGGCCGTCTTGCTTATCTCTCGTTGGTCGAAGCACGCGGTGATCCTGCCAAGCTGCTCGCTCCCGATCAAGATCCCTCAGCGGATTCCAAGACACTCGACTTCATCCTGGAAATCTGGGACAACAACTCACCCGTAATTGTCGCCGGCAACTACAGCCCCGAGTCAGCTGCTGAGGTCCTTGACGGACACTACAGCAAGTGGGATGTTCTCGTTGCTTTTGGTCGACACTTCATTGCCAACCCTGACTTTGTCTGGAGGGTCAAGCATGGCGTTGAGTTGACCAAGTACGACCGTACTACTTTCTACGTCCGTGGTTCAGAGATTGGTTATGTCGATTATCCTTTCTCTCAAGAATATGTTAATGAGCAAAGAGCATGGGCTGTCAAGAACTTGAAGATGCATGCCAAGTAAAGTTCCATACTTGGACACGCAAGATGGGGTGTCGACGTTCGGAAAGCTATCGACCGGGGACATTTTACATGATTAATGACATGATAAAGATAGACAAATTATAGACATATTGAATAGATAGGCAAAATGCCAGTATAAAGTTGAACAATATTGTAATTTGTGAAACTCTGTGTTCGTGACCCCATGAATTCGGAGATTGATAAGAGTGTGAAGGGCGCGATTGACAGGTCTTACACATATAACAACGTCATCTCTCCCAAATCCATGGAAGTAAATCTCAGTTCATTAAAGATCATTTTTTACCCATCGTTACTCGTCTAGACAAATACATAATCGATCCGAAACACTGTAATCATCATGGTCGCTAAACTCTTTCTGGAAGGCGGATGTCTTTGTGAATCCGTTCGATACAAGATCACCTTTCCCGAACACCACGATCTTTCTAAAGACACACTGGGCTGCATTTGTCAATGCACTCAATGCCGCAAACAGACTGGCAGTTTCTTTCTGGCAACACTCACCGTCCCTGTCGCGGCCATCCAATGGCAAGGCGATTCAGAGAGCAAGATAAAACGATTCAACAAGACAGAGAACATTGACAGAGGCTTCTGTGGCACATGTGGATCGTTTCTCTTCTGGCACCCGCGGGGAAAGGCAATAAGCATCGCCACTGGGAGCCTCGATCCTCTTTACCTGCTTGGTGAAGGTGCAGACAGCACGGATGATCGCATCCCAAGTGAGGGTTTCGCGGGACAAATATTCAGTGGATGGTTTAATGTTGAGTTCTGTGAGAGTGAAATCAAGGGTATTACAGACGATATGCCAGTGCTTCTGAAGGGAAAGAGGTGCCAGGGTGATAGCTCGGAAATTTGAGACCATGGCTTTGAAGAGTAGCTGGTTTGGTCGTTGACTAAAAGCCAACAAATCACAATTAATTCTTTCAAATTCTCCTATCAAACTATTAGTTTGCCGATTTAGAAACAAAATGCCTTGTTATAGCATCATCTGGGCTAGTGAAGCTGTTGTAAACACCCTACATGGGCTTTAGGAGATGTCCCATCAAACCACATAGACCTAGAAGAGTAGGGCACCATATAGTGTACTTAGATAGTTTAGCAAGGCTTAAAACCATATATACCTTCAGGCTAGGACAGGTAGGCATGCTTTCCTACGCGTGGTCAAGACAGTGACTTGTTTTCATTTCAGACAATGCTATTGTGCAAGGACTAAATCACAATTATTTTTCTGCCAGGTATTGGTAATAATACTGATTGACCTGATGTCCCGTGCTCAAACCATCGAACATGCTGTATTGGTTGTTTAGAATGGGCAGTCGAGGACAATAATTTCCCGAGTAGGTGCGTATTATGGTTAAAGGGTAGTTAGTATATTGGGTCAATTCAGTACGAATTGTGTGCAATGTGTACATGTGTTACTAAACTAAGCATAAGCACCCAGTTCCGGGCGTCAAAACGATTATGTTCAGGCTCTCTTGCTCATGTGGAAATGCATATCTGGCTGTGTGGAATCGGCATCTTGCTTGTTCTCATGAACAGCGACAAGGTCTTGTACTGGTGGTCCTCGTCACTGGATCCTTGTGATGGCTGAAGAGGGTTCTTCGCAAGCCACTTGGTACCATTCAACTGGTGGGCCAACCCAAGGTAAGCATTACACTGTTGTAATCGAAAACAAGCGATTCAACAGCCATGAAATCGAGAAGTGCCATCTCATCGGTGAGATCTCTCCCAAAGACAAGAACAAGATCAAGTCTACGGCCCAGCGAACTTCTGCATTACGCTGCCAGAGGTGGGTCGTCAACGTCCTTGAGGACCTTGAGAAGCGAGGCATCGTTCCTCTCGGGACTGCATCTGATTGGGATGCTGCCACTGAGGATAGTCCGTACATGACGATGGCGTTCTAGTTTGCGACGAATCAAGCAGCAACGATGGTGGTAGCTCCGCTAACACTTCGTTTTTCGAAGATTCCAAGAACTAATCTCGCAATGAGAATACACAATCGGCTTAGGCTGAGAACGTGTAAGCTTTAGAAGCACTAGAGCTGAGGATGTTGGTAAGTTGGGTTTTCCTTTGTCAAATGAGTTGTGAGGCTGTGGGTTGACAAAACATTGATTGCGCTTGCGGGCAAGCAGCATGTCTTTGTTCCGTTAGTAACATGAGGGTAGGTTGTATGGCATTGGCGTTTTTCTTTTTTCGGTTGCGACGTATTAGTATTTCGTAAAGAATGCAAAGCAAATGTACAGTTTATTAGTTCCTTGTGCTCATGTTGACCTAAAAGCTGCTAGGTGTTTTTACCTCCACAATTCTAGGAGATGTGAAAAATGATTGATCATGTTACCCTGCGGTTTGTAAAATGAAGTTTTCTCAGTACAAGCTAGCTGTTCTTTGTTTGGTTCGAATTTGTGACACTATCAATCGCATATGTACTTATTCGGCCTAATAAAGGTACACGCACCTATCCGAAGCAAGCAACATGACAACAAAGAGTACAATTTCGTGATGTAATTCTTTGTCTCTTGCTGTTGGTTATCATTCAGGCTGTTGCTTTAGGTTCCGCGGTTATGAATTAAATGCAATGTCGTTTTTGATCACTACACATTTCCTTCCTTCAACACCACCATCCATCATGAGTACAGACCCTTACATCGTCGAGCCTACTAGGCCTCACACCCACAGTCTAATTCTTCTCCATGGGCTTGGCTCAAACGGCGAGAAGTTTGGTCGCGAACTGATTGAAACGGGCATTTCCTCTGATGGCAAATCGTTGCCCGTCCTTCTGCCTGGCGGGAAGTTCATCTTTCCAACTTCACAGACAGGTCGCTCAAGCGTCTTCCGCCGGGTGAGAGTGACCCAGTGGTTCAACGTTGCTTCACTGGACGGCCCTTATTATCGCAACGAAACTCAACTCAACGGTATGGAAGAGTCATTACGCGAAATCTTTCGTCTCATCAACCAGGAACGTGAAAGAGTACCGGACAAGAACATCATTTTGGGCGGAATCAGCCAAGGGTGCGCTATCGGATTTATGTGCCTGCTTGCAATGGAATATTCTCTCGGGGGATATATCGGAATTAGCAGCTGGCTTCCCTTTGCTGCTGAATTCGAAGGCTTGACTAACGCCTCTGACGACGCATCCTTTTCTGGCGAGGATGACAATCCTTTTGCTGCTTCTGACGACGAAGATGACCAAGGCAACACAAACGCCCAGGTCCATGGCTACGCCAGAGAACTATTACTTATGGAAACGGAGGACTCATCGAACCCCAGCTCACTATCAACACCTGTATTTATCGGCCACGGAAAAGCAGACGAGAAGGTCAAGCCTGAACTTGGTGAAGGAGCGTGCCGTATCTTACGTTCAGTCGGGTATGATGTACAATGGAAAGGCTATGCCGGACTGGGTCATTGGTACAAGGTTCCGGATGAGATTGATGATATCTTGGATTTCATTAGAGAGAAGGTGGGATGGTTATTGTAGCTACAGTAGAGAGCAGAACATGGCATTCATTGCATGAAGTCTGTGGCAGTCCATTCGTTAGACTCTTGCAAAGCCCTGGATTAGTAGACTAAATGCGGTAACTTATTAAACTTACTCGAGGTTTCGCCTTGTATTTTTGATGCTAGATCGGTCGTGTCAAGTGGAGCTGTGTACCGCTGTATGAAGGCTGCGATATTAACCGCTACCGTTCATCAACGAACGAAAACTACTGACTAACACTGCTGAGTACCTCAATTGAGTCGCAAAATATCGCTATTTCCATTGGCTCTGATATGCACTTGTGGTTGTCCGGTGAAGAAGTCTAATTGCTGGTCAAGCTGTGGGTCAAGCATATATCTTGTGGAATAAATGACCAGGGTTGCATCAATCAGAAAAAAGCCGTCATCGTATAGGGGTCAGTACATCAGTTTGTGGATTTTCGAATCACTGAAAACGCAAGTTCGAGTCTTGCTGACGGCAAAACACCTGATAATCATTTCTTTTTGCTTTTCGAAGCTCATGATATTACAGTTCTCAACCCTAATGACATGACTCCACATAACATTTTTTTAATTTTATGAATGTTCGTAGTGGGGATTGCCAATGATGAAGTTCAACCCAAACCAACTTTCATATAGAGGAATGAAGATTAAGAACAACATATTTCCGGCATCAAAGGAGCTACTAAGTGGACAAAGAGTTCATTCCATTGGTGAATTCGTAAACAGACCGTGTGTATGTACAGTAACGAGTTCACCCGTGTTCTAAAGTAATGTCATGAACAACCAATGTTAAGACATTGACTAACTCAAACGCACGTTGGACCCAACACTAATCCTTGCAAACGGCCAATTGTGCGTTTTTGGATATTTCTTTTGTCTTACGCATTTGAATATGGCGTGGTAAAGCGGCAGACATTCCGTTTTAGGTACATAATCTGGATGCATCAACCGCCAAGACCTTAATGCTAAAAGCGTCTGTCAGTCTCGTCCGACATCAAGCACTTGAGTCGACTTGGCTTGCTCCGGTTTCTTATTGTTAACTCTCCGCAACAACTCATGTTGCCATGTAGAGTTATGGAAATAGTTATAAAGACACACATCCGCGATATTTCCAGTTGCCTTCCAACAATCCCATACAACACTTTGACCACGCATCTCATACATCGCACCATATTTCATCTTTATCTCATCATGAAGGCTTCCATTATCCTCTCGACTTCTGTCTTTGCCAGCACCGCTGTTGCTCGACTGTACAAACGTGATGAGATCGTCGCTAGAGCAGACATGAGCAGTTCGACAAGCGCAGCTCCTATCGCTGCCAGCCCCACGGGAACAGGAGACGACGGGGCAGAAGAGACTTTATCCACAGACACAGGGGCACCGTCAACGGCCGGCACCACGACATCTTCAATCAGTGCAAGGCCCTCAATCCCTGACACATATGACTGTGTGAGTGAGTGCAATAGCAACTACGATACATGTCGTACAGCTCCCGGCGCCAACATGTCCACTTGTGCAGCTCAGTATGCTGGATGTCTTGGTTACAACCCCTTTGAAGGAGGGTCACTCGTTACACCCACAGCTTGTTCCGCCCCTGCGTCCGACACACCCAAACCTACTCAACCTGGCACAAGCGACTGTGTGACTGGATGTAACAATGACTATAACAAATGTCGCACCGCTCCTGGTGCCAATATGTCCACTTGTGCAGCTCAATATGCTGGATGTCTTGGCTACAACCCTTTTGAAGGAGGGTCACTCGTCACGCCTACTGCTTGTTCTGAAGAACCTCAGCCTACTCAGTCGAACACAAACGAGTGTGTCGATAAGTGCAACAGCGACTACGATAAATGTCGCACAGCTCCTGATGCCAACATGTCCACCTGTGCAGCTCAGTACTCCCAGTGCCTTGGGTACAACCCTTTTGACGGAGCTGGATCGCTTGTCACACCTACTGCTTGTTCTAACACACCTGGACCTACTCTTACAAGCACAAGTGCAGTACAGTCATCTATGACTTCACCATCCCCCCCACCTCAGCAAGACACAACAATGCAGGGGACTGAGACCTACCAACCACCTGTCGCTACCTGCACTTCCAACGTGTGCACTCAACCCACCATGACTGATCACGAAGCTCCACCAGTGATGACCGAATCACCTGTTGTGGTAGACGGTGCAGGGAGTCTTCGACCTTGGATGACGTTGATTGCATTGGCAGCGCTGGCCATACTATAAGATCTCATCCAGGTGCTGAAATAACTTAGCGCGTGCCAAAGAGGTACTGCCATCACCGTGTCAAATGTGACACAGCTCGATCTGTGTTAGATTAGAAATCTTGCCATTTGTAATAGTCCTCCCTGGAACATAAAACAATACAAACGATTTTCTTTAATTGCCCCTCGTTCAAACCGAGAGAAACCAGATTGTAAATGTCCACATCCGCAATGTAAAAAACATGGCAGACATAACTGACCCTCAAAACCGTGTACCTTGACATTGTGTTCGCTATGTATTTAACTTTGTAGTTGTGGCAATGGCGTCACGACTTGAGAATGCAACGGCAGTAAAAGGCTTCAGAGAAAGCCTTGTTGTTGACTGTCTTCGGAAGCCTCAGTGTTGGAGGAAAAGGGCAAGGCTTTGTCTCTTAGCTCATACATAGCCTAACGATTGGTACACTTAATAACAGACAATACGCAAGTCTTGTAATATTATAAATAGTTATGTGTCTTGGTATCAATATAGCCGTCTCTAAAATGCTGGAGTATGAAAAGTACATGATTAAGTATGATCTTTCGTATCTCAATCCTCAAATTGCTGGTTTCCGCGATCTTGACTCTTCAAATCAATCTCAGCAATGAACATCGAAGACAACAAACCCACTGCGCCGAATCCTGTCATAGTGTAGAAGATGGTTCGAAAGCATGTGAGATAAACAGTTAATACGTCATTCAAGGTGCGTTCAGAAATATCCAGAGAAGGAAGCTCTTTGATGAACGCAACGGCCCTCGACGAATCGGCAAGAGGTGCCAGTGGCCCCTCGAGTTGGACAGGGCTTGATACGATTGTTTTTGTAAAGACTGTGTTGAAAATTGCAGAAGCAATTGTCAATCCAATCAAGCCGCCGAACATGCGAATCGTAAAGAACTGGCCGATGGCCACACCTGTATCTTCCGCTTTCTGAACACTGGCTTGCATTGGCAGGAGCTGAAGACGTAGAAGAGCGACACCTGTTCCCCAAATGACCGGTAGTCCGTAGAGCATGGACGAAGAAGAGCTGATTTGAAAAAGAGCCAAAATACCAGTACCTAAAATTAGCAGCGCCCATGAAAGTCGCAGGAGCCAGGTGTAACCACCGAACATAGGTACCATCATCATTGAGAAGACTGCGATGACGACGCTGGTGATAGAGGTGGGTAAAAGAAAGACAGCTGACTTAATTGCTGTTTCCAAGTAAACTGCTTGGTAGATCAGCGGCAGATACTGAAGCAGTGAAACAAGGATGGCACCGTGCATGAAGCCGCCGATTAATGTCATATTTGCTGTCTTGGAGTGGAAAAGACGGTGAGGCATGATGGGAACCGCGGGTTTCGACTCAAACCAGACAAACACGGCGAGCACTACGACACCCAAAAGCATCGGAAGTAACGTTTGCCATGAGCTCCATGGGAACAACGATCCTGCCCAACTGAGTGGTAGCACGATTATAGTGATACCAGAAACGACCAAGCCCATGCCAATCCAGTCAAGACGTTCGACGTTGCTTGAGACAACTGTGATAGACCTCAACCTAAGGAAGAAGAACACCAAAGGTGCACCAAATCCAAGAATGGGTAGGTTCACCCATCCGATCCATCGCCAGCTGGCATATGTGGCGAAGAGTGCGCCAACAGAGGGACCAAGAATGTTGCCGACGGCATTCGGTATGCCCATCAATCCGAGGTATGTAGCGCGCTCCTCGAGCGTCGTCATGTCAGTGAGAATGACCTGAACGAGGACATCTATACCTCCACCTCCGAAGCCCTGAAGCACACGCCCAACAATGACAGTCTTCATATCTTGTGCAACAGCAAAGACTATTGACCCGATGAAAAACAGGCCTATGCATGCATAAAGCGGTGGCTTCCGGCCGAAAGCATCAGATATGCTTGCCCAGACTGGCTGCATTACCAGACCACATAGTGTGTAAGAAAGGTTGGCCCAGAATGACTCCAAACTTGAACCATTGAGGTCATTGGCTATGGACTATTCACATGATTAGTATGACACGGGCTGGTGGTGGTCAGATTGGCTTGCTGGTGGATTGCTTACGGGAAGAGCTATGCCAAGTGCTGTGGCATCAATCTGGAATACAAAGAGGATGGCGGCGAGACCAACAAAGGACAATTTGAAAGCCAACGATTTTTTCTGTTTGGGCTGACTCGGTTGGTCTTCCTGCGGCACCTGTAGAGCTTGTCTTTGGGGTTGGTTGTTGGGATCGTCTTCTGTAACAGGTTTTACAGCTGCAGGCTGTTGGCTTGCAGCCACTGTAGAAATCTCCATGTCGCTTGTTCCAGGGTCACTACGTCGCCATCCCATGAAGTAATTGCCACGATTTCAGTACACCTTCGTCTCTTAGTCGTGGGCTTTGTTTTATTTAGTTGTCTGGATTTTGTGATCCAAAATTACATTCTGGAGAGGCCTCCTTAAAATTGACCATAAAAGCTAAGTCTACTCAAGGGAACGCGGATACTCGGCAGAAGGATTGTTATCCCTGCACAATGAAGGCCTCTGCCCGTGATCCTTGTGCAGAGATGAGAGCCACGATTCATTGGCTAGCTAAGCACAACATATGGGTCTAGCATAGCATTACTTAGTGCATAAGACTTATGAAAGTCCTGGAATGAATCTCCGAGACGTCAGCCTTTATTAGCGCTTACTGCTTACGTCTCCAGTGATGGCTCTACCAAACTTAGGAAATACTCAAAAATGACTTCAAATCATACTACCGTGATGCTGAAAACGACAAAGTCCAGCGTTCCGAGGAGACGGACTGGATGCCAAACCTGCCGGTCAGTGCAGTCGTCTTGGGCAGAACCTCGATGCAACTAACATGTGAGTAGAAAAAGGAGGATCAAATGCGATGAGACGCGACCAGCTTGCACAAAATGCGTTCAGTCCGGATGGAAATGTGATGGCTACCCAATAAACGTAGTTTCGACAATCACTCCGCACAAAGAGAGACTTCCAAGGCTGCCGCCTCCCATTCCCCTGTTATCCATCACCAGCTACTCGATCCCCTTCAAAGTCCCTGGGAGCCAAAGAGACCGTCAACTGCTCCACTACTTTTGTGTTCAAGGAGCGTCGGAGATTTCGGGGTTTCTCACCTCCGACTTCTGGTCCGAGATTGTTCTTCGAGAGAGTCATCAAGACTCAGCATTACGACAAGCACTTGTTGCCATGAGTTCACTGCATTTAGATTACATCACTTTAGATTCAGTGAACAGCCAAGCTGCAAGTGTTGAGACATTGGATAATTATGGCAAAGCCATTCGTACAATAAGGAGGAGACTTGCCCAGCCATCGCCTGATACAACCAAAGTTGCACTCATTTGCTGCATCATATTTTATTGCTGCGAGAGTACTCTAGGAAATCCGGGTTCAGCTCAACAGCATCTAAACAACGGCCTTGAACTCTTGAAGTCTATTTCGAGACACCCAGAGGAAATGGGAAAAAATGAGGTCAAGGAATTGAAGACAATTTTTGAGCGACTCGATATGCAAGCTAGCTTTTTTCAAGATGACCGGGTACCAACTCTTAGTTTATCGGACTGGGAAACACACAAAGCAGACTATGATGCCCTGGTACCGGAGTTTTGTTTCTCTACGCTACAAGAGGCCAACGAGAGTCTTGTCAAGCTTCAGTCGTGGCTCTACAGCTTCGTCAACAAGAATGCCGATATCCACGATGCAGGCATTGACCTCTTGAGTTCAAATGTGCTAGACGAGAAAGCCGCGTTGGTTACAGCATACAGTTCCTGGAGATACGCATTCGAGAATTCTCAACTCATGGAGAAATACGATGATCACACCACGTACGGTCACAGATTCCTGCTTGTTCATTTTTGCATCTGCCAGATGATAGTGGAATCCAAGTTCCCGGTCAACGAAGAAGTATTTGGAGCGTCGCCAAATCCAGCTGCGCATCAAATCTTAGACCTGGCAGAAACACTGCTTGACTATACGGCTAAGCTGAATTCTTCTCCGAGCGCAACCCAAACTCCTCGTCGAAACTTTTCGTTGGAAAGCGGTGTTGTTGCTCCGCTATTCGCGTTGGCTCTCAAGTGCTCAGATGAGTCAGTAGTTACAAGAGCCGCACACATGCTTTCCGTCTCGCAGAGAAGGGAAGGTTTGTATGATGCCCAGACCATGGCAATGATTCTCACTCATCTGAGGAGATCAAGAGAGAAGGAGAAGAAAGTGGACGCTGAGATTGAAGGCATCAATATCGCTACCGATGCCCTGGAGTATCATATACCAGGCGGCTATGAGGGTGGTGGAATAGATAAGCTACTCGCCTCGATGAGTATATCATAAGTTATATTCTAAGCTGTAGTTTGCAGGATCAAAACTGTCTTGTGATAAATACCTTGGCAGGCGAAGAATAATATTTTAACTTGTTGGTAGGTGATTGATGCCAAGTGTATGGCACAATTAAAACACCGCCAATCACATGGGCAGTTGTACATATGTGGCAGGTTCAGTAAGCATTGTTGCCTAAGGCTTCGTGCGGAGCTGAATATTGAATCGTGTCAGCTTCCAGCCTGCCACATGCATTCATCTGAACAAACCATACATTTCACGATGGAGCCTACATCATACTCACTACAAGATGTTGAAGATATCATTCGCGCTTGTACGTATCACAGATATGAATTTGATGATCTTCTGGTTCGAACGCCAGACTCTAAGCTTCAAGCGCCATTTTTGCAAAGTGTATTCAACACACCACTATCCTCGAGTCTCGGGACTCTAGATTGCTTACCCAAAGAGCTGATGGTCATGGTACTTCGGGAATTGGACATTGTTTCATATCTTAGGTTTCGCGCTGTTAACAACCGAGCGCGAGCTTTGGCAACGGATAGCCGTGAATACAGCCAAGTTGTGACACACGGATTAGCGGGGTTCAAAACGCTGCTCAGAGTACAGACGGCAGAACTCTTCACCATACGAGGCTACTACCAAGCCCTTATCAGTCCCTTATGCTCGATGTGCACATCATTTGGGACCTTCATGTCTCTTATGACATGTGAGCGCTTCTGCTTTACATGCTTGGAGATCTCAGTGGATCTTCGTGTTTTGGCCATACCGGCCCCGAAAAGCTACTGCAGGGCAATCAATGTATCGAGACGGGACATTGAGCGAGTATTGGAGCCCAGATTTCGGGTCGTATATGGAAAGTACTCGTTAGTGTCATGGCCTAAAGTCAGGAAGCCAAGATATCTGGTTTCTGTCAACGATGTGTTCCGAAAACTACCTTTGCTTGGTCCCGATGAGTCCATTAACTACTGGAACATGGGCCGGTTGCCAGAGCACCAATCTCACATGGATGTATATCACCATCACTGTTATCGATATATGGCCAGTACTGCATTTCCATGGTATGACCCCAGTCGAAACAAACTCGAGAGTGGAGTGAGCTGCAAAGGATGTAACTTTCGTGTTGAGCGGTATGTTGCTGCAAATCCTCACAGTGGTGCTCCGCCGTGGGGGTTCAACGACAGAGATCGAATTTACACAGAGAAAGGGTTTCTGGAACATTTCAGGTCATGTGAGCATGCCAGGGAGGTATGGGAATCAGCTCGAGAGCGTCAGGTTATCCCGGAGTCGAGATTTACGCTGGAAGGCGGTACTGTCGTCAACCAGCGGTCGCGGCGCACACAGCACTGGTAGCAGGGTTTGGAAAAGAATCGCGGATTTTAGTATGGCTTTAATTTAGGAGTTAGGTGTTCGTATATCATCCACTGGAAGGGAAAGGAAAGGACTTGTCTCCCACGAGGTTCAAAAGACAATGCGAAGCTAATTGGTATTGATGAAGGATATAACGAATCATGAGCACACGAAATTATTCATTTATTTCCACATAGTCTAGTTAACGAAAGAACATCAAACATTGTCAACTGACTTATTTTATGTGTATAGACTAAATGGGAATGGGGACAGGTGATCTGAAGTAAATGACAATTCTGGAGACTTTACATTCCTTGATAAACGTAAAGTGATCCTGCAACTCGCCCTTCTATCAATTACAACTCCGTCCATCTCGTTGCTGAGTATTGAGCAACTGTTCAAGCCTGTTCCAATGCCTTATTAATCTCCGTCTTATATCGCGAGTTGATCGCACGTCGGTTCAGCTTTTGCGTCGCGGTAACGAGACCCTGTTGTGATCATTAGCCCTTGACCTTTTCTGCTCGAATGACACTTACACTAGCAGGAGTCCATTCCTCGGGGGTTATGACAACATCGGCCACGATTTCCATGCTCGACAGTCCAGCCCGTCTACCAGTCGCTTGAAGATCTTTAAGCAAGGCCTGGCGTACCTTTTTATCAGTATAAATACTGTGTTCGTCAACACCAAGGTCTTTGGCGATACCAGCTAGAACCGTCGAGTTGGGCATAACGACGGCGATAGGTCGAGCATGTAGAGAGTCGGCGTATATCATGGCATTCATAACGCCTTGAGCGCCGCGATAGATTGAATCAAGCTTTTCCAGAGCGACATATTCACCGCTCAGGAGTTTAACAATGTTCTTTATACGGTCGGTGATTCGGAGATGTCCATCAGAGTCGAATTCTCCAACATCCCCAGTCTTGAACCAACCATCTTCAGTGAAACTTTTGTTTGTTTCTTCTTCATTCTCATAGTATCCCATCATGACGGCAGGGCCTTTAATCAATATCTCTCCCTGGGGTGTTTCCGCATCTGCCGAGTAGCCGAATTCGGGAACCGATACCAACTTGATTTCTGCAGAGGCTGGGACTGTGCCAATGGAGTGCAATGTGAATTCGAGAGGGGAACCCAAAGCGCCGACTGCACAGGTTTCTGTGAGACCGTAGCCTGTAAACATTGGAGCGAGAACCATAGAGAGAAAGTGCTTCGTTGAGAGCGAAATGGGGCTGCCACCATTGAAAAGAAATCGGATTTTGCCGCCAGTCATTTCGCGGATTTTTCCAAAGACGATCCCGTCTAGCAGCAATGCCCCAGGCAGATTGTGCTTTACCATGAAGCTCTTGTAAGCAAAGGTACGCCAGAACAGAGTCTTCAGTAAAACACTGCTGTTCAATCTTGTCATGATGCCCTTTCTGATAGTCTCATAGACTTGCGGTACGCCAGGCATGACTGTAGGCTTCAGTGCCCTCATGTCTCCCTCGCAGTTCCGAACAGAGGTGTCAGAGATAGTTCTAGGGTTTCCGTAGCCAACCGTGCCCCCAAAAAACATTGCGAGGTTTTCCAGGGCCATCTCTAGGACGTGGGCAAGTGGAAGATAGGCAAGAAGAACATCGTTTTGTGTTACACAGTCCGCTACGCATATGTATAGCCCGGCAACTAATGTCTTGAGTCAACCATCGTCGCGTTTCCGATTCTGTGGGTTCTTGGCTTACCTCCTGCAACCAAATTCTTATGAGCAATCCGCACACCTTTGGGAACTCCACCAGAGCCTGAAGTGTACATGACACAATACAAATCATCTGGCTTAGGAAACACGGGCTCTATCGGAGTGCCCTTACCCAATTCGCATAGCTCATTGAAACTGACGACTTTGAGCTTTGGGTTTTCAGTCCTGAAAGCCTCCACCATCTCGAGGCCGCCAAAGATAGATGACTTGTTGACAATGACGGTATGAACCTTTGACTTTTTCAGGGGCTCGGTCGCTGTTTTGAGCAGATACGGGTCAATGTATATGACTTCAGCTTGACTTTGGAGAAGACTGTGTTCCAGGCCACTCTGCCCAAGAGAGTCATATGCTGTGACAATCGAGATAGATTGTGTAACGCAGCAGTGGGATGCAGCTATCCATTGTGCACTAAAACAGTTAATCGTTATACTCTAAATTTCATCGGTAGCAATACCTTGAAGACGCAAAGAAGAACAACTTATTCCCAGGTTCCATTCCAAGTTTCCGTAATCCTGAACCAAGCTGTAGGCAGTGTTGCTCATACTCTTTGTAGGTATAGAACGAAAACGGTGACAATTCGAAAAAGGTCCATTCCTTATCCACAAGCTGTATCTTGCCGTCGACTTTTTTTTCGACTTGGGTTGTTTCTTTGTGGAGCTTGATAAGCTTACGCCAGCCTACGGCTCTGCGGTCTGGATACAGTCGTGCACTGCGACGAACAATGTCAAAAACTGTGTGGAGATCATCGGCGGGTCGTTCAACGAGACCATCGCGAGCTTGAGGGTGCCGGCGCGGAATAGTTTCGCCAGGTTTTTTCTCGTAGCCTGGTGTTTCGATAGTGAAAGGTGGTTTATGAACCTGATATAAGGGTGTTACCCCTGTTGTATGTGCCATATTGTCAGGAGCTGTACTGACAAAGGACTTGTATTGCTAGTGTGGAGTATGTGAAATAGACACGAGATGGAAGCTAACCCGGAGATCCGGCATTCATTTGGGAATCTAGAATGAGACTTCGCAAATAAAATTTTCAAGATTTGACGTTCAGAGTACCAAGACTTAAGGAATGATAATGAATGGATCAAGGTCAAAATCCCAACAAAAATGAGTAGCGGCCCGGGCGCGTATGAACAGGTACTCTGTAAGGTCCGCCAAGAACAACCCTTACAGAGCCGAGATTGCTGTCTTACCTCCGGACGTCTCGGCGACTTTACATGCCACACCCATTAATGAACTGATTGGAAGGATTCTAGCGCTATTGAGAGTCGGCATGATACCTATAAGCTACCGAAACATCCGCCCAAGCTCATCAACGAACCACGACCAAGTATGGATTGTTGGCTCTGTAACAGTAAGCTGACAAGCGATTACTCAAAAATTTATCTCTTATGCTAATTCGTCAGTATCGAATTCTGGTCTCCTTTGGCTTCTTCACATGACATATTTACCATTCGTGGGCGACTGCAAAGGTATTTTATGGCCTATCTTGAGTCTATCTTTCCGAGATCCACCTCAACAACTCTAAAAACAAGCCTATTATGTACGACGTTCGACCGAAACATACTGAATTTAATTCCAAGCCAAGTTTGGAAGGCACTGGTCTAAATAATCCAGATTAAGGTTAACGTCGGATAAACTGTATTGTTGTCGCCACAACACCGACTCTTCCAGCAAAGATAGACCCTACTCATGTATATCCACAGTCACAACTGTCGTAATAGATAATGTCACATCGCTTCATTTTAGGCACTAAGTTACCCTCTTGTCACATTTCCCATATCGAGGTTTAATGACCTTTCCGACGTAGGTGAACAATGACGCCTCAGCAGCTTATGGTGAGTGCTGACGCGGCTTTCAAGTCGCAGTACAGAGTGATAAGCGTCAGCCAAATAAGAACATTAAATTTAGCCAGGGGATATTTCGCCGTTACTGAGCGACATGGCAGATGACCTTGAAACAAAAGATATTTTGTTGTTGGTAATACACGTGACGACAGAGTATGTCTTCTATAGAGAGAATATGGATTCTCTCCTCAACGTGGAAATTGCCGGCCGCTGTAGTTGCTCCTAACGGAGTGGGCAACGTAAGCTGACAACAGTCTGCCACCCTCCTTTATCACTGCTAGACAAGGAGCATGACTGAAAGTGTTATTTCCCAAACCAGCATCTGTTCTTATCGGAGTCACGCAGACGCGACTCTTCCCCACCCTGTTTACAAACAGGATTATTGTTAACGCGCAGCCATCTACCACGTAAGCAACAACATTAGGCTAAACCAACATCATGCCATCAAGACAGCCTCCAGGCGCCCGCCTTCTACCCAGCAGCCCTCTTTATCAACTTCAAGATTGCGATGTCGTAAAAATGGGTGCGGCTGATATCAACGATCCTTTTACGCCTGGTTTCTCGGAATTTGTCAACAAAGCCCTTGACGACTGGAAGCTTGCAGGTATCTCAATCGCGGTCGTGGATGGAGACGACGTCTGTTCAAAAGTCAATCAACGTGCCACTTGGACTTTTTGTGTTCTTGCTAACGTTGGACAAGGGATATGGGTTTGCGACTTTGCCAGATATCCCATCTACACCCGAAACTCTTTGGTATGGCGGATCTACAACCAAAGCATTTGTGACGGCAACCCTGGCTCATTTGATCGAGACTAAGAAGTACCCTGCCCTTTCCAGCGGCTGGCAGACTCGAGTCTCGTCGATTATTCGAGACGACTTTGTCACGCAAGATAATTGGGCAACAAATAATATCACTCTTGAGGATCTAGCATGTCATCGATCAGGATTACGAAATAACGATGTGGGTATCCGATTGCATGAAGATGGGCGGCCATGGGAGATTCAAGACATCGCCCGCAACCTTCGGCATGTGCCCCTTCAATGGCAACCTCGAACAGAGTTTGACTATAACAATGAAGGCTATGCAACACTGTCGTATATAATTGAGAAGGTCACTGGGAGGTGGCTTGGCGATGTGCTCAAAGAAACTATCTGGGGCCCTCTTGGGATGACGTCTACATACCTTGACTTGCAGCAGGCTAAAGACGCACCAGAAGACCTATCAACAGGTTACTACTGGGATACTTCAGAAGCGAAATATGCGCCCATCCCATTCTTACCCACAAAGATCGTCAGCGGAGCAGGAGCTATCATTTCCAACGTCACTGACTATACCAAGTGGATCAAATGTCTTCTACGCAAAGAGGGCCCTTTATCGGAAGCAGTACACAGTGACATACGCAAGCCACGAGTCGTTGATAACCCAGAACCTGCTCGTGGTATGGATGTGTCCTTGTATGGACTGTCCTGGTGGCGCACATCTATTCACGGTCATGTGGTTTATTGGCATTCTGGATCTGTCGTGTCTCATGGTGCACTGATTTATTGGCTTCCAGAGCTGGATTACGGAGTTGTTCTCCTTGCGAACTATCCCAATCATGTGAGGGAGGTCATTATGAGGCGACTGATTTATGACAAACTTGGGGTTCCAGCAAATGAGCGATTTGACATTGAGAAAGAGTAAGTTAAACGCGATTTCGTCACGGCAATTAACGATTACCTGACATTTGTGAAGCTTACGAATGGCGCGCCGCAAAAGAGAAGAGGCTATCGCAAACGCAGCCACGAATCTTTTCCCCAACATGCCAGCCAAACCCGTCCCACCCCATGTTGACATCGACATCCTCGTGGGAAAATATCACGCTGCGGGTTATGGAACCTACGAGTTCTTCCGAGCCAAGAACAACCATTTGCAGAAGGAACTGTTTGCCGAACGTACGGATTTGCTATGGAAGAGTCGCTTTACGCTTCGTCACGCGTCGGGAAATTTCTGGGTGATGTTGATCTCTCTTCTTGACGATCCTTCCAGATTACCGGACACGTTCCTAGGTGCCGAGTTCAGGTTTGGTATTGATAATTCGCCTAGCGAGCTAGTTGTCATATTCCCGAATGGGGATTATAACCGCGAGGTTATAATGAAGAGGGAAACATAGGATATCAGTTAATAGCTTAAGATTGCAATATTGTGGACCTTTCTCTTTGTTCTTGTAAATACAATTTGGCTACAGTAATGGGAAGCAATATTGACAGTCTGTAATTTCTTAAGTATCTCCGACCGATGTCATGTATGTGTGAGAAATTATATACCAATAGATTCGCCTTTTTTAATTCCGAATCAAGAAGTGAAACATGAAAGCCCTTGCTGCGTAAGACATCATCTGCATACTGCCGACCATCATGATGTGAAAGTCCTATAGACTGACACCAATTAAGAGCTGTAAGTGAAATCGACCAGAACGGGGTTGTGGTCAGAAAGGATGTTTCCGTCAGGCTGAACAAAGAGTTGGGGCACGTAGTTGAAAGAAGTGGCACTAAGTTTAACAGTGCTGCCAGATCGATAGCTACAAACTGCATTAGGACCTCTCGGTTGCATTTATCTTCGGCAGTGGGTGTAACTTACAAAACCTTGTCAACAATCTCGCACTTGTTGTCTGCAGCTGGAACCTTGCATGGGTTTGCGGATGCCCCAGCAGTGGGATACTGGCCTCCTTGAATCAGCTGCACCCAGGCATCGCTGAAGCCAGCGTCTGTCAACTTGTTGATGCTTCGTCCAGAGTTGGTCCATCTATCGTTAGTGTCACCACCAATGATAACTGCTCGACCATTGGAGTTGGACTTGATGTAGGCAAGGACCTGGTCGATGCCAGCCGAGCGAGCATCAACATCACCCTTGTCAGATCTACACCATTGATTATATTAGCAAAGTTAGGACTAATTGTCAGAGTCAGTGCCTACCCAGCATCGGCATGAAGGTTGTAGAGATCAACCTCGACTTGACCGATAGTCATGCGCATGAAGCTAAAGCCCTTAGGAGTCAGGCAGTCTCCCGAGTTCAAATTACATTTATTCCACTTCTTGCGGCTGAAGGTGGACCATGGGTAATTGGCCACAGTGTTGAGACCATCGCCAAATGGTACACCGCCAGAAGTGGGGGTTCGGTGAGGGTGGTTATCAGTCGCGTAGATGTAGGCGTGGTAGTTGAAGTCTTCCTGCATATGCACAATGTCGAATCCTTGGGTGGCAAAAGCAGTTCCGATCAGATTGGAGTTTGTGCCCTTGTCACCAGGAACATCGTTGCCGTTAATGATCTCTGGAAGACCTGCCACGTTATAGGTGAGGAAGTTAAACTTTCCGGTCTTTTGGCCAAGACAAAGGCCACTCAAGGCCAAAGTCGAGACAAGGATCTGGCTGGAGACTGAGCGGATGGACATGATGACTTGCTTTGCGGTTGAAGACAAAGAGTTGAGGTGCGAACCTCGCTCTTCATATAGAACGTGACGTTGTTGACGCTACATCGTCGTACAGTATCTATGTCAAAGCTTCTGAGGTTGGTGCATAACGTAACATCGCGATCTGCATGACGACTGCCCATCAGGGGTCGAGGGCCGGATTAATGAGGGAATAACACACTATTCTACAAAAATGGCCACACCATCCGATAACCAGCTTCTGTTTTTAAACTAAAGAGTACGACAAGATTTAAACTATAATGATTTGAAAGAGCTGTATATAGGACACGCAGATCCGTCATGTTTTTTAACTGGATGAAGCTGGATATCTATACAAGTTTCCTAATCAGGCAATTCGCCCGATCATGTCAAGGTTCATGGTTTTCCACCAATGCATTGAATCGTTTACTCACCGTGACCAAGCCCAATACTACCGAATAACTCATCCTGGAATCTGCACGTGCTGGTGAAACCCTGGTCAATAACACAGTGAGTCCGGGGTACGGCATTTAAAGACTCAACCAAGTTGAATAATGATAGCATGAACGAGGTCTAAAGAGCTGGGCATTTACTGAAGAGGCAAAGCAATTTCCGGTCATGCTAGGGTATAAACTGTATTTATATGATCAGGCCTCACAACAAGTATTTGGATGGCAGTCTCCAGCTTAACCCAATATCTCTTACCATGAAGGCCCCCATCGTCGCTGTAGCTGTACTCGGCACTTGCTGCCACGCAAGCCATGCCAAATCTGGCAGCTCAATTGACCCAGTGCAGCCCGTCCTCCTTCCGGACACAGCGGCCGCAAAGAACCCTCTATCACATCTTGGCGGTAATGGACCGTGGCATATAGGTAAGGGACTATCATAGCTGAACGTTTTGGTTATTAACAAGATCGATCAGGTGCCGATATTACCGGTATTTCCTCTGATGTGCCAGAAGGCTGTCAGGTCGACCAAGCTGCCTACGTATCACGTCATGGATCCAGATATCCTGATACAGGTGCTCACAATGGGTGGCTTGAGATGCAGCGCAAGGTAAATGATGCCCAGTATCCAGTTTTAACAATTGGCTAACAATAATGACAGTTCCAAAGCTCCGACTATACTGCGACTGGACCTCTGGAGTTCCTCCACAATTGGAAAAGCCCTTTGACCAATCCTGAAATCCAGATCGCCCAGCTCAGCAAGACTGGATACAAGGAGCTTTTTGACATGGGATATACCATTCGTACTAGGTACGTGACTCGCAGTTTCGTATTACGATTTGCCATCTAACTCAACTCAACAAAGATATCCCGATTTATACCGCGAAGGTGAAGAATTTGTCGTCTGGGCCAACAATTATACTCGAGTTATTCAAACCGCTCAACTCTTCCTTCACGGTTTCTTGGGAACAAACTCCTCGCTAGGCACGGTCGTGTCCGTTACTGGTAGAGATGTGCCTGCTCATCTTGGCGATACTCTTGCTCCCTCGGACATGTGCCCGACATTCGTGGACGACAGCAGCAAGCAGACCGATGCTTGGCGATCCAAGTGGCTGCCCGCCTTCAAGAAGCGATTATCCCAGTATATTGAAGGCGATCTAGATCTAGAAGATGGGCAATGGAATGACTTCCCGTACATTTGCGGGTTCGAGTCTCAAATTACAGGTCGTCTTTCACCCTTTTGCAGTACCTTCAACCAGAAGGAGCTGGAGCAATACGAATATCAGCAAGACCTAAGATACTACTACGGTGTTGGACCAGCAACTAAGGTTGCCTCTAAGATGATGGTACCCTTCCTCGATGCGTTGGTGCAGCGTTTCGTTGCTGGACCCGATGCTACCGGTACCAACTTTGAGGGTAAGGAATTTAAACTTCCCAAGATCCTTATGAGCTTTTTGAACGACGGCCAATTGAACGAGCTCGCTGTTGCCACTGGTGTATACGACAACCAAAAGAAATTACCGGTCGACCGTATTGCTGAGGATCGTCTCTGGCGCAACTCGGACATCTCTCCCATGCGAGGTACCATTGCCTTTGAGCGTCTCACCTGCATCGCCAAGAAAGGACGTCCCGGTCAGAAGTACATGCGAATTCTTATCAATGACAGGGTCTACCCAGTGCCATCATGCAAAGATGGACCAGGAAGATCGTGCTCTCTGGCCAAGTATGCTAAGATCACCAAGGACCGGCTTAAGAAGAATGGTAACTTTGCGAATCTTTGTAACGCGACGGATCCTGCTACGCCTTCCAAGGTTCTTGGAGCAAGCTTCTTTACGAACTTGGCTCAACCTCACTTGAAGCCTGTTAAGCCATAGACGCATCTTGACTGGCGGGATCTACGAACCATTGGGATGAATTTGATATAGCTTAAAGATATTTTAAACATAGTTTAATGCATTATTACTTCGATTCACATCTCACCTCACAAAATCAATAGATCCTCAGACAAGTGCCAATCGGGATGCCAAGATCAAGCCAACAAGTTCGTTGAGTACCCAGCTGCAGGGTCCATCTATAGACAGCTGATCAGGCCAGCATTGACCTGGCTGATCTCGTTGAGCCCGATCTCATGGTCTCATATGGCGCAACCCATCACAACGTCCGACATTGACGGATCAGAGGAAATGGGGAATGCCAGATGACTTGCGAGAAGCGGCATCATTCTCGGCCCAAAGCAGCCTTGGCTTCATTCAGTTCTTGCTCCGTGGGCAAGTTGACAACCATCATATACAAGACATCCTTCTCAAAGCATTAGCCAATTGCACATGAGTTGTTGAATTCGGGAATTTACTTACCTTGCTCAAAAGTAGCTTCTTCATTGCATCGCCAGGCGAGTATGGGAATATAGGCCCAGACTTCCCAGTGAGTCTTCCACTAATCCCTCCTCTTCCACCTCTACCTCTCGAAGACAATCCACCCCGGCTTGACCGTGACCTGTTAGGGTTCACATTGCCTCCAGTAAGAAGTGAGAGTATAGAGCCGCTATTGGCAGGGTGCGAGGGGTCGGCGTATCGAGAGGTGAACTCTGGTCGTTCTCCCTGGTTGGCCAGAACATTGTCCGTGTTTTTGTGCGCCTAAATTTCATATCAATACAATTCTTCCTCATTTCAATGGCCAAAATACTCACAAACTCGGCCTGCGCTCTCTTATCGTAATACTCTGCGACAAAATTCTTCTTCTCGGCCATGCTCTTTTTGAAACCCTTGGACTCTTCAGTATCAGCATCATCAAGAACATCCAATGTGGGAAAGATGAGGGGTGCAGCCTCGGGCAGCGAAAAGTCTCCGTAGGTCTTTCCGCTAGATCTCTTGAGCTTGTCTGTAATTCCAGAGTCTTCCGAGTTCATCGAAGAGGCAATGGTTTTGTTGAGATCAACCATCTCGTGGGCCCTTCCGGTATCCTCTCTCCAGGTCATAATGAGGCAGCAGAGGCCTCTGGGATAGAAATATTCCTCGTTCAGTTTTCCTAAAAACTTATTTGTACTTTCTCACTGTCAGCATCCAGCAAGAAGATAAGTGATTCACAACCATACTTCTGTCGACTGTGCATGTCTTTGGTGATCTCGATGGTCAAGTAAACGGCTGCGCTGATGGCAATGCTTGGTGCAAATGGTACGAAAAGTCCACCAATTTCTGCAAAATTGAGTACTTGGATCCATGGAGAAGCCATTGCGGCCGCGTCAAACTTGTCGAGGAAATCAAGCCATGTTTCTTGATCAATGCCTACGTCCTCAAGGATGGGGGCATATCCACGGACGAATCCACGGGAACGATTCTTGGGTCTTCTTTGGGCAAGAATGACGGGCATTTCAAGTCGCTGTCCAGTTGGTGGGTTTGTCAAGCCATGCTCTCTGATGAAAATAGTAGCAAGATCGGTGTCGTTTTGTGCAGGCTGCGATGATGAAGACTCCCCGTGTGGGTTTGACAGAAGCTCGGTTTGGGTGTCATCGAGTTCCCACTGTCTCTCTGTCGTGTCACCTTTTTGGTTGGACGATTGGGGATAATTCTGCTGCTGTTGACTGATGGGAGCATTGCTTCCTTGTGGCTGCTGTGCCTGTTCTGCTGGCTGCGCATTCTTCTCCGCGTTTCTCTTCTCCTTGTAAGAACTAACGCTTTCTGAGACAAGCCCAATACCGCCAGCTACACCACGGACAGCTGACCCCAGCAGGCCGCCACCTCGTCCACCACCACGACCTCCTCGTGAGAAAAGGAATCCGCGACCGCTTCCGTTATTAGACATGATAATATTGTATTGTTTTGATGAAAGAGCCAAGTTTTTAGGGTGGGAAATAAGCTTCTTATCAGTGTGGTTTCACATACTTATTTGGGCAAGCCAGCAGCCTTACGACACGGGTATTCGGCATAATTACAGTGATGAGTGACCAAGGCAGTAATGAAGGTGGGGGAAGATCCCATTCATCTTGGCAAAAAGTAGTTAGATTGTTGCAGATTGCAGGGCTCATCGCTGGTTAGCGTCGTTATGCGTACCACAGCCCCAGCCCACAAAGAGGCATTCGCTCGCAACTGTCCATGGGATTGGTCTGTATGCATGACAGGATTTGAGGGGTCGTTCGAAGGATCGAACACTGGCGCCTCAAATAATTAGCAATGAGAATAAAGTTGAACAGTAACGCTGATATTCTACACCGCTTGCGGAGTTACAAAATCCCTCCGTTGCCATTTGGAGCTTGGAATAATAACTTTAGGGTGACCATTCAATGTTTCAACGACATCGACTCGTCTAAATATCGTTCCCAGATAGCAAACAAGATGCTATAGACTTTGAGCGAAGATAGTTGCGATATTTTCTGGAAACAAACGAACAGAGCGATAAGTGACAGAAGGCATATTCCGATCTAAACGTAACCATGCTCTCCATGAGAACCCCCCGAGATTCATTAAAGTACCGCCTCATAACATGTCTTTGGTAAACCCCAGTCCATCACATCAATCTGGTTGCAATCATCTGTCCCAATAAACGGTAGAGTGTAGCTTGATCCAACTTCAGGGTGATATCGCATGTACAGTTCAACGCAACCCGATGTGACGATGGCGTCAAGATGCTCAGTGTCCACGACAGTCTTTAGATATCGGCCTCAAACTTCCCGTACTTGCCCTCTCTCCAATCACACATCCTTCGCAATTCTGATTCACTGCCATAGAGAACACTTATAAAGATCCTGTCGCAAATAATATCTGGCTCTGAATGGAGTGGACTGTTGTCTCTTCCCCAGCTGAATCGAACGATTTGGCCATGTTCAATCTGAACTCTGGGAGTCTCTTTGAATTCGTTTTCGAGCCACTTTCGCAACTTCAAATCTGCTTCATCCCACTCTTCTGCGGAGGGCCGATGGGTATCCTTCTCCTGCCACCAAAAGTGCTGCGCTATCCCTTGCCGTTCAGTAGCGAATGCGTCCTCATCTGGCACAAGCATGAGTGTAGGAGGCCCGAGTAAAGTTAGCGCATACTTGCTTCGTACAACCTCTTCACGTCCCTTGTCGTACGGGTACATCGGGCCGTCCTGGTGCCATCTTGGGATATTGAATTCGTCAGTGGGCTTCGTGGAGCGGATCGTAAACCAGCATGCTCTCTTCTCTTTTGCGTTACCTACACAGTCGTTTTGCGTGGTGACTATAAATTCCTTGATGATGCGTGCAACTTCGTTCTCTACCCCATCAGTAAGACGAGCAACGAATTTAGAGCCCTCGATGCTAATTGAATCATCAACTGGGCCGAAGTAATCAAGGTCTAACACTTCGCTTGTGGATGTGATGTGGGGAATTTCGACTGGCAGTGTCAGGACTGCGCAGGGTGATGGATCAGACATCTTGGAATAGTGAATGGTGATGTGGGAAGGATTATTGTGAAGATCACTGTTTTCAGATTTCAGGTTGAAGGAGGGGGGAGATACGAAACGGACAGCTGATTAGCTACGGGATGAGTCACAGTATACGTATTGTATCGGTAAGACTTTATCAGTTTGTGTGTGCGACCACTGCCTATTCTTTGATCTGTCTCTCGGACGATTGTACGTATAAGGTTCAACTCAGTTTGCAGCCACCAACACACGATCCATAAAGTTCCGAAATACCTAGGACAACCTACGATCATTGCTTTATTATACAGAGTGGATCTACAACCATCAAATGTCTTGATTCTAGATATATAAAAAAGGAACAGTCGACTATCCCCTCTGAGTCACGCCGTCCATGTGCGCTTCTGCCTATCACTAGCGTTGGTGAGGCTGAGAGGAGGTAATTCAACAGTCCCCCCCCATTCTGCCCTACCATTTGTTCATCTCCTATTTAGCGTGCTCGCATTTGCTTAGTTAGAGAAGCAAAAAGAGGATACGAATCCTACTTGGACTCTTACAATTGCGGTTTATGTGGATCGAACACATGACCTTCAGATATCAGTAGATGATTGAAGTTTGGCTTCAGTCTGACGCTCTCCCAACTGAGCTAAACCCGCGACTTGCGATTGTATCACTTTTATCGCGAGAGCAGTCTATGCCTTCTTGATGCGGAAACGCTTTGGTTGCTTACCAGAGCTCCCAACTTATCAATACGGGCATAGAAAGTAAGTAGCAACAAGTGGATCACTCATATGGCGGTGGTGGTTTATAGCACTTTTAGGCATTGACATTCTAATATCTATCCGAGAGATCAGTCACTACAAACAAATCACGTTGAAGGTATAAAAAAACACAATTATCAGAAAAGTTGAACAGTCGTCTATGACATTATCGCTCTAACTGTATAGTACACAAACCTACAAACCCTTATTTTACAGCGGGTAAAGAGTCTAAGTAACATGCGGCATAACAACGTAAAATCTCAACCGTATCGACGAGCTTACTCGTTGTCTCTGACATCGATAACAGTCGACTTGAACTTGCGCGCAGGAACCTTGCGCTTGAACAAGATATCCGTCTCACGGTACGATCGATCCTTCAGCTCAGGAAGGAAGAAGTAAGCTGACACAAAGCAGACAGCTGCAGTACCACCCCAGACATATCCACACTTGCCTGCAAGGTTCCATCCTGTAGGGTTCAGCAATTGGGACGCCAGGTAGATCATGGGGATCTCGGCGATGTAATAAGCAGCACGACCGACACCGGTACTCAGAGCACGGAGGCGAACCGAGGATGTCTCTGCGATAATGGTGTAAGAGATAGGTCCAAGACTTCCAGCGTACACGAAGGAGATCAATATGCCGAGGACAGCTTGGGCATAGTTGGTGGAGCTGTTTTGGTGGATGGAGGCGACAACACCAAGGAGGAAGAGGAAGGTAACGTTGGTGATTGTGCCCCAGAGGTAGATTGTACGGCGACCGAAAAATCCTGCAACAGGCAGCGATATTATGTTGGCAACGAATTGAAGGCATGAGTTGATCAAGTTAAGTTGAAAGGCACGCTCAGATGATACTCCAGCCTCTGTGGGATGCATTAGTTTGAGTAATCTTCTCCATGAGAGTAGTTGTGACTTACGTTCAAAGAAGAAGGTCGCTTGATTGGCAATCAAGTTGCCAGCGAAGTTCTGAGAGGCATAGATCAAACAGGTGATGATTGTTCGTCGCAAGTCGGTACCCTTAACAAGATCAAGAAGGGAAGGGTTTCCACCCAGCTTCTCCTCAATCTCAATAGTTCTCTCTATCATGGCAAGCTTCTGGTGAGAGGACTCTTTGTCTTTGCTACCAAGACGCTCGATAGATCGCAGAGCCTCGTCTTTGCGGCCCTTTCGGATGAGCCACCAGGGTGACTCAGGGGCGAGGAAGACGAGGATCAAGAGGGGGGTCTGGTTCAAATGTCAGTAATGCTCACTATAGACTTGAAATCAGTTTGTGCTTACGGGAAACAACCATTGCAAAGCCAGGGGCACACGCCAGGCCCACTGGTCATCGCGCTTGTTGTAGGCGTATGTGGCACCTGCGACAATGATGGATCCAATAGACCAACTCATCTGTAGTGTAGCGGTACAAGCACCTCGAAGAGCAAGAGGCACGATCTCACTGGCATACGCCGGGGAGTTGGCAATGAAGAAGCCCCACGGTACACCTTCCAAGGCTTGTCCGACCACGAGTAGTTCTAGCGAATCGGCCTGTAGTAAGAATTGGTCAGGTAACCAGATAGTTATTGGGGATAATTCTGAGGCTTACAAAGAAGGAGATGAAGATAGTAGCATTCATGAGCATCAATGCAAACATCGTCGTCCATCGGTAACCGAAGCGGTTGGTGATAGGTCCAGCAACAAAGACACCGACAAAGGCACCACACTGACCGGCTTGGAAGAGGGCACTCTGCCATCTTGTTGGGATAGTCCAGCCATGTCCCTCGACATGAACGCCGTAGTGTTTCTGGAATGCGGGAAGGGCGACGAAGTTTCCGTTCAAGAACATGTCGAACGATTCCATGACCTACACAAACGAGACATATCAGCAACTCTGGACATTAGCGCTTGTTTCATAAACAGTAACTCACGATAGTAAAGCACATGATGAACGCCCAGAAGCATGCCCAAGGATGACTCTTTGCGGCTGCCCAGGTGCCTTGCTCATGCTCACGCTGTTCAGCGTCGAAGGCATCGTTCATGAGTTCCGGGTTGGCCAGGACCTCAGCATGGTCGACATTGGCCTGGCCAAGCTCTTCCTTTGACTTGAGAACCGGAGAAGACATCTTGCAGGAAAGAGAAGTCGCAATTCACTCTTGTCACTTCGATATCAAGATGATTGTAAGTAAGCCAAGCATTTCCTGGGGAATGTTAAGGTTATTTATTATAAATGGTCCCCTCCGCATTCTGACCCAGATTCTCTAACGTCGAGGCAAATCTCTACCTAGTGTCAAGGTATAAGCCGTGGAGTCGTGGATCGTGCAATATACTAGACAACGCTTTCCAACTCTTTCTTCAGCTGTGATAGGTGCGCAAATCGGCAACACGGCAAAGACGGCACAAGGGCAACTCCCATATCCAGCTTATTCCAAACCGGACTTATGCCCGCCCAAGCTAGTGCGGGTTCAGCGATACGGGGTTGACACGGCCTCGATCAACCAAGCAATGTGTTTCATTGGAAATTTGGGGATGAGATCGTCTTGTTCGCCAACGGGTTGATGGAGAATCTACGACGGGCCGAATAGACGGAGGAGCCATGCCTTTTCACAACTAGTCCCCGTGCGGAGTGAGCCAGTCGGTGATGACGATGTTGGGGAAAGGGTATTGGAGAAACCCACTCTCCCCATGGGCATTGGGGTATTTCTCCATAAACTGAAGCAACGTAACATTCGGCGAGGGGGCTTTCATAAGGGCTGGGCCTTTTCTGATACAAATGCCAGGCTGTTTCCTTGAATAACGCTGGAGCTTGTCTCTGAAGAATAGAGGACCCGAACCCCATGGGGGAAACCGGAAAAGATTGGAGAACCGTGCGGGGTGGATTGAGGTAAAATTCTTTGTCTACATCACGGTTGGGCCGCTTCGGGCTTCTCTCCAGATCAGCACGAGAAAGTATGTCACTGCTGGTGGTTGCTGATTTGACCAAACCATCATATCTTGTTCAAGATGATTACGTAGACACGATAATGGGTAAATGAACACATGGCTTTTATCGGCTCTTAAACTCCTTCTTCTGACTCTTGATCCCCTCCTTCATTCCCGCTGCCAAACCCTTGACTTCCGATTTGAGCGCTTTCTTCTCTTCCTTGGAAAGTTTACCACTCTTTTTCGCTGTGTAGATTTCCCCCACGAATCCTGTAATGATAGCGACGGCGGCTTGGATGGCGCATTTGGCGCATCGATCACCTTGCCTCAAGCTATCGACCGCGTCAGCGAGGCCTTGCAGTTCAGATTGGGGACGAGATTGGAGAAGGCGATCGAGATGAGGGGTTTCAGAAAGTCCATGGACAGCGCAGTCGTTGGAGGAGCTTGTGGAGATGGATGTGGTTGCATTCGCTAATTTGGTGTCAGAATGTGTCGGCGCTGTGATTGTGGCCATTTTGAAGTTGACTGATAGTAATTGGAGAGGCGTGTGAATTAATTGATCTTTTAGGAATGATAGACTACGGCTTTCTTTATATCTGTTCAGTATTTAGATCTGGCGACTCTAAAGCTGGACGGCTTGTAACCATTGAAATGACCGATTCTCGGACAGTTCTATAGACCGAACGGGCATTCAATTGTCCTGGATAAGCAAGCTGCTCACCAATAGGGTGTCGCATATGAAGCTGCACCTAATAAACATGTCTCTAACATACAACTAAACGTCTATCTATTGATTCTTTTGTCTTATCTGTCCATTTATCGTGATTCTTGTGCCGAATAGCCAGCTCGATGACGCAGTGATTCTGCCAAAGCCAACCAACCAACATGAAGCCCTACGCTATGTTCTAGAAGTAATTTATAGTGGCTGTAGCACTAGCCCTGGCAGCCAGTCAGTTCCAAGAGTGGACTATTCCCATTGTCCGTTGTCCGCTTTCTCTTTTCCAGTGTCCGGAATAGGTTCAAACATGATGTTCTCGTAACTAATAAAATGGAACAATTACCCAAAGGAACATCAGTTAGTACATCCACCATCAAACCAAACTGTCAACTCATCTCATCATCCACTAATAAGAAATGTCAGGTCTAAACGTCCTTGTATCAGGCGCTTCTATAGCGGGCCCAGCGACGGCCTACTGGCTCGCTAAAGCAGGCGCCCAAGTCACCGTCGTAGAGCGCTTCCCAGCCCTACGTACAGGCGGCCAAGCTGTCGATATTCGCACTGCTGGCGTTTCAGTTATGCGCAGGATGCCTGGACTAGAAGCTGCTATCAGATCAAAGTCCACTCAGGAAGAAGGCATTAGCTTTGTCAGTGAAGATGGCAAGCCTTACGGGGTCATCGGGCCTACAGGAAACCCAGACCAACAATCCCTCGTCTCCGAGTACGAAATATTGCGCGGGGATCTGTCAAAGATTCTCTTTGATGTCACCAACGATAACAAAAATGTCGACTATATCTTTAACGAGCAAATCGCATCCATGAGCCAAAGTGAGAAAGCCGACGGTCCCGTTACTGTCACTTTTGCGAATGGCACAGCAACCTCAAAATACGACTTGGTAGTTGCTTGCGATGGAGCGACATCTAGAACTAGGGTTTTAGGCTTTGGTGGTCATGTTCGGGACCCTATCGTCACAACCAACTGCTGGGCCGCCTATTTCTCAACATCTCAAGACCTCCTCAAGGCAAGCAAGATCGGGCAAGGATATAGTGCTGTTGGTGGGCGTAATATAAGTATTGGATCCGATCCCGCAGGGTTTAGTCGAGTTTTGTTCATGTGCATGAACCAGAGCCTCGAAGACTCAGAATCCTTTCGAGAATCACTAGCACAAGGCGAGACTGCCACTAAAAAGTACATCGCCCAGCACTACCAAGGCGTCGGTTGGAAAACAAGTGCAGCAATTCAGGAAATGATGGACGCGACAGACTTTTACGCGAGCGAGACGGTGCAAGTCAAGACGCCCAATTTATACCGCGGTCGATTTGTTTTGGTGGGCGATGCAGGCTACGCATCTGGTCTCACGGGTTCTGGAACAAGTCTCGCTCTTGCAGGCGCTTACATCCTGGCCGGCGAGCTACGAAAACACGGCAGAGATATTGAAGCAGGCCTTCGAAGCTATGAGCAGCAGATGAGGCCTCTGATCAACAAAATGCAACCGATTCCACCGCTGGTACCAACTATCGTGGCGCCACAGACTGCTTGGGGTATTTGGCTGCGGAATAACATCTTTCGGTTGATTGCACGCTCTGGTCTCATTGGGTTTGTTCAGCGGTTTATCGCAGCTGGGTTTGGGGATACAAAGGAGTTTCCAGTTCAAGAGTATGAGTGGGATAATTAAGAGCTTGAGGGTTGGAACATCATGATACGGGTTTTAATTAATGTAAACTAATTTTATTTTCGCAGGGACTCACAAATTGCAATTAGATATTGGCAACTTAAGAGAAGGAGCCCTACCGGCCTTACCGGATTATGGTTTCGTTATATGCGCATTTGGCATACAATGGTGCAGAGACAGTTGCATGAAATGGTGGGAAACAAATGTGGTTGTAATTCGTACTGTAGGCATTGGAATTGCGTACATCACTTTTCTAGGGTTTGAACATAAAAGACAAAGTATTGTAAACAAGTTCTTGTATTTTTAATTCAATTGCTATCCTATCTTTCCTATAAACGACAATATATATGTCTCTAACAGCTTGAAAATGAACTAAATTGAGTTACAATTGAGAGAATGTAGAGAGTCAATAGACCCAAGCTAGACGAAGGTAACTAGAACCATAAGAGAAATAAGGAAATCTTGTAGGTAATGCAGTTTAAATTCGCCCACTTTTATGTTGAGTCGTCACTGTCGTCGTCGTCAAAAGAAGGGTCATCAGCATTAAGAGGAGCACCAGTGCCGGTAGGGGCGACGCCAGCGTCAGCAACATTGGTTGAAGAAGTGGTAGCAGTTGACCCTGTGCCGGTAGTAGTAGCTGACCGAGTTGGGATACTAGTGGGACCAGTAGTCGCGGTGACAGTCTTGGCCGATGCGAAGCAAGAGGCCCTCTTGTCGTCACAGTCTGCCTTATCGCTGGACTTGTCTCGAATGCAAGTGTAGTGCTCGTATCGGCAGCGTCGGCGACCCTGTTCCTGGCCCCACCATTGTCGGAGGCTTGTAGGTAGCTGGGGTCGGCCGGTGGTGCGCGAGGCAGTCATGCTTCCAGTTGCAGAAGGAGGTGGCTTGGTAGAGGTTGGAGGGCCGCTAGAGGGGGCACCAGAGGGGGCACCAGAGGAGGCAGCGGTCTTGATGCATGATGTGTAGTCAGAGGCACAAGGTGACTGATCGCTCGACTTGGCGATCAAGCAGGCATTGTAGGCGCTGATGCACTTGTTCTGGGAAGAGTCCCGGAAGAACCATGTAGGCATGAAGGGAAGGTTAGACATGGAACCCTTCGAGGGTGCAGCAGTGCTTGAAGTAGCACTGCCAGATGTGGTGCTGCTGGGCGGACCCTTTTTACCGTTCTGAGGGTGAGCGGCAGCAGAAGCCGCAAGGGCAACGGTGACAATCTGGATAGAGACCTTCATATTGTTGGCTTGGTACTATGAGTTGTATAAGTTGGGGTGTATGGTGGATGATTGATGATGAGGCACGATTTGTATGCTCAAGAACTTGTAAGTGTTGAATTGATTGGGACAGATGCATTGGAGGAAATCAGAGGCGCTTATATAGAGAGCACGGCCAACTTCAATTACCACCATCTAGAGTTTTTGCCTCCAGGTCCAGACTTTGACGATGCTTGACGTAGCGTCGAGCATCCCCGTTCAGATTCAGGGCATAATTTGTGGCTTATTGACACCTGCATTCCCGTCGGGAGCCAACGCCACTTGGTCTAGAGTCATTGACAAGCCATGTCAAGTCTGTACGGGCACCGATGTTGTAAAGATAAGGTTTCTCGGACGAATCGAGGCTTCGATCCGTTCCTGAATAAATGGTGGGTATACGCAATTAAACTCTGGTGCGAATTCCACAGCCGCTTTTTTTCCAGGGACAATCAAAGCTTTTCTCTTTCCGGCTTCGTGTTTACAAGCATTAATGTGCCGGAACCTAGATCTTTTGGACCCCTCATTCCACAGCAGGACGCCATATTAGGTCTCGATGACACTTTTTACAATGCCATCGACGATGTCCAGCGAGATCTTGTGGCGGATGTACAAAGGATATGCACTCAAATACATCATCACAGTCTGTCAGATGCCCGAGCCGTTCAGCGTTCAACTTTGTCGACTACAATGTTTGCCACCACTGTTAATTAGGTGTATGTCATGGTTTGGTCACTTGGTTTCTTTTCGGAACCTTGACAAAGATTCCCTGACGACCCTCTCCACGAACGGATAAACAATTACACAAGTGACGCTACGAAAGGTCCAGGCTGTGTACTTTCCGGGCCAGAACCGGTAATATCCAGTATCTGAAATGTCCAGGCAGTGTCTGGGCCAGGCTGGGCTTCGTGTCATTGCCCATTCCGTCCTCGCCTTCTTGTTAGTTCCGAAAATGGTTTGGACCAAAAGACCCAATTTATCTCGAACCTGTTACCCAAGCTAAATGTCCGAGATCAGTATAGATCTAGTATAACATGCTTACGAATAGCACACTGGACGTGTTTGGGTGTTCTTGATTACAGTCTTATTGAGGCCGTCTCCTCTGTTCAGCTACATAATTATCAGGCTAGAGCGTATGTCACTATGTCTTGTTCATGAGCTCAGAGACACCCAAAATCCTACTTATTATATTATTATCACTTAGCAAACTTCATCATCCATACAAAGAGTCTCAGTGCTACATAAGTCCGACGGCTCAATGGGTCTTTGGTACGCCACACTGCTATCATGACTTAGTATGTCAGGTCAGGGCGTTATCAAGTGCCACATGGATCGGGGGCGGTAACTAAAATGACATTGAAAGGGCAGTTCTTGTTGAAAAGCTAGCATCTTATCATCATATAGATCATTCATCAAAATACTAATTCTTAAATCATTCCTGATCCGGTCGCATTCTCTTAGAGTGCATGAATTCGTAATCTGGCATAGCATCTCGTACCCATTTCTCAAGCTTTTTCGCCTCTTCCTCTCCAAATTCCTTTGTCCACTTGACAACCTCCTGATCAATATCGAGATTTCCCGCAATCTTGCTGTTATCGATCGTGGTGCTGGCGTTGATGGAACTGAGCATCCTCTGCTCTATGTTGCTCAGTTTATTCAACTCTTTTTCTTCAGCCTTCTCCCATGATCGAATGACCTTGCTGTCGTCAAGGCCTGCCAGCTTTGCGTACTTTGACACCAATTGAGGGCTCTTCATGATATCATCGGCATCAAGAACGATTGGCCAGACGCTGTCGTTGGCAAAGTGGTCGGCAAAGAACTCGTACAGGGTTCGGTGCCATCGCATGCTGAGCTCCGCCGTACATGGCTCTTGCTTGGGGCGATGAATTCCATTGTAATCCATCGGGCATTTACATGTGCGATACAGAGAAGAGATCATAAGGGCGGGATGGCGAATGAGAAATGTTGGGTTCCAAGTCTTGAGAAACTCATCCGGGAACAGGGTGAGGTTGAGCCGCGATCGAGTCGGCTCTGAAATTCCCTTGACGGGTATGGGAGTTGCTTCGGTGATAGTAGCAACCTCTTTGGAACCATGTAGGTAGTGGTTTTCGACACGTGGATGGTTCAAAAAGATTGAGTGTTCTTTTACAAAGATCTTCTGACCTTCTTGCTCAGCAGCAGCAATATAGTCCAGAAACCTCTGCGACGACTGTTGAACCATGCCATCCACGGAGGCATTTTCTTCCTCTGTCCAAGTGTCCATAGGCTTTCGCTCAAGAAGAAAATGTTTTTCGACTGTGGGCAGATAGAAATATCCTCCATTGTTGGAAGGGCGAACACCTTGTTCGTTAAGGTTGAGCATTTTGACCAGAAGGTTAGAGGCAGTACGAGGACATGTCAATAGCCAATAGCGGCCACGTTGACGAGCTTGAGCGCCTTGAGCCATTGTGAAAGAGATTTGAGAACTTTGTTTTGCTCGTAAGGGAGAATGATATGATGAGAGTCGTCTTTTAATTTAACCTTCGAGATACAGGAATGAAGCTAGAGTGAAGAAGATTAATGATGATTCTGGCTCTGACTTTGTCTTCTTATATAACAACATCCGACGATACATGCGGCTACGTAGGTAGTTTCTTGGCTCAGGAATAATGGAGTTCCGTGCTTCGGTAGTCGGTCATTTTCATTGTCCGGGCCATCGCCCCGGCCCGTCGCTATGTGATAATGCGGGCATGAAGACTGTGATTTGCATGGTAATACGGCTGATCAAGGTGAAACTTATGCATGTGTGCCTCTAACGGACATAAGAATTGTCCGGTTTGCAATGTTGCATTTACTGTGTTTTAAGGATGTTGCACTCGCTTAAGTATTTTCGTATCTTGGCTGATTTGACTGCCACTAGAATCACTCCAGAAGGACAATAGATCACTCGGTTAGATGATCGATCGGAGGTTATGTTGCCCGTTCACCGAAACTTGTTAGAATTGGGTCCCGTGAGAAGAAACGTTGGCGTTGCATGACATTGTTATGTTGTACTACCATGCAGGTACTCATGCTTTGTGTAGTGATCGGCAGATAAAATCCACTACCGTGTCGATAATGACTCCACCTAGCGCGCGGCACTCGAGTCAGTGGCCATGACTCCGCGTCGCGAAAAGAGCGACTTCCGAAATGTTCATAGATATGTCCACAAAGAGCCGCCCGACTACCGAGTTTTCTGATTTCGGCTTTTTGGAAAAGACCGATCAGCCGATGATTAATCTTGCATTATGATCTGCAGAGGGTGTATCTCTGTATACCGTTTGACTAAATCGGAGCGGAAGTTGATATGTCTACAATGCCGCTTACAAAAGCATTGTCTGAGAGACAAATAAGAATTACTTGGATCTTCACGGATGAAGTAGCTAGTCTATTACTTACGTCAGACTGTAGCCGGTTCCAGATATTCATCGACAGGTTTAAGTTGTGCAAGACGAACTTGAGAATTGACAAACTATAGCTTTATCATGTTGAAGCTTTAGAGCCACGGCATTCAACTCAAACTCCTACGACATAACCTGATGAACCATAAGTGGGATTAAATGTATGCACATATAAATGTAGTCAAGCACAGATCTTAATTTACCATACCCAGATGGAACAGATATATGTCTACTGAAACATGTCGTCTGATACGAGTCGCCGAAACACAACAAGCAGAATACTCGATGAGAAAGAAACGCCGCACAGCCACTGGTACGTCTGGCTGAACTGCATCCAAGTATGTCACAGTATATGAGACTGCTGTCTGTGCTCCAAACTGCATCTGTTCATTTGCATGCATGTCGTTGGGCGCTAAAACTCGGACTCTTAACAGAACAGCACCGAGCCGGCCAATCAGGCTACTCCTACTGTGTTTCGTTTAGTAGGCTGATATAAGAATAAATGGTACTCAAACTATGCCTCGTTGTTATATGTTTTTAGAACGATACGTCCTGTTGAACCAAGAACAGAGTCGGCTCCCTTTATTGTAGTTGTCAGGAATCGAATCTTAGTCTAGCCTTGATAGTTCCTAAGCCTTATCCACAGTATGCATCTAGAAAATTTACGGCACGGTTGTGGATAAGCTAATATCTCATCTTTAATCTCACGTCAGCTTTGATATCCATTCCTTAGCCACGTGCTTTGCCCTTGATACATTCTATGTATTTGAGCAGCTTTCGCAGTGACGATTCGTGCTCCTATTTCTTTTGCTTCATTCTGGCGCGTCATCGTTCTCTTGAGGTACCATCTAATATCACCAAGACAATGCATGACTATATCATAGTAGGAGGTGGCCTTTCGGGTTGTGTTCTCGCTAGTCGCATTCGGGAGTACGATGAACACTCCACGATTCTTCTCATAGAAGCTGGGAAAGATACTCGTGGGCGGCCTGAGGTGCAAGACATGCAGGTCTTGAACTTGGGGGGTGAATTAGACTGGCAGTACGAGTCAGAGCCTGTTGCTGGTCTTGGTGGTCGACGGGTCACCCTCAACGCTGGGAAAGGCTTGGGCGGCGGTTCAGCAATCAATTCAGGTAAACACGAATACGTCCAAGCATGGAAGATCCGATCACTTAAACAGAGTACTAACGATTGTTAGGTGGATGGACTCGTGGTGCCTCAGTTGACTACGACGAATGGGCATCTCTTGTTGGCGATGATCGATATAGTTACAAAGGCCAACTGCCGTGGTTCAAGAAATCCGAACGATGGTTCGACGATAATGACCCCGTCCAGCATGGTCAAGATGGACCAATGCGTATCAACTGTGCAAAGGCTTCGAACCGTATATTCCCTCTCACTGAGCAGGCTGCTGCTGGCTGGGAAGATCTCGGCATTTGTACGCTTCCCAATGGCGATCAGAACACTGGAGACAACCTCGGTCGTGCCTATATCTGCGAGGCCAGAACTGATGGCAAACGTGAATGGTCCGCAGAGCAATACTCTTTGGAGGGTGTCGAGATTCGTCTTGAAGCGTCTGTTCAAAGAGTTATCGTACAGGAATCTAATGGGAAGCTCAAAGCCACGGGTGTCGAGTTGGCAGATGGTAGCGTTGTCGCTGGCAAGAACATTATACTGTCTGCCGGGGCGTTCCGTTCACCTCAGCTCCTCCAACTCTCGGGCATCGGCTCAAGGTCTCACCTTCAAGAGTTTGGCATCGAACCATTGGTCGACATGCCAGAAGTTGGTCAAAACCTGGCTGACCATATGATATTCTTTCAGCACTGGCGGTTACGCGATCCTTCTGCAGGATACACGCTGGGGTCAACGAATCCTCTCTTTCAACGGCCTCAATATGCCCAAGGAGTGCCTGTGGATTGGATCGTCAATACAAGTGTTGCAAGTGATGGACTTGCTAGAGCGATTGCGATAGATGAGGGTGTTCAGCCTGAAGCGTCCAAGCATTGTCTTCTTGCCAAGAAGAGAACGTTCCTAGAGAACATCGTGATGTTCGCGAAAGTGCCTTTCCCTGGGGTTCCTGTCGATGCAGAGCACATCACGAGCGCGTTGGTGACCTTACTGCCAACCTCCAGAGGCTCTGTAACATTGAAGTCAGGAAATCCTGATGATCATCCGAAAGGTGAGAGAAATGCATTGTATCAATTCAACTGACTAACCCTTGATAGTCAATCTCAACTACTTAGCCACTGAGGTGGACAGACACGTCTTTCGCGAAGGACTGCGCCAGCTAGCAAGGTTCATGCTCGAGTCTAAATTCAGCGCGAATATCGTTGGCGAATCGGTACCTGAAGGCCTTCCTGTTGAGCCTCTTAGTCTGGATGACAATAACGAAAGGCTTGACCAAAGACTAGCAATGACCAGCGGTACATCATGGCATCCAACCGGGACTTGCTCTATGGGAAAGGTAGTCGACACGGAGTTTCGTGTTAGCGGGATTGAAGGCCTTCGGGTTGTTGACGCGTCGGTTATTCCTGTGCAGATCAGTGCACACATTCAAGCGCCTCTTTACGCGCTTTCGGAGCAGGCGGCGGCCATCATCACAGGAAAAGTATAGTTTGTGGGCAATGGAAATAGGGCCAGACTAGAGATACTGCAAATAGACAGCATAGATAGCGATGAAATATGGATATATACGAACAATGGTTCCAATCATTAATTGCACGATTATTTGGACGCCAGGACTGATCAAAAGGTCGCGCGCTGTAGTTTCGAAGATAATCCTCCAAGTACATTTATTACACGATAAGAAATCCGGACACATACGCGACGTGGCTGATTAAACACGCGACGCGTGCTTCACCTTTGGAGTCCGGATACCGTCGATCACACTCAGTATATACATCTTCTTCATACTCGAGCATCAAGCTCAAGATACAATGAAAACGAGTTTTAAATCAAAAATTCCACCTCCTACGACCCCGAAGGGTAATAGAGAGTAGAGCGATACCGCGATGTGCAATGCAGATGCTCCACGCTGAACTCCCATATTCTTGATCATGGGCGAAGTTCCAGGCAAGGTAAGTATGAAGAAGAAAGGAAAAGAGAAACAGAAGGACGAGGGAAACACGAGACTTTATAGAAGATTCTAATCAGCCATGGCCATCTTGATGCTTATCGATATCGTATTCGAGACTTGTAAACTGGGTCTCATTTCCCAAGTGGATCAGCCATATTGTCGTGACGATAGGGGTGACTAATGGTATTTGAGCTTGTCTCGCATCTTCAACCTTTATCTGCTATCCAACTCACAACAGTTGCTCGAGCAAAGGGATGAGTCTACCTAACGAGCACATCAGGTCAACGACCACAATAAAGATCCCACTATATAGGAACAACCTGTACTTGAATAGAAACCCATCACTATGGACGTGTTACCAGTGGTCACCCCGACAAAACGAGTTCATAATTATTGGCGCTCTCTTACCCTGTAGTCTATTTTTCGCAGATTCCAACTGACTCCGCTAGGGTCATTTGCTGCTAGGGTATGTCGAGGGCAAGGGTTGAAACAGAGAGGCTGGGAGTGAACAACCCACGTATTCGGACAAAAAGAGCATTTCGAGGATCGCGATTCAATCTTTGTGTTGATCGGGCCCAGTTGAGACTAGCGATTTCTGACCGTTTAGTTTTATTTTCCTTCTTTTACAGCTATGCCCAGGCAGCCCAGCGCGTCGTACGACGCGTTACGCGCTACAGGGACGTTCCAGTGAAACATGGCCGGTTGTCTTATCGTAATCAGTTTCTTTCCTCGGGTGCTCACGTGTCTCTCTCTTCTGTTCTGGGATGGCAGGTTGTAGCAATGTGTCACGGCAGTGAGCTTGCTTACTCGCCTTCTGTGGGAGCCATCTAGCCCTTATTGTCTCTGTATCTTACTCGCTTGCACCATCTCCACACATAACAGATGAAATGTAGGCGCCAGCATAATGTCAACTTTGTAATGACAAGCAAAAGGCTTAACACAGGAAGAAAGTGAGAATCATTACCCAAACTTCCCTACAGGGCTGTGAGTGTTTTTTGTTAGTGCTTACTGGAATCCTTCGACACTGAATCCTTCCATTACCCCAGGCGTCAAGCTGTCGCGGCAAATGCTACCCTGTCAATTAATCCAGATCTTTATTTCTCTTCATAGCATACGGCAACGCAATTAGAATCCTCTGTTTCTATGCTGACAAGCTCCCGGTCAGACTGATTTGTTGCTCTTGAACCAACCAGAGGCATTCAACGACTTCGAAAACTCATCAGCTTTAGCATCTTTCTGTGCGTGGATTATTTAGTGGACGGGTGGTGCGATGTCGACACACATGAAACCCCTGTCTGAAGGCTGTGCTGCAGAATCTCAGGATGGGTCATTAGCAGTATAGGCATCTGGAATTGTAAACCAGTGCCTGTCACCTTTCAGCCCCCACGGTGATAATGGTTGCATATTGTGTGAGAATTTGGCAGCCAAGGGCAATAAATAGGTACCCAATGGTTGAACCCACTTCCCATTCCTTCATAGCGACTCGAGATATTATGCTGTAGAGACTCATACCATGACAGACAAACTCGCTCCAAGCAGCCAGCCTCGTTACGAGCCTGTTAGCTCAGACGAACAAGTTCCGTATCCCTCATCACAATCGATATCGGCAGGACACGGCAAAGGAAATGTCACTTTATTTTCTGCCGAGGGCCTAGAGCAGCAGGCAACGAGAGTGAAACCAGAAGGTTGGCGTTTAAACACGATCCTCAAGAAATGGCGCATGCAAATCTTTGACTTTTCGGCACGCAAGAGAAGGAAACGCCAGGTGCCTATTGTCAAAGATCGTTTCACGGCTATACTGACCGCTCTGGTACACTTGCCAGCTATTGCCGGTATTATCACCTTGAGCTTTTACATCTTCAAGAATTACTATGTCGATAAAGAGCTCGAAGGGAAGCCTAACTACGATGTTGAGAAGAAATTGGGAATTCAACTTGCAGCGAAGCTCATGGAGATGTTTATCGTACTGTCTCTTAATGCAATCGTCTTTTCCATGATTCGACACGAATTCACAATTGGACAGTCTGTGCCATACGGTGCTTTAGTAGCTGGGCAACAAATATCCGAGATCAGCTTCTTGTGGTCCCAGGAGTTTTTTTCTATTCTCAAAGGAAAATTCTCTCAAACATGGAAGAAGATTGGTTTCATTCTCACTGTCTTTGTCTGTACCATCATGGCGCTAGGAGCCTCTTCCCTCAGTGCTGTTGCGATGATGCCCCAAGAAGGCGATTGGAGAGCCGGAGGGAGTTTTGTGTACTTCAACGGTACTCGGGAGGAGATGTTCCCGGCGGTCGTCACAGAAGATCACACCATCGGATCTGCCTGCAACGTCACCGGAAACGAGCTGTGTCCCTCTTGGCAGTGGGATGTGATCAACAGCCAGCTGATTTCCAAGATCCGCCTATCAGGCGAGGTGGACAACGGTTTATTCATCAGACGACCCCCCAACGAGATCCTAGTAGCTGGATATTCATCGACACTAGTCAATCTGATGGTTGATATCAGAGAGAAGTGGTTTAATCTGAACAGTCCCAACCACACAGTTGCCAGGATGCCGCATCTTGGACCGGCCGAGGCTTGCGTCACAACATCATTGCACTGGGAACAGGCTGCGGATGATTCTGCTAAGAGACGCCAAACCCGTTTCAACAACTTCCAGAAGGTTGCGCACAAACTTACTGCGCCTGTGCCTATGACTAACACTAGGCGTGAGCTGACATCTGTCAGATACGCCAAAGCCAAGACGTTGCTGTTTCCCGATTTTGTCACATTTCCCCCTACAAATCTGGACGTGGAAAGAGACTTTATCAACGACTGGTTGTCGGATACTCTCACTGACTTGAAGAAACCCGAAGTGCTGTGGTTCGACTCGGCGCCTGTCATTGCAAACACATCCGTGGGTGTGGTAGTGGCTGTACCTTCCAACAAGTCAGAAGAAATAGCCGATGTATACGGTTGTATGATCGATGCTAGATGGGTTACCACAGATTTGAGTGGTGATGCAGTAGCGTTGACCAGCAAGGGATATCCGCCGTTCTCAGGTCCGATTGCCACCTCACTCGGAGGTTCGTGGATCGGCAACCCGGGCTATGGTCAGCGCGTTCATCTAGCACCTAGCTTTGCCAAGTATCTCAATCCTCTGGACATAGGAAGCAATCGGACCATCATCCACGAAATGCTCATCAACAGTGGTGTATGGACGCCTAATGGTGATGGATCAAAGTCTACGGCTCATTTGGAGGCGATAATTGGAGCATTAGCAGCTAATGGCTTGGGACGTTCGACCCCGAACATCACTGCCATCACCACGTTAGCTAATCCTAATGGCGAATGGTGGAAGAGTTTCATGCCCCAGGACAGCAAAGTGTTTGGTCCTGGAGGGAGTCCTTATGCCGTGTCAGACGAGGACAAAAAGCGTTTCTTTGGCACCGAAATGGAGACATGGGTGACTGGGTTTGCATTTGCAGATAACAGTTTGACTATGCGGGGAGCAATGGCCGTTTTTTACGTCTACGCACTTTTGGTTATAGCATATTCGATGTGGTCCATATGGTCAGGAATAACATCGTCTTCGTGGGAATCTGTGCCTGACCTTCTTGCTCTTGCACTTGCAGATCGAGAGTCGGGACTCAACTCAGCAAACCTCGGTGGCGGAGGCTTGGATGTCATGAAGGAAAATTTCTGTATCTCTGTGGATGGGAGTACCCTGAGACTCCGGTCTTCCAACGGATTGGTGGCGCCTGAGAACCGGGTGAAACCTAATGAGGTTTACAACTAAGTGAATTGCCATGCATCACAAGACAAATAAGAGACTGCAACACGGACTTTATGTATGGCTGATATAAGTATTAAGACAGATGATTATTTCAGAAGTAGATGCGTCACGTCACAATGAGCTGAACAGTCATTTTGTTAGTTGTGATAATGCGGCTATTGCTATGTAAATATTGCGGTACCCGTCATTGACGTCAGAATAGCGTAATGTATCCAAAAGTTCCAATTGGCTGCGCAAACAACGCGGGGCCGTAACCGAAGTTAAAATCTTCCCTTGAAAACATCAAACAACACGTGTGTCAACAGAGATTCGAGTGAGCGCAGAGATTTAACACTACCGACACATATCTTCAAAGCTTGGTTAAACTGAGCAACCAGCCGTGGCTGATGCCTGATCCACAAACGACAAAATCTACAAGAACAGCCATCCCAGGGGGACAAGTACGCCGTCTATTACCTGCAAGCCCAAGACCGGCCTCAGCATCCAGATCATTCCTTATAAGTCCGAGACTGAATCCTGTACTTGCGGCGTGTGAAGGATGTCGGAAGCACAAAGTCAAGGTATGTGGATACACGTATAATCTAGGCAAAGAGAGGCAAATTCACTGTTGTTCCTGTATAGTGCTCTGGTGAGAGACCGACGTGTCTTCGCTGTCAACAACGGCGTCTGACATGTAAATACGTGACAAGGCCGGGAGAGACAAGATCACAGGCTCTCAATCGATGCCCAGGCAACTGTCAAGGTCACGAAGCCACTGTCTACGAAGAATTGATTGGCTTGCTACGAAACTTGCCTGAACACGATGCTCAAGACATTCTTAAAAGAATAAGGTCTGGGGCAGATGCTGGCTCTGCCCTTCAGCAGGCTAAAGCTGGTGATGTTTTACTTCAGATGGCTGTTGTGCCCGAGACTCGGTACCGATATGAGTTTCCTTATAGAGCAGAGATGCCCAAAGACTTTCATATCGACAACCCCTACTTGGAGTCTCTGATATATGAGACAGCTTCTCTCTATTCGTATGGAGATGGCCCAGGATTGACCACACCAAGCGGGTTTGCTGACCTTATTTCCGAAGAACAGAGGAGTCTCTACTTGAAGCCTTTCCATGCAGCACAGGTTATTGAGCCACTTTTAAACGACGCCAAAATATCGCATTGGACTAATACTAGCAAGGATGATGTACTGATGAGGGATCTGTTGCGCGTAATGTTTCGCTGCGAATACCAATTCACTGCGGCCTTCCACAAGGATCTGTTCCTACAAGACCTAGTTGCAGGACGGAAAGACTTTTGCTCTTCCCTTCTTGTTAACACTCTTCTCGCCTATGCCTGTGTAAGGAATGTTGACAATAATGTTAAGTTCGTTCATTAATATGATTGTTAGGTCTGTTATCCGCGAATGCCTAATCGTGTCGAGTATTGGAACCCGGACAATCTGGTTTATCGCTTCACTGCCGAGGCTAAGCGCTTGTGGGAACTGGAAGCCAAAGTACCCCGAATTACCACCATCCAAGCTGGTATACTTCTGGCTGTATTCCATAACCTTTGTGGGGTTGATGAGATTGGGGTACCCTATAGACTACAGGCTATTTCTCTGGCTCGACAACTTAGTATTTTTGATACTCCCGTGGCAGGTCGGTGCGAAAGGCTTCAAAGGGGTAGAGAATACACTGCATGGGCTCTGTATAACTGGGAGACGTAAGTGCTTCACCCTTCTCAATTCTTGCTTTCTACTGACATCTTCAGCCTTTCTGCGTTTTTGTTCATGTTCACTCCTATCATCAAAGAGCCCCCAGTCTGGGCGCTGCCAGATCCATCGAAAGATAGATATTGGTATGGAGAGACATGGGTAAATTACCCATTGAACCATGACGTTTTGCCCATGGATACGGGCGAAGTTCTTCGAGCAAGGTGCCAATTCCGGATCATCATGAACGAATTCTGTAGTGAAGCCTACTCAGAAGGGTCCCAGATAGATCTCAACCGCGCCAATCACTTTCGTGAACGCCTGGAAAATTGGTATTGTGATCTACCAGAATCTCTGACGCCAAAGAAAATTGTTCTCCCAGGACAGCTACAACTTCAGTAAGTTATTCGAAACTATAAGAAGATATAAGAGAACTAGCTAACAGAACGAAGCATGTATTATCATCATCTGCTATTGACAATTTTTGGGCCTCTGCTCGACGGAGCCACCTCCAGGAAATCATCATCACTTCATCACGTTGTCGTTAGTGCAAAGAAGAGTCTTCATACCCTCGTTAGACTCTACTTTCTTCGCCACGGTTTTGAAGCAATGGACCTTTTTATAGCTATACCGCTTATGTTGATTGGCTATGAGTCCCTGGATCTCATCAATGATGACACTCCAGCAGATGAGATCGAGTCGATACGAGCGACACTCATTCTGGTTGCTCATGGGCTTTACTACCAACGCCGAAACTATTACCTGGCGCAAGTTCTCTTTCGGGTCATCGGAGGGAAAATGCGCAAGCAGGAGATCAGGCTTCTTGAAAGTTCAATGGCACTAAAGCTGGGCGATGTCGACCGCGATTCGGAACTGGCTGTTGCTGTGCGAAGTCAATGGCCGGTCACTAACGTGAAGAAACAGGAGGAAACTAAACCACACGTGCTGAGTAATATTATTAACAGCTTTGGCGACTTGAATGTTGAAGGATATGAGTTGGAAGGATAGTGTGCGGTGGTGATGAACGATGTGTGTTTTGGTGATGTGGTTGAGAATGAGAAAGGTATGCAACACGAGTCTTGATCGCTGGAACGATTCGGTATATGGGTATGCGTATTTGAGGTATCCTGAACTTATCGATGGTATGAGATGAGCTACACCGAGGCCTTTATCGCATCGTCCAAAGCTTGATTCACAAGTCCAAATTCGTGTAACTTTCTTAGCTCATCATTATTGACTTTGTGCCGGAGGTCCCCTCCACTACCCTCCTGGAAATGACTCAAGAAAAACTTGACGAATGGAGCATTGCCATCCTGTTGTTGGATCTTGGCCTCGCAGTCCTTGAGAGCATCATGTATGTCCTGGTACTCTATGGCCCAGCCCTCTTCCGCCGTCCCCATTGCTCTCTGCACAGACTCTAAGAGTTCTTGCTGCGTGAAGTGAAAGGCAGGCAAATAAACTGCCTTGTTCTTGTACTGTGACAATGCTTCTTCGGGAAGAGTGAGGACTGCTGCTACTGCTTGACCTGTATAAGTAAGGCCAGAAGCGCTGACCTTGCCAACGTTGCCGTCCCATATAGTAGCTTTACGGTTCTCAACGTCGATACCCCAGAGGCCGCTCTTGATGTTCATGCCGAGGAAGGGGCCGACAGTTATTGAAATTCAGCTCGCCACACCGAGTTCACTTATTAACTCGCGGATCTTTTTCTTATCCTGCAGAAGCTGGTTCTGCTCGACAAGCCGATGGGCAAAAGGGTCCGGGCCATACTCGGCAGGAAGAATGTATGGAATGCCGACTTTAGCAGCTGCGCGCACAGCGGACTCTTGGATGCTTATCATATGGGGAAGTGGTGGCATCAGAACCACTACCTCCTGGCCCTGGAACGCCTTGGCCAGGAGAGATTCATCTTGTAGATCTCCCGACTGGATGATTACTTCGGACGGGAATTTGCTGGTGGCTTCAAGGCGTTGAACAACGGTGATACTGTGAACTTTTTGAGCAAGAAGGGCTTTAACTGTAGGACGTCCTACATTTCCACTGGCTCCGATGATGACAATCTTGCGTCCCTGTTTCCGATGAGCCATGATATTGAAGTCTTTTGATAATACACTTTTGACCCAGTAGAAATGTCACGGCACTATTTGATAGAAGGGAAGACCTTGGGTAAAACTCCGAGGTTATGTATAGTATCAATGTTGGCCAATGCGTCATCGATATTGCTCATATCGTCCAGACCAGCCTCTTCAAGCAATGACATTCTGGAATGGCCGGGGAAAAGTATTGTTATCAAATATCTAGTATAAATTGAAGCATAATTTGTTCGATTTCCGGTGGGAAATTAGAGAAAACTTGGACGAATCCCTGCCAAAGACCTCTTAGACGTGTTTGCAAGAACAAGAGTCGAAGTTAATGGTTGTTAGGATATACTTAGACCTGGTCCTAGATCATACAGTTAACGATGTAGCTCGCTAACGCTTATTAACAAAACACACGCCCCGCATCAACCACGTACCCATGCGGGGTGATTACAACTCAGTCCGTTAAGTCCGAACTGATGATATAAAGACCAGACTGGAATGAACGGATTTTGATAACTTAGATCTTGCCTTGAACTAAACACTATAGAGACCTGCAAACATGTCACCTACCGATGTCTTCAGCTCAGGCTCAACTGCCTTGATCACGGGAGCCGGATCAGGAATTGGGCTTGCCATTGCAAAGACATGCCGAAGCAAGGGCATGCGTCTTCTTCTCGTTGACAACGACGAGGAAGCTCTTGAGAGCTTGAATAAGCAGCATTTTGCAGACGACTCCGATGTTCTCACTTCAAAGGTCGACGTTTCATCACTTTCAGACTGGCAGTCGCTGAAGAAGCTCGCGCTGGACAACTTTGGCACCATCGAGTTTTTAGTCTTGAACGCAGGCCGAGGTCTTAAGGGTACATGGGGAGACGATGACTACTTCAGAGAGGTGAGTGAATCCTGAGATGAGCTATTGAGTTGACGATAACAAAACAAGACACTCGAAACCAATCTTTTCGGTGTTATTCACGGCATAAACACCTTTCTTCCTGTCGTTCAACAGGCTGCCAAGTCAAAGCCTACAAGCATAGTTATTACAGGCAGCAAGCAGGGTATCACAAACCCTCCTGGAAACGCAGCATACAACGCTTCCAAGGCTGCAGTTAAAACCCTCGCTGAGCATTTGAGCTACGATTTGAAGGATGAAAGCACGACTGTACACCTACTTGTCCCTGGCTGGACCTTTACTGCGTTGGTAGGCAAAACCGATCAAGATTCCGTTCCTCATGGACATCATCACTCATATTGTCACAGGCTGGTGCAAAGGTGTTCAAAGAGAAGCCAGATGGGCCCTGGACACCGGAACAAGTCGCAGAGTATCTCTATGAGAAGATGGGAAAGAACGAGTTCTACATCATCTGTCCGGATAACGATGTTTCTGAAGAGATGGACAAGAAGCGTATGACGTGGGCTGCAGCTGATGTGGTCCAGAGACGACCACCACTGTCGCGATGGCGGGAGGAGTGGAAGAAGGAGGCGGAAGAGACTATGGCAAAGATGGAGATTTAAATCAGATTAGATGTTTGTTTGTAGAACCTTCTCTCTACAGCGGCCTTTGGATATATAGCAGCTGTTTCCATATTCGAGGTTACTAAGAACTTTGGTGATTCGGAGCAGTAAGAGTTTTGCCAGCTGAACTTTATTTATTGACAATTGCAAAGATAAAACAATCTAGGCCGCATAAGTGAAGAATAAGGGCAACTGGGGCCGAAATAAACAGGAGAAAAAAATAGGACACCACTTCTCATAAACATCAAAAAGTGAGGTCCTCAATCATCAGGATATCTGACAAATCGTACTGTCGATACACCAGGGACTCGAACCCTGAGCCTTAGTCTTAGGAGGACTACGCGCTACCATTGCGCCAGCGCACCGATTGTTATTTAAATTGGCTCAAAATCTGAGTCTATATCCCGTGATCGCTGTCGCCGCATACCTTAACAACAACAATTCTCCAGGATCGAACAAGCTCCGAAGACAAGGATAATCTATGAAGTCCTGTTTTCAGAGGGAATCTAGAAGGAATCAGTCAAAGTTATCCACTATTGAGCTAGTTATAAAGTGGATAAATGATCGTGACGTTCTCCACAACTTGTTCTTGGAGGCAAGGACGATTAAACGTTGATGTCTCTATGTCAGCAGGATTCCATGTACACGGCATCAGTTATATGGGGATTTGGTTTTCCATTAAAAATAGAATCGCATTACTGGATTGTGTAGTAAGTCAGTCGAATTCAGCCAGACCCGTTTCTTCTGCTGAAGGTCTTACGGCATTATGCGATGAAAATGACCTTCCAAATGTTCCGAAGTAATGTGCACAATATGCTATCCTGCTACTAACAAGCTATAATAAATGGATCGTCTTCGTCTCAGCCGATGCGAACTCGGTCTCGTCCCCACGTATCATGGCAAGGCCGACCCTGTTGTAAGACGTACCTTCAGAAGTCGGCACTGGCACTAATAGAAGGAAAGTTTCTTGACATGGATACGCCAGACTACTGCGATCCTTTGGGGAAACCGAGCGTACAAGTAAGCAAGTAAACATATCATCATCTCGTTCATCCTCAAGATCGAACCTTCCTGTACACCGCCAAGGAAGTGGAGTCTCGCTGAAATCGGGCTTTTCGTCGCCGACATTCATAAAGGGTGGGTTGAATTTCTTGGTTCTGGGGTCCAAGCGGAGTCTCATCTGTCGTACTGGTCCTTCAACAGTCATGGTACTGGATAAGATCTCGGAAACCATAGGTTCGCCAGCCCAAGTGATGTCAGCTTCCACGATTTTGATGTGGTCCCGTACACTACAAGGATCCTTGCCCATAGAACGGGACCAGAACGTGAAGCTGATTTCACCTACACGAGTGAGCCATGACCAAGATGGTACCTGGGAAAGAGCCACAGATGAATCAATAGTGTCACCACGCCGAATCCAGAGTAACTCGTCAACCAGGGTTTCATACCAGCAGCCCAGCAAATGAGTGAATCCGACTTTGTTGCCAAAGTACTGCACCATTCCTGCCAGCGCCCCAAGACGATCTCTCGTGACAGTCAGTTTCCTGCTCGAGTAATCTGCCATCCAATCGGGCCATAATTTCTGCATTTCTTCTTTAGTAGCATCCTGTGGCATGAACCTCCACGAGAAGCTCTTGAATCTGTCGTCTTCAAAGGTGGCTTGCGACTCTGTACGGTAGCTACAGTGACAGCTCCAGTGTATCTCAGGCTGCATACAGTGTACAACTCGGGGAGACAGTAATTGTTCTTGCATAGTCCAGCCTCTGGTGCTCAAGTTTGAGAATTTGGTGCGGCGTCTAATATCCCCTTTATGGAATCGTATCGAGAATTCCTTTTTGTTAGGGAAGTGGGCTCCCATTTGATGAACTCCAACATCGCGTCCACCCCAAAGATCCAAATTAATGTCAACAAAACAGCCCTGAGTGCTATCTTGTGCATCTGACGCTGAGATAGTGATAGAACTACCCGCATATACATCTTTCATGGACGCGGCTTCTCTTTGCCAGTCTTGCAGGTCATCTTGCACAATGCAAAGACTATCTATCCATATGTATCGAAGCTCCAGATCCCAAATTATGTCAATAGCGTCATAGAATGTTTGAGGAAGAGACGTTGCTGGTATACTCTGAAGTAAAGTGCCAATGTTGTCCTTGGTGGTTACAAACGGACGCGACGTTCCCCAGCAGTAGCTCAAAGTAGCATATTCAATATTGCCAAAAGGTTGCGAAAGGGTGTCAACCAGTCGGAGATCATGCTTCTCTGGTCCTACCTGGATAAGTCGCCTTGGGCACCCGTGAGTGGTCGGTTTACATCCAGCATGCTGAGATGAACATTCTGTGTACCAAGACTTGATGGTCTTGATCCTATCCTCCTTGGTGAGTTCTTTGCAATCCCATATTGGGAGCTGGCTAACATCCGCTGCTCAAGTCGTTAGTACTTGGAGAAAAAACAGAAATAGGTCAGCCCGTACTACCAACATGACAAGTAGTGATCGTCAGCTTGAAGCTATCTGCGAAAGCATGCCACGGTACAATGATGTCCCCACCAATAAAGTTGCAAGACACACCCATACGATCAGATACAGCTTTCGTAATTTTAAATTTAAGTTGGAGTGACGCGTAATCTTGTTCCTTAAGGTCCGGATACCGCTTGTGAAGGGCTGGTAGCGACCAAGAAGATTGGATGATATCGCAGAGGCGACAGCTGTCTGCAGATTCGAGGAGTTCCTTGACAGTTCTGAAGTGTGCTAGAGGGGCATAGTCGTCGATGGAGCGAAGAGGAAAGTCTTGGCTCCATGCCTCTGGTTCAACCTGTAGCGAAAGGATAATCGCGCAGTGTTCACAGAACTTGCCCATCGTATGCAGGTACCTCTCGGGTTGCAACCCTATGGAATTTCAAAAAGAGTGGCAACAATCTCGTGTCTCGCCTGAGCAAAAGGCAGCAATAAAGTTAGAGGAACATTATGGCAAAAGCCGTGTCGTTCCGTGCTGCTAAAATTGAAGGTGGGGAAATGCACAGCATTTTGCCCCTGTTGTCAGCATAAATAAATTAAACCGTTTCCCTATTAGCTCGCAAGCTAAACGGCTTTAGGACCAAGAAAAAAGTCTCCAGCTAAGCAAACATTGACAACTTTAACATTTGGCCATGATCCTCATTGTTCGAGCTCAGAACAACAAGCACCAATCATACAAATGGACCAAGATAGTTCTCATATTTACGCATCTTGTGCTCTGCTATATTATTTAAGATATAGTAACCTTATTGCTAGCCTCGGTTTTGGGTCTGTATAGTATCCCGTACCTCTTTATAAAGCGCAGATTCTTCAAAGTCGCGAGCACCATCTCATCCGAACTGTAGCTATGACGTCTGCGTTCCAAGGGTCGTCTCATTGCAAGCAAGTGCCATTATCTGACCTAAGGGGACGATATAATGATCATTTGATCTTGAAGGAACGTGCTGGCACATCGGTGATCTCATGCCAATGGGGGGCCAGTGAGCCACGATCTGCTGCCTTTGCGAAAGATCGTTTGGAATCGGACAAGAAAGGTGGTGATCTGTCTAGAACTTGGTTCACGGTGCTTTGTTCCTTGGAGTCTAATTACTTTTGCATAAGGTTGCAGGCAGATGCGACAGAACTTTCGGTTCCTTCACCTCGGCATGACCACTTGATATCAGGCCCATGTTCACCAAACACAGGGACCAAGAGTCTCATTTCGGAATAGACTAAGATCCTACCTGTGCTCGTACATATTCTGAGCTCTGTCTTGTTACAGGCAAATGCCAGTCCGAAACCCCTGGTTCTCAACAGGGTTTTGGATGATTGGGTTGCGCTACCGCCTCAAAAATTATCCCGCCTCATCTACGCTACGAGGACGACAATTAATGACTGCAAGACTCGGCTCCCCCATCCGAATGGACGCTGGTGCAGGTCATCAGCCTAGTGATTTCTCAAGATCAATGGGGCTTAATTAGTCAAGCTTAGCTTACACTCAATCTGCCAATTCCTCCGGCTCAATCGTCGCCCTTTAGAGTACTTTTCGCATTATTAATAGTGCCATAATAGATACCAGGCCATAACTTCTTAATTGGACAATTAGCTTGAAACGAGCTACAGAAGAGAGAATCGTCTTTGCGCAAGGCTCGAATCCCAGTTAACAATAGAGTTCAAAGCTAAACGCCGGGTTCCATCATCCGTTCGACGCCACTATCATACTGTCAAATGGCATGCTCTCAAGTAGTTGACAAAGCTTGTTAATTGAAACATGGTTTAACCCCTGTCCTGATCTAGATCTCCGAGATGGTAGGAAGCTCTGGCCTTCATCTCTACGTTCAGCCCTGCTCAAACGCCCTGGAGATTGAACAATTTTCAATTAGCAACCAACCGCCGTTTCTCCTCGGCAGGTCCGGATATCTATAGAGGATGAACGGCATGAAACAAAGTGGCTCTTAATCGCCTAGATACCGCCTAGCTTGTTCCCCAATCTTCACAATGCGGCTCCTGGCCCGATATCTAAAACAAGCTTGTGATTAGCGACATGCTCAAACAGAAGAGGCTTGAGAGTTCGTTAACGATAAACTGACAGTGGCGAATTCGAGAATAATGCAAAGACACTAGAGGCGGCATGGACGATTAATTCCCGACTACAATCGGAATGGCGTAGAAGATACCCTCGTAAGGGTAAAGTTAGGGATTCCGTCAAATGCACACCATACTAACGTGTCAGTGCATGTAAGCCACATTCAGTGATCGACAATCTTCCCTCTTCGGGCATATATCATCCAGTGGTGGTCCCACTCGTCTCAACAATCCATCAATCTTGTCGACCATCTCTTTCCTTTGTCTTTGTCAACAGACGAGAATGTCTTCACTACAACCTCATCTATGGGCCGCAGAGTTTGTAACCTTTCCAGCTGCGACTATCTTCCTTATTCTGCGACTATCCAGTCGGAGGATTACCAGAGTACGCCTTTGGTGGGATGACTACTTTGCGGTACTCTGTTATGTACGCAATATCACACTTTTAATCCAAAGTCCGAGTCGCATTGCTAACAGTGAATAGGCCGTCGCCGTTGCATGGGCCATAATGCTCCCTATTTGTATGCTCGATCATGTTCATAGTGTTTTACGATACTGACTTCTTTCAGGGATACGACATGGCTTTGGCTTACACTCAGATGACGTTCAAGGAATGACCATAGAGGAAGCAAACTACGCGACGAAAAAGTACCTCTTCATCATCGAGCATCTCTATGCATTCACCCTCTTCTTTGCCAAGATCTCTATCTTGTCCTTTTACTGGCGAATGTTCCGCGTCGCCAATATTCAATTTGCAATTTCGATCCTATTGACCTGCTCCATTCTCTGGATCATCGTGCGAGTGAGTCATGCTATCGCTGAATAAACCCCGGTTTGCTTACATAGTTTCCAGGTCTTTCTGACTACATTTCATTGTTATCCAGTGGAGGCATTTTGGGATCCTCACATTGAACATTCTGTCTGTCCCATCAAAAGCGCCGACTTTTTCTTCGGTACTGTTCTTGCTCACGTCTTGATCGATGTTGGTATCTTGATTCTTCCTATTGTACAGATCCAGAAACTTCAGCTTCCTATCCTTCAGAAGATAGCAATGATCTTCTTGTTCTTATTTGGTATATTGTAAGAGGTCCAGAAAGATAGCATTGGCTCTTATTTTCCCCACTGACATATTCTATAGAGTGTGCGTGGCCGGTATGGTCATCGTTAGTGTATCTGCCCACTTCAATAACAAGTCAGACGACATGACATACCAATTGGCTCCCATCATCATATGGGCTTCAGTGGAGGTAAATCTAGTGACAATATCCAGTATGCGTCTTCCCCCTTCCGTCCGCCCTTTAAGTCAAATCAACTCATTATTGTGCAGCCTGTCTCCCTATCATTCGACCGGCCTGTCTATTCCTGATGACTTGCACGGACCCAACTTCAACGATCGATTCCAAATCCAGCGTGTACCGCCGCAACTACCCCCGAACCCAAACCAAGCATTCAATACATCTTTCAAAGTTACCCAATGCCGGATCAAGTTCTACACATGTGCTTACAGAACTCCCGAATGATTCAGCAGCTTCAGTTGACGGAAGCGATCACCGCGGGCATCATGGGCATACGTCTTCTGTGACTCTTTCGAGTCGACCAGTTACCCCAAGCCTTGCAGGTGTCGGTGGCATAATGCTAAAGAATGAAACGTTTGTACATAAAGAGAATGCAAGAGCGTATCGTTGAATAGATTGGTTTAGGAATGTACAATATAAAGGGAAAATATTAACACAGGCACTGTCGACATTTCTCACTTTCTCGTGCACTGTTAATATAATTCGTCTTAAGTAAATAGCTTGTGACTTACGCCGCTCATTGATTGTTGGAGTTCAGACAAGGTGTAGTGAGAAGATAGGAAGACATGATTTATAGTGGAATATTAGAATAGAACCTGTTCAAGTTCATGGTGTGTTACTATATTGAAAGATAATGGGTGTGATGAGGACATGTACATTGCTCCTAAGAGTGCCTATGTTACGTTATCAGGCTACACGTTGAACAACTAGACCTTATTCAACCCTATCACAAACTGGTGCTCTATCGTTCGAGATATTTCTCTAAAGCAATGCTGGAACGAAACACAAAAGCGAATTGCTCCAAATTAGTCAAGACAGTGTCACGAACATAAGCAAAGTAGTGGGACAGACAGTTTTTGAAGTACATAAATTACGTTCTATCTGATTCGGGCATGGAAAATTATCTGATGCGGACATTGAAAGCAAAAGGGCTTTCAGTAATTAAGCTATTTACATGACAAAGGCAAGAGCCATAGGGAGAGCGAGCAGAATGCTGCCAACGCTGACGAGAGAGGCACCGGCAATGACGGGAACCTGGGAAGGAACGGTTCCGTTGTTAGGAACCTTGTAGGTAGGAGCAACACCGGGCACATCGTAGCCAGGAGCAGCGGCGTCAGCACCACTGCCAGTGGCAGCGGGGTAGTCACCAGAATCAGTGGCAGAGGCCATGACTCGGGTAAGGGTGGTGAAGGCACCGGGCTGCTCAGTAGCAGTGTCCTGAGGGGCCTGGCCAGTGTGGTTGTCGATGATGGTGACAACGGGAGCAGCAGGAGGGTGGACAGTGGTGGGAGCAACGAAGGTGCTGGTGACAAACTCGGTGCAGGGGACAATGGTTGTGACGTCCTGGGTGATAGTGACGAGGTCGATGGTGGTCTGCGCAGCAGCAGGGGGGGCGGTAGGAGCAGGGGCATCGCCGTTAGCACCAGAGCCGTTGCCACCCTCAACAGGAGTCTCGTCACCGGGAGTAGGGTACTCAGCACCCTTGTCACCGCCAGGACCCTGGTGGGAAGCGTTACCGCCCTCCTTGGGAGTCTCAGGAGTCTTGGGTGTCTCGGCATCGGGAGAGTCGGGAGTCTCAGCAGACTCGTCAGAGCCCTCGGTGGGGGTGTCAGAGACAGCAGTGGCAGTGGCAGGGCAGACAGTGGTGCGCTCAACGACAGTCTGGGTGACAATCTTCTGAGTGTAAGAGGCAGGGCAGTTGATGACGGAGGCAGCACAAGAGGTGATGGTGTATACATGGGTCTCACGGATGGTGGAAGTGATCATGCCAGAAGCATCAGGGGCCTCAGTGACATCGGCAGCGGGAGCAGAGGTGACCTCAGCGTCGGAGCCAGCATCAGTGGTAACATCAGCGGGGGTACCGTTGTCGCCGTTGGGAGCAGTGGTAGCAGCAGGGAGAGATCCAGAGCCAGACTCAGCGGGAACCTCGCCAGCGGAAGTGGCATCAGCACCAGGGGAAGGAGGAAGCTCGTAGTTGTTACCACCAGTGGCAACAGGGACACTGCCAGAGTAAACGGAAGTGAAGCCAGCACCAGGGACAACCTGAGTGAAGGTCTCAGAACCAGAGACAACAGTGGTAAAGCCAGGAGTACCGGGAACGACCTTGGTGACACCTTCAGATCCGGAAATGATGGTTGTGAAACCCTCAGAGCCAGAGAAGTAAGAGGTGAAGCTGCCCTCGGAGTCAGAGATGACAGTGGTGAAGCCCTCAGAACCAGTGATGTAAGAAGTGAAACCCTCAGAGCCAGAAATGATGGTAGTGAAACCCTCAGAGCCAGAAACAGTGACAGTCTCGCCGGGACCAAAGATAGCAGTAACGTCGCCGCCCTTGGTGATGGTCTGGTTGGGGATGTTACCACCGGGGCCAACAGGGACTTCGCCAGCAGAGGTAGTAGCAGGAGAAGAGCCAGATTCGGTAGCATCAACGGGAGGTCCGCCTTGAGTGGCAGAGTCGGTAGTGTCAGGAATCTCAGCAGCGGAGGTAGCAACTGGGAGAGAACCAGAGCCAGTGACATCGCCAGGACCCTCGGGGGAAGCAGAGTCAGTGGAGTCGGGGATCTCAACAGAGCCAGAAGCGTCAGGGACAACAACGGTGCCAGAGAACTCGACAGACTGGGTAACACCAGCGGGGATAGTGATGGAAGCGTCAGGGCCAGCAGTAGTAGCAGTGATCACACCGGAAGCAGGGATGGTAGGGCCGCCAATGAAGCCACCCTTCTTGAAGCGACCGATGAAGCTACCGCAAGTACCACGGGTCTTCTGAGAGAAGGTAGACTTGATACCCTTGGCAAGACCGACAGACAGGTTGGGGATGAGGTTGAAGAAACCACCGGAGAAGTCCCACTTCTTGTCAACAGCGAGACCGAGGTTGCAGCCGAAAGAGCCAGTGACATCGATACCAGCAGAAGCACCGCCGCCAATCTTAGCAGAGTAGTCGAGGAGAGAGAACCAGACACCAGCACCGAAGCCAGCATCAGCACCAGCCTTGCCAGTGAGACCAAGGACAGGGATCTCGAGACCACCAGGGATAGCAAGCTCAGAACGGAGTCGGAGACCGATCTGAAGATCGATACCAGCACCAAGCTCGACATCAGCACCGACACCGACGGGGAGAGCCTTGGTGACAAGACCTTCAAGAGAAGCGTTGATAACCTTCTTGGTGAGAAGGTCAATGTCGACGTAGGCATCGGCAGGGAACTTGACGTAGACACCAGCGGAGAGATCAATGGCCTTGCCACAGCCGACGATAAGATCAACGGCAATAGCAGCCTCGATGGCAGCCTTCAGATCAGCATCGACCTCGAGGCCAGGGATGGCAACACCGAGCTTGGGGGCAGCGAAGAGTTCGACGGACTGATGGACGGCAGCAGAAGCAGAGAGATCGATCTCGATGTAAGCAGAGATACCACCGAGGCCAACACGGACGTTGGGGGTCTTGAGGAAGTCAGCACCGCAAGCGAAACCGATGTTACCAGTGATCTGGCAGCTGGGGAGGTTGAGACCGAGGTTGACAGCGGGGGTAGTCTCAGTCTCGGGAGAGCAGATACCCTGGAAGAGGATGTGGTCCTTCCAGGTATTGCCGATGCTGCAAGAAGTTCCAGTGTGCCAGTCGGCACCAGCACCGGCGTTCCACTCAATACCACCGCCGAGGAGGCCCTTGAGACCGCCGAGGCCACCAAGTCCAAGTCCAATACCAGCACCGACACCAGCACCAAGGCCAGCGCCAATACCAGCACCAACACCGAGACCGCCTCCTAGGTGTCCGCCAATCTTACCACCACCTCCAATCTTACCGCCAGCGCCACCCTTGATATCACCTTCAAGATGGCCTCCAGCACCAGCACCAAGGCCAGCACCAGCGCCAATACCGGCACCGGCACCAATCTTACCACCTGCACCTCCTCCAATCTTGCCTCCGAGGCCAACTCCAGCGCCTAGATGGCCTCCAGCACCTCCCTTGAGGCCGCCTTTGGCACCACCACCAACGCCAGCGCCAGCACCAAGGTGACCTTCAGCTCCTCCACCAACACCGGCGCCAGCTCCAATCTTACCGCCGACGCCAGCACCAGCATCGACACCAGCACCAGCTCCAATCTTGCCACCAATGCCAGCTCCAGCTCCAACACCGGCTCCAGCTCCGATCTTTCCACCAGCGCCTCCTCCAACACCAGCACCAGCATCAACGCCAGCACCAGCACCGAGATGACCTTCAGCTCCTCCACCTACACCAGCGCCGGCGCCAATCTTGCCTCCGGCACCTCCTCCAACACCAGCACCAGCACCAGCATCAACGCCAGCGCCAGCACCGATCTTGCCTCCAGCACCTCCGCCAACACCGGCGCCGGCACCCAGGCCGGCACCAGCGCCGAGATGACCTTCAGCTCCTCCACCTACACCAGCACCAGCTCCAATCTTGCCACCAATGCCAGCTCCAGCTCCAACACCGGCTCCAGCTCCGATCTTTCCACCAGCGCCTCCTCCAACACCAGCACCAGCATCAACGCCAGCACCAGCACCGAGATGACCTTCAGCTCCTCCACCTACACCAGCGCCGGCGCCAATCTTGCCTCCGGCACCTCCTCCAACACCAGCACCAGCACCAGCATCAACGCCAGCGCCAGCACCGATCTTGCCTCCAGCACCTCCGCCAACACCGGCGCCGGCACCCAGGCCGGCACCAGCGCCGAGATGACCTTCAGCTCCTCCACCTACACCAGCACCAGCTCCAATCTTGCCACCAATGCCAGCTCCAGCTCCAACACCGGCTCCAGCTCCGATCTTTCCACCAGCGCCTCCTCCAACACCAGCACCAGCATCAACGCCAGCACCAGCACCGAGATGACCTTCAGCTCCTCCACCTACACCGGCGCCAGCACCGATCTTGCCTCCAGCTCCTCCGCCGACACCAGCACCAGCACCCAGGCCAGCACCAGCTCCGACTCCAGCACCAGCGTCAAGACCGGCACCAGCTCCAAGGTGGCCTCCAACGCCACCAGAAGCACCGCCGCCGCCTCCAAAGAAAGTGGGAGTAGCTTCGCCCAGCGAAGCAATAGCTCCCAGAGTTGGGAGGATTCCAGTTGTGAAACGCATAGCGTTAAACGAAAGTGTTTTTGTTGTTGTAGTTGTTGTTGATAATGCTTAACAGCGAGCGAGTGTGCAATATAATTTAATGATAATAGCGAAGGACGTAATGAAAATAGCGAGAGACTAAGTAAAACGACTTAGATAAACGAAAGAATAAAGGAAATGAAAAGGAAATGATAGACGAAATCAGATAGAACGATTGATAGAGAGCAGAAAGAAAGAAGGAATTGATGCTGGAGATGTGCTTCCTTTTAAGCAGAAATCAGGCTCAGTCCGTAGTCTTGTCAAAGAGTCGAGGAATTACCCCCCCTGCTCTATCGTCTTTCATCAGATCGACAGTTCTCTTCTCAGCTCTGGGCATGTTCGGCCTGTTCGGCTCAGGAGAGAGGGTCTAGTTCCGTGCCTGTGCCTGGATCTAGTGTCAATCCGATCATCGCTCAGACGTTTCATGAGCTTCTACCGCATGTTGGTGGTGACGGTGGAGGGCTTGGACGTTGCTTTGTTTCCTTTTCCAAATTTAGCATGGTAGGGGGTTTCGAGTCAGTTGACGATCAGGAGCTTGCCGTAGAGGCTAAGAGGGTTGGAGACTAGACTACTCTGTAGTTAAGTGGTTACTGTACGTACTACTGCACAATTGAGATTATATCCGTCAAGAATTTAAGATTGCTTATCAAAATACTACTGACGTGTGTCGTGTAGTCTCGTAGACCATTCAATTAGCTTGCTTCTAGAAGCTTTGGGGGAACTTTCCGTTCTTGCGACGATTCGCGTTCCATCTTCAACCAGTATCTTCAGCTGAGGCGAGGTAGGGCAAAGAATGTGGCGAAATTTAGCGACAGGGCTGGACCGGCTGGACTTGAGATGTCAAGGTATGTCCCGGCCACTGCATGCAAATCCAATATGTTCTCAGCATAGTTTAGTTTCAGTTTTCGTTGCAGAGAGATTTGTTTCAGGTTAATTCTTTCTTTTCATAGAAACTTTGCAAGTGGTGATCTAAGTGATTAGTGTGAAAGAAAGCACTCGTGCAGGTGCCCTCTATCCGTAATTTTAAAAGCATTGATGTGTGTAAGCCACCGGCTGAGCCGTCCCTCCTCTACATCCAATGTAGGATTGACAAAAAGTGGAATTCCCCCGGTCGATCCGTCTCGTTTTGATTGCTAGAGCGGCGACAAACCCCAAAAAGGTTTGAAACAAAAAAGATGGCTAACCAAGCTTGGAGCACTTCACGGCCCGCAGTCACAGCTCTCCATCAACATGACAGGGGGTAAGGATCATATTTGGTCACCTCACCTGAATGGTAAAACAGACTACGGATTTTGGGTTGACGAGCAAAAAGACGTCTTTACCTGTTGGAGATGTTGGTCCACTTGTTCAGTGCTTGGACCGACCTTGTTGAGGTAAACAACCATCAAGGTTTACCCTACAGGTAGCAGTTTGTCGTATATCACTTGCATGATACTTACTATCATGAGCATAGGACATTGAATTGTGAGGAGATGGAAAAAAGAAAAACAGGTGGTAGCAAACACGGAAATATTCTCAAGCATTGAAATACAAAAATAGATGATAATATGGCTTGTACTTGCAAATTGGTGTGCATGTTTATGATTAGAATTTCAACATGCAGAATGCAGACAGAAGCCATCGCCACATCAAACATTGCGGAGCAACATCACATCTTTCGAGTCAAAAAAAAAAGCACTAATCAAGCATTAAGAATGGGCCATACTATCACGGTTGGTCTTGTCTCTAGGAAGCGAGAAAGGCGAGTCAGTAAATCATCTGATCGAACCTCGCCTATACTGTCAAAGGTCTGAGCACTTTGACCTAGCGAAATCATCACCGTGATCTTGGCTAGTCCATCAACTAACCAACCTTGTTACCAACTCACGCTGCACGGCGTACATTAGCCTATGACAGGTGAGCTGAAACCTCGTAACAGAATCTCCTCAAAAGGGATGATTGATTATCATGTTGTTGGTCCAAGACAAACTCGGAGATTTTTGCGTGCAGATGGTGGGTCACTCAGAGTTTTGGTCGCTTGACTCGGAAGTGAGCGGTGGGCTTATCTTATCATTCTGATCCTACGCTTTACCTTGTTGAGCCGTACTTTGCCGACGGAAAGGGGGACATGGATATGGATCTTGAGGTGGCTGGGAAACAAAGCCGAGAACGTATGGCCTCTGCATTTGACAGTCTTTCCCTTCTATTTTGGTGTTTCATTTCTATAAAACAAAAGAAAAAAAGAAAAAAAATTAATGCATCAATCAACGTAATGCTATTGTTCAATTTTATCACGAGCTATCCCAGCAGTGAGAGGAGCTACTGTGCCTCCCTCTGTGGATTTAATGATAAATACCATGCCATTGATAGAGGGGCATTATGATCGGTCATGCGTATATACAAAGCAATGGAGCATTGTCTCATATCGCTAAGACTTCCAGCGACCGTTGGGAAAATTGAAAAAGAAAAAAAAGAGGCTACTGACTGGGTCGAGTATAACGGAAGTGGCAAGCTTGTCGCCGTGTTTGAATGTCCAAAGAAACAACTTAAGGCAATATAACGGACTGATAGATCATATGTTTCTTAGAAATTCATGGTGGATCGCCCAAGTTAAATGAGGGTAGTCAATCGAGGGTTGGTTCGCTATTCATGTAGTATGTGATCTGTAGTCTCGTCCAAGTTCATCATTCATCATTTCGGCCACTGTTAACTTACCCTGAAGTGAGAACATTTCTTTGACTGGCTCTGGTGGATAGATGGCATAGCAACAATTTATCGATGCTTCTAAAGAATTTAGTTGAATGTGGAAATATAGAATTAAATCTTATTATTCACGGAAGTTTAATATCCGTGTATACCATAAATTGGAAAGGACCACTCGCATATGTTTAATAGGAGTTTGGTAGACAGGTTAGACATAAAATGGACATGGAAAGATTACTGGATTTTGGCAAGAGTACTTGAGCGCTAACAGTTTAGTGCTGCTTTTAGCGGATCAATCATTAGGATAGAAGTGTATAAGTTAGCATGCCTCCTCATTTTTAGATGGTTTAGTTGCTGGAAACCTAGCCAAGAGCTTATCGAGCTTATCAGAATTATCGCAGTGGGGCACTCAATGAGATTCACAGACAGATATCCCGTTAACAGGTCTAAGCGTAGAACGTGTGCATAGATAATAGTGCTATAACGATCATTTCTCATTGGCAGTGAAGCGATATCTGGTAGGTCAATCAGCGGTATCGGAATGTCGGTAACCGTGATAGGAATGTAATTAAGAAATGACGCATCGTGGACTAACTTAGCATTGTGAAACGGGTTTGACGGGCTATCGCTGACCGTTGACGGGTAAATCGGCATTGATCTGCAAGATCACCTAAACGCCATTTTGTTGTTGCATGTGCCTGTTCATACTTTACCAACGTCTATTCTCACTTTAATTGGTAGAAAGCTCTAAAATTATATCGAAGCGTATTCCTCATGCTCTTTACCATCTCTAATAGTATTGGCTGGCTTCTTTAACTCTGCGACATCTCGGTGGCTCAAAATTGCCCCCATGTTAGCGATCTACACTTGCCATGGTCAATTGCGTCATCTTATTGGCTGAGAAACCTAGCGACAAACAAAAGATCCTGATGGGGTTTTTAGAGATACAATGCACGTGGGGTTCTTTGACGATACAGATTGCAGAATGAGTCCTTATCGCGCAAAGTCTACTTCCTTGCAACTGCTTCATCTGTCAATTGTGTCCGGCACTAGGAAGGATAGGCATTCTGTCTGCCGAACACGTGCATCATAAGGAGAGCATATAAAGTATCGGTTGGTAGTCTTTGGATACCCTTCATCTTCTGAACAAACGTTACACTCAACTCAAAATGACCTTCACTAAAGCTCTTGTCCCGCTTGCGCTCTTCCTTGCCAAGGCGCAAGCTGATGCATTCTCATCATGCCCGAATGACTTGCCGCTTTCTTGCCACAACACGACTGCTGTAGAAGACACTTGCTGCTTTGTCCCCGCTGGCCAGCTCCTCCAAACTCAATTCTGGGACTCTGATCCCGCTGGAGGACCTTCGGGTGAGTAAACACCACCAACACTAATATGTCGTCCAAACTGACCGAATTAGATTCATGGACCATCCACGGTCTCTGGCCTGACTACTGTGACGGCACATACCCTCAGTTCTGCGACAAGAGCCGCGAGTACACAGATATCAAGTCCATTGTGTCCAAGTTTCTCGGTAACTCGACACTCTCGTACATGGACAAGTACTGGGTTAGCGAGGATGGCAACGATGAGTCCCTGTGGGAGCACGAGTGGGACAAGCACGGCACTTGCATCACCACCCTTGAGCCCAGCTGCTACAGCAACTACCAGACCGGTGAGGAGGCAGCGGACTATGTCAAGAGGACCATTTCGCTCTTCAAGACTCTGCCCACGTACAAGTGGCTGGCTGAGGCGGGCATTGAACCATCCACTGAGAAGACGTTTACCGCGAGCGAGATTGAGGATGCACTTGCATCACAGCACGGTGCTCGTGTTACCATCGGGTGCAAGGGCAGCTCTCTGAGCGAGGTTTGGTACCACTTCAACGTGCAGGGCTCGCTTCAGGAGGGTGAGTTTGTGGCTTCTGAGCCGGATGGCAGCAAGAGTTCTTGCCCAGACAACGGCATCAAGTATGCACCAAAGAACTGAGATCAATGTGTAATTTTGAGATATCTAGTCTAAGTGTATACAAAGAACATGACTGCGATTATATAAATATACTCGTCTATCGCTGTGTGAACGTTCACTCATCCTATCTAAACGTTGCCTCGTAATATTTCCGTATCTTGTTACATTCCTCCATTAATTCACGGGCGCAATTCACCTTCATGGCCTCTTCCCAGATGGCCTTTTCTAGATCGTATCCAGCTATGTCGGAGACCTTGCCGATATCATCTCCCCATAGTCGTGTTATGCGCCCGTCGGGATGTTCAGGTGCCAAGTCCTCCAATATTTGCATCGGATGCGTCATGTCGAACTTGACCCTGTTGAGATGAGCAAACATTGTGCTCGTGACCTTGACATCCTCCTCGTTTAATCTTTGCTTTCTTTTTCGCATGGAAGTAGTCGTCATATTTTTCGCCCGTTCTGTTCGCAGTTTCCAGTCGTATTCGGGATCCGCCTGCCAGATTCCGCTGCCCCAATTGATCTTTTCAGATGTCACCAGCTCAGGTGGCTGTTTCACTTGCCAGAAAGGGTTGCCCAGAACATAGGCACTCTGCATGAATGTCTCCTTGTCACCCGAGCCCCAAGCGCCTTGGGAGTGAAGCTGGTAATAAAATCTTGGGCCGTAAAAGTTGTAGTAAGCAGCCAGCAAGAGACTGTCGGCGTGTCTTGCTTTGTTGTAAAGCATGACCCCTGACTCGGAGCTTCGAGAGTCGATTGTCACGTTTGGCATCTTGACCCCAGCGATCTTGTAGAACAGAGGAGATATGGTGGGCAGCCAGAAGTCTGGCCATGTTACCAGTCCGCTACCCTTGTACGGTTCCACGTCAAAGAGATGATCGGGGTTTCTAAGAGGAAAGGCATCGGCATCAAGGAATAGAATGTCTTGAAAGCTGGAGAAGATGATGGACATGACTTTGTACTGGTAAGATTGGATCCTCGGTTTGCGAATTGATGTTGTGTCTGGTAGGCGTAGGAAATCGTCCATGTTTAAGCATTGTACTTGCAAATCTGTTAATGTGTCATTGCACCTCTCCAACTCTTGTTCAGTTGCCGAGTCAAGAAAAAGCTGGACGGGTAGGATTGATCCGACATGTCGCAGCATGAGTACAGCGGTGGCTGCTACTCCGAACGCAGAGCCTTTGGAGGTGATGACGATACCCCTGGTGCTGGGCTGGAATGGAAGTTTCGGGGCAAGATGTCGCAGACCCTGGATAAATGTTTCGTGGTTTTCTTTTAGCGAGTCGATCTCCTCATCTGATACCTCTAACCAGTCTGTGTCGGTCTGGGGAGTGCTTCCATGAGGATCGAATTTATCACGTGAAAGAGACTTGGGAGGTCTGATTTTCTTGCCTTCAGGTTTGGCGTTGTAGAATTGTTGGAGTAAATCGGCCCAAAATTGGGTTGTTTGATTTGTCGGGCCAGTAAATTGGGGTTCATGGATTGTTTGACTTGGCGCGTTCGCTTGCGCCAAGCTTGATGACGTGACTCTCTGATACGCGAATGAGAGATCGGACCAGAATTCCCATAAAGTGAGGAGACAGATGAAGGCGATGAGTATTGTGATGGTTTTTATGAGGCGTTGACGCGTAGAAACGACACCGAATTGTCCGACGCCTTTTACGGCATTGTCGCGCCAAGTTCGAATCATGGTTGAAGTTGGGCTTGGCACTCTCTGGTTAGAGGTTTTGTGATATATTGTCGTTTTAAGAAGAGAATATCGTTGCGCATTGTTGTACTTCGTTGATAGAGGTCGCATGCAATGGCCAGCCGTCGCTTAGGCTCTCTATCCAATATTCAGTTCAATTGACGGGAATTCTGAGGTTTTTGTTTATCGCAAATTTGAGAGCCTCTGAATCAAATTAGCAGCCCCGCCATACCCGAGCTTCAGTGTTGTCAGCGCTAATTTGCCATTATGACGATCAACTTGAGAAACACAAAAGACAGTTGAATTGAATCGAGCGTAAAAGTCCTTCTTTTTGGATAATGAGTAAGATGAGAGAAAAGGAAATTAAAAGGATGAATGTCATATCATACCCAACCCAACAGAACAGTAAGACTGCCTATCACAACGTCACGTGCTTCGTATGACATTACGCAATCCTTCTCCCACTCTCCCGATAGAGGGCTGTGCCGTTGAACAACAGCCAACATGATTGGGTAACACTGACTGTACCATCCAACGGGCGGTTATTCACAGCACGGAACGAACCTAATCCTCATCCTTTGCTCCGCATAAAAAGGTAAAAATAGACTGACGATGATTTCATACCAAACATAAAACCTCATTCCCATGTATCAATAACATGGCTCATCTTTCACCAACAAGACTCCGTTATCCTCGGCCGATAAGCTACCAGACGAGCGAGTGATTAACACACTAAAAGTAAATCCTACCTCCATCTAAGCTATTACCTGCCTTAGGTATCCGAATAATCCCATCATCTACTAATTCATTAATTAGGCTCAATAACATACTGTCACACCCCTTGGCCGCCATCATGCGAAGCGACACAGGCATCTTCTCTTCCTTGGTTGTTACGGTGCTGTTGTATAAAATCTCACCCAGAGGCACCACAAAATCCGGGTTTCCTGCCATTGGTGAGATGAACCCATCATTGAATCCTAGAAGCACGCCTGTCAACCCTCCAGTTCCGATACCCTCGTCGTATGTGAACCTATACGCTGCCTGTGAGCTTTTGAAACTGTATAGAATAAGGCTTTCGGAACAAGTTTCTGAGTTACTGGGCAATGCCGTGTTGCTGAACCAAGTCGCGAAAGTTGTCTTGTTCTCGACAGCTTCATCCACCAGAAGTGGCAGTCCATCAGCCCAAGCCCACGATCCGTTTGTTGAAGGGTTCACGTAGGGTCGCCGTCCATCAAATTTGGCTGCATAGTCTCTATAAAATGGGTCTCGAACAAGACGGATCTGCTCTTGAGCCGAAAGCACCGCCCATGTCTGACTGAGTAAATCCTGCACGTTGGCTGGAGAGGATTTTGGTCGCGTATCAGTCCAATGCTTGGAGAGGTTGTAAGAAGTTGTTTTGGCTTCTAGAAATGCCCCCAGCTTTTGTACGAAATTCGCAATTATGTGGTCAGATGCACTCAGATCAACAGCGCTCTCGATTGGGATCCCCATGGCCGAGATTTTCTTTGGGTAAGCGCTATGACTCTTTGTGAAGTTAGAGTAGATAGCTTGACAACCTTTGGTCCATAACTTGGGATCACGCGCTAGAAACCCTGGCGTGTCGAATTGGGGCGCCAATGGAACAACATTGCTCAAATCGGCCAGCCCATGCGTCGGTCGGTTTCCGAAGAGACCGTTGTCCTCAGCCGGCACACGAACAGAACCTCCAGTATCGGATCCCAACGCAAGATCGACCCACTCGTATGAAGCTACAGCACTTCCTGGACCCGAGGAAGAGGAGCCCACCTCCTGGTATCCATCGCCACGAGGATTAAAGGGAGCCTGGTAGCCAATGGCATCTCGGGCGTTTTCAGGGGCGGCGAACTGCGTAGTCTTTAGTTTGCCAATGATGATAGCGCCTGAATCAATAAGTCGCTTTACGACAGGCGCAGTTTCATTGGCAGCCGGATACAACTCATAATAGGCCCGGCTTCCTGCTCCAGTCTTGATACCTTTGACATGATATATATCCTTGACTCCAACCCGAATACCATCGAGCGGTTTCTCAGCAGTCGGCTTGTAGTATAACCGGGACGGGACAGGAATAGTCTGAAAAGAAAAGCCGGCATACGACACTGGGAGTGGCTTGAAAACACCGTTCGCTGAAGAAACAATACCCTGGTGAAACGCGCCTTGGAAGTCTGTATAAAGCAAATATGGGACATGTAATCCCAAAGATCTTGTAGAAAGCATAAATGGACCAGGCGGAATCTCTTCACCCAAGCTAAGAGGCTCGATGAAATGGGTACCGAAACGATCTGAGGCTCGACTGGAGGAGGCAGTTATGTTTAGTGGCAAGCCATTTGCAGGTCGAACATAAATGCCTGTGTTTTGTCCTTCAGCAAACATGATGTCATGCGGAAAACGTGCAACTAACCTTGTAGAAATGCAGTATCAAACACATCATCGTAAGACAAATAGGTATCAATTGCATCGTCTAGGCTAGAATCAGAAAATAAAGTGCTTTGGGCGTTGAAGATTGCGACCCGAATGAAGCCAGCAATTGATGCCGAATATTCACTCTCTTTACAATTCCCACAACCCGCGAGATGAAACTGCGGCTCGGGATCGATGTAGTAAGACTTGTCGCCAACAGATATACTAAAACCATGATTGATGATGTTGCCTGTACTTGCTGCAAAGGACTGCAGGCAAAGAATGACAGCGATCACGCTGAAAGACCAGAAAGGCACCATGGCGTAGATAAAGCTGCAGTATAAAGACTTCATCGAATGTCGATTAGGAGTGCTTGGTATTATATCATGCCAAGGTAAAGCACTCCGAGTTGCGTCTTCATAGTTAAAGCTGCGAGGTTAATTATTTGAGAAACTGTAAGTTACTGATTTCGGGTAGATTCCGACTTCATGTGGACCCGCGGGTGGATGAAAATAACATGGATATCGGATAACACCCGAGCAATAGGTCAGGGACATCAAGTTAATACTTAATCTGGTAACCTGTCTCCAATGAAGAGTATATGAATCAGAGGTGCGTGCAATGAGAATTAAGATCTGAGTTATAATATTGGAAGGACTTTTTAAGGTTATTTTTTTTTAGAGTCAACGTGATTGCTGATATGACTGTCATCTTTAGATGTATCATGATCGACCTTTATAAATCTAAATCCTAAACTCTGACAAATCTTTCCTTAAGTCTTAAACTTCAAATAATATGCTTCGTTTGTAATATTCAATACTGTATGTACTCAGTCGCCGCATTAGCAATGCTGCATTGGAAATCGAGGACAATAGCTGCAAGCTAATCAGTGGACTACTTGATACGTGAGCAAAGTAAACAACACGAGAAGTTTAATCTGAGAGACACAAAAAGATTGCATCAACCCAGGAACAGAATATCTATTCAACAAATGAAACAGAGAGGCTTCCAAAAAAGCTATACCTAACAATAAGGCAAAAACATACAACAGCGGGGATTCGCTGGTCGTCACCGACCCAACTACTAATCCGCCCCTTACCAGCTTGACTATGGGAGAGCGGACGGGATCCCGTATTTTCTGGTAGGTATGGTCGTATGTGCTAGACTGCAGTCTAATTACACACTATATCGCAAGTTCATCAGCCAGTAATAGCTGTATTATTATTGCCGGCTTAGCTCCAATCAGCGCGGGCATCGCCATATCATCGGCATTGTTGTAATATCTGCATGATAATCTTTTGCGTTGAGGCTGCTCTAGGTTATGCATTCGATGATTGTGTCAAGGTACCCGTGAGACATTCCACGTGGAGCAGCGTTCATTATCTCCAGGCTGCTAGATTGTCATCCATAAGATGGCGATATCGATGGTGCAATAAGTACATTTCGAGATTCGTAAGTCATGTTGAAAATTCTCTTCCATTTCATCAAGCCATTAGATTGTAAATCAAGAATATTGCGTGAGCACTTATAAATTCCGCTGTCGTGGATGATTCTGTCATCCATGCTAAGAGTCTCTTGACGATGCCTTTTCCCTCCAATAAGAACTCTTCGATCTCTGGGGTCTAGCGTAGTCGTGACGTATTAATCAGCCTGGACGGAACACTACCTCAATTCGGATCTTACGTGCCGTGCTGTACTAACATCGTGCATAATAAAGGCCTTAAAATGTGAACGCTGATTGACGCTAATTGTGTTTTAATTGGCTAGCGATTGAACGATCTTAGTGACGACTGTGTTTGCGACACCCAGTGACTCAATTACGCGGTCTGTAACGACGCGCATGTTAGTCCCAGGCCATGCAGCCGGGTCAGATCAAGCCGATGACCAGTATTACGCAGAATTAGTGAGTCACTTGCCTTGGTCAATCACCACAACTCATCGAGAAAAGTGCAGATACTTATTCAGGCAGAAATTATATAACAACAAGGCCAAATAACACCAAGATGTCAGATCAATTTAATTCAGTATCATATCGTCAATATGGAGCCTCCCTACACCCAAAGAACCGGCGTCCCTCTCCAGACACGCCCGGTACTTAGCCCATTCAATCCATCAGCCCTACAGAGCCTTAATTCTATCTTACCCCCTAAGAAAAATGGCTTGACTATTCATATTCAGGATCACTACGCATCAAAACGCTATCGCCCTGGCTCTATAGTTATGGGCACTGCTATCATCAAGCCCAAGAAGCAAACTCCATTCACCAGCATCTCAATAAAGTTTGTTTGCGACTCCAGTGTTGAGCGCCCCAACGCCACTCTATTGTTTGAGACATGGCATCGATTACTTGATCTGGAAATGCCGATTGAGCAGGCGACATTACCCGCCAATAAAGTTCTTCAGCCAAATGAGACTTACACCGTTCCCTTTTACTTTGTCCTTCCCACTACCCTCGGTACAGAGGCTTGCTCACATAACGTCATATGGCAAGAAACACGCGAAATGCACTCGCATCTTCCACCCAGTGTCACCGGCTGGGAAAGTGATGCGATGATCCCAAGGGGTGTGCGCGTTGACTACGGCGTTATTGCCCAGGTCTGGGACTCGGCCAACCCTGAGTATGCTAAGATGGAGGCCAAAGAGACCGTTCAGTTCTTGCCAGGTCATATCCAACACTCACATCTGAAGATCCCTACAAAAAATAGAAATTTTAAGTTCGGGTCGTCTAAACATCTCAAATCCGGTGTCTTTGGTCGCTCTTGGGGTGAAATCACGTTAAACGCCGACCAACCCACTGCAATCGTTCTCGACTCCAGTGGAAAGAGTTTTCATCCTACAACGGTGGTAACGTCTCTCAGATTGAAGTTGTGCAATCATAAGACTAGCCTGCCGCAAATATGCAGTGTATCTGCAAAGATCGAGTCAGAAACATGGTCACAGGACGAGCCCATGCAACAGCTGCCTCACATCGTCAACGCGAGAGACTGTTACAATAGCTCCGAGACTCTGCTGAAGAAGACGGAAATTGGATTGAGCTGGGAGAAAAACTCACCAAAGCAGACAGACAATGTTGTCACTGAGACTCCCGAGACATTCAGCAGCCATATCGAGATACCCATTACGAATTTTGCGAGCGATAAGAAAATGTTTTTGCCTACTTTTTATTCTTGCCTGATCGCCAGGACATACCAACTACATCTAACTATTAATGTTGCATCAGCAACTCTAAAGCTGGTACTGCCGGTGCAGCTGACAGCGGAGGAGCAGAAAGGAGATGTGCAGCCTGACGCTGAGGATATTGGGCTCCCGGAGAGCAGTGTGAGGTATTCCAGTTCATTGCCGTCATACATCGAGTCGGAGAGGAGGCATTCACAGCCTGAGCAGTAATCCATTAAAATGAGTAATCAAATTAAACTTTATCGTCAAAATATTTCTAAAATTGTTATGTTATGCCTGGAAGTACTAAAATAAGTCCAATCATTCTCAACAATACAGATTCTCGCCTGCGCCATAATAATCGGGCGTAGGCTTCAAGGTTGCCTGGCAGAATATAACGCTGACGTTAGCCGTCGCCACGCATCAAGTCGATGGCAGTTTTTTAATAATCGACTATAGACCCAGTGGCACAACGGAACGAACCATGACTCTATAATCATCAGGGTCTCTGTATCTGAAGCACGGAGTCCGGGTCACCCTCCTACTCTTCTGTAGTGGCATGAAAATCCCATTTTACACAGAGGCTTGGTGGTAAGCGCATGGAATTGTATCAAATCACATTACATTTCATTCTTTTAGCAGGTGGCTAACTGCAAGGTGTAATAAGATTGTTGCCGCCGATTAGCATAAAGCTCAAGTGACTTTTAAAAAAGCAGAAGGTTGAGCCCGGAAGGTGTAAGAAAACGTGGCTGCCAAATCATGAAAGACGAAATTATTAGGTCGGTTTATGCCATTTTGGAACAGACCCTTGGGTAAGTTATTTTTGTACTCTAAAAATTACGGACCAAAGTTTCTTATACCCCCTCGCGAGCTCCTCCGCCACTGTCTCCTGTGTCTTTATCTCTCGATCTTGACTGGCACATTCAGGCACCTCGAATCTCACTGATTGGCTAAGTCCGCCGTTGATCGCCCAAGCCACAGCACTTACTCGTTAAGTAGTTAGTTGTCAAGAAGACGAGAGAATCACAATATATATATGTCGCTTGCAAGTCCATTTGTGATGCCGTTGACTAGAGTTGAAAGAGAAAAGAGACTAATTCTTGAACCATGTTTCCTGGTGAGCCCTCATCCTCTGGTACTGCTCTGTGATTATTGAGCCTTGCAACTTCTTGGATTCTCAGTACGGAACGTGGCTATGTCACGTGTATACAACACCGATATGGCGAACTGCGCATTATGCAGGCTACCTAATAGAGCCGCAGTAAGGCGTACTCAGGGCACTTTTTACATTTTCAACCGACAAAGGAGCTAATAGAATATGAACACGACATGGGGCTATACAAGGCTGGCCACCCATATAAGCATAGCCTAGCAATGCTGCAGTATTATACATAACTAAAAGGATCCCCCAATGTCTCCAATTTCGAATGTCATCACATTCCACTCCAAAATTATGCATTATGTCTGTTTCAATTGGGCAATCGGCACTATCGCGCGCAGAAGCAAAGGAACACATCGAACAGATTAGACGCGAATATTCTCTTGAGGGGCACGATAAACTCGCTCAGGCACTTACGAATGCGCTTCACATGTAGGTTTATGTTTGGCAATAGATATCCTAATATAGCTCAATAAAACTAACTCCACTGCTCAAGTCTTTCGACCGAGCTTTACGACCAATCAACCCACTTCATTCAAGAACTATTACAAAATGCCGATGACAACCATTTTGAGACTTCAACCCCAACCCTAATATTCTCATACTCTCCCGGACGCCTTCGTGTGGACTGCAACGAGAAAGGGTTCCTACCTCGTCACATTGATGCTCTTTGCACTATACGAGGTAGCACCAAGACAGACAAAGATCAAGCGCCTTACACCGGCGAAAAGGGCATCGGTTTCAAAAGTGTTTTTCGCATGGCCGATGTGGTTTGGATCTCGTCGAATAGTTACCAGTTTAAATTTGACAAGCATAAGCAGTTTGGCACAGTTGCACCAGAATGGGTGGAAGACTTCCCAGTGCATTCAAGCTCGGAATATACAACATTCTATCTGGAACTATGCCCACAAGACGACATGGAGGAATTGGTTGAAAAGCTTGTCGACTTTGACGCCGATCAGCTACTGTTTCTTCGGAGGTTAAGACAAGTCAAGATTAACATTGAGCGAGAGCATCAGGACTTGAGCCATATGATCCGTCGGATAGACGAAACGGATGGTTGTGGGAACCTCATAACAACACTGGATCTTGGAACTTCAAAGAAGAGGTTTATGGTCAGAAAATTTCAAGTCACCAATTTACCTGAAGAACCAAGACGTCGAAATCAAACTTGTTCGGAAATGGTTCTGGCTTTTCCGTTGATGGAAGAGCTGCCAGACGGAGGCACCGCCATGCCTGTGTTTGAGGCAAAGCTCTTTGCAGGTCTACCTGTTGGCGTAGATGGAGGACTCAAGGTAAGGTCGGAGCCTAGCAGTTGATGTCTCGATCAACTAACGATATACCTAGTTCTTGTTGCAGGGCGATTTCATACTAACCGCCAGCCGCCTTCACCTTGATACATCGCTTCGCTGGAACCAAGGGCTCCGTGACGGTCTAGTCAATGCATTCTTAGAATCAGTACTTGCATTCAATGCGGGTATTCACCGCTATATTTGGCCCTTCTTTCTTTCCTACGACAAGAAGGTTTCCTCTTTCTTCCAATCTGCAACAAAATCAATCTGCGAAATGTTGAGGTTAATGGATTGCTTGGAATCCATGGAGGGTACCATGGTGAAGCCTTCAGCACTAACATATGTGGACCTAGAAAAATTCGGCGACAGCTCCGAAGACTTTCTAACATTGAGCGCCAAGACGTCGCCACTGTATCTTTCTAACAAATATCCGGCATGGACTATACCAGGAATCCTAAGTCTTGGCGTGCGAAGGCTTTCCGCCACCGAGTTCCTGGAACACTTTCGCACACTTCTTTCAGAAGAAGACTCAGCGTTCAGAAAAAAGTCGTCTAGCTGGCACGGAGATCTTGCAAAAGTTCTTCTCTCCCTCATATCGGATGAGAGAATCAGGAAGGATCTAAGAAACCTCCCTATAATTCCACTTACAGAAGGAAGATGGGTCTCGGCGAGCAACAACCCCAAGCCTGTTTTTGTATCAAAAGATCTCGAGTTGGACGATTTCCCAACCCACAGCGGATTGCCGATTGTGGACCCTGAAGCAACAGCCCATAAAGACAGAAAGGCGTTGTATCAAGCATTGGGAATCGCCACCATTGGAAAGGACCAGGTTTGTGAGTTCATATGCCAGCAACATGCATCGCCAGACTTCAAGCCCGAAAAATGGACAACGGAGCAGCTAATCAAACACGCAAAAATGCTTTTCGAGTCTCATTGGACACCACCAGCTCAACATGCTGATCTATGGTTTGTCACAGCTGATGACAGGCGTTGCAGGGGGTCTTCTCTTTGTTTTCGTGAGGAAGCAGGGAGTCCAGCGTATCAAAGAATCTTCAAACACCTCGAACAAGAGTCCCCCACATTACATCCAGACTATTTCAAGGATAGCTCAGTCACCGAGTCGCCCTTAGATGGCATAGACCTCTTTTCTTGTCCGCAGCAACGACGATCAATCTGGTCTAAATTCCGGAAAACAGGTCGATTTCGAATGAGGTGGGGGTTCGATTTGCCAGACATACCTGGCAAAGTCGAGGACCGGTCCTGGAAAGAGTTTCTGGTCAAATCCCTCCAATTATCGGCCATTCCACGCCTGGCAGTAAGAACTGCGAAAGGGACCGTCGTATCTAAAGAGTTCAAATCCATACTCCGAAACTGTCCTGTCACAGATTGGTTACAGCTGCTTGAGGACGAGTGGCACACCTATTCCAAATGGCTCGGACCTGGGGGAGAAAACGCTGTGAGCTATTCGAATTATGATACAGCAGGTGACCTATTGTCCACCAAAGTGAAGAATTTGGAGGTTCTCACGTCGCGTGGTAGACAGAGGTTGTGCACCACGTTTGTCCCTGGTCTGGATGACCTGGTTGCTGACGTTCCCATCCCCATCCTCGATATCAAAGGCGACATTGGCAAGGTCACTAGAGAAAGGCTGAGGCTACTTGGCGTGACTGTGGAGAAGGATATCAGATATTATCTTTCTTGCTTGAGGGCTCTGGTAGACCAGGTTTCTCCAGACGTCGAGACCCTCACCTACATCTACGAACGAATCCAAGCACATTACAACGACGAGGACATCTTAATTGAGTATGAAACAATGTAAAATATTTGCAAACATTTTGTTCTAACTAACTGGAATTAGGCATGCATTTCAGAAAGACAGATTGATATACGTCGATGGATGGGCTGTAAAAAACAGTGACAAATGCCGAAAAGGGTGGTTCAACGCTGAGCAGTGTTCAGATAAGAAAATAAGAATGGGAGAGCTGTATCCCCGTTGCGAAGCTCTCTTCCGGTCCCTCATGATTACTGCAGGGTTGAACATCAACGGCTTGGTAGAGAAGGCGACTAAAATGGAACCCTCGACTCCTCGAACAGACATGATGGAAACATTCGCGAATATCAACGACATTCTCAAAGCTATGAGCGCGAAGAAAGCTGCCAATGTTGTCAAGCCTTTGTTAGACTCAGCAGTCTTTCCTGTGCTTACCCAGGCCTTAGGCGGTAAACGGAAGCTCATGAAGCCAAGCAACACAACATGGTTCATTGCGGACCGGAAACATTTGAGAGACAGTTTTCTCGGCAAGCTTCCTCTCTTGGACTTTAGCATCGAGGAAGTTGATGATATGTTGGACTTGATCAAAGCACTGAACTTGCACAAGCGGAAACTGTCCCCTCTTGTCGACTGTCGGTGTCATCCGAAGGGTCAATTGGAATATTCGATTCCAGCAAGCTGGTATTTCCGTACACGTGCACCATTCATCAAAGCGTATGACTTCGTCGATTTCTTTAGTCAATATCTTAAAATGAAAGTAAATCGCTGACTTGCAGTAGACTCACAGCGTCATCGAAAAGCGAACAAAAGTCTTGGTCCAAGCTTCTTGAGAGAGCCCGCGTCAGCTTTGCAGCTGGAGTGGAACGCCGTTATGTCCTGGAAACAGACTCAAAATTGGTCCAAGGACATCCAGAGGAAACCATGGCTTCGTGCTTTGTTTCGAGCGGCTCAATAAAAATATTCCTCGCAAGGGACTTCAGCCTCGATTCTCAAAGCGCTGTAGCTGCGGTGGTGGAAATGGTCTCACAGCATTTCGATTTCAAAGACCCGTTGATCATACACTTACTCTACACTCTATTCAGTGAGAAGGATCATGACATGGCTCTTCGAGCTTTTGGTCGACAGGGTTTCCAGGTAGATGGTAAATCCAGATCGCGGTGTTTTTCTTTGGTCTCACTGCTAACGGTCAATCACAGCCTCGGAACTAGGATCCTGCCAATTTTACCCCAGGGAACTGGGCGCTGTGCCATCTCCATTCGAATCGTCGGGATTCGTCGGGGATGCAAGCTATGTCTCGACAGAGCCCACCCGCTTGGGTGTCCGGTTCACCCATAAGAAAGGATTTCCGACTAGGAAAAGTCCTGAAGCAGACAGAAGGTTGCCGATCAAGCGATATATTGACTTTGATGATGACTCCGAGGAAGCGCGCAAACAGCTGCTTGAACCTGATTACAATCTTGAATACCTGGGGCAGCGCATTGTAAGTAGACATTACCAGCTTCGAAGCGAGTAGTAACACAACTTATAGGTTTCATCCTTCTTTGCACGCACGCTGGGGCATACGTATACGCCAAATTTGCATTGGAAAAGTCGTCTACGTTTTCGTGGAGGCCTTGACGTTTCAGATATACCCGAAGAATCATTCCCTTTCATCATCGCAGATCCAGACGGTTCAAAGACATTGACAGACATGCTCACTAAGTCAGGGCTAATTGAAGCCAAAGCCTGGGAGCAAAACTGGCCAGCATACCATTTCGAACTTGCCATATCAGAAGGTGGTAAGGACGACCAATTCACATGGACTTGGGAGCAACTAGAAAGGGTGAAGTATTCCAAGTATCGTTGGAATCTCTCAGTCCCCTCGCTAACGTATTTCAGATCCGCCTACAAGAAGAGGAATATGACAGTCAAACTGGCCAAGAAAATGTTGTGGTCATGATCAGGATCTACAATGTCTTCAAATTGCCTAGCTTGCAGTTTGTACTAGATCCTTGGGAGGCAATCTGGTCTAGAAGATCACAGATTCTCAAGGGCTCTATCTTCAAGATCATCATGCTTTTGGACCACGAGGAGGATATTGCCACAGCGGCCGCCCAGCTAAAGGACTCGTCAACAAATACAGACCAAGTACCTACGATTACAATCACCGAAGAAGCCGACGACACCGACGATCGGACAACGCAACAAAATCCCCAAAGTTTAGGACACGTCAATGGCTACCAGTATAATTATACTCCCACTTTCCAGCAACAACCATTTTTTGCACCCCCATCATACGCGTCTTATGATCCTAGTTGGTTAACCTCATGGGCTCAGCCAACTGCGTATTGGACAATGGACGGACAACTCATTTGGAACTATCCTATTCCTGCATCTCATGGCATCCCTGAAAAACTTTACAATGCTGCTTCACAGGAGACTTCCGACGATTCGGAATATAAGACACCTCTATCGAGAGAGATATCCACTGAAAAGTGGGATAAACTTCCGAAATACAAATATAGTCGCCTCAAAGACAAAAAAGAGATACGCGTGTTTGTGTTGTTACCTGGGAAAGAAGACGACGTCCTCCGAGGTGTTATCCAAACATGCCCCTTCAAGGATCCTATTGCCTACAACACCGTGTCATATGTTTGGGGAGGAAATCAGCAGCCGCGCTACAAACTGCTTACGCCCGAAGGAGTCTTGAATATACAAGCATCATTATTTCTGGTCTTGAAGCGCATAAGGAAGACAGACAAGCCTATGGTACTTTGGGTCGATGCTATTTGCATCAATCAAAACGACAAGAAGGAGAAGTCTCAACAAGTAAAGCTACTTCCACAGATTTTTCAACGCTCGGAGTGTACCTATGCCTTCTTAGCCAAGGATCCCGGACATGATACTGCCATTAAAATGCTCACGCGGGCGTTTATAGACTTGATTGGTATCAACGATAAGACCTCGGAATCACTGTCGGATATTTCTGAGTGCCCCGACGACTTGGCAAAATTTGAAGTCCCGTCTCAGAACGACCCTATATGGCAAGACCTAGCTGAGCTGCTCGATCACACATGGTTCAAGCGGGTATGGATTGTACAAGAAGCCGTAGCTTCGCCTAGTGTCATCTTTGTTTGCGACAAGCTCTCCATCGGATGGAATGTCATGTCTCAGGCACTCACTTATCTCGATTCGGGCAGGTCACTACCTCCAGAAGTATCAGTGGCGATGGAACCCTTCACAACCCTCGATAACCTGCGTGAATGGGATGCTAGACAGACACGCTGGTCTATCTTGCTTCTACTTGAAGGTTTTCGCGGTTTGCAATCTGGACTGAAGCGAGATCGTTTCTATGCACTATTGGGAATTGCATGCGATGGAAACTTGCCGGATTTCGAGCCCGACTATGAAATCCCGTTCGAAGATGTTGTCATAACCTTTGCGAGAGCTCTCGTGTCCAACGGAGAAGGGATACAACTTCTACACCGTGCCGGAATCAGTACTCAACCAGACAGATTTCCGTCATGGATTCCAGACTGGACTGTGCCGAAATCTCCAAGTCTGGATGACTCCTTGTCTCGGGGCATTCAATATCATACGTGTGGCAGTGACAAAAACGTCAGAATTTCATGTCTTGGCAAGGACGAGCTACTCGTAATTGGATATCAGGTCGACAAGATCGCGCGTATTACAAAGTCTTCCAACACTCCTGGCTCATGGCGACAATACTTCGCAGAGATCCATTCCATGGTGGAAAGCCTTCAATGCTCTTCTGGACTGAAACAGAGTTACCTATGGGAAGTACCAGTTGCAGGCTCTCGACACGGCAGAGTAGCGGAGAGCGACTATATCGATTTAGTGGATTCCTACAAGGCATTTCAGAAGTTCATGAAGAAAATGAAATGGAAGAAAGGCTACAAGATTGCAGACATCTTCAACTCAGCGTCCTCCGAGGAATCCCGAGCATCTGAAGAAGGAAACCTGGCGCAACGAAGCAGGAGTTATGCCGAGTTACTGACAGGGACTTTGGAAGGTTGGCGGTTTGTCAATACAGAGGAGGGCAGATGTGGTGTTGTACCACCAGATGCACAAGTTGGGGATGAAGTACTGATTGTCGGTGGAGGCAACGTGCCGTTTCTTTTCAGAAAGAGTACCAAGCGGCAAGGCTCGTATCAACTGGTTGGTGAATGTTATGTCGATGGGATTATGCAAGGGGAGGTGTTCGATGAGGATAAGGATATTAACCAGAAGATAGTGAATTTGGTTGTTCATTAGTGATTTGTAGGATAATAAAATAATAAAAACCATCGTATGCAGTATATTGTAACTCTGACTGTCCATGCATTCCTTATCTACCGGCCGTCTGTGGAACTCCAGTCACAAAACAAGATAGCATCTATTAACTGATTTACCTGAGTATGAACCTCTATGATCTATATCTTAGTCTCGTAATAGTCATCCTATTACAACAACCGTCATAGTATGGTTATCGATAGAGAATTTCCAATGCGTATCCACTGCAGCATTAACCAGCCGCATACGGTACGAGGTACCAGCAACGAAAGATACATTAAATCGAGAACCAGTCTAAGATAAATTATCATTATCACCAAATACATTAGTGCCATTAATAAGTCTATTATTTAACGTCAGAGGACTATCTATCTATGCTAAATAGTAGAGCTTATCTACAGTTTAATAATCCCAGTTATTTAAAAAGATTATACTGAGATCCTTATCGTAATATGCAGTAGCAGGACTATTAATAATAATACCGCCAAATATTCCTTACCAGGCTTAGAGAGCCTAATATAAGTAATACCATATTAAGCTATAATGGATAGCCTTCCAAGTATAAGTAACCGTTTCGCTAACTGCTAAAAGGCACTAGGTTATAAATAAAACACTGTTATACTAGTTAATATAATTCTGGCGGATTCTATGCTAATGCATACTGGTACCATTCAGTGATATACTTAAAGAGTTTATCATATAAATTATAATAGTATTACCCTAATCAGCAAATAGAGTAGGGCCTAGAATAGTTCCATTCACGGCCATAGCTAATTATAAATAGCCGTCCGGGGCAACAGTGACATCAGTCAGCTCTAGCCAATATTCACGGGTAATGCCGGTATCAATAGCTTCGGACAAATAGTCAGTGTCCATGGAGTATTCGCACCATGTTGACCTAGTAGAGGCCGTGTTTCCATCGTAAACTGCGCGACGGGCAACGGCTGCGGCTGCGGGACGATCGACAGTAGAAGAGTCAGCCTTCGGAAGCCCGATAGAGCCGGCAAAGAGCAAACGCCAAAGCTTCATGACTGGTACAAGGGGCGGAAGCAGGAAGAGGGAAAGTAAATAACGATGAGTAGCAGTTAGAATTTCGTACAGATCAAGTACAGACGAAGTCCTCCACTGGCCTTAAGTACTTACATCTTTCATACAAGACTCCTACAAGCTGATCCACGAGGAGGTCATTTCAATACCGCAGAGACTTATAGGATTCGTAACGCCCCGTGGATACTCTTGTGATGTTTCTGTGGCTTCCATTGGTGTAGCAGAGAATAGTAACCCGACATTCTGCTCATTTGTCTCTTGAACTCAATAGGAGTAGCTACTATAGCCCTACGCCTCGAATAAGTTGTCGTCAGCTTAAACCAGGCGCCACTCGGAAACAAAAATCGGGCCGTTCCAAACACTATGCTTGAATACACTTTTCGTATGTTTGCTGAAAATTTTCGCGCTTGACTACCCGCATCCCGTCCTTATCTATATGATTTGGCAACCTATATATCATGTGGGTAAGAGAAAGGTTGTACCTTGAAGTTTGGATGACAGAGATAGATAGTCTAAAACACTTGTCTAAATGCCATAAACCGACGTAATAGTTTCATTCCTTAGGTTATCGGTAACCGATTCTTTTCAACGTCCCGGGAATTCTTAAGATGCCGGAAGGGTTGTGGGGACGAACCGCGTAAGTTGACACGGACCTTGAAATAAACGAGGACGCGGCACTTGGACACTATACCTACCGAAGTGGAGTATAATTTCCGTACCTTTCTTAAGACTTGCTATATCAATGCTCATGTTCTTCCGCTATTTTCACCGACAAGCAAACTTGGCACCCATACTCTGATTCCTTTCAACCAGTTCTACAGTGATGCGCTCCTCTTATGTCATGAAAGTTGTGCTGCCAGCTTTGGTTTCCATGCAACGGCAGCTTTGAGTGAGGGGCCCTTTTCTATTTATGCTTATGGTCCCGGCGTGGGCGGCCTTCCACTATTTTCGTCAGGGGGTATGATTATTTCCCAGTGTTGATAGAGACACTCACTGATGTTTGACAGACGAGATATTTGTAGGCAATTTCAGTCGTCTGAATGATTCTGAAGCAGCGCCGGTCCAATGTAAGTCACGTCATCTTATACGAATACTGTTCTCGATGGCTAATACAGCTTGAGTCGCCGTGGGAGACGATCAGTGGAAGGGATCTCCCAACCCCACGGGTTATGCGCAAGATCAGCATCCAAGCTGGTCTAACAAAACACTTGTGATTCCTGGACCGTCTTCGTCTTCTCATATCGTTAGAATGATCAACGACACAGCCGATGCTAGCGATTATGTTTTAAGTTTCATGCTCTATGGATCCTTCGTTATGGTCGAGGAGGGCAGGGAAATGTTCTCACTGTGGTACGGGGAATCATCTGACATCGAGGGCGTTTACACTGTTGGTTGGAATGCCTCAATTGCTGGGGACTCGGGTGGAAAGGTACCTCTTACTTTGAAGAAAACTCCTCCGTCTGGCCCACCTCAGCTGTAGAATAGTGGCAGTCGAGGTAACCTAGCATGTGTGTATCTCATCTGTCTTGCGATAAATCGAGTCACGGATTCTTAAGTACGGAGAACCTAACAAGCTAAAGCGGCAATCAAGTTATTTTTAGTTTTTTTCTTTCTTTTTTGGATACAATGTTACAATAAAAAGCACCATATTACTGTGTCTGCATAATAGATCCAGGTTACGCGTTGCGTGCCAAGGCTCAGCCACAACAGCTTGATGTGACTGTGTCTGACGATAGAATTCTTCATAAGTGACAAATTCCCCGTCTAAGGCGGCAACTCGTATCTAGCTGGAGTCCCATCAAACTCTTGTCTGGCTGACGTCACATGGAGCTCACCTGTATTGCTTAACGTGTTCTCGGGATGAACCGTGCCCGTGGTTTCTGTCGAACTGCCCAATGAATTTACCTCGCGCGAATCCAGCTGAGGTTTGTCGTGCATATCCTCAACAGGCCTTTTAGACCTTCTTTCTCTTCGCCATAATAGTATAATTGCAACCACGATCCCAAGACCAACAGCACCCACTCCAAACCCAATGCCAGCCTGCTCACCCACCGACAGTCCACTAGAATTATAACCTGGAACGTTGAGCCCGGGGATATTCGTAGGGTAATTTACTTTGACTGACGGAAACGTTAAAGTTGCTGCGTCGTTGAATTGCCGTCTGGACTTCGTGGGGGCCCGATTCCCAATGACCTTAGTTGAGCTTTTGGAAGTCGTGTCGTCGAGGACTTGTTCCTGTAGAAGTGAAAGTCAGTTCTGGGTCGATACAAGGGGAGGCGTACCTACCTTTGTACCTCCATCGTCACCGCACCTTTGCACTTGCATCGCTTCTTTGCAAGCACTGCAACTTTTTGGAAAAGTCTTGCATCGTCCAGAATATGTCGCGTCGTCTATGGAAGAACCCGAAGTTGTTCGTGGTCGAGGCATCTTGATAGTGTATTGGAATGCAACTTGGTACAGAAGCGTTGAACGAAGAGGGAACTAGTTGAATCAGGGGAGGCCAAAGATGAAAGACTGTACAAGAAATTGACTTGACATCATGTCTCGTTTGGCCCCCAAAATACCGTTTCAACTTTCTCCAGTGAATGGTTGAGTACCAACCAGTGCCCCATTGTGCATATAGCCAAGCACGAGAAAACAGCTCGGTAATTACTGGATTAAGCCACGAGTGACATCATAATCCTAGCTACATATTATGATTGATTGGACTTTACGTCTCATTTATGCATACTCCGCCTACCACAATAGTGAAAATCATGCTTAATGGAGAAATAAAGTATAGTTTCCTGTAAATCTTAACATTGACATTCTTTTGTGCTGCTAGTTATGATTGCCTATATTTGAGGTTATAACATAGTGTCGCCCCATTTAACCCTTTTGGGACAGGTAACCCTACAGCCGAGGCTATATCAGCTGCACGGTCCAGGCACGGCGAATTCTTCTGTCCATTCGATAATGTGTCTAACTTTTTGGAAAGCAGTTATTGAAGTCTTGCTTGTGAAGTAAATGGTCAGTAGGTTATTGAATTGTCTTGAGTCCGCATACCCTATACCATCCCAATCTCTCGTAGGTGATTCACAAGTGGAAAGGACTCCGTGTTGCAGATTCAATCGATCGACTATAACCTCACGGAGCCTGTTACTGACATTACAAATGTGCCCATAACTAGAATAGCTAATTATTCCTAACAAGCCCCAGATCTAAAGCAGTGCTATTCTCATTTGTCCGACAGATCGCCTAGTATGACGCGTCAAGTCAAAGCTCAATTCACCTCAGAGGAAAACGTCAGAGCCTCCTCTATCAATTCGTCTTTCAGTCGAAAACAGAGGAAAGAGACCAATTCATGCATTTTCAAGCTTGATCATCTGTTCCCTAGTGCCCTGTAGTCCAGTTACTCAACGGTCGCATACGAATGCTATAAAGTCCCATCATCGACTTGATATCAAATACAAGCTTTCCACTAAATAAGAACACAGGATTGAATTGAGATTTTATGGATCTGTTTTAGAGATGAGATCTGTCGCAAGTACACAACCCCAATATTCAGGTAACTAAAAGCATGCCTTGTTGGTCGCCAATGATTAACTGCGCCATGCTGGTCTAGGATGTCTTGCATTGGTGAATTACAAGGGTTACAATCTTCACATCGGCTACACCTCATCCGGCTGTGATTCTTCATAGCCTAGTGGAGTAGATAAAACACCAAATGGCAGAGCAAGTACAACTACAGGGTCTCATTCACCAGTTCAACGACCACTGTTCCAATCACTGAAGCCATGAACGATGAACCAACTCTACATACAGTCATATGTGTGATTTAATATTTGGCGCGGGAACCCTCTTGGTGGCATTGGGATAGATGCCGCCATCATTATTGACGTCAAGGTCTTAGTTGACTTCTAACCATAAGAGTGGCGAGTGGCAGAGAGTCAGCTTCATCACTGCCTTGTCCTTTCCCGCCCCCTACTGATTTCCTGGCTGTGTGGGTGCATGAAGCGCCTATGCCAAAGGATCAAAGGCGTATTTCTGGCCAATGTCGACATGGATCCAGGATAAGGCCAGTAATAGACGGCCAACACTGAAACTTGCAGACCCCCCTGTTGGTCCATGGTGCATTATATGCTGACATGGTTGATTGCCAAATATGGTAATGTAAACGTCACTCACTGTGTTCTCAGTCTACTCATTGCGCTTGTCTACCTTGTGGGACTGAGGAGAAGTCTGCCACCACGGGCTTGATGCTGCTGCTGCTGGACAAGGGAGCCGACCCAAATTTGGTATTGCCTCAGTGAGGGGATCCAACCTACCACTGGTAAGGCTGAGTGGACAATGTGAACCCCTGTTTCGGTGAAATTAGGGTCTAGATTAACATAGTTCTGCATTCGTGCTAACCTTACTTAGGAAGGTGGCGGTTAACCAAGAAAGATTAGAAGGTGCCAGCTCTTCAAGCACATATGGCTTTCTACTTGTACCAACTATATAACAAAGCTATTGTAAAACCAGCACACCCCCAGAAAGATCATACCCTGCTCCGACAGACCTCGTTTTATTTCCGAGCCACGCGAATGCTCTTGTCCACTGGACAACCGCCATGTCGGATGCTGCGAAGCCCATGCTGGTTCCTCATTCCTACATCGAATTGGACACCGAATATCAATCTCACGGTTCGGAAATTTCACAATCTATAGAGGAAACGTCGCACGCACATTCAAAACCTCGAAAGTCGTACAGAAACTCCTTCAATGACGCATGGCAGGACCTAAGTACCACTCCCCATCGCGTCAAACAATGGCAAAGAGTTACGTCCCACACACGTTCGGCAGCTCTAAAGCCGTTCAAAAACTCTGTCACAGAAGCATGGCACGACCTTCTTGGCGCTCCCCATCGCCTCAAGATGGTACAATGGCGCCGCTTGGGCCTTCGTTGTATTATCACTGTCTGGACCCTGTCTCTGTTAGCCTTGACTATATGTCTTGCTCTATCGCTCCCTATGAGGCTCGATGAATATAGTCCTTGTCCGTCAAACGGAGACTTTCAGTTCACTTTATCTGACACAATATATCCTCAGGGTACTTTCAACTATTGGGCGCCAAGCGGTTTCTTTGACATTACTCTCGCCTGGGGGCGATTTGACTTTAGCACTGTCAAACTCATCGATGTGGCCTGGGATCTAGTACGTACTCATCTATCGTTGCATATGTATATGTATCACTCTATTTGAAGCATCGGCTAACGCAATAGAATCCAGGTGGTTGGAAGAGGCGGCCAAGCAATTATGGCTCTAGTATCTTGGCGGGTGTTTGCTGAGTACCTCCAAGTGTCTCTCGCTACTACGCCAGCTACATATACAACAGTTTGGCTACTCCGATTCCAGCAAAGTTCTTCTGCATTTTCGACCTGGCAACTCGCCTCGGCCTTTTTCAGACGTGGACTGGCTTCGAAAACAGCAATGGTTTTCACAATTCAGGCAGCAATATTCACCATGGCATTTCCCACCTTGATTGCCTCGATGACTGGATATACGCCAAAGAACGAACCATTTATAGTTGCGGATAACGGAAGACTTAATCCACTGAATGATCTTATCCCAGCAGCCTACGTTATACATGACGGGGACAGAGTAAAGGGACTTACAAAGGAATACGGCATACCTTGGAGAAGTGGTAAGATACTAATTCTACTACATGATTCATGAGTGAGTGTAATAGCTCACTAGCTCTAATCCTAGATTCATCCCTTTCATTAACTTCTGCCGCCGTTTCCTACTGTTCTTCTTGGAACAGGTCATATGTTAAGGATGACTGTGAATTGCAGCTGAATGTGTCGGAATGTGAGTCACCAGCCCATTTCCATTCTATAATTTCGTTGCAGCTCGGCCTGACGCTTCATTTTGCAATTAGATATACAGGAGTACGGCTTCAAAATCGCGGGCTCTGAAGTATCGGGAGAAAGGACATCCTCCGAGATCCGGAACACAACAGACTTCGGTGGTCAAGAGATAGACTGGCCACCATTGAGCATTTCGGTCTTCTACTTACCAGGCGCACGGTTCTACTGGAATACATCAGCTGCTGATGAATTCTATGACAGAAGTGGTGACTATGAAAAACCTTTTAGGGATGTTTCAAATGCCATGTATTTGATGGACGATAGGTTGTATAGCCCGACAGAATTGAACAGAAAGGGTACTTGTCAACCGATGAAAGAGGATGTAGGTCAACAATCCTCTCATGATATTCCATTCCCCTAATGTATCCAGGAAACCATTCAAAGATACCAGTGGGGATTCTCATTTCTTCAACTCTTTTCTTTGACCATCCTTCTACAACTTTGGACCTTTGGTCTAGTAATCATGTGGACAAATTCACATCGCACACTTAGACTCAACAATAATCCAGCACCCAAGCAAGGCTGGAAGGCCCTTCTTGACTTCGCAGCCGCGATTAACCTCGAACTTAAAGGTGTTGGAGTAGATCCAGAAGTCACACGAAATGAAGACCTCGAGAACGAAATTGAAAAGCTATTGCAAGGCGGATCTATAACGTCACCACAACTAACGCATGATTCTTTCAGCGCTTGGCGTTGGATATGGGAGCACAAGTGGCAGTTGCTCGCGTTTCTATTTTTCGTTTCATTTATAACTCTGGAGAACGTTCTCCGTTTCTATGGGTTTTACTCTTATTCTCGACATTTGCGATATCGGCGCCGTCCTGATCACCTCCTCCCCAAAGCCGTTGAAGGAGTCATTTTTATGATCTTATATGGGACTCCCTGTTTAGTCTCGTCGTTTCTCATCGGGAAAAGTTACGTCAAGAGGATTGTGACTTTCCTGCTTCTGGTGGGTTTATGTGTTCCATTCCTCTTCTATGATGCAGTTGAACGCGACTTAGTTCTGCCAGGGGCCCTTCTTGGCTGTACTCTTGCGCTAGGACTTGGATCTACTAGGGGCAGTCGCGTGGTTCTGTTTACTGTACCGTTCGCATGCAACTATATGATTGTTTTCATACGTTTTCTGTGTCGGATTAAGTCTGACAAAGAAGATTATTATTGGTAGTATTGAATGGGAATTTCTTAATTCCTCGTTCCCCTGTGCCTTGCCGTGATATGTCGCTTAAGGGTATCTTATCTTATCTCATCAAAATCTCACCGCATTGTGGATACGGGATAGTATTCTGAATAATGCGTGTCGTAATTCTCAACGCAGGAGTCGAAAGATTGCGAAGCAAGTACCAAACTGCTGATCTGATACCTCTCTCAGAGTTAGTAAGCACTCTGCAACAGGTCTACTCCACCTTCAATACCGTGTTTCTATTCATCGACGCTCTTGATAAATGTGAGAAAATTGATAAGTTGGCGGGAGCATCATCGCTGTTCTTTCCCTTGCCAGGCTTGACGTAGCAAATGTCCTTTCGCGATCGTGGAGATGATTTGGGAAAGGCATTGCCGGTGCCATATGGTGCTGCTTCAATGTGAGGTCGCTTAGGTAGTCCGTGTGAGGTGGCCACTACCGAAGACACAAGTGCACATAGCGCTGCGGTTGAAAAGACGCTGTGGACCAACATGTTGACAATGAGATGCGATGAATGGCTCAGATCTTGTTTCCCTAGACTGGACCTCAACTTATATAGTTCAAATATACCACTTGCGCATGGCATTAGTGGAATAGCCGTTACGGGCAATGTAGTCTCTGATTGGCTCACAAACATCAGGTCCCCCAACCCCCAAACCTTTACCCCAATGACCTTGTCAAGCCAGCTTGGCAAGGACGATTCGGGATTAAGTCAAGACATCGAGATGATTATACCCGTAAACCCCACCGTTTACTCTAACCCAACTATTATGGGACCTGAATGTTTTGCAACACTGACCCCAGGACGTCAGAAGAATTAGCCGTCGAAAGCCTAAAAGACGAAATAGTCAGTTAATTCATGATCCTTAGATAAGCCTCTTGGGCTATTTATTTCTGTTATCCTAAGCCTAAGGGGCCAACTTCTCTTTTGCTCGCGACTGACTAATAGAAACACCATCCTTCACCTTAATTCAACATTCATGAGTTGTCTCCTCTCCTCTTCGCATCTGTCCTGCTCTTGGCACCCGATTGGCGCCTCCTGCCTCCATCTTGCATAATGGGCTGCCCCTCTGGCACTAACAAAGACAGGATCAACTACTGCCATTCCCTTATGAACGAATACTAGTTCAACCTCGTTTTCTATCTGCGGATATCCATTACCAACGAGCGCACTTCGTAAAGCTTGAAGAAAAGCCGGATGTGTCGCGTTCTCTCCCGTCAACAAAATTGTGTCGAGGCGAAAACCTTCAGGGACTGTGCCGCAGAAACCCTGCAATCTTTCCGCCACGCGCGTCCAGAAGTCGGGTTTGTCATCCGAGGCAGCAAGACCTAACCCAACGTCCACAAACGTCTTGTCACCACTTCGTGGCTGGAGAAATGTAAATGCAGAAAAAGGCCTGATAATGTCTCCACGTAAATCAGTAGGAGTTATTCCCACGACCAGGGTCGTTTCTTGTGGAGTATTGTCCCCCTCCTCCTCACACTGCCAGAAGTTTTTGTAATTTTTGCAAAAGCCTTTCCCGTGTGCCCCGAAAATAGTATATGACTCCAGAAGCTGGGTTGGGTATCCGCCCGCAGTGGGTAGAGGAAGTGTGACTTTAGGACGGGGCAGATCAGTGGCCACCCATGAACGGACACGCACATATTCGAGCGCATCCCAGAGATCATGTTCTGCTAAGCCTTGAACGCGGGGGTGCGCCACTGCGACTCTGTCCAGGGAATTGGTGATTTCGATAGCAGTCGCGTCGCGTAGGGAGTCAAGTATGGTGGCGAGGACACCGACATCGGGCGTGGCTGGCTTTCCAATCCTTTTGTTGAAAGATCGTCGTAACTTCTGCCATCTGGATAGTGGTGGAGGTAGAGGAGAGTTGGCTAGACGGTTCATAAGGGCGGCATATTCCGGATTTGCAGGGATATACGCAATATTTTTAACAGTGCCATTGTAGAAATGAACGGCGGCGGTCCTAGAATTAAAAGACCAGTTCATCTGTCTTTCGTACGAATGAATGATTCGCGTGACAAGTTCAAAACATCATACCCTGAAGATAGCGTGAGACTGAAACCAATCCCAGGCGCATTGTGAACACTCGCGGGTAGACACTCAGCACAAGTAGGGAAAGGCTCAAAATAGTCATCAAAAGCCTTTGCGATACCAATCAGGCCAAATAGAAGTGCTAAACTCATTTTGAGATGAAAAACAACAGGAAATTTGCATGAAACGTATAAGAAGAAGTCAAGTGAGACAATCTTAGATTGTTTCAGATTATCTGCTTCTCGGAGGAGGTCACATGACAAGTCGAGTAGCCTTTACCCTATATTTGCATAATTTGCTTCATTCAAATTGGTATAGCAATCTAGTTCGACTTTTTGAAAGAATTCTTCAGAGATACCGAAGCCGGTTGACCGATATAACAGCTAGTTGGCGTCTCCAATATCCTCCCAATTTTCTAATTGTGCTTTATTCGCATGGGAAGCTTGCAGCAGTAGCGCAAGCAAGAAAGCTAGCATTCACTCAGCTCGATTGCAGGTCCAGCCGCTACGGGTCTATGCTGATCTTTTGCCTTGTGACCAAGAATGTGATAGAGTGGTGGTAAAATACTATTGAGAAGATAGAATAGTAAGAATGTTGATATGCCATGCCAGCGGACACAACCAGTGGCTTAGGTGATATAGATTGCTCGATTAATCAAAGTTTCCTTCATAAATTCAGGAACCCAGTATAGTTAGACTAGTCCTAGCTGTACATGACAGATCATGCATGTGAAATGCTAAATGCGCAAATGTTGCCCTAACCTTTCAGCTTCAGACGAAGAATCCGTTGATTGGCTCGTGTAGGGAATGCGCCTTGGCAGTCATCCGGGCGCCTATCAAGTTTTCATTGCTGCTACGCCTGGACCGAATTCTAGACCTGCTACCGTACTTCGTACTGCTCCTCAAGATTCCGAAGCGGGGTAGAAACATCCCCTGAGACACACATGGAGATCCATGCCTACCTTAGTTCAAATATCTTCAGCTAGCCACGAAGCACTAGAAAGCGTTAGACGTTCCCCGTTGGGTAAAGCTGTTGTCTCAATGAGATGTGACAGGAATTCCGACTATCACATTGCGGTTTATTGGAACGCATGATGCTAACTTCGTGAGTTGTCATATTTGTTTCATCAAAGTATTACCGGGCTGGCTGAGCAGACTCTAAAGAGCGATTGCTTATGCAGAAGCGGTGATTGCCGCAGGTCGGCGTTTGTGAAGATATTGCGGATAAAAGCTGCACGTTCTCGGAACGTATATATAACAGTAATGTCCCTTATGCATCTGAACTTGGATCTTCCTTATCACTCATCAAGTGTCCCCCGTCAGTGATTTTACTCGATACCTTAACTCATTAGTCACGATGACTTCACCCACTCCTCTTAAAGACATTCTTGACCAAAGTCAGGTTGAGCCCATGGTCTCAGTAGCTGACCTAGAAAAGACTCTCAAGGAGTGTGGGTTCACAGCTGACCTAGAATCTTGGGCTATTGCGACAAGTGCTGGAGCTGCGCATTATGCTGTCGGTATTTCCAACAATCCTTTCAAACCTGTCGCACAAGGTATACAACCCAGCAGAATAAAGCTCGGATAGCATGCTAAATCATATTTTACCGACAGGCCAGATTATTGTAAAGGTATATTGCGAAAAGACACCAAAGCTTGTACCAGTGCCCAAATGGAAAACATCCTCAAATTCCCTTCGATGGCAATACCAGCCATCCACTGTCCCCTCTCAGACTGTCAATGTGGTTATACGAGCCGATGATACGACGAAACTTGAGATGCTTGTGGGTGCATGTCTCAAACCCGGAATTCGCATCCCGTTCAGCGACAAACCAAAAATTGGTCGCGTCACCCTCGGATTAGTTTTTCGACATAATAAAGACTTGTGGGCAATCACGGTTGCACACTCTTTTGAGACTGAAGGTGTCGAAGTGTGAGTTACAGGGACGCAATCGCACATGATTTTCTCCTTAAATCGAAGAGTTGACTAGAAATTCTTAACTGACAATGCGGCAGTACTCATGAGAGCAAAGATTACTTTGTCCTGGAATGCAAGCTCGGTGCCAATGGGTCCCAATGCGAACCATGTTCTGAGAATCGATGTGTAGAGGGCTGCACTTTGGAAAAGGCTCAAGTAATGGCGCAAGGACGAGGGCAGATCTATCGTGCGATAAATCGATTGGTCTTTGACCTGGCCATTGTGAACATCTCAACCCCTCTCAGTTCACCTGTTAAGCCACTAGATGTCACAGAGTTTATCGAGCTCTTCAAGAAAATTGGTATATCACTCTTCCAAACACATACCATCCCGTTCTCTTGCTCATCGCCTTGGCTCGCAAATATTGATACAACACTAACTAACTTATAATGCTAGGTGGTGATGATCCAGTTTACAACAAGACGCTACTGGACATGGCGAAGCGTTCAAAGTCAGCGATAGATAATTTTCGCGGTGTTTCCCAGCGCTACGCAAGTTCTTCCTTCTTGCAAAAGGTGGCAGCTGATCCCGACCATAATTCGCTGCTCATGTTCAAGAAGGGAATGAACACCAACTGGACCTGGGGACTCCTCGCCGAGGCGAATGAGAAGGAGTTTTCAGTTGTATCCCTTGTTCCAACAGGAAAGACGCCTACAATCAGCGAACTGGGAGACTGCGGCTCCACATGGTTCAGTAAGTTCGATTTGTTGCAGATCAAGAAACGCGAAACTGGGCTGATACATCTTAACTAGTTTTTGACCTGGAGTATAAGACGGCCGTGCCCGTGGGATATCATCAAGGTCGAGACTCGGCGCAGCTGGATATCGGAGATGACAGTTTTGATCTTGCATATGGTCAGCCTTACCACACGGCATTTTCACAGACCTCTACTGTGTCGGGTCTCGAAACTATTTCCCAGATCAGTGGCTTCGAGACAGACGACATAAACATCAACTTCTCGTTATGCTTTACACCTATTGCGCAGTCCCGTTCTTGAAGAGACGTAGCTAGACTTCATAGGACGCTAGAACTTTTTGCTTTTTATTCTGCTCAATCTGATTTCCTATTTAGTTCATAACGGGATCCTCCATGTCTCGATGCCATCATCAATAGTGCGGTGTACAGAATAGATGACAGGCCATTGGCAAATCAACATTTGTTCAGAGTAACTTGATACAACTAATACAAATCCATCATCCGATAGATGGTTTTGATGAACCCTTGTTAGTCTCGTTCTAGACAAGGTGCTAGTTTGACTCTGTCATAAGAAGCCAGTTTGAGCGTAATAAAACATCTGATACTATCTATCATAATGCATATCAAGTTACAGACTTAGAACCACCCTATACAATCTCGGTATCACACTTTGCGAACTCACTGATATTTTGACAGCTCTTGTCACGTGGTGATCGGAGCGGTAGGGATCTGCATAAAGACAGAACCAGGTGGGCAACAGAAAAGTTGGCCCCTAAGGCTTAGGATGACAGAAATAAATAGCCCAAGAGGCTTATCTAAGGATCATGAATTAACTGACTATTTCGTCTTTTAGGCTTTCGACGGCTAATTCTTCTAACGCCCTGGGGAGAACCAACAAGGCCAAGGATTTACATGAAACCGTTCAAAAAGTCGCGCATTTCGACGGTGAACACAGATGACGTTCCTCTTGCTGGAAAGATCGTCGATTCCTTGCCTGTCGATGCCAAGGTCGATGCACCTGCCCGAATATTGTTGGGGACACCCTTAATAAGCTGCGCGTTGATGCAAAGGTTGAAGCATTGAACGATGAGAAGGCTCGTGGACTTGAAGTTGACCTGGGAGGATTGAAGAGACGCGAGCAAGCCCGTGGACTTGATATTGACCTTGGAACCTTATAGAGGGTATCGAAATTGATCTTGGCGGAGTTTAGATAGGACAATCAGAGCAAGCTCGAGGATGACATGGATACAGGAGTGTCCAAAGGACAAATGCGTTTTATAATCATGATCATTACAATAATATGAAGTTTAAATGCATCTTCACAACGTGCCGCCCAATTCGCTGGTGATTTCCCTTGAGACGGGCAATTCCAATCAAAACATCAATGGCTAGTATCAGAAACCAATAGGCTTTGTTCTTGACGGGGTGATATTCCATTCCAACGACGTTGTCCAGTCCCTATATCTGATACGAATGTTGAAGAATGAAGTCATAATCACGTTAATGCGCACATATCCCGCCATTTTCACAAATGGTTTCCACCTCTGATTACAATAGATCATGTTGTTTCTAAAACTTATTATACCTGCTTCAGGAATACTTCTGTTTACCCTCCCCGGTACAGTAACAAGACAACATTAATCTGAATACAACCAGAATAGCTCTATACACCTATGATCTCATGACGGAGACTCTCAACGCATTACACGGTTAGGGCCTCAAGAATAATGTTTAATATTTCATGGTAGTTTTCAATAAAACCATGCCTCACTACAGTCTTCAAATTGCTCGTTATGATCGGAGTCGCTGTCATCATCAGAAATAAGGTAGTCCTCGACATCATCGCCGTTTGCCAGCACTGCAGCTTGACCATGCGAGACCACTTTGACGTCCATCACAAGACCCAGGACTCCTTTCAGCCTTTCTCCTGCTAGGTCACGATACTTTCTATCCTCGCTCTCCGCATGACGCAGAATCTCCTGTTCCCTCTGATCCAGTTCAGCGCGATGTCTCGCAATTTCTTCTTGAGCCCTTTCCAGTTTCGTCTGGCTCATCTCCTTGTTCCGTATAAGCTCTGCCAGAGTCTCCTGGGTATCCATCCGTAGTTGCGAGATGGCCTGTGTAAACTCCTTCTCTCCCAGGACTCCAGTAAGAGTTTCTGCGTCAGCGAGAAACCGTTCAAGTTCCGTCGAATTGGTACGTTGACGATGAACAGTGGCATGTCTGATTGCCGCAATAGATCGCAACAGTTCTTTTGATGGCTTACCACTCCCTTCCCAAACCACACTTTCCGTGCGTCCGAAAACCTTTGTCCATTTGTTAAGCTCCCCCGCTTCAGGGCAATCCCAGCCTTGTTTCCGCATGAGGCTTGGAAGAGCTCTTAAACCAAACTGATAACAGGCGAGTTCCAGGGTCTTTTGTAGTTTCTCCATAAGCATGTGTGCCGCTGGAAATGGTAGATAAACTGCGTACACCGATGAGTTGTCAATCTCGTTTCTCGCAATACTGCCATTGATGTCTGTCCTTTCAGTCAATCTCCTGGGCGGTCTGTAAGATCGATCCGACTTACCGTTCAGAATGGTTACGGCTTTTGGTTCTTCCGGGCTTTCATGGTTGTCATTGATGTGGATTTTATGGACATCTTCAAGCATAGTTTGTCCTATGCTCGTCGCCACTCCTTCCAGAAGCTCCACAGCTTCAGTTCGAGTAACTGAAGGCTCAAATAGATCGGGAAACCATTCATGGGACATCGAGGTTGACTCATACACCCCGTACGACAACAGTTTCAATATTGAGTCATGAACGACGCCGGCGCCATACTGAGTCGTAAGCTGCACCACTGAAGTTCTGTCCCCCGGATGCTCCCTGATGTATCGTTTTATACCTTTGAGCTTCCTGGTTTTTGCTTTCTCGCATACAAAAATATCCCTCGTCGCCTGAAAGACAATCTTATCAAATAGAGTAGAGACGCCTGTATCCATGTCGGGCAGTGTGTAAAGGTGACTGTATATTCGAATTTCACAATAAAGAATCGATGTAGAAGACAGATGGAAGCTCTCGGTAAGCTCCACAAGTTAATTCTTAGTATTAAAAAAACAAAATGAAGAAAGAGGAAAGAAACGAGAACATCTTTCCACAATCACTGATCGAGGCTGAGAGTGGGGAAGTCATGCTACATTGTTGGTAGGCCTCCTGCAGCCCATGTGTGGCATACTCATTGGGCGCCTACATCTGTATGGATTATCACACCCGCAATGAGTGCGGACGTTTCACAACATCTTCGACCATCCTCAAACCAATAATCATTACACTTTCATCACAGCTGAATAATTGGTGGTCAACAGACACGCCGCTGCACGCGTCGATGCCTTTTGGGCATCTCGAGAGGGTGCTTTACTGCTGCTAGAACGGAAACAGACTTATGAAAACTCATTGACCTGATCGAGAGACTATCTACTGGGGCTTTAGAGCAGTTGAGCATCATCGTCCCACTCGATGCAGTTTTCTGATACGGCTGTCATGTTGTTCGGGCACTCCTCTAGTGATGTCGCCTACCAAACTAAAGGGAATGTTAGAAACATCGATCATCGAATACAACGACGCTTACCCAAGCTGAAAAGAGGCTGAGCATCATTAACTAGCAGGAAAGCCAATGATCATCCGCTATCTGTCAAGGATGCCTAGGAAATCCAAGGTTACGCGCTTTCCTTTCTTTTGTCATTTTCAACTCCATACGCCTGCAGTTCCAATAACCTTCAATTTCGGGTATGCAGGCTCTAGTTGATTAATCCACTTCCAAGCGGCACAGACGATGACCTGGAATCCGTAATTTCCCTGTCAATCAAGCAAGCTAAGGCTACGCCAAACCAACACCTTAGCTTTGGCTGTATTAAGGCATGTCGTTGGGATGTGAGTTAATCGCTCATCAATTATTTATAATGGATCATTAATACAAGGGGAATTTACTCTAAACCAACCTGATTCATTCTACAGGCTGAACACTTCGGGTCAATTGTGGCATTACGGCGCGTCAACACGATACGCAGTAAATCTGTTGGTTCCATCAAATTCACACTGCATTAGTGAAACACTTACCCCTGTATCGTCAACGGTCCGCAGCGCTGGCCAATTCCCAACAGTTCAGTGACAAAACTATTTATGATATCAGTGTTCCGGCTCTTGTTGGACTTGTGTTACGAAACAACTCGAATTCTAAATCTAATCATCTTTACAATTTGCCATCAACTACCCAAACAATGGATGTCTCAGTCAGTTCAGAAACTCTGAAGGGCCTTCATACCAAAGAAGCCACATCCTTGCATAACCTCAGTGATAAGCTGAGCGCATGTGGCGTTGGACAAATTGTCGATCTTCCCCAAATCATCGTCGTGGGCGAACAGTCGGCCGGCAAATCATCAGTTCTCGAAGCCATTTCTCACATACGGTTCCCCGTCGACAGTGGTGTTTGTACAAGATTCGCAACGGAACTAATCTTCCGCCTCGCGACTGAGACTCGCATCAATGCAAGCGTCAGGTTTGCGGACAAAGACCAACCATCACAGACATTCCAGCGGAAGAAGTTCCACGAGGATGATCTCCCTGACATCATCAAAGAAGCGAAGGAGCATATGGGTTTTTCGCGAGATGGGAAAGACTTTTCTAGAGACGTTTTGCGCCTTGAGATCGAAGGCCCAAACATATATCCATTGAGTCTCGTTGACCTACCTGGCCTATACCATACAAGTTCCCATAACCAGTCACTGGGAGGTAAAGACAGCGTTAACCAGTTGGTTGAGAGCTATATGCGACAGAAGAACAGCATTATCCTTGTGGTAGTCGCCGCCAACGTCAATCTTGTCAGCCACTCGGCCCTCCAGAAAGCAAAGGACATCGACCCCCAGAGGCAGAGGACTATCGGAGTTATCACCAAACCAGATCTCGCACTCGCTTCGCACGCCAAAGAGTACATCATGCTGGCAAAGAACCAGGAAAGTGCCCACAAGTTACAGCTTGGGTGGCACGTCCTCCGAAATAGAGGTAAAGAAGAGACCAGCCTCGAGACTCGTGACAAAATCGAATAATCGTTCTTCGAAACGGGTGCTTGGGCTACTGTTCCTGGCGAGGACCGTGGCATCGCTACTTTCCGCAAAAAGCTGAGTGGAATCCTGTATCAGCACATCCGAAAAAGCCTCCCAGGCGTCATCGAGGATATTGAAACAAAGCTTAGAGCTAGACAGGGGGAGCTTACTCGTCTCGGAACCCCCCGAGACAATGTTAAAGCTATGAGATCTTACCTACTCACTATTGCAAGTGAGTTTCAGCGTTTGGCCAGGGATGGATGCAACGGTCGATACAACGATGCCTTCTTCTGCGGCTTGGATGATGAAGACATGAAGTTTAGGGCGCTGCTTCGAAATTTTAATCGAGCTTTCGATCACATCCTGAGAATCAAAGGGTCCACCCAAATTGTCGTTTCTTCAAAAGATGAAACCGCCGAGGAGGATAAGGTTCCGGAACATCTTGCGAGATTTCTTGATCGTTACCATCAAGAGTTCCAAGATCCCGAAAGGATCACCGTCGAAGAGTTGAGCGTCAAGCTTGAGAACAAAGCTGCTGCAAATCAAGGTCGAGAGTTCCCAGGCTCTCCAAATACGGATCTCGCGATGCAGCTCTTCAAGAACCAGGCGGGTCCATGGAAGGCCATTACCGAGTTTCATGTCGATACTGTCGTCACAGTCGCAAAGGCCTTTGTTGACCAGTTGTTCAAGCATGTGATAGGATCCTCGCAGAACAACCCAACTACAGAGGCAATCTTGGCTATCCTTGTGGACCCATTCTTCGAAAAGAAGGAGAAGTTGCTCCGTGACAAGATTGATGAGTTACTCTGGCCATATCTTCAAGGCTACTCACTTCCTGTCGATATTGAGTTCTATGGAGCATTGTCTCAAAAGTCAACAGACCGTGCCGCAAGCCATATCTGCAAGACCCTAACAAACAAGTTTCCAGGACTTTTTGCTCCAGGGTCAAATAACACCCTCACTATGGAGAAGATAACCCAAACCATGGCTGATGACCAAAATTCGCGAGCGAGACAGTTCGGCACAGACAAGATCATCGATATGATGTTGACATACTACGAGGCAAGCACCCAAATACGAAGAACTTGGATAACTTGCTAACTAGTGCAGATGTCTCGACGCACATTTACAGACAATGTCATTAATCTCGCGATCGAAAGCTGTCTCGTACACAGTATACCTGAAATCCTCACCCCCACCGAAGTAGACGGCATGGATGATGTCCGATTAAAAGAGCTTGCAGCAGAACGTAGTGAAACGACATCTCGAAGAGCTCTCCTGAACGCCGACATCGAACTTCTTAAAAAGGGCTTAGATACATGTCGTAGATACAAGCCGAGACCTGCCACTGGTATGGGGTGCACGTCTGCTACTACCTAGGCTAAGCTAATGATCAAACGCAGTTCCTCTCTCATATAGGCCTGTTGTCACAACCTCACCATCGCCAAAAACCTCAAACCCAGTGACTACCCCTTCGGTGGCGCCTAATCCTCCTGTTGCAAAACCAGCCGACCCAATTCCAACAACTGCGCAGGCAAAACTGGCTCCCGAACGGCCTTCTGAATCTAGCACCATCGTGACAAACGGCAGCATCGCGGGTCAACCTCCCTCTTTAGCCATCAAGGGTCCTGCGACTGGTAGTGGCAGCATGCCCAACACTGGAACAACTGCCACGAATTCAGGGCCAAACAATAATGGGACAAGCTCGGTTCAGGGTGTAGTCCCCACTATATCCAATACTCCGAACACATCGACCGTTTCTATGCCTTCCAGACCAGGTGGCGGACTTTTCGGAGGCACTAGCGCGAACGTTACCCCACAACAAAAGCCTTTGGCGGGGAACGGAACTGGTAGTTTCGGAGGCTTCGTACAGCAGAAACCTTCCGCTTCTGTTTTTGGTGGTTTTGGTGGCGGCAGTGGAAGCTTGACCTCGAACGCTACAAAGGGTTAGCGCATCTATGGGTGTGGCTCTTTTTCAGTAGGGTATGTACTTGGAAGAATATCGGTTTCGTGCTAACTCTTGACTTGTTCAGATAGGTCAATCCATGTGGTTTCGGGATGGACCCTCCAACAGATCGCAGACTTGCAATTCGGAAGGCCATATCAACACGTATCTTCGAACGCTGATCCCCGGATGATTGATCGCTTCCTTCATATTTGCAGCTTGGACCTATTTCAGAACACGTCAGCAGAGGAACTTCGTTTTGAGTGTTACAAAATACTTCCCAGGTGAAGTTATAAAGTTGTATCTAGCTGGACAACTCGTATTCCTGACCAGATATTACTTGTATTGCACAGTAGGAGAATATCAACAATCATCAGTGGAACTTTGTACAATATATAACTGTAAACATAGTCAAGTGCTTTCCCTCAGCGGCGATCCGATGATGTTGCAAAAAAATGTCTGGGGCGTGCAGTACATTCTTCAGACGGAGGATGCCATGGGAGCCTGGATTGTTTCCATGAGGGAATGTCTCTGTGGGAAGCTCGACCGTGCCTATGCCGACAACTTGAGTCGCGCCGTTGTTGATAGCAGAATCGATAGAAACATAATCGTCGCCGAACCAAGAACGGTCTTTGGCGACGCTGGTCTTGTTAGAAGATCAATCTTGCATTGCCAGCCATGGACCGGCCGGAAAGGATATATACGTACTGAACGTTGTGATTGTTGGACCATACCCAAGCGGGGCAAGGCAGGTTAGCCTGATCTTGTCTCTGCAACGATGCCATTGTGATGGACGATTGAATTTCTTAGATAGTTTGCAGTTGTCAGATTGCATCTCACATGTTAGTAGAAGGCGGGGTTACAACGAGCTACTAGCCCTAAGTCCTACCAATGGAGCGTTACACCAATATGGAGCCTCAAGACTTCCTCCACCTCTTTATTTGTTAGTGCAACGCTTTCTTACTGGAATAGAAGTAAAGAGTTTGTACATATCTTTCTTTTTAATAACAGATATTTATCTTGAGTATGAAGATGGAAGCACTTAGCTTAGAAGATTGGGAAATATGGCAATAAGAAACCTATAGGGACTGAACTTCAGTGTTGCGGTATGGTTGCTTTGATGTCATAGACTCGCTTCAAGCGCCAGGGTGTTGTTATTTTAATAAAGTACTTCACGCGCTGGAGCCACAATAGCCATATTTCCTTTGCGCAACATGCCATTCATGGGTACTGTTGATGGATTGATTATAAAACCACATTGTTGATAGGCCTAGCGAAGTTCACAGACGTTGAGAAACAGACAGGTCTACGTATGATAGTCAAAGAGTGTAGGGTGGCTGAGAGTTGATGCCGAGGAAAAGGTTAGTAGGTACACGTCTATAACCCAAAAAGAAAAATAGTCTGGGTCACTCAATTGACATGGCAATCTGTTAAATACCTCGAGCTGCTTCTTATCATGTTGTGTTTTTAAAATTATCGAAAAAGCAATCACCAGTAGCACTGAGACTTGTCGCGCTAAATCTCGAGCTTGAAGAAACTATCACGGACTATTGGTTTTTGGGACGGTCTAACCAAATTGCCGACTTCAGATAAAGGAGAAAATCAACATAAATCGTTCTGTCCTCCCTTTGCTCGCAATTGTTCCTCGTTCTCTCCTGACGTTTCGATCTGATTCTTGGCTTTTCTATGACAGGTATGCACTTGGCACTCCTCTTGTCACTAGCCTTTGGGCTTAAATCTGTGGTCGCTGGTCCTTGCAAACCACAATCTTCGGGTAAGTTTGATCGCGACACAACTTGTCCGAGTTACTAATGAATTGAATCAGCTATCGCCACTACTATCACAACAGAGACTCTGGGCCAATCCTCCACGTCGTCAACAGATACCACGAAGGAGACTGAGAAGTCAGATTCGACGACAATATCCACTGTCACAATTTCAGAGCCCACTTTCTCTTCTAGCGTCACCGTTGAGTCTACATCTGAGACTGATATTGGGCCTTCAACCTCGGTCGCATCGTCTGATGTTCCTGCTACCACGTCAACTGAGGCCACCAGTACAGCTGTGCCCGAGGCTTCTATTGCGACATCAGCTGAATCGACATTCTCTATCGATGGTTCGGTCACAACATCTGCTGCTTCAACAACTACAACTATAGAGTCCACCACAACTGCAGAGTTTACCACTGATTCCGCAATCTCTTCGACAGAAATCCCGATTGATACCACACTCGAGGCAACGACGACCACCACCGAGGCACCAACTTCAACAACAATTTTTGACGAAATCTCCACTTCCGCCGCCGACACAACAACCTCTCTCTTGCCCATTCCAACTCTATTCTCATTAGCTGCTCAAGGCGGTCCAGCAGATGGCTGGGTCATCCATACAAATGGTGAGCCAGAGTACTCTGTGTGGATAGGCACCTTCTTGACTTGGCCAAGCGGCCAGTTCAAATACGAAGAGGAAACTGGTCATGTATTGATTGACGGAAATCCACTATGCTCTATGGCATATGGCGGGAATACAGACTTTATTTCGGTGATAGTGTGTCCTACAGTTATCACGTCGTCTTGGCACACGCCCTTGGTCTGTGAGCGACCGACTCACGGCAGCCTCAAGTGTAACGCGACTCCAAAATTCGAATCGTGCGTCACGGGCAACGGCGGAATTCGAACATGCATGATGACAGAGGCCTCTTGGAGCAATCTGTATTCATCGCCTGTATCGAACGGGGCTTGGTATCAGCTAAGGATCGCTGGCGCTGACTGGGCTCAGAGAAGTACGGACGTTCCGATCGATCTACTTGTATCACCCCTGTAGATTCACATTACTTTTGTTGTTAGTTTCTATGATACATATTACATTCGATAGATAGATATGACGATGCCTTTACCATGATCCTACTATTCCAGAGGCGAGTCCATTAAGTTTACTCTAAGAATTAATATTCTATCCTCCTACCAACAAAAGAACAAACAGATAGAAGAAAGTTCGTTTATTGCAGTCATAACGACAGCTATCGCCCGGTTCTTTTGCACAATGTATGTCGGATGGAGACTTTAGAACGGCTGTGTCCCTTGAAACTAGGTTACTAACTTTCCGGCATCTTGCCTTGTTGACTTGAATGAGAACCCTCTCAGTCTTTCCTACCAACAGTCTCTATTCTTACCAGCAGCCTTTCTTACCAACAGCCAGGTATCGTCCTCGATCGGGCTACAGCAACCATGGCTACTGTGTGGTCCGCCAAATAAGCGATAAGAATGGATCCCGTTTCCCCGTTTACTTCCACTTCTAGCTAGGGCCGGAAGTAGCGTGTAACACCATTGGACTTTTGGTGATGGATGGCAGAGGACCACATGTCATGTAGATCTTAACTATGTATGACTTAGCGCCATTTGTCGAGCTTGGGTGGTGGGTGCTGGGAAACTCAGTCTCTCGTTTTCAAGTCATAAAGAGTCAGAGCCTGGATTCCTACCTTGAAATGGCATACAAGAGATGACCAGGTTCGTCGGATATCACTTTGCAGGCAGGGTCAGTAGTACACTGAGGCATGAGTTAGTTTGAGACGTGTAACCTTTACTTTTCTCTGGACAGGAATAATGATATGGAGTGGCGTCTATCTAAGGAAGGTCTCTTTGACGTCTGATCAGGTAAAAGTACGCGCAATCCATACAGTTTCCCTTGCATTCGAATTTTTTCATTGATGGCAGTGAGAAGAAGAAGCGATGGCTTATCACCAAAACGAAAAGAAGAAAGATCAACCAGGGGTTTCAATGGCTTATTGCCAAGGAAAGAAGAACAAGAACAAGAATAAAAAGAAACGGTGGCTTATCGCCAAGAAAAAGAATGATTTGTCCACACAATCATTTATCCCCTCCTTAAACATAGACTCAGGATGTCCCGCCAACTTTGGGCAGGATCAGATAGAACCTCTATCAACGTGACCTGAGGACAGGATTCCGCCCCCACAAGACTTTCCATCTCCCTGATCCAGTCGATAGCATCATTGTATTGGTCGATTTTATGCTGTGGAATTTCGTCTGAGCACCGAGTATCAGTCTCCATGTTGATGCGGCGGATGTTGTTTCCCGGCTTCTCATGGAGACCGTACTGCAAGAAATAAACATTAAGCGGCTCCTCCCGATCTTCACTGGAAAAATCGGATAGTACAGGAAAGTTTTGCATATGGCAAAGACCGCCGTCGAAGGACAAGGCGATGTTGTTCAACGGTGTGAAGAACGAAATCTCGCAGTCTTCGATCCCGTAATACCGCCCCATCACGTCACCGACACACACATAGGCGCAGTCACAGACGGGGTCGAAAGCAGAGTAAGCCCCGGTCATGGCAGGACCACGGCCTCTGTACTCTAGCTTCCTCCACAGAGTTTGGGCGAGATTTCTGGTCTGTTGGCAGACCCAAAAGGCGACTGGTAGCGGCAATAGTATTGGGCTTAGTGAAACCTTATGCCCATCCAGTTCTGCGTTAAAATCGTGAAATTGTGGTGGCGTTGCGAACTTCCATATCATGAACTGGATCTCATTTGGAATAGTAAGGAGGCGCGATGTTTGCGACGGAGATGGCTCATCATTAGAGGTTTCAGATCATATACTGCATTATCAAGATCATGGCCGGGATCAGAGGTCGGCATCGTGGCAGTAACAGTGCGGTCACAGCGCAGGTGTTCTTTCGCTTCTTCTAACTGCTTGACGTTAGTTTTGAAAATGGCTCTAGGATGTAGAACTTACGGCATGGACGACAGCAGGTCGTTGCATCATTTTGACCGACTGATCTTTCGCCGCAGGAGACATCTCTGGACGCAGACGGGTCGTCAGAGCGGCGGCAATGTAATGGATGAATAGAGGCAGCGAAAGGGTCAGAACAAAAGGCTAGAAGGTGGTGATTTGAGAGGACAAAGACAGGGAGTCCGTGCGTCTTGCTAGATGAGATGATGAGAAGAAGAGAATGATGTTTTCTGCGTTGAAGCTCGGGCCTCTTGGGAACAACTTCACGTGATTTGCGCAGAATAGAATGAGTCAAAGATAACAGTCAACGGAAATATGAGAGAGAACGAAAAGTAACGGTATCCACGAGGACGCTGATGCATGAACTGAAAGCGTGGACTCGTGGCTACCTCGGTCATGGAATGCAATACAGGACTGTGGGACTTGCCAATTGATTCATCTAATCTGATATCTGGTCATTTTCTGGTTTCCAACTTTTACGAGACAAATTGTGTCCCTGCCAGATTCGTATTCTATCATCATCCAATACCATCATCCTCGCTGACTACCTTTCCGACACCTTACGTCGATGACTTTAAAGAGAATACTCGGTCTTTCTCACAAACAGCCTTGATTCTTATTAACGGCTTTCCGCACTAACATCCTTTATTGCCAATACCCACTCTTGACGACAGCTAGGCATCATACTCAATCACGTTCCCTCTACCCGTCACTTCCTCTGAACGATCAATTTCCAACATTATGATTCAACAATTATATCATAGGTACATATGAACAGGTCTTTCACTCTGAAATTGAACATAGACTCAAAACTTCATCGATATCTGAGTTTCTGATCAGATCAACCTCCAGCAGCGTCACCACTGGACACAATTCCGCCCCAAAGACGCTGTTCGTCTTTCCAATCCACTCGATAGCTAAGTTGTAGCAGCCAAGGTCGCTGTATGAAGGTTCACCTTGGTATAGATCAGCGTTCTCGTTTTTGATGTGACGGATGTGGTGGTATATCGGCCTTGAAGGTAGACGGTATACCCCAAGATAGAGATGAAGCGGCCGTTGTCGATCTCTGTTGGAAAGCTCGGGAGTCGCGGGAAATCAGTACATAGGGCGTTTGCAGCATTCGAAGTCGACAGCGATGTGGTTGAACAGCCTCAACATGGCGAGTTCGTTGTTTGAGGGATCGGCGCGTTTTGCCACCTCACATGCAAAAATCGACGCGCAGTCACAACGAGGATCATAGTAGGAGTAGGGCCTCGCTCCGTCGACAGCGGTGTCCCAAGAGGGAGCTACTTCGTACTCTATCTTCTTCCATAGCGCTTTGGCGAGACTTCTGGTCTGTTGGCAGATCCAGAAAGCAGGTGGTGGCGTTGATCGTCTCAATCTGAATAATGGATCATGCTTATCAGATATTTGCCAAAAATTGTGCATCCGTGGCGGCGTCGCCAACCTCCAGATCATGATTTGGATCTCTGGTGGAATCGTAAGGAGAAGCGATGTTTGCAAAAGGGGTGGCTTATCGTTAGAAACTCTCCAAGCAAGTAGTGCTTCGGAAAGATCGTGGTTGGGATCAGTGGTTGACATCGTGGTAGTGTGGGCTTCGTCAGAGCAGTTGTTGTTTCGCTACTTCCAAATGATTGACATTGGTCTTGGAAAAGAAAATTGTTGAGGGTGTAGGATTCACGGTAAACAAAATCAGCTACTGTCAGGGCGACGGCCTCTTTATATTGCCCAAGGAGCTGAAGGTCTGATGGCAGTGAATATGGATGATTTATTAGAACAGATGACGTATAAAGACCACATTAATACCATTAACGCGTCGGATCATGGTCACGTCAATAGGAACTGCACTGAGCAGATGGATCGGTAGGAGGCTACCCTAGATCCACCATCCACTCACCGCCAGGTGCAATCGGTCATATATGGCGACGTTTGAACGAGGCCTCATAGTTGTAATGGGTGTTACTGTACATCAATCAAAGCCAAGAGCAAAGCTGATAAGGCTATGAAGCAGAGTCATCAGTGGCGCTTTAGTCTTACATGTCCTGGGTCACATGCCCCAGTCCACTCCGTGGAGCAACGGAGCCAGTGGATTCCTCACACCATTCCTAGATTTCTATTTAATATTCATTGGGTAGTAGCTACGAAACCAAGAGCTTGACGCCTCTGTCCGAAGACTCCCGGAATGGCTGGGATCACTGATGCAGTAAAGTAGTTAAGTTGGAGACTTGCCCCCATGTCTGCTGCACATGCCTTCTACACAGAAATGACTATTTTTGAGACAGAGCAACTAGTGATTGGTAATTATGAAAATGGCTCCCAGTATTACTGTTGTCCCTGCCTCTACCAGAGTTGGCACAGAAACAATTCGTCAGCTTCTGGCCTCCCCCGAGAAGCCCTCGGTTCGCGGCATCTACCGTGACACGGCTAAAGCTCCCTCCGAGTACATCAGCAACCCCAATTTCGAAGCCGTCAAAGGTGATGTAGAAACTGGAATTGGCCTCGACTTTACCGGCTCTGACGGGGTTCTATACGTGCCCCCTCCGATATACCAAAAGAAAATGGATCTGGCCGATTGGGCGGAACTGACAGCTACAAATGTCAAAATTGCATTGCATCAGTCAAATGTTGAGAAACTTGTCGTATTATCCGGTCTTGGAGCACGTTATAAACACGGTGTTGTGAGTAACAATGCTTGGGTTTCAGTCAAGTCGCTAACGTTGAATAAACAGGGCCTCGCACGCCTCAACCATGAAACTGACAGGATACTCAAAGACGCCGCACGCGAAGTAACCATTCTTCACTGTACCCATTTCCTCGAAGAGTGGAGGTATATCTTCCAGATGCCACTGGGCGACCCTCCAAGCATCGCTTCCTGGGTTGCCCCGGCAGACTACAAAATTGCCATGGTCAGCATCAAGGATATTGCTGAAGTATCCGTCAAGAGTCTACTAAGAGACTCTCAACAACCCGGCTTTCACTGTGTGAAGATACTAGGCCCTCGTCTGTACAGCTCAAATGATCTGAAGGATGCTTTTGAGGAAGTGACTGGGCACAAGGTGAAGCTTGAACTTGCCCAAGGTGACGACTTGAAGGCTATGCTTGGACTCCTATTCCCAGAGCACTGCATCCCAGATATTGTGGAGGTTTTAGAGGCATCTCTACCTGGTGGACTAGTCGCTACGGAATATGGCTACGATGAAAACACTTTCACGGGCAAAGTTGAGTTGGTTGATGTTATTCGGGAATTGCACAAGAAGTATAACGAATGAACTGATTTGTATTTGGTAGTTCTGCCAGCTAAGAATTACCAAGCCCTCAGATCTAGTCTCCGCACGAATGCTAACATATTGTTTATGAAGAATGAAGTTATTCCGAGCCTATTTGAGATAGTCATTTGGCACGCAGATATCTCCAGTAGCGGAGAACAAGCCAGTTACTCGACAGGAAGCCACTGACTAGCCAATTCCTTGATCCATCCCGGAAAGTGATCATCGTCCACCTGAACACTCTTTCTCTTGCCAAACCAGTCATAAAAAGCTTGTAAGCCAGACAAATCGCATTCAGCCAGGAGATCCATACTGTACAAGTCTTTGGCGTAACGCAAGACCGAGTACAAGACACAATCGGCAATGTTGACCCTTGCATCGCTAGCACAGTCAAAGCGCGGATCATGTTCGTAGTACTTGTTCAATACTCGTAGATTCTTGCGGCAATACTCAAGAATGAGCTTTGCTGTGAGAGGATGGGGTTGTTCAAACTGCTGGAATAAGGCAGTGCCTTTGTGACAAGCGAAGCTGAATTGACTGGTGATCTCGTCCGCAAGAGATAGCATGTCTCGCACTCGACTTCTTTCTGCTGCTGATTCTCCGAGCATAGTACCGTTGGCTTGCTTTGCAAGCTCCACCTGCCAAGGCTCTTCGGGATGATGGCAGATCTCCTCAAAGTACTCGATAATCGCGATTGACTGTTTAATGAATGTCTCACCGGGAAGCCGTAGCATAGGTGCCGTGCCGCTTGGTTTTCCAGGAGCGGATAATTTGCCGTTGTCAACTGTGGCTTCGATGGTCTTAATAAGTGGTGAGTTGAGAATATTCTTCTCGGCAAGGTAGATGAGAACTCGCCGGGGGTAGACACCCCATGAGAGGACGAATAGAGTTAGAGGAGGATCCATTGTGGATGTGATGTTTCTGTTGAATGATGCAGAAATAATGTATTCCGCTGGCTGCTTCTTTATATAACCGTACCTGGGAGACTTTCGTGGGAATTAAGTCTCCGTCCGAAAACGGAAGGTTTTGGATATGTAACCCGACAGACTAAGGAACTTGCCGGGGCCGACAACCGGAGAATTTATGAATCAAAGGCCTTTGATAAGTTGCAAAGCATGCCAAGATTTAGCAGATAATGTGCACATAAATCAAGGGGCGAACATTCATATAGAATGGCTGGAACACGTGCAATCAGCCAGAGTGGGGATCTCACAGCATCATAAGATAACCATGGCAAAGATAACAGAACTATTTTATTGTGATGCTAGATTTTTTTCTGTATCAGAGGAAGCTCCTCTCTTCATGAAAGTCACCAACTACTCCTTACTTCCTAAAAACCTTGATGGGAAACTTGGTACCCATCTCCTTATAAGCAGCAGGGTTACGATGCAAACCATCCCCAGAGTCAAACTGAGTAAGCAACTTGTCCCTATTTCTAATTAATGAAGTAAAATCTACAGTGTGATTAAATGTGCCGTTGTCTAAAATCCACCCGTTGATAGCGACTCTCGTCACCTCTCTTTTAGGAGCATAGTACTGGTTTCCGAGCATCTGAGTGATAGTGGCGCCGATACTGGTTATGCCGGCCTTCTTGATATTACCAGCAATTTGTTGGTAGGCGGTAATGAGTCTATCCTTAATCCTCTTTTGGATGGTAGTGTCTATGGCTGATGGACCGATGTCGTTGATGCCTTTAAAAATAATGATGAATTTAGCGCCAGGTTTCTTAAGAGCATCTTCCTTGTATCATTGGAGAAGCGGAGCCCTCCTGGTTGGTCAGATAGGGAATATTAGGTATACTAGAGCACAAAGGAACGATTGCAGTGTTTGCCGTCTTAGCTTTTGGTGGCGACCATCGTCGGGGTTTGTGAGGTTGGGGTGTTGCGCAGCCATCGCACTTCATCTTGTCTTTAGCATAACGCTCACACGTCGGCTTCCTCGTAAGATTTCTTATGGCGAATTCTATCGCAACAAATATCTGAACGAGATTGATTTTCGGGGTAACTTGCTGCTATGCTGTTCCTTGACGCCATGGCGCTGAGGCTGGGCTTGCCTGGTGGGTAACAGAAGAGTTGACCCCCCAATGTTCAGGATGACAAAAATAGCTAGTTTAAGAGACTAGTCTAAGTATCATAAACTGTATGATTAATTTCGTCTATTAGGCTATCAGCGACTAATTCTTCTGACATCCTGGGGCTTGCTTGTCCCTAGTAACACACTATTAACGCCCCTTGCACTATTATGACGCTGCACCAATAATTGGAACATTCCAGCCCAGACCATATATATACACGAAAGTAAAATGCTGCATTCTCGGCTCTCATCACAAAGCAGCATTGGTCTCATTCTGACCGCAACATGTCCGACCCAACAGCTATCATCGCATTAATTGTTTCTATGGTGGCTTTAGTCATCGCTCTCGCCCAACTTCTAGCCCAGGTCATCGGAACTGTCGAAGGCTATCGGAGATGCCAGGCTGCAGTTATGGGAGCGTGGGCCAGGAAGACGCATCGCGTCTGGCACTGGCGACAATGCCGATATGAGACACTGTTCACCACGCCTGAAATCGTGTTGACACCATACGATCCGTCAAGCTCAGAATCCGTCGCCATGACAGGATATGAGGACTCACGAAAACAAACTTTCGAAATAGAAGATAAGATTGACCCAAGTCACCAACTGGTATGTTGGGTATATCTTCTCAGCGCCCTTCATGAGAGCATAGCACCAATAGCCCGAGAGGTTTTTGCAATTATCCCACATCAGAACCAACGGCTAGACAACACAACATGGCCGACAATACATTTCCGACAAAGGTCGTGGGACTTCATGCCTCCTGATGTTGTGAGGCCTTACGCAACAACACGAGTCAACGACATTGCAATCCTAGCTCGCCGTGCGGGTGTGACCTGGAAGGACTTTCGACCAGCTGAGGGTATCATGGAGGGACAAGGAGGAGGCCACGTATTCTCAGCGACGACAGTTCGGGGAATTGGTGTGATGTTGAATTATACGAGGATTTCCGACGGGGACAATGGTCACAGTTCACGCCTTCCCGGCCATCTCTGCGTTTGCACTCCCGAAGCGGACATGATGTGGTTTGGCATACTAGGAGGAAACCCCATGCTGGCCAGACAGGACAAGTTACCTCCTAGATATCAAGTTGGGACTTTAGATGAGCTTTATGGAACTCTCTGGGAAATTGATCCCGAAGGAATTGCAGTCAAGCACTGCAATGAAACACAAAGGAGACAGGCTGGATTACTACACGGAGTTTGTGATATTGTGCCAATGCTGGCACCTTGGTTACGTCAGCCTGGCTCTATGGTGAATGAGTATCCCAGACCGCTGGGAGGCACCAAAGGTCTGACATGGCATTGTACTGCGTACAAGGTATTTTATGAGGAACTCAAGAATTACAACAGGGATGGGACATGGCAGACACGACAGATCGCAATATATTACGAACAACTACATCAAGGCTACGGACAGGAATGGGACGGAGTTAGTAAAGGCCTAACAAGTCGCCGCATGGACTTCTACGATACTCTGGAGAAGATGTATAAAGAGACTACTGATTACTTCACGGGTGCTCTACCAGCCTACTGCTACGCTACCGACACCAAGTGGCAACAGTCCCATTACATCGATCTCGTCAGTGCCCATCTACGTGAAGCGCCTCGTTCCTTTGCGGATGGTGAAAGGGAAGTCAGAGAGGGTAGAGGCATATACGACTATCTCAATACAGATGGAGACAGGTATTGGCGAGGCGAGGCGATGTATTACTATTGGTGCTACATGCCTGACTATGTGAGATATATGGGCCAAAGGGGTTGCAAGAATGCTCAGCTGGTAGAGGAAGCCTGGATCACCCTGGTGTTCAGGGCTTTCCTATGGCAACGAGCGCATATACCTATTGAAAATGATCAACCGATCCCATCGCAGTACTACGGGAGCAGACTCCCGATCTTTATCAGTTAAGATATTAACCTTTGAGATATGGCCAATCATGCTCCGTACTATTTTTAAAGACCTACCACCGCTTTCTGTCTGCTGTTTACTGTGTCGTCAGCTACTGATACCATTACGGTGCAGTTGAGCGGTAAAGTCTGGTCTGCTGCAGGGAAACAAGCGTCTATTATTGTCAATTTAGGATGGAATGATGATAGTTGGAACAACACGCTGTTTCTACAGCGTAGTTTTGCATCCTAAGGATGATTAATATATCGACTTCGTATTTCTCAAACATGTTCTGACTAAACTGGACCAACGACCTATAGATAAAGACCCATGTGGCGTTAGTAATAAAGCATACACCTGGCTTGTGGAATTGAATAATTCTTGAAATTGTAGTGGGTATCTCGGAGCATATTGCTCAGATTCGTGGAAATTGCTCCCTTTATCTCCTGTGTGAGATATAGTCAGAAACGAGGGCACACGTTTATGGACAATCGCTTTAAGGTACACTAGGCATGGTTCGCTGAAACTGGCCCATTCTGTAGCTGCTATGGACCTCCTTTGCCGGTGGTACTCGAGAATTGGCTTGGCACATGTTCTCGACAGAAACATGCATTAAACTGTTACCGCCTCCTCAGTAGTGGCGGGGCGAACATTCATTCGAAATGTTTTGAACATCAGCACTGTGGGAAGCAGAAGGTGGCATTCTTACGCGCAACATAGCACATGCTGACACTAGGCTTTTAGGGTCTCACCATCAACGCTCTCAGGGCGGTGTCGAGGCTTGCCTTGTGATAACTACAACAAAGTCACACCTATATTGAGCAGAAGGGAGATTACTTGCAGATCACACGGAGTTGGTTGACATGTTATGGCGCTTGAACCATAGGTCTTAGTGAGATATAATTTCGAATACGGACTTGCAATCAGTAATCCAAGTTTGATGGCTTTTATAGTTAAGACTGTAATATATTGTAAGCTAAGATAACATCGTAGTAACATGTCCTGGGAAGGAGCATTCTATAGAAATTTTTTAAAACATTTTGCACTATGCTGGTTATTGCTGTCCACTATTGCGGACGTAACAGATTGAACCACGGCAGAGCCGAGCAAAGGACTTCATACATCAATCTTCAACGGACATACTGTTTATCATTTCAGAAAAGCCTCTCGATTGTCAAAAAACTAAGGCCGTCCGTCAAAGCCGACAAAAACATACAACAGCGGGGATTCGCTGGTCGTCACCGACCCAACTACTAATCCGCCCCTTACCAGCTTGACTATGGGAGAGCGGACGGGATCCCGTATTTTCTGGTAGGTATGGTCGTATGTGCTGATACTGCTTGAACTTCACATTATATACCCCAGAATCTGATATTTCTGCAATCCATATCAGACTCCCTTATCCATCGAAGTTAAATTACTCCTGTAGTGAGAGGTCAATGATCACCACTGCGTTATGCCAAACTCAGTAGAATCTGCACCAATCAATTTTGCTATTTAATCCGCTGTCTAAAATTTTCGCGTTACGAAGGCGAGAGCAGAAGATTGTCCTTCAATGCCGTACTGTATACAGTTGCCAAAACGAGATGAACTGCTTCGGTCTCGTTCATCCCCAGCGTTGCGAATGTGGGATTGGAATAACGCCACAAACTGATGTCAAGTATTGCAGGCGCCACTTGTTTCTAAATCGGTCTTCAATGCAGGTGGCGGTAATCGATCACCAGGTACCGAGACATAAAACCCAGTGGTCACCATCTTAGTCATAAGTCAAGAGCCACAGATCGGAAGCCCGGATTGTCCTTGCATACGTCAAGACTAACTCGTATATATTGTCCAGTAGCAGGTGAAGCGAATATTCATAACTCTGCAAGGCGTCTTGAGCCACCAAGCCAAACCTGTAAATTCCTGATTCAACCACACCATCTTGTTTACCATCCAGACTGAGGAAAACCAAACAGCATCCAAGATCATACTTCGAGGATCAAGTAACAATCTCGGAAAGCTGGAAGTAGTGACAATGTACGCATCGCATATTCAGACTTGGTGTGTTAAGTTTGAACCTTGAGCATAAGCATAAGGTTAAGAGGAAGAAACTACTCAGTTATTGTGGAGTACTCTGGGCTCGTATTATGCATGAGAGAATCACTGCTTGATCACAAACAAGCCCGAAAATAACTCTGGATCGATGCAAGAATGGCCATCGGGAATTAATCTGAAGTTGTGAGGAGTAAGAAGAGGTGGGGATGCATATCTAGGGTTGATAAAGTATGCAGCTCAATTTATCACATCAATAGTCTGAGAGTCTCTTGTCTTTAGCTTGAAGGCTTGCAGAGTTGAGGTTTAGATGCTGGGAACTCACAATACCAATGGTTCAACCAAATATACTAGACTAGTCCCGTTAGTTGCATGCAGAACTTGCTCAGACTTCTGGGCCTCCGAGATAGAGTTGTCCATGTGAGGGGCACAAGTAGGAAAATATTGACTTTCGAATTAACTGTGGCCCTTCCCGACCAACACTTCAGCTACCGGTCCAGTAACTTGGATGGTTAGAACACCGTCTTGGATTAGTGCTGATACTAACGCAGAATTAACTTTAGATCTCCAACGTTATGATGTCTCGACGTTGAGTCCCGTTATGGCTTCGTACCCGCAATGGCACTGAGCTTAAAGCCACAACTAACGGCTCAACTAAACCAGACCGGGCCAGACCAATCTGTCATCATGCCATGTCATTCATGTAACTATCCATACACATAAAGGCTTTTAAAAAAGCTTAATGAATATGAACTGACAGATCGGTGAAAGGCTACGGTGACACATACTGATAAGGTTAAAAGCAAGCATCAATTGCAGAGTTTCTGCTGTGTTTGTCTGCACTAGCAGAGAAGCCCTACTGGTAGAGGCACAGGAAATAAAAGAAAAATCCATCAGGCTAATGCGTTGGTCATTTCGTTGTAGATTCCCAACCTATCTGCAAGCAGCATGTTTGGTTTGTGCCTTATGACACCACCAGCATTGGCGGATTGGAGGCGATCCTCTTCCAGTCAGGTTTTCAATAGAAACATGCATTCAAGTATCCATGCTCTAGAATTGTCGTCGCAGATTGGTTGAGTCACCGGGTATTGCAAGATCGTGCATTTGGTGCGCGTTGCAGGTGGAGGTCGCGAGGCCGATTCTCACCAACAGTATTGGCTGTACGGTAAAAATTTGTTGAGGTGACCAGTACTATAAACAAACGCGGATATTATACTTGTCATACATTTCTAAGTTTGTAGCTCCTACACCATCAGTTGTGCATTACGAGGTGGGTAAGACGTATGGCGTTTGAGTTCTTGTGAAAGGTGGAGATAGTCAGAGTTCAGTTTAGCGCAAGCGTTTGCTTTGCTGAAAGTGTCTTGTAGGATCATGATACTCACTTAGACAACATGTGGCTCTGATAGTTACTAACAAGATGATTGAGATCCAGAAAGAACATAAAAAGGAGTAGCATTCGTCTCTTCATCACCTTTCTTTCTTTCACTCACTATCAATCTCTCACTTTCACAAATATTCACCTTCTTTCTTCACTCATTCACAAAACACTATCTACATTCTTTCAAGACTGTGCCTCGCAAACGGCTTGGCGACATATCTACAAAGATGAAACTCTCCACTTTGACACTCTTGGCTCTGACTACAGGTGCTATAAGTGCACCAGTTGTCGAACGAGGAGAACATGTCGAATACCGCTATTATGAAAGAAAGAATGGCGGTGAGTGGGTGCTAATCGAATATGATCCGCGATGCCCTCCGGAGAAACCAGTGCAACCCAAGCCCGTGGTTTCTTACCATGAGCCCAAGCCGTACCACCCCGAGCCAAAGCCAAAGCCACATTATTACAAGCCTGAGCCTAAGCCTTACCACCCCAAGCCTTACTATCCTAAGCCAGAACACAAGCCTGAGCCGAAGCCGTATCATCCAAAGCCCTACTATCCCAAGCCGGAACACAAGCCTGAGCACAAACCAAAGCCCTACTATCCCAAGCCTGAGCACAAGCCAAAGCCTCATTATCCTCCTCCGAAGCACAAGCCTGAGCACAAGCCTGAGCACAAGCCAAAGCCTCACTATCCTCCTCCGGAGCACAAGCCTGAGCACAAGCCAAAGCCTCATTATCCTCCTCCGGAGCATAAGCCTGAGCACAAGCCAAAGCCTCATTACCCTCCTCCGGAGCACAAGCCTGAGCACAAGCCAAAGCCTCACTATCCTCCTCCGGAGCACAAGCCGGAGCACAAGCCAAAGCCTCATTACCCTCCTCCGGAGCACAAGCCTGAGCACAAGCCAAAGCCTCATTATCCTCCTCCGGAGCACAAGCCTGAGGCTAAGCCTTACGCACCTCCTAACTAGCTTTAGCTATTTCCTTCAATCACAAGGCCCATGAAATTAGGATCCACCAAAAGGACCTGTCATTCCTTTACTTGATGTTGAGGATTACTGTGACTGGATCTCAGTCTGGGACGGAAGAACCAATACGCTTGCTATGCAAGGATATTACTTATACATTCACTTCATTAATACCGTACATTACTCGGTCCCTCACTCCCTTCAATCTCAACGAGATATAATTATTACCTAACAAACAGATCAGTTGGACTTGATACACTATCATTACTATTCAGCTTAACTTCTTACACTCTCTTTCGAGAACTCTTGTTTATCTCTAGTTGTACTTAGTTAAAACATAATTCAAAAGAGAACTTGCACTATCAAGTGTAATGCAATGATGCGCTTCACTAACAGTGACCTTGAATCCTGAGTCTATTGTCTCTCTACTTGCCTGGACAAAGATCTCATTCTGATATTATAGACTCAACATGCAAGCTCCCTTTGCCATACTTTCTATGTTGGTTGAAGCTTTGTGGGACATGGTAACCATTTCTGTAAATATATCTGGGGATTCCGAGAGACTTGGCCACATCATCGAGGTTACAGAATATCATTTATTAATGTAAGTAATATCTTTTTAGAGATATATGTAAGCTATCGGTAGCCAACTATACCACACTGGGCTTTGACGGACCGATGTCTCAAACTACTTGCGTTCTGGCTCCAGACCCGAGTTTTCCATTTTTCGGAGTTCCTTAACGATATCCTTTATAACCCACGAGCGGACACGATATATACCATCTTTAGGTCCAATGAGACTCCAATCGCTTTCAGATGCGAAGAGGCGTTCCAACGAATTGATAAAGGCTTTCTCATCCTTGACTATAAAAGGGTCGACATATTCACTGAAGAAAGCCTGCCAATACTATTAGCGGCGAAATGTTCTTCTGGTACGCGCATTTTGATAATTCGTTGAGGATGGTTGATTGTATTAATCGCCAGAGCACTAGTGGTTGTAAATATTGTTTTTGTTGTTCGCATGACGGAGAAAACCATTTTACGGGTTTTATAATAGGGATTTCCGATTGTGCCATTCATTTTTCTCGCAATGGTGACTTCTATGATGTACTTTTGATGGTAATGAATTGGTACCAAGACGCGGTACTCAATGGGCCTTGACTAGGATTTACCGGGAGACATGTTTGGGCTACCAATAACGCTCACAGAACCTCGATTAAGTGTTCATGATTAAGTAAAGAAAGTGAGAGATAACATTAGAGATTCAATCCCATTCCTTGATATTCATGGATTTCGGACTAGTCGGTAGAAGCAGCTGACTGTCCATATTGACCTTGTGTTATATGCTGATCATGCATGCGGCCAAACCAAAAGAGTATTTAAGATATCTGTTCTGTGCAGCCCATGCAGTTATGCCCAAATGCAGTAAAGCTTAGATCTAATTACAAGCCATTATATGTGTTGGAAAATGTAAAGCATCCTTCACGTCACATCACGTATTCCATCAATACACCAGCCTTTGAAGATCTCTGTGTTTCAATTTGTGCCTATACAGGCAGCTCCTTACCGTTTTATGTATCCTTCCTTTTATTATGATGTAATAATCATTGTGTTCTATACAAACTGAGATAGTCGCCGTCTCAATCGCTCTTTGGCTATACCTCCAAAACTGTTGCCGTCTTCCTTAAAATCGACGCTTCAAGGCAATTGAAACCACTGCGCAGAGCCTTCTTGGCCCCAATGATTTTACAAATATATGTTAAGTATCTGTCATATGTCGTCCGCCGTGCAACCCATCAACTTCCGAATAGCATCTTTTCCGTTTTGCTGTAGACTGCGAGCGCCAATACCAGCCCAGACACCTGCGGGACGAGGCGGCGTTTCAATGTTAACCCAAGATTCGCCTTGCCACTGCAACCAAACATTTCTGTTTTGGTCGAAAACATAGAGGCTATGATTTTCTGGATGCAACTGAGCAAACATTGTCGTTGCCCATGCCGTTCCTCCGGGAGGTTGAGCGTTGTCCCCTGCCTCTGGAATGAAAGTGACAGCATAGCATGCTTCGCTCCAAGCCACTTGATAGTAATTGCGGCGCAACAAGCGGGTAACTGTCGGCCGACGTGCTGGGCTTTTCCCAAGAGCTCTGGCCGCATTTTCAATGGCTTCATTGCCTATCTTGAGTTCTTCATCGGTAAGTCGAATAAGCTGGTCTTCTGAAACCTGGCTCGAGTGCTCAGGAAAGCTCCAATGTATGACTTGATGTCTCACAGAAGCAGCACAATTTCCCCATTCCATGTCGGCGCCGTCAGCACCTCCAGAAAGGCAGATGTTTGGGTTTGTTGAATTTTGAAGATAGTCCATTTTCGATTCTGAATGAACACAATTCAATGTTGCCCGATTCATTCTGCTTATCCAACAAGTAAGCAGTGGATGAGTCATATTTGAACCTTGGCTTATGAGTCAACAAGGTGGCCTGAACGCTAATTGTGATTATTTTCGCTGCGTACAAAACCGTAATTCAATATAATTCCTCTGAGCTTGCATACTTCCCAAGATGAACGGATTACTTGACTATCTTTGTGCAGCGTTTCTGTATAGTTAATGGCTCTCAGAAAGCTGTCTGACCTAGAATTATCAAGCAAGCTCAGCTTCCTCTTCAGTATTCAAATGATATCTATTCCGGATGAAAGGCACCCTTCTTCTTCTCAATTAATCCACTGCCCCAAGGATCCGTGTCGATAGGCACCAATGGTGTTTTGCATTTTGCCTTGAGTGCCGCCTGAGCCTCGTCGCTTTCATATGGAACACAGTCCACTCCAACATCGCCATGCATCCCATCACAGATAACCACAGGCTCTCCACCACATGGCGGTTTGACGTCGAAGTTCTTGAGGGTAATGTTGGCGCAAACAGCATCTTCAGCAGATGAACAAGAAAGACGAGCTACAGCGTTACCATAAACACCAGACGTGTAGCCTGTGAAGTTCTCGAAGTGTATGTTGGTAATTTGCATGCCTGAGGGATGTGCATTGCACTCCTCGGCTGATTTGTTGAAATAGCAAGAATCGAGGAAAATGCCGTAATCCATACGTGCGACCCAGAAATTTCTGGCCGAATGTCAATAGCTAGACTTGGATAAGCCTGATTGGTACTCACTTGAACGTTACATTGTTAACAAAACCCGTGCCAGTTTCGTTTCCGGCCCATACCTTGATACGAGCACCAGAATACTGAGAACATTAGAACGTATAGCGAGTGAGCTGGAAAAATGACATACATCTCCATTCATCATCCAAACGTTCTCGATATGCACATCGTGAACATTAGAGACTTCCCCTTTGTATTGTCCCAGTGATCCCATAGACTTTCCACGTCAGCTTGATTAGGTAGAGTCTCTTGCGTATGGAACTCACCTGGCCGTGTGTACCATTACAATACATGGTGTTGACATAAAGATCAGAGCTGTTGGGCTTGGGAGAGAAACAGTCATCATCAATATTGACCCATGTCCTCTCAATTCGCACGGTCGAAGTGTTCATTGTGTTCATAAAGTCAGTATTCTTGGGGATGATGCTACCATTATTTGACAGAGCGGTCGCTACGACATCGGTGTATGAGATGTTCTTGGAGCTCACAATGAAGTTATTCCAGCAGGGCGAGTCTTTGAGATGGATGCCGGAAACGTCAAGGTTGGTCGTGTTCTCTGCGTAGAACAGAATCGGACGGTAATACTTATTGTCGGGATTTAAAATGCTAATAGATAGTCAGTACTTTGCCACCTATCGGAGAATTCGGTCAACTCACGAGCCTGTGCCGGCCTCAAACTCATTCCACCAACGTTGTCTACTACTGTCAGCTGTGAGGCACCTGCGTTGGTCTGATATAGACTAACCCTTGACCTTCGATGACGCCGTTGCCATATATCTTGATATCGTGCCCTCCCCATTTCCAAAACATAATTGACTTTTGAAAAGGGTGGTACCAAGCATTTTCCTGCCAATACTCAATGTCATCCGTAAACTATCTCTGTTAGATTCCAAGACAGTGTGCGATCCCAAAAAGATGACTGACCCGGATCTCACCCTCTAAGTGAATGTGAATATCATTGAGACCTGTCAAATCAAGCGCCTTTCCGATAACGAATGTCTGACCATGTGGTAAGTACAAGGTGTTACCCCGGTCAGCCTGACGCACACCGCGTTCGAAGTCGTCGGAAACATCATCCTCATGATCTCTCGACGCGCGAATCTTTATTATTTTGCGTTGCTCGTGCTTAGGAGGCTTGTATGGATGTTTTTGCCGGAAACCCGAAACATCGCGAGGCACATCTTGCGGCAGAGACACAGCATCGATGGTAGTGATGGCCAATGCCCCAAGTAAACCCAAGATTGGAAGATAACGCATCTCAAACAGCTCGAAATGTGAAAATTAATGCTCCGGTATTGCTATTAAAGAAATTGAGGTTCCCAAAACGTGGGAAATGCATATCGGCATTCTAAATGGGTTTGTCGATGATATATACAATCGCTCACCAGGGACTCGGTGTATCATTGCGAATTTACCGAAAGCAACAGGAGCATATGGATTCTACAGCATAAGCCTTCGTGCCAGCCAGCCCCTGCTTCGTGCGATGTTGCGATGCCAAGGCGGAAAAGGTAGTTGATCTACCGATGCAAGCAAAGCTAACTACAAACAATTGGTGGAATATTCTTTCGGCCGACGATCCGCTCAATCGAATTCAGATTAGCTGTTTGTTTCGAGGATCGGATAACTAATAAGATTAAAAAAAGGTTCTCCCCATGATTGACCTTTTCCGCAGTAAGAACTTATTGTCTTGGAAAATATAAAGAGTTTTTTTCTTTTGTCTAGGTAGATTGAGCATTCATGAGGAACTTTTTGGATTGTCGGTTAGTGATAACTGTTGGCACATATATCAAAAATTGCATACTTGGATTCATAACGCGACCATTTGATGTCCACACACTGATCTCTCAATTGTGTAGCTATGAGGTAAGTCCATTGAGAATTATTTCAAGAAGAAAATAATACGCAACATCATGTTTTTGCTCATAAAGTCTTTATTGTGTTCTCTTGATTGCATTCCGAAGATTGCCTTGGTATCGGGTAAACAACCACGATAGTGCAGCAACGGAAACCATTGAACGGCTAAACGACGGATGACATTAGAATGGAAATGAGATCATGGCTAGCAAATGCTCGACTTGATTGGTTCAGTCGAAGCCCTTGTCTGGATCATTCTCCACGACCTTTTCTGATTTGTAAAGTGGATTGCAAAGCAAAGCAGACAAAGGCGCCACAGTGGCTGAGTGGCTTAGCAGGAAAGGTTTCCTGACAAATAGCGTCTCACTCAGCAGAAGAAGCTCCACGAACCTTCTCGATACTTCGAGCAATGTCATGGCCTTTCGTGATGGTGAGTAACGGCTTGCGCATCAACGCGATGCATAAATGCAATATGTGAAATTGCTCTATAAGTAAACGACTCTCGACATGTTTGGAGATTTTTTGTTCATCAGAATTCAGCAGCTTTACAACTCATTTAATTAATACAAACAACACAAAAACCTCCTCTACTCAACCAATCATTATCCCTGCTACCTTTTTACCACTTAAACAAAAACACATCAACAAAATGGCCTTCTTCCTTCCCCGTACTGTCTACCATACCCAGGCTCCCCTGAACCCACTCTACTATCTTCTCAAGGAACTTGACCAGTCTGTTTCACAGCCCCAGCAGCCTCAGCAGCCTCAGCAAAGAAGCCGATGCCAGTCTCAACAGAAGAGCCAGGCTCAGGCTGAATGCCCCGCCTATCGGGTGACAACCCGACCATGGGAGCCCCGCTTTGAGGCTCATGAGACGGAGGACTCCTTTGTTCTCTACGGCGAGCTTCCTGGTCTGAACAAGGAAAACGTCACTGTCGAATTCCCCGAACCTCGCAAGCTTGTCGTTAGTGGCAAGGTCGAGCGTTTCACAGAAGCCTCCAAGGCAGCTGAAACAGTCACTGAGCAGACCGCTCCCGCTCCCGTCATTGAGTCAGACAACGAAGACACCCAGAGCAGAAGTTCATACCAAGCTACTGTCGAGGACGATGTTGATGATGAGTTTGAGGTCTTGAGCCACACATCACAAAAGTCAGAGACCGTTAGTCAACCACAGTCTGAGACTCTCAGCGAGAAGGCCAAAGACAAGCAGCCTGAGCAACCCAAGCAGCCTGAGCAACCCAAGCAGCCTGAAGAGCCAAGACGTTCTGGCTACACCAAGGAGTTCTCACGCTACTTCACTTTCCCCACCTACGTCAACCACGAGGCAGTCACCGCCAACCTTAAGGATGGTCTCCTGACTGTCATTGTTCCCAAGGCTACTCCCAAGTCTCGTCGCATCCTCATTAACTAGAGGATCGGATATTGGTTTCGACATTGAATGTGATATTCTTTGGATTAGATATGTTTAGGAGTTCTTAGTCTGGTTTTCTTAATTAAATGGTTTTTCTAAAATTATTGTGACTTTATTTAACAAGTCGTTCGTGAAAGAGTGAATAGTATTGTGTCACGACAATGCCCTTTCGTAATACCATGCAGCCTTGTAACATTGCGGGCAATCCGTGCGGCAACACCGCCTTTATATTCAACGTGACAGTTTCATAGCTACAGGCGATGATGACAAGTTGACAAGAATTTGATCCTGGGGATCGAGCCAATATACAAAGTAACCCCCAATACTGCTACTACATCTAACCAGACATGCCCGGCATTTCGTCTACAACTTCATAACCTTCCAGTTCCTCAAAAAGAGATATAGCAGCGTCCATTTGAGTACGATGACCGATAATCTCCTTTCTAATTACGTCGATACACTCCTTCAGCTCCTCAATCTCAACCTCGAGCATTGTGGCCTTATCTGGGGTGCTCCTCGACTGGCGACCATCGTAAATACTCCCAGCTAGGGTTTTCTTCTCTTCGTAAGTTGCCCGGAGCGAGGCGAGGCACGTTTTGGCATCGTTCCAATCCTTCTGAGCCGATATGAAAGTACCTCGTACTTGTTGGAGACGGGCACCTATTCCTCGATCGGGCATAGTGATGAAAAGGATGCAACCAGGGGATTGGCTTGAACCCAAGACAACTAAGTGGAAATAAATCTCGGAATGTTGATGTAGAGTTGATAGTAAGCCGAATGTGTTTGTGTTGAGAAGAAGAGAGGCATATAACGAATAGTCAACTGCATTTGCAAGGAAATAGTATTTTGACAGAAAACGGGTGGCCCTTTCACAAATGTTATAAGCGGCGATTGAGAGGATAAAAGAGTCAGTGCTTACTTGGCATCCTTAGTAAGGTCATGTAGAAAAGCAATTGGTGCCCGACAGTGACTGCCCGTGTTACCTGTTCCCATTATACTCAGTGGATGCCTGACTTCTTGTATCCTTCAGCTTGACGGGACTGAATGAGCCTATGGTTGGTGGCATTGTTTGCTGTCGGTTCATTGCTACGTCAAGCCACCGACATCAGTACCAGAAAATCACTGCCTGTACATGCGCTAATGTATCTCAAAGCGGACTACTGTATGCAAACATTCGTATGTACGCTTGTGATGTTTATGTGTCTTAACAAAGACTATTACCCGCGAATCTTCTGAATTAGCAACAACAAACAGTAGGCTTATATCTAAAGTTTGCATGGGCCTCACCACTAAAGCGATCACAAGATCAATAGGACTTTATTGTCTAGGTAGAGTCGAAAGGCTAGAGTGAAAAAATGAGTCATTCGGCAAATTAAATATTCATCAAAGTCTTTGTGTCAATATATGGCTCTGAAGTAGAACCAGTGCAAATGGCGTTTTTCAAGATGATTCAATTGTAGAGCCCACAAGAGTTGAACATAACGTATGAGGCCGACGAAGACGTTACTAAAGTGGATTCCCGAATATGTTTTATATACAACTAATACTATATAGGCTCAATATTCCACAGAATTATGATCAAATAACTAAAGTGCTTTGCAAGGGTAGTTTGCGGCTGCTGCTTCCAACAAATACGTTATAACCACCCCGCTGAAGCTGCCATTCTTGGGCAACAACATTCCAAACACTCAAGTCGCGACGCGTGAGCTCGAAATTAACTTCTACTGTCTCTCCAGCCTTGATACTTGGCTTCTGGAAACCTCGGAGTTGTCTGACGGGGGCGCCATCCCCAGGAGTACCGACATATAGTTGCGCAACCTCCTTGCCATCAACGTCGCCAGTGTTGCTGACCTTGGCCGAAATAACAGCGACAACATCCCATAGATCAGCGCGTCCACCTTCACTAAGAGCCCCAGTTGGGTATTCTGGGGCTTCTGTCTCGGGACCGGAGACTTGGAGATCAGTATACTCAAAGGTCGTGTAACTCAAACCGAAGCCAAACTCGTAGCGAGGCGTGATGTTTTTGGCGTCGAAGTGTCGGTAGTCGATAAAAACACCCTCTGAGAAATCGGATTGTGGGAAGTGCTGAAACTTGTTGGGTGCAAGAGTCAAGTCAGGCTTGAGAGTTACACCATAATCTGTCTCGTTGCGGGCGACAGTGTATGGAAGACGACCGGATGGGTTCTCATCTCCGTAAAGCAAAGAAACGAGCGCCTCTCCACTGTCCTGACCTGGAAGGTGTGCGTAGATAACAGCAGTGATGTTAGGGTGGCTAATGAAACCATCCACCAAACGTGCACCGGCGTTGTGAAGGACGACAATTGTGTTTGCACATTTGTCGGCAACATTGTTGATCAGACTGTCAGTGTAATCATCATAAATAGCAGGTCTGTCCCAACCCTCGCTAGCCCATGCGTTTCCAGCAACGATGCAAGCTTCAGAGGTGGGGTTGACAGAAGGATCCCAGCTTTCGAAATCCCAGTACAGTGAGGTGCCATCTTTTCTGGCTCGAGAGACAAACGCGTCGAACGGCGAACTGATCAAGCTTGCGGCGGCGGCTCCCGAACCTCCTCCAGAGATGAGAGTGCCGTTAGGTGCAATGGCTGAGTAGGTGAGGTTCAGGTTTCCCAGGAAACCTCCATTCAGCTCAGTGATGTTGGCAGATTGGGCACCGATAGCCCACGGAGCAAACATAGCACCCTTGACTACTGGCTCTGGGTTATTCTTAGCAGGGGCTGTGTGTGAGTAGCCAAATAGAGAGACAAGCTTCAGGTTGGACTTGAGCGGCAACGTTTTGTTAGTGTTTTTAACAAGAACATGACCCTCTATCGCACCATCCCATAGCGTAGACTTGGAACTCGCGTTTCGAGCATCTACAATAGGATGAGGTGCCGATAGGTCCTTGGCTAGTCCGTGGCCGGGAGTGGGGAAGTCTGGCTGATCCTGGTTGAGCTGATACCAAGTGGCGAGAATTCTGCAAGAATATTGTAAGTCATGTATAGGAACGTGAGTTAAAGGTCAATCTTACCTGGTAGCCATGCCGTCAACATGTGATTCAGGAATGGTTCCGTTGTGAACACCAAGAGTGAGGTTGGCACCCCACACTATGGAGCTAGGCATCGCGACATCAAGTCCAGCGAGAGCGGAGGCCATACCGGAGTGCTGCGCACCCCAGTCCGAAACGACGAAACCTTGGAAGCCCAGCTCTCCCTTGAGAAGGCCGTTGAGAAGTTTCGAGTTCTGGCAAGCATAAGAACCGTTGGCTCTGTTGTAACTGCACATCACACTGGCAAGTCCTGCATGGACTGCATCAGCGAAAGGCCTGTCAAGATTGGTCAGCCATAAACTGATGATCAAGAACCAAGTCGACTTACCACATGTACAACTCATGAAGTGTCTTGTCATCAACATTTGAGGATATAGCCTCTGCCTTAGTGGCGGCAGCGGCAAGTCTGTGAGTCTCTTGCTCTTGAGCAAGCCAGTGCTTTCCACAAGCAACAACACCTGCATTCTGGATTCCAGCTACAGCTTCATGTCCCAGTCTGCCAGCAAGATAAGGATCATTTGAGAAACCTTCCCAATTGCGGCCACCTTCGACGACACGTCCCAAGGGGCCAAAGACTGGACCGAGGAGGATATTTACACCCTTGGTCTTGGCCTCAGACCCCATGTAATAACTTCGGCTGTAAGTCAACTCAGGGTTCCAGCTTGCACCGACATGGATGCCTGCCGGAAATGCGCTGACATAGTCCGTGTTGCGGACACCATTGCCAGCATCTGCTAAACACAAGCCTGGAAAGCCTAAACGAGGTACTCCAGGGATGAAGCCAGAGCAACCAGTGGTTGTTTGGCCTCCTGCAGTCAGATTGACCTTCTCTTCAAGTGTCAACTGAGATACCAATTCTTTTGCTTTGGAGACCGCGGCGGACCAAGAACCAGTTTCCGTTTGTTCCGCTAAATGATTGTCAATGAGGTTACTTATCACAAGGGCATTTCAATACTGACGTGTTGGGTATACCGGTGGGGATTGACCGTAGAAGTAAGTATCTTCGGTGATAACGTCGGGCTGGTTCTGAGCTAGGACACCATGATTCAACAGCGAGAGGGCCAAAAGGCCCGATGCAGAAGTCAAGAACATTGTCAGATTCGGGGTATCTTGGAATCTAAATGCTCGGGAATACTACACTTCTCTCGAGGGGTTTACATCCTTTATATCTTAAGGTCTACTAAGTTCTTGTTGGTCATAACTACACCACTAAACCATCCATTACCCACTCATCGGCAAACTTTTCATCTAAGCTAGTCACTTGATCAACAACCTCGGTGAACTTAACGAATAATAAGGTGATTCCGGTCATCTGGTTGATGTATGCTGGGGCCTAGTATTTACGCAATGCTTTGCAATGGTAGCATAGCGTGACTATAGTACAGAAAAAGTCGTTGACAATCGGGCCTTTTTCTTTCAATAACTGGGATTGTGGGGTTTTTCTGTCTTCTGACATTGGCTTCCCCGACTTTTGCAGTCCAGGATCTCCAGGTTTAGCTTAACTGACAGACCACATCCCCGGTCTTCTCCACCTCCGCCTTTCTAGTTTGGGGTATGGCTTGGCTGTATTTACCCCAGGTATTTCCGACAAACGGATGTAGAACCCTATGAAGTTAGGAATGCAGTTGGAGAAGTTACCGTTCGCAATTGCCGATCAATGTTAACTGTCACTAGCTTGGAAACGATGCCATTGGGACGACATGACTCAGCCTGTTAGCCAGATTGACCACGCACCTTTCTGATTCTATGACACTGATATTTGTCCACCGCGTTTTCTACGTTAGTTGAGTATAATTCTGGTCATGAAGAGGTGGGAATGCAGAGAAAGAAAGGACTCTCTTGGAATGTGTAGTCCCCTATGTACTTAATGATATACATCATGCTTCAAATCGTCTAATTCAAGTCTATGTTGGGATGTCTAACCTATAACAAGCCGTTACATCCTGGAATCAAGATACGATGCAATACTGCCTAGAACATGACCAGACAACCCAATGATTTAAAGCATTGCTGACGCATAATTTCGGCGGAGGAACTATATAATTGACGAGGGTTTAGCAAAGGTCAGATGCCATCAGCGCCAGAGTGATATCACAGGTATACTGTGACCTTCTGAGTCTACCTAATACTTGAACAATGTTCTGCAGTAGCTGGTAGGATGCAGTCTACGTTTTTTACTTTGCCAGTGTTTATTCTTCTTCGCGCCTACAGTTTCTTTTCCACATTACTCATGCAATGTTAATGATAGAATAGCAAGAAGTAGCGATGTCGTGGTTCAGAGACGATCATCGCTCTCGCACCTGTCACACTGTTCGAGGCATTGTCAGACCAGTCTCGATAGTACAAATGTACGCAAAAGTTTTACAATGGATGGGTGAAAATCTCGTGCAGATTGACAAGTGTCATCGCTCAAGGTTGGTAGTTTACTACACACCACGAGAGTAGCGAGAGGTAGACTTGAAAAATCCCACAAAAGAAAAGATTTTCGGGTCCAGGCACCATGTAACAATCCTGATTCGAAAACCAATGTAGTGACATACATGAAAGTGGGAAATACACAGCACCTGTGTGAGTGCACATATAGCTGATTCACTGTCTGGCTGTGTCAAGCGGAGATGATTACACATTCAGGACACGCCAGAGCCTATATACATTACAGTTATGGAAACGAAATGACGTGGTATAGCCTGTATTCCTGTTCGATATGTATAACCATAGGTTTCCGCTCCGCCAAGAGCCAGAAGTCGGCAGACTAGCACGAAGACTTGATTGATACATGGTGATCTTTCATGATCATAAAATGTGTCACCTGGACAATGATACTGTGCTACTACTAGTATTCTACAACAAGACGCCGAGAAGACAGATGCCGATGACTGGTGTGCTCACAGGAGGTGAATCTTGCCAATTGGGAGCTTGATCTCACTGTTGGCTATGGAACCTGTGATATAGTGTCCTGACAAGCACATAAGGTACTGAATATAAACCAGCCAACGATTCATAAACCAATCATTTTCGAGAACGTAAGTACCTACATAATTTGTGTAAAAATATTATGTAGTGGCTGTAAGCTGTCCTGCATTAGGACAAAACATTCATCCTCAGCATATGTATGAAGCCAGATGTGGTATTATCCTGTAAGCCAGTACTCAGACATACTCAATCCTCCAATCATGATATCTTTCTAGGCTGACTTGCAGAACGATGACCCTTTATGGCTTATGAATCTGCACATTGAGCAAGACTCAGAAAGATGTTTCAGAACATTGACAGAAACGAAGAGTTTCAAAGGCAAACATAAATGGAGTTTTCTTTTCTACACAAGGTAAGAGGGGTTTACTGAGACAAGAGTTCTTAGCGCTTATCACTTATATCGACGGACAAGAAAACGGGGACGGGCGAGACGGAAGAGATAACTGTTTATTTGCCCATACCCGGCCAATACACCAAATCGACACCGGCACAGTTCTAGGTCGGGGTCGATTCTCAACGGATCCTTAATAGCATCGGTCTAAATATATGTTAGACTTCTCATCACATCATGTATAAATTAGTTCCCGTTTCATATGTGAGAACTATTCGTTGTTTTTTCGGATATTCCGTAAGTAGTGCAAGAATATGGATAGAAACGGTGGCACATGCAACGTCCCATTGATGTGATCAACGTTTTGCCAAGAGCTAAGCAATAAACATGCAGGCTGACCAACAACTTGCTTCGGCAAATACTACGGCAAAAGGACTCAGAAAGGATGGATGTAACAACTTAAAATCGAAAAAAAAAAACGCGCGTCGTCGCGGGCTCCCAGTTATCTATCAACAACCTTATAAGTAATAAGGATTTTGAGCACGAACACCTTTCTTCTTGTATTGCGACCACTGATCTCTCCCATTACTTCAAATCACTTTCATTCGCCCAGAGAACACAGTTCTTGTTGGTACACGAGAAAGCGCAGACTCTATCGGAAATCTGGTCAATATCGTGTCTCTTCTCGTCCCCTACAATCATCCCAGCCGTCTATGGATTCTCTTCTTGTCGCCCGTCATGACGACTCCATACTTCGAAAACACACCGGAGAAGCAGGCGGGTGTTATTCATTTCTTCCGTTAACAATTTGGAACTAAACCTCGGGCCGTCACCAATGTCAGCCTCGAAGGAAAGACGGCCATTGTGACCGGCTCCAGTTCGGGTGTTGGCCTCGAGACTAGTCGTCAGCTTCTTGATCTTGGTCTCAGCAAGCTTTATCTAGCTGTTCGCAATGAGAAGAAGGGCGCTGCAGCTGTTCAAGATCTCACTCAAGGCTGGAATCCTCCTCTAAAGGAAGGCGTTATTGAGATATGGAAGTTGGATCTCGACTTTTACGACTCTATAATGGCCTTTGCTGAGAGGGCTAAGTCCCTACCGCGCCTTGGCATTGTTCTTTTGAACGCTGGGCTGTGCCCTGCCAAGCGTGTTTTGAACGAACAAACAAAACATGATGAGGTTATCCAGGTCAACTACCTTTCAAACGCTCTTCTCGCTCTCATTTTGCTACCTGCTATCAAGGTCACGCGCTTAAACTAGCCGGGCCCAACTCGGATGACATTCACGTCCTCTGAAGTGGCTGCCTGGTCCAAGTTCAAGTACGAAGATGGCATGTCTATTCTGGATACAATGAACTCTCCTGAACAGGGGTCCGACACGACTGGCTAAATGTTTACGTCCAAACTGCTTGTTCAATTTTTCATGGTCGAACTTGCCAAACGCATGCCCTCATATATGGCCATTATAAACGATGCATGGCCTGGCTCCGTCCATGACCCTCAGTTTAACCGTGAGCTTGACCAAGCCTTTGTGGGTGCTATGGTCAAGAAGATTATGAGACATGTTGCTTATACATCAGCCGATGGTGCGCGCATGATGACAAATGCCATTGTTAAATATGGTGATAAAACACATGGACAGTTTCTTTCGTTCTAGAAGCTCGTACCGTAAGTCCTTCTTCCCTGTCCCGCCAATCTCCATTTCGTTCCAACGGATTGCTTACCTTGTAATAGAATGGCACCAATTATCTACACGGAAGATGGTGAGAAGTGTGGTGGAAAGATCTGGAAGGAAACAATGGAAGAATTGGCATTCGCTCAGCCAGAGGAGGTGTTAAACTCCGCTTTAGGATAGATTCTAAGCATTTTGGCTATATGTGGAGATCGTGGAACATGCCTTTGCGACATATAAACCTTGCGTGTCTAAGCATTGTACCTGACATTTATGCCTTGCTGTAAGACGTTTTCTTCTTTCTACTAATTATATGATTGTCGTTAGTTTGAGAATATTCATCAGACTTATCGCGGAGCCACTGTTTGTGGAGAGACTATTTGTCAATGCCTCAAGCGTTACCACTATCTGACTTCTAGGTTGTGTTACAAGCCATACGTTTATCCCTCCCTATCTTAATCCTAGTAGAGTAACCAAAAAGGACTAATTGATTTAGAGATCTTATAACATCCATTCTACCTTAGCGTTGCTTTATGCAACGAGTTTTGCAGCCTGGCTGACTTGTACAATAATATCCACCATTTCCTCTTGTTTCAGCACGGGGCTGATTGAGCAGATCCTAAGAACAACCCTACCTCTCACCTTTGTGGTCAAAAGCCCTGCAATGTTATTCTCTAGTAGATGCCTTGAAATGGCCGCATTGAGACCATCTAGCTCTTCCTCGGTCTTTCCCAGAGGAGCGTATCGAAATGTGACGATCGCCATACTTGCTGGACTGATGACTTCCCAGTCTGGTAGCTTTCTAACCTCAGCTTCGGCAATCTCGGCGAGGTCGAAACCGTGGTCAACCATCTTTCCAATACGTTCTACACCGAGAACTCGCAATGTGAACCAAAGCTTCAGAGCGCGCGAAGGGCGGGTAAGTTCCATGCCGAGGTTCCAAAAGTCGGGAATCTCTTCGTGCTCAAGAGCGTCACGCAGATAGTCCCCATCATTGGCATAAACCTTTGCAAGATCCATCTTATTCCTCACCAGGATCAGACTGCAGCTATATGTTTGAAAAAGCCACTTGTGCGCGTCCCAAGAGATACTGTCTGCAAGCCCAAGACCTCTCGTAACTGCACTCCTCGTAGCACCAAGGGCCGCAGATGCACCAAAAGCCCCATCAATGTGAAGCCATATCTTTTCATCGTCTCGGATTTCGGCCAGGGCCTCCAACGGATCAATGGTGCCTGTGTTTGTCGTCCCACATGTACCCACGATGACGAATGGTTTAAGATTTGCAGCGCGGTCGGCCTTGATGGTTTTTTTGAGTACAGTAATATCCATCTGGAAAGAATTTGTTGGTATGATACGTATCTGGGTGCGCTTTATGCCTATAATCCGAAGGGATTTTATCACTGAGTGGTGTGTTTGATCAGAGAGATATGCGATCCCCAAGCTCTCGGTTCCTTCTTCTAAGATACGGTCTCTTGCCAACACCATACCACTCATATTGGCCATAGAACCACCCGACACAAAGACACCTCCAGCACTGTCTGGAAGTCCAACCTTGGAGGCGAGCCACTGCAGAAGTGTCTGCTCGACAATAGCCACACCTGGGCCTTGAAGGGCCGATCCAGCGAACGAATTGAAAGCGCTCGTTAGGCAGTCCCCTATCCACGATAGGGGAGATACAGGAGCTGGAATGAAGGCAAACGTCCGAGGGTGATTCATCCGAAAGCGAAAGTCAGATATGGTGAACGCATCTTCTATTGCGTCACGTACTGGATGAGCCGTCCCTGGAGTACTGATCACTCTCAGCCTGGAAATCTCTGCCGGGTCAGCCAACCGTATAATGGGGTCTTTGCTAACACTTTGAGTTGTCTGTAGGAGCCGGTCGAAGATGGCTTGAAAGGATGAGCTGATAGCGTCCAGCTCCTCGGTTTGGTCTGGGAAAGGTGAAAAGTCCATTGCAAGCTGTTATCGATTCTCCACGCAAGTAGAATATCTGTGGACGCAAGGAATTCAAGTATAAAAAGTATAACAAACGAATGCTGACCAACATTCATGTCATCAAAGGGCGCAAAGTAGTTGATTCAATGTCAAGTTCCCCGCATTTTATGTCATTGGCACCGCGTCTATGAGACAAACTGTCATACAGCCGATTTTCGGCATCATGCATATTCACATCTCATAACTACACCAAAGAAAGCCATTGCAGTAACTACTATCTGATAGAGAGTAATTGAAGATGATCTGCTTAGTACTGCAAACAACTCGAGACCATCGACTTTACTCCAAGCTATCATTTGCGATACTGTCAATTGAGGCATTGAACAGATCCCACCACTGAATGTTCGGCACCGAACGTATACGGGGATCAGGCATGACCAATATTGTGTTTAGCTTCCCTAAAGCTGTCCATGCCCACGTTTGAGCTACGCACAACAAGGTTAGCGAAACAAGACTATTAAAACAATGGCATCGTGGTGAGTATTTACGTCCGAATAAGTTGCTGACTCGTGAGTAGAAGGAAAAATCGTCAAGTTTCAGCGCAGGGCCATCGCCTCGATCATCTTTACCGTAAGTCCCCTGAAGATGTGTACCATCCATCAAACCAGCGGATGATAGAGGCGTAAACATACCAGGTGGTCTACAGGCTCACATCAGTAATTCGTGCTGTATTCAAGAAAACACCAATTTACTCACGACGGGAGACGGCTAGCTTTCATGGCTTCCATAGCATGGGCGACACCGCCAAAAGCAGCTGGGCCCTGAGTCCAGTCTACATGCTCGCTTATGTCGCTCTTGACAGCATCCTCAGTTGCTTGGCTCACGTTTCTTGTTACCTCCCAGACATCATTGAACCATTGCTGACTGTCGATCGATACATCTTCTTTCTTCAAAAAGGGTCCGACCTCAAAAGGCGATATAAGGAATGTAGTTGCCATGACCGGTCCAATATCAGCTGCTTCCTGGAATATCTGACGGATTGGCTTCTGCGACGAAGAATCCGCCTGATCCTGGTATGCTAGTGACGTGTGTTTCAGTCGATTGCTTACGCAAATAGGTGAAGCGATGGAGCATGGTAGACTCTGTGGCGGAAACGTTTTGAGCAATGCGAACGATTGCAATGCTGTCAATAACGCTGTTACTGTGACCCCTCGTGCTTTGCAGATATTTATAAGTCTCTTTGTCAGGTCCTCTGAGTACACTTGTCTTCGTACAGCGTAGTCGGTCCCTGGAAAATCCTTGGAAGACTCCTCAATAATGGGGCACATTGTAATATTCGCGAGGTTCGCTCCAAGCAGTTGTTGCGCCTTTTCCTGAGCTTCTTGATTCATCGGGGTAGTTCCCAGTGGCTGCTGGAGGATGTCCAGATAACACGGATGCAGGGAAGAAGTGGTAGTCGATGTATACGAAGGGAAAGGTAGGTTGTCGGCCAATCCATCTGAAAGCCTACATAGAATATTGTCTAAGATTGCAGCACCGCTCCAGAAGTCGTTTAGTGCATGATTGCAGCGGATAGCCACTGCGAAAGTGCCGGGGTCGGCTGATGATCCAACAAGCGATATGTGTATCAAGTGCGTCCCAGACTCAATGCTGATACGCTTTTCAGGGCTTGAATAAAACTCATCCGTCAGTGACTTGAGCCCTTCCTTAACTGACTTATCAGTGTGAAGAATTGTCGTCCGTTGCGCGATCCTCTCAGCCAAATCATTGTCGGATTCGAGCGGAGTATAAATAAAATCTCGAGACTTGGCGGGCACAGATTCATGCTGGCCGCGATGAATCGTTGCCAATAACGAAGGTTTCTGGAGGCAGACGAGAGCAATCGCTTTGTTGAACCACGTTTTGATGTTGTCTCTGGAATCAATCTTGGGTGTGAGAGATGGCGCGACGGTGAAAATGACAGCGCCCATCCATTCAGTCCAACCATCTAATTCTAGCCATTGATCAAACATTCGCTCAGGTCCGATGAGTGGACGAGTCCAGAGCCCGTCGGCTCGCAACTCCCATGGAGCGACCATTGCCATAATTGAAGTCGAAAATGTTGTTTTTGTAGCAAATGAATGATTGACACGATGGACTGGCCAAGTTATACACAAGGTCAAAACCCCGCATGAATTGTCAGGACGTCAAGGCCAAGAACTCGCAAAGGATCATCACTAGTCAGGGCTAATTTCTCACGTTGACCTAAGCTTACGCAGAATTAGACCAATTGATGTCATCAATTCCAAGTTTTTAGTAGCGGAGAAGAAGAATTAGAATACCGTTGCTATATACTAGGCAGAAGGCATTAACTTTACGGGCCTCTAACAGGGACGACGTGTGCTGTAAGAGCTACCTTAATGGGTAGTTCGACCGGGCCAGGGTCATGATGAGATTTCCAGTGTATTGCAGTGGACTGTTCACTGTAGTGCAGCCTGAGATAATTCGTAATTTCGTCTGCATTGCTCAGTAGAGACTTCAGCGTTTCTAACTTAATAATTGGCAAAATGAGAAGACAAAGACACAGAATGCATTCCATAAAGTATGACTTATTCACTACTTATAACATTTAAATGGAATGGAACTGTTTCCGAACTGCACTTCCGAACCGAGCCAGCCCTGCCCGAAGAATAATGCCCCGCTTGAAAAGAACCCCGAATGTTGGAGATAGAAAAAGTTCCTACCGTACAGAAACGCATACAAGACAGACTCAACCCACGCATTCTCCGCTTGCAGGAAGATTAGAGAAACCGTATCAACTTGAATCATTCAAGAGATCGTGACAAAACTCATTTTTGTAACGACGACCCAGAAATGCCGCAGAAGCGGGGTGTGTCGACGCCTAAGAGTCAAAGTAGCCAAGGGCATCAAGCGAAAAGAGAGGCTGTAGACGATAGGCCATTCTTGTCTACTTCATTGACTCTAACTATCGGGGTCTTGATAATAGGAGCCCTGATCCCTTTCGCTTATGGAATTTTTGGTGAGACAAAGCCTAAGACGGCTGTTATCGACCTGGAAAGGTTACCAGAAACAGCTCAGGCAATTGACCAAAGACGCTTCAATGTCCTGGAACGTGTTCCACCACCCAGCGAAGCCAATGCTACAACGGTGAGGTTTTTAGAGTGGAAATATGTGGGATTCGTGCTGACGAGGTCTAGAGGTTTCTGTGGCCGGGAGTCACACACGAATCTCTTTTGGAACGACCATTCCACGTCTACGATGCTGAGTTTCTAGACGTCATCGGGAACAATCCAACATTGACGCTGCTCGCCACCTCTGACAAGGACCCTATCTTTCATGAGGCTGTAGTATGGTTCGTTGACCTTGCCCTTGGAAACAGAAGTGGCGTGAATACCAAGCTAATTCTCAATAATATAGGAATCCACCCACTGATGAAGTATTTTTCGTGCAATCAGCTGGATCTCCAGACGCCGGGACGGGTCTAGAGAAGTCATCCATTATCCAGAAGATTTCCCTAGCAGACGCTGAAGCGTTACGAAATGGCTCGCATACACAAAGTCATGTGGATATAACAGTGGTTGATTCTGAGCCACAAGTCATAAATCCTAATGGCATGGAACATCAATCTTCCTACATATAACGCTCAACTAACTGTAGACTAGGTGGAACAAACTACAAAGGCCAAATCATCTTTGCAGGCGAAGGCCAAGGAGAAAACATCCCTTCAGCTCTTTACCTAATGAATCCGGAAAGGCCATACAACACCACAAGTAAGGCATTTATATGACATAAAAGATGTTATCGTACCTAACATCAATCCCCTAGTGCTTGTGAACAACTACTTCGGAAGGCAATTCAACTCAATTAATGACGTTTCCATCAACCCACGAAACGGGCACATCTACTTCACTGATACAATGTATGGCTATTGGCAGCATTTTCGTCCTGAGCCGGGATTGAGAAACCAAGTTTATCGTCTTGAGCCAGATACAGGAGCTTTGACTGTTGTCGCCGACGGCTTCGCTGCCCCAAATGGTAAGTCAGCTACAGAAGACCATGTGTAAATAAGTGTTGAGGTTGACCAAAGATGAATTACAGGCATAACGTTTTCTCCAGATGGAAGGCACGCATATATCACTGATACAGGCCTGAGCAATGGGCTTTTCGGGGTGAATCCTACCAGTCCCGCATCAATGTAAGTGATGGACACGATGATTTTCATGCGTAACCTTTAACCGTGGGTTTAGCTACCGATTCGATGTTCAGAAGGACGGATCTTGGGATAGTCGCAAGACTTTTGCATACGTGGGATCGCGTTTACCTGACGGTGCGTTTCTCACTTTCCAGTGACATATTCGACTCTGACTGATGCGTTATTATAGGTATCCATTGTGACTCAAAAGGTAATGTCTATGCAGGATGCGGCGATGGTGTCCACGTCTGGAATCCTTCAGGCAAACTCATCGGGAAAATATACACGGGCATGAATGCAGCCAACTTTCAATTGGTAGGAAATGGTCGGATGATTATAATGGGAAGGACGAAACTGTTCTTTGCTACAATTGCTGCATCTGAGGCCCCGTTGAGTTGATTGGGCGGTAGAGGGTCAGTAGGAATATCACCTATACTTCGAGGTAAAGCTATTTTGTTCTTCTGCGAAAGATACGATGCTAGGGATTCCACACGCATTTCCTATTTGGTCTCACTACGTCGTACGGGTTCAACGCTGATGCCTAGATTAAGCTTCAATGTCGATCAATGGGTCTAAGCGCAGGAGGATAGCTATCACCACATGCAAGTTACTTGGGTGCCAAGAGTCAATATCTCGGTCAATTCACCCACAACATGAATCGGGTGTTAATAAATCATCATCGACTTTTCATTTAATGCAGGGCGGTAAAAGTGCCGGTCCCGAAGTTCACAGATTCATGCCGTGTTCACTGCCGATCCTAAACGAGATTCCACAGGGCTGTGCAGCTGATGCCGATCAGTTAAGGAGTTGTTGGTTGGCCAAGTTTCGAACTGCTGCACAAGAATCCTTCCGCCGATCAGAGTGTTGATAGTGACGTCGGAAAATAAGCTCGTCTTCTGTTAAGCTTAATTGCCGAATCATAGTAGCCATGAACACCTGCCGAGTAGCATCCGAAGAGCCTTGCTTAGTCCAGATTAGGATGTTGCGAAGGGAGCCCCTGCATAGGTAGTTTTCCGAGATCATCATGCCTAGGTGGAGCTGAATTAGACACGAGTTGCCCAATTCATATGTGTATGAGGCTGTGTCGTTAGATTGAATCTGGTAAGGCAGACCAGTCGGAAAATATCATTCAGCCGATATATTGCTGTTCCCGATGAGGTCCATGAGCGCAAACTGACTATGGAAAACAAAAGGTATCGAGCAAACAGCGACTCAAACTCATCTTAATTTTACAATTCCAAACTCCAGTCGTTATACCCTTCTTCCACATCTTTAGGCAGGCTATTTTGAAGGATCTAGTGTCGCAGCGGTCGAGGCAGCCTTACAATTGTTTGGTTGACCCACGTGCTCTGTGATGCGACTTGTCGCGCCGATCACCTCTAATCCTTCATCCCGATTTAATATTCGGCTAATAAAGTATTCACCGTAGCTTGTAAAGGTATGATGTAATTGACTCTGTCATGTTTCAAAGAAACATGGCTGAAACGGAACTCCCAGGCCGTCCCTACTCGACTAGTGCAATGCATAATGGAAGGATTCAGCCCAGCAAAAAGCAACGTTCCCTCAATCTTGTTGTTGTGCTTCCACGTGTTAGTGAACTTGGCTTAGAAGGAGAATATTCTTGGTAAAGTTGCAGAGAATCTTATACTAGAGCCAATTAGGACAACTGGAGCATTATTGTGATCAGCGTCGGTGCAACTTCATAGTATGAAAGATGCCTTGAAGGTGAGGGATCAGCGGTACAAGCATCTATGGGGGCCTTTTTATCAATCAATGGTTGATATACGAAGACAACGGGCTGAGTAGAGCATTGAGTATATATATCCTACAATTCCTCTCGGTAAACACTTCTCATCCTCATCACCGCCATCACTTCCTTCCAACACCACATCATCCTACAACCTTCATCATGCAGAACAAGCTCTTTACAGCCGCAGCCCTTCTCGGTGCTATGGCATCAGTTCACGCCTCTCCCGTCACCAAGCAAGTCAAGCGAGACGTCCTCACTGCCCTTCCTGAAGGTGCGGATGAGATTGAGCTCAAGTTCCAACCTTCTCTCGACTTTGACAGTGATGGCTGCTACCAGACTGCTGCCATTGACCCTGATGGTAACCTCAACCCTGGCCACGATGCCACGGGTACCCCTCAGGGAGATTGTCGCGATCCTCCACAGCTGGAGAACAGCAACACCTATTCTCGCAAGCGCTGTAACAACGGCATCTGTGCTATTATGCAAGGCTTTCTTTATGTTTGTGATCATGTCATCCGAGCTAATGGTCGAATTACAGGTATGAGACATACTTCGAGAAGGATCAAAGTGCACTAGCCACTTTCGCCGGTGGTCACCGCCACGACTGGGAGAACATCGTCGTGTTCGCCAAGGACGACACAGTCCTTCGTGTCGCTCCTTCATGCCATGGTGGTTATGGTGGCGCCAGCAACGATTTCCCTATCGACGGAACAAGCCCTCTTCTCGTCTACCACAAGGACGGCGCCGGAACCCACTGCTACCGTTTCGCAAATGACGATGATCGTAACGAGCCCGAGAACCCTACTGGCTCGTTCTTCAAGGCTCCTCTCGTTGGATGGGACAACTGGCCCGATGTTGGTCTCCGAGACAAGATGCTCCAGAACTGGAATGGTGGTGTTGGACCCAAGTTGGATGATGAGTTTGGTGACTCCCTCAAGGATGCTGCCGGTGACGGTGTTGAAGGCTTTGACCCTTACGCCGACGAGTAGGTTGTTTCTGGGACAATATGCGTAGTTGGTAACATATAAACTTGAATACAATTGAAGTAACGGTGTACCTCTGTATGATCTACCATCCTCTCCACGTGCAGCAGTTGACCAGAATTGAGCCAATAATATAAACACCGTTTTCACTGCTATCATGACGACAAACTATAGGAACGTCTCCCTTCACCCTTTATCAAATAAGTCTTCATGCAGGCGGGATCAAGAGCCAACAGCCAAATACGTTGGAGAACTTATCCGTCTCAGACCAAAACTCGACATAATCGGGAAGCGTGAATGTACCGCCAAGCTTGTTTCAAGTTGACATATTGGAAAGGAAGATATCCTCTCTTCCCTGAGCAGACATCTTTGCAAACGCTTGTAGTTGCTTTCCCCAGTCATTTCGAATTCCTCCAAATACGAATGTCTGTGGCCCTGTCGCTTCCTGCGGCTTGTTCATGAAGACGAGGTCTCGACTGACCCGAAGAGTTAAATAGTTATTATCAACAAATTGAAGAATAAGTGCGAACTTTCCATCGGCAGTGTCAAGCCTGTAATGTTGTAAACTCGACTGAGTTGGCGGGTAGAATGGGGCAAGTTTGGTCTCAGCATCAGGGTTAAGCCATAATATGCCTTCGAGAAGAAGGTTATTTCCTGGTCCTTGCGGTTGTTCTTCCGCATGCTGAAACCTCAAGTATTTCTTACGGCTACCAGAAGGAGTAGGATCGTACAAGTGGTTAAAGTAGTCGATTGAGTAAAGTTCAAACGTGGTGTCTAAAGGACCGAGGACAGGCATGCTGTGTTCTGCAGGCATGGAAGACTCGAGGGTTTCGTATGCCATCTGAACTTCCCTCACTTTGTCTATCTCATCTTGGCGATTTCTGTCTTTCTGTTTCTGGACGAAGTCTTTTCGTTTCTGTAGTTCCTGCTTGCGCTGCTCTCGCATCTCTTTTAGTTGATGAAAAGATGCAGCGTCAGGACCATCGTAATTACTGGTCTCATCTTCATCAAGGTCGGAAATATCTTCGTCGAAAGTCCATGGAAGAACCACTCCTCCACTCTTGAAATGAGGAGCCAGGCGATGATACCATGCGGGTAAAGAGTTATTGGACGTCGGCATATTGTTTTATTTATCTTGATGTTGTTAAACATGAATTTGAATGCGGGGGTTTCACAATCAGCAAAGTTTAAATATGTTGTTATTGAGCCAATCATTTGTCAATAGATGCTTTTGTTTACAGGTATCTTGACTCAAGCCAAGCAATGCCAACAAGAACGACAAGCAAGATTTGGGTATGAATGAAGGACAAAAGAATTGGTAAAACCCGCAAAAATAATGGATCCCCGAAACCTGGATCGAACAAGTGACCTTTCGATGACATGCTTACAATTACAGTCGAACGCTCTTCCAGCTGAGCTATTCGGGGATAAGGTACTAATTTGAGTTTGGTCTCATAATTTGGAATTACACTACTGAGCACAGATACACATGAAGGCAAACTGTTTTCTGGTTCATCTTACCCTAGGTATTTGCAGTAGCACAATAATATCTTCAACTAACAAACGTGATTGTTTCTCAGTAACTCAACATCGGCTGTACAACTAGAATTCTTATTTCAAATAGTAATAACAATATTCATATTTTACAGCGTTAATTCAATCATCCATTCTCTTTTCGGTACACCGAGATTCGGCTTTAGAACTGAACTCCATTAATGCTCCAGGTTAATCCCTCTGACTCAGTACCCAACATCTTAGCAATTCAGCACACCATTACTCTCAATGAGGCAACTCGGTGTATCTTGGCCGACTACGGCGCCGATATCTCCGATCGGCGCACCCCGCAGACTAGGCTGGACAGACAATTATTAGTTATGGTAATTGACCATGCGATCAATTCATATTTTCTCAATATTGTTCTTTGTCTCTTCATCTTTTTTCACTCACTGTGATGGCGACTCAAAGAACTTCTGTCGCTCAAACGGTTGGCTGGCTATATCATGAGTCTGGCATTTCAGCCGTGTATACCACTGGTAAAGATGCATGGCTTATCATCCTCTCACGAACATGTCGTATGTTCGCCTTCAAAGCCGTTACACTTACGATAGCCCAATTTTTCTCCGAATTGGGTTTCTCCGATTTTCGCATTGGGTTGTTTATGAGCTTGACACTCCTGGGTGATGTCTTTCTTGGTTTGATTGTCACTCTCATGGCCGATGGACTCGGCCGACGAAGAGTCCTTATTGCAGGTGGAATCTTGATGGCCTGTTCGGGCTTGATCTTTTCTTTCTTTGAGAACTTTTGGGTCCTTCTGCTAGCTGCTATTGTCGGTGTCATCAGTGCCAGCGGTAGTGACTTTGGCCCTTTCCGAGCTATCGAAGAGTCCATGCTGTCTCACATCACAAACCCAAAGACTCGAGCAGATGTTTTGGCTTGGTACATTACTAGTTCCAGTCTCGGAGCGGCGTCGGGGACAGCATTGGCAGGGCGATTTGTCGAGAAGCTCGCAAACCGGGAGGGATGGGATCTCGTAGCAGCATACCATGCGACCTTTTGGGTTTATGTATTGATGGGTGGGTTGAACGTCGTGTTCGCATTGCTCGTTAGCAGCAATACCGAAGCTGCCCATCATGAAGATGCTTCAGAAGCGTCAGATGAGCTAGCTGAAGGACTTCTTCGGGATTCATCTGATGAGGACGAAGACGGAAGCAGGCGAACATCTATCGCCTCAAACACCCCGAAACCCACCAGTCGATTTTCAGGCGTTTCCTCTGGTACCAGATCCGTCATGTATCGTTTGTGGTTCTTGCTTACTGTTGATTCCCTGGCCGACGGCATGGTATCAGAGTCTCTGACCACATACTTCATGGATTCCAAGTTTTCGCTGTCCAAGGCTAGACTTGGAGACATTTTTTCAACCGCACAGGTCTTGGCCACGGTTTCGACAGTCTTTGCGGGCCCCCTAGCTCGTCATCTTGGTCTCGTCAACACCATGGTCTTCACCCACCTACCATCCTCGATCTCCGTGCTGTTCTTCCCCTTCCCGAGCGGAATTGTCATCACGGTTATACTCCTCTTCATCCGCATGGGTCTAAACAACATGGACCAAGCACCGCGAGCAGCTTTCATTGCTGCTGTGGTTAAGCCTGAAGAGCGAACTGCCGTGATGGGCATTACATCGACACTCAGAACGTTGGCCATGGCTACTGGTCCATCGCTTACTGGAGGGCTTGCTGAGAGCGGGAAATTCTGGATTGCCTTTGTTGTGGGTGGTATATTGCGAATCATGTATGACTTGGGGCTGTGGTTCATGTTCATTAATATGAAACTGCATACACACGAAGTTCAGCAAGATGAACCTGCGTCGAGAGGACAGTCGATTGGCGAAGAAGATGTAGAGATGTTGCGGGGGTCTGGTGAGAGAAGACGATCTGAGGATGATTGAGTAGAATTACTCGTTTGACGGGCTTAGGATTCCCGTAAAAAGATGATCTCGGGATCAGACGGTGAAAAACGACTTTTATTTCGCACGATACTGACTGGGTTGGCATTTTTCGAGGATTGTAAAGTACCTTCCTAGATAAATGGGTTAGATTGACAGATGAATAAAACACGAAATACCAATTCTTCATAACATATCCATCTGGCCAGTTATTTAAAACTCAGGGTTCAGTCTCAGACAAGAACTTTAACTTTATTCACTTCCGCGAACGGGCGCAACGACAAATGAGGGTTCTTGGTAATATCTTCCCACAACACTGATGTGTCATTTATTCGTGCCACCTGATACATTGAATGCCGTGTAAGCATCCGCCAGTCTCGTTGTGACGATGATGTCGATGTTTTGAATGGTCAGGAGAAACCCATTCAGCCGCCCTGCTTCATAATCCCCCTGTGCCCTGGAAATGGATCGTTGCCGTTAAATTATAGACGTAAAATTCAGGTCCGTTTGCGATGGGTGCAGGATAAAATTATAATCTGGATGAAGTTCAACACCTTCGGAGATGCTTACCTGAGTCGCGTCCTTCATTGCTTAGTCGGCAGTCCCGCAGAGAGTCTTCGTTGAATGCGTCGTGTAGGCTGATCAATTCATACCGTGACCCTGCAGCACGTAGGCGATTCCCTGCCAATCTCGGCATATCTTGATAGAATACTGCAAGGTTTCTAAGGCGCTTGCTCCTAAGTGGCAGGTCCGCAACATCAGATATCACACGAGTTAGAGAATCCATGAGCCATGTGGTATTTTCTCACGTGAGAAGTAGACACTATGCATTCTTTTGTAAATGAGGATCATTTCAAGCTTTTCTAAGGCGTGGGACTTTCTTTGCAAGTTAGATCTACCGCCCACAACGGAAAGTGGGCGCGTGCTGGCTTGCTACTTTGGGCTTCCACCTCGTTTGACCAGACAGGCTTCCCCTTAGTACAGTCTCGCTAACAAAAGACTCGTACGAGCATTTACGTGCGAAAGGCAGCTTAGCTAATATTGACGGTATCAATTACGCGGCAACTGAGCAGAGATTAATGATCAGACCAAGATTATTGGGCATTATTGCGTCCTTAAAATTGGCGCTATGTGACATTAGTCTTTCGGGATGACGACTCGTTGTGCTCGGGCCGTCTCAGGTCTTCTCAGTTTCCTCCCACATCTCGGATCCGGAACCGAAATCGATCGGATCATCCTCCAATGATTCTAAGGACAAAGATGGATCATGGAACGAACCCTGCTAAGTAAACAGATCGACCAGTTCAAGCGGTATCGATCATTTGTTAGAAAAGGTCGCGGTTTATGTATAAAACTCGCTAGTAATGTCTCATCCAAGGCATCCAAAGTTCAAAGACGTACCAAAGACACTCCCGAATGTCCCGTATCCTGTTTTCGACCGGACTAATAACTCGCTAACGTGAAATTGATTGCTGAAGATTCGGAGGAAAAAAAGAACAAGCGCCACCAAGGTGTCGTCGGCACTTGTTGTCGACCACGTCTGCACGTTACGAAATTCGCTATCCATGTCGCATATGCCCCTCTTTAGCTTGTTCCCCTACTTCAGGTCTAACTCGTCTGGGGATCGTGAGATATTCCTTTTAATCGAAAGTTTAGAGGGATGACGCATCGATGTTTTTGTCGACATTCTTAAATGATCCTTCAGCCATGATGTCAAACAACAGAATGCCCAGAAGGATCATCACGACATCCATCTTTAAACAGCTTTACCGTGGATATCGCCAATTAAATCACAATGAGACGGCAGATCATCGCATCGGCTTCTCTCGCAGCGCTAGTCAGTGGTGCTGATGTCGACAACTCGAAGCTTGACCCGCTACAGTTCAAGAAAGATGGTACCTTTCAGATTGCCATCTTTTCTGACATGCATTTCGGACAATGTGAGTCTCGCCACTATTCATGAGTGAAACATGTGATTGACAATCTTGAACAGATGAATCTTCGACAGGCCCTGAACAGGACCGCAATTCAATCGAGGTGCTCAACAAAGTGCTTGACTACGACACGCCAGATCTGGTAGTCCTCAATGGCGATCTCATCAACGGTGACTCAACATGGAAACACAACAGCACACACTATATCGACATGATTGTTGAGCCTATGATCAACCGCAGTCTCACTTGGGCGTCTACTTATGGTAACCATGACCATAACTACAACATCAATGGTGATGATATTCTTGTACGCGAGCAAATGTGGCCAGGGGCACGCACTCAGAAAATGGTCAACGAGACAAAGTCAGGCACCACCAATTATTACCTTCCAGTCTATCCCTCTGACTGCTCCGATACATCCGATTGTAGCCCTCAGCTTATACTGTGGTTCTTCGATAGCCGTGGCGGAAACTATTACCAGGGCAGCTGGCAGGAGAACTGGGTTGATCAGAGCGTGGTAGACTGGTTCAACGAAACCAGCACCGAGCTGACAAGCAAGCACAACAAAACCATCCCTTCACTTGCCTTTGTTCACGTACCCCCCAATGCAACAGTCGCGCTTCAGACAGAGCTTGGTATTCGAAAGAACTACCAGCCTGGTATCAACGATGACCCCCCAGTCCCTCAACAGGGATACGGATGGTGCGCGGACGGTACCCCAACTTACGACTGCCCATACGGTGGCCAAGATGTACCTTTTATGGAAGCCCTAGTCACTATCCCCGGAATCATCGGTTTGTTTTATGGTCACGACCACGGAAACACATGGTGCTACCGTTGGGATAGCAAGCTCGATGGCATGGACATCGAAGGCAACGGCATCCATCTCTGCTACGGACAGCACTCTGGCTATGGCGGATACGGCGATTGGATCCGAGGCGCGCGAGAAATTATTGTGACAGAGGACATGTTGGAGAAGAACGAAGTGGAAACATACATTCGACTTGAATCTGGCGACGCAGTAGGAAAGGTCACGCTCAACTCGACTTTCAACGACGATTACTATCCCGCTACACCGAATACTTTGACTTACATGTCGGAGGACGAGAGCAGTGGCGCGTTCAGCCTTTCAGGAAGCTCGGAGTCTATTGCGGTGGCAGTTGGAGGATCACTGGCAGTGATCGCGTGGTTGGTGGTTTGAGAATGTTCTTTCTACGATTCATGATGATCTGAGATACCCATGCTCTAGTTTTATTTGTCCTTATACCACTTGAATGATTTAATGGCGTTATTGCAGTACACTTATACCACCTACTCGTTCGTTTCTGAAGTGTAATTGAGGTATTCCCATTTGTAGCATTGATGTCGACTTGTATGCCAGTCGTCTGGATGGGCTTCTATTTTCTCACAGTCTGATTCATTGATATATTACTCAGTGACACATTCTCCGTTTGGTCTCTTGGTCCAATGTCATACAATGAAAGACACTGTCCAGGACAGCCAATCATAACAGAGTCATGTCGCCTGTCAGATTAGTACGCGCCATCACTGCACAATTGGTAATCATATCATGGTACTGTCAGCATTTAAAACCTGGGACGGATACAAAACCACTTCCCATGCCGATGCACTTTCGACCTCTACCAGATACGATGTCTTCAAGCCCAAATAAAGTCAAGGCAGTCTTTTTCGACTTCATGGGCACTTGCCTTGACTGGCACAGCAGTGTCGTCAACGCATTACCCCCCACTATTCCCAAGCATGAAGCCTCGAAGCTGGCTCTTGAATGGCGAAGAAAATACTTCATTGCCAACAGTGAGCGCCTTTCCCAGCAACTCGAACCCGAGGATATTGACGACACCCTGATCCGAGTCCTGGAGAGTATACTCGATGGAATGCCAGACCACAAACCGCATTTCAACCCAGAGGTCAAGACACAGCTCATCAATGCCTGGCATGCTCAGCCAGCTTGGCCAGAAGTTCGACAAGCAATTGAGTCAATCCGTAATGATCTCGGTCTCGAGGTGTTCGTTCACGCCAATGGCACTACACGTCTGCAGCTCGACCTCACTCGCTTTTCTGGACTTAACTTCAACATGCTCTTCTCGAGCCAGTTACTGGGCACATACAAACCCGACCCCGAGGCGTATAACAAGGCTTTGAGACTTGTCAAATTCCAACCCGAGGAAGTCGTTTTGGTTGCAGCGCATGCGTATGACTTGAGAGGTGCGCAGGCTGTAGGTATGAAGACGATCTACATCCATCGATGGACGGATGATGTGGATGAGGATATGGAAAAGATCAAAGGCGAATTCGGGGCTTTTTTGGAAGGAATGGAGGAACTTCCTGCTATAATTAAAAAATTGATATGATAGCATTCAAACCTTTTCTATACAGGCACCTGGCTTGGGGGTGTCATGAATCCTTGCCTCCCTCGAACCGTCCCAGGACTTGATGCCATTTGAGTCGCTCTTTTTTGTGTGCAACCTTAATTGATCTCGTTGGGAATGTCGGTCCTTTGACCCCGATCTAATCCAATTATATCCAAGAGATGCGTAAAGTCCAAACGATTTGTCGAGCAATCAGCTACTTTTGGGATGGTCAAGACCGCTGATCAATGCCACTGTTGTCAGCCATTTAGCGGCTGTAAGACGGCGCAGCACTGCTCGCACAATCAACCATTTGCGGTCTAGCGCCTGCTTCCAGTGTCACTGACCTGAATGATGGCCTCCATCTCGAGCAATGATCCCAATTGGGAAGAACTCCTTGTCAGTTGCTGTAAGTGTTGATAGACACATCCACTGGGCATTCTTTCTCTTCAGATAAAAATCTGCTCATCCTTTCCGCGTATTATTCTTCATCTTTCATTACCATTCAATACGCCCAAGACTTTGACCCTACTCAAAAGCATGTATTCGGATCAGAAAGACTATCAGCAGCAATCCTCAGCTGTGCCGGACCTCCTGTATGAGGACCATCATTACCACCAACAACCTCCCCCAACTTATGAAGAATACAACACCATGCCCCGCATCTCGCAACAGACCAGGCCTTGGTCTCGGCCTATTGTCCTTCCTTCATCTTCAATTGGAGGTGGCCTGGAAGCTACGCCCCCTTTCATCAGGGCATACCCTCATGTTCTTGACTCGTATGGGATCTCTTCCTCCGAGTTCATGGCTATCGTTGATGCTATCAACGTTGCCCTCGCCGAGCCCGCGCCTCTCAAAGCCATGCTAATTGCTGGCGATGGTCTAGGTTTCGTGCCTGATCCTGTTTGTCAAGGAGTTTCCTTGGGCCTCGGTCTAGCTGCCGGTACTGCCACAGCCGCGACAGCATACATCAGACCCAAGAGGGTCCTTGAAAGAGTCAACCGTGACATTTTTGCTCCGAAGGGCTTGAAGATGGAGATTGTGAAAGATGAAGAGGTTATGCGACGCCTCAAGGCCACAGCCAGAAGCCTTGAGCCGTTGCAAAGACTTCAGGAGATCAGCCATTGCGTGGAAGCCTTGTCTTTCGATGTAGAGCCCCCGGTTAAATGCAGCAACGTAATAGATCGCGTCAGCGCAAAGCAAGCCGCGATGAAGCAAACCAGGAAGGCGGAGAAGAAACAGAAGAAGGCGGACAAGCGACTTGATAAGCGCGAAAGGGCAGCGGAGAAGTACAACTACCCGATCGGGTCTATAGAAGAGCGTTACGACTCGGATACGGAAAGTCGGATTGAGAACGAGACTAAGATCGTGGGGTTGGAGGATAAGATCACGGAGATAAATGCCAAGGCGGATGCGAAGTTGCAGGATGCGAGCGACAAGAAGGTTCGCGAGATCGAGAAACGGCGGACGAAGGACTTGAAGGAAGTGGAAAAGGATCGAGTGAGGTTACTAGAAAAGCAAGATAAGGCTATAGCCAAGTCGCAGAAGAAGTCAGGTGAGAGAGAGGAGAAGGACGAGAAGAAGGTAGCCAAGCTCGAATGGCTCATGATTCGAGCCCTCTGAGGTCCCATTAATGGGGACATCATCGTTTGCTTTCAATGGGTGTTAAGTACTTCAATATAGATTTTATACAATCAAGAGCAATCTAGCCTCCACGACCTCAATTCTCGCCGTCGTCCAATCTCAAACCCATGAGTACCAGCAATAACATCATTCATTACCTCTTCAGCCATTTTCAGCTCAGCGCTTCCCGCTAGCAAGTTCATGCATGCAATCTGTAGAGGAAATATGAACAGTAGCGGCTCTGTCCCTGTGGACTCCTCACCGAGACTTGAAATTGCCAGTTGGCATATCTCAATCGCAATAGCCGTTCTGATGGTCTGTTGGTCCTCAAAAGCGACTGGTATCTCAGCCACTAAAGGGATTCTGAGATTCATGCAGAGGTCTGACATGCAGAGAATGATGGCTCTTTGCAGCGCAAGTAATGCCTTGTCTTTGACAGTGTGTTGGGCCTCATTGTTTGGTATCGAACCTGACAAAGGGCGGGGATGATGGTAAAGCAGTCCCCAGTCTTCAAGATCTGAAAGGGTTGTCTCAACACGCTGGTGCAAGCGGTCCGCAAAGTCATCATCGACTTCGCCTCTTTCCAAGATATCCATGTCATGAAGTTGACCTGAAACGCGGGCGAATATTTCGTGGAGAGTGTCGCTGGAGGTCTTTGGCACATCTGCTGGCCAGGGGATGGTTTGCCAATCAGCCATTTCAAGGTAGCAATGGCAGCGTTTTATCAGTGCACATACGATCTTTCTAGGTCAGTTATGGTTCAATATGACAGCGGATGGGACCTACAATCTCGAAGCGACACTGTCGTAGAAGCTCTCTGTCTAGAGGTGTCCGATGCCTCCACGGACCCCTCAGCTTGACCTACACGGAACCATGATCAGTGAAATATCTGGTGTAAAAGTCATCAAGGCTCCATACCAGCTGAGAGATTCCCTCATAGTGTCTTAACCAACCATTCTTATCCGTAAAAGCAATAGTCTCAAACATGCACAGGCAAAGCACGCTCACCAACGTGTCCCACTCCAGGGCAGCTGTTGAACTCGACAAATCCGTGTGCACCTTTTTCAACGCCTTCACGTATTCTCGTGTCCCCAAGTCAAAGATACGTTTGTCAGAGTTAGTCTTGCCAAAGTACACCGCTGCCAGTGCCCGTATAGCAAGAGATCGTGTTGAGGAAGAAGAGGGGAGTGATTCGAGGTTGGTCATTAATGGTATGACTCCCTCGATCTTCGAGAGGAGATGAGCGTGAATTATGTCATTCTCGTTGATGAGCGGACGGACCGGACGACAAACTTGTTGTTGCTTGTGAGCCAGTTGCAATTGAAGCTCCCCAGATTTGACTGTAGGTTTGCCTGTAGAGAATCTCTTTGTCTCATCAACGAATTCTTCATATGTGACATATCCCTCACAATTCAGACCAGCCTTTTCGCATCGCTGGCAATGTGGCTTTCCATTGTCTACATTGAGCGTTAGTGAACATGCCCCAAAATGGTAGGTGGTTCACAAGTACCGCATTTAACGCGCCTTCGCTTGCAGGTTCTACAAGCTTTACTTCTTCCGCCGCGGTTAACCATGTTTGCGTCTTCGGGTTTCGTTGAGGCACGAACCGTAGGAGGTGTCAGGCTGAGATGCGGAGCAAAAGGATCTCTACCTACTCCGTACCGCATGCCGGATTACTATCCTATTAGGCTATGCCAACTTGCCAAGCAGTTCCCTTACAATGCGCCACACTTGAGTCGTCATCATCATTAACCTCAATACGAGAAATGCCCATATAGGATTAATGGCAACACCTAACAATGTAGTTCTAAACCTTTTCTGTCGAACTTTTAGACAGTAGGAGTGTGTCCTTTATCATGTTTGGCAGCATCCATTTCTAAGCGATGCTTACTATGGAGTTGTACATGACGGCAAAGGATCCGAACCCTTACTGCAACGCCTCACTGGGTAGTGTGGTGACAAATTACAAGATTTGGTCACACGACTGTGTTGATACTCACGATAGAGCAAACGAAGATTATTCTGTGCAACAAGTAATCAGCAGTCAGTCTTGAACAATGTCAGTCTTGTCAGGGAACAGCTTATCTCTTATCTCTTATCATTCAGCCCTATTACCTCTCTGAGTAAGCGGCCGCTCAGATATCGTCCCCTATTGTTCTGTACGCTTGCACCAATCAAGACCAACTGCCAAGCTCGTAATCCCAACTAGTAATCGGGTCAATGGGACCGTCGGAATTGACCCTCTCCGCAAGAAAAGAGCTTTCGACTCCTTGCCAAGGATGATTAGGAAATTAATTCTTACCTGAGAGTGAAGCAAGGGTCCTCGCCGGTGTTTCACAGCCACCTCAGGGGTCACATGCGATTGTACTTGGAATCAGTCAATTCTCTAGATGGCCTCTTTGTCTAACATGCCCTAAACTCCATATCCCAAGATACCTGGTTGAGTATACACTTGATCTCTTCTCCTTATATCTATGTAAACATGCTATGCCTATATGTAACACACTCCATGCAAAATTAATATGCCACTCTATTACCAATTACATTGTTCGTGTCTCGTCATGATGAATGCTGTTTGATGCTCTCCCTGTATCCCGATGCTGCGCCCTGGCAGAAATAGTGATCAATTATCAGCTCCTCCGCCTTGATGTCCAGCCAACCTGGCGCTGAGTCGCCGATACCGAAGCTCAGCAGAATCTCGTCATCAAGGTAGCCGTGGCTACGTTGCGCTGGCTGGTCTCCGTGATACACCATGCTCCCAGTCCAGATGTACTTGCTGTTGGTCTCACCGTGATATGTGAGCTTCTTGCTAACGCTCATCATATGGTAGGGCGCAACAGGAGAGTAAACAACGATACGGTGGTCGTACCACGTGTTTGTGTATTGAGGAGGGTCGTAGCGCATCTGCACCATGCCCATAATGACTGTGTTATTTGCCGCAGGCTCGCAAGCCCCGCGATTACAAAGGGTCAAGCTAAGCATGGGCGTCGATTGGTGGACTCGCTTGTCGGTGAGCATAACGTCGTTCATACAGGTCTGGGTGGCCGAGTGCCATGTCTTGCCCTCGTGGTCGGGGGGGAAGGGCTCGTCGACCGCGGACTCGGCTTCGGCGTCCATGTTCTGGACAGGCTCTTCGGTCGAGTTAAAGCGGTAGAGCTGGCTAGGCTCGACCATGAACATCATCTCGTCATCGTCATCGCTAAAAGGGTTGTAGACAGGAGCCCAGTTCTTCTCGCGTTGGTATCGAGCATCGGATTCTTCACCCTCGGGGGGTTGGCGTCGGAGAAGGATAGGCTTGTCGAATTCAATGGCTGGGAGTTCTTTTGCGTGCTTGCCCATTTGCTTTACGAGCTCAGGGACAGCAGCACGGGCATCGACAATGTACATGCCCTCGCAGAGGTTCTCATCGTTGACCTGGTGGGTGAAGATAAGCATGGGAGTGCCGTTCTTCCTCCAGAAGAGCTTCATGTCCTCGGGGCCAATGTATTTATCCATGTCAGGCTGTCGCTTGCAGTGATGCTCGGGGCCTTGGGACTCTGTAAAGTCCTCAACAAGCATCTTGTGCCAATCGTTATCCGCAGTGAGCTCGGGCCGGCCGAAGGCATCCCAGGTAAGGCTAACAAATGTGGCGACTTGTTGGGCGCGTCTGTACTTTTTGCCTTTGATATCTTGGTCGACATGGGGAGCGCGGGCAATGACGAGGAAGTCATGCTTGCTGCCCTTTGGCAGTTCAAGAAGGGTCGGATTCATAATCTTCTGACCAGTCTTCTTGACGTTGATGGTGTTGTAGAAGCCCAAGTTATTGCGTCGGCTGGTGAGCAGACGGTAATCGTTGGTTCGCGAGAGCAGAGGATCGAAGCCTGTGTTTTTGGGGCCGAAGAGGCTATCGCTCATGGTGAACATGACGATCATGCCGACCATCATGGCGGTTATCATCACATAGAGAATGATGCGCCTCGGGTGAGGGTGTGGGATTCGGACTTGAGACAAGCGCACGCTCAGGTTGCGCATGCTGTTGGGCAGACGCATGTTGGAGATGCGCATCTTGACGTCGAGTGGCCGCTTGGGCGGGGCAGGATATGCGACGTCGCGGTTGAGGTAGAGGAGGCTCGACCTCACATGGAGGGAAAGAAAGAGGACGTGTCGCTGTTTTGCTGGGCCACGATCTGGTTGGCTACTCGACTGAATCGATTTGAATTGAGATGGTAGGCAGTGACAGTGACGAGCAGTCAAGTAGCAGAAAAGGCGGAGAAGTATAAAAAAGAAAGTACGGTAAAAGAGCGGATAGAAAGAATAAAGTGAAGAATTGAAAGAAAGGAAGCGTTACAGCAGAGTTGGATCCAGGTCCCCCTAATCACGATCCATTCATTAACTTTTTTTTAAGGGGAGGGGGGGAAGAGGACCCAGTGAGGATCCATGTCGCCAAATTGTTCTAGGCCAGGTCCCAGTTCAAATTTACTTGGTCAATGCTGTTTTGCTGGTTAGCTGCGCCACAATTAACAAAACCCCCACCAAGACTACTCTAATTGCAACCAGCAGTCAGAGAATCAGGACCTCTATTTAGCGAGATAGAGAATAAAGCCACTGATCTCTTTTTTGTCGAGGTATAAAGCATTATCAGTAACTTTTGGTGAACCTATTAGCCCTGCACGTGGGGCAATTGTCCAAACACATCATGTTCAATATTCCTGATTTCCACCCAAACAGACATTCCTAAAGTCTAGACTGATCCTGCCAAGGTTCTGTTGAAAAGCCAAACGTGGCACAGTAGTGTAGACTGTGGAGAACCTCCATGACAGTGCATGAAGTCGCTCGCAACAACTTGTCTGATCAACTTTCTCTCCTCCATTCTAGAGTCGCAACGCCAAGTCTGCAATCGACAACAGACTTCAGTGGAGAACAGATTGTCAAGATGAAAATTGGCGATTTGCCAAGCGAATTCTATCCACCAAATCAGCCCTACAAAGAACTCTATTCACAACGTGCAACAAATGCTTAATTGTTGGCATTGTCCTTGCCCACCTAAAACACTGATGGTTGCCTCAACGCGTCAAAAAAAGCGTCAATATCATGCGTCAACCACACCTGCATCACCCACAAGAATCATATCACTACATCTGAACTAAACCTGACGCGTAAGCCTCCAAGCCTCAATCCAATTCTTGATCCTACAGGATGTCGTCTCAATATTGTGCCGAACCTGACTCTGTGTTTTTGACGACAACTTACTACCCTACACCAATGACATAATGACATGCAATAATTAGCCACCAGTGACAGGTACACAGACATCACGAAGGCTGCACCAACAATCACTGCAAAATACTTTGCGGGCGCTGTGTCCATTATTATTAATGAAATTGAGATGTCTTGGTTTTACACAATACGAAACGTATTCAACCTATTTTTCCACAGCTGGAATGATACTAAAGACTTTGCATAATTCAGTGCGACATAGTGGTAAAGCATTCTTCACTGCTCTTCTCATGTCAGATTGGGGTTAATTGGTGCTGACGGCCCATGAGGCTGGGCGTCACGTTGGAGATACCAGACATCATTCTTCTCCGCACCAGTGCTGACGACACCACAGTAGCTCTCATCTCACAGTTTACGCTTTAGAAAATCATCATCACCATCATTCAGTGTCTATCATGTGCGAAGGAATGTTCGGTCTCGAGTGTTGGTTTATCTCGGCGCCATTGCGTAACCAACGAGTCGGATTAGGAACGAGTCATGATCTGAGTTGTTGGTTAAAGCAGGGCGAATTCGGAAAGTCCATCGGTGGCCTAAAGGGCTTCTGCGTCCTCAACAGCTCGTTTAACGCCTTTGATCTACTCTACAGACCTTCTGTAGATTTACAAAACCTGGCTTTGATACAGATTGATCAAGCGTTGAAGAAGTGCAATCGTCTTGCTCCATCCTCTCTGATAGAGACGCTTCCATTAGAGTTGATGAGCAGCATCTATCTGCACCTTCAGCCAACTGATCACATCGCCCTTGGGCTTTGCTCTCGAAGACTATGGATCCAAGCGGTGACTACTATTCACCACTCTCGCCGTTTATCATCATGGGTGGATACACCGATGTTCATTGGGGGTAGTGGACAGTTGCTTGCTCTTCGGCAGGCCAGCCACGACCAGGAACTTGAACTTCAATCACCTCAAAAGGGAAACCGAGATGCAGTTCTCGAGGCAATGATTCTGCAGAACACTCAACTGTTTGACGTGCTGAAGTATGCGAGGATTCAGAATTTGTTACACGACTATGCTACCCTGACTTCCTCGGACTTGAATCCTCCATACTTTCGAGAACTAGTCCGGCTCTTACCGTCGACTGGTATTTCGGAAAGTCTTCACCCATTGATGGAGTCGTGCTTATTCCCCGGGGAATTTGACGACAAAAGGCAGTGGTACCTTCGCGATTTCACCACTAACGAATACATCCGAATGGAACTTGTTCAAGATCATACCATCTCTGAGCATGATACGATCTCGCTAACTAGAAACCCTTGGATGACCCTAGATATCTTACTGATATGGCTTATTACATGGCAAGCGGGATATGACAAACCATCAAAAGAAGTCCCTAGAGGGAACCCAAGAGACCAAATCAAGAAGATCTTTACCAACGGTGTCAGCGTTACCGCCTCCGATATTGCTCAGATCCGTGCATATTTCATGGACATGTACTTTGGTCGATGGGCAGGCCATTCTTTAGATGTTGTACAGCTGGTGCAGAGCAAGATGGAAAGCGGCTGGACTGATATAACGGGTGAGATTCAGGATGTCTCCCAACACTGGTTTGCTGCGATATACCTTGAAGCATTTCTACTCAAAGAAACGAAATATCTTGAGTACTGGGGGCGTTTTGCAAAAGACCAGATCAACAAGTATGATACACAGCCTGGTGTCTGTTGATGATGACGCTAGGCCACAAGCTGTACTTAATTGATGACCCAGTTTTTAAGCCTAAGAGTTTGAAACAAGACGGTGACACAATCAGTGGATCGTAAAAGGCTTGAATATGTCGAAAATCTACTTCAAAATTGGTCTAATGCATGGAAAAGGAGATTAAGTATGATGCAGAGGAGGCCGCGTCCCGTTACATGTTGGTCCCATTATGAAACATATGACTCGACAACAGCTGGGCATTCGTCCACGAAGTTTAATATTGTGATAAACGCGTCGCCTTGAATCGCGATGAGGTTGTATTTCTTGATTTTTGAGCCGCCAAGTCCACACGCTCGGATAATGCGGCCTCGGCTGACGGCTTTGCCAATGTGTTTGTTATGGAGCCTCAAATCTCCGCACCCAATCAGAACATTACACAGAGACATACTGCAAGGAACAAAGACAGGCCAGGCAGGTTTAGTCGTGGATCTTATTTATGCTTGTGACGTCAAGGACACGGCAATCGACATGGAGACTTTTACCATCGAGACCAATGATCTCATATAGGAAGAGAAAAGAAAATAAACTATGGATATAATAGATCTGTCGGTAGTCAATTGAGTTTGTTTTGTGATCCTCAGAGTATCTTGCCTACTACTGCTGACTACTACTCGCAATGCCTCGCCAAACTACACCTTTGAGCAAGGCTCTTATGAGCCTGCTGCCTCTCGCTGCCCAGGCTTCTGCAGCTTCTCTCAACTCCGAGTATACTTTCAACCCTCTGCATCACCTCACCGGAATCGCACCTTACTTCGAGTCCCAAGATCCTCCTGCATCTCCCGATGCGCCTCAGGGCTGCACAGCTGAGCGTGCCGCTTACCTGGTGCGACATGCTGCCATTTACGCCAACGACTTCGACTACGAGGAGTACATTGAGCCCTTTGTTGAGAAGCTCGAGAATAAGACTGGCGTGGATTGGTCCAAGATCCCCTACCTGAACTTCCTTGCCGACTGGGAGGCCCCCATCTCCGACGCCGAAGTGTCCCTATTGACCAACCTTGGTCGTCTTGAGGCTACCAAATTGGGAGTTGACCTTGAGTTCCGATACCCCGAATTCAAGCAGCCCAAGAAGGTGTGGACTTCCACCGCCGAGAGAACCGTCAAGTCCGCTCAGTCCTTTGTCCGTGGTCTCCAGGCCGACGACACAACCATCAAGGTTGAGCAAATCTACGAGTCTGAGGAGTCTGGCGCCGACAGCTTGACCCCCTACAAGGCTTGCCCTGCTTACTCTGGCTCCACCGGTAGTGAGGAGTCTTCTGAGTACCAGGAGAAGTACGCCAAGCCCATCGTCGAGCGCTTCAACGCTCTTGCATCCGACTTCAACTTCACCATCAACGATATCTTCGGCATGCAGCAGCTCTGTGGTTATGAGACCGTTGTCCGTGGAAAGTCCCCTTTCTGCAACCTGGAGCTCTTCACCCCCGACGACTGGCTAGGCTGGGAGTACGCTGAGGACGTCCGATACCACTACAACGCTGGTTATGGTAACGAGATCTCTGGATACGTTGGCATGCCTTGGCTCAACTCGACCGCTGATCTGCTCATGAGTGGCGATTCTGATGAAGACCTTTATGTTAGCTTCACTCACCGTGAGCTTCCTCCCATGGTCCTTGTTGCAATGGGTCTCTTCAACAACTCCGAGCCCGGTGGCAGCGAGTCCCAGATCAACGACACCATGCCCCTCACCAAGATCAACTACCGCCGTGCCTGGAAGAGTTCACACATCCTCCCATTCCTGAGCAACATTGCCATCGAGCGACTGAACTGCACCGGCAGCTATGGTTACGAAGACGGAGAGTACTACCGTGTTCTGGTGAACAGCGCGCCCCAGCCCCTGCCCGCTTGCGAGGATGGCCCTGGAACTAGCTGCACCCGAGATAGCTTTGAGGAATACGTTCAGGCTCGTGTTGACAAGTTCACTGGCTTCACTGACAAGTGTGGTGTGGACTATGACAACTCTACCAACATTCTGTCTATTTACCACGAATAATGAGTTTCAAGATTAGATAAGCTTCACGTAATGAATATTTAATACACTTTTGTACAAAATGATACTTTCTTATTGATTAAACCATATGCTAAAATGAGTTTACTTGCGGCGTTAACAGCAACACCTTCTCAGTAAAAGATCAAGGTTACGCAAATAAGACCGTCTAAGAGGACAACTTAGCAACTAAGTAACGATTGAGTAAAAGTTGAGTTTCTATTAACCTTACTGCTCTGTTTGGGGCCAATGAGAAGATTAGAAGCCCTCAGGATACCAGAAACACTGGCCGTTGGAAGCACGACAGACGAACTTGGTAGTTCAGTTTATGCAACTTAGATCGACTTTCTAGGCTATTTATATTTATACTCTTGATCCTAAGACATTAAAGTTATAATATCTACCCACTAGGAAGCATATAATAATGAACCCTAAAATATTCTTATTCTCTTTTATAAATAATAAATAATAAACTCTTTCAGGATGTTAAAGTTCATAGACGTGCATTAAAAAAAATCCAAATTGCGAAGGGATACCAGGTATATATGTAGTTAACACCCTCCTCTTGATGTCTTGATACTCGTCCATCTTGTTTTGGTCTGCTTCCCGTCACAACCCCTTACACACTATCAAAATCGCAGCGATGTGTGTGGAAAGCTCTTTCTGTAACCTGTGTTCCGAACAAGACGAGCACTCAGCTCAAGCTTTCACTCTATTTCCCCTGTTCCCGCCTGAGATCCGTTTGCTCATTTGGGAAGCTGCTCTTCCTTCACCACACGAAGACTCCCACACTGCGTATAACATCTGGGCATCGAGTTGGAGGGAAAGGAAGAATATCAAGCTCCCTGGGAAGAAAGAAGCCCCAGCTAGCTTGTTGAGGGCCTGCTCCGAGTCTCGGGATGTCGCATTGACAACAGGCTCATTTTTGGAACTGAGCCACATGTCCTGTTCCATGATACCACGGCCACGTTTCGAGCCTATATGGATTGAAAAAAGGATCAAGACTCTGATGATGCCCATTCACGTTTCAGCCCTTTCGAAGATTAATTATTTCCCGAAAAGCATACAGTCTATTGCTATGCTTGCTACACTGCGTACGCTGCCCCCTGACAGCAAATGGTAACAGGGCGCATGGCAATTTCTAGCGTCAACAAAGAGTTCCCACAATATTAGAACGATCTTAGTTGGTGTCATGTGGATACCGCTTCGCTATAGCAAGGGAACCAATATGGAAACTCATCCCTGCGTAGATTCGGACACTGCCGTGGTATCGATCGACGATCCAAAGATGTTGGACTATTTGACCTCGGCATTTGAGCGGCATGCGGTCATGACACTGGGAGAACGACTATCTCCAGAATGCTACCGGAAGAGCGCCAGGAACTTTCTCGTCCTTGCTAGGCTCATGGAGAGGATTTTATACAGTCGAGAGCAACGCCTTGTACCCAATGGCTTCGAATTGAAGGCCGCAATCATATTCGGAAGACCGCACTTCAGCAGATGTTTGCCTTTTGAGCGATGTGTGCGCATCATAGACGGTCTTGTGTGTCGTAGTGAGGACGAAGCAGATTTGGAGGACTGGAGTAGTGGGATAGAATTGATCGAGAGATTGCCTCGTCAAAGTTCTCTGATTGGTGACGAGATAATCAGGGGTCTCATCCAACAATAGAGGATATCTATACAGAATGCACCCTGGCGTGTAATGAAGGCAAATATCATTTAATGGTCAATAAACTAAGAATAAATCTCTCCAAGTTTTCTTTCGGAGTATTACTTGATCTTAGAACCCGCTTTCTGCTCTTCCAATTTGCGCTCAAGAACATCAACACCTCCTGATTTCTTGATCAGGCCATCAAAAGTACCAGTTGGGAAGAGAGTAGCATATCGCGCCGTCCCTGCTGAGCCGCCTCTGGAGACTAAATGTGGTACTTTTGGTTGACTGAGATCAGAGGCAACTTGTTTTGCCCACGTTGTGGCATCTGGCTTGACAATCCCTGGCATATTTCCAGCCATCGTTGATTCAATTTCTTCTTTGGCAATGCTGTAAATGGAGTCTTTCGGGAGTTCGGCACCAAGCGCGTTGACAAAGAATGTTGATTTGACAGCACCAGTCAACAAGTTGATGACTCGAATACCGAAAGGTTCAAGCTCAAGTCTCAAACTTTCCGTCAAGCTGGTTGCTGCTGCCTTTGATGCTGCATAAGCACCTTGAAATGGGGTGCCGACGCCAAGTAGCCCTGAGGCAGACGTATTGTTGATGAGCATACCGCCATGTGAAGATGAAATCAAAAGCGGCAAGAAGATACGAGTCACTCGAATGATTGAAAAGACATTCAGTTCAAAAACCTCATGGATTTTGTCCAAATCGACATCAAGAATAGGCATGCTGTATCCTGTACCGGCATTGTTGACCAGGGCATCCAGTGAGCCTCCTGTGAGTTTCCTGACCTCGTCTGTGGCCTTTGAGATGGACTCAGTGGAGTTGACGTCCATTTGTATGCATTCAATGCCGGCGTCTTGGAGGAACTTTAACTTTGAAAGGTCTCGACCTGATCCGAGGACTCGCCATCCGAGCGGCTTCAGAGCCAGTGCCAACGCAGAGCCAAGGCCGCCATCTGAGCAACCGGTTATCAGGATTGTTCTTGGTTGAGACATATTTGACGAAGGTATTCAAGATAGATTATAAAGGAAGACAAAAGACCTGGAACGAAAGTCGAGTTCATGCGTTTTTAGACCAAGATCAGAGGCGAAGTGGATACAGGACCGGTTACACCAAACTGCTGTCATTTAAATAACAATAGACAACCAACGTGGAGACTTATGTTATTTAGCCCAGTCATCTAGCCCACTTGTCTCTATCTTACAGGCTGACGATTGCTAATAAAGACCTCGGGGAACCGCCGAATGCCGTCTTATGTGAGATTGCCTAAATAGAACAAGTGACAAACAGAGAGCCATATTTCAGGCGTATCGCTTGGATGATTGGTCATAGCTCGTGTGTTAGGGCTGACTCTGTCATTCTCACATAAATCCTTCAACAAGGATTGTGGTACTCTCATAAGCTACTAGGAATTTCGATGCCATGTCAACAGGGCCCTTTCGAATTTAAAATTATATTTTAAATAGCAGTTCTTTGGCCATAACTAACATAGTAATCGGTATACCGTGACACGGGGTAAACAATTGCCAGTGGAGTTGTGGACCTTCTAAAGCAAACCTGGTATATGGGGCTCTGAAGACTAGTCTAACGATATTACACTCTTCCCATGGCGTGCTCGATCTCTTCAAGTGCAGCAAGAACCTTCTCATCATACTGCCTTCGCCCAACAATCTGCAGACTGATTGGCATACCGGCAAATGTCTCAGGGTCGTACTGATCGTAAACAAATTTATCATCATCGTTCTTGGGGACATAGTTGACATCCTTGGGATCCTTAGAGGGATCAACTGTTGTTACTGGGAAAACTGCTGCTGGGCTGCGGTAATGTCAGCGAATTACCTGCCTCTCAAAGGTAATTGACTTACTAGTCCAGGAGGTTCCAGTGAGCGGTATATCCCCAGTAACGTGACTGTTCATGGGGAGATGCCGCTCCGAAATAAGGTGGGCACAAAATGACATCGACTTCTCTACCGTCGTCGTTACCTGTGTAGGACCAGGCGCGAGCATATGCGGCGCGGTAGTCTTCTCGCTTAGTGCAAAGCTGAATCAAGCGTCAGAGAATGTTTGACTGAACTGTCAAGGTTGTCAAGGTTACACTTACCTCCCACAACTCGTGCATGTTCATGTTCTTCACGCTTGGTTGTTCTATAATGAACTTTGTCAAAGGAAGGACAGGCTCTCCAGCTGCTTCGAGAAGATCCAATGCTTGCTTTCCTCCATCAGGCCAGTATAATGCTGAGAGGATTTCCCAGCCCTTTGCATGATCCAAAGGTTCACAGTCCCAGTCTATGACTTGATGGCCAGCTTTGCGACAAGCCTCTGCCACTTCTCTCAGAGCTCTGGTCATTGGCGGATGGGGCTGGACGACACCATCCCACCATTGAATGGCAATCTTCAGAGGCCGATCGAATTTGTATGGTGTCCACTCCTTGGCGGTAAGGGAAGGATCGATGAGCCATGGTTTGGATGCCAGGGCTACCTTCATAAAAAGCTCAAGCGACTCGCGGTCAACAGCCATCGGACCTCCTGTAGAAGACACAGTTTCTTTTCCAATCATGATTGATCGTGCACCCATGGTTGAGATTCGCTTGAGAGTCGGTCTGTGATTGTATCAGCATATATCGATACTAAATCGATCTGGAGGCGCTCACTTGAAACCATAGATTCCGTTATGGGCTGCTGGACAACGAATACTGCCACCAATATCTCCACCAACACCCTGTTCATGTCAGCGGAAAGATATAATTGACAGGGAAGCCGCTTACCAGAATACTTCCTCGGAATCCAATGAGGGCTCCTTCGCCTCCACTGCTACCGCCAGACGTCAAATCGCGGTTGAATGGGTTTACAGTTCGTCCATATATGGTGCTACTCGTTTCAAGATGCATGATCGTCTGAGGCTGTGTGGTTCGTACGTAAAAGACACATCCTTCGTCATACAGATTGTCGTAAAGAAGGTTGGACCCATGGGCCTTGTTGATCCATGCTACAAAAGACGCATGGGTCGTCACGTTCTTCCCAACCATACCGTGATGTTCCTTGGCCGAAATTGGAAGACCAAAGAGCATGCCTTTGGGTTCAGGTAAAGAATCAAGATATTTGGCTCGTTCAATAGCTTCATCCCACATGAGAGTGACCACGCAGTTGGTCTAACACCACCATTGTCAGTACTGCATCCTGCCCTTAGTGGAGATTACATACCGCAACTTGAGCTAACGCAGCTCTCCGCAAGAACGCACGAGTTACTTCTTCCACCTTGATTTCTCTCTTCCGGAGGACGTCTAAAAGCTTTACGACAGAGTACTTTTCGGTGATCTCTATCTCGCGTGCAGTCAAGACTGCTTTGGGGAGGTCTCGTGAGTTGAGGGGGAGCTCATCTGGGATTCCTTGCAGCTTGGGCTCGACCTTGGCAAGACCGATATCGCGTTGTTGCAGTGCTGCAGCTACTGTTTCTTTGTAGCTTGCCATCTTGTCTTGGTTAGTCTATGACGATCTAGTGAAGGGTTAGCTTTGGGTGTTCAATGACTGAAGTTAGTTCGTGCTTACAATGAAATTTATATGAAGATGTCTAGTTGAGGTATGAAAGTCGAAGGTCTTTATTACGAAGTTATTCAAAGACCTGATAAGCGTCTCCAAGTCATCATGTCATGCGGGGTTACGGTTGCAGATCGCCCGCGGCTTATCTTTGTTGAAGCCGAGCCGACGATATCCAAGCGGTAGACCCCGCAATCCAACGCCCTTTACTGTGTCATGTCAAGTGATACGGTGAATCGGTAGTCAAAACTAGTGACAATGACTGTAGTTAGTGTGTATTTAAGCTGACTCTTGGTAAATTCCCAGATCACAGCTTCAAATAAGACAGATAACCTAAAATACTATAAGACATGCATAACCGTCGAATCTTAACCAGGTATACCTATTCAAATCTACAGTATACAGAAATTCTTTGATTTTCAGAAAAAGAAGTGCTGTATGTCGCTTCTATTTAACGTTAGACGTCCCTCAAGCTTGGAGGAAACCTGTGGATCCTGGATCTTAATGTTTGGCACACCCTCATTCGCTTGGTCAGTATTGAATCTGGGGTACCTGTCGAACCACATCACATGGCGCAAATAAAGCCACTAACAAAAGCCCCGTGATCTCTACAGAACTAATAGAAATGGTATTGTATATATGATGGATCACGAATAAGATTTCGAACAGAGGATCGAACCGTTCACTCGGTACAGCAAACATCGCCATTCACTTAAGGTTAATATGGATAAGCTCAATGAGACATAAAATGGTCACGAAAGAGCAAACTACCTATATATAATGTAATGAGTCTCTTTCCTCATACATACGACCATACCTACCAGAAAATACGGGATCCCGTCCGCTCTCCCATAGTCAAGCTGGTAAGGGGCGGATTAGTAGTTGGGTCGGTGACGACCAGCGAATCCCCGCTGTTGTATGTTCTTTTTGTTGGTTTTATAAATCTGGACTGTTGCAGGGCTTGTCTATCGAGTAGGTTAACCATGCGGTTAAATTATTTTTATCTAGCATTATCGACATGCCGGGCGAGAAACTGTAGACTATAAATGGAGTTTCTATTGCAGATAAGCAGGAATTGATCTATCTACCCTCTCAGCATCGCCTCGTATCTATCTCGTCTATAGTCATCTTCGTCGTCGCTATTGGAATCTGACGATTCCAAAGACTCCTCCTGGCCCCCCATTTCATTCATAGCTATATCATCTCCACCCAACTTGGTATAGGCCATCCTCTGCCTCCAAGTCTTATACTTCCTGATTGCAAATATGATTGCAAGCAAAAATGCCGACATCAGGACCGCCATTATGCCTAACGATCTCCACAGCCTCCAACCTCTAATACAGCAGGGATACCACGCCATGAAGACACCAACGCCCCATTCTTTCCAACCCATCTTTCGCGGGTGGTCTCGTACAAGGCCCTTGCGAACAAGATGCTTGAAGCGCGGACCGTTGGGTCCAGAATTGAATCGCTTGAGGCCGAAATGAGGAACTGTTTCCTGGCGAGGATCAGAGTCTGGATACTTGATATCTCCCCAGTGGCCGATGAAGTCAAACCACGAGGTCAGGTTTTGAGCAGGTTCTGTTGCGGATGGCTGCATAGGTGATATTATCGGTGTAATGGTGAATGTGTCGGGATTGAAGCGGTAGAAGTAGGCTGACAGGACTGGGTCCCATATCTTGCCCTTATCGCAGTAGTCGAACATGGCTGCGTTGTGAAGTTGATGCCTGTGCTGTTAGTATGGGTTGCAAACTGAGTTAAGGAAACACTTACCCTTCGGCCAGATAATTAGCATGAGAACCGAGGGCGCTGTATACCACAGGCTAAGACTTTAGTTAGTAGAATTCCAATGATCCAATAGCGGCTATGGTTCACGTACTCTACCATTGGTTATGTTGACCCTTGAGTCGTCCCACTTGAGTCCAACGCCATCGACGTGCTGGCTATAGTACACACCAACAGGGGTACCGTTGTGGAACCTCACCATGTTGTGTTCCCTGGGGAAAAGCGTCAGTTTGATCTCTATCCCAATGCGGATTTACTAACCAATCTCCAACATGATCACCAAAGTGTATCCCGGATGATAGGTTCTCGCCTGCAACGTAGTGATTTATTGGCTCCAGGACTTGAGTGATATTTGGTCCCTCGTTGAACGAATAGAAGTAAAAGTAGAAAGCGTCGACGTCCATGTCACTTTTCTCTACCAAAATCACGGCGCATGGCACAGAATCGTGGATTTGCCCGTTAACATCAGGAGCCTCGCCCAAAATCCAAGGTGGGTATGTCAAAGGGTCCTCCTTAGAAGTAAGAGCAACTTCTTCACCACCATAGCCATTGAGATCTCCAAGATTCTCTAGGTCAAGTGAAGATGGACCGCTGATTGGCTGCCCATCAAGTTTGGGGATTGTGTTGGAGATGTGAGCTGCGAGATCGCTCGGCATGAAGCGATCTTCCGAGTGAAGCCATACTAAAGGCGCTGCGAGATTTATTAATTTTGGTGAACAAAGAATTCGCGATATAACTCACCATGACTAGCAACATAATCGGGGCATCGGTTCAGACCCGAAGCTTCCGAAACAGCAGGATTAAAGACGCTGGCAAGACTGAGCAGAAACAGCTGTTTCTGTGCAGTCATTTGAGTCAACGCGCCCCCAAACATCCCAATGCCGTCCCGTCAAGCAGGATCTTTGATGTTTGTGACTTGTTGTCAAGAAGCAAACAGATCTAAACCCGATCTGATGGGAGACACCAGGGCCAAATGGCTTATTCAGCATCGGGATCTTCGGCTGAGATGCGTCGCGTTGATTGGTGATATCGTATCAAGACCTCCACTTCCAAGTCGTGGTGGACACTCATGGTAAGAACAGACAAAGGAGATAAGAATAGGTCTCAGGGGAGATTGTTGATGACGCGTGGACAAAAAGAGAAATTATCATACAAAAACCTAAGAGGGAGAACGGCTCAATGAAATTAGTCTAGCATGTTGACAAGGAAAAAATTGGGGGGACAGTTGAATCACATCGACAATTGAATTTAGGTATTGACTTCTGGCAATGATTAGTCCCTTCATGATATTCGTAAGTATAATGCTGAAAATAAATTAATTAATTGAATTTTATAAACACTTATTCTACAGTTTAAATACGCCTTTAATTATAGTTCGCTTCCGGTAATAAGATCCATCTCATTCAGTGGCACAGTCTTGGTTCTGAAGAACAACTTGTGACCAATAACCATAACAAGGAACAAAATCAAGCTGATATAGTTCGTAAAGAACTTGCTGGTATCCCACTCGATGAATACTTCAAACCCACTAGTGATTATGATCAGAGAGCTGAAAAACAAACCATACCAAGATAGATATGGCTGCAGAGGGGCGACATAAGGTAGACTAGTACGAGGTATCCCTTGAAGCGAAAGAGCATTCATGAATCGGATATGACAGAGCGAAATGATGGCCCAGGCGATAAACCCTGCAACAGAGGTAATGCTCAGGAACCAGTTGAACACAACTGTGCCGTTGTTGGACAAGTTGAGGAATGACAAGAAGCCAACCGCTGCGCAGACACCGACGGCATTGTATGGCGTTCCAAATCGGTTTGTCTTCTTCAAAAATCCGGGTGCATGGCCCGAGTCGGCAAGAGAGATCAGGATTCGGCTACTGGAATAAACATCGGAGTTGGCAGCAGTCAAAACTGCAGTCAATAGCACTGCATTGAGAATCGATGGCAGAATAGGAACTCCGGCCAGCTGGGCGACGATAACAAGAGGGGATGCTGAGGCGTCGTGCGATTCACTGAGGAGGCCTTTTTCAGTTGAAGGAATATTCAAACCGAGAAAGAAGACGGTGGCGATAAATATCGAAAACACTCCCCAAAAGGTCCAACGCATCGCTGAAGGAATTGTCTTTCGGGGATCCTTTGTTTCGCCTGCCCCGATAGCCACCAACTCGGACCCCTGATAGCTGAAGCCTGCGGTAATCAAAACCGACCAGAAGCCAACAAATCGTCCAATATCACCTTCGACGATGTGTTCATTGAACGCACCAGGGTCTTTCCAGTATTTGAATCCGAGATACCCTTGGTCTCCTACACCTGCGTTGACGCATATTGAAAATATGATAAACCCAATGATCGTGACGACTTTGATGCTAGAGAACCACATTTCGAATTCTCCGAACCAACGAACAGGCATAAAATTGGCTGCTGTGAAGAGTACCCAAAAGACAGCGATCCAGATTCCAATATTAAGATCCTTCTCCCAATATTGGATAATCAAGCCAGCCGCTGTTAATTCAAGAGCAAAAGTGATTGTCCAGCTGAACCAGTAAATCCAGCCCATAGCGAAGCCAAACGTAGGATCGAGAAAGCGCGTCGCATACGTGGTAAAAGCGCCCGCCACAGGGATATATGCTGCCATTTCACCAAGAGCTGTCATGACGGAAAACAAGAGGGTTCCAACAAAGATGAAGGCAATAAGAAGCGATACGGGACCAGCTGTTGCCAAGGCATTTCCTGTTCCGATAAAAAGGCCTGTGCCAACGGCAGCGCCTATGGCGATGAACTGGAGATGGCGGCCATGAAGAGCTCTTTCAAGTTCTGTGCCTGTGGTTTCGGGGTCGTGTTGAAGAGATTTGATTGAGGGCGTTGACTCGTTGGCCTCGTGTTGAGGGTCTGATTTAATGTGCAAGTCCATCGTGATCAATATAGAGATGTGTCTGCCAAGATGAGAACAAGAAATCAAAGGGGCAAGCGGAATGAATCATCCCTTTATTCTTTTTAGTTCCGGCGACATAGCGAAAGTCGGACCCCCCATCAAGATGTAGAGGTGATTATCATGTCCGAAGACTCTCAATACCCAGGAGTGGTTGACCATCTTGTCGTTGAAAGGCGGATTTAGTGGAGTCAATGAAGCTCAAATACAATTACCATTAGATAATAGTTTGTCAAAATGTTCAATGTTGTTTTTACCCCAGTTACTGAACATGACCCTCGGGAAAGCCATACCTTGCCATGTTTGTTGTATGCATCTCGATTTTTTTTGGCGTTGATCTAGCTTCGATAGTCACGCCTTGAAAGAACATATGAGCTGCTCAATGCTTATATGTGGATTCTCTACTAGCCTAAAATAGAATTTGTAGTGTACGGTGCGTTAAATATGTTGTTCTCTAGGAGAAATTGAAGTGTCTGCATTATGTCTTGCAAGGGCGGATGTCGATATTGGGCGTAGTGGGTCAAGTCTCTGAAGGGCGGAGGCTAGAATTTGTCACCATCGACACCTTCTGTTTATGGTTACCTTTGGTAGTCACCATCATAAGTTTTTGGCGATTTTATGCGGGAGACATTATTTTCTAGCTGATAGAGGTAATTAGCAGTCCTGACATTAACTTTGTCAGGGCTAGACTTTGTCCGACATCGCAACTGTCAAACTGCAGGACTCACGAACCATGACGATTGAAGCCCCTTCTAGCGTTGGTGAATCCCCGTTAGTTATATACACGCACTCGGACAATAGAGTTATAAGCCCAAAAAGGTGCCACCGATATCGATTTGAATAGCCACCAGTCATTGCCGACGTGGTGTTATTCTGGGAGAACAAGTAACACCTGTATCAACTTATTTCGGCGAAAGGATTGACAAGGATACTTCGTCACAGGTATGCTGACTTCAGTCCAATCCACTTATTCCAGGGAGTTACGAGTAAGCCCATGACTATTAATCGAACCTGCTAAAACAAAATATGTTTCTTTTCTTTTTATAGGATCTGATCTATATCATTGTTTTACGGAAGATTTTGCTCCGAAAACCCAGTTGACAGAAGATGTCTATACGAAGCCTTGTTTCAAATAAATTATATGACGCGGCCAACGCAAATAACAATATGAATCATATTTGTATGATCTAAGAATTGAAATGTGTAATAGTTTAATTGATATGACCAAGTTTTAGGAACCACTCGTGTCAATGACTTTCAATATGTACAGTGAATGAAGGCATCTTGGTATCGCTCTATAGGAGCAACTATCTGCCCGACAGTTGACTTAGTTACATGTAAGAAGCATCATAGAATCCCTTGGAAGCGTAGCTTGATGTAAGAACAGTGGAGATAGGAACAGCAGAGCTCAGCTTCTTGGAGAACGAAGCACGGGCACCGGTAGAACCAGCACCTGTGTTGCCGAACTCATTGAACTGGACGTGGGCAGTGTTCTCTTCACCCTTGTTCCAGATCGACCATCCGGCAGGATGGATGACAGCGCTCATGCTGGTCTTTTGGAATGTCACACGAGCGTACTGCCTCCAGGGTCTGCCGAGGTAGTAAGCGCCATTGGCAACATTGTTACCGGCAGCAGCGGCAATATTGCAGTTGTTGAAGACATAGTTGGACATGTTGGAGTCAGAGTCTCGGCCGTTGGCTACATTCGTTAGCGGTGTTTTCTAAAACCTTCTGTTGCTCGACTTACCAGTGATGTAGCCGACAGAGGCAGAGACAACGCGAAGGTCGTTCTTCTCGAACCAGACAGACGCGCGCTGACCAAAGATAAAGTCAGTAGCACCAGCGATCATGCACTTGGAGTACAGCTGGTATCCCTCGTTGGCGAGGAGGGTATCTTGGAACCCAGTGAGAGCGACACCACTATAAGAAAGTTAGAGAGGCTCTCCAATAATCACTGTGGATTATACTTACTAGTATCCACTGTCTGCGTACGCGCTCAGAGCGACAGCCTGGCTACCCTGTCCATAAGTGTTGGCAACATTGACGTTGTACAGCTTAAAATTTGTAGCCTTGACGCGAAGCGTGGCACTTCCGTCATTGTTGAGGCCATCTGCTTGGCTTTTTTTCGCCGTGATGGTGACCTTGTTACCAGCATAGCCGCTTGTGTCGGTGGTGTATCCGTACATGGTCAGCTGGGCGCTGCGTGCAGGAACAAGAACCTGTTCGTTGTAGGTTCCCTGGTCGATGAAGATACATTGGGTTCCCGGGGCAGTGGTTGACAGAGAGTTCACCGCAGACTGGATGGTACCGAATTGACCTCCCTTCTTGACCGTGATACATCCACTGGGCGCCGTCGTTCGGCTAGCAGCCAGCGCCGCAGTGACGAAGTTGAGAGTTGCAAAGAGCTTCATGATGAGGTGTATGTCAGAAGGGATCAAGGCAGGCCAATGGTTGATCCAAAGTGACAACGGCTGATGCAGGACTTATATATCATGGCCGTGTGCAAAACCCCTAATATTTATGTCTCCTGGTACATTCTCATGTATAGTAGAGTGCAGCCCTAAACCTTAAACGCAGGGTGGTATTCATTTTAAATGATTGGTGGAGAAAAGCTGTTCAAGGAAATACGAGGCCATTTTGTCCAGGATCAATGTTGCCTCAGTCTGGGGGTTAGCCTGTGTCCCCCGGAGTGTAAACCTCCGCAGTTGGTTTCAACCGTTTCAAGCCCACTGCCGTTTCCCCATAGCAGTTGACTTAAACAAGCATAGCAGGGTTATATCGATCGATTTATAGTCCGTTTGGATCATGAACAGAGGGATTTATTTGGTGGATTAATATTTTCCACATGCACTCTAGGAAATCCGGGGTACACAAGTTTCATGGTCCCCCAATGTGCAATTTTTCCACTAACTTAGTAGCGTTACTCTATACTTTGTGGTCAGATGCATCGTGCCCAAAGTGTGAAATTGACTTTCTTACGCGTTACAGTTACATTGGCAGACTCGGAGCAGGGGTTGGGATTGGGGGGAAAAGACTAGAAAAAAGTAAAAAGAAATGAACAAAGCAAATGCGTCAGGCAATTGATCATTCAAGCAAGATGTAGAGTAGATGATAGAGAAGTAAATTGACCTCTGAACACAAAGTCTAAAGACTATGGAATACAACTCGTTCCCCAAAGCCCAAAGCCATCGCCAATCAGAGAATCTCCATCCAGTCGTCGATATTACATACGTGTCTATCGTAAACTATTTTAGGCCGACATATTCGACAAAGGCACCCATAATACATAAGATCATGAAAGATAATAAGGTAAATATCCACTGCACAGAACAGGCTGCCCACTAAGAAGGTAAGAAGTGAAGTCGCAGGAGCCCCAATAGCAACGGAGTGGAAATAGAACTTCGAAGCGAAAAGTGTGCGCGCACTCGGTCAGGCACGATGCATTTCTGGAAAGGCGTTAGTCTGAGTTGGTACTGGAATTGGGGGTGGGGGAAATACTAACAGAGGAGAGCAAAGGCTCCGACGGCAATGAGAGCCAGAACGGGGCGGACACGGTCACCGCCAGAGACAATGACAACATCATCGCCGGAAGGCTTTCCGTGCTTGCACACAGTAGGCTCGACGAAGGGAACGACGTCCCATGGGTTGTAACCGAGGCAGACGGTGTAAGCCTCCTTGCAGGTCTCGATAATGGCACCAGAAGCATCGCAGCAGGCATTGTAGACAGTGGTGCACTGAACACAGCACTCCTCCTCAGAGCCAGACTTGGAACCGTGGTAGCCAGTGTCGCCCTTGGACTTGTCACCGCCGGTCTTGGAGTTGTAGCCAGAGTCGTTACCCTTGCCGTTGTAGCCAGTGTCGCCCTTAGACTTGGAGCCAGAGTTGTCTCCGTGCTTGCAAACAGTAGGCTTAACGTAAGGGGTAACATCGAAGGGGCTGTAACCAAGGCAGACGGTGTACTCGCTCTTGCAGGTCTCAATGTCGTGGCCATCAATGGAGCAGCACTCATCGTAAACAGTGGTGCACTGAACACAGCACTCCTCCTCAGAGCCAGACTTGGAACCGTGGTAGCCAGTATCACCCTTAGACTTGGAGCCAGAGTTCTCGTACTTGCAGACAGTGGGCTTGACGTAAGGAACAACATCGAAGGGGTTGTAGCCGAGGCAGACAGTGTACTCCTTCTTGCAGACCTCAATGTCACCCTTCAGGCAGCACTCATCGTAGATAGTAGTGCACTCAACACAGCACTCCTCAACAGTGATCTCGATCTCCTTGTGGCCGCTGTTGTTCTTGGAGTAGTCACCCTTGGACTTGTAACCAGAGTCGTACTTGCAGACAGTGGGCTTGACGTAAGGAACAACATCGAAGGGGTTGTAGCCGAGGCAGACAGTGTACTCCTTCTTGCAGACCTCAATGTCACCCTTCAGGCAGCACTCATCGTAGATAGTAGTGCACTCAACACAGCACTCCTCAACAGTGATCTCGATCTCCTTGTGGCCGCTGTTGTTCTTGGAGTAGTCACCCTTGGACTTGTAACCAGAGTCGTACTTGCAGACAGTGGGCTTGACGTAAGGAACAACATCGAAGGGGTTGTAGCCGAGGCAGACAGTGTACTCCTTCTTGCAGACCTCAATGTCACCCTTCAGGCAGCACTCATCGTAGATAGTAGTGCACTCAACACAGCACTCCTCAACAGTGATCTCGATCTCCTTGTGGCCGTAGTTGTCGTACTTGGAGTTGTAGTAGTCCTTTCCGTGGCTGGTCTCGTACTCCTTGTAGTAAGACTCTTCGTGCTTGCAGACAGAGGGCTTGACGTAAGGGACAATGTCGAAGGGGCTGTAGCCGAGGCAGACAGTGTACTTCTCCTTGCAGATAGCGATATCGGCACCGGGGATAGCACAGCACTCATCGTAGATGGTAGTGCACTCAAGGCAGCAGTATTCGGCAGTGTAGTAACCCTCGTGGTAAGACGAAGTGGAGTGAGAAGAGGAAGAGTAGTGACCAGACTCGTAGTAAGAGCTGTACTTCTCGTAGAAGTAGTGCTCGTCATACTTGGATTCGTAGTCAATGTAGTACTGCTTCTCATGCTTGCAGACGGAGGGCTTGGCGTAAGGGACAATGTCGAAGGGGCTGTAGCCGAGGCAGACAGTGTACTTCTCCTTGCAGATAGCGATGTCAGCGCCAGGAACGGCACAGCACTGGTCGTAGACGGTGGTACATTCGTAGGCGCAGATATCAGGGGTGAAGCAGCTTCCAGTGCCGCAAACGCACTTGCCATCGTCGTGCTTGGGAGGGTAAGGCTCGTGCTTGCAGACAGTGGGCTTGACGTAGGGAACAATGTCCCATGGGTTGTAGCCCAGGCAAACAGTGTAAGACTTCTTGCAGATGGCAATGTCAGCGCCGGGGATGGCACAGCACTCGTCATAAACGGTGGTACAATCGTAGCAGCAGACCTCAGGGCTGGCGGTCTTGGTTGGCTTGACCATGGTGGTCATGGTACCAGTCGAGGTGGTGGTGTCAGTGACGGTGTCGGGCAGGGCACTGGTAACTGAGGTGGGCACGTTCATGCCGCCAGTGGTAGTGGTGATATCCGTAGTAGGAATAGGAGTCGTCTGGGCGAGGCCAGTGGCACTCATAGCCACGGTCAAAAGACCGGACAGAGTGTGGGAGTATCTCATCTTGGAAGACTGAGACTGGGATCAGGGGAAAGAGAGTGTATTAAGTTGGGTAAAAAACAAATTGCAGAAAAGAGTGAATGTCGAGTGGGTTAGTAAAGAGTGGCAGTCGCAACCGAGCTGTAAAAGAGTGATGCTGGTTGTGCTGAAGAACTGATTTGGAGGGAAGTTGAGGACCTTCTTATACTCGATTTGCCCAACTCAAGGACCCCTTTGAACCCGTGTCGAGTGCTAACTCTGGTCCCTCCCTCGCCTCTCCAGACACAGTAGGCGCGTTCTGGAATCTGGGGAAGGGGGCTTTGGAATTGGGGAAATTCGATATTTCCCCGGATCAAAGTGCTAGTCTGTAGAGCGCTTCCAGGGAGGCGGTCAACTTGGGAGAGGGATTTACCACTCTAGAGAGACATGCCCCTCGATAATGTTTCAGTTATGCATATTTTAGCAGTGGATATCAGATGCGCTGGCTTCCTCTAACCTCGTATTTGTGTCAAGAATGTGTTAAGATTGATGCGGAATTGAGGACGGATAATTCTATGGTCGCCGGCTTGGCAGAAAAATACTTGGTGTTATAGATGAATGGCCTGAATCAACAGATGCATTCACAATAGAATTCCGAGTACACTTGTTCTTGGCTTTCAACGGTCGAAAATGTTTTGAGAAGGGAATTCACCGCCACAGGCACAAAGTTACTGTCATTTTTGCAGCTGAAGGGAGAATGAGACATTGTCTCGGAACCTCGCTTTAACCTCAATTCACCCTACAGAACTACCCAATTGGAGTCCATAAAGCAATACAACTTCATGCCTCAAGTAGAAGGAGGCTTGCCGAAAGCCGATGCCCAGACTTTTTGGATTGGAAGTTGAACTTATGTAGCGTATAACCTTCGCCTGACCTTGGGATGAAGGAACATGCATCCCTTCGATAAGGCAATATGTGACCCAGCCATCTCATCCCAAAATACTTACCGCTAGATCATACTGAGACTTGTGATGCTGTCTTTGAACCAGTGCATTGCCGCCTGGGCAAAGCTTGTCTGCTTCTTCGAGTCAGCTGGCTGAGGTCAAGGGCACAATAATTAAATTATTGTGAGACGATTCAATCAAACTCAATACTGAATCCACTTAGATTGGTTCGAGAATGTACTCTTTTTCCGGAGTTTCGGACCTCCTCTTGGTCGGGACATCGCGCGGTGATTTGTGGCGCAAGAGTCATTTCAGACGGTCTCACACGATCCCTAGAAATGTTTCACCGCCGCCCAAATAAACAAATATGCATTTTTTTAACCTTGAGTACCTTATTCGCTTAGCGCTCTGCATGCCAATCCAAATTGCAGTCAGATAACACGTTTCGTCGCCACTAATGCTATCGAGTGCAATGTGAACAGATTCACAAAACAAAACCATTCTGGATACGAGGACATTATCGTTGGAATTAGATTACGGCCATATGGAATCAGGTGTCAAATACTTTGTCATAAGAAACAACTCGCTATTGCGATCCACCAGTCTCTTCCCGAAAAGGAGACTGCAGAGAATGTATCGAACCACGTCGTTCAACCCTAGAGCCTCGATACCCCCAGCCGCATCTATCATACTGATAGCTCCCAATACGTGCTTCGCAGCCATCGAATGGTTTCCACACATAACCTATTATGATATGAGTATCTCTTGTGTGTCTGTCCAAGAGAAATTACACTTACTTCATCGAAAGACAACACGATAGTCATCGACACAGCTTTTCGTCGCGAGGATGATTCATCTATAAACATGGATTCTTGCACGCCTCGCAGATAACGTAGTTTGTACCAGATAGCCATATCAGCAAACTCATCTTGTAGCTCGATCAAAGATAGATGGCGGCATGCGGCAAGCAGAAATCCTCGAAGGATGATGGGATCACTGGCAACAAAGGACATCCAGTGGCTTCTTATATCCATGACCTTCTCTTTTAGGCCCATGACTACAGGACAGTAGGATATTTGGGCGGGTAGGACCGTTTGTATGTCTGCCCCATGGTTTAGTGTCGTTGACATCAATACCGAACATCTACCCTACGCCTGACTTACAGTGGTTCAAAACAAAGTGTTCCATGGACGAGAGATGCTGACGAAGACGGCAAATTCCATCTGATTGGAAATCACCAGACAGAATACGTGGGACTGCAATTGATGGTTTTTCTAATTCTTCTCGTGTGTTTTTTGGCCCCGAGTCGTCGCAACTATCATCGTTTTTGCGTCCCGCCTTGGCAATATTGTATTCTGCCACATGCCTTCTCCGAGTTTTTGCATGAGCGATGCGAGCAGCATGAGAATGGACTCGACGTGTTGTCTTGGCAGAGGGTCGTTGACCTGGATTAGATATAATAATAAAATTCATAGTTACATCTGTGTAATCAAATATCTAGATAGACTGCAAAGTTGTATTTATTCTTCCAATGATGGCACAAGCAAGCAAGGTTCATCCTTCAGTTCAATTTGTCAGCGTCCTCATCCGCTATTCTCGCATGGCCAAGAAGTGCTCCTACTATATTGAGACTAGTCTGCCACTACGCACTATTCACCCTTTCGTGATTGGATACTTAGACTGCCAGGTACCTTTACAAGTGGTATTTGATCTCATCCCCAACCTCCTCGTACACCTGATCAATGGCTGCAACGACCTCCTCAAGCAATGGGCCCTCTTCGATTACCCGAAGGTTGTTTTCCAGCTGCTCCAAGCTTGACGCGCCGATGATGACGCCATCTCCGTGATGTTGCTTTAGGATACTATGGTGAGCTGTCCATCGGAGTGCGGCAGCATGGCCTCCAATACCGTACTTAGCCGCTACCCGAAGCGCTTTATCGACAGCGGCTTCAATGGACTGTTTGACGTACATGGCAACATACATGCTCCCAACTTTGGTCTGTAACGAAAGTTGGTCAGTTTTTGTCTCTCCAGGTGCGTCATTCCACTCACTGATCCTGAAAACCGCGACATTGGTTCAGCACTTTTGTGCTTCTGGGCGAAAAAGCCACCTGCGCCGGGGCTATAAGCGTAGAACGCCATTCCATGCTTGCGAAGAAGAGGGAACAATTCTTTTTCTGCGCCACGAACGATTGGGTTATAATGGCCCTGGTAAACGCTCGGCTTAACAAAGCCCAGTTTCTCACAGATCTCAATAGTTCTCTGAACCTCATCTGCTCGATAGTTAGAGATGCCCCAAGCCTTGATCTTGCCATCTCGGTGAGCTTGATTGAGGACCTCAAGAACTGGCTCGAGTGGATGCACGCGTTCAGGTAGTTGAAGATAATAAATATTTATCTGGTCAATTTTCAGGTTTCTCAACGAGTTGTCAATGTCGCGCAAAACACTCTCCTTGGTGTGGCCTTCAAACCAGTCTGCTTTAGTATCGATATGGAATCGGTCGCCTGCAGAGACCGCACCAATTCTAGGCTCAGAAGTGTACGGGGCGCCTGGGGAGTAAACGGCAGCAGTGTCAATTTGGCTATGGCCATGCTTGGAAAAGACATCAAGAAAAGCATTCACTTCATCCGGAGTAGAGAAGCGTGCCATGGGATCGACGGAGCTGTCACCAATCTGTGGGAGTATCATGTTAGATTGGGGAAGGCAGGGGTGAAGTTGGCATTCCTCACCGGGGCGGCTCCGAGGATCAATTTGATACTAGCATTATTCTCCATGATGGATGGTGTTTCTTGGTTGTAAATACGAGAAGAAATGATGATCTGGCAATGAATGGAAAGACACAAGATATTGACATTGACCTGATCGTCTCTTAAATATCATAACGAGAGGCCAGTGCTTAGAAATCGAGTAAAGAATAGCTAGTATGCCAAGATATGCTATTTCTAGATGGAGAATAACAAATGACATCCTGCTGGATGATAAATTCTTAGTAGCAGACTACGCATTACTTGAAGACGTGGATGATATTCGCCAAGCAGTGCAGTTTCCTTTTTGAGCAAGTGCAAAATGAGATGAACATTAGAGTATCCGTTATGAGGTAAAAGGACAACATTACACAGCTAAACTAATTAATTTCTCAAAGCACCAAAAATAAAACTGCCTCCCAAAGTCTGTAAGATCGCAGTATTACAAATCATCACAAGTGTTCATCAATGCTCATAAAACTATCATGCTCAATTGTGATGAAATTACCCTGTAGATATTGTTGGAATTATTCTACGCTATGCTCCTTCGAGAGTTCATATCGATAATGAGACTTGTGCAATTATAATTCTCTTATGCTAATGTTATACAGGCTCTTATGCAACATAATTAGCTTCCATCCAACCACCATCTACATAAATCTCCTGCTTGGTCATGAACTTGCTCTCATCTCCCAATAAAAAGGCAATAGAAGCAGCGACCTCTTCAGGCTTAGAGTAGCGCTTGATAATTGATGTCAAGTTGTCGTCCTCTGTCATGGTCCATGTCGTACCATTGGGTAAGTGTAGAGGCTGCTTGATCATGTCTGTATCGATGCATCCACTGAACAATGTTAATAAACAAGCCTACAAACTCAGTGCAATTCAACTTACGGGCATAGAAGATTGACTCTGATGGGATTCTTGGGGTACTTCGCACCACCTTCATACGCAGCACTTTGACTCAAGCCGCGGATAGCATTCTTTGAAGCGGCGTATGCTCCCATGTTACCTGAAGCATACTTGACCTGTTGACTACCGCAGTTGACAATGCTGCCTCCAGGCTTCATGTTTTTCATCTCGTACTTGATGCAGTTAAAGGTGCCGATAACATTGACGTCAAGCATTTGCTTCAATTCCTCAAGGTCAAGATCCTCGATGGGATGGATACTCTTGTTCATCTTGGCTGCATGAAATGTCAGAACCTTAGTTGGTTATACATCGAATGGGAAATCTTACCTGCTACATTAGCAGCACCATCTAATTCTCCCCATTTAGCAACTGTGCCCTCGATCCAAGCCTTGACATCCTCAGGCTTGGTAACATCAGTGGGAAAATAAATAACGCGATCCTTGACATCGGGAATATCCTGCTCAATACCAGCGATGGCCTTCTCCAGATTCTCCTTGGAAGTTGCTGCCATGGACACCTTGGCACCACGGGTAAGAAGGTACCGGGAAAGGGATAGACCAGTTCCCCGGCTGGCACCAGAGACGACAATGACCTTGTCTTGGAAAGGGTATGGGTTTGCCATTTTTAAGAGATTAGAAGAATAAAATTGCTATGAAGAATATTACACGCAGGGACTAAGGTACAATGCTCAATGCTAGATTATATAGTCGAGTCCGCGTTTTCCAACAAGTAAAGCGTTGGTCGGCTCGGTGGGTAATTGACAATCAGATTAGAACAAACATGGAAGATGGTTACAATACAGGAAGCCTAGCGATTGCTAATATCTTGGTATGGAGCCAGAATGGGGGTTGGTATCCTGGTCATCTTGACTCGAAGCTCTTGAGAGCAGGGAAATGATTGAATCGCCGCGATGTCTCTTTCCTCGAGGGGATATCGCTTCCACGAGGATGGCAAAGATCCTCGTGGGGCCATGAAGCTCGCTTGGAGAATCTGCAGCGGGTTTCGCTTCAAAAGGGGGGGGGGGATCTTTCCTTGGTGTCGGGTCAGAAGAACCTTACCCGGAAAATAGTAGAGTTGTATTCCTTGGTGGAGGAAGCACTGCAGGGGGTGACAAGGACTCGGGAACTTGACCAATACTGTTGTTTATATGTTGCGGGCCTTGCATAAGACGAAACAAATATTGACCAGGCCAGTTAGTTCTTCAAGTGAGAGATTGCGTTTTTAAAGATGCCTGCAGAGAGGAAATATTGGGCTTTGCTTTTGTTGTAACCGCCTGTTAGCGCATACTACAGATAGAAACGGTCGGACTTAAAATTCGGGCGAACCCGCCCGTGATCGCCTGAGCTTTATCACCAGACGAGAGTCCATGAATGGAGCATGAATGAATTTTCTGTGGACCTCTGGACAAGGATGTTAATCCTATTCTCCTGCCGCAAGGGCAACGATGGAGCTGTTTACTCTGTATGTCCACTTATATCTGGGTGAGGGAAGAGGAATCCGAATAGCCGAACAAATAATATGCAAGAACCGGAAGTAACAAACGGTTGCAAAAAAGACAAGAAAATGATACATCGCCAAAAAGGACACAAGAATGCATGAGCTGAAAATTATCAAACAGGAATTGACATTGGTAAGGCATTGATGGAGAACCGAAAAGAAACGTTGAGGATTATCCTGACTGTTTCTGGCCATGAAGGATGACGACGCTTTCCCAAGAACCACGACACAGAATCCTCCGGATGAACAAGAGCCCTTGTATGTACCTGAAGCAAGTCTCATTCCACAATCACGGACGAGATCCACCCTAGGGAATAGATCGACCAGACTGTTGGATATTATTTCCGAAAGTCGGTAACAACCTTGAGCTGCATTGTTTTAAGGCCAGGTCAGAAATCCTCTGGTCTTGGCTTGCCGTTGAAAACAGGCCACCCAAGTTTGCATTTATGTTCCCAGCTTGGAAGGTCAGGCAATCGTCTCGGAGAGTGGAACACGAATCAGGACAAAGGAATATCAAAAGGCTGATTGGTTTTGGCATAATGCTGAGCTGCAACCCTGTGGACCGTTGTAACCTGCTCAGCTTTTCGACTGGATGATACGATGTACAAGCGAATTAGAGCAAAGCACTGGAGAACTTAAGACTAGAAAAAGAAATTCTGCGGTAACGGTAAGGTTCTGTTGGACTGCAAGACCAACAAGTGTGCGCCGCTGGAAAAGAAAGAATTTTCTTGTCTTATCCTCTAACCGTTTCAGAGCCCCATCGCTCACTTGCATGGCAACGCTGGAACATTTCCTTATTAGATCTTTGCTTGAATCGGTACCAAGACATGGAACCCTTTCAATCTCTCTTCCAAGTCCCCAGGACGTTATTGCCGAAGGGAAGACAATCCTTGAGGACCTGAAGTGAAGTGGAGTCATTGCAGAATTAAACGTATGTAAAGCTCCTGACATGCTTCTTTCTTTTTCCCCAGAAGCAAATAAGGAATTAAAGTGCAGATCTCCCATCTCTTCCCGTAGGTTAATTAGCAGCTTTCTTCCTATGGAGTAGAAAGAGGGCTGGTTGATCTCTCGGTTGATTCCAAGTTGCGCTTGAAGCTGCTCGTCTTATCTTTTCCTCTCCAACACAAACACTCATACTACACTTCGAGTCTAACCCGGCCCAGCCTGAGTGTCCAGCACCATGGAAGTCGACCCGTATATGATGGACCCGCCGCGGGACCAGGACAGATGGGATGCTGGAAGCAGTGCACCAACTCAGATTATTCTGGGAGCTTGTCTATTCACGTTGGCGACAGTCGTTTACGGTCTAAGAATATTGACAAGAGTACGTTTGCAGAAGAATGCACTTCGTCTCGATGATCGTGAGTTTGTCCCCTTTGTCACATATGTTCTCAAGGCTGATGATGGTCACTAGTTCTCACTGGTGCTTCGTTGGTGGCATGCTGGGCGTTCTATGCTTGCACAATGGGCAGTAAGTCAACCAACCTCAATTGAACTTTAGCATACTTACCCGAATAGTGGTGGCTCAAGGTGGCTGTGCTACCAACTTTTGGCAGGTCAAGCAATCCCAGTACGAGACATTACTCAAGGTAAGATCTTCTTCATCCACTACCGTGAACACCACTAATCGTCTTCAGTGGACTGTCCCAGTCAACATCTTCTACATGCTCTCGTCCGATCTCGCTAAGATTTCCCTTCTGTTCTTCTACCTCCGCCTCTCACCCGAACGGAACTTTCGAATCGTTGTATACATATTGATCACCCTTTTTGGTCTATACGCCCTCATCTACGCCATGATCAGCCTTTTCGGCTGCCAGCCAATTAAGGCGTCTTGGGACCTTGCTGCACAGGCGACAGGAAAGTGCATCGACAAGTTCGGCTTTTTCTTGGCGGCTTCAGTAGCCAACGTCGTTATGGATCTGGTCATTCTGCTTCTCCCTTTACAAATTGTCATCCCACTCCAAATTCCGCGACGACAAAAGATGTCACTACTTTTTCTTTTCACTACTGGCGGCTTGTGAGTACCTCCCTCTGTACAAAAAAAACTCTATTCATGCTAACAATTTGTCTAGCGTTATTATCGTTGCTATATACAACTGTGTTCTCACTGTCAAGCTATTCAGTAGCCCGAACTACACCTGGGGCCTAGCATACGAGTTGTGCTGGATGTATGCGGAGTTGACGGGCTGTGTCATCTGCGCCTCCGCCAGTTCTCTCAAGCCGTTCTTCAAGCGCATTATACCAGCTCTGTTCAGCAGTCATGGCGCCAGCTACGGCCCATCTGGTGCAACAGGTGGATCCCACGCCGTAGTCAATAGCAGAAGGCAGCTCAGTCGCAAGCAGGCGGATGCAATCGAACTTCAATCTGGAGATGACTCTGAGTCGGGCCGAAAGGTCATGGACGATGATGAAACTAAGCTCTGGCCAAAGCCTAAGAGCAGTTTTGACAATAGCAACGGTAACCACAAGGTCTTAGTTTCTGCAACAGGCGAGAGCAATGGAGTGGGAAGAAGCAGCTCGAGGTTTCAGAGGAACGGGAAATCGGATGGTATTGAGATAGTTTCGACAACGGAGGTGTTGTACAGTCCCAGATAAATTTGTGTTCTCTGTACATAATATGTTCATAGAATAGAGAAACTCTTCACTGACCATTCTCTGAGTAAAAAGTAACATTGGGGTCTATAAAGCGTCACTTCACATTCCCATCGTCCACTGAAGTGGTTACATTGACCTTTTTTCATACTGACTGCGAATATTCTACCCTCTATTTGATTTGCCATCACAAGCCCTTCCAAAAGAAGGTTTCGGGAAGCACAAAGCGTTCTCGCGCAATTTCGTCCCTGGGATTCGAGCTTGAGGCAAGGATAATTGTGTAGGTTCCAGCCTCGGCCTTCCACTTGGATGCTTCCTGACACCAGAAGGACAAAGAGTATTTGTCAAGTACCAAATCAACGGTCTTGGTTTCATCTACATCCAGGTATGCTTTGTTGAACGCCTTCAGCTCCCTAACCGGCCGCTGAAGGGAAGGGTTGGCATGGTGGATATACAGCTGCACAACCTCAGCTCCAGAAAATGGTCCCTGATTCTTAATATCGACACTGACTCGCATCTCATGGTCAACAGAAGACTCAAATTCCTTAGGGACCGTGAGATTGGAGTAAACGAATTTTGAGTATGACAATCCGTGGCCGAAGTAGAAGAGCGGCTCTCGATCGACCATTTCGTAGTATCGATGTCCGATGAAGACTCCTTCGCCATACACAATATCATAATCAGCCTTGGAAAAGGTAAGATAAGCTGGTGTGTGCTTGATGGACTTAGGGAATGTCAGGGATAATCGTCCAGATGGGTTGGCTTTGCCGAAGAGGACGTCGGCCATTCCATGACCGCATTCCTGGCCACCGAACCAAGCGTGCAAAAGTGTCGAAGCCTGCGACTCCCATGGCATCTCGATGGGTAGTCCCGATTGGGTAATGATGATCTGAAATGGTTGTCAGTGTTAAAGTTCTACTGGTCCTGGGATCAAGGACGGTCATCTTACAGCATTAGGGTTGGCCTGTAAAACAGCTCCAATCAATTCGTCAACTCGGCCTGGCAAGTTCAAGTGTTTTCGGTCGCTTCCTTCGTACTCAAAGTCTGATGATAGTCCAGTAATGACAATAGGGACATCGACGTTCTTGGCCAGCTCGATAGCGTCTTTGATGCCTTGGTCCTCATCATAGAGCTCATAGATACCAACACGTCCAGTGAGTGTCAGTGCAGTACCGACGCCGCCGGATAAGTTCTCGTTGACCTGAATTACTTGAAGGTCAAGAACTTGACCCTTCTGGAACTCTCCTTCGTAGAATCTCTCCATAGAAAGACGATTGAAGCATGGTGTTGAGTCTGTTTTGGGTGGCTGACTCGCCCATAGATCAATGACATCCTTTCCGTCGATACACAGTTTACCCTTGCCACAAGTACTGAAACCAAACTTGAGTCTTCCAGATTCTTGGATCGTGTACTTAGCTTGAGCCTTGACGTAGTATTTGGCAGGAATAATTGAGTGGTAGCTTTCAGGCACATCAACTAGCTGCTTCTCTGCGATGGTTGAGACAATCGCCTCAGCGTCCTTGTTTTTCTCTGGGTCCTCTCCAAAGATCTCAACATGCCAACCCTCCGTCTTGCCATCTGGGGTCTTGTGGCCCTTGATAAGCGGACTAAATCGGAAAGCTGTGTCGACATAAGTAATTAAGCGTGGGCCCAAGAGGAATTTGCTACTTACAGTTACATCCCGGTGTGTAAGTGATGTTCTCTTCCCCAACAACCTCCTTGATAGCTTCATATGGAGTAATACCATAATAAGGCTCGACTTCAGCACTTCCACCTCCACACAGCGAAGGGTTCTTGACATGATCTCCGATAAGTCCATACTTTAGTTTCTCAGGATTCTTGATCGGCAATCTTCCCTTTTCGTTCTTCAGAAGTACGATTGACTCAGCGACGAGCTGTCGAATCAAGGCTCGTTGTTCCGGAGTGTCCGACTGAGGTGACTTTCCAGAAACCTCCCCGGCCTTGACTTTGTTGACGAGATTCAAGACATTCTCAACAGATTGGTCAATCGTTGCTTTGGAGACCTTTCGAGAGTTGACGGCAATACTGAGGCGCGTTCCTCTCCAGTCTGTTGGTCCGGGCATCTCGAGATCCAAACCGGCGTTGATAGCCTCTGAAGTGCTGTAAGTACCGAACCAGTCACTCATAACGAGACCCTTGTATCCCCACTCTTCACGAAGAATTTCCTTCATCAACAAAGGGTCTTCGCTTACATGAACACCGTTGATCTTGTTATATGAAGTCATGATCGTCCAAGGGTCGGAACCTCGAAGTGCAAGTTGGAATGGCAGCATGTGCACCTCTCTGAGAGTTCTTTCCGTCATGACCACGTTATCCTCAATGCTGTTATCGGATTGATCGTGGGCCGCATAGTGCTTCACACTTGTTCCAACGCCCTGTTCTTGAACACCGTTGATATAGTGTGCGCCCAGAGTACCGCTGAGAAAAGGGTCCTCTCCGAATGCCTCGAAACCGCGTCCGATCAAGGGTGAGCGCTGAAGGCAAAGGGTAGGTGCCAACAGTACATGAACGCCACGATACTTCGCTTCTTCACCTAGGAGACTACCAATCTTGTGAAGGAGCTCAGTGTTGAAAGTTGCACCCATTCCTGTAGCGGATGGTAGCATGGGACTGGGCATCTAGTTGTTTGTGTCAATCGGGGTGTCTGTATCGACATTGTAGGCCACTTACGCGTGTGAATGATCGTCGGCCCCGTATTCCATGAGGTCCATCTGAAGTCTGTTTGTGTCAGATGGATCTTCTTTTCATTCCCTCCACCTGTTTGACTTACAATAAGACCAGGAATGCCATGATGGTCGAGGCCAGTCATGCGAAACGAGCCTTGACCAGCAAGGAGTTCCACCTTCTCACCGAGAGTCAGTTGACTCAACAGAGCTTTAACATCGACAAAATCTTTGTCGGCCATTATTTCTGAGGTTTTTTGTTACCGAATAAAGAACTTGAAGATTACCTGTTGAAACTCACGCGGTATATAAGCTACCCAAAAATCTGGTTCGCTTACTGGTCCCTGGCTGTTTTAGCCGTCGGCTTTTCGGGCCGCTGGGGTGTTCCCCATGTTATTTGCGGGGATCGCAGGGCGACTCTCAACCTGATAAGCTTGGCATTCATAATCATCGAAACGATTCGAGCTTGAGCTTATTCTTGCGGATACTCCGCCTTGTTTAAGTGACATCGTGAAATCTGACAAAGCAGCAAGGTTCACGGATCTTGAGGGTAACTTAAACCATACCTCCATTAACACCGCATAGGCGTTGCACAACTGTCGTCTTTGTATTAAAACCCGATTCATTCTATAGAGTCCTAAAACATGATGTTCGAAATTACTAATATCTTCAACATATAAAGTATTGCGAAAATCACCAATCTACCGTGGCTATGCCGGCTTCTGTCCAGTAATAACCTTGGTGAAGAAAACTGCTCCTTTCTCCCTCACTTCCTTCTCAAACCTGACCGCTAAACCATCGAAGACGGATTCGGGAACATCAGCACCCAAGCCTAATCATGTTAGAATTGTGCCAATTCAAGTAAAAGAAAAAAGCTTCTTACCTTTTGCACCCTGTATCAAACTAGGGATAGTAAGAAGAAAAGGCTGGAGCGACATCTCGACAGCCTCCTCATCGCCCAAGAGCTTACCCATTGGCAGCTCAACAGTTTCTTCAGCGACATGATTGAGTCCTGCGGTCTTAAAGGCCTCCGGAAGTTTGTGAGCAAGATCAGATATCATTCCCATAGCTTTGAACACGCCCGAGAATAGAGCGCAGACTTCCTTCAGGGCTGGGCCAATGTCTGGCTTATCTTGCAAATCAAAGTCCATCTCATGAACTTGTAGCCATCCTCCTGGTGCAAGTGTGGCTTCGGATGTCACTGTCAGTCATATTCTTAAGCTCCCTAGGATAATTATGGAGGACTCACAGGCGAGATGCTCTACTGCCTTCTGATATCCCACCTTGGCAGCACCAGGAATGACAAACCTGACATGTGTCACATCGAAAGCTCCAGTGAGCTCTTGGTGTGGTGTTTCGCAAAGATCATAAGTCTCGTATCTTAATCCTTCTTCAGAAGGTGGAAGAAATGCTTCAACGACATCCACCCCAACCAGCCGGGCAGATGGAGATACTTGCTTCTTCAAGTCACGGAGTAGAGTTCCTGAAAGGTTAGTTAGGCACAGATAAAAAGACCTTTATGTCTCACCATCAGCACACCCGACGTCAAGAACTCTGAGTCCTTCTTGGTCCAATGGCACAGGTACGAAGATAATTTTGTTGTCAATGCATCTTTGAACCCAAGCATATTGCTTCTGGAATCGCTCTACCTCGCTTTTGATCTCCCAAGGATATTCGAAATCACTTGTGGGGGACATTGTGGAAACAAGCGAAGGATGTTTGTGAGCGAGTACAGATGAGGTGTGAAAATAACGACGACATATGAGCGGTTCAGCTATCTTATATGTGAAAGCAGTATATACGCCACGATATATTATCGTGTTCAGACCAATAAAGTGCCCCCACTGATGTAAGATGAGTTATGTATCCGGCGTTGAGAAATGTGCCCGATTACTCTAATAAAAGTCTCCGTTAGATATTGAATGTAGGGAACCCTGTTTAGTGCTTATCACTCAGCGTACTGTGGATGTTTTTATATTTTCTATCTTGTCTTTTGCTTATTTCTACCCTGTTTAAGTCCATTGATATCAACGGCAGGTCCCTGGTTGTAGGCGAGCTCCGTACCCAAGCTAGGCTTTCATATGCTGTTTCGTGTACAACACAAGCTCCGTACATGGTGCCTGGAAAGAATAATATTCTTATCAGCCAATGCTGCTTTTATGACATGGTAGCTAGTAGCAGTTTTAGTAACAGTTATACTTGTAATATCCAATGGTATTTGATCGAACAGTAGTAGCCTAGCTCGTTCTGAGTGGATTAAAAACATCGCGACATTGCAATGCAGAAGAAGACTTAGGGCTATATTATATGATAAACAATATGAACTGTATTATATATATAGCCAACTAGCATGTATGCTACTTAGAACAAGTGATGCCACACACGCTTCCACGCGGGGCCATTAGCAAGCTTCTCACGGTAAGCATTGATAGTGTCCCAATCATGCTCTCGGCGGCCAGTGTCGAGGTCAATCTCGCTGATCTTCCTCCAGCCCTCCCGCTTCCAGACGTATCCGATTATATAGAATAGAATCACCACAGGCATAGCCAGGTAGGACTGGAAGAAACCCTCTGCCGTCCCAAGAGATCCGTCAATGTTGGTCATGGCGGTATAGAATTGCGCGATGAGGACGATAACAATGATGATGAGACCAATCCAAGATCCCCAAACGCCAAAGACATGCTGGAAGGGAATTTCGTCGAGGGTGTGGCCATGGTATTTCCAGGCGGACCGGAAGCGAATATGGCACAGGCAGATAGATCCCCAGGTAAACAAAGCAGCCAAACCCGAAAGGGCCTGTAGCCAGATGAAAACAGTAGTGCCTTCTCCATTGACACTGATATAACCGAGGGCACCAATTGCGATGATAGAGACAACAGCGGGAAGAGGTCGTCCGGACTTGTCGATGAAAGAGAAGATCTTAGGTGCGTAACCCTGCTGCGACAAAGCTACCAAAGTTCGGCTACCACCGTACACACAGGAAACGCCGATAGATAGGACGGAAACGAGGATGATGACGTTCATGAAGGAGTCGTATCCCTTGAGTCCAGCGTTGGATGCTGCGATGACGAAAGGAGAGGCACTAGGATTGTTGTTTCCAGCGTTAAGAAGTCTCTCATCGGTTGAAGACACGAGGAAGCCGACGAGCAGAAGGCCAACGACGTAGAAGAGGGTAATTCGCCAAAAGACTTGCTTAATAGCACCTGGTAGGGCCTTGGCTGGGTTCTTGGCTTCAGCCGCAGCGAGACCTACAAGTTCCGTTCCACTGAAGGAGAAAGCCGCAGTAACAAAAACACCTAATCAATGTTAGATATCAACGACAAGACGAGATTTTGATACGGAAAGCTTACCGCAGAATCCTCTAAAGCCATGCTGGAAAGCACCGGGGTTATGCCAAAGGCGTGCACCCCAGTATTCATCGTAAATGCCGTTGGATGGACCTCCGCCACAGACGAGAACAACGGCGACGATCATGAATATGACTGTAGCGGAGAGTTTGAGGAGAGCAGCCCAAAATTCTTCCTCTGCATATCCGAGAGTTCCAAAAACGTTAACGATAATGATGACAGCAAGGAAAACCTGTATTTTGTAAGTAGCTGCTTCACCATCAACCCGCTTAATGTTGACTTACGCTAACCCAGATAGCGACGCTGGTATCTGGCGCCCAATACTGGATGACGGTACCGCAAACCGTCAGTTCGAGAGGAAGAACAAAAGCCCATTGCATGACATAATTCCAACCCATGGCGAAACCCCAGGAAGGATCCACGAATCGGTTAGCATAGCTGATGAGGCGGTTAGTGTTGTCAATGAGAAAGACCATGAGTGTTACTAACGTATAGAAACCACCAGAGACGGGGTACATGACGGCGAGTTCTCCCAGCGCGTAGACGACATTGAAGATCATGACACCCATGATCAGAAAGCCAATGGTCAGTGATCCAGGGCCTCCAGTCTGAAGTGCACCACCACTACCAACGAAGAAACCCGCACCAATACTACGAGCTTGTCAGCAAATCACATCTGCATTAGTGCGTCACTGCAATTGTGTGGTGGACGGTAATAAGCCGGCGTTGCACAATGACGACAGAAAGTGGGAGAGAAAATGAACTAACCTGCCACCAATAGCAATCATGTTTAGATGACGAGGCTTCATATCCCGCGAAAGCTCAACGGTGCCCTTGCCGTAATCATCATGAGCCTTGAAGGATTCGAGAGTAAGACCATTGCGCAAGGCCCATGATTGCTTTGGCGTTTGAATGGGCTCTGTGGTGCCCTGCTTCTCGTCATATCGTGGTGAGCCATCGTGGGCATCGAAGGCCTCTGATTTGGGGTTAATTTCGGAAGCCATGGTGAGGAGAAGTGACCTTCAAACAAGAGATTATGTAAGTTTGTCTGAAAATCCAATCCAGAGGTGGTGAATTGAGAGGAAATGGACAGCGCGGATCACACGGCAGGTATATATATGGATTATGGATACAAGACTAATTACTGGTCTCAAAATGGGAAGTGACCAACGGGCAATACTTACAGGATGATCTAAATGCAATGCGGAAGGTGGTTGAAGGAAAGGGGATGCTGGAGATACGTAACATGAGGGATTGTTTTGGTGATGGTTTCGGACTACCTCTAATCTCACGGATAACGCGGCACTTTTCCCTTCAGCTGGGGCAAATTCGGGGCACCAAAAAAAGGACCTGTCAGCCCGCTGGTTTGCTTGACCCGCATACTTTATCAACGTCGAATGCAAGCTGAACCAATAGCTGAAGGATACTCAAATTAGTCTGTAGTTTGTTTCTTGACATTTAATCGGCTCCGAAGACATCCATTTGACTTGGCTCTGTTTATGGTTAAAGTGCAGTAGAGCAGAATTACATCGAAACATTTACTTCACTTCTCTGACGAAAACAACGTGCAATACATAAGCATAACAAAGTGATCCATTTGAAGTCGTCCGTAATCTGGGGTAAAGTGGCATCTTTGGAGCAATCTATTTGTCATAGATTCAAGTTACCCCAGAATATCCTTGAACTTGGTTTCTTGATTTAATGGCATATCGGTTGGATCATTGGGTGCTCCCCTCGTCGCGGAGCCGAGCTAGCCGGTCCGTCTTATCAAACCCGCCGATCATGCTACTAACAGCATGTAAAATGACCGAAATGATGAGTGTGATTGGATGCAGCGGAAGGATCTTTTATCTTGGATGCTCTGATACGGGAAGGGATCAGTTACGATGTGGTACAGGAAGAGTGCAGTAGGACCGATGGCCTTTTTTTGTGGGAGGAATGCAATCATGAATAGAGTTTGATCTGGTGTCAAGAAGCGAGTCAGTGCGTATCTTGTTGACAAGGTAGATTGCTGTCTTGGTGAAATGAAGTTGAGTATGGTTCAGGTTGTTGTTGTTGTGGTTAAATATCTCCAAAAATTAATTAGAGCCGCAATTTGATCTCTTGGCAACGTTGACAGCTTGGCACGGGGATTATCATCTTGGCATTGCGACGGGGAACAAATGACGTACATTGACTCTGACTACGAGACGCGTATCACCTTTGTATCAATTAGGAAGCTGTTGAAAGCCAACGTGTCAGCATTGTCCAAGCCTCTGGACTACCCTAAATCAGTCGAGTTTCACTACAATCTCCACTGTACTCTTTGACAAAAGACCTGCTCTGCTGTCAGTTCTCTACTGTCAGTGTCAGGCCATTGCTTTCATCGCGCAACCTTCAACGAGACATTTGAACGGTAAAATGACGCAAACAAACGCTGTTGATGTCCCGGGCTTGCATTAGTCGACAACCCTCCTAACTGTCGCGTGCGTGCGTGCATCCTCTTCAACGGTCAGACAAGATACCTAAGCGACGCATGACGTAGGCTATTTTCCCGAACCCGCCAAGATGTATCACTAACAAACAGAGCTTTATCACCTGGTGATACAAGCTTTATCTGTTATACAACTATTGGAGGTTGCTCAGTTTCCGTGATCGCGGAATTGATAGCATCACTTAACCATCACTCATTCCATCGCCGATTCATGTTAACAATTTTAGCTTAAATTAATGCTTAACTTGAGCTGCCAAGGATCATGCCAATCATTCCAGGTGCCTCAATTTCCTCCCACCACCCTCAGAACTGCCTTTTCCGCAGACAACTTCCCTTCTTTACTTAGTCTAAAAGCTTCAATAACATTATCCAAAGTTCCTACCTCTCTAACATGGTTCGGCTGCAAGTCTTTTGTCTTTAACATATGGGTAACCAACTGTAAATAATTTTCCCAAGCATGTTTGTCGCCTGGTGTCGCGGGCCCGGCGTTGTCAAACATGGCGTAGTCTTCGCCGAGCGCCCTCCCAAAAACAGTAAAAGCTATTATGGATTCCGCTTTAACATATGGGTTGATAGCTCCAATAGAAGACTTATTGACAGGAGATAGAGCTACGAGATGAGCTCCATCGCTTCTCCCGAGGGCATTGGCCATCTTTCCCGAAGAGAATTCGTCTGCGATAGTGTCGAAAGCGTATTTCAATTTGCCATTGGTGATATCTCTCACGCGGTCGACCCAATCTTCATCATGGTAGTCGAAAGTGGTATATGCTCCAAGTTTCTTAAGAAGGTCATGATTCTTGGTTGACGCGATTGCGATTACCCGAAGACCGCTAAGTCTCCCAAGCTGCACAGCATATAATCCAACGCTTGTCGAAGCTCCATACACAAGGAAGTCAACATGGCTTTCGTTGGGCCAATATGGCTCTGGAAGCCTCATGCGTTGAAACATTGCCTGCGTCGCAGTTGCAAAGGCAAGCGAGATAGTTGCTCCCTGTTGAAAGCTAACATTGTCTGGTATCGCAAAGACAAGAGTTGGTTCAATGCTGATAAACTCAGCAAAAGCACCAATCTCTTTGTAAGTTGCACCATGAACCCAACCACCCACTCGTTGGCCTTTCTGCCATTTTGAACCGTTCGGCTCTTCGACGATCCCGGCGAAGTCGCAGCCAACGACCAGACCGGGTGCTGCGGGGCCATCTAGAACGTCACCTTCAACAAGTTTCCAGTCTCCGGGATTCAGGGCGACATGATGTACCTTGATGAGGATCTCACCACTGCTTGGGGCTGGACGAGGCACGTTTTGGATTGAACTACTCCCTTTCCCATCAGTCACGAAAGCTCGCATGGTGATTTCTTGCCTGGTTCTTTGAATAGGTGCAAATATTAGTCTTCTCGATAGTCCTGAAATTACTGCATGTTAAAATGCATGGATGAGGGTCAGTTAACACAACAACCGCGATTTATAATTCATCGCTCAGGGATAACGTTATGTGTTCTCGTAGGTGACAAATTAATTATTTCAAGAGCTGTTTCCACCTATCATATATGCTTTAAAAAGGGGTTGAAGATGTCAGCAAGGATTGACATCCTTGTATACTTGGAAGATTGAAGCCGCATCTTGATAAATGTTAACAATGCGAATATCACTTGTTCAGTCGGGGATAGAGAGATAGTTGTGAAATATGGTTCATTAACATCTATTAAACATCATCGCTCGTTATGAAAAGTGAGCTGTCTGTCCAGTCAAGACTTTTCCCAACTCAATGACATCTTGTTTGTGCCGCAGGAAATCCCAGCATCACCAAAATCCTTCCCAGTCGCAGATAAAAACATTGCCAGACATTGAAAAAAGGAAAATCGTAAAGTATCATAATCTATAGACGAGCGGAGAAGCTGGCCTGGGCGTTCTGTCCATAAGCGCTCTTCTCGGGTTGGTAGAAGGGAAGAGGTGTGACAGTTGCCTTGATGCGCTTGCCAAAGTACTCGATCTCAACCTTGTCGCCCTCGAGGACCTCCTTGGGAAGATACGCATAGGCGATGGGCTTGCGGATGCTGTAGCCGAATGCTGCGCTGGTCACGTAACCGACTGCACGGCCCTTCACGAATACAGGCTCCTTGCCGAGAACGACTGACTTGCCATCGTCGATGGTGAGACCACGGATGCGTCGGGAAACCTTCTCACTGGATCGGCCCTTCAGAGCGTTGTAGCCAACATAACCATCCTTTCCGGGATGAAGAGCAAACTCCAGACCAGCCTCGTAGGGGTCATACTCCTGGGTCATGTCAGAACCCCATGATCGGAATCCCTTTTCGATGCGAAGAGCATTGAAAGCACTTCGACCAGCAGCAATCACTCCGTAGGGGAGACCGCCCTGCCACAAGGCATCCCAGAGTCGGAGACCGTTGTCGGCAGTGGTGTAGATCTCGAAACCCTCCTCGCCAATGTATGAGAAGCGAGTGGCGATGGCGGGAATGCCAGCTATCTCAACCTTCTTGGTGGTGAGGTAAGGGAAGGCTCGGTCGGAGAAGTTGTCCTTGCTGACAAGCTTCATGAGGTCATTAGCCAAGGGACCCCAGACACCAACGCTGGCGAGGCCACCAGTGATGTCGCGGACGTGTACGGCTCTGTGAGGGCTGGTCTTGGTCTGAGCCTTGGCCTCACGAGTAAAGTAGTGGAGATCGACGGGGCCGTTGACACCAAGGTGGAAAAGGTCCTCACCCAGTCTGGCGACGAAGATGTCACTCCTAATACCACCGTGGTTGTCAAGAAGAAGTGTGAATGTCACCTTGCCAACCTCGCCGGCAACATTGCCAGTTGTCAAGCGCTGCAATAGTTCAGCAGCACCAGGACCAGCAATCTCAAGTCGTCGAATGGGAGTCTGATCGTACAGGGCGACACCAGTTCGTGTCTTCCAAGCCTCGACAGCAGTCACAGGCGAATAGAATTGAGATGACCAAGCATCTCGCTCAACAGGCTTCCAAGCCTCGGGCAAGTCCTTGAGGAACTTCTCGTTGGACTCAAAGTAGTGAGGGCGCTCCCAGCCACCGGCCTCGAGGAAATAGGCGCCAAGCTGCTGATGACGCTGGTGGAAGGGGCTGACACGGAGGTTTCGGGGGGACTCTTTGGGTTGAAGAGGGTGGAGAATATCGTAGACCTCGACGAACTGCTGGGAACCCGTCTCGACCACGTAGGCGGGAGAGAGCTGAACTTGCTCAAATCGAGACAACTCACACTCGGAAAGATCAATCTCGGCTCGGCCAGTAGTAAGAAGTTCGGCCATGGCGCGTCCAACACCAGCGGACTGTGTCACCCAGACGGCCTCAGCGACGTAGAAGTTATCGAAGTTGGGGGCCTGACCAACAAGAGGGCCACCGTCGGGAGTGAAAGACATGATACCGTTGAAGCCGTGGTCAACCTTGGTCTCGCGAAGAGCAGGAAGAATCTCTTGCGATAGCTTCCAGCCAGGCTCGAAATCCTTGGGGGTAAACTTCAAGCTGGAAGGCATGTTCTTATAATCAACCTCCTTGGGGGTCTCGCCCAACGAGGCTGCAACGACTGGCATGGGACGGTGGCCGTAGTATCCAATACCGTAGTGGTCGCCGTGCTCGCGGTAGTAAAGATCCTGATCTTGGTGTCGAAGAATAGGGAGTTGAGCACCGTTGGGCTCCTCGTTCTTGCCCTTCTGGCTGGGAACTGAAGTTGTGTGGACATATTGATGAGCCATAGGGGTCAGAGGAATAGGGAGGCCAACCATGGCTCCAACCTCGACACCCCAGAGTCCAGCGCATGAGATGACGATATCGGCTTCAAATCTGCCGTTCTTTGTGTTGACGGAAGAAACATGACCGTCGTGGTGGTCGATAGATGTGACCAATGTTGACTCGTGGTACTTGACACCTGCTGCTCGTGTTCGCTCGATGAGCTTTGCTTGAGCGTCACGAGCGAGAGCTAGACCGTCGGTAGGGATGTGAAGTCCACCAAGCACCTTGGACTTATCCAACAAGGGGTAAATCTCAAGACACTTCTCAGGGCTGATGAGGTTGGCCTCGACGCCCCAAGAGTAAGCATATCCCCTTTTTCTCTTAAGCTCCTCCAGTCGTGCAGGTGTAGTAGCAATCTCTAGACCTCCAACCTGGTTGAAGGAGCCTAGTGACATGAGTTTCTCGACTGTGTAAGTGGCCATCTTTGTGAGGGTCTTTGATGTGTTTGTCTGGAATACCAGACCAGGGGCGTGAGATGTTGAGCCACCAGGCATGGCTAGAGGTCCTTGCTCGAGGACTGTGATATCAGTCCATCCTCTTTGGACCAACTCATCAGCAACGTTGACGCCGACGATTCCGGCGCCGATGATGAGAACGCGCGGTGAGGGTGCCATTTTTGTCTCTTCTCTTTTGTGTATTGAGGGAGATTAGAGTAGTATAGAGGCGAACAAGTGAAGAGAGAGTTGAGAGATGAGAGATGGGTTTCAAACACAATGGCTTCTATTGGCAAAGGTTCTAGTCTCGTTATATCTTTTCCATGAACCGCCCACGACTCCGCACTCTTGCTCCTCCGCACCGTCCTCGCACCGCGATCATCAACTCAAACTATCTCCGTCCTATGTCATGGTTACGATAAGGCAACTAACATGAGAGCCTCCGGTTGCGGAAGCGGTCACGTGATCGGGAGTTGGGAGATCTGGCGCCGTGATGGGAGGGCGTGCCGATATCACCAAGCCGGGCGCTTGCAGGTTGGGTAGGTAGGTATGTACGTTGTAATGCGGGGAGATAACGAACAGCAGATCAAAGGCGAAACTAAAAAGTCCAGAATGCTAAAGTTGGGTTATTATCGACCGGGCTTCAAGTGCCGACGACAAGTCGAGTTCCACACCAGGAGTCCGTGCCGAGATGATAGGACACGCGTGATAACGTAGCGAGTTACGACTACACACGCGGCTTTGCAGTGAACAGACCAAATATCCGTATGTGCAGGATGGGATAAACGAAACGGCCGCTATCGCAGGCAACAAAGCGCCCAATGCTTCTATCCTAATGCAGGACGCTCGGTTGGGGGATGTTACAGCTCATTGCAATGGCTGGGGACACGATGAATCAGCTGGACACGACAGTTGTCAGGGTCGACCATGCCACGGCTGGTATCTTTGAACCCTTGCAAGCCCCTTTAAACACCGTAAATTTCTAGTCATGGGACCTTTTGCGGCAGAGTCACATTTCACGATGCCTTCACTTAGACCTTTTTCAGGGTCTTTTTTCTTCCCTTATGGTTAGGGCCGAAATTGAGATCCCCTCCCTTGTAAGCTCTAGCCACCAATTTGATTGTGAAGGGTCTCATGCTGACTACATGGTATTTGAGCGGTGATGATTAGATTGCCATTAACCGTTTGGTTCGCATGTTGTCTGCTGTCAATCAGATGCCCTGCACACAGGCCTTTCGCCCCCATTCGCTTTGAGGTCCTTGTCAAAGATTAGCCCAAACGAGGTGTGGCATCCAGTTGATCTGTGTACGGGGAATTAACCGGCAATACACACAACACCCTTCTTTTGCTTCAAAAAGTACAGAGACAGGTGATCGACCAAAAGTCAATCTGTGAATTTAGTTTAGAAGGTGGTTGAAAAGTTGGAGTCCTCGGTTCTCGAGTTGCCGTACGACTCCAACCAAATGTCATACCGCGGGAGAGGCAAAGTTAAATCCCACCCGCAACAGTAGCTGAACTGATCAATTGAGTCTATTTTTATGCCAAGAAGTGGAATGCTTTTGGGTTCAGCCGAGCCTGCAGTCGGTAGAGCCGAGCAACGTCTAGAACAGCGGACAGATGTGCGAATTGCTCAAAATGGCATCGTGAATGGCTTCACATGGATAGCCACTGTACCTACGCCATGTCGTGGCACCCTACTGCACTGCGTTGCACTACAACGCATGCACTCTGTCTGTCTTGGGTGGTTTTGCTGTGGAGCGGTGAGGGTCAGGAACAGAAAGAGATGGGATGGCAGGGTCTCACGGGGAGAACAAGGTGAACGACTCACGAGGATGCCAAGATAAGACAGTGTGAAGGAAGTAAAAAGAAAAAAATCTAGACAGTCCAGCTGACCCGCCCCTTGTAAGCCAACCGCCTAATATTGCCAAGTCAAATTTCTCAGCCTCTCCAGTCAACCCCCCTCACTCTTACACTCTGTCTCCCGGTCTTCAGAACTAGGGGTACCCCGTTTTCCCCGGAAAATCAGAAAACACTTGACACATAGATTCTGAATAGCTTCGTGTTTACCCCAGATGGGGATTACGAACTGGTCTCCGCCTCCGCTTGGTCCGAGTTTGACATGACACATAGAAACCCAAACATGTCCAAGTGAAAGTTGGGGGAGGGGAATATTCTCTAGTCCAAGCGCCCACCAAGACCATTGAAACGCCTTCTGTAGGTAATACTGCAGTGTATCTAGAGTACAGTACTCCGTAGCTACGACCACGACTCGCCTGGGCTAGGGATGGACACATTGTGCATGTCTAGCGTCAATCTCCTCCATCTATCGCCCATCTTCAGGAGAACTTTCTTGTCTCTTTGTTTCCCCGCACATCACAACTTTCCAATCCTACAGGGGATTCTTTACCCCAGAAAGCCTCTAAACTTACAGTACGCAACTAAAAACGCTTCACTTTTTCGCTAAGCCAAGACCAAGCAAGGCGACTCCCCCGGTTTCGGATACCCCGGTCCTCCCCTCCCATCCCCTCCATATCGAGATGTTCATCGGAGAGCAGGGGCCAATTGTCCACAAGTCTTTGTTGTCTGTTTTCCGTTTTCCGGGGGAGGGACCTATTGCTCCGCAATCATGACTCTCTTGGAGTTGATCCAAGACGCACCTCGTTGTCATGGTGGAGAGTTTTCGCCCTGCTTCTGTGCAAGTTCCAGTAAAAGAAATGTGGATGTTTGGAGAGTCAGTAACCCATGACATGCATCCCGTCACTGAATAGGATATTGCAAGTCTCGTCATGCATGGAATAGCGGGAGAAGTATTGAGGAGGAATGAATCCCAGTTCTGTCCCTGGTCTTCTTTTCTTTTCCAAAACGCCTAGCACTAAGTAAAACAATTCTCTAAGCCTGTACAGTATTATTCCGCTAATATCCATTACCCCATTCTTTGCTTTCCTTCCTAAAAGTGATTAAACATGATATTACTAAAATTTTCGCCTTCCCACCAAGCGGGTCCTCGGTTGCTCTCGCTCATGGGAGGTTGCGGGTCGTCGCAGCCCATGTCAGCGATGTTGACAAATTGTGAAGAGTCGGCGTAGAGCCAAGGTGTTGTGCACAGCGTTAGGCTGTCCTCGACGGGAACTTCATCGTAGACTGTGTCGCGCGCCGAGTCTGGGCCTTGCGGCGAAGATAGAGGGGCCTTGTAGGACAGTGTAGGAGCTTCTTGACCACCATCAGCTGTGTTGATGGATATTTCAGGTGCGCTAGCGACAATAATCTCCAAGGTGACGTTCTCGTTGTCTCCCTCATTCATTGAGTTGGGCACCAGTGATTGGTTGAGGAGACCAGCTGTGGGAAGCTCTTGAGAGTCTGCCACTGTGTTGAACTGGAGAATCTTCCACATGAGGGGAACGCTAAGGTAGATCTTGGAGGGCATCCAGTCGTCCACCTCCATGCTGTCAGATGTGCCAGCGGCAATACGCGTCATCTTGTCAAGGTTGCGATCCTGAGAATTGTTAGTCCAAGTTCGCAAACTCAATTGAAGGATCAGAAATACATACTAATGCTCTGCAGGCAGCTGAAGTAGGCAAAAAGTTCTTGAGGAACCGCCTACACTTGGCAAAGTCGGCATTGGACTTGTGCTTTAGCCTGGTCGCAGCCGCGCAACAGTAGTACAGGTGCACCGTGGCCGCGATAGCAGCCACATGCCCGAAGAAAGGATCTGCGAGGGGCACTTGCTTGTCGACTACCATGTCGATCATTCGAACGATCCAGGTAGAGTGCAGCAGCGCGAGTTCGGAAGATCGTCTCCAAAAGGTGTTGGGGATGGCGAGGTTGGGGTTGTGCTGGGCTCCGACGATGTAGAGGAAAGGATGGTTGAGGACGGTGGGAATGACGTGGTATGTGAATTGCTCCTTGAGCCAAGGCGCCCAGTAATCGCGATGCATTTTCAAGTCTTCAACTTTGCGCTCGTAAAACTTGACAGTGTCGTAGCGATGGCACATGGGTATCCTGTTCTCCGTCTCCATAAAGTCGGCAAGCACCTTTGCGTACATCGAGTCATGTCTCCAGGGCTCTTTGATGTTGTTGTGCGCACAATCGGAAACATATTTTCTGACTTGACTCCAAACCCAGCCAAGGTGAACACTGGTATTCCAGATACCGGGTTCATTCTGGTGGTGGCAGCCAAGATCATCCCGAGGCAGAGTGGGAGCTCGGGGATCGTGCTCTGGTTGAGGACCTCTTGTTGTAGAGTAAGCAGGTCTCCAGATTTCTGTCGGGACGCTCAAAAGACCTTCTTGGCGACCATAAGATTGCTCAAGCATTTGTAGACTCCAAAACAGTCGCTTCTTGCGTTCTGTCATGGGGTCTCCAACGGCATAGAATGACTCGACGTCCAGCATTGCGGAACGACATAATTGATGGGCGAGACCGAGATGGAATTGACCCAGATGCACGTTTCCATCTACGAAGTGTTAGTTGCTGTGGCAGGTAGACTTTAAAAAGTATGACGTACCAATAAATGACGAGTAAGAAAGCAAACACAGACTCTCGAGCGTCGCAAGATCTACACTGCCATTTGCGATGCGCAGCATAATAAGACTCTTTGCATTGTTTGCGTACAACTTTGCCTGATCGGCATTATCGGAAAAGCGCAAAGTCAGAGCAAGAATACTGCATGCGAGCTCATCATGCATCGAGGCAAAGTCGCTGACCTCGTCTCTCTCAAAGCACCATATTGGCTGTCGATGGCAGTACTCAAAGTAGAGTGCAACCCCAACTGCGATGTCGGAAACGCTGGGTCGCAGCGACGAGTTTTCGGATTCGGACTTGACCGAGGGATGACTCGTGGGATAACTTGGTTCGCGTGTGTTTTGAAGGCCAGAGTATGACTTTTCAGAAGTGTCTGTCGTTTCTTGAGGGGATTCGAGTTGTGATTGTTGACGTTGGTTCTGGCTGTTTGGTTGTTGTTTTTGCGTAGACCTGTAAATTACAGGGCGTTAGCCACTGAAGCACCCTAAAACCATCACAGATGGGGAAAAGAGAGGGGAGAATAAAGGTCAAACATACAAATTACCGTTGAGTAAAAAGTCAAGTTTCTCTTCCAAATGCGCTAATCTCTCCTCCTAATAATTCATCGTTAAGATGCTTGCCATTTTGCTGTGTGCAAACCATGCACAACGTACCGAAGGACCGCTCTGAGAGGGCCTAATAGCCGGGGGATAAGAGCAAGACTGTTTGAGACGAACACAGCTTGAGCATTGTGGTTTCTCGCCAGGGCAACGAGTCTTTTTACGTCTGAGACGTGAAATATGTTAGTTTCAAAACAATCATTTTGGATAAACAGCAATCTTTTTACCTGCAAGTCAAACAGGCGTGATGCGATCTTCTTCGGCCGCGAGTGCTGGTAGTAGGATTGTTGGTGGTAGTGTTCTCCTCTGCTGGAGACATTGATGAGCGCGACATGTTTGTGCAAGTATGATGAGAGACGAGAGGAGAAAGATGATCAATAACACAGTCAAGCTAACAGAAAATATAAAAAAAAAGTAAGAGGCGTTGGAATGATAAACTGGTAAACCTTGTTCAGGGGCCCGCTTCCACTAAATACTTTGCTCTATACTCTGTACCTAGTGAACTTACAAACCCCGCACCGTCTACTGGTTCTGAAATGATAACGCGGGGTTTTAGCTAGTAGGTACAGTGCATGGACTGGTTCAGGTCAGTTCGTCTGCTGCAGTTTTAGAGAGGTTTAACGCTGCAAACTAAGACATTTGGTGCTAATGTGCAGTGCCGTACTTGGGTACTACAGTACAAGGGTCAAGGGTGAGAGGTGAGAGGTGAGAAAGAGGCCAAAGGGGGCGTGGATAGTCGAGATGGTGTCCAATTAATCTGGTCCCGAACAAAACGAGGCCCACCAGGGAGAAGCCAGAAAGAAGTTGAAGTGCCTTTCCATCCGTTCCGCACACGGCATCACATTGCATAGCATAACATTACTTTAGACGACAACTTTAGTTGCAGCTGCAGTATCTGAATGGATGGAACGGCAACGCTGAAACGTCTCGTGAACATGTAAGCATCGCTACCAGTTATCAGTTGACAACGTTTTACTTCATGGCTACACTCTACTCATTGACTCATGGCCACCGCAGAAAAATTAAAATAAAAACTCTTTCCCTTCTCACCGTGGAATTACCTATCTATCAACATCTAACAATGGTAGTGTATCTGTATCCATCTCCCAGTATCTCTCCCGCCCGCACCTTATCTGCTAACTACTGGATCACATTACATTCGCATTGACAATATTTTATTCCCTCCCCCCCCTGTTGCGCCCACCCTTCTATCAAACCTTCCAGAAATAACTCTTGTCTCTTCACCGAGATCACACCTTCCAAGCCTTCTTCTTTAACTTTGCCCGCCGATCACCGGAGATCCATCGGGTAGAGATAACGCAGAGAGCGACAAGTTGCAAAGATGATCTACTAGGCAAGCCCAAGCCAAGGGTACTAGATAAGAAGTGGAGATGAGGAGAACCCGACAAGGATGCAGTGGACTACAGAGATAAACTACGTAACTAAAAAATTAGTTCGTCTTGTCTTACTCCGACAACGCAGAGCGACAACAGTTCAGAACAACAGCAAAGACACATGCGTTCATCTTTTCTTGGCGAAGGAGATCAAGGCTGTGGTCTCCAAAGCGGGCAAACTCATGCAAGGTGAGCCAAGTTGGAGATTGTACTATGTAATAGTAAAAGAGAAATGTTCAATTCGTTCATTACGGTTCATCATTATGCTAAAACACCCAATCACACTGCTCTTATCCCTGGCAGCAGAGTCCATTCCTTGTCACTTCCCCGCAGCTCAGTTCCCCTCAGAGGACACAACCTTCCTCCAACGGTTACCACAATGCATCATTGTTCATTCCATGCTTTGTTCCATGCTTCCATGCTATGCTACTTACTATACTCTATTTTGATCTCTTGGCTTCTGCCCTTACAGCCTGGCGGCGGGATCCAAGAGATCCTTCAACTCCGAATTGGGGAACTCGCAGTTGTAGGCGCCGTCGGGACGCTCCCTGTCCCAAGCCCACTTCTCCTTGAGCTCGGGCTCCAGCTTGTCTTCCAGCATCTGCACCACGTACTTGCCCAGCACAGGGAAGAACTTGTACCCATGGAACGAGCCGCATGTGGCTACGTAGAGACCCTTGGCACCTGCGTGCGGAGAGATGATGAAGTCTCCACTGGAAGTGAAGGCGTCCCTGTTTCAGTGCGTTAGCCTACTCGGACCTTTCTCGTTGTCGTCAGTGCGGGGAGTTTGTGGGATACTACATACCAGCAGATACGGTGGTGCTCGTACTTCCAGTGGGCACCCTTGCTGCCAAAGAACAGACGGTTTTGCGTGTCAATGTCTTCTTTGAGACTGTTGGGCACCTTCCACTGTGCGTAGTCCTTCTCATCAGGCGGCGCAGAGACGTAGCGTCCTGGTAGCACTTGACGGGTGTTGCTGAAGATGTTCTTACCCCACCACTTGATCTCACGATCCTTTGTGGGTGGCAAGCTGCCAATAAATGGAGACTCTGTCACTGGTGTTAGCTATGTCGTTGCAAATATGTGTGCTGGGATACTCACTGTGCTTGTACGTGTAACCTTGGAAGCCAACAGGCATGTCCTTCATCCTGGCGAATGATTCGTCGTCGAGAGTGACCATACCGGTTGTGATACCAGCAGCTGTGATGCGATCGCCAGATCGCAGATCAGGCATATTGTGGCGCGCGGCGCTGTATTCCAGAAGCTTGGCTGTGTAGGCTCCGGTGGAGAGGATCACGGTATCGGCCGAGATGATCTCGCCCTTGGATGTCTGGATACCTGTGGCGCGGCCGTTCTCAATTTGCAGCGTAGCGACATCGGCAACGGTGTACTTGACGCCGAGCTTCATAGCCTCGCGGGTCACAGCACGCAGGGAGTCGCCTGCAGCACCCCAGCCACTGTTTCGGTTGACGAGGACTTCCTTGGCGCCCGTGTAGTCAGCCTCTTCGTACAGGCCGCCGTACAGCTTCTTGGCCTCCTCAATGGTGTAGATCTGAATGTCTGATTCGCGGCCCAGCTTCTTGTAGTTGTTGATGACGTCCTGGGCGTAGTCGCTGCGACACACCCAGAAAACACCAGCCTTGTGGAAGTGAGGCATCCAGAGGGGATCAGACTCAAAGATATCCTGAGCCTCTAGGGCGAGACGGCAGTAGAGGAGATCATCGTAGTCAGCACGAACGACCTTGTTCCAATCCCAAGACGCAGCTACGCGGTTGTCTCCGTCATAAGGGTCCCTGTCCACGATTGTGACCGAGGCATTGGGGTGCTTTTGAATGAGCTGGTAGGCCGTGGAGACGCCAAAGACGCCTGCTCCTACGATGAGATATGACTGAGATGCCATTGTAAAGATGGGTTATTATTGGTAGATTGGAGACTGTGGAGAAAGGGTCTTCCAATTGACCTGTACGACGACAAAGAAGAGTATAGATATGAGTTGGAATAACAATAACCTCCAGAAACAAGACGAATTGCTCAAGTTCACAAGGCCTTTTATCACCCCCGCGTTGGAGACGAAGCCGGTCTCGGTGGTCACCGTATTCCGGACGGCTCTCACCAAAAGCCATTTTCCGGACCATCGCTGGAATTCCGGCCTCAGACCCGGAGTCCGTGTGTGGAGAAGAGGAAATCCGATCACGTGAGGGGTGAGGGGAAATGAAGTTTTTTTTCCTGGGCAGGATTGTGAAGTCGTGATAACTTCATTTGAGATTGGCAAGATATCACCGTGAGATTGGGATCAAATGGGCTGTATGGAATGAACAGTTTTGAGAAGCAGGTCTTGAAGGTGTCTACAGTGCCGCATTGGCCAAGTAGCGCAACCGTCTAGACTGAGGTCATCTCCGTCTCCTCCCTCCATCTCTGTCTATTTGTCCCCAGAGTAGGCCAAGTCATCAGGCCAACCACACCAAGGCATGCATACGCAGACGTAGGTCTTATCCAGCGATTATCTCACCGTGACCATAATGACTATGACTATGACCGAGTGTGAAGCTATCCACAAGGCGTTGCTCCAACCTTCCTCCAACCCTCATGTACGAGTTGCCCTCCTAATCCCACATCGGGGAAAGTCTTATCTCAATTCTGAATCATCTCTACCCTCGTTGGATCCTCCCCCGCATTTTACTGTCTTCCCTTCTTCATCGGTATGCATGGCGGCTAGCCGGAGATCATTGATATCACTTAGCCTTAGCAAAAAAGGAATCCTTTCTCCGCACTCATACAACGTAGATAACGCGTAGCCCATGCTACCGGTCTGGGTCTAGCTTCATGCACAATTTGCGTTCCGCCAACCGTAATTGGTATCGAACAAAAGACAGGGATGAGGTCTCCAGATGCGAGATGGCCAAGGCTTATCTTGGCTCACCTCCCAATGCCTCACACCATCCACCAACGTGCCTGCAACACGGCTTCCAAAATTTCCAAGACCGGCCAAGCATGCAGAAACTAGCCTAGACAATCTGGTTCTGTCAGAATACCGACTCCGCTTCCTGCTTATCTTGATTCAGCATTGTAGTCTCGTCCCACTTCCCCATGACAAGGCATCAGAGGTCCATCATGGTCGAGGCGTTGGTGGGCGTGGCAATGCCGGCACTCGTCATCCTACCCCAGAAGGCTCCAACCTGGTCCTTGCGTTCCTAGCGCTACTCTTATCCTATCATTTGACCATCGAGATTTCAAGGGATAGAAACCATCGTGATGCAATGTGATACGCCCACGCGGTTTCCCATACCAGGTTGTGTCCGGCTTCACCTTGGATGTGTCTGTTATCTATCTACAACCCCGGAGTGAACGCCGTGTATCGGCTTCGCTTCCAAGAATGTTCTCCTACATGTATCAAGTTGAGACAAGGGTTTGATGGCAATGATGCCTTCCAGAAGATTTATGCACAACGGCTGCGTAGAATGTTGGAATATTACCGACTTCGGTCTGTTCTAAGATCTTGTTTGCGTTCCTTATCTTGGCTACGCGGTTCGGTAGTGTGCAGAATGCTCCGTCAGACGGCTACCTGCAGATCGTTCACGAAATGACACGGCCAAGGAAGATATGTCTATCTTCCAAAACTTGTTCTATGCCAGACAGGTCAATCGCTCAGTTCCTTGCAGTTTCTAGTGAGATTCTTTTAACCTACGTAGTTAGGAAGGAGAGCAACATGCTCTATTGATGGCTCAAACCGAATGCTTGTTCCAGGGTAGGGAAATGCGATGATCAGCCTGAGGCTCATTTTATATCATCCTTGCAGTAGTGAAGATTGATACGCGTCTTCAAAGCAGTGATGTACAAGGTAGTAGTTTGGGGTCTCTTTGCTGTAATTCTTCGAGTGAATCTGAACACTTTGAACAATATACAATAGTTGTGATGTTAACTTTTAGAAAAAGATGTGATAGATGCAGGTATACCTTCGTTGACAGCATGACGGTCAGGGCAGAGCTCTTGAAGAGCCTTTGATAAGAATTGAAACAAAAGAAGCTATTATTCGGAGAGCACCCAGATTATTGAACGACTCTGATGTCACTTGCGTATAGAAAACGAACGATACAAAATACTTTGTCATACGATACCACATGCATTATTGATTTTTAATGAGTTATCGTGGATGTGCTCTTGCATATTAAACTCAAGGTTCGCTGTTGTAGTTGACACTTAATCTCGCTATTCATTCCTTCTCAACAAGCTTCGCACAATCTCACAGCTCACAATATCAGCTCCAGCATTTTCATCAGGTAAACGAAATATCGACAACAAGTGCCAGACAAAGATTGTTCATGGTCTAGGGCTCCCTTGACTCCCCCACGGGGAGAATGGAGCGGCAACCCCATACACGAGCCATCGGTTGATCTTACCTTTGCTACTTCTTGACTCCGCGATGGAGCCATAATGGAGTCGCGAATCCAATATTTTCTGGAGTATGGTAATCAGTCCAGACCTTTTACGTCTAGTTACCCCAAATTAAGCGCTCGCTCGGCCACCAAGACCCCGGACTCACCGGCACGGACCAGTAGTCTTACTGTATCTATATAGGCGGCTGCGCGTCTTGACTTGCATTACCGACCATTGCAACTCTCGCCTAAAGTTGCTGTTGGTCGATAATGCCTCGTTTCGTCCTCGCCGGGCTCGTTTCAGGGGCTAATCTATACCTGGCTATCTACACTATCTTCGAATAATTTGCCTCTGGCAACGGCATTATCGATTCCTTTCGGTCACGTACCAAAAACTCACGATCGCTAAGTCAATTTCAATGTGGGTTCACATTCGTTTCGACTCGCCTGCATTCGAAGCAACTTCGCATATTGTTGCTGCAATTGAGATATTGTTACGAAATCGCCTGGTCCGAATGACCATTGAGGCGGTGACTGCGCCGGCATTTGAATTCCATCACGAAGAGGCAATGGGAACTTCAGTGTTCCGTCACCCAATTAGGTGCACAAGATACTTGGGGTACTTGCACCGGACTTTCTATTCTCAGTCTTCCGCATTTTTTCTAGAAGCTGCAGTGACAGAACAACGGCGATAACTTTATCAGTACTGGGCTATGGGAGCAAGTTGAACCGAGTTACTCCAATTCTTTTCTGCCCCTGATAAGGAACTGCCGGATTTCTAGAAAGTCATGATCTTCAGTGTAGATAGAGTAGAGAGTCAAGGTCTGTGTTTCGGTTCAAGTCTGGGTATCTGCAGGTCCGGAACGGTCCATTGCAACATCACAACACAACAAACGTGGGGGAACATGTCACGAAGCAGAGTGTCTGGTAGCTTAGAGCAGGAACAGACCCCTACTCAAGACTCGTAAGAACCGTCATCTATGACTCTGGGAGGGTCTAATTGAGGCCGGACATGGCTTGTTCAGAGGGGGTGCGACAATGCTAGCCGGGCCCCAAAGATAGCCTCTCCGATCATGTGACCGGTTGTCGACACCGGAGCAAGATGGCCACCTGATTGCAAGCAACAACTCAATCTATCGATATGGACGGCATCAGGTATCAGGTGGCAAGGGGTGTTCAGATTGACGATGGGTAAGGCCACGCCCTTTGGTATTCTTAGTATCAGATTTGGCAGATGTGAAAGAAGTATTTAGAAGACGTCTAGTTCCAGCCTCAAACAGAAATTATCATCACCAACAAACACTCTTCTACACTCACAACAACAACTACTACAACAAGTTTTATATAAGACTTTACAAGTCCCTTATCTCTCTGGATTTACTTACTCATCTCATCCTCAAGAGCATCAACTACCACTTCTTCTCTCTTACACACAAACACAAACACAATGGCTCAATCATTCTTGAAACGATGCTTTGGCCTCGGTGGCGCCTCTGCTGCTCCCACTACCTGCTCTACCACCCCTGAGAAGTCTGCTGTCCGCGCCCTTCCCGCTTCATGGTACACATCAGTTGAGATGTACGAGCTTGAGAAGCGTGCTATCTTCTCCAAGAAGTGGCTTCTCACCACACACCAGGCTCGTCTCCGCAAGGCTGGCGACTGGCTCAAGTATGAGATCGCCAACTTCGAGCTTGTCATTGCAAAGGACGAGGACGGAAACATCAACGCCTTCCACAACATTACCCGATTCGGTGCCTTCCCCATCGTCGCTCCCGAGCAGGGTGACCACGGTGATGCCAGCACTGGCTTTGACCAGAAGCAGAATGGTCTTCTCCCCATCCACGTCAAGGTTGATGCTCGCGGCTTCATCTGGATTAACATGGACGGCGCCAAGGTTCCCGAGGTCGCCTGGGAGGATGACTTTGACAACCTTGACACCCATGAGCGCTTCTCCTACTACAACTTTGAGGACTACAACTTCGACCACGTCTGGGAGATGGAGGGTGACTACAACTGGAAGATCCTTGCCGACAACTACAACGAATGCTACCACTGCAAGGTCGCTCACCCTGATATCCCCACCATTGCCGACCTCAACTCTTACTGGGTCGAGACTCAGAAGCAGTACATCCAGCACTTTGGTGCTCAGCGACAGGATCAGATTGACCGTGGCTTCCGCATTGCTGTCACATACTACCTCCCCAATGCTTCCACCAACATCTCTCCTCACTTCTTCATGATCCAGCGCTTCGTTCCCCACAGCCCTACCCGCTCTACCATGCGCTACGAGTTCTTCCGCAACAAGAACTCCAGCGATGATGACTTCACCCTCATCACTGAGCTCTACAAGCGTGTCATGTCCGAGGACAAGTACCTCTGCGCCAATGCCCAGAAGAACGTCAACGCCGGCGTCTTCATCAACGGCGAGATGCACCCCGAGATGGAGCAGGGTCCTCTCTTCTTCCAGCAGAACGTCCGCGCCGCTCTCCAAGAGCACCACAAGAAGGAGCAGGAGGCTGGCAAGGAGATCTGGCCCGCTCAGCAGGAGGTTCCCACAACAACCATCAACACCAAGATCAATGGTCAAGCCAACTACTCATCCGGAATTGACTTGAGGCCAGCCAAGAAGACCATTGTTGTCTAGACTTTTGGACATTTCTTGATGATGATTTACTGATTTCTCTTTGCTTCGGAGGATTTTGCAAGACAAAAGCGAGTTTCATGTTTTTTACTACTATAAGATTGCATTTGCTTTACTTTACGACAGATTATGACTTTAGCAGATGCCTAATTAGTTTACTATAGCATCCTGCATACATCTCTAGACAAATTGAGAACTACACTTTAGAAACACTTGACTTTTCCATTGCCCATCGTGACTTGATCTGGTGATATCTGCAGGAGATTTTGGAGAAGCGGTGAGATCTCGGTGAAGAGATAACCAGCTTTGGACTTCACCTTAGTATGCACATCAGATGATAAGACTAGCACAACCAGCAGGCGAGGCTGAAACGGACCGGGATACCGAGCTGTGTGTTATGATAAGCCGGTACCCGATCGACATGGTGCAGAGTCTACTAGGCTGGACAAGAATGTCCTGGGGTCATATCACCGAAAGCTTAAATCGAGATTGTCTTGGATGGGCTCGCTTGGCCTTGGGGTACTGATAACCCCCCCTCCAGGGCACGAGACAGGCCAATCAGTCTACATCCTCGCACTGCACGAACCCCAAATTCGTGTTTGGAATGATTGTCTCTTTGTTGTGTGTAGCGCTAACCATGCGGCATTTGTTGGACTATTGCCCTCCAAAGAAAGGACACACACAAGAATTTCTGTCTATAGCTGATCAGGCTCGAAGCCAAGGTTTGTGACACTCGATACCGGTTAAGGTGGCACACCATTAGACAATGATCGAGCGTTGTTCAGGTCCTAGTCATGAGGGTGCCTCCAGATGGAGAGGGTAACAATAAATGCGACATTCGTTACGTCGTTAATTCAGCCTCTCTGCGTCATGTATTGAAGTCAACTTTCTGTCATTGTTGCACAGCGACATCGCAACATCTTACGGAACCTGATCTAGAGATCAATTAGCTCCATTTATTACCAAGTGAGTTGCCGGTGTGCGATAGTATGGCGGGATCCCCGATCGCCGTTCTCAATCCAGCCACCAAATATGAAAAATAACACAGCGATTTGAGTTTTGGAGGGAGACGACAAGCGTGGCTTTGGATGCTCACAACCTTTACGTCTGTAAAACATCATCGTCAATACATTAATGGCGACGAGATATCCACCAAAATTCTGATATCCTCCTCTAGAAGTGTAATGTCTTGCATCACATGACCAAAATTTTGGCAATCTGGATGCAAGCTGTGATGGATATCCACCGCAGTTCCTGAATTGGATAGCAAGGTAGAATGACCAAACCGACCTGGGTGAAAGTAGCAGCCTTTCTCATAAGAGAAGAAATACATAGACTGGAGTCTCGAAGGGTTAGTGATAAGCGAGTGGGAGTTTCTGCATGGCACATGACAGAAATCAAGCATTGCCAACGAGGTCGACAACCAGATCAGTATCGGTGATCAGAGTCCGCCGCACTTACACTTGGTTGCCGCCACGGCATCATACAGGCATCGTGAGTATGCTTATCAGCCTTGTGAAATTTGGACTAGCTTTCGCTGCCAGGAGCAGTTCGGTTGTCTTTTAGTGCCTCATTACAGTCATCTCCACCCATTTTGTGAATTAGCCAGGCACTATAGGTTGCAGTGACGATGCGAGGAATTGGAGGTGCAAGGCAGCAAATGCCATGAAGATTCAGCTCCCGTTTAGACTGAGTCTGACTGTTCTGGGAGGGACAGTAACACTTACCGTTTGAGTAGTCATTACCTCGTCCATTCAAACAACTCGCTTGCACATATGACACGCCACTTCGGCATAGATCGATGAAGAAAAGTCAAATCCTGATGTTCACATAAATCTTGTTGTTTAGATGTTGGGAGACTCTGGTGATATCGTGTTTGGGTCTTGGTGTCAATAACCTCTCTTCTTTTGGCGACCTTCATTAGGACTCAGTGCCATAGTATCGCAATCTCCAAGTTTGTCTAATACGGTTGGGTTTTCTTGAAATGCTGGTACAATACATAGCATCCACGTGCCGGATTAAACCACCTTCAGAACACACCCTCTTATTAGACTCCGTCTACGTCGTTTTCACTACACGAATATGCTTCAGCTAATACCTTGAGCCAATGTCTAAAACCCTGCTCTTAGACGGCAGAAGAACAGTCCTAGCTATCAGGTTGTTTCTTTTGAAATCATATTCAGTCATGTGTATGAAATAGCTTTTACATATGTTTATCTATATGTGAATCTTCTGGATCACCTGAAGCTGTTCATTCTCACGCGGCACAATGGACATAATAATTCTGGTTCTTAGAGAGTTAGGGCTTTCAATTACAACTTGAACGGTATCCCTCATGATTTTTAGAATCAATGTTTTAGGGATAAATGGTGTGTATTCAACCAAGCTTGATCAGTGGTAAGAGTTATTTCCAAAAACCACTCGCTGCTAGCACCTGCCAGGTTGCTCAAAATATTGCGCATTTTGTAAGAGAGAAGTGCACGCCATGCCCATACTTGAGAAACATTGTACTATAAGGATAGAAAATCCGGAATAAATAATCTCACATATACGAAAGCCCAGCGGTTGTTTAGACCACTAAAGAAGCTCATCCAAGGTTGTGATACATGTGGAGAACCCCGGATTGGTCGCTTCAGTATATCTTGGACGAGGCTTGATAATGTGGCTGGGCAGAGCAAGCTGAAACATAGTGTGTCAAGAAAAGGGTTGGTGTGTTAACAAGGATGTTGTGTTCGTGTTTTTTCTTCTGCCATTGTCTAAAATTGGATAATTACTAAGGCGACGGCGCCACTCATGGACGCGCTCACAGGCCATTCAGCCACGTAATTCGTTCAACCTCGGCCAACCTCTCATCACATCTCACCTCAAATCATCACATCACATCATATCATCTTCGAATCCAACCTCTTCTCTTACAGAAGGGATGAAGCGCCATCTAAACGTGTAGAAACTCCTCCATTAACATCCACTCGCTCAATCTTGTTCCGTCCGGTCGCGTGATGAAGCTGCGCTGTCGCGACCGCAAATTTTAGTCTCACCCCTGAAGGGAGAGAAACCCTTACGAAATGCCTCAGAACATCCGACGCGTGGCCGTCATTGGAGCCGGTCCAGCCGGTGCCATTGCGACAGACGCTCTTGTCAAAGAAGAAGCTTTTGATACAATTCGCGTCTTTGATCGCAGAATCGTAGTCGGAGGAACATGGTACGATACCACTCTATCTCTCTCCTTTCTGATAGCAGTTCTGAAATTGAGTTTCTAAAGGGTCTACACACCACATCTACCACCTAAAGTCCCCTCGCTGGAGGCTCTGGTCGCTGGAGAAGCGGATCAACGTATTCCTATTCCAGAATATCTACCAGCCGTGACTCCATTCAATGAGAAAGTCAATAGCCATCAGCACAGGTACTCAGACACGCCAATTCATGAAAATCTGCATAGCAACATCGCACCTGAGATTATGGGCTACACTGAAGAGCCTCTACCGAACAAATTATCACAGCAGACGCTGAAAGAATATGGGCCAGGTGCTCCATTTCGGCATCACACCGTTGTTCGCCAGTGGGTTGAAGACATCTTTATTCGCGGCGACCATGACAAGCTGCTCGAACTCAGAACGACGGTGGAGCTCGTTGTCAAAGAGGGAGATGAATGGGTGATAACTCTGCGAAAGGTTGTCAACGGAAGCAATTACTGGTGGAAGGAGAGGTTTGATGCTGTGGTTGTTGCCTCAGGCCACTACAACGTGCCCTGGTTTCCTGTGGTTCAAGGATTCCTAGAATACAACCAGAGATTCCCTGGTGCAATTCTTCACAGTAAGCACTTCAGAGGAGGCCGACACTACAAAGGAAAGGTACGTTACAATCCCCATCTGTCCACAATATTCCACTCAGTTCATACTGACAGTTAGCAGCGTGTTATCGTCGTTGGAGCTTCAGTGTCCTCCGTCGAGGTAATGTACGAGATCCTAGACTTTATAGACGGCCCAGTCTACGCTTCTGTACGAGACGAGCCCATCGAGTACTACGGATGGGTGCCTTTGGAACATCCAAAGATCTCCGTCAAACCAGCCATCGATCGTCTGGACCCAAGGACTGGCCGTGTCTATTTCACAGATGGGTCTTTTCTCGACGACGTAGACCACATCATCTACGGAACAGGCTACACGTTCAGTTTTCCATTTCTCCCTGCTGTTCAGGAGCGCGTTAAGAATGCTTATCGACGATTACCTGGAGTGTATCAACACACTTGGGATATGGAGGATCCAACATTGACTTTCGTTGGAATGGTGAGTTTTCACCGTCATTGTACAGCGTAACGGCCTAGCTAACTTTTGCAGATCGGAAGTTTCACCTTCAAAGCATACGAATGGCAAGCTGTTGCCGTCGCTCGTTTCCTGGCTGGCCGCTCCAAGCCCCTTCCACCAATCGAGGACCAGCGAGAATGGGAGCGCAAACGCGTGTTGGAGAGACGAGGAGGCAAATCATATTACAGCATTGGCCCTGACTATCAAGGGTTCTTCGAATGGTTCAGGGATATTGCAGGAGAACCTGTCAAGGGCACAACAGGACGTTATCTGCCCCCTTTCGAAGCACGTTGGTTAGTCATCTGGGGCAGCATGTTTCTTCCCAAGTTGGACCGTTGGAGATGGAAGAGGAAAGAGGCTGAATGGAAGCAAGAGTTCAAGGCCAAGCTTTCCAGGATATAATGATGGGTGTGCTGATATTCGTATATACGCTTGCTCATAGACCTTGCATTGGGCGGGACTTTTCGAGTAGATTTAAAACAACAGGACAGGACTAATAAGTAATGCAAGCCTCATATCACACGATTTACAATAGCCTGGATATGTGCTTATTAGAATTGCAACAAAACTACCCATTACCGTTCCAAATACGCTACGAGTCTGAAGCCCACATATGACTTGACTGACAAGATGGGAAAGGCGAGACAAGAATCTGATATATATAATATGTATTAGATTAGAACCTAGACACAATATACCTATGTAGTAACGCCGCTCGATATGTAGAGTTCGTGAAACGCCGAATATTGACACAAACCCCATGAGATTCAACCCACAACATCCATTCCCAGAAACGGCAACCCATGCCAAAGGCAGGTAGAAAAAAAGAAGTAGACAAACCAAGTTTCGCCGTGTAACCTATGAGTGTAGTAATAAAAAGTTCATAAGACATTTCTTCCCCCAAAAAGCAAAAACTTTCTATTGCTCCAGGCTTTTATCGCCTTGCAATGCAGCACATAATACCAGTTCGTCCAATGAACCAGAGGAAACCAATGAAGCGGACAATAGACAGCACACCTGTCGAGTAGAGGAGGAAACGGAAATACATGGGTGTACGGACGTCTGCGGCTTTCTGAAAGGAATGGGTTAGCATGCTGTTGGAACTATAGAACAAGGGGAAGATAACTTACAGAGACACCGAGAGTGATAAAATCGTCTGTTGTGACAAAGACAATGAGAACAATGTTGCACAGCAACCAAAGAATAACAAGACCAGTTCGGAAAGACTTGTATGAATCTTCAACGTCCTTCTTCTCGGGCTGTTCTTCCATCATTTCGCTCATTGGTGCGAGGGCTCGCCAAACGACCTTTTCAAACTTGCTGTCGATATCCTCCTGCTCCTGCTCGATTTCTTCCACAACGGCTTCCTTGCCCTTTTCATCCTTGACAATGTTGGCAGAGGGCAGAGCTTCGGCAGCATCGGAACCCTTTGTTCCCCAGGACACATCGTGCCAGTTGTTGAAGGCATAAACCATCAGGATGTTGATGTAGGTTGACATGAGGACAAGATATTGAGGGAAGGAGTGGAACATGTGCCACGGATCTAGGTAGAGGAAGGACGCGATGTAGTTGAGACCGTAGATAGTGATCAAGGCGATGATGATCAGACCTGCGACACCAGTATCGCCTCCGAAGAAACTATCGAAGAAGGCTTGCCCGGACGCGAATGAGATCTGGTCTTCAATGGGCGTTCCAGTGAAGGCTCGGTACACGAGATAGCCAGTCAAGACCAAAAGATACAACTGGATCAAGCCGAAAACCATGAAGGAGAGGACGTAAGTGTACTGAGCACCCTTTGGTCTGTTTCCAAGAGCGAGGACGAATTGCAGGACGAGGAAAGCGATGTAAATATATTTGATCAGAACATTGACAATTGGCGTAGCCATATCGCCAAACGGCCAGCCATGGTACCCGGATAGAACCTGTGGCGTTCCGACAAGCTTCATGATAATCGTGGTAGTGAGATAGAAAGCAGCGAGCGAGAACCAACTGAACAGCACGTTGAGTAAGTTGTACACGAACTGGATGTGGAGGAAAAAGAGTCGGACAACGTTATGGCCAGAGCCATACATTCGTCCGAAATGCATAAGAGAATAGAGAGACATGGCGAAAGATCCGTTAAGCCATCGACGTCGCTGGCCAATAAACTCAGATGCGCCTTCAGGCACATCGGTCTCGCCCTTGGATGCCTTGATGTAGCTCAGATGCCATTTTTGACTCGCCTTTGCGACCAATTCGAAGCAGAGAATTCGGTCCTCGGCAAGGAACATGTTCTTCTTGAAGATGTTCATTCCGTCAATACCCTTCTTGCCTAGAGTTTTGGAGAGCGTGTGGTCGCCGTGGAAGTACTGCTCCAATGGTCGTCCCATAATGGCACGGAAGCGGTACGCTGAAAACGCACCAGGCAGGACACTGACGTATCCGAACGCACTTTCCAGAGGCTTATCGAGCACATTGGAAATTTTGTACTCGAAGTTCTGTACCGCGACAAGCGGGTTGAGAAGCATCTTTCCACCCTTGCCTAACATGACGTGGATCTCACCACAAGCACCGCCGAGGTCACGATCGTTATAGAAGCCTTCCCAGAGAGACAACAGGGCGCGCGGGCCAGGTTTTGTTCCGGCGTCGATGAGGATGGCGACTTCTGGGTTTAGAATGCGACCAAAGGCGTTGAACAGCCAGCGATGCGAATTGATCTTCTTGCTGTTCTTTTGCTTAAGACAGAAAATGAACTGCACGGGGGGCAGATTGCGATGCGGCTTGTCGGGGTCAGGACGGACAAGCTGTTGATCGGGCGTCACGGAGATTTGACTGGTGTACTCGAAAATATGGGCGACAGTTTCCTTGCCATTGACGTCCTTTTTGAGAACGCCGTCCTGATAGACACCAACAGTGGCGAGGACGTCAAAGACATTCTTGTCAACTTTATCGAGACCATCGAAGACGAGACAGACGACGATTTTCTGCCAGGCTGGACCTCCCTTGTTCCAGAATTTGGATCGCTTCAGGTTCACAATGTCCTGAATGTTCTTCATTGTGTAGTGTAGGGTTCGGGCGAGAAGCACCTTGTCTTCGTTGTAATAGGTGATTGCGATGAGGAGTTCGGTATGACGGTTATACATTCGCGGGCGGAGGTTGAAACCGTTGCGCAGGGTGAAGTCGTTCGGATCGCAGGTAGCAGCTGTGTAGCGCATCTTTGTGAATTCCTCCTCCATGCTTCCAGGACCGTTGCGATACCTGGGCTCGATGGCGTTCTTGACGGCGCTGGGGACGGGGTAGTCGATACTGAGGACGGAGCCCTGGACAAGCTTGACCTTGCGAGTCTTTGAGCGACCGAGGCCACCAGGTCCAAGTTGTGCTTGCTGCTGGCGCATCATCCAGCTCTCGTCAACGTCGAATTCCTGGTAAGTCGAATCTGGGCGGCCGTGGGCAAATTCAGGCGAAACAGACAGTGTCTCCCCATTCTGACCCCATTCCTGCATCGTAGGTGTACGATGCACGACAGAAAGGCGTGATTCAGCCAGGCGGGAGGCTTCGACATCGTACTCAGGTTCTGGGTACTCGTAACCCGGCGAGCCAGGCAACCGACCGTGCTGGTCAGGAGGATAATGACCGAAAGCGCCAACTCCATAGGCACTGTTGTGGCCGAGGCTGCCCTGGTCGAAGCTGGCCTGACCTATACTGCCATGGTAAGAGCTGTGTAGAAGATCGCGGCTCGACTCGTTTTGTTCGGGGACAGGGCGCTGTGCGCCCAGCATGGGCGGGGGAGATAATTGTTCATAATCGGGTTCGTATGGGTTGCTCACGGGCGATCGGTTTGAGGCGTTTGCGTCGTCAGATTCGCGAAAGTGGTACTGGAAGGAAAAGAAAGGTCAAGTTAGAAACGGTGGTTGTAATTGTTTTGCGACAGGTTCCAGTGAGGCTGGTGCTGGCGCTGGCGTAGCTGCCCTGTAAGGTCGCTATTGCAGTTGCCAACTGTTGGAGGCTGAAGGGGCTAAAGCTTACTGCTTGGCCAGCAGGTAGATCTTGCATCTCGCGTGGCGCATCATAGTTGGGGCCATTTCTTTGGCCATTTTCGTTGAAGACCATATTTGTTTTAAAACGCTCCTTTATAACTTTGTGCTCGCAGTTGGGAATGCTTCAACTGTTATATCAATCGGTCGCTTAACACTGTTGATGATGACATGCGATTTCTCGGTTCTCGATAAGATCAGATCACTCGGGAGTGCCGGGCAAAAGAAAAAGGTGATGCAATGGAATGGAACGAACCGCCAAAAGAAGAGAATTAAACGAAGGACAAAGATATGGGAAGAAACCTTGATCTTTGGCAGAGCCTTTTCTTTATTATTCTTTTTAGAGAAAATACTGAAACAAAAAGAACAACGTTGCAACTGGCTGTTAAGGAAAAGAGAGAGAGAAGAAAAAGATCAGGCGAAAAATTGGACCGAAGCTTCAAAGGATTGTGGGCTGGTGCGTGCTTGTGCTTGTGCTTGTACTACAGTCCAAAGAATCAGGTACAATACGGTACGGTAGGTACTTGTTTTCTTGGTGCCCTATTTCTTTGCTTGTTCCATTCATCGCATCGAAGCAAAGCCAGCACAGTAAGAGAAAAACTAAAAACTGGGGATAGTATCCTCCTTGGTCAAAGATCAACCATCGCCGCGTAACTAGCGGCTCCATATTATGCCAGCTCAGGGCGGTTTGGTTGGTGTGGGAGTGACGTAGGTATGTCGATTCTTGCTGTCAGACAACCAAAAGCCAAAGAGAGGGAAAGGGTTGCTATTTTTGGGGTCGAGAAAGGGACAAGCCTCGTATACACGCAATTCTTGCTGCTCGTACCCAGAGTCAAATCATGGGAACAATACACTGTAGCATTAGACCAATATCACAGCGCATTATTTGGCTGTTGATGGCAGATGACGGTGGCTGACCATGCCATTAACATCAGTCAACGGGCCGTTACGTCAGGAAGACAGGGCGTTGGCCTAGATTAATTTTAGAGAGAATGAGATGTTACAAGTAAAGGCATTATACTGATGTGGCCCCACGTCTCTAGGTACCATCGGATCAGGCCAGACAAGGTCAGGTCAGGAACAAGTACAGTATCAGTAGCCCACAGTATTTACAGTACAATAAACACCCCACGTTAGTAGTCACTTGCATCGAATTGCACAAAAATAGATCAACAAAAACTCAAATGGAGTCTACCACGGACTACGTGGGTTATCCATTATGCACACAGATTGAGTAGAGTAGATCAACGTTACCCCAGGATCAACCCTCTTTTTCTTTTACTCTCTATCTTTCTTCTCAATGCCTTTGTACACACTGCCGCCAAGACAGCTATAGGTACCAAGTAACCCTCCCATGTCAAGTCCAGCTTTAGTGCCCTGACGCCATCGCATTTCCTGATTTTTCCCCTGCATGCAATTTTGCATTTGGCATAAACACGAGAAACATGGGAAAACAAGGAAAGTCGTAGAAATAAAACGAAGCCGAATGTAACTTTGCTTAAATCTTTGTTCTCCAACCATCACACATAGAACTCTAAAACAAGACAAAAGGTAGAAAACCTCGCAATATGCCATCCATCCGTCCATAATGACGCCAGTTCCATCCACCACCTCGGAGCATTCATTTTTCTCTCTAGGCGCTACCGAAACCACTAGCTCAGGTATGGAGGGGCACTACAAACGAAAACGCGACACATTTTGCTAAAAGGCAATTAACTCTAGGTCAGCCCGTTACAACTCTTCCATCGTCTAGTTCCGTCTGGTGTTTTTGCTAACGGCGTTGACGCGGAAATATTTACTTGGGACGATCCCTGATAATATCGCACGGCTCACATTGCGATGACCCATGGAAATGTCAGCCTTAACCAGGTTTCACCAGACATACTAAGAACTCGGCGCAAATCGTAAAACAGTGCTAGTATGGATAATAAATTAATAGTAAGCTGCTAAGACCACTTTTATATGCGTTGTTTATTTACTGTACTTCGCCAGGGCGAACAGACAGTGGATTAGCAACCAGGCATCGAGTTGTCCTCGTTGTCACGTGAAATCTATCAGGTACTGTGCTTCAGCTGCTGCCGGTTCCCATCGGGATATCTTCAGCTCACGATCCATGCAGCAAGCCTGGAACGAGGACATGCAGCCCAAACGTCAAGTGGCTCATCCATCCAGTGGCAGGCAAATCAAATATCCTCTCTCCGATAGCCTCAAGTAGAGAAAGACCATGACATTCAGTTTCGTACTACATAAATGCAACACAAGCCAAAACCTTGATGGACTCATTAATCTTTGGTACGATCATGTAACACAACACAGTCATTAAACCCCGAACCATTGACGAACCAGACACAACCGACCAAGAAAAATACCTCATGGTGAAACTCCAGAGAATGCTACTCTGAGCCACCTACGTTCATACAGAGCGCCAGATAAATCATTCCAGACAGAAAACCCAGTAGACAAATGACCGACGGCCAATTAGTCGTCCGTTTCCTTACAAGCCTTCTTAAATTCCTTCAAAATCGCCTAGGGCTAGTTAGCGACACTTCACCAAAAGTAGAGAACAACTCACATCGAAATCCTGATCCGCCATACACATAAACGCCTTCGTCTTGTCAAGCTTGAGCTTCCCAACACGAGGGCTCTTGATACCAAATGCGATCCTTGCCAGGAACCGCGCGTCATCACGAACATCCGTCGCTGCGAGCACCTGGTTAATCGCAGCCCTGTCGACCTTTTTCGGTGATGCAGGTGGCAGTGCAACGCGTTGGCCTTGATAGCAAAACGTGCAGTGGCCGCACTTCTTAGCGTTGGAGGGAAGATCCATGCCAAAGTGCTGCGCAAGTGAGAGACCAAAGCACTTAGGGGACGTGACAAAGTCAATAACTTCTTTAAGACGCTCCAGAGCTTGTTTCTCACGCCTCTTAAGGTCTTCGTAGAGCTCGTCCGTCAATTTGTCGATTGCGGCGTCGGTCTTGGGTAGCTTGGCTAGGACCTTGTACTTTTGTTCCACGCCACCAACTGTGAGGATAATGGCGCCGTTGTTGTTCAGGTCATTGAGGAGGTTAACGAGGTCATTCCGTCGCAACCCCTCTTTATTGGCTACTGCTGTCAGGTCGATAGAATGGAACTTCTTGGCCTTCTTTGCATGTTGAAGAATGGCTTTGCTCTCGGGTGAGTTGATAACCTTGAGACGAGGGTAGTAACTTGAGGTTGCTTCGAATTTGTATGAGCTGTACTCTGGCGTCGTGGCACGAATGAGATTGAACTTCAATTCCAACGCTGCGTAGATCACGCTGAGAGGACTGATACGGATGTCGAACTTCGTAGACTGGACATGGTGGCTGACCTTGAAAGTCTCGCCTTGGTGAAGCTTGACCACATCACCGTCAAAAATGTCCTTGAGAAGATCTCGTAGGGAGTTTCGTGAGGGAAGGTCACCACGGGCAAAGTTTTCGCGGATCCAAAAATCTTCGCGGCAGAGGTACAGCATACAGTAGCTCTGTTTGCCATCACGACCAGCACGGCCGACTTGTTGGCAGTACTCTTCGACGGTACTTGGAACATCCCAGTGGACGATATTGCGGATATCTGCAGACGTTAGTCGTGTACTGTGAGGTGATATGCTGACATACCTGGCTTGTCGATGCCCATGCCAAATGCGATGGTAGCCACAACCTGGATCGTCATCAGCGCTGTTCATCCTTGTGTCGCAGTAAAGCTCACGGTCTGAATCTTTGATGTCATGAAATCATCTTGGATCTCCTTCTTTTCCTCTATCTTCATACCGGCATGAAAATGAGCGGCAGGGAATCCCTTCCTGGTGAGATGTTCCGCCAACTCTTCAGCTTGCTGAGTCACAAGTCAGCGTCTGGGTGGTAATGGGGTGCACAGGGATTGGAGCAACCTTTTGAAGAGTAGCGTATATAAGAGTTGAACCAGGGTGTGTTTTCAAAAACTCGTACAAAATACTGTACTTGTCATCTTTCGCTTGGACAGCCTCTGCTTCCAATCGCAGGCTGGGGAACAAGTTAGTGGTAGCCCGATATAGTTCATACATTGGTCGGCACTCACTTTGGTCGATACACAGATGTTTTGAAGACCTCTTCCTTAGAGATGTCAAACGCTTGACAAATGTCGTCAATGACAGGCGGCGTGGCTGTGGCTGTAAGGCAGATGACACGCTCTGCTTGAATCTCTTTGGCGAATCGTGCAACTGTATCGGGTCAGCTTAGGTCCAAGCGGCTAGGTCGGAGGATAGAAACCTTTGAGATAATCGGGACGAAAGGAATGGCCCCACTAGATCCAGAGTTAGATTTGGGAAATAATTGGTCGTAGAAGAATATACCTCTGAGATACAGTGTGCCTCATCCACACCAATCAGTCTGACTCCGCCCTTGACATGCTTCATCATCCCCACGAATCCTTCGTTGTTGAGGCGCTCGGGGGCGCAGTACAACAAGCGCAGCTTGCCCTCGCGGAGATCTTTGTTAATCTTTTGTATTTCGTCCCATGTTTTGGTTGAGTCCATGCATTCTGCTGCAATGCCCTTTCGCTTGAGGGCATCGACTTGATCCTTCATCAAAGCAATCAGAGGTGAGACAACAATGGTGATGCCGGAATCGTCGGCATGTCGCTCTTTGGTCACCTTGTCCATCTCTGGGAAGGCGATGGCAGGTATCTGTATGAGTATGTCAGCTCGGAGCTTTTAACTACGGTTTGAGTAATGATGCGTACCTGGTAGCAAAGTGACTTTCCAGCTCCAGTGGGAAAGACAACAAGGGCGTTGTCGCCATTCAAAATCCTGCTGATGGCAGCTTCTTGCTCATGGCGAAAAGATTTGTAGCGGAAGTTATCTGCCAATATTCTCTGGGCAATCTGGAGTCTTTGGGTCTCGCCAAGTTGACCATTGGTTGTGCTGGCGGATCCATGTCGAGCCTTTTTGACGGGAACACCCTCGTTCTCTTTATCTCTGCCGTGCTTTCCAGGGTTTTTTTCGATCAGATCAGCTTCTTCAACACCATCGAATAAGAGGTCATCCTCATCAACATCGTCAAAGAGCGCGTCCCCAGAGTCGAAGTCGTCATCGAGGATGCCCATTATCTTCCCGACAGGTCAGAAGAAAGAACAGTTTGCTTGATGTCGGTTTGAATCAATGACAAATACAAGTATAGTTGTGACAATTATGATGCACCAGGCGTGAATTGGACACTCTGAAATGCCAATTCCAGGCTTCAGGTTCCTTCCACATCGAGACGCGTTGAGTGTCTCGCTTGAGACGCCAAATCACGTGCTGATAAGCTATCATCGCCAAGATCGGATGGGGTATAGCTACGAAAATGATTGGATCAGAGTTTGATGTTTAGCCGAATTAGATCCTTAACTTTTATCCACTACTTTTGTCGTGTTATCTGATAGCGTATTATCCTCGTCCATCTGCCGAGCTGTCACGTTCCTTCTACCCTGAACCTACCTCTTTTTCTCCATTGTCTTGTCTTTATTATCACATAGCATATTTATTTAGCCAGAAAGTGATAAGACATACACAATAAATTCTCATGTATTTGCCGTAAGACAGTAATATTTTATTTTTGCCAAGTTGATGAAGCAGTAAAGTAACGCAATGCGAGTTTCGAATTGGACTGCCACATCGTACCAGAGTAATGACACGCAGTCCGACTTTAGCGACGCCGAATTCCTAGCAATGTTCACCATTAAGCAAGTTAAACTTGTTGCTCCCTTTCTGTTTAAGCTTGCCGTGTGTGAACTTCAAAATGTCATTTCCAGTAATCGAAATTCTTGGTGTTAATCTGTTCGATGTCTTAGTTGTGCCTGCGATGGGCGCTGACGTATTTTACTCCCAACCACAGGTATTTAGGGAGCACAACACACGTGCAATCATGGTGTGTCTACTCAGATAAATCCAAGTCCGAGTCTCTCAATCAACTTCAATTTTTTGTGTCTAGTCTCAATACAGGGATGTCTACGACGGTGGCTCATCTCATACGTGGTTAGGCCGCAATGCTTTCATTTTCTCTTCTCATCTCGCTTCGGCGGAGACGTGAAAAGTGACATATCCCTACGTCATCGACCGTCAACATGCCAGCCTCTCAGATGGTGACAGTGACAGTTGGATAGCCGAGCGTCAATCATATCCACAATCAATGTCATTGCATCTTCTCAGCTCACGATATCGCAGCGCTCAGTTTATGATTACATAGGTACTCTGTATTTCTACAGTATCAATAACGCCCCTCCTTCAAGTCCACTATATCCATGACGTTTATCATTCCACACCTTCTTCTATGCTCCAGGCTATAAATATCCAGCCTTAAATTTGCCAAGAAATACTTTATTTTAACCTTTTATTCTTTACAGAACTACCAGCATAGCTTCACAACACCAATCCGGATAAACCGCTTAGCACATAATGAACACGTCTGGGATTTACGAGAACGAGCGCGGCCAGGGCATGTCCCATGCTACGGGCCCTTCAAAGATTCCTGAGGGTATTGCACGACACGTTCCCAAAGGTCTTGAGGAAGCTCTGCCTGATTCTGTACGTTATTCTCTCGACTTAATCGTATTCAAGTCTAACATTTAAGATCCACCCAACCGGTACCTTTCCTGGCCAATCTACCGATAAATCACATGCCAAAGATAGTGGTGATGCTTCCAAGGTCCCCCAAAAGCTCCAGGAGAAATTGCCAGAGAGTTTTGAGAGAGCGGCCCCAAATGCCATTCATGATACTGGCGACACCAGTGGTGTGCATCGCAAACATTGATGGACTAGATTTAGGTAATTGAAGTTGATGCACGGGCTATCATTGTTAAATAGTATTTATCGGCATTCAATTTGAGAGAGCGATTTGTTCATACATTTCCGAAGATCAAGGCAATCGGCCTGCAAAATACAGTAATGATTCATAAAGACCAGAGAGGCGAAGATGTTGTTACAAGATCCGAATGTCCACCACAAAACACACTAGCTCAAAGATATAGAAACAGACCTGTCGCGAGGATAACCACGCCAGTAACGGCGTGACTGATGCTAGCTTTGGTAGCTTTATCCTCGGCCTCTCCCTGGATGTGTTCTTGGTTTGCAAAACGCCTTGCAACAACTGCATCGCCAGCTGCAACCAGGGATCCACAGATGAAACAAATTCCCATACATCTTTGGACCACCGCCGCAGCTAACGGGCTGACTTGGCAGATAGGCGAGAATTGCCAAAAAGCAAACAGACCAAGCGTGCTGAGTCCCGAGCCGATGTTGCGCAAGCCATACGCGTAGATGAGAGATTTCTGGAAGGCTTCAGGATGCGATGCAGTGGCCTTTTCGGTATATGTGTTTTGAAGACCGAAAAGACGAATTGCATTGTAGGGAGACACGAAGCTGTAAATGCCGACACTCGTGCCGGTCACTCCGAAGAGCACGGGGAGTGCCGAGATGATGGTTGTAGGGGATAAGTCCGACGACATGATATGTGAACCAATGAAATGTCGGGTGTCGGATGAAACGTTTGAGGGTATGTGAGAGGTCTGAGTAAGCAAGAGTTGATTAAATGAAGTTGGTCAATAAGTTGAGATGAGGCTCAAGTCGTGACGCAAAAGGTTGGGGTCAAGAAGATTAGACTTTGGATGAGTTCTCATACATGCATATGCTGCGTAAATGGCTAAGTTGACGCGTGCTAGACTCCGCAACCAACCGTCACTACGGTAGTGCTAGTCTCTGCCATTATGCCTCAGTCACAATGCGAATTCTTCAGCTGAAGAGACTAAGGGAATCGGCTGGGCCGCGTTATCCAATGACGACAATAAACAATCTTTAGACGAGCTTGACGCGTCGTCTAGTTCATTTCCAAAGGTAACCATGGTGCAACAGAACACAGTAGCCCATGCCGTGCTTATACACCTCAGCTCGGCGCATTGCATATACAAAGTATAGCATGAGGTGGAGAAGAAAGTGATGATAATGAGGCAAAGCTTGGCAGGTAGTCATGGATCTAGTCCGACAAAGACAAATCAAGTCCATGCCTGTACGGCTTCTTCTGTGCCAGAGATCGCAGCTATTCACATTGGAAAGTGATATCATCGGAGCCTGATACATACCAAACATTGCTGTAGCTTTCGAGCGTTGCTAAGTGACGCCGGGTGACTGTCATTTATGGTGTTTTGGATCTTGTTCCGCAACCCTGGAATCGTTCAGAGTATTTCGTAGCACCATGAAGCCAGGTTAAGAACCTTTCATCACTCAGCTCATTCTTCCCGAAACGCAGGCGACTTCTCAAGTTACTTCTCCTTGCTAGGTTTTGGACTGCTGATGAAGATTCTGATCGGATTCATGTGACTATCGACAAGCAGGGCGAGTAGGCCGCATAGTGATGAAGTGGCACATTGGTAACTGTAGATCGAGGAGCAGTATGGCGAGCTAACAAGTTTCTTGTAATTGGTCTGCGGTCAGAAGCCTGAGACAAGTTGCTTCGATTTCCCATAAAGGAATCACTGCAAATGACCTGTCCATGCACAGTAATACACGTAGATAATGTCTGTCAGATTGCACCTGTTATCAGGATCCTTGTCTGACCAGTGGACCGTTCCAAAACCGAGTTGCACAAATGATTAGCTCTTGACTTACGCCAAACTGTATCCAGTCTAGTAACGTGCCGTCTCTTGGAACTCGGATTATCGCCGACGAGCCGGCAGGCATTTAATCACCCGTGTAACAGCTGGTATCTGGCCGTTCATGTCATTCATAAGCTCAGAATGCCTCCCGAGTAGGAAAATGTACATAGACATTACGGAGGTATTGGAACATGACCATTGTTTGTATAATAACTATGTGCAGATTTGCAGAACGATGAATTATTTCTCCGGACCTGAGACATGATGACGTCGAGGTACGCCAATAGTCCAACTTTAGCTTATGTTATTCTTGTATCCACAAGACAGCTGCTGTTGTCCCGTCTCAATCACAAACCCATCCTGATTGCAACTTTATACAAGACGACAATTGATATGAAGAACCCCTATGCTTTCCCATTGCAACCAGAGCAATATGCTCCAGCTCCTGTCCCTTCGTTAGCAGAATGGAAGCAGCTCTGGCATGTCTGGGAACTTGTTACTACCAAGATGATACGCCCAGAGGCATTGATGGAACAGCCCATTCCTTTGAGAAACCCACTGCTGTTCTACCTCGGCCACATACCTACATTGTGAGGTTCCTTGTCCTTTGTTGATTCTCCGTATTAACAACCCACCAAAGTGAAGACATCCATTTGACAAGAGCGGCCAAAGGCAAACCAACTGAACCAGCTTATTATCATCAGATATTTGAGCGCGGTATAGATCCCGATGTTGATGACCCTTCTAAGTGCCACGATCATAGTGAGCTTCCAGACGTGTTCCCCAAGTTGGAAGATATCCTGCACTATCGTGAGCGCGTGAAGAGGCGAATCGCATCGCTCTACGACAATGGGAGAGCTTATTCAGATCGGTGCATAGGACGCGCTCTTTGGATAGGATTCGAACACGAAGGTAGACATCCCCAGGTCTGTCATTAACGTCTCGAAAACTAAAAGTAACAGGCCTTCACGCTGAGACATTTCTCTTCATGACAATCCAGAGTCAGAACATTTTGCCTCCTCCTGATATACCTAAACCTGATTTTGTAAAGCTTGCAAAGGCGGCTGCTTCGCGACGAATCGAGAACCCATGGTTCAAAATTCCTGCACAGGAATTCACCATAGGCTTCCATGACCCTGAAAGTGATGAGGGTCTAGATCGATTCTTTGCGTGGGACAACGAACGCGAACCATACGAAGTCCGAGTCCCGCAACTCGAAGCACAAGGTCGACCGGTGAGTAACGGTGAGTACGCAAGACATCTGTTCAACCTTGAACAGTTGCAAATCCCAGCAACGTGGCACAAGACACGCAATGCTGGAGAGGATGAAGATTTCACTACGTTCATCGTCCGTCACAGCGTCAAAACCGTTTGGGGTCCAATTCCTCTGGCCCAAGCACTAGACTGGCCTGTAATGGCCTCTTTTGACGAGGTTAAGCGATACGCTGAGTGGGCTGGAGGTCGCCTGCCGACGCTTCATGAATTACGTAGTATCCACGAATATGTTGAGCGTGGACGGAAGGCACCTGCGAGTCAAGTCAATCATCAATTTCACATAGACCCTCGCGCCATCTTTGTTGACTTGGCAGAAACGAATTCTGGATTTCGAAACCTCAATCCTGTAGGCATCACCCATAAGGACTATCTTTGCGGATTAGGTGACACTGGAGGAGCAGCTGAATGGACGGGATCTTTGTTTGAGCCACAGCCTGGATTCAAGCCAATGGATATTTATCCCGGTTACAGTGGTGAGTCCTGTAAATCAGCGCCTAGCAGATGGATATTGCTGACAATATGATGATGTAGCCGACTTTATGGATGAGAAGCATATAGCAGTAGTTGGAGGAAGTTGGGCGCTGCACCCACGCATTGCTGGTCGGAAGAGCTTGTGAGATTTACCTTTTGTGCTATGAACTGTTCCGACACTAACTTTTACAGCTTGAACTGGTGGCAGACAAAGTATCTCTGGCCATGGGTGACATTCCGTCTTGTACGAGACGTTGAGTAGGAGTGTACACCGCTAGATGGCTTGGATGATGTTGTTTCTGAGGCAGTTCTTTCGTGTTCTTTGTTGTCCTACCGAGATCGATTGCCGGAAGGTCATGGCGAAATATGCGGTGGATTTGTGGATGTTTTGTTAGTCCCGTGTGACATCATACGATTAGCAATTGAGTTTGAGTTGAAAATTAGATCGTATGTATTTTCGGATATACATGTTGTCAAATCGATCCATGCTTCCTATTGCTCCATAACCGTGTTTTAGTGGCACCTTTCAGTCCGCTCGATCCGAGAGAATGGGTGATGATGTGACTGCGATATATTTGCATCACGACAATCAAGCCACTTACGCGACATGGTTTGTTTTTAACCGTGTATAAAAACTGGCAGACGCCTTTTTTTTTAATATAGTTGTACAACACATCTTGGATCATATAACAATTAATTATTCTAATATTAAGAAACTTCATCATGTCGCTGCCCAGATATCAGACAAACACTCCTCTGCATCCCACCTTCAAGGACGACATCCTCAACACACATCTTGTTTACGATTACGACGCCACAGACGCAGAGGGTAACCCTGAAAAATGGCGCTATGAAATATGGTTTTTCTCCGACGACCGCGTTGTCTACGCCATTCATGGAGGTCCCATGGCCGGCCGAATCAACTACCAGACCGTCGCCTACCAGTGTGTCCGTCCAGGAGAGCTATGGCAGATCAACTGGCTAGAAGAGACTGGAACCATTGTTTCCCTGGTGTACGACATCACCAATAAAACCATTAGCGGAATGCTAGGCTTCTCCAAGGGCCATTGGGAACATGCGGAGGATGCCCACGGTGATAAGCGAAACCCTAAAGATTTCAATAGATGGAAGGAGCTTGCTTCCATTGGAAAGCAGACAGAGAGGTTTATCCTGACGGAGCAAGCCAATATTATTGAGGTTTTCAAGGGGCAGGGTGACTTGAAGCCCATCAACGAGTCGGATCCGACATTCTGATCTCCTCCTTGGGATTTTTCTAGATGGATCAGATGAATAGACGAAAGCGTATATTTAGACGGTGAACTGAATAGATATTGTACTATCCGTAGTCTTGCCAGTCCTAGATCAGGGATGTTACTTTTATGGTTCCTCGCTTCATCGCTTGGCTGCCTGTGTACCTTGTATTTTCACTAGAACTGTAGCTTAAATCTGGGGGAACCCTGTGTTGGTCTTGGCGTAACGTCCTCAGGCCACATTTATCAAAATTAGCCAAAAGCGAGATTGTGAAATGCTTACAATAGTTATGTTATGGGGTGTTGTATCATTCCTTTGTTAATGACCCTTTACGACGGGAACCTTGACTTGTACTTGGCCACGCTGGAGCCCTGCGCCGTGTATTACATTGCTTGGCATCACTTGTCAATCATGTCTATACAGTGGCAAACAAGTCGTTTTGCGCTGATTGTCTTTCTCTATGGTGACTTTGCGGTGGAAAGGACAAGTTGATAGGCGCCAAGGTCTTATTCTGGAGTTGATCAGCCACGCTGCATGCCTCCGCGACCAAGAGCTGCATAGCTTCACACCATTAACACACTTGATCTTCCTGAAAAGTCTTACTTGAGAGACTCGAAGCTGTGATCGACACGGTAAGGCCGGCATCATGAGCTTGGCCTTGGATTAAGCTTATGCCCAGATGTTACTACCATCGTACGACCTCTTTGACACCACTCTCGCTATACTCTGTATAGTTTGAGTGATTTGGATGCACAGAGACTTTGGAGTGTGACAGACTGAACGAGCCAGGATACAATTTTCAAAGACGAGTCTAGAAGAGGATGGCGAAAGCCGAGAGAAAACGTTTTGCGGCCTGGCATACATCGGAGATCACCTGGGGAATGAACACAAGAGAAAACTTAAGATGACAGAATCGTACCATCGCGTGATCTGAAATGTCAATGACAGGAGAACCTTTTCCAAAAAGAGGTTAACGAAACGAACTACATGAGAATGATTCACTTTCTACTTCTGGCATTGGCCAAGCAGGCCAAGAGAGACAGACTCCACGGGATATCGGCCCAGACTCTGGGCAGACATGGCCAGCCGTAGCGCTGGGTCAACAAAATATGTTAACCCTAACCCACAGCTAACAAGGTATGTCTACTCAATTCGGCAAGATATTGGCCGAAGAAAGCCTTGTATGCAATTGGGACAAAATATTGGTGCATGAGACGGAATGCTTTCCATACCGCCGGCCACTGACTCGTTTGATGGCCGTCACAAGAGCTAGTCAAAGGTGCCGCTGCCATAACCTGTAAAACAAAAACGCAGATTACCTCCTCAGCCGCAGGACTGTTAGCCACATTGAGCTCGGGACATTTCAACTCTCTCCTGAAGGATGGTTTGACAAGGGTCGGAGATTGGCTCACGAGGTCTCTTGGTGCATGTCCATCGTAGAAGTAGATCTTGGCAGGCAGAGAGAGCCCATGTCTTGCACTATTAATTCTATTGCTGTACCCCAGATGGGGAAGAGAGGGTCACAGGAAATGAGGAGCCTGATCCCGCCTTTTCCGCAACTTTCATTTCTTATTGCGAATTCTTGCAAGGGGCTTTTGAGTCTGGGGGCCCGGAGTAATCGGGCTGTGATCCGGACCCGAGGACGCTATTCGTGGAGAATTGGATCTGGGGATGCGGGGGAAGTAAGCATGTTTTAAACTCAACGAGAATGGAATAATGTGACCCAGTACGTACCTTGAAGTGAGAGTGTCAAGACTGATGATACTGTCATTTTGACTGAGATATTTGAGGGGTAACTCGAGTGGTAGTATTGTCCGAAGCCGTCGCCAGAGTTAATGTGCTCCTTAGTGAAAAGAACACAGCTGTTGAACAATCAGCACTTTCTTTCCAATTAGGACAATTTTTGACTAGAAGGAAAAGCAAGGATCCCAGCCAATCGTATTTCGGTAACGCGGGCCGCATAGCTTACTAGCTTGAAGCAAAATAATCCCCTCGCGGTCTTACCTCGTTCTTACTAGCAAAGTATCGAGGCAGCAGCACATCTCGCGGCCGCGCCTAACGAGCGCCAGTGCCAGCATTGCATAGCAGAATGAATCGATTGATCAGTTTGTGGCGTAGTGAATCGACACAGCTTTAGACAAAAGGCATGAGAACAGATGTATGGCATCACGGACCAAGAAGCCGAAGAAAAGTCGCTGTCATGACTTTCTGGAGAGATCAAGTTAAGCGCCGCTGGCCACTTGGCGCACATGGCTGATGCTTGTGGCCATCCAAGAACCAATCACCCAAGACAACACATTGTGCTTCCCGCTCTGTCGGGCTGACACCGAATTCTGGATTCCCATCCCCCTCCCTTTCCACAAAGGACCAAGTAACCCCAGGCTGCACCAGACTCTATGGCCCTACCAGGGATGGATGGTACCTAGCCGTTTCTTGCTAGATTAATCAAGCTCACTACTTGGCTTGTGTACCGTTTGATCGGTCACTCCCATCAGCTGTCGGAACCTTGGCCGTCGATCCGTCTTCCTGAGCAAGACACTCTGCTAGCCAGCAAGCACTCGCCTGTTCGAGATCTATGTGGTTGTGGCGGATCGGGAGACAGTCTCCGTCTGTCCATCCATTTGCAGTAGTTCCACGGAGCTGCCAGACATGATGCACCAGCCTTTGCAAAAACCACCATCACCCCAGCTCTTGAACATTGTCTTGAAGTTGTTATATATATCCCTTGCTCCATCTCAATCTCTGAAGTTTTGTTTCCTGTCCAGAGCATCAGCCAATCTCACCTTTGAGGAACAGACATTCAGCTCAACAGTCAACAGTTCCAGTGTTGAAATACCAACACCATGGCGTCCGATTCCATCCACGAGAAGGAGGTACGTCCCTTCGTCTTCCCAAACAGCCCAATTGAGCGCCGCTAACATTCTACTCTAGCCCAAGCATGAGGTAGTCATCGTCAAGACGGCTATTGGAGATGAAGCGTTCCAGCAGGCTATGATCAAGGAGCCTCCACCAAAGCTGGCTGCACCCATCCTCATCTTCGCTAGCATGGTCGCTTTCTGCTGCTCTACTGCCAACGGTTACGATGGTTCTCTGTTCGGAACTCTTCTTTCCACTGATGACTTCAAGAAGTTCTTTGGTGTCGACAACAAGGGTATTGAAGCTGGTGCGTCGTCTCACTCCATTTTGGTCCCTGCACCTGATCACAATATTGACATCTGATAGGTATCGTCACTTCCATGTATCAAATCGGCTCTGTCGTCGCCATTCCCCTCGTCGGACCCAGTATCGATACTTGGGGTCGCCGTGCCGGTATGACCATTGGTGCTTGGATCATCATCGTCGGTGTCGTTATCCAGCTTGCTTGTTACACCAATGCCAGTGTTGGTCAATTCATGGCTGGCCGCTTCTTCCTCGGTTTCGGTGTCTCAATCGCTGCGGCTGCTGGTCCCACATACGTCGTTGAAGTCTCCCATCCTGCTCACCGTGGTATCATCACTGGTCTCTACAACGTCATGTGGCCTGTTGGTGCCCTCGTTGCTAGCAGTGCTGTTCGTGGCGGTTGGAACTACGAGGGAACCAACACCTCTTGGATGATCCCCGTTGGTCTCCAGCTCATGTTTCCTTGCGTCATTGGCTTCTGCGCCATGCTTCTTCCCGAGTCTCCTCGATGGCTTTACACCCACGGACAGCAAGAGCTCGCCAAGAAGAACCTCACTAACCTCCATGGCCACGGTAACCCTGATAGTGAATGGGTTAAGCTCCAGCTCCACGAGTACGAAGAGCATCTTGAGATGGACGGCAGTGACAAGCGATGGTGGGACTACCGGGCTCTTTTCAAGACACGAGCTGCCTTTTACCGACTCACCTGCAACTGTCTTGTTTCGCTCTTTGGACAGTGGGCCGGTAACAGTATCGTCTCTTACTACCTCAGCGCTTTCCTCGACACTGCCGGTATTAAGGATGGCCGACAACAAAACGACGTCGCTATGGGAATGAACGCCGTTCAGATTGCCTTTGCTGCCCTTGGTGCTACCTTCACCGACACTGTTGGTCGTCGTCCCATGTTGATTGTCGTCAACATCGTTTGTGCTTTCTGCTGGATCGGCGTCACTGTCCCCGCCTCCATCGCCAACATCACTGATCTCGACAACAAGGAGCAAATCGATGCTGTCACCCCACCAGTCAGTAAGGCTATCCTCGCCTGGGTCTATCTCTTCCAAATCTTCTACTCCGTCGGCTGGACTCCTCTTCAGGCTCTCTACCCAGTCGAGGTTCTTAGCTACGAGATGCGAGCCAAGGGTATGGCCTTCAGCTCCCTCTTCACCAACGCTGCCATGCTTGTCATGCAATTCGGTATTCCCGTCGCTCTGAAGAACATTGCCTGGAAGACCTACATTGTCTTCTGTATCTGGTGTGTCATTCAGTCCATCATTCTCTACTTCCTCGTCCCTGAGACCAAGAACCGAACTGTAAGTTGCCACCAGCCTCTTCGTAAGGCGAACTTCACTAACAATTACTCTTCTAGCTCGAGGAACTTGATTATATCTTCTCTTCCCCCAGCCCTGTCAAGGCATCTAAGCAGAAGAAGGTCTTTGAGGCCGATGCTAACGCCAACATTGTCCACATCGAGCCTGCATCTGCTTCTCACGCTGCGGCTTAAGCCGACGCCTTGATTTGCATTGCACATGCTTGACAGGGGGGCGGGCCGGTCACTCCCTTTTTAGTTTCTATAACAGCTTGAGTTCAAATTGGTTGATGGAGTATGTTAGCACATTATGACGAGATTGCGCGCTCAGATGTTGGGTCCTAATACTACATTCTTTGTGGATAATAATACAATCTCAATACTTGCCTTTCATCCTGATATTTGCCTATGAGAATATTGCAATGTGCCTTGTGATAGACTCAGGCTCAACATGATAGGTTAAAATCTCTCTGAACCAAAGTGAACTTGAGTCATGGTCTCAGCTTTTAATGTATGATCAGAGTTCTTTTTCTATAGTATACTTTTTTGAAGAAACGATAATTCTCAACTATCTACCTTCTACAAAACTAAGCCAATAGCTTCACCAATCAAAACTTGGGAATCCATCCCCCTTCTTTCTCGAAAAGCCGACCGATGACTTCGCTCACCTTGAGTAGATGACGATCACGGAGTCTCGCTGTAACCAACGAAATGCCAACTGGCATATTGTTCCTGCCTCGAAATCCAGGGATATTAACCACCGGTGTGTGTAAGGCCTTGCGTTGTCAGTAAAACTCTCTCCAGATATGGACCTTACTTACAGTCCAAGGTGATGCAAAAATGGGACTGCCTGTGTTTCCAAGTCCCTCTGGAGCCTCATCAAGTACACTCGGCGCTAGAACTGCTACGTATTCTTCGGCAATCTTATCGAAATGTGGTCGCAAGGCCGAGAGCCCATCATATGCATCAAGTTGTGATCTGCGCGAGATATTGTTTCGTTCGTCCACTCCTCTGGCTAGTACCTGGTCCATCTGCTCTCTGGCCTGGTTGTATTCAGGCAAGAGACTTGTCGCTCCTTCAAGACGTACAATTATGTCGTGCCACTCCACAACCTTCTCAAAGTCCGGGCCTAGGTTGAGTTCTTCTACTTGCGCACCGTGAGCTTTGAGCAACTCTACCGCTTTCTCCATAGCCGTGATAGTGCCTTCACCGGCCAAATGCCACTGGACTGGCTTGTACACAGCAAATTTGGAGCCTGCTAGTTCCTTGAACGAAGAGTCTTCGTCATCGTGCAAAGAAAATGCATCAGCGATCAACTCAAAGTCTGAAACACTACGAGCGAAGAACCCGATTGTATCAACGGTAGGGGAACAGAACTTCTGACCCTCACGTGTGATTGTATGCCAGGTAGGCTTGAAGCCATAAACACCGTTAAAAGACGCTGGTCGGATGATGGAACCTTTTGTCTGAGATCCCAACGCTATGGGAATTTGGAAATCTGCTACTGCGGCTCCGGACCCTGCAGATGAACCTCCCGGTGTACGTGTGGTGCCGTGAGCGTTGCGAGTGGCTGGTCCGATGAAGGATGCAGCAAATTCGGTAGTTGTCGTTTTACCTATCGCCTTGTTAGGAAACGGTAGCTGGGCTATTTCTAATAAGTTTACCAAAGATAAGACATCCTGCATGTCGAAGAACCATTACCGATCCAGCGTCGATTCTGGGATGATCGCTTTTATATATGCTAGACCCATACTCGGTGGGCATATCTACTCGAGAATCAGTAGACTTTCGATGAAGAAAGATTAATTCTCAAGGAGCGCTTACCTTTCGTCAAGATAATGTCTTTGATTCCCACTGGTAGACCATGCAACGCACCTCTCTGTTCAAAGGGAACTTTATCCAATGCTCTAGCTTGTTCCAGTATAGCATTTGAGTCAAGATACGCCCAGGCTTGAACATCTTCATTGCGTTGCTTTATCCGCTCAAGAAGTGAGGATGCGTACTGTTCAACGGTAAGGTCGCTAGACCGGAGTCTCTCCAAGGCCTGGGAGGCTGAGTAGCGCCAGTACTCCATGTCTACTCGTTCAGTGATCTGGATGATGTATCAAAACAGAAGAGTTCAAATGGCTGGACAAAACATCTATCAATGGTGTTGACACAAGCTTCCCCGCTTTGTACTGGCAGTACTGGCTCGGATCCACTGAGATGAGGGGCTCGGCAATTGATCAGGAACATTGATACTGATAGTAAGAAGAGCTCATTGAGAATAGAAATATATAGTCTTGGTCTCACTAAAAATACTCAAGGGTCGCTGCACCAGCCGCCATCAACAACATAAGAACTTCCCGTAACGGCGCTGGCTTCATCACTTCCCAAGAAAACAATCACCTTAGCTACCTCTTCGGGCTCAAGATCCCGTTGTAAGCTCTGGCCCCGCATCACCTCCTCACGATACTCGGGCGTCAGAACCTCGTCTCTCTGTCGCTGCGTCGCAATGGCCCCAGGCATGACACTGTTGATTCGGATGTTGTACTTGCCGAATTCTTTGCTCTGTGTACGCGTGAGGCCCATGATAGCAGCTTTGCAGGCACCATAAACTTGAGAGTCGTCAGCGAAAATACCATGAAGTGAATAGACAAACAGGTATACCTGGAGTGCCTTGGGCGGGGATACGCCAAGTGATAGAACCAAGGTTAATGATACTCCCTCTTCTTGCCTCCTTCATCGCCGGGATCACGGCTTGAGTGAGAAAGAAAACATGTCGAAGGTTGGTGTTGACGTTAAAGTCCCAGTCATCTGCCGTGACATTCTCCGTGGTGAGTCTGGCTCTGTTTCCAGCGGCTGCTGCATTGTTCACTAATATGTGTATCGCACCATGTTTATCATGGATGCTCTTGACAGTTTCCTCTAGTTCAGGTAGATCTGCGACGCTACACTTATAAAAGATTGGTGCTTTGATTGGGGAATCGCTGTCTTTAGATCGAGAAATAACTCTGTCAATTGTTTTCTGGGCCGAGTCTTCAGCAATGTCGAGAAAGATGACTTGACAACCCTGGAGAGAAAAGAGTTCCACGGTGGCAGAACCTATACCTTCTGCACCGCCCGTGATAAGCACTGTCTTGCTCCGCAGGCTGGGATAGATGGCATGAGCGGAAGGCATTGCAGTTTAGAAATAATCGTCGGGAGGAAGCTTAGAGAATGAGGAGGGTGAAACTTGAATATTCCTACAACAACGAGGCGATATTCCAGCCCCTCACCTGGTCTATGCCGTATGCACCATGTCAGCTGACCCGAGATGCATACAATGTTACATCATGAAGTCAAGTCTTTGGAACCACAAGATTGTTTTCAATATGTTTCGACTTATATATACTCTAAACTACCAACTCTCCGTCTCTTAAACTCTCATGATTTAACTGCAATCATTCGGCAACAGGGCAAAGATCATAGTTGCCATTGACATTGTTCCCCCACCAGCTTGGGAAAGGATGGCCAGGACCACCGGCACCGAAGACAGCAAAGGAGAGGATGAAAAGAACAGTGAGACTTGCGCCATCAAAAGCACCAGTCACCAGGTACGAGTAGTCTCTAAAGACACGCGGGCGGTAGTTTCGGAGGTAGAACTGAACGAAGAAGCCAGAGAGCAACTGGCTGAAGATGACACAAGTTTGGCTCTGGTTGTAAGGGATGTAACCAGCATACTGGATGAACTGGGCGAAGTTGATGTCGGCGACATCGAAGCTCTTGATCTTGGGGTAGAACTGTGATATGTTAGCGAGAGTCTCTGTACAAGATAAAGAGTCTTTGTTACCTTGTAGAAAATGCGATGCACAACCACCAAGCCTGCACCAACCAAGAGACCAAAAGGTACGATTTCATAGGCACCACCAATCTTATATAGGTACCCAGCCAGTGCCCATGAGGTTGCATTGGTGTTGTATGACTGCATAGTGGCGCCGCTCCAAGACGAGTTTCCGTCGCCGTCTCGAAGAAGCTCACGGTTACTTCCCACAATGCTAATCATCACAGCATAGTTGATGAAGCCACCGAGGATGGTTCCCCAGATTTGTGTAAGGAACATGACACGAGGGGGGATTTTGACTGAACTCATGAATTAGCCTTGATGTAAAAAGCCTGGAAAGGAGACTCACGGTATTCTCCCATCTTGAGATCACCAGACAGGTTGACAGCATTGGAAATTACGTTGTGAGACCATGCCGCGAAGTACATGTTACCCACAGGCTTTCCAGGAAGCATAAGACCAGCCAACATCTTCGAAAGGTTGTTGGTAGCAATTCCGTTGCCGTACCTAGAGTAAAGAAGTGTGCTCTGAATAGTTTCAGTTAGCATGCGTAATTAGTTGTCATCATGCCGGTGGAACTTACGACTGGTGCAATGATGGAGCCCATCACAAGCGACAATACGTATGCCCATATAGGAAGAGTGATGTTCTCCTTGATCACAACGATAAGACCGAGAATAAAGCTACCAATAAGGATGGAAATATACCACCACCATGGCGCTTCCTTATAGTTCTTGGCCATGTGTTCATGATGACGATCATCGTAACGACCCTCCTTTGCACTCTTGAACGCCTTCACGACATCCTTGCCCCAGAAGAGGATGCAATGAAAGATGAGGGCACCAATCTAACATGGATTAGTTTGGGTCATAAGAATAACATGTTGAGAGCTTACCGCAGCATTGGCCATAAACATAGCGTAAGCAAAGGTGCCAGTCAATTTGGGAAGACCGAACTCCAACAGTCGTTCTTCATTGAGGACTCCACCCTCGAAAACCTGAGCAACGGGATATGTCGTGCCGTTCTCCATCAGGAGACGAGTAGACATGAATGGAAGAGACTTGGCACCCCAGCCATTGCCGTAGTAGATAGCCACCATGACAATGTAGCAGACGAAGAATCCGACAGCCATATGAGCCTGGAGGGGTAGAGGGAGAGAGGTGTTGAAGGAGGTAATCTACCTAAGTCAGCAAAGCCATTGTAATCTTGTAAATCTATGACTTACATATTGCCAATCGAAAGATAGAGTGAAAAGACCGAGACCTTCATTGTTTGTAGCTCCACCAAAGATGTTGGTGAGGTGTTCAGCCTTTTCGCCGGTTGCCTTCATAGCAGCAAGACACTATTCATCATGGTCAGCAGGCTCCTAAATGATATCAACTCGCGGGGAGACATACAGGCACAGAAACCGAGTTAAGCCAGGGGAAGATATAGGCGGGGAAGAACTCGTATAGTGACATGCCAGTAAAACTGTACCAGAAGTATCGGAGAGGCTTGGAGTCTTTGACCTCTTGCCAATGGAGGCCTTGAAGTGTTTTGACAGTAGGCAAGTTACTCCAGAAAACAGCGTCGACATGCCAAACAGCTACGGGACGCATGATACCGCAAAGGCCATAGCCAAACAACCCAATTGAGATGGTACTCAAGATGACAGTGGTGGCACTCAAGGGCATGTCGTAGAAAAGATCCTGTGCGGCAAAAACCTGGACACTCGCGGCGGCATTAGAAGCGGATGTAGCCGTGATAGCACAGATGGCATGCTCTTTGAGACCCCAGGGACCTGGGTTGAAGACCTTGATGGCTTTGAGCCAGACTGGCAGGGAACCACTATTACCCTTAGCTATCCACCGAGCTTCATACTTGTCACCGCGAGGGAGAGCGAATGCCCAAGCGTTGCCGATAAAGTATGAGATGAGGACGATGAAAGTTCCTTGAATTGTGATCATAGTGGGTTTGAACTGGAGACTGATATCAGATGATGCCTGGCTATGACAGGCTAAATGGCGCAACTTACTGTATAGATCTGGTACATCACAGCCTGGAAGCATGCAAGACAAGAGGCAAGGAAGAGACTTCGGAAAGTCAATGCATTGTCATGGTCATCTCTCATCGGGAGTAGGTGGCGAGAGGCATCGGCACCGGTCACGATAATGACATCTTTGCTGTCGTTGTCGCTATCGTCGTGGCGATCAGCGCTAGACATATCGAGAATCTCTGAGCCAAGTACTGCGTTCTTAGGAGTATCGATGGTCTTCTCGTCGACGTTATCGGAGCTATGAACCTGGGAGACGGATGTCTCCAGGGTGTCGTCGGGGCCGTGAGGCCCCTTGGGCTCGACGTTGGTGAACGACATGTTCGAATGACAAACCCACCCTTGGAAATAATATCAAGGGAGCAATGGGTTCCGGAACCGGGATGAAAGCAGTGGTTCAGTTGGGACTTCTACCAGTTGAGCGTCGTCGATTATATCAAGAGCGCGGCTTGCCCCAAGTTATATCTGAACCGCATGGCCGGTTTGACGGCTAGTAACACCACCTCCCCTGACAATTAGACAATGTAACGTTTGTATGTTCTGGATTGCATATCGGATACCACGGCGATAAGATTTCGCCTCCGTTCGAGACCTTATCCAGTTCCTGGGGGTTCTTTTGTGAAAGAAAGCTCTTGGCATCCCGCTTCCCGAGTATGTTAACCGGCTGTTGGTCTTCAAATCTATACAGAGATACCCATAGCACATATTGAAACATCCGTTACCTGCCCCATGAGTACTAGCCTGATACCAATTTCGTGTCCGACCTTGTCGATATCGTGGAACAGTTCCCTGAAACTGGGGTATCTTGATCGGTTTTGCCGCTTGCAGTGGTTGCCAATGCGTCTATCGACTGCCCTCCTAGGAAGAGCCGCACTAGTGTGTGCCACATCCGAGCAATGAGGAATTTTTGTAAGGAGCAAGCAGCAGGTGAAGGTTACAGATGCGTGTCTATTGGCTGCAGTGTGACCAGAGTTGGACTGTGCTTGATTGCGACATGCCGAATTACCGGGGTCCCACAACAAAAGGTCCCCCATGTGGTGATAATTAAGAATCCCCAATTGGGTCGCATCTTTAACACCTCACGATCGAGAGACATTTACCTTGCTGTGTTGGCCGTTGATTTAGACCAACATACATCATAGCACTCTGTGTGCAGGTTCCTTTGTTCATGTCCAAAAAGGCTAGGTTAAGTGTGTCAGCACTCAAATGATAAGCTTCATATGACATTCCACTAACGTCCTTAGCTGAACGCTCTATCACATAATGAATGTCTCAAAGTCAAGTAAAATAATAAATATGAAGCTACAGAACCGAAATGCGATTTTCCTTCGGTGGCCAAGAGCTGCATTCAATGGCAAGTCATATTCCCATATTAAACATTCTACTCAATTAAAGTAGGCATTATGTACGAGCTTCAGTATCCAAACAGGGTCTATATCTGGGGATGGCAGGGATGAGAGATAGCGGCGACCTTTTGCGACGCACATCAGATGCAATCAATGGCACCTTTGACAGTCGATACATATTGAAGACCGAGATTTGGAGAGAAGCGCCGACGATGGATTCAAGCTTAATATTGTTGATACGACGTCGCAATCTACTCGAAGGCCACTTGTCTTCCATTTTGGGACTTGATTGTGGGAACATGTTCTCTTATCTAGGCCTGTTTTATGCCGTCCTACCCGAACATCAGCACACGTGATCCGCTCGCGCCATCGAAATTAGACCATTATTGGGAACTTTTGTTCGATAGGAATCGTTCAGTTCGTTGTTCGTCAGTAACCCTGCAAAAGGTGTCATTCAAACTTGTCCCAGCGACTCAGATGGCAAAGTCAATTGAAAAGGCAAGTTCACATGTCGAATGATGATCACTCCGAGTTCAATTCGCTCATTTGTGACTTTCATATGTAGATCTTATCTGATCATATTGATTTGGTTGCAGGTGTGGTGTCCCATATAACCTGTCAGGAGTGTTGCCAAGCCGGCAACGAAGCAACCTCATCAATTCAGCTATTCTTAAATAATGTATTACTGCGTCCAAACAGGAAGGTACCGGTTATTCTACAATGTAAGCTATGAATCTAGGCTCAAAATTGCATCCTAAAACATTCCATGGCTGAGGCCTTGACGCTAGAGTAGTCCCCAAAGTAACACGACCAGGCTGACATTATACTACAATATGTTGGAGCACTACCTCGTTCGTTCGCTATGACCTTACCGGCGAGTATTAACTGAAAAAATCAAGTCTTTGACAGCCAGGTTGGGTAGCATTGCAGGATTTCTTGGGAAGTTCTAGATCTACAAAACCCAGCTAAGGGTCCAAAGGATCCTCCCCCACGAAGTCAAGGGTCGCATGTGGCGTATCCACTCAATTTATCTTGAGGTACTTGTGTCGTGTCCAACAAGCCTCATCGAGATCGAATATCACATCCAGTACCCGATGCTGTCTTCCAAACTCGGCAGGAGCTTGCATGTAGCAGACTCACCAAGGCTCTGATGCAAGGACTGAAGTCATTCCGCTTCTCTTGGCCAATCTAGACCATGTCGAGAGCCGAAGGTTAGCTCGTTATACGTTGAATCTATCATCCATGCCTATACAGAACAGGATCTTTGCTCACTTCGTGACAATGCTCGAGGGGGTTGTCTAAGTGTTGCTTGGGACCTCTTATCAGAGTTTCACCACAAGAGAGGCAACTCGTCTTTCATTGTACCTAACTCTCCTGTTGTGCCTCTACAAATCTTCTTCTTTCCTTGTGCTAAGTATGTTAACATGATAATTATCAGCATTTGTGGCGATAGCCTCCCCACTTCAACATGTGTCAATAATCTCTATAGTGGAGGGTCGACACCTCACTATCAAACTATACGACAGCTCCCTGTCGCCTGTCATCCCCGTTTAAGCAGCAGAGAGTATTACTGGTAAGTATATCTAGGATCTGTCAGCGACTAGGATGTTAACTCAGCGTTGACATTGCTCTATCAGCTCTGTGCCAGATGTGTTTCTCTAGAAGAAATTAACCATCCCTCAGTACGTCTACTAACATGCAGTATCAAGTTTGTGTCTTAGAAGGCATGTGGTTTGCCCTTTAAAAAGGTTCAAGATGAGTTTCACGCTTACATAACCCATCAAATCCCTTATGTATGCATGATACAGTATGAATCTTCAATAGAGGAATGTAGAGGAGATCTGTCATTTGATTCATTTCTAGAAAGCTACGTGGTTTTAGTTTACTTGTTGCTAGAGCATAAATAAGAAGCTATTAACCGTTTGTCAGGTTCGTGCTGCGAGAAATAAAAGGGTTTCCAATAAGAAGACTTCAAACCATATGAACAAACTCATGACTATTTTCAAGAATAGATATCGACATGCATTTTGTTTTATTTCTGCAATAAAGCTTCATATATAATTCAACCAAGGGACGGCAGTTTGGAAGCCATGTTGTGTCTTTCACTTTCACTTTTGACCCCATTCTATCTTGGCTGCATATGAAGACATGCAAAATAGTTTCCCATAGATAGAACTTGCTCTCAGCTCTACACTATATTTCAGTAAATATTATTTCACGTTCTTGCCAAGGAAGCTTGATATGAATATTTGACGACTCTAATCTGCATCGATGTTGGGCAGTTAAACTATTCAACGTTCTCATCAGACATACCTAGCCTCCTAACTTTTGAATGTGCAATATATCCATCATGGCATCTGCCGCAAACACGATTCTTTTGTTGTTACTCTGTTGTCGCCCCTCTGCGAATAGTACCTCTTATTATTCCGTGATTTTGAGCAGGTATGTACATGTCTAAAACGCTGCATTATAATAAATTTGACTTGAGGGAGAATAGGGTAGTAAAATGGTGTCACGAGACAGAAAGCCAGAGCCTTGGTGAAATTCGACCTAAGGAACACAGTCATGGCATTTCCACCTTAATTAAACCTTGTAAGAGTTAACATATTTGTTCGTCAAAGCCAGCATATATAACTATGTAAGTGATGTAACAAACTCAGCCGGTAGTCAGTTCATTTGAGCTCGACGTTAAAAAAAAAATCAGCAATTTGCCCATTCACACCCACGATTCGACGAACAATCTTGGACTTGACCGCGTTGAGGTATACCGGGGCTCAACGATCCGCAGCAAATCATCGTTGACTGTTGGGCGGAGTTGCACGGACTTCATACCAGAAGAAGCATCATTTTTCAAGGTACGAATGGGACTGTCAGCCCTGATCTCCAGGGATGAAGATGATTCCACATTTATCCTTTAGAACACCAATCGGCGGTGTTGTTTCTGGTCGGAGCTTTGCAGCTTAGCGCTGATGCGAGCTTGAGCGGGCTGCTTTGGAACTTACAGACCCCTGGAGGAACCAGCAGTTGGGAGGTTTGTGGTAGTACACTACCACTGGCTTCATTTTACTCAAGAACTGGTTGAGTTAACTCTCAGTAAAGAAATCATGCGTAGGTTAGGGACATGTTGCAGCTATATCTCCCAGAGGCAGAATATGTAATCTCTGTCCTTAATGTCAGCAACTACCGGTTGTCCGTCCGGACTTGAGGCATAAGCGCTAGTGCCTCAGAAAGGATCAACCCCTGCGCAATGATCTCTACCAATTTTGGTCCCATCACCTGTTTGTGACCTCCCAAATTTGAGGTCCGTTGCAACATGAGCTGCCAGCTCTTGAGTAAAACTCGATGGATACCCACTCCCAAAAATACAGCCCAGTTGGGCTTTCACCTGTCTGCTTTACTCAGCTTTGAAGCTCGACGCGGCGACTTGACTGTGTGTTCTCGTTGCCTGTTGCTCATTGATGGACGCGTTTGTTTTCTAGCTCAGAGAGATTGCTCACAAAGACAGGCGCCTGGATGTCTCTATTTACTTCTGCAAACAAATTGAACACCATGTCTCGGTCGACAATCGTATCGACACTGGCTATCGCCGGTCTTCTCGCAGAACCCGTAGTTGGTTTGGCAGGCTGGTGGACTTGGTCGCCCGACACTCTCACGCCTCATTTCGCATACCAAGACCCTGGATCTGGGAGTATTTTGCACAGTTCTTGTAACAGCAATGGCTCGGCCGCTTTCTCAACCGATAACCCGAGCAAATTCCCCGTTAAAGCCCAGCCAAAGGCTGCGACACCACTTGCAGTCACGGGTTGGTGGGATGACGACCTCAACACACCGATTGTAAGCTACACGGTCTAATGGCGCTGCTGCCCCAGTTCATTGCTAACAGAGCAGGCTTCAATCTTCTACCAGGCAACCGACGACTCGATCATTAATGCGTTCTTCACATGCGACAACAAAACAGGCAACTATAAGCTCAATCCCGATGGCAACGACGTTGTATCCGACCTGGCAGGCGCACCCTCTATACACGAAAAGACCGGCCTAGCTGTGACGGAGCTGGGAGACTCGGGCGGCTACCGACTATATTACCACGACGAAGACGGGCTGGTCAACCTGCTGGCGTACGACGACGATACCGATTGGCGATACGATGGGCCTGTGTCGCTCAAAAAGGCCGGTGGCATGGGGATAGCTGCTTTGCAGACAAGGGGAACGAATGTATCAGTCGCTTATCCATACGATAGCAAGAATATTGCCGTCGCTCACTTCAACAATGAGAACAAGAACAAATGGAGCTTAGGTAAAATGTATAGGACCGACGACTGTGTTCTTGTCGCTGACAATTACCTTAGAATCATTCCCGACACCATTCGATAGCCCAGCGCCGACGAACAAAACCGACCCTTCGGATATAAGACTCGATTCCTCGGGAGGCGACTCCGTCCAGCTCTCATCGTTCGATAGCGCGGTCAACCTTGGCCTTTCTGCGACTACGAGCCAACAGTTGTCTGCGTTCTATATAGGTGAAGATGCCGAGCTGCATGCTGCATCAAACGTTGATGGGAGTTGGGAAGAGCAGGAAACTCCTGGCAAGAAGAAATGGCCTCATGCAGACAGCGCGTCCGGACGACTGGCTGTTGTGTCGCCCTTGGAATCTGACCAGCTCTGGGTATACTATACAAGTGGAGAGAAGGTCATGGAGCTCCATAGAGACAGAAAAGGAACATGGGCCGATGCCAGGACTCCCTCTTCGAAGAGCGCTACAATCACCAACGACTCGGATGGATCTGACGGGGACGAAGACTCGAAAGATTCGGACAGTGGCTCTGGCTCTAGTGAGGATGCGACCGAAGACAGCTCATCTTCATCAACAGGCATCACAACTGGTGCAAAGGCTGGAATTGGTATCGGTGTCGGCGTCGGCGTGTTGGCTGCCGCTGCCGCTGCTTTCTTCTTCCTCCGAAGACGACGCCAGAAAGATGTTACGAACGAGCGCAAAGGTTCAGTCGGGGAACTTGCATCAAGAAATAGTTATCATGAGTTGCAGACCGAAGTGCATCAGCCACAGGAAATGCCGTTAACGACACCAACTCAACAGTACGAGTTGCTGGGTGATACAAGACAAAGGGATGCGCAAGTGTAGATAGTACAAGTGGAATATTTTAATTTATTCTTCCAATCAAGATCTTGAAGAAATATGCCAATTGAAGCTGCCAAGCTGCATGACGCATGGCTTGATACACTAGATTCCATTAATGTAAAAGGGTGGCCACTAGAACGAGTCCCCCGTAGTGGCCTAGGCCTTCTAAGGCTCAAAGGGACAGTACTATAAGGCAACTAGACATCGTGAAGTTAGCAATAGTAGAGGCCGGATACAGAAGGTAGTTTGTGTCGCTACATTCCTTGCCATAGTAGAAGAATGATTCCCCTATCTGTCAGCCCAAGGCCATCTGGATCTGGAGAGATCGACTCATCACAAGCCACTTCTAACCAGCCAAGCCTAAAAACAAGCTCTTGTTTGCATTCGATCCACCAATAACCCCTCTAAATTATGTCACATCCCACCCAACTCCCTGTTTCTACAAAATAACCTTAACCTGAAAACCAGTTACATGTGCTGTCAGTCCCGCTTTTCAAGGTACATTTGCTCCGACGAACGTTGTCAAAGATCCAGATCACGATCATTGACGTAATGGGAAAAGAGAGAACGAGTTCCCGAATTCGTTTAGACAAGTACACGCGACTCTTCCATTTCCCTTTCTTTTTCATAGCCTAAGTCCTTACTATTTTGCTTCTCAAGGAATAACCGCCACGAGACAGGAGCAAGCAACAATGTCTAGTAGTATCAAGAGCACCTTTGTCGGCGCCATTCAGGCGTCGGCGTCTGTTTTGCTCACCATTTTCTATGGTGTTTTCGCAGGCCAGACCAAGCTTCTCTCTGTAGAGACAGGTCGACAAATCTCAAAGATTTGCATCAAAATGTTCCTACCTGCTCTACTTATCGTCAATCTTGGTACCCAGATCGAGGCATCGAATGCATCTCTGTACCTCATCATCCTAGGTAAGCCATTGATTGAGCTTCTTCAAGGGTACCATTTAACAAGACATCGTCGCTAGTTTGGGCTCTCGTTTACAACCTCGCCTCTATCGCCGTCGGATACGCCCTGACCAAATGCTTCAGCATGCCAAAGTGGTTCACGCCCGCCATCACCTTCAACAACACCACCTCTTATCCTCTACTCTTAATCCAGTCCCTTGGTTCAGCCGGTGTTCTTTCCGCCCTTGCCAAGTCTGACGATGACACTAGCGACGACATTATCGAACGAGCTAAATCCTTCTTCCTTGTCTGCTCCGTCGTATCCAATATGCTCACCTTTGGCCTTGGTGGTAAGCTTCTTGGAGTTAGCGACGAGGATCCCGTCGAATCTATGGATGAAGACTTGCGCGACCGAGCTGGACATAACGACCACCCACCGACTGATAGCCAAGAACCCGACGAGCGTACATCTCTCCTCCCCGGACGTCTACCTCGATATGTGAAGAAGGCATCCCGCCATACTGCTCGAGCTCAGCACGCTGTTTGGGACAAGCTGCATCCTCAAGTCCAGCGCGCATTGGCACATGTCACTCAGTTTATCAGCCCCCCTACCGTCGGCGCCCTTATTGGTGTTGTTCTTGGGTTTGTTCCTCCATTCAAGAAGGCCTTCTTTAACGATAGTGAGGATGGAGGTATCTTCAACGCCTGGCTGACCGTCAGTCTCAAGAATATGGGAGAGCTTTTTGTTACTTTGCAGGTCATCGTTGTTGGTATCAAGCTGGCTCACAGTCTGAGACGTATGCGACAGGGAAGCGACTCGGGTAACCTGCACTGGCTCCCTCTCTCCATGGTCGTTCTGATCCGCTTTATTATCTGGCCCGTGTAAGTTCAACCATAAACCTAAAAGAACTCAATTCTGACAATGTGTAAACAGTCTAAGCATTCTCTTTATTCGAATGCTTATCACCCAGACCGACGTCCTCGGCGAGGATCGTGTTCTCTGGTTCACCATGATGTTGATGCCAGCAGGACCACCTGCCATGAAATTAGTGGCCATGGCCGAGGTTGATGACGCAGATGAGAATGACAAGATGTCCATTGCCCGAGTACTCATGGTATGTGCAATGAACAACAAATAAACGATGTTTGCATTCAACGGACATGGCTAATTCTCCTACAGACCTGTTACGCAATTTCTCCTCTGCTGTCAATCGCAGTGGTTGCCAGTCTCAAGGCTTGTTCTTGATCACCAAGTGTTTAACGGCACACCCGATTGTGTTATTCCGAAGATGAATCTTTGCATTCTGGCAAATCCACTTCAAAGGCGCCTGATCGGCGATTTGATAGTGGCTCATCTTGCGACCTGATCGTTGTAACGCCGAGCCATTAGCGCAAGGTATGGACTATATAGTAAACGAGATAACCAATGCAAGTTTCCAAGTAGTTTTACAGTATCCATGCTGAATAACTATATATCGTCTTGACCAAGGAACAGACCGTTGCCACGGCCATTCTTTCATTGGCACCTGTATAGAGCCCAGAACAAGAACGTGATGGCAGTCAATATATTTCCCGCGATCTTTCTAGTCTTGTTCTTGTCCCCAATATTCCAAAGGAGTATCGCCACGCCTGCTTTGTAAAGGCCCATCAAGCCCAACAGAGTCGTGATGCCAGCAAAAGACCCGCTAGCTTGAGTGGTGAGCAACAGGACGCCTACAGATAATTCCCAAAGGCCCAGCATATATATTGGCCCTGAGCTCGTGTCCTTTTTGGGGGCGATGGTGTGTCTTATGCCATTGAGCGCGTATTCGGCCTGCGGATTGGCGAACGCCATGACGCTTCGGGCAATGCAGCCAAGGCCGAGGAGGTAGACCAGGGTTTCGGAAAGGGTCATTCTGTAGAGGGTTTGCGTTAAAGAATATGAGACTGATCTCAGTGTTGTGAGTTGAGATTGTGGAAAGCGAGAGCCAATGTGGAGTGGATGAAAAAGAAAATCTCAATGTGCCTTGGTTTGACAAGTCTAGCCATTGTCGGGAGCTTACGTGAGATATGAAATGAGATGTGGAACTCATATCCCAGTGATAACAAGGGGCTGGTATCTGAGTCGTATATTGTGCAACTAATAAAACAGGAAGAGTCGGTTCAAAGCGAAACAACACTATAATTATATTGTCTATCTTCTGCCGGCAAGTAATCATAGAGAACATCATTTCTTGCAACTAGGTCACAGTATATCCTCCATCTACTCTAAGATCTGCCCCAGTCATGTAAGAAGACGCATCTGACAACAAAAAGGTCACAGGACCCATCAGATCTTGAGGTAGTCCCATACGTCCCTGAGGAATAAGAGATGTCCAGGTCCTCTCGATATCTGGGTTATCGTTCAGAATCTTCTGCGTTCTGTCACTTGTTAGTGATGAACTAGTTTACAGAGAGACAATGCAACTTACAGAGCAGTCAACATGTAGCCAGGAGAGATACAGTTGACTCGGATTCCAGCGTGAGCCCACTCTACTGCGAGGGAAGCAGCCAGGTGACGAACAGCTGCCTTGGCCGCGTTATATGGTCTGATTATTTTCGTTAGCTAACTCTTAGTGGGAACACTCAAGGACAAACTCACGCCTGTGGCTGTGGAACATTGACAATAGCACCAGACATGCTTCCAATAACCACGATACTACCAGGTACCTGGCGTTCCATGAGATGTTTGGCAACTGCAACTGCAAAGAGGTAAGTACCGTCAACATTAACACCCCACAACTTGCGCATACGATCGATGGGATAGTTGATTGCCTCGAAATTCTCCGTGAAGCCAGCCGACGTGACTAGACCATCGATCTTATGATGAATGTTGAGGATCTCGGCGATACAGTTTGTTACAGAGTCAGGGTCAGAGACGTCTGCATAGTGAGCAGTGACTCTCGGGATTCTGAGAGTGTGTCAGAACGAGTCCATTTGAATCAAATAGGTCCTTACGTCTCGCTGTTTGGGTTCTCTTTCTTGAAAGCATCTGTCAATTGGCCTACTTGAGACTGGGCTTCGTCCTCTGTTGTCGATTAGTATAGATTCGGACGTCTGGAATATGACTGACTGTTTAAATCGACGATCGCTAGATCAGCACCTGAGTAGACCACACCCTGTCCCATGACTAGCCCGAGGCCTCTTGCACCCCCGGTTATGACAATTGTCTTGCCCTCGAGAGAAAGGGAAGCTAGGGTGGGTTTGGAAAACTGTCCTCCTTGGCCAATCAAGGGCTTGCTGGCGGGAAGTTCATGGTGCTCGGGATACTCGACGCGGACGGCAGCATCGGTGCGAGAATACGATCGTTTGGGAGGATTTCCAGGAGGCATTCTTGGAAAGTAATTGAGTCAATTGGTTGAACAGTAAGTAAAGACATCGAGGTTACTAGTAAGGGGGAAAGGCTCATATATGTACATCCCGTTGTCTGAAGATCGTTTCTGGATCCCGACCAACATGTCTTGCTCTGTAGGAAATTCCACCATTAACCCAAGCACACCAAGAATTATGGATCCTTTCAGATGATCTCCGTGCCGAGAATTCAGGATATTACAATTGATACGAGAAGGACATGTCACGTATTGTTCAGCTGATTGGCAAAACCCAGTCTTGGTAGTATGAAGACCATCCAGACAAGAAGAGTTGAAAGAAAGGGCAAGTCTCATTTCACTTAGCAACTAATATTTCATCCCCCGCGCGGCGGTTGTCCGAGGCGGGAAAGTCGGGTGTTGGATGTTCACGTGGATGAGAAGAACCCCCACGTTACCATCGATCAGATCATATTGAATTGTCTGATAACGAGACTTTTTGGCTTTTGTTGTATGTTTGTCGTCCAACATTTTCGAGTGACTTTTCGAGACCATGTCAGCTGCCATGCTAAATCTTTTGTGGGATAGATGGTATTTGTAAAAGTCCAGCTTTTATTACCTCGTTGGATATCACAGATGTGGATTGCATTTAGGACCTGGCAACCCCGGTCGAACTGGAAATAAGACGATCAAGTCCAAACTTAGAAACAGACCACTAAGCCATTTTCTATCCTCTAATCGCCGGTAACAGCCTCCAGAATTTCCATAACCTCCTCCGTCTTCGTGATCTTATAAGCATTGGTCTTGATCCAGATGTCGTTCAAGCTATTCGCAGCAAGACCGGGGAGATGATCAGACGTTATTCCGACATCCTTCAACGACCTCGGCATGCCCAACTCCCTAATGATCAAGCCGAGAATGTCGGCCAAATCATATTCTTTATCTACCATTTTCAGTCCATTCATGAGTGACTTTACGGGTTCCTGCTTCAAAAGGATATCCAGCGTACGCTTCTGCTGGTCTTTGTTGACTCCCTTGTCGGCGTTGAAATTGCACACTGCTGGAAGCATGATGCAACTCGTCTCGCCATGCCCGACACCTAAAGGACCAAGCTGATGACCGATAGCATGGCTCGCACCCAGGGGTACGCCAGTGGATACTGCGTGCATGGCTTCTACAACACCTGTCTGACAAAGATGGCGAGCATCCAGATCCTGCGGGTCATGTTTGCATCGCAGCAGCCCGGGTATCAACTGTTCCAGCCCATGTGCCGCTGCTTCGTCACCATCTTTGTTGCTTTGCAATGAACACAAAGTCTCAACACAATGGTCCACAGCTCTAATGCCAGTACTGAGCCAGATCTTCTGTGGGGTTGTAGTAGTTAATTGGGGATCCTGAATGACAAAGTCCGGGTCGACTTTGGGCTCGAACGTGAGCTTGGCCTTGCTTTCCTCGTCGGTGGCACCAGCGATAGCCTGATACTCGCCACCAGACAGTGAAGTCGGTATACAAATTAAGGGGATTGTCGGCTTGTGCAACGTCTTGCGCATCTTTGGATTATGTGACTTGCCGCCCCAGAGGGTGTCAATGTCCTCACGTGTCCAGGCGTCATTAGCCATTGCAAAACGTATAAGCTTTGCCCCATCAGTGATACTTCCAGCTCCAAGAGTCACGATACAGTCGATGTTCAAAGTCTTGATCTCGGCGAGGATGTCGACGATTTCTGGGATTGGGGTATGTGGTGAAATGCCGATACGCACACCTACAACAAAATCTCCGAGAGCTGACTTGAGGTCTTCAAGAGATGAAGTATTGTTGGATAGAGAGCGGGACGCAACGATGTACACTCGCGAGCTTTTGAAACGTTCCTGTACTTGCTTGAGGCATATTTCTGGGAATGGCCTGCCAAAGCTGATCAATGGAGTTGATTTACTGTTGAAAGCTGGGCGTGTAGTTTCTTTACTGAACCAGGACGCCATGATGACTTCTATTCTTTTCTGACAAGGTTGTCGAGGTGAAGATTGTACTCGGAGTCTGTGGATAGTTGAGAACGATTTGATGACGTTGAATCCAGCTCATGTGGAGCCGGATAAAGTCATCATGTTGTCAGCACTGCTCTCTCTCCTAGAAACACTTGGTGTCTTCTGCCTTTGGCTTTGGCTTTCTACGTAACTTCCTCTCAACTAACCAAAATACCACAGACCAGTCCGTATTATATATGAGTCTCATTTTCATAAAGCAGATCTTGAAAATTTGTTAGAGTTACCTTAAGCATGAGGCTTGGCTCGAAGACTCAAAGAAATGCTTAACATAAAATGCAAACAGTCATGAAATGAATCACATGAAACCCGAGTGAGACAGTCACAGAAATAACGTCGACTTTCTAGAACGATAGACTAGAAAGCGGCATCGAGCGTGATTTTTTTACTCAGGGCGAGTCTGATATTGTACTACGGACTTGTCGGCATGTGGCGATCGTCGGACGATCAATCTGCCCTAGCGGACCCAATCCAGTTTTAGCCAAGTTCCAGGCGTCTTCACTGGTAGTACTGCGCTAATGCAGGGCAGTTTTGGACCGATGTGAGTGGAGTTGAAACATTTTTTTCACAGCGAGATTTCGGACTGGCTTTGACTTACTCTTGCTACCTTACCATGTGAGTTGGATAGTATCAGATAAAATCACCTTCTCCGCTGATGAAACTCATTTCCACTACAGACACCATGTCTACCAGTGTCTCTATTAAGTCATCCCCTGTGAAACAATGATGCCGGCCGCGTGTCAACCTCCACAACCATCATGTCAGTCCAGCTTACGTAGAGAGGAAACCCACATCACGACTCATTCGTAACCACTTAGCATGCAGTCTGGACCGCCACAAAACAGACATTTTGAGTTCCGTCCGTCGATCGACCCACGTTTCAACCCGGGAGCCGTTGTGGAGGGTCGAAAAAAACAGTTTTCGTCGGGTCCCTCAGCCAGTGAGATCGATCCATGTTGAGTTGACGCGTGTGTCAATGTCAAACAAGGAACGAGCTGCTGAACAAGCTCATGTCGTACCCATCGGATCGGTTCCTAGGATGCGGAGATGCCGGTCCACAAACTGTTGGGACTGGGGGAGTTCGTAAGGTATATGAAGTGTCTTTTCCCCTTGTCAAGAGTTGTCAACCCTGTCATCACATGCTTCTTCTTTCTGTGTGGCACGTTCACTTCGTCGTTCCTTGTTATTACTAAATTCCTTTATAATGAGATTCTCATCTCTCTTTACGAGCGGGCTCGCATCTTTCCCTCTGGTCGCTGGATTTCCGACCGTCACGCCACCTACGGAACACTCTGTTCAACAAGTCAGAAACCCAGTTTATAAACGCGATGGCATCGCAGCACTTCTTAAAATACACCGAAAGTACCATTTCGACCTTCCAGATTATCTCTCAACTTCCGCCCTTGCCCGTCGTGATGGTACTGGGGCTGTCACGAACAGACCTATCGACGACGATGCAGAGTGGTTGACACCAGTTCAAATCGGCAACCCCCCAAGGACATTCCAGATGGATCTCGACACTGGATCATCAGATCTCTGGGTTCACGGGTCACAATCGGCTGCTGCAGGCGGTAGCCGCACTCGATACAATTCTACAGCATCCAAATCCTGTGAAGAGATGAGTGACGCGAAGTGGTCGATCGAGTACGGAGATGGAAGTGGGGCATCAGGACATGTGGTGAAAGACACAGTTTCGATCGGCGGTTTGTCAGTGCAAGCTCAAGCAGTACAGGTGGCAGATAAGGTTCACGATTCCTTCGCACAGCAACAAAACGTGGACGGCCTACTGGGACTGGGCTTCCGCTCCATCAACACTGTCACGCCAAAGAAGCAAAAGACCTTCTTCGAGACTGCCAAAGACGACCAGGGCACTTCAGTATTCACTGCCGACTTGCAACACGATGCTCCAGGTACATATACGTTTGGCATCATCAACAAAACAGCATATACGGGTGACATTGTTTACACAGATGTAGACCCATCCAACGGCATGTGGACTTTCACATCAGAGGGGTTTACCATAGGCGATGGTAAACTAAACAAGAGATCTATCTCAGCGATTGCTGATACCGGAACATCACTCATTTGGCTACCCGACGACATCAACGAGGCCTATTATTCTCAGGTGGAAGGGGCCAAGTTGGATAAGACAGCAGGTGGTTATGTGTTTCCCTGTGATGCAAAACTTCCTGATTTTACACTCGTTATCGGCGGCTCAAACACAGGGGTTACAGTACCTGGTGCCTACATGAATTTTGCTCCTCTCGAAGGGCCCAAGCCGGTTGGGTCGGGACAGAAAGATAAGAGAAGTGACAAAAGTTCCGAGTCAGGTACATGTTTTGGAGGACTACAGTCAAGTTCTGGCTCAGGACTAAACATCATTGGTGATGTTGCACTAAAAGCTGCTTTTGTGGTTTTCGATGCAGACAAGAGACAGATAGGGTTTGCTAAAAAGACACTACGTGGAGACAAATAGAAAAAGACTAAGGAAATTTGAGAATTATCAGTTTAGCGTTAGAAGAAATCAAGCCATTCGTTCAATAAAATTTACTCTACACTCGGTAATGGAACTGTTGTGTTGGGAGTTGAGATGTGCAAGGGTTATTGACGAGACTGACTGCACAGCATAACTCTATTCTGTGAAGAATTCCCGCACAATACTTTTCTCTCCTGCATAAGCCGGGCATGAAACTGACATGCATGCATAAGCGCGAATTAGACTTTCACTAAATTCTTCAGGGCAAGTCAGTCCTCTCGGCCAGACTCTCAAAGACTAACGTAGTATGTACAGTAAGTTGCAAGTTTTGCACCTACCAAGGCCGGAACATCTTGTTCTGACTCGCTGCCGATAAGCAACTGATAAGATAAGCGGACACTGACCGGATCAATTGTAGGACGTCGCACACGTATATTAGACTAGACCTATAGACAAACCTGGTGATGTTACATTGTACCAGGGTGAAATGTTCGAGCAAATGACACCCAACTCCAGCTAACCTCGGCAGCATATTTAGCCAATACTGATCACACCAGGACCACAACCAATGGATGTGAGGTGCCATCCAACCGCTCTCTCAATGTTCTTCATCTGTTTGGGTATCTGGTGACCCTTCATGTTCATCATGACCAGCATAACTGCAGCCAAGCACGTATTTCCGTACCATGCGACTGCCTCTTCTAGCACAACCTTGACATCCTTTCGCACTTGCTCATCACGGCACTTGAACAATACAATGACAAGTGGCTTCAAGACCATGTTGTCCATCACGTTCCAGTCAATTGATGACTTCAACTCTTGCTGCATGCGGCGTGTTGTTCGGATGATCTCCCGCCAGATGGGTCTCGCGTCGGGCAAGACTTTTGCGTCTGCATTAAGCTGTAGATGCAAGCCCGAGAGGCACTCGGTGTAGAGCGCTTCAAAGATACAGGCCGTCACATAACGATGCGGGGAGTCGTATTGGTGGTCTTCAGTGTAACGGTAGAGCAGGACAAAAGCGCTGTGCCAGTTATGAAGGACGGTGAAGGCCTTTTCCCATACAGCTTTGTTCGCAGGATCAACAACTTCGTAGTCATCAAAAAGATGGTGGGATATGTGATGCTGAGTAACATCCCACCACCTTAAAGCTTCATCTAAATCACGGAAAGACGTGGGCATGTTGCGAATCTCATATCTGTGCCTTCCCCAGCACCGCTTGCCGCCCTTGAAGTCGGGGCGCTCGTCGCCGGTAATGCCCAGTTCCAGGGGCCATGAGTAGGTGCTCAACCGCTGGAACATGTCGAACATGGCTGATTCGAGTGCGTTCAACCTTAAATCTGTCATAGAAACATTTTCCTGCTCGCATCGCTTCCCGAAATAGGTAACAAGGAGACGGCTGGCGTGGTCAAAGTGCAGGGTTGCAGCCTTCATGTCTCCGCGCATCATATCGTACACCATGAAGATAACAGCTACGTGAGCAACAGCCAGCAGCGACTCTAGGGCTGTTCCGGCGGCCCGCACAGCACGAATGGTACGGTTGTAGTACATGAGGGAGAGCTGCTGAGCTTTCTCGGCTTCTTCGCCATTCACATGGGGTGCAGTAAAGGCACCCACAGCGGCACCCACAGCGCAGCACATCTCACGGATAGCAGGGTTGTGGTGTGCTATCTGGGGCGTAATGGCAGCCAGCGTGTTGTGAGGTAGAGATGTTCCCTGCTCGTTTGTGAAGAGGAAAGTGGAGAACATGTCCCACGATGTCTGGTCCTTAAACACAGTTGTGACATAGTCTGGTACAACAAGGATGCGTGTGTCGCCTCCCGGGATTGCGGTAGCAGCTACGCCTTCATTACTAGTTGAAGTGGTGCGGACAATCTCAGTGTAAGAGTTGAAGTTGCCAACAGGGCTGGTTGCTTTGTTAGTGCTTGTGGTTGCGACTGCGGTGGCGTTACTAGCTGGGTTGAAAGAAACGCTTGAGCTCAGTGGGAAGTGGCACGTTAATCCAACCGCCTTGCAGCGGTTACAGGTCGGTTTGCCCTCGTCACATTTCACTTTTCGACGTCTAAGGACATGGTGTCAGCAATGGGACATTTCATATCCAACCAGCTAATTAGACATGTACTAACTTGCACTCTTTACAGCCAGTGCGGGTCTTGAATGTCTTAGCCCTCTGCCTCTTAGCGGCATTCGGACCACCGTCCCTGACGTCAAGCACCCCGATATTGGCTTTCGGGATATTCTGCTAGATACTGTGTTAAACACTACTGGCCAGAGGTCTTATAGAGTGGAAAATCGCACCTGATTCGCTCGTGCCTTGTTGGTAGACACGCTCTGAGGTGCTGGATCACCTGGAGACGGCTGCACACCGCCACGAGGAGATCTGATAGCAAGCTCCATCGTTCTGGGACAACAGAAGGGTCTGTACCCTGCAGTCTGACAAAACGGGTACAAAGCAATCAGCTGTTAGCTGCGGTACGGGGGCAAGACAGACGGGTGTGACGTGATGAGCGCCAAGTGAAGGATGCGATGGGCTGGACTGGACGATGATTTGGGTGAGCTGAACTGGTCTGTTGGTACAGCGGGGAAGATTTAGAGCGATTTTTTCCCTCGAGCCTCCACCTGACACAGAAAGGGGTCCAATCAGAAGCTGTTCTGTGCGAGTTACTGAAAGTGGTTAAGCTCGATATCCTCAAATGGTAGTGATCGCCGACATCTTGGGTCTGAACCCAACGACATGAGTACGATTTTATTAGTTGTCTCTACCGCTCTGAATTATTATCACACTTGTTTGTACTTCTATCATGGGTCAGTAACATGCTACCAGTCCCTGTCTAATCTTGCATTGATCGTCATTACAAGAACTTCACTGCAACGTTAGGTACTGAAACAAGGTTTTATTGGATTGTACAAAATTCTATTCCATCCGTGATGTACCCAGTCCAGTTGGGTGCTTACTTACTTTGGCAATCTATCTGCCTACCCTTGTGCCCCAGGTTAAGTTGCTTCTGACTTGGTCACTGTCTCTTTGAGTGCCTCAAGCTTCTCGCTCAACGCTCGAATTCGCTGATCGCAGATACGAACACATTTAGTGAGAAAACGCTTGTCGCCTTTAGCAAAACCGATGGACATCTCAACATCATGCAGAGTCTTCTCGGTCTCGTGCATCTTGATTCTAGTTTCGTGAAGTCCAGGTGTCTCGATGCAGGGCTTCAGGATGTTCTCATGGATACTTTGTGGAGAAAATTCCCCAACATCCTCCAATCCTCGAGCTTTCAGTTGAACAAAGCCCTCCATGATACATGACTGATATGCCATAGTCAAAATCACGCCATAGTCCTTTGGAGTGTACCCCCAGAGTGATCCGTCGCTGTCGGCGACTTCTTCATTGATGCAGTTACCTGTGCAACGAATGAACCTTCTGTCATATTCCGACATTGTATTGCAGTGTGCTCGAGAAGAAATGATGGTGGAGGCATGGTCTATGAGAAATGGGACCTTTAAAGCACCCAGGTGGTTAGCCCAGAAACTCAGGACAATAAACTCGGAGCGAGTCAGACCTTTTGGACCAGACAGGCCCGGGATGATCTTACGGACACCGGTGTTCATGGCATTGTAGGAGGATCCACCTACTTCGGTGAGAGGGATGTCGGTGAAGTATGATAGGTTCATGATGAATAGTGCATCATTTGTGCCGTGTTTCTCCATCAGGGCTGCAACCTCGGGGTTAGAGGTGATTTTGAAAGAGTGCATCATACTGACGGTGTTGTGACTTTCTGTGATGTGGAGGATTGTTTTTCGTGCTTGTTGACTGATGATACAAGAGTTTGTAGGATGAGTTATGGGAAGTGTCTGCACATCAGAAAGCGAAATGATATCTCCGCATCTTTAAATGTCATAATTACACCATTGTTCGAGTTTGTTATCCGTTGGTCAATGTGTGTTCTGGTCAAATAGAATAATGAATTGTTAAACACGTATGTACATATCGATCGAACAAAGAACAACAAGTACTTAAGTATACACTAATACAATGAGAAACAGTTGAACAAATACTGTGTGCGTCGGCAATTTATGTATGTTCTGTTCGTATTGTGGGTTGATGTGGTGCGTAAACTCGTTCATTCCTGTATCGATACCTGTTTCGATTTACTGTTCGTGGTGTACCAGCCAAATGGATACCTGTATTCGAGGGCAGGCTGATATGTCCGCTTGGGGCCCACTCCGTTGGCTTCCCATACTTCTCCTTGCATATTTGGACGTGTAAATACTCCATCCTATTGGTCAGAGCACAAGCCAGAGTTGTTGAGATTTATGTGTGGATACAGAAAGAGTGGCATGAAACCAGAAATTGCAGTGTATCCATCAACATTATTTGACATGTGTACCAGAACCTACTGTTGGTACATGTCGTTGTTTTTTGCAGCCCGTACCGGTCATGTTTGAGTATACAATAGAATCCAATATTACGGGGGCGATACCAGGATCTTCAATACTTCAACCAATAACAGAGCGTTGGCCAGAGCCGTGTGTAGTATTCTTGCCAGCCTCAGGTTCTGTTTCTTACAGGACAGATTCGTCTTTCCCAGGCCCCTGCTATTGTTTCTCTTCCAGTCGCCTAGCACAATTTCTATAACGCTGAGATGTGCCTCTCCTTTGCCAGAGAATGACTCATCAGTCGCGGCTAAACTTTCGGCAACGCCTGACCTACAACCTGAGAGGGGGCAGGACAGTGAATTGTTTGTATCGTTCGACAGATGATGATACAAACTCGTAAAAGGGGTGAAGTTTGGATGGTAATCCAGGACATAATGAGCAGTGACATATTGAACCTTCCCTAGATCAGACGGTACTTGATCGACTGGGACAAAAGTGGCTAATGTCCCTATATTCGCAACCCAGCTCTTGGGAAATCGCTACTCTTTTTATAGTTCTGGTTCACAGTACCTTTAATCTAAGAAATACCTTACATGCAACTCCTGCCTGTGTATTTAGTCTGTTAGATGTTATGTTTATCAAGAAAAGGGTCTTTTCACGATATGGCCGTTCCAGTTACACGGGTTATCATATATCTCCCAGTTGTATCATAATTAGAGGATAAGGAGCTAATGATTTGATTAATGAAGTAACTGGATAGGTCGTGCGTGAGACAAAACTACCTACAGGGTATCTGGTCCAACAATACCCATCATTCTTAGCCTTCCCATACCGTCAGCTCATGATAATTTCTGGCTACGTATAACTGTTTTTAAAACCCAGTATCTCAATGATTTTTTTTTTTTTCTTTTGAAGACCAAAGGATTTCATCTGATTCCTTTGGACTTGCAGGTAGTGAACAGTTCAGTCCAATCTCGAGGCGAACATGATGTGCGTAGATCTAGCAACAGGATATGTCTGCATCTAATTGAAGAATGTGCTAGTTTATGAATTATTTTCCGTTGCTTCTTAAGCACTTAGACCCTGCCCAATTTTGAGAAATCTGGCTAGACAAGGAGGCATTCAAATGTTGTTAATGGATATATCATCAGAGCCTGAGAAAGACAGTGTTATCAGCGTCAGAGATCATTGCAGCACTGTACGTGAAACCCTTTTTCGGACGATGGCCAAATAGCGGGGATGTATGAAGACAAGAAAAAGAAAACAATAACCTTCTCGTTTGAACCTTCAGCGGAAAGAAACCGCCACAGTCACCGAGCTGACAGTTTCGCTACTTGGGAATGGAGACGCCTAAAGACGCATCCAACAAGCGCGCCGAAGGTGGAGAGTCTGCTAAGGTTGTTGTGATCCCTGTCAGCACGTTGTCGCGAAGCTGAGCGCGTCCTACCTCTGAAACCTCCATTCCACTCTTCATTTGTCCTACAATGGCGTCCACCAAATTCGCTTGACGCGCTTCATCCAATGATTGCACATTTACCACGATTTCGCTGACACACGTTGATGTGTATCTTCGTTCCCTCGACTGATCCTGCCTCCTTGAGCCCGTCCAAGATCCACGACCGTGACTTGATTGCATTCGACCCCAATCACTTTCTCCTAAACCCGACGCCTGCCAGCTCCGCCGACCCGTTCTCCTCCACTTCCCTCGCCCTCGCAAACCTGTTCCATCCAAGCAAAACGTATCGTCCGTGTCGCACCGAGTTCGAGTGAATATACTTTCTGTATCGAGACCGTAGACTAGTTCGTGGATAGCCTGGGATCAATGATGGTTTCCTCCACATAGCCTCTTGGGATTATGGATGTGCAATCCAGATTTACAGCATTCCGCCACGGTCATCTTGCCACACGTACCTGGTCTGAGGTCTAGTGCGTTCTGACGGGCGTGGACTAGATGCTGCTCTACAAGGCTCTTGTCTGTAGGAATCTCCGATCTAAGGGCTATTGACCCGTTTCCTGACTTCTCACCCGCATGGGAGTCGTGTATTCGCTCTATCGTTCGCCTCGACTCTATGATCTGTATACAAACTTGGCGGTCTACACATCAGGTTCAACCTCATCCACGGTCGGCACCTTGTTCAACTCCACCCCAAAGAACTTGGCAACATCCCTCACACTATCCCAAATAGCCTGGACATCGTCCTTGGACACGCCAATCCTTCTCGTTCCTCTAATGTGCCAGTGCGTCTCTAGTGGTAGGTTCTGGCTCATGATGGCCGGCAGCACCACAAGTTGCGTATCCACGTCATCCAGTACCTTTCGGTCGGACAAGAACAGCCCGTACGTAATCTTCATTGAAGTCCATGCAAAGTCCTTGTGCGCGTCAAACATGCCAATTGTATCCCCTGCGTTCCGCGTGTACACCTTTTTGAACCAATCCTTCCCTCGCTCGTGGCTTGCGTCGTTGATCTGGAATCCTTCACGCGTGGTGCTGTAATCGCGGTCCTCGGGCTTCTCGACCTTGCTAATGGCGAGGATGGCTTCGAGCGGCTTGCATACGCCGACGAGGATAACACTTTTGAGCAGTGCTTCACGGATACGTCGAACGAGGGCTTGTCGCGATTCGCTAGTCTGGTATGGGACTTGCTTGGTCAGGTACTGGTACAGAGCGGCGGCAGCTTCAGGGTCGGGACTAGTAGAGAGGCAAGCAATAACCAGGAGGTACCAGCGTTGGTCGCCGAGTTGAGTGCCCTTGAAGCTGCTCTCGACCCTTTGGAAGAGCTGGGATAGCTCTGGGGTAAGCTCTGAGGATGTCATTGTATCGAGTGATGTTCCAAACAAGTTACGGTAGAAAACACTGATGAGAAATGAACAAGGTTTCTTCCCCTCTCTGTACTCTTTACGTCGTGTCACAATAATGTAGCTGCCGAGTGATTGTTCTCTTGTTATTGGACCTCCGATATTAGAGTTATTCGTGATTCATATCGTCCGATTGCTTCTGTAGCTTTGAATTGTCCGAGTATCCGAATGGACCGACCCCGCATTGCCGCTGTTCCTGTACAGGGCCCAACCTAGCTCCCTAATGACGTTCCAGCCGACAATCACAGGGCAGTTCTGGATCACAACACTAGAGTGAAGATCACCGTCTAGGGACTATAGCCACCAACAAGAAAGGTCTTCTCACTTGATGTGCTTCTCCACACTGGTAACGTTATTAGTAATACCAAGTTCGTCACGATTATATCAAATCAGATCGCTCGGACGTTTTGCCTACTATCATGAGCCAACAACTTTCTGAAGTCAATTGATCACACCTAAGGGTGTAGAGTTTGAGAAGAAGATTGAACACTCCACTAAACATCCAGTCAAAGACGTTTCTCTAAAAGCCAACAACTGTTACACCGAGGTCTGTTGCCCCTCTATCTTCAACGCAAAACTGCGCCTTTGTAGTTCCTTGAATGGTTTCCAGAACTGACCAAGAATTTACTGATCGACAAATGACTCGACTCTAGGGTACCTAGGCTCCTAGCCTCCGTGGTTTAATCCGGCCTAGGAAAAAAGCCCTTGTTCAGCGGCCCGTGGACCGCAATGACCGACTCCTTGAAGTCCTTGACCATCTCCACCGTAGAGCCCTGGCCCCTCGATATTAAATCTGTGTTTTACCATGTAATCACCTTCCTTTCCATTGGTTCGTTTACCGATCACGGATAATCCTCCGATTTATGCTAGTAGCGTCTCAATATTGCACCAATACCCATCAGTCGTCGGTGTTCTCTCATCCCATTAAGGTAAATGTCCGTTAGCCTCGGCATTGACCAGATGAAATGGGATGATGCTTAATGAAATTGCACATGGAGGACATGACTAGTGGCAAGGGTCCGATGGACAGAATAGATAAAAGTCGTAGAATTACTCATTTTTGCTTTGTCTTTGTTATTCAACTTCATCTCAATTTGAACTTCACGGCTACGACATTCACCATGCTTTTCAACCTTCTTTTCCTCTGCTCCACTGCCTTTGCGCACCTTCACTCATCATCAGCAAACGACTGGCGCCCTCCTTCCAAAAACGATCGTACGTACATTGATTCACAACCAAATTGACGCGAAACTAAGAGTCACAGGACGAAGCCCTTGTCCCATGGTCAACTCTCTCGCCAACCATGGATACCTTCCTCGTGACGGCCTTAACATCTCACTTGATGACTTGATTGTAGCCTTCACTGATGCCGTCAACCTTGACCCAGCCGCTACAACCCTAGTTGGCAAGAAGGCGTTGGAAACCGGTGATGGTAACACCTTCAACCTCGACGACTTGGCCAAGCACGGTGGTAAGTAGTCCGAACTCGGATTCTTGAAAGGCTTTGACTAAACGAACCAGTTCTCGAGCATGACGGCAGTTTGAGCCGTGATGACCTTTACTTTGGCGACAACTCGAGATTGAACCCTCAAATCTGGAAACAAACATTGTCGCACTTTCTTGAACCCTACATTTCCATCAAGACGGCTGCCGATGCCCGCAAGGATCGTCTTGCGGTTGCTAATGCCACCAACCCTGAGTTTTCATTGTCTGCTGAGCAGAATCAAATCAGTTTGATCGAGACTGCTTTGTACTTGACTGTCTTTGGCAACGCTGAGGATGGAAATGCGAATACTAGATGGGTCAGGACAGTTTTCGGTAAGTTAGCCCATACTTAATGATTGTGTTGACGCTAATGTCGTGTAGAGAAAGAAACGATCCCTTTCGGAGAGGGATTCCAGCGATCTGAGAAGCCGATTACCGCTGCTCAGATTCTCGGCATGGCTGGCAAAGTGGCTCAAGCTGGTAACTGAATCGTTAATGGGGTGATAGATAAAACATAGGGTGGTATGTCAGTTCTCTGATGTTTCCCTTTGTTGAAGGTCTGTTATGGAAGCAGAATTAGAAGCCCGAATACCATTTAACAAGAATTTTCCATTCAATCTCCAAGTAATCTTAGGATGTCAGCTCGTGAGTAGTAAATTGTGTGATCATGTACTTCATAAGTGGTATAACTACTGGTTTTGCGTCGTCCTTATCTAAAGTAGTTGCTTACTGGTAACGTATCAGAGGTACCATAACTACCTGTCTCTGAATTTCAACTTGAAGTAGTGACAACTGAGGCGCACAGGTCTGCTTCAGAACTAACCCTGGCACAATTCATATCGACACTTCTTTAGGTTCGGGATCCAGCTTGGAGAGTTGTGGGCATGTAAGAAGCTCTATCAGCAGGGTTGAAAGTAATTGATCTTCCTGTAGACGACTCATACTTTGTAGAGGAAGGAAAAGGTCTGCGAAAAGTTTGTGAGATGTTGTTTATTAACGAGCCTTTGAGCAAACATTTATAGCGCATGAACTGTAAAGATCATACACAAGTTTATTCATATCGTTACTTTCTAGGACGAAAGTATCACAAAACCTTGTTATAGGTGGCAAGATTCTCGACATATAAGTACCTATTCGATCCCTTTGCTCTTTACCAGCTCTGTCGCCTATAACCTATGATGGCGCCCCACAAACCCCAGATTGATCATGGCATCTCCGAACGTTATGGAAGGGTGGCACAAACTTCCACACGAACTACGACTGGAAATCCTCAAATTCGCACTCACACCTCCAATCAAACTTCCAACCCCTTCAGAAGTTCAACCTGATGACTGCGTGAGAGCATGCCTCCAAGTATGGAATAGGAAACCCCGGAATTTAGCGACGGACCTACTTCTGGTGAACAGGCAGTTTCGCGACAATGTTCAGCGCATCATCGAATTCATGCCAGAAGTGTATCACCTCGACGTTATGGTTCTCAAAGATTACGGACTTTGGACAACTTGGTACCTCCCGAAACTGCCCGAATTTACCTGCATCGATGAAGTTACCGTCACATTTCGCATCTTTCAATCCGCTGATGATCGACTATTTGGAATACGCGAGCGGGTGGACACATGCGATGCGGGACCTTCATAATCTTTTTGCATGTCTTATCGGTATTGGGCCTGGCTTTTTCTTCAAGAAGATCGACGTAAATGTCCTTTCGGCAACAGATGCCGCCACCCATACCGGACTATGGCGTAGGGAGTGCAAGACAACAAAAGTAATGCACCGTAAGTATGGACCTGAAGGGTCTGTACCCTAACGTACTGACAAGCAACTTGCTGAGTCCATCGTGCTCCTATTCAAGCACATCTCAAGCTTAACCTCGAAACTTTATCAATACATGGCAATATATCATAGAAACCTGGAGGAAGGTATTGTTCTTCGGCTGAACGGCGTTGAATCTCAAAGATTGGACCTTGACAGGATAACAAAAGACATGGAATACCATGGAAGCGCCGCTGATCAGATGATGAGACAGCTGAAAGAAACTCGAGAGAGACGCGAAGAGATGAAGCAGCGTTTCGAGAGGCAGCGTCACCGAGCTCGACATGGGAACACAAGGCGTACGATTCGATAAGTCCTATACATTTAGAGGCATTACGACTTTACAACCAGTCGTTGGTCAGCTGGATATACAGCTACTGTATCCGACCTGGTGGACAGTAGCTATCGATAATGGGATGTGGTTTCTTTGTGATTAGCCTACAGTCTATGCCGGGCAAGGGAATCACCATTATGATCGGTTGAACATAACTGGGCGGGTCGCAAAAAGATATAGACTAGGAAAAGGCTAGATAAAAATGTTGATGCTCTCTTAGGCTATATGCTCATCAAATCTGATTAGATATTTCCATTATCCACTAAATCAGTACCGGATTTTATGTCACTTACCTGATATTCAAGATTAGTTCACCGTATCTATGGAGATCATTGCCTATTATGGCTCGGACTTAACGGTCCACGGAGTCATCATTAAAGCAACAGCATGACGTCTTCAAGTCGGAACCTCTACCTATAAAACACATACTAAAGTAGCTCAGAGTCAAATTAAAATAAGTCAAATTTCAACCGATACTAGAGAATGGCACCCTCAGGTCTTGCTATCATTATCGGAGCTGGTCCCACCAGCGGCCGGGGTATTGCCCGTGTTCTCGCCCGAGCAGATGGTGGTAACTTCGCTGTAGCTCTTTTGGCTCGCAACGCCGATAAACTCAATGATCTTCGCGACTCTCTCCGCAAAGAGACAAATGGACTTCTCCACGCATTCCCCACCGATACTAAGCCTGAGAACCTCCGCAAGACATTCCAGGACATTCGCAACCATGATGACTTCAAGGGTCTGAAACTCAAGCTTGCGATATATCACGTCAAACATGCCAGCAAAAAGCCTTTTCTCGAGGAAACAGCTGAGGCTTTCAGCGAAAGCATGCAGACGTACACCACAGGCGCTGTAGTCTTTTCACAAGAAGCTTTGAAGCTTATCTACGAGCAGAATGGTGGCCAGACACTCTTGGCTGATACAAACGGCGCCAAGAAGGGAACTATTATCTTCACTGGCACCCTGGGTGCCATGCGGACAAACCCTGGGTATGCTGCCTATGGAGCAACTCGTGCATCGGCTCGGATGGTAGCGCAGGCTATCGCTAAGGAACACAGCAAATATGGAGTACAGTGCGTGCATGCGATTGCGAATGGTCACATTAGGGATGAGGACACTGAGGAAACCAGGACTGGAAAGCATATGAGGGCCGAGGATGTTGGACAGACGTATTTGTGGTTATCGCAGCAGCCCAGTTCGCTTTGGGTCCATGAGTTGGACTTAAGGCCGGCTCAAGAGTCTTTTTAGAAGCTATCTATTATTTATGGATAGTTATGCATGCTTAAAAATGGAAAGGTCCGTTATGTTATAACCCTAGTAGTGCCTAGAGAATGTCCAATTGTTTCCAATGTCTGGCCTTGACTTTTCCTTCACTCTATCAGTACATCTCCAGTCCACCACTAGCAGATAGAGCCTGCCCAGTAATCCAACGACTCTCTTCCAAAGCCAACCAAGCAACAATCTGGGCAATATCGTCAACTTCCCCCAACCTATTGCCTGCCGGAGTCTGCTTCTTCTGCATATCCACAATCTCTTTTGGAATATTATCCAGCAAATCACTCTGCACAGGCCCTGGATTCACCGCGTTGACTGTATGTCCCTCTTCACCAAGTTCTGCAGCCCATGAACGTGTCAGTCCTTCAAGTGCAGCTTTCGAAGCACAATAAAGAGATAAGTTTTTAAAACCGCATCGCGCCCCTACAGACGAGATGTTGATGATGCGCCCGCCACCCGATGATGGGAGGTAGGGTTTCACAGCTTGTAGTAGCAGGAGAGGTGCACGGACATTAAGGTAGAAAATAGAGTCAAAGTCAGGTATCGTAAGATCTGTATGGAGTTTGACAATTTCCATGCCGGCGTTGTTGATAAGGATATCGATTTGGGTACCGAAGGTGGCGACAGCTTGGCGGACTATCTCAGCAGGGGCGGATTCCTCCTTGAGATCTGCTTTGACGCCTATGCATTGTGATGGTGGATCAAGAGATGCTATCTTTTCCGATAGTTTACTGACAAGCCTTTCACTACTTGGAGAGGTATATGTTGCAATAATCTGTCATCAGTCAATAATAGTCGATTTGAGTATGGAGGTTGCTTACCTTGGCGCCCCTTCTTGCAAGTTCATACGCAAAGCCTGCACCGAGACCACGAGATGCGCCTGTGATGATAGCAACCTTGCCCTTAAGCGTCTGAAAGTTGCGTTGAGAATCCATGATGATTTGTCCGTAACAGTCTCGAGATGAAGTTGTGTTCGTAACAAGTTTGACGTACGAAGTAGCGCTTATATAGAAGAATTCGTAATATCGTAATCTAGCATAAGGTATTCATTACCTGGTTCTCTGACCTCAACTCCGATGGCAACGGTGATTTGACGTATGTGGATTTCGGCGATAACCTCTGGCAATACTCTCGCCTAATGTGATTGGCTAATTGGCAAGGCCATGTTTTCGGCGTTAGCACAAAAGATGACTTCCCTGATTTCTCGTTATTGCTTCTGCAGATCTTGCCTCCAAGCACGAATTTTATAAAGTAGCAATGGTTGTTTATTATTGACATCATAAAAAGAAACGATTGTTGCGCTTAAACAATACCAAAGACTATCCACCTCAGAGATCAAAAGTAGCCGCTTGTAAATCATAGTTTCGACAGGGGCAAAACCTGGAGATCATCTCTGCTTAGGTCCCGAATACTCTTCCTACCAACATTTGCGAGCATGTTATCCATATCTGCGAGCAGGCACTTCAACACGTGCTCTACACCCTGCTGTCCACCTGCGGCAAGCCCATATGCATAAGGTCGACCGATGGAAACCGCCTTCGCTCCAAGGGCCAGTGCCTTGAGTATATCTGACCCCGTCCTTATACCACTGTCGAAGATGATAGTCAGGTTAGAATCCTTGACCTTTTGATCGGCTGCAATCTCGGCGAGAGCGTCAAGTGACGCTACCGCACCATCGAGTTGACGACCGCCATGGTTGGACACAATGATACCATCCATGTCATGCTCAATGGCCAAATGAGCATCCTCAACTGTCTGGATTCCCTTCAGAACAATCGGACCACCCCACAGCTCCTTCAGAATCTTGAGATGCGCCCATTCACGGTATGTGCCCGAGTTGATCACGTCAATCCAGGCTTTCGACTTGACCATAGTTCTCGCGTTGGCAAGAACACGTGCAGCACCGTATACGGTGCCAGGCCGCTTCATGATCGACCATAGTTCAGCCAGTTTCTCTCCCACACCTCTTGAATCGTTCTTTTGCATCTCATCAAACATTCTATTAAAGACAGGGTCCGAAAAGCCGATTTGGCAGCCTTGACCCCAAACAAAGGGCAGGTAAGAGGTGTCGAGATCTGTTGGTCTCCAGCCCAGACTGAACGTGTCGAGAGTGACAACGAGGACTTTGTAACCTGACGCTTTCGCGCGAGCGAGGAGACTCGCTGTGACTTCTTCGTACTGGGGCTTGGGCCAGTAAAGTTGGAACCATCGATCGCCATCGGCGTTGGCGTTGGCGACCTGCTCTATTGACCTCGTAGCAGCAGTTGACAGAATCATGGGCACACCAACATTATGACATGCTTTTGCAGTAGCTTCCTCAGCATCGGGATGCAGGATACTCTGCACACCAATCGGTGAAACAAGCAAAGGGCTTTTGTATTTCGCCCCAAACAACTCAACTTCTACATCGCGCCTAGTGACATCAACGAGAAATCGTGGCCTCAATCGATACCGATGAAAGGCGTCAGTATTAGCTTTGGCTGTAGCAGTGCTGCTGGCTGAGCCGTAGACGTAGCCAAAGTTGGCAGCGGGGACCTTTTCCCTAGCCAATGACTCCCATTTTGCGGGGTTCGTAGAGAAGAGAGGAGGCCGGAAGGATTGGTAGATGTCTCGCTGGAAGTTGGAGAAACTGGTGGGATCTGGGAGGGAGAAAGGTTGACTCAATCTTTGAGGATCGACTTCATTATGTGTCATTTTGAGTATTTATTGGAAGATTCGTCAAGTAGTTATTGTTGTTGAAGATGAAGATTAGGCCATGGACATACATGGTCTGTTGTATGTCTCCTCACGTGGAGTAAGCCGAGGCTATAAATCTCTCCGCTAAACCTAGTCCTTATCTAAACAAACACCACGAACTGAAAACAACGTCATGACGTCTTGTTTCCACGCTCCAGCGCAATATTAGAGTCGCCTTTATAAAGTGATCTAGAATCTCCTGTGAAAAGTAGTACATGGCAACATTTTTGCCACTGCACGATCGACAGGCGATTGTTACGAATTTTATGACAAAGCGTTACTGACGTAGCGGCGGGAATGTCGGATCGGAATTTCCGGGCAAAGACCGTCTGGTAGAACACTTTATAACATCAACCGAACACCTCCACTCACATCTCACGGATGACATCTGTAATCCAACCATTAAATCGATCGGTTTACTGATAATAAATAGTTACATTATGTCATGTCCCGGCACGGAGCATCCGGCTCATACATCGAGTTATAAAACACCCATTTTCACCTAGCAACATACATCTTTTCCTCTATGTCCTATCCTTCAACGGTCTCTTAATAGATAGCAATGGATGCGATACCTTATTTCGACGTGCCATCTGGCGCAACCGCCAGAGTGAGCATCATTGACTCCTCTCTCCGTCTGTCAAGGATGCCTTTACAACACCTTCTGAAACCCGCCATGGCAGGCTTAGATTTTATACCCTCAGCAACAACCTGGTCATTCTTGATAGAAAGTTCATCGGGAAAGAAAGCACTCTTCGATCTGGGAGTACCAAAAAACCCATTGGAGAACTTCTCTCCGATGTGGTGCAAGACGATAACCGAGGGAAACTTGGGTGTCGATGTTCCGAAGAATGTCGCAGATATCCTCAAGGACAATCATGTACAGCCTTCAGAAATCGATAGTGTTATTTGGAGGTATGTATTCCTTTGACAACTCAGCTGCATGACTTATCAATGGGCTAGTCATCATCATTTCGACCACATCGGAGATGTCACAACATTTCCTAATTCCACAGAGCTTGTTGTCGGACATGGCTTCAAGGAAGCTTTTTGTCCTGGATACCCGAGAAACCCCAATTCCCCTATCAGGGAAGTTGACTACATGTGAGTATCACCAAGATATGATTCGTAACTATAGACTGATAGTTCCAAAGAGGGCGAAACTTTCGAGAAATCGACTTTGATAAGAAACCCCTTGTAATCGGACCTTTTCGAGGGTTTGACTTCTTTGGCGACGGCTCTTTCTACCTTCTTGATACGCCTGGCCATGCCATTGGTCATGTGGCTGGCCTTGCACGTACAACCACTGATCCGGACACTTTCATCTTCATGGGTGGCGACCTCTGTCACCATGGGGGTGAGTTACGACCATCACCGTACCTCCCGATTCCACAACATCTATCCCAACATCTGTCCCTGTCTGACTCACTACGGCTTCTCTTATCACGCTGTCCGGCGACAGTACTAGACGACGTGAACGTAAAGCGTGGTCGCAAGCCTGGGGAGACATTCTTCGACCCAAACATAGGATTTGACATAGAACAGGCTATAGAAACCGTTAAAGAGGCGCAAAAGGCAGATGCTCAAGACCACATCTTTTTCATATTCGCACACGACATGTCGGTCATGGGCATCGTCGATGAATTCCCAAGTACTTTGAACGATTGGAAGGCGAAGGGATGGAAAGAGAAGACTCAATGGAGATTTCTGAATGATTTTGAAGAAGCCATCAAGGAGGAATCGAAGCAGAGTGGTTGAAGGTTGCAGGATCAAATGTTACGCCTATCTGCCCAACCGACGCTACGCCTTCGAGACAAGTTATAATGATGATAATCTCACCGGGACTTCAATACTCTCATGATGAAGGGAATCATTGCAACATCCCCCACGCTCGAGTGTATGAGATGTCCAAGTGAAGCCATCGTCGTCCAAGAATCTGGCCGCGTGGCCTAATGGCTAAGGCGCTAGATTTCGGTTCCTGTCCGTAATCTCTAGAGATTCCAGGTTCGAATCCTGGCGTGGTCGATCTTTTTAACACACTGTTCGGTGCTATTGACTATTGACTATTCTTTTTTCTTTTTCGTTATCACTAGCTATACTGTATTTAACTCCCTCTGCATATATCGTTATTTCCCGGGGGATAAGTAGTTAATAACCGTTTACTTAAATTCACGGAGATCTTTCAGGCCTGACCGTAACTGTATTGCTCTTGTACAAATCATATTTGCTTGTACAAGCCAGTAATAAGAGATATTGTTCAACTTTCTACGTTAAGTTTAGTGAGCAGTTGCCACTAAGTGGTATTGAAGTTCCTATACAACAGGGAAGTAAATAGTCAACATGGGACTTCTATCCTGGCATGTCGATCGCAAGTGAAGAGATAAGAGCTTTGTTGATATTATTACTTGTTCAAATAACTGATCGATAGTAAGATAATGCTGACAAGGCTCGCGATAATCATGCGGTCCATCAAATACTCACCGGCGAGCCGCTGTAACATGAGAAGAAAATTATGTTTATCAAACTCCATTTGCTGTCACATTGCCATTTGTTGTAGCACTTCCTACATCGTTAACTGGTGTTGGCGGCGGCGCCGGGGTCGCTGATGAGCCTGGGGAAGGCGCACGAGCAATAACGATATCATTCGTGGTCCCGTTTGTCGAGACATTGGTGTTATTGTTCGTAGTAGTCGAGTTTGAACTCATATTGCCAAGACGTACAGTAGAGTATAGTCTTTCTCTGGAGGTGATATTAAGGTGGTGTTTAGAGGTGTTGGGCGAAGAAAGCCAATAACAGTGGCGATGAGCTACGGTATATATACATATAGACATGATGTGAATCATTTATCGTACCCATTGTGAGCGCTTGTAGGACTATCGACATGATTAAAGTATAAACAACCATACTTACCACGGTGCATATGTCTGTATGTGAATAAGCAACTATGTCTCCATCTATCCTTCTGGGATTATTATGTACATGGAGCTGCATAGTCTATGCGACTATATGTTCGTTTCGCCTCATCTTCTAGTCCCACTTGCTAACGCAGGTTTTGTGTGGCCAGCAATCAATAATGAATCGGCCGGGCAGAGATACCCTGTCAACATGACCAAGTTGATTGATCATAATTCAGTTTAAGGACACAATATACCTAACGCCTATTTTATCACTTGACTGTCCCACGTCTCATAGTCTGTCATGGCGTTGCAAATAAGAGCGTAGTTTAGGTCGCTGCAGAAGGACGAGGTGGGTTTGCTGTTGTTACCAGTATTGAAGATGGTTCTTGAGTGGTGACAGATTCTGTAGATGCAGACGTGACAGATCGTAGAAAGGTAGTGGGAGGCTGTGTTATGGACTCGACCTCATCCCTGCAGGGGCAGTCCATGCAGGAAAGATCGTGCCAATAGTAGATTCCCAACTCTTCAGAGTCCTGATTGGGATCATCAGCCATGATAAAGTCGTCATCGTGAACGGCATGGCTCGAAAATCGACAAGACCGGTCCTTAGGGATATGGGCTGCAGACCGGCAGCCTGGCGAAAGTGAACACCAAGCAACACACCACGATTGGCTCAACGCCATGGGATAGTCTCTCGGTTTCTCGACGGCATATCCAACGCCATCGGCGCCTGGCCATCGACCTCGGTACTGACAGGTGATGAGACTGCCCCCTTGGGAAGCCGCATTCCATGTGCATCCGTCATTCAAGGATTTAGGGCACGTAGATGCAGGGAGAAGTCTCACAGCAGGACTGGATGGCGACGTAGGTTGAATGGCTTGCGTGGTTGTCTCAGTGACGAGCGTGGAAGTTGTGGTGACAACAGATCCAGCGTCAGGTTCGTCGCCGTCATTACAGGGACAGTTAAAACATGATAGATCATGCCAGTAGTAAACACCTTCAGTGTCAACGTGGGCATCAGGGCCTGGTACGAAGTTCGAGTCTTGAACGGCAAACTCGGAAAAGCGACAAGATCGGTCGACCGGATTGTAGGCCGCAGACCTGCAACCGGGAGAAAGTGAGCACCAGCCTACACACCACAGCTGGCTTAGAGGCTCGGGGTAGTTGTCTGGTCGAGGAACAAGCCTGCCTTGACCATCAGGACCAGGCCACGATCCACGGCTTTCACAACCAACCGAGAATCCCTTCCACCAACAGCCTCCGTTGAGGGCCTTGGAACAGAAAGGAGACTCAACCGCAGTTGCGGTAGTTCCCGACGTGGGTTCTGGCTCGGTTTTTGTAGGCTCGATGGATGATGCTGGCTCAGTAGATGCAGTGGTTTGGGGACTCTCTACAAGAGGAGGATTGGCACCACTGCCATTGTTACCAAAGTCAACAATAAACTGATCAATAGTGTCGGGAGTAACTTTGTTAGAGACAAAAACGGAGTCCAATAGGATAGTAGCACTACCGCCCTCACACTCCATTTGGATTTTGAGAGCAGAGGTGCTCACTTCCGCGTCGGCAGTCTCGAGAACTTCCGTCCAAGCATCGGAAACGTCACTGCTGGAGATGGAGTCCCGTGTAAGAAGGTAATTTCCAAATTGAGCAGACAACTGACAATCCGTGACGCCCTGCGACATAACAACTCGATAGTAAAAACGAATAGTATAGGTCGTCCCAACCTCAAGGTCACTCATAGTTTGCGACATGCTGACACCAGATCCGACAGCTCGTTTATCAAGCCTTATATTCGCGGCGCTCATCGCACAGGCACCTCGTTCAGTGCTTCTAGGCTCCTCACGCCCTTGACCTCCAACAATCTTCGCATCGTTAATGACACCCCAGTCAGGGACGTTGAGAGGGTCGCTTGGATCAATATCGGCCATATTTCCATTGGCAGCCAGGTTTCGGACCGACGGAAGCGCGGCATTGTCGGTGGGTATCGTTGTGCTGGTTGACTCGGTGGTTGAAGAAGCGAGTGTGGGAATGGTGTTGCTAAATCGAGGCTTACAGGCGCTACCTGCGACCCTGTGAGCAGTGCTCGATAGGGCAAGAGCTACAAATACTATAGCAGAACGCATCGTGAGAGAGTGTAGCGATGTGGTTCGAACAAAGGCATGGATTTCCACCTGGCGGCTATATCAGTATATAAGGGTCCCGCCTTAGACCACCCTGCTAGAATTCCAGGGATTGAAAGACTTTATACATCGTTTAAGGAACGGGTATCAGCTGAAAGCCAGCAGTTATTTCCCTTGAAGCAAATTTCCTTGTCTTTTTTGGGAACTGTGGTGGATCCCCAGAGCGTTCCGGAACTCGATAGTTCACCACGCTATCGAGCCAAGACTCAATAAACCCTGAAGACCACTGGAGCTAGCTGGCATCATCCCGCTATTTCTGTTAAGAAGCAAACGAAGGAGGAAATGATATCCTGGTAGAGGCCTGTGTCATAGTTACGAATGCGATTAATATTAAGAAGCAATTCTCGCAAAGATGAAGAATGGAGATGCAAATCCAGCAAAGTGGAAGATGTTCTCATAATGTTTTCTGTCAACACTATAGCTCATGGTACTAAATTGAATGACTGACTGACATCCAACGGACTGTTGATGACTACAGGTGAGGTGTTGGATACGGACGTGGTGGAAACGGGAAGCTTGCGTTGCCTCTCCTTGCGCGTAACAGCAGGCTCAGTCTGACGACGTGTTTCTGTCAAGGCATCGCCCGCATTGTTTCATTTGACACACCGATCATATTACCTCGACGGTTGAGACTAGAGATGCCAGTATTCCCGAAACTGAGTCGGAAAAGACGACTACTACACGCGTCGGTCGTGTGGGGATCGTTGGGCAAAGAGTCTCGGGAAAGCTGAGCCTTAGAATTTAGATAAGACTAAGAGGTTAAACTATAGAAAGACTATAGTTAAACATATAATAGTAAATATTAAAGCTGCTCTTAAGATTGAAGTAGAAACTATTATAAACTATTGCCTATTATCCTAGATTTTATGCATCTATTAGCCTGTAGTCTGGGTCTTGCTGAACCTCCAAGGCTTGATTTTCCTCTCGAAGAGTTCATCAACCTCAGCTGCAGTACGTCTAAACCATGTCAGTATATAATATCCTATGAACCGGCCGATGTTCTATCACGTACCCTGATGTGTCCGGAAGAAGAAGCCATGTGCCAATAAGGAAGGGTAGTCCGACACCAGCGTAAAACCAGCCAGTCTTGAAACCCCAATTCCACTTATTGGCGTTGACCATATATGGAGTTAGAACATTCATGACGACTCCAGCAACACAAGTGCATGCAGCGCCAAATCCAGCTGTATAAGGGCGAAGACGCAGGGATGAGATCTCAGCAATGAAGCCCCAACCAGCAGCACCATTGGAGATCATACCAACATCTAGGAGATTTTTAGTGCCATACTATGAACAATTGGTAAATGAAGAGACTTACTCCAGAGGCATACAAACAAAACAAAGATGTTTGAAGTCACTGTTGTCCTGGGGATCAGACCAAGAATTCCAATGACTACACAAGATATCCATGAAAGCGTAGTAGCGTAGCATGAGATTCGCCTACGACCTATTTTGTCGGCTACCAAAACGACGATCAAGAGCGTGGTAATATTGATTGAAGACGTAATGCATTTGATCGTGAAAGGGTCGGCAAGTCCGGCTTGTTGGAAAAAGTAGGTTCCAAAGGTTGCAAAAAGGGTGAGGCCGATGAATTGCTGTGTAAGGTTCGGCCACAGAGAGATGACAGTTCGGAAGCCATCAATTCCGCGAAAAATGGCATACCAATGCTCCTTCTTCTGCTCAGCTGCAATCTCCCTTTCATGTTCAAAGGTCTGCACGATGATCTGGTACTGATGCTCTTCATCATATTCGACGACGCCGCGGTTGAGCCTCAGCAGCTGCTTCTTAGCACGGTCTGCGTTACCGCGACTGACGCACCAAGCTGGCGACTCTGGGAGGAAGACATATATGATACACATAATTCCAATCTGAGCCCATTGTGTGTAGATGGGCGTAAGCCAGATGTTGGGGTTCTTTCGGTTCAGTAGTTGAAGGGCGATGTAGGCGAAGAAGGATCCAATGGTCCACCAGAGACTGTAGCACATAAGAAGGCCTCCACGGATACGAGTAGGGGCACACTCAGAGATATATACAGGCAGAGTCGACTGAAGACAGCCAACTCCGACGCCCGCGAGGAGCTTGGCGGCTAACCAAACCGGCCAGGTTCTGGCTAAGGTCTCGCACAAGACACTGCTGACAAGGATAGTCCAATAGGTCCACATTGCAGTCTTACGGCCGTATCTGTCGGACAGGAAGGGAATTGTCAACATGCCGATGATTTGGCCGACAGACATGATGGAACTCCAGCCGGCGAGGATAGGCGCAGTGAGGTATTCGTCTCCGTCGGCGTTGGTCGCGGTCGCAAATTGATGAACGAAGCCCTTATTCGCAATGATACTGCCGTTAATACTGTCTCATATTAATAAACGTGCACATATAGACAAGAGAGACGAGAGAAGCCCACCCAATCTGATATCCATCGGTGGCAGCACTAAAAGCCGCTGCGAAACAATACGCTGTAGCGACTTTGAAGACCTTGACGGTCTGCCACAAGCTCAGCGACTCGTATCCCGAAGAAAGCTGCCCTGGTTCAATTTTGACGTCGGGGGCTTTGAAAGCTTGCTCGACGTGGAATTCGCCAACCCCATCATCGAGGTTGGAGTTATCAGCTCCTTGTTTGGATTTGATGGAAGAGATAGCCGCTGGTATTAATGAGGATGTAATTGTTACTGTTGTAGGTCGATGGCTGATGGATTTAGATGAATAGGCTGTTGGGTGGTACGGCTTTAAGTATTCTCGTCTGACCCGATAGAATGGATCCAATGCGTTTCCCCATGGGGTTGTTGTGAGGGCTTTGAACGAGATGCCGGGGAGGAAGACCGGGGGCGAAAGGGCTAGCCCGTATCATGAACTAGAGTCTAATCCTCGAGGGTAGCTGAGACTGCATCGCTCTGGTTAAGATTTTAGCCGTCTAGACCTGTTAGATTGTTTGTGATGGGAGAAATTCGTGGTTGCAATGTTTTTCCTGCTGAACCTTTCCTTGAAGCTAGTGCAAGATTAATGAAGTGTTTACTTGGTGGCTGCTTCGAGACCTCTGATGCCCCGGGGAGTCTCCCCGAGAACTTCACTCTAATTGGCTAATCAGGTTCTGCATGTTCGCGGAGTCTTCCCGACCATTAGTGAAATTCGGATTCAGATTCAGTAACAAGAAGTAGCGGAGAACCATGGCAGTGGAATATTTTATCAGTCTCGGTTAATCTTGGAGCGAGAATTATTGTTGTTAGGCTTTTTCTTTATCAATTGTCACCGAGGACGATTGATCCTCTGTTTGCTTCATTGACTCAAGACAATATGGTTCAGGAAACAAACAATCCTAACCCTGCAACCATGGTTCAAACCTTTGAGTGTATCGCCCAAGACTTACTCCCCAAACTCCATCGATGCATCCGAGTTCCCAAAAGGATAATCACATTCGAGAGATCCAGCCCGTCGTTCTTTGGCGTCGAGACTCGCACTGCTGACTATGACATCAACAACCTCTCATCCCTATCTTGGGGAAAAGGTTCCGACTTCATCCTCGATTTCGGCATCCATATGGTCGGATTTCTCTCATTCCACCTGGACTACGTCGGGAAAAACATGGACGCTCCATGTCGGCTACGCCTCACCTTTGGCGAGTCGCCCATTGATGTAACGATGGACATGAATGATGTGGACACCTGGATCAGCACCGCCTGGCTCCCTGATGAGATCATTAATATCGACACATGTCCGCATACAATAAACCTGCCCCGCCGTTATTCCTTTCGATATCTGCGTGTCCAAATCATTGATACCTCCCCCAAGTTCAAGGTATCGTTCTCGAATGTACAATGCGAATCAGTCAGCGCGGTCAGTCAAGACCATCAGATCGATGCAGTCGAGTTCCCCGATCCTCTCCTGCAGGATATCGACCACGTTTGTATCTCCACGCTACGAGACTGCATGCAGACTGTATTCGAAGACGGCCCAAGGCGAGATAGAAGGCTCTGGATTGGGGATCTCCGCCTACAAGCTCTAGCAAACTACAGCACATTCCGGGACTTCAATCTTGTCAAAAAATGTCTTTTCCAGTTCGCAGCAGTCCAACATGAAGATGGCTCGTTATCAGCTTGTATCTTTGAAAAGCCCACGTTAATGGCTTCGACAGACTACATCGCTGACTACGATGCTCTATTTGCTGCTATTGTTTATGACTATGTTCAAGCTTCTGAGGATACGGAAACTGGGCATCTGCTTTGGAAGACTGTTCTTGGCTGCCCAAAGAGACTGCTGCGCAACCTTAATCCCACCACGTACATTTTTGAGGCCGAACGGAGCAAACATCACATATTTCTCGACTGGGCAAAAGGTCTTGATAAGAGTGCGGGAGCACATGGCGTGCTGCTTTATTGTCTCAAGGCTACGAATAAGCTCGCTGTACGACTGAACAAGCAGCCTCCGTACAACGAAATGATAAGTAACATGACAGACGCTGCAAACGCGTTCCTCAAGGATGGTGTCTTTGTGTCTGGAGAAACTCAGCAAGTAAGCTACGCGTCCGCGGCGTGGCTAGTTCTATGCGAGGCTTTCCCTCCAGCAGTCGCTCGTCAAGCTTTTCTCGCCACTCTTACACATCCAGATGCTGTGAAGCCACTCACACCTTATCTGTGGCATCACGTTTGCGACGCCCTCGCGGTGCTAGAATGCTACGATGAGTGTGTTGATTTGATCAGATCTTATTGGGGCGGGATGGTGGAAGCAGGTGCAGATACGTTCTGGGAATGTTACGACGCGCAGGATTGTATGGCGGGCCCGTATGGGGATGTACGTAACAACAGTTGGTGCCATGCTTGGAGCTGTACCCCGACATATCTGCTTAGGACGACGCTGCGCGAGACTGTCAAGGCGACAGGAGTGGGTCGGGTCACCATGGATGAGCTGGATCAACGATGGATCAAGAGATCTTGATGCGAGGTTGTATTATGATTCACAGGAAGCCGAGAACAAATTGCAAAAGAGAATAGTTAACATCGATCATCTTTAAATGTTCACGAATCCAATCTGAGTTTGTTCAAAACATTGCTGATTTATCAATCTTGGGAAAACTAAACTGCGTCTATAAGATTTTAAACTGGGAAAAGATTGGTGTAAATTGTTGGGTGTCTTCAAAGATAAAGTTAAGCTGCTGTATTAACGAAAGTGATAAAGAATAGTATGGACTCTATACATTCCAAGTATTGTGCTAGATACTCGCCGAGCATTATTAATTCAAGACGTGGATTTAGGGTAGTTCATAAACGCGGAGTTCACTGGTAATGACATCAACTAAACTAAACTTACAGTACTAAGCCCAACTAAACTAGCAGGCCCCAGCTTTTCCGCTGCAATTTATAAACCCTGCACATGCTCGGGGAGGGCCCGAATCCTGTTCTCCCTCTGCTCTATACCCTTTCCCATGATGTAGTTCCAAGCCCACATTCAGGACGATACTTCACAAGGTCCCAGCCGCCCAAACAAGAAAGCTCGACTGGGCCGGAATGACCCACAGCTAAATACCATGAACAGAGAGTCTAGGGATATTAATTCCTCGGGCAACAGCACCCAGCCTACTAGACGACGCGTTGCCGTAGCGTGCAAAGTGTGTCGCTCGAGGAAGACGAAATGCGACAGCCGCTGGCCAATTTGCAGCTACTGTGAAAAGAGCAACTCAGAGTGCCGATATGATACTGTAGACTCAACAGACCGTCCCTTGTACGCCTTCTTGTTCCATATTCAAATGTGGTTGCACAAAGAAACTGACAAAGATCTTCTTTCGAATAAAGAAGCCATGATTTGGGTGTGCAGATCTTGCAGGCCATCCAGGACTTGGCACAGGACGTAAAAGAACAACGTTCGCCAGGCCAATCCAACACATCATCATCTCAAGCCCACCAGCCAACAAGACATGGCGAAGTCGACTCCTTGGTCAACTTAACTACCACACCACACTCTATCTCAGCTCCCGAATGCCACATCGAAAGATTCTCCGAAGGACTCGATAGTATTTTGACCTGGAACGTGTTTCCACCAGCAATAGACCCTATCCTCGTGGACAACGGAAGCTTCATGGCTATGCCTGACGAGCTCCCCCCATTAGGTTTCTCAGAGCTAAAGAAGTTACAAAAAACCTATCTCAGTACCGTTCACAGTGTAAATCCCATTCTGGATGTCGCTATTCTCGACCAGTATATCGCAAAGATCTCCGAAAATGGCTTGGATTGGACGACACAGACGTGTCTTGTTGCCCTTGTATGCGCCATCAGCGTGTTGTGTCAGGACCCGCATGTTGAGACGCCAAGGAGTCAAAACAGTTGGGAACTTGAGCAAACCACCGATAATGCTTATAGGTACTGGAGCGTTGCGTGTAAAAGGCTTGGGCTAGCGATGAGCCACAACACATTGGAGTCTGCCCAGTGCTTATGCTTAGCAGGGTAAGATGGGGGACATGCCTCTTCTTGTTCTCGAACGCATGCCGAGATGAGCATACTGACGTGAGTTGCAGTATCTGGTTTATGTGTAATTTACAGCCTGTCGAGGCTTGGAGGTATTTCACCATGGCAGGAAACTCCTGTTACTCTGCAGTTTGGGCCAGGTAAGATATACAGATGGTTATCAAACACTGGAACCAATGCTGACACTGCTAACAGGGAATCCACCATGCCTGCCGGGCCCCAGAACTCCCCTTACAGTCCACAAGCAATTAAACAAAGCATTTTCTACACGGCATACAAATCGGAAGTGTACGTGAGAAGCTGTTTCTGTCTGTACGTCTAATTGCTAACCACCTGGTAGCGAGATTCGCTATGAAATACCTAGTTTGCCTGGATCAATACTGGAACACATCGAAGATCGCCTCACGTTTCCATCGCCGCCTGCAGCGGATTGCTTGTTCGACGAGACCATAGCTTGGTATTACTTTCTTGCAGACATAGCCGCTCGCCACTTGATTAACCGCATCGTCGATGCCAAGGTCCAGTTCTCTGATTGCCCGAGCGAAGCGCAGGCCAGGTCATTACTACGATCATATGAGGTTTTCGGCTCACAACTTCAAGACTGGTATCTATCCCTACCGCCAGAGATATCGTTCCCACCTCCGGATGAAAATATTTGTCCTGAGTCGAACCTTTACAAAAGAATCCTTTGCTCGCGGTACCTCTTTGTTAAAGAGCTTCTGTGCCGGCCATTCGTACGCCTATGTCTTAACTACGCCCTTACACTACCTGCCGCTCTAGATGATGAGATTGTCAGTATAGCTTCACTGGGCCTGCGGTACTGTGCCTGGAGACTGAGAGCTGTGGATCGAATGAATAAGCTTGATCATGGACTATGGATATGGATTCGAAATAGCACTGCTTGCTCTATGATATTGATTGGTGCTGCTCGGAGCCTCCAGTTCCAGTCCCTCGCTACATCTGGGCGACTGGTTTTGCCACAAGATTGGCGAGAGATTGTTGTTGCTTTCTTGCATGGACTTGAGAAGTATTCTAATGAAGCCAGGGGTGGTGTAGCTGCATGCTATCAGCTTGTGACGTGGGGCCTTGGTGGGTTTCACCCAACCTCACCGGAAAGTATTTGACCATTGTTTGAGATGAACAAACTGTAAAGTACTTTACTCTGGTGAATTTAGTGATTTCAATCTAACGTATATTTTGCCCCTGTTCTTAGACGTTCCCCATATTTGTAAAATATAACAATCATGAATGCGCCAATGACAGGTACACATCAGAATAGTCGATATCTTATTGTAGATTGCTAAGAATATCACGATCAAATGCCAGGTAATCACGACTTTAGTATCTAAGTACATTGGACTTTTTACATACTAGCTTTAAGGTGTTATATCAATTGGGAGAAGCTAAGTTAAATTTCAAAGTAACGACAAAAAAAATAATAACTGAATTGTGCTGATAGCCAAGTCCATGCGATGGTGTTTTTAGATTTCCTCCAGTGCTATCCAACACATTCCTCAAAGCCCACTCCATCTACTAGTTTCTCGCACAGGCAAATCTCCTTCAAGCAAGATTTCCTTACTACTCGATCCTACTAATACCCTATACACACCTCTTTCACTCACCCAGCAATGTAATTCCTCATCCCAAAACGATGTGGTGAGTCGATCCAGTGGAATCTCCACCCTCCGAGCCTCGCCAGGTTGCAGATATGTTTTCTTGAAACCCTTCAACTCTTTCTTAGGTCTCTGGATGGAAGATGTGACCTCGTCAGCGGCAATGTAAAGCTGAGAGACTTCAGCTCCAGGCACAGAACCAGAGTTGGTGATTTCGAAGCTCACGTGAGAGGATGCAACGTTCAACTTGTCGTAGGTAAATGTGGTGTAAGAGAGACCATGGCTGTGAATGTCATGTTAGTTTTTCTCGAGCATAGTGCTGTTTTGTTTACTCACCCAAAAGGATATAGTACGTCTCGATCGACCTTTTCGTAGTACCGATAGCCAATATAAATATCCTCGCCGTAGATAACACGCCCCCTCTCACTACCAAAGTTCAAGAACGTGGGTGTATCTTGTAGACGGCGTGGAAATGAAAGCGGGAGTTTTCCATTGGGGCAGGTTGCGCCAAATAAAACATCAGCAATACCGTTTCCAGTCTCGTTCCCAGCTAGCCAAGCATGTAAATGGGTCTTGGCCTTTTCAGCCCAGAGCATGCTGAATGGAGTGCCGCTCTGCGTCACAACGATAGCGTTTGGGACCGCTGCCAAGACGGCCGAGGCAAGTTGAGGTAGCGATCCAGGAAGATCCATGTGAGGCCTGTCAAAGCCTTCAGATTCTTGATCACTTGTCATCCCAACACAAAGAATGGTCACGTCTGACTGTAGAGCTACTGAGACGGCTTTTTGGATGCCGACTTCAGGGTCAACAGCACTCGCTAGACCAACTCTTCCAGCCCCACCACCAAAATTGACTACGCCTGGCTTGACGAGCTTGGAAGATGGTGCACTTTCATACTCAACAGTGATGCGGTACTTCTGACCTTGAACAAGGTGCATCTGAGCCTTTTCCTCAACAGTTCCTTTGCCGAAGAAGAATGTACCGCCTCGCTGGACATGACTGTTATCGATCAAGAGCTGGTCATCGACATAGAGTCGCGCAGAGCCATAAACTGCCAGGCCAAACTCAAATAGTCCGGATTGTTGAATGACCAGATCGCCTTCTACAGTTGCGTAGAAGAGCTTGTCTAGTTTCGGATGCGAGTAGCCCATAAGAAGCCAAGATGAATCAGGCAGATGGCTCTGGTCAACAATCTCGCGCTTGGGTACACTGGGGCTCTGACTGTAGAAGCGTATTCGCATTCCTGGTGATCCCTCTGGCGTGGTGATCATATTGTCTTGTAGGAGAGGATTCCACCCATTTGCTGTAGCACCGACTTCGTATCGTACCTCAACATCAGGCGGTAGTTGGGCCACGATCCCTTCGTAAGGAGAAACAGTGTAGTAAGGCTGAAGATGGGCAGAGCCACCTCCACAGAACGAAGTAGTCTTCATGTTTGGTCCAATCAAAGCAATGCTTTTGAAAGGTCTCTTAAGGGGCAGTTGGTTACCTTCATTCTTCAACAAGACAACGCTGTCACCGGCGAGCTTTCGGTTGAGCTGCCTGTCTTCAGGAAAGTCGCGTCCTCCTTCCTCCGCAGCAACAGGAACCTTTGTGCATCTTTGGATGAATTCGAGAACGTTTCTTGCTCGAGTATCTATGGTTGATCGAGATACTTTTCGATTGGACACTGCAAGGTCGAGAAGCTGGCCGCGTTGCCTCGTTGGCCCCGGCATCTCGAGATCCAGCCCTGCATTAATGGCCTCGGTTGTAGAATAAGTACCGAACCTAGAGCAAGGATAAGTGTTAGTATCAGCTACAATTTGAGAGGTTGAAGGATTGCTGCGTACCAATCGCTCATGATCAGACCCTTCCACTGCCACTCTTTACGGAGCAAAGCATCGAGATAATCCCGGTTCTCTGAAACATGTGTGCCATTGACTTTATTATAGCAAGCCATAACACCCCCCGGCGCTGCATCACTAAGCGCGATCTGGAAAGGGAGCATATGAACCTCCCTCAACGCACGCTCACTAGCAACAACGTTGACGCCAACTCTTTCGTGTTCTTGATCATTTGCAAGCCAGTGCTTGATGACCGACACAACGCCCGTCGACTGTACGCCTTTGATGTACGCAGCAGCTAGTTTGCCTGTTGCATAGGGATCCTCTGCCATTGACTCGAAGCCGCGGCCACCTAGAGGAGAGCGTTGAATACAGACTGTAGGACCTAGCCAGCAGTGTGCGCCTTTAGCTATGCACTCGTTACCTATCAGTTTGCCTGCCTTGTATAGCAGATCCTGGTCCCAGGTAGCTGCTAGGCCGGTTCCGCAAGGTAGACATGCTGCTGGCACGCCGTCGACGAATTTTGTTCCTCGTACGCCGTTTGGGCCGTCGCTGACACGCACGGATGGGATATTGAACGCTGGGAGAGGGTTCGTGTGCCAAAAGTCTCGGCCTGGAGGAGAAAGGAAGTTAGTAAGGCGAGGCTTCTTGGGCGAGAGAAAAGATTGTGGGGTTGGTTACTTACCAGAGAGCAAAGATATCTTGTCAGAGACAGATGCGTTGTGGATGACATGTTCAACGTCAAAATCGTTGTGAACATTATCAGCGGTTGGTCTTTTCAAAACCATGGTTGTGTAAAGATCCGCGTGTTGGGACAATAGAATATCTGAGTGATACACAAGAGCTAAAAAGGGCTAAGGCAATTACCAAACTTATATATTGCGAAAATGGTAAACATTACTTGGGCCGATCTCAAGGTCTTACCAAGTATGGCAGGGACATATGCAAGTCGGGATAACCCCGATGGAGTCAGTGAGGAAGTGTCGGGTAGCCTCCCCGATCAACGAAGATATGGGCACCTCTTGAGCAAAGATACAAATATGTTATAGTCTTAAACACTATTAATAGTTAAGCTATTAATTAGCAGATTGGTAGTTTAGGTTAGCAATAACCAGCGAATCCCTATAATTCTTTTGTAGCTATCATCCTTTCTATTCTCTCTAGTGCAAGACTACTGGTGGTCCAGCAGTCATTACCACTGGAAGCAGCTTGAAATTTCTCGGATAATGGCATTTATCATGCTCCATTTTCTTCAGCCGCAGACATAATCCCGGAAACAACCCCTGTTTTTTTTCCACTGATGCCTGAACCGGACTCTGATAGCGCATTCTCAATGTCAATCTCAAGCGACACAATTGGTTCAACTATGTAATCGGGTGTTCCTTCATTGGGGAATGGCCGAGCGTGAATCTGGTACATATTGATGGTCATCCTCTATGTCAAACTTGGCATTCCTTTCTCATTTCTAATCTTTGTCAAATCAACGTCAATCATGAAGGTCACCAACGCTATCTTGTCTCTCCTTGCCTCTCAGGCGGCGGCTCAAGTCATCGATATCCAGATTGGCGATACCGCGGCGCTTGGCCTTATGCGAGAGGTCGCTCAAGCCGAAAAGAGTGGTGATCATGCTCGTGCTGCCGAGCTCCGAGATCTATTGAGCAAATCGCGTGGTCCTTCGCGAGAGAGAACTCAGTGGAAGACTGAGTGTTCCGTCAGCTCCAACATCAATGCAGAGATTTACGTCGTTCCCGACCCTTCAAACGCTCCCAAAGAGATCGCCTGGGCAATGGATTACCTCGACAAATATTGGACAACCGACGATGGTGGTGAACTTCCCTACCCCGGTGACTTCGATCGTTTCATGCACTCCGACGGCTTCAGAATCATCCGCACCGACTATAAGGATCTGCCTTGGGCTGTTCGCAAGTATAGAGAGGAACTTCTTAAGGGGGGTACCAAGATGGAGCGTAAATTTATCGCTGAGCTGGATGGAGTAGCCTTCTTTGCGCCTGGCGTTGTGACTTGGCTTGCACCTCTGTTCGCAGGTAGCGATGTCAAGCCTGGCCAGAATGCTTGCGAGGGTAAGTGACTTCCGAGGACACAAAAGACAAAGCTGACAGGTTGTAGACGAACTCGTTGACTTTAGCAACTGGGATAAAACGAAGATCGGATCTGAGGATGTCAAGTTTTCGTTCAACTACGGCGGTAGAATGCAAGTCGGAAACTCCATTGGCATTCAAGTGCATGCAAAGAAATCTATGAAGCAAGAATCCAACAGAAAGACGGAAGAGGCAATCAAGAAGGTAGCTGAGAGCGAGGCCGAGGCTGGTGAGCTGTAATGCAGGTTGAAAGTAATCATAACTATCTCATATCGCATAGTTACACCAACTGGAGTCTGTATTCTGTCAGTCACAAAGGCGGTACTTAACGTGAGATGCTGTGGAAGAGTGGGACGCCATCTGGACATCTGAATGTGCAATGTTGCTTTGCCAGGGTTTGGAAGAGTAAGCCTATGAGAGGCTCTGTTTTGTGCACGCAACCAGTCAATTAAAACATATTTCCATTCTTCGTTTCTTGCCCAAGTGTCAGAGTCACTGCGAAAAGTGAATTGAGTTATGCAAAGAAATGGGTAGCTGTACTGCAGGGTCTCACTGGTGCGACGCCAATGCATTCCAGCACAGAGGTCTCAAGATCGTCGCAAGTGATATCTTGGCACTTGACATCTCACATTTGGAGGCGGTCAGTCCCCAATACGACCCCGGCAATGCAGTCCAGGCCAATTACTCTCACTTCTTCAGCGTCACTACGAAGCCGTGTTACCATTCATTGACTCTACTACTCATTGAGCCAATATCTAAAAGTACTCGTCTTACGTTCAAGACGCCCCCGATCAAACACAAACGATTTGAGTGCTATAATTGATGGGGATGTTTCGTAGCTTCCTTAGCGTATAAGCATGTCTCAGTGCCTGGCAAGCTTGGCATGGCTTTCTCTCAACCAAACACAAAATCTCACCACAGCACGCGTGTCACTTTGCATAACTCTAACGCAAACCATGAAATGCCAAACTTTCCAATTTCTAGTCCCACAAATGCATCCGTAATCCACCCGCTTCCGCTCATCAATGACGATGTTATCCAGGCTACCCCCAGCCACTGATAGTGCGTGCGGTGATCATTCGCTCATTCCCTCGTGTGTATCTCTGTACTACCAACACCATTTGTTCTCCCCTCCTTTCCAGACGCGTATTTACTTTTGTTTTTTTCACGATCTATTTGTTTCGACGCGTATCAGAAAAGTATCGAGAAGCGATGGCACCAAGCACTGATAGTCTGTCACAGACAGGCTCTACGACTACGATTGTTAGACCGCGGAAACAAAGGCCAATTGAGGCCACAAAGCTCTCGACCAAGAACCAGACTTTGACCGATGCAGACGTTTGGGGTCGTGCAGGACTTGGACGGTCGTGGCTGCGTTCTCTTGTTGGAGCTTCGCCGCTGTTTCTTGCACCAATTGGATCGATATCCATCTTCATTACGCTTGCCCAATACGAAGGATCATTCTCACTCTTTACAGCAGCAGTGAAAGAGCAAGGCTTCTGGAATATCTGCGCGCAGTACGGGCCTCATATCACCCTCAAGGGTATTGCGGCAGTGGTATTCTGGCTCGCCGTCCAGGCAGTTCTGTACATCTTTCTCCCCGGGGAAAACCACCAGGGACAGCTTACACCGGCTGGATATCTTCTTGACTACAAGATCAATGGCCTCTCAGCCTGGATCGTGACGCACCTTCTGTACGGCTGCCTCAGCTGGTTCGGGATTTTGGATCCTGGTTTCATACCCCGCAACTGGAGCACTTTGATTGGGGCTATGAACTTGGCTGGCTTCGTTATCTCGGCACTTGCTTTTGTCAAAGCGTACGTGGTGCCATGCCATCCAGAAGATAGAAAGTTCAGTGGTATGTTTTCTGGACCGAAGCTTTCGTTATCATCAAACTCTAACCAACGGGCTAGGATCCGCTTTATATGATTTTTTTATGGGAATTGAGTTGAATCCACGACTTGGCGATAAATTTGACCTCAAGCTGTTCAGCAATGGTCGCGCTGGAATGATGGTGTGGACTTTGATGTAGGTTGGCTGTAGCACTCTTTCCGCATCAGTTTGCTCACATGTGGTACAGAGACTTCTCCAATATGGCTTATCAGTACCAAAATCAGGGGTACGTTGAGCCATCACTAATTCTAGTGACAACACTTCAAACGCTCTACGTGCTGGACTTCTTCATCAATGAATCATGGTACCTTCGGACGATCGACATTGCTCATGACCACTTTGGCATGTATCTGATCTGGGGCTGCTTTTGCTTTCTGCCGACAACATACACGATACAAGGGCAATACCTTGGCCTTTACCCATCGTCAGCCTCAACGTCCTACCTTGCATTCTTCTTTACCCTCGGGGTAGCAGGCTACGTGCTCTTCCGCGTTGTCAATCACCAAAAAGACATGGTCCGCCGAACAGGGGGTGAATGCACCATCTGGGGTAAGCCGGCCGAGTGCATCTCAGCACGCTTCCGAACATCGGATGGCAGACAACACACGAGCTTGTTGCTCTGCAGCGGCTTCTGGGGCTGGTCCCGGCATGCAAACTATGTAGGGGACTTGTTGCTCAGTTTTAGTTCGTGTGCACTGGTCGGTAGCACAAAGGCTGTGGTGTGGTGGTATGCCCTCTGGATGCTTGTGTTGCTTGTTCATCGGTGCATACGTGATGAGAGGAGATGTTCAGTGAAGTATGGAGACGCCTGGACTGAATACTGCAAGCGCGTACCATGGCGATTTATTCCTGGTATCTGGTAAAATGGGAGATTCTGGGGGGATTGATTTCGTGCGGGGATGAGCACTGAGATATAGGTGTTGTGAATAGAAGGCGTGCTTTGTACGGTGTTCCAAGATTCCATAGACTCTATTGCTTTCTAGACAGAATATACTTGAAACCGTGTTGCAGGTAGGTTCTACATACGGGTTTCCAGCTCGGATCAGGCCCAATGATTCTTTAGGTCTTATCAATGACGCCCAGCTGCGTTTGGGACATGCATGAGGCGTTACACTAGCTGCCAACGAAATGCGTTTGTACGCGATATCATGTCGCACAATCACTCACCGCACTTTCATTCTCTTTCAGTGTCTCAGTAAAAAAGCAATATATCGACTTGGCATGGATTTCCACCAGTATCCGCCAAACGAACATGTGCATCTTTCCGATAGTGTACCCGATGTTGTCTTGTACGAGTAATCGCCGTTGGTGCGAGGACTTCGGCTTGATTTTCCCCGAAGTACATCAGCAAACTGTTTCCTCTCAGTTTGTCTTTTGATTTCCTAAACCACATATTTCCTATCACTCGTTGGTGAACGTGTAGGACGTGATGCAACGGCACGATGAAATTGTGAAGGACGTCGCCAGGAGTATACGCAACTTTCACAAGCTCGAACAGCCCTATCGAATATCGCATGGCTCATCAAACAGTACTCGACCCCGTCATGCACCACACACCAACATCGTCGATATAGGCACGCTATGCCAGGTCATTTCTATTGACGCAGATAAAAGGACATGTCTAGTCGAGCCCAACGTACCAATGGATCGGTTGGTCGAAGCAACAATGCCGTACGGCCTCATACCTCCAGTGGTAATGGAATTTCCCGGTATCACAACAGGCGGCGGTTACTCGGGGACATCAGGAGAAAGCAGCTCTTTCCGCCATGGGTTCTTCAACGAGACGATCAACTTTGTGGAGATGATTCTCGGCAATGGAGATATCGTAAGGGCTTCGCCAGAAGAGCGAGGAGATTTGTTCTACGGTGCTGCAGGTGCAGCGGGCACCTTGGGCGTTACAACGTTACTCGAGGTCCGACTTGTCGAGTCTAAAAAATTCGTGAAAACAACATATCACCGAGTTGACAGTATCGCCACTGCGGTCTCTGAGACACAGAGGTATTGTGGGGTTTCTGATACTGACTACATTGATGGAATTCTTTTTTCAAAAGACCATGGCGTTGTCATAACAGGACAGCTTACTAACTATAAGCCTCCCGAGTCCCATCTTGTCACATTCAGCAATGCTGCCGATCCCTGGTTTTATCTTCACGTGCAAGAAAAGACGAAAGATCTTCCGCCGATTTCTTCTGTCACTGAGTACCTCCCCATCGGCGAATATCTCTTTCGTTACGACAGAGCTGCCTTTTGGGTAGGCCGCCAGGGCTATACTTATTTTAAGTTTATACCATTCAATCGATTCTTTCGATGGCTTTTGGACGACTATTCCCACACTAGGACATTGTACCACGCCCTTCATGCAAGTCATATTTCAGAACAATTTGTCGTTCAAGATCTGGCACTCCCATACGACACGGCTGGGGAGTTTATCAACTGGATCGACTCTGACTTTGGCATATGGCCTTTGTGGCTGTGTCCTTTGAAGGAAACCAAGATGCCTACCTTTCATCCTGTCACTACCCGCATGGAATTAGCGAAGGTTGCTGAAGATAAAGCCGACGTGTCACAACCTATGCTCAACATCGGTGTGTGGGGTTGGGGCCCAAGAAATGGCGATGAGTTCAAGGCCAAAAACCGCGACCTGGAGAGGAGGTTGTCCAACTTGGGAGGCCGAAAGTGGCTGTATGCTCATGCATACTATACCGAGGAGCAATTCTGGGAATTGTACGATCGTTCCTGGTATCGGAATTTGAGGGAGCGTTATTTTGCAACGACCCTCCCAACGATTTACGATAAAGTCAAACAAACTGAGAAGGAACTAGATGGCCAGGCTGGGGGCGATGGTTGGATTTGGAAAACTATATGGAACAAATGGCCAGTCGGGGGTCTTTATGGAATGCTGATGGCATTTAATTCTGGAGATATCAGTCTTCACAGGCGGGCAACCTGGAAGCATAAAAGCGAGTAGGCTTCTCTCATAACATCCTAGCAGTAGAAGTTCCATCAAGTCAGTTCTTTTTATACACTGTACGCTTGATTCCAAACTAGGACTCGTATCCGGCCAGCCAGATTGGAGCCTTTGTCAGAGTTCGTTCTTGTTAAGGCAGATTCGGGCTATTAGCCTGTTGTATTACCGGACCGTTGCGCACAGTTGCTGACTTGCATGATGATCTCCGTGCAAATTATGTCAATAAAAGGAGGCTATGGCAACGGGCTGGAGATTGAAGATCCAAGTATCCTTCCGTTAATCTTGGCACAACTTATTTCATCATTCACCAAACTGGAATAAATTTCGCTGCAAACATGGTATCAATGAGTTTCCGGTTACTAATCAAGTTCTCCATTGAGGAAGAACCGTTTGGGCAACTCCTTATTACATCAGAATGGCAGGCATGGGAAACGGTCTGGATTTTCCGCTTACCATTCATCTCCAAGAACTTCTCTATCTATCCAATACTATTCGAGAGCGGATGCGATATCAATAATACGACGAACTGCAAAAAGGAATGTAATTCAAAGCAGACACTGTTTGGGTCACCTGAATCGCTTTGGAATTGTCTTACTATTGCGGCCGTCGTTGCAGACAGAGGGTGACAACCCACCACACGAACTCAATTGAATTGAAAGAATAGCTCTTATGGATAATTTCAATCCTGATCCGCTGGATCAGTTTTATAAATTGGGGACGCTGGCGAGATACAGCCACTGTGCTCTTTAATCCTACCCCGATCCGAGGATGTCTATCGGAGCTGTGGGAAGACAAATTCCAATATATCCCTCTTAACCTTTCAATCATAGAAGATCTTGGACGGATAATGGGGGAAGATTATTGTACCGGAGCCGATCCAAGTATCGACTTTGATATCGTAGGGCCTGGGGTCTGTGTTACACTTACCATTGTAAAGTGTGATCAACAATTAATGATCTTACGGATTCTTGTGGTGTATCTGATGTAATTCGCTATAGTACTCTTGTGTTCCCTGGCGTACAAGATTGCCAGGACTTGGATTCGGAACTTCTCTCTTGTATTCCTGCTGCTGTTAAAAGGGCTATCCAAGGTTGTGAAAACCGCAGTTCGATGGCAGAACTTTGCCGCATAATGCAAATTCGGCATTGCAGCAGGAGCTGCATTTGTTGATCTTTAGGAAGCGCAGGTAATCTTTCTAGTCGTAATATTAACAGCTGCCATTATTGCATTCTCTGGGTCCAGCTCAGCGGGGCTTGCGAATATTAGTTTGTCATTATTGTGGTTAGCCAACAACCTTATACTGCGAGGCGTTGTATCCGCCGGCATGTACCCGCTGCTTTTTATCCAACTCATATTACACAAGACACACAACCGTTGGTGGTACACTCTCTTTCAGGTTATCCTCAACTGGGTCTTGATGCTAGTCATCACACACCCAGGTGTGATGGGTATCGAAGCTTTGGAGAAGCATGTCAAGAAGAATAACGCTATCGATCACTGCGGAGGGAATACAGGGATGGGAACTTACTGTGAGACTTTGAACTTGCGTTTCGGAAATATCTATAGATTTCTCCGATGGTCTTGTCTCATCCAGAACTTTGGCCGGCTTGGGGTCCAATTTTACGGACGGTCGTCTCGATTTGAAGAATGGAAACCACTACTTGTTAAGGCAAAACATGGACAGCTACTTCAAAATTCACTCCAACATCCAATCTCCTATAAACACCATCATGGTATTCCTGATTCTGGATTGGATATATGCGATGCTGAAAGCACAGTCATCTGAGTCAGGCACATGGCTTTATAGCAGGACCAGGTTCTTGACACAACGCTCACTTTCACAAGCGCACAGGTTCCATGAAACAAAATATTTCTGGCTATTAACTGAAGCCTTGTGGGTTTCTATGGAAGCTCTCTCCGTGATGATGGGTATCATTGGCGTCAACGAATTCTAAGACTTCCTGGGAGTGCTGCGGGACGGTAAAGAGGATGGCGAGAGCGATATATACATATCAAACTGGAGCTTTGAGCAACTGATCGCTGCTTGTGTCTGGTATCCTACAATACTGAAGTTTCTTTGTCTTAACATTGGTACGTTCACCCATGCTCCCGTTTTGCGTTGATTGATCAGCCAACTAATTTGTCAATGCAGGCGGTGTCCTACCAAGCTTACAAAAGCGTGTGGGCGACATGATCGAAGCCACGTATCGTACAGGGGATGAGCGATCTGATAGTGATGTCGCTCTGGAGACTCTCATCCCTCCTGGAAGGATTGAGAGAAGTCGCAATGATGGTATGGAGAGCCATAGATTAACTCCTCGAAGATCGTGGGGGAGAACAGTGAGTTAGTTAGTCTAGTCGTCTAATAAATATACTCAAGAACGCTCTATTGAGATGTACCAAGGGCTAGGTGATCCGCGTAATCGATCGGGTCAATCGAATTGGCAGCCTGGAACAAGTGCAGCTCCTAAGGAGTGCGTCTGGTTCTCGAGTCAGATGAAGCTTCGAAATTTCGATGTGCTGGAATAAGAACCTATTCGGAAAGGCTAGATATCGACCCTTGGAATCCAAAAGTACCCTCGTGTTGTGGGCACGTTCCACTTTCCTCGGTTATCAGGAAGCTGCTGCGAGGATCTACAGATCTAGACTTCTGCAGAATGGGGCGAATTTCGAGGGTCGTTTATAGCGCTTTCAAGCATAAAAACATGATCGTTTAGTCAAGTGCATCACACAAGTCAAGATGAATGTGTGGATTGGGTTTTAATTACAGTATAGGTTTCTCGTTCAAAGGCTTGCATTCGGTAGTGATCGCCAATGCTATCTTTCCAGTGAAACGTGTTCAATGACTGACGAGTTGATGAACCATGATCCAAACCAAAAACAGCACAGAAGTTGCCATGGCGCATTGCAAATCACTGCATGACACAAGTTGATGCCAAAGTCATCCACGTGGGCTCAATTCAGCGTCGTTACATGACGTCGTGGATAATGTTCCAAGTTGTGATGAGTATTGTGGTCTGAGCGGCTGTGCTATACGACGTTGCTTCGACTATTCCGGCGTGGCATTGAAACGCAGGGAGAGGACTCAATTAAATCGGCACTCAGTCTCGTATTGACAGAACCGCTTAACTGCTTTAAGCATGAAATGCGCAGGGGTAAAGCCTAGTAGTGCAATATCCAAGAATAACTAACCCTCTGGTTGGTGGATAACAGTCAACTAACCTTGTGTAGATTAGTGATGTCAGCCGAGTTCTTCGGGGATCTCCAGGTCTTGGGGAAATATGATTGCATTGACTAAAAGAAGGGTAATGATTGACCGCTGAAGATTGCGGTACACTGTCTCGCTTTATTTGTCACTAATCCTGGATCGTTCTGGGCTTGAGGCTAGTAGTGACCATCAATTGACCGACTCTACACTGCTACGTAGCACTAGTTCATTATCGTATCTCCATGCGCTTAGACCATATCAACATCACAGCATGAAGCCGAAGTGCCGGTTTGGTGAAGTCATGTCTATTAATATTATTCTCTCAACTTCTATAAAGACTTTGTGATCAACCCACGATATCCAACATTCTCACATCAATCATCTCATCTTCTCAAGCATCTCAACTACCAAACACTCTTCAACTCCAACAAACAACTCTCTCCAATTCTCCCACACACAAACAACCAACCACCATCAAAATGAAGTTCACCACCTCTCTCTTCGCTCTCGCTGCCGCCACTGGCGCTGTCGCTGCTCCTTCTGCTCCCCTCGACGCCGTCTCCATGATGGCCGCTGCTCCTATGTGGACCATTGAGTCCATGCAGCGAACATGCGATAAGCCCGATACCACTTGCACCTGGAACTTCAAGATCAACACCGGTAGCGGTGCCGCTACCCCCTGCAAGTACGTCGTCAAGGCTTCCAAGAGTGCCTCTCAGGCCAACGGCGGCCCTGCCAAGTGCGGCACTTTCACCATCACCTCTGGCTGGAGTGGTCAGTTCGGTGCCGGCAACGGTTTCACCACTCTGTCTGTTGTCAGCAGCAAGAAGCAGATCGTTTACCCCAGCTACACCGACAAGCAGCTTGCTGGTGGCAAGGTTGTCAAGCCTGACCAAAAGTACGCCCCTGCTTCTCTCCCTTAAGCGATGGACGATTTTATGGATGACGGATTAATGGGCTCTGGGGTTGGTGGCGATAATATCTAATACTCAATATCTAGACGGTGGGATAAATGTATATACAATCACATAGATGACAAAACATCACCTTATACTGCATTCGTCGCCTTCTTCGTGATCTAATCTTCTGAAAGGATGTATATCACTATACTATCTCGCCCTTGAGACTCGCTTGAAAAGACATGAAGTCATAACTACAAGACCGCGTTGGAAATAGCCATCCATACTTATTGCCTGCAGTCATCTACGTATGCAGAGAATAGTAACTCAATGAATTCCACTGCAGTATGAAGATATATCCAAGAACAAGCATAAGCCTTCCATTTACCAAGTCAAAAAGCTAACGGCCCTCAATATATTAACACAGAACTCGATAGAAAAGATACAATCGTCTGATCGGCAATAATGTCGTTGAGTCAAACTGAAACCATAACTGCATGCAAGTAACAGAAACCTTGAGAGAACATAAGGGTTGTATCATTACTAATTACTCATTACTTATTATCATTCATACCATGAATTATCTTTTCAGTTCATCCTGTGAAGTCTTGGGCGACCACATCGAAAAGTCGGCCGGCAACCCAATGGGGTCCTGATTTGGTTCGTATACTATCCTGATACTCCGTCGATGGCTATTCCGCTGTGTGTCTGTCCTGTATAAAGGACTTCCGGGGACGTCTTCCGACTCCCTCACTCTCGCACGTTGTATCTCGCTGTTGCCTCCTTCTGAGATGCGTGGTCTCGCCGTCCTAGTTTCCAAAGATGGTGTAATGAAACCCTTTTCTGATACACCTCTGTTTTTGCGCTTTCTGTAATAGTAGAACAACAAGCCAGCGAGGAGAAGCATGAGGCCTAGTACACCGACGCCTGCGCCAATGCCTGCTTTTGCCTGGACGGAAAGTCCGCCCTGTGGTTCTACTGTCGTGGTTTGGTCGCTAGCTGCTGATTCTATTGTGGCGGTTGGTGCTGGAGCGGAAGTGCTGTGGACCAAGGATGGTGTAGCTGCTGTTGGTATCGTAGATGGACTCGCTACAGACGCCTCTATAGATACATCAACGGGTTTGGAGTCGATGTAGAAGAAACTACTCGTCAAGGTGGTTTCGTTCTCCGGATCAGTCGTATTGAGAAGCGTCGCCACGAATTTGGTGTTTCCGGTTTTAAAGTCTTTAGGTATTGTCCAGTAGTATGAGATATACGTGTCTGGACATTCTTTGTTCCAGACTTGCCAGTTGGTAGAGGGATAATGGAAGGTTTCGTTGGCTATGCCAGGTTAGCAAATTGGCTCAATTACCAAGAGGTATGAAGAGGTTCCTACCAAATATTTGAACAGCTTGAGAGTCATCATTTGAGTCAAATGCCCTGACCTCCAGGCTAAAAGTCTGGCTCTGATTATCGTCGATATGAATGTCGCCCGTCCAGCCAAAGCCCTGCGTTTCTCCGGCGTGCCAGGTATCGCCCTGGTTGGGAAACATAATCTCGTTGCCATTTTTGGTCAAGGATGTGGATTTGCACCATGTGTCGATCTGTTCAGGTGTTCTTTCATCGTGAACCTGGTGGTCTGAAAGATCTGTGCTCTGCTGTTGTTCGCTACTTCTCTTTCTTGACAGCATCAAGCTGAAGTCTAATGGGAAACGCATATTGTTTGACAAAGTGGAAGAAGCAATTAAAAGATTTACGGAGAAACAGACAGCATAAGATAAAGGCACGAACTGGATGTTTTATAAAAACAATGTGCTTTGCAGGGCATTAAATGTCCAAGCTTTTTAGTGAAATAAGATGCTGTTTCAAGTCATATTCTACTTTAAGGCGCCCAATCATGGCTAGCGCATGGACCCTAGATCGATTCAGCTTGACGAATTTTGTCATGCTATATTCAATAGTACGTCGCAATTGTTTCCTTTTTCATGGTATAATGCACTTATTAACAGACCAGCATTCCGAATCTTGACCCAAATCACAACACAGGCAGCATGAACCTTTTCAAAAAGCCATTTGTGATTATACAAGAATACGGAGCTGCCGCGTGTTAGTTATCTACAACAGGAGCTTGGGCCTCCGTCCGTCGTCAGAAAAGTAGAGCTTTGAAGTTTGACGTCCTTTAGCGCTGCCAGAGCATGATCCCAGCGTCTGCAAGCACTTCAATTTTAATCCTCCGACCAAAAAAGAAGCATATGAAACAGCTAGAACATGTTCTCCGCCAGATCAGGAGCTAGTGGATTTCCGATAAATAAACTTGCAACTTGCATCTTCGTCTTGTCCGAGCACTGGGATTCTGCTTAATTGGTCAGTCGCTAATCGAACCAAAGATCGATGTTACACGATGATTGCACATGTCCCTGTTTATATACCAAAGACGTTGTTAATGCGTTGTGCCAACTAACCTGACTCAAGTCTTGTTTCGGTCAACATACTACACAGAGCGGCGTTCAACCTCAATGGCTGTAGTCACACCATCAATTCCTTGCTCATCTTCTTCAGACGGATCATCCCATCCCTCACGTTGGTCCTTGGGCAACCTGACAAACACGACGTCAAGAGCCAATCCCAACAACGCTAAACCGGCCGCAAAATACAAAGCTGCCCTATATCCTCTCACCTCATCGTCATTGTTTGTCCCGACTTCTGTCTTAATCGTTCCCGCAAATCCTTGACCCAGACTGTTGCCGTAAAGATTAAGTGTTCCGATAAGACTGCTGGCTATGCCTTGTTGGCGACGACTGACGCTGTTACTGGCAATCACTTGTGCGGCAACGTAGACAAGATCTGGACAGAAGCCATACAGAACCATAGCGGGAAATAACTGTGCCCAAAATGTCTGCTGGACGGGCATGGTTGCCAAAAGAATGTTCCCAACAAACGTGACTAACACCTAGAAACCTGTCAGTATTGTCTTTCCATGATCCTCTCTGGGACCTACACCAATCGCCATGATCCATTGTGCCGCAACACGTGGGATAAGCCATGCTGCAAAGAACACGGCAAGGATGGAACTCAGCCCGAATGGAATGAAATGTAGGCCTGTTTGGGTGAGAGAAACACCACGTAGAAGCTGTTGCCATGCCACTGAATACCATATGCCAATGCCAAAGGCCATGTAGCTCAGCAAAACAACAAAAATCAGAGCGAGAAATGTCGGGGCCTGGAATATGGTAAGTGGCATAATGGGGTCTTTGGCATAGCATTTCTCCCATGTAAGAAATGCGGTAAAGAGGAGCACTGAGAGGATGATCAAAGCGATTTCGTAGGGGGTATTCCATCCGACTGAAGGTGCTTGGTTGCATACGACATTGAATAGTAAAAGGCTCCCCAGCCCCATGATAATGCCGGGAACATCAATATGCCCTCCTTTGTCAACTGGAGTCTCTTTAGGCATGAGCCAAGCCAGCCAGGCCAGTATCAACGCGGAAACACCTGCACTGGTGAATGTCAGTCATTATCCAAGGTTTCCAGAGAGGCGACGCACATGAGGATAAACAGCCACATCCAATCAACCTGATCCATGAAAACACCAGTAATCAGTGCGCCAAACATACCACCCAAAGGGGGTGACGCTGCAAAAAAGCCCAATACAACATTCCGCGATTGACCGGGAGGGACCATGGTGGTGATTATAGATACAGCATTGGGCATGAAAATACCACCACCCACGCCTGTCAGAGCGCGCATGGCAATGAAAGAGTCGTATGTCTTGGTGAAAGCGTTGACAAACGAGAATAGGGTAAAGATCGCGCATCCAAGAAGACTTAGCTGTTTATGGCCATATATCGCGCCAAGACGGCCTGTCACTAGCACGAATGCGCCTTGTGTGAGTCTGTGAAGGTTAAGTACATGATTGAATCTTGTTCGTTGACGGCTTGGCTCACGGGTACGATGCTACCATCCAGTTGGCCTTCCCGGGACCAGTTTCACGTCCAAGGTCTTTGCTCAGTGCGAGACCGCCGGCAATAGTAACTGCATTGGAAACGAACTTAATAGTGCTTCAGTATACGTTCGGCACAATTTGTCTTCTCTCAATAGGCGCATAGCTCACCTGCACAGTGTTGGCGCATACCAACAAAGCAATGATCATTCGCCTTGTAGCCAGGGTTATCGTGAAAGCGGGATCAGCTTCAAAAACACGCCTCGCTCGACGGTTCCCCTGCTGTTCTGTGGCATTGTAATTTCTGTTTCTATCCTCAAGGGAGATAGACTCAAAGGGAGCTTCAGTGATAGTCTGTGTAGTTGCCATCTTCAACTCGGCGTTATCTCAATGTTGATGCGGGGGAAACAAACGCGGCTGGTAACTCGTAAGACTTTATAAGACTGCATGCATAATTCAGTTAACCGTCGCTTAAATTATTCGGTAAAATTATGTCAGCGAAATTTGTGTGTGGTACAGTATGATTTGGATCTGTATTCCCGTTTTAACATTCTAGAGTGAGAAGCAGAAGAATTGACCTTTAAGCTTTAGCCGACAAAAATAAATAGCCTAAGAAGTATAGTCTAAGTAGCATAAAGTGACCTAGTAATTTAGTATCTTATGCTCCTGGCGGCCAACTTTTCTGGTACCCTGATGACATTCAACATAAGTCTTTATCAATAACGGGAGTTTACACTATTGCAAATCTGTGGAGTCTATCTTGCTACTTCAACGCATATCTAATCTTTCGTTTCTCATATGTGTCATCAATGTTAGTCCGGCGAGAAACGCTCATGTCATGAAGGTTCATGACACAAGCGTCAACAAATTCAATGTGCCAATCCCTCCCTTTCTATTGACAAACACTCTACAAAGGATTAATGTAGCAGGCTCACGATCTACTGTATTGAGGTTACATTGTTGCAATGACTTGACGTCGTCTATCAATCCTTGGAAGATTTTTAAGTTCGATAACCCATGTGTGTGCATGCCCGTGCTTGTGCCTATTAAAGTAAGCATCCGTGATATGACGTAGGACCTTTTTCTTTTGCCCTGCCTACTGTAAAATGGAGAAGATCGTGCCGAACTGAGACTCATAGACAACTTACAGACTAATCCTATCCTGACACAATATTGGGAATTCCACAACGACCTATTATAGTGCTACTGCTTTAAGCGTCACGGGTGGAAACAGTCTCAGATCTGGGGTAGGAAGCGAAATGTGACACTCCGGCTGCCGCTGATTTTTGAGCAAGGGGGCTGGACAATGTGTCCATAGAGGTATCGCTGTTCCAGGAAATTATATAAGACAAGCTTTGGCTCCTCTCCAACTTGTCCTTGACAACCCTCCATGTTGATCAAGATAGGCGATGGTTCCTTGCCATGGAGGTGGCCACAAGTCCTTGGAATCTGATATCACGGAAAACCTTATATAGCCCTGCACATGTTTCCAGAGGTAGATCACGGCCTGTCTGCTCATCATTTAGGAAAAGACCACTCTGATCAAAACTTTATCGAAGCTCGAAAATGTCTCCAAAAACATGGACGAAGATTCTTACAGCAGATCTTGAATCATGCGGCTAGATGGCGGCGATGCGGCGCGGCATAATAACGTACCAGCGGCGTCTCGGGCGGAGCCGTATGGAGAAGAATTGCGGCGTATGCGGCACTTGGGCTGCGGGTTTCGCTGCGGCATAAGCATCCCGGGAGCTGAAAAATCATGCGACAAGATGACATGAGGAATCCAATTTGACACGGCTTTGCCCGGCTCCAGCAAGTAAAAAATTGCAGATAAAATCCTGTTATATATATCTTGATTGCCAGTGATAGTGGAAACATTCAGACATTGCCATACACACAACTTCAAACAGAATTGTGCACTCCACACATCCTTCACACTCTTATCTTTATCTCTTATCTCTTATCAGCAATCATGAAGATTCTCACCAAGGAAGAAGAAGAGGCTCACTATGCCGAGGTCCTTAAGGGCGGTGTCATTGGCGGTACTCTCTTCACCGGTCTTGGTCTTGCAGGCGTCTACGTCGCTTCCAAGCGTTACCCCTCATTCCGAGGCTTGACCCTCCCCTTCCGAGCCTTCCTCGTCACTTCAACCGGCACATTTGGTGCCATCGTCAATGCGGAGCGATGGAGTATCGCCTATCAGATCGCTCAGGACCCTAAGCGCACATACAGGGACCAAGCAGCCCGCACAGCAGATCTCATCCGCGAGAATGAGTCAGCATACGAGCGTTTCAAGACCTACTCCAAGGAGAACCGTTACCAGATTGTTTTCGCGTCTTGGTTGGCGTCAATGGGCATCGCTTTCGCCATCGTGAGCCGACAACCTATGAACACTGCCAACAAGGTTGTGCAAGCTCGTGTCTATGCCCAGGGCTTGACGCTGGCTGTGTTGTTGGTGTCTGCTATCTTTGAGATGAGAGATCTGAAGAATGGCGACAGCAGGTTCCAGACTGTCAGAATGGTCGACCCCAATGATCCTACTAAGGTCATTGAGCAGAAGGTTCACAAGGAAGATTACGAAGGCCAGGACCTCTGGAAGGGTAAGTTATCAACCCCATTCAACAAAGTAATCGAGACGTTTTACTTACTAACACTGAAATAGACATGGTCGCCGCTGAGGAGCGCAGACTTGCAGCTAAGAAGCAGGCTGCCGGACATTAAACGAGAAGATCCATTGAAAGGTTCATTAATCATGTACATAATTGCATTGGGTGGCATACCAGGTTGGCATTATAGATGGGAACGGCGCATTGAGACTTCCTTTGTTTTAATCCGGAGGGATTATTGAACGAGTTAAAAAGAAATGAAAAGATTGCAGATTACAACCAACAGTTCTATACTCAGGCCTCACCTTGGTTAACAAAAGTGACATGCACAAGACTCGTGAAGGGAGTTATAATTATCGACGCTATTAATTGACCTGGACAGCTCGCTGCTAACTTCTTGTCAAGTCTTTTGAAGGGAAGAGGGGGTCGAGGTACATATAAACCTTGATGCTCATTCGACCTCAGCTAAAACAGTCTTGATAACACCCTCTAGACTCTCCACCTCGAGCCCAAGGAGCCCAATAGCATTCTCATCGCCCTTCAACGCGTTCCCGGCGCCATCAGCAAACAAGAACTGCTCCAAATAGTTTCCAAAAGCACTAAAGTCTCCATTGGCAATCTTGTCATCGCCAATCTTCTCTACATCGGCACTACTGGCATGCGAGACGTCAAACTTATCTCTAGTGACTTGTTCAACAATCCTCAGAACCTCGTTTTGTGTCGTAGTGACACCTGCAATATTGAGATATCTGTTCGCCGTTTCTTCAGGCTTCTTGAGGATAGAAGCTACAGTTTTTCCGATAAAGCTAAGGGAAGTTGTGGAGTACGGCTCGTTTCCCGAATCTACCACGCGGAACTTGCGGTTCCTGATATCGATAAAGCTATAGGGGTTTTTGAGGTTCTGCGTCAAGTTAGAAAACATGAATACTGTGTGAAACCACTTAACCTACCGAATCTAGGAAGAGACCGTTGGAAAGACCAGTCCACGAGAACCAATCGTGCTGTTTGGAAAGCTCAATTAGATAATCAGTATTCTGCACCTTGGCAGCGAGAATTTTCCCGATTTTCTTATCACGGTTCTGACGAGAAGGAATACCAAATTCAGAAGGGATAAATCGAGGAACTCTGGCAGCAATAACAGCGTCAATGATAACTTTCTGGCCTCCAGAGGCTATGGTAGTCGCTGTTGAAACAACGGCATCCTGGCCGGTGACAGCATCCTTGACCGAGTCGACAGAGGTGATGTCGACACGTCTGACAATCACATTATCAGGAAAGATTGCTAAGGACTCGTTTCTGCTTACGACTGTGACTTCGAAGCCAGTGTTGAGAAGGCTATCGACGACCTTGGATCCGAGAAGACCAGAGCCCTGCTGATGGATTAGGAGACGCAATCTAGACTTGCCGGGCGCGGGTAACTCACTCCAATGACGGCAACTTTCTGAATAGCCATTGTTGATAGTGTACTGTCAGGCTGTATAAGTGGGTGAAGTAAAGAGTCTTGGAGCCAGATACAGTGGCGAGAATTGAAGAACATTCGAGGTAAGGACACTCTGAGTGGTTTTAAAAACGGGTATTCAGTTCCTTTGGCCAGTCAAGGCAGTTAATTCTGATTCGCAACTCCACATCGAGATGATGCCATTTGTCAGATCTGAGGTTTCAACCGTATATCCGTCACTTTCATGTATTTATGCATGATCAAGGGCGACAAAATATCATCTTTTTACGCTGACCTTATAGATTGGGACTCAGTCGCAAAATTTTCGTCCAGTTTACTCAACTCCACTCAAGGTTGACCATCGCCGAGAGTTACCTCTATGAGCATCGATATTCGACCCGGAGGTTTGGATAGTATGCTTGGAGTTGTACTGCGAATTGAGTTTCGGGAATAAGAACTGTGTACGTCCCGACGATCTGGACCGCCGGGGTCTTGCGGGATCACAAAAAGGTTCATGCAGGCTCCTCGGGCATTGTGAAGAGTTTCTTCATCAGCATCAGCGATGAGTCAGATTATCTGTGAAAACTGTGAATTTAGAATTGCCAACCCATCAAGCTTTCAAAGAACTATCTTTACATCCAATCAAGATAACTGAATGGCTGGTCTGCGAAGTCTAACGAGGCAGACAGCCACCGTTCTTTAATGTGATAGCCCGGGTTTAATATTAAGTTATCGGTTTGCTCTTTTGAGTTATTCACATTGTCCATTTAAGCAGAAACCTAGATCTTGTTTCCCGTCATATCAAACGGTAGGCGTTGCCGTGGAAGGTGTGAAGCCACGTACCGACACGGCAATTCCCAACACAACGATTCGTACCACACTCAACACTGTTTCAAACCACTAACTACATCTGACGGTCGATCGCCTCTCTTACTCTCCTACAGAAAACTTGTCGGGCCAAACAGCAGTGGCTGGGAAAAGCTTTAAGCTAGCCATTCTAGCCGATGCCTGACGCCGCGGTGGCTATTTACATCTAACACGGTACCGCAGATCCCACACGAGGTAAAATCCGGGGTAAAAGAGGAAAGGCCAGTCTCCATTACGGAAGACGATGACGCGCCGTTTACCAAACTTGTGAGCGTTGGTTTGCTTTCGTTTCTAGGAGTGGCAGGTAGAATTGTTGATACAGCCTTCTATTATTTACCTACCCTTGAATGACACCAGTTTCTCTTTTCCATGTTGTAGCATTTTTAAAATGGAGATGATTTGGTGAGGCGTTTATGCCAACTTGTCAATTTATGCATAAGCCACTGAATCTAGCCAAATCATCATCAAGTCTAGAATTGATGTTCTCTGAGGACCTTGCCAGAGTTTGGCAGGTTGGCCAAAAGTAAAAGTGCACGTCAGATCAGTGGGTGGTCGAGCCGGGTTCTGACCACTCTCGGTTACAGCGGCTCAATCCTACTTCTCGTATGGCTAATCTAGGCCTTACACGTAGTAGGCGGTGTTGCCCTGTCATCCGTTCCCTGCCTACGGACCTGCAATGTCTTTTCCTGTGCCTGCCAAGTTTTTTTTCCCTTGCAGTACAGGGTAAGAGTCAGAATTGATGATGTAGAACTATTGTATTTTTGCCTTTTCCCATCAACAACCTGTCTAGCCTGTCCAGTCTTTGTTTGTGGCGCCTACTGAGCGTTACGGAAAGTTAAGCTTTACTGGTCACCATGGATATTCGCCGTTATAGAGTTTGTGGCTGAAAGGCCTGGAATAACTCGCCATGGCTGGCCAACAAAAACAATCAACAAATCGATTGTTCTGTGTGCTATCCAGCTGAGTCGGCGATTCCTTCATTTATCCTTCGGCGAAAAAAAAAAAAAAGGTCAGTGCGGCGCAATCCCTGTCCGTCAGCAATAAGCATAGAAATTCATCGTCAGAGAAGCCTCATTCGCAACCTTGACCGAAGTAAAGCGCCTTGGACATGGAACTGTTGAACAAACGATGGATAGCTCTCCCGTAGTAAAAACTAAGCGCCTCCCTGCATCACCATCACAGAAACAAGTCCGTTGTTAATTAGCGTCAACCCCGCTGCCAAGAGATCGATCGACCGCTATTCTCAGGGGTAACATGAAGAAAGCAGCATTTGTTTGCCCGTACTGCATCACAAGCAAGAAGTTACATTAGAGAAATGCCTCACATGCTCACTCCCTCTCCTCTCCTTTCTTCCCCCGAGGCGAAGTCTAGTTCCAGCTTAACTGGCTCCAGTCAACTTGAATGGTTTGACCGTGTTTACGAAATTTAATGGGGCCACTGAAGCAAAATCCGGCTAAGCGGCTTCGTTGACAGCCTGGTCTGACAGACCCCCCTGCCAGCAAAAGGGGGCATAATGATGGACTTTTTGCACGGGAAGAGCAGGGTTTCATTGGTCTTTCTGGGGAAAAGTAAGCAAAAGGCTGAAAATTCCAATGGAAATTCGACAGTCGGGCTGGAAGGATCATGGGTAATTTTACTGGCCCTCTTTCGGTTCGTTGTACGAGCTGTTATCCACGGGCACTGACGCAGGGTGATGCAAAATAAACCCACGCTATTGAGCGCCTCAAGACGCCATTTCTATCCATCGTCAGTCCCCCTTTACGAAATTGAGAACAGACGACAAGAAGAAATTTACACTGACCAGTTTTACCAGCCAGAGAAACAGTCGCATGATCTTCATTCCAGTCGTTTCTTCGTTACAGAGTACAGAGTACAACCCTACCAGTTAAACCTGGCTTGGATCCCTCTAGTTTTAGCAAGGCTTTTCCTGTGCCGCTCCACCGTGACGTGCAATTTAACTGCTATCCCCATTACTGGCCAATTAGAATATTTTAATGACCAAGGAAACAATCATGCAGTGAGCATCTCGGTTAGTCGGAACCGTTCAATCTGCAAGAAATAGACAGTGGGAGGAAAAATACGAGGCTTGAAACCGCCACTCGATCAACTAACTGGCTGGTTCTAACCCTACCCTGCTGTGCTGTGTTGTGATCTGGTACCAATGTACACAGTAGACGCAGGGAGAGGGGTGAGCCTTTCTATAACCAGTTAATGACCGAGTGATCTGGGGTACACATATTGCTGCCCCCGTACAGAAGTACCCAGTCTACCAGGCTGAGTCTATGGGTAATTCAAGCTGATGGTCAACTAACTGGGCTGACGCCTGGACAAGACTCGACTGGACTGGACACACCACGCGAGCAGTTGCTGTTTTTAAATCACCTAGCGCAAAAGCAACAAGTTTAGGGGCATCCATAATAATAGTAATGCTACCGAGTAGAGATTCGAGACAGAGACAGATCTCTTTTAATGACTTGAAGCCTCTCCCTGGTCCCTTTCTCATGACCCTTTTTTGTTTCATTTTCCCTGCTCTGTCTTTTTTCCTTGGGACCTGAAGTATTATTCATTCGGCTCCTCTGGTTCTACAACAAGTTCTACTAATTAACATCTCATTTCCAGTCGTCTCTTTTTTTCCTCTTGGCATTTTGTCACGATTTCTGTATTCTGCTCTCGCAGCAAGTGGGATAGTAGGCAGCCCACCAGCACCGGCCTTCAACATGTTTGCGACACTCGTTCCCTTTTGTTTCTCGACAATCTTCGTTTCACTCATCTTTACAAAACTGGTCCACCTTTCCATCCATGTCAAGACCGTCTCGCCCGGAGCCTTCGTCCTCTTCTTGCCATCGCTACTACTTCCCGATCTCTTCATTATCTACATATCGCGCCTGGCGCTGCGACAACAAAAGGGTGTCTTTTCGGTCGGCGCATGCGTTTTGGGATGCATTTTCTCGTTTGTTCTCCTCGGCGCATCGGCCTCGCAGCTCGGTTTCTTCTACTCGACGGGTAACGAAGTCAAGTGGTCAGAGGCAAGGAGCTATGCTGGCGATGCCAAGGGTATGAAGATCTTGCTTAGCGGCATCAACTCTGTGCTTGCGTCGGGTGCGATCATCATTGTTGTTGCTTGGTTTGCAAAGTGGTATATTTACAGGGCTGTTGGATCCCTCATTACAACGGTTGGAACACCAGTTGTGCATGGTTTGTGGACCTCCATTCAATTGGCTACGTCAATTGCTAACAATTGTTCTAGTGTGGCAGTCGATCCGAAACAGAACCCGTCGATCCCCTTCATATGCTCCAGGCACAAGCTCATACGACTCTGGCAGCGAATTCGACGATGTTGAGAATGCTAAAGAAGGCGCCCATCTTATCCAAGAAGAGCTTCGCGAAGAGACTCGAACCAGGCCTCGCACATTGGTCATTCTCGCTATCGTGGCTGTCTTCCTCGTCCTAACCACGACTTTCCGACCTGCTGCGCCTTACACCATGATGTCCATGACACTTCCATTGGCTATGCTCGACATGTTCAAGTCACCTTCCAACCTCTGCAATGCTGTTAGCGGTAACTGGCCTTTGACAGCTCTTATTACTGAGGATAAGTGGGAAGCCCCTAATGCGCACTTCCCCGGCTGGACACCCGGCAGCGACAGTGAATCTGCCCGCAAATACCGAGAAACGACACCCGCGTGGCTTCCTACTGACATCCCCTCTGGTTTCCACAAATGGATTCCCAAGGAACCCAAAGCCAACACCACCGAAAAAGCCCCAGCAACAACCAGCAACGGCTGTGTCTTGCCTTCATCTGATGACGCCTTCTACAACCCTGTCCTGGACCCAATGAAGATCTCCAACCTTGACAGCGACATTCTCGACGTCCTACGAGACACCCTTAGTGGCGGCGATGTCAAGATCAAGCACGTGGCACTAATTATGATGGAGAGCTACCGAGAGGAGCTCTTCCCTCTGCAGCAGGGCTCTGAGTATCACAAGCTCATCCTCAAGTCGCACAAGGGCGAGGATGAGGACGCCGTCAACGCTAAGCTGTCACACCTCAGTCCCGTCGCCGAGAGGCTGACAGGAAAATCGGGTAACTGGAAGAAGAAAGATGGTTCAGATTTCGAACACGTGGACATCCCGCAGTGGAACGATACCACAAAAGAGGGATATGGAGGTATTAACGTTGTTGGTGGTTTCACAACGTCCTCACTTTCGTTTAAGAGTATGGCTGCTATTCACTGTGGTTCTTGGGCGATGCCTGTTGATGGGTTTGAGGAGTCTGAGACGGACAGCTACCAGCCTTGTATCCCTCAAGTGCTGAACCTCTTTAACAAGATGAAGAAGGATAACTCGTCCAAGGACTTTTTGGAACAACAATGGTACCCTGCCTTCTTCCAGTCCATCACCGACGGTTATGACCGTCAGGACAAGTTCGACAAGAAGATCGGATTCGAGCATACCGTCACAAGGGAGCGTCTCGAGGAAGAAAAGAATGACGAGGATAACCTTGAGGAGATCAACTACTTCGGTTTCGCCGAAACGACACTCAAGCGTCATGTCAAAGACTATCTCAAGAAGGTTAACGATGAGGGCAAACGCATGTTCTTCTCACACTTTACCAGCACAACTCACCACCCATGGGGCGTTCCCAAATCATTCAAGACTACAGACTATCTTAACACCGACGGCAAGATGAAGTGGCACGAGGAGTTCAACAGCTACCTCAACGCCGTTCGCTTTACAGATGCTTGGCTAGGCGAGTTGCTTCAGACTTTTGACGAGTATGGCATGACCAACGAGACATTGGTTATTTTCGTCGGCGACCACGGACAGGCTTTTAAGGAAGATCAAAAGTCTAAGATCGGAACGTACGAGAACGGGCATGTTAGCAACTTCCGCGTACCTATTACCTTCCGTCATCCCCATATTCCCCGCGTGCAGTACAACGCTAACGCGACATCCCTCTCTATTCTCCCCACCATCCTTGACCTGCTCGTCAACACAGGATCACTGAACGAGAAGGACCAAAACGCTGCGTCAGACCTCATCCACGACTACGAAGGACAGTCTCTTATCCGACCATACAAAACTATTCACAACGGTCGCCGCGCGTGGAACTTCGGTATTATCAATGGCGGCGCGAGCATGTTGTCCATGACCTCTGCCGATGCACCATGGCGTATCGTCATCCCCCTCGATGACTCTACGCAATATCGATTCACCGATCTCAAGACAGACCCCCTTGAACGTAGGGCAGTCGAGAGGTGGACACTAGAGCAGCTAGAAGTTGCTGTCGAGAACAAGTATGGAGAGGAGGCGTCGATATGGGCCGCTGAGGCGGATGCCGTGTCCAAGTGGTGGGGACCCGAAAGGAAGAGATTATGGGGTTATAATCCTTCGGCGCACAAAGACAAGGAATAGAATGATGAATAGTTTAATGTAATGCGAATGTTTAATGTTTTTAACCTGAATCCTTTATTGTTCTTGTATATAAGCCAGGTCAAAGTAAAAGTCATTAGGCGGTCCTGGATATCTTGTCAACTCCCCAATCTACATTCTGAAACAATACCAGATAAGCTCTCTCAGCGTGTATACTCTAAAAGTCACGAAAACTCGAACGGTTAAGAGCACAGGTAGTTTAGACTCTCGGTTATGGCAACGAGCGTGTTCCTCCTACTCTTGGACAACGACGTCTTGGTCAAAATCCATGCGGCGTCTCTCAACTACCGCGATATCATGGTAGCCCTGCTACGTACACCTCTGTCCTGCACTACCATCGGTTAACCCCGTAGGGCACCTATCCATTCCCACTGATGCCAAACGTCATCTCAGACTCCGACAGCAATGGAGAAGTCGTGGCAGTTGGCTCCAAGGTGACCTGCTTCGACTTTCCCGTATCAATAGGCCTCTAGCTTTTCAATCTGGCTTTCAAGAGTCATCATTTTGTACAATCTTTCGCGCGTCACTTCCCAATCGTCCGAGTCAGGCAACTTGTTGATTTGATCCAACTCATTTTCCAAAGCCATCTTTTTCTCCCCTCTGGCCTTTGTTTCCTTCTCAGCCTCGTTCTCGTACATCAACCAGCCGGAGACAGGTTGGATTCCGAGTAGACCGGACTCTAATGTCTCAACACTTTGGCTTGTGGCCGAACCATCATTCGAAGTTTGAACCTGCTCATGTTCGCCGAGTCTTTGACCCCTGATGCCAAAAGATCCAGCTATCATAATACAAGAAAACTCTTTTCCATTGTCGTTGACCTTGACCGGCACCGACGCAAACCCGACAGGTACACTATCAATGTCCACACGAGGGTATGAAACCCCGTCAATCACATTCATTGCACGACGGTTTTTAGGCTTCCCCTTGTCATCCCAGAAGCAAAATGCCGTGATCCATCCGGTGATGTAGTCAGTACCGCTACCCACAGGGTTTCTTGTTGCAATGGTGTTCCAAAAACGGATAACGTCAGGATGATCAGGTTGCTCAAAAGAAAGAACCATATTTTTCAGAATCGGTCGCAGCATCTTGGAAAACTGAGTGGGCTCATCTCCGAGTAGTTCCAACTTATCTATCCGACCAAGAATATCTCGCCAGTCTGAGATATCACCTAGCAGCGTCACAGAAGGAATTCCGCAAGTCAGAGTAAATCCGTAAGAGAAGTACTTCTGCATAGCGCCCATGAAAAGCACCGAAGCAACCACTTGATCAGTGTCAGATGTGGTAGAGAAACTGGGCATGACCCAAGACCCTAGTTCTGGATCTTTGACGTTCTTGCTGACAAGATTCGCCATCTGCTTAGCCAGAGCGCCAAAGTTGGCACTTTCCAGAGTACCCAAGCCCACGACCTCAAGCTCTTTCTGACCCTCGTGATCAACGAAGAATGCACGCAAATCTTCCGCATTCGCATTGATATAAAAGCTTATCTGCGTGAGGATGGCGAACCAAACATCTTCAGGCCGAATCGTAAGGTGGTGGTGCTGGCTGTAGGCATGATAGGCAGACCAAACGAAGCCATTCTCAGAAGGTGATATGTGCTGATCCTGAAGGGTATTGCTATCGAAGGAAGTCTGGATAATCCGTTGGCAATGCCGAAAGTCTCGAGGGGAAGTCTGTTTTAGCAGATCTTCGGGAGACTTGACGCTGGGAGTTGTCCAGGCAGTGGCCGGATGTTCAACCACATTGAATGTTATTGGCATAGTTGCCAGATAATCGGGTAGATTTCGGAGGCTGTAGGAGAAATGTATTACCAAGAGCGGGGATATAAGAAACAGTTTTCGAAATCGACGATGTGAAGTTGGAAAGAAGAATGATTATTTTCATGTCAAGGTAGCTGGGTGCGGGGTTGCCATTATATAAGTGACGTAGGTCTGGAGTTTATAGCTTATAAGCTTAGGCTAAATAATAAAGTTCTTTTGGTAGTTCTATATGATCTCCGAAGTCTAATACTGACTTTCTCCCTTGCCCTGAAGCTTGAAGTTGCCAAAAGTATGGCCCGAGAGGACCTTATTCTCTCACAATACTTTACTAGTTTGAGCTTCTAAGCTATGATGACGTTTTCGCCTGACAACTTTGTCACAAAAGGTAGGGCTTCGAGTAATCTTATTCTTACATGATACAAGAGCAGTACCTGCTCAGCAGCCCACTTTCTTCCTTCTGCATAACCTAAAGAATACTCTTGATTGACCATTGAGCTTGAATACCAAGGCAATAAGCTTACTGCCAAGAAAGATCTCTATTATTTGATGTTTGGGCTTTTAAAGTATAATGACTTTTTCAGCCTGTAACTTTGCCACAAAAGGTCGGGCTTATGAGCAACCTCATTTACAGATAATATAAAGGGAATGCCTATTAAAAAGGGTTTCAAGTTCAGAGGGTATTTGCATTAAAAGTAGTAACTTCTGGATAGTAAGTAAAAAGAAAAATGCTATGAGTTAATATTTCTATCATTTTTTTATCGAGCTATAATACAAATAGTTAATATTTTCAACTTTAATCCTTCATTGTTCTTATGTCTCATGGATGATGAAATTGACAAGTAAATGTAAAAAGCTTTCGGTAGTCTGGAATGTGTCAACCACTCTCTTGTTGCAATTTAGGAACTACTTACCATTGGTGTCTTGAGAGTCATGTTCCTTGCACCGTGATCGTAGGCAGCAGTGCAAGGTCCAAAATTAATTACCCCACAAGTGCTTACCGTGCGCGCTCACCGTCTCGATCAGCAACTCTTCAGTATCAAGCATAATGCCAGAGACAGCGCCAAATATCTCGAGTCGTTTCCGAAGACGCGGTACTTCCAATGCAAATTTCCCGTGGATCATCTGCTTCCATGGCTCAGGCGATTCCTGCGCCTCTTGGGAGCCTTTGACAGACCTTCTCAGCGTCTACCAGATTCTCCTCTGGGACCGGCTAGATCCCAACATCAACCCCGAAAAGGCCAATTCAGAATTGCTAGAGTACCTGGACAAGTCTAAGCTCTCCTCCAGTTACGTACTTGTCGCTCATTCATATGGCGGCACCTTTGCCAAGCTTTTCCTCGAGTCTAGACCCTACCAAGTCGCAGGAATGGTCCTCGTGGAAACAGGTCAAGAGACAGGCATAGACCCTAAAATCGAGCAACGCCATTACCAAAAGCAAATACTAGGAAGCAAACCGCTAGTTGTTATTCGAGGAAACACTCTCAAATGGAAGCAGATACAGTACGATCGGGCCCTTGCAGCAGAACAGAACTTGGCTAGTCCAACCTTGATAATACAAAAACAAATGCTGGATGCAACAGATAGGGAAGATGAAAGGCTAAAGAAGGCACAATTGCAGCTTTCAAAGAACAACAAATATGTTCATCTGCCAGATTGTGGGCATGGTGTCATTGAGGCGAGGCCGGACGCTGTGAGAGAGGCTGTCTGTTGGGTTATGGAACACCTACAGTCACAGGATGATGAAGTACTAACGAACCAAAATCAAGAGGCTGATAGTGAAGAAGGAAAGACTGCTTCGAAGAAGAGTGTCACGACGCGGTTGAAAAAGATGGCATTTCTGGGAAAATTTGCAAAGCTGTTTGGGAGGTCAGAAGGATAAGGACCTGGTTTTTGGATCATCACTAGCACGGTTAGGTATTGACTGCATACAAACAGTGGCTAACAAGTGTGATCAGTACTTTGAAATTTTGCTTAGCTATTGTCAGATCAGGCTGTATGTCTGCGAAGTCGCTTGAATTGTTATTTGTAGAATCTTTAGACGTCCTATTGTACTATAATTGATATATCTTTGGAAAGCCTCTAATTTAGAGCTGTGCTATTCGCAAAGTTCCGCATGGAGAGTAATCAGAACGTCATCACGCTGATGTCTGAACTCCCTTCAATGTAGAAACCATGTTGATAGATACTGTGTACGGCCAATTATTGCCATACGCATTGTTCGATTATCAAGCAACACTCTGAATCCCCCCAAAACCACCACCACCGAGCCGTGCAATTAAGTAACGTAGCGGAACTTGGGGTACTTATCGCCCAACATCGTCAAATCAAGCTGTTCGTGATACTCAACCGGTCCAGTTTCACGATCCCGTTTGCGATTTTCGTGGGCTAACTTGAAGTGCAGACCCAAAGACATGATAGTAATCGCGAAAGTCAACGCGCATCCAATTGCACACCCTTTGAGAAAGAACGGCCTAATTCAAGTTAGTCATTTCCCCCTCAGGGGCAAGAGAAATAACACTTACGCATCGGATTTGGGATATACAGTGCTGCTCAGGAATGAACTGCACTGACCCAAGATGGCGAGAACAGCCAGGCCAATGCCATGCTTGGTTTCACCACCTTGATTGTTAAGAAGCCATGTGATGTTAAGTGTCAGACAGGGAAAGACGCCCATGACTGCAAGCCAAATGCTAAGATAACGAATCTGAGCCTTTCCCATATCTTCTATAATGGCTAATAGAAGATAGCCGATACCCGCCATAGCGGAATACCCAGCAATGACAAAGCCTCGGTAACCAAATTGATCGGAGAAAAAGGCAATAGTAACACAGAGAATGAACGAAGCCAGGTATGGAGGAGCAGTAAGGCCCTGCACCTTAATGCTGCTATAGCCCAGACTCTGGACAATGGTCGGAAGAAAGTTTGCAAGACTGGCAAACGAGTAATTACAGCAGAAGTGAATAATAGCATAGGCATATGTCTGATAGTCTCTAAGACCGGCTGTGGCTTGTTTCCAGTTGAGTTTCTCTTTGGATGTAGTGTCCTTAGTACCAAGTCGGGTGACGGCAGCCTCTCTCTTCTTCGCTGAGAAATCGGGCTGATTGGGCAGAGTCAGCGAGGAAGAAGTATACAAAAGGGGCGATGATGATAGCCGGTGCACCCTCTAAAGACTAGTGTTAGAATTGAATGACTTTATTACCCATTCTCAACTTACCAATCAGCAGAATCAGTCTCCAAGGTTCAACATATGAATTTATCTGGGAGATTCCGTAGGCAAGAGACGCTGCAAAGCAGTTTGCAAGTGGGGACATTCCAGCAAGAATAGAAACGCGTAGTCCAGGCTCGCGACGCTGATATAATAAAGACAGGTAGTAGGGAGCACCGGCCCCGAAAGCGGCTTCGAGAATGCCTAATACAGCTCGGCAGGCACAAAGGCCGGCGAGGTTGGTGACGACGCCAGTGCATGTAGCAACGACTCCCCAGCTGGAAATATTAGTGTGACTATTTTGAGCAACCATAGGCGGAAATTCCCAGTCGTTCTCAAGCGCATCGATGGAATGCCGGCCAGAAATAGTGGCTATATCGGGTTGGCCCCCTGAAAGATTTGAGTATGCTCCGAGTGCAATCGAAAACTCATATAGCCGAAGATACTCATAATCTGCATGTAGCAGAAGCCGTGAGAAATTAGAGATGCCGGAATCATTTGCTAAGAATTGAGGTTAGTGCCGGTATGCTAATAGGAGTCTTAAAGGAAGATGCAAACGCTTACATTCTAGTAACTCAACACACTGAGACTTCCAGCTTTTGTTCATCATGTCAAAATGGTGTAGAAGCGTCATGAGACGCGGCTGCGCTCCGATAATCTCAGGCTTGGGCTCAACAATGCCATCCCTGGTCGGTGGATGTAGGACATCTTGGGCATGAGCAAGAAGCCTCATCAATTCTACAAATGCATCGTGGAACCGATCCGAGATACCAAGACTTAAGTTCATACCAACCCCCACATCTCCACTTGAGCCTGCGAGTCTGGCGTTGCAATCGTGAAAGGCTTGAGAGACTTGGGTAAGATCAACATCGCCAAAGCTCATAAGCCCAGAACGGCTTAAGCGACGAGCGAGAGATTGTGACATTATGAGGTAGCTGAACAGTGTGACTAGATAACGGTTCGAGCTTTTTGTTATAGGACATGTTCTTCGATTTGGAGGAAGGGACCGCAAGAGAAGCAATGCATTCCCTACGTAAGACCTGACAAGATATTAATATGGCTTCTTGAATTACAATACTTGATGGTTTCACGACGAGACTCACTACGACACCTGATCGGTCCGAAAATCTGGTTGTAATATCTGCTCACTGATGATATCACCAGATGACCTTCATCCGGCATGAATGTGTGAGTGCAGGTCATTATTCTCGACAAACGCATGGATGAACTTCGGTAACCACTCAGCCAAGATCAGTAACGTCTCAATGACAGAAAGTAGTGACTGCGGTCTGGCTCCCTCAAAAATGACTCTAGAAACCTGGCGCCTCGTCCATTGCCAGCAGCTATTGTGGATTTCGCAACTCCTCTCGTAGCCGCCAACAGCATACTTGGGGAGGTGGTAGTAGCGACTAGAAATAGCAACAAGACATCCAAGGAGAATATCGTCGTCTTCAAATAGCGACCGTAGTTGCTGGGGGTCGGGGCTTGCTCTGGTAAAGCAGGTATAGTATATATCTGGCACGAAAGGGATAAAGATGCCTGAAGAAGAATGAAACGAGTGCTAAGGCTTCATATGGTGTGATTATATGTTCGGAAAAGAGACGACAGCGAAAGGTCGATATCGAGTCTTGGATATGTGGGTTCTCACAAGGCGAGGGAGGAGATTGAGCTCTGTCCGGGGGAATTTGAGTCTCCGATGATCCTTGGATTCCATTATAGTTATTATTACCCGGGACAGTCGATTTTTTGGGGTATGAAGCCAGTGGTTGCCCCAGTTCTTGACCCAAGTTCTCGGGCGATTTTGAATGGTTTTCATGTCGTGCTGCCGCGTCAGACAGGAACAACAGAGCATCGGCGGAGGTTCGAACGTTAAATGGCTCATTAGGCTGCGTTATACCATATCAGTACATGGTGACCTGAAGTGGGAGAACATATGATGGGACTGGCAGAAATGTCCGGTGTAGGAGGCGTCTTTGAAGCGAGAAGCCGGGCTTGCTTCTCACGGGCTTTTTTTTGTACGTGTGCTTGTGTTGTAGGTACGCTTTTTGGCCTCAAAGATACATTCGTGACCGTCCCTCCAGTGATATATTAACAAAGATGGATGGGTGATAACAACAACCAAATATGCCCAGCTTTACTTACTTGATACAAAGAGCACAGGCCTTACCAACTCCCCGGTCCTCGATAATACATCTGACTTTCCGGGTCCGACAAGCCGTACATGCCTTGTAAGATCGGGGGCCTTGATCCAGCTCCAGGAATTTGGGATCAGAATCTTTCCCGTTGAGTGAATGAGGCAGAGACATAACCAGGAGGGAAAATGGAGGATGCCGACTCAGGGCGGAATTTGTGAGGATATCAAGCATGGCAACACTCCGGACTTTAGCCAGAGATCGCTCCCTCTATCAGTGAGTGACAGGGCGTCTAGTCTAATTTCGGCATCCTTTCTGTCCATTAACTACCTCGGCGTCGACCCTCGCGAGCATGCTATTGGGCCTTGAACCATAGATGGTGGCAGCGACCATCTTTGGTTCTATTGGAAGCGAATATAGACCAATTTGCCACGTTATCTCGATAACGTGGGCCTTCGTTTTTGCGTACTTTGGCCTAGTGGTCCTTTGCGACAAGTTCACTCGTCAGCCTGTCCTCGCCCCTGTCCGCTATGTCAATCATTCTTCACGGGCATGGGATCGAGCCGCATAGGTAGGCACCAACAATAGGTCCAAGCCGTAAGCCTTCCCTGCTCCTTAACTCAAACAGCGTACGTAGGGCTTTTTATTTACTGACAATTCCTACAGTACCATCTCCTACTCCACCCCGACGAGAGAACTGCTCTTTCGCCAATATCGTGGCACAGAACTCTCCACTGATGAAGCCATGCTGTATTCTAAGCTCAGAGACGACGTTGGTCAGCAGAGCCTTGGCTCGGGGAAATCTAGAGCCAAGTCTGACGGTGCCAAGAGTGGTTGTGAGAGGATGCTGATTATAAAGGCAAGGTCTATCAAGCGTCGGTTTGTTCCCTTCCAGTAAGTTGTAGATGGTGATCCCTTGTCTACTATCCCAGTGATCATTTCACCATCCTTGTGTTTAGGTTTCAACTGGATTTTGTATACTATCTAAAACGTCGATTATAACAACCTCGTAATATGGGTATCAAGGAGGTGATTTGTATATCAGTATTTGCAAATATAATTGTACCCTTGCACATAAATACGCCTAGTAATTATTGGTTTATTCTTGTTCTCGTTTACCATCCAATATGTTGCGTCGCCGAGTGGTTCTCTGGGGTTTCATGTTTCCACATGCAGGGATATGTCCGAAAAGGCTATAGTGTGACAGTCGAGACGCGCTGAAACCGTTCATGATGCACAGAGTTACCTCCTTGTAACGGTTTCAACTTGCGACTTTCCCCCATGATATAGATTTTACCTGTCTAATCTGCCAAAATATTCAATCCAGATTAGTAATGATGTTTTGTATATCCGGAACAGTCGCTATCCGTTCAAATTTGCTTCATCTTGGTCTTGCGAGTAGAATCAGTAGCCAGGAGGCACTGCTTAGCGACAGTGCCTCCTGCTTCAACAGGGTCATTCTCAGGGGAAAGAAAACGTGAAATGTTGGAATGCTTGATGTCAAGCCTTGTCCTCTGGTAGTTATAAGAGAATGCTAATCCGGTGATCTTTCCTCCATTCCAATTCCAATCACATTATACTTTCACATTTCATCCGATCTATCCTTGTATTTCACCACTCAAACCTTATCTCAAACATCATGAAGTTCATGCCCATCTTGCTTGGCCTTGTGGCAACCAGCATCGCCCAGCCCATCGCAAAGCGTGCCGTCTTCACACAATCAACCTATGACGATCTGTCCATCAGCGGCGGCGTAGCAGGCAACGCCCAGCAAGAGGCTCTACAGAAACTTGGTGGCCTACCCAACAACCTGTCAACCGTCGAGAAAGACGACCTCGACTTTCTGAACAGTGTCAATCAAATCGCGAATGACGCGGAAACCGACGCGTTCAATCCTGCTATTGATGCAGCCTCCGGAGAAGAAGCTGATGCTCTCCAGGTAAGTTTCGCAGTTCTCAATTGTAGGAGATAAGCTAATAGTTTGCAGCGGGGCAAGATCAAGAACAAGGTCCTGAAGCTCACCGCTACCGTCCTCAAACTAGAGGCACAACAGGCCCAAGGTGACGACGTCGCTGATAAGCTGGAGGAGGAGAACAAGAAGCTGCAGAACAACATTGCACAAGATCAGGAGGCTGCAGGTCAGGCTTCGACATTCCTGCCATTCAACGCAAGTACATAGTTACTTAAGTAACATTCCAAATAAAGCAATATCTATATTCGTACTCTATCCGCATAACTGAATGTAACTCGGATCACTTCTTGAAGTTCAATCGCAATTGATAGACTTGATGTAGATGAACGTACTGCCAGAGCCTTCAGCTATGACATGTCCAGCTTCCACAACATGCATCCATGGCTTTCATACAAACTGACCACATCCAGAGGATTATTACGGGTCTTGACGCCAAGTAACGACCAATTTAGTGTGTTCGGCACGAGCCCGTAACATTCGGCACCTCGGGTTGATGTTATCACGAGATCACGGTTATTATCCCCGCACACCAACGAGCCAACATTGCACTCTCTCACATCATGAACCAAACCTCTTCACAGCAAACAGTCATGTTCGGGTCCGATAAATCATGGTCTCTATGGGACAGCACTTCTATCAACGATGCATTTGTTGTTGATGCACCGGGCGACAAAGCCGTGGTGACAAAGGTCCATAGCCCTTATCTGTTGGGCTACAGCCCAACAAACCCCAATGGACGCGGCATTCTCGTCATCGGAGGCGGAGGTTACATCGAGCTCATGCTCGGTCGTGAAGGTGTCGCCGTCGCCAAATGGCTGAATAGCCTTGGGTTCTACGCCTTTGTTCTCGTACACCGTTTCCCCAACAGCGAAACAGGGCCACAAGCACCTTTGGATGACGGGAGACGAGCTTTGAAGATCATGGCAGAGAGCGGCCTTACGCCAAAAGGTGTCAGCATTTGTGGTCTCTCATCAGGTGGCCATCTCGGTGCTGCACTTCTGGCAGAATACCCCCAAGCGTGGACATCGCCTGATCCCAAAATCCCTCAAGTCGAGTTTGCCATCCTTGGTTATGGACCCATTTCAACGAATGCAATCGGACGACAAATCATCGAGAATAAACCGCCTCTACCACCCAAGGAGAAACAAGAGTTTTACAATATTGTGCAGCCAGATGTTCAACTAAGCTCTCCGGCTCCCCCTACATTTATTGTATACTCCAACAATGATCCTGTTGTGCCGGTGGTCAACGCGTACCGCTTGGCGGAAGGATTCACGAAGAAGGGCGCCCCGGTCGAGTTGCATATCTTTGCTGATGCGCCCCATGGGTTTGCGTTAGATAGCGATAAGGAATTGCCAGTTTCAAAATGGCCGTTGTTGTGTGAAGCATGGCTAAAGCAAAACAAATGGATAGAATAGCGTCAGCATTTAAGGCTACATTGCAGCTCCGTTCAAGATGAACTATCTTCGACGGTGAGTCACTCGACTCAATAAAATAGTCAATTACCTCAGATCTGTAGAGTACCTAAGCCAATGCTCACTCTTCAGTTGATAATGTTGAATCCATTGGCGCTATTTCTTGATGTTCCCCGTCATTCAGTTCCAATATATTCTTCAGTGTTCCATGCATTAAACCACGCCCTGTGAAATCAATCTCAGCGCGCCCTTTGCCCTGGAGCTTGCCTTAGCTAAGCCCTATTCTCACTAGCGTGTCCCTCCAGAGCTTCCACTTCAGTGGCAATTCGAGCGACTTGCTCGTTCGTTTTCCTATATCTGTATCTCTGTCACTTCCCTCAACTGAATCTTCAACTCACCACCTTCAATCTTCCAAAAAATGGCCTCATCAGCGCGAACAATTCTCGCTTTCCAGCGCAATGCGAAGCTGTACTCGTTTGCGACACGCGTTACAGCAATCCGCCCTTTCAACACCCTCGAAGATGAGAACCGTGAGCTATTTAAGCAAGGCACTGACGACGACTTCGCTGTCGTGACAGAGCAGACCATATTCCATCCTCAAGGTGGTGGTCAACCATCTGATATTGGAAAGATGGGAAGCGAATCTGATGCCCACTTCACTGTTGCCTCTGCTCGCATGGATGCCGTGCGCGATGGCCAGGTTTTGCACTTTGGCAAATTTGAGTCCGATAAGAAGTTCACAGAGGGCGATATGGTCACGACAGAAATCGATGTTGAGAAACGTCTTTTGTACTCTCGTTATCACACCGCCGGCCACGTCCTCGGCTCAGCAGTCAATCATCTCCTAAAAGGCAAAGTCGAAGGGTTTGAGGAACTCAAAGCCTCACACTTCCCAGATTCAGCATCGTGCGAGTTCCAAGGTCTCATCGAAGGAAAATGGAAGGATCCCATCCAGACAAAGGTGGACGAATTCTTAGCAGCCAAGATGCCGGTGGAGATTGAGTTCTGGGATGAGGAGGATTTCCGAAAGAATGGTCTGAAGCATCTGACGCCTGATGCAAGTTTCGTGGCACCTGGTGAAAAGTTCAGAGTCGTGAGGATTGTTGGAGCAGAAGTTTATCCTTGTGGTGGAACGCATGTTGATACCACCGATCAATGTGGCGAAACCACAGTGAAGAAGATCTCGAGGAGTAAGGGCAAATCAAAGGTTAGCTATCTGGTAAAATAGAGATGATAGAGATAAGCATAGAGGAGCTTTCAGCGGGATTATCACGGCTACCTACACAAAAAGTCTAGCTATTGCTTTCATCTTCTGTCTGAAGACATATTTGCAAATCTTGCCTTAAAGGCACGATTTCGCTTGAGGCAACACGAATCCGTATAACATCCTAATTATCCACATCATAGATAACTGCCTGAGGGTTGTTCTCTGCGTGAGGAGCCCCTGGTTAATCGAGCAGGCGGCGTTACCCGATCTAGTCACTATTTCCGACGCAATTGGCAACGATGAGACTACTGTTTTCAGCGTTGTACACAAGGATATATGCAGGGTCCGCAATTCCAAGAGATCTGATTTCATCATGTCTAATTTGTGGTTACATACTTGCCACAAGGGATACATATTGTCGATACTGATGAATCACTTCACTTTCCACTTGCAGCATGAATCTAGTTTGGTCTATCAACCAGTAGAATTGACAAAATGTATCTACCAAATAATAAAAACTAACATACGTATACCTCGTAAAAGTCTCCAAGAATAGGCCGGCCTATTGCTTTTTGTTCCCAATCAGTCATTTACATCAAGACAAAATTTCCCATTTTCTTAGGCACTTCCGGCACCAAGAGAGTCAGCCTTCTCAACGAGGAAGCGAGGAGCAGGGCCGGAAGCATCAGTCTGGTAGAGCAAGTGAGGTCCAGCAACGATGAGAGTGCCGGTGCAGACGAGATCGCCGGTGTTGCAGAAGACCTTGGTGCGGTCCTCGGGGTAAGAGGGGATCTTGCCACGGTTCTGAGATGGACAAAGTCAGCATTTTTCATGGGAATAAATAATTACGTTGTTACTTACCTGGAGGTTCTTGGTGTATCCAAAGAGAACGGTACCGGCGATCTTCTCGCGGATGGCGGGGTCGACATCAGTAACAGCGGCGGCAGCAAGAGCAGCACCTTGACTGTATCCTCCAGCAACGATGACAGCGTTGGGGCACTTCTGGTTGGCATCGTTGAAGTGGCCAACCATCTCTCGGATGGCAGCAGAGGTAGTTCCACGGGGGAGAGCGTTCTCGCCAACGCCAGCAGTGTAAGCACCGCCGACACCCTGAATCCAGACTCCGTTTCTGCCATACTTGTCCTCGAGCTTAGAAGCAACTCGGGGACCCAGAGTACCCTAAAGATTAATAAGATTAGCATATGATCTGTCTGACATAGATGCTACGCTGCGGTGGAGGGTAGTATCGAGGACTTACCAGGTTACCAAGCTCAGTGGAGCCACGAGCGAAGACGAAGATGACACCGGGGCAGCTGCCAGAGTTGCCGTTCTTGAGATCGTTGCGGGTGCTGCCGCCGAGCTGACGAGCCTCAAGAGCAGAGTCCTGGGCTGTTGGGAGGGCAGATGCCGTGGCGGCGAGAAGGGCGGTGGCAATGGAGAACTTCATTGTGATTATTGGTGAGTGTGTAACTAATCGAGAGTTTGAGGTCCTGAAAGAGTGACTGAAGAAGTTGAGAAGTGAAGAAAGTAAAATGCTTGAAAGAGAGGGTGTTGAGCGAGAGACTGTTGATGTTTGTTGTTCCAATCTATAACATCGAGGATGAAGTCAACTATTTATCTACTAAATGAGCATCGTGTGTATTTGTCTCGGCATTCGCAAGACTAACTCTTTTAAAATCTAGAGTTGAGACGAAATGATCGCACAGTCCAAAGAATGATCGGTCACAAAACAGAGTAGCATCAACTGTTCCCACCCGATACCCTGTCATAACCATCTACCATACACTACCGGATCCCACGCAGCCTGTACTCCAGGCCTGTAAGTTATAGCGTAAACTCTTCTTGGAAATCAAGTCTTCCACAAGGTATTCCACACCCTCCATTCAGTAGCTTCTTTTCGCAAGATGCCATCAAAGTAGGAAGTTAATCCGCGTCACGATGTTGCTAGAGCCAAAGCACCGGCTGATCCACGAAACGATGGCACGTACAATGAAACGGGCCCGAGCCTCGGGCTATGCAGTTAATTAATCGATCAAGCCACCAAGGCGCTACATGACTAGGTTTAAGGATCGGCGCTGTCCTCTAGGCCTACGCTTTGACTCTCGCTACCTACGAAGAATGGCTTTTGCTTTTTCCCAGGGACCTGAAACGCTGGCGAAAGTGGGCAAAGAAAAATGCATACGCACGGTCTACGGTATGCCTACGGCGCAGATTGGAAACCAATATGACAGTATTCCCGGTTTCAGAGCTAATGTGAGAACGTGTTAGTTTTCCCAGCCCTGTCCTCTTTTGGTTTAAGGCAGTCTGTGTGAAATGAGGCCCCAGAGGTCAGTAAATTCCGCCCTTGCCCCTGGATCTTTTGAATGGCAGGGAGGGTCTCTCTCTGTATTGGTGCAAGTGCTTGCCCCAGAGTTTATTTAGTCCACCTGTGCTATGCAGACTCTCATTAGACAATTTTGTTTCCTTGCCTGACGGAAATAGAACCGCACGGTTGTGTCGCTAACTATAATTATGATTGACAACCAGGCTTCCTTTTTCTAGTTTCATGCTAATGGGTTCTAGCGTCTCGCATTGCGGTTGAAACTTGGTGTGTGCCATCCTTGACAAACAGGCTGACAGGTTTGGACTGACTCGATCAGTCACGCTACAGTTCTAGATCAGTTGCTAAATGACCATTTTTCTTAATGTGGCGATGCGAATACGGAGAGATTGCTCGGCTCGTTCGGGACACTGTTGTATTACTACGTAGATCATATTGAGAGCTGTTGGTCCATATGTGATCAAAACCTTGTGGCAATACATGCATAAAGCTGCCGGACTATTATTCTTCACACCATCTTTGAAGAACCGAGGCTGTTGTAGATAAATTGTACTCATAAGGAGAAGCTTTGTAGACCTATCAATACCATCCCAACCTTGAATTCGTCCATGGAAACACGTCATGTTAACAGAACAAAAGCTGCCGAGGCTGTTGTGAATATAGTGTTGAAGGCCACCTCTAATCATGCACTTTTCATTAAGCACCATTGCATTACTGTCATCTTTACGGACGTCCAGGCATCAGGTTTCCAGCGAATTGGTCAAGTGGGTTTCTTCACGAAAGGATAAAGTTTGAAACATCAAACTGGCAGGATGATGGTGGCAGCTGAGCCACTGATCGTCCCTCCCGTTCCAGAAACTAACTGATCGACTAACGTTAGTTCGCAATAATTACCTAGAAGAGTTTACGCAGAAACTTAGACTGGACTACAGTCTTTAGCTTAGAGGGCGACTGAAACAAATGCTCTGGAGGAATGGGGGGTGTCACATTGTCCATAAGCGGAGACAGATCTATCGTTTCATTATTCATTGAAAACTTGCTTCTTGAGCCTCGGCAGATAGACTAATAGACTGCCATACATAGCTTCTGTAGTCTTCTCATCGGTGATCCTTGAACTTCCCATCATCGGTCCAGTGAGAGATCGGTCTGGTAAGAGCCCTCCAATGCTTAGGCTCATCCATCGAGAGCTCTATGTTACGTTCGTTACAAGCCGAGGTAAAAGTTTTCACCCAATCGGCCCCGTCTTCGTTGTCAAGATCACCACTCGCGACAATGACCTTTTGCAGATGCGGATGTTTCACACTTGATGTAGTGACTAGGTCCAGCAATTCCTCCCACAGATACTTTTGTGCTTCACGCATGATACCAAACTCCTTGATAGAAGATGGAAGGATCTCGGAAACTGTCAAAGCAACTCCTGGCTCGTTTACTGACTCTCCTGGGAGCATTGATCCGTGAATGTGAAGCGTTTCGAGAACCGACATACTAGAGAGGTCTTGTAGTCTCTGGGTCCCTCTGCTATCCAGACCACTAAGGTCAAGCGACATGTGTCTGATGGTATCTTTCCTCCTCATCACTATTCCAGACATGACACTTGCAACGAGCCGTATCCCTTTGATGCCTGACCATATCATCATGAAATCCCAACCAAAGTAGAATGTCTCCAGACTTGGAAAACCCTTCATCAGCGTTCTCAGATTGTCTGTTGGGAGAGTAGACGCGTTGAAGATGAGCTCTTTGACATTTGTGTGACTAAGGTAGGGTGTGGTACCTTTGTGAAGCTCATGGACGACTTCATTAAACACAAGCCTCTCTAACGCTGGAGCGGCTTCGAGCAATCCACGAATAGCACCGCCGTCTGGTGGTTGATCTACATACCCCTGCGTGATAGTGAGTTCCCGTAAAGAACTCAGAGAATTCGGCCGGCACCATCGGAACGACCAGTAGCTCCCAATACCAATGTCAAGTTTTCTTAGATTAGGCATCAAAGAGAGAGCGGACGTGATGAACAGAGCATCGCGCTCGTCGTCAAATGTCGTTAACGTCGGAAGACTCAGGCGTCTTACGAAAGACTTTGACACTGGATTAAACTCGCATGTTTGTGCATCTCGATACAACTGGGTATCACTCATATGATCACACGACTGTAGAAACGCGGGCACGTAATCCAAGAAATTGTAGAGCCGAGCGTTCAAGTCCCAGTGAGGCAAAAGGACTCGGGCCACGGAGAGATTCTTAACGAGATGGCCCAGTTCCGGTTTTTTGTTGATGGTCTTCACAAAAGGGAAGAACAGCGGTCCTCGCGGCCGATGGTACAAATAAGGCTGTGCTATGCGCGCTAAGTATTTGCATGTCAAACAGAGGTCAACCAACGTCGCTGTTTCGGGAGGCGTATATGAGTCTGCGTAGGTGAAGTAGGAGCGCTTGTGAAAAGCTGCATTCTTGCAATGAAGGCAGAACTCCTGGCAAATAAGTCTAAGAATCTCTGTTGGAAGTGAAAGAAGAGACATTGGATGAAGATGGATAAACGCAGTTAGATGTGAGACTTGTCAAAGTGAGATTGTTGGTTTCATACAGCTAGTCACGTGCAGAAATGCTCGTTATCACTTGGGTTGTCAGTGTCAACATGGTCTATGTAATACCACATGATTGTGAGAAGATTGCATCAGTGGTGAAGCCTCAACAATGATTTTACGCGCCCCGAGATTCTTAACTATATCTGATTTATTCTGCAGTACATACACGTCATTAATAGAATATGTACTGTTGTCCTAACTCCCTTGCTATTGCAACATGTTTCGTGCTGAAACGTACCTTAGGGTAAGTGTTTTGATCGCGTAGGTACCTAGAGAAGCCCCTCCTGCACAATACTACGTCTAGAGTTCACTCGGTTGTCAAAAGAAAGTCTTTGTAACCCACTAATCTATCCCGGTATTGCCTGCCGTGAAACAGATGAAATATCCCCGACAAGTTCATATTTCTTTTTCGCTCGGTTACGTCAAGTTGGCGGATGAACTGAACTCCGTCTGCTCGTCCATCCAAAATCTCACTGCATGAGGGCCTCGCGCGACCGTAGGACCCTTGTCGACGCTTGACACTATACTGAAGCACCTACAGGGCTTATTACAGCGTAAGAATGCTGGTGTTTTTCTTTCTTGCCGCCACCACTGAAACGCCATAACAGAACCCCGGCAAATTCGCGCAATATCACTCGTCTAGTTCCGAAATTAGTATTCATGTAGCGCTGTTCTCATGTAGGATGGCGTCAAGAGTCAAAAAGCAAAAATAGCTAGCAAGGGGAAAGAGGCAATAAGCTGTGGCCCTGATTTGATGCCTTACATACATGAGAATAACTAACTCAATGAACGCCGGAGATGTCTGCGCCGTTTCTTGTCTCAAATCTTTTCTCTCTGTTGGAGACAGGTAGCGGCACACTGTGGTTCTTCTCTTGTGTCCTGTCTGGAGTAATCGCGTAGTCTACTCCGTACTTTGACCAGGTTTGCGTCAGGCCCACGTGTCCGTTGATTGGTAGGGCTGACAGACTGACTAGGCCTTTGATTACTTGGTTCTACAATCGCACCACTTATCGTCCGTCAGCTCTCCACGTATTGGTCTTGCTTTTGTAAATGTTGACCACCGACCAACGAGGCGCAATATGGCCCCTTACTCAGGATGGAAGCGTACAGCTGTGTACCTAACCGGCTTAGTCGCAACGCTCACAACCTTTCTGATTGTCATGCTCTTTGTATCTCTCTTTGCACTAGAAAGGGATGATGAATCTAGAGGCAGAGGCAACAACCGTGCGGATGCTCTTGGCCAGAGTATTCTTCACCGAGGAAACTGCGATACAACCGCCAAGGCAAACCTTTGGATCCATTTGGCCATCAACATTATTGGCACCGGCGTCTTGGCGTCGTCCAATTTCTTCATGCAGAGTCTTGTGGCGCCTACGAGGAAGGAAGTAGACGCTGCGCATAAAGCGGGACAGTGGCTTGAGATTGGTGTTCAGTCCCTTAAAAACATTCGCTTTCTTGGCTGGCGAAAGGTCTTATTCTGGTCACTATTCTCACTTAGTTCGGTCCCGCTACATCTCGTCTTCAACGGCTGTGTCCTCGAATCCAAAGGCACAAATGGTTTCACTCTGTTTCTGGGTACTGAGAGTCTTATAAAGGGTAGTTGGCAGGGCCAGGCTCCTATCACAATGTCTTACCGGCAATGGTATACAGACGAGTTCCTGCATGGGGACAGCTATATGAGTCTGAAGAATATGAAGCATGTCAATGAGTCCATAGAGACCAGCAGCTGGGAGCGGATCAAGTTCCCGGAATGCATGGAGCGATACAATGACCCGGAGAAGTCTTTGGTAAGCAAACCCGCTCTCTCCATTATAAGGACACTTAGATTGGCTGACTAGAATGAAGACACATTCACGACATTTGATCATGGTAATTTACGACTACGAGGACGAATGGCGAAACTCAACAGATGGATGGAAACTCAGCCAAGTCTACAAGAACACGACCAACATGACAGATGTAAACGCCGTGAACACTCTCTGGGCCGTGGATGCGTATGCACGCACCGGCACCGCAAGCAAACCTGATAACGGTCCCATCATACAGCAATACTGGACATCTTACAACCTTAATGAACCTTCGCGGGAAGTCAGCGCATGGCCCATACTGGGTCTCATTAACTATCTCGACCCCGTATCTGGCATACTCGTCATGGATGTTTCAGCCTACAAACCTGAGTATAGAGTTATGCAGGTCGATCATTGCTGGTCTGAAAGGTATGAGGCGCCGTGTCGATTGAGTATAGCCAACAGTCTTCTCCTTATTGTCTGTATCATGTGCGCACTCAAATGCACGCTTTGCTATTTAGTTCTTAGGCTTCGCGTGTGGGGAGATGATAATCCTCTCATGACGCCAGGAGACGCTATTGCTTCCTTTATAGCCAGGCCGAGTGAAGAGACAAGGGGAATGTGCACGCTGAGCCTGGGAGATCTGAAAAGATCACCGGTCAGCCCAAATCTTGCAGTCGGCGACACAACACGGGGATACAAGTTGTTGCAAGGTCCCCGGCAATGGCACACAACCTCTGTACGCAAGTTTGGAAAAGCAGTGCCCCGAAATATATGGATTCTCTCATCCCTTCTCATCGGAAGCTCCCTCGCCGTAGCAGGGACAATGTTGGGAATCTCCCTTAGGGAGCAGAGTCTGTATGTTAATCTTGAGCCTTGACCATTCGCACAGAAGACAAACTGACAAGATGAACAGGGGCGATGCACGGTTCGGCCACTCTCCTGTTAACGAAGATGTATCAGATGCAAACCTAGACGACCTGGCTCTGTTGCCACTTACCATGGTAGCTAACTTGCCACAACTTATCTTATCAATATGTTATCTTGCGTATAATGGGCTCTTCACGCGAATGCTTGCTGAGTTTGAGTGGTCAAAGTACAGTGTCGAATTCAGATCCTTACGAGTCACCGAGCCGAGGGGGAGTCAAAATTCAACGTACCGTCTGCAATTGCCATACAGGTTCTCTATACCACTGATAATTGTGAGTATTGCACTGCACTGGCTCTACTCTAATTGTATATATGTGAGCAACTACGAAGGTAAGCATTGGTGGCCAGGATACAGTTTGTTGAAGTCATTCCTCTGACAAAATGCAGCATACGCTGCACATTATCCCTATGCTAGACAGGTCACAATCGGTCTACAATTCTCTTCAAAAGCTATATTGATATCATTTGTGATATCAGTTTGTGTCGCCATCACTCCAATCTTCCTGGCCAATGTTAAATTGCCAGGTATCATTGTGGTTTCTGGGGGGAATTCGGCGGTCATCTCAGCAGCTTGCCACTACCCCTCCAGGACACTCAAATCACTGAGCCGCGCCACGTCGACAAACAGCCTCCGCGGTATTGAGTACGATAATATGAGTGCTAGACTAATCGTGGATGAAGACGCGGAAGAGCTTGAGGGTGTGGTGAGGAAGAAGGTCAAATGGGGGAGGCTGTCGATGGGAAAGAGCCAGGAGAGTCAAGTTGGTCACCTAGGATTTGGGACGGAGGATCAAGATGTTGATAGGCCGGTGGAAGGCGAGCATTATAGCGGCCTTTGAGAGGCACTTTTGTGACGGAGCTGTACAAGGAAGGAAGGGAAGAAGGGAGAGAGGGACGGAAGCAGGGTTTTACGTTGTTGTACCACTATGTATTACTTTTGTAGGAGTGAGTAGATAACAGAGATTTTACTAATGATGACATGCGATTTGTACATGTCATTAATACTTTATGTTAACAGCTAGCTCTCCGAATTGCAACCATGAGTTATAGAATGGTCAAATCTGGTGAGTAGGATGGCAGTTCATCAGCATCCTCTTGGGAGATGATCTGTTCAATTCCAACGCCTACAAGGTCATTTCCAGCAGTATCAAAGTTGTGATTGATATCGGAAAGTCGGCATTTATTGTTGGAAGGAACATTGACAGAAGTTCCAGCTCCCAGGGTCCACCAAGAATGCAACAAGTCGAACCTATCAAATAACGCGTGGTCCATGGCAGTGGTCTCGCCTCAACACCATTACTGCTGGTATCTGATATCGCGTCGACCTATCGTCGGTCACATATCATCACTGGTAGTTGACGCGTCGAGATACTATCCCTTTCTCAGTAGTTGGCAATCAATTGACAGCAAAGGTTCATTCATTGACGAGACTTGATATCAATTATGTTACGAACTAACAGCCCATCCGGCTAACTCGGCGATAAATATGTCGCCAAAGAACATTTCCTTATCTAGATCTTCTCGGACGATTCTAGCCTCTCTTGGCAGGTCGCATTAAAAAAGTGCCGATATGCCGAGACGCGTCCCCAAATTAAGAACAACGCTGAATGGCCATTGCGGGGAAGAATTGAAGGCTAGTTTCCAAGGTCATGTCACTCCCTTGCCATTGATGGCGTGTTCTGTCTATCCATTACCCCAATTAGAGAGTGACGCTCGAAGCGATAGAAGACTAGATCTCGTTAGGCAAGTAAGTCAGCATCTTAAGCCGTTATCCGATGATGGATACGAAATTACGTAGTGTCTTGGTCTCGCGTGATTGGGTACCGATCTGGGATTTGAACCTCGGAATCTGTTCAATCCGCCTCGTGAATAACGCCGGGAACAAGAAACGAACGGGTTCTGGGACTTTTGAGAAACTGGATCTTTTGTAGCTTTATCAACTACTCTTTTATTGCCGTTTATCCAGACTGACAGCGTGCCGAAGCTCCGGAACTTCCACAACTTTTGGCCACTCCGTTCTATCCTGGGGAATCGTATGAAGATACTGTGAAGTACAAAATGCTTGCGTTGAACATTCGCCATGATTAGAATCAAGCAGAATCTTTATTCATCTTGTTCTACCTGTATACCCATGCTTCAAGATGGACAGCTTAGAGAAGAGAGACATGGCACCTCAAACCTCTGCAGAGGGTGATGCAATTTCAGCCGATAAGAAGAGCTTTCCTCACAACGAAAAAGATTATGCCGACGTCGAGGTTCTAAAGTCAGAGCCTACCCGGCCCTTGGAGACAGCGGAGGATATTGTTACGAATGTCATCCACGTTGATGATGATCCTTCTATGAATCCATGGACAGTACGCATGTTCGTCGTTGGTAGGTCAATCAGACATCGACTAATTAGAGAAGCATGCTGACTGGACACAGGTATTGGGTTATCAGCATTCGGCGGCGTTCTACAAGAGATCATGTACTTCAAACCTCAAGTCGTCTATGTATCAGTCATGTTCTTGACCGTACTCGCCGAAACCCTCGGTACTGGCCTGTCGTACATCATCCCTCGAAAAGGCGCTATCGGTCGTTTCCTCAATCCTCACCCATGGAACAGAAAAGAACATACTGCTGCTGTCCTTATGGCATCGGCTGCATCAGTATCAGCACTATCAACTGAAGCCCTGTCGGTGCAGAAGTTGTGGTATGGCGGTTATCCCAACCAAGCTGCAGGTATCTTCATCACCCTGTCATCCCAACTCATTGGGTATGGAATTGCTGGTATGATGAGAAGCGTGCTGTTGTATCCTACCAAGATGTTGTATCCTGCCAACTTACCCATCACAACTGTGATGGAGACGTTGCATAAGCCCAAATCCGAAACGAAAAAGAGGTTCCAAGTCTTCTGGGTTGTTTTCGTAGCCATCTTCTGTTGGGAGTGGTTCCCCGAAGTATGTTAACCCTTATAATGACTTGAGATATACTAACAGTCCCAGTACATCTTTCCTCTCCTGTCTGCTGTCTCCATTTTCTGCCTCGCTGATCGCCACAACCCTGTCTTTACAAACCTTTTCGGTGGCTCACAGGGTAACGAGGGAATGGGCTTCTTGAGCATCTGCTTTGACTGGAACTACATCGCCGGCTTTGGCTCACCTCTCTGGATGCCTCTCCAGACACTGGTAAACAGCTTCATCGGCTATCTCGGCGGCATCATCCTTTCAATTGGTCTATACTACAGCAATACCTGGAGAGCCCAGGACTTTCCTTTCATGGCCCAGCTTCTGTACGATGGAAGTTCAAACTCGACCAACTACGTTCCATACAACGAAACGTCGATCATGAACCCCGATTTCACCGTAAACAACGAAGCTATTGACAAGGCTGGCCTTCCTCATCTTACAGCTACCTACATCAACTATCTCATCACGTCTAATGCTGGCCTGACTGCCACGTTGGTTCACATGCTTCTGTGGAACTACGCCGAAGTCAGCCTTGGATGGTCCTGGATTACTTTGACCAACCTGAAGAAGGCTTTTCGTCCACAGACGTATGTCTTCTGGCGCCAATCCGGCTCTCGTAGCGAGGATGAAAAGATTAAGCTTCGCGACGATCCCACTATCGACCCTCATTACAAGCTGATGCTTGATTACGACGAAGTTCCAAACAGCTGGTACTTTCTCGTCTTTGCGGTGAGCTTCATCATCGGGATGGTTTGTCTGTATGTGATGAAGTCGACGTTGCCTTGGTGGGGATTTATTATGGCTGTGATCTTCTTGGCCGTTTTCCTCGTTTTCTTTGGTGCGCAGTATGCTATCACTGGTTTCGGTTTCAACTTGCAACCGATCTTCCAGATGCTGGCGGGATACATGTTTCCTGGCCGCCCGCTTGGTAAGAAGCCTCAATATGATACTTGGTGACCTATACTGATCTTAAGCAGCAAACATGTACTTTACATCGTACACATACAATGCTCTCTCCCAGGGTTTCCTGCTTTTGCGAGACTTGAAACTTGCTCAGCAGAATAAGCTATCCCCCAAGGCCACATTTACTACTCAAGTCATTGGCTGTTGCTTAGGCGCCCTTCTCAACTACGTGATGATGATTAGGTATGCAACTTGTCAACATCCAATTCTTCAACATATACTAACTTATTTCAGTATCGTGGACAACCAAGCCCCGATCCTCAAGTCCGCTGAGGGAACCAACGTCTGGTCTGGTGCTCAGATCCAACAGTTCAACACTCTGGCAATCGCATGGTCTATCGCTCCCAAGATATTCTCTATCGGCGCTCGATACCAATGGGTGACTATCGCCTTCTTCATTGGCTTTCTGGCTCCTCTGCCGTTCTACTTTGCTCACCGTTTCTTCCCCCATATGCGAATTTGGTCTTACCTCAACACGGCTATCATTCTCTGGTACCTTGGCGAACTCTTTGTCGGACTCAACGCGTCGCTTACAAGCTATTATATTATGGGCGCATTTGGACAGTTCTATCTTCGCCGCTACCGACCGCAAGCGTTTGTCAAGTGGAACTATCTCATTTCGGCTGCACTTGACGGTGGCACGCAAGTCATGGTCTTCATTGCCACGTTTGCGGTGTTTGGAGGTTCTGGAAAAGCGGTTGCATTCCCAGAATGGGCGGGGAACAGGGTTAACAACTTTGATTACTGCAAATACAATGCGCAGGGTTAGGCGTAGGGCTGCAGCATAGCAGAAGAGCGACACAGAAGGACTCAGCGTGATGGCAGAAAGTAGTATTGGTATATTTTGAGTTATGAAAGAATATTTATTCCAATGGTTACAATCCCTCACATTCGCACACGCGAGGTGAAATCGCTGTTGATGCAACTAGTTCTTGAAGCAGATGAACATGGGTTGATCAGTAGTAAGACTGATAACGGGATAAGTCGATGGAAATGATTAAAGTAAATTGCATTGTCGATACAATTATCAGTTGCGTATCGGTCCAACACTCTGAAGCAGTGATGTGGGGAAGACAAGTTAACAAATGACGTGGCTCCACGATGTTTGTAGTGCGGGGAGTATTAGAAACCGAGCTTATTCCGACTATGATGATCTGTAGGTCTGGATTGTATCTATGAGTGATATCCTGAATACCCAAAACAACATATCTCGAAATGACATCTTCTTCGCCATTTTCAGGCCTCAAAGGTTACACTTCTAAAACCATTCCCTACAAATCGGGACCTGATGGTGACGTCCTTCTCGATGTCGTTTATCCCGAGGAGACAGAAGGTCTTCCGAGTACTGTCCTAATTCATATTCATGGCGGATTTCTGGCAAGTACCCATGAGCCAGTAGTCAGAGTTCCTCGCTGACAATATTTCAGATCGTTGGAGACAGATACAGTTATATGCCGTATTGGCTTGTCAACGCAGCTGTTGCACGTAAATGGATTTTCGTTACCCCAGACTATCGTCTTGTTCCAGAATCCACGGCTCATGCATCTTTGGACGACACTGTTGACGCATACAACTGGGTACGCTCTTCGCTCGCTGAAGTGATCAACCGCCGTGTCGGCTCAGTCTTGGTAGCTGGCTCCAGCGCTGGTGGATACCTCGCGTTATCTACTGCAAATGCTGTTAAGCAGAAACCAGAAGGACTTCTTCTCATATATGGGATGCTAGATGCTGCTGGCTCGCGATACACTACGCCTGGTACAAACATCTGGGGAGCGCCACCCTTTGATACATCGTCTGTGCTTGACAAGTTTCCCAAGAAGAGGGACAGCGAAGATCGAAAGCCAATCTCAGGATACCCGCCACCCGAGAACTTCCAAGAGGATCCTAGATTCTCCATAGCCTCTGCACTGCACATCGACGCGTTGTTCCCTGATTACATGACCGGTATTGACGGCCTCAGTCGCGATATTGCCAACAAGGGCATAGATGCCATTCCCGAAGAACACCGTCGCCTGTACCCTCTCTCTTTCGGCAAGCTCAATGAAATTCCACGCACTTACCTTTTGCACGGCAAGAATGACTCTGCTGTGACTGTCGACTGCAGTGTAGTGGCTGAGAAGAAGCTTCGCAACGCGGGTGTTGAGGTTGTGGGGGATTTCCCTGAGGATGCGGAGCATGGATTTGATGGCAGGGTTGGCAATATCGATGTCGAAAAGACGGATGCGGATGGAGTGAGCAATGTCGAGAGTTTGAGGAACGCTATTAGGTTTATTGAGTCTTCGGTCAAGGACCAATGAGCTAAGTGACGAATAAAATTAAACTCAGCCTTGAAAAATCACCATGTTATCCCGCAGCCATCTCATGCCATTACCGGTGGTTAAATCAATCGTGGATAAATGTCTGCCGCTGTATCACATACCACGTGTGATGATCGAAAATCGTGCTACAGAAGTATTTACCCTATGTCTCCGGAACCCGCTTGTACCCGAATGATCCGGGATCCGAGGCATTTCCTATTTACATCATCCCATTATTACTCAAGCAACGTCAGATCGCAAAAGCACCAATGATGCTATCCCCAGTCTTAATCCATATTATTATGGTAGCATGTTGTGTACATAATTCGCCGAGAAGACTACGAAATGGGGTGCCATTTTCGGAAAGTGAATAACTCAGCGACAAAATAACGCGGCATCCTCAGAGTGATTAGTTAGCGAAGAGTGCTTGTTATTTTGGTGGCTGGGCCCTCGGTCAAGGATGTCGGGAATTTCCCCGTACGCCGTCGTCCCTTTCCCCATGGGAATCATTGCTTGGCCCTGGGGATTGTCCGCTAAAACAACATGGACTCGTGAGCTAAGAAAAATGCCTCCGAGAGGGAGACCGAGGCCGGCCGAGTAAGATGTGAAGAAGTGGGAGGTGGTGATGTCAAGATGAAAGTACTGCTGTCGAAGCAAGATGAAGTACTGACAGAATCCTGACACTGAACCACTGGTTGCTGTTAGTCTCGGATCACTCTCTGTCTACAGGTACATTACACTACCCTAACCCAGTTCCGCCACACTAATTTCCCCAGGTCATCCTACCATTCCAGCGATCATTACCAAAACCATGACATCTCCAGGGCCCATTCATTTGTCAATGGCTGTTTTCATCATCGTTCTTGAATTCATGCATAACCTTCGGCCCGAGATTGGACCAATCCAACATCGAGTGGCCGAGTAATTTTACCAGCAAATTTTTCTTATGGCTTCCTTTAGTCTGGTGATAGAATCCGGGGCATCACTTTGTAAACAAGCTTACTCTTGTACTTCTCCAACCCCGCAAATGGAGACTCCGACTCTCAAGTCATGCATCATTGATCCTTGCACAGCATCAGGCAACTAAACCCAGAACTTGCTTTCTCCCGGCTCTTTTCTCGGCCATATATATGCGATGCACTTGTCTAGAATCCATTTGTTTAACCGTTTTTCTGATCAACGTTGAGTAATGAACCGTTGTAGCGGTTTTCGTCTCCCAGAACTGCTTGGCCCTTGTCTAGTACTGTTCATCATGAGGCGGAGTCTCCGCACCGGGGTAGTCTGCAGAGTGACGAGTGCAGGTTAAATCCATCCCAAGTTTTCAAGGTCATGATCGCCAAGACCTTGAAGTATATATAAGAAACCTTGGAACGAACGTCAGTTGAGTCCCGGTTCTTCAGACAGCGACCAATTCAATCATGTTCTTCAAGAAGCTGCTCACTTCCGCTGCAGCCCTCACAGGCACTGCGCTTGCCCAGAGCAAGGCAGGCGTCGAAGACCTCGACAAGCCCCGCAGAGACCTTTTCGAAAAGGACCTCTCCAAGTGTCCCGGCTACAAAGCCACAAAGCACTGGGAGACCCGATCTGGCTTTTACGCTGACCTTTCCCTCGCGGGTCAGGCCTGTGATGTCTACGGAATCGATCTGCCTGAGCTGAAACTTGAGGTTGAATATCAGACCGAAGACCGACTGCATGTCAAGATCTTGGATACGAACAACACTGTTTACCAAGTCCCAGATGACGTTTTCCCTCGTCCTGGGCTCGGACAGTGGGCTTCACCCAAAAACTCGAGGCTCAAGTTTGACTTCAAGGCGGATCCTTTCTCCTTCACCGTTTCCAGGAGGGATACCGATGAAGTGCTTTTTGATACCTCGGGCAGCGATCTTGTCTTTGAGAGTCAGTACGTCTATCTCAAGACCAAGCTTCCCGATCGCCCTCATCTCTACGGTCTCGGCGAGCATAGCGATCCTTTCATGCTGAACTCGACCAACTACACCCGCACTATCTACACCCGCGACTCATATGGTACACCCAAGGGTCAAAACCTCTATGGAGCTCATCCCATCTACTTCGATCATCGGGAGAAGGGCACTCACGGTGTTTTCCTTCTCAACTCCAACGGCATGGACGTTTTCATCGATAAGAAGAATGGCCAGCAGTTTTTGGAGTATAATATTATTGGCGGTGTTCTCGACTTTTACTTCGTTGCTGGGCCATCGCCTCGTGATGTCGCGAAGCAGTACGCCGAGATTACCACTCTACCCCTCATGACGCCTTACTGGGGTCTCGGTTTTCACCAGTGCCGATACGGCTACCGTGATGTTTATGAGGTTGCTGCTGTTGTAGCCAACTATTCCGCTGCTGGAATCCCACTCGAGACGATGTGGACAGATATTGACTACATGGACCGTCGACGCATCTTCACCATTGATCCAGAGCGCTTCCCTGCAGACAAGTACAAGGACCTTGTTGATACGATCCATGCACGAGACCAGAAGTACATCGTCATGGTTGACCCAGCCGTATATGACATGGAATCTAATCCGGCCCTTGATTCAGGCCTCGAGTACGACACTTTCATGAAAGAGCCCAACGGCTCCGACTACCGAGGTGTTGTGTGGGCTGGACCCAGTGTCTTCCCTGACTGGTTCAACCCCAACTCACAAAAGTACTGGAACGAGCTCTTTGCCAATTTCTTCGATGGCGAGAACGGTCCTGATATCGATGGTCTCTGGATTGATATGAATGAGCCTGCAAACTTCTTCAACCGTCCTTACCCTGGCAACAACACCACTCCTGAGAAGTTCGCAGAGATTGATGGTGATCCCCCCAAGCCGCCTCCCGTCCGTGATGGTCCTCCTGCTCCTATCCCTGGCTTCCCCGACAGTCTACAGCCTGCATCTTCTCGTCTTAACACGCGTGAGTCTGTTTCCATCGCCAAGACCACCATCCACAAGCGCTCCATGGCAGCCCGCACAACATCCCACAGCCGTGGCGTTGGACAGTGGGCTACCAAGAAGCACTGGGGACAGAACAAGTACGGCCGCCCTGGCTCCAGCTGGCCAAATGGCAAGAAGACCGGATCTGGTTGTGGCCCGAATGAGTGCAAGGGTCTTCCCAATCGAGAGCTCATCCAGCCTCCCTACATGATCCAGAACGGCGCGGGACCGACGCTTGCTGACGGCACTACCGATACCGATCTTGTGCAGAGCGGAGATTACCTCCAGTATGACACACACAACTTGTACGGCGCTCAGATGTCAACACATTCGCACAATGCCATGCGTGCTCGACGTCCCGACAAGCGCGCTCTTGTTATCACGCGTAGCACCTTTGCTGGTTCTGGCAAGGATGTCTCGCATTGGCTTGGTGACAACCTCTCGATCTGGGATCAGTACCGCTTTAGCATTGGTCAGCTTCTCCAATTTGCATCCATCTACCAAATTCCTGTTGTTGGTGCCGATGTCTGTGGTTTCGGCGGTAACGTCACTGAGACTCTATGCGCTAGATGGGCTACGCTTGGAAGTTTCTACACTTTCTTCCGTAACCACAACGAGATCACTGCTGCATCACAAGAATTCTACCGCTGGCCCAAGGTCGCCGAGGCAGCCCGTACTGGTATCGCCATTCGTTACAAGCTCCTCGATTACATCTACACTGCCATTTACAAGCAGAACCAGACAGGCACCCCTACTCTCAACCCTCTGTTCTTCAACTACCCCAACGACAAGAACACATACTCCATCGACCTTCAGTTCTTTTATGGTGATGGCATCCTCGTCAGCCCTGTTACAAAGGAGAACAGTACTGAGTTGGAATATTACCTCCCTGATGACATTTTCTACGAGTGGTCCACCGGAAAGCCTGTTCGTGGTACTGGTTCATATGAGTCTGCAGAGGTTGAGCTCACTGATATCATGGTTCATTACAAGGGTGGCATCATCTACCCCCAGCGTGTCGACAGTGCCAACACTACCACCGCTCTCCGCAAGAAGGGTTTCAACCTTGTTATTGCACCCGGTCTGAACGGTAAGGCTTCTGGATCTTTGTACCTCGACGATGGAGAGTCTGTCGTCCAGGACGCTGTATCCGAGATTGACTTCACTTACACCAAGGGCAAGCTGAGTATGGGTGGAAGCTTTGAGTACGATGCCGGTGTCAAGATTGAGACGATCACCATTCTTGGTGTTGAAAAGCAGCCCAAGGGCACCGATCATGCAGAGTATGACTCTGAGAACAAGAAGCTGATCTTTGCGGCGGATGTACCTTTGACGAAGAAGTGTTATGTGGATCTCTTCTGAGAACAGAGCGAACAGGATGATGATTTTGCTACTTTGACGCTGGTTCATGACTGTATTCAAAATTCTTGATGTATATAATGAGCCGTTAATGAAGGTTGTGGTTATATGAAAGATGTAAATTGATATCTATTGTTGTATCCAAGACGAGATGCAGTTCTTTCCGCCGTGGTGAATTGGCACAAAATATCGTGGGTTTGGCTTAAGCAAAACACAGTTGTCAGGGACAGATCTTCGAAAACAACATTCGATCACAATAACATGGGTAGAGTATGAGTGGTATCTGCGCATGAAGCCTGATGAAAGCCACCATTCAGGCTCCAGGCGCTTATCGGTACGATTTGAAAAGCTTCTGGTATTTGTTGCGAGTTTTCTTGTCACCCACCCAAACACTCCGCTCGTCGCCCACCACCTCAATATGTTCGCCGATGTAAGTAGCGACCATTCCATTGCCATACGCAGACTTGTCGATGAAGACATGCTCGTCAGGTTCGACGACATCGATGTAGTAAGGGTGCGCCAACATGGCAGTCAGGTCGTCAGCTGACTCATAAAGGAACATGGCAATCCCATCAAACTCGACGAGTTTGTTTGAAGTCGGTGGGGACAATCTTCCCGCCAACTCGAATCTGATAACGGGGATGAGTTAGCGAATCACTAGTCTACACTGATGGAGTTTGGTGTCGGCAGAGGGAGTGTTACCTGCTGGTATCTGGATATGCCAAAGTTAGTTGCAAGTGGAATAACCTTGGGTGTATGTTGAGTGTCCCAGTACTCCCAGAACTCAGCACGGGTCATGTTGGGATGACGCTTGATGTAAGTCAACATCTGCAACAGCCCTGTGTTCGAGGACGAGGCCAATGTTGTCCCAACAAGACCAACAGCGAGGGTAAGAAATGACGTGATTTGGACCATGTTGTTTACTTTTTGAATTGTGATAGTAAGATTGAACAATGAAGATGAGGATATTTGTGGCTTCAGACTTCCCGGCAACCATGTCGGGTATTTGAACAAAGGAGATTATGGACCGAGTAATGTGACTGTCTCGCGAAGAGTTGGTGGTCAAATTCCTAGAACCAACACTTCCAAGGCGGTCTTGTCAAATGGATTCGGGACATGAGGTCAACTGAGAACGCCACTATAGAGAACAATGGGTTGACTAGAATTTGCAACTAAGACATGTTGTTCTTGTTCAAGGATTATCTCGGTTCCCTCACTTGTTGCAATCAGGGATATTCTTCCGAATTCCAAGGGCGTGGTCTAGATTTGAGATTTAGAAGCACGTCTGAACTCGACTGTTCGCATTTCGACAGATCTTTACGCAACGCCGCAGCGGTTCCGCGGCGTTATGCGGGAAAGCCTGTCGATGCTACAGTTCCGCGCGTGGATAGTAAAACCGCGTTCATAGTTGTCAGGTACCAAAATCTCACATAATAGTAAGTATAGGCAGGTAGTCAAATCTTCGACAACCTCCAGATGCCGTATCAGTCAACATCCCCGAGTGGGAAACGACGGCCCGCTATCCTCGCGTCAGCTCTAGACCGGCCCAACAGCTGCTTGGCATCATGCCTTAACAAAGAACCGCACCAATAGTAACGCATATCCCTCTCGAAGGAACGCCACCACAAAAAGAACAATAGGAAGAAGATGACACTAGTTCCGTGACAAACATACATTACTACACGCAAAAAGTCTCGTCACCAACACATATACAACGAACAATGCCCAAGATCCAAGACACGGATCCCCCATGACCCATGCAATTTCTTGGATTGAGACATATGCAGGCCTTGGGTTCCGAAAGCCAACTCCGATGAAGTGGGTTTGGTCGCGATGGAGAATAGAGATCAGACCAACTAAGTTTTCTCCATCACCTATTGTTTCGTTGGGTTTGCTGTGTCGTCGATGGGATCCGAAGAGCAATCTAGTCTTGATTTCCGGAACCGTCTCATCTGACAAAATGACCAAATATGAATATCTTGTAATTATAACAAAGGGCACTTCCTCATCTTGGCAGTTCGTCCGGTTACACCACTCTTTGATGATAGAAGCTGTGTCTTGACATGCCTTACCCAGTGACGAACGGCGTGACGACCTTCCTACCACCACCTGAAAGCTACGTGGTGGACTTTGACAACCCGCAGAAACAAGATGCCATCGAGCATTATCTTGTATTCGCTATTCTCGGACCAATTGCGTTCCTGTTTTTATTACAGAGACTCTATACGAAGTACTTCATCTTGGGAAGCTTGAAGATCGATGATGGTAAGTTGCATTGATAAGCCCGTACAGTTGGCACCGAAACTGATCTGCCGCGAAGCTCTGATTGTAGTTGCTTGGGTAAGTCAACTATAACATGCAGGAAGTGGTCACGAACTAACAAAGTTGCTTTATCAAGATCTGCTCGCTTGTCATGCAGTCGATTCAGATATGTGAGTGTTTCACCAGTCCTGACGTCCAAATTTTGCTAAAGACGTACAGGGTCCATCTCCATCGGAGGTCTCTGCCACCACGCATGGGAAATGCCAATCGACGTCTTTGAGAATCACATGCTCGTAAGTCTGCATCACTTGTTACCATTGAAGCCTGATCTGACACCCGTGAAGAGCTCATACATCGCTGCACCCGTCTTCATCATCTGCAATGGCTGCAGCAAAACATCTTTGTTAACATTTTACCTTCAAATATCACCACAAGTGTGGTTCCGTCGAGTCATTTTTGGAACCATCGCCTTTGTCGTTCTTTACACTCTTATCATCTCTACGCTTCTTCTCTTTGGCTGTTATCCTATTCAAACAGCCTGGGATCCGTTCCGATTCGCAAGTGGAAAGTGTGCTGACAATGCTGTTGTCTACATCATCATTGCCGTGGTCAACATTATCTCTGATCTTATCCTATTTGTCATTCCCATACCCATGATTGTCCAGCTGAAGATGCCGTTGGGCCAGAAGATTGGAGTGGCTATTATGTTTGGTATTGCCACCATGTAAGTGCTACTTCTGATAGGAAAGTTGCGGACTGACGGAAAATACACAGAACTGTCGCGACGTCAATAATTCGAATGATCTACCTCCCCGCTCTTCTCGGAGCACTCGACATCCCATGGGTCGCTGCCCCGGCCAACGTCTGGTCTATCGCTGAAGCGAACCTCTTCATCGTTTGCGGCTCAATGCCCACATTGCGCAAGTTCTTCAAGCGTATTGCACCGAATTGGATGGGCTCCTCACCTGCACCCGAAGAAGTTGCTGTGTTTGAGTCTGTGTCAGATCAGTCATCCCGATTTGTATTAGACAAGAAGAAGAAGAAAAAGCATACAGGATATTCGCAGTTTGATACACTGGAGTTGAGTAATTATCCTGACACTGTTAGTCAGGAAACGCAAGTAAACGGTGGTAAGGATGATGAAGGGGAGTTAGGGAATGCTTTGTACAACACGAGTGAGGAGGCGGGTTTACAGCAGAGCAAAATTGCCTACACGAAGTCGTTTGAGGTAACACGCAGTCCATGAGATAACTAGCTAGTCGTTGTTGGATGATAGGGGTATTGGGCTTTCATAATGTTGTAATTTCAAACGAATATTTTATCTTAGTTCAATGTTTTGTCCTCTCGAAAACTCGGCCATCAAGCTGCAAATGCGTCAAAATTGTGTTACATGGCAACACTCAACACAGCCAACAACAACAAAGATCATCAGTCATGTCGATCGCGTGACGTCAACATAAACGTCAAAACAAGGGCGCGTTGAGTTATATCCAGTTCTTAACCCACGAACATTCGCAAAACTTTGTCTCTCGATGACTGTTGCATTTTCACAAACTCATGGTTCTGCCAAGTGTACTACTTCTACATATTAAGGACTGGCTGACTGCAATAATGTCTTCCTCTTCGACACAAATCGCCAGCGCAACGAGGCCAACAATTAGGCGTGATGTAGAGATGACGGCAAGTCCTACAATGGATCTTGATGAACGGCAGCATGAATCTCATATAATTGAGGGTTCTCTTCCACCTACAGACCGTGGGAAGGATGCTTACCTGACTCTACTCTGTTGCACCATGGCCCAAGTATCCGACAGCGTTCCATGAGCATTACAGCAAGCTAACCCCTACTCTTATAGTTACCCATCTGGGGCTACTCAGTCTCATTTGGCATATTCCAGGAATACTACTCCCGCCCATCAAGCCCTATTAGTAAGGAGTCTTCTGGCACGATCGCAACGATCGGGTCACTACAACAAGGCGTCATGTATCTCATGATGCCCTTCGCATTCATGGTTCTTACCAAATACCCTCGTTTGCGTCAATATTGTGGACCTCTTGGTCTTCTTATAACAACAACTAGTCTTACAGCTTCAGCTTTCGTGGACACTGTCGCAGGACTCATTGCGACTCAGGGTGCTCTGTACTCGATTGGCTGTGGCCTCCTGTTCAGTCCGATTTCGCATTATATGAACGAGTGGTTCGTTGAGAGGAAGGGGATGGCTCTTGGCGTTATGTGGGCAGGCAAATCGGCGACTGGTATGGTCGCCTTTATTCTCAATCTTTAAATAGTTGACTAACTTTGAGTATAAGGTATCGCCATGCCCTTTGTATTTGATGCCTTGCTTCGTCGGATTGGTCTACGCGCGACTCTCCTGGTCTGGGCTGGTACATCCGCTGCAATGTGTCTTCCCACATTGTTCCTCATCAAACCTCGGATCCCACAGCATAACCAAGTTCAGGTTCGGTCACTGTCATTTAACTTTCTTCGCCATACTTCTTTTTGGATGATGCAAGCTGGCGTGATCATACAGTCACTAGGATATCTCATGCCGAGTACATACCTAGCAAGCTACGCGTCAACAATTGGACTGCCCAGTATCACCGGCCCCATCCTTCTCGCGCTATTCTCAGTAGCATCAGTCCCGGGTGGCATTGTCCATGGAATGGTGGGTGACAAGACATCAGCGACTAGAGCTGTGACTATTGCGTCTGTGGGAAGCGCACTACCTATCTTTTTACTCTGGGGCCTGAGTTTAAACCTCGCCAATCTAGTTGTCTTTGTTGTTCTATATGGTTTTTTCGCAGGTGGCTTCAGCTCAACATGGTCCAACATGTCATCAGACATTCAAAAGGATGACTCTGATGCCGATTCAGCGCTCATCTTCGGCATGCTCATGGGCGGGCGAGGGATAGGTTTCGTCTCTGCAGGTCCATTGAGTGGTGTTTTATTACAGGCCAAAGCATCTTTATCTGACGAGGCGTTGGGTTATGCGACGAAATACGGACCAATGATTTTATGTACAGGAGTCACGGCTGTGTTTGGAGCTTGGGCGCCGATGTGGAAAGGTGTGAAAGTTGCTTTGAGAGTGTCTGACGATGGTGGCAATTGAGAAAATCGCGGCGTTGCGACTGTTACCAAGTTGTTAACAGAATATCTGTTTCAAAGTCAGCCGGTGTTTGGCACGGCAAGTGAGTCAAGGGTAGTTTCTTGTCATCTCCAAGAGGGGAACGACGTGGCCTGAACGGAGTTAAGATCGGCTTTAAGTACATACTTGTAACTCGATGTCGTAAGCAAACGGGCGGTTCGGGTAACACAGCGTGGGGGGGTTTACTGTAAGCACTTTAACAATAAGATCCTAATTATGATGATTGCAAGAGTGAGATACGGTTGCCGCTTATGATCTAAACCGCAATCTGATTCTTTTCCATCCACGATATTGAACAAAATGCAGGCATCTACGCAGTAGGCGTCATTGAAGCTGTTATGTACACTTCTTTTAGTGGAGAAATCTTGAATTAATAATGTTATCCCTCCAATGGTAGTGGATCGTAAACTCCGAGGCTGGAGATAGTTCCCTGCATCACTCTTTGATTGGCTTTATTGATTCAGAGTTGGTACGCTAAACTGACATCAGAACTGGCGTGGAGCCATTGTATCATTGTATCAACATCGAGACACACGATGAGACAATACCCCTCACTTCGCTTGGACCATCCTCAATGACATCAATTTTCCATATATAAGAAAAGAACTCACTTCCTCTCTTTTTCCAATTGAACGTCGCCATCCCTTCAACTTTCTATTTAATCCCGCAAAACATAGCAAAAATGTCCGTCGAAACTGCCTACGATCCCAAGGACATGCTGTTCCGCCACCTGGGACCTACTGGTCTCAAGGTTAGTGTCTTCAGTCTGGGTGGCTGGTTGACATACGGTAAGATACTACCAAGACCAAGACATTGTTTATACGCGAACTAACAGATTGAAGGTGGAACACAAAAGGGAGACATTGTCAAGCAAATCTTGCAAAAGGCCTGGGATCACGGTGTCAACACCTTTGACACTGCCGAGGTCTATGCCAACGGTGAATCTGAGATTGAGATGGGCCGAGCCCTTAAGGAGCTCAACTGGCCTCGAGACGAGTAAGCATCACCAATTTTAGTCTTTTAGCAATCAGGGAACTAACAGATCCAGATACGTCCTCACGACCAAGGTTTTCTTCGGCACAGGTCGCAAGGAGCCTAACACCCGCGGTCTCTCCCGCAAGCACGTCGTCGAGGGTCTCAAGAGCTCCCTCAAGCGATTGGAACAGCCTTACGTCGATGTTGTCTTCGCCCACCGCCCCGACTACGCTACTCCTATGAAGGAGATTGTTGAGGGATTTACTCAAGTCATTCGCAACCTTAACCTTGCCTACTACTGGGGTACCTCAGAGTGGAGCGCTGCTCAGATTACCGAGGCTACTCAAATTGCTGAGCGTTACAACCTCATTGCTCCTGGTAAGACCACATGCTTTGATCAATTAAGAGGTTCATGCTAACTTTGATACAGTTGTCGAGCAGCCCCAGTATAACGCTTTCCACCGTGAGCGCTTCGAGACTGAGTATGCTCCCCTCTACAACCAATTCCAGTACGGAACCACCATCTGGTCCCCTCTCGCCAGCGGTCTCCTCACTGGAAAGTACAACAACGGTATCCCTGAGGATTCCCGTTTCGCTACTAACAAGTCTTTCTTCGAAAACACTGTCAGCGAACTTCAGACAGAAGCTGGAAAGGCCAAGATCGAGAAGGTCAAGAAGCTGTCCGAGATTGCTGAGCGTCTCGGCGGTAACGTTGCCCAGCTCTCTCTTGCCTGGGCTCTCAAGAACCCCAACGTCAGCACCGTTATTCTCGGAGCCACAAAGGTTGAGCAGCTCGAGGACAACTTCAAGGCCCTCGAGCTTTACAAGAAGATTGATGATCAGGTTTTGGAGGAGATTGAGAAGGTTCTCGACAACAAGCCTAAGGGTCCTGCTACTTACAACCGTGAGAGGACTTTGGACTGGAAGCCTTAATTTATTTACTGTCTAGATATGAAAAGTAGACTCTGAAAATAATGAGAAGCAAATAGTGTAGTCTTTATTGTGGTATAATTGCTACATGTGTCCCATCCCATCCCCAAGTGAAACATATTGACGATATACGTGACTGAGTATTGAGCATTGGAACAAGCCGAAGTTGACCCTTTTCTTCCCCAAGAGTTAGGATACGTAATTTAATATTCTATACAAACATCTGATGGGACTTGCATCATCTTGCAGGTCATGCGAAGCAAGAAGCAACATAGAAGGGTTACAGAATGAGGTGAGTGAAAAGCAGATTATCATATTGGAGACCTATATACATGATCATATATATATACTAACAGAAGTCGTCCTAACAGGCCATAAACATCCCATCGTATCTTATCTAGCAGCCAGAAGGTAGAGTGAAGCTTTCGGTTCTGCTGGTGCTGCTGTACTTGGCACCGGTACCCAGACCTCTCTTGGCGAAACCCTTCCAGAGCTCACACTTGTTCTTACCGCCAGTCAGAGCGGTATCGGCATCAATGATAGCATCACGAGCCTGAACCATATTGGGGTTGCAAGGTTGACTACAAAAAGTTAGCAAAAGGTCACCAAGAATCACAAGTAGTGAACTTACAGAGCCATGCCGTCCATGACAAGCTTCATGGAAAGATACTTTCCATCAGTAGGGACCTGACCGTTGAACTTGGGCATATCATCATCGTTCTTGCCATGCTTCTCAATCAAGTTCCACATGACCTCGTACAGGATCGTGGCCCAGACCGTTCCGATAGCGTGCACGCTAGAAAGCCCGTTGGCGCTCTTGTAGGTGTACGGGTTAGTGGTCAGGCTTGTGCTGTAGGGGTAAGCACGGATACCAGCAGCCTTGCCAGAGATCCAGTCACCCATGGGTTTGTTGGCGGAGCGAGTGTCCTTGGGCTGGAGGTGGATAGCGATGGCCATGAAGTCACTCCATCCTTCTCCCATGCCACCAGACTCACCACCCTGAGAATGTTAGCATGCGTTTATCACGCAGCGGTTAAAGAAACTTACAGGAAGACATCCTCCGTTCGCAGGACCACCAGTCAAACGGTTGCTAAGACCGTGGGTGTACTCGTGGATAACCACGCCGGCATCAAATGTGCAGTCACGCTTGGGGTTGCTAGTATCCCACAAGAACATTCTCATACGTCCAGGCTGACCGTCGGGAGGAGATGAGAACATAGCGTTGTTGGTGAATCCTCCATCCTGAGCCATGAGAATAACCTGGTCATTGCCCTTACCGCCCGCACCGTTGTTGTTAGCCTCGAAGTTACCAGCTTGCTCATTGAAACCGAGAGCATGAAGAAGATCATGGTACTTGTTGGCGGTGTAGAAAAGCTGGGTAACAGATGCGTCACGGTAGCTAGTGGGGTCGGCTGTGGCTGGAGAGTATTTGTACTCGAAGGTAAGGGACTTGGAGTCAGGGCGGTAGTTGTTAAGGTAGGCGCTTCCTCCCGAGGGGTTTGTTTGAGCGATACCGTTGTTGCCACGAGTTGTGGTGTAGTTGGCTGTGCCATCACTCTGCCAAGTAAACTCAGATCGGACGATATCCCAAGGGTCCTTGACCACGGAGCGAGAACCTTGAGAAGGATCGTTGACGCCCCAGGGGCTGCCGAAATGGTTAGTCTCCCAATTATAATTAACAGATAAGGATGAACTTACTAAACCTCATAAGTAGCCTCGGCGACGTAGTCAACAATACCAACAACCTCATCAGTCTTGGCAGCATTGACATAAGTCAAGAGCCAGTTGTCAAGAACATCAGTCTCAACTCGCCAAGTGAGCTTTAGTTTGCCATCATCAACGAGATAAGCGAGCTTAGCCTCGGGCTTGCTGACAGTACCAGAAGTTCCTGTGAACTCGTAATGCTTGTCACTCTTCTTAACAGCCTTGGCCTTATCAGCCTCAACAGGAAGTGAGAGAACATCGACGGTGTCTTTGAGAGCCTCAACAGGATCCTTCTCGTCTCGCTTAGTCAGAGGACCAGGCATCTTGCCATCGAAGAAGCTGTTTCCGTAGGAAAAGACTTCTCCATCAGCACCAATCTGTTTACTATCAGCGTATGCTCTCACACGACCTTGTCAAGGTCACTCACGTTGACGTTGAAGTCGGCATTATCGATGTCGATGCCATTGACGGTTTGCTTGAAGTTGACGTGGGCAATACCGTTGGTGCCGACATAGTGGTCGTCAACCATGCGGAACTCAGCCTTGGGGTATGTGGCCTTGACCAAGTCACTGGCAGTCTCTGTGTAGTCAGCTCGCTTGGTAACAACCTTGGCACTGACGTCCTCAGGAACCTCTTCCTGAGAAACATACTCGGCCATTGGAGCAAGCTTGAAAGCTTCTAGGTCAAGACCTCGCTTGCTCATGGGAGATGGGTTGGGTGCCCTTCGGCTGGGATGGGCACCGGCTAGGCCGGTGAGGCCTATTAGGAGGAGACTATCGGAGAAGCGCATGTTGAGAACGAGTGAGGATTGTGAGAAGAGAGAGTGTTGATGATGGGGTAAAAGAAACCATCATGGAAGGTCTTGAGCTGTTATATAGTTTCCATTTCATAGAAACAGAATTCATTCTCCTCTGCTTCTTTTTAGCTTCCCCATTCGATCGGGACTTTTGTGTATCTTGGCTACTTAGACGCCAGATGCTAACCACCGGCCTATTTCGGGATATATCTGCCAAGAGAAGAAGGGTCTTTTGTCTGGGGTAATTTATTATCTTCACGGCAGTTCAAACACGCGATCATGGGGCATCGTGAGTGATAGCAGTTTTATGGAGCTTAATTGTCACCGTGCTGTCAGCCAGGTCTTAGCTGACATGGATACTATGCAGTACTCCAATACCATACCCAGCAGGATAGGAAGGTCTATCGGATAAACAAGAGCCGTGAATAAAACGGCTCGGCGCGAAGCATCGTTGATGAGGAAGTGGATTTGGGGACGGACTTTATCCCCGAATAGTGTGGAGAGACCGTTATACGAGCTTTCAGTTAGGCTCGAAAGTTATTAGTTAAGCTTATCACAAATAGAGTCAGGTAGATCTTCTTTCAGCCAAGTCTCAGAGCACGTTTGCTAATCAGTGTCACGTTACAATCACCGCTGCAGAACAATCCCAAATACGAGATATCTCACTGTTAACCTTCTTGGCACGAACCCGGTTAAAAGAGAACAGATGCTTCTGGTATAGAACATACACCCTCACCGCAAACACCTATCTTGTGCATCTGATCACCAAGATAGATAACTGGCAATCTATGTAAGCGCCTGCTTCGGCCCCTGCGTCTCTTTAACGCTACCGGGCGAGCTTCTTTTTTAGCGAGTCATGCGCCGTGCGATCTACCATTTCAACCCCTGCATGATCTGGGGACCTTCCAAGTTGGGCCATCCAGGCCGGGAATACAACCTCCGACTCATCCAATGACTTTGATCGAGTCATTTGTTATCAGTGCCTAATGACACAATGGGAACAGAAGGGCCAGTCAGACCACAGCTGGTCAAGAGCCTATATGTCCCGAGAGATCTATTAAGAGGCCGCTGACCCGTCGGGCTTTGACTTGCCTTTTCGAAATGCTTGGTTCCACTAACCATGTGGTCTTATTTGATGTTGGTTGTGCTTTTAGGAAGGTAACATGCATGATGCATCTGTTGAGTACTGAGTGGAAAACCGCTCAGTCTTCTGGGTGATGTGTTATCGTCGGTCCCTACAACAGTCATCCATGTCTTCTTTCTCGGTTGCATCCTTGTGCTGATCTTCCTGTGCCTTTCAAGGTGGAATATGGATTACCAGGATGTCGCGTCAAAGGTACGTAGAAAAGTCGCGTAGGCTTTTGAAGACCAAGATGGATATTGTCACAAACTTGAGAATGTTCAAACATAACATGTAATCCGTTTCACATCTCTAATATTATCTCTGGATGAATGCATCATATCGAGAAACACCACGTGTTTTTTTTATCTACCGAATAGGGATCTTATTGCGAACATTGAATCGGGTGTCTCAATCTGAAAATACCTTGGACTTGTTGCAGGTCTTTGTTTGATTCAAATGGGGTATACCCTTCTTATCAATATAGACGAACTTGGCCAAGAACTGCGAAGACTCCAAAACTGCCAGGAGGTTTGGGTATATCGAGCGGCAAATGAGTCTTTCATGTGAATTGTTAACGCAAGTAGACAATAACAAATTTTCATCACGGTTGCCGATTGCCGTTCCGTAAATTCACAACAGTTGGTCAAATGAAGTCTTACGGCCAAATTGGCCGGTGGCTTTGGTGGGGGTCACCGGCCAATTTGGTCCTTGTCAGCCTCAACACCATAACAAGATAATATGATAGCTTGGGTCTGGCGGCCACTTTGGCCGTCGAAGGACGATGTTAAGTCTTCATTATGATGGAATACATATGTGCTGTAAACTATAAAAGACACTATATCAAGGCATCATAATCAGTCCTTTCATCAGTATCTCCTCATCATCCAATATAGCATCGACATCTCCAAGATTACTCAAGAACCCTTTGACGAACATGACTATCAACTCTTCTCTCGTTCTTGTTACCGGATCAACTCAAGGCATTGGCCTTGCTGTCATCAAAAAACTTGCTACCAAGCACAACTACCATGTCCTTCTTGGTGTCCGTAACACGAAAGCCGGAGAACAGATCGTCTCTGATCTTCGCAACGAGGGTTATAAGGCGAATGTTGTCGAACTAGACCTCACTTCCCCCGAGTCTATCAGCAAGGCCACTATACATATCGAACAGACCTATGGTTACCTCGATGTTCTGATCAACAATGCTGCTGTCTTGCTTGATGGACACAAGGGCCTGACAACTTGGGAACTGTACCAGAAAACATTCACAACCAATGTCATCGGAACTGGCTACCTTACTCAAAGCCTTCTTCCACTTCTACGTCAAGCCAAAGCAGGCCCACCTCGCATCATCTTTGTAACAAGCGTAATGGGTAGTCTCGCCAAAGCCACCGATGAAACTACCATTTACTACAACATCGACTATAAGGTGTATGATGCGAGCAAAGCAGCCGTCAACATGCTTATGTTTAACTTTGCCCGGGAGCTCGACGATATCGGTGGAAAAGTGAACTCTGTTTGTCCGGGCTTGGTCAAGACAGCTTTGTCGGGTTACCATGACTGGGGAACGACCCCAGAGGTTGGAGCTGAGAGGATTGTGGAATTAGCTACCACTACCGACAACGATGGACCGCATAAGACTATCAGCGATCGCAATGGAGAACTTCCAAGGTGATCATTGCAATGCTGTATTTTAGGACGGCTTCTACGTCATAATTTGATTATGTAATCGCTGAGTCTTACCTGTTGTACCTCAAAGGACTTTAGCCTAAACTCCGAATCCCAGTTTCTGCTTACAAACTGTCGTCCCTCATCCTGACTCTTGACCTTTGTGAAAACTTAATACTCATCGCGGAAAATGGACACTTCGGTAGGAACACCTTTTGTTCAGTTATGCCATCTCTGCGACAAATTCTTCACCCAAGGTGTGCAGTCTGATATACCTAATCTGACGGTAGTTATTAATAGAGTTTGTCTAGAACACCCATACAAACGCCACGTTAAGTATTGTCAGCGTGCGCAAAGTCATCGAAAAGGCCGCTCAAAGTCATGCACTGCTTGCAGGATAGCCAAGGCGAAATGCAGTTTTGGTCAACCGTGTTCACGGTGTCAAAAGAGGAATATGCAGTGCATATACCAACAACAATTTTGTCATGAGAACGTGTCAGAGATCGGACAGAAACAACAAGGCGATGATTCAGGCCATACCGATTTACAAAGCCTAGACTACGTTGTGGCTACTGAGTCTATGAGTACCTCTTTTGACTTTAATGATGTGATGGTTGACTGGGCGGTACCATTGAACACGCTCTCGGCATCTCAGCCGATTACATCTTATGAAGATATATCGTTCTGGAATATCTCTAGCGATCTCCGAATGAGCATGGTACCAAAATCACTTAGTGCTAAAGGAGATTTGACTCGTGTACCCCGTCGTCTGTCAAACTTACAGCACGCATCACGTATCGTTATGCAGATGCTTTACGCATACCCTCAAATGATGCTTCGTCGGCAAACATTTCCACAATTTATTCATCCTCACTGGCATCAACAGCATCTCCCGGAGGCGCTCAGTAACTGTATGGGTATTGCCCAGCTCTTTGCATCGAGAACGCCCGAAACTGGGCCATTTTTATGGAAGACGATAAGCGCGGAGCAGAACCGCCTCCAAGAGAAGGTAATGTATTTTCGGATGTGTTTAGAATGCCGCTGACATGAACAGCTGTGTACATTCACCCCTTTGGAGGTTCACTTGTGTCTACAGGTCATGATCATCTACATGATTATGGCGATGAGCGATTCCGACACAGATAATAAGGAGCGGATTACGACATTATTTGAAACAGTCGAGGTAAACATCACCACAACCGTTTGATCAATATCACTCACAATCCCAGATTATCGGATCGCGCTTCCTCGACCTCACAGGTTGTTACTCTAACTCAGAGGTGAGCGAACCCAGCGCGACATGGGAGGCGTGGATTTTTGCCGAATCACGTCGCCGCATGTCCTGCCTGTGGCTGGTAATAAGCTGCGTCATCACCATTGAGAACGGCCGAACATGCAGCCGCTATGGTGCATTGGAAAGTCTTGCACTACCATCAAGCAAAATGCTTTGGGAAGCGCGAACACGGGAGGAATGGCAAATGGAAAAGAATGTCTTTGATACTGGCTGTGCTGTGGTTACTTTGGGTGAGCTTGTCGACGCAATGACAAGCCCGGGGGGTTCAGATACAAGGCAGAAATTACAAAATTGGCAAACTGGGAGTGATAATTTAGCTGCAATGTTGAATGTTGCTGTTGAATTTGTCTGGGGTCAGGTTTTATAAAACGGACATTTCCACAGTAGGTAGTATTGGCAATTATTGACATCCACAACTTCATCAGCTATAAATTCGTCGTATCATCATTGACGCCTAAGCCGAAGAAAACGGTATAGATTGAAGCACGTGATATGTCGCCTCGTTCTTCATGCCGCCACTTTCATCTTGTGTCCTCGCCAACCGAACCTCAACATCATTTCAATTTCAGGGTCCCTCAGTGGTGTAATGGAGACACTTTCGTCAGGCACTATCACCATCATCTTTCACCCTTTAATCCAAAGCCATGGAACAAATTGCTGGACAAATATCTCTCAATGACTATTTCCGTCCTATCCCTCCTCCTCTACCGCAAAGACAGGCAATGCAGCGGTCTCTCCCTCCTCCTCCTCCTTCACCAGAAAGACAAGAACTTGCTGTATCATTCATCAGCATATCATCAGACGAGGATGAGCCCGACACCCGAGAACTTACGGGTCCAACGCTCTGTAGGGAACAACAAGATCTTCTTAACCTGATCATGAGCGACGAAAACGTCTTCTTTACCGGTTCAGCCGGCTGCGGAAAATCTACTGTTCTGAAAGCTGCCATAGCTCAGCTCCAAGCTGCTGGTAAAAAGGTCGCCGTTACTGCACCTACGGGCAGGGCGGCCCTCAACGTTGATGGTATTACCTTGTATTCTTACATGGGCTGGAACACTAATGATGTCAAATTGGATTTGGACAAGCTGAAAGGTAAAATGTACGGGCAAGCAAAGAAAAATATCCGGAAGAGTCTCAAAGCCACATATGTTTTGATTATCGTTGAGATAAGTATGGTGGAGAACAACTTCCTATCACGAATGGAAGCAGTTTTGCGTGATATCCGACATATCGAACGTCCCTGGGGTGGACTACAGCTCATTGTCACCGGTGACTTTTGCCAGCTACCTTCCGTGTTACCCTTTCAGAATTGCTGGGTATGTGGGGAATCAGAGCAAGAATGACAGAATCTTGGCATGGCAGGAGTGAGTTGTTCCAAAAACCACGGCCCTTGGAAAATAGACGAAGATAAGTGGGCTTTTAAAAGTCCTGCGCGGGAAGCTGCCGACTTCGCCTGTGTTTACCTCTAGGAGATTCATCGCCAGAGCGATAGGCCATTTATCAAAACGCTTCAGAAATGCCGCCTTGGTATTCCTTGCTCCGAACAGGAATTCGACATGCTTCTCAACCACGAGTCAGAGGTGGAAAATGCCACACAACTTGTTTGCAAAAGGAAAGAGGCTAAAAAAGTCAACGCTGAAAAATTGGACGAGATCACAGAGCATACACCAAAGGACTACAAATGTGAGGATGGTATCTGGTTCCCCCCATCTTATGACGGAAGAAGGGATACCTTTAGCGACCGAACTAAGGAACGGAATTTAGCGTACTTTGATGACCGCCACCGGTTCAACATAAAAGTCGAGCTCAAGAAAACACAACTCGTCATGCTCCTGGTCAACCTCAATCTGAAAAAAGGGCCTCGCCAACGGCAGTCAGGGTGTCATCGTCGACTGGGAACAAATTGACATGGAGAAACTACCAAAGTTCGACGGGCCGGATGGCGACCTCAAGACAACACATGTTGGACTATTTACAGACGAATATATGAGAAACAATCCCGAACCAAAGAACCAAGTATGGCCTGTCGTGCGATTTAGCAATGGCTATAAAAAGACTATCTACCCGGTCTGCCTCGTCCACTCTGTCAACGACCACTTAGGAATTAAGGTCTTTAGGACTCAAATCCCTCTCATACCAGGCTGGGCCATCACTATACACAAGAGTCAGGGAATGACTCTTGAGCGAGTTATTGTCAATCTGAAGAACACCTTTGAGGTAGGCCAGGCGTATGTTGCACACTGTCAAGAGCAACGAGCCTAAGGGGGCTTCATATTCAAGGAGGGTGCAAAGGTTCGTCCAAAAGTTTATCAGCAAGCTTGAATAAAAACCAAGAGGTTCATAACTTTCTAAGGGAGAAGTTCGGTAGCCGACTACCTTCTGATCGCGAGGGTTCACGATTGTGAACCCTTGGAGTACTGGTAGTGTCTTTGGAATAGTAATGTTGTAAGAGGCTACAATTACCAGGTTCCTGATGTAAGAGGTCACTCTAGATGACCGTTGATGGAATGGGAGGCGGCCGATGTTTTTCATATGTGAGTTTTAGCAGGAAAGGTTTCGGCATCATGGAAGTGAGGAAGGTACCACGAATTTGGTCATAATTGGGGAATGTAGAGAACTTTGTGTAACTGGGTAGACAATTTTGAGATTGAGAATTCTATTCGAATACAAATACATACATATAAAACGTCAATCTCGGTCGATATACCTAGGCAGATCGATGAGCTTCATCAACAACTATCTAGCAAATAGCCACTATAAATTGTTGTCAAGCGCCGACAGCCTTAGGTCAAACGCGGCAATACGTGTAGGTTGATCTCCGCCGAAGTCTCAATTTTCTAATGTATTAACGTCTGGACCTTCACCTTGAAACTCCTCATTCCCAACAATTCGGCTCCGATAACCGAGCCTAGGATATGGGCTTGGGTATTTGTTGTCCCTGTCGCTCACCCATCGCGGATAACTTGGGTTCTGGAGCAATATGTCAGAAGTTTCGACCTTATCAACATAAGCACACTTACGTCGTCAAACAATGGGTGTTTAGAACCGATTTCTAGCTGTTCTTGATACCACTCAGTTTCAGGTAAGTGTCGTGTTCTACACCAGATGCATCGCGGTACTGTCCTGGGTGATACAGTTCTACCACACGTGCACCAGAACTAAAACCATATGTCAGTATAGATCTTTCATCATGCAAAGGACTTTCAGAAGTTCATACAGCTCGTTCGAAAGCATGATCATGCAGCGTCTTGGAGGGCTCACAGTCGTCTCCAAAGTCAACATCGTATCGAACGATCCAATCCCACTCCATTTGTGTTCTTTCTGCAAAATACTGTCTTGTCGTCTTTCGTTCTTCATCTTCGCATCGCACACAGATCCACCGGGTATAGACATCGCAATCACATCTCAGATTGACAAACTTGTCGCTTATTTCCTCCTCCGTCTTCTTGTCGCATTCCTCACATAGACACATGATGTTGTCTAGCTCGAAATTCCCTCTCAAGTGCGGTCGGCGGTTGGGACGAGCGGTTGGGGGAGCGGCACGCGGATAGCATCGACATTCTTCGCATACATTGATGCCACACTTTATGCACGGAAGAGCCTCTGCTTCATCACACTTCACGTTGTAAAGATATACCTCGATTTCTTCGTCACCTGAAAGGTGAGGGTTGATATCCCATCGACCGGGCATGGGGTTTCGGTGGTATGAGCCCTTGAAGGCTTGACGAGCCGCAAGACCACGTCCATCGCAAAGTGATTGCCTAGACAGAAAGCCGAATATTGCGTCCGAAGAGTGTATGATGCTGTAAGCGGATCGACTTGTCAAACTGAGTTTGTGCAAGTCAAGCGTTGAGAGCCAAGGTGCCAAAGATGAGAGGATGCTGTAGGAAGAGATAAGATCCACAATATCAGGGTGGAAATTATCGCAAACTTTCGCCGTCATATTGTAGATCATTCGGTAACTTCGAATTGAGTGTCTTGTTTCGAATTGCTGGACTGATCAGATAACTCTTCCAATACACATGGTACGTCACGTGTACAAGAGTTATGAGTGAGTAAGAACTTAGGTCTTTGTCAGATTCATTGCTTATCCCTGACTGTGAGCTGCTGCAGTCAGCGAATCGAGTTAGCCGAGTTGCTTATGGACATAGGCAAAGAAATTATACTGGTCAACCTGCATACCTGTTGTGGTGGTCCGATAGGCGCGCATGTCGTCGTGATAATTAGGACTTCTTGGACCATTTATGCTGTTTGTCTCGGCGCTCAGGCAGCATTTCATGTAGGTACTACTGTCGCTCGAACTAATTTCGGGCTAAGACCCTGCTCAGAACATCAAAGATAGCCAATGTTGGCTGAATGCTTCAAAAGTCACAACAAATAATGAAATCGGGTGCCCAGTTTTGTGACATTATCGGATAAGCGGCGAAAAGTTTATCGTCAGAGAAGGAAACAGCTTCAGAGACGTGATGCTGAAAGCCGACAGATGATGCATAGACAAGTTTATGAGCAGGGATATATTTACTCTCAAGAGAAAGACGAATAACTCTTCAGCAATTTCCGCTCTTATTCAACAATAACTTCCCCCTTCTACATTGCGCGTCCTTCTCCGTTAACCTCATGTCAGGTAATTCAGTGCTGTTTATATAGCAGTATTCTGGGAAGCACAAAGACGTTGAATGCACCTCATGCTTTCTCTGCCTCAGTGGCGACAAGGTTAGCAATCCACTGCCTGTGCGTCTCCGATAAGTGCGGGCTATGACCAGACTCAATCTCCAGAACTGTTGCTCCCCATTTATCGGCAACAAAAGTCAAGATGTCTTTGGTAAAAATCGGATCATCCTTGCACAACACCAATATCTTGGGGATGATCAGGTCCGCCGGCGTACAAGGAACGGAAACTTCGAAGGGACCTTTACTTTGATGGCAAAGTGTTGGGATTATCTCATCGGCGACACTCTTGTCCACATCAGTAAAGAAAGCCCCCATAAGCTTCTCGTTCTTCAGAGGTAGGCGTGATTCCTTGGAAAGCAATTAGATCGATGTACTGAGTTGGAGTGGGCAATAACTCACGGATACATCATGAAACCAAGCTGACGTATACTGCCCCCCAACAGAGTCGTACATGGAGATATCCTTCTGTAACACAGGAGTCGGCGCGATAAATATCACTGACACAAATCCACCATTTTGCCCTTTCTGCTCTCTCTCAGCCTGAGAGTATCCATTGACAGCGACCTGTAGCGGTACAGCACCATAGCTGTGTCCCACTGCGATGATCTTCCGCCCGCTATCGATATACGGCATAATCATATCTTGAATAGCTTTAACGTCGTCATCCAAGGCCTTGCCATCGACTGAGTCATCGTAACCTGCCGAGGCCAAAGTCGGAGCGATGACGGTGAAGCCTTGTCTCTCGATGGATGCGATAAGGAGAGAGTAATGCTTTGGCTGGTGCCACGCACCATGCACAAAAAGAATTACTGTTTTCTGCTGATCTTGTGACATTTTTTCTTTCCTTCAGAGAACCAAGTATTGGGTAAGATGGAAGACGTAGTGACGTTGGAATTGAGTGAAGGTTAATGAATGGTTCGCGGCCCTGTCATTAATGGAGTCGGTAGTCAGCGAGATCAAGCAGAAAGGAATCCTTTGCATAACCGCGGTCCGTCCAATATTACCACTGTTTTCCGAGACAGGCCGGATAATCTCGCTGCTCTGACTGTTCTGACTGTTCTGACATAGGTACAGTCATCTCAGTACGGCCCCTCAATGAGGCTGGGAGGTAAGCACTAACGCACACAACAGGATTCCCTAAAAACTCAGCCCTGCTTGCCGCGGTTAATGCAAAACTGCTATCACTCTTGATCAAAGATAGCAACACATTCATGGAAGCAGACTGAAGCATAGTTGGTCAGCCGAACCCTACAAATCACGGTCTTGGTACAGTCTAAACTTCTGCCGGCTAAATAACACTCACGCTTCGTATCACAATGGGCTATTGCCAAGGATCTCGGCAAGGCAAGGTGTCACGAAGACCACCCAACCATGAACGCTAAAAACAAAGACCCCATTGAAAGGAACAAAGGTACAAGGGTCCATACCTGCTTCTTGACACAAGAATCCCGATAAAACGGGCGGTTGAACACCTACACGCAGATAAGAACAACGATAAATAGATCCCATGGATATTCACTGCTACTACTCAGACTGTCTTTGAGCGATATCTGATCAGTGCCAGAAGAACCATTGACTAGAAGAGTATTCATGGATATACCGCTGCAATAACCATTCTCAAGAGCTGCCTTCCTTCAATATCGGCCTAAATCTACATTTGAACCAACGGTGCAGATATAACGACATTTAAGATCCTACACAATAACCAAAGTCAATCACAATATGTGCAAGGCAACTTGTCGCAACGTTTGATGCAACTGTGGCAGGCTCATTACTTTCAAGAGTAAACCGGAAGCCTGCCCTGCAAACAATGGCCCAGGACGCAGGATAGAGAGCCCAACAGTGCAGCATTATGAAAGCATGTGGTGCGACAAACTCACTGAGTAAGAGAACTGGAAACAGAATTCGCTCTCTCCCCACCATATGACTAGTCTTTGTATGTGCGGCAACACAAGACCTATCTATGGCTTGGAGTGCCACAGGGTTGCAAGCATATATAAGATAGAATAGGTGTCTCTAATTCGCTGACATTTTTAGAAGTCGAAGCTATGAACGTTAGGACAATCTATTGATGCTATACAGTGTGGAATGGGGCACTTTATCACTTCACTTTCTTGATTTCGCTAGCATCAAATAGAATGGCCATGCTTATACACATAGTTACCCTCAAATCAGCAGTATGCAAAACTTATAAATTGGGTTAAATCTATCTCTGAACTTTACCTTTACATAAACCTCTAAAATTTCTTAACGTGCTTTTACATCACAGCACACGATTAGCAACCAGAACTAGCCTAAACATGTATCAAATCTACTGGACGAAGTATTGGTGTGCTGAGTGCAATCAGCCCATCTGCACCACACCAATGACCCTCGTGTGCGTTAAAGTAGGGACAGCAGAGTGCAGGCCGACTAAGACCTGTTTTGACTCTACCCTACCGTCTACTTCATGAGAAGTGTATTGAAAGGAAGAGACTGGAGGAGGAATTGAGAAAAAAGTAACAGGGAGGTTGAAACCGGTCATTTCCAGGGCAGACTTCAACTCAGAGTCGCAGAATGTTGTCGGTCAATCACTGATGATGTTAGAAGGGATTGCGAATCTCAGGCTACAGGTTTCAATGATATCCCAGCTATCCATAGATTATACGTCCCAAGATAAATTGAAAGCAATTTCAAGGACAGTACACCAGCGTGAGAGAACCGTCAACGAGAACTCAGCTTCATTCGTTTGAGCGCATTGAAACATGTTTACTGCTACATTTATCAAGTACCAGTGTACCAAGTGTAAGTATCTAATCCAGTTTGATCCGGCTGAAGAGGGATTTAAGCCGAAAGGAAGACTCCGCCAGGCAATGTAGCATAACTATCAAGCCAAGGAGGGCACAAGTACCAAGGAGTGTCCAGTATGCCTGACGGAGGCTAAAGACTGTATGAAGCATGTATAGTATCCATTTCCCGGAGTCGAGCATGAACAATGTGAAAATAGGAATCACAACTGCGAACCACCAGCAACCATTAATATGCATGCTCATATCTCAAGTTGGCCGGCCTTTTTTTTAATGGGATATGATGCCATGGCTTGTTTTGAGGTAAACATGAAGTAAGCGGCGCTTACAAGGCTTCATTATAAGAGGCGCAGCAGAATTGGACGGAAAGTCTAAGCCGCCAGGATTCGAGTCTAAGTTCTCACGTAATTCTATCAGCATTCATTAAATGAATCGTATGTTCCCTTTGTTTCGATCACATACCCTAATTAACCAAGTACGCTATGTTCTTCCAGAATCTACCAACAGAGATAGTCGAGTGTATCGCGGAGCATCTGCATCACTCCAGTGTTTTGAACGCTCTCTGCAGAGTCAATCGACGGTTTTACCATATTCTAAATTGGTGTCTTTATGATAGAGATGCGCACAAGTTCTGCAAAGCTCTCCTCTGGGGTGCCTACCATGGAAACCTCCAGGCGATGCAAAGGTCTCTGAGACATGGCGCCAATATCCATCGCAAAGACTGCGATGACAAGACCCCCTTGACCAAGGCTGTCGAAGGCCAAAGCCTAGAAGCCATTAACTTTCTGCTCGATAGAGGAGCCGAGATTAATTATTCCAACACTTATGCTGACAGTATCATGTATGTTGCTGTTTTCACACGCAATATCGATGTCGTCGAGCTCGTTCTTGCACGTGGCGCAAAACCAGACGCTCTATCATACGCGAACACCCGACCACTATCTCTAGCTGTTTCCAGAGGGGATTTACAAATTGCCCAAGCATTGGTAAAATCCGGGGCTCGCATAGATGAGCCAGGCCCAGGGTACTACACACCTTTGATCACAGCCGTACACGAGGCCCGCAACGACATTTTGAAGATGTTCATCGAAAACGGGGGTTTTCAAAATGACAAAGACGGATCTCTAGGAGCTGAGGCAATGAGACGTGCAATATTGAACGATAATAACGAGGCGTTGGACATTCTTCTCAAAGCTGGGGTAACCCCTGTTCGAGCTGGATGGCATGGTCGCTGTCCGATAATGGAAGCTGTAAGTTTTGGAAAGATAGACCTTGCTATCTCTTTATCAGACTCAGTGTCAGATTTGAAACAGGCAAAGGACAAAGACGGTGAAGGACTCCTTTATTATGCCGTTGCTAGTGGTAGCAGACGATACACCAAATACCTCCTAGACCATGGATTCGGTCCAGACGACAGTCAGGAACCAGATCTACCAGCTGCTCTGGGGGCACTGTGTAAGACCGACTCTGTCTCTACCTGAATGAGAAATCGACCAAGATAATGAGGAGGTGAACAATACGCACAAAGTTGATGGCGTACGATACAAATTTGGGGTAAACAGGCTAGCATTCAATAATATCTTCTTCAAACTGTGTTAACGCCCTGCCACAAACGTTGTTTGCCAGCATTAAATGAGTGTTCCAAACTATCGTTTTTTTGTTTACATTCCTGGTGACAGTCTCAATGCATTAATGATTCTATAGCCTCGTCCAACGACTCTTTCGCCTTTTCCACCTCGGCCTCAAGTGTTTTCTCCTTCTCAATCATTTCGTCACGCTGTCTTTCCAGATCCTGTATCTTAGCCTTGACCTTTTTGAGCTCGGCCTGTTTTTTGTCCACAACCTTCCTTCTTGAGATTATGGCTGTGAACTGGCTGAACTTGGGATGGGTGATTTTTGACATTGTTAAGAGGCTAGGTCTTAACTCACAAACACTTAGGAGTTGTCTTTCTTCTGACTTTGGAACTGTCGAATCTACACGGGGAGGGAGGGTCAAATTTATAAGCACTGCATGTGTTCAATAGTATTATGATTCACTCTCTAATCCAATTCCCCTATCCAACTACCATTCCAGAACTACAGTTAATTCCGACTCAGCTAAAATGAGTTTTCTAGTTTCGACCGGCTCTGTTAGTTCAAGGGCATGTTTCCGCTTAACAGGCTTTTCATCTTTGACGAACTGTTTTGTTCCGGCAGACGGTTCGGCTTCATTTTGGGCTTCTGGCTCACGGCACTCTTTTAGTTTATCTCTGTCGTCTGGATCAGTTGGCTTTTCAGCTTCGGTAACCTCTACTGCTTCAATAGACTGTTAGACATTGGTAGACTCTTTGACCTCGCTGGGATTGTCTGGCTTGGTAGGCTTATCGGTTTTTTCTTATTCAGTCATGTTATCGGTTTTCTGTTGAAAAGATCTCAAAGATGAGTGTATTGGTATTTGTGGTTACGAGATGATATTTGCTCTTTTCTACCATGCCTTAATCATACGCTTATAGCAAGTTCCACTCGACCAAGGGTCATCAGTTCACACATATCATGCCCATCTGAATCACGTTGATTCCAGATCAACTTCTATCACTGCACCAGTGGCCAATACTCATAATCACTCTCCATCACATGCACATGGCACATGTTCAGTAGTACAGAACTGTCAAGTCATTATTTTGAATTACTAAAATCATAAAATATCCAATCAGTATAGTGACGACGCTAATAAAAGTCTATGCCCGCCCAAACTCGGAAAATGTCAAAAAAAGTAGCCCATGTTTTGTGCGCCAATCGCCCGCAAAGATTTCCCCGCCCTAACTTCGAGCCTTCCACGCCAGCACAGCCCAAGGACAGATACCATTAATTTTCTTCTTGGTCTCCCATGAAAACTCTTCTTCGCTGTAGCCTATCCATTGCACTTTGTACCGTCGTTTTTCTTCCTCCAGGATCCTCAACACGTGGTACTTGAGAAATTGTGTCGTTTGGCAACGACCTCCAAGGTTCTTCCAGTAGGCCAATACGACGATCGGCATTACTTGTTGAAGCTCTTTTTCTTCGAGCCAGATATAATACCAAGGACCCCCGTAGGTAAGCTTGTACTTGAGTCGAAAAGTAACTTCGCATTTATCGTTATGTAGGTTATGGCTTTCTATAGCTGCTCGTACGGCGTCTTTATAGAAGTCATCGTCGTCTGTAGTTTCGCATGATTAGTCAAGTCTCTCATAATTCGGTTCGTCTTACCTTCGTAAAGCGCGTTTGGCAAAGCAGCATACGTGTGTTGGTCTGAATTTGTGTTAACTCAAAGTTTTCACGCTGTTTGCGAAGGACATACCTTGGATAAACATGATGTGTTGTTGACAGTTCGATGTTGCTTGTGAAAACATGAGAATCGAAGTGGTTTTGATAACGAGGTTCCAAAATGAGATTAGTTGAGGTCCGTGAAGTATTCTCCAGCGTGGACGCAAAGACTGGCATTGGATGGTATATAATGAACTGTGTTGCTCAAGGCCCAGGTGAGATAAAAAGAAGAGTCCAGACAAAGAATATCGGTAGCGCTCAAATGGTACTTGACAGTGCGTTGACGCCAACAAAGAGAACCTTGATCAGACACTAAACCTTGTCAAGAGGGATAGGCTAGTAGAGCAAGAAATAAAAGCATCGCCAGTATCTTTGGGATCTCGTAAAATGATGGCATCTACTGATTTGTGATAAATGTATGAAGAACAAACAAAGTGTGGCTGTTGGACCGAGTGACTAACTGACTGAAAGGAGGGAGTGAATGAGACGACACGCATGACAAGACGGCCCATATTTCCGCCAGTTCCGTAGAGGGAAAAAAAAAGATGGGACTACCGCGGGTGCCCGTGCGTTTGTGTTTTTTTAGTGACAGGAATCTGAGCAATCACAAATCTGTCATTTACTTTTTCCCATCTTTGTGCCACCACATGTGAGACCTGTTAGTTCATCGTACTAGTTACGGCTAATGTGAAATGTATGTTAGTTCAACTTTGGACGAGGGTATCAAAAGAATTGTGTTTACTTAAACGAGCACCTGCCATAGACTATCTTCCATACTCGTCGTCTCATGTTTGAGCGACCAGGCGATAACAAACAAACAGACAAACAGTAACAAACTTCAAGTAGCGAACCTAAATATTGTGTGTGACAGCCACAGTAACTTGAATGTTCCACTTGGTCTTTTATTCTCGTTTGTAACTGTCTATTTTGAACCTTCGGATAATGACGATAATGTCAACATCTTTGACGTTTTGGTATGAATGAAATGGTTAGGCTCTTGGTTATGTGATGCAAAGTGGTCTTCTCAGGTGATGTTTGATAAAGCGCATCAGCCAGATCAACTGTCTCACTCTGGTTCCCGCTCACCTCATTGAGACCCAAGAGGCCATATTTTGTCTCAGATGAGATGACGTCATGACTGGGTTAAACTGCCAACTCACCGCTTCTTATCCGTTCGACTTATAAACCTAGACAAGATAGAATAATCAAATATGACGGAATAAAAGGACAGACCTCAACATCCAGTACAAGAGGAATCCGAGTGTTGGCATTGTCTAAAAAGACAATAGGGTAAGAACGTGAGAACTCCGTGTGGGTTCAGAATCTGATGGTTTTCTCTAAAGTGAGGCTTACAGACACGAAGGCATAGACTGCCACATAGCAGCCACATCTTGCTAAAACAATTATATATTGAGAAAGCAAAGAGAGTGATTGTATCCGAAAGTTTTATTGTTCTTCATAATGGATCATGAATGCTTACGACATCTGCCCAAGTTAACATTATTCTACAATTTGGGAACAATGTAGGGTAAGCACATTACCATGACTGAAAAGTCATCATCCCTATTTATAGAATAGAGTCCCACTATGCCATGTCCACTAATCTCGTCAAAAAACAATTAGTAATTTGCTTGACGAAACATCTCAATATCAAGGACGCGAACATGTGGCTTGCGAAACACGTCGCGTCACTGGCTCTAGCGGCGACAATTGGCCATGTTGTGTGTCAGGAACAGAAACCACTGATCGATGTAATAGCTTCCGAGTCATTCTTTACCGTCCGTGAGCAATCTCCCGATCTCTGCGATGCTGAATCGCGCCAATGGACAGGTACTGTCAATATCACGGCTGATAAGTCAATGTTCTTCTGTACGTATGCAATAAAGTATTGAACCTGCGTAATTAATATTCTCAGGGTACTTTGAAAGTCGTAATAAGCCTCAGACCGACCCTTTGTTGCTATGGATGAGCGGGTAAGTCATCATCTGCAGCAAGCCAAGCCTAGCTAATGCAGCCTTCGCAGTGGACCTGGTGCAGCTGGAGAGATGGGCCTCTTCATGGGCAGTGGGCCTTGTGTCGTTAATCGAGATGGGAATTCAACTCGCCGTCTAGATTATTCTTGGACCGATCAAGCTAACGTTGTCTATATCGAGTAAGTACTCTTACGTTGACGTGGAGATCTAACTCACTCTTCTTAGTCAACCCGTAGGTGTTGGTTTCTCAAAAATCACAGATCGCGATGATATTGCCGTCAGCCTCGAACAAGGTGCTCGCGATGTACACTCTTTCCTCTCAACTTTCTCTCAAGACGTCTTTCCCGAACTCGCAGGTCGACCTTGGCATATTACTGGTGAATCAATGGGTGGCCATTACGTGACAGGCTACACACAACACATTGTTTCCCAAGAACAGAATAATGAGAGGCTCGGCGTTGAGCCACGCATCAACATCTCATCTGCAATCATCGTGGATGGCTATATAGATGCAACGCGGCAGTTTATCGGTTACTATGACTTTTTCTGCAAAGACTGGGCTAAGGATGGTCGCAAAGCGCCGCTGATGAACAATACAGCGTGTACTATCATGGCTGCAGCGATACCAGAGTGTGAAAAACTGGCGATCCGGTGCCGGGAGTCTTACGACATTTCTGAATGTAAAGCCGCGAATGAAGTCTGCGAAGAGACCATTGGCGAATACTTTCTAGATGGTGTCAAAAAAGGAGGCTGGGACCCCTACGATGGTGAGCACACCTGCTTGCTTCACATGAATAGTGAAGTATAAAAGTCATAAGAACGTATATTGACTTGAGACAAGATCGACATCCTTGCGAAGAACCTCCCATATGCTCCAACCTCGACCACGGACCTACGTGGAAGTTTTTGAACCAACGTTGGGTTCAACAAAAGCTTGGTTTCAGGAACTTTTCCTTTGATCTAATTGATTTTGACACCAATAAGCGATGGGATCAGGCTGAAAACCTCCATTTGCCTGTTACTCGAGAGTTGACCTGGATCTTGGACAATACAAACATATCAGTCCTCTTCATAAACGGCAATGATGATATTATCATGTGAGTACTTGATAAAAATACAAAGACCGACTTCAACGGCTAACAATCGCAGCAACACACCAGGACAAATGAGCATGTTAGACAACCAGCCATGGGGAGGACAGGAACTGTACCGCAGCCTTAAATACGATGCCTGGCACTACGAGAATGGAGAATTGACGTCGAATATTGAGGGCTGGAATGCCAAAAGAGGAGGCTTTTGGAAGGGAAACGATCGTTTAGCACTTTATGCTGTTGACGAAGCAGGACATTTGTCGGCACATCATCAACCAGAGGCCATTGGGGCGATAGTACGGTCATGGCTTCGCAGCCACCACGAATGAACAGCAGATAATAAAGTAAATTTGTCACCAGTCGGCCGCCTAAAGTCTTGTTTGCTGTCTCCAGAACTCTCCTCGCGCCATATCTACACTTCTGGCGTCTTCAATGATCATGTACGCTGCCTTTTCTGCGATGGCGTACACTGTCGCTTGAATATGTGCACTGATTTGTAGAGGCATGATGCTTGCATCAACCACCCTCAGTCCCTTAACACCATAGACACGAAGCCTCTCGTCGACAACACCACCCTCAATGCCTGCGCGTCCGCCCATAGCACAAGTTCCGACGGGATGCCAGTCAGTGATTGTATTCTGAGTGATCCATTCGTCCATGAGCTTGTCATCCTTGTAAGCTGCGGCTGTCGGAGAGGCAGGTGCACGGATGATGTTGGACAAAGGCTCTGTATTCACAATCTTCTGAACAAACTGCAGGCAATGCTTCATAACATCCATGTCGAGTTTTCCATGTGTACCTTCGTAATACTTAGGATCGATATCAGGCGATTGCTCTGCCGGCGTAGACCCAGGGCGAGAAGGACCGATATGGATGGAGCCAACACTAAAAGGATACTGAAGGATCTGCAGCATAGTCCCGTACTTCTTGCCCTCCTCACCTTGGAAATATGGGTTCCAGTTTCCAAGGTCGAAAATGTACTCGATCTGACCCAATTTAGAGTTACCGTTCAGTCGATGAGCGAGAATATCGTGTTTATCAGCGTCAAATTCAGAAACTTGGTCTGCGTCAGTATGTAGGGAGGAAAGAGTCTCTTTGGGGACGAAATGTGCCAGTGGCACGTAACAAATGGACACAGGCAAAACAGTAAGTGGCCCGTCCGCAGTTTGAGCATATTGTTCACGTGCAGCCAAAGTAAGCTTTTCGTCTTTTTGCAAGTCGTCACGGTTAGCGAGCGAAGGATCTACCTCGAAGATCGTTGCAAGCACTGAAACATCGCGTCAGTCCATAACACCCCACCACAATGATTGTACATACTGATGTGCTCCTGCAGATTCTCACCCACATGCAAACTCTCAACTTTGACAGGGACCCCGGCCCTCTCAAGAATATCGGGATTCCCAATTCCTGAAAGCTCCAAGATCTGCGGTGACTTGACACTGCCAGCCGAAAGGATGATCTCCCGCGAAGCGGAAACGATATATTCTTCGCCGTCATAGGCGAAGAGAACCCCAGTAGCTATCTTTTGTTCATTAATGATGATCTCGTTTACCGTTGCGTTGGTTAGGATGTGCAAGTTATGCGGGCGAGATGCACAGTAGTCCACTGCATAGGATCGACGAGCAGACGAGGGGTCGACAGCGTTGATGCATGTCCAGACACCAACGTTTGACCCCCCGAGATGGGCAGTGTTGGTTTGGACGCCTAGACCATTGAGGGTACGATGCCAGAGACTGTGTGAAGACGAGTAGTCTGTCGGATAAGAGATTTGTATGGGGCCCGAATCACCCAAAGTGTCTGCATCGTGAGATATCTCATGCTCATTCTGAGTTTTCTGGCTCGGCGGATGAAACGTCTCGGACCGTTTGAAGAAAGGCCTTTGTAAATTAGCACAACACTTCAGGCCCCTCGAGAATACTCACAAGAGACTATCCCACCCCCAGCCCTCGTTCCCCAAAGCCTCCCACGCATCATAATCATCCCTGCTAGCGCGGTTCCAGGCCATATAGTTCAGCGCGCTGGTGCCTCCCAGCACCTTTCCGCGGGGCCACGGAAGAACCCGACCACCAAGACCCTTCTGAGGTGTTGTTTCAAGCTGCCAATCATAGGACCCCCCTAAGGAACGGCCATAGTGACCAGGGATGTCAACATCGGGATCATTTTGGACTACTCCTCCTGCTTCGATCACGCCGATAGTGTATGACGCGTTGGACTCTGCGAGTCTGGCAGCGACTGCAAGACCGGCTGTTCCGCCACCGATTATGATGAAATCGAAGGCAAGGTGACTGAATTCGTCGATGGTGTGGAGGGAGGGTACCATGGTGATAATCGTAGGGGAAGCTGTGCGGCTGAAGCTTTAGCTTGTTGCTTAATGTGCTACAGATGACAGTGTCTCAAAGCCTTTTTATCGCGTATTGATAGGCACGGATGAAACCGTGTCCAGGAAAGCAGAAAAAGCAAATATGCAGGAATAACAGCTGGTTTGTAAGCCAATTAGATATTCAAGCTCATTTAAGCACCTTGCTTTTGTAATTTCACAGAGAAGATGGTCGTTGGTGATGGAAAATGTCGGAAAATCCGAACCATCGGTGAGGCTTTTCTGTGCAGTTACGAATGTCCCAAGTAAAAGTTCTGCAACTGCTGTTGGTCAATGATTTGTACTAAAAAACCGTTGATGATTGGTAGACACTGTCAGGGGTCTAAAGACAGCCCTGAGATTAAACCATTAGCTGAACTTAAACAATAGCGGTCCAATGTCTGTGCGATTTGATGTCCAGGAATAAATATCAATAAATTAAAGAGGAAAAGCCCCCGCGGAATACGATTTAATAAGAGGATATAGAATTTAAGCGTAGTGAAGACTCGGCACCTGAGAGTCTAGAACTTGTACAAGGAGCCGTTTGATCGTATGATGAGCCCTTAAGCTTTTGCCCAGCCGGCACCCCCACGAAAGCTCCTAGTCTAGCAAGGATCGGGAGCGGACCGAAGACAACCGCAGCCGTTATCAGCACCCCAAAGTTCCCTCTTACATCTGTCTGGCCTCTCTGTCCCTTGTTCCCTTCGTGCCGACCTAAGCGCAACGCCGCAGGATGTCTGTTCTCGACGGCACATGTCAACGGTAGAACGCAGGGGAAGAAAGTCTAATCATGCAGGCAACTTGTTGGTTGGCATTTTTTGCTAAAGGGAACGACCCTGAAATTTCGCAGCTGTCAAAATTGCTAACAGAGTTTCCATACTAAGATTGACTACTCAAGGATGGGCCTGTCTTTGCTTTTGCATGGTACGATTTGATGAGCTGAAAGGTATGCGTCTTGGGGGCATTCAACTGTCGTAAAGGTATGGATCCATGTTTGACTATGGTAGTAATAAACATGAGGGTAGATGACAGATCGAACCCAAATAGCTGAAGATCTTCTCTTCACACGTTCGGTTAATCTTTGCGACACTGACAGAGTATGTCAATCATCTTCTCAGCATGGAGTTTCTGCAGTCTTTGTTAATCGAGTCTTGGGTACTCTGGGTACTGGGACTCTTCATTGTGCTTTGTCGCCTGTGAGTCTCCAACTCCTCTCAATCTAGTGTGATTACTCACTTATTACAGTGCATCGCGACGCTTAAAATTGGGAAGATGGAATCGCCTTGCAATTGAGGATTATCTCATGGTATTTGCGCTTGTGAGTATGTCGCGATCCATCAACCAACAGTATGCTTATTGGGAACAGGTCAACTTCACAGGTGTTGTCGTCTCTATTAACGAAGTGGCTAAGAATGGCTCTAATTACATGGCGCCGGATGTCGCAGATAGCCTGACACCAGAGGAAAGGGATAAGGCTGTCTTTGGAAGCAAAATGACATTCGTCCTTGAGATCTTTGCTCTCACAGCCGCTTGGACGATCAAAGCTTGTCTGCTCTTTCTCTACGGTCGACTAACACAAGGAACATCAATTAAGCAACGCTGGGCTGTCAGGTTTGTCGCAGCCTTCTGTGCGATTACTTATATCATCGTCATCTTTTTGTTTGTCTTCTTTTGGTGTTCGCCAACACCCGAGTATTGGGCTGTACCAGTGAATCCTGATAAGAGTATGTCTTCCGCAAACAATTGGTGGTTCGTCTGACATGTCTCTAGTGCAATGCGCAACATACTACTCACACATGATCACTGCAACCGCGTGCAACATTGCCAGCGACATCATGCTGATCCTGCTACCTATTCCCATAGTCATCAACATCAGCCTTTCAAGAAAGAGGTAAGTATGCTTACCTATGGCGGATACGGTCACTGACCTTAGCAGACGAATCGGACTGTGCTGTGTCTTTGGCCTTGGTCTATTCAACATACTTGCCGCGGTTCTCAACCGGTACTACAACTTCAGCAACCCCAACAGCTACGTCTTCCTTTACTGGTAAGCATCAATCACGTTTGAAGTAAACCCCTCTAACACCTTGGCCAGGTACGTCGCAGAATCTGGCGTCGCGCTCTGGGTCGGTAACCTCCCTCTCTGCTGGCCCGTCCTACGTCTCGCCCTTGGTTCGAAAGGCGACTCCTCAAACCCCTCGTACCCGAATCCATCATATCGAAACTCCTCGTACCAAGATAACTCGGCTCGACGAAGAACACACGCACGTAGTAAACCATCTGCATGGGCAAAGCTGGAGGATGAGCATGGCACGCGTGCCGCTGAATCACCAGATCATGGAAGTCAAATTGAACTTGTAGAACAACACGGCCAGCAGCCTTACTTTGTCGAAGCAAAGGCAGGTATTGCCGGAGATAAACTTGAGAAGGGAACTGATGGGCATATTACTGTTGTGACCAAGGTGGAAGTCAGCGAGGATCGACTTTAGTCTGTGTCTTATTATTTCTGTTCATTTCACAGTATTATTGACCATAATTAAGATACGTAGTATCGCCATCGAGGACATAGCTCCAAGAACTAACGTGGCAACGGAAGCGTACACCACTAAGTCCAGTCGAAAGTGCCAGCGATTCTCTACCGTAGTTCCCGCAATAAACTTCCAATGTAAGATTCTGTGTTCCGCTCCAACCGATCCTGACCACTTGACTAAACCGCTCAAGAATTAGTGCAGGCGAGTGTGGTTTCATTGCTGAACAAGCTGCATGCGGCGTCAAGGATTATGGAGACCTAGGCCCTGATGTTGTTGGACCCTGGTTGAAGAAGCAAGCCATCGACATGGGGGTCGGGGGACGGCTCAATCGCTGAAGACTACAGCTTAATTTAGGTGTCTTCCGGTAAGGGACGCCATAATATGCGCATGCAGTTTGTAATTGATGAACGGTTCAGCACGCATGTCAGACCACGCGGGGTCTCCTTTTGTCGAGTAGTGGTCCAGCCCGGACAGCGGACCAACAGCGCATTGCAGGGATCACAATCTGCAGCACATTTCAACAACAAAACTCCTTCAAGCCCCTCAAACTTTGTCTGTAACTTTATATTGATGGCTCATCTTTAATTTCCACCTCTCTTTTCTCTTTATTCTGATCGGTCGTCACTATGTCCCTTTCCCCCCATGACACAGAAGCAGTTCATGAGAAGTCTGCAGTAACTAGTTCCTCTCCCACGTTCAGAGACGATGACATATCCAATGAGTCCACCACTCCCCCTTCTTCAATCTTTCAGAAGATCAACAACCGCATTGAAAACCTCGCTGGACTAGAAGCGAGAGGTATCCAGCGTGTTTTACCCGAAGAGCGACAGCCTGCTTCAAGCGCTGCAGACCTTCAAGTCGCGCTACTATGGTTCAGTGCGAACCTATCACTAAATAACCTCGCCACAGGCCTTTTTGGGCCGATGGTATTTGGGTTGGGGTTCCTGGACAGCGCGCTCCTTGCGGTGTTTGGAACAATCTTGGGTGCTTGCTCCACGGGGTACATGGCAATATGGGGCCCGCAGAGTGGAAATCGCACGATGGTAAACATGCCTTATCCCTCTTGAATGAACGATCTTTGACACTTGATGATACAGGTTGTGCTACGTTACTTCTTCGGTTACTGGCCTTCAAAGATTCCAACATTTCTTAACATAGTTTTGATGGTTGGATATGCTACAATCGACTGCATCATTGGCGGACAGGTTCTATCCGCTGTAAGTGGTGGTACCATGACCATCTTGGTGGGTGTGATAATCGTCGCTATCGTTTCATGGATTGTCGCTGTCTTTGGCATGAAAATCTTTCACACCTATGAACGGTACGTTTACCTTACAGTCTTCCATCTTAACTTACTCACATAACTCAGGTATGCTTGGATTGCGCAAGTAGTTGTACTTGCGGTGCTTATAGGTGTTGCAGGGCCTTCATTCAACGCCTCTGCTCAACCTACCGTCTCCGGCCCAGCACTTGCTGCCGGTCGCCTTTCATTCTTCACATTATGCTTTTATGTCCCGAACTCATGGGCTGCTGCTGCGTCTGACTTCTATGTCTACTATCCTGAGCGCACATCTCGATTGAAGGTCTTTCTGCTTACTGTTATTGGCCTGACCATGTCATTCACCCTTGTCTACCTCATTGCCATTGGGCTGGCCACAGGTCTCGTCAGCAACAAAGACTGGGCTGACGCCAATGCTATCAGCACTGGTGCTCTCATAGTCAAGGCTTACGATCCTCTTCATGGCTTTGGAAAGTTTTGTTCTGTTGTAGTAGCCCTGGGCGTTATCGCCAATAGCACGCCTTCTCTTTACTCAGGCTCACTTGGCTGCCAAGTCCTTGGCCGTTACACCAAAGCTGTACCTCGATGGGTATGGTCTACTGTCCTGTCTCTGATTACCCTCGTCCTCGCAATGGCCGGCCGGGAAAGCCTTCTAGTCATTTTTCAGAACTTTGTGGCGCTAATGGGATACTGGGTCATGCTCTTCATATGTATTGTGTTGCAGGAACATTTAATCTTCCGTGGCCGTCGAGGGTTTGACTGGACTGCATGGGAAGACAAAAACTACCTTCCTGTTGGGCTGGCTGCTTTTGCGAGCTTTGTCCTGGGTTGGGTCGGTGCCATTCTAGGCATGTCTCAGGTGTGGTACATTGGACCTGTGTCACAAGCGGCACACACAGCTGATCTAGGAATGTGGTTGGGCTGTGCATTCGCTATCGTTACATTCCCTATATTTCGACACTTCGAACTCAGGATATACGGAAGATAGGCTATGGGAGAAATTTGGTGCTATCTGTAGTAGAAAACATGCCTCATGAACCCCGAGGACGAAATTTTGTTTGTTAGACAAGAAAAAACCGGTCTGCTTTCTTCAGATATCTACTTTTGACTCTACACAATATCTAGGGTTTATTACGACATATGGCACATTTGAAATCAAGGTACATGCTACATATTTCATTTTGTGTACACTGTCTAATAGATACTACTTCTTAAACATAGGCTACTTGTCAATGAGGCCAGTAATATCATCTTTCGACAAAGAATGATCACCCGATTGCTTTCAAAACCGCCCATTCATCTGGGAATGATTTCTTACCAGGAAACTCCCGTCTAGTTGACAATGGCGAAACAATACAACCGTAAATAGGCTTGATCTTCACCAAGGTTACAGTGCCCTGAGGCTTCCCGTCATGGCCTGTTTCCAGCCTTCTACCACAGAACTTTGTCCAAGGTACGACTGAAAGCCACTGTCATGATTTAAAGTTGATGTATTCAAAGTTAAAAATGTATTGTATGCCACATAGTTAGGACATATGATTATAGTGATGTCATGTTGCTGACACAGGGCCGTGGGAGGCCGACCAGCCAACTCAGGCATTTATATAAAGGAGATGAGGCATGGTTAAAACATGTTCTCAACAAGAAGGGAAAACCTCGCGCGAGGATGGCCGATCAATCTCCAACGGGCTTCGGCCCATGTCTGAAGAAGTATGCCATTTTGAAGTGTTTATTCCAGGCCATACTAATTGCAAAAGTTACTTAAACAACATTTCTTTTTCTGATGCCGTCATCAGATGCGGAAATCGAGAGTTTGCAATACACCGGATCGTCCTCTGTTGCCATTCCGAATACTTTGCGAAACAGCTCGATGGACCTTGGAAGGTGTGTACTATCATACGCATATAAACTTTCAGCTAACTAATATGCTGAAGGAGAGCTACGAGAGAGCCATTGAAATAGTCGACTTTGATGTCAGCTTGGTAGAGGCGATGATCTACTTTACGTATCATCTGAATTACGATATACCGAATGGTAGCTCTGCAATGGTCTTCAACGCAAAGATGTATCAAATCGCAGACAAATACGCAATGAGCACCCTGAAAACTTTTGCCCAGGGGAAATTCAGCACTTCGATCAAACAGGACTGGGAGGAGGGTGAATTCCCTGACACAATCAGCTTGGTGTATACTTCGACACCTTCCACTGACAGAGAGCTGAGAGATATAGCCGTGATTACTTCACTTAACAACCTTAGTATCTTGATAGACCGGGACGACTTCAAGACTGAACTGGCGTCGAATGCGGATTTTGCCATCGATATCATCCGATTCCAAGGGAACGAGTCCTGGAATCATCAACGTTATACTTGTAAATCATGCCAGATAACGTTTGATACCGCTAAACAGGAAACGACGGCCGATTTCTCACACTGGTTAACTTATTGTCCAAGCTGCAGATGCGGAGGTTTAGATGGTCCAAATGCAGTGAAATACAACCATACACCATAAGGAAGTGCACGACTTAGAGTACCCTACGTTGACACGACCTGATAAAAATGAATCTATGATGGGAAATCTTTCCATGTTGAATGACTTGATGATTGTGCAAGATTTTCAAAGATAATACTGACCTATGTTGAACAATAGTACAAGAATGTGATCTAACAATGTAAACTGAGCCATGCTTCTGATAGCTGAAAAAGGTTCATCGGCTCGGTACTTTGCATTTTAGCTGCAGTGTTTTGAGCCACAGCGCCACACAGGCTAGTGTGATGAAAGATTGCGATTGTGCGAATTGATCTCAACTTCCCGGTTAAGCGCGCAAAAGATGGATGTTTTGGTTCTAGATGGTGATCACAAAGAGAAAAGTCGATGGAAAAGTTGGGCCCCGAGATCTGGATCGGGCCGCTAGACATGATTAGCGTCGGTTAATAGGCTAAAAGCAGGGTTTGATCCGGTCACGGAGTTACATCATTCATACGGAGTACCTAATGATTAATTGTGCATTTCTCGTCCGTCTGCCCGTCTATGCTTGTGAACTAACTAACTGCATTGAATATTGACAGTTTAAAAAGACAGCATGGAACATGTCGGATGGGAATGGGACTCAGGTCGACAAGTGAGGCTGTCTAGGGTCTAGGGTCCCTCTTTTATATTAAACCACAGACGTTTCGCATGGATGTCCCCATCATAAGAAAGTTTCACAAGAACCAAGGAAAGATGACAATAAAATACAGAATGGCCTGTTTGTACAGTATCATTAATCACACTAGTGTAGCCGTCATTCCATTGACCTTTCTTGGCAACCCACCAAAATAATTCCGCCATGTTTCTGACTTGTTTCCTTTCATCAGCCTCTTTTTCTTAATTGTTTCTTTTCTTTTTTCGGTAACAGGACCCAAAAAGAATATGGAGTCCGACATCGCAGACGACCTCGACAAGCTCAATATCAGAGACATTTTGAACGCAGATTCACGACCAACGTTTATCATTGATCTAGACCCAGATGACGAGTCGCCATTACCCTCAAACGTCATTCAGCCTGTGTTTTGCAACACCGCGTTAACTACTCACGAACGACTCTTTGACTCTGTACGCGGGGAAGCGACATTTAACGAGCAAACCGGATCTGTTTCATACCTTGACTTCAAGTGCTGGGCCACTGGAATTACAATCCAAGACGACTCTAAAGATGTCTATCCTCTGTTCTTTATCTACAACGACTTACTCTGGACCGGATCAACCGTAACAAAAAGATGGCGGTTAATCAGTGGAAATCGACAATGGCAACAAACTGCTCCCCCGAAAACTTTGTCTTCCAGAGCACTCTCTCATGCCAGCACCCCCAGCATCAAGGACTACGACCAAGCAAAGCAGGAAGACACTGAACCAGTGAAACAAGACCCAGAGCCAGAGGTTAAAGATGAGATTTTCCAAAGCCCAACCGAGATGATAGCTCCGGAAATGCCATCTGTAGGGTCAACCTATCTCATATCAACACAACGAAAAGAATCATTCAAATCATGGTGGCGAGGGACGTCTAAAGGGAGTTCAGACCGTATTACTGGCAGCTCAAGCAGTGGATCATTTACCTTAGGGAAGCCCGAGAAGGCTGTCGCAGATTGGACAGTGGCAAAGCCGAAAGGACTTTTGACGCCGTATATCAAGCTTCTTAGGGATATCGACTGGTTCTCAACGCCGTTGGGACACATGGATACGTGGTCGCCAGAGCTTCGCCAAATGGCAAATCTCGTCATCACCAATCCTCACCCTGGTAAGTCTCGTCGGGCTACACGACTTTATTTCGCCTTTTTGACACTAGTTTAGCAAGTCTGTTCTGGGGGAACGACATGACAATGTTGTACAACGAGCAATATGCCATACACTACGCCGGCAACAAACATCCATCCATGCTGGGCACAGGCGCATCTGGTCCTTGGTCAGAAGCCTGGGATGTTCTTGGATCAGCTTTCGCTGAGGTTATACGGACTGGTATCAGCCATCGCGGCGATAATGATGAATTGGCTCTCTTTAGACGAGGGTTTCTCGAGGAGACCCATATTTGCTGGACACTCACACCATTATATGGCGGTACAAGTCGTATCGTCGGCTTCTACAATGCCCCATTCGAGACAACAGATCTCATTCTAAGCCAGCGCCGAATGGCTACAATCAACAAACTTGGAGAGTCCTTGCGAAAGGCAACTTCCGTCAAAAGCTTTTGGAAGTTTGTACTTGAAGGACTGGAGGATAATCACAAGGATGTTCCGTTTGCTCTGGTTTACTCTGTCGGAGATTCAGAGGACACAGATCACCAATCGAGCTCTTCTGGCAGCACAATCTCAAGCAAGTCTTGCTATCTTGAGGGGACGATCGGTATACCTCGCGGACATACTGCTGCACCGGATCAAATTGATCTCAAGCGGAGTCACCAGGGGTTTGTCCCATCCTTCCGTGAAGCCATGCGTACACGAGGCGAGCCCACATTGATTCGTATTCGAGACGGGTCTCTTCCAGAAGATATTCTAAAAGGGATCCAGTGGCGAGGGTTTGACGAAACCGGTTCAGAAGCAATCATATTCCCTGTTCGACCAACCAATGGTGAGAATGTCTTGGCCTTCTTGGTCCTTGGAGTCAACCCTCGTCGACCTTACGACGCGGGGTACAAGTCTTTCGCCTCATTGCTTAACAACCAACTGGCGACTTCTTTGGCGTCCATTATTCTCTTCGAAGAAGAGACACGCCGCGGACGGGACGCTGTCGAGGCCGCAGCATTGGAGAAGGAGGAACTGACGCAGCAGATTAATCTTCAAGCAAGTCGTCTCCGAAGAATGACAGAACTATCACCGCTCGGCATGTTCCTCGCCAGTCCCGAAGGAATCTTGCGCGAGGCCAACGACAAATTTTACGAAATGACCGGCCATACACGAGACATTCACAGCGACATGTCATGGGTTGATTTGATGGGTAGCTCGGACATTATAATGGAAGAAGGCTGGCATCGCCTGACCCAAGAAATGCTCCCGTGGTCTGGAGAAGTGCAGCTACGAAAGGGTGTTGAGGATTCTGTCAGTATACATGGTGAGCTGATTGACTGCTGGGTTATGGTCACAGCACACCCTGAGATATCAAATGATGGTACCTTACGGTCTATCATGGGTTCTATTACCGATATTTCGCACCTCAAATGGGCACAGGGATTGCAGAACCGGCGACTCCAAGAAGCGGAGGAGACAAGACGACAACAGAACGAGTTTATCGACATCACGTCCCACGAGATGAGAAATCCTCTAAGCGCTATTCTACAATGCGCAGATGATATTACCTTGGCTATGGAGGCTGCAAGATCGAGTGGTGTACCTGCCTCTCTCGAAATTCTAGACTCATGCCTCGACGCGTCACAGACCATCGTGTTGTGCGTGCAGCATCAAAAATCGATCGTTGACGACATTCTTACTGTGTCCAAGCTCGATTCGAATCTTCTTCTAATTACACCTGTAGTCTGTCAGCCACAGGCCATCGTTGAACGGGCGGTCAAGATGTTTGAATCGGAGATGGTGGCGAAGGATATCAGTCTTGAGATACAGATCCCCCAAGAGTTTAATGATCTCGCCGTCGACTGGGTTGTTATGGATCCAAGCCGCGTTCTGCAGATTCTGATCAACCTCATGACGAATGCTATCAAATTCACGGCCTCTTCTTCAACGCGTGTCATCAAGGTTACTGTAGGTGTGTCGAAAACTCCACCAGAGGGTGATCACATACCTGACTTTGCTTTTGCACCTACTCGTGGGGAGCTTGGCAATGTTGTGTCTTCAGACGAATGGGGTAATGGAGAGACATTGTATGTGCGATATAGGGTCCAAGACACCGGTTGTGGGTTGACAGAGAACGAGAGACGGCTGCTTTTCCAACGATTCAAGCAAGCTTCTCCCAGAACACACGCTAAATACGGCGGAAGCGGCCTAGGACTGTTCATCTCTAAGCGACTCGCTGAGCTACACGGAGGGCGTATCGGTGTTGCTTCCGCTGCTGGCCACGGCAGTGACTTTGGCTTCTACGTTCAAGCACGAAGATCATCAGCTCCGAATCAGAAAGACCCCAACCAGCCTGTCTTGTCACAGTCACCGTCACCGTCACCATCACCGCCAAGTAAACACCCTGCCACAACCACATCGTTACCGACAAGAACACCGTCTGGAGAAGCCTATATCCTCAACTCAAAGAATAATCGCCGGAGACATGGATCAGACGAAACATTTGACCCACGCGACTTAACGGTCCATATCGTTGAAGACAACCTCATCAACCAAAAGGTTCTGGTGAACCAACTACGGAAGGCCGGCTGCACCGTCAGTGCGACCAACGATGGTGTGGAAGCACTTGAATTCCTGAGAAAGACGCATTTCTGCAGACAGGACGGTTCAGAGCTCTCGGTGGTTCTTATGGACCTGGAGATGCCCAATATGGATGGCCTGACGTGTGTATCCGAGATTAGGCGGATGCAGAAGGAGGGCGAAATAATTGAGCACGTACCTGTGATCGCAGTCACGGCGAATGTTAGGGATGAGCAGATACGAGTAGCATTGGAGAGTGGTATGGATGATTTGGTGTCGAAGCCTTTCCGGATACCAGAGGTTATGAGCAAAATAGAGAGGTTACTAAGGAAGCACGATAGGTACTAGGCATAGATTTGAGATACACTACAGGATACATAGCGTTTTGTCTGGCATAGAGCATTTTTAATCAAGGTTAAGTTCCGTTTCGACTAGACAACGACGAGTGAATGGTGCCATTCTCAGTCCACCAACGAACGATGTAGGCAGTGAGATACTAGCATTTTATAGCCTTTTACGGCGTCCTCCAAGTCTGATACCCTCAAGTGCTCATGGTCAGAATGCGCCTCTAGAATCGAGCCTGGCCCGTATAGATATTTCTTATGGATTCCCTTGAGAGATGGAATGTCGGTGCCATAGTTGACGACAATGGTATTAAAACCTGTTCCACTTTAGCATCACGCTTCCATGTAAAGACCTTTACTTACCAGCAACATCATAGTCAAGGGGTACTGGATCGACAGCATATCCACTAAACTCGACAACTAGGTGCGCGTTACTTGCCTCGACAATATGTGAGACTAGATGTTTCATTTCCTCAGCTGTCCCCGCTGCAATTCTCGCACTACCGATGGCAGAGGCATCTGCTGGGATGACATTTGGAGCTACACCACCCTCTATCCTACCAATGTTGATGGTGGTGTTACCAAACTGGTCGCTCCACGGAAGATCGGCTTGCTGGAGAACCGAAAGCCCGCGGACAAGACTGTCAATAGCGTTGCTACCAGTCTCGGGATACCCGGAGTGTCCGGCTTTCCCCTTTGCTCTGACGGTGAAACGCAAACCGCCTTTGTGTCCCCTGGCAAGCTTGAGCTCTGTGGGCTCTCCAAATATGACAGATTCCCAGGATAAGCCCAGATCATTTGCCGCCTTCATACCATCCCCGCCAGTCTCTTCGCCCACTACGAAGAGAAGTGCAACGTCTCCCGTGCTAATCATATTTTTCTCTTGCAATTCTCGGACCGCAATAACCTGGGAAGCTATACTACCTTTTGCATCAACAGTGCCTCTACCCCATATCTCATCACTGCGTCTTTCGTAGGGCCAATACGGCGGAACAGTGTCAAGATGAGACGTCACTAGAACCCGAGTCTTTCTTGCGTCACCATAGTAGGCTAATATGTTGTTTCGATTCTTGGCCACGGTCTGTGTCTCGACAGTGAAGCCATAATCTTCGAGATACGTCGTGAGATAGTCGGTGACGGCCTTTTCCGAACCTGTAATAGACGCTTGCTCGACGAGGGATTTGTGTAGCTCAAGTAACGGCGACGGTTGTTGAATACTCGGCAATTGACGCGAAAGTGGAGATTGGGTGTCGGCTAGACCGAAAGCGATAGTCGTGGCAGCTATAAGGCATAGTTGTTTGTTGAACTTCATGTTGACCAACTTTGGTATGAAGTTTCCCGTCGAACATCCCGAGCGGTAGGGCGGGGGGGTTGGGACATACGTGAATGTCTCAGCTTAGATCAGCACGTCTTAGTCAAGATCGTCATCCACCTCAATGTAAGACCTTTTTTGCGCTACATGTGTGACCATTGATGAGTACCAACCATCCTGTTGTTACTGTGTGGGACATCGTATGCCCGACTAATGCGTTATTTTATTGACTGGCTCTTCAGACAAGAGTCTTCTCGAAAATTCTATACTCCGTTGGTCCAGCTAACAATTTGAACAGATCAGGATAATCGTCACCAAAGTTTCCCAACTTGACAAGTTTATATCCCATTCTGCCATACCAGCTCAACAACCTCGCCTTTCCCTCGTGGTGAAACGTTGATGGAACGAGGATTTCAAGCTGCATAGTTGTGCAACCCCGACTTCGGCACTCGTCCTCCGCGAAGATAGTCAGCTGACGTCCCAAGCCAGTACCTTGAAGCTTGGTGTCCAGCGCCAGCATCCCAAACTCCCCAAGAGCGGGTGTGAGTAATTTAATGAAGACACAGCCGATGGGTTCATTGCTAGAGACGAGGTATGCGACTGCAAGTTGCCCGTTGCGAATAAATTGTGCGATCTCTGACTCTGAGGTGCGCTGGTATGAAGGAACAAATATATCGCTCTCCGCTATCTTATAAGATGTGTTGACGATGCTGGCGAGGGTGCTGGTCAGAGTTTTATCGTTCGCGTCGTCCGCAGAAGGAATTCTGACAATGGTTTGTATCTTATCCATCGTTGGCTTGTGTCGTAATGACCGGGTACACAAATTGGATGGGAAAATGGTGTAAGATAGAAGAGATGTGGCGAAAAGAGTCAGAGGGTAAAAAAGACTGTCAGATGAGGAATCATTCAGGACTGCCAGGTTCATCTCACGTCAGTTACTGAATGAGCGGTTACGAACCAATGATATCGTGGCCTGTCTACGCTAACGGGTCCAGAAGAGCTGCCTTTTTAGACCTCCACTTAACCTGCGAGGTGGAAGAACCCGCTTATGTTCGTTGAACGCATTCGATAGAGCGCCATGTTGAGAGCAAGGTTTACTGTTGAGACATTTTTACTTATGGATGAACGTGAAGATCGAGAATTACATGAGATCATTTACTAGTAGTTAGTCCACCTGCATACACAAGCCATGGGTGGTAAGGACGTCTTGGCACCGAAGTCTCTGTCAACATCATGTTTCTATATACTTTCCGCCTTGATAACAAAGCCCGAAAGTTCGATATTATATACATCGAAAGCTAAACTACCTCAAATAGTCCTCAGGAGAGCCTGCCCGATAGACCCCGTTGACTACACTTAAATAGTACCGAAACCAGCACTGGCGGCAAGACCAGTGATGGAAGAAGCAGGCTTAGCATCAGCAGCCTTACCGCCGAAGGTGCTGAAGAAGCTCGAGTCGGTACCAGAAATAGAACCGGAGTTGTCGTACTGGTTAGTCTCGCAGACGTGACCGACGCCGTTGGAGCAAGCAGCGTTGGCAGAAGCATCAGGGCTAGAGAAGATGGCACCAGTGGATCCCTCCTCGATGGCGGCCTTGACGTCCTGGAACAGGTTACCCTCAGCGAGGATCTTGGCGTTGTCGCTAGTCTCGAAAGCGTGGCCAGAGTTACCCTGCCAGTAGTTGTTGACGGCGTGGAGGACGGTATCGCCAGAAACCTTGGGGGCTCGGCCGGAGGTCTTGAAGATGTAGTTGTTCTTGAGTGTGACCATCTGCTTTGTGGTTAGTATTTAGATGACATGAAGTTATTAAAGATTACTCACGTCGCTGGAACCGGTAAAGTACATGGACCAGTATTGGTGACCGTCACAGGTAGCAGACCACTGACTCTCGCCGTTGATGTGGTTGTTGGTGATGGAAACTCGGTTGGTAGCGCTGGTTCCAAGAACAATGTGCTGGCGGCCGATGTTGGAGGTAGTAACGTGGTCAATCCAGATGAGGTCAGATCCGTCAACCTGGATAGCATCACCTCCCCAAACGTACTGAGGGTTGAGCTCAGTGATGTGGATGTTCTGAATGATGATGTTTTTAGCACCCTTGATGTAAAGACCCTTGCCCTTGATGACACCGTTGGCGCCGATACCAACAATGGACTTGTCAGAGTTGACGACGATAGGGTTCAGTCCAGCCTTATCATAGGAAACGTCGACCTTGGGGGCGTCGGGCTGGTAGTTGTTGCACCAGTCGTCCTTGTTGATAGCCTGCTGGCAACCGGATCCAGTGCCCCAAGGAGCACAGCCCTGCTCGGAGGCGGTTCCCTCAGTTCCGGTAAAGTCGAACTCCTGATCGAGGAAGATGACTCGGGTTGTGCTGTCACCGAGCATAGAGACCAGCTCATCGGTGGACTTGGGATAGGCTCCCTCAGCGCTGCCTCCACCTGTAACCTCGGAGGCGAACCCCTCGGGGGTACCAGTCACACCGGCGGCGGAAACGTTTGAGACCAGCGCGGCGATAGCCACGGAGAGAATGGAAAGAGACTTCATCTTGGAAGGAGAAAAAAAAAGAGTGAATAGACGGAAAATGGTAAAAGAACGAATGAATGGAGAAAGAACGAATGTGGAATGGAATATATCAGTAAGAAAGAGGCGGCACTCCAGATATATTTATTCCAACAACATTTCAGTAGTACTTACAATCAGCGGATAACCCACTTTCTCCAGAATATTTCTCTAGACTACTCCTATGTCACTGTTTACTTGAAACGTCCCTACTTGGGGTCGATACACCAGGCACAAGTTGTCATGACTGGCGGAAATACTACACCACCGGTTCTTCCGTGGAACTTCGGCGGGATTCTTAGTTGCCAACCTTGCGCTGAAACGGCGACATCAGGGATGGCTTTGGGATTAAAGGAGACGTAGTATTGTGGAGCGTGTGTTTCAAGCGGTTCGTAAGTTAATTAGCCTTGGAACAGAGAAAGACAAGCTTTCTTGGTGTTGACGCCGAGAAACCTCGAAAAGAGTTAGATCTGATTATCTGTCGACTAGTTTATACTCGATAAACGAGAAATACTCAATTGACGATCCAACTCGCCAATGCTAAGGTTAAGGTTGTCAGTGTTCCAAAGGCTGTTTTTAGTGCTTTAATGAGAGTGTCAGTGCGTGGAACAACAACAAGGTACCTGAAGCAATTGTGGACCGAGGCTTCATCAGCTCGTTCTCGCTGCTTATCCCAGCATCGATCGTAGAACATAAGGCGGTTGGTTTCATTTAAAAAAGTAGACGGAAAAGATATGGCATTGACCTCGCTCTCATGACCCCATTCTCAAGTCTGATTCACAAGTGCTGTTTTTGTCATTTTTAGCAATATTCCGAGTTCATTGATGGAAATTGTAAGTCTACGATGACACTGAAATATTGAATTGAGTGAAGTGCACACTGATAAAGACGGAATACCCCAGTCTGTGATTACTCCAATGATGGCTTTGTCAAATCCGTACGTCATGATGTCTACAGCGGAATTGCATTTTCCCGCCGGTCATGTATCTGAACAAAATGCCAGCTTCAACCGAACCAATTTTACATCTTTATTGGTGACGAGTCACAGAAATAAAGGTACACGATAGCCTGAGAAGAACATATCGGCGTATGTTTCTTCGGCGAACTTAGTACCTATTTATCGGAGTAATTATGATCTACATTGTGGTGGGTACATGTCATGTAACCTTGGTTCGGGATGTGACACATTCCGGAAGAGTGCCTGTGTTCCACCGCGAGCGACTTCAGAAACGCGAGTAACTTATAGAAGTCAAGTTCCTCCAACTAAGTTGTGGCAGCTCAAAGGATGAGATGGTGACTTTAGTCCGTCAGGTCGGCTTGTCATAACAGGACCTCATGCCCAGGCAATCACCAAAGTGTGTTGAATCCGCCATACAAGCATTATACACGAGTTACGCGAATAGTAGGTGAGATACATATATCTAAGATTAAAAAAAGAGGGGCATACACCGAGTGGTCTGATGATGCATTGTTTTTCAGGAACCTAGTAATACAACGCTTGACCAGTATGGACTTCATCCAAACAAACGTCTCTATAAGAACTCCGCACAATGTTCAAGTATGGCGATAGATCAGCAATTTTGTAAATCCATGGTTAGTAGCCGCTGACGCCAACCCGGAACATCGAAGGGTTTTGTTCGATCTTCGTACGAAGTGGCGCACCCTTGAGCTCGTTGACATCCCATTTAGCCCACACGAAACGACCATGAAGGAACTCGGCTTCTTTAGATGCTGCCCAGACGGCAAAATCTCCAGGTAGTTTAACTCGAATCTGTTAGCTAGGCACTATAGTTAAGAATGATTGTAACTCACTATCATCCCATTGAAAACTGTTCTCATCGGTAAACCGTGCAAAAGCCTCGGTGTAGTGGAGGCCTGGCTCAAATGTGATAACTTGCATCTCGCTAGAGGGGACGGTCATGGCGATATGGTTCATCATCATAGTAAGAGCGCTTTTGGTGAGAGAGTACAGAGGGATGGGTACAGACACCTGAGTTGCGTGGATGGCGATTGTGGAAAGACCAATGAGTGCCTTCAAAGGTGTTAGCTCCAGGTTTACACTCAATTGGAAGTCATAAAGGAACGAACCAGCTTTCGATCGGGGTTTGACTCTCTCTGCTTGTGGAATAGGCTGGTCCAGAGATACGGAGCAGCGACATTGACTGCCAGACCGTCCTTGAATGTATCAAAACCAAGGCCGAGCAGAGTGTTTGGCAGCCACATCTTAGCAGCGCTCAAGACAAGAACGTCAACAAAGACGCCATCATCTCCCAGCTTTGTCCAGAGCCCATGGGTAGCAGCCTCGTCTGCAAAGTCATTGATGATGGGGACAACCTCAACTTTAGGGTATTTGGCCTTTATCTTAGCAGCAGCTTCATTCAAGGTATCCCGACGACGACCCGTGATAATGACTCGTTCTGCTGAAGCCGCAGCAAAGGATTCGGCGATACTGAAACCAATACCAGTAGATGCACCAGCTACAAGAACTGTATGACCAGCTTGAGTTAACTCAGAGCGAGACGGTGAAATTGCTTCGTATGACTCGCGGTGGATCTTAGTTACGAGGTCGGTACCGCTTTGGGGAGTGTCTGTGTTTTCCCAAGGGTTGTCTTGTGGCGAAGTAGCAGCAGCAGAAGGCATGTTGATGGACTGTGCAAGAGAAATAGTTGTTTTGTTGTGATGGACTTTGAGGTATGATTGTGATGAATGGCTTGGTCGACACATCGAGTTATGAGTTGGCGGTTCATTATATATCTAAAAAATTGAGAGCTATCTTGTGCATGGTCGACCCAACGAATCCTAACTGGCGGGATGATGTTAAGATAGTAGGTGATGCTATTCGGCCCCCTAAAAACCTACCGGCCACTGGTGATACAGGGGTCTGGTCATCACCATAACGTGCTGGAATGTAAGCCAAAGTTCCGCTAAAAACCCGCAGAATCCGCAGATTTCCGCAGTACGTGATGACAAAGACCATTGATGTTCGCGTTATCTCTTCTTTGTTGCTGACAGTAATCATTCCAACTGAACATACCCGCAACTTCCCGCAATAAAGAAACCACAACAATGGGTTCTGCCACGAAAGTCAAGGCCTGTTTCTCATGCACCATCGGAAAGCGGAAATGCGACAAAGCACAACCCGCCTGCGGCCGCTGTAGGGACAGGGACATAGAATGCCGCTATCCTCTTACCAAGCGGAAAACACCACACGCGCCCGCAGCAGAGTCAGAATATGTCAGCCGAAACGCGGTCAATGAGGTACATTCCGCCCAAACAGACACTGTCTTTCCCTCACTGCCTAGCGACCTGGTCGATCCTCAAGAATGGACCAGAAGTTTGGGAAATTTAAGCACTCTGGTCGGGCCTGGCTTGCAGGATGATACTGAAAGCTCTACCACCACCTCAAACCAGGGGGATGCTACGCACTTCTTCCTCAAGCCAGATGCTTGGGTTATTCGGCACATTCCTTTTACCACTCCAACCTTCTCGAATTCGATCTGTATGAATTATGTTAAAGGCATCCACGAGTTCTTCAGGGAATGGGTCACCAATGGGCATAGTTCTTTCATGCATAGACAACTCTATGCGGACTCGGAATACCCAACTGCCATCCAAGATGCATTTGCTAGCATAACGTTGCACAATGCCAGGACACCATCAAATGAAGATATTGTTGACGGGATTATTTCCTCCAAAGTATCAGCCCTACTCAAGTCTTATCCCCAGGCCGACGGTGATGTTGACGCATCAACTGATTTAGATATACGAGAGCATCTCTCTCGCACACAAGCCTTGTATGTCCATCTAGTCCTGGCGCTCTTCTCTTCGTCAATTGGAGTACGTGCAAACGCAGAGCAACAGATCCAGACCCTTTTGTCCTGGACCCGTCAGCTTTGGGAAGCAGCTCTTCGGGACCCAGACATTTGCCAATCTGAAAGCAGCGACGGATCTGCCGCATCTACCAATGCCATTGTTCTGGATGTCATGTTTGACGGCGATACAACGCCCCGTCTGTGGCGATCGTGGGTTCTATCAGAGAGCATTCGTCGCATCTGGTTAATGACTACATCCACTATTGGCGTCTACCTGACACTGCGACAGAAATGGGCAGAGTGCCATGGCGGAATCTATTTCACTGCTCGCAAGGATCTTTGGCAAGCAAAGTCAGCGTCTAGTTGGGCATATGCCTGTCAGAGTAGTAGTCCATTATTCATTTGCAGCTTGGAATGCGAAAGTCTCTTCTTGACTGCAAAGGCACCCGATATAGATGAACTTCTTATCAATATGTTTACTATCATGTGGGGTATTGAGAGGGTCGAGAATTGGTTTGCGCGGACTGCTGAGCCTGGGCGAAGTGTTCGAGTATGGAGGGACAATGGTCCAGCCAAGAACTAAGAATTGCTATCGGTTTGGAACAATATAAACAATATGATCACACGAACAAAGAAAAAGGCCATCCTATTCGGAAATATCCACTGTCACGTCCAAAACGCTCTGCTTTGCGGAAGGCGACACATACGACCCATCGAAGATACTCCAAAGAAATTGGAATGCCCTTGGCTTCCCGTTCTCAATTTCAGAAACATGGCTCCCAATAGTGTTTCTTTCATAGGTGATCTCAGCGCCAGAATTGCAAAGCTTGACAACAGTTGCATCTGTCCACTCAACTGGACAGAACTGATCATTTATAGCCTTGTACACAAACATCGGCATTAGAGGAGTTCTTCCAGACCCTAGTTTTGCCTGTTCATCGTAGAGATGCTGTAATTCAGGCGCCCTGAGATCTGCGACGCCATCTTGGAAGAAAGAGTAAACGTCTCGTCCCGAGAAATGCTTCACTGTCTCAGTGACCTCCGTATCTAGGACGGACATAAATTCATCCTTCGTGGCTGGGATAAGACGGCTTTCCAGATAGCTCCTTGCCTCTGGGTATTGGGACGTGATGCCCAGGAGAATGGCTACCAGCGCACCAGCAATCGGGCTCTTGTTCAGCTTGTCGAAGTCGCCCGAGACGTTGTCAACAAAGCCACCCAAAACAGTTCCGTCAATTTTTACATCAGGGGCATATTTTGATTGAAGCTCTGCAGCGGCGAAAGTGGCAATCGAACCACCGCTGTATCCCCAGATAGTAGTGTTATAGCCAGAGGATTTGCCCAGATCCAGCAAGTGATGGACTGCTCGAACGGCATCAAGAGTGGCATGACCACCCTGAACACTCGCGCCAAAGGCAGAAAATGGCCCCAAGTGATCCGGAGTATTCACAACCCATCCGAACGAAAGCATCTCTTCGATCAACGATGTACTCGACTTTATTCCAAGGCTTGGCTCACTTCTCGCCATAACACCGGAGAGAGCAAAGGATGGGCAAGAGTCAAAGTTCGCCGTGTTGTAGGCGAATTGATAGGATAACACTGCCATCTTGCCTTGTGGAGAATGATAGGTTGTTGAGGGAATAAACAGTGTGGTGACAGCCCATGATGGCTCGTTCCTGGAGTCTGTGGATCGATATAAAATGTGGTAGGTAGCTGAAGAGTTGCCCACAATTTCCGAGAGCTTTGGTACAGACGAAATACGAAGAATATCGCCTGGTTGCTTGGACTCCCATCCTTGAGGTGGTTGATACCATGGATCTTTGCTTGGTGGTAGTGATTGTTCATGAAGCGCAACATCTGTATCAACGCTGATATCTGCGGCGTGTACCGTAGCACACAGATCACGGAGCCAAGCCTGGGACGCCATTTTGTAATATCTTTGGGACCAAAGTCAGACTTCCGGGGAAAAAGAAAGGAACAAAGAAAGATTGTCTCCGGCTGATCAAAGAGGAGAGAGATAATCAGCTCATTGCGCCACATGCTTACATGCAGATAAAACCCAGCAGGGATCGTCGCTTACAGGGACGAAATCTGAACGTTGTACAAATACGACGTCGTCAACTTGATGAACTGGTAAAGAAGGAAAAATACTTAGATGATATGGTAGCTATATCAGGTCTAGATAGCAGAGGGAAGAAAAAAAGTAAAAACGTGAGCATACAAGTAGAATAGAAATGCAAGTGTTTGCAAATGACAGAATGATGTGCATCTTGGGTATAATTATGTTTCTACTATCCAAACAGCGACCGCAAGTTATTCTCCTCCATCACGTCGATCCAGTGCACCGAAAACGTATTAGGCTTCTCTTTGTCATACTCATCCCATATCTTCTGCACCAGCGTCTTGGCTACCTCTATAGGTCTCGGCGGTAACAATGCCTCCAAAGCATCTAGCCTGCCGATAATGAAACACCGCGTATCAACAATCCTCAATCGAGACTCGGACATTGTAGACAAACGATCTATATCCTCGTCTGCTTGAACGAGTTGGCCTATGTAATCGGAAAGACCACAATGCTCTGTGCTGCCGAGATCGAAAGGCGATGGTGTCGCAACGGGTGCTTGGACTTGTGACTCAAGATTGGTGAATGAAACATCCACGGGTTCGAAGCGTAGACCGGTGCTAGCTGTTATGCAAAGGAGTGGCTGGGTCATCTTACTCCCGGAATCAGCAGGCAGCTGCTCAATAAGTCTAGCCAGGCGAAGGCTCAAAGGCGTAATGCACTCTTCCCAGGGAACATGGACATCCGCTGGACCTGCCAGGTTATCTGGCAATCTCAACAGAACCAGCTCTGGGAAGGTCTGATAGATGTGAATCAGACCAGCCAGACGATACGCCTCAGCAACGTTGATAAGATGTCGACATGGGGTTTTCTGATCGCCAGTTTCCGTATTTGCAGGAGCAGACTCGAAATCCAGGCCTAGTAACTTCTCTTCCAAAGATTTTGCTTCCTCGATCATTCTCAAGGCGGTTGCGTGATCTCGTGTCGCAAACGGACCTGGGTGTTTGACGTGATAGCGATAGTTTCGGCAGAGTCGCAGAGTCTGAGTTAGCAGCCGAGAGACTGTGTTCGACACTCCTGTCCACGGGTGTGGCATGTCGTCGACAATGGGGTCCACAGGTGCAGCTGTTGGAAACTCATCCACACTGATGTCGTCGATCTCTTCAACGCCTTCGGCTTCATATGATATAAAATGGTTCGTATCCGAGACGACAGACAGTAACATTTCGCAGTATTGCCAGCTCTTGTTAAAAATATTTAAGAGCTTCCTCTCTTCCTCCGAAAGCCTTCGTTTTTGTTGGTTGACACGATGAAGAAGAGCTTTAGCCTCTTTCAGAAACGGTATACCCAACTGCGTTGCGTTCAGCCAACAGATACTTGTGCCAATACAGAAAAGACCATAGATCAAGCCCATCGGTACAGTGTCCAGATTTGGCGATGACTTGACGACGCGGAGTTCTGCTTCAATGACATCTGTGGCGTTCTTCATCATTGAGATAGAAGTCTTCTTCATGTGCGGCATTCGTGAGGAGAGATAGGCTGATGCCATGCTTTGAAGACTTGTAGACACTGCTTCGGATGTGGACCAGAGAGCTGTGGCCATCATTCGATTGGCATTGGTGGGTGAATCATACTGCGACCACAATGAACAGACATCCCGAAACCAATAGTCAACAAGTTGGGATGAAAGATCTGTGATTGGTGGTGGTAGAAACAATGTCGAGTAGCTCTGCTGCGTCGGAAAGAGAGATAATTCGGAATTTTCGGAAAAGCTATGGGAGGTGGGCGACAAGTCTAAAGCATCGGATATCCAAGAGAACTCCTCAATCGGAAGTCCCTCAACAGGAAGATCCATAGAAAACTGTGTCATGAAATTGTCCGTTGCCGTGTTGCTTTGCGTTTCCTGGGTAAGTCCGCTATGCCCAGACTCTGACGGTGGCGCATCGAGTACAAACTCCCCAAAAGATCCCTGGTCCACAACATCGGTAGGACTCAATACTGAACTGGTGGTAGTAAAGGATGCCATAGACGCTGTGTCGAGTTGCCTCTTTGGTGGTCTTCCACGGCGCCTTTTTGCAAGGCATGTTGACTTTGGTGATGTTGAAGTTGGGAACTTGTGCTGGATCAGTTCGGCTGTCTTTTCGTGCTTAGTGGACCATCGTAGTCCGCGCTGGTAACCGCCGCATTGAACGCCTCGTGTGATGCAGACCTGGCATTCTGGTTTTGCCTCATCGCATTTGAGCTTTATGGGTGTGTCAGTTTTATTTATTCTGGGGTTGACTTGTTCACGTACGTGTTTGTTCCGACATGTCAAACAACCAGACCTTGACCGAACAGCGACTTTCCTTTTGGCGATAGGTATATCGCCTATATTTGATTGAGAAGGACCGAGTGGGGACTCCATGGCAAGTCGATATTGATCAGTGGCGTGAAGAAACTTGGTCAGACTCATCAAAACATGCTCAGACTCGGCAAGTGTGATGAATAAAGAAGTGAAATGAGTTGAACGAATTGCCCCCTTCCCCGCAGAAGTTGAAGGTGTAACCTGATGAGATTGGTTTAGCGTTGGACGGCAATTGACATCCTATCTCAGCTTTCATTCGCTGTAGATATGCTCCGTTACTGGGGTACGTAGCTGTACGCCCTAGCAGCTGCCACCGTTGTGAGTACAGGGGAGGCATCCTGATCAACTGTTAATTGTTCAGGCAATTGTATTGCAGATGGTACACGTGGAGCTCATTCTCATATTTGTATTTACTGATGAATTCGATGAAATAGCCATCAATGCTTGATTCTTGTTGATTTGCAGATACCCATTGTTCATCAAACGCCAGTCAATTGTTAGTGTATTCAATCTAACCCAAGTCAAGATGCCTCGGCAAAGTAAGTCCAGACTACAGTTTACAGCATGACATTAAGATCAACTATTGCGAAAAAAAAAAATACAATAAAGCCGACAACTACTTGCCCTTGCCATCAACATCTTGTTTCCTACTCGAAATATTCTTTTCTTCCATGGCGAGTTCGTCAGTCACTTCAGAGAGGTCAAATCTTTCGCCCAGAATAATATCGAGTTCCTGTGAACAAAACATCAGTGACAGGCGAACAAAGGCAGAGACTGGGAGGATTGTTCTTACCGGACCCTCGAATGTCTTCTTTCCATACAACACCCAATAGCCAATCAAAAAGATAGCAAAGATGCCGATGACACCTGACACGTAATCTAGCCACCGTCAGATTACCATTTCGAAAAATAAAAGAAGGGGGAGGTATACTCATCAAACTGGCAGTGACCGGGAGCACTGGTGGGAAGCAGAAGAACTGGAACCATGTCAGCTGTTGTAGTATCTGGATATTGGGTAAACTGACTATTGAAGTGATGAAAACGTAGAGCACAGCAATGTAGTTGATGATTAGTCCCCGCACCTTGCCAAATCTCCATGGTGTGTTGTTGGCTTGAGAATCCTGGAACTGTGTCAAGATATCCCTTCCTCTCACAATGAGTGTCAACACTGGGATAGCATATGACATGTTGAGGAGAATCGTGCAAGAAGAGACGAACGCGTTGAACGCGACGGTCGGTCCAAGGTACAATAGTCCGAAGATAGCATTGAACACCCATGTCAGAACGATAGTTCGAACAGGCACTTCCCATCTCGGATGGATGTGGCTAAAGTAGGAATGATACGGAACGCCTTTGTCGCGAGCCAAGGCGAATAAGAGTCGACTTGCACTAGTAATGGAGCCGTTCGTGCCGTGGATAAAGCATATGGCTAGCATTAGAGTCAGGAATGTGGTTCCCGCCCGGCTGCCTGTTGATTGGAATATGAGTTCGACGATGGGCAATCCGGTATTCGTGGCAACTATGCTCGGGAGGTCTGTCAGGCAGAAGAGCATGACGAGTATGAAGATTGTTCCCCTGTCTACTGTCAGTATCAACCATTCTCGACGTCAGTTCCAACTTACGTGGTCCCTCCGACGCCAACAGCGTACACCATTGCCAGAGGCGCGTCACGAGCTGGTGTGGGCATCTCCTCCGTCATGTGCAAAACGGCATCGTATCCTATGAGCGACAGAGCCGACTGAAGTAGTCCCAAAATCCACGCGATTCCATCATTCCATCCTGTTTCGTTTTGGAAGGTCGCAAAAACAAATTCCGAGTCTGTTTTATCGGAGGTTGAGAGTAGGACGACGCTGGCAACGAACACGCTGAGGATGGACCAGTACACTGCTGGCAAGTCAGTTGTGTACTGCGGTGAAAAGGGATGGATGAACAGATACTCACAGGCCAGGTTGTTCCATGGACCCAAGATACGATTTCCAAAAGTCATGGATAGTGTACCGAACGTCAAAACGGCCATGAAAATTAGGTACGTCTTCCATGCCGCCACAGCGTAGGTTCCATTGGATGCAACTACACAAGCGGCCGAAATAAATTGTGCTTCTGGGGTTCAGTCTCGGGCTGTTGGTACTGTCAAGGGAAACTCACCTGCGAAGAACCCCTCGGTCGTGACGAGTGTTAGCCAGCCAAAGATGTTGATGTAGCCGACCGCGAAGCTCTACGCGTCATTGTTAGCATGGATGGCATTGAAGGAAGTTACTGATCTACTTACCATAACTTTCCTCCACTTCTCAGAGGTCAAGGCCCATTGGAAGTGGTACTGTCCACCAGCTGTGGGCCAGATGGCGGCGAGCTCACCAAGGCTAGCAGCTAAGCAAAAGTTACATAGCACGCAGAAGATGAACCCATATAAGAATGCAACAGAGCCACCGGATGGAAGAACGATGGATAAACTACCTGCTAGACAAATCCAGGTACTGTCCGTCACACATCAGAAACATAGTAGCAGGTTAAGTTGGGGCTCAACGCACTTGAGAATGGCAAATGTCATGGCTACCATTGTGATCTTGGACAGGCGTGGCCTGAGGTGGCCCTCTGGCGAGGGAGGATGCGTATGGCTAGTCATTGTTACTTCTGGTGGACTATTCACTCTCACAGATTTCAAGATTGAGATGGGAGACAGAGAGCGAGACTATGACCTGTATATGTTCCTCAGAAGCGACTAGACTAGTTTGTAGCTAGGTTTGCGGAGAAGCTCTTCCATGCTGTTGGGTGTATCCGACTAACAGTTCATGGCCAAGGTAGTCAATCCCATGCCCTCGCTTTAAACAATAGTCTTAGTTGACAGTCAACTCTAAACGTAATACCTCTCATCCAGCGCCATCCTCCCCAGGTTCCACCATTTCAGCGCCCGCACGATCGCTACAGTACCGTCTCGAAACTCTACTGCCCCGCGTTGTACCATCTTCTAGTAGCTATTTTTTATTAAATTAGGAATATCAGTCTAAAATTTCCGTTTTGAGGATAGTAAGACAAGATGGCTGTGTGTTTCCCCCGCAATAGACTAAAGTTGCCAGCCAGTGAGAAACTGTTGTGATTCGTGCATCCTCGCCACTTGGTATGCTGTTTGCCATGTTTCAGGCACGTTAATCGAGGACCACGAGGAATAGCGGTCCTTGGGGGTATTTGATAAATAATTTTGTCTGGAAGAGGAATTTTTTGCCTCAACTTTTGGCCAGCTGATGGTAAGTCATGGATAGAGATGACGCAGTGGACGATCGCTTATACCCTACTTCTTGGAACCTGGCTTGTTTATTTGCAGTTTATAAATCGAGTCACGTCAACCTTAATAATTGCACAGAGGTTAGACCAGGCAACTATTGAGTCGAATCACAGTTACATGATAAGAACATGGAATTTGGGATTTTCGCAGAAGAATATCAGACAACAAATCCTGATCAATGGGACTCTGTGATAACCTGTTTCCATACCCTGTAGCTGTGAGGGAGTTACTATCTTATCTTATCTTATCTTCATATGATAAGAGCTCATCAGCCAGCTCGTCAGAAGAATCTGGTCGCGTTTCATGCCATTCAAGTCCCTAAAAGTCTTGGAAAAGTAATTTGGCGGCAGAAACATGGTAATTGAACCAACAAAAAAAAAACGCGTCGGTTTTGGGAGATTACAGCTACAATGACCGTGAATGCAAGAGAAGAAGTCTCTCTTGCAAGCCAGCTTGTCGCCTTCCTAGACAAGTTCCACCTTGTCAGCGCTAATGCTGCCGAGACACGACATTTGTTATGCAGTCAGACGTGTCGCGAAGGCTCCCGGTTGATATATTTACAAGCAACCTAAAGGGAACAGTGAGATTGGAGGAATTACAGCACTAAACATGGTATTACAGTGGGCTCGCTCCCTCTGCTGCCTGCTCAACCAAGTCAGCCAGGCCACCTACCATTAGGCACCGGGCGGGGTCTGAGAGGATAAGGTCCATTAACAGCGGTTCAAATCTTCTATAAGAACACACGACAGTTTCACCAGCAAACGGATTATCATGTTCATCTGACTGGAATACATTCATTGATTGTTGCTGAGAATAGCCTCAGCATGACTTCTTCCGAAAAGACCCTCCATCCCGAGATCTGGGATAATATCTGTGCCCATCTCACACCCCCAAGCCACGCAAATCTACGCCTCGTTTCACCAACATTCAACAGCATCGCTTTACCATGGAAATACAGAAGCATACGTTTAGAAGCGTTCGGGCCATCAGTCGAACGCTTCATCAACATCGCCAAAACCCCCGAGCTTCGTGACCTAGTCCGAGAAGTCACCATCGACACCCGTGTCGATCTCAACTGGGAATACGCCAGGAACGACAACTACCCTTTTCCCACAGCTTTCATGAACGCGCTACCCTACCTGAGATACTTCACCAGCGTCACGGCTCTGCATATCCGCTTCGAGGAACATTGTGGCAATCAAGCTGAATTTTATAAATTGAGTATCGAGGAGACCTATCTCTTTCGGTACAAAGTTCTCGACACCATTTTTCACTGCGCTGCGGGTTTGTGGACATTAGAGAAGCAGCTCAAGATGGATGAGGAACTCGATGAAGAAAGATATATATGCGAAGGTGATGAGAAGTGCGACTACAGTGATCAAGATCTTCAGTTTCGTGGTTCTTGCTTTGCACTTCGGGAATTGACTATTGCCAACCTGGCCGACTATGCCGATACAGATATCTTGGATTCCAAGGCGTGGCAAACAATCATGGACCTTCCAACCCTCATCGACTTCAAGCTTTTTATTACGACGGAAGAAGATGAAGCTGCACCAGAGAACGAGGTCTACCTTATCGAAAAATACGACTTCTTTGACAGTCTGCCCTCAACATGGCTGTCCTCGAACCTCACTCAGAACTTGAGGGTCTTGTCGTTGTATTTTAAAGACTACTGGGGTTGGTTCCCATTCATGGATCTCCGCGACTTTGGTCACGAGTCTCCGTTTCCACAACTCAAGGTCCTCGCACTGGGTAACTATGTCTTCACCCACGATTGGCAGGTTGATTGGTTCCCCAAGATTGGAAAGGAGAACGGCGGTGGAGGATTGGAAGAGTTATACCTCGATGATTGTCCCATTCTGTTCCATGCGAGCCATGAGGCTATTGACGAGCACGGGTATCCTGATTACCTTCCTGTCACAGAGATGGATAGGTCTGCATCGCAAGAGCATGACTTCCACATTCGATGGCACCATGTCCTTGCACAATGGAAGGATTCAATGAGAGGACTCAAAGTGTTCCGAATGGGTCATGGATCATGGTGGGGGCGGCCGGAGAGAACATACCAACTAATTTCTGCTGATCCAGACTATGCGCATGCCAATAAAAGTGCGCTAGACTATCGTTTATCACACAATACGCACAGAACCTTTGCTTGTCCAATCCCATCCGGGGAGGAATGCCAGCTAGAAAGATGGCGCTATGGTGAGGGCCTCGACGATGAGAGAAGCAATAGGATGACTTACATTGCCTACGATCTCGGAACGGGACCTTCACGGTGGATTGGCGAGGATGATGGTGAATTTGAGCTGGAAGAGGGTGTCAAGGACAAGGATGATGTTGCGTGGGATGCGATGATGGCTGCGATACAGGCAAGATGCAAGAATGGAAAGTGTACGACCTAGAGACTTGAATATTAAAGCCATCTGCACTTCGCCGTCACCCAAATATGCCCCGTCAACGAACCCACCGGCTGAAGCGAGGCTCTAGAAGCAAAGTTGACCAGCCACTGCCAGAAGATGGTGGAGGAAACATGAAGCATGACGAGAGGCACGAAGACAACAAAAGACTGACTGCGCGCACCGAATCAATGCAGTGCGTGAGATCAACACCGAAGGAGGATGCGGCATCACGTTGGCTATAGAAAAACGTCGGCAGAGCAGGAAAGGTGTCAGACAGAAGAGGCACGCAGAGGACTCGCAGAGCTGGATATGAGAGGATGAAGAACAGGGACAATCCTTTGCTATGTTCAAGACACAATGCTGCAGTTTCAGAACCTAGAAAGAAGATTGTGAGCTTGATATACACACGGATAAAGCATCGTTATCCATAAATTAATACTATGGTTGTGCCGAGTTGACTGAAGAACAAACCAGCTGATCTAGTGCCTGGGCTATGAACATTCACCTTTATTTTTGGAGCACGTTCCACCTTGTAGTGGCAGATGTTTGAATTAGTAGCTTAGCCGTTCAAAATTCTTCTCTGCTGCTCCAACTGCAAGGCAAAAGCCCCCCTCTTCATCTTCTCTTCCTCTTCCCCTCCTCTGCCCTTCAAAACAACATCACTCTTTTTGATCATCTCCAAACCTATTTACCGTCTTTTTGGTATCAGCGCTCGAACACTCTATTGGAAAGAAAATCACATCAAGTCCTTCATCCGGAACATATCATCATGCACCTGTCGATCAAAATTCCCCTACCCTCTCTCAAAAGGTGGCCTTGCATCACTGGCGAGAACGCTCATGACAGCGCGCATATCACCGCAATTGAGCCCCCTCACGAGGAAGACACCTTTGAAGAAATCGCCAACATCAGCGACGAAGTTGAGTCTCGCCATGACTCCGATGACGAAGTCCCCTACCCTGAAAGCCCAATCACCTACAACGGCGGCCAGTACCTCGACGTAGAAGACTACTTCTACCATAACGACGGAAAATACTTCGAAAAGGCCTTGCGACCGGAGAAGAAGCCGAAGCCTCCTCAGCCAAAGATGGACGACTACCTCTTGAACGAACTGCACATCGCCATACACGGAGAGAAGGACCCAGAGGTCATCAAGATGGAGAGCTACGTCAACGAAATCAACAACCAGTCTGACGCGCCTCTGCAGCCCAAGGATCCTTAGAAAGGATTGGGAGGGCACGGTGCCCCTGCATGGTCTGTTTGTACGCGCTGCAAGGACGATAGACATACGAACGAAAAGGCGCACAGAAAGGTAGCAGGCTTGCTCAAGTTTCTTGAGCCTGGGATGATGCCCAACCGACATGGATTGCAGGAGCTGATCATGAAGTATCCTCCGAAGATGGTTCGACGACGCAGTATTTAGAAGGAGACAGGGCGGTAGAGTGGCATGATGGTTTGCGAGAATGGGGGCGTCACTTTTGTATGCGCAGCCCAGGTTGGAGAGTGATGTACTATTGGCTAAGGTCTTGGTATGGATTGGACAGAGATTTACAAGAGTCAGAATGTGTCCTGTCATGGTAGTATTCTTGTTGTTGAGATCATTTTGACGACCTCCGAGATATCAAAGCTAATAAGAAATTGTACCCTTGCCTAGGAACGATGAAGTGACTGCCATTTTACATTAAATAGACACTACATGCCTGTTGAATCAACATTATCTCCGAAAGTGACTTTCAAATAAAGTCACATCTCCATAGAATTGGTATCTCGCTCACCTCTCTGTCGGTTCACATGATGAGCATTATACATCCCATAACGACTGATTCATCCCAAATTACATTGTCAAAGACGCACATGAAAGTTCTCCTAATTGTAGTTACATACTTGAAACCGACAGAAGCAAATATTCTATTTCGTAATATGTCATTCTCATGGAACACCTACACTGTTCAGCAGTACTCAACCACGTTCGAGTTTTTGCAGATGGCGATCAACTGTGTGTGGCCAGAGCAACCAGAACATGCTTGGTAAGAACTGCACCTGTCATGCCAGTGCCAGCGTCCGACAGAGCTGCATGCATTGCAACTTTCTAAAATAACGCTAGTGTGAGGCTCAACCCTTTGTCTTCCCCCGTTCTCATCTCTTCCTTCTTCTTTTCCCAAACATCCTCTTGCGAGTCTAACTTTTTGAACCACTACCTTTGCGACTCAGATATTTGAGAAAAGAAGAACGCTCTGTCTTTGATACTATATTTGTGAACTTCGCTTTTACGGTCAACATCATGTCTGGAAACCGAGTCTACAATCACGACGACTATGAACTCGTCCCTAACCCGAAAGACCATGTCGAAATCCTGGACTACGACCACGAGGATGCTGAGTGGGACGACTGCGATTTCGAGGTCAAGAAAAAGACTTCCGACCCCAAGCCTGCCGCCTCTGCTCCCAAGGCCAATAAGAACTTCCGGAGAAGAAGAATCAACAAAACAAGGTTTTCGAGCAGATGGCGGCCGCGAAAAGATATTTGCAACCAGAGATGAGTAAGGATCGCTCTCCAGCCCTATTGATGACTCGTACATTGACTAATTGATAACAGGATAAATTTTGACTACAAGAACTCTATCTGGATACGCAGAGTACTATCAACAACGACACGCCCGCGGCGATAAGTCCTCGTGAAGACATTTCTTGGCAGAGAGGATGTGGGAAAGTGTGCGCGAGATGGAAGAAGTTCGGTAGAACAATAATTTGACTGTTTCGCTACCAAGTTGTTTTTAACATCAAAAAGTGAATCTTTCGTATGCATCTGGTACGATGTTGTTCTTTCATGGAAGAAACAACGTATATATGCACTAGGACATTTCGAAAATAGTCACTGTTCTCAACATGTTATTCTTGAGCAGATCGCAGATTAGTTGTTCTTGTGTTCTAGTGTGAATACTTTAGTAGGTGAACACTACCTCTAGATCCCATTGTTCCATTCCAGACATTTACATCAGCGCAGCTCTGTTCGCATCGCTCAGCTAATTCCCAGATCAGGCATAAGCTTGTTTGCCTGTTCCCCTTTGCGTTCACCATACGCTGGGAGATTCACCATGTGGCAGCTGGGCCAGCACCTTGTCCCTTTCCTGCAACTACATGTTCGCAGGCCACAGTTCGACCTCAATCTCACATTCTCATCAGTATTAAAACCTCCCTTCTCCTTCATCCGTATTTTGGTACCATCACTGCATCATTTGCACGTTAGCTCTTTCACCCAATACTCCCTACGAAGACACTATCGATTCTCGATATCACATCAACCAAAATGGAGCCCACAGTCAAGAAGACCTCCACCAGCCGAATCCAGCTCGGAGACGACATGGACGAGTTCGTTCTTGTCCTCGATCCTGCCCGCCCCGTCAAGCCTCTTGGCGGTGCTGGAGGCCATGAGCAGAAGAAAGAAACGGCCGCTCTCCAGGAGGACGTCGTTCCAGGCAAGGCCTACAAACCACAGGTCGACAACACACAGAACTCCGCCAAGCCTCCTACAGCCGCCGAGAAGAAGGCCCTTGACGATTACCACGATGATATGCGCAAATTGGCCGAGGATTCGATGCCCGAGCGTGACGGCCTCCGCGTTGCCTACGAAGACTGGTTTTACACCGATAGAGGATCGCATCACTTCGATCTCGGTGATGAACACTAAGCATTCCACATCTCTTTCTTTCTTTCTTTTTTTTTTTTTTGTTTGTTTCTGTCGTCTTGTTTGATCTTCACTGGTAAGTCATCCCCTACCGTGCGTGGGCCTTGTTCGCAAGCTTATGCCTGGAGTCAACAGATGATTGATGTCCGAAACACTTGTATCAGGATATGTCTTGCCCGCGTTTTCAACAGATTTCGGTATGTCGCCGTTTGGTGTGTGTAACAAGACTGGAGGCATAGGGAAGGTTGGAAAATCCATTGGGATGTTATTTGTTGATATGATACCCCATTTTGTAGCTTGTCAGAACAAATATTTTCGAATGGCCCTTGAGTTGCGATTCATGCAAATTTGTGTAAGAAATTATTTTTGACTAGTTGTACCAGGTAATTCCTGGAAAAGACTATACTAGATCGCATAAGCACATTTGACCATCTTACATTACAGACACGAGCAGCACTACGTTAGTTAGATGAATGAATGTAAGCCTCAATCGAAAGGAACACTAGCAACCGATGAAACAGTCTGTTTTCTGCCCATTTTTGGTCCGTTTCTCGCGGCGAGTCCGAGCGTCTAAGGAGACTGGGGTACATGACGCGACCGTTTAATGCAATGCTACCGAGAATTGGGACTAACGTATTTTGTAGCGTAGAATTAATAGATTACGTGGCTTTCACTAATTCACTGGTACTCAGATTCTAATCTTGCTAGAGTGACAACAATACAAGGACCAGGTTTGGTTGACCAGCAGACACAGGTGGAGAGGGTCGGCACCGCGCGTGGTAGGTCATGAAAGTTGCGGTTAGCTTGCAGGGAAACCGAGCTGTTGGCTCTAGTCACATGTTCCATGCTCAACTGTAACCTCTCAAACGGTGAACCGCATTGGTCAATGCCGTCCTAGCAGGGGATAAGTAACGACCAAGACTTGTTCTGGGACAGACCATGTAACCAGCCATTAGTCATGGAGACCTTGACATGCGGGAATTATCATATCAGTAATTGCCTCTGAACATATGTCGCTCTGTGAGACCCATACGACAGGTATGTGGAGGAATCCATTCAAGCCAGTCTACGGATACCATTATCAGTTGAGAAAGTCTAGGCTAGACCAGGGACACGGCACTACTGCAAGTGCTGTCCTGTCGTTCCAGGGGAGCCCATGATCTGGATTGTGTCATTCCCTTAGCCGAATCCTCTTGAACCCCTGGGCTGGACCAGGGTTCCATCCAGAGCCACCGGTCTCCGTCCGCAGTGGGTAACAGACCCGTGGAAACGGCTTGTAACAGTGGGTGCAGGGATACTGAGGTGGAGAGACAAGAAGAGACAAGATTGCAATCACACCACGTCAAAGGTGAATTGGGGAGGACAGAGTACCACTGCATATTAAGTATGGGTTACGTTACCACGCGTATGTCTATCACTTCGTATGTACCCCATCTCGATGCCGGCACTCGTCAAATCACGCTCGGAAACGAGCCATCACGTGCCGTACTAGTCAACCGACTTATCAACCAAAGAGTCATTGTCGATGGATCCTCCAAAAAGACGTTGGTGAATTAAGTTTTCTTAAATCCTTGCTGGCTTGATTTCCTTATCCCTTGAGCACATATTACCCCTGACGGTTGTAGCCGTTATGGAGTCGTCCCGAACCGATGCATCCGCCGTCAGTTCATGGTCCGTTCACCGCCGACGCTATCGTTGAACAAGACAGGAATTCCTTTAAAGGGTAGCATAGTTTCGCGGGAACGTTAGACTAGTAAATCCGTTTTATAGTTCTGCGGCTACGATAATCTTTTCTATACTTTTACACCATATATTTGATCTCTTTACTTGGCCTACATATCATATCGTGCTTTATATCTTAACACTCTATCCTAAACCCAACTACACAATGCCTCACAAAGACGTTCCCCTTAGACCAGTAAAGCTGGCCTTTGATCCTGTGGGATCAGACACCCTCGGTGTGCCTCACCTTGACTTTGCGTCTCTATTCCGAGAGGAAAATGTTCCCGAGGATGCCCCTCTTGTTCTTAACCCAGAGGAGATAGGTGTCCCATGGAATACCTCTCTTCCTTGGACAAGACAATCAAAGTTCTGGGCTCACGCTGAAGCGGCTGGATATGACTTGGCCAACGCAATCAGTCTTGACAAGGCATCAGAACGAGGAACACTGCCCATGGAGTTGATGGATGAGCGCCGCAAGTGGAAGATTGATGAGCTAGTTGAAGATGCCCTCTCTTGCTGTGTATATCTTTATCCTACATCATCTCCTACCAGATTGGCATTGTTGACCCAGTCTGTCCTGCTACTATTCCTCCATGACGGTATGTTGATATTGAACTATAGCTAGGGAAATCAATCACTGACATATGAATATAGACGTCATTGAGCGAGGAGCCACTCAAAACGTAAGAGTTCTATCTACCAGTCTGCAAACTTGGTACAATAGGTATACTGACAAACCTTTAGGAAACCACAGTGGTGGACGAGTTTCTAAGCATGGCCCCCAAGAACAAGCATCTTAAGAAGTTCTGGTCAGAAGTATTGGAATGTGATCCCGTCCTGGGGCCCGATCTGCTTTATGCTATTCATGCTTTCGTCCGTGATGGTCGTATCAAGTCGCCATTTAAGCAAGATCACTATGCCACATTGTCCGATTACATGCTTTATCGTCGAAATGACGTTGGAAAGACGTGAGTGCATTCTAAAGCAGCTTTCCTGAAATCATACACTAACTCTGAACCCAGATTCATGATTGCAGCTATCCGCTTCGGCTCCGGCGTGCACCAAACAGCCGAGGAACTTGCTCCCTTTGACGAGCTTGCTGATCTTTATGTCAGACATTCAATCCTCATCAACGATCTCTACTCGTATGACAAGGAGGTTCATGAGGTCAAGACCATCAACGCATCTATCGTGAACGCAGTCGCCGTCACAGAGCAGCTGCTTTCCGTGTCGCCTGACCTGGCCAAGAACATCACGAGAAATATCACATTCGACATGGAGAAAGAGTTTTACGGCATGTGCGAAAAGTTTATGCACAGTCCTAATATCAACGATCGCCAGCGCGTTTTCATAACCGCTCTCTTTGACGCGTTGACTGGTAACATCTTCCACTCTGCTACTTTGAGTAGATACGTTCGTCACGGCGAGAGGCCGCTTCCTTGCAAGTGTTAGATAAGGAGGAGGTATCCTTGGAATGTTTATAGCTAGCACATGTCCTGCATTTTAATACCACGGCACACGATTTCTTTTTTTTCCGTTTTACTTGTATATTTCACTTTGCACAAGTCTATTGGGAGGATCATAACCTACCTAGTTAGTCGTATACGCACACGCGAATATTATAAGAGTCCGTGCATAATCACTATATATACCTGCACACTCATGCAAGGATGCACGACACTTTGACAGGTATGTTTTCTTGGTAAATCCGAACTAAAGCCAGAGGCATATTTTGCTACTTGCCACGATTACACTTATTGCTTGGCCCACGGAGTCGTATTTATCCCACTGTAATAGCACAGCGCACCAGCCCCCAATACTACCCTGCTAGGATCGGAGAATGGGATGACAAGGAGAGCCTTGACTGTCAAGGTAGCGTTGCTTAACGTAAATGCCGGGGAAGCGGGTGAATGGTCAAATGACCCTGCTTATTGTGACATTCCGCATCGAAGTCTCTTTTGAGAAGACCATATTCTCGCGTCGTGATAAGTCTCTGATAGTATTTTATAGATGGTATCTGGATTGGAATCTCTGAAACGGCCCGATGGTGAGTGTTCGTGGAGCAAAGGTCTCACCGCTTGTTGGTTGTTGGTTGTTGGTCGCTGACTGTTGGTTGTTGGTTCTGTTGAAGGGATCATACCATACCTATGAGTGGGTCACGTAATTGGAGGATACCCTCCGGCATGCCCTTAGCGGGATGAACCCTGAACCGAATATGGTCCAGCATAACCGGTCAAAGATAAAAGCATGTCTGGATGCCAAGCTTACCAAGGTATGTCAGTTCTGGACACAGTCGGTGGGCTTCAGTCGAGGAATACGGAAATGTGTATGTAGCATTGTAGTTAAGCGCTAGGAAATTACTGATCTACAAAGAAATAGTCCCATTGTAATAGGGTTCAGCGAGTGTAATTACATTCAGGAAAATATGATCAGTTGGAGTTGCCAGTCACCTTCAGGTTACTATGTAGACGGAGCAACGAATTCTCAAACCCACTCAAGAGAAGCGAAAGTCCCTTTCCATCAGTTTCCGCAGCCTGGTCTTTGATGATAAGGCTCACCAAGTTCTGCAACTCAGTGGCCAGTCCCTTGTCAGCGGTTGCCATGCCACCCAAAAAGCTCGTAAGGACATTCATCATAGGGTTCATAGATGCGTTCATACGGAGGCTAGCACCCAAGGATCGAATGATCTCTTCAAGAGTTCTCAGCAGCTTGGTGAGGAGTTCGTCGATCTCCTCAATGATGGTTTGGCGTTCGCCGTCCGTGAGTTTGAGAGAATTGGTGTTGTGCGTAGCTGAGAGGCGGTTCAATGAAGCGGATAGAATGTTGCGGATGCTGGAGATCTCTTTGACAGTATCGGTAGTTCCTTTTTTTTCCGAGAGCTTCCCGGCATCGACTTGGGCAAGGATAGTATCTACGATATGCTATTAGAACGCGAAGTGCGTATAGTTTTGACACACGTACCAATCTTGTCTGTATGAACAGTTATTTGGTCAAGAGTGCTGTCCAAATTGTCGATAATATCTGGACCACTCTTGAAGCCTGTAGTGAAAAGCTTGAGCTTTACCAATCGTTTCGGGTGTTTCTTATGCGATTTTCTCGAGCCCTTCTTTCGTGAAATCATGTAAGTTTTGGTAAGGGCCTTGTCCTTGCTGGACTTGGATCGTTTGACATTTGTTGTTGCCTTTTGAGCCTCGGGGTTACTGATGTAACCTTCGAGATCGACTGAAAGAGCGTTTACTGCCCCCTCTTCAGCACCGGCATCGAAAAGATGGGACTCCCGGCCAGCAAGGGACTTGTCGGTGGTGGGAGCAGCGATAGAGCTAGTCGCCAAAGCGGCAGCTACAACTAGAAAGACCTTCATATTGGGCATGAAAGTAATTGGTTGATGATTAGCTGAATAATTTTGATGAGATACTTGTAGTTGTCAAATTCGAGAGGATATGACTCACGACTTTATACATTCATTCGTAAGGGTCTAACATAAACTTGACTTTAGACTCAACACCATTAAAATCTATCTTGGCATGGCCGATCCTCAACGCATCATGATAGCTCTGTGACATAAACATTTCTCACTTCATAGAGAGCTGATTGCCACTGACGCCAATCATGTTCTTAAATGAACGTTTATTGTGCATTAAACCAAAGGCAGATGTTCATACTTTGCAGTTGGTATGAAGCTATTCCCAGAAGAGTTGCAGTGGCTTGTCGATCATACCCGACGTCGTCAAAATAAAGTTGCAGCAGCCAGATCCGGACACCCGCATCGTGGGTTTGATATGTCAGATTTCATTTTCTTGGTGGTGGTGCTGTGCCTTTGTGGGTTCAGTTACGATGGAGTCTTGGAACGTAACCTAATGTCAGGGTCAGGTACAGATGCAGGTGCCTGACCCTTTTTATGACTTCATGCATGCCGGCTGGTTTTGGTTTGGCGAGCTGCTGTGCCACTTACGGCAATTTCGGTGTCCCACGGTTCGCGATGGGGTAAAAAGTGTTGAAGTGCTCCCATTAACTCGGGTAATTGCTTTCATAAAACGACTGTATGCAGCCACAAGTATACATAATAGCAGCACTACTTACTTTGCAGTATGCTCAAGTGGCGATTTACATTTCCGGGTTTTCGATTCTCAGGTATGTGAGTTGTATGGATCCGGCATGTCTTGATTCAGCATTCCTTTCAGATCAGCTCCGGTGAACACAATAACACTAGACACATCATTTTGATCGATAGTTTAGCGAACAGTATCCCGCATATTTTGCATTATCCTCATTAGTTTTGCAGTTTTTGGTCAGTAATGGGTAGAGATACTGGGATTGTTGACAACAATGTATCAGAATCCACTACGAACTATTTCTCCACGCAAGCAAGCCAACAATGATACAGCTTCAAGTAGTAGTATAACACATCGAAATACATACTGGAGTATCGACATTCCAGACGATTAAACGGGATATCATTCAAGTGTCAGTTTTCTTGCAGTAAACCGACCTATCACAATATTCTAGGGCTCTTGTGTGTAAAGCGTCCCCGCCTCTCCTCAAGCTCGGAGTTAGTGGCAAGCCACACACAACCAGCAAAAAGACGCATCATCTCCGCACAACTGAGACAAAAAAGACACATGGCTTCTGGCTGAACCCACGCAAAAGAAAGGGTCTGGCCGGGGATTGAACCCGGGACCTCTCGCAAGCAATGCTATAGGGTTTTCCCTAAGCGAGAATCATACCACTAGACCACCAGACCGAGCAGATATTTACTGATTTCGTTGGAGTTGGTTGAAGATTCTGTCTCTATGAAGATGATCCTTGAGAGACCGAATTGTTATACGTAAACCAAGGTACCTCAGAACACAGCCCGGAGAGTTGTAAATCTACATTCTACTTGTAGTATATATGAAGGGAGATAATTATTGTACACATCTTCCAAGCCATCCATCTCGTCAAGTCTTGAGTCATCATCTCATGAAGTCGCTTTATAGCGTGATACCGTATAGTCCCTCACCCTGTATAACCTCCCCATTCTCATACGTAATTCTCTTCCAGCCTTCAGCATGAGTTTCATCACGAATCCACTCCGCGGTTGGGAAATATCGCTGGTCCTTCTTGATGGTAACAACAGATGGAGTACCAGAGAAGTCTGTCATTTTGATCTTGAAGTCTATTTGTCCACAGGTTAGTAATTTACATGGTCCAGGTGAAAAGTTGACACTTACAAGTCTTGTCAGGAATGTTGGCCACCACGTTGATCAGGGCCTCAAGATCAGGTGTCGGCTTGTTATCGATATGCGTAATGAAGGTCGTGGCATAAACGCTGTACAAGTTCGACGGCGAACCGACTAACCAACTTGTGATGTAAACTTCACTGGGCAACTTCTTGATACACTGGCGCACGGTCCGATGCGGCTTCTGGGCTGTTAGACCGCAGAAGTTGACAACACGCGACGTCTCAAACTCATCTTCAAGAACAGTCTGTGCTTTGAAGCTGATTTGCTCACCACTTCGTACAGCGACTACGTCAAGAGATTCCTTCCAGTACATCACATCCACATCAGAAAGCTGTGTGATGAGTTTTCCGTCCAGAGTGATCAGGATATCGCCTTCTTCGAGGGAGTTGGGTAAGCTGCTTGATGCTCGCTTTACCATGAAAAGACGACGGTCCGATGACCTGCTTTGAACTTGGCTGATCCACTCTTCCGAGACGCCCATAACGCGAGCTTCGATGATCGTAACAGCCGCGAGCTCAACGGATAGGCTTCTCAAGCTGGGAACGATACCTTGGCTCAGCTTTTCCGCAATTGGAACAATAGCTTGAGAGCTTAGTCCGAAGCAAGCTTCATCCAGATCTTCCATCTCGTACACAACCCACAGAGCTTGGATAGATCCATCTTCAGCAACAAGGACACCACTGCCGCAATGTGTACCAATTCTGGTCTCTATGTCGACCCTATCAACATTGATAGGTCGTCCTCGAGGGGGGTTTGGAGGCTCTCGTTCCAGTGGTATAACCTTTGTGACGGCTGTAGAAGCATAAACCATCTCATCGCTGTCGTTGTGTCCAACAAAAAAGGTAGAAGCTCCCTGCGAGATACGTTCTGTGTTGAACTTTGCACTCTTTACGGGTGCGTCCACGAGGCTGGGGTCGTATTGAATGATTGCGTAGTGGTGGGAAGGATGCAAAAAGACAACCTTTCCAGGGATCAGAACCGAGTCTGCAAAGGTGAGCTCTATATCACACATCTTTGTGGGCACAACCGTCCTGGAAATAATGACGAATCCACGTTGAGCGTCAATTACGAGTCCCATACCTCGATGAACACGGGTAGACTGTCCATCGATAAGAACAGGAGCGGAGAACTTGACGTTCACAAAACTCCGCACAATCTCCGCCACTGCCCTCAACGGGATGTGCTCCAGTGTGTCAAATGAGGCACTCAGCTTAATCTGCTGAACCGCAGGCAACGGCTCAGCAAGAACATCAACATCCCAAGCACCTGTGTCGTCATTCCTCGTAAACATCTTCATTCTTCGAAACCAATGTCTGTCAATCGGAACAACGGCTGTGCGGACTGTGTGTCGCTCCCAGACGTGCCAGTACTTGATCGCCACTCGCGCCCTGTCAGGGATATCCTTCATGACCTGCACAAAAACGTCCAGGTTTGGTGTCTTTTTGTGATTGACGCTGTCAACCATGATGTAGTTATCATGCATTGGATGAAAGGGTCCTGCTTTGCTAACGTAAACACCACGGCAGGGTAGGACGTAGCGCTGGGCAACTTGGTACGAGATATTGTGAAAGCATGCTGCGCCGACGGTGACGAAGCGATCAGGAGTAATTAAATCGAGATTTTGCACTGTGATGTCTTCTTCCACGTCTTCGCCGTCCCTTTGGACAAGGACGCGGACTGTTTGATCGATGTTTTCGTCAAAGATAGTGTTTAGGCGGAGGAACTGTGTAATTAGTTCCCCGTTGATCTTGATGAGGATGTCTCCCTCTTTGAGTTTTCCATCTGACGGTCCCTCGGAGAGGACGTCGGCCGCGACGATAGCATTGTCTTCTCCTGGAAAGGACTTGCGAAGGACACTCTCCCACTCGGGACTCAACCCAAGTCTCCGACACTCATCAAAGGGTTTAAGTTTGAAGACGGTCTGGATTTCTCCTCTTTTCACCTTGTCTCCGTTCTGGATTTGCTTCAGTGCTTGTAGCGGGCCATCAAGTGGGAGGAAATAATCGGTTGAGCCATCTGTACGGCCACCAGCCTGGAGAGCAATGCCATGACCGTCTACATTGACGACAGGGGATCCTGAAGAGCCGCCGGATGCGGAAGCATTGGCTTGGTAGTAGCAGGTGTTGAAGTCCATGTAGCCATCATAGATGGGGGCATTTCGATCCAGACGGCTAATGAAGCCTGACAGGATACCCAGCTTTTCGCCGCTGTCATTACCAATAACCTTGATCTCAGTCCCAACTGTGCAATGTTAGATAACTGTTTCAAGCGAGAGGTTATGAGCTTACCTTTTGCAAGATCTGGTCGAAGTTGCATGGCGGTGAGTTCCATGTATTTGACCGCGTTTGGATCAAATTTGAGAAAGCCAAAGTCATGGATGGGATCGCGGTAGATTGGATGAACCTCTACTTCTTCCTGGTTGTTGAAGACGATATATCCCGAGAACGGTCCAGGACCAACGACATGGCGATTGGTCAGGATAAGACTTTTAAAAGTTAGCATGGGCGTTTAATCTCCAGCAAAAACAAATGGCGTACCCTCGCTCAGCGTCAACGATAAAGCCAGTCGCTTCACTTGTCTTGGAGATTTCTGTGTCGAATGCATACGGATGTGAAAACTTGACCGATACGACGCATCTGACAACTTTCTCTATAGCTCTTTGCCATGCCTCGCTCTCACTTTCTGAGAGAAGACCTGACTTGGATGGGGCACTCTTTTCATCAGGGTTGGTGATGCCATTTTGGGTAGGCTCTGTAGATTCCGATAATGTCATGTCGCGCATTTTGGGAAGGACGGGATCCTGGTGGATAGTCATGCTGATGGTATATCCTGACGGAATCAGGATGATAGAACAAGATAGCCAGTCAAGCTTGTGAATGAGATGTAATGATGATGTGGGAGAAACGGTAGAGAATACAGAGGAAGTTATAGAGATGTTCAAGGTTGAAAATGAAGGACAAGTGAACACACTGTTTCAGTGCTTACGGTTGAACAAAGCCAGGCAGTCAGCCCTATGAGCAAATCGAACACGCATCACATCACTGACCCCTCATCAGAGTTGAGGCCCCTCAGCCCCGAAAAGTGGATTGGCTTTCCGAAGTGCCGAGTGATAGGGTGACTCAATTGAGGCAACCAACAGTGGCGCAGTATGGAATCAATAGGTCATTTTCAGCCTTGACGACACTAAATATTTCTCACTAGACATCTTGGCTCCATGTTTGGATCTTGGTTTTAGTGGAAGCGAACCAAGTCGCGTGAGAACGATATTTGATGTCGGAGTTATCGGTCACCGAACAAGAGGGATTATTCCGAATGTCGCCGTCAGAAACAGAGACGTTTAGATAATAAACCCAGATAGTTACCTTGCCGCTTATTATGGGATGACTCACTATTATCTCATACGAAAATAATCAGGCTGAGAATAGTCTCATGATGCTGACTTACCAAGGGCAGGACATTCTTCAAAGATATTTACGAAACCTTTTATCTAACATGTCTATTAACTCATTTGACAGTAAGCCAAGATTAACGGAAAACATATCTACAAACTCCTATCCGAAAAACTCTGAACCGCTTTTATTCTAACCAGATGCAAGGGAAACCCTCGTCTTACTCTCTCCCATCCTTAAACTCCACTCCCCATTCCACTCCTCTCTCCTTCTAACCTCAAGCTCAACATCTTTCTTGGGCGTATAAATAGTGGCCATGTCACCTGTGTTCAGCGCCGGGTTCCTTGCCCATTGACCTGAAGCAGGGTTCATATCGCACCGCACAGAAAGAAGAGCCAACACAATCAGAATTTCTGTCGAGGCAAACTGTCGCGCAGGGCACAAATGTGGTGGTGCGCCCCATGCCACGAAACTGCTCGACACGACCGATTTCTTGTCGGATCCCTCTTTTGGCATGAACCGATATGGATCGAAGACATCAGCCGAATCTCCCCATGTAGTTTGGTTGGTGTGCACGGGTTGGCCAGGCATCATGACGAATTGGCCAGCTTTAAGCAGATACTTGTCGTCCAGGAGTGTATCTTCCGTCACCTTTCGAATGTTCGCATGAATATGTCTTGTCCGTTGTGTCTCCTGATAAAGAGATAAAAGCAAAGGGCATTTTGTTTTCAACGCTGCAACGTCCACCACAAACCCAGTCTCTTTGTTTCCACTAACAGCCTGTTCGATTAATTCGCGTCGCACTTCGTCAAGAAGGTCAGGCCGGGAGAACAGCTCGTAGATGGTCCAGAACATGATGGGTACTGTGTTGGCAAAAGCCGCTGTTCCAAAAGTAGCTTGCTGCTTACAAATGTCATCCTCGTCAATGCCTGCTTCTTGCATAGTGCGCTGACGAGCCATATAGACTGCTGACACGTCGACGGGGATGTTCTTATTGTATTTTCGGAAGGCGTCGAAGACAATCTCCCGAGCTGCGTAGCCTTTTCTGGTAATGTCGAGGTTAATGAGATGGAGAGGCATGTAATCTTGCCATTTCCTTGATATTGTTAACTCTCTGGATTAATTCGTAATACATAATGGTTCTTTCACTTACCAAAATGCTTCATCAATCTTGGGGTCACGAAAAGGATGCTCCACGCCCAAGATTCCACAAGCACTCGCCTGCACAACCGCATACCTAGCCCACTCTAACAACAACACCTTTCTCACGCCGTTCTTCTCTCTAGGCAGCAACGCCTCGATGTCAATTAACGCACGATCTGCCATTCTTGAATTCTGCTCGTCAAGACTGGGACCTGGGGCAAGACCATGTTTATGCGCATGACTAAACGAGTCGACCCATTCACTCCCAAAGACTTCAATCGTGGCGGGATTGGCATCACCCATATGCTTGGCAGCAGTTTGCATAAAGGGACGGAAGGAAAGTGTTTTGGTCCTTTGGATAAGAGGGATGAGGCGGGCTGTTTTAGCGACGTAGAGTTTTGTGTTGAAGATGGCGACTGTATAGATTTCTTGGTCTGTTTGCTTGCTGCCTCGTTTATCAATAACTATTCTCCGGAAGCCCTACTGATTCACGTACCTGGTTATCCCGTGGTAGCCAGAACTGTACTTCATCATTCCTAACAAATGTCCAAAAAGTGGTATTTTGGACTGAAGACGCTTCGGTTCTCTCGGGTCATCAAACATGGAAAAGAGCCATTCTAGCGTGTATGCGAACAGGACGAACCCTGCTGCACCATACAAAATCTCACGAAGCATGATGACAACGAAGATGATAGTGTCACGGTTTCTACTTCCAAAAGGTAGGCACGTTCAACATTTTAATAGATATAAATATGGATGATCATTAACCAAGCTGGGTATCTCGCTTATCAAGAATGTTAGATCCTTTAGACCAAGTACGAATACGAACCCCCTTGGTGGAGAGACTAAGAGCTGCTAGCATCGATCTAGCGCTGACCAAAATATCTTGGTTCAGGGGGTTATGGGAAAAGAAACCGAACCCGAGTAAGAAAATGACCAAGGAATAATTGGACCTTGTGCGATTGGTGAGCGATTTCAACCGTTGCGTATAGTTCTCGGCTATGGTCAACGTTGGAAATTGGCTCCAGTTTGAGTTGCCGCCCATGGGGAAAACAATGCAATGGCAAGCCACAGGCGTACATTGTGTCAAAGTCAAGAATGTATACCAAATGCGTGATATTCCATAGCTAACTATTCTTGTTCCTCCTTTTTTTGCCCATCGATAAAGCCGATCCTGAAGCAATGTCTAATTTTTCACAACGCAATAACTTGCGATAGCAACACTGCAAATTCCGCTGCAAACGTCTCGCCGATGATAGCTTTGTTCGAGGTCTACTTAGTTTCACCATCTATTCTACCGGAGCCTAGATACATAACCCGAACAAGCCATCCCCTGCTACTATGGTAGAGTCAAGTCATACGTAATGCCGCCTGGTCGAAGGCATTGATTACCGCATCGTATAATTCATTTGTTTCCTCTACACTTGACTTGGTCCCCAGAAAAAAAGGACCATCGTCAGGGAAGAATAAAGCCTTGCGCAACGCATACGCCAACTCTTCAGTACCCTTGAACACCGGTGCAAACTCTGAAACAATGGCTGAGAATCTCTCCTTGTCAGAAATGTCCTGGATCTTTTGGTTGGCGCTTCTGAGGTTGCCACTGTTATCCTTGTTCCACGGGAAGATTCGGCTATTGGGGGAAATGTCTCCATGTTCAGCGATAGCGAGCCACATGAAGCAGTAGAAGAACGATTCCAGATCATGTCGGTAGGTGTGGGCGATGAAATCGTCTTCGTGGCGGGCAACATCAATAGCCATAAAAGCCTTTGTTCCAATTACATCGGTGACGGGGCCTTCCAACGGGACCCGTAGATCCCTGCCACTGTCGAGGTCGATGAGAAACCCACAAGGTTGGCCTTTTTTGGCTCCAGGCGACTTGTTAATCATGAAGTTTCCAGGGCAAATATCCCTATGAATGATTTCGGCGTCAAAGTACAGGGTCCGGTGAGCTTTGACGGCATCTCGAAGGCAGGTAATCAACTCGAAAACACTTCGGTAGTCGGTGACAGGACGACCGACTGGAGAGATGACAACGCATGCTGTCAGGTACTTGTTCGTTTCTAGGCGTCGTTGGGCGATGAGCTGGTTGACGCCCCAAATGTTAAGTTCGGTAACTCGCTTCATGAACCTCTCCTCCTTTCGACTCGACTCGTCGCGCAGAGAGAATTTCACAATGATCTCTTCGCCTTTATCATCTGTTGCTCTGTAGACAGTGGGTCCATCACTGACAATAACCTGAGGGCGTGTGATGGGTTCTTTGTCCAGCCAAAGTTTGTATGACGAGTTCGCTTCAATCTTGTCGTCGCAGGTTTCCACCTCACCACCCTTGATAACAACATATTGGGACTTGTTGCTAGTGTAGAAGATCATTGGGTTGAGACCAAGTTGCGCGTCGTTCATTTTCATATAGTCGTTTTCGAACTGTTCAAATGGAACGTTGTGCACGATTCCTGAACGGTAAAGGCGCACGCGATCGAAGATCCAAAGCTCCAGCTCATGTCCGCGTAGATAGAAGCCGTGAAGGAACAGACGTGTGGGTTGAGCCTGGAAGACTTTGTCGGCGCTGTCGTAGAGAATACCGATAGCGGAATTGTGATCGTGGTTGGACTCGGGAGAGATTTCTATGCCGACGACTTGTGTTTCGGGCCAGGGGTTGCTGTCCTTCTCGTGCGCAGAAGGCATAAGGAGATGCTGGATGACGCCACGTTCGAGGGATATACCGCGGAGGACGCGCTGGGGAGTGTTACGCTTCCAACAAATACCCTTAAAGTACTTGTCGAACCAGGACATGTCCTGTTTCCATATGTCGAATTCTATCTTGTCCATGTTGATGATATTGGTAAAGGTGCGATGAATGATGATTGTGTAAACATAGGTTCAGATTTGTCTTTAGGTAGCGCGTAGGTCAAACGGTTTCTGAATTGATGTGGAAGGAAGAGATTTGGTTGTGCGAAAAGAAGAAGGCCGCGACCTGGTTTTACGGCGAGAGGAAAGAAGGTTCGTCGTATCACGTTGATGTTGGAAGGTCACACACAGCCCCCGTTGGTTACGCGCAGGCGCGACTGCACAAATAATGCTTCACTATCGCGATATGAGGCAGACAAACAACAGTGGGTAAGTGACATGCAGTAGAGAGTGAAGGATCGAATATGGCAGTGAGTTGATAACTAACATGAAGTGACTATCCAGTCACTTCAAAGAGTGTTGTTACTGTGAAAAAAAAAACAGGAAATCACCCAGCAATATCGACAGCACAAAGTAGATTTCATCTAATGGCGATCTGTCTTTATCTCATGTGGGATCTCATGTAGAGCAAAGTTCAGATTAGGGCTTCCCGTTCATTCGCCTGTTGATCTATCACCCCCTCAGCAACCGCGTGCCTCTTTTTCGCCAACCTTTTCACTACCAGACCCGGAGTATCTTTTGTATGTCCAAATGCTATTTCCATTCCAGGGGCTGCAAAACATGTCATGAGATCTTGGGCAAGGTTCTGTTTGGTGGTCAATATTGTGTGCCTTGAATGTTGATTTGTGGAACAAGCGCAAACTGTGTTTCATGCAAACTCCTTATGGCCTAGAGTAGGTTGACTTGGCCGAGACTCTATTCCATAGGCTTAGGGCAACTGCATTAATTTTGTGATAAGCGCGCAACGTCGAGTAAGTTCATAGACATGCGACCAGATACTGTCAAGGGTGCGGCGAGCTGCCATCATATGCATCTAACATCGTGGGCAAAGCCTCACTACGCGCATAAAGCATGAAGCAAATCCCAGACGATAATTAACACTTTACGAGGTCATCTATTATATAGCAGTTGATCTTGATCAAAGACATAGACTTGTAGGTTTATTACTTCTTCTCTACGATCGGCTTAATCATCTCGGTGAGCGTGTCAGGCTGGGTGAGATTAGGCGTATGTCCACTCTGAATCTTATGAACCCCAACTCTCCCATTCGTCATACCTTTGAGTAACTCAACCATACCAAACTGATACTCTGGGACAACGAGTTTATCTTGTTCACAGATGATGTAGTGGACCTTGACATCTTTGTATCCGGCGTATGTAAGCTGACCTTTGTATGCGGCTGTCGAATGCTGGGACAGCTCCTTTGCCAGCTTGAGAGCTTCTTCGGGTGGTGAATCTGAGTAGATGAATGGCGCGCATTCAGGTGTGAGTGTCATGTAATCATCCTTGGAAAGTCAGTGGTTTACTCTTGTCATGGGTAAAGAAAGGTAAACCTGCCTCGATGATGAGATAGTCTGGGGCTGTTAGCAATGATATGACGGATCCGCCGACCGGCAGTGCAACTCCAGCAAGATAAATGATGTTGCTGACGCCGCCTTTCTTCCCCTGAGATTGTCGGGCTTTCTGTGAGAGTGCTTCCAGGCATTGAGTAGCGGGTACACCACCGTATGAATGAGCCAGCAGGATTACTTCTCTGTCCTCATCTAATAGTTTCTCCACGACAGATACAATCTCATCGACGTCGTCACTCATTGTAGCAGGGTTCCTTCCTTCCTTTCGACCGACAGAGGGTAAGTCAACGATCTCGGATTGTATGCCATGGCGAGCGAAACTCTGAGCGAGAGGTTCGTAGAGCGACGGCGATGCGAAAGAGCCAGGGATAATAACGACGGTCGCCATACTAAAGACTGATGATAGAGAAACCGAGTGTTGAAATGATGCGAAATGTTGTTGATATATCAGCTAATATATGTCTCAGTCCGTGCCCCAATGTCACATCGCGAAAGGAGAGAATGTCTCAGACGAGACGGAATTACTGCCGTAAGAGGACACTTTTTCCATTTCTTTGTGCGGGGCCACGATAAGGATAGCATGAGCAGATCAATGCGTTCTATAGAGAGAAAGTGATTTATCCCTGCCCAGGAATTAAAATAAGCTTGAATCAAGTCCTGTGGCTTTTTTTTGTCTGTGTTTTGTTCCATGGCAATTAACATGGCAATTGATTGCACTACAATGCATCTTTTCAGGCGTGCATTTGCCAGCAACTATACCATTTAGAACAATCTACTTGTTCACATACATCATTAATCTGACATTCGATTCTTCACACTGGATGCATCCGTTGTCTTTATTGTTAATTGTTTTGCTGCTTTCTCTTTATTGAGACTTTAGGGGGTAGCAGAAGAATTGACCGCTACGCTTTAGGCTACAAAATTAAATAGTCTAACAAGTATGGTCCAAGTGGAATAAAATGGCCTACTAATTTAGTCTCTTGTGCATCTGGCAGCTAACTTTTCTGGTACCAGACTGAAGAATGCGTTGCTCTAGAATAATTCAGGGACTGTGGGCCCCTATCTTATCTCCCTGCAGCGACGCCACTCAACTAAAGTTAGCGCCTGGACCCTGCGATGAAGGTCGCTACTGTAAACGGTTTAGCGCTGTACTACAAAGGCAGAGACTTTTCTCAATATCAAAACCGTCGGTCCCTCAACAAAGAAGAAACATGCAACGCCTTCGCCTTAACACAACACTTCTTCAAAACCCACGTCTCTCACTTTTCCCTCTCCCAAAAATCACAGCGCTTCACACTTCTCCTTTTTCTTCTTTGATAATGGACAACAAACGTCGCTCTGGTCGTGGCGGTCGTGGCGGCAAGAGAGGTTCTCATTCGCAAGCTCATCGCGGCGGAAGACCTGGACAGAACCAGAACCAAGACCAGCCTCGTCGTGAGCAGCAAAGAGACACTCCCGAGCATTCAAACAATGATCATGTTGACCCTCCTGCCACCGCTCTTGCCCCCGAAGCAGGTGCCTTCAGTACGCGTCGCTTCGACAGCCTTTTGGAAAACAACAAGGTTGATCCCGTCATCGTTCGCACCATCACAAACGACATGAAATTCGAGTACATGACCCCTGTGCAAGCCAGCACTCTGGATGAGCTTCTTCCTCCTCATCGCAATGACTGCCTCGTTCAGGCCCGTACTGGAACGGGTAAGACGATGGCTTTCCTTCTACCGGCCCTGCAGACCATGATCAACCAGAAGCGTGGCTCGGGTAGCGGTATCTCTTTGCTTGTCGTCTCGCCAACTCGCGAACTCGCGCAGCAGATTTCCACCGAAGCAACCAAGGTTCTCAAGAACCTCCCTCAGTATCGCGTGCAGTGCGTCATGGGTGGAACAAACAAGGAGCGCGAAGAGAGAGCTATCATCGGCGGCTGTGAGATTCTCATCGCCACACCCGGTCGTCTTTTGGACCACATGTCCAGCGAGGACATCCGACACTGCATGCGCCACGTCGACACTCTAGTCCTTGACGAAGCAGACCGTCTTCTCGATATGGGCTTCCTCAAGGATCTTCGCTCAATTGTTAATCAACTTCCCAACAAGGCCGATACCAACCGCCAAGGCATGCTCTTCTCCGCCACCATTGCTCCCCATGTGAAGCAGGTCGCCGAGCTCGTGTGCTCGCCTCAGTACAAGTTCATCTCGACCATCCCCGAGGGTGAAGTCAACACCCACGAGCGCGTTCCTCAGTTCCTTGTCAAGGTTCCTACCTTTTCCGACATGGCGCCCGCCATGGTCGGAGTCGTTCGCGAGGAGGCAACTCGAGGCCAGAACTTCAAGGCAATTCTGTTTGCGACTACTGCTGCGATTGCCGACTTTTACTTCAGCATTCTCGAGGCTACCCCCGGTTTGCCGCCCGTGTCGGTTCTCCACAGTCGCATGGCACAGAACAAGAGAACCAGAATCACCAACGACTACCGAACTGCTCGCAGCGCTATTCTCGTAGCTACTGATGTTGTCGCTCGAGGAATGGATTTCCCTGGTGTCACCACTGTTATCCAAGTTGGTCTGCCCGCTGACAAGCAAAGCTACATCCACCGTCTAGGCCGAACTGCACGAGCTGATGCCGATGGTCGAGGAATCTTGATTGTCTCCGAGGTAGAAGGTTTCTTTCCCAAGTACACCCTCAAGGAGATCAATTTTCAGGAACGTGAGGCCGACCTGTCGCCTACCCAGGACGTCATCGACCAAGCCACCAAGATGGAAGACGAGGCCAAGTCGCGCGTTTACCAAGCCTGGTTGGGCTACTACAACAGCCACATGAAGGCTCTTCGATGGAGCAAGGAGGACCTCGTCCGTCAGGGCAACGTGTTCGCACGCAATGGTCTCGGAGCTCCCGAAGTCCCAGCTCTGCAGAAGAGCACTGTTAGCAAGATGGGCTTGAAGGGTATTAAGGGTCTTAACGTCACGGCCGACCGACCTCGCACTAAGCATGGAGCTCCTGGCGGCCACGGTGACAACGGACGTGGAAAGCGAGGACGAATGTAAATGATGGGTAATTGGTTCTCTCATGAAATGAAAATATCGGCAGGAATGGATGGAGTTAAGGACATTGCAGAGGGGATTTTATGATTGTTTATATACGATGATACTGCATAGACTTAAAGAATGAACCAGCAAAACAGACATATTGAGCACACTCTCGCCGAAACATGAATGTGTTGATGGAGCAAACAACTTACAAGGGTCCGTCGGCTGGTTAGTCATCGATGTACCTATAATGGAAGATTGATGATCCGCTATGACTACAAGAGGCCTGTCGAATTGATACATCACATACACCATCTCCTGCAATCTTACCACAAAGAACTTTTGCCACAAAGGAAAAAGAAAATGCAGCAGCAATCTCACCTCATCTTTGAACATGGGCATCTGCAACTATACGCACCAACTCGCTATGTTCCTCCCGAGGGATGTGAAGAATGGACCAAGTCGCATCTGGATGACATCTGTCTAGACATGGACTCTTTAACCCTGGAGTCTTCTCCAGCAAAAGCGGAACGCAAAAGGCAATTCTCCCGGAAATACAAGATCCAATCTCGCCTGACTACCCATAACGGCACGCTAGTACTGGGTCAGCCTATGGCCCACGTATACCCTCCCATGATAAATCCCACCAGTAATTCTGGCCCAAGAATTTCTTTTTTCTTGTCGTTGCCAGGAGAGCTTCGTCTTGGCGTCTATCGCCACCTTCTCGTCTCTCAAAATCTCCCCGTTCTTTGCTCCACTGTAGCTGCTGGCGGCTTTCGCGTTCTGGCTGAGGAATTGTACGATTTGGACCTCGGGATCCATCCACAGATTCTGCAGACATGTAAGACAATTAACCGAGAAGCGACGCAGGTTCTATATGCGGACAATGTCTTCCGAAGAAAAGTTTACTGGCCGAATTCTTGGGGGAGGAGGGGAGAAAGAAGGCCTTTACCTCTGAAGGAATCTTCGCCCATCAATCATGTCAATTTGCAGAGCATCACAAACATCCGCATCTTTCGGGAATACCGCAAATGGCTGCGCGATGGAAGACTGAGAGTTTTGGATGAGTTTCCCTCGTTGAGAGAGTTGCAGGTCCACGTCGACATGAATGACGCCCGGGACGTGTCCTTGGTATACAAAGATGCTTTGAGATCAATCAATCTTCACCATCGTCAACTGCCCTGTCTGAAGTTCAAAATGCGCCTCGCATTCGACCAAGCTTATAAAGACTGGTGCAACGAGTACACCAGTCGCCCCATGGGCTTCAGTCTCCACCTGCGAAAAAAGGCAGAATTGGAAAATTGGTTCCAGAAAGAGGATATGTTTGCCGACAAAAAGATCACATGGCAATTTCTTATAGAATTGTCTAGCTATGTCGGGCCATCGGCAACGATCATGTTCTCAACGGTTACGTCCCAATCGAGGGACCAGGCCGATGATATATCTTGCTGCGTCGACGTCGATGGCAAAAATACGTGGAGTAAACTACCGATGTGACAAGTCAATTTTACCATTATCCGATGCATAAACTGTGCAAAACAGGCATTGGGAGAGCAAACGTGGGCAAGCTAGGCAAGTCAGGGGGATCTAAGACATATCATGTTTCATTTTTCATTATAGTGGAACAGCCTTTCGATGTGTCATCTGCAAGTGATGGTCAAATACAGCCAGCTATCCAATGAGCAAGTCTTCAATTGGGGATGCTCAGGTTCCTTCAGTCCCTGTAATTCATGAAAGTCCACCTCGTGCCTATTCTCTTCTTATTACAGCATTACGAACAAGAACAACGCATGAGAGGGTTACACACAGCTTGTAGGTTTGTAAACAAGTTTTGGAGATTTCCGTAGCGCTGATATCGTACATATTTTTTTACGCCGTTTCGTAGAAAGCTGCACAGTCAGGGTTTGGACCGTGCTGCTTGCAGAGTCCGTGATAGTGACCCCTGGAACAGATTTACGATCGCTTGAGGCCTAGTCACGATGAGACTAATGATCAGGCTTGTCCTAGAAAAGCATAGAATTTTATCCAATGCCACACTGGGTTCCAATCCCGGCGAATGTAACCACGACCAGCATCCCACCAAGATAATGCACTCTACCACCTCACTGCACTTTGGAAGAAAAAGCAAAAACAAAAGAAAGCAGAAGCCAATATAGATATAGCATTGAATCCACTTGTACCCTCCCTACGATATCCGTTTCGTAAAAGGCATTTCTGAGTTCTGATTATATTTATATTTAAGAAAATGAATCTACCCGCGGCTTTTCTCTTTTCTCTAATCCGTTCCATGTACAATTCTTGGGCACATTTTAGTAATTGGCCGGTATCACGATGGTTTCCCTTCGTGTGGCCGTTTCTCTCTGCGTAGCCTATCTGTCATACTTGGCTGCCGCAATATCTCTGGAGGATATCCCGAAATGCTCTGTAAGTACCGAGTCCACTGCTGACCGTTTCTCTCAGCCTTCTTAGCACGCCCGTTACTAATCATGGTGATGGTGAAAATAGCTACCATGTGTTATTCAGGTAATGAGCAATCCAGCAGTTGCCAATTCGAGCATCGAAGCCATGTGCGCAGCCAGGGAGTTGGAAAAAACAATCCAGGATTGTATTTCAGACAAGTGCACGATAAGAGAGGCACTCCGTATGCTTTGTCCAACCATGATCGATCACGCCTCTTGACTATCTAACACGAGTCTAGAATTCGCGGATTTTGTCTCCGAAGTATGCAATATACCTCAAGAAGACAACCGTCCAAAGTATCGAGCTGTTATCATTACTTGGACCAGTATTAGTCTCGTTGCAGTAATATTATTAGTCGCTTCCAAAACATTCGTTGCGACTCCTTGGGGACTCGACGATAGTTTTTCTATACTTACCTTTGTATGTCATGCCTTTTGTACAATTTCTGTATGCACAATCAGCTGACATCTGGCCAGTGTATCATTGTGCCCTGCTCAGTCTTCTTTCTTCGCGGTAAGTCTTTTGAGCAGATTTTAAGCATTTGTTATCGATCACAACTAATTCAACTACTACAGCAACTGATAACGGATTTGGATCTATCCAGACGTTATACAAATCTGACGATTTCAGTCCCTTACTCAAGGTATGCCGCACATTAATGTGTTGCGAATGAGAATGCTCATCTTTTTACAGAACATATTTGTCTGGCAGGTCCTCTTTATCGCTGGTCTGGCTAGCGCAAAGGTATCTATTCTCCTCTTCTTCTTGAGAATCTTCCCGGGTCAGAAATTCAGACGCATGGTTTGGACAACACTCGTTTTCAACACTGTCGCCACGATAATCCTTCTCGTTGTTCAGCTCACAGTGGGACGCATTGTCGAGTTGGTTTGGGATCACGAGGATCTCACTGCGAGCATGGACAAATACAAAAAGCCCATTATCATCATCTTGGCGCACTGCGTGGTCGACCTTTGTGTTGATGTCTGGATGCTTATATTACCCATGACCCAGCTTTACAACTTGGGATTAAGAACAGACAAGAAGATCCGGGTCATGTGCATGTTTGGGGTTGGAATATTGTAAGCCGAAACTTTGCATACGTCTTTCTTCAAACACTAACACGACAATAGCTTGACTGCTGTCAGTCTTGTACGGTTGATAATGCAGGCCAAGGTTGTGCCAAACCCTAGTGAAACAGGTAGGTCATCACCAGTTAATACATTATCGCTCGCTTACAATTCTACAGACAGCAAGCTACATTCTACCGTGGTTTGGGCAAACATCGAGCTCAACGTCGGTTTCATAGTAGCGGTCGTAGCGCCTATCCGCCAACTCTTCCAACTCATCGCAGCCAGCGGCAAATCTCAGGACGTTCCAACAACGAACAGAAGTCGATCCAGAACTGTGACATTTGTAGATCGCTCTCTTGTGCGGATCAAGGATGTTGATGAGGAACAGTTGGTGATACAGGATGTCGGTAATTTGTGCGGTACGACATTCAACACTTCAAGTAGTAGAGACACGACCAAGAGGCATGACCATGACGATATTGAGCTGAGCCAGCTAGGAACAATCAGTAATGGGAAGGGACAAAATTGAATAGATGGCGGTATGATAGTCGGGGGTATGAGGCTATGAGTGATGATTTTTTTATTTAATTTTATCCTGCCCTACGGTTCAAGTCTTGGGACCGCATGATGTAACTAGAATTTGGAGCTAGGCTCTCTTGAAGACAATTTGGCCCACTCTATGATGTTCCATGTCTACATGTACCTTGTACACTCACTCATCTACTGCGAGATCAAACTAAACGTTTTGACAAGACTAAAGCCGTCTTGGCTTCTCCGGATATTCAACATTTTATACTAAAATTATCCTGTCAAGAAAAGACAAGACTCTTAGTCTCGGGAATCGAGGGTAACACTGAGAAACAAGCATCACACCAAGGCTTGGGCCCACGAATCACAATCCCCGTTCCAAAACTTGGCACGCCTTATTACTAGTGACGTCACGAGCGTAGTCTTTGTGGGATGACAAGCTACGTAAAGCCGCAGAGAAATGTTGCACTCTACAACCAAAAGCCCTATCAATTTGCGGTGTGCGGGTTTAAGTCTGCAGACTATGCCATCATTGTGCGCCCAGAGGACCCTGGCAGGGTTTGAGACTTGAGGCTTATATACTTCCCGATGATCTACGACGCTTCAAGGGTCGTTGGGCATCAAGCAGAGAACAGATAAGCAGTAGATATACCAGAACGGCCTGGTCAACTTCAACTCTGCACATTAACCATCCAAGATGAACTACGCAAATATGATTGAGGAGAAAAACCTCAAGGTAAACTCACCCTGTCGCACTGCCATTTGTTCGACGCTAACTCTGCTAGAAAACATTTATTATCGCCACGCTATGTTCTACTCTCGTCGGAACCTTTACCTCATCGATGGGCCTCTGGGACCGCGTCAAAGAGAAGCGCATACAAGCTAAACGGGACACTACCCAAGACGAAGAGATCAAAAATCTCAAGGCCAAAGTCGAACAAGCCTCCCTCGAACGCGACCGAGCCTCCTCCGACAGGCAGAGAATACGGGACGAAGTCGAAGCCTCGTTCGAACGGTCGGGCGCCCTCATCAATCGCGAATTCGAAAATGGATACCAGAGATACGGCAAACAATTCGCCATTGGCGACGTCGTGACCGAGAATAAATTACAGGCACAGGTCATCGCGTTGCAACAGACGGTGATCAATGTCCTTCAGGATGCGCTATACAGTGGGAGGCAACTTGACCGCGCCGATATGGCCAGGCTTGTTGCTGCCTCTGATGCCGCGCGGGAGGGTTCTCTTGGTGCTCTCCGACAACAGCGACAGCGTCTGGGGGAGCTAGAGGGTCCAATGCCTCCACCTTCACAAGCCCTTCTACCACCCAAGCGAGCTTCTACCGTGGTCAGAGACGATCCTCTGTACTGTCGCTATGCCCTCGATCTACAATACATTCCCGAACGACCTCTCTCAACGAGCTTCGCCCCCCGCGGCGACCGTCTCTGCCCCGCCTGTGATGTCTTTCTCGACGTCGAAGACGACGATGGCTGGGCGATCGGCAAGACAGCCACACGTCTGATCACAGAGCAGGGCTACAAGCGTGAAATTGATGAAGAGCTCGAGTTCCATATAAGTCCGCGATTCGTCATAAAATGCCATACACCGGAAGGAGAATTCGCCTGCGTGCTGTGCAGTCGCTTCCGTGAAGAAGACGTTCTATGTCCTACGGCGGATACTCTTGTCAACCACATCGGAAAGGAACACAGCGTTGCAGAGATGGAGAGGGAGTCTGACTTTGAAGTGCGTTCTCTAGATCTCGATAGGAGAAGCTTGGCTTCTGCCAGGCCTATCGATATGAACAAGAGGATCATGCCGCCAAGGTCGGTGGATTCAGGGAGGGGAAGTTCGTCTGGGAAGTCTGTCGCCGACGTGGACAGGCGAAGTGCGAGGGCTATGAGTGTCGATAGAAGGAGTATGGATCGAAGAAGCATGGATGGGAGAAGTGTGGTGGGGAGGAGCGTCTACTAAATGAGCATGGTGTTTTGCGTAGCGATTATTTGTTTTAAGCGTTTGTGAAAGATTTGCTGCAACTTTATTATGTTTTCAAGTGATCAACTTTACCCTCCATCCGTTGTTTTTATTGTGGTGATGCGCTGCGTCACATTTTCTTTGGTTCTGATCCCTCTTGTTGATTATGCTCCTGAGCCTCGACTCTAGACTCTTTTTACTTCCTTAGTCCTCATGAAGAAAGATTATAAACACCTTTTCGAATTGATCATCGCCACGCATCCTCTCTTCGTATACACGCTTCTTCTCTTTCTGCCACTCCATCGCCTCGCTCACATTATGTGCCTGTAAAGCTCCGATATAAGCGCTATCTGCCGCCTCATACTCTTGGTACACAGCAGTGAGTTCGGGATACTGTTTGTTCCCTAGTCAGCCGTCAGGCTCCCGATGCCTAAAAGTCTGCACTCACGTTCATGACGACCCATTGTTGAAATGCCTGGTTTTCATCTGTCATGTCGTCCTTCTCAAATTTGCTCTTTGCTTTGTCTTTAGTCTTTTGTGCCTTTTTGCCGGCTTCGAGAGATTCTTTCTTGGTTTGGTTGACACGGGCTTCCATCTTCGTGCGTTCTTGGTCAGATGTTACAGAGTTGATGAGTCTCATGAAGTTGTAGCGAGGTAAGCTGCTTATTTGTAGCCTAACATTGATCTATCAGCGGCACGATACTTTCCACGTATAACAACCTAATGCAAGATGACGAAAACAAACGGCTTCACCCACCTTGATTTAACACCAGGAAAGCTTGGTCGCTGTAGGGCTGACGTTGTGATTGGCAAATTTCTCAATTACTGAACTAGCCTTTGCCAGCAGAAACCTAATCTCTGCACCCTTTCTCTAGCCCACGCATCCCGAGATTCTAGTTGCTCAATCTTACTTTAGATGCCGTGCCTCGGGGCTCTAAGAGCTAGTGAGTTAGTCATGTCAAAGTGCATTCATAACTTGTATCTTCGGGTATTCTGGATTGAGAGAATGGCCGATGCTACCTCGAGTCGTTGTGTCGGGTTAGAACCAGCTCAACCTAGCTGTATTTTAACACAAACTTTAATTCTTCTCAACGCCACTAATATCTTTCGAGGCGAACCACGGTGGCTGGAAACTGTACCTGCAAGCCTTGGAGCAAAAGCTGTTAGCAAGAGTGTCTCAACTAAAGTGTTTCATCAGATACATCAACAAGTTACGTGAACAATGGCACTCAATGCATGATTTGGAACTGTTCATCTCTTCATTATATCTGCAGCGCCTCAATCTATCAGGGCACTTCATGGAAGGTTTGTTCGACATCCGTCTTGACATGAATATGCTTATCAGCATCACTTCCTTGTGTACTGCGTACACTCCCTTGGCCTCCCACCACCTGACTCCTCAATGCGATCTCATCGTCAAATCTGGACTTATTCCCCATTGCCCAGTCTGGCGGTGTTATAAAGCTTGATTTCTTGCTGTTTTTGCCTCGCAAGTACCGTAGCAGTGACTTGAAGCTGGGAAGACACGCTGATACGATGCCTATTGAGGGTTCGAAAGAAGACCAGATAGCCACTGGGCCCATATGCCATGTTGTATCGACTTCTCTTGCAAATACACTTAGATAGTGTATTCGTACGGCACTAGCAATGCAAACTCTTGAAGAATGGGTTAGTACTGAGTTGTTGCAGGACGGATGTGATTACTTACAAGCCTCCGAGTGCTAGGATGCCAAAAACACCCGCTTTCTTTTCTCTGCTCATCTGAAGCTTGAGCACTTCTGGTACAGGAATCAAAAGCACAACCACGTTAGTGATAAGATTAATGATGGCCAGAGCAACGAAGAATTGACCGACGTCGATGCATGAGCCCTGAGACCCCATGAACTGTGTCCAATAGTGTGAAATAGGCGTGCAGCAGAAGCTCATGGCAAAGATAAAGATGATAGGATATGACATCACAAGGATCGTCCCAAACCAAAAGGCGATTCGGAATGAGAGGCTGCCTCGGTTGAATATTCGTTGGTAAAAGAGGAGGATCGAGACTTTGGTTGTAAATACGGCCGAGGCAAAGAGGAAGCTGTATACGTATGAGAGCTAATGCCATTAGTACCAATCGTCTTGTGCAACAGGCTCAACCGAACGAACCTTGACAACTTCTGAGAGTTGAGTTATTGTAAGAGCCCATACATGTTGCCCAACGCCATCATGGCCAGCTGGTAAAGTTAGTGACTACTCATGTCCACAAACCATGCACTTACCAACTACCACCATTATAGCAACGGCAAGCACAAACAAGAACGATACTATGATAGCATAGTCGTCGGCACTCAATCCGTACGTTTGTTTCGTCCGAAGAGCGATCCTGCCCGCCAGGAACACAGCCGAGATGATTAACAGCAGAAGAACAACGCCAGTGTTCTTGGCTTCATTATTGGCCGACAGATCTATGCCATCAGGGGGCGGCCCAAAGGCTGCTATGACAAAAGGGTCAATCTCCATTCCGAATAGGCGAGAGCAAATTGGGTGTGTTCTGGATCCAAGGAGGGAGGCACTGAGGCAGAGCTCCGCACTTTAATAAACTTGCCATTGCATGTTCCATAATGATACTGAGTTAATCTTCTGGGTATAGGCTCTGAGATCATCTGTAGGTGTTCGTGTTTGGAAACTGTTCTCCAGTTTATATTGCGGGCTCGGTCCCTTGCACAGTAACCCATCCGAAACATGCGGGTCTTTTTGCCAAGGGTCCCTCCCTAATCCTGGTGGGTATCATGTCTCCTCTATCCATACTTGCTTCCCTTCAACGATCGGCCTGTGATAAGTAATTCAGCGGCATAAGAACCTGGGGTTAAGAGTCAAGGCAGAATATGGGGTGGGATCGCAGGATCGTTTGCATCTTTGTTCCAGGAGAAAAGTTGACAGCTCGGAAAAATTAGATTTTCTTTTTTTATGAGGCTCTTCAAAAGCTACTGATCGCAAATTGTGAAACGGCAATAACTCAGTCTCATCACAAGCAATTCTAAAATAAACACTAACAGATAACGAATTGCTTCCCAAAACACAAGTTTTCAGCTTCGGGCATGATACGTAATGCTTCCTAGATAGTCAAATGTATGCGCCAAATCGAATACAAATTCATATCTTTCTACCATCGCTTCGTAGTATGCCAAGTCTCTTATTCAAGGACCTGCCCTCTTTAGGTTGGATCGACGGCAATAGCAGGCAGACGTATGCAGAGAACGAAGCTACTATCACCTGCGTTCGGATATTCGCTTGACATCTCAACGTTTATAAATGGGGCTGACTGTTAATAAGCGAAAGTTTAAAGTCGAGAACGTCTTGGCGCATGGTGATGTCGACACAATTCAAGAACATTGCTCGGCATGTGCATGCAGTGTCTGACTTGCAAAACACCACCTGTCTAATCTTGGCTCATGTCAGAGAGACATCAGACACGTATCAAACATGGTCTATAGATCAAATGCCTAAGATGCCGGAGATCTGTACAACATGACAGAAGACGACCTGGAATTCTTGCCTCGGCTCGTTTTTCCATGACTCGCATGCTCGCCAGGCTGAACTGCCGGTTTCATCCTGACTACCCCTGTTCTTGTCTATGTGCCCAAAGACATATGTACTTCTATAGTTCTATGGCTTTAATCCGCGTGCGGTTTGGTTCCTGCATCTCCTGCCTTGCTTGACTGTCACAACTTAAACAGCCAAGCACAAAATGACGTCCCTTTCGTTAAGCGCCCATGAATGCACGTGGTCTTGAACCCACGTGTTTAAAGCCATCGCATCTCCATTATCAACAGATGCAACTTGTCTTTTCCTTTGGGTAATCCGTGTCATTAGGTTTTCAGGTGCCCACGTTGTATCCCCGCGGGAGCTTTCGATGCTACCATGACAGGCCTCTGACTCTCGTCCGCGACGACTAGCGAAAGTTAGTTAAATACGCTAACGATCTACAACCCCGTTTTGGGCAAGAATCTACGCGAATACGATATCAAAGTCTTTTGCCATTTGAGAAACGGTATCCCAAAACGATCAAGAGGTCTGGTAGAGATGAATAGAATTACGGCCCGGTCAGAAGATCAACGGGCCGCCCGGTGTCCACGTGGGATCTAGGGAGAAAAAAAAACAAGTTGGAGATATGATAACTGGATACTGTTAGGCCTTATCAAAACTCAATCGAATCGTCAAAATTGGAGATTGCGTGATGGCTATTCCAACAGGGATTGGAAAACCTAACCGAGAGCTACGTTCAGGTATCAGAAAGTGGGACACATCAGGCATCTAGACACATCTGGCATGAACTATCTAGTGGGCAACAGAAAGGTTAGCCTCTAAGTAGTAGAGTACAAAATGAAGCGGCTAACAAGTCTGGTAGAAATAACATGGCCTACTAACTTCATATCCTATGTTCCCAGCAGCACAATCCCCGCCCTTGCAATCACTGCTCCAAACGGTTAGTCAATTCCCATTGCAGTTTTTTGCCTTCCTGTTATGAAGATGGGTTGGTTTTCCCTGCCGAGTTCTTCCCTTTCGAGGTAGTAGGACTTACATACAATGATTGCGTTGATAAGGAGCAAAGGTTGAACGATTTACAATTCGGAACAAGATCTTTAGGATATATACAAAGGTGATTCAATGTTTACAAATAAAATACGTTACAGTCATGGTCTCCTAGGAATACCAATGTAGTAGTAATTGAATCACAATCGTTGAATATTCATTGACCACCAGTCTCTCTTATTATGTCCTCATATTAGTGGAAATCTCATAACGACTGATAAGAAGCAGTGTTTGTAGATTTTCAATGCCGAAGTCGGAAATAGTAAGCTAGCCGGTCATCTGACAGCTCGTGATATCGGATCAAGTGATTTTTCGCATCCCCAAACACATGACAGCTTCTATTACCCAATTGAATTAAGCCTCTTATCTTATATAGAGGCCTCTTTGCTAAAAGGAACAAACTGGAATCTGTCAGATAGTCAGCCATCAGTCAGTGTCTAGTAAGTGCTCCATTTCGCTCTAGATGCTGGTAGACCACATTTATGCCTCACTCCATTACCAATGGAAATACTCTATTCAGGTCCATCTTCCTAGTTGTACTGATGGCTTCTATGCATGCCACATGCTAACTAGGTATTAATGTCGTCTCAAAGCAATCAACCAACGTGAGTCGTGGTGTTTGCAATTTCTTGAAACATAAAGCAAGTGCAGCCAAAGTGGGTTCAGAAATCGGAATTACTAATCGAAAGTCAAAACGCCACAGAGTTGAGGAAAAAACCTCGTCAGACCACCAGATGATCCACAACTCAAGACATATATCACAACTTGCACCGTCGTATTTATCACTAAACACTGGCTCAATGGTCTAGCGGTATGATTCCTGCTTTGGGATGAGTCATCATTCATGCAGGAGGTCCCGGGTTCAATCCCCGGTTGAGCCCTTTCGTTTTTGCTTGTGTGTAGCTCCCGAGCACTCACTTATCTTTTGTTTTTTTTGCTCTGCAGCATACACTCGCTCTCGTTACTGCCTTTTTATAGTTCATTTACCAATAACCAAGACGGTACTTCGTTCGGCTTCAGTATCATATGATAGTTACGTGTTGGGTGACTCATTCAGACTTTCCACTGTCGAGTGATATTGAACTGAAATGCAATTTACAACAGCAATTTATAAGAGTGGTATAGTGATAAATACAACGCTGACCCAACCGTTACGACGCATCAAAGGTAAACGCCAATCCATCCTGAGCTGCTCCTCTCCAGATTAGTCCATTTCTTCATATCACCTCAACACATAGATCCCCGAATGCCCATAGTAAGAAAAGTAAAAAGCAGAGTACTCAACAAGAGACAACCCATTGCCAGTCCCGAAATGACCCTGGACCGTGTCACCAAGGCACCCTTCGCAGACACACTCGCAGGAAGACCCGTTTCCAAAGAGGCAAGTTTGCGTTGGAGTCCAGCCTCGTAGTCAAACTCTTTAGTCTTCTCTTGATATGTGTAAAGATCCGACACCACGGATTCATCGGTAAAACGGTCAGACGGTCTGGCACACCGGTCCAGCACAAAAATCTCATCCTCCAAAAACTGCCTCACGCCATTTTCCCACTGAGTTTTCTTGACAAACAAGTTGATCAGCTCCGTGCACGCATCAATGGCATTCCTCGCTCCAATGGTCTCATTAAACGTAGTGACATCCCTTGGTGTCGGATCTACCTCGCCATCTTTGTCGTCGTAATGAGAATGCCGGTCGCCATCTTGATCGTTGTACGTGTGGAAACACACAATGGATCCCCAGTCGCCGTATGTGTCGGGTCGGAAGCGGATATAGCCTGCTGTATCACGCTCGATCATATCGGCGGGGTTTTTTAGGCGTCTCTGTGTGTGGCCGAGGGCGTATGAGTCGGATATCATATGCAGACACACGCCAAAAGCTCGTTTTTGAATCTCGGCTTTGTTGTATTTTGGTGTCGTGGCAAGGAGAAGATCGCGGAGAGTGTCGGATTTTGAGGGGACGGTTTCTTTGCCAAAGTATCCGGGGAGAACATGACTGAGAGCATCGTCCTCGGACACTCCTTGGTCGCCGCACGCAAGCTTGTACATGACCTCCACCCAAGTAAGAATGTTCTTCCTAGTCTTCTCTGGCTTCTCGCCCAATTTGGACCCCATACCATGGAAGAACTGAAGATTACCCATGTGCGACCGCTTCGTCATGCACTTCTCCTCGCCGAACTTGAAAGCGTTCAACCACTCGATGCCCAGACTAAACATTCTGTTGTCCTGTGTGACATCCTCAAATAACAGACATGAAGGGTCATCATTCCAGACCACGCCACGGAAGAATTCCCATTGCTTGTCGTTGATATTGTTGTAGACTGTGCCTCTGGGGAAGATCATGTCAGAGTTGATAAAGGCTGCGACGACAATGCTTTCGTGAACAGGGAACTTGATGTCCATCTTGGTAGGGAACGATACGCCGACGCCGATGTCATAATTTGCTCGGACCTGGTCATTTTTTATGGTCGCCAAACTATTTCTCTTGTTGTTCATGCGAATGGTTACATTTGCTGAACTTGTTAGCCATTATCGACAAGACCGAGGAACAAACTCACCAGTCAAAGGGCTTCCCCTTTCCTGAAGATGCGTTACGTCAATCTGAAAGACCCGCGAACAATCCTTTACCGAGACATGGTTCTTGGAGAAGGGCAATGCAGGACACTCAAACTCGAGGGTAAAGTCTGTCCATCCCTGGCCATATTTCGCTACATACGTGACCCAAGCTTTGGATCCTCCCCAACCTGTCTTGTATTAGTGCCGCGATATAGTGATTGAGGATATGGACTCACTGGGTTGAGCGAGGTAAATGGTCTGCTCGGTTCCCGCTTCGATAACGTTCAGCGGCTGACGTAATGGCCAGTTCCCACTGTCAAGACCAGAGTCGTCAAGGAGAAGATCCTCGTCTGACTCGTTTTTTATGCAAACATGACACGAGAAATCCATATTGACAATCTTGTGTCGTTTTCTGTGAGTTTTTGCAAGGAAAGAGTTGGAATTTTGAGGTTTGGGTGAGAACGAACGCCATTTTGCAGCCGAAATCGAGAATCGTGAAGGGAATCTTTGGCTGAAAAATGATGACGTCGTTTTTTTAGGCAACGCGTTCGTTCTGCCTCAGCGGGTCATACATATACCTTTGACCAATTACAATTGCTGATGTTTACGCGGGAGAGTCACGAGCTAAAGATAAGGTTATTCTGGTCCTAATCACTACCCTATAACGAGAGGTGAACAATTTACTGGAATAATTACTGGTTATAATGGGCTTTATTATGATTCTGTATACTGTGAATTATTATCTTGACTTTTATGTATGTATTATCGGGTGGTTTAAGGACTATGTAAAGAGTGTAAGATTGCTTAATCCGGAGAACAAACTCCTTTTAGATCCAAGTTGGAATTAATCAGACTGGAAATGCAACAAAATGACGGGGACGCTAGTGGGGAGTACGACAATGAACTAGGCCTTAGACTACATAAATAAGTAGTGTAAGAAGCATAGTCCAACAAGCATAAACTGACTTACTAATATTGTCTTACAGGCCACAAAAATAAGACATTTAGCCGAAGTTCTGCCCTGGCACATTTGCTCTCTATTTGTTGTCAACTTGACACAAACACACATTATCAGCAATTCCTCAACGTGCGCGAATGCCTTGAAAGTTATTAATGAACGTTGCAAGCTACGGCGATCCGCCTGAACCATGGCCAAAAATATCCTGGCGCGTCAAAAGATCGATATCGCCGCGTTTCGCAGCCTAATGACACGACCAACCTCCCGCTGACTGATATTGCCACAAGGGACTCTCAGTCGACACGACAGTCCACGTTTACGTTGTTTAGAAGTCCCGAGGTCAATCTCACTACCATAGATGCAGCGCAAAGTGCAAACAGTCCCACTCCAGGACGCGCACGAAAGATAACGTGTCTGATCTTATGAAGATCTCCTAATACTAGCAGACAGGCGATAAGACGTTTGAACGATGACACCAGCGATGCACCCATCTGCCCCTCGACAAACGAGCGATTGCGAACCATACCAAGATACTACGAACCGATCTTAATACTGCGTTGCGGCATGTCAAACCTCTCCATCTCGCGACTGAAGCCGTGACCGTTTCCCGAGTCGAAGTCGAAGCCATGACCATGCCAATTCATTGCTACGTTTGATATGTCAAATCTTGTCCTGCAGTGGGTTACTGAACAAGACACTTGATTGCCTCGTAGTTTTTTTCCCAACCTACCGTGATTGCAAGCTCACGCGCCTGCCGCGACGTTTGTCAATTATGTTTGTCTCTGTTGTCTGTCTCTGTTGCATTGTGCTAATGCTCAGACGAGACAAAGGAAGCGTCAATGGAACATGCTGCGAACCTTTGCTGGCCAAAGACGGTTTGTGCTTGTACTTCTTTGTACATTTCTCAACCCAGAACATAATTGTTCTTACCAACCTCTACGCTACTGAATTAATACAACAAAATTAATTCCCATGACTTCCCTGACTCAACCATGAGTCTGACAACGGCAACTGTCGTATTTCCCTTGCAATTAGCAAATAATAAAAAAGAAAGTACTTGCCTGGATAGTCAATAAAAGAAAAAAGAAAAAACATACAACACCGGGGATTCGCTGGTCGTCACCGACCCAACTACTAATCCAGCGCTTCGCAGCTTGACTATGGGAGAGCGGACGGGATCCCGTATTTTCTACGAGCTTTGGTCGTATGTGACATACATTGGTGTAATCAAACATTATAATACAATAATTTTGCAATGCCATCTCAGAACTGCTTCAATATGTTGTGGTCAATCCATGACCGAATAGCCATGGTTACGCAATTGTGTCTGGAATGTGTGAAATGGCTGGGCATGGAGGTTATTGACTGCAAAATTATCCTCTCCTGGGCATTTGTATGACTACACTGCATTATATTTCGAACTAATCCTTAGAGGCGCGATCGATCTATTTGGCGCCCATAATCCTCCTCAAGCATGTGGAATGAAACCATCATCCAAAAATACCGTCGTGGGCGGGTTTAAAGTCGACATGAGGCCTTTCAACGACTGACTCGGGAACTTCCAGTGGAGTGTCCACTGTAATTCCCTCCAGGATAGGCACTGTCATACCCAACTAAGCAGCTCGTGTTAGTGATTGACGCACTGATCAACACGCTAAAAATATTTGACTTACAGCAAAGTATCTCAGCTTCGCAGCGTGCAGCATCGTCGCTGTTTGGGACGTCACCTTGAATCTCAAAACACTCCATCCCAGCGCAGGTAAATCATGAACAATCACAAGCCCAGGATTGTGCAAATTTAGAAACCTCTCCGACACGCCAGGTCTCTGTATCGCGTCTTCCACAGTCTTCCCCGGGAACTTCTGGTTCGCGCTAGAGCCAAGAAGCCATGAAGGTTCACCGTGCTTGTAGAACGATATCGTCTCGTTGATACGGTTCTCGATTACGAGATCTACCACTGAGCCTAGAGGAAGGTTACTGATAACAGGTTTATCCAATGTTTCGTTCACGGCGTGGAAAAGAAGAGGCATCATAGAACCGTGGAAGAGTTGCCATGGTTTGCCATTTAGGAAATACTCTGGTACACGCTCAGTTTTTGACGGCTGGGAGTCTGCTGCTAATCTGAAAGTAAAGTCGGCCTGTGCTGGCCGATGCTTGCTGACTGATGCTGGCGGATTTGCGGGATATGGAGGAACAAACTGTGCGTCAGTGGTACTGCAGTCTGGATGTGTGTTGCCATCTGGAAAGAGACAAGTTGTCTCTGGTGTGGTTGTTGGTAGTGCCATTGGCTCGCCATATTGGGGAGGACGCTTCGCCTGCGATCATGTTAGATCATTCAAGTTCCTTTTTATGGAAAGAGACATACCCGATATCTCAAAATCGCGTAGCCATGAAGATTCTGCAGTTCGCTAGTTGAAGATATCCGGATGGCATAATCATCCGGCTCAGCATCCAGATGTACCAAGACAGTCACACGACTGGGATCCGGTATGTACACAACCTGATAGGCGTCAGACGCATCACCATTTACAAAGGGAGAGAAGACTTACATCTGACGTTTCTGGGAAGACAAAGCCGCCATTGTTGGCCACCAACGTCATCTTGTGGTGGTCGATAGAGACTTTGACAGAATGTTCAAAGCCTAAGTTGATGAGATTCAACATCATGTATTTCTGGCCATGGGTTTCAATGACCTGTTTCCATTATGAGCTTCAAGCCAAAGTAAAATGAGCCGAATCTCAAATTGTGCATCGCTGGGGCTACAAACCTCATAGTCAGCTTCGCTGGGTGTACAAGTCTCATCAGGCAATCCAGGAGGCTGGATGCACCCCTTCTGATCCAGTACATGGCCATTGATGTGACTATATCCAGGTTGACGGCAGTGTACGCGACCCTTTCCTGTTTAAGAAGACAAATTAGCTTTGGTTGGTGAACATAGCGAAATGTTGTTACCATTGACTAAAATAGAGTCATAACAGTAATACTCTGACCCTTCAGCTCTCATGCGGAGTAACTTCCAGACTGTATCACGGTGTTGGTGATTCTGGACTATGACATGGCGAATGTTGCGCTCAGCCTCGCGAATTTGGCGAAGGTCTACGCTGTTGTTCGTGACGAGGTGATATGGCCGAGGACGATCTGGTGAAGGTGCTACGTAGATCGCTCCGGCAATACCCTATGGCAGCAGTCAGTCAGTAGTCGTGACCATATCGTCACTTGGGGGTCGAGATGGATGTCCAGCTTACATCGGCTGATGCTGTGGTAGTGTGGTCAATGAACCAGTTCAGTCCCCATCCGCCCGATGTGTCGTAGGCGGTAGTCCAATTGCTTCTCGGAAGGGTCGGGAACTGCAAAGCGTTAGACGAGGATATCCTGTACGAAGGCGGTGGTAATTACTTGAGAAAGACCCGCGGTTCCATCGTTCCATGGCCCAATAGTCCTGCCACAATTCTTGTTAGTCGAATGGATATGAAGTCTTCAGAGGATGTAATCACTGTTTGTGCCCAATACCAGACCTAGAGCGAAGTGTTGTTAGTGTGGATCCTCGAGTTGTCTCACTTCAACATACAGATGGATAGATGATTGAGCATATATGTCGCTTTTCACACTCAACTCGATGATATCCCCTTCCTCAGCATATAGCGTAGGGCAAGGGGACTGGCCGTTGCAGGTAAACATGACTCGCCACCGACCACCATCTGACGTTGTTAGTATGATTGCTTACCATGCTAATGGCCGGCTTACCTGGGTTCATCCAACGTACACCTGTTTGTAGGTGATAACTCCTGACCAAAGCAGCAGATTCGACACTGGCATCTTTCTCTTCAGACCAGTGTGGAAGGACATGGTGCAAGTCCTGATGCCAGAAAGCTAAGGCTAGAGAGAATGTTGTAAGGACGACAATGCATAGCCAAGCATTTCGAGAGGTTGTGTGAAGCCGCTTCACATTCGGTAGGAAATCCTGCTTAGGATCCATGGTTGTGTGTTTGTTGAAGCCGAGGTTTGGTCATCCACGCCAAAGAACAACTCGTTTATATAAAATCATTCTAGTTAGGCTCTTTTTCGACACGTAGCTAACCCCATTCGATGTCCTAATCCTGGTGACCTCACACTGTAGCTATTGCTGTGTTTGAGTCTTGCGTCGCCCTCACGCTTGCGGGCGTTGAAGCAGGACAATACAGCTTTCAGAGTAGCCGCTGCCACTATATGTCTCAGGTGACGCGAATCATCCATTACAAATCATTGATCACCTGGCTAGAACTGAGAAACGAGGCTAGAGTAGCGGAGATACAGTCCTTTTGAGGAAGAGATCTGGTGTATAGGGCCATAAATTAAGGTTTACAGCCCTGGTCCGTTTGTCGTTCCCTGCAAAGTCACATAGTGTCTTGTTAAACATCATTGGTTGAAGAACGGTGAGCTGAAGATCTATTCTGAAGCCTAATCGACCGTACAGCATTCCTTTTGCATGTTCTTGTAAAAGGTAAGAGCTAGGATCAAGGTAGGAGAGCTACAAATTAGTCGATTGTTCAGACCCTTGTGCCTGACTCATGCTTGTCACTATCATTGACGTTTTTGCCCTAAACTCAGTCTCCCAAGCAAGAGTCCTGCCAATTAATAAATTCCGATTTGTAGAACTACCATTTTCACAGTATCTCTCAATAAAGACGAGGTGGAAACAGGTTCCAATGTGGTTTCATCGGTGGAGAACCCTGCCACTGAGTTGACTCGCAGGTTGTGATCATACCGTGTGGAGTAACTAGCGATGATCCAAGAGCCCCATATTGCGAGGTCCCTTGTTGAAAGCCGACAGTACCGAACAGCATGGCCGATCTCCTGACCCTTGGGCTCGGTAGTTGAGGCGAGACTGTATCCCTGTCTCAAACTATTCACAAGGAGCAAATTGACCGAGATCGAGTCACTATGGATGTGGCACCATCGTATATAGCGACTGTGCCCCTGCTTCATATTCTGCATCTGCCAAACTCACCGAGAACATTCAGTTATATTTGTCAAGTAAAATGACCACAATGCGACGATATACCACAAGTTTTGCACTCTCATTCCTACTGCTCTGCAATCTTGCAACTGGCCTACGAAGATACAACTTTACCATCACTAGCCAATGGAGTGCTGCCGATGGCCATGGGCGACCCGTCTTTGCCATCAATGGCCAAACCCCTGGCCCCTTGATTACAGCAACCGAGGGTGAGGAAGTCGAGATATTCGTGAACAACCAGCTCGCTACCGAGACTACTATGCATTGGTATGTTACTAGCCTAGACAGATGCAAGTGTGGAAGTAAGAAAACTCATGCGGTGTTTAGGCATGGAGTTTATCAAGTGGATAGACCGTGGAACGATGGCGTCCCAGGCGTAACGCAGTATTCAATTCAACCACGTGATAACTACACGTATCGTTTTACTGTGCAGCAGCAGTATGGAAGCTATTTCTATCACGGGCATTTCGGCCCTGCATTTGCCGATGGACAACGTGGCCCCATCTGGATAGAACCTGCTGCATGGCGACCAAGACCATACAAGGCCATTTCATCGTCACCGCAAGATGTCAAGGGAATGCAGCGTGCAGAAGCAAACCCTCGACACATTGTCATAAGCGACTGGAATGCTGAACCGATGGATATACTACTTATTATGTACCGAGACACGGGTATTGTCCCCTGGTGCAGTAACTCGATAGTCATGAACGGGAAAGGTAGAACGTATTGTCACACTAAAGAAGTGATTGAAGAAACAGGAGGAACCGGCAGAAACTCACTCGGCTGCATGGTCCAAGACAAACAAGGGCTTTACGCCAACACTCAAGTTTGTGAACCGACATTGGGAGAGCTTGAAGTTGTCACCGCGGTGGATGGAGAAGAATGGATATGGATTAACTTTATCCATTCTGGAGCACACCATGAGTTACAAATCAGTATTGACGAGCATGAGTTCTATGTCATTGCAGCAGATGGGGAATTTGTTTATCCCCAGAAGGTGTATGCCGCTAACTGCAACCTTGGAGAACGTATAAGGTATGTGCTTGTGCCTTTGTGAGACAAAGATTAATTAACGAGATATGACTAGCATTCTAGTGCATCTGGACAAGACCCCAGGCGACTACACCATTCGTTTAACATCCCTTCGCAAAGAACAGGTCATCCAGGGTCTTGGCATTCTTCGTTATCCCTCCAAAACGAACAATAACGAAATCACAAAACTCCCTACCACGAAACCATGGGTACACCTCAACGGCACTCTGATATCTTCATCTTTGACGTCTATGGACGAGATGAAGTTGGCTCCTTTCCCTAAGAGACCTCCACCACCAACTTCTGATCAAACAGTAAAACTGTTCATTAATATGACAGGACCTTCAGCTTGGTCTTTGGGTCTAGGTTCTCATCAAGCATTCCGCCAACAGCTGCCACCTCTTCTATGGCAAGAGGGCTCCAGAGGTAGCACAACACTGGGTGACCAGAACGCGCTCCGGAATGGATCTGTCGTTGACATCATCTTCGAAAATGGAGCCAATGTTACGACTCAGCATCCCTTCCATAAACATAATCACAAGGCGTGGATCATCGGAACTGGGCATGGTGGGTTTTCTTGGGCGACAGTTCAAGAAGCCATTGATGCAGGTGCTGCGGATCAGTTCAATTTTAAGAACCCTCCCATTCGTGATGGATGTCGGCTTGGGAACGCTACTGGAGACTGGACCGTCATTCGCTACGAGATCACATTCCCTGCTGCGAGCATGCTGCATTGTCACATGATTCATCATTTTGGGGTAAGATATTATCAAGCTTTGGTGCATACCATGCTAACAGTTGTAGGCTGGACAGCAAATAGTTCTTCTTGAAGGAGTGGAGGCAATGGCTCAGATACCCGAAGAAGTAAAACAAAAGGTTCACGCAGACTTTGTGCCGAACCTTCGTTACGGCCCCTTGGACTGATCGTAGGGGAAGGAGATACACAGTAAGAGACAATGTGAAAGAAGAAGCCGACAAACTTCACAGCATGCTTCATGTACACGTAGGAAGCTCTAGTATTGAGCGTAACATATCAACAGTAACAACTATCCCTATCAACTCTTTCCATGTCCCTGGTTCCGTGTTAAAGACACGCCCCCTCCAAGGGTATCTCAGGTACACCAGCTCTTTGCATGCCACACCACCATACTCTTGCTCTATACTCAACACCTACCATACCTATTAATCTCTCTGCAGGATATCCATAGTCGACACCATCATCGGCTTGCAAATTCTTCAAAAACTGACCAACAAAACTCCCTAGCAATGGCCTTCCAAATACTTTCGTGAGTAAAAATCTCTCGTGGCTCATCATGCTCTGACCACCATATGTCTCCGTCATGATAAGATACCGTATCGCGTTGCCAAGAGGGAAGAAGACAGCCACAGAGCTGTAGTCTCCAGCTGGTGGTTGGAATAGTAGGTGAATTGCGTGTGCGATGCGGTAGGCATAAGATGTAGCGATTCTCTGGCTTGGACAATCCATGAGATCGCGTTTTGTGACGGACGTTGGGTCTTCAAGCTCACAAAAGCCAATTGTCGAGTATATCATTAGACAAGTCATCCAATAATAACAGCTCAAGTAAATAACTGCCAGATCGTCGTCATTATTGGGAAGAGGTAAAGCTTTCCCCACGACTGTGTAGTCGTAAGTCATGAGAACATCGCCTATTTCTGCCTCCCAAGAAATGAGGTCCAACTCGCATGCACGGCATGTGTCTTTGAGTATATTGACCAGTTCTGATTGGATCGGATGAGAAGCTTGTCGAAGAATGTCCAAGTCTTCCAGAAGACCTGGGACCTCTACCAAGATGTCAATGAGCTTGTTGAGTGGCGAGTCTGTCACTGAGCGCCACAGCGGCATTCGCTTCCACTGTTGTTGACTGAAAGGTGACCTCGTTCTTCGAGACACACAGGCATTGATCTATGGATCTCAGCATATGAGCACAATCGATTAATGGCTAAATCTACCAGAGTGAGACAACCATCAGCCAACAGCTGGCGTCCCATCGAGGACCAGACATCGCCGGGGCCCCGACTTAGAATGAGTGCCGTTTCGCCATCGATGTGCTTTTTGAAGCCTTGAATCGTGGGCCTTCTAGGATCTTCAATGAAATTCCTGCCAAACAATTGCTAACGTGACGTTAGTACGCCATCTGATTGAAGAGTTGTGAGACGTACTTCGTAAACTCGCATCAACTGAACGGCCGCGAGCATACCGTCCTTGTCTGGTCTGAACGACTGTAAAGAAATGGCCATTTTCTGCAGAGCCAAACCATATGCTTGTTGACTCTTTCGCGTGAGTTGCATGTCGTTGTTGTTTGCCCCAAGAGTAGCTGTGCTCAGGGCCATCGCGATATATCGAAGAGCGGGCTCTACTTGGCTCAAGTCTTCATAGAGTCGCATGCGCTGGAAGCTCGTTGTACCTAAAGCCTTGAGAGAGAAACCGTTCCCTCCTGACAGATAATCCATCCAGAAAAGTCCAGTGAACTTTTGAGTTCTGGCTGTCCTGGCGAGTGAGTCATGTAGCGGTATTACAGACGCACCGGGTGGTTTCGAGATATGTTTTACATCGAGGCTGTCCCTTTGCGGCAACTTGGTATAAGATGTTTGTGCTGGCCCTTTGCTGTTGAGCCAGATAGACTGCTTATCGTAGCCCCCGCATGAGATGTTAAGGGCGATGCATTGACCGCAAAAGGGCATTTTCTTATCACACTACAAGATAATGTCAGCGCCTGATCTGAAGGGACTCATAAGGAGAGACAGCAGTTGACTTACTCCCTTCTTACGTTTTCGACATGTGATGCACCCCTTGGATCTACCAGGAACACCCACCATGTTTTCGGATTCAGATTAACCTTGAGAATGTTGTGAATAGTAGAGTAGATTCAGTCCAGTATTATATTTGTGCGTAGATGGAGTCGTCCACTGGACTTACCTATCTAGATTACAGGGTCATAATCTAGGGAAGCGAACCAATTAAGCTTCCAAATAAAGTCGGCCTACGGAGAAGTACGTACGTAGATCTAGTGTTGGCATTTGCGTGTTCCAATGACGGCATTGACTTCTTGTGCCGGCGCAGATTGACTCTCGATATAGTTTAGCGCTGTGAATCCTTCGCACACGTTAAATCGCATTCGCCTTTCTCTGTAAACGAACAACCTTTTTTAGTGGAATCAAAGCATCATCGCAGCCAATCAACGTGCACTGAGGAACGGACTTCGCTTTCCTGAGATCCTGAGACACGGGCATGAGTTGAGGATTTGCAGGCGATGTTGCTAATTCTGGTTTCAGTCGTCAACATAGCCTGGATGGATTTCATTTTACTCTTAACAAGAACATGTATATATATAGTCCTCAGTCATTGTGAATAACATTGCTCATCACTTGACTTCAATTCGTCACTCGACTTCACTGCATTCCTATCTTGACTATCTACCCACCATTATATACCACCAACACCATGGCCGCCCCAACACGCCCTCCAGCAAATGCTTTTGTCGCCAAAATACGTAAAGTCTACAATCCTATCGGCTTCTCCAAGGGATACAACTTCGTCTTGTGGTTCATCTTTGCTGGCGCCATGCTCGGCTTCTCTCTAGCACGCATGATGTTCCTCGACTACACAGGCGTCTACTGCAACCCCAACAGTCAAGGCGACGGAGCAGGTCCCGGTGAATGTTTCTCCTACAAGAGCAAAGCTGTTTACCAAATCGGAATTAAGCTTCATCTCTACACCATCATCCCTGCCAGTTTGCTTGTTGTGTTTCAGTTCGTACCATTTATCAGGTACAAAGCCCTTATTGTGCATCGCATGAACGGGTATATTGTCACAATACTTGCAATCATCGGGACTGTGGGCGCCATCATGATTGCGCCGGTTGCCTTTGGTGGCTCGCTTATGATCAGAGGCTGGGTCGGAACTATGTCAATAATGTTCGTTGGATCTCTATTCTTGGCGTTATGGAATATCAAGACATTGCAACTTGAGCAGCATCGAGCTTGGATGCTTCGAGCTTGGTTCTACGTGAGTACTCAAAGCATCTTTTTTGTCAAGCATTCGTCACTAACCTTGTCAGGCTGGTTCCATCATCACCATCCGCCTGATCATGATCATTTCCGCACTGGTCATGTCTAAGAATCCAACCTTCCAACAACCTATGCTATGCGACAAAATTGCTACCTTTTACGACGACACAGAATCCTTAGTAGCTAAATATCCTAAATGTGAAGACTTGGATGCCTGGGTATCGGTGCAGGGCGACATGGGCGGTGAAAGTCCTGAGAATATCTCTGCGGCGCTTTCGCTGGGTTTCTCACTTGGTATCTGGATGGCATTGGCCATTCACGCTATTGGTGTAGAAGTCTATGTAAGTTATCCTCGTATCCCCCAACCCTCTATTTCCGGCTGACAAGATCATAGCTTCAGTTGACACCTGCAGAAACGGAGCGTCTACGTAAGGTCTCCTATCAGCGCCAGCTTGAGAGGGGATTTAAGAACCCTGGAAGCAGTGGCCTTACAGCTGACCGACTTGGAGATGCTGAGAAATGGTCTCCGGGAATTGATGCTGTTGCTTGCCCGCCTGTGAAGCGATTTGAAAGCGATTCTTCAGTGCCTACCTCTTAGAGTTGTGACCCATGTGGCTGTATAGAAGAGAGACAGATGATACAAGCATTTCATGCCATGAAACTGCAGGCGATGCCTTGACTGTGCGATGATTTTGAGCGCTTCCCTTGTCTAGATATGTTAGTTGAGCGAATAATGGAAATATAAACAATTGTTACTGCCTGAACCAACTGACGCTTGATGCAAGTCAATGAAGTCCCAATTGGCTTTACCCATAGGGATTGTGCTTATATCAAATGGGACTTGAGATTGGTCGGGTTCACGCAATGGGCTGGTAGGCTGGATCTCACTCCAAGAATTGTAACATAGAACTGATTGGGAGGCTAAGGAATGTGAGTATCGCAGCATGGGCCGATTTGTTCGGCGACTACCTTATTCTGCACATACAAACGCTTAATCGTTGTGAAATTTCACCGTAGTGCATGCGTCTAGTAATATGGTTTATAAGAGGTTCGGTAGCATAATTCGGCCTTGGGTCCCATTCAGGTTGAAGAATACGTAGAGTAGTCAAGTCTGGACCGATCGGAAAGCAGCATGGACCCCTCAGACCCTGCGATAAGTCCCATCGCCAAGTACTTTGTAATGTGTACCTCGACAAGAGAGAAAAAGACACGGAATTGACTATAGAAGGCAGACATGACAGTCAAGAAATGAGTGGTGGGTTGGTAGAGAACTGTGACTGTGAAATGGCTGACCACAGCAATTTATCGCACCGAACACGACACTGCAACTCAATGTTTCTCATTGCCGAACTCCTACGCGGGCCCTAGTATGATCGGTCATAACTCAAAGTTGAAAAGGTACCGGCTAAGCTTTCACGGGAAAACTAATGCGTGGAACGATACCATTTCCCACACCTCCATGATGAGGTAAATAGGTACAAGAGTTACTAGTGAATATTTGTGGGAATGCAAGTACTGCGCATCGCCCGGAGCATAATTAGACTCGGTATGTAATGGAGGGACGGGACACACCCGGATCCCAGGAAGATTTGCCCCAGTGCGATTGTTAATGTTGTGTTCGCCGCTATAACTGACTCCGCCTTCGCTTTACTAGTTCTCTTGTCAATAATACAGCTTTTTTATTCTGGAATCGGTAGACATAGAACTTAACGAATTTGTGATCAAGATCTACGATAAACTCGACAACCATTTGGCTTGAGTATTAATGTAGAGAGCACCTACATAATGGCTTAGCAAGCCTCTCAAACCAGACCAGTAAAGGAAGGTGATATAGCTCTGGTAGAGAGTTGAAAAGAATTTGGACGGGATTTGCCATTATTTTTGATCTACATGCTGACGGATGCTCCCGAGCCTTGACTGCCAAGCAACAGGGCCAAACCGAAGGATTCAAACGCAGATACTGTGCCTCTTGCAATACGAGAAATTGCAAGGAAGACTTCATGTCAAAGTTGCGAAGAGCTATGAAAAGCCTTATGGGCTTCAATGGAGTGAATGTGAAAAGACGACGTATTTGGATATCGCCAGAATAAGATTTTAAAATATAAAAAGACTGCTTCTGTTCATCTTTTAAAGAATCTGAAGCACTCACCTCATCCACTTCACACTCAACCACCAACTATCAACATCTTTTGCATACTACTAAAAGCTAACGCCTTTATCAAAAGTAAGCATCTGGCTAAAGGTCCAAGTCTCTCCGAAGCTATAGCTGACGTATCTGATCAGCTACAATGAAGTTCTCTCTTACCGCCGCTGCTGTACTCTCTGCTCTCGGCGGCGTTGCCAATGCTGCTAAAATCGAGGTCCTGACAGAGCGCCGTACCACCTATATTGCCAATGATGGCGATAGACACGGACTTGGAAAGTTTACAGATGGATGCAAGAAGAACTCATTTCCTTGGATGAAGGAAATTTGCATCGATGACAAGAGAAATAGAGCTCATGCTGTTTATCAGACGAATAGGAAGGATTGTTTCAAGGTGACCCATGAAACTTCAGGTAACTGTAATTGCGAACTCGGCTGGGGTTGCAAAACGTGCTACACCAAACACTATACCACTACGGCTTACAATTGGTGAAATGCGTCATTCATCAAGTATGGGAGGAGATTCAATCGGACGTACAAGAACTTGTACCTATTCATTCTACCTGTTTTACAGACAGCCTGATTGTCATATAAACATTCTGGCTGGCTGATCAACAAGAGCAATTATTATGATAGCAAGACAGGTTTGACAACAACGCAATTGCTATACCACTCAGTGAGATGGTCTTTTCACCAACGGCGGAATATTGCAATACATAGAAACCATATCCTTATATCGAAAATGCAATCATTGGACGTGTCTATCAGAAGTTTTATAGCAAAATCAAACAAAGAGATGGTAGGAAACTCCCATAAACTCATCACATCATTAACATTATATTACCACATCAATACTGCTCCTTTCTGTCCAACTTCCCAACCAGCTTTCCTCCATCAAGGATACTCCCAAACATGGCAGCTTCAAACAAATAGTTGACCTGCCAAGCGTGATGATTCGCATGTGCAATCAGCCAAACCATCTCGAGTACTCGGCCTTTGGCGAAAAGTTTAGCCATTCTCAATCGTGATCCCTCGGCGAGTTCCAACTCGGTTGCTTCGTCAACATTGCCCCCGCGAACATACGCCAGAGGTCCTGTGACGAGATACCACCAGAGCTCTTTTAGAAGGGGCTCATCATTGTGACGGGCGAGGTGCTCGTGGATGTGATCGCAGGTATCCTCCCCGTTGCACGTATACTTGGCATCAAGAGGGCGACTGAAGCCAGTGAGACGGAATTTCTTGTCAAACACCTCATCAAAATCAGCCTCGCTCTGAGGCTGAGCAGGAGTCCTTCTCGCCTTCTGCCATCCCAGAAGGGCGCGACGGAAAAACATGTGTCGATCGTTCTGGATGTGCCAAGTGTATAGCGCGGCACACATCCTAGCAACAGGTTCATGCCATCGCTGCGTGAGCATCCTTGCGCCCATCACAGCGTAAGCATCGTAGACACTCCTCAGTACGTCTTCGCTGACAATTCCTGTCTCTGTAATGTCGCTGACGTTGAGGAATGAGTTCATCACCTCCGAGTTGACAAGGTCACAGCCCACGTCGACAACGTCGGTTCCTGGCGAGCTAAAGACAAGATCTGCCATGACGGCTCCGGCATCAAACCCCCTTGCTGTCGCTTCGGCTGCCATGCCAAGAAGACTACTCTCAGACAGCGAAACGATCTGCGCGGTTCGTCTGTCCAGCCGAGCAGATCGGTTGAGAAGATGATCCTTGTGCTTCTTCTCCAGGGCGATCTTACCCTGGATATATCTCTTGCCAATAGCGACGGCATCTCGACGTTCTCGGCCACCAGGTGTTCGAAGCGCATGAGGATCGTTCAATCCTTTCTCCAGCAGTGGCTCAAGGTTGGGGAAGACGTAGTTGTAACCATGCTCATAGTAAAAGGCCATGTCAGTAACGTAGTTGGAGAACATGGTATTCGAGTCGGCAGCACCCATAAGAAGACTAGCAATACCGCAGCCGAACAGGGCATTGGTGGTCTTGAGAGCTTCAGGCCAGTGCTCTGCGCCAAGGATCTGAAGGATCTCTTGAGAAACGGGGCTCAAGCCAGCGCCCTTGGGCGGCAGAACGTTACCGATCGCATGCTGGGATTGCTTCCATTGCTCTAGCTCAGGTGAGAGCTTCAGCTGAGTAACTCTAGATTCGGAGCCAGGGGACAAGGAGCCAGAAGAAACCCCTGAGGATTCATCGATGTCTTCAAAGACTTCAATCACGAAAGTACTGGCAAGGTTGGACAGACGCTGGAGATCGTCGACGGTTCCATGACCGATAAGACTTCTCGCTTCAGCATATCCGATGTGCACAGGGTGCTTAGCTTTGGAGTGTCGGTCGAGTAACCTGCCAATGCCACGGCCCCGGAGACCCTTGCCCCAGAAGTACGGATACTGGGGAAGCTCAGGAGAAGAAGAAGAAATAGAGGGGTCCGAATATTTGCGGGAAGAGGATGATTTGACTTTGATTTTGAGCTCGTTGAGGTTAAACTCATCCCAGTAGCTCTGCTGAGGCCAGGGTAGACACCAGGGGAAGGACATTCTGATCGGCAATAAGGAAATTAGATCGCTAGTAATAGTGTAGATAGTTCACGATAGTGAGAAGTCTGAGCGTATTGATCCTTACTAGGGTGGTTTATTGCTCTTCTTTTATATAAAAACCTCGCCTGTTATTTCAGGGACGATACAACTTGAAATACCGCAGCTATAGTACGAAGGAGCATGTATTTGCCTGGGTTGAAGTAATTACTAAATCGCCATCGCATACAAAGCACTTGTTAATGTTGAACCATGAAATCTTTCAACCTCTCTGATTGTGTGTGTGTTGGTTGAGACAAAAGAGCTAGCTAGGGACCTAGATCCAGAAAACAGGGATGAACCAACGAATGGTCTTGTGTGCCCCCTCCCTGTTCACATTTTACATAGGACTTGTCCAGGATAGAAACAACATGCAGTGGCGATCGCCAGCGATTCGGAGGTGGTGGTGGAGTGTAAGACATTATGTGCCTGCGCGTGGTCAAGAGGTAAGAAGGTTCAAGAACCTGCAAGGCTTCGCGTTAGATGTTTCATTATTATAGCGTCTCGTATTGTCAGTCGGCGACACCCAACACAGGATGAATACTTTGAGATCTAGATGATTCTTTCAGGGCGTTGCAATCTTAGATTTTATCGTTTTCATCATTCTCGGAAGGGTCAACAGATCGGGATTTGCGGAAGGATATGATTTTGGCATGGGGCGAACCAGTACGTTGCATCATCACGTTGCAATCACCGACATGCAGGTTTGAGTGATGGCGCCAACACGATAATGGATAAATTCAGTGCACTTGGTAGACATAAACCCGTAGATTGGGCGTCTCGTTTATCACTATCCGTACGCGGTAGCTGATTCCTGGGACTATGCCGTGTGTGGTATAACTCGGCAGTTGAGTCTCCACGTTTAATGGGAACCAAGCCATTCCCTTGGCTACAGGTGAGGATTTCCCTCACAACCATTTGTAATGACCCTTGACAGGTTGGGAATGCATGTTTGATGTTGGGTCTACCGAGGTAAAGAGCAATCATATCAGCCAGTGATTGTCTGCAGGCGGTGAGTAAGACATTGACTCGGAGCTGAACGTACGTAACCCGCAAATGCCGCGTCTGGATTCAAGACCCAAAAGAGAAAAGTGGAATTGTCTGTAGAGTCCAAACATCTAGAAGCTTTCTCCTTTTGTCTCTGTCTGTAAGATTGGAAAATATGGTCTTGAGGTACAGGATATGCATGTCTCGCTCATACGCAAAGAAGAGAGGAAGACAGTTATTCTTCATCCGTCAGTTAACTCAGCCACCCACCATTATGACGAATTCCCAGTTTCCAGTCCATCCTGTCACGACGCCCAATCTGGATCCATGTTAGCTTCAAGCGCTAATTTAGACAGCCCCTCCCTCCTTCAAAAAAGCACGATGATGGTTCTCGATAAACCCCGGGCCGGGCCTCTTCTCATTTTCGTCCAGGCCAGGGCATCGTCACGAACGTTTATTCGACTCGTGGCTGCGAGTTTATTGAAACAAGCCTTTTCCTTCAACGCAAACGGTCTAAAGCCAAACTTAACCTTTCCCCGGGATTCGAAAGCCCTCGATTTGGTCTTTCCACTTGCCGACGCGTTTCGCAGTGTCAGGCTGACAGGCGATCTAATTTGATCAACATGCACCAGACCTAGGTCGAGGTTGTTGTAGATAGGCTAATGGGCCTGACCCTGCTGAGTGAATCGGACAATCATTGCCAGATTGCCATTCCTACCATGTCCAAACCCGGCAGCGTAGTGGAACATATTGTATTGGGCCACATTCCATGGTCTTGGCGGGGTTTTCTTCTTTTCTTTTTCTTTATTTCTTCTGCTTCTCCGTTTTGCTTTTTCTTCTGGTTTGTTGATTAGGCTCTTGTTGGTAAACTACGAATAAAACAAGTGCCGCTACTACTACCGTGTCTCTCCCACGTCTGGTCTGGTCTGGTCCTTTTTGTTCCCCATTTCTGGAACTTGCAACATCCATCTAAATCATACCCTCCCCTCCCTGCAGACTACTGCATAAGACGAATTGTGACCAACAACCAACAAGCCAACCACCCACAATCACGCCAAGACATCGCAAAGTCGCTCACTTACTCGCCCACCCGCTACCATCGATCTCACTAATGGCTCCATCCGATGGACTCTCTTCGATCCAATATCGATCCATTGATCTATCAGCCCGCGAAGTGAGGCTGCTGGAGCTACAGCCATCTCCCACCAACGGCATCAATGACCGCGTAGTTTGTCGTCTCGTTCAAGAGAAGCTGACTGATTCTCCTGACTACATTGGCCTCTCAGCCCTCTATGGTGACATCACAAATACGGAAACCATCATCCTCAACGGCAACAAGGTCGCCATCCCTCTAGACCTTGCCGAGGCACTACGTTATGTCCGGGATGTCTTTCTAGGCAGGCGGATTTCCACTGCCCATTCCACATCGGCACTCGACCTCGAACTGCAAAGAAATGGCAATAATAACACCACCGCCCAAGATCAACAAGATTCGCCGCCACCTTCACCAACAACAAAGCGTCCCGGCTGGCTAAGGACATTTCTAAAGAAACTCGTGGATCCAGGCTCGGCCAAGACAGACAAACAACCGCCATTGCGTGTCTGGGTCGATCTATTATGCATCGACACACGAAACAAGCGTGAACATGCCGAGCGTCGCGCCACCATGGCTCGCGCATATCGTCAGGCGCGACTGGTGGTAGGATGGCTAGGCCCCAAAGACTCGACATCTGACCTAGCCATCGAGATTATCAGAGCGTGGGATAGTTGCATGCCTGCCAACTTCGGAGAACCCGGCGACCGTGAAGCGAACCCGAAGAACTACGCACCCATCCTTCAGTGGATGGGCCCCGTTGCTCATCTCAGCGACATTCCTGAGGGTATCACCGACCCTACAGAGGTGCCCAGCTATAAGGCTATCTCCAGGTTTCTCAACAGGCCATATTTCCGGAATACGTGGATCCTTGATGACATAGCAATGGCGTCGTTTCCTACGTTCATGGTGGGTGATGGTATCGTGTCTTGGATGCAGATCCTACGCCTCAACCGCGTGAATGAGGATATCAAGGACCATGGCGCGGAGATGTTTCCAAGTGAGCTACGGCCTTTGCTCGAGTATATGCCTCTTGGTAGTGTTTACACGTTTCTTAAAGAGTTTGACCGGCGACAGAAGCAAGAGGAGGGCCGCCCTCCGATGTGCTCTACGCCAGCCAGTTCCATACGCAGTTCTGTTTCAATGACGGCGTTGAAGACAAGGCAAAGATAATACCAACAGCCTCTTCTGTGTTCACATAGATCATTTTACCCGGGTGTTTTTATTTTGTTCCTACTGTTACGAGTAGCAATGGGCCTGAGGCGTAATGCTACCGTGGTTTCTTTTGTGGAATGTTGATTGGATGTTCAACTTAGCGATTTGGTTATTATGCATATGAATAGAGAATTATCTCACACTACCCCAATCCATATCTCACCAAAACTAATTTCTTCTGAAAACATTTCAGTATTAGCTTGGAATGTGTGCACTCCATGTGAGACCCTGATCAGTTATGCTACGTTGTCACCAAGTCATAAATCGTCATCATTGTCTAAAAGAGTCTATAAACACCACTTTGAAGGCGCAAAACTTCAATACCCAATTGACAGTCATCATGTTAAAAGCCTCGACTCTGAGCTCATGCATATTACAAATCACAAGTGACACATCGGCATATCACTGCCGGTCCGGCAAAAAATGACAGCCATCGCCGTCATGGAATGCCAAGATGCAAGGGAACCACCATCTTCTATTCTCCAAGTTTCAGCCACTTAGAAGCTCCCTCCCGTTGCGCCACCGGATGATGTCCGTGGACGGTTGCGGTGATTTCCAAACTCTAATTGGACCACGTACGATCAATTTTGTTCTAGAAGGCTGAACTGACTGCTACTGGAATGTTGAGTCTGATTAACATGTCATTATGTCTTATATGTGCATTGAAAAAGACGTTCGAGAACGGTAAGGCTTACCATCTACCGTCGAAACTACTAGCCAGATGATAATAATTCTCTAAGTTGCGCTACTTGAGAGGCTGGTCAAGTACCTATCTCATCATATTTTTGAGTTTTAGGTAACTAAAGATCTCGAACTTAATGAGGCGGAGAAAGCGGATGTCGATGTTGATCCGAAAGGAATCCCTGATTTTTTCCTCTTAGTAGTAATTGTTCCTTTTTTGTTCTACCTCAATTCCAAAAGCAGAACGACGAGAATGCTGGTCTCCGGTATTCAGCGGACAAAACAATTCCGGTTACATCTGCCAAGAATGAAGGCGCTGTCGGGTTGAAGCTACATTGTTCTGCCCGAAAAGTCGAGCACACGGGTCGTCATGGCTCGGGACACATTGTTGTTGTTCTCCGGAGTCCCTGATAGTTCCGGCAAGTCCCATTCGCAGCCGTTTTCGGGTTGTTGGTGGACATACCACCCGTTCCTGAACCAACTGGCATGAAAGTAAAATTAAATGGTCTATCTTGAGCTAGTAACTAAAGTCGACATTTGCTATGGGGGTTGCAGAATTCGGTGGAGTGTTTGAGTGCACCGAATGCCGATCATTGGTCCTGTGTTCTATATTTGAAGGACTAGTGTTGTCGGATGTCGAAGTAGCACTCTGTAGCTCAGCTACTTGCCCGTTGATTGCCCACCCAGTATTTCGCATCTCTTGGAAGCTCCAGCTTGGATTGAACCCTGGGCTTTCCCACGCGTAACTCACGCGCTCGTACATCTCATCAATCTGCTCTAATGTCATCCTACTGGTTTCGTACACCATGAACCAGACGAAGACGATAGCAAGGATACAAAAGGTACCCCAAATGAAAAAGATCTTCAACCCGAAGGCGTCAGCCCCTCTTCCCAAAATAAACGGAGGCGCATAAGCAACAGCAAAGTTCAATAGCCAGTTCGCTGTGGTCGACACCGACATTGCCTTTGCTCGTAATTTGAGAGGGAAGATCTCTGAAGTAACAACCCAAGTAACAGGTCCCCACGATGAGGCATAGAAGAAGACGTTTATCGCACAGCATACGATGAGAACCATGTTGGATGCGTTTCCGAGGTCTTGAGACGATTTCTCGTTTGCTGTGGATACGGCGCTGATGATGAACTGGCAGACTGCCATGCCTAACGCACCAGCCATAAGAAGCTTCCGTCTTCCCCACGATTCGATAACGATGAGACCAGGTATCGTGCAAACACAATTGACTATGATCATGACGAGGTTGATGATGAACGGGTTGCTGACGCCAGATCTACTGAAGAAGGTTGTACCATAGTACATGACGAAGTTGATCCCGGTGAGTTGCTGCAGCATTTGCAATCCACACCCCGTCAAGGTCCGGTGCCCAAGGGATGAGTTCCTTGTGAAAAGAGCTCGGTACGTATCATGGCCGAGTGTCATCTCATATTGATGGTTGGCGATAATCTCTTGTAGTTCGTTCACGAGAGCAGGATGAGTAATGTCAAGTCTGCGGAACCGACTTAGGGAAATACCAGCGTCGTCGTTGCGTCCCTTTTTAACCAAAAAGCGAGGCGTCTCTGGGAGCAACATGATGCCGAATGCGAGGATAACACCGGGCACTAGTTGCAGTCCTAGAGGGATACGGTAGGCGGATGCGCTGTTGATACCTGATGTAATGACGTTGATGATGCTTGCAGCGAGAATTCCAACCGTGATGGAGAGTTGATAAGCGCAAATGATGCTTCCTCTGATCCATTTCGGCGCCGTCTCAGATTGATAAAGAGGCACGAGAACTGATGTAGCTCCAACGGCAACACCCGCCAAAGCTCTTTAAAGCACCAACAGTCAGCATCGTAGAAACGATAAAGCCAAGTAGAGTTGAACTTACCTGCCAACTAGCAACATGGGAGTTGCTTGAGCACACACCTGAAAAATAGCCCCAATACAAAAGGTCACCACAGCAAGAAACAATGTTTTGCGTCGGCCGATGCTATCACCAGCTGGAGCAGCAAGTATGGAGCCAATAACAGCTCCGCCACTGAGAATAGCGACGATAAGAGATGAGTCTTCAGGACATAGATCAATGTGGCCATTTTCGTCTCTGCAGGTTTGATCGGTAGCAAAATCGGTTTGAAAGACATCCATAGCAAGGACGCCATTAATAACTCTGATGAAAGAAACAATCCATTATTAGTCAAGTTCAATGATGAGTGATGATGAGCGCGACGCGTCAAGAATAGAGTGATGCTCGAATGGTACTTGTTGAACCGAACCAGGTCGCGCGTCACACAAGCCTGCATTGCATAACCGCGCCGCAAAGACTTCCCCAAAAGAAGCAACGATAGGTAGAAACAAGATTTTACGAGAGAATAATTCGAGAAAGGTCAACTCACCCCACATCGTAGCCAAACAGTAAACCCCCTGAGGACACAAACAAACCGACAAGAATGGCGCGTATCGACGAGCCAGCAAAGTTTTCGGGCTTATGCCAGCCCATGGCGCGTACCATGACGAGATATCATTGACTGTTAACAATTGAGCGAAAGAGCTGCACGTTATAGATACCGATGTAAAAATAAGTGAACGAATGATGCTTTTTTTCAAAAGCTGAACCAATGGGGACCCCGTGGTACGATGCGGAGAAGCTAACTTGGGGCGAACGGAAGAAAAAAGACTCACGACATGTTAGTCTTTTATTGGCCAAAGACAAATCCACCATGACTCGACATGGTGGAGTTGTTCAATGGACCCTTGATGTGGTTTTTCTGACCAAAAATTGAGAACGCGCGATAAAAAGAGGAGAACATTTATGTGGAATTTGGCAAAAGAAGAGGTCCTACCCGGGTTCGAACCGGGGACTTCGGAAGATAATTTCGATGAGGGTCATCAAAATCCAACGTCCTAACCACTAGACTATAGGACCGTAGGCTTTATTTGAAAATCACCTACTAAAATCTAACTATATAATCAAGGTAACCAGCGTCGTCTAAACTTTCCCATCTGATTCTGGTCAACACAGCATCAGTTCATTCCAGAACATGTTGATATTTTTCCGACTCTCGTGCTTGGTCAAAACACACGTAAGAATAACCGACTCAAGTATTTCTTAGAGTTTAGTTCGTGTTTTTCTCCCTCTAGCACATCAACTAGCACTTCTCTCTCGTTGATTGACGCGCTATTTCAACATAGCATAACTTAGGGTAGGCTTTAACACTTAGGCGGAAGTGAACAAACAACAATTACTTATGTCAACTTTACTACCACACTATTATTAACATGTACTATGGTCGTCTAGCGCTAGACGTATTCCTGTCATATCCCATTTAATAAAACTTGCGGTCATCAAAAGACTCAAACTTCTCACTAATAATTTTTCTTGTCAACTCCATCAACTGATCACCGAGTTCCTCGTCCTGCGACTTTTCATTGCCTGGCTCTGGTACAGCAGGAGGACAGATGTACTGGCCCGACTTGTCAGTTATCGTTGCGGCGTACACTGCACTGGTGGCACCCTGGAATTGGTCCTTTTTGAAAGGCTCCATGCCAGTGGACATCATGTATCCAGCAAGAGGGTACCTGTACCAATCATTAGAGGGCCAGTCAGGCATACGAGAAAACGGAATACGTACGCTTCATGAATGTGCTCCAAGCTTTGTCTCGTGCTGACGAAGCCAGGATGAGTAGCGTTCATCAGAATCTTGGGCGAGCCAGCCTTGGTCACGTTGCGATCGAAGTAGCGAGTATAGAGAATGGTGGCCAACTTGGATCGTCCGTACTGAGGGTTTGGTCCAAGGTCGGTGTTCAGTTCGTCCAGACTCTCAAACTTGACGTCGCTGGGGGCACCCTGATGTGCATTGGAATCCTGGTTCACAATCCTCACAGTGCCGTGCTTCTCAGAAGTCTTCTTAAGAAGATCTAGGAGATAAGATGTGAGGAGCACATGACCCAAGTGGTTCGTGGCCATGTGTTGATCGACACCATAAGGTGAAAGCTGGTAAGTCTGAATGCCCCGCCCAGCATTGTTGACGAGAATATCAAGACGATCAGTTGAATTCTTGATTCGGTCAGCAGCCTTCTTGACCTCATCCCAGTTACTCAGATCGCATTGCACCCATTCTGTGCGGTCAGCCTTCTCCTGTCCGAGTTCTTCGGCTACGGACTTTTTGGCGCCCTTGACTACTTCCTCGGAAAGCGAAAGGATAAAGATCTTGCTAATATCGTGGTTAAGGAGGGTATGGGTAACACCGTAGCCAATGCCTTCGCTTCCACCCGTCACGACGGCCACTTTACCGGATAGGTTTGGGGTTTCTGAGAGGGAGAATTGGTGGGTGGCAAGCTTTTCGGCGGGACCACCAAAATTCTCGGCGATGGTGTTCTGAAAAGGTTAATAACCATATTGGAAAATAGACCATCGTGTAGTTTACCTTGACGGTGTCGATGATGGAAGCCATTGTATTTGTTTGTGGTTTTCTCCAAAAAAGACAATTATTCTCCGAGTGTACAAGTGGAAGTGTAGTCAACAAGGGAGTTCGAGTAGCGCGGTTTAATAACCCCGTGGAAAGTCTTCTGCCAGCGGATATCTTGATAGTGTTCATTTATACATATGAGTAAGTAACAGAGTTGTGTTGACATTTACTGCTGGTGAAAATGCAAATATACCATCTGAAATGAGAACCATGAATCACCACTCTCCTCTGAGTCAATGACGTACATGCTACAATAATGACGAGGACGATTATTGTGCAGCGAGATGAGACAAACGTTATCATGATCGTCTGTTACTCGTCTCTAATCTTGACTTTCTTCGCCGATGTCTTGCCTTCCACGTGTTGTGTTTGTCTTTCTAGAAGAAGCTGTTTTGATCATAGCGTTCTAGTGTTGTCATTAGGATTGATGTAATTATTAGATCAGTTTTAGTGATGGTATAGCCTAAGATGGCACTAGTATTTTCATCTGGTCTCCTTCCATCCCCTCCTTTTGCTTTTGCTAACCATCTGACCCGTGACTGCAACCCAAATCGCGCTATCTTGTGCCTATAAGATCCTTCAAAATACCTCTTCAAGGTGCATGATTGTCCAAGTTACATGTGAGTATAGAGTGTCTATTTAGCCTTGGACATGTAAACAGCATCGTAGGTCTGATCGAGTTCCATCGCGAACATGTCTTCCACCGCCTTTCTCATAATGTTCCCCTTTGCAGTTCTTGGCAAAGTCCCCTTCGCCGCGACGAAAATAAGACGCACATCGTCAATCCGCTCATGAATGTACTTTCTTTGATGGAAAGGTGCAATCCGCTGGACGATCTGCTGCTTGAACGCCAATAACCTATCGTCACCCGCCTGTAAAATGTCATCATTCTTTGCCTCGACCACCATAGCTGGCGATGGGCGTCCATAACCGATGACAGAGACAGCGCTGATAAGACCAGACTCGCATTCTTGCATCGCTTCTAACTCGAGAGAACCCGCGTCGCAGACCAAAGCGAGCTGCATCTTGATCCTGTCGTCAATCCTACCTTTGTAGACATACTGATTGGCATCAACTTGTTCAAAAATGTCACCAGTATGGAACATGCCGTCATCCTTATTCCTAAGAGAAGGGTGGGGACAGTCGTCTGCCTCTGCTGGAACAAGAAGTTCGAAGAGCTGCGGTGATGATGTGGATTCACTCAAAGGGATGAACTGGCATCCTGACTCAGGCAATGGCGATAAATGCGGTGATGTCGACGAGGAAATCATTGACAGCCCAAGTTCTGTAGAACCATAAAGATTTATCAGCTTCAGCCCATTCTGGCGGGCCCAAGCTTCATCTCTTGGTTCAAGGACTTGGCCGGCAAAGTTGATCTTGTCGAGGCTTTGAAGCAGTCCAAGGAAAGGGCCGCTCTGACGTGCCTCATTGAACATCCCTGATAGAAGGGCAGGAAAGGTGTTTAATATTGTTAAACCTCCCTTGGAGATCATATGTTCAAGCTCAGAAGTCGGATAAGGAATGCTGGTGGGTGGAATCAAGCAACCTCCGCACGCTAAGATTCCTGCAAGATTGATCGTGTTGCCCAGATGAGTATGCGAGCCCCTAAATCACAATTAAGTCACAAATACGGAATGTTATGGATGAGAACTCACATGAAAGACGCAACAGAGACTGGTCTATTGTTGACGTGTCCATGTTTTCGAATCAAGCAATCCATCCATCGTACTGTCTGTGGAACCAGTTTAGGCATCCCAGAAGTTGATCCTGATGTATGAAAGATGACCAAGACTTTATCGCCATTGGTAGATGTGGTTGTGCTGAGTTGCACGTCATCATGGTACTGTTTTCCCAGAACCGTACCAGTAGAGAATGTTGGGACAGTACATCCTTTCACCAAGGGCTCACAAATTGGGTCGTGTAACAGAGCTGCTGCATTGCAGTTGCCAAGAAGTTCATAGACAATAGAAGGGTCCGTCATTCGAATGGAGAACAGTTGAGGAATAAATCCAGCCCTTTGAAGCGAGAGATAATGCAACAAGTCCTCATAAGACCACCCCCTTATCCTAACAACAATTAGATACAAGTAGCTGAAGACACTGGGTAGGTTTACCAAAGCCCGACTACAGCGCCTCTTGTAATGCCTGCTTGCGATAGTTCTGCGACCCAATTCTTTGCAGCAATATTGATGTTCTGCCAATGCGTCGCATAGGAAATTGTTTCAAATTCATTATTAATAGATTCGGAGTTCACGTGTCTTATGGCTGGGGAGTCGCCTTGAGACTGCGAAAGAGACTCGATTATTGAGACTGGTGTATAAAAGGTTCGCATCTTGATTCATTGTATGCTAAGAAGCTCTTGGCTTTAAAAGCTTATCATTGGTATTATTTTATAGTCGATCAAAGAACCATGACTCTCAACGGATACGATGTCACTCAGCACTAACAAGTCTAATATATTACTTGAATCCATATGTGAGATTTTAGGGCAGGAAGGATGCGATCGACTCGGTAATACGGCATTGTGAGGTCTCACGCAATTCGGAGGAACACTCTAGAGTAGATGTGCAATTATTAACAAGGCCAAGTCAACCAAATGGCATCTATTGTGTTTTGATTGATGATGTTGACAATGAGAGCGCTAACCAAAAAGGCAGTCGGATTTCGAGGCTGCCTTGTCTGCTTTTCCTTATGTATATTTATTTTGCATTGATGAGTTTTGAAAATGACCCGGCGTACAGTCCGCTAGATATACATGTGTTTTTTCACTGCCATTTTAGTCCATGCCAAGGCCATACAAGTTTCCACTCGAAAAGTTGAGGAAATAAGAGTTAGCATAGAGGCGCAGCACCAAAAGTTCGTTCGCTGAGCCACGCAGAGAGCCTATACAACCCACCTCTGCGCTACGTAATATTACAAAGAAGGAAAATGCGTTACAGACCACAGATGCAGTCATAGAAGAATGTGCATGTGAACTCACCCAAACATGGTAAATGCCTCCCTGCTGACTTAAGACATTGTGACCCAGAGAATAGAGACAGTGACCAGTAATCGCCCCTTCGTCCCTCGGTGTGTAGAACAACGTGTTTGGGTCCTTTTGGTCTACTGTTTATTAACCCAGTATCCGTTATTAAAGTAGAGTAGTGGTACCACAGCATTGGCAGTGCGCACGATTGTACTTTGAGAGCCCAGGAATATAGAGGAATGGCCCCTCACTGTCTCGACCACAGTGCATCTGAAGTTACACGGCTTAGCTTGCATAATGGTGGTCAGCAATCTGCTGATTATTGCATCTCGACAGCCTCAGTTTATTGACGCAAAAAGAGGTTTCCCTTTCAACAGCAGTTAATTTATATAAAGGTCTCATAGCTTTAGATGTTTATTGTGTGCACCCACGGTCATACCTTAACTGTGGACGTTCCGGCCATAAGCTAGCGCTAGCAGCAAAGCTACATACTTTCCATCTGTCGCTACATACCAGCTTAGACGCCCTGCGATGCCCACTGCGTAGGGTCACGTTCACAGATCATAAGCATCCATCCACAGCCACAATGCATACACTAATCCTGTTTCTTTTTTCAAGCGACCACTCAAATCTTCCCAAAATGTCTCTTTGAAGCTGTGTAGCCATGCACATTTAAACCCAACTAATGAAAGACGTCGTGTTTGCAGCCCGACCTGAACAAGGCAATATCTGTACACGCAAACACTGGGCGAACTAGGCAATGGCAGCAGAGCCTCATCAGACTTAATTGTTCGAGCGATTTGGCAGGTTCATGAGCTCATTGCATTTTTTACCTAACGGAGCTAGCTCTGTCTGTCAAGATATTTCTTCCCCAAGTCATCTCTGGCATGGATATTAATTCCATAGACTTTCAAAGCCCAGCGAGCCCTGTCGAGACCCCAGACCAACACCCCGAGGTGAATCGCGATGGCGTCATCAACCCCGCAGCAAAGTAATGGCCAGGGCATCAACGAAGGAGGCCAAGGTCGACGTGGAGTTGATCGTGCGCCGTATCAAGAAGACCCTTCAGATAATGAACAAGGAAGAAAGAGTACTAGACAACGAGGACCACCCAGGCGCCATCATAAGAAGCCTCTCAGGCAGCGACGAGCATACTCTACTGACGACTACTACGTCGACTACGCTGCCGATTTCCAACCTAGTTTTCCTCGATCCCCATACGAACCTGAACCTCGGATTGATGACCTTTACCGTCAAGACACCGAACCTTACCAACAAGATACAAGCCCATGGTATCCTCAGCCAAGCCCTGGCGGGCCTTCTACTTATCCTGCGAATTACTCTGGTTCATACTCCTTCCCCTCTGACACTTACAGCTACTTCTCTGGCACCTCCCCTGCGATGCCGCCTCACTCACAATCAGGACTATACAATCGAATTCCAAACAGCGAGCCGCCTAGGGAGTTTGACGAAGACTACACTACAGCCGCTACCTACGAATCTCCACCTGCTATACCTCCATATCCTCAATACCCCACTCGAGCACCAAGGCGACCACCTCCTCAACCGCTGGCCCCTAGACAGCCAGCCTCCAGTCCAGAGTATGCCACAAGAGGTACGATGCGAGATATTCCCGAGCGACTTCCTAAAAAGAAGCCATCCAGTCGAAGGAAAGACGGCACCTCGTCATCAAGTGATCAGAGAACGATGCTGGTCATGGGTCAAGTCTTGGAAGGGCTGAATGGTCTTCAAAGACAGCTCGAGGACAGATCCTCAGAAGTCAGATCTGATCCAGGATGGTTTTTGTCAGCTCGTCGACCTAGGAGCGTATCAACCACGAGCCAATATGCTATGGAAGAGACTAGATCACTTGACGTCGAGAGGCAAGAACGAGATCACTTAGTGGGTATTATCAATCGACTACTCGAAGACAGAGAGAGACAAGGGTATCGCAACCCATATTTACATTCGCAGAGAAGGGATATAGCCGCCCTAATTGAGGATAGCCTCGGGTTGAATGAGAGTGAAATGAACAGGGCGTTGATCAGGCATAGCGATAGCAAGGAAATCGAGTCCAAGCTCGATACTATTCTGGAGCTTCTAGTCGAACGCCGATCGAACAACAGCCAGGCACGGAGACCATTATTACAAAATTATCACGGGCAGAGACAAGATTACCAACTCCCACGAGGAGACCAAACGGTCATCTCTATCAGCTCATCACGAGAGCCCAACATGCGACGACACGTCTTGCAACGCCGTGCATCTGTCGCTCAGCCCGTGAGCAGAGAACGACAATATGCCCAGCACCATACAGCACATTCATCAAACCAGGCTCGTATTCGAGTGAGGGCCGATAGGGCAGCCGAGCCCGCAGTGGAAGATTCAGACGGTGAGCTAGATGAAGACTACGATCTGTTCCAAGGCTACGAGACACAAGACAGTCCTCTTCAAGAGGATCTTCGAGCCAGACGCCTGGGTCTAGCACGAGATATGGAAGGCGACAACGTTAGGGGTGGAGTAGTACCAGAGCGGCAACACAGCAGCAACATACGAGGTATTAGTAGGAGACTATCGGAAGGCGGCGAGCAAAGAATGAGACCGAGATATTATGCCACTGTTGAAAATGTGGATGATGATGATGATGATGATGACGACGACGGCGACGACCAGGTACCAATTCCAACTCGTTCCTCGATGGCACATAGACCAAAGGTCGAGCAGGTAGAGAAGAAAGCGCCTCATGTGCCTGATCCGCCTGTTTCTGTTACTGGTCAAAGGAGAAGGGGAGCAAGGGTAAGGTTTGATAGTGCTTGAGACTTTACGAGATATGATGTTGTTTATGTACGAGTTACGATAGTTATGATACGCAGCGATAATTAAAATGCTACTTTGATGTATTGGGAAGAACCTGATGGAACCTGCAGCCTTATTCTGTTTCGCCAATTGTAAAGCAAGATAGAGAATATGCTTACATACGCTGATGTGCCCTGATGAGATTGCCAAATAGCCCATCATTCTACCAATTGGGTGCGGCGGTGGGAGTCGCTTTAACAATCGGAAATTCCGTCGGCTTGATCACTTAACGTTATAAAGTTAAAACACGGGTCATATTATTAAAGGATAACGTTGGTAGCTGTTACCAAGACAATTCCAAGACTAGCAATAGCGTTATTGACCAGGTATATCCTGCGGGGCTCCAGGTTCCAATCATCAACTTGTCACTTGAGACTATAAAATCACTCCCCAGCCTAATCTTTAAATTCTGACTTTCGTTATTGATTAGTTTCCGATTTAAAATCTCATGCATTTCACATTGCTCTCTACATACAAGTCATCTATCTAGACTGAAACACTCAGTGTAAAAACATCATGGACCGCCCCAACAACGCCATATACATGCTGTCCGAAGGGAATCACGAGCTTCGCGTCATTCAGGAACAATACATACCTAAACATGCTCAGTCACTGGTTGATGTGCAATACTCAGGAATCAACCCTGCCGATACTCGGCACATGTACCTGAATATGACGAACTACGTTGCGGGTTATGAGTTCACTGGAACCGTCAAGCAAGTCGGTCCAGAGTCCCCCTTCAAGATTGGTCAAAACATCTTCGGCATTTCCCTTATGTACGACCGTCGCCCTAATTATCTCGGCGCTCATCAGAGTTATCTGCTTGCAGAACCGTTGATGACATTTCTGCGGCCAGAACACCTCGACCCCATCACAGCTGTGACACTTCTCGCTGGTGGAGGTACAGCGATGGACGGTCTCTTCAACGTCCTGGGCTATGGGTTCGCACTTGCCGATATCCCCGGCAATGAACCTAAAGATGAACCCATTCTCATCTGGGGAGGCGCAGGTAGCGTTGGACAAGGCGCTATTCAACTTGCAAAAGCAGCTGGTTTCCACCCAATTATTGCAACTGCCTCACCACAGAACCATGAGGTGTTGAAGGAACTCGGGGCAAGTCACGTCTTCAACTACAAGAGTCCTACCGTCATACAAGACATTCGCAGCTTGCTTGAGTCCTCAGGTTGGTCGCTGAAGACTGTCTTTGACGCAGTTTCTACTGGTCTGGGCGTTTTCGAAGGCCTCACAGAAGAGCAAGAAAAGGAAGTGCAGGAGAAATACGACCAAAGCTCATCAAGCATGGCTCGTAAATGCTGCGATCCCAAGGTACCGTCAAGCGAGCTTCGTTTAACTTCCGTTCTTCCAGTCAAGAAAGATCCAACTTATGTATTTTGTCTTAATTTTCGTCCTGTGGAGGTTCTGAGCATTGGCAATGAAGGAGCTGAGTGGAGTGAAGAATTTAAACAGGCTGAGGTGGCAAAGACGAACACGTGGCAGGCGCGCATTGAGAAAGGAATTGAATGGTTGATTGAGAACCATGAAAAGTACTGGGAACCTCCTAGGACTAGGGTGGTTAAGGGCGTTGAAGAAGGCCTCCAAGGAATTCGCGATGTTTGGCAGGGGAAAGTCAGTCGGGAGAAGCTTGTCATTGACCATCGCATCTGAGTTGTTGATGAAAATTCTTTATTATGATGTATGCATACCGCAGATGGGGAACAGCCCCATCTTCTAATAACGAAGTGTATTTTGTAACAACTCCATTTACCCGATGTTTCTACGCAAAATCTCTGAAGAATTAGGATGAACTCTTGTTTCGACCTCTATCGTCTTGTTAAACGTTCTGTCTGATAACTAGAGATCGTTTCGTTGAGAATATTATAGAAACAGTTCTTCGTATCACCAATCCTATCTACTATCTCGACAACGAATAGTTGTTATTCAGTGAAGATCCATGCTATATCTGTAACTACCGAGGCAACGGTATCGCCGTTGACCCATTGCACGATAACAAACTGTCTCGCTTATATATGATGCATCTAGGGAATGTAAAATATGAAAGCTTGATGCTCGGGCCGAAGTCTGTCCAAGTTTACATCAATAGGCTACCTCGACTTCCTGGTGCAGCATTCTCCGAGACTCCACGAGACCTGCGGTTAGACTTGCCAGCCACGCAAGTACAGTGGATACGTGCGATACGATCCCCATTATGTAACAAGGATCGTTGCTTTGCGGGTCCAAGGGTAAATGGCGCCGGTTTACTCCCTATCATTCTTGACTTTGTCATAGCTGAATGGAGATGGTTTACGCTTTAGGCGTGTTATCTATGAAACAAAAAACAAGACATGGTCAAATCAACAAATAAAGAACTGTCTTTGCAATGACACAACATTGATGATAGTTGACTACCGGCATCCCCGAGAATGATACGCTGACAGACAGGCAGACGGCAGAGCCACAGTGGCATCGCCATTAGCATGCCATGGTATGACGTGATTTTGAGGTGGCCATTTATTAGGCGAGTTACAGAAGCCCCCTAACAAGTGTTCAAACAGCTGTGGCTTTCTACAAAATAGGCTAGAATCTGATGATTACTGTGTGTACTGCATGGAATCCGAAATCTAGCAATCTTACAGCGGCAAGGCAGGTATACATATTACAAATGCCTCACTACATTCAAGGACTACCGTCAAGAATGGGCAACACTGGCATTAGAACCAGAACTGCCCTGTTTCGAAATCCTGGACTCTGTGACATCTCTTATGTAATACGGAAAGTACAAGTAAACTCCGTTATGGAGCCGGCGTTTCACTCCGTGTTGCACTGCCTGTCTATTTACGGAGTACTGAAAACATGACTCGACATAGAAGGTCATCAGTCAAGATCCACGAGCATTCTGGGGCAAAAGGCAGCAGATGGAAGGATGACCGCTGTAGCCGAGGCTTCTAGAAACTTCCATAGGAGACATGACCCTTGCAAAGTGCGAGAATATCCTCCGAGGTAAGGCAAACAGTTTGGTGCTGCAACCCTACACAAATGTCTCATACTGTACTGCAAGGAACAGAGCAAGAACAGTCAACGAGGAACTAACAAGATTAGCGGCAAGATGTGTATGCGTCGTCAGATAAGCCAAGATATCTCCAAGAGATTTTATCAGATTTATCCGTTTCCAAGGTGCGGGTGACCGACCTCGGGGACCGGAGATGGTGTGCGTTAGCGTGATCGGCGATAAATGCCGTGATACCGAACCCAGAAGATGATCAGCATAGAAATGATAAACAAGAGGAAGGAAGGAAAAGGAAGATACAAATGACAGAATGGGTGGAGCTTTGAGTTTCTCTGTCCAAACTTTTCTTCCTCCGTTCGTTGCCCATTACTGGAAAGACTGGTATCAAAAAGTTGGATTATTCCCCGAGATCGCCGCGCGCTATCTAAGTCTCATAAGTACTATACAGTAAGATTGACGCATGAGAAAGAACATAGGACAATATGAGCGCCAATTCCCGGATCTTACGGTGGTAGCTTGCAGGGAGGGTCGCAGTACGGATAGTCCAATGGGCACCGAAAAGCGGTTCGGTTATAGTTGCATGTCTCAACGGTAGTCCACAGTTACGTAGAAAATAGACTGTTTCCTTGACTCCATACATTATCGTGCAGACGTTTTGCTTTGGGTTTTTTTTATACGCAGTAGTGACATACTGGTAGCTGCTATCTCTCCTTCTATCCACCTTTGTGACTGGTCACCCGTTGGTCCAATACAGCATTTTGTAGTTAAACAAGACGATATTCGTCCACATTCCACTCTTTCAAATCCACAATAGACAGTAATACAGTCTCGTCTAGCTTATCTCCGCCCGCCTAATCTAACAGGGACTGGAAAGATTATATCGCGCACTTGACAATTGGTCCCCTCCTCGCCCAGTCCCCGTTAAACTAAACCAACACAATCACCCCGGGACTCGCGATCCACAACACCGATCCTCCAGATACGGAGATGATAGGTTTATGGGGCCATTGTGGACCAGGGATAGATAGGAATAGAGCCTCGATCGAGTATAATCCGGGGAAATCAGTTTCTTGTAGTCATAGAAAGGCCGCGTTTAAAAGGTCATGACGCTCCCTTGCTTCTTGGGATCCATCTTCCCCAGATTCCAAGACTCTTTTCCCGTTCCAGACTCTGCTCGACCCATTTACTCTTCGCTCATCCTTACCCTGGCCTGAGCTTTGCTGTGCAAAGCTTTCATGAACCACTAGCTGAACAGCGAAATCTCTCAACATGTCACCCTCCAAAAAAGAAGAGATTCCTTCGGATCTGGAAGGAATCCAACGATCAAACTCAAACTGCTCCCAAGTCGAAGGAACTTCACAGCGCATCGATGATGCTGTCTTTGGTGAAGTTTCAGAAGATGGTCCCAACTATCGCAACGTGCGTTCCACAAACTGGTCTACCCATGACTGAGAACAGTACACTCACGCTTCAAACAGGTCGGATGGATCGCAACAGTCGCACTAATGACAAAAACTCAAATCGGCCTTGGCGTTCTATCAATTCCTCAAACATTTGATGCATTGGGCTTGATCCCCGGAATCATATGCCTCATCACAGTGGCAGTTATCACAACATGGTCAGATTATATGATCGGCGTGTTCAAAAGGCGCCATCCGCAGGTTTACGGTATCGATGATGCTGGATACCTAATATTCGGAAGGATTGGTCGCGAGTTCTTAGCAACTGTTTTCATGCTTTGTATGCAATGACTGCCTGTCTCTGTGGCCTTTTTACTGACGGATTTCTAGACTGGATTTTTGTAGCTGGCTCGGCGATGCTGGGTATCTCCATTGGCCTCAACTCTGTTTCTTCACATGCGGCTTGCACAGCCGTTTTTGTGGCCGTAGCAGCTGTTCTTGGATTCTCTTTTGCCAGTATTCGTACGCTGGGTAAGATTGGATGGCTCGCCTGGGTTGGACTGGTCTGTATCATGACAGCTAGTAAGTTTCCTCCTCTCAGAGGCTACCTACATTGGTCTTATCAATGCAGAATTGTTAACTGATATTCTTCACAGTCTTCTGTGTCACTGTGGCCGTCGGTGTCCAAGATCGTCCTGCTGCTGCGCCAAGCCCTGAGCATGGCCACTGGGAGTCCGACTGGAAGCTGTTTAACCACCCGACCTTTGTCGACGGCATCACAGCAGTGTCATCCCACATCTTTGCATTCTCTGGAACGCCCGCCTTCTTCCAAATCGCTGCTGAAATGCGTGAGCCAAAGCACTACACCCGCTCCCTTATAACCTGTCAGTCGATCGTGACAATTACATACATCACCATCGGTATAGTGGTTTACTTCTACTGCGGATCATATGTTGCCTCTCCTGCGTTAGGTTCAGCTGGCGCCCTCATGAAAAAGGTTTGCTATGGCTTTGCCCTCCCCGGATTGATTGTGACTGCCATGCTTATGACCCACGTGAGTGCGCCCTATTTTTCCTTTTTGTGAAACTTATACTAACACAGCCAAGATTCCTGCCAAGTACATGTTTATCCGTTTGTTGCGCGGTACAAAGCATCTCAACTCCAACGGTATAGTGCACTGGGCCACCTGGTTAGCCTGCACGGGAAGCGTCACTATCATTGCATACATCATTGCCAGTGCTATCCCTGTATTTGGAGGTCTCGTGTCTCTTATTGGTGCTCTTCTTGGCACTATGATGTGTTTCCAGCCGTATGGCTGCATGTGGTTGTATGACAACTGGAACAAGGGCTTAAAGAACAGATCACTTAAATGGTACTTTATGGTTGGCTGGAGTGGCTTTGTTATCTTGGCTGGTACATTCATGATGGTTGCAGGCACTTATGGCTCCATCGTTGGTATCAACAACTCACTCAAGGCTGATGGTGGAACGAGCCCCTGGTCTTGCGCTGATAACGCCAATTCTGCAGGCGGGGCTCACTGAGTCGAGGTTGATGTGAGAGGTTGAGTTTATTCGGATAGTCCGGAAAAGTGTCCTTGGGGCTGGCATCTCAAGTTGAATTATCTTTGATCAGATCAAGATAGTAAATATATTCATCAACATATAAATACCGGTCCATCCGCTTCCAACGTCATCTGTTGCCAAGACGCTTATGTAATGATGTCATGGAACCCTTGTATTTGGCGCTGTAGGCATCCACTATCAGGGTCGTCAGCTGCTCAAAAGAGAAAAAAAAAAGTCCCTGATATTTTTGCCTCATCTGAGTCACGTCATTCAACAACAGACAACAAATCACTTTACAGCTTTCTCTTACAACAACAACCAACGATGAGTTTTGTAAGGGCATTCTCATTCCTCACGGTTGTGAGTCTCGTCACCTACACTCTTCTCTCGATAGCGACGTCATTCGGACCCGCTGAAATGCCCGAGTTCGACAAGAATGAGACTGTTCGTGATATCCCTACGTTTGGACTGGGGACTTGGTTAGCTGGAAAGGGAGTGGTAAGATGATCCGTTGGATTTCCGATGAAGACACTATTACTGACGAGTTGCGCAGGTTGTTCCTGCTGTAGAGCATGCTCTCAAAGGCGGCTATCGTCACATCGATACTGCCCTTATCTGGCGCAACGAAGAAGCGATTGGCAAGGGTATCAAAGCCTCAAGCGTATCACGCGATGAAATCTGGGTAACCGGTAAACTATGGAACACAGATCATCGTCCTGAGTTAGTACGCAAGGCTATCGAAACCTCCATCGCGAATCTCGACGTTGAGTATCTGGACCTGTACCTCATCCACTACCCTGTGGCTTGGGTTCCTGAGACACGAGAAGTAGATAACAATACTTCTCTTATCGACACATGGAAAGCTATGGAAGATCTCGTTCGCGCTGGTCTGACGCGTCATATTGGCTTCTCCAACTTTGCTCCAAAGGACATCAAGAATATCTTTCAAATTGCTAGCATTCAACCCTACGCTCACGAATTTGAGACACATCCTTACCTCCAGCAACAGTCCTTTGTGGACTTTCACAAGAAAGAAAACATCAAAGTGATCGCCGCATCGCCCCTCGCAAACGCAAACCCGACGTATGGCGATAAATACCCAAGTATTCTACACGACGCTTTCTGGACGACGCTCGCTGAGGAGAAGAACGCGACAGTCGCTCAGACAATTCTCGCTTGGGGACAACAACGCGGGACGATCGTGATTTCGAAGAGCACGCACGCTGATTATATTGCTGAGAACTTTTGTTCCCAAGGAATTGAGTTCACCAAAAGTGAGCTCGATGAGGTTGCGAAACAAGACAAAAAGTTGAGGCTGTTGAATCCTGTTCACTGGGGGATGGACTTGTTCGAGGGTCTGGATGCAGGTGCTGCAGAGAAAGAGGAGCCGAAGAAGGAAGAGGAGGAACGTAATTTGGATTTGTGATTAATACTTAGCCCTTGCAGAAACGACTTGCGACATTTATAGACTAGTGCTTTGAGTAATATTTAATAGCGAAGAAACAGCACGAACTGACCAAGTTACACACAGACTTGCCAGGTGATAAGAGCATTTTAATTGGTTGCATAGACTCTGTCTATCTAGTCAGGGATTTGCACCCGGCTATTTACCATCGGAACGCGCCATCACTGTATGCTTGCAGTTGATCAGGCGATGGAAGTGCTCTGTCTTCAAGTTGAAGTTGGGAGTGACTTGGCTTTCTGATATATATGTTGTTTGTAAAGTTTTTATCCGGTTGTGCGTGTTATAGAAATAAAATCCTCTCTTGAGGCTCTCTTCTGTATTATAGTTGAATCTTCATATGATATACACTGTGCTCTGTAGAACAATGGGCATTACGACTGACTACCTGGATATTCGTATGTAGGGTAGCAGAACGAAACCCTCTGATCAGCTATCTTGCATGAGGTCGTGCACGAACAAACAGGGTATTTCTTTCAGTGACTGAATCGCCTAATCAACACTGACCTTAGTTCACGCAAGCTTTGCAGATCATTCAAAATTGTCGCCTGACAATCCTTAGCTCTCCAAGCCAATTCGAAAAGCAGCTAAGAAGAGATGACTTAGTCTTGCTTCTTGTTCCTGAGCACAAACCATCCTTCTAGCCTGACCTGACAAGCTTGGCACTTCTGACATAACAGGCAATGACTGTTCAGTGATCTTCATCTTGCTCCACTTTCCCCTGCCCATCAGTCCAACTCCCCTGTCATACGAACCGCTTTTTGCGCCCAGGCGGTGAAATTTCATAACTCCAGGGCCTTTGGCAGCCAATGGTTCATTCTCGGTTGAGGCGATACTTGATCTTATCTATAGAATGATAGAATAAGATGCCGTTCAGGTCAAAGCATTTTGTGGTCTTATTGTGCTCAAGTCAAGTGAGACACTGAGACTAGACATTAGCCTCACGCTTTGACAAGCTCACTCGGCAGTCTATTTGCCGGGGCTTGACAAACATCCCGATCCCCATTTGAACTGACAGTTCGGAATCAACTTGTCAAAGCGGACAGTTGAGACAGACAGATACGAATAGACAAGATAGCCATTCGCTCTTTACGAGGAAGGTGATCGTATTCCATTAACTAGAAATCCGAAACTGAAAGACCCAAGTACTGCGCGCAATTCATCCACTGTAAATGCAACCCTCCCCTTTCAAAATACGTCACTTTTCTATCAAGTGTTTAGACTCGTCAGAAAACGAAACGAAACAAAACCATATCCTATAACCCGCACGTGGTATCCGTATCTTTCTAAGCTCGTCCCCTAATTTAATTCCTGTAAATCCCCGATACCTAGGGTATTTTGCTGATCAGCGCAGCAAAAGCGCCACCTGACCCCCCGCTAGCTTCGTCCAACTGCCAGGGGTCTGAAATAGTGATCGTCGTGTATGATTGGATTTTTTGGCCGTTTCCTCTTTCCAGTGTACGGCTCGTCGACGTGACATTCGCATACGAGATTGAACGGTATCCGCTGATGAACATGGTATCCCCCTATGTATGTACTCCATACTCTGTAGAGTTGCAATACTATACCATTACGGCGTTGTGAATAGAGTCCATAAAACACAGCTGATCTGCTGCTTTGGATTGAACTTTTCTCTCTGCTCTTCAGTCTTCAGTACTCTTTTCCAGTCACTCTCTTAGCAACTCCAACTTTAGGAAGCAATCTTTGCTCCAGTCACTCATTATTATTTTTGTTTTGATTCAATATGCATTTCTCTAACTTGCTTCCCACTTTGGGAGGTCTCGTGGCCGTTGCCCAGGCCTCTCCTCACCTTTTGCCCGGTGTCGGTCTTGGTCTTGATGTCGATGTTTCTCTCGGCGGCAAGGGAGCTGGAATCGAGGCTGGAGTTGACTTGGGATCTACCAAGGAGACTGTCGCTGACCTTCCCAAGAAGGTCACTGCTGACCCTCTGAAGTCTGTCCAGCAGTCCAAGGCCAACGGCGTTTCTACCTGCCCTCTCGCCCACAGCTGGGAGGACCACACTCTGTTCAAGGGTGTCGCTGCCCCTGCTTCCGCTTCTGGCCCTGCTATCAAGCTTGGTCTTAACCTCCCCAAGGCTCAGATCGAGGGTGATGCTACCCTTGAGCTTGTCAAGGGTTTCCTCCAAGAGCCTCGCGTCCGCATTGGTCTCGGTGGAGTCAAGGCTTACGTCGAGGTTGACATTTCTGCCTCGGCTGCTGTCCATGAGTCTATTGAGCTGTTTGCTTCATCTGCTCTCGGGATTGAGGTCCCTGGCCTTCTTGAGGCCGAGGCCGGTGCTGCTCTTGCCCTCGACCTTGTTGTCGGTGTTGACGCTGCCATTGATCTTTCTGCTGGTGTCTACCTTGCTTTCGGCGAGGAGGCTTTCGTCGAGGTTTCTCTTCTTACCAAGGACATTGTCGATGTTTCCCTTGAGGGACTTGTTACCAAGGCCCTTCCTCTTGGTATCGCCGCCGATGTCGATCTTTCTGCTGCTGTCAACTTCCAGCTTGGCCTCCGTCTCCGAACCGAAATCGACCTGGAAGCCGATCTCGACATCCCCGTTCTCGACATCGAAGCTGGTGCCAAGGTTGCTGTCTGGGTCAACCTTTTCGAGTACACCGCTGCTCTCGTCGCCACCGACAACTGCGCTGTCTCCGTCGACGAGGTCATTGCTCTCACTCTTGGTCTTGCTGTCGAACTCGACGTCGAGATTGGTGACATCCTCGAACTCAACCTCGCTCCTACCCTGACCGTCGAGCTTGCTACTGCTGCTAAGGCCAAGGTCTGCATGCCCAACCGTGGCCCTACTGGTTCTTTCCTCGAGCAACAGGGCCAGGATGGTGACAAGAGTGAGACCCGAACCATCTCTCTTGCTACCGTCCCTGCTGGACCTGAGGCTACTTCTCAGGGCTATGCTGTCCCTGACGCCTCTGGCGACTACTCTGCCCCCCAGGCCACAGGCGACTCTCCTCTCTACGGATCTGCCGCTAAGCCTGTCACCACTGCTCCTGCTGTCGTCGCCACCCCTGCCCACGGTAACGGCACCGTTGGCGATGTTACCCGCACTCTCACCTCTACTCATGTCTACACTGTTACTAGCTGTGCTGCTTCTGTCATCAACTGCCCTGCTCGCTACACCCAGAAGGTTGTTACATCTACCATCATCGAGAGCACCTATGTCTGCCCTGCCACTGAGACTGGTGCTGTCCCTGCCATGACCACCTCTACTCACGCTGTTCCTGTGCCTGTCACCACCATTACCGACACTCTCACCACTGTCGTCCCCTGCAAGACTCGCACTACCAAGACCTTCCAGCCTCCCACTACACCTCCCCCTGCTCCCACCGTCACCATCGTCGAGAGCACCACCTACTGCCCCGAGACTGGCAAGTCCACCAAGACTGGCAGCTCTGAGGTTCCTGTCGTTACCACTGGTGTTCCCAGCTCTGAGGTTCCTAACCCCCCTGCTCCCACCACTGAGGTCCACGAGAAGCCCACACACTCGGTTCCTACTCCTGAGAAGCCCACTGGCGACAAGCCTGTTCTCCCTCCCGTCGCCACTGTCCCTTACCCTCCTCACGGTAACGGAACTGTTCCTACCCCTGTTCCTGTTGTCCCCAGCTCCTATGTCCCTCCTGTTGTCAGCACCCCTGTTGCTCAGCCCCCTCACTCGGTTGTTCCTCCAGTTTACCCTCCTCCAGTTGAGGTTTCCCCTACTGTTTCTACCCCAGCTGTTGTTCCTCCTCCTGCAGGAACTCCTCCCCCTACCGTCCCCACCCCTGCTGTCCCTGTCAGCGGCGGTAGCGTGGTTCGAACTGGCCTTATGTTGGCTGTCCCCGCAGTCATTGCCATCTTTATGTAGATTCTGGACTGAACGATCGATTGACTTACTTGATACATATCAACCATGGGCAATATTGGTTAGGAATTCTCAATAGTTAGTTCATGGTGTTTATTAATTTATAATACCTTTACATGATTTCAACATTCTTGTCTTCGGCCCTGTGCGACAAAGACTTCAGTGCGTCTTTGATCCTTGCTCAATCAATCGCACGTCTTTCCTATCCAAGCATGTGGCCAGTGACGAAATGAACAATGTCAACATAACAAACAGTCTGTTTGTTTCTTGATTTATAACTATTCATTTCAACCCTAATTGAGTAATCTCCGAACTGAAAACCTGTTGACCCCTCATAGCTATCATTATGGTTACAATGTAATTGGCCATCAGCTGTGACATGTCGTAGAGCCAAGACACAGCAAGCCGTATCCGGTAATTTAGAGCGCCCAAGGAGCACAGCAATGCAATTGATAGCCTATATTCATATGCAGTAGTTAAGTGACTGAGTTGACTAATGCATGCTATTGCAATCATTATTTAACCTTATTTAATGGGCGTGTCGCCTATCTTCTTATTCTTATCTCATTCTTCGAGCCTTACTACAGCTATCCTTCACCAAATAGCCAAGATGCCAACTTCTACAGAATTCTTTGGCTACCACTTCACTAACCTGGGTCCTCTAACAACAACCTACGAGCCTCCTGCATCATGCACAACCGTAACAACGGACCATATCTACTACGCCAATGCAAGCGACCTCACTAGCCAATATGGCGCAGTTTCGTGCGGTCCTGACAAGATGGGCGACTGCTATCCATCTGGCTCAGACCACGACAAGATAAACAGCCAAAACTTGAAAACCGGAGGGCACCCTACAGTAGACTATTTTTCTCCGGGTGTGATTTGTCCCAAAGGTTGGACAACTGCTGGGATCTTTGCACCAGACAACGAGGCGACAAAGGGCGGTGTTTTCACGAAGGATCTTGGGACTCTGGGCGATCGGCTTGGACCAGAAGATGTATGGGGTGGGATCTTGGAACCCGGAGAGACGGTTGCACTTTGCTGCCCAAGGTATGTTGTCGTCGCCAGTCTTTCTGAGTTATACTGTAATTCTCACACTCCTTTAGTGGCTGGACTGGGGACGTCTGGGATTGGGGCTGTATATCCTCCATCCAACCCTTTGAATCAGGCACATATTCGGAGTATTGCCAACAAGCCATGCCGATATCCGCAATTGGCTCGGCTTACACTGTTGGAACAAGCGTATTCTCTGATCCTATCTTCTCGGCCCGTACGTATGATGTTGACGAAACAACCAAGCCGTTCACGACTGGTGCTGGTGCCTGGCCTACAGATCTCGGTGAGGTTGCTATCATCAGAAAGTTCCCCGGCGTCGCGATGGTTCACAAGGAAGAGGATGTGAAAGAAGCTAGAGAAACTAATAGTAGAGATGAGGATGATTCGGAGGATGCTGACGACGACAATGCAGCTTCAACGTTAAATGGCGCTCGATTTGCACCCGTTGTTGCGGTTTTTGTTAGTATGCTTGTTGGCGTAGGAATGCTACTGAATTGATAGCGACAAGGGCTGGGAATTTAGAACCTTTGGGGATTAGATAGACGCAGTAACAAGATGCAACATTGAACTTGGTGTGAATGAATCCATACCCTGATGTTTAGATTGTTTTTCTATCTCCATGTGCTTGAAGTTTCTATCCCATTATTCTTATTCCTCTGATACTCTTCACCCAAAGCATTGTAGAGAGCCTTGGCCCTGTTTACTTCGACCTTGTAACGTTGTTTCTCATCCTCATCCTGGATCTCGTCGACGAGATTTTGAACGCTCTTGGCAACAAAGAACTTGTTTTTCTTATTATACAGCGCTCTATTCTGCAACGCCGTGTCGCTCTCTCCTTCCGCTCTCACACGGAAGACCTCTTCCAGGATATCAATGTCATACGGGATGGAGAACTGGTCGCGGCTGTCCTCGCAGGTGAACAAATAGTACAATTCCTTAAAACCAGACCATGCAATACCGCTGAGACAGAGACTGCACGGCTCATGAGTTGCGAAAAAGACGCAGTCTTCACGTGGGTCCGGTCGACTTTTTGGATCGGGAAAAGTCTTTGTGTAAAAGGCTTGAATGCAATTGATCTCTCCATGAAGAAGAGGAGATGCTCGTTCATCGTTGGTAGAAACTGTGAGTGGTTTGAGGGTTTGCGAGGAAAGGATGGCAGCGCCAAAGACTTTGCTTCCTGAGGCCACGCCTTGTTCTGTCAATGGGACAATGTCATGCTCAAGTGCTTGAATAAGGGCGGAGAGAAGTTCTTGAGGTGGTCTGGAAGTCATTTTGAGCTTGGATGAGTTTTGTTGAGCATAAAATGATACTTCAATTTAGTTTATATATAATTTCTTATCTGATGGCAATCCTGCGTCGGCCCACCCCGCAAGCGACATTTTATAGCGGCGAGCGGCGTGCACCGAGAAGACAAGCAGAATGGCGTTTATAGGACGGACTAAACATGAAAAATAAACATCTAGATTAAATGACTAATCGATTTGATATTTTTTAGATCCCAAAGAGTAACGACTGATGGAAACTCTTATAGTGAGAAGCTGCCAGAAAACAAATAACGCAGCTGGGTTTAACATCCATATTAACACGACGGCCAATAACAGTCCAATGTGAATCACAAACTCAAACCCGAAGCAACAAGATGACCTGAATCAAAGTCTACACGTCAGAGTGGAGAAGATTGTCAGCACTTGACACTTTGCAAGTGAATCTGACAGCAGCCTCATGCACGGCGTCATGCCGACACTGCCGACTACAATAGCAATAAAAACCACAATGGGGACTCTTGAAAAGAAACATTGAACTCGGAGATTACATTTTCACTTCGTAAAACATCAAGTTACAGAAACGAGAGCTTGTTTGTCCCATAATGCAGTACACTCTAGTTCTATTCTGGCTACCTCTTAGCCTTGCCTTGCATCTCCCCCAGGCGTTTCACAAGCAAATCCGTAGTAGCAAAACACCAGCCAATGAATTCACAGCAGAAGAAATCATCGGTCTTTTAGACATGCAATCATCTGACGAAGGGGGTTATTTCTACGAAACTTTTAGGGACCCCAACGTCATACCAGGCACGAACCGATCTATCAGCACGGCCATTTATTACCTTCTGCAAGGCTGTACAGGCCAATCACTCTGGCATAAACTCGATGCCGCCGAGGTCTGGCACTATTACGCTGGTGCACATCTAGTTTTGTCCGTCTCTTACAACAACGGATCTTGTGGCAAAGACTACATTATGGGAGCGGATCTTTTTGAAGGACAGAGGCCCCAGGCAATTGTTGCGAGGGATGAGTGGCAGAGTGCGAGAAGCTTGGGTGAATGGACGCTTGTGGGTACCACAGGTAAGTCTTCATCACCAAGTGATATATAAAAGCATCAGACGAGCTCAACTGCAACAGTCGCACCAGGGTTTGATCCTAGCACAGAGATTATCAAACCGAAAGGCTGGAAGCCAAATGCATGCAAGCCGACCCATTGAAAGGACTGTCGTGTAAGAGAAGATGGCACATAGCTCAAGATTCTTCCGTATGGAAGAGATTAACGTTGAAGAGGTTTTGACAAGATAACCAAAGTCTATTATTTCCCATAGTTACAAGATTATTAGGATACAGAGGGTATAACGCTATCTAGCACAATCCAAACAAGAAACAAAAAATGGAGATGATGACTTAACTATCTTTTACAGCCTCAATCAGGCGCCATTCCCACGTCGTCTGCAGCTGTGTACACTCGTGGAGAATATCCGGGTCATCCCACCACCAGCTATCAGCAATGATGTATTCTCTCCAGATCTCCATCCAGAGCATTCTGCCCACAGTGTTGCGAAGCTCCTGCCTCAGCCCATCTTCTGACTCATGCCCATCTCGTACATACTGTAACTGGCTATCGTCAAGCGGAATGGCGTAGAATTGACGTGTTTCAACCAAATTGGGATCGACGAGTAGCGATGCACTCTTCAGCCACAGGGGCAAAACTTTGCTAGGGTTGGTACACCGGAAACTTGCTTCGAGGTTGAACAGTAGATGGTCTTCGATCCATGATCGGAGTAATGGGCCAAGAGTGCTAGTTAGAGGGAGTGGGTCGATGATGGTGAGATACAGTGAACCCCCTGGCTCGAGACACCTGTGTATGTTTTTCAACAGAGCAGGAATTTCTTGTGATGCCATGACCAAAGGCAGCCGTAAAGAATGGACGGATTCGATGGTGGATGGTGCGACAGGGAAGGCCGAGGGTGATCGTACTGGTGAAAGGACTGGATGGATGTTTGGAAATGCTATGGGAGATAGAGGTGCTGCTGATAGATGATACACCTGTTTACTGTGGTTGACGGCGGCCAGATACGAAGTAACAGCTGAAATATGTCAGTGGAGTTGCGTGAAAAGAGACTCAAGTCATTCTTACCGGGCGTTTCATAAAGAGCGAGTACCTTCTTTGGTGGATCGGAAGGTTCACACTCCGTATTCTCATCACTGATGTCAGGGTAATTGGGGCCGTCCATGTTGTATAGTGCGGACAACATCCACTGCATCTTCTCAATCTCCAAGTCTTGACTGGAGCTTGGAGATCCGTTCACGTCATGCGACTCGGTCAATCGTAACAACCTGACCTTATTGTCTTCTCTGGCTAAACGCTTAACACCGAGCTGCATCTCATTCAGTTCCTTTGGTATGTCAGGTTCCGGCGACTCTACATTGTCGGGAAATTGGAATGACGGCTCTGTAGGCGTGCAGTGCCACTCATTGGGGGGTTTCCAGCCGTCAATTGCTTCGGCTCTCAGCGAGTTGTTGTAAGACGCCATGCGTCGTGGTGTTTTGTGCATCGGGGTGTACGAGCGGCTACTGTGTGGACGGGGAGGTTGAGGCGGTGGTTGTGATCTGTCTCATATTAGCATGAAGTTACAATAAATGACTGACAATAGTTACGAACTTGTTACTTGATGATCGGCCGCGTGACTTGGACTTGACGCTCGAAGTCGCCACAATCGTCACTCCGCAGTTGATGAGATATGGAATGTCACACGACGTGCGTGGTATTGAACACGCTTCTGTGCTTCGGGCGACGAAAGAGTCATCGCTGAGAGTTTGAATAAGCGGCCATGGACGTAACAAGACGTTTTCTAGTGTATCCGTATCCCATGGCGTAGAGGATGTCGTCAGTGTCGGTGAAGGAGGGTCGTCGTGCGGGTCGTTGCGGTCGTATGAATCTATATATGTTAGTAAATTCATGACCTTTAGCAGAGCGAATTTACCTGGCGAAGGTCGAGTGGTGTCTATTAATTGACCATTTCTTCTATTATTGAGATCGACGAGGTGCGAAATATGCACCGTTGTTTGCTCGCTGACTGCGGAAAATACGGAAAGTCTATCCGAGTCAAGCTCATAATTGCTCGCTGTCGTCGCACAAGCCTTTGATGAAGAAGTAGAATTTGACGCAGTCGGTGAGGTCGTTTCAAGATTCCTCCTCTTGTAAAGGTTGCTGAATATTGGTACCTCGTTTGACGATGAAGATGATCCCCGACCAAACAACGATCGCCCTGTCTGCGACGCACTCTTGGAAGCAGACTCCTTGTTCTCGCGATGTTCCTTTCTCGACTCTTTGGGAGCCGCCCAGCTGACTTCCCACATATTGAGGCGGTATCGATCCAGGTCTGAGATCCGTAGGGCGAGGTTCGACGCTGGTTTCCGTAATATCGAGCGGATGCGCCCTCCTCTAGTGGATACAGGAGAAGACTGCTCTGTGTCGGGCTGTGTTAGCAATGTCATTGTGAATTGTTGTACACTGCTGTCGAAGAACATGCAAACGACATGGGATTATGATGCAGTCGAAGCCAAAGTGGGAAACAGACAAACAGGACAGGGGAGACTGAGAGGGGTCTTGCTTGCATACATGGTCTTTGGAATTTGGGGTAAGAAAGTATGAAAATGACCCTTTTCCAAGACGGGCATAGGCTGAAGTTGGGAGAAGTCAAGTCCGGGACCTGGTGGTAGACTCGGCCTTAGCTGGCGAATGCAGGGCTGAACTTTGTTGTCTTTGTGTATTCTGGACCGCACCATTTCCCTCTCTATTGGAAGTGACAGGAACAGGAAGCTCGTGGCTTAAGAGATAGTCCCAGAACCCGAGAATCTGGTTCTGTTGGGAAAGACAACCCCTCGAGACCGTCATCTCATCTATTCAGCTGCAAGTATCACAGCTATCTGTCCGATCATGGCCCAGATTTCCTCTTGTTCCTTGCAGCCCAGAAAGCCAAAAGCAGTCTAGAAGGGTCGATCGTCTACCTTAATCCAGGTCTCGATGCGGCTAGTTGAGTGGCTTACGACTATAGAGCGCCTCATCTGGCCCAGCTGCGTCTCAAGGCATTGTTACGTGCACGGTTGTTTTTTTCATTGTTTGTTTTGGTAATCTGCATACCTCTGTTTCGAAATGCTCGCATGTCCCTTTCTCATCTCGTAATATTGACTCAAAAAGAAAGACGACTGCATCATTACTTCACTACGAAGCATAGCTTGGGCCATGTTTTAGTTCGTGTAGTAGCAGAGCCTCACTACTCTTTGCGATTTTGATTGAGATGGCAGACTGAGACAGTGGGGAAAACAATCCAAGAAGCACCCAACTACCTCCCATTTTCAATGCGGTATCGTGACCCTCAAGCAACACTAACTATTCCCCGGCCAGTTAAGGCCTGGGCTTATGATTCTAAACCATTTGCGGGGCCCCATGACATCCAGTGTCAAAACTAAATGCCAACACCTTACCACGACAAGCTAGGCAATTTGCAGCTTCCAGGGTCCAACTGAACTTTGTCCCGCGTGCTACGGAAAGTTTCCCAATCACCATCTACTCTCAGGAAATCCACTGTATCCTTGAGATGGGCGAGACCCTTGATGCATTTCATACTTGAGCCGAGACGAGAATTAATGGAAGCATGTTGGTTGGTGGTCAAGTGGCTTGAAACTATGAGGACAAACTGACAGCGGGTTTGCGCATGTGCCAGGCCATTTCATTTAGCATCTTGCAGCCAACACTCTCATAGTCAGAGAATCAGCTACCATATTGTGTATTCGTTCATACGCGTTCATTACTAATGAATGTTCAAGCACATAGTAAAGGTCTCGTTCCACGTGGAATATCGTCGGACAAAAGATGAATGGCAATCAACTTTGACTAGCCAAAGATAATGAACAAAACACATGCCTGTGTTTGTGCCTGAGCAGACATTCTCACTTCTCTCCGGAGACTCTTGATTGGGCACCGTCTGAGGCACCTCAGCTAGCCCCGTCCTCATCCTCACTTCGCATGGTAATGTGCAGCACTAGACTAGACTCCCTCGCACCGGGGAACGGGTATTCGACCTGGTTCCCGGTCCAAATCGGCTAACCCGCTTATGCTTCCGAATTTAGTGCGGTACAACCTTCCATGACCTCCGTGTGATCCTTGCGTATTGATTGTCAATATTGTCGCATTACAGCACTGTGGCTTGCGTCCAAAATGTGTACAGCAGTTTGCTCGTATGATCTGCCTTGTGATGTTGGCTCTCTTGATAGTCGTGATATCAGGCTCGGTTCTTTATATCATGGACTTTCATTCATGCTCAAATGTTCCTTCTTTCAATATTGCGAAAAAGTTTCATAAGTTTTACTTCCTCAACCGAGACGCCATCACCTCTGGAACTAGAAGTATCATGGAAATACGCAGGGCAAAGTACAGTCCTACCATATGGTTTAATCGACTCGTCGCGTCCTCCTTTATTGGTCTTTTCTTCAGACTAGAAGGCAGTAGTCATGTAAAGCATTCCAGTGCTCGATATTAATCTTTCAGCCAACACAATCCACGTGCGTTAGCCCGAAGAGATCACAGGGGCAACGTTTCTAAACGAACTTCGTGCTGGTGCGACGACCTTTGCGGCCATGACATATATCATTGCTGTAATGTAAGATGATGGGGAAAGTCCAGTACTTCCGCGGGTTGGCGATTGACACATTTCTCAGGCTTCTATTCTTTCACAGACGGGCGGAGCTTGCATTTATGATGCGACGAATCGAAATGACTGTGATAAAATTCTTAGTTATGCGACACGCAAAGAAGGTATACGGGTCAAATCTATATCCCAAACAAAATGACTAACTTATTGGCAGAGGTTAGAAGAGATCTCGTCATTGCCACATCAGCTGTGGCTGCAATTTCCAGCTTCATATTTGGTCTTGTCACCAATTTACCCATAACCCTTGCGTAAGGAACAACTCAACACTTACAACCTGACTATCAGATCAGTCCTAACCCTTGAATAGGCCGGGTATGGGTCTCAACGCCTATTTCGCTTTCCAAGTGGTCGGATACAACGGCTCGGGTAAAATTCCTTATCGAGTTGCTCTAACAGCAGTCTTTCTTGAAGGGCTCATTTTTGTTTTCTTCGCACTCACAGGCATCAGACAATCGCTCGTCAAACTGATCCCGTCGACGATCAAGATAGCTACAGGTGCTGGTATTGGTCTATTTCTTGCTGAGATTAGTTTGTCGTATGGCTCGGGGATTGGAGCCATTACTGGAGGTTGGAATGCGACGCCTTTGGCTATTACCGGGTGTCCCATTGAGATGATTAATCCCGATACGCAGATGTGTGATTGGGGATCATGTCAAGCCCAAAGGCAAGTAAACAGCCAGACTATGAGATCACAAACGAGGCTGACAAACGAAAATAGATTTGGACAGCCATCTTTTCTGGTGGCATATCTGTTGCCTATCTCATGGCTTTTCGCGCCAAGTATGCCTTTCTTGTTGGCACCCTCCTGGTTGTAGTTGTTTCCTGGCCGTAAGTCACAAGTCTCTCACCTCTTCAAAGCTTATTACTAACAATTGGTAGACGTGAAACCAAGATAACCTAATTTCCTTATACCCCAGAAGGAGACTCCCGTTTTGATCTCTTCTGTCAGGTTACGTCTTTTCACCGGATGAAGCACACATTCAACGCCCTAGATTGGGACGTAGTAGAACACGGCACCCAATTTGCCATTGCTCTTTTTACCTTCCTATATGTGGACATCATTGACGCTACTGCAACGCTGTACTCTATTTATTTATTTATTTACTTTGGCGTATAGCTCCTCATGGTTCTACTAGGTTTTTAATAAAGATTAATCTATCTGGACAGATTAAATTATTAATATGATTTTCAGATCTAGGTTTTCTTTCTTAAGACTAGATTTTCTAATATAGGCATTATCTATATAGCTTAAACTCTATAATATCGGTAACTTATAAAGGAAGCTTCTATTGCGCTATACAGACAGCAGTAGCTTCTTCTTCTTATAACCTTAATTAACTGACAAGTCAACTACTTGTTAAAGATATAGTTAGTTAATCCCGGCATACCTTGCTGCACATGGCTAATCACTTTCGTAGGTCTCGTACACAATGCCGAGCATTATAATCGCTAATAATAGCTTTTCGGAAAAGCTGTATACCAAGGCAATCAGGATAAACCATCAAGTATTATAAGGATGCTGGGCGAATTGAAAAGCTGCGTATAGAGGCTATCGACCTCTATATAACCAAGAAGAGGGATAACCTTAATAAGGTCACTATGAGCTGTATCTCTTGATTATGGATAGTCAAGAGGACTTAACACTGGAGCGGCTGCGAGGGCTTAAGGAGAAGCTCGCAGGAAGGTTAAATGCCAAGCCTTCTAGGGCATAAAGGGCATTGCTAGATGCACTTGACGTGCTGACAATCGCATATAACGACTGGTTCGACCAGTTAAAAGGCATGTAGTAACGGCGATCGAAGCCTTCGAGTCATAGCTAGGGGCAGGGAGCCAAACCTGTTGGAAAAAGTCATAGATGAAGAAGCCCGAAGCCAAAGGCTATCTCGGTACGAGAAATCAAGTCATATGACCTTCAAACTCTGCTCCCGTCTTCGTGAGAGATTCGTGATGTTATCAACTGGGGAACGCTGTACTCTATGGTTCGCTTTTGTGGAGTGGTGACCGACATAGACGGAGACTCTCCTCGCTCGACACTGGCGTATTGCTACAGTGTATTGAGCATCTCCATCAGTGCTCTTCTCGTCTGTTCGCCTGTTAAAGAGTCCATCGAGAGTGGCGCTCGGATTGCTGCTAGTGATCGGATGGGGATTATAGCCATGACAACGAGGGTCTTGTTTCTTATCGCTGTCATGTTTGGACCTATCTTTGCTTCTATGCCGCCTTGGGCGACTGGACCGACACTCATTCTTTTGGTTATCCTAGACGCATGTTGGTAGTAGGTCTGTTCTAACATTGTAAATTGGCTGCTTGATGGCGCGACAAGTGACGGAGATCAATTGGCGCTATATCGGCGACACCATTCCCTCTTTCCTCGTTATCGCTTTCGTTCCTTTCTCATACAACGTCGCCTACGGGATCATTGCGTAAGTACCACATATTTCGCCCGCTTGACTGTATACGAGCCATGTACTGACATATTACTTAGCGGCATGCTTCTCTACACTACAGTCAACGTCCTAGTTGCACTAACGGTCCGCATATCGGGTGGAAGATTGGAGTCTGAGAACTACGACTTCAAAGAGTACTGGACGTGAAGAGCTCCCCGAAATAATCCATGGTATATTCGGATGTTTCGGGACTCTGGCAAACATGTTGATGAATCTTGTCCTCGGGCGTTCCAAAATGAATCAGATTGTGAGATGGTGAGGGTCAAGTCTTCGGATGAGAGGAATAGCGGACTGGAAGCCACGGTTTCTATACCACTCAGGAATTTTTCAAGGGCTTTCCGATAACTTTTCGTACTTTGTAGAATGCAGATAAGAAGACAGGTCCGCTATCGTCTCCAAGTTGGACTGTCGATAGGTATTGGCCACATTTATAATGGCTGCTAAGCCAGAAGCCCAATAGAAATAGAATATAAGTAGTAATCTAACTCCACTGTAATCTTATTTTTGAAGAATCGTAGACCAGTCATACTTCTTCGCCCACTCCTCCCATGTAGTCATGGGGCATTCAATGCCAGCCTAGTATAAAGTAAGTATAAATTAATTCTTGAATGATACCATTGCATACCTTTTCGATATCCTTGGCAGTCAGCAACTCCATGCCGCCATCATATCCCGGGTTGGAAGTGTACGAGAACATGAGTCCCGTCTCAATGCCTGCGTCCTTATCAGGTGTAGCCTCAGTCATCTCATCAGGCGTAATCTGTCGATATTTGACTGGAACATTATTGATACGCCCCCATGTTTCGATCCATTCGGGCCATGTGCAGAAAGTACCTGCAGCCATATATGCCTTGCCTGGGGGCATTTGATAGACAGCATAAGTGAAGTTGCCCATATCGTCTACCGGGTTGAAGTGGGGGACTATGGCGTCGGGGGTGGTTGTGAAGGACATCTCAAAAGACCCATCAGACAACTGCTATCCTGTCAGAAGAGGCGAACCTGGTCAGTGCTTAAAAACGTACCTTGTTCATATAAGAGTCGGGAAGAATGTTAAAGCTGGTGAAGAAGTAGCCTGTGTGAATGCATGACATCTTGGCAGCAAGTTCGGGATATTTCTCCTCGACATATGCGGGAAACACATCAGCCTTTGCATCAAAGTGATACAAATCCTTGAATTTCCCCTCACTGCACTTTTCAGCTTGACTCAGCGTTGAGACTAAGAAGCCGTTCTTGTCAAGACCCTCAGCCACAGTTGCAGCGGCATCGACGATATTCTTTCCTTGCTGAACTTCGACATTGTAGGCAAATTTGCGACACGAGATGCCTTCCTTGGCAGCCTGCAGTCGGCAATCGGGTCTAAAGAAGGGCTCCCAGTAGTTCGTCACACTGAAGATGATGTTGGCGCCCTTGAATGCTTCTTTAAGTGTCTCTATGTCATCCAAATCGACTGAAACAACTTCAGCACCAGCCGCGTTCAAATTTTTGGCCGAATCGGAGGATGGGTTTCGGGTCAAACCACGGACTTTAAAACCTGCGCGGAGGAATCGACGGGCAACTGAACCGCCTTGGTTACCAGTCGCGCCAATGACGCAAATGAGCTTTTCGTTAACCATTTTTCCTCGTCTCTGTTATAAAATAAGTATTTATCAATTTTTGAATGGAAAGAGGGGAAACCTAAGGACAGGGATAAATTATCTCGCGTAGACAGTTTTTAGCCAGGGCCCTTTTGAGATAAGTCTAGTCTAGACCACTAAGTTACTGTATGTACGTATCTTTAGCCCTCGGAAAGACTGGAACGAAGTGGCTATAATGTGGCACGACACTTAACCTTTTTTAGTATCACCTCGCAATGCTACGAATCAAGAATGGGCGTGGCTGGTCCGGTCCCAATTCTTTACTCCTCGTCTCCTTGCATACCACGTGCTGTGACTTGACTTTTTGTGTCATTTTATTCCTTCTCTTTTTTTCCCTGTCCCGCCCTTTCCTTTGACTGACGTTGGCACTGCCAGCCGGAACCACCATCTAACGTTAACTCTACTCATTTAAAATAGAGCTATCTATTAACTAGGTAGCTTGAAGGATTCGCGTCTGACTCAGATAATGGCTTCTGAGCAGGAAACTGGGTCTGCGACCTCGCCTGTAGCGTCGCAATCGCCTCCTCCACCCGTTACCAGTCTACCGGGTCGCGATAGTCCAAATCAATCTGGAGACAGGAACGAAATGAGCCAATCACCAAAGAGCCCTGCTGAGAACCAAGATCGGCAGGATGAGGACCATGCGCCTCTGCAAGTCGATGTGAGTGTTTCATCTCTCGTCCGTACTCTTCAAAATGACACGTCGTATTGAGACCGAGGTATTTAGGAGGAGGAACTGCCAGGGAATGACGCAGACTCCACATATGGGTCAGATAGAGATTCATCCTACACGGCTTCAGTCACTTCATCCATCTACGATTATCAGTACGAAAACGGACGGCGCTATCATGCATTCAGAGAAGGGCAATACGTCCTACCCAACGATGATCAGGAACAGCAGCGCTTGGATCTTCAGCATCACATCTGGCGCTTGCTTCTCGGCGGCGCCCTCCATACAGCACCTTTGCCAAAACCGGATGATCAAAGCGATTATCGCATCTTGGATCTGGGCTGTGGCACTGGAATTTGGGCCATAGAGATGGCAGACGAGTATCCCAACGCCTCAGTGGCTGGTGTCGATCTTTCCCCCATCCAGCCTGATTGGGTCCCTGGCAATTGCGTATTTCACGTCGACGACTACGAAGATGAGTGGACGTATCGTGACCACGAGCGCTTTGACTATATCCATGGTCGTGCTATCTGCGGCACGTCAGCAGACTGGCCTCTCTTCTACAGCAGAGTCATGGAGAATCTCAAGCCTGGTGGTTACGTTGAGATGCAGGAGTATGACGCTTGGATATTCAGCGACGACGATAGTTGCGATCGTGCCCCATGGACAATGGAATGGGTTTCTAAGCTAGATGAAGCGAGCAAGATGTTTGGAAAGCAGATCAACGTGGCACGATATCACAAGCAATGGATGATTGATGCAGGGTTTGAAGACGTTCAAGAACGAGTCTACCGAGTACATTATCCTTCTGTCTACTTCTATTGAAGATTTGCTAACCATAAGGACAGATACCCATTGGTCCTTGGGCAAAGGACCCGGCGTTGAAAGAACTGGGTAAATTCGAACTCACGCACATGCAGATGTCTGTTGAATCACATACACCTGCACTATTCACGCGAGTATGGAACTATTCCCAGGATCAGGTCATGGTGTTGATGGAGGGTGTAAAGAGAGAATTCCGAAGCCGAGACTTGAGATTGATCACGACCTATCGATTCCTCACAGGACGAAAACCAGTTTGAGCGTAGCATCTGGATGTTTCTTTACTCAAGTTGCACTTGGTAGCTGTAACCACTTGTTTCTTTTCGTTTTTCTCAAGATAGCCAGTTTTATTCTTTTCTTCTTGTCACTCTAGTCACCGTTGAAAGGGTTATTCGCTCGTGGCTCGTGGCTCGTGGCATAGATACATCAATATGGGCATGTTTTAATGGCACATCGGTTCAATTTGGACCTGTGGTACACAACGAGAAACCACAACGATGACGATACTCTTACGATAATTGACCCCGAGAATTGCATTTAAATAACATTCTTTCAACTATATAAAAGCAACTCCTTCTTCTACAACCCCAAATGAATGTGCCTGCTAGTCAAAATCGCCTTGGGATAGAGTTAGACTCGATGCTTAGCAAACGTTCATCTTAGCATTCCCGGTGATACCCCAATAGATATTATCAGCGCAGGGAGACTCCCGGACACTGTTGTTGTTCACCTGGGCCTTGACATAGATACCGCTAGTGTTAGGGAACTCGCTGCGGGCAGAAACGCGAACCTCTCCACCTCCGTTGATGACACCATCTCGGATAGCCAGGTTGTAACAGTTTTCGATGAGAATGGCATTGTTTCCGTTGTTTGCAAGATCGATTGTCTTGATCTCGGCGGCGCCAGACATGGACACGCAAAAGATTCCACGTCCACCGCCTCGAGAGTAGACTTTATCGACGAAAACGTTGGTGGTGGTGAAGACGTTATTGAGCTTGCCATTCTCGTTGGCGAAGCGAAGAGTTGCATAACCTGTGCCTGCACCGACGTTGTTGCCTTCGACGTAGCCAACGCGAACATTTCGTGATTCCTGGATAAGTAGTCCTGATTCACCGACGTCTCGGGCTTTAACGGAGGTGATGGTAAGACCGTCAATCTTGAACGTTTCAACAGCGTGGCTACCAGCTCCGGTTACAACAATGTTACCCATGCTGACACCATAGTTCCAGTTTGCATCGCGGTCGAATCGGATTCCAAGACCACCGCTGAGGTTCATCGTGATATCACCGAGAGCCAAGTTACGGGTACCAGAGAAGCGCATGCCAAAGTAAGGGTTGCCCGTCATCTTGAGGTAAGGAATCTTGACGTCGTTCTGGTTGATAACCTCGATGGCTCCACGACCAGCCTTATAGACGACGTTCATGGTACCGCAGACCTCGAACGTCTTCCCACTAGTGACGACAATGGTGTTTGCGCCTATGCTGCCTGATGCGCGGACCGTGACACGTTGGTTAGTGCCAATGCGGTCGAGCGCGGTTTGGATGGCGAGACGGTAGTCGGAGCCAGAGTAGACATTTGCGCCGTTGACAGTGGCGGTGAAGGAGGAGCCTGAGCCTGAGACCACACCCTGCGGTGATCCATCGCCACAAGCGGCGTTGACGGAACTGATCAGGGCAAGGCCTGCTGTGATAATCGAAGAGAGACGAAACATGTCGAAGGCTCTGTATGGAATGAGGCTGAAAGGTCTCAAACTGAGCAACATTCGCAGAACTATATCGACTCTACTTAAATATCCTCAACGACCCTGTTGCGTCGGCCAAGTCGATGCTATTCGTGCGCTTGATCAATGGACAATTGTTAAGCCGCCAACAGAAACAAGTAAAGATTTACCTTGCAAGGATGCTGTATCTTGGCATCTTGGGGTAATGTGATTGCTTGTAGTTGCATCGTCGATACCGACATGCCTATACGGGGCGATCGGAAGTCAAACCTCCGGCAAATGTGTAGTATGCATATCTGGGGTAAGGAAAAATCAGTATCCCCACCTATCATCTACCGGTAATCTGGATAGCGTGGGACATGTGTAAGCTTCTTTTTGGTGTCGGGGTTGCCTTGTGCCAGGGTCAATTTGACGATCCATCCGATATGTGGGATTAAGCATAAAATCATTACTAGGCTTGATGTTCCAATCTCGTTGCACATTAACCCGAAGTAGCGGGGCAGGGAGACTCTATACATCAAGGACAATGCGGTCCGATATTCGCCATCGATGTCATGTAGATTACGGGACTTTTGCTAGTTGCTCTTCTGTTTGCATTGTTTTGACGGATATCATAGAGCTACTGCGGCCAAGAACAATAGAGATAATATTGTGGGTATAGTTCGGTCTGCGGATGGCAATTGCCGTCAATTGCTTGTGGCTGTTTGTACTACCATGACTAGTCACGGCATGGTCGGGTCAATCTTACTTCTATTCACTTTAGCCCTCTTCTACCGTACTACTTTAGTTCGTCGGTAGTTTAAGGGATCATCGAGTGGTCATTGGGTCATTGAGACCATAAACTTCGCACGGCAATGCCGGGTTGAAAACATGAATAGGAATCGGAGCTGAAATAAGATTATTGTTTCGGAGCAAACAAAGAATTCTAGATGCTCAGGCTGTTGAACGAAAAGAATTGAGCCATCGTTAAGCTACAGTATCCGAATCATAGACATATTTAAAAGCATCATTAACATTTTATCCAAGATCAAATCGTACGGCGTACCTACAATTATACGTCAGGAATACACAACTTTGATCTTTCACCTAAATGGTGTTCTTGCCAAGTACACAACAAGGAACAATGTCGGTCTCCCCGCAGGCCAAATCAAGGCTGCCCTTGACACATCCTACTGGCATGGCTACGAAGCAGCCCGTATCACGGACGATGAATGCTACAAGAACATATGCCAAGAATTCAGCGTTGACATTGAAACTTGGACGGAAGCATTGGGACAAATGAGGAAGGAGAGCCTGAAATTAAACACAGCTTTGATCTCCTCCATCTAGGAACTCAGACAGATGCATCTCAAGACCGAGTTTTTCTGTTTGTCTAACATCCCTGCATCTGAGTCCGACGCACTCGGAGATGAAATCCAGAGCTGGGGTATCATTGACGAGTTTATCAGCTCTGCAACTATTCGTCAGAGGAAGCCAGACATGACCGCTTACGAAGAATGCTTGAAGATTGTCAAGGCTCCTGCATCCTCTTGCATCTTTGCCGATGACAAGGCTGAGAATGTTGTTGCTGCTCAAGCCCTTGGTTTCAAGGGCATCTTGTTCAGTGATACTGATACTCTCGTCAGGGATCTTCACAACCTCGTTGGGGATCCTGTTGCACGCGCAAAAGTATTTCTTGAAGACGGAGTAAAGAGCCTCTTCTGCCCAATGAGCGCCGGCCATGTGCTGCTGGATAATTACTCTCAACTAATCATTCTTCAAAACACTGGAGTCCGGTAAGTCTGTCAGAAATGTTGCTTATTAGGCAGTTGACTGATGACTTTAGGGATCTGCTCGTGCCAGAGAGCAAGGGGGACGCTTGGAACTATTTTCAGCATGGATCGTCAGTACTGACGAACACAGTCAACCCCGATGACTCTGACACTACATCTCTGGCAATCGCAGTCTTGGACAATGCTCCAACGGCTGCGAAGCTCGAGACCAGAGATGAGATACTCTCAAACTTGAACTCGGACGGTTTGCCTCTCGTAAGTCTCTTATAAAAATTCATGTACTGGTTCTGATCTTCCGCCAGTGTTGGTTTAGCAAAAGCCGTCCTCAATTTTGCCACTGCATCTGCGCCAGCGTTTTCCGCTTCTTCGTCATCAACGACTGGGGTGAAGAGCTTCCCAGGGTTGATGATTTTGTCTGCCGTCTACTGGAAACCCGAGCCTACCTCCACGGAAGTCACTACTATAAAAACCCTGATTGGTTCCTCTATATACTCTGTGACCTCTGCGAGAGGCGTCCTTCGGACTCACAGCTTCAGCGTATGAGAGAGTTGCTCGTTGGGTGTGTTCGCGAACGTGGGGTGTGATGACAATATCTTTAGTGCTGTCATGAGATTGCTGAATGCGCAACATCTTGGTTTTCAGAATGTGAGAGATTTGAAGATCGTGCTTGGTGGGCAGCAAGTTGACGGCGGATGGGAGTTGGCATGGCCATGGGAGTATGGTGCTGAGCCGCATCACATTGGAAGTCGGGGAGTTTTGACAGCCATGGCTCTGAACGCGATTCAGCGGGTGGATTTGTTTTCCAAGGAGACTGTTATCCCATAGAGTCAGCCAAGTCTTCTGTAGTAGTGTTGTTCGGCGTTCTCTCCGACAATCATGAATTGAATCAGCTTGGCTCACAAGTGGAACTCTCGGTTGTTTTCGAGCCGAGCTAAATTGAGGGGTGAAAGTGTTGTCTCTAAATGCAACCTGCGCGATTAATATTATGAGAAACAAGGAGATATTATACATCTTCTTTGTGCGAATTCATCATGTTTGAAGAAAAGATCGTCGATTTCAAGCCCTCGATTAGATCAATCCCCCTCGTTGGTGCAACAATCGTGGTTGACCAATCAGACTTCCCAGGCATCATCCGCGCCGCAAAGGACCTGGCAGAAGACTTTGGTCGTGTAACGAAAGGACATCACAGTCCTGTGCTTCTGTTAAAGTCAGAGGAAGATTATGTACAGATCAATACAAAGACGGCTATCTTTGTCGGCAGTATCGGCTCAAGTCCGGTTATCAAGAGGCTGGTAGAGAATAGCAAATTGGACGCAAACGCGATCGATGGCAAATGGGAATCCTTCACAACGGGTATCCTCGATGAGCAGTTTGGAGTATGTGAGAAAGCTCTGCTCATCGCTGGAAGCGATAAACGAGGTGCTATTTTTGGTATATACACACTCTCAGAACAGATTGGCGTCTCTCCGTAAGCCCTTGGGTACACGATCGAGGTGGATGATGGCTAACTCGGGGCAGATGGTATTGGTGGGCTGATGTGCCACCTAAACATCATACCGGAATCTATGCTATCGAGAAACAAACTGTTCATGGCGAGCCGTCTGTCCGTCACCGAGGCATCTTCCTCAATGACGAGGCCCCGGCCTTGACTGGCTGGGTCAGGGAAACGTTTGGAGGATACAATTCTAAATTTTACGCAACTGTATTTGAACTCCTTCTCAGACTCAAGGTCTGTTCTTATCACTGCTTCCTATTACGCAATGTGATACTGACGTTATAGGCCAACTTCTTATGGCCAGCGATGTGGCCAGGTTATCCCAATCCAGGAGCATCCTTCTTCACTGATGACCCCTTAAACCAAAAGCTCGCAGACGAATATGGAATCGTAATATCGACATCGCATCACGAACCTATGCAACGCTTGTCAAACGAGTGGTTTGCAGATAATCCAGATGGAAGTTGGAACTGGTTGACCAACAAGCAGAAGATCACCGAGTTCTTCGAGCATGGTGCGAGCAGGGCCAAAGACTGTGATTCGTACTTCACTTTGGGGATCAGAGGAGAATATGATAAAAAGATGTTGGCAGAAGATCCTGCTTCTGTAGTTCAGGATGCTATTGAGACCCAGAGGGAGGTTATTAAGAAGGTCTATGGAAGTGAAGACGCCGTGTCTCGTTCGTATTGTTCCCCAAATTCTGCGCTGTTGCTAACTCTTTGGTAGAGCTGTTTGCTATATACAAGGAAGTGCAGACCATGTTTGAAACCGGGCGTCTAAACGTTCCAGAAGATGTCACGCTTCTGTTTCAGGATGACAATTTTGGTACAATCCGTCGTCTTCCGACAACTGAAGAATCAAAGAGGAAAGGTGGAGCAGGTGTAAGTCGACACTCGAGTAGAAAGCGGTCTTAGCTGACATAGGCCAGGTTTACTACCATCTACAATACGTTGGAGATCCTCGCAGTTACAAGTGGATTAACACAAACTCTCTTGTGGGTGTATATTTATCTCTTCATGTCAAATTTGTTACTGACAAGGTATCAAGGGCAAATTATGGCATCAGCTTCAGCAAGCATATCACCACAACGCCAGACAGATCTGGGTGTTCAATGTAGGCGACCTCAAACCTCAGGAACTCCCTATTTCTTTTGCTCTTGCTTTGGCATGGGATGTCAACAGCATTAAGCACAACACTCTTCCCGACTTCTTCCGTCGTGCAGCCGAGCGGGAGTTTGGAGCTGATCTCGCAGACGAGATCGGTTCGGTTTGGCATCAACACGACCGGCTACTATCGTTAAGAAAACACGAACACATCGAACCAGAAACGTTTTCAATCCTGCACTACAAGGAAGCTGATTCTATCTTCAATCGGTGGAAGGTTCTTCTTGACCGTGCGGAAACATTGCACGATCGGGTTTCTGAAGAACAGAAGGCTGCATCCTTCCAGCTCATTCTTCATCCAACCAAGGCTTCGTATATCTACACTGGGTTACGTGTCAACCAAGCGCGCAACAAGCTCTTTGCTCGTCAGAGACGCAACTCCGCCAACAAGGTTGCCCAAGAGGTTTTGGATCTCTTCGACGCAGATTTTGATCTGTCGGAACAATTCCATAGTTTGCTTTATGGGAAATGGAATCATATCCTTATGCAACCACATTACGGATATGAAGATACTTGGCATGCACCATCACGAGACATGATCAGCGGGCTATCGTTTGTCCAGCGACGCCAGAACTCGAACCCCATTGTCGGACAGATGGGAGTTGCGGTTGAAGGTCACGAAGGCGTGCGAGTCGGACGTATCAATGAGGAGTCAGAGCGAACACATCCAAGCAGGCGAGATCTTGTTCCTGGTCTGACTCTGGGTCCCATGAGTCGATATGGACCTGATTTCAGGTGGTTTGATGTCTTTACTCGCGGAGTGCCGACTATCAACTGGTCAACTTCGGCTCTATATCCCTGGATCATTCTATCACAGACTGAGGGGGCATTGGTTCCTGGCCAAGATGATGTGCGAGTTCAGATTTCTATTGATTGGTCGCAAGTACCTGAAGATTTCCAAGAGGATATTCTTATCGATGTGCGGTCGCGTGAAGGAGACTTTGAGCAAGTTCATCTACCCATTGATGGTCGACAAGTCCCAGATTCATTCCGTGGCTTTGTGGAACAGGACTGCTATATCTCGATACCCGCGACCGATTGCAACATAGACAAGCCATATCTAATGCTTCCTGATACAGGCAGACTCGAGACCGGAAGTGTTACTCTCGCTCCCGGAACAAGGACCGAAGGCGCGATTCCTTACCTAGGATACCCGCTCTTCACATTCAGCGAAACTGTCAAGACGGAACTAGTCCTTTACTTTGGCACAACTCTTGACTTGTCATCCGAGGATATCCTGACCTATAACGTACAGATCGATGAAGGCCAGAGTCAGACGTACACTTTGCAGCGGAGGACTCCCGAGAGCGAGAAGAACGCCGCAGATAAGGGATGGGCGTCGGCCGACGGGTGGTTCTTTGCTGCGTCGGACAATGTATGGGTACGGCGGCATGAGCTGGGAATGTTGAAGACTGGCGTGCATAATCTCAAGCTCCGATTAAATCACGCCAACATCTTGCTGGAAAAGGTTGTTGTCGACTTTGGCGGAGTTCAAGTGAGTTACTTGGGTCCTCCTGGAAGCACCAGGGCTTGAGGAAATTAACAAACAGCCTTGCATATACAGACGAGGGAATTATTGGATGTGATCAGTCCATGATAATATATATTGGATCTAAGAAAGACTTTTTATGCAATGAATGGAAATACTATCAAGTTGACAAGCGCTAACAGTATATGGTAAATTAAATTTATACATCGAAAACCCGCTACAACGCTTAGCAAGTAAGGCTGAACTTGAGCTTGCGGTCCTGGTTGGCAATACCGAAGTACTTCTCAACCTCGGTGCTGTGCGCAGGTGTATCGAAAGCAGTGAACCAGAAACCACTGGCCTCCTTCTGCTGCCAGAGCCAGCAACCGACATTGTTGTAGAACTGCTGGAGACTGGCGGTCGTGGCAGCAGCCTTCTGGTAGTTGGGTCCCTTTGTAGGCCAGCCGGTCTCGCCAACCCAGACAGCAGCCTTGGAGTTGACAGCCTTGACGTGCTTCTGGACGTTCCAGAAGGAGTTCTGGAAGGTCTTGAGGCGGAGAGCATCCTTGATGGGAACACCCTGCCAGTAGGGGAAACCGTTTGTAATGGCGATATCGCAGGCCTTGGTGACGACGTCGTTGCGGCCGTCGACCCAAGCGGTCCAGGTGTCGGTATGTCCGACCTTGAGGTTCTTGTTGTATTGGTGGACCATGCCTCGGACGTCGTAGATCTGCTGTGCGAGCTTCTGGGGGGAGATGTCCTCACGGTAGAGGTCCTCGGATCCGACACTGATGGCGGCGATCCAGCCGGTGCCGTGCTGCTTGATAGCCTTGAGGAGGGCGGCCTTGTCGCGGCCGAAGTGAGCATCATCGGTGGCCCAGACGCCAACAAGGATCTTCATGCCAGTGGCCTTGGCAGCGGGGACAGCCTTGACAAGTGCTAAGAACAATGTAAGTAAGAAGAGCTTGTTGTTGATCAAAAAGCGAAACACTTACTGTTACAGTCAGAGGCAGAGTACAGACGAACAGCGTTGAAACCCTTGTTCCAGCTCTTGATGGCCTGGAAATCCTTCTTCCAGTCGGCCTCCCACTTACAGGCACCATCAGCCCTGTTGGCGCCAATGCTGAAACCCTTGTAGGTACCAGCCAGAGCCTCGCCACTCATCATGAGGGCCACCGCAAGGGTGCTAAGAGTGCTGAAGAACTTCATAGTGAATTAAAGATAGTAGATAAAAAAAGATAACTGATTAATAAGCGAGCGACAGTTAAAGAGCCAAGAGGACAAAAAGACAAGAAAGATGGGATGGAAAGTTGGTTTTATTATGGGATGATGGAAATTATGCCCCCTTTTTCTTGATGCTTTTTGCCCCTTTGGGCTCGTATTTACCCTGGCGCGTGAGTTGTTCTAGACCATTTTGGCCTGTGCGATGCTATTTTTATGCTTGGCCTGGTCATAGAATGGCGCTAGAAAGCACCATCTTACGCGGAAGGTCGGCTTCGCGAGAATGGATTCAATCTACGGGCAATTAAAGCAGATTGGTTTTCATGCTTCATCCATCTTTGATATTTTGGAGTAATTCGAGATGCGTTATCATGGATTAAGTCGCCTGACCTGATATCTGCTTTCTGCTGTTTTGCTACAGTCAAGATGGGCTGGCCAACCACCGACCACTGACCACGTCCCAGATAATAATGGAACCGGGCTAAGGTGATCTTCGTTGGTAATCGATTGTCCACGCGATGCTGTCCGATTATTGGTCGGAAGTCTCGGGTCCCCCGATTTCCATGCTTGCCAAGTTTTACAATTCTCCACGGCCTACCTTGACTTACCCTGTTGCACTCACCAACTTCATCAATTACAACTTCAACATGGATAAACCTAATCATACGAAAGCTCATTACTAAAGCATGAAGACAAAATAATTGTATGTCATTTCGATACTATTTTAGAGTAATGGGGATATGTTTACAGTTCAAAAGTATGGTTAAATTCAACTTTCTATCCTAGCAGCATTACCGTAACAATGTGTCAAGTAGGAGTAGGCTTAACATCCAGGCAAGCCACGATAAGATAAGATTAGACAGCACAATTCGAACTATGTGGATAGATTAGATTAGATATACCTATCGATAAGTGCGTCATATAAGGAGGGTCTGTCATTCTAAACATGACCTGGAAATTCAGTCTTCAATTCAGTCTGCATAGTGTATAACCCACTCAATTGTTCCTTTACATGAAAAAAATCTCATTAATTCTTTCAAACGTATTGAATTGGCTGTGCCTGTTAAAACTGGCGGCGAGGCTAAGTGTGAAAACTCGGGCTATTCAAGACCGAACGTGGAAGCCGAGGTCCAGTTTCCCCAGTCAGTTACCTTTCCAAGTTTGACGGACAGTGATTCTCCGCATGAAGCAGCATAAGGTTAGATAGTTTGGATCCTGAAATTGAATGTAGCCCCAGTAAACCTTGATATCGATGCCCCCAAAGTTAATGCAAGACGGTTATTGGTGGAAATATTCCTCTTCCTCGACCGCCAAAAGGCAAACGACTTTCCTCATAGGCAAACATTGGGGTACATAATTGAATCTATACAAGTAGATCATAGTTCCAGTAACAACGTAACTAGAATCATATTTGTCCAAAAGTATATCTGAACTATCTTGACTCAGCATGAGACTCTTTAACGCTGCTACTGTTGTCCTGGGCATCTTTGGAGGTGTTCAGGCTGCGAAATCACCCTTCTTCATCCTTACGGGAGACTCAACTGTTGCTACGGGCGGAGGCTGGGGTGATGCACTGCTCAATGGAACCAAGAAACCTGGAGGTGGAATCAACCTAGCAAAAAATGGTGCCACCACCGTTTCTTTCAGAGACCAAGGCCTTTGGGATGCCGCACTCGATAATATCAAGGCTCAAAAGGCTCAACATGAGGCTATCGTGACGATCCAATTCGGCCATAATGATCAAAAGACCCTCACTCTGGAGCAATACTCGGACAACCTTTCCACAATGATTGGTGAGGTCAAGACTGCGGGTGGAACTGCGGTAAGTTCGAACTTCGATATCCCGATATCATGACTAACATTGTAGATTATCATCACATCACTCACCCGCCGCACTTTCAAAGACGGAAAAGTGGTAGAGAATCTTAGCAAAGAGCGAGATGCTGCCATTGCCGTGGCGAACCAGGCTGGAGTCAAGTATTTGGACCTCAACACCGCAAGTACCAAGTATATCAATGCGATTGGCCAAGAGAACGCGGATAAATACAACGAGATTGAAGGAGATCGGACACACCTCAATCTTTCGGGAAAGATTGTGTTTGGTAGGATGGTGGCTGATATGTTGGTTCAGAAGAGACGTGATCTGGCTCGTTACATCAAGACCAACAAGAAGCTGAGCCAACTCATCAGGGATGGAGTCTTTACAACTGGGCAGGAATAGTAATGTATACTGTTAAGTTGTATATGGCCAAAGGCAGAAGCGGTAATACACGTTTTTACAAGCTGGCTCTTGAACTCGATATGCTTAAGATGTGTTAGTAGAAGAGATGCGTAAAAACCCAAGACCGGGGCTCGGTAGCCTGAGAAGGGAAGTTGCATAATTCAGGGTTCCTCAAAATGAGAAACTGGTATGCAGTCGGGAGCTGTAAGAAAAGTTACTGTCACGAAAGCCCGCTAGATAATGGAATATTTGATGTTTTGAATTTGTCTATTTTCCCCCATGCTATCTCAGCTGTCTCACTCTCCCAGATTACATCTTAGAGTAGGTGTAGCAAAGAGGACCTGATAGAGTATCCATGTAATCCTTCACCACAGGCTCATTCTCAGCAAGCTCCATAACAGGCATTGTGTCAGTGATCGTGGCAGGAATAGTTGTTTGGGAGACTCGGAAGCCGGTGTAGTCTGATAGGCGGGTATCATTACGTCCTTGCCACTGTAATGTTGTCAGTAAACGTGCAAATCTAAATTAGATAGAAGAGAATCATACCTTGGCCCAAGCACGGTCAACATTGGCGTGGTGGAGGAAAAAGAGAGGCTCGTTGGGAGAGGTAGCAGGGCCCATATCACCAAAGATAACACTATGGACTAGTAATTTGTCAGCACGAGAAGCTAAACTGAGGGGAATTGTACTTACTCTGAGCGTGGGGTAGTCCCTCAAGCATTTCGGACATGTCCTTGTAAGTGTCGAAACCGTAGATGGTGTTCATGACCTTGGAGTTGTAGGCGGTAACCTGCATATCACCGAGGATCTGATCACCATTCTCGTCCTTGCCCAATCCTCCATTGAACTCGCGAGTGAAGCAGTGCAGACGATCGCCGGGAGTATTCATGTCAGGCCACCCCATAGCCAGAGTCAAGTTGGTGTTGGCGAAAGGTCCATCGACAACACAGCGCTCAAAGCCAGGGACGTTGCTATCAGTGCGCTGACCATCACCACCGAAACCTGTCTTCGCATCGAACAGAGGCGAGTTCTTCATATCGCTCTTATCAGCGTCGATGCTCCAGTCCCAGTAGGGCTGAACACCCTTGTAATCACATTCGTTCTTGAGCAGATCCTCATGGAGCTGAACAAACCAGCGATGCCAAGGGAGGAAGTTGGCGACAAAGTGAATCTCGGTGTTGAGGGAGAAGTGAGTGTATACAAGGTCGTCCATACGGGATGTGACGGCGTTGATGTGGCTGTACTTCTCCTTGGGGAGGTTGCGGATGCAGACGGCGGCGCGAAGGTATTCGGCCTTCTCAGCGCTGGTAAGCTCGCGCCATTCTTTGCGGACGACGGGATTTTTGCATGCGCTGTTGGCGCGAGCGAGAGGGCTGGCGAGGGATGTGGCGGCCAAAGCCAGGGTGAGGAGAGACTGGGGGAGCATTTTAACGAGTGTGTATATATCGAATGTAGTAATAATGTCTTAACGAGTGACAGAGTATTAGGTCCGATAGCGATAGGTGGCGAGAGCTGAGTCGAAGTGATTTAGAAGAGTGCAACAACGGCTATCTTATGTACGATGCGATTGATCTTTCTTCGACGATGGGTAGCATGGATCAATCTCCTTATTTTACATTTTCGGGGGTTAAAGTTCCAGGCTAGAGTAATTCCACCGGGATATGGGACGAAAAATTGTCCATTCAGATTCACACTAACGGCTCATTAGTGGATTCATGCCGACTTCTCTACTGTCGAGTCTACAAATACGAGTTTGGGTATGCCTGCTAAGCCGGTTGTCTCCCTATTCTAGAAGTTCAAGGACGACAAAACTCTCACATAGCTTCTTGCGGCGCTGTAAGATCCCTACAACCATTCTTTTAATAGCTGGAAAGACTGGGGCGCGCAGTAATTTCTTGAGACGCCCAGCCGGATGTTAGACTACATCGAGACTAGCCAGGGGCTCACGGGCCAAGGACCATGAACTGCGACATCATTGACGTGGGGTTAGTCTTCGTATAGCTGTTAGTTAACGCCAATGCCGTCTCTGGGTTATCTTTAACTCGCCTAATCTCGCCCCTGTCACTTCGGAGCCTTGTTCAAAGTCGCAATGAGGATCTCGGAAGTTGGTCGACGATGTGTAATGTTAAGCTAAAGTGTGGATCACCACCGGTTCTCCTCAACCTCAACAGAACAATTGCAGATTGAAGAATGCTCCTACTCTATAGCTGCTCTGTTGATGCCACGTACAAGCCTCTCCGGATCAAAATCGGTTATTATCTAAGAGAATATGTGTTGTAAAGGGGACGAAGTGACTGGGGCTGTTCTTCTGACACCTGTTTGGCTGGAAACTTGTCTTCCGCCTTTTGTTCGCTAAAATCAACCCCTTGTTTCGTCTTGGACCGGATCACCGTAGTTTGACAGAAGCAGAGCTATTGTCATCAGGTCGAGTGTGACCGAATCGATGTGACAAGAACAAGTTGCAAGAACTTATAGGAGTATCTGCAAAGAGGAATAAAACCTAAGCCTTTTGGGTTGTATGTATTCCAGAGTAGTACGTTGTTGATGTTGAAGACTATATCGGAGTTTTTGGGGGGAGGGGAAGAAACAATAGACTCAACTGCTCGATAGATTAGCTTAGACTTCACACTACGAAAGACATCATAGTACATGTTATCCAACAGATATAGGATAACGACGAGAACTCATGTGGCAAGGCTGTAATTACATTGCATCGCTCCTGTGTTGTGTTACTACTACCGGAAATATGTGTATGCTGAAGTAGGAAAAATGTAGGCTATTGATTCGCAAAAGGTAAGCAATACTAGAACAGCACGCTGTTTAAACATCTACCAAGTCCTGTAACTCCGATGAACTGCTTAATGGCTCTGCAAGTCACGATAAAGTCGCGTTCTCTGAGGGTGTACATATCATATTCCAGAGAACACGGCTTTATATTCCCCTTCGATTCTGGTGAAATAGAGGAATTTTCAACGGCCTATCACAACTGCCTTTAGGCAAGTTGTTGGACCACGGTTTTCACTGTCTATCAGAAGAAATCATGACTAGAACCCCTTCACAATTGTTACTCACTGGCTGCTGATCGAAACTTCGAGTTGAATCTTCCATATGATATAGCACTGGGGATAGATCAAGTTTCACAGATATCAGAGATCACCGAAAGTTCAACTGTGAGTATTACAAGACTGCTTAAGGTTTAGAGTATATATACAAGAAATTAATTACCAGGCCGGCGACCAGAGGTCAAGTGCACTCTTTTGAACATCCTTACGCCTCTTCAGGTCACTTGAGGTGTTGTTTCTCGTCACGTCCTTGATAACACAATCTGGTGTTCTGTTGGTGTCATGCTGGCTGGAAAAGATGTCCTCAAGCCACTGAACAGCCGCCCCATTACTGTCGGTGGCTTCCTCAAAGTGCGAGCCGACAGTGTTCCTTTCGTAGAGAATGTTTGCTCCTACGCCACAATATCTCTTGACTACAGCATCGGTACCTGATATGGGCGTGACCTCATCGGGGATAGCTTGGTAGATGAACAGCGGCCATTGGGGAACGCCGTGATATCCCATAATACCTTCCCGATTGATAAGAGCTAGGATCTTCGGGTCGTTGAGAATGTCAGTACCATTCTGGAAGTACTTGTTGATATCGATTTCAGCGAAGGCCGCGCCAGATTCGGTAATAGTAAAGCCCTCAGCAGCTAGAAAGCTAGTCTTGTTGTAATGGCTATCATCGTTGAGTTTGGATACAAGGTACTTGCGGACATCAGGATATTGGCTCGTAAGACCTAACAAGGTGTTTGGTATCACACCGGCCATAGCTTGACCGTTGGTAGAGTGCATGAATGCACTGAGATTGGCCAATGGAGCACCCATCGCGGCACCAACAACGGGTCCTGCTGTCAGATCGGGTGCATACTGTACTGCAAGTTCTGATGCCCATTCGGTGGCAAATGCACCACCAGAGTAGCCCCAAAGGGCCACACGGGGCGAATTGGTGACGTTCAGGCCTAGACCAACTGACATGACAGCTCGAATCGAGTCCAAAATGGCGTGTCCAGACATGATACCAGCGGTAAAAGAAGCCAAGGGACCCTCATAATCTGGAACAGAGACGAAGAGACCCGAACCTAGAGCAGCCATATAGGAAGCAGAAGAATCATTGCTCGCGCTGTACATGGTGTAACTAGGGCTGGCATCGACATCGGCAGAGTCATAGGGAACGTGGAATGACAGGAGGGCGCTTTGCTGGTACTTTTGCTGCGCAAGACTATCGGGACCCAGCTCGGGGACTAAAAGAGTGGTGACGGCCCATGTAGGCTTGAAATGACTGTCTGTTGTGCGATAGAGGATGTTGTAGGAAGCAGAGCTATTGGTCGTGATGCTGGTCAAGTTTCCAGGGGCAGGTCGTACTCTCAAAACTGTTCCAGGCTCGGCGTTCTCAAATCCAGGCGGTGCAGTATACCATGGATCCTTGCTAGGTGGAACTGGTTCTGACAACGCAGCTTGAGTGACGCCAATAAAGCCGAGCCACAAGCTCAGAGAAAACACCAAAAGATTGAGAGCCATACTGGAAAAATAAATGAACGACTTGAGCTGTCAATGGCTCCTTGGAACTCGAAGTGAGAAATGCGGCGGATTATCTTATTTAGCAATGCATTCTATTTAAACTTTGGGGCTGTTATGGGTAAACCAGGGCCTGAAGAACCGAGCACGTACGCCAGCCCATCGCCAATCAGCTGGAGTAAGATGAGTCATTGTGAGCCATGGATTACATCTACTTAATACAGGGGGCTCCTAATTGTCGTCAAGTCTTAGAACTAGAAATGAGTTCAATGAGAAAGGGCTGAAGACCTTCAGGTAAACTCGTAGAGTACTATATTACGTAGAATGAAGCTGACTTTGTCTAATAGACGGACAATAGAAATGTCGGGCTGAGTTCTGGTTTCTAGCATCTAAGTGCAGTTAGAGTTTCACGTTTGTACAATTGGAATGGCCAGTTGGTTTATTGACCCCCTTGTCAGGTCCTGGCACTTTTATCAGGCCCTCCTGCATGTACACTATAACTGGTTGGTTTTGAGATTTAACTTTGAACTAGGCCCACCAGCGAGGCCTGAGAAAGTACAGCCTATTACTATGTCTTGTTTTACTCTTCCTTTCTCTTGCCTAGGCCTGTTGTCTTTGTATATCAAGCGGTTCATTTTCATGGCCTTCACAACAGCTTGAGCCCAAAATACCAAGTAAGAGACAGGACCGCCTCCAGTATCAGCGACGCTACAATGGACATCGCATCGAAGTTGGAAGGCTTTCCCACTCTCGAGATATTACATTACCTTTCAACTTTACTTGCCGTTTGCACTTATGCCGCGCTGATCATCATTTCAACCCCCAAAACTGGACCTGCTTCCCTGGTGCGGTATTCCTCCCCTGCTATTGTCCTTACAGTAGGGAAACAACTATTTCGCGAGTCACGCCAAGTTAGCGGCAGTTCTGGTCATCGCAGCTTGACTCTGGCGCTTACGGCATTGTTTATACTACAATGTTGCAACTTCTTGGTTCTTACAAGGCTGGATGCCAACGATTTGGCAAAGAAAAACATATTCCGAGCCTCCGATAATGCGGTGTACAAGGTTTACCGAGTTGTTTGTCTCATACTCAACGTGCGAGGTATTGGAACGCCATGGCAAGCAAAGCATCTTTCCGGCTTCCCCCGGTTCTACCAGCGTGAAAAAAGACGTGAACCAACTGCCATCCGGTTCGTATTTCGTCAGGCACTTATCCTTGCATGGCAATGTCTCCTTCTAGATATCATTTACACCTCATCGCTGAGCACGCCAAAGGAGGACACACAGAGGCTTTTCGGTCCAGGAACAGAATATATGTATCTGGACGCCACTGCCGAGCAATGGGCGGGCCGTTGTTTCGTTGGGATCATTGCATGGGTAATACCCGGTAGAGTATCCATCGATTTGCCATACCGTCTCTTATCGCTTGTCTCGGTCCTCTTTGGCTTTACGTCACCTCAAGAATGGCCGCCGCTGTTTGGGAGCATTTGGGATGCATACACTATTCGAGGCTTTTGGAGGTAAGTTTCAATACTCTTATCACCATCCACTCTTTCTGACATGTGACTAGTACATTCTGGCACCAGTACTGTCGCTGGGCTCTCACATCAATCAGTAACTTTTTATGTCGAGACTTTCTGCGGCTTCCACGGCCGTCTATAGTCGAGCGCTACTTGAACATCTCAGTCGTCTTCGTAGGATCAGCTGTTGTACACATGGCTATTGATACGTTTTGTTGGGGGCCGCCTACAAAGCCAAAGCCAATGCTACCTGCATTGGCTTTCTTCGGCTCCTTCATTGTCGGTATCATTATCGAGGACACGGTTCAAGCTCTATGTCGCCGCATCACCGGTGCAAAGAAGCAAGATGGAGATGACGGAGTCCCTGTATGGCACAGGCTTGTAGGCTACATTTGGGTATCATTTTGGTTCATCATGACATCGTCTTGGTATCTGTACCACAACAGTCGGCTACCGCCAGATGATACATGGATGGTGCCGTTCAGCGTTGTGGACACAATTGGTATGGACACAGCCCAGAAAGTGCTGCTTGCCAGTGGCTTGGTCTTGAGGTTTGCAGTTGGCATTGAGGTGTAACCATCTTGCCGGGGGTAAAGCGAGCCTAAATTTGCATTCAAGATAAATACTCTACATAGATATCTCAAGTAATGCAGACGATAATTTGTCTCCATAAGAAGGCCTGCTTGATATCAGATGAGATCGACCCGAAACAATGACTATTCCAGCATGTGTAAGATGCATTTCCGGCTTTGAGTGTAGTCATTCACTCGATCCTCCATGCCTTATACATCGTTTTGGTCACAGGTTTCATGATGTGTTTATTTTCCTAATAGACTTCTTGATAATCCTGAGATACGCGCATGGCTCCTCACAATGCATCACGGTTATGCCCAAGTCAAAGGATTATAATCTACGTTGACAACCCATATTGCGCTTTAGGCGTTATGGCTGATTATCTAATTGTCAAGTCTGTAAAATATTGAATAGTAGAAATGTGTGTCACTGAAACGAGCTTTAGGCTAGGAACTTAGACACATTGTAGAGAGGTAGGTAACAGGTGCAAGGATATTTGCTTAGGCCAAGCTAACAATCGAATTTTGAGAACGCGTCAGTGGTTCTAAAGAGAGTAGTTAAGGCGTGTCAGTGGGGGCTGTGTAAGGCCCGACACTGCATTGCAAGCTAAGGCTGCCAGTGCCTCAATCCCCTGTAAGTGTATCCGTACATTCCAGCGTTTGAGTGTCAAGGATTTGCGCAATGTTTGTTGATTCGATTTGCGATCTAAAGAACGCCTGTATTTAATTTCTTAACTACCTTTGGAGTATATTTTTTCTGTCTGTTCAGATAAAATTCTCAACCCATTTTATATTTTATACCAAAAACAAGAAAACAACTAATTTGTTCCACTCGAAAACCACCAAAATGAGCGACTCATCTTCCTCCACTTTACCGCCCTTGGTACCAGAGCTATACAGATGGCAGTCGATTGGATCTGATGGCCGCCAGGTCCAACGCCGGTCTGTGGGCGCTGAAGCCATTGTCGGACTGGAAGACATGAACAGAAGAGCTTTGTACGACCTCTACATAGCTACTTCTCTTCGAAATGTTGCACCAGCCTCAACATGTCTGACGTTGCGAAATCTCAAAGACATGTTTGAACTGGCTTTGTTGGACGCACGTTTCGAGCACCCTGAATGTGCTTGCACGGTATCCTGGGACAATGAAGTACCAGCCATCATCACCTACGAATCACCAGAGAGCAACGAACCTGCTCGTGCTTGGGCTAAGGACTGCGTTCATGTACGGCCCACCGCAAAGAGTGCTCTCGATCTTTGGAGCGAAATGGAGGAGGGAAGAGCGGCAGCCAACGATAACACACCGTCCAAGCCAATTGAGCTCTTCCTGCTTTCAGATGTCCCTACAGACTCTACACCAATTCCTCAAGGCGCGGCCGTTGACATTCTGTTCCACAGCAATCATTTGTTCTGGGACGGAATCGGTTGTCGAAAATTTATCGGAGACCTCTTTCGTCTCGTGGGCAATTATGTCGACTGCAGTGCCGGCTTTGAGACGCAGAAGATTCAATGGGGCCAGGAGATCAAGAACCTCAGCCCCGAAGTCGTCGACTCCCTGAAGCTGGACGTAAATACTCTTGGAAGGGAGTTCGATGACAAGTGCACAGAGTATACAAGTACTCTTGTAGCCAATTATGTGAGTTGAAACCCCGGTTTGCCGTCTGCCAATTCACACTAACCTTCCCATGACAGAAAAGCCGAGGTCTGAAATTTCAACCAGGGCTCGCTTTGCCTCGCTGTGTCATTCACAAACTCAGTGCTGAGGACTCCATTGCCATTATCAAAGCCATCAAGACTCGGCTTGGCCCTGGATTTACTATAAGTCATCTGACCCAAGCCGCAATTATCCTTGCTCTGTTGGATCATCTCAAGCCTACTGATCTTTCAGACGATGAAGTCTTCATATCACCAACGTCAGTGGATGGCCGCAGGTGGTTGCGTGAGGAAATAGCCAAGAACTATTACGCTATGTGCCAGACTGCTGCCGTCGTTCGGGTTGAGAACCTCAAGTCTATTGCAGTGAGTCACAATGATGAGAAAGAGTTGCAAGTCAGAGCTCTGGAGAGTGCTTGCAGGGACATCAAGAAATCTTACAGCCAATGGCTTGAAAGCCCGTTCCTGCAAGCCCTTGGTCTCAGAGTTCATAACTTCGAGGCGAGGTATCTGCACGCGTAAGTAGAACCACTTCTCTCACGTGGAATTCACTGTTCACTGACATATAACCGCCGCAGTAAACCAGTTCCGTTCGAAGGGGAAGCAAACCCAGTATGTATTCTTAAATCTTGTGACCCCATAGTTATGAAATACTAACAGTCATTCAACAGTTGTTCATCAGTGACGGCATTAACGAACGCTTCATTCCGCGTGAAATCAAGCGAAATTCAACTGGCGAGAACATCATGTCGGTTGAAAGCGTAGACTTCGTTGTCAATCAGTCTTTGCCCTATCTGTAAGTCAAGTAAAGGTACAGCAAAGCGAAAACTGACAAGGAAATAGGGCAATCCGACTAGACAGTTGGAGGGATGCTTCCACCCTCAACATCATCTATAACGATGCAAACTATACCGAAGCCGAGGTACAGAAGTATTTGCAGAGTATTGTCGAGTTCATGTTGGCTTTCAAACTATGAGCGGTTGTATTTGGAGGGTACATGAACTGGATATCGCTCGAGAAACAGCATTACCTGGGCAGACATTCAGCTGTACATTATGTGTGGTGATTTTGAATGCGAACCGTAGATGGAGTAGTGACTATAGTGCAATAAAGCTTCATTTGTAACTTTGATCAAGTTTTCCCATCCCACAATTGAAACATGATATCTCCCAAACGGTGACCTATATGACCTTCTATTGGGTCTTGGATAGGCTATAACTGGATTTCTTCTCTTAAAGATATTTTTATATTTTATTTGGTAACGTTTGACCAAGACGAGGCCTTTTTAATATACCTATATTTCTGAAGTTTAAGGTTTATATACCTATCTCGATTAATAACTCATCAATAACTCATCAACTAGCATTATGTTGTATCAGGTAATCTGTACATGCAGAATGCTCTCCACGCTGGATTAGTTGTTAATGTAAAAAAAGCCTGAGAAAGTCTCACTGAGAATCATATTCCCGAGTATGGAGGGGGGAACGAGCAATTGATCAGTTGAAGCCATAAGACGAGCAGGAACTTGTAGTTGACTCGTGTGATAGACATTTTGAATCCAACTCTGAAATCCATCGTTATCATGACAAGAGTGTTTATGACGGCCGGAATACAATTTACACGTAATGGACACAAGTGTACGGCGTTCTCTTTCCCGCTCAATAAGAATACATGGTCGGATAAGATGTATCAAAATTAATGCGAGTTTAAATAAAGTACTTGATTTCATATTTAATGTTACTATTATGAACTTTCATCCTCGCATACCGAGATAAACTGGACAAAGAGAACAACCGTTGATTCAGTGAGATATCCAGCATGATAGTAAGACAGTCCCGATTGTAGTTTACAAAGCTTTGAGAACCTTGACTCGAATTTCACCAACATGCTCGGTCTTGCCTGGAATTGCCTTGGGATAGCCAACAATGCGGGCGTGAGTCATGTCAATGTCGGCTTTGGTGGTGTCATAAAGCTCAACCTCGTAACCCCGAGCAATGCGAGAAAGAGCAAGATACATCTCAGCAAAGGCCATTCTGTCAAAAAGTTAGCAATGATTCTCCTCATACGGCGAGTCCCAATGGATGGTAAGGGAAATTAACTTACGTGTAACCGATGCACTGCCTTGAGCCCTGAGAAAAGTTGGTGATATGCTTCTTGAGTGGAATCTGTTTCTCTGCAGCTTCGATCCATCGTTCAGGCCTGAACTTGGAGGGCTCAGGGAAGATCTTGGGGTCGGTGTGCATGAAGTAGGTGGATTGAGAAATGGGAGTCTGTGATGGTTGTTAATATACATAGACATAAAGCGATAAGGAAATTACTTACTCCGGCGGGGATGACATGATCCTTGTACTTCAAGTTCTCCTGAGTAGCGACACGTCCCGAGCGAGAGATTGGACCGAAGGCGAGGCGGAACCCCTCGTGAACGACACCGTTCAAGTATGGGAGATTCTCGAGAGTGGCCAAGGTAAACTTGTCATCTTCGACCTTAGGTAGAGTGTTCAGCTCCTCTCGGAGTTTCTTCAGACACTCTGGATGAGTCAAGAGATAGAAAAGGGTAATGGCCAGTGTCCTTGAGGTAGTCTCAGTACCTGCAAACAGAATAACGGTACCCTCATCGAGCATTCGCTCAACAGTGCGCTCAGCGAGAGGGATATGGGTGTCAGCGAGTGCACCGAAAAGGATAGATGACTTGGCCTCGGTAGTCTTTTCGGATAGGAACTCCCCAGCACCGCGATCCTGAATCTCGTTTCGCATCTGGAGAAGATCACACACAGACGGTGCGATCATGCGGACACATGAGTAAGGAAGTCGCTTCAAGACGGTGACCAGGAGAGGGAGAAAGCGTGCAAGATGGTACACCTTGGTAAGACCCAAGAAACCGTCGCGAACCACGAAGTGAAAGTCGGGAAGATCGAGATAGTTGTAATGCTTGCCATAGAATCGAGAAGTGATGACATCGGCCGTCAGAGCGCAAAAGGCACCATCGAGACTGAGGATCTGGTTGTTGTCCAGATGTTCCTGAAATCGAGACAAGAGCTTGGTGACACGCTCATGGATGAAAGGTTCGAGATTGGTGATTGTTCGCTTCGAGAAATAAGGGTTCAGGTAGCCTCGGCGAGCACGATGTTTGTCATGATCAACGGTAGCCGCAGTGGCAGTCGGAACGTCAAAGGCACCAACAGTCGCTGGATCCTTGTTGGTCTTTCGAGCACCGGCAGTATAAATGGTAGAGTAATAGGATGAATCCCTGATGTGAACTTCATGAGCGTTGACGCGGACGATGGGGCCTTGAAGTAAGATAGTCAGTCATATTATCCCACAAGGTGCATCTGTGCATATCTTACCATATTTATCGTGCATCTTGGCGATCTCCCAAAGATATTGACCATCCCGGATGACTTCGTGGTAAAACTCAAGGTAGGGTCCAATAGCAGCCAGCTTCGGTCCCGGGATCTTTCTCAGTGGATGCAAGTAAAGGTTGTAGAAGCAGGAAGAGAGGAAGTAGATAACGGTCGACGCTGCGAGAATTCCAGCAACATGGCTGATGGGAATGTCGACTAACGTTTTAATTTTGTCTAGGTCAATCATCTTTCCAAGTTGAAGTCTTGAATAGACTTCTAAATGAAACTAATGTTTGTGATGATAGAAGTTGAGGAAACCTGTGGTGATGAGGAGTACTATATAGTGTTATTCATGAACACAAGCCACGGATAGTGAGTTGCTTTGATCTTTCACCCCCGCTTCACGGACTCTATCCTCAATCCGGTGACGAAAAATGAAGCATTAGGTACCTAGTCTCGTACATCTCGATGATGCTTTGCATCCGTTGCGACCGTAAGAGGTTCACAACTCCGATGCTGTCCTCAGAACCGCTATGCCAAATAAGCTTTGTCAGAATGTCCCTTTACTTACAAAATGAGAAATTCACCAATCAACTCAACAAGGAAAACATGGGGTCTGAAAGGCCTGGCTGGCCTGACAGGAGCGATAGAATGCGCAAAGAGATATGCCGATACAACCGGGTGACTTTTGAAACGGGGCACACAACTACCATTGCAATCTCTAGGGTCAATCGACTTGCCTACGATTGGAGATGAGAACCCTTTCTCCCGCGGCTTAGTTGCTGTCGATCACTTGCAGACATAGGTACAGGGTGGTACGATTCTACAGAATGATGAAGGCACCCCAAGGTCAAAGCTAATGCACGGAAGCAATATTAAGCTTTTGAGATAGACAAGGTTCTTGTCTCAAAATATCTTTCCCTACCCTGACCCATACATGGGTAACCTATGTACATACATGGTCTTGTACGAAGTACCGAGTACAGCCTCAGCTATTGTGCAAACAGTCAAGGCTGTTCCCTGTGGTTACACTGGCCACATACTTAAATGGATTATCATTAAACGTTGTAGAACGCTTCATTTGGAATCTTAACAGCTCGCAACTACTCTTTTCAGTATCTGCATGTCACTAGCTAGCATCGGTGGTCCGCATACTAAACCTTCAACTGCCGCAGCAAACTGTAAATACATACCGACGCGTCTCGGATAACACTACCTTTTAAACCGCCGTAGTAAACTGTAATTGTCGGTGCTTCTCGGACAATATTTTGAGGCTGTTAGAAGCTTTCACTTTTAATAAAACTTCCTCTGAATAAGAAACTTTTAACAACCATCCCATCAGGCCATTCTTCTACTCGCCAATACATTGAAAGTGTTTTCTGATTATCTCTTCAATATGATTTACATGGAGTCCGAATCTCACTACGAATCTTGGAGTGCTTTGCCCCTCTTTGATCGTGTTGCGTCTCCCGATCATGCCAAGGACTTTGTCTCACTCCCAATCCCAGGCCCAGTCTCAGTGCCAGATCTAAACGACTATGAATCACCAACTTTCGAAATCGATCTTCTATCAGAAAATTATGATTTCGACAACTTCCCCACATACTGTCTACCAACGGTGGATTCAACCAAGACATTGTTCCCTGAAGAACCACCTTTTTGCTTCGAGGTTGACTTCGTGAACCCAGCCGTCGAGCATTATATCACCACATCCTCGGGCCTGTTGGACGCAGTGCCAAGCCAGCTTATCGCCCTCCCCAGCTTCACACGGCCAAGCAAATGTCCGTTCCCCAGCTGCAAATCAACCACAATATTCGAAAGCGGACGCGACTTTCGGCGGCATTACCGTCAACATTTCAAGCGCTTCTTCTGTCGCTACCCAGAGTGTTCTCAATCAACTCAAGACCTACAGGAAGTGGGCACCAAAGGCTTCGCGACTCGGAAGGACCGTGCTCGCCATGAGTCCAAACACAAACCAACAGTGCGGTGCCCTTGGCACGACCAGGAAGGACAACAATGTCTAAGGGTCTTCAGCCGTGTGGATAACATGCGGGACCACTACAGGCGGATACACAAGTGTTGACGAGGGATCGATGTAAATAATTACTAATAAAAGGCAACTTTTGCGAAAGTCGCTATCTCCATAAAAGTGCTTTATACTTTGAGCTTTGTATCCGTAAATGATGACGAGTTAGAGCAGATCCATGCTGTTTTTGGAACGACTCATAATATACCCCATATCATATCCGAGACCTTGTCGCTGATTGGATCCAGCCCTGGTTTTATTGCTTAATTAATGAGACTATGCGCCTCAACCGTCTTCAACGTACAGAACCTTTATCTGTCTCTCTTTACGCGTCGCCATGTTTAAGCGAGATCAGCATGGCCAATGTTGCTTTGGCCCCGTAATTTCCACAACAATCTGGATACTTCAAGGCATTTGCGGCCGCTGGTTTAATTCTCTCAGTCGGCCTCATCTGGCAGGTGCTAATATATTCTACCCGCGCTTGGCTACCTATGCCACACACAAAGCTTCATGTTTGGTTCATATCGTATACTCGCTTCAACAGTTCTGCGGGTACGACTCTCGTATGGATGTAATAAACAAATGTTCCGACCTATTATGCCGAGTTACCGTGGACAATTATCGGGCCGGAAAAGAATGCATTTGTGAATTGTAATCCTGCCTGTTTGTGGAGTGATAAGTGACATATTGGAAAAGTCGTCAAGCAATTGGAGGTTTCATCAACTGTGGAGTCATCGTTTTGGGCAAACAATACTATGTAGGGTAGGCTTCTGCTGCAGCATCAATGACTCGTTTGGATCGAGTCCTTTTGTTGCCAAGGCGTATGGGGCCTGCAGGGAACGAGTCAGTCGTATCAGGCCGGTGAGGCAAATGCCGTTTCGCAGCAGCTATCATTTGTCGCGGGATTTTCGCGAAGCTTTGCGTGACGAGTCAAATCCGCACATCTTGATTCATGAGTTGTTGAATTTAGCTGTTCATTCGTGAGTGGCTAAAGCGTATCTAGTCGATTGTCAAATTCAGACTTGACAGGTCCCTTGATGAATGAGACGTCGGATGTCCCTAGCCGAGATGCGGATTGTGACAACGGAAGAGACAGGGGCAGGGTTCATGGGTGTTGAACCTTGTTCACTGAAACGGTGATGTCTTTGGTCTACAAAGTATCCTTCACATGTCTCTGTTCCCAGACCACGTGGTTATTCTGGCATCCGGGTCCTATTGATTGGCTGATTTCTTGCACTGATACATACAAATAAGTCCAAGACTGTATTCTACTGGCAAAATTATGCCGACAAGGGGAAATCATTCTGAATTAGTGATGAAGCATGCCGTCGAAGCCGAAGAGAAACTTTGCGCAGCAACTGGAAAGACCTGTGGGCTGTAGAGCGCACAGCACGGTAGTAAGACCTACGGCCCTGGTATCATGGTTGTAGCCTCTTCCGTATTGCTCACATATCCACCGGTTTTCTACATAAACAGTCTGAGTCCTGATAGTGGATATTATATCTTCCAGGACCTAGTCTAGGTAGTAGTCGGCATTTGAAACGCCTAGTGGCAAGAGATCGCTTAGCCTCCAGCCTGGCAATATCGCGGCTTCCTCAGGTTGTACCACGAATGATGATCTCAATTGTGCTTCCCCTGTCGTGAATTTGCTAGTGCGACGGGACTTGCCAGGCTTACGGCACCTACAAGTCGCGCCAGCCTTCTGACAGTGATTGTATGCAAGATCGTCATTAGTTATGATTAAGCTTTGATAAACAAGAGCGCCACAGCCTTTCTTTAACTCCGACAACCTCAACGGTGACATGCATACCGCGTGACACTATTTCCCATGGTGTGAACACCATCAATGACTTAGAGTAGATAACCACTTGAAACTTCTAGAATGTCCAAGAACTACACTCAGTGTTTCATAGAACTAAGACAATGTTCATTGAAGGATGGGATTTGAGACTCCGTACTGCTTCACCTCGGAAAATAAGCACTGTTTAGCACCCGTTAAGCCAAGTCCTTCAAACGTGGGGACGGATTTAACCAACAGCAGAGTGGATAAGCCTGTACTCTACTCATTGAATGTATATAATACATTGCTAGGTACATACGCAGCTTTCAGGCACAGATAACGAAGATCTTAGGGTAGATTCCAAAACATCGGAAGGGGTCACAGATCGCACTAGCTACTATGCCATCCAGAGCCTCTTGCTAACCAAACAGAGCTAAGTCGCTTAACCCTTATTCAAAGAACACAGTTGTATTGTGCATCCGGGATCTAACTGTCTTGGACAAGCGTGTTCTGTATCCGTAACGGCTGGTGGTTTTGTAGGGTATGATAGAATGGTTGCACTTAAGGCCTGTCGACTAGGTAAGCTTTTCCCAGGGAAGAATAAAACACCGCGGCTGCTTAGACAAGTGAGGCTTTCTTCTCCGTCAACAAACTGCCGTCTCACTAGTCCAAACTTGGTCACGGACAACAGCCGAACTCAAACATTTAGCCTCAGGATTCATCCCTAGCTTTAGGCCTACTCCTCGTCCCTTGACACCGGGATGTAGTTCCTATCGCTTGCGTAGCTCTTTACTGCATGTGCCGAGCTAAAGATAAAATCGGACTAAAGATTCGTTCCGGGAGCCGAATGCTTTCTCAAGCTCGTCGTGTTGCAGGGGATGGAAGACCTCCAGCGTACGTCACGGTCTCTATCACTACGAATTTGCTGGGAAGGCTATTTGCATTAATGTCAAGTCAATTATTAGGCCTAACAACACAAGTTTAACTAAAGATTGTGGATGGTTGACATTTGCCATATGTTGATATATAGTTGATAGCAACAGCACTTTGCAATAGGACAATAATAGCGACTTGACTTGAAAATTCGCAAAGAACTGTTATAAATCATTATACCATTATCATCATGGAGAACTTTCCCACTGAGTATTTTCTCAACACTTCTGTGCGCCTTCTCGAGTACATTCGATACCGAGATAGCAATTATACCCGGGAAGAGCGTATCGAGAATTTGCACTATGCTTACAACAAGGCTGCTCATCACTTTGCTCAGCCACGACAACAGCAGCTGCTCAAGGTAGACCCTAAGCGACTACAGGCTTCCCTCCAAACTATTGTTGGCATGGTGGTATACAGTTGGGCAAAGGTCTCCAAAGAGTGTATGGCGGATCTATCTATTCATTACACGTACACACTCGTTTTGGATGACAGCAGCGATGATCCGTATCCAGCCATGATGAACTATTTCAACGATCTTCAGGCTGGACGAGAACAGGCCCACCCATGGTGGGCGCTTGTTAATGAGCACTTTCCCAATGTCCTTCGACATTTTGGTCCCTTCTGCTCATTGAACCTTATCCGCAGCACTCTTGACTGTAAGTACCCTGGCTCTATTATTTCACCGCCTTAATAAGCTAACAGTGATGGAATTATAGTTTTTGAGGGATGCTGGATCGAGCAGTACAACTTTGGAGGATTTCCAGGATCTCATGACTATCCTCAGTTTCTTCGACGCATGAATGGCTTGGGTCACTGTGTCGGGGCTTCTTTGTGGCCCAAAGAGCAGTTTGATGAGAGAGGTCTATTCCTTGAAATCACATCAGCCATTGCTCAGATGGAGAACTGGATGGTCTGGGTCAATGATCTCATGTCTTTCTACAAGGAGTTCGATGATGAGCGTGACCAGATCAGTCTCGTCAAGAACTACGTCGTCTCTGATGAGATCACTCTCCACGAAGCTTTAGAGAAGCTCACCCAGGACACTCTACACTCGTCCAAGCAGATGGTAGCTGTCTTCTCTGACAAGGACCCTCAGGTGATGGACACGATTGAGTGCTTCATGCACGGCTATGTCACGTGGCACTTGTGCGATCACAGGTACCGTCTGAATGAGATCTACGAAAAGGTCAAAGGACAAAAGACCGAGGACGCTCAGAAGTTCTGCAAGTTCTATGAGCAGGCTGCTAACGTCGGAGCCGTTTCGCCCTCGGAGTGGGCTTATCCACCTATTGCGCAACTGGCAAACATTCGGTCCAAGGATGTGAAGGATGTGAAGGATGTGAAGGAGATTCAGAAGCCTCTGCTGAGCTCAATTGAGCTAGTGGAATGACCGACGGTGAGATGGAAGTATGTTTTGCGGGTACTCGCTAGGAGAATACTGGTCGTTTATCATGATTACAAATAGCTTGGTTATGTTTTTATTAGCATTTACAGTTGAACAAGGATAATTACTACTGAATAGGCAGCTGAAACTGATGTCTGTAACTCCAGCCTGTTATTCCACTTGCCTGCAGGTCTTTGCATGGCCAAGTCATACATACCTGTTACGGTGTCGGTGCGACAGGGCTATCCATACCCCGGCCCAGCCTGCAGTAGAGCAGGCGTCACGGCCTGTAGTGCGCTGCGGGAATCTTCCACCCGTTCGGATGTGGGAAGTTTTGTTGTCCTCGGGGCTAACACATTCCAACCATTAATTGATCTTCAAAACGCTTGCATTTGCTCTATATGGCCGGCCTTGATCCTTGTATATTTTCACCATCTGACATTTTCTGCACAAGGCGTACAGAAACCACACGAGGTAAAGTTTCATGGCCGCTTGGCCACTATTGGAAACACGACACACATGTTAAACTCTATCCTTGCATTATATTGTAACATCGCCTAACATCTCCACGCACTATTCCTTTGCGTTCCTTATTCATCCTCAACTGTATGCCAACCAACAATCATCAAATTATTATTGCAGTTAGTCATCATGGATTTCCCAAAGCCGAGGCAGGTTAGAGAGACGAGCCTGTTGATGTACTACCTGGACGTCGTGTTTTCTCTACAATGCATTACCCCAAACAACAATTGTCTGGGCAAGAGAGAGTGGCTGTTGACTATACTAACCTCTGCTCGGCCTACGTACTATGCAACATTGTGCCTGGCCCTCCTTTATAAAGAATCCCTCTCAAGCCCTTGCAGAGCCGAACAAGCGGTAGTATGGAAGAGAGAAAAGACCTACTACTACATTCTTGCGCTCCAAGAGTCTCAGAAGCTGTTGGGTGGACTCGACAAGACTTTTGGTATCACAAGGCTGAAGGGGACCGTCGTTGCCCTTGCTTGCATGATCCAGCTCATCGGGTTTGAGGTAAGACGAATCCACAACGCTCACAATGTTCAATACCCGATCTATAATTATCATTGGAGACTAACGCATTTGGACAGTCTTCGCACTTAAGTAGGGGAGATTGGCGCGTTCACCTCCTTGCAGCCAACACACTCATTCCTGTGTTGGTCGAGGGTTGGTCCACAGCTTTGCAATCAGGCCCTCCAGCCACTTCAATCTGGTGTGAGTTGGATGATTCGGATTTCGGCTCAACTGAAGATCAAAATTCCTTGAGCTTCGAATATCTTGGTGCTTTGAGATTCTTGTCAAACTCCCTGGCGACAACCGGTATCTTATCGTGCATATCTGTTGGCCCATCAGCACCATTCGAAGATTATGGTCACCTCTTAGACCAGCCAGGCCTCATACAGATGGATGAGGTGCTAGGGTGCAAGAACTGGGCCATGCTGACTATACTCGAAGTGGGTAAGCTGGACCGGTGGAAGCGCCAGGAGCAAGAGCACAACCGTTTGAGCCTAAAGACACTCGCTAGGCGTGCAATGATGATAGAGGACATGTTGACAGACGAGCTACAAAAGCTTCCGGCAAGCGAGACACTGCCTGATCTCATCAACCATATTTACGCCGCCTCCATTATGACATACCTGCATACAGTAGTTTCAGGACTCAATCCCAACCTTTCAGAGGTCCAGGATAGTGTGAACGCAACGATTCTATTGTTGGAGAGACTCCCAGATCTGCAAGCTGTCGCGTCTGTTACTTGGCCTTTGGCTGTCACAGGTTGCATGGCCTCGGAAAGTCATAAGGACTTTTTCAGAAATACTCTGAGGTCCTATGACGCGACATTCACCTCGTTAAAAAAGTATGATGGAACTCTTGAGGTTTTGGAAGACGCTTGGAACAAACGAGAGATAGACAGAGAGTCTCCAATCAGGTGGGAGGATCTGATGGATCACCATGGGCTTCCAGTGCTCCTACTCTAGGGTTGGTATCATCCCCAGACACTCGTGCTACCAACACAGAGACTGTCTTTAGTCTTTATTTTGCATACGCTACCTGATTCATGTAAGTTCGGTGTTCACTTGCCGACGATACATCCAGGGAAGTCTGACTAGTCAGTGCTTATGGTTCGATTCCTTTTGGCGTTATAAACCGGTTCTGTCATGAAGCAAGATATGATTTCGATGAGAGGGAAGAGCGAACAACTATTCACATGTAACTTAAATTATAGACTTTCAGTATAAACTTTCGATTATAAGCCACACCTAATCTAAGTATATATATCCAATCAATTGTACCAAAAGTAGTCTGGAATCATGGTTGTCAATCGGTGCTGTGTTCCTCCATATTCTTGACATGATTTGACTTGTCCGGTCCGCGCGACACACGATGTTGATCATAATGAAGGAGTGTTGATTTTGAGTAGGAAAAGATATTGCAGTTCCTTGTAAAGATCGTTCGGAACGAAACCCGGCTGGAGTATGATTTGTTCGTGGACCCGAAGTGCAAAAATGCCGGAATTAATGACAGGCATTCTCTTCAGTTGGCTTGGGTTGAGATATTGGTCTGCGTCTGTTGGAAAGCTGACATTGGATCTTCAACATGCTTTTGCCGCGACCCAGATGGTTGCGCATAAGGCAGCGCTGACTCCCGAGTATGCGAAAACCTCGAGCCACGAAACATCAGGGTCCATTTCCGTTGAGTCGATCAATTTAGCGGCTGCGAGCATCTTGAGAGTTTTGGGATAAGTCTTTGAGTGGACAACAGTAATGTGATATGGTATGATCTGATGTCGTGTTCGTGTTGATGAGAATAAATTGTTGAGCTGATTCCCATCGGCTCTGACCAACAGTTAATATCTAAATTCTTCTACTATCTATGCACTATGGACTGGGGAGTCAACGTTGTTCGTTCTCTGGAGAGAGGCCTAAATGATCTTGAATTGGTGTGTAACTGAAACGTCAGTAGAAGGCCTGAATTCGCAAGCGCCGAACTTCCGGCCTACACTGCCACTGACTTTGCGGCTCAGCATTTAGATAGTGGGCTTCACAGCGGGTATTGTCTCTTCTGCAGCATTGCTACGGATTTATCGGCTTCAACAACCCTTGCTGAACCAATGATGGGTTACATTGATGGGCATTCGTTTTTAAACTTTTGTCAGGTTGGCAGAGGCCTAAAATCTGCCGTCGGTGTGTGAGAGACCATGAATCAGGCCCCTGCATTAATGTAGGGCATTTGCTAGCCCGCGGCAAGAGCGCAGAAAGCGAAAATTAATGACAATACATCGTTTTTACGACTAAGTAGTCTAATACTACGATTCAAGCAGATCAATAGCTAGTCCATATGCCTTACTATTCATGAATATACTATGTATCGAATGCTGTTTTTGTCGCATGAACTGTGACATTCTGTTTCGCCCTGTCTGGGTGGGCCTGATACCACAGTCTCCTCCTCCACTTTGCAAGGATATACCGATGCGTGCTACAGGGCTTACGAGTGTATTACGCAGCGTTTCTGAGGCATTCCTGAGTCGTAATTCTCTCCACTGCAGTAGGTAGCATCCGTGCATGTTGAGACACCGACTCTCCAGGCCTACCCGCTAAATGTTTGTACGCGTTTCGTTCCATATGTGTCCGCCCAAGAGGCCTGATTCTCAAAACAAATCATATGCATTGTTTACATCTTTGGTCCTCTAACGTGAGAAGGAACAACAAGTACAATAGAGTTTAGGCTATCCAGGTATGCCCCCATGCCCCCACCCACCAAGAAATACGAAAATCTACCTCTACATTGTACCTCTGATTTTGAGTTTGACAAGTCCTTTCCTCCTTGACAAGGGCAACAGCCAAGATCACCTGGGGGCGAGGTACACGTTCAGGGGAGGTTTGTTCCATGCGAGATAGACTCTGCTTTCTTTGTACCAATTCTGGCTGCTTTCGGAAAGACGAATGTCAAACTCCCAAACTGTTCTTGCCAGCATCATGCGCATCTCTGCGTACGCAAGACTAGTACGTATGTAAGGTCTCTGTCTCTGAGGAGGGGCCTTGTTGCGACAGCTAGTTACTTACTTCATACCAATACAATTTCGTGGGCCGATTGAGAAAGGCTTGACAGCATCAAGACGGTCATTTTTGAAACGCTCATCTCCGAGCCATCGCTCAGGAACGAAGTCGTGTGGTTGGTTGAAATACTTTGGGTCGTAGTGCGTTGCCCACATGTCGTTCTCAACCAAGGTCTGTCGGATAAAGACCAATAATGTCAGCATCTGTTTTCCCAAATGTTTGCAGAGCTCAAGGACTTGCTATCCTACTTACGTCCTCCGGAACAAAGTATCCGGCAACAAAACTGCCACCTTTGGCTATCTTTCGTGGCGAACCTCCACCTGCTACAGGCGGGTACATGCGCAGAGCCTCATCCAGAACTGCCTGCATGTACCTCAGTCCCTGTGTGGACACAAGGTCAATATCATTCGCTCGCATGTAAGTAGATCGGACCTCTTCAGTCAAGAGGTCCAGTGTACGTGAGTTGGCACAGAGAAAGTATACGGCGGCAGAAAGCAGGGTAGCGGTTGTCTCAGAACCAGCCACGATCAAAACCGAGGCGTTAGATGCGAGCTCGTTGAACTCCATACTCTGGAAGAAAAAGTCAGACCAATAAAAGTACCAAGAAGTATAAAAAAAACCTACTGTTCCTTTGGATTTCAGCCCTTGTGTAATCTTGCCCACAAAATCTGGTCTGTCTGTTTCAGTATCAAGTCGCTTGCGCACCTTCATGCTGGCAAGCTCTTTGTTCTCTGCAAACTTGGTGAGGAGACCTCGAGGAAGCAAAAGACCAGCGTAGGGGGCAATTCTTGGATATCGGCCTATCTCAGCTAAGAAAGCAAGACTCTTGAGACTCTCAAAGGCCAGAGATACCCATGGGTGGTAAGTAGAGTTGTCAAGGCAGCTAAAGGACTCTCCAAACGCCAAGTCACCGATCATGTCAAATGTCGTAAAAGTATACCACTTCGAAATGTCAACTGTTTTTGTACCATTGCATGACTGCTCATGGAGACGTTGAAATAGCTGATTGACATATGCTTTAAAGGTAGGCTCTTGTTCAAGCATTGCCTGAGCAGAAAAGCCATATGCGAGAGCACGGCGGAAGCGAGTATGGTTCTCACGATCGCTACCAACGATGTTGTCTCCATTGGATTGTACTGAGATTGGATCCTTACCATGTTCAGCTTCACCCGCTTTGCGATGACCACGAACATCCTTCATGGCATCTGGGTGATTGAACGAGAGCATGTTCGGCCCTACTCGTACAACTGGGCCATACTTCATATGAAGCGCAAGATGCCTCTTGTGAGGCAGTCCACAGAGCATGAGGAGTGTATGGGGAATTTGTGTAACGCTATTGAGCCAGGGCCCAGGAAACTTGCGTAGGGGGTGGAAAAACAGGTTGTACACGAGCAACATTACAAGATATGCAACCCACTATAAGGCCTAATGTTAGAAGTGTCCAGACCTTTGTAATGAGAACATACTGTGCCGCCTGAAAAGACCAACAAGGACCATAGGGAGAATTGAAACATGGTGTCTGGAGGTTCGAAAAGCGTAGGCAGAAAGATGATTGAGATGATTCGAATCTTGGGTTCAGCGCAGTATTAAGTAAAGTGTTGGCCAGTTTATAGGTCTATACACTATCGTACTAGTGGCACTGTCTGCTAATTGTCTGTAAATTAGGCCTTGAGGCTCTAATATGATCCCTGAAAACTTTAACTTTCATCCGCCGCTGGCTTACTGGGCTTGCCGTGCGAAAACATCATGCAATCCCAAACTAGGCCCTCCATGCGCACCGTAACAACCCCATCGAACTGTATCCTTCGCCCGCAGTATTCCCATCCACACTACTCGTTAACCCCTGCTCTAGCTTTTCCCAACAACATCGACGCCTAATTTCCAAATCGTACTATTCAATTGAAAAGCTGCAGTTTTGTGCAAATTTGGGATGATACATATTTATCGGCATAGTGGCTAGCTAGCCAGGGTAAGCTTGAGTATCACTGCTGTACAAGTTGCATGCTGGACGATCATGAGATATAGGGAGCCATTAGCTGTGGTATCTGTTAGCGCTGCCTTCCTTCCTATAGCATCAAGCAACAGATGTACAATACCTTTCATTCTTTCCAGCAATTGATAGTATAGTTGGGGATGGCTGTGATTCGGAATCACCCTCGAGTATGTCTTTGGCTGCGTTCTTTCTATCATAGAGTTGATGCGGAACGTGGTCGGTTAGGTAAGAGTCGAGGTCCCTCATGCAAATACTTGCTATGATTGGAATGACCCCCAGCGCCACGGCGAAATAGTAGACATTGGCATATGCAGCTGCGTAACTATCTGCCATGGCTCTGCTGACTAGCTCGGAAATATTGGTCGTCATCCCAGGGAGAGCGTTGACAGCTTGCATTTGCCCCGACTTGGCAGCCTCAAGAAGACTAGAGAAAGAGCCCTGTGGATATCCCGTACCACGCAGCGCTGAACTGAGATGGGTCGTTAGTTCTCGCGGATAGCGGTTGGTGTAGACGGCAATGAATGCGGCGGTGAAAATGGAACCACAAAAAGGTCGGGCAGCAGCGACAACAGCTGTTCAAGGCATTAGTAAGATATCATCAGTAGAGACAGGAAAACATACCGAAAGCGACGCCTAGATTCTCATCCGTCGTAATGAACTGGACAAGCATCATGGTGACATCCTGAGCCCAGGCGACTATAAAGCCAGCAAGAAACGAGAAAGCAATGGCGGAGCCTTTGTTATCTCGGTTGATAGAAGACATGGCTCCTAGGAAAGCAGTGAGCCACATAGTTCCGACAAGTATCTGCAAACGGATATGCTTGATAACATGAAAAAAGCTGCCCAGAGTCACAATTCCCGCCCATGTACCAAAAGTGGCAGTTGCTGTCATCCATGCAGTCTCTTCCCAGCCCTTCAAGCTGGAACCGAAGATGTTAACGACTTGTTGAGGGTAAATAATAACGAGGGAAAGGTGCATTGCGCCCATGATGGAACTAATGAGAAGAATACAGACAAAGCCACGAACATCTTTGAAGAGCTTGGGCGGTACCATGGGTCGTTCGGGGTTACCATAAACCTCGTATAAGCCAAATACAATGAGAGTGCCAGCGCCGGATGCTATGAGCCCGATGACCCTGGCAGAGTTCCACGGGTTGTTCGGCTGGCCACCCCAGGAAACACCAAGGAGAAAGAGTGATGTTCCTGCAGTGAGAAGTATGATGCCTATCCAGTCTACCTTCGCTAGTTCCGCCCGCTTGCTAGCATTTTTGCCGTGAAGTTGCGTAAATGATGGAGGGTGATACCAAATAACAATGAGTGCAGTTGCAATCGCTGAAGAATGTTAACGCCATTACCATAGATTTATCACAAGAAACAAATCACTTACAGCTTATGATGATATATATGTAGAAGATCCAACGCCAACTGCCTTGTATACTGAGACGCTGACCGAAGTAGGGGCCCATAGTCGAAACAATATTGGGAATAGACACAAGAAGGATACCCAAGAACTTGGTTTTGTTACTCATCAGCTCGCCGATGATCAGAGGGGCTGAACCTGCTGGACCAGCGGCGACACCCAGCATTGTCATAGCAGCCAATAGAGCGTTGAAGTTGGTAGCTGTACATCCAACGATAGCACCGATGATTCCCAGAACATGGGTAATAATAACAAATAGCCGTCGCCCAAATCTGTCGGTAAGACGACCCATCATCAGGATACTGACAGCTTGGCCAGTCGTCCATAGAGTTGAGAAGAGAGTTGAATTTTCGCTTGGGCCAACATCCTGGAGTATATGGGGAAGAGCGGAGGATGACGCCAGAAGAAGGAAATACGTAGCGACGACGTTGAGGGAGAAGGCTGAAAAGGTCGCCACAACGCGAGTTGAGCGATAATATCCGTCTGGTAGCTCCGCGGCTGAAGTGGCAAGAGCTTTGGCTCGCAGCCTGTCGTCTGACTGAGAGTCAAGGGTGAGCCCTTCCTCTGGAACTACAACAGTCATCTTATTATGATTGACCTGATGGATGCCGTGCTCTTGAAGATGAACTGCAATCAAGTTTGTATGCTGTACTCAACAGTTCCGGTGGTCGCAGAGAGGAGAAAACACCATAGACTCCGATCCTTCCTATATATATATTTGACATAGATAACCTTGTTTGGACGTTTGAGTTCTGCTGTCACCCTACATCTCGTAAAGGTTAAAACGGTCAACATCGACTGTTACTGCTCAAGGTTGCATCTTGGTAATCGATTACTTGAGGGCCGAACCGACACGGAAAGCTCGGGACTACATTCAAGGTAAGATAAAGGAGCTAGTCTGTCGGGGTTCCCCGACCATGATTGGATAAATGGGAAGCGAGAGCCCTGAAAGTCCAGGTGGAAGGCCTTATGCAGAGCCTAGAACACATAACTGGGCATGGTTCATCGACTAATTATCCTTGGTTAGGACTGAATCCTTTCAATTATTGTTTCAGTACGCAGGGGGCGGACTTTAACAAACACTGAGCGGCCGAGGAATGGATGAACAAAGACAAGTGAACATTTGAGACAGCTTTAACAATAAAAACAAAGTGTTCCGTGGTCAATTGAGAGTTAGTTGTTGATATATTCAAACTGAATTCTCATACTCAATTGTTATTAAGTGCAAAGGGAAATGTGTCAAGAAAACTGCCCGAATAAACCAGTTCGAATGATATATAAGTCTACTCCGGTGTTGTCAAATCGATCTTTTCCAGCCTGATGTAAGAATGTTCTGGCATGCTAGTCAGACCTTCGATGGTACGATAGCTAGAGAGTTCCTTAGGACAAGGCAATAGCTCAAAGTTCCATATCAAGATAGCAATGGACGTTTTCAGCTGTTGATAGCCTAATCTTCTGCCAAAACAACCACGCGTCCCCAAGCCAAAGGCCAATGTTGGACCAGCCAACCCATCAAATTCCGCGGTCTCAGTCGCATCAGTCTCCCTCGCATCGTTAGCTGGCGACACCTTCTGTCCAAGCCACCTCTCGGGTCTGAATGCTGAGATGTCATCATTATCCCAACTTTGGTCCTTCTTCTCACCCGCAGCCTGGCAAGTTTGGCTTCTTCTGCTCTCGTCGATCTCAAAACTAGGAGTCCAAACACTGGGTCCATGAGTAAGGAAAAGGACATCAGTTCCCTTGGGTATGTGGTATCCTAGGATCTGTGTGTCGGCCTTGGCCAAGCGTTGAAGTGCAGGCGTTGCTCCTGCACATCGAAGAGTCTCTTCAATAACAGCTTCAAGGTAGGGAATTCGGGCAACCGCAAGCTCTTGGAAGGTTGGGCTACGCTTCTCAGCTTTTGCCTTAGCGAAAGATGACTGCAAAACCCGTCGAAGACGCTTCTGGACACCGGCGTTGTCCGTGAGGAACTTCAAGCCCCAAAGAGTGGTAGTGCTTGTCGTGTCAAAACCTCCGAGGATCAGTCCGAACAGCTGGGATGAAAAAATAAATCAGTTTCTGTCGATACAGTTTTCTCTTCTTAATCACTTGTGCTTACCTCGCCTTGCATCATGGTTGATAAATAATTGGGACTCCGATTTTCCGCTTGAGCCAATGCTGTTTCACGTAGTACCATCTGGTCCACCGCAGAAGTAACAGATGGGCTATCGGATTTACTACCCTCTTTTGGAAGTTTGGAAACTGCGGATCGAAGACTACCACGCAGAAAATCGTCTCGGATCTTTCGGACCCTCCTGAAGTACGGCATGTTCATTGTCACCTTTGCCTGAATCTTGGCTATCGGTGAGCCTTGCAGACCTTGCGGGGCTTTGGCTAGATCAATTGTTGCATTGATAAGATCATCGAAGGCAACGTCAGGAAAGTCGAAGGGTTTAACGCTTTTGCCGGTATGTCGACTGTTTTGCTCGGTGTTCCACTTTTCCAATATCTCGATCTTGGGAAGCGTAGTACTGGACTTGTAGTATTCTCCAAATGCAAAGCTATACACAGCATCCAATACGGCACCTTGGATATCCTGGGTTGCAAGGAACGGAGATCCGTCAGCAATTTTAGCTTTCAGTTCCCAGACTCGCACAAGTCTCATGATGTTAGCGTGGAATGCAGGCCCTGCAACCTTCTGGATAAAGGACGGTAACATGACATCTTGGACGAGTTTTCGGTGCGTTCGAAAGACCGCATTCGTTTGCTCGTATATGTGATGGTCGGGTATCACGTCTTCCAAAAGACCTCGGATATTGGTGGATCGATCAAAATCCTTACGTCGCAGCATAATATCCTGCGTCTCACGAAAGTCTGCAAGGATAACGGTGGGACGGTTTAAGGGGCTGAGAAACAATTGGATGATTGGCGATTCGAGATTCTTCATTTGTTGGATGATCCAGTCCATATGCGTTTGATTTTTGGCCTTTGTACCCTGAATCATAGCTGGAATGTCGCCGAAAAGACTCTGCAAAGCAAGCGGGTTGTAAGGAATATCCGATATTGGTTTTGGAAGTGCCCACTTGTACAGCAAGTACAGAGCAAGCACTACTAAACAGATAGATAGAAACATGGTGACTGCTTCGTTCAGTATGAGATTAAAGATATGGTTGCCATAGAACAAAAGAGTATAATTAAGCTATTGCATAGCAGCACGACAAGAGAGGGAATCACCAAATGTTAGGCAACGGGATGGCTAAGGATTTAACATATTACAAGGAAACTTTAGATGGATCATTTATCTCAGAAACTACCGAATCAGAAAGTCCTTGATTGGCCGTGCAATTTCCGCACGAGGAAGAGTCTCAACGTATGGATGAATACCTCGATGGACTTCTGCCCTACTTTCAACTGAAACGCAATCCCTTAACGACTACCCCGAGCCAAGCGTCGTTAGCTTTCCTGTTGTCCATAAGGGCGGCCTAAGGCTTGTTGATACACAGTATCATGACTGCGTACCTAATGCCCAGGCCAGGTTAGACTACTATGAGTGCAGTGAAAAGCGTCTGGCCCAAGGCCTCCTGCCGCGATCCAGGGCCCTGGTTTATATCCACTTTGTGGTAGGCCTAACCCAAACCCAATTCGGGAGGCCTGGATCCCTGACCTGGCCAATGATATTGTCTGCAAGATGGTTGATCAGCCTCCAATCCGTCAATAGCAACAGGGGACGTGCCATTCCAAAGTCTATCTTTGACGGATGAGGCGGTGGAAAACAGCTTTGACACGGCCTACCAAGTTGCCAACGTGTACCGGACTTTCTTGCGAAAAGACAGCGTTCCGTTTTCTGTAGAACGATAATCCATCTAGCAATATTTTTATCTCTTAAATATCTATGTATCGCTCTTTCCATTGCAAGAAGAATAAACAAGCATATTCCTTTGTTATTGAACAGTATACACGATGTTACCACAAGTTATTCTGAACCACCTTGGTTCTATTGGCGAAGCTGCCTCAACATGGTTCGCAGAAAACGGATATCTCAGCTCTGCCGCACAATGCCCACCCTTGCCTAAGGGAGATCTCAACTATGACATATATATGGGCTATCCCGAGATGTTCGCATGGGACAAAAAGCGTTGCGTTGCCTACGTTAGGTATTTGATCTTCCACTGTATTAAAGGTGTTTCCCGCTAATCCCCTACTTTAAGTAACCTGTACAATGCCACAGTCAGTACTTGGGACCCTTACAAGTCTGTTGTTCTTGACACTATTCATTTTCCAGGTCTCAGTCACCCTGGCAATTCAGCCAGCCCAAACCCGCTGCATGCCAGCGGAATCATCCTGAGACCTGACGCCTATCATGCCGAGACTCTTGAAGTCGTTATTGATAATGGAGACGCCTTTTACAGTGATGGCTTCAACGTGTCGGGACCCGACCACTTGATGAGCATTGACTTGAAGACAAAGGAGGTCACTAGCCAGTTGCGTCTCAATAACGGCCTTTATGCCGGCTATGCGGATGCCAGTCTTGGGCCTGATGGGAACACATATGTCCTTGGAACCTACTCATCGAACATTCTGCGGGTGACTCCAGACAAGGAAATCTCGACTTTCTACGTTGCCGAGCCCCTTGGGCCACCCCGGCTGTACGGCTTCACCGGTATTGCTCATGTAGGAGATGCTATGATTGTTCCTGACAATATCATTGGCCAGCTCATTCGCTTCGACGTCCGTGACAAGGTCGGCACTCCCGTTGTTATCAAGCAGACTCCTTATCACGAGTTCAAGACTGCCAACGTTCTGCATTTCCCAGAAAGATACAACGACACAATCCTTTTGGTTGCCGAAAACAAGACACCGGATTATCCCTTCGGTGGCGTGTCAGTTTATCAAGACAAGACTAAGCAGTTCAACGAGGTTGAATTCTTGGGATTCCTGCCCAGCCGTCTCGAGAATGCCCTGACGACTTCTGCCCGACAGATGACCGATCGTATTTATGTGGTTGCGCTCCCTATCGACGGTGCCAACATTACAGTTGCTGGTGAGAGCAGCAGGTTCGTCTTTCAGGACATCACTGAAGAGGTGGATTTGATGATCTCCCCCGAGAGCAAGGACGAAGCGCATGAGGAAATTTAAAAGGCCCAACAGTAAGAGGGTGGGTTTTATGTCACATGAAATATCACTATATAATTACATCCCAACCAATATGCAGTTATTATGTATTGCTGTCCTAGGCTTAGTTGTTGCAGAAACACTGTAGTACATAGACGCTAGAATGAATATACAATGTCATTCTCATCGAAGCCCATTTATTATTGATAGCACTTGACATCTACCTTGTACGGTTTCCGTGATACCTTGAATAAACGATGTACATGGTCGCTCGAACAAGTCAACTAGTAGGCTAATGAGGTACATGGTTAAGTGCTACTTGATACAATGTCAACTCAAATTTAGTTGGCATTGGATCCAATTATGATCAAGTTGTCTAGGTTGAATGTTCAGCTTTATGGTGCGAGGTTCATATTGCAAAATGGGCTAACTATCAAGAGAATGTATTGTAACGTTCAACCCAACGGCGTAATTGGCTACTATTCGCTACTATCTGTTACAATTTTATCTTCATAACACTGTATCTTCCGTAGTGGCATGAAAACAATAACTATCTGTCAGCTCTGCTGTTGTATTACTACTTAAGTAAGACTCTCTTCATCATTACTAGCGCATCTGAAAGTATTTCTTCATGAGTTAGTTCGAAGTGTTTCGGTCTATAGAAAATATATTCGATCTTGATAATAAATAAAGACACCACAAAGGTGTCGTGCTCAAGTATGCATCGACAAGCAGAAAATAAACATTAATGAAGTTGAGCACTTGTTTTCTCGTAACACATATTGGAGTGAGGACGCCAACGACGTCTTAAAAAGCCATTTCCAATCTCTCAGGTGCAGGTGTGTGAACTACCACAACAGTGTCGTGACTTTCTGTGCTGTTCCACTCCGTTGTTTGAGACCCTTTCCCAGATTCTCCCGAGACCCGATACCAGTTTGTCTCAGGGTCTCCGAGACACTCTCCAACTGTGACCGCTGGATAAATGTTAGACATGTTTTTTCAACCTTTATCTGTCATATTACCTCTTTTTCCGCTTCTTCGCGTCGCTTGGATTATAAGGGGAAGTATGTTCTCCACAGTGTTCTGATGGACATCATGCATGAGAACAATTGAGCCTCCATGGCTAAGGCCAGCGTTATACGAGTCTAAAGAAGGTTCGGCACCGCCAAAAGACGAATAGCGCCAATCGTCGGTGTCTATATCAGCAATCACTACTTTATACCCCAGCTGACCAAGGACTTGAAGTGTTCGGTCGCTGAAGCTAAAGTACGGGGGACGCATGTAGACGGGGTCCTTACCTATCATTTGAGTGAACTCGTTACTCAATAATGCCATCTGTTGCTCGACATCATAGTCATTCAAGCCTGCCAGATCAGGGTGACCGTAGCTGAGTACATGTGTTAGAGTCTCGACAATGCATATTTTGCCGTGTTGGTACTTGTACTTACGTGTGTGAAGCAACCTGATGCCCTTCATTGATCATCCTGTCAACCGTGGATTGGTAATCCTCAATATTTCCCAGGTTATACCCATTAAGGAAAAAGGTAGCCTGAAATCCGACTGAAGCAAGCTGATCGAGTACAGACTCTGTGTACACGAAAGGTCCGTCATCGAAAGTGAGCGCGACTGTTCCGGGCGTGGTGCAGCTGTAGATGGCGAAGCCAGCTGACAGAGCTCTCTTCTTGGGGTATGTTGGGATTGTCAGAGTTGTAGCCAGATGGCACAGGGAAGCAAGAATAATTGAACCACGCATTATGACGTTGAAATTAGTAAAGAATAGCGTCTCGGTCAGTAGAATAAAGTAGAGAACAAATGTCAAAGGTAGTTATCGCAGAGGAGGAATATGCCGTTCTTTATTTGTTTATTATACCCATTCTTGTCCATTATCAAAACCGGACTTGGTATAATAACAAAAATATCTTCGTCATCGTGTATGCAAGGAGAAATGGTGAGAAGCCATTATTGATAAGGTTCTTGGGTTTCCAGAGCGACAGGAGAATTGCGGAGGTTTCTTGCAAATGATGGCTGTTGTGGCTTGGTAATAGTACCCAATAACGTTCCGGAATCATTTTCGTGGTCCGCCTATAGTTCCCGGATGTCTGAGTCGAAACCAGATGATAAGCTGATCATTGTCTTAACGCGTCCTTTCCGCGTCTTGGCAAAAGCCACCTTGCATTCGATCAGGTCGGCCCTTAATCCACGAGGCTAAGATCCCATATTGTTAATTTTGGGCAGACAGTCTGTTCACGCGTCAAGACTCGTCAAGTGAACCAGTTCGGACCGACCCGGTTTGTCTGGTCATCATGATATCATCTATCCCTGGCCTTTAAACATCATGGCCCAGTTCTTACTATTCGGGTATTCCACGTCGGGAACCTGGAAAGATTTATGTTCGAACATGCATTTTTCCTGACTTGCCTTACCTTACGTTGCCTAATTTGTTATCTTCCCTCAACCAGCCACGACTCAAAAAAATCAGGTAAGAACTTAATCACAATGACGCTAGACTTGGTACCCCTAAGTGGTGTCTTGAATCTCTGCCGAAATTCATTTGAGAAGCCTTGGGAAACAATTATGTGTCGTACTACTGTTCAACACTTCGCTTTTAACGAAATCTATTAGGCAACGTGATCGATCAGAAGCAGGGGTTGATTAACCCAGAGTACAAATTCTCTATCACGGTGGGTGGTGTAGCGTATGCAATCCGCTAGGCGTGTAGGTCTTCTTGTCAGACACTTTCATTGACCAATCATTTGCCAAGGCCAGATCACCTGAGATGGAAGACCTGGTTATTCTGTGCACGACTTGACATTTTGCACATGAATTACTTAGGTAGTCTTTCATATGGACAATGTTGAGATTTTTTGAAAGAGAGGCATAGTATCATATACTTCCTTTAGCTGCTCCCAAGTAATTGTATCCCCATACAGAAGTTTTGCCATTCTCTTGCCATCCATAAGCGATCCTGGTGAACCCACATACTGACGCAGAGCCAATTCTGAACTCTTAGAAGCTAAACAGTCTGAAAGACGAGTCAGATCTGGGTCTGGCACTTCATTTTTGAAAGGATTATTAAGAGGCATCTTTGTTTCCTGAGCACTCTTCAGCACTCGCAAGTGGCGCACGACTGAGGCTTTCAGCTCTCTTGCTGGTCTGTTTTGCTCATTTGATAGCACTGGGAAAATGGAGAACTCGGGACAAATTGATAGCTGCTCAAGAGGTGCAGCTTGTGAATTGCCCCAATCAATAATCCCTTTGAGGTTGTCTTCTTGATCGAATAGCATATTGCCATAATGAAGATCAAGATGGCACATCACAAAAGGGCCGCGAACCCTATCCCCAAGAATTATTTGACGCAGTGATATCTTTAGTATCCAGCATACCGTCAGCCAGTCTGGATCGTCCGTATGCGCCATTAGTGCTTCCCGGTTCTCGCTTTGTCTCTGATTGTAAAAAATACTCAAGTGAAGTCTCCAGAGGGCCATGTGATGCATGCCAGCTTGGCGGCCCAAATATTCCAATAGCATGTATGGGCAACCAAAGGCTTGATCTGCAGACGCTTCAAAGTGAAAGACTTGAGGAATTGGGATCTTGGTATGCTTATGGACAATTTTCATTGTTACGATCTCGCTAAGCGTTGAAGTTCTGTCATCGTCGTTAAAGGTTTTGTAGGGGATGCGGGCAATCCAACAAACATGGTCGGTGAAGGAGAGCTCTAGGACAAGATCACAAAACCCAAGATTAAAACGGGACGTGTTAACGCTGCAATCCATTTGAGGAGATAAAGCTGGATGGGTTTTTCTTCGAACCTCCAGTCCGCATTTTTCTAGGTGACGGAAGTTTACTGATGAGAGAATGGCTTGGATCCGCTTGTATTTCTCTGAATCCTGATCCAGGCTGGCAAGGTCAGACCAAGAGTCGCTTGGTCTGTCCATCTGCTCCAGACAGTCGATAGTCTAGGGAATCATAATTATCTTGTTCAAAGTAGTGGAAGAAGAAATGGGAAATTGGTACAGAAGATACTGCGTAATTTTTGTCTATTAAACAGAGTAAATTGTTGATCAAACCAACAGACTTTTAGCGACGTTCACTGTAACCTTTGCTAAAGAACACCGGGATTCATTGGTCTGTTGGTTTGAACATATTTGACTTGATGGAAATTTACCGCCCATAAACGCCATTTTTGACTAGCTTCAGTTGAGCTGAGTTACCTAATCGAACCCGAATAATAATTCCCTCACGCATGTTTTGGACACCATTAATTGAATGCATGAAGAATAAGAAATATGAAGCTATCGCGTCCATAATGAGCCTTTAGCATGAATAGTCCGGTTTAGATTTAAAAATTAGTCTTATAAATAATACACCTGGCTGCGAATTTTATGATAATATTCCCAACATACAACTAGAAGGATAACGAGGTGGTATATGCAACCTTTCCTGATTAACTTCTACGATACTCAACTCAATCTTTACTGGTCCTGTTAATATTTACAAGGTCTGTATCCGATGACGGAGTTAGCCATGCTAGCCATGCTACGTAGCATCGTGAGAAATGCACCGTTTGGGTTAGATGTCCGTTGATCGTCACATCCCCCCTCTTGAGCTTGATACGAAACCTGGAGAGACGGAGAACTTGCCGATTTATGATTTTAGCAGGTGGAAAACCTCGCAATTCTCAACCTGATATTTAAGCATCTCCATTGGATTTCATTTTCTGTCTTCTTGGATCCCACCATTCTTTCACCTTTCCAGACCGAAAATTCTTTACACTACAACAGCCGCGATGCACAAGTTTGCCTTAGTCCTTGCGGCCTTTGGCGTCCGCAACAGCTTGGCTGTTTCCTCATATATCGATTCGTTATCAGACAATGCCAAAGAACTTTTCACCGAAAGTATGGACTGGATGGATACATATTACGATAGCAGAGCTAGTTACTTGTACGACTTTAGTGCTGCAGCGGCTCTTCGACACGAGACACGAAGTTCGGCATGGTATGCCTTTGGACTGTTGGCTCGGAACAAAGGACATGATGTTTCTGAAGCCGAGAAGATCATTCGAGGTATTATAAGTGGGCAGTATAAAGATCCTGCTGACGAATGGTGAGACCTTCATACACCCTGAGAAGATATTAGTAGCTCACAAAGATCAAGGTACGGCACATATCAAAAGGCGCCCGAAGAGCCTTTGGTAGGATCAACCACCTACCCTGCCGATATATACAATACATGGGATCCCAATTGGAGGGGGTTTATTGGAACCACTTTCATCATGGCTCTAGAGGAGTTCCCAAAGCTCATCAGCAAGCCAACACAGGAGTTAATGCTCGAATCCCTTCACAATGCGACGAAGGGTGATGAATATCGCTTTGGTAATCTCGACCCCAAGAAAGACAACTTGTACCCATCCTATAGCAATCCAGTAGGTCATTTGACACCGAGACTTGTACAGGTATTAACCATTAATCACAGGCCATCATGCGAGCTTTCATGTCGGGTTGGACTGGCCGACGTCTCAAAGAGTCCAACATGACAAGGAGCGGTGAGAGGTATGCTCAAGACATCATATACCTTTTCAATCGTGCCAACACTCTATCCGAGTTCAACTCAGGCACATACACTGGTGTCTCTTTATACGGCCTCACATTGTGGAGCAAGTATTTACCCAAGGATTCAATCATGGCGAAGAACGGACCCGACATGATCAAGCACACCTGGGAGGCAGTTGGGAATCTCTGGCATCCTGGAATGAAAAACATGGCTGGACCGTGGGATCGCTCATACGGATACGACATGAACCGCTATCTCAGTCTGATGGCTCTCTGGTTTTGGGCTTTCATCGGAAAAGAAAGTTCCTCTCTCATTCAAAAGGTCAGATATCACAGCGTCGATGAGATTGCCCCAGAATCTAATACAGAGTATTACAGCCACAAGTTATGTCGCATATGGCTGACTATGCATGGGCACCTCTCTTTGCCGCATTGGCCAAAAGTCACCAGAAACTGATCCCAAAACAAATTCTTGCGGATCTTACAACTTTCAAGGGAGAACACAACTTCACTGCCAGTACCTTCTACCCTCCGTTCGACACTGTCCCTCGAAATATTTCCACTTGGGTATCGAAAGATCTCACAATTGGCGCACAGTCCTACCGACAGATCTCCCTTGGTGGGCCTGCTCAAAGTCAGGAAGCCTACAACCCTGCCGTCATTCAATGGGATACAGGAAAAGAGGTCTCCTTCATTTCCGTAAGTTATCAGACATAGTCTACCAAGAAATACAGTACTAATCTGGCGAAAAGCTGTACCCGAGTGAGACAGCCCTAGATGTCGAAGTCAGTCCAGGTAAACTCCGTCTCTCATACCCAAGGGGAAATTCCAGCTCGGTCTTCACTTTGCTTGTCGGAACATTCATAGATAAACCTACGATTACAAGTTGGGACGATCTGCCAAACCTGCGAGTTAACGTCTCTGGTAACACCGATCCCGAATTTCAGTTGAGTTTCGGTGGTGCATTTGGTGGAAGCTCCCAGACTTTGAGAGATTTCGAGTTATGGAACTTCACCTATACTATGCCTAGTAGTTTCCAAGACGTACCGGCCTTGACGTTGGACCTGGAGACATCGCTTTGACACGCATGTACATTATAGTGCTCCGGCAGCGAGTCAATCACGTGTAATACCTACAACGCCGTCTGAGAAATGTAATGCCAACGCTACAGAGGTCGAAGCTGATTTTTATAAGTCAAGTGAACAGTGCAATACCAGGGCGACACTGACAACACCTCTGGCAGGACAGGTAACCTCTTGCTCTGATGCGATTTGAAGAACCCTTGACTTGGTTAACTTACATGTCTTGATAATCTAAGTCGGAATTAATACCGTCACAAATTGGGACCTCGGTATCATATATAAATAATGACTGTAGCGATATTAAGATGTATCTTTAGTGCAAACCAAATATCAAAACCTAGCCTGTTTACTTCATCGCGCCAACCCTAATCAGTCGCAATGCCACTAAATGCACCTGGTCCCGGTATAGTTCATTCTGGTTTCAATGCCATTAGCCTTGTGCAATCCCCAAGCGAGACAATGTAATTTTTCCCGGGCTCGCTGTCTCTGTCGTTCACTCATTGACAATCTAGCCTAGCACGGCAGCAGCCCGCCCTTGTCCGACTTTGCACCAAGCTTGCCCTCATCGATGTATTTTTGGAGAAACTCGACAGGGGTGTTAGGCAAACCTCGCTCTGCGATGTAGTGCTGCTCAATGAAAGACACAGTATCGAGACCAACTGTATCCATCATAGCCACAGGGCCCATCTCTTTGGCATACCACATCTCCTTCCAGAGGCGTTCGATCTCCTCGGGAGTAGACACCCCCTCGGCAAGAATGTTCAAAACTTCTCTCTTGATAGCAGCCCAAAGACGGTTATAGATGAAACCAGTCGACTCTTTGCGTGCCACGTAGGGATGGAAATTGATCTCCTCAAGTTTTTCATACAAAAACGGAAAGATACTCTCATCTGTCTCCCCGTCTGTCATCAATTCGACAACACGGTAGTCAGGAGGTAGATAGTAGTGCATATTTAGGACACGTCGCTTCGTATCAGGTCGGAGATCTCCAACCATTTCTCTAGACTTGTATGAGGAGGAATTGCTGCAAAGGATTGTGTCCTCCGTTGTGAGTCGTTCTAGATCGGCAAATGTCTCAATCTTGATGGGAAGCTTCTCGGGCACGGCTTCAATGACAAGCCAGGCTTTTGCAACAGCTTCTGGCAGGCCTTCAACAGCTTGTATAGAGCCACGGATTGTCGAGTCTGAGTAAACTAACATGTTGGTGTTGCAGTATTCCACAGCTTCTTTCCTCTGTTCAGGACTTGGATCGCGAATGACAACGTCATATCCGCTTGCAGCCCAACCGCAGGCAATGCGGCGTCCGAGGACTCCTCCGCCAAGTACAGCAACAATTCGGCCGCCAGTTGAGGGTAGAGTAAATGGGTTCATGGTTGTCGTTTATGAATAATAGGTAGTTGAACGAGTTCGATTTGTCGTGTCAAAGCGTGGTTATTCGACTATGAGTATCTAAATTGATAAGAAGAAGGAACTTTTTATAGGGTTTGTCAAAGGTGTCTTGTCTTATAAATGATTCCATCGAAGCATTGATGTCGGGATTCATCCGATCGCGTTCGATCTGAACGACCGTCGATCCAGCACAGCAACGCGGAAGCTACATCAGAGCAATGCGGAAGCCTGCGGAAGTAAAGAACGAGGCTCAACTCAACTCAGAGCCCCGACACTCCAACAGCTAGGACCAGCTCGTGGATGCATACACGTAAGAGCATGTGTTGCGAGAAGCTTTGCCACGCGAAGTCTTCAACTATGTCGGCATATTTCTTATCCGCGTTGTGACGAATATCGGGCTTCGCCTTATTCCAATCCCGACTTGTACACCTTTCCTTGCATGTGTCCATGATCCATGATTTGCATGAATCGGATCCGCAAAAGCGCTTGATTGAACCTCAGAACTCCACACCTCGGCAGTGGAAAAAGTGGGTTACATTGGCTTTAGAATCTTCGAAAAACAGCATGCTGCCCACATGAAAATCTTGACCAGGCGGTTTCATCCACTCGTTCATGTCTGTTGACCAGTATGATCAACTGTATACGACAATCTTCACACGTATTCAGTATGTTGAGAATTTTCATCATGTTCTAGAAAGCTCACATCATTCTGATGACATCACACTGCAAAAACCTTGCATTGCACTGCACCAAGGCCAGCAACCCCAAACCTGTGTCGCATGCAGACAATAGATTACAAATTGCAGATTGGGGGCAATATAGTTATACTCTATGATATAAAAACAGGATCAAACAATGCAACGAGTTGGTCTTATACTGTAAACGTTATTGGACACAATGATAGCTTTTTATCGCCGAATTCCCTCGACATTATCGAAATGGTTAACTACTTTAAAATACAAAGATCTGGTCCGACATCTTCGCTGAAGCCCCAGGTTGCTCATAACCCAAGCCAACAAGCGCTTTCTTAGATGCATTTACCATTCCTGGGGGACCGCACAAGAAGACCTTAGAATCCATGCTGGGAGCAGGCATTTTCTCCTTCATCAATTCCTGTGTGACATAACCCAAGCCATACTCCCAGCCGCTGGGGGGTTCATCTAGTATGTAATAAACTTTGAAGTTCTTCGGGTAACGTCTGGCGAATTTGTCTAGTTCCTCCCGTAGAAGGATATCCTGCTCTGTCCGGTTGGCGTAAATCAAGGAAATCTCCGTGGTGTCACGGTCATGCTCACAAACGGCACGAATAACTTGAAACATGGGTGTGATACCCGTGCCACCAGCGATCAACCCGATTTTGTTACAAATGTTGGGTTGATACTTCATTGCTCCCTTGGGACCTCGGAAAAGAACCTCATCTCCAACCTCAAGATGGGCAAGATAATTATTGGTCAGTTTTCCGTCCGGATACACTTTGATGACCAGCTCAAGGACTCCAAGGTCGGAGTTGTTTGAGACAGGCGTATATGAGCGAGCAACAGTTTCTCCCCGTACGTCGGCCTTGATTGTGACGTGCTGCCCGATTGGCAGGCCGAGCACCGTGCTTTTTGTCGGTAGACTAAAGGTCAAGCGAAGAACATTTGGTGTGATTTGAGTTTTGTTGACCAGAGGAAGAGGAGAGTAGCTAACGGGGTCCAAAAGTCCTCGCTGCAGGAGAGTGTCTTGCTGAGTTCGCTTTGGCACCTTCATGTGCGCAGGATAGCTTGTAAAAGGTTTGCTCTTCATAGCTAACGAGGTGAAGCGTTGAGCGAGTATCGCGTTTGTAATCGCAAGAGATCCACCTCCGACGATTATGCCTTTGATGAAACTTGAGCCAGTCGAGTCATTTCTCAAAGAAGCAAGCATCCAGTTCGGCACACTGAGTTGGTGACGACGACCGAAATAGTATGCACCGATGCCCGCAACAAGAACAAAAGTACAGTTTGCCAACGATGACAAAGAGGAAGATCCGTCAGGTCCGGTCTTAGGTGTGGTAATGGGAGCGAGTGGCTTCAGCTTGGGCTTCTTCTTCTCAAAACCCTTAATCTTGCCGATGCAGAGATCTTCCATGATCTCAAACGCATCTTCTGAGTGTCCAGCATTATCAAAGTCTTCACTGGCATCAGTGCCAGCTGCTTCAACCAAGACATCTGCGCCACCGGGATGATCTCTTATATATCTAGTGACATCGTAAACTGATAGGGATTAGCTGTATATCTCACTTTGGAGGAGAGAAGAGAGATCGACTTTGACTTACCGTGGCCGTGTATTGTTAACCACGCATCGTCTGGTCTGCTGTGCTCAGCCACTTGTTTGACAGTATATTCCTCCATGGTAGTTGTCGTATGCAGGATAAATGGCCACTGAAAAGGCGTTGGGTTTTTCAACTGGCAAGGTGAATTGTTAAGTGATACCAAGAAATAGATAGAATAAATTGGGCTCTAAAATATGTACCGAGTGTTTCTCGTGTGTGATTTACTTTAACAGCTCAGTGGAAAGAATAGATCACTGTCATTGACCATGTTCCGATCTTGCTTATCGATTCTGATGGGCCTTTCATCAAAAGAATGAGTTCAAGGATCACTATCATGCACACAGCGGGCCGAGATACAGCTCCGTAGTGATCCACTCTTGAAGCCGAAGCGCGAGCCCCGTTATGGGTCCTACACAAACCGAGGCCGGTCTCCACTTCGGACTCGATCCCGGTGGGTTACGTGGCCCATAAACAAGGCAATTCCGCAGTCTCGGATCCAAGAGTGGTCTTTGCCTCCCTCTGGCATTGCTACTGATTCCGCATAGTTGCCGCAAGTGCCGAGAATCAAGGGCTCATGCCAATGGTGGTACTGGCGTTGGCCAATGGCATGTGGTTTATTCACAGGATCCAGAAATCTGGAAAGGCGGAAACAGAAGAGATTGACGGATGTAACGGTAAATTTTACACGACCGAAACGTCATTCTTTACCATGAGTTACACAAGCCTTCTATTTTCCACGCTGTTTTTCGTATCATGGGTTGCATGGGGCGTTTCAAGCAAGATGTCAAGGCAAAGCTCTATTCCTCCCAGGTTCCAGATTTTCTTTATAATTAATGTCGAGACTCTTGGTTTGTTGAGTTAATTCTAGAGTTGCAACTAGTATTTGAGTAATTTGTTTCTTTCCAAATATTCATGATGTCAATGAAACAATTCTACCTGTTGGGTGACGTTGCAACAACCGCCCGGGAGATTGAACTACCGCCAGCTATAGACTTTGAGGAGCTACAGAGTATTGTTGCCTCCCATTTTGCTATTGTAAAACCTAACAGTAAGCACCGAGCCAACTTGGACTTGGAATTCATCACTGACCTATGATACAGGTGTTGGCTTCGTCTACGATAACCGAAAACTCAACGTCGTCTCTGAAGTCCTCGAGGTAGACGAGCCTATAGCCATTTGTATCAATGGCAACGCCGTGAGAGACGTGCCTGGGCCCTCGGGTATCCCATATTTCGGAAATTATCTCGAAATTTATCCTGACCACCTTGGCAATCATCAACGACTGTTCGAGAAGTACGGACCGCTCTTTACCACAAGCAGCATGGGAAACCGTCTGTACCAAACCAACAGCGCTGAGCTCTCGAATATTTTCCTTTCTGAAGACCACTACTTCACCAAGGATATTATTCCTGGTCATCCTTTACATCCTATCAAGAACCAAGAAGCAGGAGTTTTCTTGGCTGATACGAATACCGAGCAATGGCGGCTTGCCCATAAGTTCCTGCCACCTGCGCTGGGGCCAAAGGCTGTAAGGCATTATGCACCCACTATGCAGCGTACGGTTGAATCGTCGTTCAAGGTCTTTGATGACCTAGACCACAAGGGTGAAGCATGGAATGTCTACCAGTACATGCTTAAGCTTGGCTCTCAAGCTGTCGGCAAACTCGTCTTGGGCATGGATTTTGCTCATTTTGAGCAGGTAGACTCGCCGTTACACGAAATGGTTCTCAAGATCGCCGAGAATCTGGAGTTGAATAAGCGTGTCTCTTCTATGGGTGCTTGGTACGCCCAAATGCCGTTTGGTGATCCGAAGAAGGTCCGTCAGACGATGGCCAGGATTATGGAGATGATGGACGAGTCGATCGCCAGAGCCTCTAAAGGCCAGGAAGACCTAGAGCTTCAAGATGCAGCTCTCAAGGCGGACAACGTTGTCGGTAAGTCACACAGAGAGCTTCGCGCTTCGTTATACGCTAACCATGGACAGACTACTTCCTCCGTGCCACGGATAACAAGGGCAATAAACTTCCACCTTCACAGTTTGCACCAGCTCTTCTCGTTGCTACCGCGGCCGGCTTTACAACCACATCATCCTTACTATCTTGGTTGATTTACAGTCTGGTCAAATACCCAGGCAACCAAGAACGTCTCCTTCAAGAGCTCATTGACAACGACTGGGATGAAGATACCCAGGTCACCGCTGACACCACGAATAAGCTAACATTCCTCGATAAGTTTATCAAGGAAACTCAGCGTCTCCATAATCCATCATTCCAGCCCGGTCGCACCGCAAAGGTTGATATGATCCTCCCAGGCGGGTATCGTCTCCCAAAGGGTGCAGTAGTCATCTCAGCCCTTCATCACATGCACAATAACAAAGATGTATGGGAGAATCCGGGACGTTTCGACCCCGATCGTTGGGATACAGAACAGGTCAAGAATAGACCTCCTGGCTCATACATTCCATTCGCAACGGGGCCTAGAATGTGCGTCGGATTCAATTTTGCGTTGCAGGAGATCAAGGTTTTCTTACCTAAGCTTGTCTACCGATACAAGTTCAGCTTGGCACAGGATGGAGCGATTGAGTATGACCCTTACTTTCAGTTGATTCGACCTAACAATTTGTATGTTCATGCCGAGAAGAGAGTGAAGTGGCCGCCGAAGTCGGAGTAGTCTGAGTGCCTGGGAATAAAATACAGATTAGATAATGAAGCGTATTATGTATATTCTCCGTCAATCTCGCATATTTATTTACTATTTAGACTTTATCTTGCCCAGTAAATGTTGCTGTGACATGTATTAGCCTATTCCACAATGGTCTTAGCTTCTCGACGAATAAACGGATCTGGCACCTATACTAACTTGACGACTTCGTCATGACAAGACTCCGTACTTTCACATAACTATTCAATCTCGAAGGTTACGCTCCACCGATGGATTCCTCCTGGGAAGCCGAGTTCTCATCATCTCGACATGTTCACAACAGAGGCTCACGTAAACCCAGATCACAAACCGCTGATATCTCAAACATCTTTGGCATTTATGAAGTCCAATGCGCAAAGGCTGAAAACATAGCTCTGGAACATCGATCACCCGCAAAGAGGAAGAAGTCGAAACGACAATCTGGACCGAGACTTAATATACAAAGTTTCATCTCTGATGATCACGGACTGGTCGGAACTCTTCATTTACCGGGCGTTTTAGATGCCGAGGTATACATGTCCGGGAGTCGAAAAAGGCTGCAAGAAATCCTAGATGCCGAGAACGCATCCGAGGAATTAGGCTCAGGCTTTGAAGGAGACCTTGATTTGGAACACGACAGCCATGATAATGAAATTGAAGGCGAAGCAACTCCCAACAACGCCGACCTTTCTCAGCCTTCTGAAGCTGCAACTGAGAGCCATGGTTCTGAGATTTCTACCCAAGAAGCCAAAGAACAGTCGAGGTTCAAAAAGTTTGAGAAGAACACCTTTCGACAACCCAAATTTTGGTTCTTTTGGAAAGGATCTGTTCTTGTGTTACCTGGGAACACTGTCCAACCGAACGCAGACAGCATGCAAGACTCATTGCCTAACGAACTGCAGTCTGGGATGGGATACATTGTCTTCAACGGAAACGGGTACAAAAGGTTCCATGGTACCATCAGCTGCGAGTTACTTGAATGGACGAATATTCCAATCAGCGGACGAAAGGAATAAAGTCAGAAGCTGTTCCTTGTTCCTCAAGATCCTTTCGAGTCAATGACGTCATCAACGTCTGTTGAAATTATCTCATGTCTAGGTAATTATTTCGTTTACATATCAGGTACTCCTGTACCTCGGAAGGGCCTGATAGTCATCACTTATGACCAGGAACTTAGTAAGGTGTCCCTTCCCATTAGCTATTTGTTCTATCACCCAAAGGATACTACCCAAGGCTTTGATATCAGTATGAAGCACTGTGGATTGAGTGTGTTTATGAAATTTATGACTAGTTGAAAAAGATCTATGAATTTAAGGGCAGATGCTACAAGTATCCCTGACATTTTTCAAGATAGGAATTGCACCACTGATTTGGGAGTGTGAATTTAATTGATAAATGCATTAACATGTCTGCCGTGGCAATACGTTCCGCAGGATATCGTGTAAACTCAACGAGATTACCCAAGACCGACTGTGCTTTGGTACTTGCTAGTCCACAGTTCAACATCCACCCTGTTTTGGGTAATTCATTACCATGGCTTCAAGTACTGCGTTTCTGCAATTATGTTGATTGACATTGAGACACACGAACATGGAAGTATTCTGCAACCATAAAAAAGGATAACATTTTAATGACCGTGCTGGTGCACTATTGACAACAAGTATCCAGCGCCGTCTAGATTTGAGTCTAGAGTCTGAAGAATACCGCCACCTTTACTGTATGTCGGTTTCGTTTATGAGCAGGGTATACAGCGGAGGGGGTGCACCGAGTGAACAATATCTAGGCCAGTATGTGAACCATCGGAACCCCGTACATGGAGTAGTGGTATACCACAATGATCGAGTCAAAGGTCGAGACCAGTAGATGATCAAGAAGTATTGAAACAGTAGACATCGAATTATCCTCACAGAATGAAACTAGAACCATCTGCGTCGTAGATACCAGTAGCTATTCCGCGTAGTAATAACTTGCATGGCATTTCAATAGATCTGATCACAGTTTGGTCAGTGGCTGTTACCTTTTTACTCAATCCCCGCAAATCCAGATGCAAAACAAAGCAGTCAAGGCTTTTTGTAAAGTCGCCAGTTTGAATGGTCGACTTCATGGATATCACTACAGGATAGTGAGTTCGGGTTAATGGGAATGAGTTGCCTAGTGCTTCTGGCCTGGAGATGAGTTCCGAAGTGATATGGAATCGCGTATATCTAGCGCCGATGAGAGAATACATAAACTTGGTGTTACATACATGAGTGGGCGCCCTTACGGGCAGTCATGCCAGCCACATTGGCCATGGTTAAGCATGAATGTGGGATACTCCACTAGGATGAGTGAATATAAACCCTGACGATATGTTGATGGTAGAGCGATGACAGGGCCAACGTGGATATACGGTTGTGTTAATTTTTATCCAACATTTGTTGATGTGTGCTTACATATCGGCCGGGGGCTCTTCAAGCCCAATAAATGCAAGGCTGGTATCGTATCTCAATCGGGAAATGCTGAGAGATCGGTGGATTGACGTCTCCTCCCCGGATCACGACAGATTCGAGAAATCACGACTTTGTGCGTTGAAATTGCACAACGTGCGGCTGAGCAGTCAATAAACATGCAGAAGAATGATGCTGGCGTTGTGTGATTTGCTCCATACAGATGTCCAGCGCTCACGTAGACCATATCCAGTCATCATGCTAATGCAGGTATTCAAATACGAAGGCTGACCTATGTCACATATCACGTGTCAGGCAGCCTACTGCTGTTGCCACTTTGGGTGAGCTTTGCTTGACGAGAAAGTCTCCGAACAAAGCTAAAAATACTCTAAGCAAGACTATTGAATGTTGTGCTAACCAATGTGACGTGCTAATTACACCTATGTTCATTATCAAAGCCTTAATTACTATGTACACGGAGATGAAGAGTCTGAAAAGAACAAATGGCAACACGCTTTTGCTTCTAGTTGTTTGTCTTGTTGCCTGATTGGGCAATTGGTCCAGCAAGCGTTACCAATGCTAGATGTGGCGTGAGGATTCAAAAAGCAGTCCACTTTTGCAGAAATTGGATTAGATAAAATGCAATCTGATGCTTGAATTATGCGTAAAGGTATGAATAATAATAAGGGTATTGAGCGGGCACCAATCGCGATTATCTCCAAATCATGTACACGCACTGCGCGGCAGCAAGATTCGTGACATTGCATTCATCATGTTCCACGTCTTCAAGAGGCGTCTGCATGATTACGTGCTCATATACCAGCCACTCAAAATCAGCTACCAAAAAAGACTCCAAAACAGATTGTGTATGTCCCGATGGAGGTCAAAAAGCTGGATATGTCAAGATGATCAAGGTTAACCCCGATCGAGATGGCCTCTTGAAAATGCAATGCTTGATTCAATTGTAAAGAAGCGGCAGCCAGCTCATCAACGGATAGGAGTGACAAGTTTAAACTTTAATTCTACGCTAATGATGGCTATATCCGTTAGTTCACGCTTTTTTCCTGTCTAGCTTCCTCAACTATCAAGAGGTGGAGAGGAGAGGTAGTCTTTGGTTAGTCTTGGTGTTGACCGTTGCATTTACCTCAACGTTGAGGCCCGATATGGCTTGATTCCCGCATTCCTGAGCTTGGAGCTGTGTGTAAAGTCTTAACCAGATCGTAGTAGACTCATGCAGAGCTCGTTGCGTCTTTTTCAAGCTATGAATACGACAGTGGTTGGCACTAGCAGTTTTAGACGCCTGCACAGCTTGACTCAGATGTCCGAGGGAAAGTCGTTAATGCTTCTCAAGTAATGTCCGCAATAATGGGACAAACTAACTGTTTACTGGACCAGCAAAGCGCATAAGTAATCATCCTCGTGTTCAGATACGTAAGCATCCCAGACTTAGACTTCACATCGTACAGTGATTCGACGGTTCGATCCTGCTGTGATCCATGGCCATACTTGCGGGTCACAGACATTACTTATGCCCGAGACACCATGCTGAACCAATCGATCAATTGTGCTCCCCTAAAGTGGGGTTGTTGGTGCCCTGCGAGGACAAAACATTGCAGTTTTAACTTCAGCCTCAGGGGCACTTCAATAGAAAGTAAAGCTTGTTCCTCCACATGCAATCTGCATACACAATCATCACATTCAATAGCGCCATGGACTATGCAAGAATACACGCTAATGATGGTAAGCAAGCCATCAACAGCGATACAACCATGACAACATCTTCTGCCAAAGCCAAAGTCAATACGGAGAAATGGCCACACAACGCTGCAAGTTAGCATCTCGATCTCCCCTACTCAAGTTTCGTTACCTTACTTCATGTTCACGGTTTGAGTAGCATCGAAGAAGGATATAAAATGGGCCTGTTCTCTCCTTGAAAATCACTTCTTCTTCACTCCTCATCCGCCTTCCATTCTCACAATCACCCTACTCTTCTGTCTCTTCACTCGCTAAAGAGATACAATACTTTCCTTTCAACCATTTCTTTTCAACACAGCACTAGCTGCGCTGATATCCTGCAAAGATGAAGCTGTCTGCTATTGCACTTTTGGCTTTGACTTCGGGCATCGCTGCCGCCCCAGCAGCTGAACCTGGCAGAGAGGTTGATCACCGCGACTATGGCTATGACCGCAAGCCTGACTATGGCTATGACCGCAAGCCTGACTACGACCATGACCGCAAGCCTGACTACGACCATAAGGGCCATGGAGGCAAGCATGATTATGGTCAGCCGAAGCCTCACAACCCATGGGGGCATAAGCCGGGTCGTGACAAGGACCACGACTACAAGCCTCCCAAGGACTACCACAGGCCTCCTAAGGACTACCACAGGCCTCCCAAAGACCATTACAAGCCTCCCAATCAGCCAAAGCCATGGGAGCACAAGCCGGGCCGTGACAAGGACCACGACTACAAGCCTCCTAAGGGCTACCACGGGCCTCCCAAGGATCATTATAGGCCTCCCAAGGATCATTATAGGCCTCCCAAGGATCATTATAAGCCTCCCAAGGACTACCATAGGCCTCCCAAGGATCATTACAAGCCTCCCAAGGATCACCATAAGCCTCCTAAGGATCATTATAAGCCTCCCAAGGATCATTACAAGCCTCCCAAGGATCACCATAAGCCTCCTAAGGATCATTATAAGCCTCCCAAGGATCATTACAAGCCTCCCAAGGATCACCATAAGCCTCCTAAGGATCATTATAAGCCTCCCAAGGATCATTACAAGCCTCCCAAGGATCACCATAAGCCTCCTAAGGATCATTATAAGCCTCCCAAGGATCATTACAAGCCTCCCAAGGATCACCATAAGCCTCCTAAGGATCATTATAAGCCTCCCAAGGATCATTACAAGCCTCCCAAGGATCACCATAAGCCTCCTAAGGATCATTATAAGCCTCCCAAGGATCATTACAAGCCTCCCAAGGATCACCATAAGCCTCCTAAGGATCATTATAAGCCTCCCAAGGATCATTACAAGCCTCCCAAGGATCACCATAAGCCTCCTAAGGATCATTATAAGCCTCCCAAGGATCATTACAAGCCTCCCAAGGATCACCATAAGCCTCCCAAGGATCATTACAAGCCTCCCAAGGATCACCATAAGCCTCCCAAGGATCATTACAAGCCTCCCAAGGATCATTACAAGCCTCCCAAGGATCACTATAAGCCACCCAAGGACGACTACAAGCCACCCAAGGATCATTACAAGCCACCCAAGGATCACTATAAGCCACCCAAGGACGACTACAAGCCTCCCAAGGATCATTACAAGCCTCCCAAGGACGACTACAAGCCCCCTAAGGACAACTACAAGCCCCCCAAGGACGAGTACAAGCCACCCAAGGACAACTACAAGCCCCCCAAGGATGAGTACAAGCCACCCAAGGATCATTACAAGCCACCCAAGGACGACTACAAGCCCCCCTACTAAGAGGGCCACGCTTGCTCAATATATGTTGAGCTATTCAAGGCACGTGCCATGCACTTTGATAGTGCAGGTCTGGACAGCAGGGCTTCTACGCAAGCTTTCACTCATTCTTCTTATCCCTTGCATATCCCGACAGGGAGCGCTCTTTATTTCATGATTGGCGATTGTAACTTGGTGCAACGGATGGCTAGGACTGAATGGTTTCACTTCTTATACTCTCGTTAAATTATTTGGCTTGTAGTTCTTAGTTTGTCGAAATTGAAAGGCACACGTAGTTATCTATTCAATACTATCTCATTTGTTGATTACTCAATCTGATTCCCATTTTCTCTAGAAATGACTTGATTCTATGTTAACTCAGGATATCACTTAAGTATCTTTTCATCTAATTGCACTAACGGTTTGGACTTCTCTCAATCGTGTTTTTGAAACATTGCAATATCCCGTGAGACTATTCACCTATGACAAGGCTTCACTTATTGATTTGTGCTACTGAGTTGGTAAGTTATACTCTCTGGAAACGGTTGGTTTCTTTGCTCCCTCACGTATTCATTTTCATGAAAAGATCAAGACTCCCAATACTATAACCCGTCTGCCCTGTGCTGTATTTATTCGGCAGGCATAGTTTTGTGGCTTGACTCATTAACAAAACAACAGGTTCTAATACAATATATCCTCTCCTCGTCAACTGATCTATCACAAAGCCGTTGAATTTCCTGCATTCATCTCCATAGCAGAGGCAGATTGCAGCCATGTATTCCAATCGATGTCTGTGTCAATATCCATGTTGATGCCTAGGCTAGTGATATCTTCGGTGCTTGTGTTTGGATTAGGCCAAAGCCATGATCCGATGCCTGTACCAACTGGTTGATCATCACTCCAACTTTGAGGATATGAAGCTGCCTTTAGAAGCGAGTGCGTACCATTAGGTGCAATGGATTCATGGTCAGGGTTTGAGAGGAAAGCCTCAAACGAGCCTCCCAGGCCGTGTCCTGCAACTACGTTGACCATATCACTGGATCTGTAGGCATGATGTAAGGTGGCCTTATAACTAGTTGAGTCCTTGGAGGATTCCTTTGTTGTCTTCCCAACAAGTGTGCGCCAGTGCTCAAGAAAGGAGGCTTTGCGTTGTTCGTTTGGGGCTGATTCTGGGTCGGTTGGGGCAGGTAGAGAACTATCGATAATTTCCAACTTGTCGATTAATAATGGGTTTTTGCGTATCAGCTCAAGCTGCGCATCTCGGTGACTCCTCGCCTTGGCCATTAGCTTGCGTACTGGAATCCACATACGTACATTTTTGGCCATGCTATTGTGTGAAGGAATTAGCCATTCACTGTGGAGAGTAACCCACGCACGCTCAACTGTAGATGACCATTGTCGCCGTGATATCTCGATAAGCAGCCAGACTATGGCATACCAATGTGTGTATGTCTGGTAGATCCATCGCCACTGGCGACATCTTGCTTCAGCGTTGAGGGAATGGTTATGCTCAGCTATCTCAATAGCGGCGATGAGTAGCCTGTCTCTGACTTCATCTGAGAAACGATCGCTAGGTGAGCTGAATAGCGAGGGGAGGTACACCAAGAGAGTCAATTTAGACAGAACCAACCGCGTAACTACAATTCCAACCCAGTTGATGATATCATCAGGCTCAATTGAGTACCGGAAATAACCGTTCTCCAGCTTCTTGCGGTATTGGTCTAATAGCTGAGCCTGTTCATCAAGATTTGGACCACCTGATTGAAGGCTCGTGGGTATCAACTGCATAGATACCTGTGCTAGCTCACACATAGCTATGGCAAGGGACATGTCCGTGGCACCTTCACGCTCCACGGGAACATGTTTCTTATCAGGGCTAAGATCCGAATCATTGATGTTTAGGGGCATCTTGGTGTCAAAGCTATCTTTGGTGATAGTGAATTCGGTCCCTTGGTCCTCGGACGCGCGAATGTCGATAACAATAACCATCCACCAGATACGGCGCCTTTGTTCCACTTCATAGGGCGATAAATGCGCAAACCGGGACCCGTCGCGATGAAGGCCAACAGCGTGAGCCATTCGTATCATGAGGCCTGTCATCATCCAGACATATACGGGACTATCGTACCGCCGAGCGAGGGAAAGGAAGATGGCCAAAGTCTGAACGTGGACAATATCAGGATCGTTGAGGAAGTCTGCTTTTGCAAGAGCTTGTTCTAGACCACGACGAAACTTGAGATTGAGCTCGGCTTTAGAAGCACCAAAGTTGGTCAATACCTCATCGTCCTCCATTGATGTTATTGCGGCATAATAAATGGAGAAAAGTAACGCTTGGTTCTTGAGATCTATTGTGGGAGTTGACCCACGAGATAAACGAACCATCTTTCTAATGGTCGGCATATGAACAATATATATGATAATGTTTATGTTTTCTTCAAAAATGTCCAATAAGAAGGGGATCTGTGAGGGTAGTGGGTTGAAGTCCTGACTTTCAAGTGGCGATAACGACAAGTCATGTTGGAATAGGAAGGCGTGTCGTTCCATGGGTTCTCTAATGAGTTCTTGAGTCGGAGGAGTGGAGCTTGGGAAGTCTGGTTCATCGGAAGATGCTTCATCATCTCCCATTCTACGAGTGTCCATCTTGAGTCCCTCAAGCTAGGCAAGATTAATGAGCAGAAGCTAAAAAGAAGAGCGTGTACCTGACTGACCTCATCACTTATGCGGGACCAAAACCCACTGGAGATGTAACGTCTTTGGTTGGCATCTTTAAGGACCATTCGGCCGAAATGCTTCTGCACGTCTGACGTTGTCGACACTGAGGCTGACGAGGGGCTGGCCGCAGCTCTCGTGTTGTCGGGGGGCGATACGGCCTCAGAAGAAGTACCCCTACTGCTGGTGGCATTAGCCAACTCTAGTTGGCTCCTCAACTCTTTCACCAGGTTCTCAAGTGTATGCAGTCTATCCAATGCCTGGTGACCCTCCAGGGTCTTGTCAACCTGTCCTGGACCATCGCTTGCAAAGCGCTCAAGGCGACGAGCCCATCTTGGCGGACGGTCATTGGAGGGAACAACGCAGGGAATATTAGCTCTCCGACAATTTGAGCATGGGGACAGCTTATCGCATCGAACTTTACGGGTACGACAGACGACACAACTGCGGAGCTTGGCGGTTGGTGCAGGCCTCGCGCTTTTTTCGGGCCCAGAGGCCGAATCTGACGCGAGAAGAGGGGCTTGAGCTGGAGCTGAGGGTGGCGACGCCATTTGCGGGTTAAAGGAAGGGATGGGCTAATAATCTGCAAACGGTTGTCTAACTAAAGGTAATTATTGGATTGGAAAGGGAGGGAAGGATATGACGGGACTCGGTCTCCCGTGTCCGGTGGCTTGGGACATTCACGTTCCTTTTTTCTCCTTTCTTCACAAGTAAGCATAACTTTATTAGGCATCGTAGATCAGTAGATGATTCGTGGTCATCGTGGCCGATGCGACATTTGCGAGCCTGAACCAAGCTAGCGTGCACTATCGACAGAGACTTGCTAACCATCTTGGGCGAACGGATTGCAGCATCTCCTTCAATTTATGCAAATACCGATTAACCTTTGACATCATTTATCTATTATACTATTAACATAACTTTCCCAGGTTTAATTTTGTAGTCTTTGTAGCCAGCCTGTAGATAGAATTCGTATCAACAAGTTGTCCTTCGACACTGTAAGTTGTCCTTACGATATTCTCTGTTAGTGCTTATTTCAGGGCCAGATAGCTAATCGTAGCACTATCTCATTTTAGTCGGCTCCCACATCTCAGACTCTCCCAAGCATTATGAATCTCAATGAAGAAACAAAGTCAAGGAACAAGCAAGACCAAGCTTTATTCACTACTATTAATAGTATTCTTCCTCAATTATTGTCCCGTGTTACAACCCCAATACATTCCTGAGATCGCCACGATTCCACAATGAGACAACTCAAGCAAGATATTCAAGACATGACCCCCTTTCGGAGAAGGGATGCATTTCCAAGGGATGTCTTGCTAGATGACAAGTCGAATGCCGGATTTCGTTCACTCCATTACATTCTATCCTCAAGACCTCTCCAGTGATTATCTCTTGACTCGCTCCAATCGAACTTCAAGTTGCTTGTGCTCTATCTGCCTTTCATGTCTCTGACGACGACAGCACACAGCTATTTCTCTCACGATGATTACCCATCGGTGACATCTCCACGACCCAGCGGCTATGGCCAGGGCCATAGTATGGACGTCACAGCGTCCACTCTTCATAGGACCAGTCCCCTCGACTTTGATTTCGCCAAGATACAGCCTTTTGTCAAATCCGGCATGTTTCTGGAACCACGCGACACTACAGCGTTTTCTTCGAACGAGTCCCGTCAGCCTGCACCCTCCAAACGCAACAACCGCTCCGCGATGCGCTTCTCGTCGAATGCAGGCATCATTGAAGAGTACGCACGGTCATGGAACAGTCAAGACATTAGCACCAATCTGCCTCATGATGATGAAAAAGAGTTTGAACAGCTTGTTATTCCAAGAACGGCGGACAATACACCAAGATGGCCCTTCATCAATGACGATAGCCTCAATACACCGGACTCCGTAGACGCGGAGCCGCTCTTCCCTTCCTCAAGGAGCACTGTCTCACACCCAAGACAGATACACCGTATCGATGAAGACATGGAAGAACTGGCTGCCTTGTACGTAGCGCCCCTAGACGCTGTGCCCGAAACTTTGGAAGCAGAATTACCTCCGCCGCCGCCGCCGCCGCCGCCACCAGCTCGGCTATCAAACCGTCGCTCCCCAGGCAAAGTCATGACCTCTGCTGAGTTCGAAAGCTTTCGGAGGCGTAAAGTTCTTGAGGAGACAGAAAGACTCTTCTACGAGGGCGAAAACGAAGAAGATAGGATCAACTATGACATGGTTGATGAAGTAGACCTTGCTAAAAAGCAGATGACACAGCGTAAGAGACAGCAGGTACATCTTGACAGCTATCGACAGCAGATGATGAAGACAACAAAAGGGCATGAGCTTCCGCCTATGCGTCCTCATTCACGAATATCTTCCACCTTTTCCTTCAAGGCGACGGTCCGGGGTCATAGAGATGAAGTTTCTACGCAATACGGCGATGACAATGAAGATGAAGATGACGTACCGCTAGCTTTACTCCAAATGAAGCAACGATCAGAGGGGAGAGAAGCTCCCATGCATACCGCAGATGGGAGACCAGAATATGGTGTGCAACTCCAACCAGCTCCAGAGACCAGAAGACAGCAGCCACGGTCCCCAATGCCAGCTTTTGCCAGCAAACTACCGCGCGATCCTTTTGCTGGAAACGCAAACCCTTCTTGGCCGATGAGTAACCAGCAACCCATTCCCGGTGGTCTTGTCGGTGTGATAGCAAATGAGGAACGTGCGAAAGCTATGCGTCGGGCTGCCCCGAGCCATGGCTTCCAGCCGCTCCTCGATACCAACAATGCTTTCAACTGGGCATCAGCATCGCGTCAGCCCCCTCCAATTCCGAGCGCATATGGCATGCAAATGACGCAACCGCCAATGCCATATTCTCGACCACAAACGCCAGTCGCAGTTCCACATCTTCCTCCAGCTCCTGCCAATCATCAGATGTTCAACTTTATACAAGCCCAGACTGAATTCTTCCGAAGTATGGCAACCATCAATCAAAAAAGAAGTGGTCAGCCATGGGACAACTTTTCGTCGCAGCAGTCAGTAATGAGCATGGGGGTTCCCAGCGGGATACCGAGCCGTGCCCCTTCAAACTATGCCCCTTCCAATTACGCACCGTCTAATTATGCGTCTTCGAATTATGCGAGGTCAACATATGCTCGCTCAAACTATGCCAAGTCTGTTAACCAACGTGATGGGGGATATGCCGCCTCAGTTGCCCCATCCGAACGCAATACCGTTGGTATGCCAAGTCGCTACAGACCCGTATCCAAAACGGCGCACCCAGTACACGCAGAGAGAGACACACAAGCTTCCGCAAGAGTCTCTACTAGCAGTGACTGGAATCACAACCGAAACGCGAGGTTGGACACGCGAGCTATTCTTGAAGCAGACACTACTGATAGCGATGATGATGAAGCATTCTGGAGAGCCAGAAAAGCAAAGCGAGACAGGAGAAGAGCTATGTGTTTTCAAGACAATGATTTGGGAATGAGGCCAGAGTGGATTAGATAGGCCTCCAAGTCTACAATATCAGGACAGACAACTCAGGGGAGGATTAATTAATAATATTGGAAATTCCAAGGGGATGTATCACACACGACTATCCAGCAATTTTTCATAGACTTCTCTATAGACCGTAATTATCACACAATAACAAGCACATTATTCCACAGTGAGTAGGAGAAGACCTCTCACCTACTATATTCAGCCACTGTTGTCTCGGTTGAGGAGACCTGGTGCAAAGGATTTTTGACGCTATATATTGCGAACGAAACGAAGAATTAAATTATCATAAATCATTCAACACGAACTTTTTCTCCTATTGCTAGGTGTTGACAACATATTGCCGCCACTCGCCGTTCGACCATGGTAGGTAATAAATTATATAACATGAGACAGGATTTTCTCATACAGTTTGTCTATCCAATAATGATTGGCATATATCTTAGCGTTCTGCTGTCCTAATGTCGACTTGTGAATCTTTGTGGGGGCTTCTTGAGGAAACTGAGGAGCTCGCAGCTTGTTGTGGTGGGCCGGGTGAGTAGATCTGAGCTGCAAGTTCCGATGATGACTTCGAAACCGGACGAGAATGGCCAGTTGGGTCCCCACGGGCTGTGGCAGCCAGGGCTTCCAGCTGCGTCATTGTGTCAAGCTGCGTGGATGACTTGGACTTCATAAAGGATGCTCGATCATCAGCCATGAACTGGTATCGTGCATCCGGATTCTTCCTCCAAAACACCAACGCACTCGATATGATGATCATAAGGAGAAGGATCAGAGAGAATGCGGCATTGACAACAAATAGGACAAGCCCGGTGACTGAGGAGCCCATTCTAGGCATACCCAAAACATTGGTAAAAATAAATAGGCAAATGGCGTTGAGGAAGTTGAGTACGAAGATGGCAATGTTGAACGAGTTCACGCTCTTATCCATAAAGGGGCGCATGACGCTTGTCGCGATCAAAGCAGCCACCTCGATAATAATGAGGGCAACCGCTTGAACTACGCCGCTCTTCTGGCTCAGAGCGATAAACATGCTCTTGACAAGAATATAGGCAAGCTGGGGCACAACAAAGTAGTAGGCAGTAGCTCGATAGGGAATATACAAGAAACCCCACTTGTTCAAAATGCGCGAGTCCGAGTACAGAGTGATGACTGGGTTGCTATGTCTGGCAAAGGTGACAATCTTGAATGCTGCCAATGCGAGGGTGATCGTGACGGCAAGGAAGAAGAAGACGGCAAGGACTACCAAGGCAGCCGAGTCAACTTGAGTGAATTCCCAGAGAGAAAAAATAGCGATGGGAGCAAAGCCCATGAGGGTAAGTCGAAGAAGAATGCCTTTGAGGAGCGTGCGCCACTCTGTTCGGAGCTCAAGGAAGCGCTCATGCTTGATCCAAGCTTGTTTTGCGCACAGGTCGAGAATGACCTTGGCGATGAGAACGAGGATACAAGCAAAAACGATGAAGACGATAAAGAAGGTGAGCGCAGTGAGGAAAAGATTCGTTGTCTCGATCCGGGATCTGAAAGCCACACGCTGGATGCCGTAGACCAGGAATGAGCCGTTCTCAAGCTCAATGTTGGACCGTTTGGACATGGCAAAGCCACGGCGAACCAGAGCTGCAGCACCAGGGATATACTCGATAGATCGCTTGGCGACTTGAACGGAAGAAGTGGCAAGATGATCGAAGATGCGAGCGGGTGTGCCGCCTGTGGCGCGCTGATACCAGGTGAAGATATCTTGCATCCAACCAAGGCGGATAATGCCCATGGACCATTGGAAGTTCTGAGTCCACGCATCAACAATGGGAGGCATGGTGATTCCTGTAAGTCCTATAATAGCTTGGGCTTGGAAGTATGTGAATAGAGCGAGGGTGTTGGCAGCAAGGTGAGAGGATGCATTGCCATAGCCCGCCAGCGAGATCAGAGCTGAGGATATGAGTCCTATTCCGATGATGATGGCAGTGACCCATTTGACTGATAGTTGCTCAACTGTCTTTCCGGTGGAAAAGTCTGCCTCAACACATGCGACGCTCTCGCCAGTGGATGTCATGTTGACATATGCGCGCACGGTAGCATCCAAGTCAGGAATGCCGTATGCGATATTGGGGATTTGGTCCAATGCATCACCAAGTGGGACGTTGAACTTGATGTCGATATCACCCGGTGTCATAGGGCAAAGACTGGGAAGCTCAAGATCATTGGAGCAAGGGTCGACAACCTGACGGATGAATTGGTATCCATAGACATTGAGGGCGACGTCGAAGCGAACTTTGCCCTGAACCGAGGCAACAGCGTTGACGTTGATGGTGGCGATCGAGTTGTTTGGCGTGACTACAACATGGAAAAGACTAGCAGTCAACAAAGAGCCCTGTTGACAGCTGTTGAGGGACTTGGACTCGAGGATCCTGTCGGCTGTAGCGAAAGACGAAAGCTGAGCAAGCCATGAGAAGAAGATGAGGAATGCTGTGAATAGCTTCATGGCTGCGGTGCCGAGATGGATTGAATTGGCTACAGCTGAAGAGAGGATTCACTTTCAAGACAGACAGTTTCGCTTCTATTATGAGCTTGTGCCAAGATAATGGATGAGGTGCGATAGAGTTAACAGGCGACCATTGTTGACGAGCAAGTGAAATGAGGGATGGAAACAAGGGTGGAGCTAGAGGTGAACGCGATGAATGGATGCTTTCGGCTGACGCGGTAGAGATCAATCAACTCAGACAAATGTCTTGCAATCAAGTCCGGAACAATAAAACGAGAGTGATGGACGACGTATCAACGTTGGAAGCGATCGACTGATGAGCGTTAAGCTTAACAAAGTCGAGTGTTTGTGTCTTGTGCAGGTTGATATGGAGAAAAACTCTCAAGAACCTGGAAGGCGGGAAATTGGAGGATAAGCTCAAAGCTACAGCAAAGAGGCGAAGCACAAGCATCAGAAGTGGGACCACGCCAATCAAATGATCAAAAAGAGTTAGTCATTGTACAAGGCTTGCATTCAGAGTCTGGGATACGAGATTGCAGAACAGGTACGTACTGTCCATGGAATATCACATCATGGCAGCCTCTGTAGATTGCGACTGACCAAACTCTAGTACACAAATTCGACCTATTTATGCCGTAAAACAGAACTTGTCGGGTTCATGAGTGAGTTCCTTGAACAGGCTAAATGTTACCAACATCTGATCCCTTGCCATGTCTCTCTCCCACCTTTGCATTCAGTTCTTCGCATGGCGTCATAGCGTCATTATCACCTCGTGATCTTATTCTCATCAGCGGGGTTCTCCGGAAACGCCGACTACCCTGTATCCAAAGAAAAAGTCTAGAGTTTGACGGTACAACAGTATAGACATAATAGCCAAAACTGTGACTTGAATGATTCATCAAGATACATATATAATCCATATTAAGGTCTTTCAGGTTAGAAAAAGGGAAACATGTTAATTCTGGTTCTGATAGCAATAATCGTTCCTCGATCAAGCGCAAGGGTGTCGAGGATCACACCATTACCCGGCCTACCTTCAATCAAGAACACGGAAACATGTTACAACAGGCATCAACAAACTAAAATGACTTTGTACGAAAATGTATTAGGCAGAAAACTCGCTGTTACTATGTCACACATATCTAGACCAACTCCAATGTACCGTTGAAGTTCTTGATCCGCTCGTCAAGGATGATGGAGCTCAGAACCCAATCACCATCACGAGACAGCTCGCCCTCTAGCCTTTGGCCTCCATCAACAAGGCGCACATTTCGCACCGAGTTTCCGAATCCACCACCACCTTGGCTGCCACCACCAGGGACCTGGAGAGTCTGTCCTGGGTAAATCAGGTCAGGATTGCTAATATTGTTCTGTCGAGCAATCTCGTCGAATGAAGTGTTGAATCGGGCAGCAATGCCTCGGAGAGTGTCTCCCTGCTGGACCGTGACCTGCGAGGAACCACCGTGATGGCCTCCAGCCGACCATCGGAAGCTTCCCCTGTCGTTCTCCAGTAACTTGTTGAGGGAGATGGATGTGTGCTGGTAGTCGCCATTCTCACGCTTGCAGGAAGCGTGAAGGACATACTCGCCATGGGCATCGAGTCTGATATCTCGCGACGAGGCAGTAAAGTTGCCGGCATAGTGTCCATCACGGCGTCGGTTGGAGCCGCGAGAAGAGCTGCGGCTTCGGCGACGGGAGGAGCTTCGACGACGGTGGTGAGAACTGTGGCGATCGTCGTCACGTCTGTTCTTTTCCTCCTCCTCCCTTCGCTTCTTTTCCTCTTTTCTTCTCTTCTCGTCCTCTTCCTTTCTCTTTTCTTCCTCCTTCTTCTCGTCTCTATCGTCCTTCCAGTCTTCGGCGGCGTCCTGCAGCTTATGACCACTGAATGCTCCTGCCAGAGCACCGATGATAGTGCTTGACTTGCTGTGTCCGGTAGCTCCGCCGATCTTGTGGCCACCGAAAGCACCGGCTGCGCCACCAGCTACAGCTCCCATGAAGCCACGCTCACCATCTTGGTCATCGCCTTCGTTGAATTGGTCACGAGGGCCTGAGCCGTGAGGAGGACCCTGCTGATATTGTCCATGCCCAGATGGTGGGTATTGTTGTTGCTGGCTCTGCTGGGACTGGGCGTAATAAGACTGTGCCTCTCCCTGACCTTGCTGGTACCCTCCTTGTTGGTGGCCACCTTGTTGATAGCCACCTTGCTGTTGATCATACTGCTGGTTGTTGTTTTGCTGGTATCCGCCTTGCTGGTAGCCGCCCTGCTCATGACGGCGGTCGTCACCACCCTGAGGGAAGGGAGCTTGCTGCTGGAATTCGGTGTTGTGGCCGTAGCGAGTCATTGTGTTTTTTGTTAGGAGTGTTTAGAGTAAGGAGTAAAAGATCATGGATGATGGCTTGGGCCTCAGCCGATTTATATGCACAATTGCCGCGGTGAGGGCGAAGTCAGCCACAATTGATGTCTCCAGTGACATACGAGACGAGTCCAATCGGAGACGTCAACGTTGTGTAGAGTGGGTTACCATGCGCACAGCCTCATGTTACTGAGTGATGCCACGTATTTGCTTGCGAAGCTTTGAGCAACACTTGGCCCTTTGCTTGGTGGTTACTACTGTCTTGGCGTTTGGACTTGCCACTACCTGTGGCAAGTATGCAGGGATCCCTGTTATTTTTGGAACAGACCCTTCATTGATGATGATTGGGAATGTTACAACTCACAATCACTCAGATGTCCTCATATCGAATGACTGAACGACACGGCCGTTATAGGCTGCGAATGGTTCTGCATGCAACCGCTACAACAAATACCTACAGCGCTTACTTGTTGTCGTTGGCGCTGACTCTCTGTTGGCCTTGGTGCCAAGATTTAGTGCGGTTAGTTCGGCAACCCGCCGAGACGCGTACACCGTAGCTTTAGGCCGATTCTTGGTGGAGTTCAGATTGATAATAGCTGTCGCAGCACGAATAGCTTCTTCTCAAGTGCAGTTAGCTGTTTAGTTAGTATCAACACCAGACACCAGTGCGACGCCATGTGACACAATCACCGCCAAATTGTGCTTCACCGTCTCATATGGGAACCATTCCCCAGTATCCTCTGACAATAGCGAAACCTCTCACCAGCCACATGGGAAAAATACATCCTTCCTTTTCATCAAGCCTGGTCGCTGGGAGCCAGTAGTTGAGAATATCCAAACGCTAATCGTTCGATAGACTGCAGGAATATCGCATCACACAAATATGCGGTATCAACAAACAACAAGGCCGTCAGTGCATTTGACTCATTGGACGACCCATATGCCTACCTTTTGCTGATAGTCGTCTTGTGCTCAAATGAATCAAGAGTTGTGATTGGAGTGACAATGAACTTTGAATGGGTATCTATTGTAGTAGGTATCATGATTCTAAACAGACATGACTCTTCGCATCATTCTTCTTCCAAACCAGATCACGGTTAATAGAAAGCTGGAGAGGCACGACGCTATGCCAAGTATCCACGCACCTTCTATTGTATAGTCAGAATGCCAGCGTTTTGTGGCGGCGCTGACTATATCATCGGCATTTAGCAAGTCAACGCCTTCGTGCGCAAGTGTCCTCCAGAAATAATTCCTCTGTGACGTTGGCCATCCTGGCAACTCCCAGTACCTTGACTTCAGATTGAGATCTTTCGCAAGTTTAATCTGATTTTTGAGTATACCTCTTTGCGCCTGGCTGACGTATGGGATGACAATCCCAAGAGCTCTCCAGATAGACACTGAAGCCGTGTAAAACTCGTTTTCTTGCAGCTCGCATTGGCTGTCAATTCTCTGACAAAAACCAGGATTGGAAAGCAGGTCCAGGGATGCATCAAGAAATACATCATGGTATTTCTGATATTTACCCAAGTCTGCACCGATGTTTACGTCTCGCCGCTTGACAATATTTCCCGTACCCACAACAGTCAGTGGTCCGGAATGAAATGATTGGTTTGTTGATGTTGAAGAGAGCTTTTGGTGATATGACAGATAGCCTCTTTCTCGTAGAGGCTCCAGATGCTTCAACAATATTGGCCATGTCTTTGCAGCGTCGTCTTTGACATCAATGAACAAGATCAGCGTCTTTTTTGGTTCTGTTACAAAGACACCAGCGGTACTATCTGTTTCCGTATGGTTGTCGGCATGATGTGGCGAGTTGAGTGCATCCAGGATCTGTAGTAGAGGAGTAATATATAGTGATTGGAGTGTTTTCTCTGGTCTAAGATTCCACCAGTGATGGCCGACCAGTAGATCTCTGCCGTTGCTGCTCAGCCAGATGTCTGCCTCTACGCTAGCACAGCCAACAGACAAAGCTGAGAACAGAGGCCTCGGTCTCAAGTAGTCGTTGTGAGAATGTACCATAACAGGCGTGACCCGAGGTGATAGATCCTCGACCCATCGCTTGGCACTTTCTGATGCGTCGCCGTGATGCTCAGCGGGATCTGCCAAGGCAAAGCCCGAAGCCTCGAAGTTGTATATGGCGTATCGCTCGACAACGAATGTGAATAGGAAGAAAGAGGTTCTGTGACAGGGTCAGCCTTTCCCTTGATAGCCTGACGGCTTGACTACTGACAAGATCAGAAGCGCTGCGATACCAGCCGCAACCCATGGTTTGGCCCATCTCGTACAGAGTCTCCAGGCCCGGGATTTACTGCTACTGATGACGCAAACAGCGTGTGATGGTGCGTCATTTTCGTCTGAAGAGCCTCTTGGTCGAAGTGGTCGATATTCAACATCCTTGTGTGTTGGGCTACACAAGTAGTCGGCGATGTGCATTGTTTATTATATGCAAGTGAAGAAGGAATACGGACCACAAGGACGTAACAAACCAAGGCACATTCCCGGGTATAAAAGGTACGAAAGAAATGCGAAAATTATTGTCAAGTGCCGGTTTGATCATGCGGAGAGAGTTCTAGCCTGGGCCTCAACAAACGTTAGTTCCTTGTCGGCCGTATTACAGCGATTCTAAAACGCACGTGGCTCCACCTTGAGGCTATTCATTAACCAATCCAAACGACAAGATGAACCACGAACTTTAAGTACGAATACTAAATGTGACAATCTTTATGAAGTGTTGGTGATAGGCGGTAGTCTAATATAGATTGATCCGAGAGCCAAAATCGACGAGCTCAGTACACGTGTGTCAATCAACAGACACGATGCATCGCAGACGAGTCAGGTTTGTGTGACAGACTAACAGTTGGCGAAAGCAGACTGCCACTCTATATAGGGCATTGCACGAAAAATGGCACCAATGACTCGACTTCAAAGGAGTGTATTAACGCTTTTCGCTATTCTTCGCATCCTGAGGACCCAACCTGAAAGGTTGAAGATCAAGCCCCGCCGCCTGTTATCATCTATAGAGAAGACTTGTCGCTTGTTGTAACGGATAGCAGAGAAGCCATTATATATCGATCAGAAGGCTCATCCAAGCACATACGACCATACCTACCAGAAAATACGGGATCCCGTCCGCTCTCCCATAGTCAAGCTGGTAAGGGGCGGATTAGTAGTTGGGTCGGTGACGACCAGCGAATCCCCGCTGTTGTATGTTTTGCCAAACCCTTTTTTTTTTTTTGCTCCACTGACCTTATACGTAAAGTGGCCAACTATTTTGTGTTATCTTTTTGACTTTGATGTCTTCTTTCTCTTACCATCTTTTTATTCCTGGCTTGTACTGTTTGCAGCCCGATATCAAAACGTCTCAGGTGAAGTGGGCCGCTTCTTTGAGAATAAAGTGTTCCCGTTGATTAACTGTGGTAGAACCAGACACATACTATTTATTTATATATTTTCTTCTTTATAGTCCTTGCTTCTCGTTTTAGAACTTAAGAATTTGGAGTACAAGTTAGGATCATGTGACGCCAGGCAGCAACTGCGCGGAGTTACATATAATGATGTCAGTTTTGTCGTTCAGTAATGCTGAGTTTCAAACAAACAAAAACACACAAATACATATATACTGCATGTCAAATCAGAATGCCATCATATAGCAGTAACGAATTCGACGCAGATTGGCGCTATGATATAACACAAGACTTTGTCACCTCCACTAATCAGCCTTACCCATACGCTGATAATGGCCACTTGCAGTGGGGAAAGGAAGTTCAAAAGATTACCTTTGATGGGACAGCGCATCTTGGCTATATCAGCAATGATGGTAAGAGACTAGCTCTGGGGATCAAGCACAACATTCACGTCCTCAACACTGGAACTTGGGAGACTGTTGTCGTCCTCAAAGGACATACCTCGCAGGTCAATGCTGTCGCTTTCAGACCGGACGATTCCAACGTACTGGTATCGGGTGAAACAGAGGAAAGACACGACAAAGAGCTTCTATCTCCACCCATGATCATCTTTTGGAACATAGAGGAAGAATGCACAAAACGCCCCCATGCAGATGATTCGTATGGGGATGCTGTTCACGCTGCAGCAGCAGCCGCGGCTGAAGGTCTGGCCAAGATCGGAATAGACCTGGACCAAGACAAAATCCAGGAACTAAAGACTGGCTTCCAACCCGTTGTCGATCGTGTCACTGCCAGGAGCACGGCAGTACGTCATGCCACGATCGGTGGCCGACTACAAGAGCACTTTCAGTCTAGAATTTTCAGCCCATCCGGCAAATGGATGGTTTACCTGCCTGGAAAGTCACCTCGAGCAAACTCAAATGTTCCTTGGCATATCCATATTGTGTCCACCGACACTCTCAAGAAGGAATTCACTCTTCAAGGTCACACCGACGCAATCATGTGGATGGGGTGGAGCTCTGATGAAACACTCTTCGCTTCTATCTCGTGGGACTGCTCTATTCGTATCTGGGATGCTTTCACAGGCGACCAGAAGCACTGTTTCATGACTGAAACCCAGAACTGGACGGGCGGATTTTCTCCGAATATGAACTATTTCATGGCAACGGACGGAAAAGGCAACGTGAGAGTCTTCTCCCTGCCCTCGGGTGAGCTTCACTGGATGTACGAGGGACAACATGGTGGCGGCTGGAGACGAACTATCAGTTGGCATCCAAACAGCCAGTGGCTTGCCGTTGGAGGGGAGAGATTGGGCGAGTTACTTTTACTCGATGTGAGGGAGAAGAAGCTGCTACAGAAAAGAGTCCTGTCAGCAGATTCCTGTACAAGGGAAGAAGAGTATCGCAAAATGATGACGCGCTTTCTGGGAGTGGGGGAAGTGCAGTTCGTTGACAATGGAAACAAACTTGCAGTCTGGACCTATGGTGATGGAAGTATTGAGCTTTATGATATCCAACAGGAGGTCAAGTGGAGGTTTCCTAGGGGTGGTACAGATGACGGACCAGAAACGCATGAATGGAGAGATGACAAAGGCAAGGTTACAAGTAAAAGGGGATACGGCATGGTGGTATGGGGGGGTCGTTCAAAGGGCGTACTGCGATTGGCCAGTCTTGACTTTGATGGTGTTCGCGTCTGGGACGTGCCACTGACTCTTTAGGACACTGCTTCTCAAAGACTGATGTGAGTTTCATTTTGGATTGTTGCGAGTTGTCCTTATCTCTCTCGACACTTTCTACGCCGCGAATGTTTTTTTATAGCTTTTCCGACTATAAAATCTGTCTCTGCTCTCTTTATGGCCCTTCAAAGTTCAACTTACTATCTAAAGATTTTTGAACTGTGCTGGCTACTTGACAGCTCTTTCTTTGACGGTTATCTTTGATGTGATTCAAGTCAGAGTTGGTATATGGGAATATTCTCACTGTCCTCGAATTGGAAATTCCATTCTTTGAAGCTCGACGAGATGAACAAGTTGGAGTTTATGAGTTAGAGAGTCAAGCAGAGATAGCTAACCCGAGTCAGGGTTCTCCATTGGCAAGATTTACGTACAGTAAGCAAATATGGGTGTAGGCCACTCGTTTTACGCGCATTTATGGGGCAGGTTGCAGTCTTCTTCGCGCGACGGGGAGCGAAGGGCGAGACAGTGGAGCGTACCACTGGCATGGTGATTGGCTTAGCTGAGGACGAGAAAAGAGCGAGCATTCGAGTTGACGATGAGGATGAGAAAGATGAGAGGCAAAGGCATCATTCAGCTGAAAACACATTTGATATAAATAAATGAGATGTATGTCTCTCTGGAATAAGAATCATTATTGCAATAACAGCTCATAAATACATCCATTCAACCATACTCAAACACGCATTCACCCAAGCAGTCAACAAGATGACCACTCATACCATTCGCAAAGTCGTCTACTCTGCCTTTGGCGGCCCTTCCAACGTAAGCGTCGTCACAGCTCAAATATCTCCTCCTGCCAAGCACGAAGTCCAATGCGATGTCATTTACTCTGGCTTTTCCGGCGCCGACATCCAGATGCGGATTGGCACATATCCCATGCAAAGAGACGCACCATTAACACCTGGCTACTGCTTTGTTGGTCGTGTCAGCGCCAATGGCCCCAAATCGTCCAAATTCTACCCCGGCCAACTCGTCGGGGCTCTCACCATGTACGATGCCGAAGCTCAAAAGATCAACATCGCTGAAAAGTACTTGATCTCCATTCCTGAACATGTCGATATGCGTCAAGCCCTCGGTATCATTCTCGACTGGAACACTGCTTATGGTCTGGTTCATCGCGCCACTGATCTGGTCAGGAAGGGTCAGCGCGTCTTCATCCACTCCATCAGCGGGGCTGTTGGTTATGCCACCATGACCATGTGCTTACTTGAGGGCGCTGAAGTTTATGGCACAGCGTCAGAGCGCAACCACGCGTCGCTACGAGAGCTTGGAGTGACACCATTTACCTACGCGGATAAGAATTGGAAGGCTGAAATGAAGCAGCGTGGTGGTGCACACGTCGTCTACGACCCAATAGGCTTTGAGAACTACAATGACTCTTGGGACATTCTCATTAGAAATGAGCCCAGCCGACTCGTCGGGTTTGGCGGAAACATGAACATTATCCAGGGCGACGACGCCAAACCACGGTCGCAGTTCTCATCGCAGGTTAAGCTATTGGCCAAAAATGGGTGTCTCGTTACCAGAAGGAGCACTTCATTCTACTATATCGACCGCGACCGTTCAACATACATGGAGGATTTGCATTCAGTCATGTCTATGCTGGTTGATGGCAAATTCCAGGTGCCAATTAAGAAGACTTGGGACTTGGAGAACATTAGGGAACCTCATGAGACTTGGGGTAAAATTCCTGGAGTTGGCTCCTGTTTTGTTCGTGTGGACCCTAATGCTGCTCTTTGAGAAGGTGATGACGATTGATTGGACATATTTTTAGCCTGTTATTAGATTACTTTGTTCCAGAACGTGTTGCTTTTCCTACCCTACATTGGCCTCATGTGAAATATGATTATAAGTTTGAGCAAGAGACATTGTATGTACAATAAAGATTTTTTATATATAAAGGGTATATAAAAGAATATTTTTACCAGATGTGGTGTTTTATTGGCTTTCAAGCTATCCGACGTTGTTTAATAGAACATTGCTCTCTTCTTAAAATCTCAACAGTCTATCACACAAAACAGTGCAGAAATTCACGTATTTCTCCATGAGCCTAAACTCGGGGCAATATTGGTCCGACTCAAAATGACGAATTAGGCTTAGCCCTTCCGTCGCGTAAACGATTAACGCGACGCGACTTTCAGGCCACTCTTGTCTCATAACTAACAATAGCGTCATATCAAATGGCTGGGTGTCTCGTGTGTTTAGATGACGACCAAACAAAATGGCCAAGGCTGGCATGAGTAAGGAATATCCTGTTGCCACCTGAAGTGTCATTTGTTCAGCGCCGTCAAACCAGTCAACATGTCATTTCCAATGAACTTACACATTATTTTTCAAACTGGAAGGATGCTACTAGGCAGTGAATGTGATAAAAATATACAGATCAGAAAAAGAACCAAGGCTGAACTGTTGCCGGGATGTTAGTAGCAGCAAAATGCGACAATGGACAGCTAGTAGCAGCAAGCGGTCGGATAACGACACAAGCTCTGAATAACACCACTGATGTCGCGATGGAAGTACACTTTACAACCTCAAAGTACGAACACATTGTTAGAAAGGCATTTCTATGTGAACACTGGATAACCACGAGAGCGTAGACACCTCACAGCTGAAGGAGGACAGAAAGTCAGAGCATCAGAATGGATAGAGATTCACAATCAAAAGGATGGCTTCCTATAAATTATCCCAACGCACCCCCGAATCCCAATCTTCTTTTCTTTAACAACCCTAGCACTCAACTGCTATATGCAATCAACGTAAACGACACTCTTCGTCTACTATAAAGAAACTGCCCCTTGAAGGACTGGAAACCCTGACGATTTAGACACAATGTGTCAAATGCTTGTTTCTGTTTTCAACTGTGTTGATTGCGGTAAAACTACTGGAGCTGAAAGTCTGCATCATCCTATGTGGCAGGACTACTGCTCAAGACTGATGTTTTACTTCCAATATTACTATGGAAGCTGCCTTTTTTGCTCGTGGCACCGCGAAGAAGTCTATCGTTACAGTAGCTGTTATTGTCGATAAGCAACTATAGCCAAGTCTTCAAGACTTAAAGGGGGCAGAGCTAGCTGATAATGAAAACAATTAATAATAATAATAATAATAATAATAATAATAATAATAATAATAATAATAATAATAATAATAATAATAATAATAATAATAATAATAATAAGTAGGACTAACCAGTTCCAGGGCATGCTATGATTATGAGCGACTGGACCCATGGACTGTAAAAAGAAAAAAGCACAAGTTGTTATTCCTAGATATCTTGCCTCGACACGGGATCGAACCGTGGACCTTGTCATTACTAGTGACACGCTCTACCACTGAGCCATCGAGGCGAATTCTTATTGGTTGAGAGCACAAAACACTATTGCGCTACTCCCAGTCTTCGTCGTGTTTCGGAGCATGCGAATTGTCCTTACGAGAGGATCAACTTGGTTGGTATGGGGGGATAGGTTGGAAGTGGAAGCCTGGTCTGTGGCGCGGCACTCAACAATGTATAAATGCTTGAATGCGAATGAAATATAATTGTATCGGCTTCTACAGAGTCTGCTTAAATCCAATTTTTTTAATAAACAAGAAACAAAAAATTAAACTGGTATATTCTTTGTATCTTAAGTAGGTGAAATGCAACATTAACCCTCCCTCTCGTTTGTAGCCTGGTAGTCAGGAGGTTGATTGTGCCACCGCAAAGGGGCCCCGAGAGCTGTACGATATGTTGGTAATCTACTTAGCTCTGGGAACTCGTCTGAATCGGTGGCAGAAACATCGGATGAACTTCGTGATGATGAGTTTGTTTGGCTGTGCTCCTCATTCCTAGCACTATTTGAAGAGAGTCTGGCCGTGGTTTGAGCGACACCCGCTTCTGGGGACGCTGGTTGGAGACCGCGTCCAGGCGTCTGCCAATCTTGAAGTGTACCACAAAGCTGATCAAGAACATGCTCTCCATACAAAGGGGGACCAACCGTTGAGTCTGTTTGGACCAGTATGCCAGTGGAACGATATTCCACATTGCCCTGCTCGTCGAGAGAAACGAATGGTGACATGTATATGCTTATAGGGATTCCCATGTCAAGCTTAAGAGTCAACGTTTTTGCCAAGTTTCGTTTGTAACAAAGAGACTTACGTGCGAAACATGCCCATCCTGATTACGAATGGGAATGTGAATCTTGAGTTTGTGCCAAATCTTGATTCCTTGCGCATCTATATCCTGGGAACATTCGGCAATAGCTTTAGGTAAATTTAATGTTTGTTTGATGACCCAACCTTCTTGGTTCGTTTCTTCGATGATGTCTTGCCAGTGATGTTCTCTGGAAACTTCAAAATCCCAGTGAGAAACCTCGCGCTGGCTCTTGTGTTCTCGCGTATAGATGTAGTGCCTGCTGTGCATGCTGAATTCGTGAAACTCCACCAACTTGACCCCGATTCGCCCCAGTTCGATGCCTTTGACCAGAGGAGTAATCCGTATTTCTAAAACCACAGAGCTACCGAATGCGACAGCTTTACTTGGTAAAGATACCGAATAGTCTATCTTGTTGATCCAAGTCTGCTCAACACTCGCATTGTGCATAAACTCGAGAGCAGTCGGGGCCAATGTACGAATAATCCTAAGCTTCTTGCAACAGGACGTGTGTCGGACGAGCTTTCCCCTGTTGATAGTGGCTCTGAGGGCATAAGTGATAGACGCATCTGGGAGGCCATCAAGGCTCTCTGAGGTGTCGCCTGGCATCAAAAATTCAAAAGGCCATTCGTAATTACCAGCAGGTAAGGTAAGACTTTTACCACTGACTCCTACCAGTGGGGGCCATTTGTGCTTGAAGATATTGGTATTATGAGCCACGCCAGGATCTGCTAACCACCTTGTCGCCCCATCAGCACAGAAACACGTTGACGCCTAGGAATATATGGCTTTCACATCTTTGCGAACTTACCCGTGACGGACGTTTCCATCTAGACGTACTCTGATCTCTTCAATCTTGAGAGGAGACCGCAGGCAAAGAACTACAACCCCTCGTAGAATTTGATCGGAAGATTCGTATTGATTTCCGCAGAAAACAAGCACGTCTTGTTCCAGTCTATCGAGTACGTCAGTAACTCAAGTCCAATGCGAAACGTAGGTTACGAAACGGAACCTTATATCGAACAGAGCAAATGATGTTGACATCGCGCTATTGAAAGAATGAGTGCAGTGTCGGGTATGGGGACTTTAATTACTGAAAACATGATTCCACGAATGTCGGTGTTATGGACAAGATTGAACAGGGACTGTCTACGGTTAAAGAATTCACAAGAAGCCATGATACGACATAACTATCTATGATAAGGACATGTGGCTCATTAATGCAGATTTTGCTGGCAAGGTCTGGAAGGAGTACAGCTCAGGACCTCGGCTCATGCATGGGTCGGAAGATTTACCGGCCCTAGTGATGATCTGATGTCAAGATAGTACACCATGGTTGGAGTTTCGGTATGGACGGCATTCGGCATGGCACATGAATCGGGAATGGTCTCGTGAATAAACATGACATGGTTGTGCCAGCCTCATCACCGATCACATTTGCATGTGATTAACCGACATGTAATTTTGCTCATGTCAGCACAACAATATTTAACTACAAGAACAATCTTTTGTGAACTTGAAAGTAATATTGGATCTCCTTCAGTATGCTATGTCCTCATGAAGTAGCCGCAAAAACTGCTGATTACTGTAGAACCAGTCACCGACATTAAACGTTGCATCTTGTCCACTGGGGAGCATCATATCATCAACGATCGTATCGTTCAGGGTATCTGCGACACCAGGCTCGGACATCGCAGAGTCACTCGAAGTTGGTAACATCGAGTCATCGTGTCGTGGTGTTGAACGCAACTGAACAGAGAGACGAGCAGCCTGACTAAGGAGCTCGTATAGACGATGTGGGTGGGTCGTTGCCTCACCGCTGATATTGTCAGACTTGAATGACGCAGCGAATCGATCAAGACGGTCAAGATCATGTGTAATCGAGTGACGTACAGCATGCTCAAAAACAATGCTGAAAGGAAAAAAAGGTGTATGAAGAACGGCCCTTTAGAAGACGGTTAGTTTAGATAAGTTTACGATACCCTCCACCTTGACTGACCAGCTGATATATCTCTTCATCAACAGAGGATCCCTGCATCCATCAACAAGCTTCATGCATTGCCCGTGTAAGTCCAAGGTATTACGCGCCACAGTGACACAGCTGTCAATAGGATCTGTATTTCCTGAAGAAGGTATCGCTCTGAGAACCATGGACATCATAGAGGACTGGCAGACTAGGTCACAATGTAAGTAAATGACCCTTGCAGGATCATCCCCAACCATTGAATTTCGACACAACGCTGCCTAGAAGATGTCCATTAGATAGTTTTAATTGCGACCAGAGTTATTCTTACCGAAATATCCGCCTGAGTCTCGTCTATAATCGACTGGATTTCTTGCGCGAGGATACCGGCAGCCTCTCCACGTACATCATCCGTGGAAGCAAGGCCTTCTGGGCTATACAAATGACTGTAAATCCTGCCCTGTATCCGTCCAAATCGTATAGCTCTGTGATGGCTCGACTCAATGATTAGGGTAATGTCGGAATCTCTGATGCCAGAGTAACGACCCAACCGTAAAGATAGGCCGTTTTCGTAGCTATATACAGCCCAGAACAACTGCGTCTGCATCTCTTTATCACCAACTGAGTATCCATCAAGTCGATGGTAACCCAATGTCTGACACAGCGTCATCGCGTTTGAGATTAAAGTCCAGGCATGTGACACTCTACCCTCTTCAACCATGTGTAACGACTTTTATGTATCAGCTTCACTCTGCAATAATGTATGATAACGGCTTACCCCGAGTGTCATCGCAGCGACAAGTTCCATGGAGGCTGGTAACAGTAGTGGGAGCCTTAGAAGAGCACTGCCAAGACTCGATCGGTAAAATTGGCAGTATTCTCTATGCTTTGAGTCTCCGTAAATGACGGCATACTCAGCAAAGACATATGCAAGAAAGCTATTGGCAATAATCACTTCCGCACATGTGGGTTCGCCAACGCCAAAATACACTTTGGTACAGATTTCCTGATAGGTGATCAAGGGGAGAAACCTACAGATCCAAGAGATTCGAAAGTCTGTGGCATGAGCTGTGAGATGGTTAGTATATAGCTAGCAAAGACCATCGGCTACGTACCCTTCGCCCAGCGTAGAATCTCCAGAATAGCTTCCAAGGGAGGTGCTGGGACGGTTTCTGTCCGATTGCTACTTATATGCTCTGGGGAAGGAAGACTCCGTGCTGGATGAGGATTGTCCAAGACATTGACGAGACCCTCAAGTGAAGAGACGGTATCTCTCCACTCTGGACTTGTATAACCCGAGGTGCCTCGCTGAACGATGGATTTAATAAAATTGATGACATGTGACGAATGGTCCCATTGAGGATGTGGAGAACTCTGAGATACGTCTCGATTCTTCAAAGGCTCTCCCACTGCTCCCCAATTCTTTGGCCTCGGTGTGTTTTGATGCTGTGTCTGTGTTGATGAACGTGGTGATGTGGTCTTGCCAAAATCAAGGCTTGCCAACAGCGACTTGATGTCATTGACGTCACGAGAAATATCATCGATCTTTTGTTCGCTATGTCATAAGTATTAATAGGGAATACCACAGGAAGATATGAAGATAATCACTATTGTTCTGAAACCGAAACTCTTTGACGAGCGGTCGATGTTCTGGTCGCGATCTTGCTGTGAGTGCAGTCGATACGAGCAGTGGAGCAATTGGAACACGGAGTTCCCCTATCGCAACCGATCTAATGGGAAGAGGAAATGTCAATATGAGTAATGAATATTTTGGTCGTTACGAGGTGATCATTTACTTTTCTTGCTCGGCATTGATCGCACTGATAAGCGGATCAGTTAACACTCCATGACTATCGACACTCTGGATTCACTGTACGTACCGAGCGACGACTTATTGATGGTCGAATGGGCTCGTTATTCGGAGATGCGCGGATTTCCATATTGGATGCCATGGTGTTGATGGGCCGAAGTTTGTCATCAAACAGTCAATCAATTGTGCTGAGAGAAGAGCAAGGAGATGACAAACCCTCCGGAGAAGCGCGGAACCCCGCGTGTTTGCGCCGATGATGGCAACCGAGCCAATCAGATAGCTGCTTACTAGTTGTCAATTACAAGAACATTCATTCTCCAGGCGATGAATTCAAAGATCTGGAATCATTATAAGTAGCGAGTCTTGTCGTTTGAAGGACAGATAATCATTAAAACAGACATCACAATTACCAACAAGTTCAACTTTCATCCTTTTTGCTCCCAAAACCATGTCTCAGAACATTCTCATCACCGGTGCTGCTGGCTACATGTACGTGAGCTAAAGAGAATATTACGTCTAAAAACTGACATTTATGCAGAGGCGGCTCCATTATAGCAGACATCCTGTCACGAAATGACGAGACTCTGATGAGTGTAGCCTTGTTCGCGGCTGTGCGAAGCCAAGAACAGGTCGACCAGATCTCCAAGATCGGAGTGAAGGCTATTTTGGTTGACCTCAACGATAAATCGGCCATTGAAGATGTCATCGCTCAAAACAAGAGTAAGTCGCTAGATCATGTGTTTTCTTCGGAAACTAAACAGATGCAGTCGATATCGTTGTGCACACTGCCAGTGCTATGAACCCAGCTATAACATCCAACCTAATCAGTGCTCTCGGAAAAAGACGCCAGAACAGCGGATCCAGGACATATCTGATTCATGTAAGTTGGATTGATCCATCAAATGAACCTAAATAACACCGAGAAAGTCATCCGTTGCCACCATGTTCACCGAGGAAGGCGGGTGGCCTTACGGCGAAGTCAAAGACAGCGATTCTATCTTGGATAAGGAAAGGGAAATCGGATCTGACAACCCTGTGCGAGCGGTTAGTCTTCAAATCATACCTATACTGGAAGAACTCAAACAATTGTTGACAAGAGAATAGGTCAACAGTCTCCTCGCCGAAGAGGGTAAGAAACAAGGCGTCGAGACTTTCAATGTCGCCGTTCCTATGACATGTGAGTATCTGTCTGCCATAGGTTTTGTCAAAGGCCAATAAGCTGATTTGGCACCAGATGGGCGCGGGACTGGAGTGTGCAGAAAGCTCTCAGTGAACAACCCAGCCATGATCCGAACAAGCATCAAGCTCAAGGCTGTTCACAAATTTGACAAAGATGGAGTGAGAAACCTTCAAGTACACTGACATTATCGAATGGAATCTAACTCTTATTTAGCACTTTGGAACTGTACATATCACTGATCTTACCGACATCTACGTGCGACTCGTCAGCAAGATCGTGAAGCAAGAGCCCATCCAAGTCGGTCACGATTGCTACTTTTTTGCCATTGCCCACAAAGCACATTGGTGGAATATGATGGATAAGGTTGCTGAAGGACTTCATTCTCGTGGTCTTGTGACGGAACCAAAGGCCAAGATTTGGTCTGACTACCAAACGGCCGCTGATAGTCTTGGGTTTCCAAGAGCTTACATTAGAGCTATGGCCACACATAGGTTAGTGACATCCGGAGCCTTGTTGGCTTTTCACTGACGATACTCAGCGGTCAGCTTGTCCCATCAAATGTGTATGAGTTGGGATGGAAGCCTAAGTGGGATTCAGAGGAAAAGTTTTTGAGTCAGATTGATGACGAGATCAAGGATGTTCAGGAGCTGGACACGGTCAAAATGTCTCTTTTCGACAGTCTTGTTGCGGATCAATCTAAGTAGCGCGATCATCAGGTGCTAGAGATAACATCACATGTGTCTGCTGAATAGACTTGAATACACCATTTGCTAGTTAAAACTTCTTCTAGAAAGAACAGGGCTAGAGAAACCGCGTTTCAATCTGCTTTCGTACCCTTGAGTGAACGATGCCATTACGATCACCGGTCAATAACGTCTTCTGGAGCCGCCACTTACCTTGCTATGGGGAGTAAATTGACGTAGAAATAACCTCCCCTGACGTCCCCCCGCTTTACAGATGGCTAGCATTAGGAAAAGATCACCCGCAGATCACAATTAATGTGGTATGTAGAAGGATACGTCACCACAGCCTGTCAATCGGCAATCAGCAGGTATCAAGTAGCTTATTGCCTTAGCCGGATGTAAGTGGGACGACCCGACTAACATTGGATATGGCGGCGCCTTGGAAGCCCTAGTACTAATCGAGCAGGGTTTCCTAATGGTTGCTCAGGCTTCAACACGGCAGATACCTCTTCAGTCATGGGGGACTGAATAGGCCTATCAAATTATTATGGCTGTTGGACAAATACGTGCATAATCACTTGGTCCGTGTTCTGGGCCTTGGATCGGGTTCCTGCATCATGCAGGTGGAACGACTAGATCGCCACGGACTTATCAGGTGACGACAATAAGGAAAGATTCAGGTCCAGGCGAGGTACCAGGCCAGGGACGATCTCAGACACTCTATTGTCAAACTTTATCTCTCCCAAAGCGGTAGAATGGTGACAACCACTTACAGAACTCTCCGCTTAGGAATGCGAATGTCGTCTAGCAAAACCCAAACAAGAAGCCTCGTCCTGGCTAATAATTTGTAAAAGAGCCAGTTCGATTTGCATTCTGACAGGAACTAACCAAAAGTCATACTAGAGCCAGGGTCGAGCTTCCACAAAGTGGACGCCATGGCATTCCAGTCCCAGGCCAAGGATCCTGGATAGTTGCCGCATCTTACTTAGTGTCGTTGTGGAATGAAGCAATAAGACATGCCCTCGTCCATACTGTCGCTTGCAATCAGATATCTGTCTCACTTTGTCTCTTACTTCTCAGTGGCACTTATCGTACACGCTCATTATTGACCATGACTCTGACAAAAGCCTTTCCACCGCCTCGTGGACAAACTGTGATAGTACGTTCGCAGTCTCCCAATTCGTTCCTATGTTGCGCGATGGCTAACACGTGAAGTAGGGAGTGTCATTCAGTCTCATCGCATTCGCAACCGCCATCATTGGTTTCAGGATTTATCACAGACTGAGGGTTCAGAAAGGAAGGCTTGTTCTCAGCGACTATTTCATGATATTGGCGCTATGCGGAGCCATCACTTGCGCCTCATTCGATGTTGTGTTTTGGCAGCGCGATGTTCTTAGACCAAGAATGAGTGTCGGATTCGAAAACTATAACCCTGGTGAAGAGCTTGTCGAATACATTTACAAGGTGAGACCCTCCAAAACTATCCTGTGTCCACGACGCTGCATGGATTGGTACTGACTCAGAAACCACAGTTGTCTTGGGCTAGCGAGATTCCTTTTTACGCGACCGTTTACCTTTGCAAGGCGATATTGTTAGCATTGTATTTCCAGATCTTCCCTCCGTTTATGGGACGACGTCGTAGAGCACTCTGGGCTACCGTTTATTACTGCATTTTGGCTTATTTCGTGACTTTGTGCATGCAGCTTTTCTCTTGTATGCCACTCGAGCGACACTGGTATGTCCCTCATCATGATGTCTCGCGACATGGAATTCACTTACATTACCCAGGGTTATCAGCCGACCTATCACTGCGTGCGATTGGAGATGGCAGGGAGTCGTCTTCCAAGTCTCTTGGGCATTGGCATTTTTAGGCAGTCTTCTCGGTATGTCCAAGTTATTTATCTTACCAATAGATTGCTAACATTGAATTCCAGTTCTCATTCTTCCGTTCATGGTCGTACACGACCTTGATTTGACAAAGAGGGCAAAAATTGGCCTGTACTTTGTGTCTTTGGTTGGTGTGGTTGACATTGGCCTTTCTCTTATCCGCTTCCTGAATGTTGAGCTTGGCGATGGTACCGAGTTCCGATCGTTCAGCACTATTGGTAAGTACCCTCGTATGAAATGTTTCAACTCTAACTGTTTTGTCTTGAACAGAATTCTGGAGCGCTCTCGACGTCAATATTGGCCTCATCACCGCCTGCCTCCCTGCCCTCAGAATCCTTCTTGGCCGTACCAGAACACCCGATACATACACATTCGAAGAAGCTAAGACCGCTCGCTCTTCTCGTGCTATGGAGCATCGCGAGCTTGAAGAGGTTGAAGGTTCCACATACCTCGGCGTCAACAACAGTGTTGGTCCATCACGCTCGAACAGGGCTTCGATGTACAGCGACAAGGGTCAAATGAGTCCTATCAAGATGCTTGAGCCTAAGCCTGAGCGTAAACCCGAGCGTAAGCCGCCTGGACCTGCGTGGAAGGATTATGAAGGAGAGGACAGTGATCTAGAGTTGGAGAACATCAATGTTGAGGCTCTCAATAGAGACCAGGCGCAATCGTACTGGTCGGTTCCTTAAGCTTTCCTTTTATCATACATATGTACATCACCAATAGCGTCGCGTTTCCCATAGAATAGGATCTCCATCAGATATCAACCAATCCCACATTGGACTCTCATCCTTCGAGGATGGCAAGTCCTCATGCCAAAGTCGCCTCTTGCAAGTCCCTCTTGTTATCATCTTAATAATTGTGCATCTCCACCAACGCGACGTAACTGAGTATCAAGCTCGTGTTTATCATGTATGTGCATATTGCAACATAATTTGCTTGTTCTATGCCCTTGTAAACATTGTGCCGGGGCTATCATTTACAGTACGCCCCGAGGTTCACCAATCTCAGCCTTGCCTGAATGGTAACAATAGTGGCCCAACATTCTGTTTTTGGAACACAGCACAAGCCACCAAATTTGATGTTTCTTCTGGATACTATTCATATGACTAGTCTCATCCTTTGAATCTACTGTAGAATGGCCGCCTCAAATCCGTCACAAGACAAGCTTCTTTTGTAAATCCATTTTTTAATGGTATGCGATAGAGAACATTCTCGTCTCTAACTGCACTGCAACAGATCTAAAAACCCATTACATCCGCTTGATAACTATCTCTTTGACCTTATCCAGATCCAGTGCTTCCACAGTACGTCCCTTATACCCTGTCATGGTCTCTGCCATGCAAAGGACATTGTATATCGCTTCTTCAGTCGCATCAGCCACCGCCTCAAATATACCGTTGATTGACTCATTCTCAACTGTTTCAACACCAACCGAAGACGGCTTGTAAGGATCCAAACCGCCCTCAAACTGCTGCATGGGAATCTTGGCAGCGGTAGAGAAAGCCATAAAAATGTCGCCTGAACCATTACTACCATAGCCACCAACTCGTGAAAGCCCGACAGTCGCACGCTTGGCTAGTCGCTGAAGCTGAACTGGAAGAAGAGGGGCATCTGTTGCGACAATAATGATGATGCTGCCGTCAGCGAGTGGTCCTTGCACTCCGGATGCAGTCGAAGTAGAGGCAAGGCCTTCTGTTGATGACAAGATCCGCCCAACAGGAACACCACCGATACGAAGGTCATCCTTTTGCCCATAGTTCGCCTGAACAAGCACACCAACTGTATAATCCTTATTGTTACCTTCTTGGTCGAGTCCTGGTACGATTCGGCTGCTTGATCCCGTGCCACCCTTGAACCTGTGGCATATCATTCCCGTACCACCACCAGTTGAACCCTCAGGCACAGCATTTGACGACGCGTTGAGAATTCCCTGTACTACATGTTCAGGCGTGACCGCAAAGCGACTTTGCTTGTTCAGGTAGCCGTCATATGTCTCTGTGATGACGGGAAAGGCGAAGAGACTCATATCACCGTCAGGAGTTGCATGGTAACGTAAAACATAATCATATACGCCCCTGAAAGCTTCTCCGATGGATGAGTTTGTCGTCAAGATAATGGGGGAAGTTAAAGTGCCTGTTTCGTCAATCCAGTGAGACCCTGTCATTTCTCCAGCACCGTTGAATTTGAAAATGGCAGCATGACAGGCGTATTTGTGCCAGTCTTTCCTGGGAAGGATTGTGGTAACACCGGTGTTTACGTCCTGATCAGGCTGTATGGATTCGGTGTGTACAAGAACGCCTGGGACGTCTGTGATGGAGTTCAGACGGCCTGGTTGCCATCTGCCTAGGAACAACTCTGGTAGAAGCTCCCGGACACGAAGCCTTTTCTTATGTTCCACATCATGCCCCATTTTTATGGCCGATCTTTTGTGTAAGGCTCAATGATAGACGTATTTCTTGATGTTTTAGAGTAGGTTGAACAAAGTACTTTTGGCTCTGTGCAGAGTCGACGGCCTGAGCAAAGAGTAACTGAAGAGTAATGCTGATGGTGGAAAGTAGTCAGGCCAATAAGACGCTGAATGAAGACGTTTTTATCTTCGGCTTTCGCATTTAATCTCATTAGTTCCCCGCATTTCGGGAAAGCCTTTTCGGGTATGCGTGAGATTCTGTCGTCACTGTTCCTTGTCGGCTTATCTCCCAGGACAAACTACACATCGGAAAGTGATGCTGGGAACAATTTTTCTCGCCTTCCTTTTTGAGTCTCTGGACAAAAAAACAAACATTATCAGGAAACTGTCGGTACACACTGTATAGTAGAGGGGTGGTGAGTGAGGTTATCACACAGCTCAGAAACTCGTCTCCATGAAAAACAGCGCGACTGAGTTTCATCTGCCAATTGAGACCAATAGGATCAAGTACACAATACCTACATACGTAGGTTTCACCCTTACTATCATGCCTTTTATTTAATTTTCTAGTTCTGTAGAGTCCGCATGTAGGTCGAATTAGTCAGCCCGGATCATCCGCCTGTTATGTCACTTTTCTCGTTGAGCTGGCAATCATTCGTGGTAAGTACCGGAAGTGACGGGAAGCTTTGGCGCCGGAGGTTGAGGAAACGGGATGACGTCTGCCACATCAGACACAAATAAATGACAGCGAATCTACAGTCTAATCAAAACCTTGACACTTCTCAGAGTCAGAGATTCACCTACATTCAAGATTCCGCTAGCAGCCACAAATACCTTGAAGATGCAGAAAGTCAAGGCCCGACTGCCTACTTGGGACGTAACCAAGACGCAGAGTAAAAAAGGCTTCGACAAAGTCTGGGGCTGGGCCGACAAGCTAGGAGCACCTATCAATAGGCTATCCAACCGCATTGGTAGCGAAGCTTTCTGGCCTACGACGTTGGATAAAGAAAGTGATAAAGCAGCCAGAATCTTGAGATCGTTTTGCAGTAAGCCAACATACGGAAGAAATAATCAATATCGTGTCACACCGTACTGACCTGATGATAGAGGATGGCTTCTATACTGAAGAGGAGAAACCGGCTGATGCCGAACAAGCTGGACCAAAGCAAAAGCAGCGCGTACTGAAGAAGATCCCAAAAAAGGTGATACAAAACGCCGTCGGTCTTGCGATCTTCACCACTATGCGAACTGGTCTCTGGGTATCTGGAGCCGGTGGATCTGGAGTCCTGGTAGCTAGAAACGAAAAGGATGGCTCATGGTCTCCCCCGTCAGGCATTCTGCTACACACAGCCGGCCTAGGATTCCTGGTGGGCGTGGACATCTACGACTGTGTTGTTGTGATCAACAATCGCAAAGCTCTAGAAGCATTTACTAAGATCAGAGCTACACTTGGAGGAGAGATCAGTGCAGTTGCTGGACCTGTCGGAGCTGGCGGAGTTCTCGAAAATGACGGCAAATGGAAACAAGCGAACAGACCTGTCTTCACTTACTTGAAATCAAGAGGTTTCTATGCTGGCGTCCAAGTCGACGGAACAGTCATTATAGAACGAACGGATGAGAATGCACGCTTCTATGGACAGGAGGGCATCGGAGTGGCTGAAATTCTAGCTGGAAAGGTCCGACCTCCTCCGGAGGTTAAGATGTTGATGGAGACGTTGAAGGCAGCCGAAGGTCGGACCGATGTCAACCAGGAGCTTATGGATGAGCTTGAAGGGCAACCTGCACCTGGAGATGTTGAAGTTGATGCCCCTGGGGAAGGTAAGGTATTCGGCATCCCCGACCCTGAAGATCCTGATCCCTTCGGAGTTCGCGCCCTCGAGAAAGAGGGCCTTGAGATCCGCGATGCCGCGACTCACTCAAGACCTTCTAGCCAAGTATTCGAGTACCATCCTAGCCCGACCAGTCCCACGTACAACAGGTTTTATCGCAGGAGCATAGAAACAGGCACAGGAAGTAACCGTGACAGCTATGGATCAACGCATAGCCAAACCTATACGACATCTGAGGCCAGTACTCAGACCGACCCTGTCTTGATTACACCAATCACTGGCACTTCTCCCAAGAGCAGAAGTATTGTTTCCCATGAGAGGTTTAATGATGAAAAGAGCATCTACGAGGATATCAGATTGGAAGATGAGTATGGATCGCCATACAATGGAACGTCGCAGTCTCCTTATGTCCTGTTTGATAGCTTCACGACGCCACCTTCTGGCCCGCCTCCTCTTCCTGCTAGAAATCCTGTTACATAAACCAAGCTTATTTTTCTCGTGTATATCATTCTTTTATTCTCCTTCGACAAATCGTTTTCTTTCGTCACTTTTGCTGGGTAGATCTGGTTCTGGTTCGATCTGTGAACAAGGCTGTACCAGTCATGCTGTAGCTGCAGTTGCCCAAGACATGCCTTTCTATGCATGATACAAAGAGACATTCAAGGCTGTCATGAATTACCACGAAAATGTGAGAGTTTGTTTAAAAAATGCATGCTTATCGCAAGGTTTCACTGCGGGGTCATATTGAGGCATTTATTTGTTTGTAATTTCCGAGAGAAACGATATAGTGAAGTTTTTTTGCCTACTTGACACGATCTTCTTCGCACTTCACTTTCTTGACCTACGCAAAGCCCTGCTCAGTAGAATATACATAACCGCAACCGTCATCCGAGAAGACATGGAGGAAATTACTATTTGCACCCCGTCGCCGGATGAGATTCCCGAGCTTGTCGGCTATATCACCAAAGCCCGAGCCGAGATGTTTCCTTTTCTCGACCAAGCATCCAGCGACCAAATGGCTCAAAAGGAACTCAACAACTTCAGAAAGAATCACTTTGATCATCCACTTGGATCTTTCCTGACAGCTCGATCTGATGGACAACTGATTGCCACCATTGGCTACGTTCCTTACGATGGCCGGTTTCCTTTCCTCAACCTTGAAGCAGATAATGTAGTTGAGGTTGTCAGACTATACGTCAAACCAGAATGGCGCCGTGCAGGAATAGCTTCCAAGTTGTTTGCTCGACTCGTTGACACGGCTCAACACGCTGGTGTCAAGCAGCTCTATCTGCATACACATCCTTTCCTGCCAAATGCCATTGGGTTTTGGGAACAAAATGGGTTTTCGATTATGAACATGGATAAGGATCCTGTTTGGCAAACGACGCATATGAATCGCGTGCTCAAAGAGTGATAAATGGAGGGGCGACTAGTATTCAAGACACCACCGTATTAAAAGGTATTACTCCCACGAACGTTTGAGCAAGTAGTCAAGTGACCCTGATGGAACACACTGACTGTATTAATAGCTATCCAAGCATCACATGACCCAAAACTTCTTCCAGAACCCGAGATGGCTCGAATAATTGTTGGGCTATATCTAAAATGTCCAGATACATCAAAGCTCGGAGTTGGCATATAATCTAATATAAGAGTACTTGACTATTGTGGCGCTGTTGTATGAACTGGACCATCAATTTCACCATGTGGTGGTGAGACTGCTCTTTGCATGAAACTACTTACTACCAATTTGGATGCAGTCGTTCTTAAATGAGGCATAGACTACCTACTATGAAGTCTTGTAACTATGCTATAAACCTTGTCGGAGCTACCTGTTAAAGGGATGGCGTTAGAACTGCCGGGCCCTGCATAATCCTTCCCCACGATGATCAACGGAAAAAAAGATTATCGAAATGACATGTAACGATTCCAGTAAATGTCTTCGCCAGCCAGCCACTAAACGGGTATATGGGTCCTTGTGACTAGTTTCTTGGCCTCAGATCACCAAACATGAGAAAATGACAAGAAGCCGCGCGTCATCCCGTAATGCCAAGCTCATCACCAGCCACAGAAGAATACCAAAGAGATGACCGTTATGATGCCCGGCGAGTCCGATTGCAAATTCCGTGGCTGAGTTCCGCGGTTTTGTCGACTTTTGCCGTTGCATCCGGTCGCCAAGTCCCGGGAATGCCGAAACCCGCGCCGCAAACATGTTGGAATAGGTAGGGCTGGCAGGGAACTGTCAACTGCGCCACCTTTGCCCAGAGTCTGATCACATCAGCCAAGAACAGCTTACTGGGCCAAGGCTGAATAGCTTAATGACGACAGATGCTATTTAAGAATGACCTTGACCCCTCAATAGTCTGCTACCAATACTCTCAGAATTGCACCTCATTTCCACAACAACAATCCACACATATACAACCATGTCAGCTCAAGACTACTACAGTGGCGGCGGAGGCAGTGGTGGTGGCTACAACCACCAGCAGCAGCAAGGCTATGGACAACAACAAGGTTATGGCCAACAACAGGGCGGTTATCCTCAGCAGGTTGGTGCCATCAATAAATACTCAGGTCTTGAAAAATGACTGACATTTCTTCTGTAGCAACAGTACTCGCAGGGCTCCAACTACGGCTCTCAACAGCCCAACTACGACAACCGTGACCAGTCATACGGCCACCAGCAAGGTGGCCAATACGGCGGTTCCAACGCCTACCCCGACGGCCCAGGTGGACCTGGCGGACCAGGAGGACCTGGAGGACCTGATGGCGAGCGAGGACTGGGTGCTACACTCGCAGGAGGTGGTGCCGCCGGATGGGCTGCCCACAGCGCTGGAAGTGGTCTTCTAGGCAGCCTTGCCAGTGCCGCTGCTGGAGCCATCGGTGCAAACTTCATCGAGCATAAGTTCAAGAAGCACAAGAAGGAGAAGAACAAGAAGCATCACCGAGACGGACGTCCTCGAGCTTACACAGGCGACTCAACCAGCAGCAGTGACTCCGACTCTGGTGATGACCGACGCCGAAGTGACGATCGCCGCCGACGTAGGGATGAGGATCTCGCCTATGGCAAGTCACAGTATGACAACCAATCAAGCCATGGAGGCTCCAGCCATCACGGTGGTTCCTATGGTGGCCAACAGGGTTATGGTGGCCAGGGATACGGAGGACAGGGTGGATATGGTGGCCGATACTAATTCTTTTGCATGTTGAGTATATGATATAGGAAGATATAATGAGGTATGAATACACAGACGAGACAATAGGCACGTCGGAGTGGAAATGAGAATATGAATGTTTCATTATACAATGTCTATAACCCAATACTGTTTTGCTGCAACAGTCATCATTATTCAAAATGTGTAATCAGGGAGTCAAGTAACTCACACGATTTTAGTCTTTGATAGTGACCTTAGTAAATATCACAACCTCGCCATAACTAATCTATGCGATGATCACTATGACATACTGTGCTGGGATGTGTAGATCTTCCGAGGTTGGGCACGGCATGAAGGACGAGTGATTTAATGATGGTTGCACAGATTTATATCGATCGTTTCCGTCAGTCTTTCGCGTCTGGTATTCTGTAGTGATTCCAAGATCCCGTTTTCTTCTACCATGTGAGGCACTTGCTTGCTGTCTCAGCATTGAGATCGCATTAAAAACCAGTCCGTACGTCCTTTTGTTATCGTGGAATTGGAAGAGCGAGCGCATTTAATACCGTATCTGAAACCTCTACTTCTTTATATCATATCCAAGTTCACCGCTGTAAGGTCGTCTCGTCATCATTGGCAAAAAGACTCCGAGGCTTTAGGTACACGCCTCCTTTTTCGTTGTGTTGTGGCACTTTCTACCCTTACCGAAATACTCCTGCTAAGTTATTGCGTTAATTTGTTGCTAACCCATCTTGATCGTGTGACAATGTACGACATCTTCTGAATTCTAGCTAGAGGGTCAGTACTCAGAGTGCACATTGTAGGAATAGCATTTACCTAGTGAGGAGAGTTTAATGGCATTTAAGATGTTTCACGCCTCCAGGTTATCACCAGCCCTGGCTCTATCAAACACAGCGACTATGTCGAGTTACTCCGTATTCCCGATTGATTTTATGTTGACAGAGTTCCTTCACGAACGGTCACTATCTTGAGTCCGACTAGAACTCGCGTGATACAGGCTCGGGACGCTTCCCTGCGGTGTCCCGTCACTGTGGCTGCTGACAGGGTCTGGCAGGAGTACCTCGGCTTGCTTTATAGCTTCGAGAACACTGAGGGGTTCATTTGATATTCTAATACGATTGAAGATCTCTTGGGCCTCGCAATCTGGTCTTTCGTGGATGGCGTTGAATAGCTCTCGGTATTGTTGGTTCTCGAGCATCAAAGTGTCGCACTTTTTCTTGACGGCGAAGGGGACTGGTGGGGACTCGTACAAGCAGCTCTCCATCTTGGAGGAGCATCGGCCACAGGTCGGTCTTCTACCATCGCACTTCCAAAGCTTTCAGTACAGCTGATAATTCGAGTCAAGATGTCTGAAACATACCTTGGCCTTCTTCCGTCGGCATCCCTCGCAGGCCACAGCGACTAGATTCCTTTTGGCCCTCGTCCTCTGGCCTTGACCACCTTGAGCTTGAGCTTCAGATTGAACTTGGCCCTGGCCTGTGCTAGATGACTCTGAATTCGCACCACCATCTTGTCTGTTTAGATCTGGAATTTGTTGGGCGGGCAATATGGGAACCAGTTTCCGAGACCCTTGTGGTTCCATAGCCAAACCAGAGAACCCGTTTCGTCTCAGCAAGCCATGTGATTTGGAAGCGGCATTGTCAGAGAATCGTTAGTGAGTAATCAGGTAAAATTGCTCACACTGCAGCAGCACGGCAAGCGTCTATATTAAGCTCAGCCGTAATAATAACTTGCCGGAACATAGCCAATCATTCTTGTCGGAGTCTTGCCGGTGAATGAACTGGATACAAGCAAACTTCCAAGGAAATCTGCAAATGTGACGTCATGCTCAGGGATCCGATTGACAGGTGGACAGAAACATACGTCAGTTGTTGGGATGTATCTCCAACGCGGAGTAATACCGTGTTATTCTCTCAACCATGAATGACCGACTCTTTACTTCCATGATATACTGAGCCCATTTCCATCTAAAAGTTACATTTATCATCTTAAATCAACATCAATCAGAATGTCAAACCAATCCATTCATCACCCTCAACTCAAACCTTTGGCTCAACCCTATCGAGAGCATGTCACCATCATGCTCGGCTTGGTGACATACAGTGATGACATTCCGCCCAATCAGCTTGGCCGGACCTGGGCCCCGTCGACTGTCATTCGTAAAAACACAATGTCCTCAAAACCCGCTGTCTTCCGCTCCCTCTTTACCAAGCCACGCGGTGTCGTCTCCTCGGTACTGTTAACGAATCAGATTTCTCATGGCGTCACTCGGGAATATCTCTCTGACGTGTGCACTTTATTGAAATTATGTGTCTCGGTCGATTTGCTCCGACTCAAAACGCCAAGGCTCATTTTACAAACTTCATCGCTGTGCAAAGCTCTGTATTGATTCGAGACGCGACGTATAATAACTCCTCCTTTACTTCAAGATTTTATCAACAACACAGTTCTTTTTGAGTTTGTTAAAAGTGACCGGGTGAGTTGGAAACTTGACTCTTCGTCAACATCTGTTCTGTCTGTAGATTGTGACACAAGCGGGCTCCTCATCAAGGATGGGCAGATCGATATTTTGGTTACAATCGAAAATATGATAATTGTCCACATACTTCGATCCACTTAACTGGCCGTCTTTCACTTCCAAATAAGGCAGGTATCCCATATTCAAAATCTTGTCATCTCAGTTTCAGTAATGGACGCTTAATTGACTCACTGGTTGCAAAACGAGCCACAGAACGATTAAAAAGAAACATCTTAGAAACTGCTTTGCGGCCTTGATATGAATCATGGAAACAGTGACATTCCCAGTTACGCGTTCGGTGCTCAATACGAGCCGTTGTATGTATGATGCGACGCGATGCCACGGAATTGACCATGGCCCATATGTCTCCAGTTCCCATCCCTGTTTTAAGTGAGATCTTCATTCATCATTCAGCACATGTGCCGACGAAAGACTGGGTTAAAACTCAAACAGGGCCCAATGATGTTCAATCGTTGTTGATTTTGTTCTAAATCAACAACGACCAACTGTACCCATGTCAGGATAGGGAGTGTTTTCTGGACGTACAGGGCCTGTTGTGCGCATAACCCTGCCGTTCCCGGGATAAGGGTCTTGCAGTATTTCGAATGATCGATAACAGAAACCTTGATAGATAGGAGAAAGGTAGTTAGATTTAGATATTTAAGTCCGCCTGTTGCACTATCCATAGTACCTCATCTTGGTGTAGGAATGAATGGAAGCAGTGGTTCTCCAGATAGTGCTTGGACGATGCGTTTCAAACGCGTGGCCATCGTAATATAGAGGTGTCACAGTTCTAGGTAGCATTTAGATAAGTAGAGCCAATATTTGATCGACCTTGTTATAATAGTAGATAGCAGTTCCAACTCTTTAATAGCGCAACGTTTTATTCTCGAATCCGGAGAGAGCAATATATAGGTGATGCATGAAGGCATCGTCAAGCCGACTTACCGGGTAAATTATTTACCCGATCCGGGGTTTACCCGGATCCAGCCGGGTGAGGCAGCTGGTCTGTGCCTTAAAGGCACAGCTGCTGACAAGGCAAAATACACACTCATGCTCCATAACATAGTAGATCCGTACCCTAGGCGTGATCTGCTATCAAATGGTAGCAGCTATAAATAGGGCAAATTATAACGTTTTAAAACTTGATAATTATTTGCCACAACCTTGTGCCGTAGCCGTCCGCGCATGAAAGCATGGCAAGCCGTGAGAGACAGAGGAATAAATACGAACGAAATAATATAGCTCGCGTATCTTGTTTCGTTTTCAGATGTCAGCAGATGGTGCTTGCAAAAGGCAAGGAACGACTGGCAACTGCTAGATGTTCAGTATTTCTATAAGCCCTTACGGCGACACAAATACTACCTTGGGAACTATTCGGCTTCCAAGGCGGCTTCAGAAAGACTAGTTTGTGTAGACAACGATGCGTCTTTCCGCACCAGATACATTCGTCCTACGAATGGGATATATGGACATCCAACAGATAATCCCGTTCGTGGTTTACTTTCCCAGAGCGTTCAACCGACGCATGGCATCTTATAACCTTTTTGACTTAGAATAACTCTAAGATCACTATAGTTGGTTGCCCTATATCGTTTAGAACTTCGTTCATGGCGCAAACGTAGCTATTGCACACTTACACCACGAGGCTGTACTTGAAACTAGGGATTGCCAACAAGCCGGAAAGCCATTCATCGTTATTGACCCGGGCCCTCCTATCATGTTTGGAGATCTTTACATCGCGGCCAAATTGTTGTCTATCCACCGATTTAAAGCTGTCCTGGTGCCGCCGGTAATGATACTCCTGCTGTCGATCGTGGTTGAATGGTATATTTTACTTCCTTATCGGTTTCCAGCACTCGGAAGATTCCTGCCCGAACTCATAGGAGATATCAGGAAGCCTCAGCCAGCAATAGTTTCTATATGTACCCACCTAATTGCTTTCGACACAGAAGCAAGAATTCCTATGACTGAGGGTGGATTTGGGTTTGAAGGAATTCTCACTACCCTTGAAGGTGTTGTTATGGAGATCGTTGATTGGAACCGTGAACACTCGCAGGAGCCAGATGGGTGAATTAGGAAGGGGTATACAAGTTCTGTGTCGCTCGCCGACAAGCTGCAAGCATTTGGAAGTGTCACACCTCTATAAACAGATTGCAAAAGACACTGGCTAGTCTTCTGCAACTCTAAACAAGCTTGGACTAAACCTGCATGATGAGATAATTAGTGGCGATAGATGCAGCTGGAGTTCGTGCGATACCGCTTCTAGCTTGGCCGCTTCGTATCCACAGGCGAGATTGATGCTTGCTTAGGTATACTTCAAGTTTGTATATTAATTAAAAAGATTTATCATATATGTGTTCGGTCATAACACATCATAAGTTCAATGGACCATCGAGGCTCAAAACTTGCATATGAACCTCTGTCATTAAATCTCAACGTTACATCATGAGAGAAAGTAGAAGAAGACGTTACACGTGTCTAATGCATAGACGAACCGCGGTGAACCAATCCAGGTCCAGAGATCAGTACTTGAATCGAGGCTGATCAGTACCAGCTGCACACCTGTTTCTCCAGACGTAGTAACAGTGCATAACAATGCAGCCAACGGTCACGAAAAGAAGCAAACCAGCATTAGTCCAGTGACCAGTGGGATAACCCTTGGCAGCCTCTTCAGCCTTGTAGATCCAGACGCCGACGATCTGTCCAGGAGCACCCATGGAAATGTTCAGTGCAATAGCCAGACCGATGGCAGCTGTTGAGTGCAAGTTGGACGACAGCCAGCCCAGGAGAGGCGGAATGCAGGCAAACGAACCGCAGGCTGCGACAATAAGACAACCGTAGCGGGGCTGGAGATGGTCAGAAAATGTTTGAGGTCAAGATTACAGAAGACTCACGCTGTAAGAATCAGCAGGGAGCGTCGCGGAAGCGATAAATCCCACGGCGCCAATCAAAGAAAACACTGCAGAATGAAGTGCGCGGCTGAGGATATGTCAGTGTTGATGATCACTTGTTGCACGGCTTCAGCACTTACGCATTGTACTTGTCCGCAGACCACGAAACAAGTAGTGTCACAACATAAGCCGCTGCGTAAGGAGGCACAGTCATCAACTGAGCTCGGAGATCTGCAAACTAGAGATGGTTAGTAGAAGTCATATCTAACTATAAGACATGTACATACTCCAAGACCAGCAGTAATTGAAGGTGTAAAAAGCGACAAACTCGAAAAGGGGGCTGAAATGCCAAAATAGATCTGTTTAGTGTTAGTGAATAGTCGTTTGACCGTCAAATATTGCAATACGTACCAAATAATGGCACCACAGTCTCCATTCCAAGATGGTTGACTTTGCATCCTCCCATGTCATAGATTTGCTTTCACCGTGCGACCCTTGCTCGGTAAGTCGATAGGCAGCAACATCTTTCTCCTCGACAGAGAGCCAGCTTGCCGACTCGGGGAAATCAGGAAGACAGAACCAGACCAGGAATGATGACAGAACAGAAGGAATGCCTTCAAGGATGAACAGCCATCGCCAACCGGAAAGACCGTGTACTTGGTTCATGTGCCCGACGCCGTATGCAATAGCACCGCCAAACGCTCCGGCCAGGGTAGCTGACGCTAATATGGTTGCAACTCGGACTGATCGTTCTTCGGGCTTGTACCAGAAAGTGAGATAGTAGACGAGTCCCGGGAATAGGCCTGGGTTGGTTAGATGTAGGACTTCTGAATAGCGCTTCAAGACTCACCAGCTTCGAAGACTCCCAGCAAAAAGCGTAAAACAGTCACCACAGCAAAACTATGAGCAGCGCCAAGGCAGATGGTAATCGTTCCCCAAGAAAACATGAGAAAAGCGATCCATCTACTGGGTTTCATCTTTTTGAGGAAGTAATTAGACGGCACTTCGAATAGCGCATATGCGATGAGAAAGATCATGAGTGCAATTGTGTAGTCATAATTGGACATGTTTGTCTCGGAGAGAAGATCATGACCCGTGGTATGGTTGAGGACTTTGGCATTGCCAATATTAGAGCGATCCAGGTAACACAGCAGGTAGATACCCGCTGCTAAAGGAATGATACGAGCATCCTGCTTGCGCACGAGAAGCTTCTCAAGAGCTGGGTCGACTGCCGTAGTGCTTTCAAGCCGAGAATCGGAGTTTTGCTTGAAGAGAGTCAATTGGGGTTCCTTGGAGAGTGAGAAGTTTGGGGTAGTGTCACCTTTTCGTCTGCCATTTCAGGGTTGACATCAAAGTCTGTTCGTGCAGCCATCTTGACGCTCACAGACGAAGAGTTTGAGGAAGAAGGATGATTCTCCTGAGTGAGAATATCAAGAAAACTCTTGCCTGTGAAGTAAAAGATGACAAGGGAGGGGAACCAACAGAGAGATAATTAAGCGAGGTCAAAGGATTCGTTCTTCTCGTCTCGCGGTACAACGGGAAGTAAAAAGTCCCCGCATTTGCTGTACCCACGAATTGACCAGATTCATATAACGATCTACATTCTTTCATGCGGGGTTTATGGTTCTCGGTGCCGGTCTCCGATGCTGAGTTCTCTAAACATAAAGGTCTGAGCGGTGAGTAGTATCTATCTAAAGAATGTCAAGTCGTTGAATGGTTCGTCAGCTCAAGTTGTGTAGAAATTGAGTGGCCAATATTTTCTCGGGGAGATCAATTACGGGCCTTCAAGCGGTGTGGAGTGCTGTAACCTTGCCTAATTCCCCAACGCCAAGTCCCCTAAATCCCAACGTACAGGCCATAAGTTCGGCGTGGTTTTTGGAGGTGGCAACAGTCTACAATCGCGACCTCAACACCAACATCAACAGCGACCAGGGGATAACGATTAAAAGCTATAAGGCACAACTCAGTATTTGGGACTCCTTTATCGATCTATACGAGGATACTTGTATTAAAACCTATATGCAACCGTCACAGAAGAGGGCATGTTGGATAATATAACACCTACTTAAAGAATTTAGCGGATAGTAAATGAAGCACAAAAAGAAACAAGAGAACAAAAAAAAGAAGGATCCTAGCAACTACTCGTTTCGATCGAGCGACCTCCGGGTTATGAGCCCGGCTATATACGCGTTAGTAAAGAATCGTACTATGAGACGCTTGAGATAAACATACCGCGCTTCCACTGCGCCAAGTTGCTTTCTTGGATGGGAAACGCCGTGGTGATTAGGCCTATACAACCAAATCGATTTGTGCGGTTCCATGAGAATGAGTCACGGATCCTCAGTGGAGATTTGCCCTGAGTGGAGTGCTATGATCGAGGTCAGGGTACGATACCACGAGTGGATCATGAGCTTAGTTCAACCCTTATGGTGAGATACTCTGTAAGTGACGACTTCATCGTTTGAGATTGGTATGAGAACTTTCGCTGGTTGGTCCAAGTCCGGCTATCTAAGTCTCAACATTCACTACTGGACATCTTCTCATAGAAATCACTCGGCAGCCTGTGCTTTTTTCTCCTTCGGCTTCTGGGCATAAACCACATAACTAAAAGATCAGTCAGTCTCAACATTACCTCTACTGATGCCGACTGCAAAACCATAGGACAACTTACTAAGGCCAATACCCGTGCATGCGAGGATTCTTAATCTCCTTTCTTAAAAATGCCAAAAAGACAGTGACCTCAGCATCCGTCCAACCAAGTCCCTTTTGGAACATTCTAGTCACCATCGCCTCAAGTCCTTGCAGGAGGTTCTCCATCTCCCATGCTCCTAGGAGCTTCATGCGCGGATCCTTGGGCCATGGGTTGAAAGGAAGCTTGAAGACCCGTTCTGTGACGTTGGTATACCCGCGCTCTTCAAACCAACCTTTCCATTTCATAGGGTCTGTGAGGCTAGCTCCGAACTTGGAAGAACCTTCTTCCATCATGTTGGAAAATTTGCGCAGGTAGCTGTCTTCAGGGATTGAGTCGTCATCGCATCCGAGAAGGCCAACGATAGCTTGAAACTCTACCCATCCTCCGGGTTGAAGATGTCTTGTCCACGATCAGCTACTACAATATACTCTGGGGACAACGAAGAGACACTCACTTATAAGTTTGGTCAATCAAGGCTGGCCAATCTCGGATTGCGAGCAGGAGATCCCGGGAGAAGATGAAGTCGAAACTATCTTCTCGCCATGTCCATGTTCTCTCGATATCATCAACCTCGAAGTGGCAGTTTGGTGGTACCCTAAAGCAAATTAGCCTCACACAGAATGAACCTGCAATATCAGTCACTCACCAGCCAGGTTGCGTTGGGGCAACGTCAGTACCGATAACCTATATGCCACAAGTAACCCGAGTGAGAAAGTACTTAAACGTGGATTTCCCATGGATAGCTTACCTCGGCGGAAGTGAACTCCTCTGCCATTTCGATGGACCATATACCTAGCGTTGAGATGTCAACATGGCGATCCTTATGTTAAGGGAATACGAACCTGTGCCACAGCCAAGATCGAGGATTCTTTGAGGATTGTCTATGGGAGATAAATAGCGATTTTTCCCGATCAAGGCGCAGTACTTCGCATGACACATGTCGATGCGATCAAGCTCAGCCTCGTCCATAGGGAGTCCATACTCTGTTAATGGCATCAGTAAAGATTCAGTGGCTGCTTCAACATATCTCACCTTCTTTACCATAGACGGCATATGTCCTTCCTCCCTCAACTCTACCCTGGAGAATAGACGATGTGAGAGACGTCAACGAGGACCGTTCGCTATCGTTATCATAGGTCTACGACCCAACGCATATTGGTTAGTCGGTGGGTACAGTAGCTTGAGATGCATCGAAGAGGCCCACTAACCTCATCATCCGCTACAGGCTGCAGGGCCTAAAAAGGCAAAGGTGCTGGTTAATTCAAGATACCTTCAGACAGTCTTGGATGTTGGCTTACATGGTCAGGCAGAATTACCTCTTCTTGGTTGTCGCTAGGGGAAGACATGGTCGAAATCGCTTTGCCCTGATCATCTGTGTCTAATGATCAGGAATGAAAAGGATATGAGAGCACCCAACACAAAAGAACTGGCTCAATCCTCGCCACTGCGACTCTAGCTGATAACGAAATAACAAGTCACTCCGTCGGACCAACAACTCCATCTGTATGAATATTGAACTGTGCCACATTAACACTTCCATCTATTACGAAAGTGACACTTTCATTGGGTCTGATTTGCAGGGTTCAGACCTTTTGCCAGGGTTTGACGACCTCGGCTCAGTGTATATCCACCGGCTAAACCTGTGTAGTAAGGATACAACTCATGTCACCACTGTGGTCGACTGATATGATGCTAAACAGGGCTTGGCTTTCTCTTTGCCCCGCCTGTTGGTTCTGTTAAGTACATATTAGTACGTAGGAATGATATCAATGATATGCGGAAAACAAAGGTTGTCTCCGTAAATTTGCGCAAATTATAAGACACAGAGACCGTCAAGCTACATCGTAACACATCCTTTGTGCAGTAGATCCAACTCAACATGGTCCATCCAAAAGCTGAAAAGGCACTCCAGGAGGCCAGAAAGCTAGTTGCACAACTCGAATCATACGAGGATGATCCCATTACTCACCAAAGTGTCCTCGACCAGACAGAGGCTGTCCGCTTAGCCATCCAGTCTCCTATGGACCGAATGACACATCTGATGGAGCAAGTCAGCTTCGGTGGTGCCCTTCATACCATAATTGGAATTCGCGCTTACCACGCCATGCCCGAGGATGGCAGTTCTATCACCGCACAAGAGTTGGGACGAATCACGAATGTGGCCACGACAGTGATCGAGAGAGTTTATCGGGTCGCCATCAATCATGGCGTTTTTACCGAAACCGCGCCTGATGCTTACTCTCATAACGACCTATCACGAATTCTGAATCCGAGAGGCTTGGGATCTTTCTTTCTTATTGTTATGGAGTTTGGTCGTGCATTCATACACCTGGCCGACTACTGCAAATCACACCAGCCAGAAGACGTCTTCAACTTGGTCAAGTCTCCTGCTGTGTACTCAGTCGGAAAAGAGCATCTCGGTAAATCCTACTATGAACTGCTAGATATGGACCCTGACCCCGAGCGGCGCGAACTTTGGAATGCCAATATGGTGGCTGTTGACGAGTTGATGCCTGTTGTTGGCATGTTCCCGTTCGCTTCTCTGAAAGAGGAAGTTGAACAGGATCCCGGTCGGCCATTCTTGGTCGATATCGGTGCGGGTCGTGGACAATCGTGCATTGCTATTCGCAAGGATATCGGCGATGCCTTTGACGCCAAGTATATTCTACAAGACCTCCCAGGCGTCATTGATACCATGGACCCAAAGGAATATCCAGATTTTGAGCTGATGACTTATGATGCATTTACACACCAGCCTGTCAAAAGTACGTGCTCCCGCTAAGAAGCCTAGATTCGGGTATCATCGCTAACTTTCCTACTTGAAAACCATAGATGCCCGTATATACTTCATGCGCCGTTTTCTACATGATTTCTATGCCCCAGTATGCATCGAATTTGTTAAGAATACCGCATTAGCCATGGGCCCTGACTCTCGTCTTATCATATGCGACCAGTTGATCCCTGACACAGTAAAGGAACAGGAGAATGCTGATCTCTATTGGCTTGACTTTGCTCTTCTTTGCATGTCGGGCCAGGAAAAGAAGAGATCCGAGTTCGAAGAGATTTTTGAGGCGGCCGGTCTCGAACTTGTCAAGATTTATCCTTCTGCTTACGGATGTACAGCCATGCTGGAGGCCAGACTCAAGAGAACAGGGTATAGGTGAACTATGTGACAGGGACTAACATAAGGATAGTGCGATATGGACATGCGGGTTTCTGTCTGTTGGTATCAATTGTTCGATCTTATAACATCCATAAATTGCGTAACCTTGCGCAAATGCTAATTGAAATGCGCTGTTTGGTAGTACGTACTATAGGATGCAGCGACTGTCCTGCACCCTCGCATGTCGGCATTTCATGTCAAATGCGATATCGTGTTGATCAGCACTTTTAATTATCATGTGGCTTCAATTAGAATATTTTATGATCCAATGTCTCAATTCCATCCTGGTATCAGAACAACCTTATCATGATGCAGCATAATCACCCGAGCTTCAATCACACGCCTCATCACAAATTCGTAGCCTGGACTTTTGTCTAACACCTTTTCGTATTAGTGTGTAGTTCAAGAGTCAGAGACGCTGTGTTACCACGCCTCACAGATATGGGTGTGATAATGTCACCTGCGCTTTGTTACAACCATCATCCGTGTGAGCCCAAACTCTAAATATGGAGGAGGGTCAACCTGGTTCCCGGTTCTCGGATTGAAGCCAATGGTTAGCGCATAACCTTCAAAGAGTGACAGAAGATTCTATTCTTGGATAAAGTATTGGGAATATCCTAGCATCATCTGAGGGTCTAGAATACGGCAGTTCACTTTGACTTTAATGATAAATATTGCAAGGAATAGCGCTTTCGAAGATGATGTTACTTCAAGGGACCGTTCATGCAATAAATAAGGTTTGTCGGCAATTGCGTTTCGGGATACTAAGTTTGTTTAGAACGACAATGGACGTTTTTATTCTCAGCTGCATATCGGTAGGATGTTGGAGATCAAGTATACGCTGTATTTAAAGAGATTCTAGTAGGACTTGGTGTCGATGGATGTATCCAATTGAAGGATGTGTAAATATATACATAGAAGATCATAGTCTTATGATCGTGCCTCGAAATGTACTCTTATTATATAACTTCGCAAAACAAAAATCAAATCTCAAAATTATTTCAAGGATCAAACTGTCACCTTAATCGTGCTGGCAACGCTGGGCACTCCAGCGTTGTTAAGTACGAAAAGCATCCAGTATCCTGGTAGCGCGATGCCAGAGTCGTTCGGGATCTTGAAAGAGTACTTGTTTGTACCAGCCCCAGTCAGCGCCAAGGGAATACGTCGTTGATCAGTGTTGACGGTATGCGTAGCAGTACCGTAGCGAATCAGCGAGGCACTCTTGATGGCACTGTTAGCAGTGACAGTGATGGTGCTGCCGACTTTGGCGGTGGCAGCTGAAACAGCCGTGATCTTGGGTCGGGTAGCAAGGTTGCCATTGCCATCAAGAAGGTACTGGGGAGTGAAGATTTGAGCGTCAAAGTGGTTGCTATTACAGCTGCCACAAAGGCCACCACCGCCGTTGAACACAGTAGCGTCTGGCAGCAGCAGAGACATACTGTGGTAGGTTCGGGGAATGGTGTTAGGTTGCTGATTCTTGAACTCGTGGGTTGTGGGAATGTACATCTCGGGTGTGAACTGAGCGTTGGTATCGGTGAAAGGGTTGGAGTATGATTGTCCACCAGTAATGAAGACATTGCCATCGGGGAGAACAACAGAAGTATGGAAGACACGGGCGAAGTTACCAGCGCCATTGTTTCCAACGAGGTATGTCTGAGCAACAGATCCTGGCTCAGCAATAGCGAGGACATGGGCGTTAGCAGTAGCGGGAGCTTGCTGGTAGCTAGTGGCGCCTCCATAGGTGAGAATCTTGCCATCGACGGCATCATACATGACACAGTTACCGTTCATTGAGTCAGGGTCGACTCTACCATTCTTGCGTCGGGTTCCGGCAGCCTTGGTGTCACCCTGAGTGCCTCGGGTGGTGTAGTACCAGTTCATGGCTGTGCTAGGGCCAGCCTGGAAGACACTTCCCTTCTTCCAGCCAAAGAGCCAAGCGTGGTTGTCGGCCTTGTAAACACCTTCCTTATCTTTTGTAAGCATAGGGCTAACAAGACACTTGGGAAGGGAAGTCCAAGTTCTGGCCTTGGGATCGTAAATCTCGCCGTTCTTGCCGCCACGAGGACCACTCCATGAACCACCGATAGTGAACACACGTCCATCAGAAGTGGTGGCAGATGACTGATAACCACGAGCAATCTGCATATCGGGGCCAGGAACCCACTCGCCGTTAGGGTTAAGGATGGTTGTTTTCTTAGCATCGTTGCCACCAGTCACAACAATTTGCCCCTCTCCGTCCATGGAAATACCGGGACAGAACATGTCGTGCTTGTTATTGGTGACATTGCGGTTAGAGATGACGTTGGTCTTGGGATCCCAGATAGATGTGAGAGTGAAACCACCACGAGGGTTGGTACCCTGGAAAGCATCGTAACGGTAGGCAGACCAGATGACAACCTTTCCTGATACAGGCTCGACGGCACCAGCAACAGGAATGACAGGAAAGTCAAGAGTAGGCCCCCACTTGCCAACACCGTTCTTGGGAGGGCTGTACTTGAGAGCATTGTAGACAACAAAGTCGGCGATGGAAATCCAAGGAAATTCGTTGTTTACGTTAGAAAGAGCGACAAATCGAAGGTATCGAGCAGGCTTAGTCTCAAAATTTGTGATGACAGGGTATTTGTCTCCCCAGTATGTTCCGAAAGCAACGGGAGAACCCCAGGTGGAACCATCAGAGCTGAGGTAGACTTCATGACGACCAATCCAGTTACGAGTGTTGCCATCCTGGCGAGGTGTGATTTGCAGGCCACTCACGTATTGAGTCTGCTTCATGTCAATAACGATTGAGTGAGGTGGCGGCGTGTTGGTTGTGCCATAGGGAGTCTGCCAGAAGGTGTCCTTGCTACCATCAATGGCATTGGCACAGGGGTAGTTCGGTGCTTGGCTGGAGCATCGAACAGTCCATCCCTTACGGTCAATGGGGTTGGATCCTACAGGAGGAGCAGCGGCGAACTTGCCAGGCATTTGCCCTTGCTCCTCGGGCGGAATAGCAGTGGTGCCATCGAAGAGGGCACCGAGGCACAAGGCCAAGGTGTAGAAAGATTTCATGGCGAAGGAGAAAGGGAAAACGAAAGTGATCAAGCCTAAAACGTTCTAACCAAGAGTGGCAACTTGGAAGAAACCAGGCTGAGGGGGAAAGAAGGAATAAAAAGAGAGAGTGAGAAGAGTGAACGAGCAGTGGAGGAGTGGCCAAGGAAACAGCGAAAGCGGCGCGTAAACATATTTATCTCTGTATTCTCAATGTTGTTTTGACTTTTTCGCGCTTTGCTTTTCAGAGAGGGACGCCTAACTGGGTACATTGATTTAATGCACTATTACAGTATAATACAAAGTACAATACATACATATGCAGGCTGCAGAATACACCTCGCATGCTCACCCCCCTCCCTCATTGACCGGGCGTTACTCAAGATGGACGAAAAGGCTTTGGACAGGATGACAGCACACGAGCCAAGCACCAAGTCAAGTCAGTCGGGCCCGCAAGGTAAGGCCCGTTCAGTTGAGGCGTCCAGGGCTACAGACAATCTAGTGCGTGCATGAGGGCTGTGCACCACGTTTACAAGAGACTGCATTTGCATTATATGTAGGTATTATTATGGACGATGGGTCGGACGTGAGCGAAAGTGCGATATTAGCCCCTTGTAGCTCAGTGATCTGGACTAGTCTGTGGGCTAGAGACTTCAGAGAACCCCTGTCAGCTGAAATGAGAAGGCCAATCGCTGCGATTTATTTTTTGGGGACGCAACCACCAAGACAATGGCAAAAGCATCAGTATTTAGTACTGGTCTCGGGAGAGAGGAACAACAGAGGGGACAAAGGTGTTCCGCTAGTGCCTCGGCCGGTCTCTGATGACCTGGATATGGATGCGTTCAGCAAATTGTCTGTCTACTCTGTGCTCTGTAGATGCTATCTAATCATCTATTGTATGAATGACGAACATGGGACACGATGACGTGAGACAGCACAAAAGTGCTGCTCATGTGCGGCGTTGCAATTGAGATGCTGACTGGTTTGGTTTGGATGATCCAAGACGAACTGCTTCTACAAGTATGTAACTAACTATCCGAAGGATTTGCAGCATCAGCGACGCTTTCCTTTTTCCATCTTGCTGACAATTTTCTCGTTATTGTATCGAATTGAGGCTGCAGTTTCTGCAGATCAAAATGCAAGTCCCTTCGTATATACCCTGCTCGTGGCGCAACGTGTGCTTTTTTTGGGTAACAAGACTGGCCAAGGAAATACTTGCACGTTCACTGAAAGTTCTCGCCCGACAGAAATCAACTTGGCGCTGACTCCACTGAGATTACCCCTGGTCCTGTTGATCGGCCCAGACCGACTTGAGTTAGAGGGACCGTTGATTCGCTAGACTAGCCTGGATTATCACGAGGGCTTGTCTGGAGGATAACCTACCCAGGCAGCCAGGTACGTCTAAAACAGAGAAGGAGAGTGAGATGGAACGACTGTCGCTTCACTTTACCCGACATACCGGTGAGCCTGTGCCGTACAAGGTAACGAAAGCGAGAATACCACTTTACCTACAGTACCAAGACCAATATTTATCCCCAATAAGCAGAGTAGTCCTGTGCCTCATTTCGTCAAGTTCCGAAAAGACCACAACGCCATCAATTTCGACCTTGTGCGACCGTTCCAACTCAAAAGTCGCGCTACGGATGATTTACGATAACCAGGGGGGGCCCAAGTGGCGTTCTGGTCACAGGGGTCAGTCAACTCCTACTGAAGATGCCAACCCATGTGATCTTTGTCTGATGAGTTCCCGATCTTCCGATTAGTTAATTGTTAGTGTCTTCGATAAACTGTGTGGAAAAGCCATTCCCCGCGCGGTAATTAATGCACCCGTAATTATCTCTTGTCTCAAGGAACAGGCGGAATCCACTAAAATAGCTTTCTTTTCCTTTTCTTTTTTGTAAGAATCATATTTTGCGGATCTCACCTGCGGTTTACGTTTCAAAATGCTCCTGATTGCACAATTAGTCATGACAGGACAGGGTATACCCCTGAACCCGTCACAATTCCACCTAGTCCATCATTTACTTCATGTCTAACTTTGACCTGAACTAACCAAATCAAAATTTACTCGGTTTCTACGTCAGGCCGACAAGGTGATGAGAATTGTACACTACAATAGCAGCTGTCCCGTGAAAAGGGGTGTGGTAAAAAGCCGCATGCACAACTCAGGGGAATTGCATATTTCTAGTTCTCCTGTCAGCGTTAAATGTTGTCGTGATTGGTTAAGCCGTACAGCATCTGCATGCGCATCACAGCCCGTCATGAATGAAGATCGTCCATGGCGTTCTGGGGTTTCAAACACAGCTAGCCTGACTTGCTGCAGTGGCGTTCAGCTCATGTTAAATTGAAGATCTATTCGTAAATGAATGGGAGACCAGATCAATCGTATGATACAGGTCCATCAGCATCGTCGTCGCAACTCAGATCATCAGTATAGCAGACAACGTCCAGGACATCGCTCGCACCTCCCAACCAGACCCGATACTCTCCATCCGGCTTAGGCACGAGCCAATCTTGCGCCTCAACATCCCAAACACTCAGGTCCTTCCTTGTCAAAGTCAATTGCACAGTCTCACTCTCTCCTGGCTTGATGATCCCCGTCTTCTCAAAGTCACGAAGTTGGATGATGGGAGTCTCGTATCCGGCACTCTCCGGAAATTGGACGTAGGCTTGAACAGAAGCCTTTCCAGCGAATTTAGCGCCTGAGTTAGTGACTCGTACTGAGATGGTATAAGCTTCGTCCCAGAGCGCTGGATTTCCGCCTTGCGCGCCACCTGCACGTGGAATAGCCGTCTTCTGCTTAGTCGAGTAACCATCTGGGTAAGGGTATTTGGATTTTCCAGCTGCTTCAACGGCCTTCTTTGCATCAGACTCTGAAAGCCAAGAATAAAGGTAGCGCCAAACTGTCTTGAAGTTACTTGGCATTATGGCCTCTTTGTAATCGGGAATATCCTGGGAATATTCTAGGACATCACCTTTCGCTGACCTTTTGGGAGGGTATTGGGTTAGTGTAGTGATTCTCTTGATGGTCGCGTTCGAGTACGTGAAGTTAGTGTAGCTGAGACCGTGACCAAAAGCGTAGCGAGGTCGAATCTTCTCTTTGTTGAGCCAACGATAGTCAATATATAAACCTTCAGAATAGGTATCTGGTGGTGGATCGATGAAGCCAGAGTCGATAAGCTTCACAACACTCTCGGGCATGTCATCCTCCTTCTTGGTGATGCTGTATGGCAGATGTCCACAGGGAGATGCATCACCAAACAGAATATTCGTTAGAGACTTGCCAGCTTCTTGTCCAGGAAGGTGGGCAACGAGAATTGCTTTGACCGAGGGCATGTCATGCCACTGTTCAAGTAGGACAGGCCCGACAGTGTGTATCACCACAACAACATTCTTGTATTTCTCAGCCGCAGCTTTGATGAGAGCGTCTCCGCCATGCCACACGTTCAACTTATCAGCGTCCCGATCGCCATGGTTACCTTCGACCGTGTATGTGTTCTCGCCCGCATCCGAAGTCACGAAGACAATTGCAACGTCATCGTCAGTCGCACTCGGGACAGAAGGGAATTTATCGGTGTTGTAGAATGCGACATCATCAGCCTCTTTCTTGATGGCGCCGATGGGATCGTCCAAGTACATGTAGTCGACAGTCCCAGATCCCCAGCCTTGACCCAATGTGCCTTTGTTGCAGTTTCGGTCGGCACAAGCGTTAGCACCATCAGGATTGATTTGGGCACCTGTACCGAAAACCTTAAGAGGGCTTTTTTTGCTGAGTGGCAGAAGGTTGTTATCGTTCTTGAGCATAGTGATGGCTTCCTGAGCGACTTGTCGGGCGATCACGTCGTGATCATCTTGCACCTGGACGAATTTATTGACGACTCCCGTGGGTGAGTTGGGCCAAGCTCCAGGGTACAGAGGGCCTACAGCATCATATGTGTTGGTGTCGAAGCTTAATTTGGGAAAGTCTTGGTCTTGTCCAAACTTGTACCAAGTCGCGACGATGCGAGTGGCCATATCGTTAAGTCTTTCCATAGGAACTGATCCGTTGAGTGTGGCGCGGGTCATTTCGTACATCCATAGTGATCTACCGAGAAGCGGGATGACTGGGTCACCGGGCATGCTCATATCCATACCCGCAATGGCCGATGCGACGCCAGTGATTTGAGAAAGCCAGTCAGTCATGACGAAGCCTTGAAATCCAAGCTCGTCTTTGAGTAGTGCATTAATGAGATATGAATGTTCACTGGACATCGTGCCGTTAACCTAATGATAATGAGTCATTGCTTGGGCACTGATAAATAGCTATAACTTACTCGATTGTAAGCTGTCATTGTTGCTCCTACACCCGTTCGAACAGCTTCGGCAAAAGGCCAAAGGTAGAGCTCATGCATAGTTCGATCGTCTGGTTTAATTAGAAAATGGCTGATCATGAGGTGAGGGATAACTTACCAATATTTGCAGAATATGCTGGAGATACAATATCGGTGGTCTGTCTTCTGTACATTTCCTGCTCATTCCCGATGAGATGCTTGATAGTCGAGATAACACCCTGTTCCTGAACACCCTTGATGGTCTCTCGAGCACCAATGGCTTGGATAGCTGGGTCAGAGCCAAAGCCCTCCCAGTTACGTCCGCCCTTGGGCTTTCGGCCGATAGGACCAACGGAGGGACCAAGCCAGATATTCACACCCTTCCCGCGCGCTTCTTTTCCGATCGCTACGCCGCGCTCATAAATCAGCTTCTTATCAAAGGTCGCCCCAGCAGTGATTCCATCAGGGAATACGGTGACGTTGTCAGCTTGCCGGACACCATTGGCTGCATCGTTCAGACACAGCTGAGGGAAACCGACACGATCAGCAGATCCGGAGTTACCATTGCAGGGACTATGCTGTCAGTATGGCCTGAGAGAAGGACAAGGTTTCGTACCCTATGTCGCGTTAGTAGCTTGTCTCTTATTGGTTCCTTTCAGACATACCCATATAGATACCTGTACCAGATGTAATGTTGGTCTTCTCAGCCAACGTCATAGAATCAACGAGCTTCTTAGCTTTGGCATAGCTGTCTGCCCAATCTTCTACCCATCCACCATAAGGTGCTGGGTAGTATGGTGCAGCGATAAAGCCATCTGAGCCCTTGGCTGGTGCGCCTGAGCCTAGGATGGCAAAGTTAACCAGAGTGATAGCAGCTACTTTGACGATAGTCATTTTCGCAGTGAATGATGACTTGGCCTATAGCACAAACACTGACCAGGAGAAAGAAACGCTGCATTATTATACACCCCAAATGATCTGTCTACGATTTCACGTGTTCAAGTTTAACCGAAAGTAGTCTACCATTCAATTCGTGACTATCGCCGAACGTTAAAGTGGTCATGCGCGCTGGCGCTGCATCTAGTGCGTTGATTTCCAGGGCCGAATCTTGCTTTTTACCAATCGTTGCCTTTTTCGGCGTGCAGGCTTCGATCATTTGGGCCTGAGACTGCCGAAGAGGGTATACTGGTCCGTCCAGTGCAACCTGGGACAAATGCGGAGATGATGATCTTCGCATCTGATGATCTCTCCCAAGAGGTTCAGCTGAGTAGGACACAGCCCAATTGGCTCATAATTATAATGCCGGCGCGATATTATGGAATGGAATTGAAACAATCACAGAGAATGCATCTTCTTAACCGCCATTACCACCTTAGATTGACTCTTATCTATGACATGCTATATTCGTGGGCTGATATAACCGCTCGGTTAAATCTCTCGAGTTCTCAATTCTGCTTCAATTCCCCTCTCTTTCTTAGACTTGATCTTCCGTCTTTCCATTCCGATGCTCGCCAAGAATGCAACACCAGCGAGCGACGTCGACACAACGAACGCATTAGACACACCGTACCGGAAAGCACCCCTTACGTAGGAAAGCCTTTCGCCTGAGACAATATGTTCCAAGTCAATGCCGCCTGCAGCAATGACAGCTTCAACGTCAATCTCGCTGATTTCTTTCAGCCTTTGACGAAGCGAGTTCTGGAACACGTTCTGAGATATAGAGAGCCCTACAGACCCCCCAAGCGCTTGAGATATAATGACCAAAACTGTCCCTAGAGGAACGTCTGCAGTACTCAAAACCACCTGAACAGCAAAAATGGGAATCTGAATAGCTATACCAAACCCCGCACCTGCAAGGACCTCAAAGCCAAACCATTGGGACAATGGTGTGCTCTGATCAATAGTGTATAGCAGACCTGCACCAGTGGTGAAGATAGCCGAGCCCATCCACATGAAAGGAACATAGTACCCAAGCCATGTGATGACGGAGCCTGTTGTGAGAGTCGCGACGGTAGTCGTCACTCCATGCGGGAGGATGTTTATACCTGACGTCTGAGGGTCCACACCTTTGATTGCTTGGAAGTAGAAGGGCAAATGGTACGTCTGCGTAGTCATTGCGCCTTGGTAGAGGGCAGAGAACATGCATCCGAGAAGGACTGACCGTTGAGAAACAATACGAGGTTTGATCAAAGCTCTGTCAATTGTCAGCCACTGTTGGAATCAGCCCTGCTCTAGGGGGCTCACGCACGCTTCACCTTGTCGTATTTGGATATACGTAAAAAGAATGAGAAGCAGACCAAATCCTAGAAAGCATCCCCAGACACGCGAATCAGACCATGGATAAACAGAACCACCATTCTGTAGTGCTAGAAATAAGCAAACAAGAGTTCCTGCAAGAAGGACAGCACTCTTGAGTCCTAGGCCAAGGACCTTTTCTTTCAAGGGTTTATCCTTGTCTGGCGCTTCGCCAAGAGACAACGGGTAGTACAACATGATGATGGCAGCCATCAAAGCACCCAGTGCTTATAGAAAATTAGACACCATTCCGTAAGGATGATAGGAGTTCACTCACGTATATTTACCCAAAAACAAAATCTCCAAGTCAGCTGCTTGGAATGAGTGAAAACACCACCGAGTGAAGGCCCAATGACCGAAGATATACCATACATACTTGACACGATTGACAAAAGCAACGGACGCTTTCTCATCTCAACAATGCTGGATATAATGATCATGGCACCACAGAAAACGCCTGCAGCACCAAGTCCAGCTATGGCCCTGCCGATGATGAACACTGGTGAACTCTGCGCAGCGGCGCAGAGTATAGAACCTGTCTCAAAAATTACCGACGATGCTAAGTAAACCCATTTCAAGTTCCAGTAGGTGTATATCTTGCCAAACGTCGGCTGGGCAGAGAGTTGGGTCAGAAGTTAAGCTGATGCGTACCAGGCTGGGGAGAATGAGGTCAGAAATGGTACTTTGTTGGTAATAAACGCTTACTAACCGACATCACTAAGACTGTCGAACTTGCTCGTTATCTTTGGGATTGCAGTTGCTTTGACTGGTAAGTTGAAGGTGTAGTATGTGGAACTCGAGGCCTACCAATGATGCTGTTGTCCAAGGAAATCATCAATACACCGACCATCAATGAGAGGGTCATGAGAACCAGTGACAGACCATGAAGATATCCATCATACTCTTGTTGTATCTGAGTGTCGACTGTATCTTCATGAGCGGCAGACTCACGAGGAGGTGCCAGTTTCGGTTCCTCCGCTGGGATGCTGTTTCCATCGAGTTTCATTGTCGGTGGGACTGGCTTGTTCCACCTGAAGACTCATTAATATCACTGTCTCTTCGCCTCTCATAATGAACACTAACATTGGCTCTTGCTCTAAATTCATGGTAGTCTCTTTGACGACTGTCGGCCAGGATGGTCTGATATCTGATTGCTTCGACTACTGGCACAATCTTGGAGTTTCCAGGGCATCTTAAGTAATTACAGATGGTCCGTTCTTGACATAGTGCGCCGTGTGAAGCTCTGTTGGCGAAGACTGCACACCATGTAATACCAACCTCATGGGGCTTGCATCGAGCTTTTAGGCTATTCTGCTTGGCGGCGCACTCACACTCGCACTCGCACTAGCGTCCTTGTAATAAATCAGATAATTGGAAGATACGATATGTCAAACACTACATACAGTGAAGCGTATTCGAGTTTTGCAACATTTGGGCATGTTGGTCTCGATGATCCTCAACCTACACAGATCGTGATGCTGAAATTGAGGTGCTATAATGTGGCCGATTGACGTCGACCTTCAATTTCTTTGAGATGTTAGAGTTCTATGAGTTATCCCAAGTCTGACTATGAGCGCGTGCTGTCAGACAAAAGTCTTACGGCAGATTCAATGTCTCACCATCACGACCTATTCGGAAGAAAAAAAGATTGCTTTTCGGTGATAGAATCAGCAATGTGATCAACTGCATTTAACCATCCATGGATTATCCTGTAAGGTCTATGGGTATGCGAAACATGTGTGATTATTGATCAGTCGAACACTCTGGTGGCAGGGACAGTTCATTGCCCAACTGTACAAGAGATGAGCCAACGCAAGTAATCAAAGCATGAATTTGTCAGCGAATGATAACGTTGATGAAATTAGTGGTATTACAAACTGCGTTGTCCTCAACAATCCATAGCCTTCGATGTGAAATTTCCGATTGACCATACTAGATGGCTGGTTCCAGCCCCAACACTCTGCTGGATTTTGACAGTTCGGCCGTGGCAATACCATTGATTCCCTGCTATTGGCTTGGGTAATGATAACAAAATACAATGTGGCCATTTTGAGCTACCAGCCATCGAATTAACCTTTGTCGCTGATCGATCGAGGCGGAAATGGTTGGCAATGGCTTCTCGCGCTACCTTGCAGGGTCAGACAAATTGTCGGACGTACTCGGAGGTGGACTCGCTCCACTGAATTTCGGTGGTTCATGCAAGCATGCGATACTGCGTTATTTTGATTCTGTGTTGACTGTCTGACTTGAGAAGATATTGCATCGATATGGCAAAGTTACAAAGGCGACAGACTACACTATTTCGCAATTCCACCACGCATGCGTTTCTTTGAATCATTTTGAATACATAGGACCCATTTGCTTTTACTCGAACTCAGCGTACAGCAGCAGCATTCACTTTATTGGAATAGGTTATAAGCTCTTTTAGTTATCGCCACGTCGAATGAGATTGTGACAACGTAACAAGAACAGCAGAGCTGGCTTGAACAGCATCTCAAATCAGTCAATAGCCCTCAGCCCAAACCAAGCATGATGACAGATTTCTATCACCATTTTGGGGGCCTCCCAATGAACTCTAAACCGTTATGGATACTTAAAAACACACAATCTCCGTCTTTCACTTGTAAACTGACACATCAAGTTGCCGTCAACCAACAGCAAATTCATCCACCATGCGCTTCATCAAACTTGCAAATATCCTTGTTCTCGCAAGTCCTGTACTTAGCAAACTTGACAAGCCCGTTCTGTGCCCCTGTGTGGACTTCAACCACGTCGACGACGACCTGTTCGAAGCTCTTCCACAGACACCGCACACTCTCACCAAGTGGCCATGGGGAAGTAAGTGTTTCTCTATGGGGAAACGTCTCATGAACTGTGATTGACATCATGAACAGAGCTGCCTAAGCAATGCAAAGTCCTGGCTGACCAGGAAGGCCTGAATGCCTATGACATGGAAGTCTACGATGTTCTTTATGAGGACTGTCCCCAGCCTTGGGTCATCTGTCAGCATCACAAATCGCCGAATCCTGTAAAAGACATGGCCGACAACTTTGGTCGCCTCCCTATCGGCTTGCGAAACTACATTCGAATTCAATTCGGTCAGTTATTATTTCTTTCTCTGCACTACGTCCGACATTATGTATTGATATCTCATTTAGCGGCTCCGATGTTGAAAAACACGACGATCGGCGCTTGCACGACGTAAGTACAGATTCGAGTAATGTAGTGTTTATTTCTGACCTCCCAGCTATCCTCGGGGAGATGTGATATACTACGGCAATACTACCGAAAGGCTTCAGGACTGGGTTCACGAGGCTATCCATGGCGTCGATTACTACCTTGGCCACAAGAAGTATGGCAAGATGTTCTCAGGTGTGTATCGCGGACCGTATCCAATGCAAGATGACAGATGACTGACTCCCCTTTTTAGACACAGATTTGTTTATCAACGAGTTCAACAAGGATGACTTTGTCAGCGATGATTATGCCAAACTTTGTGGGTTCATCCGTATAAAGCTTCATGAACGCATTGCTAAATGACGAATTCCAGCATATCGCGAGGCTTTTGCCCAGATGGGTGTGCTTGCCACGATCGAAAAGTTCTTACCCGGGAGAATGGCATCTTTCCAATCGAATTGGAACATCCTTTCTCACCAGTTTGCTGCTGTGTCTACCTTTTTGGACGAGACCTTGTCACTCGACAGTACATGTGATCGGGTGGATAAAGATTAGTAGGTCATCTTTACAAGTTAGCTGTCTTCTAGATAACAGTTACTAATCATCAGTAGCGAGGTTGTTTGCATGGGACCTGCGGCAGGTTGTGAAAGCCCACCGAGTGCGAAACTGAGGAGAAGGGATAACAAAGCGAAAGAGAGGGGCGGTAGCGAGCCGTTAACCGGGAAGGTTCTCGACACCTGCGAGGGGCAATATGACAAGCCGCTCTAAATTTTTTCATCTTGAAATTATGTTCTTCCTTCGTCTACTCGGGCCTCGAGGACCATTGCTTCTCGTCTGTAATGATAGGCATAGACTAGAACCATAATTCGTCCAGGTAGCAATGAAAAAGGAAAGATATCCCACTATCCAACAGAGAGATGCATCCTTTGCACGAAGATTCTTAAGCTGTGACTTGGCTCTCAATTACTTACTCAACAGGAGGCACAACACGTATCCATAGGTCTCGCAGTGGCACGCATCTGGCATTCGTCTTGCTAAAACTGGTGTTCTCATTGGGAGGGTGTACAATCTATTCTAGCATCATTTGAAGATCTTCTATCGAGAAAATTATTCTCCCGTGTGCCCCCGATGGCATACCCTAACCATAGGTTCCAGACATTGCCAAACTAGGTAGTCCGACACTCCTTTTACATGAGGAGGAACATAACCGCTACCGAGGCCAAACCAACAGAGGCCATGGCAACCTTGGTCATTCCAGAGCCGGAGTCAGTAACAGTGGCAGGCTTGGTCGACGTAGCTGTGGTGCTAGTAACGGAAGCCTTAGTGGTGGACTCGGCAGCAGCTGCTGTGAGAATACTTCTCTTCTTGACCTCATCAGAGACGGCCACAACGACAGTAGTGGGCTCAGCGACGGCGATAGGCTCGGCGACTGCAGTGGACTCGGCGACAGGCTCGGCGGCGGTAGCTGTGGAGTGGACGCTGCTCTTCTATTACTCGTTAGAGGTTGTTGGTGAAGTAGGAGTACGTCAACTTACAATACTACGAGGGGTCTCCAAGGCCCAGTCAGGGTCGGAAATGAAGGTGGGCGAGGCAGACCAGGCAGGGGGAGTTGCGGGAAGAGGGGGGACCACCGTTCCGTCTAGGGCCTTTAAATCTGAATCGTAGACCCCATCAGCGACGTACATAGAACTCTTGGGGTCACAGCGAGTGATACCCCAGATATAGCCATCTATAGCACATCAACAAGCTGCACTTATCATATGCCGACGAATTCACATACTTGGCAAGTCTTCCCTTTCGCACGTCTTCAAGATGCAATCCTTCCAAGGGGTAAAGAAACCCCAACCACAGTAGCATTCCTGAAGAAGGGGATCACATCCCTGCGATTTAACAGCGTAATCAACACAGGTGATCTGCGCCGTGTGAGTTAGGTAACCTTTTCCTTTGTCTTTAATGGAAACTTACACCGCATTCGGGAACCCAGTCGAGGGTATTGCCGTAACCACCTGAAAAGCCAGTAGTGGCAGTGGCAGTGGCAGTGGCGGCAAGAGCCATGGTAGCGGAGGTCTTCATCTTGAATGTGTTTGTTTGTGGTTGGTTGTAGAGAAGAGAAGAGGAGTGATCGATACAGTTAATGTTCTAGGGAAGATCTTTTCCAAAGAGACAGGGACCATCGGTAAGCTCTTATAGTCCAGCCAAAAGTCTAATTCTGGCATAGTTTATGGGATTTCATATTTTGAATTTAATTATCTGCGGATTCTCATTTGGCAGTAGAGCCGATACTTTCAACTTAAAGCATAATCAAAGTTAAGATTTAATACATTGCAGATGTCTTAGCTCATGATATAACGATATGCTTCCATTTATTAGAGCATCTGCAACTCTATCTATTCGACTTTGCAATTCCTCTGATAGGGATATCATATACCATTTGCCAGAGAGTAACTGGGAGTTACTTTATTAATAGTGGATGTAAAAAGTTATCTTTGAATTCCTGAAAAGACTTTGTTAGTGAAAATGGTAAAAACTATAGCACCTACCTTCTTAACACATATTCCAACTGACAGTCTTCAACATATATTGCATCCAATGCATCATCCCATGCAGATAAGTATAATGAGTGCCATGCATACATGGTAGTAGTAGTAGGTAGGTATTCGGAAACATGAAAAAAAAAAAAAAAAAAAAAAAAGACAAATGGCAGATTGGCCAAGGAAAACAAATGGAAAAAGAAAAAGAAAAGGTTTTGCGGTTTGTGTGGATCGAACACACGACCTTCAGATATCGAATGATTGAAGTTTGACTTCAGTCTGACGCTCTCCCAACTGAGCTAAACCCGCCAGCCAATGAGGTTGATAAAGAGTTGGTTTACTAAGTGAGTCTAGGTACCTATCCACAGCGGAAATCCCACAATAATCTTTTACCCCTTTATTTAGCCATCTGGCATTTCACATTTATAAAGGCCACAGGTTTTAGGTGCTCTACTACTGCCCTGCTAATACTTCCTGTTCCGGGTGGTGTCGAAAAGACGATTAAGTGGGAGTGGATTATATTATCAGACTCCTCAAAATCCGCAGAAGTATGGACACATTTACCCTGTAGTACCGAAACCAGGGAGCAGGTTCTAGGTCCGATTCATGATATCGGACAAGCGTGTCTGTTTTGTTTAGTGACTTTCTTGGCATTGTGCTGTGTTATGTCACTGATGACAGTAGTCTGTGCATAACAACTGGCCGAGCGGGAATATCAGGAAATTAGCCTTGTTTTTATCTCAGAAGTTTCATCTAGTAGCACCAATAACAAGAATCGACGTTTGCTTATTGGCGTACAATTGAATGACCTCTCACACGTTACTGTCCCTTTCCTTTTTTCTTTTTGACATGTCAAATCCGCCATGCTTCCTACTTTCTCTCATTGCTTCAGCCAGTCTTGGCAGAGTCATCAGCCCAAATCCTTCGTTTCAGACAGACAATACATCAACAGCGGGCCCTTTATGATTGGCACTATAGAGATTAATTTAATTGCCCCCGCTTCTAGGCTGAAGGATCAAAGATCTATAAAACTAGCACTGGTACCTTGACACTTAGTTACTGCACCTTGACTTACCATCATCATCCGCAAACTGAATTTCCACAACAACTTTCATTATGGCAGTTACCAAATTTGGACTCCTTGCCTTTCTCGCCGTGAGCACTGTTCAAGTCAGTGGCAAATCTACTATACAGCCGCCTGCTAGAGATGCCGTACTCAACCAGGCGACGTCGCAAGGATGCTTCAGCACTCTCCCATCAGAGGCGGGTGTTGTCCAGGATAGAACTTTCATGTCAACTGGCCAGTGCTTGAGCTACTGCCAGAAAGAGAAGAAGAGTGTTGCTGTCCTTCATGCAACCAAGTGCTACTGTTCGGAGACCTATCCGGCTAAAACATCGTTGGTGGATGATGATCAGTGCAACCTTGGCTGCCCAGGATATCCTCGAGAAGCCTGCGGCGGCTTAAACCCGGATGCCTACAGCGTGTACAACACAGGGATTGATTTGGACCCAGTGTACGATACAGATGAAGGCAAGAACGACGACTCGTCCACTGCTGGTTCTGGTACAACAACCCAGGATGTAAAAACAGCCTCGGTTTCAACCAGTGTCCCCGAAACTACCACCGACGTTACCTCAGAGACCGAAACTTCAGAGATCAGCACACCCACAGTTCGTGCTGAAGAGACTTCACAGGTCGCTCCCGTGGTAAATGAAAATACTGCTGCCGCGACCCCCAGCGCTTCTGCCTCGTCTGTTCCAGACAACGCCTCGCCGCGGCTCTCCAACCCCATTGGCAATATTGTCAGAATGATTGCACATCTACTCTGAGATGAAGATCGATAATATAGAGGTTTCATTCTTCGAAACAGCGTCATGATGATGTAGAGAGAACTTGAGTATCGAATTGGAGGATCTTATCTGATGATGGCCGCATTTATTCTGTGGAACGTTTTGTATTTACGATGTACAAATTTTATAGATAGGCTAGGGAAATATTATGCAATTATATATCTACGGATTTAACAGTTACATACAAATAGGCAAAGAGTTGGTTTCTGGAGCACCGTTGTCAAATTGTTCTTCTGATCGATCCATTGTTGACTGGGCGGGCGGGCAGGTCACAGTGAGCTAGGCGCCCTGGAGAAATCGACTTTCTAGGCCTCTTCAGTGGCTCTCCTCGCTAGCCTTCTTGACCCCCAAAACATTTAGGGGTCGAGCGCTTGCTTTTCAACTCATATGCAAGGATGGTATGACGGGCACATTATCAAATAAACAGAAATTGCTTCATTAATTATATACCATCCAGTAGATCCATGTCCAAGCAATAATAGTATCTCTGTCTTTTATGAACGCGACAGAGCATACTCAAACGCTCCCTCCTTCGGCTTGCAAGTCGCGCCAACTTCGGGAAGGGTGCCATCAATAAAGTAGGATGAGATGGCCTTGAGAAGACAATCGGATGAATGCGAAGTAACACCATGCTGTTAAACGAAGTTAGCTCATCTCTTCAAGAAAGACTCAATAGGAAAAACTTACACCAACGCCCTCATTCACCAACACACGGCTATCTCTGAACCGGGAGGATACCTGGTATGCATGACTGAGAGAAGTGATAGGATCATATGCATTGTTGACAACGAGAACCGGGAAGCTCGTGTTGATGTTACGGAGAGTGTTGGTATCAATGCCCTCTGCGGCATCAAACTTCCAAGCACCGCATGCCATGTAGTCAGACGCGATGGCATCGCCAAAGCTACTCTCGGCAAGATGCGCCTGGTAGAGGGAGTAAAGGTCCTCCGGTGTCTTGACTCGGAGGGAAGTCTCAGAGCATGCGATTCCCTGGAAAGAATTCTTACCCAGGTTCCACTCAGATGTGTCCTCTTTGTACATGCTCAGGGCCTTCTTGTAGTCCCCTTCAAATGCATATGAGAGGAGCTCCGCAACAGTTGAGTAGTTGAAAGGGCTGGAAAGAAGATTCATGATGGCATTTTTCAGCGCCTTCAAAATAGAGTTGCCAGCGTAAGGATAATCGGCAGATGATAGACCCTCTGGAAGATCAGTCATGTCTTTCAGCTTCTGGAAGAGATCGACCGTCGCGTCACGCAAGTCTTCAACTGTGGTTTTGCTTCCAGAATAGTTGGCCAGACGGCAAACGTCAGTATCAAGCTCGACACATTCGGTGAAGAGGTGCACCAAAGACTTCTCGGCGTCTTTGGGACCTCCAATACCGGTTGAGGTAAAGTATGCGTCTGCCAGAGAGTTGGAGTCAAGCAGAAGTCGCTCAATGCGATCAGGGAATAAGGAGGCAGCGACTTGTCCGAGGATAGTGCCGTAAGAGATGCCCCAATATCTTAATTTGCCGTCTTCTCCGAGAGCATCGACGATCTTCATCATGTCTCTCGCGGTGAAAGCAGTGCTGAGGAAGCGGCCATTCTCTTGCTGGGTCTCGTAACAGGCCTCGGCGACTTTCTGCATGGACTCCCAGGCTTCATTTTTGACGTATTCCCAGAGATCAGCTTGAGGCATAGTATCGATGCTCCTGCGAGACTTTGTGGTGGCTGTGGTGTTTACATCACACGCAAATGGGATGGTTCTGCCTGTGCCACTTCAACGTGTTAGAAGCTGGCTCGAGTAGTGGTCTGTCTTACTTACCGAGGGTCGAATGAGATGATGTTGTGATGACCACCGAGGATGCTAGAAATGCGTTAGATTCAGTAATGTAATTGATACCAACAAAATGCAGACTCACTCGCGAAAGTCCTGTCCGAGATACGCAAGAGTCTCGAGACCCGAGATTCCAGGACCACCTGGGTTCCAGAACACACTGCCTTTGAAAGGTTCTTTGGTAGCGTTATACCGGAGTAGTTGAAGCTCAACCGTCTTTTGAGAGCTTGGGTTGGTATAGTCCAAAGGGACCTCAATCGTCGCACAATCACCAGGTTTGAGCAACTCCTCAGGAAGATCTAAGTCGCAAGGAGCCCATTTCAGGGTTGAAGTATCCTGGGCCAGTGAAACGCGGGAAAACAGAAGCTGCGACGTGCCAAGAAGGAGCGGCGCCAAACGATCATAGAGCATCTTCATATTGGCGACGGAAAATCCAAGAATGATGGTCTGTCTGAACGGCAGCATGTCGCAGGACTCGATGATGCTTTATGCTTCTGGCGATGAGAACCGGAGCGGACAGTCGGACGATCAGATAAAAAGTCATGTGGGGGTGGTGAGGGAGGGATGTTGATCCCAGCGGGGACATGTAATTTCGGGAGATGGTCAAAGAGGCATGTTTTCTCACTCAGCGTCAGTCAGCCTTGTACCACTTGAGGTAGAGTTGTAGAGCAGTGGATATCTTTCTCGAGTCATCGACGCCATGAAATCGATCATTCTCGGGACGTTCCATACATAGTACATATTGATACTAGAGCATCTCAACATTCTGTCCTCCATGGAAGCCTCTGCCGGTCTTTGCAACAAAACATCGTCACTCCTCGGCTTCTTGCTTGAGCCGCAGACGGGATCTAACGGGAGACTTTGCTGTGCCGTATGACGACAGCATCCATACCTGAAATTGTCAACAATTACGCTAATTTTGATCAAGGGAGAATACAGGATCCTCCATGACACCATTCATTCTCAGGGAGTAAGAGTAAGCGTGAGCTGCCGTTGACCCGCTGTGAGATTAGCGCTCGTTAGTGGACAACAGCCTTGGCTCTCTGCCCAACTCGATATCGGGCCACCACGTTCCGCACGCATCAAGGTAACCAACACGTACAGAGTATGACTCCACTAATTGCATGGGTGCAAGGTGCCCGGGAAAGAGGTATGTGCTTTCTATAGTTAGTACGTACTAGAAAAAAGAAGACTCTGCACTCAGTCAAGCTGAATTGTTTTGCAAGAGCAAAAAGATGAGGTTGCGGTTTGTGTGGATCGAACACACGACCTTCAGATATCGAATGATTGAAGTTTGACTTCAGTCTGACGCTCTCCCAACTGAGCTAAACCCGCTGACTAATGAATTATGACAGCGACCCTTTTATTTATACACATGATGCATTTCCATCTATTCGCGGATGCTAAGTCAGAACAACTCCCTCGTTCAAGCGCTGGGTTTCCAATCAAACAATTATACTGGTTCGTTCACAGTCTATGGATGTGGCTTAAACATATGACAAGTCCTGGATAGCTACTCAGTAACTCTCTTGCGTCTTTGAGACTGATATCACGAGTTCCCCGTCATACACATTCAGTCTGGCTTGGGTCTATTATACACCCATTGATCTTTTAGGACTTTGCTGCGATATACAGATTCATTCTTGTTACACCTTTAATGATATAGTGTGAGTTCACATATCGAAATACAAGGTATAGTGCCTGCTGCACCCAGGATTGAACCCAGCACTACAACCAGGACACTGATTGTTACTCCCCAGATACTCAGTGATAGAGAGTTCCCGAGAACAGTTACCGCACAAAACTGCTAGCTCTTGACGCTCCAACTTAGGCCAGGTCTTTGAAACATGCCCTGCCAGCTCGACATGGCAACTTATGCAGGCATAATATTCCATGCAACATTTATGCCGAATGGCAATGATATCCAGTTCCGAGTGCCAGTGATCGCATTGAAGCTTTGAACGGGTGTTTACTCCATGAACAGTCGGCGGACTGGATGCGTTTGAGTGTGGTAGTTGGACGGGTTGAGGCATTTGTCTGATGGTTGTCGAAAGTCGTTTAGTTTGGTGTTGCGGCGCTGATCAAGAAGAAAGACTATCTGATTTCGTACGTAAACTATGGCAAAAGTTCTTCACCTCAATAATTGGATCGTTCTGCAGTCATGAACTGCCTAGGTGTGTAAGATTTTGACCTTTATGATGATTAGAGATATGAAATTTGAAGGATTAATATTGATCCACAAAGTATTAGTAGCTCAGTAGACCCCGCAATATGGACAGATATGATCAACGGTCTTACTTGTCACACACATTATTCTCAACTGCTCGTTATCTAATAAGTTTCCATGGCACCAAAGTTTCTATCTTTTCTTCCGAGATTTTCTTCCGCTCCTTCGAATGACATTTGCCCCAATTGCAAGAACTTAGCTCCGGAAATCTCGGAATCGGCTACTCGTATTGATATCCCACTGTCGAAGATACAAAAGCCATATGTCGGATGTGCGCACTGCAAACTGCTCCATGCCATCTATAATCGCTATAATATCAGCGTTGATTGCACTGGGATCATTGTCGATTGTACTTGGAACAAACCAGTTATTCTTAAGTTTAAAGACACGCTGAATGACCATTTTGCATCGTGGCACTTACTTTACAAGCCTCAAGGTGCCCTCCAATCCAGAGTGCAAGAAAGCAGTGCTGATCTTATAGGGGCCAGTATTTCATCATGGCCTGGCCTTGGTGGGCCAGGAGAAAGTCTTGGTCACCTCGGATCTGGGCCCAGCCTCAAGTTTCTGCGAGACCGTATGAATGAGTGTCTGGATGCGTCCGACGGCAGTCATGCTGCATGCCAGCAGGCAGTAAGCAATCCATTGCCGAAAAGAGTCTTGGATGTCCGTGAGGATAAGGTAATACTTTGTAATACGGCTGACCAGTCTGGAAACTATTGTGCGCTGTCTTACCGATGGGGACCACCTGAGGAGACCTTACGGACCACAGACAGCAACATCGATTCCATGATGAGCGGGATAGAGCTGTCGTCATTGCCTGGTCTACTTCGAGACGCCGTATCCCTGACACGTCAGCTAAATGTTCCATATCTCTGGATTGATGCTCTTTGTATCATCCAAGGAAATAAGCAAGGTGGGTTACGTGTTTTCACGGAATGACCTTCACCTCTAACTTTGAGACTAGATTGGGAGGCCGAGGCACCAAAGATGGGTGAATATTATAAAAATGCCATCCTGACGATAGCTGCTTCGTTGGCGAATCAAGTCTCGGAGAACTTTCTCGTGCCAAGGGAAGAGATTCCTCAAGAGCGGTTGTCAAACTTGGACTTCACCAACTCCGATGGAACTACATCACAGGTAATAGTGCGACGAATTCCCGACTACGCTGGAATTCCCCTGGTCGCAAGCTCCCCACTCTCCACAAGAGCGTGGACATGGCAAGAGAATGTCTTGTCAACCCGCATCGCCCATTTCTCTAAAACTGAAATTATCTGGGAATGTCGATCACACCAAGCGTTTGAGAATGGTGCCAAGCTTGAGTGCTCCGTCGGTCTGGCATATCGATACGCAAGAGCAGGTGATGATCTGGAATATTATTGGAAAGCCCTCGTAACGGATTACTCCAAACGAGAGCTTACGTACGAAAGCGATAGACTTCCTGCTATCAGCAGTGTTGCTTTGCATTTTAGCACACTGGTTCCTGGTCGGTATCTTGCAGGTGTTTGGGAACAGTGGCTGTTCTCTGACATGGCGTGGTGGCCATCTTGGGGCGTTGAGAACAAATTTCCACCGATGTCCAAGACGCGGAGTGAGATGCCAAGTTGGTCTTGGGCATCGATTACCGGTCAGGTCCACTTTGCTCTTGAGACATGTGTGAACAGCGACAAACTTTTTGCCATCAAATTTATCCATGGAGACTGCGCCTCAACTAGCGGTAATAATTTTATGCAACCCAAACAGAATTCATCCATTGTTGTTGAGGCGCCAGCATGTCTGGTCGAGATATCCAGCACTGATGTTCTTAGCATCGGCCACTACGAAATCAACGAGAAGGAAGATACCTGGGGAGTGGAGAATGTCCTTAAAAACAGACGGAAGAAGTCCGGCATGTTTCACCCTGACACGGTTTTGCTGCCAGATGGTCAGGTCACTACAAGTCAGGGGATATTTACCAGCGTTCGAAGATCACGAAAAGACGAGGTAACTAGTCTGACTGCCTTGAAGACAACAGTCTTTTGTCTTCACTTGGGCGGGGGACGATACCCCGAGCTGCCTAACCAAACAATATCGTCCATACCTCGCTACAGATATACTCAATTTTGGTTGGTTCTTTCGCCTGTAAAGGAGCAAGAAGGTCAGTATATAAGCTTGAGGCGCCTGGGACTACTTAGCCATGGGTCACAAACCATAATGCGAGCCAAAACGAGTCGCGTAAGACTGGTCTAGGATTCTCTATGCCACCATTTTCCTGTTATCGTTCCAAACATAGTTTTTATTAGGCTGAGTTTCACTCTAGACTCGAGTATCATGACTAAGAATGAGAATCTGTACTCTTCCGATATAGTTAGAATGAATTGTTGAACGGCGAAAAGATAGGCATTTGGCGGGCAGTATATTTGGTAAACTCTGGTGTATATTCTCACCCTTGCACTGCTTCTTATTGACATATTGTAGATGCATAGTGGCCCCGTAGGTACACAATACGGTGCTTCACTGTCAACTTGACAAGTTAATCAAGTACTATCTGCCAGTCCTCCTATATCCGCCGCTCCTTCTCTATCCTTCGACTTGCGTATAAGCATCCATTTTACAGAAGATTGAATCATTCATTCTTCTATACTGAGATGTACTTATACCATCCTTTCTTAACAACGGCCCTCATTAGGGTCAGCACTACAAAAATATTGTCAGTCAGCCTTCTCAATCAATTTTGAAGCTAGGAGAAATAGAAACTAACCTGAACTCCCAACCGGAGCTTGTGTGGTAACCTCCGCGGGAGCAGTCATAAATGTCCTTTCGGAACTCTTTGACACAGTCATCATCGCCGAGGTCGAAGCCGCTTTGAGTATTGCCATTTCGAATGGAGAACTCTAGCTTGACGCCATTACCGTACTGGACACACTTATACTTCGTCTGTCCAGGCTGGAAGAAGCCGGTGAAAGCACCCCTACGGCACTCGTTCTCAGCCTCGCTGAGCATGACGTGGTAGGCACCGGGCCAGGTGATGCCACTTCCGTGGCAAGCAGCGGAAGCAGAGCCTGCCAGGAGGACAACAGAGGCGAAAGCGGTGGTGAAGTGCATCTTGAGGTAGTTGCTGGGTAGTTGTCGTGGTGTTGGAATGTAGAACAAGAGTTGGTGATGCTGTGATGCCAGAGATGTATGTTGACAAAGGCACAAGGTCTGTATTTATACCCAGAGTCTGGAATAGAACTCTCCAAGCCTCGGTTATACTCCCATCACTGCCATCTACAAAACGGTCGACGTGGTCCGTATAACCACTAGGATTTCAATCCTTCACAGCTGACTTGCGCTTTATATCGAATGATAGATCCCTTATGGACCTCTTGCTAACTGCCTAAATAGAGGCTCTGCATGGCACATGCCTAAAACTACAAGCTTAAATATGGTCGGTGGATCTTGAGCATGGGAGGGATCTCTGCTTATTAGTTGTGGACCTCATCCTTCAGGGACCCCATGTCCAAATGCAGAAGACCACACCGCCGGACTACCTATATTATATTTCTCAAAAGATATGATATTAACGTGTTACTGGAGATGATGACCACAATATATAACTTTAATTAACAACCCTTGTATAACACATCGCCTTATGCGCCTACCTACATTCATACAGTAAAATATGATGGTCCATTAAGAAGAGCCATGTCATATCAGAACCCTAGCCGAACTCCATAAACCCACAAGGGCTTGCATTTACGCGGCTTACCTGCAGATACCGCTGCGGCCCGCCCTTCATCGTGTTGACTCTATTCCGTATTTTACCCAGTAAGAATACCTATCGGTCTTTAGGCGGCACGGAACAATTGCTGCATTTGTTTTCAACTCCTTCGTTGGTAAATGCTCCATGGGATTTGAGGGTCAAAGTGCTGAGGCTGGTCTAGATCAGCATCACGAATCAGTAGCTTGCATATACGAGCCAAACCCTCGCAAGCGATTGAAGGAATAGTTTTAATTTAGATAACTGTATTCATATACCTGTCATGGCGAGTTTTGTCCATCTTGCCCGTGCCTATCGTCACGATCCACCAATACCCTGTGTTCTACTCAACCTAATTGGCGGCTCCTGTGACCGGAGCCCACATGTATTTGTAGGTCTGGGCATGTGACAGTCCATCTCCATATCCTTGTCAATTAGGTCTCCGGTATCCGAGAATGTCACTTCTCTCCACTTCATCCTTCGGTGTGGCAATGTAATATAGCATGTACATAAGTTCCAAGTAGACAACCTCGGTATCTCTGAGGGGCGAGCCTGAACAGACCAAGGCAGAAGTTTCGTCATAAAAACAAAACCAATGTATCAGCGGTGGAAACTAACATCCTCGAGATACGTCGCATGCTTGATTGACGGAATAGATATGGAAAGTAGTTTTCTATTATAGGATACCTTCAGAGTTGTTTAATTTAGCGAGGTCGCCGCTTTTGTAGTCTATTTAGATATAAAACAACACTTTCCAATGTGTCTTCATGTCGAGGCTACTCACTAACTTCTAGACAGTATGTTGGTTAACATAGGCCGCAGTGTATTTTATCCTGACGAGAAGCTATACTACCATAAAAGAACATGCACGAGCCTCATGCAACTATACACCAGAGGCCTCTGTTTCAGTACGACCCTACAAAAACCTAAATATAACTAGGAGTTTGTATGAGTACGATATGAGTCAGCAGCTCCATTTAAGTACAGAAATCCGATATCTTCAAAAGCAGACAATGTTTCAAGCCTTAAAAGGCATAACATATAACAAGTCAAGATCAATAGCAAGGGCCAAGTAGTAGAAAAGATTGATAACAGAAACATTAGGAATATTTATCGTAAAAATGGGTATTATTAGCACCTTGATGCATATCTAGCTTGTTGCATTTTTAGTGACGATAGATCGAGAGCTAGTTTTACTATCTCGACATTTATAAACGGTTGTTCTTCTTGATACGAAAATGTACAATTGCCGATTTAGTCTACAATGGCATTCATTGACAGAATTCATAATTTTAAACTGATATGGATGATTGGAATTACATCTAGGAGAACCGAGTCATGCTGATCACTGTTGGGCTGTCAGGTATGGACATTGGGGCGAGCTTGAGTGGTCGAAAGGAAGCTAGTTGTCCGTTCTCGCCGTTCCAAACATTGTCTGGTCTACGCTTTCTATCGGGAGCCAGTGAGCACAGAGGTTGATTAGAACTCTAGTCTTCGCTTCTATGCTACGTAAAAAAGCAGGCTGCTATTCGTACTTTATTACCCTCGTGCCGAAGTCAAAAGGTTTCCAAAGATAAAGGGTTCAGCGCCTATGTCGTGCCTGATTTACCCACTTCCCAAAACTATTATTCTTGTAACTGATGTTTAAAATTCACTGAACCAGATTCTTGATCTCTGCATAGATCATGCACAATCTACTCATACCCAGTCATCGGCCACGATTTTGCGCCTTTCTAATACAGTAAATGTGACCGATATTAATTTCAATTGTCAACCTGCAACTCACCAATGTCAATTGCTAATTTCGATCTTCAAGCCACACCGACTTACCCCTCCACTTACACTCTCACTTACAGCTGTTCGGTAATTGACGCCTACTAGTTTCACGGGACTTAGGCGAGCAACAGGCTGACAGGCTACATCATCGTCAGTGGCGTCGTTCAAATGTGATGATGCACAGGGAGGGGGTGGCGTTCAACAGATCAAAAACAGCGAATGAGCATCAAATTACAAGTTGCGAGAAACATCGATTACGAGAGAACTTCGAATAAATTGATTAAAAGACTGTGGTATCATAAACTTTGCAAAAAAAAAAGACCCTATAGCACCTGCTTGTCCGCCTTGAGTCTAGCGATCAATGTGGGAAGATCCACGTCCTGAACACTGACACCCTGGTCAATGGCAAGACATGCCGCAGTGGCAGCACTCTGGCCAAGAACCATGTATGTAGGCTCCATACGAATAGCAGAGTAGGCAATATGAGTTGCACTCATGGTAACAGGGTTAAGGAAGTTTGATGCATCCTCCGACTTGGGGCAGATGGCCTGGTAGGGGATATTGAAGGGGCCCGGCGTGGCAATGTGCACTTTACCCTCGTCGCGCAGCTTTCCATCGACAACGACACGCTCAACTTGGTGCACGTCGAGGGAGTAGGCGCCTTTGCCAACGCTGTTGTTGGGGCGTGCAGGGGGGGACTGGATGTCGCTTTGGCGCATGGTATAGCCACCGTTCATACGACGACCTTCTCGGATGTAGATCTCGTAGGGCCAGTTGTTGTTATTAATCCATTCGTCCTTGGCATAACCCCATTCGCCGACCCGGGTGCGCAGGTCTTGAGGGATGCGCGGGTGGTTAGCCATTGTCCAAAAGAAACCTTGGGTATAAGACTTGTGTTGCTCATAAACCTGTCGACGTCTCTGATAAGACCACGTAGCGTAGTTACCGTTATCTTCAAAGCTCTCGCCGATAAGATCAGTGCTGACGTGGCTCTGAGCGTTGGAATCGGTCTTGATGTTGGGCATGAGTTGGCTGGTGAAAGGAGTTCCTGTGTAGCCTGACTCAAAGTATCGCAGGAGCAATTCATATTGAGCTTCGCGGTAGTCGGCAGGCTTGGTGAACGGGATTCTGTTATTGGTTTGCTTGGTAAGACTCATGCGGAAGTTGTATGACTGAAGACGGAAATCATCGCCTTGACCTTGAAGAGCGGCAGCGTCTTTGATCACCCGCCCGACACCTTCAATAAGACCGCTGCTTGGATCACCCTTCTTCTTGTAGGGGTCGACCTTGGAGAGTTGCTCGAGGGCACCGAGGCGAAAGCCAGCAACTGATTCACTGTAGTCGCCGGTGCTCTCGCGACCTGTGCGCCAGGAGATGCCAGCTGCCTCCATGAGGTCACCTTCATAGCTGGCATCGATGAACATCTTGCCCTGGAAGACATCTCCGTTCAGTGTCTTGAAAGAAGAAATCTGTCCATTCTTCTTGACCACACTTCCCGCTGACCTGTCAATAGCTCGGTTGCGGAAAATGGGAATCTTGCCATCTTTCATCCACTTCTCGAGAATATACTCAGCCACCTTTGGCTCAAAGGTCCACTGGACCTTCTTGCTCTCATCGATAGCAGGGCCAGGCTGAGCGCCGATTCTTCGGCCCAAGTAGCCCGATCGTGTCTCTTGGTTCCAGGAGCTACTCTTTTGGTAATGGGAGTAAACCTTTCCATAAAATTCTCTCGCAATACCACCAATGGAGTTCCCGTTCTTGGAGTCTGTCCAACCAAGGCCAGATGTTGTGAGGCCGCCCAGCGTGCTGCCGGGGAAGACAATCGCCACTGTCTTCTTCATGCGTTTTGTCTGCACGGCTGCTGCAATGGCGGCGACTGTGTTTCCGTAGATGACCACATCGTACTTTCCTGGTACATCTGCTCTCTCATGAGGTGCGGCGGTAGCATTTAGCATGAGATACGACGCCATCCAAATGGTGCCGATTAGGAGGAGGAGTCGGTTCCGGAAGAGAGCTGCCATGATTATTAACGGAGGAAGAGATGGTTTGACTACTCAAGCGGAGGGCAATGGGAAAGGCGGTAGATAAATAAGGTATTAAAGTAAATGGGCGGCTTGCAGGCTGGCCCTTGAAAGAACCCACGGACAAGCAAAGTTCGAGATACAGAGAACAATGGCTTTTTGGAGGGGCGGCTACAGAGACATGGCTTGCGGAAGCTCGCGCCGGGTGGTGGAGTAGGTTTGACTGCAAAATGGTGTGTGTAGAAAGGACTGCTTGTGCGTTTTGGTCGCGAGGACCTCGTATTTTAAGAGATAGGAAATATTGTAATTTGGAGCGGAAGGGGTATTATGCTGGGGTAGTTCTAGAACGCTGGGCAAAGGAGGGCTGCATTTCTGAACGTGGTGCTGTGCCGGACCGGGAGGAAGAGGCAGCTATACCATATTGAAGTGATATGCCGCGCCTTGGTAGTCAGATATTCATGGCATTGTTTCTCTGACAAGGGAGAATGGATGGGCTTTGCAAGGTTGTACGGACAACACCACATCCTTCATTCCCTTTACGTCAAGCACCACGAACTATTGACAACACTATCGGGACACAGACAAAAACGTAGAGAAAAAAGAAGGCGGATCTTTACTTACAGTGACCAAGAAGCTTGAAAGGGTGTACCCAGATGGACGAGGGTCTGTGTGTTTGAGCTTCTAAATCGAGGTCGGTCCTGGTAAATTGGCTACCTCGAAGTCTTCGTATCAAGGCCTGAATAGATGAGCTACCACTGCTCATTGTGCGTGTGGGTGTCAAAAAGTCTGGACCCTTGGCTAAGATAGGAAAGGACCGACTTGGGCTCTGCCAGGGGTAAGAAGTGAAAGGTGATCTGTGCTTGCTTGCTGGGTTATGCGAAGGAAAGACGAGACCAAAGACGATGGGGGGTGACAATGGGAACGTCGTTAAAGATCTCGGCCCTGGATATCTGTACAATACAGTAAGAAATGGATCAGAGGGGCATCCACGGGACCCGGAATTTCAACTGGTGCGCGCTAAACTAATGTAAATTTACCCCTGTATTTCTCTCAGATCTTGGCCTAAACTCGATTCGTTCAAGAACGCATTCCTTATCCAGGACAGGAACAATGCCACCTCGTAAAAAAAGGTACCCTCATTTGCTTTTTCCCCTATCTCTTACATTCTTCAGTTTCAATTCTATTTAAAAACAAGATGAGTTTTAAGCAGAGACTTCATTCTTTAAAAGTCATGATATCCAACACCTTTATCCACTCTCTCTGTGGATCACTTCGCTTCCAACGTTGTGTCTTGGCAAGCTACCGAGTAGAAGAACATCATCCAGGATTTATTCCTTCTTGAGGCCTCGCCTCGCGCTTTGGTCATCTTACACTCCATGCTTCCGCTGCCGCCGTTGAAGACTACCTACGGTAAAGTCCTGAATTGAAGCAAAGTCCAAGTCCAATTCCAGCTACCAAGCCGGCTGACCATTACTTGGTTCAGCCAATTGGAGCTGTCTAGCACCCAATAGCGCATTTGTTACTGACAATGGTTTGTTCAGTTGGTGGTGCAATTCTCCAGTTATCATACCATCCATACAACGCTCGGTTTAGCCGAGGCTGTTCTAGAGCGACTGTCCCCATTCCTTAGCGATTTAAGCCTTAAAAAAAATGAAGCAAGACATTGATCGCCATTTTTCCTTGTTCTTATTAGGCCACTCGGCCGATCATTTTCAGCTCCAGTGCCAATAGTTTATTTAGACCTTGGCTTTCAGCTGTTTTGCTCACTCCGTCACAGATCGCCGTCGATGCCCTAACCACGGGCGAGGCAATTTGTTGGCTTACCTTCAGCTCCTGGCCAAAAGTGTAAAGGATCGTCTCATCGCGCGTCGTGGTTTTGTTGACCCTGCATAACACGTTTCCAATGTAAAGTACTCTTTATAGGCCTTATCAAATGCCCTACATCATCCTCGATAGCTCCAAGGCTCTGACGTGTCACAACCTCATGCATTGTGCATTACCAATCGCAACAACCATCACATCTTACAATACCAGCCTATTTAAGAGTATGCAGCGTTCTATTCCTTGTTGGGTTAGCCTTTCCAGAGCACTTAAATTGGACGAGCTGCGGTTTATGTACCCTCAAGGCACAGCAATCGAGACCCTGACCCGGCCGAGGATCATCGGAGACTCGGTCAGTCATCATATATAGCGGCTAAGCTCAAGAAGATTTACAATTTCAGGCTGGGAAAGGAAGGCAAAGGGCCAGTTTACGAGGTATTTCTTGGCATCATAAGCTTAAAGATCCCCACCACTCTTAATTGCAGGTTCACGGCCCAAGCGGTTGTGGCTTTTTTACCTGCACGTGTCTAGGTACATCGGTCATATGACATTGTACATATTATATGTAACTTTATCTACATGCATCAAGAGATAAAGCAGGGGCATGTCAGTGTCAGCAATGCCAAGGGCTATTTGTACATTGCATAGCCATCATCAACTATTCGGTCAGTTCCAGATCCAGGAGGATAGCCAAGACTTAATCACCAAATAGGGAAAACAAGCAATTCATGGAAGATCATCCTCCATAGCTTGTAAGTCATGTAATTTCTCCCGAGGTTGGTAGGCTATGGTGCCCAATTACGAATTTCAGTTTTAAATCATGGTTGCAAGAGTGTCTCAAAACATAGCCCGACAGTCCCTCGTTGACACAATCCCGTGTATACTGGAAACCCGCATTGCCCTTTCGGTTGCTGTTAGTGTAGAGGCAAAGGTTACTAACAGGAGCCCATTCCGTGACCGATGTTAACTTGGATCTAACGTCCTGCCTCTGTGGACATCAAAGCGGTCGAGTCTATAATTCGTAAAACCCCCCAGAGCCTTGGATGATTGCAAGGATAAGCCAACATACACACGATATTCGTTTGCACTCGTGGATACTAAAGACAATCCACTATATGAGACTCTCAGAAGGTCTTCAGGATTATCTCTTATAGCGCTGGTAATATCTAGCAACTGCTGCAGGAACTGACTCCCGCCATCTATTGCAGTCTTGTGGAGATAAAAGCATTAACTCAGTCCCATTGGAGCCGTTTGGTAAATTGAGATAGAGAAAGGGGGAAAAAAGAGTGCCAAAGTGCAAAAGATGAGGTATAACAGCGGAATTTAACCGCCTGCAATGGACGAACAGGGAATCGAACCCTGGACCACTCCCAGATGACTCGGATGAATTATGCTAAGGGAGTATTATACCACTAAACCATTCGCCCGTTAAGATATCACTTTGACTGCTATAGCATACTATACACGTCAGTCTTATCAGAAAGAATTTCAAGTCCTTCCTGTTTATCCTCAAGATTCTAAACACACACATGTCAGTCTGGGATTCATTCTGTTGGTATGCTCAAGCAATCATTGATTTTTTTGTATTGTTTCTCTCAATTAGTTTTAAATACCAATTTTAGAAATGCTCCTTCGAATAAAAAGCAAGTTGCAACCTTGCATAGCTATAATGTTGGCAATCACGTGTTGTCCAGGCAGTCAATCGGTTGTAAATTCTGCTTTGTCATATATTACAAGTCCCGCCGATTCTTCACTTTGAACGTTGTACAAACAAAGGCGCAAATTGTCATTCCCCTCGTAATGGTCAACTTTGGCGTCTCTAGAGCGTGCGATACGTGCAAAAAGCGTCGCAAGAAGGTGTGATAGTTACCCATTTTATTCATTTACCTTGTACACTTACTAATGCGATCCTTTGCAGTGCGATGAGACTCGCCCAGTAAGAACCGTAAATCTCTAGCGCTAGATTCAAATCCCCGAATGCTGACACTAGCTGCGTGCTTTGAAGGCTTGTCTTCGTTGTATCAAGTCCCGGCATCAATGTCCTGGTTACAAAGATGACTCTTCACTGTTTTTCCGCCATTACTCACCTAGAAACAAACTCGTAACTCCAACGTTAGAGAGATGGTTACCAAACGCCGATTATATGCTCGAGGCAACTGCTATTGATATCTTTCTAGATGAGTTGGTAGTTCGATCTCTTGACCGGAACCATTCACGGGGTTTTCTAGATGGCATGCACGATACGTTCGCTGCTTCTACCCCCAAGTCTACTCTCATGTCTGCCGCCAAGGTTGTCGTTCTTGCATCACTGGCCAATCGCCACCGAAGGCAATCCCTCTTCAGTATGGTCCGTAAACAGTATGGCCAGCTTCTTGGGGACTACGTGGCATCTCTATCATTATCGTCAGAGAGCCTATCACCAGAACAGTTCTTTACTGCTGTTCTATTGGGAATTTATGAGGTCAGCATACAATGGGACTACACGTGATTCGTTATTAACTTATAACCAGCTGATGGCATGCAACATAGCCTCGCCTACACGACACCTCATCCATGTTCAAGGTCTTGGCTCCATCCTTCAGAGAGGCATCTCCTCATCACCATCAACATCCCATATCGGCGTCCACCTTCCCGGAACTTGGCTCATCAGCAAAGGGGCGGTCTTGAGTCGAAACCGCCCAGAAGACACGTTTTTGACTGATGCGGAGATATCTCAGGCTCACACGCAAGGAGCTGGTATTCTATGCCCTCCACTTAACGATAACCCCCAGCGTTCTCTGGACCAAATAATGGTTCAATTAGCTCCTCTCACAGCACGTTCTGAGAAACTACTGGCCAACCCTGCTCCGTCCAGAAGCGCACTTTTGGATCTTTACCAAGCCCTGATAGTATTCCGCAACGAGATTGCATTTTGGGCTGATAGCCAGCCACCAGCATGGCGCCCAGAGCTTGTTGGCCATGTTTTGGAAGACTCGCCGACAGCAAGGGAAATTCCGTGGATATGCGCTGGCCCCGTAGAGAAATACTTCGACTGTAAGCTCAACCGTATGTCTCTCGGTTATTTAGATATGATACTTACTCTTTAGTGTTTGTTGGAACGGCTTGGAACTCGTGGCGCTCAATGTACATTGTCTGGCTAGATCAGTTATACCATGTCTCCAAGGCACTTGGGCAACGCGAATTTATACCGCACTATGTCGACATAGTGGGGAGCCTGGTTGCTGGTCTCAAGGCCTCCATCCCATACCATCTTTGTCGCAATGTTGAGGAGTATATCAAGAATGTCAACGCAGGAATAGCTGATTTGCAAACCAATCAGTTGAGTGGTGGCCTTTTACTATTCCATCATTTGTATAGTATTGGCAGATGCACCATAGTGGATGCATCGACTAGACAGTATCTGGCAAATGTTTTGAAGTGGATAGGGAACGAAATGGGAATTGGAAATGCGACTGTTCTATCTGAATGCTTGCGGCCTGATGAACAGGGTCCTTCTGTTATGCAGAACTCGAAGATTTCATTCATGGATGCACTCGAAGGGTATTACTTAATTACGGCGAGTATGATGTCAAAGTCTGCATAGCACTATATATCAGGGGGATTAATGGACTGGGGTATATGACAAGGAATGAACAAAATGGAGAGGGAACGTCAGTTCTGGTATGTAAATACCTCAATTATAGAATGTTTAAAGAATAGATGAATAACGCAACATACCTTTACTTGCCACATGATCATGCCCATCCCGGTCCGTACTTAAACTGACATCCTCCCAGCTGCTGGCAAGTTCTAGTTGCTCTTTGCACTTCTGCTCTATCAGCCGTAATGCGTCACTTCCCAAGATGACTCTTACAGGCTCATCTCTCCCAGCACTTATCCCTTCGACTTTGACACAGTCCACAATACGCTCTGACAGCTTGCTGATATCCCCTGGAACTTTGGGAGCAATATCGTTGGCGAAGACATCCATCATCTCCTCAAAACCGGGATTGTAAGCATCGATGGCCGGTTTGTACTTTCCAAACCCTTCAACGGATCCTTCTCTTGGTTGGCCGAGCTGAGATGGGAAACCACCTGGTTCGAAGATGATACAACGAACATTGAAACGTCTCACTTCTTTGGCTAAGCCTTCAACAAAGGCGCCAAGAGCAGCTTTTGAAGCTGCGTAATGGGACAAGAAGGGCAGAGGTCCCCAACCAACACCAGCACCAATAAAGGCAATGGTGCCACTCTTTTGTTCTCTGAAATAGGGAAGAATTGCTTGGGTGACGTGTAGTGTCCCAAACAGATTGACGTCGAAGATATTGCGAACAAAGTCGTCGCTACCATTGATCGAGTCAGCGCGTACAACTTTTCAAGATAACCCAATGACTTACTCAGCTTCTTCAACACTCTTGGGTGCAGAGATGCCAGCATTGTTCAACAGAACATCAATACGTCCCCACACGTTCCAAGCTTTCTTTATCTGGTCGGCGATCTCAGCGCGAGGTGCTGTGACGTCAAGATCTAGGAGGAAGACGTCGTCTGATTGAAGATGTTTAAGGCGCTCAGTTACTCCACGACCTGTCGCAATGACTCGGTCACCTCTCTTGGTGATATTATGTACGATAGCGGCACCAAGGCCTGAAGTAGTCGCTGTTACTAGCCAGATAAGTTGAGGCATGTTGAAGATGTTGTCAAAGATGTCTACGAAAGATTGAGTAACTATTTGGAGAGTTGCAGGATATGGCGCATCTTATATCAGATGAAAACGTTTGTGCAAAAGGCCTTTAAATCTAAAGTCCGTCCTATTTCAGACGGACTTATCTCAAATCCGACCCTTTGTGCATGCGAGATGCAACTGTAGTTGTTTTAGACCCGCTTCGATACATTAAGTACTGTGAAAACAGCGCAAAGCTAGCTTTATTTGGGTGTCAGATCTTATATATCAGCTCTATGATCTGACATGCATAAACAATCAGCGGCTTATTGGTGGATGAATCCTGGATTCAGCTTTTGATCTAATACGAACAGTCAACACAGGCCAGGCAGGACCTAGACTTCTAAGTCAGTTCCAGGCACAGAACTAAGAAAGCCAATTATCTAACGCTAAAACGCTTAGTCTCGCTAATATTTGACCTGTCCTTTATATGATGTCGTGTGCTTACCATTAGACCCAATCACCAGGAAGATCTCTTGCATTCTACAATACCGCCGTCATGGTGGGAGTTCCATGCGATGGCCTTTTATAACTTTTACTACTGGTCGGGAGTATGTTCAATAAAAACAACGAGATACTGACAAAAGTAGTCATGTTGCAGAAAATTTTGTACCTTTCCAATCGCAGCCTTATGACGCGCTAATCGTTGGCATTAGGTCATTGACGTCAACAACTTCAGCCAACTTCTTGCCTTGGTTTTTCATGGGTAATTCCTGCTACATAGAAGACTCTGTCCGGATACAAGAGATATGATATCTCTCAAAAAGTTCCGCGCCTTCGCATCTCTCAGACAGTTCAAAATGACAGTAACGACAGTTCCTTCAACGCATCCACTTGCACAGCGAGGTCCTCTATCACAGACGAATAGTGCAGAAATGCACCAATCGAGTGATCTTCAATACCAGCGCCGTGAAGCTCATATTCCAAAGTCGTCAAGCGAAGATGAACCACTCTACATCCTCACGCTCTTCACGGATAAGCGCCACCACCAGACCATGACGGCACTACGACGACAGTGGTTTCCATCGCACGTCCTCAAAGTGGATGCCCACATCACACTTTTCCATGCTCTTCCAGGTTCCAGGCTAGCTAAGTTGAAGCAAGACATTGCAGCTATCGCAGAGCGCACGGAAAAGTTCGACATCGCAGTTAGTGCCAAGGGAGTCTTCGAGATGGGCAAGGGAGTCGGCATCAACGTCTCTAACGCGGACGACTTCCAAAACAGAGCGTTTGGTATACGGAGCGAGCTCAGAGACAAATGGGAGCCTTTTCTCAGTGATCAGGACAGGCGGGAGAAGTGGAGAGGTCACTACACCATTATGAACAAGCAGGATGATAAAGAGGAGGTGCATAAGTGTTTGGCTTATTTGAAAGAGGGACATGCGAACAGCAAGGGAACTGTGGAAGGATTGAGTCTTTGGCTATACGATAGAGGCTGGTGGAGGGAGGATGAATTGTTTAGATTTTCTGGATAGGCTGTGATGGTGTTATTTGAGGCTACATATAGAATAAGAGGTGCGCAAATTACACACGTATAGACAGCAATTATACTGCAATACTCCATGCAACAGGAAGCGACTACAGTGTTGCGTTGAACATGAACCCATACCCATTAGATAGTGATCAGCCTGAGTTGTTGCAATCTAAACAAGCGAGCTAAAAGGGGATCAAACAAATGACGTAGGAAATAGAGACAACTTACTCACCCAGCTAACTTTGAGATTGAGCAAGACCAATGGAAAATGCTGGGAGCGAATGGAGAAAAAAAGAATCAGGGTCAATCAAGTGACACAAATGAGTAACTGGAACGAGAGACATAAAAAATGGTCGACAACGGCAGGATTCGAACCTACGCGTGCGAACACAATGCCTATGATGTCTCAGAAGAGATAGCAGGGCATCGCCTTAACCACTCGGCCACGTTGTCATGTCAGCAAGAACAATTCTTTGGATTATATACTCGGTCCCAAGCTCGAGACTTTAACAAGAACTCGTCTCACAATACAGACAGAATTGCCTTGGACAAATGACCGAGAGATTCGGTGCGTCAAGTGTATAGAGAGGAAGAGAATAGTAGGACGCTGAGTGTGTCGTTGGTGAGTTAATGTCAACCCCTGCAGATAAACTGGAACGTGTGGAATTTCTGCAACTGTGATAGCAACGCATACTGTGAAGACAAAGAGAGAATCAGCAAGTGCGAAAAGAAGAGAGGAGGTGGAGAGTCCAAATGAAAAGATATCGGCACTTTTATCTATAGAACCGGTAGTTTATAGCATCTCAAGAGCTACATCAATCGGTATTAAAGATTGAAAGCTGCAAATAGATGTTTACAATAGGGTAAGTTTAAGAGGGAGGGAAAGGATTTTTCACTGTATCCAACTAACTGATACTAACAGATAAGCAAGCAATAGACATGTATGAACAAGCTTATCAGTTAGCGCAAGATAGCCTGAAAAGTCGAAAGTTAGCTGAGAAAAAATTATTCACCCATACTCAATACTACGACTCATTGCATTGCATCTATTGCATCGCCCACCGCACCATCTCAGCTCGACCAACACATGATGATGATGATGATGCAAAAAGAAATAAGGATAAAAAAAGAATTACTTGTATTCACAGGTGGCTGGAACTCTCCCGCCGGGAATTGAACCCGGGTCTCAAGCGTGACAAGCTTGCATACTGACCACTATACTACGGAAGATGATGGTTGTTGTGCAACCACTGTAGCGAAGTTCGATGGTGGGTGCGTCGCTGTGTTGGTATATGGATACCAATCCACCAAGGTAGCTGTAAGCATTCCTCTGCCAGCTCTATCCCTTGCGTTGCGCATAGTGACCCTGGCAATCCAAACACTGATTTGCATTGATCCTGTTTCCAGGTACATCATCATCATTTGTGTCGAGATCTTTACCATGTTTCACCGACATCAATAAACTTTCAGCTCCACCAAAAACTCTAAGAGATTGAAGACCGGTGAGGTAGTGGTACAAGGCTATGCCATGGTGTTATGCTGACAGCGAGAATAATAGACCCAGACAAATAATCCTTCGTGCCATGCATGACGCAGCCTAAATAGCCGACCGCCTCAATTAATGTTTATTTACGGTCTTATTTTGGGTCACTGTGTGCGTTGTCTCTCAATACTGCTGCCGTGCTGCTGAACGCATAAACATCAAACTGCACGCGCAGATCAGCCACTGACTTTTAGAGGCACACGATTCGCTGTTTTAACTTTTGGATCCTTGGGCTGTGCGATGCCAAGATTCGAATAGGAAGCACAGATCAGCAGAATCCCCACGGTCTGGCAAGGTTTACTGGGCGACCTGATTGACAGTCCCTGCCTGCACAGTTGATCATCATCTTGGAGAGGCTGGGGTCTCTTTTGTGAATAAATATACTTGGTAGCCCGCCACTTGCGTTCGAGTTTATTCAACCTTGTTGGCCACTTTAACCTTATTATCTACTCTATACTCTCTATTCTTTAAATCATCGAAATGCCTTCCCTTTCAAACACCTTGGCTGCTCTGGCCTCCCTCTTGGCCATCTCCAGCGCTGCACCCACTATCCTACCCCGCGCCAGCGAGTGCCCCTCCACTGGAAAAGCCCGCCTCCAGCCCTCAGCTCTATACAACGTCTTTCCCAGCGCTCCCAACGTCGCAAAGAAGACGTCTGGCTTCCACGTCGAGACCTACAACAACGCTTCCCAAGTCGAGCAGCTTCTCGTCTTCAACGACGTCCCCGCAGACGCCAAGGACTGCAGCATCGGCTGGGCCCAGGGTGAGCGACCCGAGCGCATCTTTATCGTCAAGGGTGGCGATGCTTTGACCGAGGTCAAGCAGCTGTCAGGCTTCCCCGATACCAAGTCGGTCACATACGAGACGGCCAAGGAGTTTGACACGGCCGACGAGACAGCTGGTGCTGCTGACTTTACCAACTGGGACGATCTCCCTGCCCAAGGCCACATCATCGGCGCAATCGACTGCAAGAGCTCCATCTACCTAAAGGCAGCTCTCCGAAACCCTGACGGAAACACAAAGGTCTACCTTGAGCAGAACAGCAAGAATGGCTTGTACATTGAGTACAGCTGCTAGTTTATCTGTCGCTTACACGTATTCGTCACGAACTTTCACTTCTCAGTATATAATTTTAGGGACATTGGTATGGATGGACACAAGGTTGATGGGAAACACCTAGAGACAGGGCAGGCCGGTGCAAGCCTACGACACGACATGAAGCACCACGACATAGAATTAATGAAACAAACATTATACAGTTCTTTCCCCCTTCAATTCCGATCAATTGCGCGATTATGATTAATTTTTTATTTACCTGAAACAAGATCGTCATCACTTTGCATGTCGCGCGCGGAAGAATTACAACTGATGGAACACGTTTGGGTCGTCGCCACCAACTAGTAGTGATGTCATGTTAAATGATGCTGGCAATTGCTATCTTTATGGATTCAGCTGCGACATAATTGAGTTGACGCAGGTTCAACAACACACAATATTCTTCACCACGTCGTCGTACATTTTTCTCACGTTGCTCTTTGCTGGTCCCAAAATAGACCATCCAAGCCTGGCGTAGCTGTGATGTAAAGTGTGAATCATACGATGTCGTCCGAGGCCTTTTGGTCGGATTCACTGTCAGTGAAATCGTTACGTAGACTCACAGGGTATTCTATCGAGCGTAATTAATTGTTGGCCTTGCACTCTGTCCATGGTACCGGGTAATGTGTACAGCATTTCGTGTTTATTTCCGAGATTGCTAAAAGCGGTGGACAGCACAACATGCCACGCCCCCACTGATTCGCCTGTTGGAAAGGTTTCATTGGCCTGTAAGCACTTTTCTCCAGTGGAAACTAAGGGGTAAAGTTAGCTGTCTTTTTTCCCGCTCGCTCCTCACGATTTCCGCTCAGGGTCCTCCTCTGCTCTGCTCTACTCCGTCTTGATCCAACATCTACAGTTGTACCTGGACCCTGAATTTGGCTAATACTACTCCGATCCGCCAAGGTGTCCCTCCACCTCACACCCCCCTTTTCTTCTCCTCTTCACCGTCTGGTTTTCTGAGCTTGCAAAACTCCTGTCCAGCCTGTTGATAAGGACACATTGAGAAACATGGCGGAACATCTCGTCTTTCACCCGCAGCTCACAAAAGCCGATGCGCTGATCCTCGAGGGCTTGCGCCAAGACATCAACGAGTACCAGAAGCCCAAGGCCAATGCCGACATCTCGGACCAACATGGCCAACCCCCAGCTCTACGCCAAAGAGTAGCCAATGGCAAACCTTCCAAAGGTGCGTACAGTATACTGTCTCATCTCATGTGCGACGTCAAAAAATAGTGTATCATTAATTAACAAGCAGTAGCCCGTGACGAGGATTTGTTGCGCCATCTTCAATCCATGAATGACCCCAAGGACGCCCACTTTGAGGAGAGTGTAACAAGCACTTGGGACTTTGATCAGATCAAGTTGCCGCTTTTCCTCGAGAAGCTGGTCCTGCGGCCATATGTCCGCATTGCGAAATCTATTGTTCGCGTCGACACAGATGTCATCATGCTTACACATCTTCTCCTCTACTTCTCTACATCAGTACCCAGTGCCATTCAGCTCTTTCGTAATTTCTCGTGGATCCATGGAATTCTTCACTTCATCATGCAGTTCACATACATGGGTTCCTACACACTGCTGATGCACCAGCACATCCACATGCGAGGTGTTCTCAACAAGCGTTTCGCTTTGTTCGACAACTTGTTCCCTTATATCACTGATCCTCTCATGGGTCATACTTGGAACTCTTACTTTTACCACCACGTCAAGCATCACCACGTCGAGGGCAACGGACCCAATGATCTTTCATCAACGATCCGATACCAGCGAGACAGTATTCTTCATTTGCTGCACTACATCGGAAAGTTCCTCTTCTTTGTCTGGTTTGAGCTTCCACTCTACTTTATCCGAAACGGAAAGACCATGACTGGATTGAAGGCTGCGTTCTGGGAGCTTTCAAACTATGCTTTCCTCGTCACCATGTTTTCTCTGAACCGAAATGCTACAATTTGTGTATTTCTCATGCCATTGGGTCTTATGAGACTGGGTATGATGATGGGTAACTGGGGTCAACACGCCTTTGTGGATGAGCATGAGCCGGACTCGGATTACCGTTCAAGCATTACAGTGATTGATGTTATGGTACGTTTTAACCCACTCGCCGATCTCATACAAGGATCGATGCTGACTATTCACAGAGCAACCGCCAATGCTACAACGACGGCTACCACACTTCTCACCATCTCAACCCTCGTCGCCACTGGCGCGATCATCCCGTACACTTCCAAAAGTCGAAGCACACCTATGCCGAGGAGCACGCTTTGGTCTTCCACGATATCGACTACTTCATGATCACTGTTAGACTAATGATGAAGGATTACAAGACGCTTGCCAAGTGTCTGGTGCCCATTGGTGAGCAGATCGGACTGACCATGGATGAACGAGCTGCCATGCTGAAGCGAACCACGCGACGTTTCACCGAGGAGGAGATTCAAAAGAAGTTTAAGAGGCAGTAGACGGGCATGGGATTACAGGGACAACAAAAGGAGGCTGCACATTTGGGACCGAGCTGAGAGACGGTCGTCTGAGTAGAAAATGCATACAAGGAGTTGTTACGATGGTTTCTGTCTCTTTTTGACTCGAAAATCCTAAACATCAATTACGGCAGTTTCTTTATTCTTAGACGATTCTCAAGTATCACTTTATTCGGGACTGCTCAATTACTCCAAGTGTGCTCAGCTTACATACACCCCGGACTTTGGAAAATAACAATTGTCCGAAGCACAAAACATGGACTTAGCAAAAACATTTTGTGCGTTAAGTTATTCTTACCAATTTGTGATTTATAATCATGGAAACTCGCTAGCTTTCTAGTTTTGTAACTAGATTATCTGCTTCGAGTTTCTGAGGGTTCCCACATCATGGCCGCGGACATAAGCTTGAGCTGTCATGGTAAAGACAGAGTCAGGCCTAGCAACAGCAAAATGGCTTGCGCTTTAATGGATATAACGGATTTAAAACTCGATCAATGACTTGCATACTGTTAATCTTGTTCACGGCGGTTGATCCGTAGTGAAAGGATCGGGACAAGCTGTGGAAACGGTATGTATAAGAAGATGGTACTTGTCCTTACATTTGTTACATTTGTTACATTTGTTACATTCGATCATAACCTCCAAAGACTACACCAACAACGACTAATTCATCAGAATGTATCTGAACTATCTTCTTCTCACAATACTGCCATTGTTATCAGCAGCGAGCCCACCGGCTCAGGGCGCAGACACCACCTCACTAGCGATAAATACAAGCTCTGGAATCTTTGCACCATACTTTGACAGACACCAACCAAATGTTGCGTCCTTCCTTGACATTCCATACGCAGAACCACCCAGCGGAAATCTCAGATTTGCGTCACCAGTAGCGAAGAGGAACCCTGGAGGTGGTATTATCCATGCAACGAAGCTCCCAGCAGGATGTACCCAATATATGCCTGCTTTACTCCGTGGAACTATCGGTGATGGGCGTATCACAGCAGGCACTTTCCAACGCGGGGACTACGCAAACACGACTGAAGACTGTCTTAAACTCTCGCTCTTCGCTCCTGAAAAATCTATTCGAATCAAGGACGATAAAAAGTCCCAGACTCTCCCTGTCATCGTTTGGATCCACGGAGGGGGTTATTCTGTTGGCGGCACCAACGTTCCCTACCAGCTTGCTCAGAACTGGGTGCAGCGTACCCAGAAGCAAATAGTCGTGCAGGTACAATATCGCCTCAATCTTCTAGGCTTCCCCAACGCTGGAGGTCTAGCACGCCAAGGCAACAATCTCAACCTTGGCCTGCTTGATCAGCGTCTCGCCGTCGAATGGGTCCGCAATAACATCGCTCGCTTCGGAGGCGACCCTGACCGTATCACTCTCTGGGGCGAAAGCGCTGGAGCTTATGCGGTTGACGGATACCTTTTTGCCTGGGCTAAAGATCCCATCGTCAAGGGGGTCATCGCAGACTCTGGCAATGCGTTGGCCATTGAACGAGTGATCGGTGACGCGAGGAATCATACCGCCTTCTCCGTTGCTGCAAAGTCTCTAGGATGTGGTAAATTGTCTCCGAAGGAGGAACTCGAGTGCATGCGGCAAGTACCCGAGCGCAATTTCAAGGAGTATCTCCAAGCAGAGGTTGGCCAAGGAGGGGCCGCCGATGACGGGTTGAGCATCTCTGTAATCGCTGATAACATCACGGTCTTTTCCAACTACACTGAAAGACTAGCGAGAAACTCATTCAAGTACCCAACCGACATTCCTGTCCTGATTGGGACCAACGAAAACGAGGGAGCTGCTGTTGTCCCATACAAATTCCCCGGTTTTGAAACTGCGACTGTACTGCCAGACCAGCTTAAACCTCTTGCTGAGGGATTCAGACTCAATTTACAATGCACCACCCTCAAAGAGACCCGTCTCAGGGCTGAGGCAGGTGCTACGACCTACCAATATATCTACGCGGGGAATTTCACCAACATTTCGCCTTTACCATGGTTGGGCGCATACCACACGGCAGAATTGCCTTTGGTATTTGGCACATACGAGACAGAAGGACCTTCTACCAAGTTTGAACGCATGGTGAGCAAAAGAATGCAGGACGTTTATCTCAAATTTGCTAGTGATCCTACGCGTGGATTAGAGAATGATGGATGGCCTAGGGCAGTGTCGCAGCTTGATAAATCGAAGCTTGTTCAATTGGCCGCAGACAACAAGGTTGAGCAAATTGTGGGTGCGAAGCAGTTGGTGGACGAGTGCGTTGAGAATGGATTTGCTATATAGTGTGTACGTATGCTCATACGGGAATACGCGAGGTTGCTAGTTTACGCGTATAGTTAGGAAATTCGCCCAGATAGCTGTATCAAGTTGTAATTTGATTCTTGGATTCAGCGAGGTGATTCTTATTGCCGTTGTGACTAGCGCTTCCGGCCCAGCTCTTTCTTATCGCTCAAGAAGACCGATGATCACTGTCGGTGTATCGCTTAGCAATTGCCAAGGCTGGTAGAGAATTATCCCATCAAGTATTAGAACCAAAAAAGGCAAGCTCTCTTATGTATACAATGGTAGCATAGACTTGGATTCGATCGCTTAAAGATGGCAAGACCCTGTGGCAAGGATTGACGATTGGGATGGTCGGACTTCATGCAAAGACGGTATCGTAACCAATCGGAGGCATTACTTTTAAGTCTAAATGGCTACCCTACAAGGAAACACTCCGTGATGTTTTAGGAATGTGGCCATGAGCCGACAGATGAAACGTCTAAATGGTTCAAAGTTTGCATGATAGGCGGAAATAATTGTGTTTCTATATGGGCTGTATGATATAGATTACTTGGGAGATAAGTATATGAACCTCACATCGCCAACCCTAGATCAATATTTGAACGCAGAAGATTACACACATTTCTGAGCATACTCATCCACCGAACAAGCTGGTCACTATGCGTTTCTCTACTGTATTCACTGCTTTGGTGGCTTGCGTTTCTACTACAGACGCTGCCATCACCTGGACCCTTGAGAAAGCTGCCAACCCAACCGCCGATCAGCGTGATGCTTATGGACGCATTGAAAATGCTATGCGTCTCGCCGCAGACCGCTACAACCGCCTGGGAACCGCGACCAAGAATATTCGCGTCTCGTATAACACAGGTGTTCCCACCGCCGACGCCAACTACAACGGAAGTCTTCGCTTCGGCGCCAACCGATCTTACATGAACGAGCGTACAGCTCTACACGAGATCTCACACACCGTCGGCATTGGTCAGACTGCTGCTTTTGACCGCAAGTGCGCGGCGAACGATTGGGCCTCTGCGACAAGGCTGTTGAGGTCTTGGGATGGCAATGCGGCGGTTATCAACTGTGGTGGTGGTCATATTTGGCCTTATGGACTCAACTATGACAACGAGTGGAGCGAGACCAACGCCAATCGACATGTGCAGCTTGTTAATGCCATGATACGTGATGGAATGTAAGGGTAATGGGTGAATGGGATGTGATATGAGTTTAGTTTCTATGACAATATTTCTACAATATGAGTACATAACTATGAATTGCAAGATATTCGATATTGCTTCAATATGTCTCACGAGTTAACTCGATGTAGTCACCAAGCGATGCAGTCGTCTATCGTTGGTATCATTTGTACAGAAATGTAAGTTGACACCAGATCTGCAGACAAAAATTGACTTATCCAAGATAGCAATGTCGACATCGTAGGCGACATACGCTTCAGTATAGCAAAACTCCACTACATTCTGAAGTTGTTTTGCCAATTTGTGGTAGATCCGAGCAAGGTACAGGCAAGACCAAGCGGTACTGACTCGACCAAATTGTTGTCACGACATTCGGCCAAAGGGAGCTACGACGATCTCAAAGGTCATTCATCACCAGCAGCTTCATATCAAGGTTCCTCCTTGCAGCCAATCAAGGCGTCGCCGCACTCCCAAGATTACATTCGAACAACCGACAATTTCGATACAATTTTTGCTGGGAAGAGACCAGGTTTTCATCCTGTCTGTCGGAGGTCATGTCGTACCCGTCTGCCCGTATCGACATGTCATATTCTTCAACTTGTGTCTCCTTTGAGAAGTGACAAAGAACTTGAGTTGATACTTTGCCGAGCCCAGGTCTGAAACTGGTTCCATTCCATGTTTCCAGACAGGGGGCACATTGTTTCTCAAGAGGAAATGCAGGAGTCTTGTAGGAAGATCGAATCTGTAACTTGGTCATCTTGACCTTTCTGTACCTGACGATCTTTGTCTTGTCTGACGTCTATTGACAGCGATCTTCATCGTCATGGGCGCTGAAATGTGCCCTCTAAAAGACGGTGTCACTGGGAATACAGGATGATAGTGGGGCACCGTTGCATCAATGCTACTAGAATCCCTCCTAGCAAGTTTGTTATCTTGAGCTCTCATTAATATGTCAGCATAAGCAATTTGATTGCCGGAGTTCCGTTAGGATACTCTAGTATTAATGAGAGTCTGATCTCACCGTGAATTAGTACAATTATTATTCAGAAGCGCCGACCAAAAGACAGAACAAAAGATATAAAAGCCTGAGCAAAAGAAGTCATTCACAGTACCCTGACTCAACTAGCCCAGTATCCCGGGTCCCAACCAATGGTACCTTGTAGTGGCATGGGGTTTAGCAGCTAAGATGTTCAGCACTGACCTAAATCCCATCAACCTTTGCGGACCTCTGGTGGATTTCAGTGCATTGGTTTAATTGTGATCGTCTTCCGGCAGTTGGAGCGCGTTTCATTTGTTCAATGTTTCCATCTAACAAATTGTTTTACCCACAAAAGCCTTCTCGTGTTTTTTGTCCAGTCTCTCCTTGTGAATGACTTCATTGTATTAGCGTGCGAAGATCTAATTTTCGGTTATTGCGCATAATCATCCATAGACCTCCTTTTGAGGGTGGATTGGGGTGGTACTGGTAATACATCCAGAAGATATATAAGGCTGGGAACTTGTCTCACTTTGTATAATACTCACTCACTCATCGGTCATCCAACTCTCGCTTTAATCCAGTCTCTCATTAATCTAATACACAACTCACCAAGTCACTCTTTTACTTGTTTAATCTTCAATACCTTCACGATGAAGTTCAGCCTCTTCTCTTTCGTCGCTCTGGCCTCTTCCGCCATGGCTGCTCCTGCCGTCCAGGTCCAGGCCAAGGCCGCCGGTGCCGGTGCTGTCGTCCACGCCCGACAGGTTCCCGCCGTTCCCGCCGTCCCCGCTGCCGTCCCCGAGGTCGTCACCTCCACCGTCAGCAAGACCGTCACCAAGAAGATCACCTCTACCAAGGTCACCAACACCGGCGGCGTTGTCAAGGTTCTTACCGTTGCTGTCGACGAGGTCACCGTTCAGGTTTCCACCATCAGTATGTGTCCTATGGCAACATGATTCAAAGACATAGACGACTAACACGTTTACAGAGGCGACCATCTCCAAGGTCAAGACCGGCACTCTTAGCAAGGCTGCTGCCATCACCCACGTCCACCAGAACGTTGCCATCATCAACGACCTCCTCACCACCGTTGTCGACCAGCTCAAGGATGTTGTCAGCATCGATGTCAACGTCCCTGACGTCAAGGTCATCCTCGGCCTTGTCATCAAGCTTGTTCACGAGCTCGTCGGTGTCGCTAAGGACATCCTGAGCGTCCTCGGTATCGACAACATCCTCGGCAGCGCCCTCCAACTCCTCTTCCGTCTCGTTGGTACTCTCCTCACCCTCGTTACCGACCTTGTCGGTGATATCGTTCCCGGTGTTCTCGAGATTCTCAACAACGTTCTGAGCACCCTTTCCGGTACTCCCCTCGGCCCCGTCATCAAGCCCGTCTCCAGCGTTGTCGGTGGCCTCACCGGCTACCTCAGCCAGGGCACCCAGGGTGTCTCCGCTTAAGTGACCGAAGTGAAACGATGGACATATACCCCTCGATAGGACCCGGCATTGAGTCTAGACATTAGAGAAGTTTAGTGATAATTATTAATTCGATGGTGTATCCTCAACGTCTAACTGCAATTCATATTGTGTTCCAACCTATGCATTACTCATTTCATCGTAGTAAACGAGGCTCATAATATCTTCACTTGCATTCCACCTTGTAGCTGCCAAAGTGCCTCAATGTTTCACGGCATTGGCCATCTCTAATGTCCTTCTTTCCACGCTTGCAGTTTTTGTCATGATAGAGAACCACTATGGAGAGTTAGCCTCATCGCGATTGTAGAACAGTCCCATCTACTCACATTTGCAGTTATAATCGTGGTCGTACTGCTTAACAGACTTGATCTCATCGGAGAACTTGCTACATTTGCCGTCGTCGCTACCGTGGAGAGTCAATTCCCCGAGGTTGTGGTTATTGTTCTTGGCACCACAGTCGCTGTCGCCCCATATGCGAGCGGCAATGACATTAGCGTTTGGCGGAGGCTTGGAATGAGGGTCGGCAGCGACTCCCATGGCCAGGGCTGTAAGGGTAGTGAAAGCAACAGCGAAATGCATTTTTAGTTTGTTAAGTAAAGATTAAATCCTATGTTCTGTTATAGTTAGAATGTTGTGATTGTTGGTCAAATAGTGGTGAACAAGTAGAGGATCATTAGCGACTATATATACAGTTCTTCCCGCATCAATCCTTCCACTGCCAGTGATTATGCTCAGTAACGTAACAGCATGTAGCCATACACAATATGTCACCCATGGGGCTGTATAGAGCTTCGGACTGCTTTCGAAAGCCCCAAAACAAACCAGATCAACTCGGATCGCCCAACGGTACGAGCTCTGTCGTCAGCACTAGTGTCATGCCACTCTGCAGCTCGTATCTTGCCAGAACATATCTAAAACATGACCCAAACACAATATGATGTGTTGTACTCGAACCGTCGATTAAGAATAATTAAACATTGTTTTGTGAGAGATCATAAGACGAGCATCATCGTCGTTGCGAATACAACACAGCGCTGCCTGTAGCGCTGCCTCGATTAGACTGTGTTATGCCATTTGAGGAACAAAGTTGCCCGAGAACTGGTGCACGTAGGTATAGTGCAAAGATCGTATAAAGGATATGTACCTTTGGCATAGGTATCGTTTGGAAGCTGCATTGCTGCATAACTAGACATCCACTTGTCGTGACGTGTCCGGACGTGCCGGACCACAGCGGTAGCCTCACCAGCTAAATTTAGCAAGGCATAAATATTCAGCCCCGTGGTATCTCATTGCCAACCATCTTCCTTGCCGATGACCCGAACAAACACACATATTGTTGATGTGTAGGTTCGAAAAGCTGACAAAGAAATAAGAAAAAAGATCTTTGGTAGTTTTATTTCAAGTTTTGATGTTTCTATGTGGATACAGTCGACGCAATAGCGGCACTAATTTATAGTGCTCATCTGACCCCATGATAGTGAGCCAGGGCCATTCTAGAAATAGCCACACAGTCTTGACATGAATTCACGATATGCACTAGGCTGGAAAGTATTCTCTATGTTTTCTACTCAAAACTTACGCCATTATGGCTTTGATAAGAAGCAGAACCTTAGAAGGGTAGTTCTTTGTATTCATTTTCTTGGTTACCAGATAAAGCGACGAGAAAGAAGAAGGTTTTACATGTACCCTTGGAAAATAGATGAAGCATGAAATTCGAGTGAGCCAGCCACCTTATGAGATAGTGATATGAAAGGGAAATCATGAAAGCAGAACTGCCTCCCGAGTTTTCACTCTTCCTATTCTCGAACGACTGTCTCATCAACACGTCAACACTTTCGACCCACCATTAGAAACCGTGATCACATTGGGTCTTTTAAATTCGACAGACTCGGGATCATCCTGTCTTTCCTCCTCAAGTGCCCACTCAATTGACCTATGGGTGTCAACTATCCACAGAACCCTCATGATCAACCCACTATATGACATCTCAGCAGAGTGGCTAACCACCCAATGGTTAACGCCCCCAACCTTTCGATAAAGTCCCAGTCCGCCTTTTGCTCCGAATGTAGTCTTTCTACCACCGGTGTGACTTTCCTTAAGACCATGGAGCATGGCCAACTTCCTCGTCTTGGGCTCCGAGTTGAGAAATGTGTTGAGTATCTCTTCCTCCAGGTGGATGCCGTGAGGAGAGTCCAAGATGGTCTCGTGGACTTCTCGGCCATCAACAGTATGTGTCCAGATGATAGTGAAGACAAAGTTCAAAATGCTACTTCCAGGTAAGAATATCGGTGTGAGCCATTTGGGTAATGGCTCTCCTGGATGAAGGTCTGGGGTCTGCCATGATGTTGCTGAGGGGTCCAAATTGCTGATCACTCGAACTGTTTTGAAGCGGTTCCAAGTATAGATGATTTCAGCTCCTGGATGTGTTACAATGACAGGAATATCTGGAGGAAACAATTTTAGAGTCGGAGGGTGCAAATGGTCGGAATAATAGAAACCAAGCAGGATAGCATCCAAAGGGCTTGCTGTACAGTGTTGAGCGGCGTGTCCCTCTTCCATAAATGCCAAGCGTACAGCAGCAGCCTGTTCAATCTCCCGAATCATATTTTCTAGGCTTTCAAAAGTCAGAATCTCAGGATTATTGGCTATCTTGATGTGAACCAGCCATGGGCTGATAACATATGCAGGCCCTCTGAGCCAAGGCTCGAAAGTAACATGATAGAATGCCTTCCTAGTTGCAACCTGTTCTGCTTTTGGTCTCGGGAACGACATCAACCAGCTATTATCACCATTGAGAGATGTCAAAATCGGCCGAAGGGGTTGATTGGTATCGCATAAATGTTCCGCAACGGCATCCTTTTGTGATTGTGCCATTATATCTCCGTTGCGATTTTGACAAGACGGGAAGAATGCAAAGACAGGAAACGCTATTGACCTTGCGTTTCGGGAGGTGAGGAGGTCATGACGGCATCGATGTGACTGTGCTAGCTCGTGCGAAGCTAAGCCCTTTAGCTTGATGAGGCTGGTATATAAAACCACGATTTATGTAGGATCATGGAATTTTAACACGGCAGGCCCATGGCTGAAGAGGCTGACGTGAATAGTCTCCTAGTTGAACGATTCAATAACACTTTAACTGTCTTACTAATTGTGTCGCCTCCAATATGCTCCTGATGAGACCTTCTATTTTTCCCCTTTGAACAACTATGCAACTACCAGATTATTTGATATACCGAATTTCACGGATTGCTATGGTAGTCTCTCTTTACTTGAAGGAAGGTTGGAAACCATGACCATGGTTTGCTAGCTTTAACAGCAAGCCCTTGGACAGGCTTTCTGCCGCAAATCTTTAGTAATAGCCACCTGGAACTAGTGTGGCTTTAAGACAGCGGTGGTTGTCTGTGTCATGAATCACGAATCATGGACCCAAGCTAGGGGAAGAGAAAGGATGAACCCCAGCCATAGTGTACGATGTATAAAATGGCTCAAAGAGCCACCATGCTTACTATGATATAAAGGGTATCCATCTCGTATCCCAGGGTCTCAACAAGCTAAGTTTCTGATCCTCTGAAACAAGCCCTGAAAACGAATATTCGGAGAGCATTCGTAGAAGTAAAGCTAAAATCTTACCCCTCGTCACAGCCTTTAGAGGGTTCGAAAATGCAGTGTGGCACTTCGGATTGCTGTTTCTAATGACCGCCCTCTGATCTCTGTGAAGGTGACTCCAGGGTTCCCCCAATCTATCCTTGGCCGATACGCTCTCATTGGCATTTTTAGATTCCGTCGTGGCAATGCCTTTGTTCAATCGCGGAAATGCACATCCAAGATTTCCGCGACCTGAATCATTCATCGAGAAACAGGGGCCCTGTCAACTCAACTTGCTTTGCCAAGGCCACAGTGCTTGTGTGCTGTGCAGATCTGTTTATGTTCGTTGACTTATTCGAGTTTTGATTCAATTCATTGGCGTTTTAACGGCGCTCGGTTGATCAGCCGAAGAACGGACCCCCACACATTAATTATGCTCCTGGGCTTTGCTCATTGACACCAAGCCGCCACAACTGACCGTACGGGCTTGCAACCAACTGACGCGACTGATTGTCGACGTTCAAGAAACGATCTGACTCGCGGTGCCTGACAGTTCCGGCACTTCGCTATGCCCGAGGAAACAGTTGAGACCAACCCATATGATGTATCTTTACGGGTGTCTATTGTGCTAGGTAGAATGTCAATCGCAACACAAGAGGATGGAAAACTGTTCAAGTGAAGTACGAAGAATCGATTGAACATACAAAGAAACTTATTATTCACCTTGAATGAATCAGGGCGCGAACACTCTTGCCTCCTTTCGCTTCCAAGACTTAGAGTGCAGACATTTTATCTCGAGCGTGCTTTGACCTAGTTTGTCAGACGATTCCGCTAATCCAGTCAACGATCTGTAGATCCTCGGCCTTGAAGCGAGCAGATGATCATGTCAGTGCTGATCTACCTAAATTGCGGCATTGATAATCCCGCACAATCTCCCTGATAATGTCCGAGCTACTGCTACAGACAGGTTTGAACTTGGCTAGGCTGGATTATCTACCGAGCACCATAAAATAAAAATCCAGACTCTTGAAGTGTGACGTACTGCGAGTCTATCGTCAGAGATCGTCGCTGGAGTTCAAAACCTAAATTGATGTGTACCTATGAACGAAAGTAGAGATGGCCTGCCTTGACGAGGAAAGTGGCTTCTGGTTCCAGAACCGTCCTGCCAGAGACCAACATGTACAGACAAATTTACATCCAAGGTTTCGGCTGTAGCCTTACATCGCCTCTTATTGATGATTCCGGCAGCAAGGGGTTCAGAGATAGCCTATCAGTCCGTGTAACCCTCGCTTTGACTGAAGCTTTGCGTCCACCACCACGCGCTAGACTCTTGACTGGTGAGTAGGATCAGACAATTCAATCTAACGATATCCAGAACATCTCTCCTTACACCCCTTGCCAGCTCTCAAGTAATTGGTAACAAACCCGGAATTTCAGGGGGGAACCGCCCAGCCTGTAAAACGTGTTCGATGCATAGAGTTGAAGTTCATTAGCGGCAATGCTAACGAGTTTAGTGGTGACCATCTCAAGCTCGAACACGGGGATCAAAGATCCAAGCGCAAGGCTAGTTTTAGCTCATTGACCGACCTGACTCTTGGTGCATTCATTAATGTGGCTACCAAGCATTGTTAAAAGACAAACAATGTCTGGGTAAAACCAAGAGACACACAACCTTGAGCCTTTCCTATACTTTGAGAAGTGATGATCTGAATGTTCATCTCCACCATGGCTATTGATCCGTCTGCCACATCGGTGAGACCCACAGGGCTTGGCCAAACTCTTCTTGGCCTTACCGTCTTCTTTCTTATTCCCACATCAACTGTTGTCATTTTGAGGTGCTTCACTCGGGTTAAATATCGTCTTTTCGGTATTGATGATGGCCTGATGCTTGTGGGTTGGGTAAGATAAACATTGCTCAACATGCCATGAGACACTGACAGTCTGATCAGATGTTGCATGTTACTTTTAGTTCCATGGCCATAAAGACTATCTACACTGGTCTAGGGACAAAGGATGAAAATTTGAACGACTACCTACAAGGTATCACACGAAAAGTAAGCAACGACCATGTTTCAGAAGACACCAACTAATCTTTGATTTAGTGGTTATGGATCGGACAGGTCGTCTACAGCTTTTCATTAATTCCCTTAAAATCCTCCATCTGTTTTACTCTTCTCCGAATCGCCGTAACCAGATCCCATCGTATCATCGCCTGGGGGACTCTTCTTTTCACCGTGATATCGACCGGAGCAGCTACGCTTACGTTATTCATCGTCTGCAGTCCCTTATCTACCGGCATGTCTGAGGCAGATATAGCTTCATGCCCTTCCAAGACAATTCTTGTCGGCTATGTTGTATCTGCCAGTGCAGTTATCGTCGATTGGATTTGTGCACTGCTGCCAATTTTTATGCTGTACAAGTCCAACATGAAGAAGGCGACGAAAGTTTCGGTTAGCATCATCCTTGGACTGGCTGCCTTGTAAGTCTTGATGCTACGATGATTATGGCCGATTTCTGACTTCATAAAGGGCTTCACTTTGCACTATAATTCGATTTCCTTATGTGAGATACTACACTGTACCAACGAATTATCTTTGTGAGTATATGCCAACTATCATTTGCTGAAATTGAATCTTATAATGGGTAGATAATGTCACAAATATTGTCATATGGTCAATTGTCGAGTCGGGCATCGGAATTGTGGCCGGTTCACTACCATCGCTTCGCAAGCTCGTCAGCAACCACTTCCATTTCGACAGCTCGAAGGGCAGCGCTCCATCTCATCGCACACCTTTTGCGGGTGAAAGCAGAGCTGTCATTACTACGAATTCCGCGCCAGCTATACGACGAAGTCACGCCCATAGGAGCCAGGCAGAAAGAGAGTGGGAGCAACTTGACGATGGCTCGTCCAGTAAGAATATCTATGTGCAGGTTCATCTAGAGATGCAGACGATGGAGAGGCCGACGACACCTCAATCCCACGAGTCTCGCGATGACCTTGTATACCGTAAGACCTAAGGGAATTGTGGTTGTGCGCGGTGGCCTAGTTCACCTCTGTTGGTTGGTAAATCATGTCATGTCAGGCGTTTATCCCACCAATCTGTCAATTGAAAAGTGACATACAGGTCATCTAGCGGATGTGTTCAGTGTGTGCGACACCTAAGAGAGGCGTATAGAGTATTTTTCAGTGTGTGTGTTCCACCTGGCTCAACAGTACAGGAGATATGATATTAGCAGGCGAGCGTGTTTTTTGTTTTTTTTACATTCCGATTAGACGAAGTGCTGGGATACTCATATGATTATCAGTCTTTTTATTCATCCTCTATTACCTACGACGGGCTGGACATCTAAGCGGTCATGATATCAGAAAGATTGGCCTTTTTCTCTTCTCTTTTTGGGTGCTTTGTAGTACCAAGATGGGTTGCCCAGGGAGCATAGACTGGAGTGGTACAAATAACGTAGCAGTCTCATCGCGTATGTGCTCTAGCTGTTTTGATGCAGTAAGAGTTTCGGGGGCCGAATAAGGATCAGCAGTCAAGCCAAGAATGCTACGTCGAGATGAGCCTCTAAAGTTAAGCAGTAACTTTACGGGTAGTCAGCACCTTAATGAGAAGAGTTTAGGGACAGTAACATCAAATGGAGTTGGAGAGGATTAACGTCAATATCATCAATAACCTATAAGCTTGGTTAATTCAATTTGTAGAAACTCATGTTGCAACAACGTGGACTGTGCTGCCTACCAGCCCATTATAGAAATGAAATTCGATGACATCACTAGATTCCACCATGTTAATTTACGAAGAGCTGTGCTATCCTCATAAGGTAAGATTGAGGTCGCATAATCAAGTAGCTTTAGGAGAAATAACTCGACCTTTATGTGAGATTAGCATTTGGTTGTATGCGAATAACGAAGCTCTTTATGGAATTCGGTACTTTAGTAGGTCCCAGGCCAACTTAGCCATTTGACCTTTGTAACTTGATACGGAATTAGGAAAGCAAATCGTGCCTCGGCATCTCGACAGCTCAACAGAAAAACAATTGGACCCAACACAGTCCAAGCTAAAGCCGAGGCCGAATTTCCGTAACGCGGGGTTGATGTACTCCCAAAGCAGCAAGGATGAGTAGATACCCCACACGCGTGAGTTGAGCTGTTTTACCCCGGATTTGCTTTTTCAGCTGGGGAAGATGGGGATACGCGCCAGCAGGTTGAAGCGGTAAGGATGGGGTTAAATACCTGGTGCAGCATCGGGGTTTCTCTTCTTTGCACGTTCTGTTCTTGAGGTGCGATCCTGTGACTTTGACCACCCTGTCTTCTCCGCCAACTCGACGCTATCTCTCACCAACATGGCTCTTCATTCACGATGGTCCGAACCAATCCCAAAATGCTCTCTGCAGCAGTGGGTGTTCGGCTCAAGCAATGGACCAATCGAAGATGGCGATAAGTCCATCCTCATTGACGCAGACCGCCCAGATACACACTTCCTCACCAAGTCTCAATTCCGATTACTGTCCAAACAAGTTGCACTCGGTCTCATCAAGAACGGCGTTCAACCACAAAGCAGAGTCCTTGTATTTTCTGCAAACAATGTCTACTTCCCAAGCGTATTCCTCGGCATTCTTATGGCCGGCGGTATCTTCACTGGCGCAAATCCTTCCTTCACGCCACGAGAGCTTGCCTACCAGCTTAAGAACTCAGAGGCTACGCACATGTTTGTTCATGCAGGTCAGCTGCCTACTGCTTTGGAGGCAGCTGAGGAGGTTGGATTGAGCAAGCAGAATATCTTTGTCCTTGACCCCTCTGTTCTCCCACCTGTTGGGCCTAACTCAGCTCTTCCGGCGGCTCGAGAGGATGGTCTTCGCATGTGGACAGAGTTATTGGCAGACAACCACGAACAAGCGAAATCTTGGCAATGGATTGAGCCGCAAGATCCAGAGAACACGACCTGTTGTTTGAACTATAGCAGCGGCACGACTGGAGTTCCTAAAGGTGTCGAGATTACCCACTTCTCGTATGTCGCTAACGGCGCTGGTGTTGTCATGATGTCAGACTTGGAGCCAGATCCTGAACACCGAAAGAACGCAAAGGGCTTGGCCTTTCTTCCTATGTACCATGCGTACGCGCAAACCTATTACATTTCTATTTACCCCAAGGTCAGCATTCCTGCCTACATCATGCCCAGCTTCGACTTTGAAAAGATGCTGCAGCACATTCAACGTTTTCGCGTAACGAGCCTGCTATGTGTCCCACCTATTCTGGTATATCTGTCCAAGCATCCGCTTGTTAAGAAGTACGATCTCAGTAGTATCAACCGTGTCAGCTCTGGTGCTGCGCCACTGAGTCACGAAGTCATTCATGGTGTTGAGAAGTTATGGCCATCGGGCGATGTCACCGTCAAGCAAGGATGGGGCATGACCGAGGTGACATGTACTTGCATGACATGGGATCCTCGGTCAACTACAGACCCTGACAAGGTGGGAGAGCTGGCACCGAACTGCTCGGCCAAGATCATGGAATTGGACGGAAAGACACAAGTTCTGAAGCCAAATGAGCGCGGTGAGCTTTGGGTCACGGGACCAACATTGATGAAAGGATATTGGAAGAACCCCAGTGCCACAGAATCTACTATTGATGTAGACGAAAATGGCGTAAGGTGGTTGAAGACAGGAGACATCGCATATGTTGATGCATTCAAACCAGGAGGCATCTTCCATATCGTTGATCGCATCAAGGAACTCATCAAGGTCAAGGGCAACCAGGTTGCACCCGCAGAATTGGAGGCAGTGCTCTTGGATCACCCTGAGATAGCAGACGCCGCAGTTATCGGTGTTCCATTCGAAGGAGATGAGGCTCCTCGTGCTTATATCGTCAAGGTTCCCGGATCCCAGCTCACTGAGAAGCAAGTGGTAGACTGGATGGAGGCTAGAGTGGCAAGGTATAAGCGCCTCAAAGGTGGCGCTTCGTTTGTGGATATGATCCCAAAGAACCCAGTGAGTTATACCCTTCAGAATTGTGTGTTCTTGTGTACTAATCATTGCTGTTTTTTTAGTCCGGAAAGATCCTTAGACGTGCGCTGCGGGACAAGGCGAAGGAGGAGATGGATGCCAACAAGCCACCTTCTGCACGCCTCTAGTCTGCTTTACCTTGTAAACGGGTAGATCTTTTGTCATGTTCAGTCACATGTTTGTATTGCGGGTTTGCGGTTGTTTCTGTTGTAGATCTAGTTCTAGTTCTAGCGCACCGTTTAGTACAGATAAATACTTGAAGCTCAACAATGAGTAGGCTACAGATTTTGTCATTATAGAGTATAGCATTGTCTCGTGCATGTGTGAGGTCTTCTATATCCCCATTGTCTATGTGAATACACCGAATCACCATCTCGGAATTGCCGGGAGGCGACCGCCTCACTTTCCTCCCTCCTGGTCGCGACTCTGGCCTCAGTCTCACTTGGTCTGGCAACACGAAAGTCGTTCAACCCGTGGAACGTGTGGAAACTTACGAGTTTTTCTACATGTCTACAATGTGTTGGTTAATGTTCAATCGTGAAAGTGAAGAAGATGTGCAAGATGATGACTTTTGAAGAGGATGTAAATGCGTCAATGCGGAACGCGCAAGGCAGACACGTATTTGATGAGTGTGTCGCGGTTCCACGTAACAACACCATGTAAAAGCAATAATGCCGACAGACGCCTACTGGTGTCATTATCCGGAAGCGGTGATTTATTATCTGATAGAATCGGCTCCCGTTTGTAAACTGGTTAACCATACTTTAATTATTGCGGGTATCGTTATGAGCGACATGTCCTGAAGTCATGAATGAGTGCTCCAAGAACTTAACCACACAATGCAGATTGTACGCTACTTTGAGACAGCAAAAGAAATCCTCAAGATCCTCTCCAGACTACCCACGAAAGGCCAAGAATTATCCATACAAGTTATTTATAGTTTTCTCACCTTAATTAATACAGAAACCTGCCCAACTTTGAAAAGCTACAGGGTATCTCAGACAGCGAATAAGAGGCCAAAAATAGCTGAGTCAGCTACAATGCATGCTATTCTGACATCATCATCACGTTCAATCAGGTTCAGCTCATGATCTGAAACTTGGAAGTGGGAAGTGGATGACAATATATGAACTCGTCAGATTCCTCCAACACATAGAATTTAAGCAGATCCAAATGTTAAATAATATCATCACCATGAATATCAACATCCCAAATCTTATCAAATCCGCTGTCCCAGAGGCAGAGGGACGAAACGTGCAGATTCTCTCAGACAACAGATCCAATTATCGAGATGGTAATTTCCTCTCAGGAGATTTCCCACGAAACCCACCCAAGCTTTACATAACCGGAGAAAATGACGACTTTGATGAAATTACTCTGAAAGAGTGGCGGGATGAGGGTTTCAACGTCGAGTACATCTCTATGGAGAGCTGCGGAGATGGCTACTTGAAGAAGATCAAGTCGCTAAGCAGGGAGAACATGGCTCCTTGTGAGAAGTTTGGAATTGTTGGTGAGTCAAGAGTTTATGTTGGAAATGTACCAGGGAAATGCTGAGAGAAAATAGCCTACGACGATGCAGCAGCAGTATGCTTGGAACACTTCCACATTCTAGATAACAACCCGGAATTCAAGCTGGGCCTTCTCATTGCGTACTACCCAACCCGCATCCCCGACACCAATGGCAAGTTTCCCAACAGCATAAGTGCTCTTGTGCATCTCGCAGCTGGTGAAGAAGTAGGCGTTGTCAAGCAGTCTCAGATGGTAGGCATTCAGGGCAAGAAACGCGTGCGACGTACAAAGATCAGCAGTGGTCTTGGTACTGGCGGCAAGCTCGACCTTGCTTATCCTAGCTATACATACGAGGCTGAACCTGGATTTGCTGAGCATGATCTTGATGAGTTTGATGGGGTAGCGGCGGACCTGGCTTGGAGTCGGAGTCTGGCAGCCGCGAGAAAGGTTTTTGGTATTAATCCAGACCTGGAAGTCGTTTTGGAAAATAACTTGCAGAGTGAGTGATGCGGATGTTGGCTAAAAATAATGAAACTGACAGAAATCGGCAGGCAAATTCTTCTCCAAGAACTTGAACCAAGCCATCTCAACATACACAACGCACAAGACGCCTCATGTAACATACATGCCGACCTTGACAGGCGCCACGGGTGCCGAAGAGTTGAAGCGCTTTTACTCAGAAACCTTCACCACACCGCCATCACTCAAAATCACATTACTTTCACGTACTATCGGAGTGGATCGTGTGGTTGACGAGATGCACGTCCAATTCAAGCACACCGAACAAGTGCCATGGATACTGCCCGGAGTCGCACCCACAAACAAGAAGATCGAAATAATTATGGTCAGCATAGTGTCGGTCAAAGGAGGAAGACTGCACCACGAGCATGTTTACTGGGACCAAGCAAGTGTGTTAGTCCAAGCTGAACTGCTGGATCCAAAGCTGTTACCACAATCAGCAAAAGATCTAGGCCTCGAGAAGCTCCCTGTGGTAGGACGCCGAGCGGCGAGAAGGGTAAGGAGGAACAGGGACTTGAGTGATGATGAAGGTGAAGCAGATAATGAGCTAATTCCTGGATGGAAGAACGAGAACAGTGAGAGTGAGGGTGTTGCTGAGCTACCTTGACAGAGTCTTACAATATAGTATGAAAATAATTGTCAGTCTTGTACATACGACCATACCTACCAGAAAATACGGGATCCCGTCCGCTCTCCCATAGTCAAGCTGGTAAGGGGCGGATTAGTAGTTGGGTCGGTGACGACCAGCGAATCCCCGCTGTTGTATGTCTTTTTGTTTATGGGACCACGGGGCCATCTGTATCCTCTTTTTTTTTTCACACTATATATTAGGTAGGCTTGAATCGAATTCCCTACAGTAACATCTTGCGAAAGCTTTCTCTCCTTCACCACTCTTGAGTTTGCCACGGTGATGGCTTTAGTAAGATGCAGATATTAAGCGAGTGATTGTATAATGGTCGAACGAGGGTACATAAACAAATCTACAGTACAATGAAGCATCAAAAAGCTATTCCTCCTGCGTGCATCTTATCATGGTCGGCCTCACTGTCCCTCTAGTTAAGTCCCTTGGCGATGTTTGCATATCGAGAGTTGGGGTACGTGAGACAGTTGTTGGTGCTGTCCAGAGATCCAAGCTTCTTGGAGCTAGTGCCGAGGAGAGAATCAGCTCCTGTCTTATCGGCGGACGCTTCCCAAAACATACTTCCTCCGAGAGACTTGTTCTTGACATAGAGAACCTTGTTCTCAACCATACCAGGCGTGTCAAATGAGATGAGCTCCTTGGTAGCGGCATCGTAGCTGTACGAGGCTTGAGCATCGCGATCGTAAACAAGGCTGGCTCCAGGCTTGGGGAGGGCCTTGTAGTCCCATATGCCGTTCTCCCAGCTGCCGGATCCGACGCCAGAATATCCTTGGCCGAGACCTCCAGTGTTCTGGAACGCGCGACCGTAGATTGGCATGCCAAGAACCATCTTTGCAGAAGGCACACCCCCACCAACATAAGCTTTGACAGCTTGGTCAGTGTTGAAAGGTGTCGCATTCGGGATCTTGGCATTGGCATATTTGTTAGCTTGATGACCAGAGAACGCGCTCCAAGCCCCAGCATAATCGTATGCCATCAGATTGATGTGATCAAGCACGGCACCAAGCTCCTTCATCTTGAGCTTTCCATAGTTCTCAGGACCAGCAGGTGCAGCAATAGACAGCTGGAAGTGGTATCCAGAAGCATATTGCCTCGAGTAAGCGTCGAGCTCATTGCGTACAGCCTGGAGGAGAAGGACCATGTTATTGGCCTCAGTGTCGTTGGCGGGATACTCCCAGTCGACATCGATACCGTCAAAGCCCCAGTCCTTCATAAGAGTTACGGCGCTCTGGGCAAAAGTAGCTCTGGTGGCGGCGGTACTGGCAGCTGCTGGGAAGTTGGTTGACCATGTCCAGCCACCGATAGAGAGCATGACTTTTAGTTTGCGGTTGGCCTTCTTCAGAAGGAAGAGTTGTTTGACGCATCCATAGGCATTGGTTCCGGGCTCCTCCCAGGCTGAAGAACGATGGTTAGTATTAAAAGGTGTAAGTTGAACAAAAGGACTTACAATCACCAGTGTAGTGTTTCTCGAGGTCAGCATACGAGTCGCCAGTATAACTAAAAAGTATGAGTAGACGCATAACATCACGTGAAGGCCAGATACTTACACTGTTCCGTCGGCTCTCACATTGAGGAAAGCATAAAGCACGTGGGTGAGCTGAGAAGCAGGCAAGTTCATGGGCTGGTAGTTTCGTCCGTAGATCCCCCTAGGTATTGTCAGCGGGAAATATTCGTGAAGTCAGTTTGATGTGGCCTACCAGTTGACAAAGTACACTGCATTCACATAGCCAGTAGCTTGCTCGAAAACTTCATCCTCGCTGTTGAGTTCTGTAATGACAAGGTCGGGAACCTTGGAAGGGATGTCTTCACGGGCAACCATTGTGAATGTGTTGATGAGTAAAGATAATAAAGATTTGTAAAAGTTGTAACTTGGATCTAAGAAGCTGGTAATGTTTGCTGTGACTATTGGATATACAGTCGACTTGAACCTTCATTTTATACATAGGAACCCAGTTGAATAATTGTTCGTTGAGCATTAATCGTGATGATAGCATATTCATCACACTGTCGAGTCATCGGCCGTTCTCAGCAGGGTTTGCAACGACGATGCAAGTTTCGATTTGAGAAATGGTCATTGTTGTGGTCAGTATCACCGCTCAAGTGACTGTTGTGGAATGCGACAAAAGCAGATCAAGATCAAGATTAGCTCCGAGGGTCAACATTGTAAAGAGGAAAAAGCCAAACCGGACGCTGTGTGCTTGTAACGTTGCAAAATTGTTTCATTTCCCACACCGATCACGGCTAGCACTCCAGGATAGGACGATAGCGCTCGGACATAATAACAAGGCTAGCCCTACATAACATCGATATCTGAGATAATAAAAACCCGGTGATCCTGCCACTTGATGTATATTGTCGCATTAACTTTCTTCTTTCATGCGAAAACAAGTCTGGTGGAAGTTGAGATAGTGTAGAGTTGCATCCAGATAAATGTATAGATAAGGTAAAGTAAATCATTTGATACCGGATCTTAATGATCAACCTAAAAGCATGCTTTTGCGTGGAGTCGGCAGTGTTGACATGATCGTTACAGAGTAAGGTCGTATTGGAAGGGGCGTGATGGCGGCACCCGATAGCTCTGCTTGCCAGATAGCAAATGACTGTAGGGGGTTAGAGGTTTGCTGGAGATATCATTTAACCTTCTATGTATTTCTGATACCGCAAAACAGCAGCAAAGTATGCCTATCAATATAGGGAATGTCCTGATACATGTAATTATTTCCTCGCCATTTCCCTCTGGCGTGGTACAATTACCGATGAATGCCAAGAAGCTATTGCGGAACAAAGCTGGGACAATGATCTTCATAGACCAAAGATGCTCTTGTGACCATACAATCACTCTTGGAGGTCCGATGCTACATAAAAGTCCATTCGAAGCTACAATAGTGCCTTGTTTAGGAAGGTGGCTTGCCAGCGCATCAATCAACCAACCAAGACATTTGTCCAGGTGGTGCATGTCTCACCTTGACAGTCTAAGAGTCAGGAATAAAACATCCGAGCATGAGGGTACAAAAACAATAACGGTAGGATCTGACCATAAAGTTCGATAAGTTGACTCACTAATTTCTTCTTTTATGCTTTTGATAGCTGGGGTCTCTAATAACCCAAGACGAGTTTTGAGTTAGCTAAAACGAGCTGCAGTTGTTTGTTAGCGACAATAACAACTGCAAACTAAACTAAACTAATCGACAGTCAATTATTGTCGCGTCTAGTCGTGTTGGCCAGAAGGCAAAATGTCATTTACATTCCAAATGAGACTGTCAAGCAGAGAGTAAGCTTCCACCATCTGAAGCTCCTATCAGTTGCAGGTGTTTCTCTCAGTTAATCAGCCCCATCAAAGAATGCAACTGAGAGATATTCTCATAAATTTATGGTGGTAGACCAACAAAAGGATCTGGAGGATCATTCTGTGTAAGGATCTCCTTTGCATGCCTTAGTTCGGGCACTAAAGTCTCGTTCATCCCCATCCAAGAGTGAAGCCCATGGACTACACTTTCCAGGGCACCCACGACCCACGCATGATGCTAACTAACAGCCTCGCCCGCGATGGTCACATCGCCTGATTGTTCAATGAGCCTATTCCACATTGAGCTGAACTTCTGGGATATAAAGAAAGTGAATGCACCTGCTGCACTGGGGTTCATGGACCAACCCCAAGCATGATGGTCGATATAGCTCCTTTTGATGAGCTAATGAAGATCACTGTCATTATATGACTGTTCCTCTGCAAGGTTATCAGATCATGGATCATTAGCTCTCTCAGGGCTGCTTCATCAGCGACCTTGTGGAGCTGTGGTTCGTGTTTGTGGAGATGAGAGAACCAAGGTGATCTGAGTCCTGCTGCCATGAGTAAGAACACAGCAGGACAGCTGTCTTTGATGAGTCATCATAAATATTGTACGATGGGACATTGGTTTCGAATGGAGACATCGGAGTTTATGTTAAGGTGATACATGATGCTTGATGAACTTTAATAGATACGATATACAATGGGGTAAAGAGTATATGCTACAGGTTTGAATGTGAAGGGTAAGACATGTTTATATAAATTGTAGGCTATCACCATGAGACACAAAACCCGAGATTTCCCACCCTATGCATCTTTCTACCGCTGGTCGATTCTAAAGTGTGTAAGCCAGAATCTATGTCGGATGGCGTATTACCTACACAGATGGGATCTATGTCGGCTCTACAAGCCTTCTGGATACAACCGACTCAGAATGATTAGCTAGACAATATAGAGCCCAACAAGTCCACTGTTAGCATAAACGACTATGAATTGCTCGTATACACACCCTTGAAATGATAGAAGCTGCCTCCTGATATACAACTATGTTTCATGCATTGAGACGGTAATAGCATACTCTTTGTCTAGTTGTTGATGGAGCTAGAAAGATAACAAGTTTGAATAAATCGATTGCTATGGACATATGAGAATAATATTGTCATCTAAGATGAAAAAGATTGGAAAGATGTCAACGACAGTCAGGCACAGGTCGCTGTCGGATCCCATAAGAGTGGCATCTAGTTAGAGACTATAACATGTGAAAGTCGATGACCAGCCACAGGAGCGAGAGTTCCAACGGTGACATGCGGCCAGCTAAGACCGTTGAAGTCCAAAAAGACAGTCTGAGAATACTGAATCTGAGTGTACTCAATATTGACAGTCTTGGCATTCGGGATATTCATGTCGACCACGAACTTGGGCACAGCATCTCTGGGACCGGAAGAGGCTGGGGAGACAACCGTCTTCTTATTAACCTTGGTGTCCACCACAGGTAGATTAATCTTGGTCCGGATCTTAGAGAGCCAGTACTGGGCTGTGACCTTGACGGCATTTGCATTGCCGCTCCTGGCCTGGACAGTGGCAGTGTTAACACCACCGTCAGCACCGATGAGAAAGCCGATATTGCTAGTTCCTCCACCAAGATCAGGGTTCTCGGGAGTAGAAGACACCGCAAATGCAGTACTCTCAACGATTGTCTTGCCTTTGTTGGCGTTACGAAGCACAGTGTTGGGATCAGTCAGAATATCCTGTGTAATAGTGCCAGCCTCAATGAAAGTTGTCAGGTCTTGAGGAAGACGATGAGAATTATTGTCGGTAGCATTTTGGCTCCTGAAACCCACAGTCTGGGTGCTTCCGGCGATGAGAGGTGTTATATCGACTGATGGGATGTTTGGCGCACTCTTTGTTGTGACAGGGGGCTGGAAGGATTGCACGTTGATGGATGTTCCATGGGGAATGGACGCCATACGTGAGAGCGAGGCTGGAAGGACAGGCATTTCCTGACTAGCAGGCACATGCATCCACAGGCCAGGTTCAAAATGAATGACAGGCTGCTTCTTGGGCGGTGCCACGATCTCAGTAATATCGGTAATTGTCTGAGTGTATGGCACGCCATTCAGCATCAGGTCAGCCTGTGTGTCCAAACCGCGATTGGGCACATCGGTAAGCCCCTTACTGAACGCCATGGCTTCACTGGTGAGGTTGAGTTGCAGGATATTGTCAGTTGGATCTTCGGTAGGAGGTAGATTGGGAAGAGGGGTAGGAGTCGTTGTGCCGTTGGGTCTGAAGATAGTGTTGAAACCAAAACCACCGTAGGTACCATGGAACTGCGATAGGATACCCAGTTGCGACAGAGCGGCATCGCCGCCAGTGGTCTGGACGCTGGGGAAGCCATTGATCTGTACGAGATCATCATTGTCCTCTGGTTGAACGGGGTCAAGCACAGTTGGACCGAACTTGAAGTCATCGCCCAGATTCATGGGGACGACGGGAGCGGTTGGGAGCATCATGATGAAAGGATGGGTTTCAGTAGTCTCTGATGAAAGAATAGTTGATCGAAAATTTCATTCCTGTGTAGATAAAGCCAGACTCTTGTTATATATAATCGATATATCAGGATCTCTCGAAATGAGGCTTGATTACTCACCGTGTCTTACCTCCGTCGCTCAACGGCGTCAAAGCCAATAACCTGGCTCTTGATCATGCTGAGAGACCACTAATACAACAGCTACAGTAGCACGAGTTCATTCCAGTAGTGAAACGTAGATTCTCTTAACAAAGTTCCAATCACATGTATCTCACCCTGCTGATTTCTTATTATTGCTGACCTTCATTCCAGTATCCAGAATAACAATCCGGGCCGAACCTAGACCACCCAATCCGATAATCACAAAGTTAGGGATTAACTCTCACTAACATGGCGAAAAGTCAAAGTGGCTTTCACAATAGGAATTGCGAATTTCGTATCCAGTAACGCTGATCTGGCGGCTTGGTCTAGACCGGTAGTTACGGCAGCACTAACCCCCAACAAATGCAAGTGAATGTTCCGCAGAAAGAAGCTGGACCTGTGGCTGAAGCTAATGAACATTTAGTTTTGAGAGCAATACGGGGTTTCTAGTGGCCTTGGTGGACGTTCAAATGTTGTCAGCTTTGGGTCATGTTTGCTCTCCCTTGCAATCAGCCTCCAGCAACGGCACATTCTTGCCGGTCAGCCGCACCGTTTGCAAAAGCCGCTGGCCGAACTTCATTACGTGTCCCCAAAGCAACATTAGACTTCGTGCAAGAACTTGACAAGAGGCGCGTTATTTTAACCTATTTTAAAACTGATCGGCACTGCTAATTTAGTTATGTCGTACATCTTAGGACGATGCTAAGACGTACCCGTTATCCCTATATATATAGAAAATAGCGAAAGCCCCTCTGTTATCCTTTTAACGGATCATGTTTCAGCGACTACTGGGGCCTGTCACTCACTATGACATGTCAAGCCCCACGAGCTGCACTTGGAAGGCTTTAATGTCATTTCTTATGTCTCACGTTATCCACCACTTCGACTCATACCTTGTGTTTATACAGTTTCTGTCGTGCCTTTCAGCCGCAAACACTGACTGCATTGCTTAAGACACCATGAAGCCAATCATAGTGGCCAAAATGGTGATCACAATCCCACTCTCATGACCCTGGCACCAATAGGAATATATTTACTCAGCCTCAGGTAGATAGATTGACCGCATGGTTTGCGTCTTGATACCGGATATGGATAGTCTTACGGCATGCTTGAACCCCGCAAACAGTCTGGAATTGGTCGCTCAAAGGACGGCTGCTCGAAGCTTGTCCGGAACGAGGCGGGGGCGGGGTTGAAAGTAGTTGAAACATTTTGATGGTGAGAATTAGTGGCTGGCTGAAAGAGATTGCCGACAGTTCGGTCTGCGCTACAGTGAAAGCATTGGTCAGTTCGAATCACAGCCCTCACTTTTAGAATATCGGGCTCCAGTCGCTTCCTTGCATAGCCTCGCTCTAGGACCATGTATTTATTTCTGAACTGTCGTATCATTGGTGAAACCAGCCTTCACGGGGTGACTGGATTGTCAACTTCAGTATCCATAGTTGCAACTACCAGGGCAGCCACAATGCGTGTCTCAATGCTCTAGGAATGTCGGGCCACCTCTCATGTAGAACAGCACACATCAAATTTCTGTTCGTGTTCGTCAGCTCATGCTGTGTTGCACAGGCTCGGGCGTTTCTTTCTTGGGGGGGGGGGGGGGGGGGTTCGGAGTATATAAAGCAGTCTTGATGATCCACAAAGGTTCTAAGCATCATCTCGCATTCAATAAACCTTTCGCTAAAGCATCATGTTCAAAATTCAAGACTTCACTGGGATGCAATACTCCCGCGATGGCCCAGCCATTGGAAAGCACGACTACGAGTACTTCAATCAGCAATATGCCTCGTCATCTCACCAGGTAGACCACGACATGAACCCAGCCCTCATCGTCCAGCCAAAGGAAGACGCAGATGTCATCAAGGCTGTGAAATGGGCAAAGGATAACAAAGTCGCTGTTGCCGTGAGAAGCGGCGGCCACCAGTACAGTGGTGCTTCATCCACTGGCGGCAAGAACATCCAGATTGACCTCTCCAACACGTACAAGGACATGATGGTTATTGACGCCAGTGGAATTCCCGAGGACAGATCTTTGGTGTACATCGGTGTGAGTAACAGGTTGCAAGATTTTAATGCCTACCTTCGACACAACGATTTGTTCGTCCCACATGGGCAATGCGCCTATGTATGCACTGGTGGGCATGGCCAGACCGGTGGCTATGGTCAACTCGGACGCAGCTTTGGTCTCTTCGGAGACTATATTGTCAGCATCCGCATGGTTGATCACAATGGCTCCATTCAGGAAGTCACCAAGAAGAGTGATCCCGAGCTATTTTACGCTATACTAGGAGGAAGTCCTGGTAACTTCGGCATCATCACCCATTACACTATTGAGGTGCTCCGTGGTGCAAGCTACATGGGCACTGTCGCCGGGCCCAACAACTTCAAGGGCCCCCACGGTTTGAAGGGTTTATGGCTCTATGAGCCCAAGGTCCTCTCTCGTCTTCTTAGTACCATTGCCAAGATGTCCGACGACGGCACAGCACCTCGTGGTTATGATCTATGCTGCAGTGTTCTCAGCACAGAGTTTCCCATCACTATGCTGTTCCCTTCGATGCAAGATGACACTATCTGGCAAAAGGTCCAAAACAAGATCAAGAACGCCCTTAGCCAAGAGGTGCTCAACCTTCTGAACGGTAGCTTTCCGGCTGTTATCGTTCTTTATGCCCAATGGTGCCCCACCAACAAGACTGACAAATACGATGCCACCGTGGACAAGTGGTTTCAGCAGTTCCGTGACTTCCAGAAGGACTGGAAAAACCACACTCTTCGCATCGAGGAATTCGACGAGAGCATGTCCAGCATGACTGGAAAGTGGATTTTTCCAAAGGCAAGAGAATTTGATCTTCCCTATGTCAAGCGGACATACGCCACCAAGTCACAGACACTCCAGAAGGATGGATGGGTCGATGCTACTGTCAAGCGTTTGGATCTCATCTTTAATCCCCAGCAGAAGCTCGGAGACGACAAGTCTGATAAGGAAGGAGAAGTTTACGATCACTGTAAGCTCTCTGTGCAGATTCAATGTTTCGGAGGCCAAAACTCGCGCTTTTTTGTCAACAAAGACAATGGTACCTCGTACAGTTGGAGAGACTCGACCGTCGTGCAGACCCTCGACTGTTTCCACGACCCTGGTGATCAATACAGACAATACGCGATCAACTGGCAGGCTAAGAACGACTCCATCATGATCGGACCCAACAGTCCCTTCAGCAAGAAGGACAGGCGTGTACTTTGGGGCTCATGGGGCGACTGGGATATGAGCAAGCCTGAGATCTGGCAGGCATACTATGAGGATGCGGAGAAGTACAAGAGGCTGGGCAAGACGAGGGCAAGGGCTGACCCTAATGGGACGTTTACTGCGAACCCTTTTGCTGTCGCTGCGGTAAAGGACGGAGCCAAATTGTAATATTCATATCAGCTTATCTCTGAAACCGGAATGAGCTTCTCTATACCAATCCAACTAAATTTCCTTTGTTACATTTTCCAATCGATCCGTACAGATACTGTGAGAGGACCCTAGATAGTCATGTGCTTCTGTGTGGCAGTCATATCTGTATTAATTGTAGCTAGCCATCTACATAAAAATACTGTATTTGCTTTCCCTCAAAACCTGTGCCTCGATAACAAAGGAATTCATAGTGGATGCGTTAAATGTTCTTTGTTGTTGCTGTAAATATATACCTCAATTGACACAACTTATATCAATTAATGGGGCGCTGGCGCAACGGTAGCGCGTCAGATTCCAGCAACATTTCAAGGTTCGCTTTGAACTTCGCCGGTGATTCCTGAAGGTTATCCGTTCGAATCGGGTGTGCCTCATATTTTTGCACGTTTTGATCCTATTTTGACAAACAATCACCAAGATGCTGTATCAATTACGTGACGTTTTTATTGCTTTCTTGGTCGCGTTATTGCTTTGTTCTGCATCTGCATGTCTACCTGAGCCTGTGTATCAATTAATTTCACTTCTTTCCCAGCGCTGACCTCTACTACGATTTCTTCTTTGGCTTTGTCTTGTCCACAATGTCCACCCACTTCATGTCGATTCCCTTCTTGGCCAGGATGTCGTTTGTGAGAATCTTGCGCTGATCACCTTGAACAACAACCTCCATCAACCCAGGTTTCGCACCAGCGACTTGACCCACGCTTGCCGACCCTGCACACTTCTTCTGAAGTTCAGGTGCCAGGACTTGAGGGTCCATAAAGAAAGGTTCAAGATTGGAAATCTTGGTAACAACCTTTGTACCGGTTCGCTTCTCCATCGTGATGAGGATGCGAGGCGGCGATCCAGCCTTGGGCTTTTGGTCAGGTGAGGGGCGTCCTTGTGAAATAATATGGAATGGCTGACACAAGTGAGTGTCTTCGAGGACTCGCTTTTGGAGTGCACTTCGGGTGATTCGTCCTGCTGCAAGCCAGCTGCGATCGTCGTCAGTCGGTCGGTTGCCCAGAATGTCGTTGGCGATGAAAGGATCCAGCTTGACGCTAGAATTGCCCTGACCTCCCAGTTCGGGATGCTCGTCGATGTACGACTTCAGAGCTGCTGAAATCTCTTGCGCGCTGTAGAAGTCGGTCTTTGAAGGGAGGAGGGTCGGTACGAGCTTGGAGGATGGGCGATAGACAAACTGGATATTGATCTTCTGCCCAGAAGATACGCTGCTAGTCGATGACTGACCCGCATCCTCAGTGGAAGAACCAGCTTCGGCAGCCGAGGCTTTGGGTGTCGGCAGTCGATAGGGTCGGAAACCATTGATCTGGGCATCATCAAAGTCAATGTCAAGAATGACCGTCTCACCTCCATTTCTGTCCTTTGCAAGCACGATCTTCTGCTTGTTTAGTTCCTTGATGAACTTTTTCGCATTCTTCCATGATGTCTTCTTGATATTGTAATGCCGACTTTGAGATCGGAGGTTGGGCTGGATCATGCTGGCGATGATAAAAGATGGCTGAAGTGGAAAGTTCAGGCCATAATGAGGTGGGCTGCCAGACTGTTTCGCTTTGTAGGCGGCAAAGAGGAAGGCCTGGTGAAATGCGTTGTCAACCTCTCGTGTCGTTGGTTCTCGTTCTTCGTCGGCGACGTTCGCATCGTCTGCATTGTCTTCCGTTGGGTGCGATTCATCGGGTTGGGTGCTAGGTGATGACTCTGCTGATTGGTTTCCATCTTCCAGTGATACCTTTCCAAGTTGCGATGCGAGCTCTGCACCTAGACCAGTCCATCCTTCGAGGTTTGGAGGTGGGTCGATACCTCCACTGCCGAGAGACTTCCAGCTCCAACATTCGTCACCAGCCCAGTGAAGGGCCTTGACAGCGGCGCCTTTCTGTCCCCGTAAGTCGTCGGGAAGAGTTTGCACGTCGATTTGACAGGTTCCAACCCAAACAGGGACGGTATCATTCTGGAGACCTGCGACAGCCACAACAGCGCCTGTGGTGGCTCGCTTGTCCCATGTGGAGCCTCTAGCTTTCACCAAACCAGGAACCATTAAATCGGCACCCTGCTTGAGCTTCTCTTCGACGACAAAGTCGGGCGTGTGAAGGAGCGGGATGAGATTAGGGTTGCGCCATAGGGTGTAGACAGTCGGTATCAAGCGGGGGTTCTTTCCCGTCTGGAACCAAAGGACGCGTTCATCTTGATCTTGGTGGGTTCCGATGTAGACAGTTCCTTGCTCTGTTGATGTGATGAAGCGAGCGGATGAGGTTGAATCTGGCAGTAGTGAGTTGCGCACTGCTGACAGTGTGCTTGATGATGAAGTCTCGTCAGACTGGTCTGGGAGAGCAACTTGGTAGTCGCGGATAATTTGATCGGCGAGTTTTCGTCGATCTGACGAGCGCAAAGGCGCAAGGTTTCTGATTTCGGGCTTGCGCTTGAACATGATTGAATGGTTGGATGAGATGAGGCAGGGGATGTGATGATCACAGCTCTGGAGCTTGTGAAGTGTGGAGGAGATTTATTTTCTGGTTAGCAGTGGCTTAGTAGTCAATCAATGCTGAGTCATCATTGCGTCATGTCCAGTCACCCCGCGTTAGGCAGTCTCTCTGAAAAGGCAGAGTATAGCACACCAGTGACTCATATGGACTCATTTACTATCATACAGGCTAGAGATAACAAGAATAGTTTATTAATTGGAGTTAACCAATTTTTGTTAAATTGGAAGGACTAATGATCAAGGGGTAACGTGACCAATCGGAACATCCCTTCCTCATGATGGAGTCTTGTCTATCAAACATTTGACCGTAAGCAAACGCTAGACAGAAACAAAAAGGTCACTATCAACATCATCTGCCTGGATAATCATTATCAGGCATCCGACTGTTACTCTCTGATACCTTATGTCACTTTGTGGATATCCATCAACTGTTTGAGTGAAAGCATCCAATGCCTGGCTTCTTCCTGAGGGACGCCCTCGTTGCAATCGGCATTCTCAAATCTGACAATGAACCAACGCCTCTTACAAGTCTATTCAGTAATCTCCCGAGTTATCATCGAATTTTAATCGCTGGTCTCCACAACACTGGAAAGTCAACTGTCCTGGAAAACCATCTCGCATCCAATGTAAAGAATGTAACGACTTTTACCATGTTCACAGTTTGTCATATCAGCATTTACAGATATGGCAACGTTACCTTTCACGTCATGGATATTGGAGCAAGCCGACCTAGTGGATTCCACACAATGGAAAGAGCATTCTTCAACCAAGCAGATGCAGTTGTTTGGGTCGTCGACGCGAATGATTGTGATACACACCTAGAGTCAAGAGAAGAGTTGGTGGCCAAAGTCAATCACAGAGATGGCATGCCAAGGGATGCACCCCTTCTCATACTAGCCAACAAACGAGATCCAAAAGTATGTCTGTCATCTCTAAGTATTCTAATTTTGCTAACAGATTTATAGGACGTTGAGGTTGTACAGAAGATGGAAAGTTTCTTCTTTGATCAAGAATCATCTACACTCAGCACTAGGCCACATGTGAGTTACCAGAAAACCAGCATTTCTATTAGTTAATATCAACCAAGGCAGTTTTTAGCACCAACACACTCACAGGATACGGTTTACCGGAAGCATTTAAATGGCTCGGTGAAATGATTCCAAGTCAAACGAAGTATAACGCGGGGGGTACTGAAAGGGTTAAAGCTTCGATCCAAGACGAAATCATCGAAATACTGGAAAATGGAACTAGCCGGAAGTTTGTGCAAGAAACTAGCCAGTGAACTAACTTGCTAGCCATGTACGAAAGACTTTATCGTTGGTGTTTCTTAACAGGTCAGCATTTGTCCAGCAGTGCACTCTCTTTCAACATATTATGATACGGTTCAATTATTGCCCCAGCCCCCAATCTTTTCTGTCTCTTCTGTCGTTTAATATTAACTGTCCACGCTCCGCACTATACTCATATGTGCATGTTTCACCACTGCCAAAGTTGATTTGGATCATTGACCCTTCAACAAACGTTCGACCGGCAACTATCGTTTCTGATAACAGAAGTCTGTTTGAGACATATTCTTCACCAGCTCATCAACGGCCCTTCAGAATTCTCACCATTGGCCGCCACCGCCATGAGACCCTTCCGCGTGGCTTGCGTACTGTTTACAGTAGTTGCCTCTTCAGAATTTCTTGACGATCTTCTCAAAGACATCAGGTATTGGACGTTCATAGACTGGCCGATAGATAGGCAGTGGAAACCGAAATGGGGGCCCCCATCGCCAGAAAAGTTAGAAATGGAACAGAATAGCACACTGAGGGATCCCAAGGTATTCATTCCCAACCCAGGCTTCGAGCTAAATAGGGGAAAACCTTGGAAGATAGTCGGGAAAGGCATCTAGGTCGTAAGAAACGTCTCCCTTTCTCGTAAAGTAAAGAACTCACTGTAAGTGCAGAGTGACAAGAGTCCACACATCAATCTTGCTGACACAACTATAACCTGTTCACAATCAAGGACGGAATAGAACCACCCGAGGTCTACTCTGTGCATCTTAAAAGCCTCAAAGCTCATCAGGTCTATTATGTCACATTCCATTACCGCTTTGTCGACCTCAAATACGTCTCGGAAAAAGACCCTTGTTACATGGCCATTACGTTGGGAGACATGGTTATGGTACATCCCATATTCGTCAAAAGGGTCCAAGGTCCCCGCCAACTGCTTTACGAACAACTGCGCTATAAACGTGTTACAGTACCCATGTACTCTTGGGTCAGTGTATCTCCTCTTGTTGTCTTAGTATTCTGTGGCACAGACTTTGGCAATGGGGCTTTGGCCAAGGTGTCAATCGATGACATACGTCTTGAGAAGGGTGAGGGGGGAGTTCCGGACTGGGCGTTTGATCTGCCTAGGCTAGAATATAAATATTACTGGCGCGATACGTATATTGCCGACTTCGCAGAACAAAATGCCAAGTGGTGCGAAAATAGCCACTCAAAAGGTATTCTAGTCAACTGCAGACAGATGGATTGGGATGGGTATGATTGCCTTGTTGCAGGTGGCGACTATCGACGTCAAGATCTTTGGGATGAGGGTGTCGGTGACTACTGGCCATTTGAGGAACAGCCAGCCCGCGAGGTCTCGGAGGTGGGCTAAACTACTGTTCACTAGTTAGCAAAAGAACAGCGTCGTTCAAATCAGTAGTTGTCTCTTTCATGTATTCCAGATGCGTGGCGCGGTTGAATGAAGTCAAGATTTAAAAGAGTTTTTGCATTTTTATTAGTGGCATGAGAGCCATTTCCTATGTTGTAAATGTTTATCATCCACTGGTAAGTCTTCAAGACTCGTACTCACGGGTGCTTCCTCGCTTATTTGTAACCCATTACCTTGGGTAACCATATCTATCATCCAACTGTCCCGTCTAAAGCATCTTCTAATCTATGCTGCTTTCTATTCCAAGCATCCACCACTTTTGAGACAAAAGAAAATATTGAAAACATTAAGATAATGTAATGTGGGTGGCATGTTGCGCTGCACTGTGGTTTACAACACAACATGCCATGCTCGCTTGCTTGCTTGACAAAATACTAGGAAACCTCTCTAATGCGTCGTAATATGTATTATCGCATTATCGCACACCGGCCTGCACCAGTCGACTTTCAGCTGCGGGATTGTTGAGAAACTTAGGTACAGAGTCCTAGTTATAAGGTTAGTCCAAGACCGTTTCAATACATTATTAGAATTGGGAGAACTCACGGTGGCCATCAGCTTAAAGACCGCATCATGGGCGGTCTCGAGCAAAGATATCACCTCCTTCAAGGTGTCTGCCACAGTCGCATCGAGGGCTTGCGCCTGTGTCATGCGCTGCATAAGGCTTGACCGAATCTTGTGGTTCACATTGACTTCTCGTGGTGAACCGGGGGCGAGAAAGGTGTTGAAGATGACGTGAGCTGTTGATAGAAGCTCGTTCATCTCAGCTTCCTTCTTGTCGTTCTCAAGCATAGCCTTAGCATCACAGATAATCACGTCGACTTGCTCGTAGAAGGCAAGACCCTCCTCACAGTATGTCTCGCGGAGGTTCTCGCGGAACAGGAGACGCAGTGTGGGGTCAAGCAGGATCTTCTCGAGCTTGTGTCTGTTGCTCTCATTGATAGCACCCTTTGCTGATGAGGAGTCGGTCTTGCCTTGTGATGAGCCACGACTGGATGAGCTGGTTTCGACGAGGTCCTGACCACGCTCAGAGAGCTGGTATATGGCGACAGGTGTGGGCTGGAAGAGCTTGCAGGCGGCGAACTGGTTCATATACGCCAAATCGGCGTTTACTGACTCGATGAGGTTGTAGTGGACAAAGTGGGTTGCCATGTTGACGGCTTCTCGTAGATCGACACATGTTGTTTTGTCTCGTAGCCACTCCGCTACCGATGAGCCAGTAAATGTGTCATGGTATGTGCGGCCGTTTACCTTGCGTTCGGGCTGCATTCTGATGCCTACAGCGCCTTCTGATAGATGTCCCTTCTTTCCCCGACCGTCAACGCCAATCATTCGACAGAAAACAACTTCAGTCGTTGCCCGATCGACGTGGCACGTATCGGTCTTGTTATCACGCTCCAGGTATAAGAGTGGTCCAGTGATAAGACAGTGCAGTTCGCCCATCTGCTCCTGGTACAGTCCATTGGACTGGCAGAACCAGTCAAAGATAGTGATACCCTTTGATGTCGGTCTCCACACTCCTCCCAACTTGAACAACTGATCAGGCTTTCCATCCCCGGCCTCTATGTAGCGGGCATCGACGAATTGTTGGCACAGGTTTCGGGCTGTGGCCTGATTCATAGAAAAGGTTGTGGTGGAAGTGGATACGACGGTACCCAAGGGGTTGTTGGGATCGGGCATTCGATTTGACTGAGTCAGTTTGAGATTACCGAGGTTGTGAATAGCATCTTCTGCCAGGAAGGTGTGCTCGATCTTGACAAAGCGGACACGGTGAGGGACGAGAGGCAATAGACTGGCGAGGAGGGCTGAGAACAAGTCCTGGAGGTCCTGCAAAGTGTCAGCGAGTTTGGTCGGGATGAGTAGAGCTCGGCCGGTTATAACCCGGACAGGGGATTACCAACCTTGGACTGCGGTCGGTCGTCATTGTTGGCGCAAAGCAAACGTGACGACGATTGTGTGATGGTTCCTTTCGACATGTTGGATTTGTGCATAGAAGCCCGCCTATCCAATGAAAAACCTGTTGTATCGAGCATTACTTTCGAATTAAGGAAAAATGCAGATTGCCACACAGCACAGTCAAGTTAGTCAGTAGACACAACCTAATTGTAGGGTGCGGAGCCGGGAGGTAATATAGATGGGAAAGGGGCCATACATTACTCGTGCAAACGTCCTTCGCTACCTCTTCAAGATGGCAAAAGCGGAGAACCACATGGCGAGCCGCACGACCACGCGACTGACTAGATCTTGATGAAGATTAGCTCGGCGATATCCACGTGTTGCGACATGGTAAATTAGCCCGGGAAGATGTCACGATACTACGCCCTTGTCCATTGATGCGTCCGCACTGACAAATAGCATTAGCAGTGAAGGAGAGGGAACCTGGCTACTGGCTCTGCCCTGATGGTTCAGCCCATGTTGTGCATAACATTTGTTTATTCCCACCGAGAACCATTGTGAACCAGCTTCTCCTTTCTATGGACTCTCTGACCCCATTGAAGCAACAAGGTTTACGTCTAGGTCATCTCTAGTTTAGTATTATTATCCTGGAGCCTCGGTTCATAAATTTCAGCCAATTACCGTTTTGCTGCCGCCTAAAACTAAGGCCCTTGTCCTTGAAAAATCTCCAGCATTGTGGCAAATGTTTTCCAGAAGAAAAGTTGTGCATCCTGAAGTCTGGGCTTTATCAGCTCTGCCCGAGAAAAGTAAACACATGCTCTTGGCTTATCCAGGTACACAACAACCGAATGTTTTATCTGGCGGCGTTGTACGGATACAGAACCTGAAAAGAAGCTGGACATGGCTTTGTTGGCGATTGATCGACGGACTGCAGATCAGTATGTTGTTTGCTTCCGCTCACCCACTTTTCATCTCTGCAATTTACCACTTGCGGTTCCGCTGACGGAGGAACTCAACGATGCCGAATTCTTACGGGTTATTAGCGTTGTGGCGCTAATTAGGAGCCGCCGGCTGAGACACTACCTGTATTAGCACATCCTTGGCCATAAAAACCTCTTCCCATCCATACGGAGTAAAGAATTGGAACCTAACTCAGCCAAAAAGCGTGTGGCTTGAGGCTCAAAGCTGCGCTACACCACGCTGGAACAAGATAACGCAAATTAAATGGCAGGGTTTTCACTCCATGTTTGTTCGTCAATCTGTCCGTCCATCTACCTTCACTCGCGGAGATCACCGAGATCTTCCCTTGGCCCGACTTGTAGATTATCGTGCATGCTCGCGTTTCATGCTATGTTTTGGATTACCGAGGTGGAACATTAACCGTCGATGTGTTGAGTTTTTTTCTGTTACACTTGTCATGTATCGTCATCGTCTTTTCTGGTACCGTTACATGTCATCTCTTCTTCTCAACCCCAGCCACCCTTTGTTCACTGAGGTTTTACCGAGCCCACTGTAAACACTTGGCTAGTTCCAACCAGCACTACCTATGTATCACCCTAGGCCATGCCATCTCTACTTCGCTTACATCTGTTCTCCTCTCCTCCAATACTAATTTTTAGTCTCAATTGATCAAATTTCATTTGCTTGGACGTGGCGATCCTCCGCTACCTGCCCCAGATGTTCATCAATTGGATCGCGTTGGCGCTACTGACCCTGGGATAAGGGTTTCCGCAGGGACGTTGTGGTCCTATTTTTGCACCGGTCGCCTGCTAAAATCACCCGTCGCCTGCTAAAATAGCATGACTTGAGATATGCTTGACAAAGGCCCGACGTCACTCTCGCGTGGGAGATGAGATGCTGATCCCGTTACCAAATGTTCGTATTTTGATCTGTGCTCGGGCTGAAATGAAGCCGGTATTTTGAACAGGAGAATCATCCCACGTGGAACCCTGGGAAATGCGATTTAGCTTTATGATGATCATTCAATTAGATGAGCCATGTCCAGGATATCTGACCAGAATACTATTGGTGCCCAACAGCAACTACATAAAACTCGGTCCCAGATCCAGTTCGATGAATTCTCTAGCTATCTTTTTCGACGATATGAGCGCTGAAAGAATGTGAAATTCCTGATTTCTAGTTGCTCTCCAAAAGCAAACGCAATCTTGCGTTACCTGTGGGTCTATCAGTTCATAGACATATTACAAGGGCTTCACTATCGCGGCTCTGCGAGTCGGTATAAAAACAAATACCGAAGTCGACAGATTATTGTGTAACGTAACGCTTCGTATCCGTCTCTAGGAAGAATAAAAAAGAAGGCCATCAATGCAGGGAAAACCGGCAACGAAGCTAGCCGTACCCAAACCGGCTTCTCGTAACTGACTCGTGAACTCTTCCAGCCCCATGTTCCGCTCTTCCGAAACCTCTAGGCTCAGCCATTCTCTTTTAGTTCTGATTTTCCACGTGGCCGACACGTTTTCGTGCTCGAGGCCATGACTAAGGGTTATACTAAAAAGGACCCGTTCTGTGTGTGCTTAGTCTCCTTTTTGCGGGCTTCATCTGCTTGTTGACTGGGGATTGACACATGGGTATTGGACCGTAACATTTCATTGTCTATCTTCTCCTTCAGGGGTCAACCCTTGCTGCGAAACGACGACGGATTCGCGGGCTTGTTAGAACTACGTGATTACCTCGGTAGGCGCAGCTTGTTGCCGAATGCTATGTATCACGACAACTGCAATTCTCATGAACATTGTGGATGGGTAAATAATAATAGAGAAGGAATACCATGTAGGATTGGCCCACTATTATCCCAGCACTGCTCAAGGAGTAATGATTGAGTTTCCGGTCGAGCCAGTGGCCCCATAACCTCTGACTCGGTTCGTTCTGAACATAAAGCCGTATCGCAAATTCCCTCCACTCGATCGGGTCTCCATCACTTTGAGAATTTCTCCACGACAGCAAAGAGCCAATCCAAGCAAGATGATTATCCTCTAACAAGATAGTTTCATGAGCTAGTCTGTGAGGCACGTGGCAGATAGGTGGAATGATAGTTATAGCCCACTATCCGGCAAAGCTATATTGCAGAGGCCACTCGTGTGGATGCACCAGCGGCTCAAATATCCCACTTCCAAGAACTCAAACTTGAGTCGAGGGGCGGCTGCTCCGCGTGGATTTTTCAACGATGATCATCTAAGTAAGAATTAGTCTTTAGGTTGTTCCATAGACTACAGGGGCTATGTAAGTGGGATCTCAGGATAACCCCAGACTTCCATTGTTAGACTTTACGGCGTCAATTGCGCTGGGGACGACACGTCGTGCTCAGCTACGCTAGTCACAGAGGAAGGAGTAGTCATGATCGTGAACATTTTATTAAGTACAGACCAGGCAAATAGGTACGTTGCCAGCCCACGGAAGTGCCGGCAAATAAGTTCTATCAATGACTAGGATTGTTTACATTGATCTTTTGCGAGTTAGTAGTATATGTATACTGTTCTATGTAAAAGATCAGTCTAGGATGATTCCTGATAGAAGAATGACATATCGTGAAGAGATTAGTTGGCTGGCTGGTGGGTGCATAAAACAGGGAGATGGCTTACCCTATGGCTTGACGATAGTTCGTGAAAACAGCATCGAGAACGACAACAAAGTTATTCATATACAAGGGATTAATAGAAAAACTTTGAGAATATTCTTGAGGTATGCATTTGCTTCATTTGGGAGACTTTTGAAAAAAGCTGAAGGGGAAGTGCGCGTTCTTTATGGGTATCTGTCAATAGATTCACCAAGTTTTAATACTTTAACATTTCAAGTTTCTTATAAGGATAGAAAGGATATTTTCTGCCTTAAGGTTAACGTCTATAATAGTAATCGCAGAACTTGATTCTTATGTCTTTAATCTCATAGATCTTTCAAGATTTATTCTACAATATATTTATACAGTTATTTATGTGGATAGAGATTATAGACAGTTAGGTAGCGCTTAATCAATATAATGGCTGGTAAGCGCTCAAGGTTTTATCCAATTGTAACTCGCTGCGGGCGAATGGTTTAGTGGTATAATACTCCCTTAGCATGTTTCCTTCTCTGGAATCGTCAACTGGGAGTGGTCCAGGGTTCGATTCCCTGTTCGTCCAAATTAGGTGGTTTAATTCCACTGTTATCCGCTCTTTTTGCCCCGCGTCTCTGCTTGACAAACCTGTCCATCTTTTTATTTTTATTTTTTTTTACCTTCGAAAGAGCGTGGCCTTCTTCATAGGTAACCTGTCTATCACGAGCTGTAGTTATTACAAATTCTCCTTCGCCCGACAGTCACAAGCTAGAATGAAATTAGCAAGAGCTGGGAGAGCGATACCAGTATTCCAAGTAAACATATTATTGCCAGGGGACAACATCACATGGCGGCGACGGTAAACCACTATTTCTAACGTTTAATCTGGCTGAGACGGTGTCAAGAGGCATGTGATTGGCGCGCATGCTTCTCTCTCCAACTGCGAAAATAAAGGACAGTGGTTATCCAATTGCAACTGTCAATTCAGGTGAGAGGCTTTCACTTGCATGAGTCCAAGACATTCGCATACTTTAAGCTACATCACAAACAGGAAATAGATCTTCTACCAGCTCGTACATCCCCTGAACCCAGATCATGGCCTAGCCTCCATACGGGGAAGCTCTCTCCGGCTACCCAATCAAGAAAATTTATCATGTCTTCTATATTCCCCCGCACAGGACATTTACGCGGGGACCCCGCAAACAAAGCAAGGATTCAGGGGTGAAAGACCAAGCAACGGGCTTGTTTTCCTGAAAGGGAGAGGTCATGACACCATGAAAACTCCTGCCGCACCATTCATATGCCGACGCTACAATTAAGCATCTATCAGGACGTCGGTAGATATTCCGAACTGGTCTGACAGCATCACGAGTTGGCTTCTTGAACAATAGTACCGAGGCTACAATAATAAATATAGTTACTATAAAAGACGCAAAGATCGTCAAGTTGAGCCAGCTAATATTGTGCCTCTCATCTGCATCTCGTGGCAATCATGCGTTTCCAATCCCTTCTCTGGGGAGGACTTTTGGGCCTCTCTAACGTCCTGGCTGCTCCCACCGCCAACTCTGGCCTTCAGGAACCCCCTTCTCAGGTCAAACGTGCCGTTCCCACTTCAACCTTCTCCAACAACGTCATATTCTCTCCTCCATCTAATGCCGGATGGACTGACCCCCGTGTGCTCTACGCTCGTGCCATCCAGCTCTCCGACGGTTCTCTTCTCTCCACTTGGGAGAACTATTCGCCTGAGCCACCTCTGGTTTACTTTCCCATCTACCGATCCACTGATGGTGGTGTGAAGTGGACTCAGATCGGAAAGGTTCAAGACACTGTTAACAACTGGGGATTGCGATACCAGCCTGACCTCTATGAGCTACCTAGGGCTATTGGAAAGTGGCCTAAGGGTACTATCCTAGCCACTGGAAACAGTATCCCTACCGACTTGAGCAAAACCAAGATCGATGTTTATGCTAGCACCGATGGCGGAAAGACCTGGAAATTCACCAGCTCCATCGCTTCTGGAGGAGAGGCTCGACCCAATAATGGCCTCACCCCTGTCTGGGAGCCTCACATGATGGTTTACAAGGAGAAGCTTGTGTGTTACTACGCCGACCAGCGTGACCCCAAGCACGGCCAGAAACTCTCTCACCAAACCACCACAGACCTCGTCAGCTGGTCTGCTCTTGTTAACGATGTTGCTGATAGCAACTACAACGCCCGCCCTGGTATGCCTGGAATTACTCTCCTACCTAATGGTCAGTACATCTTTGTCTACGAGACCTGCGGTACCGACGGCTGCCGTGTCCACTACCGCCTGAGCGCCGATCCCCTCAACTTTGCTGCTGCCAAGGACATTGCTCTCGTTTCCAACAAGGGCACTCGTCCTGTCAGCTCACCTACCGTTGTGTGGAGCTCAGTTGGTGGTGCCAATGGAAGCATTATTGTCAGCGCTGGAAGCCAGAGCCAGATCTTTGTCAACAAGAACCTGGGTGCTGAGAACTCTTGGGTCGAGTTCGCTACACCTCAACCAAATGCGTACACTCGAGGTCTTATGACTTTTAAGGAGAACGATAACTTCCTCCTTATCATTGGTGGTGGATGGTTGCCTCCAAGCTCTACCAACCAAGTCAGCTTGAGTGTTATTGACCTGAAGAAGACTGGATTGTAGGTTGTGTAGATAGAACAATCGGACTACCAATAGATACCATTACTTTCTACCTCTGAGTGGAACATACGAATCAAGAATGAACAAATGATATGATCGCCAGTTCCCCAATTCTGTAGCTGTCCAACGTAACATGGAGTGCAGATTCTTTCGCCTTGGTGCATGTGGGATAAGCGGGGATGCTTCAGTACGCCCTCAGTCACATTTTGTAATGGAAAATGTCAATTCTGGTTCCACTTCAATAAACAAAAAAGGGTAGCCATGGCTATTCATCAATCTAAGCCTTAGCAGCGTTTTTGGTCTACATGCTTAATCTGAGTTGACTGTTGTCCATACTTGTGTACTGTACCTAGACCAGTCCTTTAATTGGCAGACCCCCTAACTCTAACAAAAGTACAGATTAGACCAGCATATACCAAGGTTCCTATTTTAATAGTTACTACGAGTACGACGAATGTCTTATAGTATTCGACCCTCTCAGTCTTTTATTAGTTGAGTGAAATCATCTTATTATCAAGTGACCCGCTGTGTGATCCATCAACTAAACACAAGAAAAGCATATCTCAGATGTGGGTACCCGTAGATTGGAGATGTCGCTTTCTTTACAATTGACTGCCAAGCATGAGATAGCTGCTATCTCGATATTTCCAGTGCTTTTGCAATGGCAGGGTATGTCAGCGAGGTTTGTACAACCGACCACAGAGGCTACTGAAGGGAGACATGGGATCTTATCTAGCGATAGCATGAGTCTGATGTTCAGTTTTGTAAATCTACTGACACCGCAGGGTGGGGTGGAAGAAAGCTGGGTAAAATCAGGGGGGGCTGGTCATTGTTGACGCCAATGTATTGTTGACGACAGTGACGGACGATATGAATAATGATTTGGCCTGCATTCTGATAGATCTTTAACTGAATGGATGTTATGAAGGGCAGCTAAGAACTACTTCTGATCAAACCGCAGGGGGAAAGATAGTAGTATATATTTGTTTATAAGAAAAGGTTTCAGGGGTGTCAAGTCAAGCCTGTCCTTGAGAATCAGATACCGTATGACAGATCGATATAAACCTTCCCGCGCATCTCACCTCGTAATAGCATGTGCCGTTCTTTGACTTAGGGAAGCACGGTGTCGGTTCTTCTGTTGGCTAAAACCGATCATGTGACACTTCGGGATTGGGTTTTATACCCTAGTAGCACGGTATAGAACGGTCCGATCGAAGTCTCGCTTTGTTGACTCATGTTGGTAACATATTCTACAGAAATGACGTCTACGGGTGAACGTTATCTCAACAAGCGAATTGGCCTTCCTCGGTCGCGTCACATTTTGGAGAAAGATTTTATATACGGCTATATGACGAAGCGAATCTGGTCCATATTATCAATCATTGTCTTACGAGTTTACGACAGAAAGATGTCCCTTCAAGGTTAACCAAATTTGCGTAACTAAGATGGCTTGTATTCAGGTATGTGCTACCATTTATATACCCTGGATGACATGCCACATCTAAGCACAAGCAGTGCAGACAGCAGCGGCGGCAGCTTGCACGGATAGCGCCAATGGAATCCCACAGTTGCCAACGACACATCCAAGAGCCGAAGCCTGAATCACTTCAGAGCTAGCACACTGGCAGGCAATATCGCTACAACCGGCAGCAGAAGCAGCAGAGGTGATACAGGGAGCCTTCAGAAGTCCATTAGTACATGATGCCTTTGACTAGTGGTTGTGTCACTTACACCGCAAGTGGGAATGGCTGACGTCTCGGGGCAGTCAGTTGGCGCGGCCTGTGGCATGGCGAAGGCAGTGCCGAGGAAAGCGGCGACGATGAATGAGGTAGTGAATTGCATGTTTAGTGATGGGCTGGTATGATACAAAGGTTTGTGTGTGTTGAATTGTTGGGTTATTTCTATCGAACTTCAAATGACTACGCCAAGGTATTTATAGGCGAAGCCCGACTGCTATTGCGTTTCCCCGCCCTCCTTAGTTTTCCAGTGGAGAGCATGTGAATACCATTGCCCATACATTTGCGGCGCTTAACGAAGATTCAATGAAGTCTCAGAAGATCTTTTCCGTTGCATGTCCTGTATTTCAGCCACTCGAGACGGATGGTGTTTCCTCTTGTGGCATGAAGACTTGTAGATCGTCTCACGACTAAGGTCGAGTCCAGAATCAGCGACCGGCCGGCGAGGGGAACCCCGAGCGGCCGAGGCTTGTAACTTCGTATCACTTTGAAAAGCATCACACGTGAAGTTATTATTGAGAGCATGTCACAATTATATCAATCGAGAGCAGGGTTCCCCACAAACACTTCCTGGGGTAGCGGAAGGTGGTAGTGTGCCGTTACATTAGCGGCAAGGAACTTGGCAAAACTAGTAGATATCCTTGCCGATATGTAGACGTCCGATATAGGAAAGTCTTCGAGCGCCTCACCTACTGTGACAGTATTGTATATTCATATGGTCAAGTAAATACTTGTGAGGAGCGGGGTTTTGGTAGGACGAACTGATCAGATGATAATCGGCAAAATAAAATCATGTGAAAGCGAATATCGTACATGTGAACAAAACCTCTTGCCTTGTTTCACCGTGAAAGTGCCCCTACCTTCATCTTTGGCATTGCTGATACGTGATTAGCACTCGGCCGCTCGCTAGGATGATGGACAAGCATTTCCCCGCCACTCATAGTTCGAGTGACCAAGTACATCGACCCGTTTAGTCGAAGGTGTATTAGTATAAAATAAACAAATTGTTTGAACGATTCTCGGCCAAATGTGTGTCGATCGTCGAACCAAAACTCTACAGATTACAAACAACACAAAGCAAAACATTCTTTTGGGGTGTACCTCTGGGGGTTCCAAATCAAGGAACTCGATGAAGCAGACATATTTTAATCTAAAGGGACGAATGATGTGCTCTTAAATGACAATAAGACCCGAGACTTGGAGACAGTAATGTAATGGCTGTAGAGATATAAGAAGAGACTCTCAGCCGAAGCAACTTCTTATTAGTCCGGAATATCGTTATAGGATGTGTGCTATCAAACTAGTTATAGGGTTCCTCTCTGTCATCGTATCACGGCTGCTTGCTAACCGGAGAATGTCTCGTTTTGCAAAGCAAACAATTGCCAAAGATCCAGGTGTAGTGGCCGTGAATCACTTGCTGCTTTGACGTGGGAAACGATCATTATAAAGCCTACAAGACCTTGTACTCAACTTTAGGCAACGAGTACAATGACACGAGTACATAAGTACAAACGTGGGGTTGAGATATTGAAACGAATTCACGCCCAGGGAACTAAGAATATAATTGCGAATTGTTCTATGTATGAATTTTTTAGCTGTTTCTAAAACCAAGCCCACTACTCATTGACGAATATCTGCACCGATAGAAGAAAGATATTTGCACTGTTTCTGCAAATCCTTACTTATCTTCTCCATCCTCGTGCTACCACCAGTCTCAAACAGAATGCGCTCCTTTCCCTTCTCGGTCCATGTCCCCCAGTTGACAGAGCCCTCATGACGATACTTGTTGGGGTCCAAAGATCGGATAAAACTTGACCAGTAACCCTGAACAATTGGGATAACAGGCCCGTTCTTTTCACCTGGAAAGTAACTTGCTGGAGGATTGTTGTTACCCAGTCCAGGTCCGAAGATGGCATTCAACTCCGCCACGTGGGGGACACCAAGACCCTGCGCCATTTCATCAGGGTCCTCGACATTATACCGGTAGTTCCAAGATTGAGAAACACCGTACTTCGTCAAGGCATTGGAGATGTAGATACCAGGGCACATGTATCGCATGTCTCCATATGCAGTGCTAGCCTGTCGCCAATAACATCCGGCATTGGGGCAGGTGTCATTCTTGTTGGGGTAGAGATCATTGATCGTTCCAAGCTGCTCCAACGTCAAAAATGGAAACTGGGCTTTGAGGAACTCGTCACTGTCGGCGAGACTGGCGGCATCCCGCGGCGGAAAAGGAGTTCCACCGTTGGTATCATCGCCTGTGATGAGAGGGACCTTGATGAACTTTCCTTGCTCGAATAGCTTATATGTCAAGTCAGGGATCAAGTCGTTGTCGAGTGAAACGGTCCACATGTAAAGGGGACCTTTAGAGCTCCCTTGAAATGGAATAGCCTTGTTCACTTTCTGTATGTCTTGGGGTGACTTTGAGCGAATACACCGTAGAACATCCTTCTTGGAGCCGGCACAACCAAGACGAATAACCAGGTTCTCGTATTGGTAGGCTGACTCCTTGGGAGTCAAAAGTGTACCAAAGGAGATGGATTCTGCCGCAGCACCATGAAACAGTCCTTCATCTTTACCACCATACGCACTCAAATGAAGGCTGACGCTTGCAGCACCAGCTGAGTCGCCTCCAATGACCACATGGTCTGGGTTTCCACCGAACTTGGCAATATACTTCTGGACCCATTTGAGGGCCTTTCGCTGGTCATGAAGACCAAGGTTAGGTTTGATGTCGGCACCATCGTTAAGAAACCCATAGACGCCAACGCGATAATGGATGCTGACGACAATCATATCCAGATCACCAGCCTTAACGAGGCCTGTTCCGTTGACGTTGGGATTGGCATTGTTGTTGAAGCCGCCACCTTGGATGTAGAAGTAAACCGGAAGCTTGTCTTTGCTTGAGGCTTGCGTCGGGGCCCAGATGTTGAGGAAAAGGCAATCTTCAGCATCGGTATCACCGATGACCTTTGGGTCAGTGCTCGTCCCTATGCAAACAGGCTTGCGCTGTTGTTAATGTCAGCCGATATCCTCCAATTTTATTTCAGGGAGACGTTGTACCTTGGTGGCATCCTGTACTGCTCTTACGCGGCTGGGATCTTGAGGCATTGTCCATCTCAGATCTTTGACTGGCGCGGCAGCGTAACGCACACCAAGCCATTCCGAGACGCCATTCCCAAGATCTTTACCCTTGTACTTGCTATATCCGAGATCGATAGTGGGATCTATAGCGACAGAGGGCAGAGCCAGTGCTCCAAGCAGCAATAGGCGAAATATCGACTGCATGGCAAAGTCAATTAATATATGATGACACTCTTATTGAAACACGAGAGAAGTCGATGACAAAAAATACGATATAAACCGTTTTCGGCTCTCAAAAGTTGATGCCGTTCTCGGCGCTTCACCGGCCTTTTATTCCAGGTTTGTTTGACCATATCCTCATTTTTGCCTTGCCAGAGATCACGGGTCGACGTTTTGATTGCTCTATTGGGTCAAGTCTTCAAAGTCCGGGGAAATAAAGTGGTGCATTGTGTGGGGGATGGGGAAACTAACAAGGATGAAGCTGTTAGAATACTACCATAGTTTACCCAGTACCGACAAGTGATTAAGCCTGGACTGGATATTATTCCGCTTATACATGATCAGCATGCTCGTATTGGACTAGCCTGTCATGTTTTCCGGCTGGTAAACAAACGGTTCAGAATGGTTCAGAATGTTCGCCGAAGACCTGACAGGCTATTGAAGAAGACGAGCCTTGCCTAGGATGGGTCCTAGTAGCACTATTTATTTCCACAGTTCTTCCTTAGAATTGTTCTAACAAAGTCCAAATAATGAAGCCGAGAACAAAATTCTTGCCATGCAGTCAATTAGACTTCAGACAATCTCATTCTTGTTACAACTATTCTTTAACTGGCGTTGGAAATGTCATCGAGCCACAGTCAGGTCAGCATCTGCAGGAATGGATGGCGCCTAGTCAACAATGAATGCCGTTCAACAGTATAGGCGAGGTTGGAACATCCACCTTGCTTGTTATTATAGCACTAGCATTCGTTTGCTCATAGTCACGACACCAAATGAATTTTGGTTTATTTAAATCAGACACTAACAGGGAAATAAAGACCATGAGCGGTTCCATGGGGCGACATCAACCGTGAACTGTACTGTTTGTTCCAACAGATGGCGCCGAGAATTCCACAAAGATTCTTAACTTTCATGCTTGCACATTGTGATCAGAATGGAATGAATTCAACATAAGTCGCTGTTTCTTCTTAATTTGAGATCACATCTCCAGCTTCCAGGGCCACTAGAAGCATGAAGACATTACGAGTGGTTTGCCTATCAGTTGTCTCAGATGTGACAAGCCTCTACTGTAGGGATAACATTGTCTCGCAAATTAGATCTTGCGATGGCCATCAAGCTAATAAAAAATGTCTTATAGCGTAGCGTGGGCCCCATAGACAATACGTGGCATCATGGGAGATATTAAATTCTCCCTTGCGACGAAATCTATTCCACCAGAACCCATTTTGACCTGCGCGCCGTGGATGAACTGGACCAGCCACGGATAACAAAGATAAGCACAATTCGTTGTGCAAATACGAAAGCCTCCTCGCTGTGGTCTTTTCTTGTCAACATATCACCCCTTGGTGACTGACTATTGTTATCTTGTCATTGAGTTCGTCGCAATGAATCGATACTGGACAAGAATTCTCTCCACAGCCCTCGCAACGCTTTTCCTGGCGGCTGTTACTCTCAAGACACTTTACCCTGGGAATGACCCTTACAGATGCCGTGCTACCCAGAACACAGGTCGATGGATAGACCCTGTACGAGATGAAGAAGGAAATCGCGATCCCTTTTTACAGTGGCAGCCTGACGGATGCATGTTAAGTCCATACGAGTCAGAAGATATTCGAAGATGTATGGAAGGCAGGAGGATAGTCGTCTCTGGAGACTCGACATCAAAACATGTTGCACGTGCCATGGGTAACATGGTAAGTTGTTGTGACAGCTATTCACTCACGATTGGTATTGACGTGACCACAGCTTGATAGTAAGCATTTCAAGAAGGACGACTTGGTAAAGGGATTACCGAAAATGAAATCATCCTATCTGACCTACCACGGACAGACGATCGAACGCCTTACTAACGTGTGGATCTCCGCCCACGATGTTCCTGGCCAGGAACTATTCGTGCAGAACATCGAGAAATACGCATACGAGAGGAATCATATCCCCACCATTGAGGAACAAGAAGGCCCCGCTCTAATATATATCGCGGCGGGTGCTTGGTTCAGTCATCCTCACGTTGTCACCACGCGCAACAAGACTGATCCCCAGGGAAAGAACAAGACTGACCCCTGGGATACGCGCTATGAACTCTTTAGAAATCACGTCGTCAGTCTCAACAAGTTCATTGGCGAAAACACCCCAGATCATGACCCCTTCACAGCCCCAATGGATCCCTATGACGGTATCGGCAATCTGATTCTGTACGCCCCGCCAGCCGGACCGCGATATCTAGGCGACAACCCTTATCAAAAGATAGATAGAGGCCGAAGGGCGGACGAGATTGTTGAGATGCAGCAGTGGCTCCATGACAACGAAGGTAACATGAGCATCCCCCTCGTGTGGTCGGTTCCTGGCATGGTCGTGGGCCAGGATAAAATCTGGCGCGATCCCTTACGCACAGGTTTTCATGTCAAGTTCCACGTCGCCCAGTTGCGGGCTAATATACTTTTCAACATGCGGTGTAACGCGAAGCTGGACAGGATGGAGTCTTACCCATACTCGCGTACTTGCTGTACCGATTATGGTATCAAGTACTTCACACAGACAGCTTTAGTTTGGCTGGGCATGATTTACTTGACTATTTGTATCTTCTGTGAACTCTTGGACCTTTTCACCGTCCGACCGCAGGATGAACCGCACTGGAGTCTGTTCAACATACGAACAGCATGTCTCGTATTGGCTCTACTTATGTGCTACTACGCAGATCGTACACAAATGATGGCCAAGGGAAGTAAGCTTTGGCAGTTGGAAGACTTTATCGCTCTGGTTTTACCGTGCGTCGCCATTCTGATCTCTACCATTCGGCGTTCAGACTCTTATCCGGATGTGTCTTTGACAAAGCCGGATACGGACGAGCCATTTCTGTCGACAGACCAGATTGATGAATGGAAGGGATGGATGCAGCTCTTCATCCTCATATTCCACTGGACCGGAGCCCAAGGAGGTCCGATCCACATCATTGCTTGTCTTTGCGTGGGCGCTTATATCTTTCAAACTGGTTATAGCCACACCCTCGACTTCATGAACGAGAAAGACTTCTCTTTCAACCGCGTTGCGGCCACTCTTCTTCGACTTAATATCCTGCCATGCTTGCTCACTTACTTCATGGACACAGACTATGTGTTTTACTACTTGTCACCGCTCCTGTCTTTCTGGTTCCTCGTCGTATACGCAACCATGGCATTTGACAGGAGACACAATGCCGATTTACAGTTCTTGCTGGTAAAGATATGTTTCTCCTGCATGCTTGTCTCAGTCATGTTCCTCGCCACGCCATTCACAGATTGGGCATTTTACATCCTGCAGGCCGTCTTCAAGATACAGTGGAGCGCTGAGGAATGGCAGCACAGCGTCACGTTAGACATTTTCGTAGCGTACGTCGGAATGCTGGCTGCTATCATCAACCGCGAGATGAAGCACGCAGATATTTTCGTTCGTTTGGGTCTTCGTGTGTGTCTTGCTCTTGGAGGTCTGTTCTCAATCTTGCATTATCTGTCATTCACCTCAGGCTTCACCGAAAGCTCATACATGAAGTGGCACCCTTACGTCTCTGCCATTCCGATCTTGTCTTTCATTGCTCTGCGGAATATTCCGTGGGCCGCGAGGAATTATCACTCTAGAGCTATGGCCTGGCTGGGTCGCTGCTCTTTAGAAACATATGCCCTTCAATTCCACCTACTCCTCGCAGCCGACACGCAAGGAATCCTCATCGTGGATGGTCTTTTTGGCGATGGTACACTTTTGGGAGACCGATGGAGAACCTTGGTCATAATTGTGCCCATTTTCCTATGGATCAGTCACGCAGCCGCTGAGTCGACTACCTACATTGTCAAGCTACTTATGCATGAGAGCGCGGAGAGCGAAAAGACTGCCGTATCCAGACTTTTGCCTAATTGGATAAAGATGATTCCAGGCTGTTCGGATATTGAAGAGCCCAAAATTCGTATCGTGTGCCTTCTTCTGCTCATGTGGTGCCTCAACTTGATGACACCTGGACATGACGTGCCAGTTGCAATGGATGGAGGCCACAGCTTTACGGACCAAACTGGTAATTTTACCAGAGAGACCCCGTCGTTGTTTCAATTAAATGGCACTACTTGGTAGAGTAGATAGAATGTATCGTCTGTTTGTATTTATTGAAGCATTTGATTGATGTCGATAGCCTGTTCGCCACTTCTTGATCCTAATTAGGTAGGTAGATAACCAGTTAGCGTCGATCCCCCACCCTCTCTCTACAAACAGGATGAGTCAGAAGGAATTTTCATGCAGCGAACAATTGAGCTAATTTTTCAACCTTCAATCCATTGAAGTTCAATCTATTGCATGCATCAATTCATTCCACAATGCCGTCTTCTTCTTATCCCGCTCAAGCTGTAGAGCTGCAGACTCTCGATTTTACTCATGGAATTAATGCAGCGCCGAAACAACCTAATCCGGTTTTATCTTCGGCAGGCCGACGCCTAGGAGGATCCCACGATGATCAAGATCAAGGTCAAGATCAGCAAGTCGATGCTACGGACGATGAAGCGATTCCATCAAGGGCCGCTGTTGTTGTTGAGAAGTGGAACGAGCCAATTGGTAATGCCTTTCGGGTCGCTGCTGTTTTCTTTAGTCTTTTCGTCTCTGGCGCCAACGATGCAGCCTATGGTGCTCTGATTCCTTACTTGGAGACATATTACGAACTTTCATACCTCGTCGTCTCGCTCATCTTCCTCTCTCCATTCGTTGGCTTCATTGTTTCTGCCGCGACCAACAATTATCTTCACATGAGAATCGGTCACCGATGGATTGCCTTTATGTGCGGTGGATGTCACGTCTTGACATACTTGATCCTGTCTCAGCACCCGCCCTATCCTGTCCTGGTCTTGGCATATGTCTTGGCTGGTTTGGGTAACGGGATTGGCCTTGCAGCTTGGAATTCATATATAGGCAATCTTGCTAGATCCAACGAGCTATTGGGTTTTATGCACGCGAGCTACGGTCTTGGAGGTACTGTGAGCCCTCTGATTGCGACCAGCATGATTACCCAAGCCAACCTTGGCTGGTATGACTTTTACTATGTACTTGTAAGTTACTCCCAACGCTAAGATTTGTCAAACATGTTAATCGATCCTTCGCAGCTTGGCATGGCTGTCCTCGAAACTGCTACCCTCACATACTCGTTCTGGCCCAAGACAGCTCAGAAGTATCGCGAGACTGTCAATGCAACGGGCACCCGCAATCAAAGTACCCGATCTGCCCTTTTTGTCAGACCCCACGCTCGTGTCGTTTGGCTCTGTGCCCTGTTTCTCCTCGGCTACGTTGGTGTAGAGGTCGCCTTGGGTGGCTGGGTCGTACAGTTCATGTTGCGTGTTCGTAACGCCGACCCTTTTGACGCAGGAATGACAGCCGTCGGCTTCTGGCTGGGCATCACAATGGGACGCATGATTCTAGGCATGGTTATCCCGAAGATAGGTGTCAAACTGTCACTCCTCATCTTCATTCCCATCACTATGGCTCTGCAGCTCATCTTCTGGCTTGTCCCTCAATTCCACGTATCGGCCGTGGCTGTTGCTCTGCAGGGCTTCTTCCTAGGACCAATGTTCCCCTGCGTAATTGTGGCTGTCACGATGCTTCTGCCCCGACATCTTCATGTAAGTGCCATTGGATTTGCTGCTGCATTTGGAGGAAGCGGTGCGGCTATTCTGCCTTTCGCGGTCGGCGCTATTGCGCAGGCCAAGGGTGTTCAGGTTCTGCAACCTATAATTCTTGCCATCTTGGTAGTTTTGCTAGGTATTTGGGTTTGTTTGCCCAAGATTGAGAAGAGGAAGGACTAACGAAGCTTGGTAATTACCATGTATATCTTCTGTACTTCTTTTTTGTTTCTTGTTTGTATGAGGTTTTACGGCGACGGGAGACGTCCATTGCTCCAGAGAAATTATCCGGCCACATTTGCAAACCAAGATCAATGACTTGTCGGTAAGTGCTAACGACAACAATATTTTGTACGTAAATATAAATAGAAAAGAGACATTCTTTAGGTTCATCATCTTCTTGATCCCACTTTACCGTGTAAAAGTGGGATTTTATTCCATTATTTCGGTACGTGTATCGTTCTTACTTTTAAACAGTAGTGTCCGCACAATAGTCTTTGATTCAAGGTCCAATGCCGTCAGTCAAGTATACTTTTATTATTTAAAACTCTGATACATCCAGTGAGACATGATTCTATCTTGATGATAACCCAGTCACGCTTTAAGTTTGAAGAATCGCATCAGGTGACAAATCTTATCCCCATCTTCAATATCAGCAACTATAGACGTGCAGCTCATGCATGGATATGGAATACCTGACAACTATTATGTACGTAAATCAATGAAAGGGAGGACTATGTTATCTGAGATCCCATCTTAATTACTGTGATTTATGTTAGGTCGATGTCTCAGATGCTTTGTAACCCTCACGCACTTTAACTTTAGACACCAGCGTATTTCAACGCACATTTATGAACACCCTGAGTTTGCTGATCTACAAAACCTTCACCATCTTACTTAACGAAGTGTTAAAATTTGCGGAGGAAAATTCATTATATAAAGTGTCTCTGAACTCTTGGTTATGCGAATTCTTCTTACGCTCTTCCAATACCACGTCCCATCAGCGACCTACCCACTGCTATGCACGACTTCAACTTTCAACGACAACTCTAAAATGGTCCTTTCTCCCTTCTCCGGTAGACCCATCCTGTCAGCTACCGACGAAGCTGTATTGGTTTGGCTGGGTCTTGCTTCCGCCGGTGATGAGTACGGCAATAGGCAGCTCCACAAACGGCTCGCTCAACCAGGGTCCGCCCTGGGGTTCTACAGCTGTGACAATGGTCATTGTTTCGAGACCAATGCTGACGCATTTATCACTATTCCAGGCCGGACCGTCTCGGAGGCTACAATCCACTTCCTTGGTTTCACTGCGGAAAAGACGGCAGAGATCTGGGAAGGCTGGGTGGATATGTATTTGGACTTACCAAGAGTTCCCAACTGGTTTCTTTGTGGATTTGCGCTAGACTACATCAACACCACTATAGATGCAAGCAATGACAAAGACGATGCGACATGGAGACGCGTCATGACTATTTTGGGAGTGGCAGCCTCTCTTCAGGATTTCATCCTAGATCCCGCGCACAGGCACATTCGGGCTAAGCACAGTTGTGCTTCCTGGATCAAACAAACGATCCAAGAGCGATATAACAGGCTACGTAATATTCAGACGGCATCTCGGTCACGGGCGGAGTTGCTGGAGCCTACTATCTAGAGACATCATGTTTTTATCTTCTCAAATGGACTAAGTGGTTGTTCATCTCAACGAAGTCGATCGAAGATGCACAATGCTGACTAAATATGTAGTCTATCTAAGATTTCAAAATGTACAAATTGTTATACCTCGACCCGTGAGCGCGTGAGTTCAGTCGCCCTGGTTTTTGAACTTGAACGATGGTCTTGTTCATTCGCCATCAAAAATCAACAAACTCTGAATGTTAACTCTCCCAAAGCCGCCGCGCTTTAGCTTTTGACGTCCGCAGTGGATCGGAAACTCAGCAACGGTCATGACACTGATATCCTCCACATCGACACCAGTTTTGACCAGTAGCTTGAGCATCGACAGCAGCGTGCTTCCAGTTGCCAGCACGTCATCAATTACCACTACCCGGGCACCTTTTCGAAGTTCGTTGGCGCCCATCTCAATATTTTCCTCTTTTGTTCCATTTACATGAGACGAGACATGCGAGGCGCTCTTAAGGACAGAAACGGTTGGTGGCGGAAGTTTCCCAGCTTTGCGAGCCGGGACCAGACGAACGTTTACATCTAATGCCAGCGGTACAGCAAAGATGTATCCTCCAGCCTCACAACTCACTATCGCGTCAACCTTGCGCCAATCAACCGCAAGATGCTTCTTCAACAAAGACGTGCAGAGCCTGTGCCCACCTTTCTGTTGACAGATTTCGAGAACATTCCGGAACTCAATACCTGATTGGGGAAAGTCGGGCACTGAACGAACCATCCCAGCAAGCCGCCGAAGATCGTCATCCAAGAAAGGAAGTAGGTTGCGTTTGGCGAACGCCTTGACCTGGCCATCGCTTGTCATTTCATTGTTAAATATGAAGCTTGGTTGATATTCTAAATCGTATCTCGTGATCTTTGTGCCGTTTAAGTTGCCATGGTGAACATAATCACCATCTGTGAAATGCTGTCGACGAAGACACCGAGTCTGATGGCTAGCCTTGACATGGATGTCCAGCAACCTAATATCTGGAACAAGGTGCCACAAGTTTGTCACCGGTGCCTCGTCTCTCATACCAGTAACGAACAGCACATCCACATCGGCACTCCCCACAACCTCGACGAAGTGTTCTTCTGCCAGATGTGGCCGTTGTTTGACCTGTTGCTCGAAGAATGTCGTCAATGCCTCACGATGCTGCTCTTTGTATGCACGGTTCTCGAGCAAGCGCTTCAAATCGGCACCTGTATGCGAGGCGTATTCCCGCTTCGTCACATCGCTTATGCTGACGACAGAGGTGCTATAGCCGTGCTGCTTGATCGTGGTGGCCCAGATATTGGCGCAGTAGTCCTTTCCAGCACCATGTTCTCCGGTTACAAGAACAACCATCTTTTGTGACAACATGTCTTGCGAAAGTTGACATGCGTAAGCGAGTACGTGGTGGGGGTCAAGGACTTGTTTTAGCTTAATCAGCTTTCGAAGATTCGGACCAAAAGCTTTAGTCGCGAGGATGGCATCTCGAGGATCTGGCCCAAGATCGGCGCCGTAGACTCCTTGGCTCACTGGAAGAAGGGCTCCAGCCACATCATATACCCAGCGAGTTATTGCACATGCAGTCGGTGTATGATCTTCGTCGCGGGGCCAAACGCCAGTCACTACACAGGCAAAATCCCAGTCTCGGCAGCCAAAGGCGGAAGCGTCGCTAGCAACACATTGGACTCGCCGTCCTCTATGTAGGAGATGGAAATAACACAAGGATGATGGGCGACTGCTAATTGCAGTAAGAAGAATTTTGGTGAGTTCAGTTTCTTCGATGTTCTTCAGGAAAACACATCTCTTGAATGAAGAAGTCTTCCCGCCACCATGCCCGCCGTGCATCAACGACATGTACATCTCGGTGTCAAACAATCCGACAGCATCAACAGTCTGTGTTCGATCGCTCTGACCAATCGCCTTGATAAACGATTCGGGGGTCGCCGGAAAAGGGCCCTCATCTGCCGCGATCTCCCTGCTTTGGAAGAGAGTGACTCCAAGCATCAGCTGTTTGTCAACGTAGTACAGATAGGCATCTGCTGATGATTCCAGATCGAGGGGACGGGCAAGTGTGCCGGCAAACTTCTGAAGAATATCCTTTGCATGTTCCTCATTCTCGAGAGGGATAGACCAATCTTTGACCGAGAACGAACGGGCAGGATAGGCTTTGAAGGTGACACTAACAATAATCGCAAAATTGTTGCCGGCACCTTTCAGCGACCAAAGAATATCATCTTCATTGTTAGGTCTGACGGCTTCAAACGGCTGGCAGTGATATGGTACCTGTCCAACACAGAAAACCTGGCCGGACTCAATACTGACAAGTACGGCGCCAACGATAGCATCACAGGTCAGGCCATAAGGTCTGGCTTGGTGGCCAATGCCCCCCTGGAGCCACAGTCCAGCCCCGACACTAGGACGCGCTCCCAAAGGAACAGTTAGACCTTCGAACTGGGTGGCCCGGATGATATCGCCCGTTTTACATCCAGCCCCAGCTACCACCAAAGGTTGTTCATAGATGGATTCGCCTGCATCCTGGACGATGTGCACTTGATTGAAGGCGCCCATATCCACTGAGACAACATTAGGCCAACGACAATGACCACTGTGGCCACCACCAACGATAGTCAAGCTGAATTGATGCTTCAAAGCCCAAGTAATGCACTTCTGAACATGGCCAACCTCTGTCGGTCTAACCACGGCCGCCGGCATATGGGAATGAGCTTCTTTGTTCTTGACTTTGTAGTCTTTTAGAGCCAGTGGGACTAGCGCCGTTAACTCTGAGAGCGCGCTGGAATGCCGAGTAAAGGTCATGATGACTTCGGGAGATGCGAAGGTCAGAGAATCTGGATGGTTTTCTTCGTGACGAGCCAAGCTTCGGCATGTGTTTCTCCATTGGGTGTGAACATAATCGCAAAGTTTGTCGCCTTGAATTGAGCGTCCAGCCACAAAAGAAGCGAAACGGTTGATAGCAGTGTCGCTATCCTCGATGCGTAGTATTCCATCTGGGAATATAGTTGACTTCTGACAAACGAGATCATTGAGACAACGCAGCGAGTCGCGATGACAAACGACAAGTATACCCGCTTGTCCCTTCTCGCACAGCATGCCCAAAGCGTGTTTGATTACCTGCTCCTTCGATGGCATACCATAAAGACTGTGGCAAAAGAGGATGATATGATGCTTCTCATGGACAACCGTATCTTGCGTGAGGGGTTCTACGCGAATAGTTGAGGTACACAAAGAAGGAAAGGGTGAAGCGTCTTCTGTCGGATACAGCCAGCCTTTGAGCTTCTCGGCAAACACATGGTTTGGTTCATAGGCATTGTAGCTTGTGATCTGCTGTCTGATCTGGATGGGTAGGTATCTGAGAACACTCGTGGGACCTGGGCCGATTTCGAGCACCGAAACATCTTTCTGAGATTTGAATTGGGAATGGAGAAGCTGTGAGAGTTTGGGAATGACGAAGTTACGGTAGTTATTCCACCCGTTATGATGCAAGAACAGATCGAAGCCCTCCTGGTATTGATCATCAGACAACACCTGTGTAGACGCCTGGGAAGGGATTTGTTGCCGAAGGGCAATACGTAGGGCATCAAGAGTTGCCATGTTGGAAGATTCACGGGTTTTAGAAGAAAAGAGTACAAAGTCTGAGAGATGTGGAGAGAAAAAGTGAGATCTGATGTATATTTACTGCCAGCACAGCCAGAGTCGCTCCAAGAATATGATTGTCATTTCAGCACCCTCAGCATTATTTGGATTGGTGGGCCTCCTTCGTGTAACGGCATATGTCGATTTATTCCCGTCAGCGTTGATTTATTCCCGTCAGCGTGGTTTCCGACAGTGAACGAAGCGAATCTTGTTACAAACATGGTAGATAACAACGACATGCAACGGAAAATGCAGTGTTTGGCGAGACGGCCTCATGTCAATTGACTTTAGCTAACGACGTGTATAGCAAAATTGTTGGTGTGGCTCTTTGGCTCGGAAGAGAAGGCCACTCTGGGGCAAACCGTGAGCCTCCCTTGCAAACAGAGCCAAGGATAAACAGCAAAAAAGAAGTGCCTCGCTTGTTTGCAAGCGCACTTTATAGGAACAGCCCGATGCGGGGGTCGAACCCGCAACCTTGAGATCGCGTACTCGTAAGAGTCTCACGCTCTACCGATTGAGCTAACCGGGCGTGGCTCTTGTTGTTAAAAAGATTTGCAGTATTTTGGCTCAAGATGTGCATACATTATGCAGCTGGCATCTAGACTGTGGATATTCCACCAACGCGTAAACAAAGGTATCTATCGCGAAATGAACACGATGACGTGTCAGGTGTCCAGCCCCCAGTTTTACTAGTGCAATACATAACTATGCATAAATATTGTTTTATTATTAGCCGCTTGTCAACTCGCGAGTTTGCGACACATCCGCATGAGTGAGGGATGCCAGGCTACACGAATGCGACATAAGCCGCAGCTCCTTCATCACAAGCGAACTTCAGTGTCACCTACGCGAAGAGTCTAAACAAATACGTCTCTACCGAGCAACGCATGCTTGTCTTGCCAAACTGCCTAACCTGAAAAATCGCCCGACTGTGTTGATGCTGTAGGGTAGCACCCCCACTAAATTATCTTGAAATTGCAAGATTAGGATGAAGACGACGTGTTTGGATACTCTTAGTTAAATCTGGCTAAGAAAAATACTTTCTGATACATTAAAAACCGCACCGTAGATATTCAGTTACTCAAGTGTTCAAACAGGTTCATTCCTTCCTTCGTTGAATGCCCAGACACTCTAAAAATGGTCCATCGTGGCACCCGATCAAATATGCTTGTTCCGTTGTTGACTCATTCACATGCTTTACCTTGCACCACGAAGGTACTGCGAAGGTGTCGCGAGACTGCCACTGGAAAGACATGGTCTCTCCCGTTGGAGTCACGAGCTCTGTGCGACCATTTCCTTCATAACAATGGTATAGATAAGACTGGCTTTCCTGTGATTCAACCGTTGCACCAGGTCCCAATCTCTCGGCTTGCACGCCGAGGAAAGTCGACAATGGTTTCCCATCCGACAGTTTATAGTGATAAATAGAGTATGCCTCCTTACTGAAGTTGAGTTCTTGCTCCACTGGGCCCCAGGGAAAACGAAATTCGCAAGGGTCACAATGTCTAGCGGACATTAACAATACTGCTTTCCATGGTACTGTGGGATACGACTTACTCGCTGGGATATCGCGGGTCAGAGTAACCTTGTGCAAAGTGAACTGGAGCAAAGCGGAACAAAGGCAGATTTAGCATATCTAGCCAAATGACTGGCTTATCACTCTCGTTTCCATGGTCGTGCCAGTGCCAAATGGGCGTGATTACAACATCACCACGAACGAGAGGCATCTTCTTGCCTTCAACTGCTGTGAAGCCCTCGCCATCAATGATGAAGCGAGCCGCAAAGGCAAGATGCCTGTGCGCTGGCGCAGTCTCACCAGGGTTCACAATCTGTAGACCGCCGTATATGGTATCTGTAGTGTATGGTGATTCTAGAATTCGTGAGTAATATAGACCACCACGATTGAGGTGGTGTACTTACGCATGCTAGGATTCACTAGCATCAAGACTCTTCTCTCAGCCTTTTCCTCAGGAACTAATTTGGCAGCGGTCTCGAGATGAGGTAAGGCTTCTTTGTACTTCCACATATGAGGCTTTGCTGTAGGGTTTGGCGATGGCGGTACCATCATGCTCATTTGTGACCATAGAGGCTCCAGGTTTTGGGATGGCAGTTCGCTAAGATACTGCTTCATTTCATCGGTTGTGCCATCAGAGGCCACAGCGCTAGTGTAACTCCCCATATTCTGTGAATGTCACTAAGTATAGAACAAGTTAATGGTATTTTTCGGCGATAATTGGTAGATGGAAGAGAAATAATGTTCGCGGATGAGGATACATAAGAGTTGACTACAGAAGTACATCCACTCATAGTAAGTAGAATGCTTACAGTGCTGTAGAGCCGTCCAGTTGATCATCCCAGAATAACCGAGAATGACCTCCACCACAAGCATTCCGGGGGTCTCTCCGAGTCCCCGCTTTCCGACCGGACCTGGCATTGACTGGCTAAATTAATGAATGTGGAACGCGACATTTCGAGTAATATCACCTAATTATTCTGCAGCTGCCCAATCCAACTATATGAAGGAGTTGAAAGTCTTTTATTCAGACGACGAGAATAGAAATTGCAACAATTGTGATATTGCCAACATAAAACATGTCACCAAACACCTGGAATCGCCTCATCCGCTTTGTCGATGATGACGGAAACGAGACCTTTGGAGATCCGGAAATTCAGAACGACAAGGATTTTGCCGAGCGTCTGGCCAATAACGACCTATGGGCTATTGAGTACAAGGGGCAAAGTCCTGTGTCACAACTCGTCAAGGGTGAGAGAATTCACGTCAAGGCTGTCCGAGAGCTACTTCGATTGTCCGATGTGCCTATCATCCGATGTATCGGACTGAACTATATCAAGCATAGTAAGTGAAATGCCTGTTGATATGAGTCTGGTTACTGACTACTGCGTTAAGTTAAGGAGGGCGGTCGAACACCACCACCTTATCCATCCTTGTTCATCAAACCTTCAACCTCAATTGCTGGTTTTGATGAAGATGTCCCTATTCCTAAAATTGCCCAGGACGGCACAATAGATTACGAGGGAGAGCTTGTGAGTTTCATTACTAACCCCGTGGAGGATTGCTGTTGACTTGCTTCATAGGGCATCATCATCGGCAAGTCCGGCAAGAACATTTCCAAAGAGGACGCTCTATCATATGTAGCGGGCTACGTCGTATCCAATGACGTGTCGGCACGAGCATGGCAGCGAGACCCCAAGAAAGCAGGCGGCGTTCCCCAGTGGTGCTTCAGCAAGGGCTTCGACAAGTTTGCCCCTATTGGACCTCTTCTCGTGTCTCCGGCTGTCGTCGGTAACGCTTCGAAACTACATTTGACCACGACCGTCAACGGCGAGGTGAGACAGAGCGAAGGCACGAATGACCTGTTATTCGGTGTGGAGGAAATCGTCAGTTTTATCAGTTCAGGAACTACGCTTGAGGCTGGCACTGTCATTCTTACTGGTACGCCTTGCGGTGTAGCTATGGGTATGAAGGAGCCAAAGTACCTGAATGATGGTGATGTGGTTGAGGTTAGCATCACCGAGTTGGGTAGTGTGAGAAACAAAATGGTTTTTGAGTAACAATTGGAAAGAGAACAATAGACGCTATCGATTCAATATGTAAATGATTAGAGTTCTTTGATTCGTGCTATTCATTGAGAAGCTCCCAAACTCCTTGGATATCGTTCAACCAAGACATGTCATTGACATTGAAGTCAAAATCTACAAAGTCCTGAGGGTTGAAATCAGGCACTGGTGATTCAAATCCCTGAACCATCTGCTGGATACGATCAATTGATTCGATGTCGGGTACCATATGTGGAGATATCTGGTCGTCTCGTGTATCTAGGTTTGGTATCCCATTGTTGTTTACAACCTCACGTCCCAGTGAACCTCTAGATGTAGCCTGTAAAATCTTGGACGAGAGAATGTGCAAAGCAGTAACGCATCTCTTTGCTGACTGCCCAAATTGTTCATGTGTCTTGAGGAGTGAGATGGCCTGGCCCCAAGATTGTCCGATTCCCGCAGCAGAAAATATATCGGGTCTCAATTTGGCTGCGATCAGGACAGTTGCAGCTGAGTAGACATAATAAACTCGGTACCACCATGCTGGGAGAAGGCCGACCGTCCTGTCCATTGATTGATGTGCGACGAGTGTGTTGATCATATTCTGGGCCGTGGCAACGCAGAACATGGCACTTTGTTGGATGACACGTGTTTGCAAGTTGTCTTCAGCTTGCGGCCTTTTCGATGGGAATGGCGATAGGCAGAACCGGGACAAGACCGGTCTAAGTAGCAGGATCCGTGCGTGGAGGAATCTGTTTACAGGATAGGTCAGCAAGCCGATGTAGAGTGAACGCTGGATTGGGAAGGGGACTAACCTCATGCGCAGAATAACCGCCTGTCGTTGGGCTATTTTGTCTGTGTTTGACTCGAGCAAGTCCCATCTTAGATGATTCGGCAGTCTTGACTCCCATCTGCTGATGCATCGATCAAGCTGGACCACCCTATCGAGATCATCATCTTCACCGTCTGAGCTCTCGGGATCCGAATGTGTCTCTTTCTCTTTAGATCGGCTGTCCTGTATATGACTATAGAATGCCATCATAGTCTTGTGAATTATCTCGTATAGGCGAACTGACCGCACGAAAAAGCTGTAGTATTCTGGATTCTGTATTTTGCATGGCTCATTCGTGGTTGATTCTGTTGGGAGTGGGACAGATTTTGCGAGATGTTGTGAGATCATGGCAGGGCGACCATGGGTAACAGATACCATCCTAATTGGATCAGTCAATTATGTCCAGTGAAGACAGCTTGTTCTGACCTACCGGTCCATGAGAACACAGCCGTACCAAATCCGTCTCAGCAACTCCCGTTCTCCAAGATCTGATCGACTTGAGGATGTCTCAGGTAAATGCAAGCCCAAGCCCTGAGCCATCCTGATAGCTGACCCAATCACCATCCAGGTTTGATGGGGATTGTAAGTACTTTGAAGATACTGGCTCGTCACCAAGAGGCATTGTACCAGTTCCAGAGAACCAGGTTCCCAAGGATTCATTGGCAGTAACTCCTGTGCTCGACGGAAGAATGTCTCACTCGATTGCTCACGTTGATCTAAAGATTGTGACTCAAGAAGCTGTGTCGAGAGGGCTAGTATTACGTTGAGGGTAGCCATAAAGATGCGCTCGTCCAAGTCCATTGCCGTTCCAGCGAAGATGGCATCGTATGCTCTGTTCCAACGCGTCCTATCAAGGAAGGGATACAATGGGTCGACGTAGAACCAGTAGAGCTCCATGAGGTGATCCGCTTGCCTACGCGGGGGAAGAACGTATGGGAATGCTGGAAACGACGCCGAGGTAGTAGAATCGATACCGCCAGCTGATCGAGAAACACATGATGGGTTATCTTGTGAGTTTGTTGCAGGCCTCCCTAGTCTCACATCGATGGCTTTCTTGATCTGGGCTGTAAAAGAACCAGCGCTACTTTTACCAAAGAACTCTCCAGTGCTAGATCCCTCATCGAAGACAGCCGTCATCGAGTCGATAGCAGAAGGGCTGGTTGATGGCAATGAAACACCAGCTTTGTGGTGTCCATGTGCGTCTTGTCTTCGGCTGCCGGGAGTAGAGGTAGACGGAGAAGAATTGTGCGGCTGTGATGGTGGGTTCGAAGGACGCCTCGCTGGTTGAGTGCCCATGATATCTGGCGCATATACATCATTTCGTTGCGTATCTTGTACGTGAGGTGAGGTCTTGTTCCTATTATTCTCCTTTGCCACAGGTACGCGGCATGTGTTCTGAGCGACCGAGGAGGCTGTGTAATTGCAGTTATCGCGCGAAGCCAATTTTCTATTGCAAGTACCACACACTACGATTCCCTTAGCCAACACAATTTCATGATGATCGACAACAAGAGAATAAAATCTCACCTGGTCGCACTCCATCACATTTGACTTTCTTTACTCTGCAGTGATCGCAGGCGACATCGATTTTGAGACGTTTCGATCCACTCTGACGATTGGGAGGCCCATCAGTTGATCTTGGCGGAGGTTCCATCCCGTCGCTTCCTTGTCGTTGTCGGAAGGGAGATAAGAAAGTTCGGAAGAGTCAAGAATTGGTTCGGAACGGACGACCCCCGTGTTTATAAGTTTACCTTAATTAACTACAGTCCAATCGGGACACACAGTTGAGTCCACCTCTGAGAGTCATCGTGACCAGGTTCCCCTCTTTCTCCGCACCTGAACATTCTTTTGGCTTTTCACTTCCGTGCTTCTTCCCATTGCTCGGCATCTTTGCTAGGCCCAATCCAAGTTGGCCGATTCCTAACGAATATCTCCATGTTGGGGCGTAAACTCAGGCTGAACGTCAAATCAGTTTCACTTCTTACAATCTGGGAGGAGAAGACATACCCCCCTTCCAACAGTGGAAGTCGGATGAGATAGAATTTACCCTGCGCAGCTGCTGGAACAGTCCATAAAGTGCATCCACATGTGCGACAGAAAGCCTTTTCTTTACAATCTCCGCTTGATGTGTCGTGGAGCCTGTATCTCGAGATGGACTCATTGTTTGCTGTGGAAACTTGAATATTTCCGGTGGCAAACTTTCCAATCTGCATGCCGATTAGCAAAGAGATCGGCAAATTTCGTTAAGGACATACCAATTGCTGAAACCCACCAGCACCTTTGCTACAATGCTTACAGAAGCATGACAAAACTGCGATTGGCTCTGACGATATCGCGAACTGGACGGCGCCGCAGAGACACTCTCCTGAGTATGAGGCTTGCATCATGGGAAAACTGTAGAATGGGCATCAATTTGAGGTTCTCCAAATGTGAGAATTCTGAGGATCACTCTGGGCTATTATATCAGTATCATTTGTTCTACATCCGAGCCTGATCGTAAACCGCTAGTTTCGGGCCGCGGACACAGAGAAACGGAAGACATGATGAAGCCTCGATGATCCGAGAACCATACAATCCATGACAAATACTGCAATTAGAGCTAAGCCGGGTCCATTAATTAGTCTTTTGGAACTGAAGGTTCTGGAAGTTCGCGGATGTATGAATGTTGCCTTACTGTTGTCGTGGAAACTTGGTCGTGCTATAGACTTGCACTGCAAGCTAGGAGGTGATGCATACAAAAAAAAATAGTCTAAGAGTATATATCTAGGGATCGAAAGAAGCCTTCTCAACTTTGACGACTACTTGACCAACAATGTCCGCAGCCGATGAGCCCAAAGAAAATTGATAATCGCCCTCGTCAATTATCCATTTCCCACAACCAGCTTCAAAGTAAGCCAAATCTCGCTCTGAGACCCGGAGCTTGACTTCTTTTTTCTCACCAGGCTGCAGTCTAAGTTTGTGGAATGCCACAAGAGCCTTTATGGGATGTTCTGACGAGTGTTCAGCTCGCCCAGAGTAGATTTGTACCAATGTTCCTCCAGCTTGTTGTCCCGTGTTGCAAACTTGAGCAACGATAGACCAGCCACTGTTTTCTCTGGACGCAGAGCTAATCTCATAGTCAAAAGTGGTGTATGAGAGACCATGGCCGAAGGGAAAATTGACCTTTTCCTTCGGAATCCTGTCAAAGTGGCGATATCCAATAAAGACTCCCTCCTCATACTTTACCTTGAGTTTCCCATCAAGATATTGACCTGGGAAGTTCCCATGTGCTGGACAGTCCTCAATGTTCTTGGGAAAGCTGACTGGCAGACGACCTTCGGGGTTGACAGCCCCTGTAAGGACGTCGGCAATTGAGTATCCACACTCTTGACCTGGGAACCAAGCCTGTACTACAGCAGGAACATTCTCCAACCAGGGCATAGCGATGGCAACACCAGTTGAGTTGACGACAATCGTGTTAGGATTGACAGACGCTACTGTTGCCACGAGAGCATCTTGAGTGCCTTTGCGCGGTAAATTGAAAGAATCTTGGTCTCGACCCTCAGTTTCCCACTGGGGATCGTGACCAGTGAACACGATGGCGTAATCTGCATTCTTGGCGATTTGAGCTGCTTCGCCTACAAGATCTGCATCGTGGTCCGATTCGAGAGAGAAACCAACACGGACACCACTTCGACCCTCGAGAATCGTCAAGCCGATCTTGGTCGGAGGATCACTACAGATACGTAGACGATATGTCTTGCCTACTTCAAAGGTGTGACGAAACTCAGGCTCAGGTGCAGCGAGGAATAGAGAGCCCATAGGATCCGTGCAGTTGGCTGTCTGTTCATAGATGATCTCACCGTCGACGTAAACCCTGGTTGGACCTAATCCAGAGCACGCGATGTAATGGTTTCCTGTCTCTGATGGTGTAAAGTCTCCGACTATTTCCAGTCGTCGCCACAGGGACTCTTGGGATCCCAAGGGCGAGTACGCTGAGGTTGGCTGCCCAATGGTCGACACTGGAGAGTCCTCACCCTCCTTGAATAGCTGTCTGCTGAACCCTGGCTTCCCGTCAAGACCGACAACCTTACCAGCTGACCCCGCTGGATGAATGGCAGGAAGTAGACGTTCCTTGTGAGCGCCCTTGGCAAAAGTGAACTCGACATCATCGCCCAGTGCCTCATGAAGACCTTGCCAAGGTGTGATCTTATGGTATGCGTTGACAGAAGCGCTACCACCGCCATGAGCCATAGCGTCCTTAGCAAATCCAATCATCGCAATTTTCTTCTTCTGCACCTTTTCTTTGGTGAGAGGAAGCATGTCTCGATCGTTCTTCAGAAGCACAATACCTCGAGCACCGGCTTCGCGTATCATTCTTCGTAGTTCGGGAGTGTTTGTATCTTGACCAAGAGCAACATCATACGGCTCAGTTTCAAGAGCCTTGAGCTTCAACGCCCACTCAATAAGAGTCCTGGCTCGTTGGTTGATGGTGTCTTCACATAACTCTCCAGTTTCGAGAGCCTGCTTCACAGCATCTTCCTTTCGGAGGCGTGGAGGACCTGGCATTTCTAGATCGAGTCCAGCATTGAGAGCGGCAGCGACTGAATTGGTGCCACCCCAATCACTCATAACAAGCCCTTTCCACCCCCACTCACCGCGAAGGACATCCTTAAGAAGCCAGTTATGCTCATCACAATGGACTCCATTAACGTGATTATAAGCAGTCATAACAGCCCAAGGGTTTGCTTCCTTGACGGCAATCTCAAAAGGACGCAGATAAATCTCTCTTAACGTGCGCTCATCGATGGCCTCATCAACGGTTGTCCTAGCAGTCTCCTGCTCATTCGCGACAAAGTGCTTTATTGTTGCCGACACGCCTAAACTCTGGAGACCCTGGATCACTCTGGAGGACATTTTCCCTGCCAGGAACGGATCCTCGCTATAGCTTTCGAAGTTACGGCCGCCGAGGGGATGGCGGTGCATGCAGACTGTTGGACCCAGCATACAGTTTACGCGCTTGCCTCGTGCTTCTATGCCGAGAGCGCGGCCAAATTGCTCGGCGAGATCAACGTCAAATGTGGCTGCGAGGTTGCATGCTGCTGGGAAACATGCTGACTTGATGTCTAGGTCTGTTGCTGCTGAACGAATACCATTTGGTCCGTCGGCGGTCTTAAAGCTGTTAGTGAATGGAGCTGAATGGAACAAGATTGATATACCTTAATTGAAGGCACGCCTTTGTGTGGAATCCCAACTGTTTCAGAGAAGCTTTTACCAGCAAGAAGAGAGATCTGGAACAAGTTAGTTCTGCAATAACTAAACCTCCAAATTGACATACCTTCTCCTCAAGCGTCAGGGAATTAATTATCATTTCTATGTCTAGATTTGATGACATGATGTTGTTGTGTGTGTTGAGGTGACTATGGTTGAGGTTGTATCTAGTCTAAGAAGGTAATGAATATGCCTATAATTGGTGATTGGTAATTGAAGTAGTCGGGTAACTAAGGTTGGGATTCTGATTAATATCACTCATTTGCTAAGTGTTTACTGGAGATATATCCACTTCTAAACCAGGTCATCCAGCTTCCGTGAATTGTTACCGGCTCACCCTGTAGTAACAGAAATATGATCGGCTCCAACATGCAAAAATTAGCAAGTCAGCAGCGCGTCTAACTTAGCCTAAGCGGACTTGCTAATTTTGTCGCTTATGTCTACAGCGAGTCAGGTTTCCTAAACCCCAGCCAACTTAGTTTACGAACTGGCATCCAGTCACCCAATTAGAGACCTCACCATTCGGAAGCATGGCTGAGTGACCAATAAGGTAAAGGTCCGAGACATCGGAAGAGTCAAGCGGAGTTTCGGATCTTTGGCCCAAACTCGTCGGGCCAAGACCTCGTTGAACAACTTGTCAAGCTCTTCCATGCGCCCACAGATGGACTTGATTTCCCCATGGGGTTCTCCCTTAACAGTGGTGTGGGGAAATCCCATTGACCTTTTTTTCTGTTCCGGTTCAGATGTAGCCATAACTAGATATATCCTGTTTGATCCTGATGTTTCAAAGTTGTTGAGATCCTGTATCTATCAATCATCAAGTGTCTATTGTCTGCTGGCAGTTGCTCTTCCACAAACTCTCGATACTGCTGTCTGTCAACTGAGGGCGACATGGGTTCACCGACAAATAACAAAGGGGCTGCCGCTGTTGTTGGCACTGATCTTGCAGCAGTCAGTTCTCACTCCTACTGGAGCTTTCGCATACACAAACCGTACATACTGACAACATATCAAGGTGCTTCCCGATGATCAACGACCGTGGTGGCGCGTCCCCCATCTTCTCAAGCTCAACCTTCTTCTCCTCATGCCCCTGGTCTCCTCCGGCGCTATCGGCTACGATGGTTCCATGATGAATGGCCTTCAGACTCTTCCTCAATGGAGAGGCTACTTTGGCAACCCCGAAGGTGCCATGCTAGGCGCCCTTAACTCCGTTTACCCCGCCGGCAAAGTTATTGCACTCTTCTTGGTTACCTACGTATGCGATCGATTTGGCAGAAAGAGGGCCATGATGATAGGATCAATCACGTGTGTCGCATTTGCCATAATGCAAGCTGTGTCACAAAATCTCGAAACCTTCATTGCCGCTAGAGCCATCCTCGGCTTCTGTACCAGTTTCTTGGCCCAACCGAGTCCGATTCTCATCACCGAACTTGCCTATCCTACTCACCGAGGCAAGCTCACTGCTTTGTACAACACGTCTTTCTACCTTGGCGGCATCATCGCTGCATGGTGTACATTCGGAACGTTCAAGCTCGATACAACCTGGAGCTGGAGAATCCCCTCTCTTCTCCAGGGAGCTCTCCCGGCACTACAACTAATTGGCATTTACTTCCTGCCAGAGTCTCCTCGTTGGCTCGTCGCCCATGGTCGCAGGGAAGAGGCTCGTAAGATCCTGGTCACGTACCACGCCGGTGGTGACACGGATGCTCCACTCGTCAACTTTGAGATGGCCGAGATTGAGGGGGCTCTAACGCACGAAGCCGATGAAATGTCACAAAACTCCTGGCTCGAGCTCCTGCGCACACCTGCCAACAGAAAGCGGACTCTCATTGCGGTCATTGTTGGATGGTTCGCTCAATGGAATGGTGTCAATCTCATCAGGTACGTTATGTAACTCGGCTTCGCATCCGATAAAACTCAACTAACACATTATGTAGTTACTATCTTGTACTTGTTCTGAACACGATCGGCATCACCAACGTAAGAGACCAGACTCTCATCAATGGCCTTCTACAGATCTCCAACTGGCTCGCCGCAATATTTGTTGGTGCTATGCTGGTGGACAGACTCGGTCGTCGCACATTGTTCCTGGTTTCGACATGCGGCATGTTTGTGTCCTACGTTATTTGGACTGGTCTGAGCGCTTCCTTTGACAGCACTCGTAGTGCATCTACTGGTAAGGCCGTCGTTGCATTCGTGTTCATCACCTTCTTCTTCTATGCTATTGCATGGGCACCACTTCTTCAGGCATATACTGTCGAGATCTTCCCGTACACACTCCGTGGTCGTGGCGTTTCGATTATGTACATCAGTACGTTTGTCGGTTTGGTGGTCGGAAACCAGGTCAACCCTATTGCGATGAAGAACATTGGTTGGAAATACTACATCCTCTTCTGCTGTATTCTGTTTTGTCTTATTTTAATCATCTGGTTTCTATTCCCAGAGACCAAAGGTTACAGCCTTGAGGAGATACAAGCTCTCTTCGAAGGCGAGTCCCATGGTGCGATGCATGCCGGGAAGGTCGAGGACATTGAGAGTGCACAGATCGGCAATGAAGAAAAGAAGGATAAGAAGGTCGACTTGGTTGAGGTTGCCTAGAACTCTTCTGTTTAACCCACGATTCGGAAAGTAGTAGTAATAGTTAATAATGGGTTGTTATGATGACGATATGTGTGCCACCAAAACAAACACACCCAAGCGCAAAGATTCAGATGTTTAGAGCACTAGCCCTCACTTCTAGTTGCTGCTATGAAAAATGGCACAAGGCGGCCTGTCGGGCTGCATGTCAATAGTTCGAATAGGGTTTAAACAAAACGGCGTTGTGCTTCGCCCACAAGAGCGCAGACTCCTCTAGCCAACCTTGTGAAATGAAACACGTAGTCGCCAGATACCTCAGGAGAAACGAATGCTTTAGAACTTACAGGCTTAAGGTGGCTGTTCGGCAAGACGTATCTTGGAGCAAAAACACTCACCGACCTTGCCAGATACTGTCTGGTTCAATGTTGATGTAATTCTGTACTTTCTACGCGGCTGTGCAATGCGACCGGTCTGCCACCAACAATTGACGGCTTGATTGAAGACGTGGTGCAGTTCTTGAACTTGAGAGGATGTACGATTGCTAGCGATGACTATTGCAGATATTTCTGGGATGATCGATGGTGTCGTATTGCATTTTTACCTATAAAGAGAGCGACGTCGCTGCTAGTTGCGACTGAACAAACTACAACACTATCTACACTATTCAAAGAAATATTACAAACAAGCACTCAGCCATATCTATCCAGAACATGAAGCACTCCACTGCCACTGTTCTTGTTCTCTCTCAGGGCATTGTCGTCGCACCCTCTCTTTTGAGCAAGCTCAGCCACCAGAATACCAAAGTGTGTCATGCACCCTCTGGAGAGGGTATAACGTTAGTACAGAGCTTCTTGTTTCGGCCTCATTACTTCACTGTTTCTTTATATTCCAGTCATTGACTACATACTTCCAGCTAACGTGGTAACTTTAGTCTGTCCGTCATGCTATCGCAGTCTCTATGAAGACCGAGCAGCATCATGTTGCTCATTATGATGCCTGCTGGTTATTGTGCGCCAGGGAGGAGATTTAGTGTCCCGGTGATTGGGCAAGTCGGAGCCATCAATTATGGTAACTGGAAACGTTGCTAACATGACTTCAGTATTCTAAGCAGGAGGTGAGACAACGTCGATGAGTTTTGAATGCGCAGTAGACTGACAAATAAATTGCAGGGCGGATGCTGGACCTGCTGCAAATCGACCGGGGAGTAAAACTTTCATGAACAAATGAACGGGAACATCGATTCCAGGTGATTTCCGCTCCAATAGCTGACTAGCTGTTTCTACTACGCTGGCTCTAAGCCTTGATGCGGAAAGGGTCTCTTATTGATCCCTATTCAATATATCTGGACAGCTAACGGTCCATTTATTGGAAAAGACGTTGGATTGGGTATTCCATATTTACAAAGAAGGCTCCAGCACCAATGGAGCATGAATGCCAATAGACAATGTCGAAACTACCATTTTTTTCAATGAAAGTATAACATAAGGATGTAATACATAATTTTATCTGCCATTACCTGATTGTGGCTAGGAAGTGCAAACACGCTGAGAACTGTTGATGAAATGTGTATTGCCAGACAAGCTGGATACTGTTATCAGTCGTGCCGATGTCTATGATAAATAGAATGTCATGCAAATATTTATGACTTGGCCTAAGGTAGGGCTAGCCACCAAGCGTTGGTACAGCATAGCATCACGGGAGTGATGGTCATTTCTCAAGACAAGAGTTCGTGTGGTGAAACGAATTTTACGTAGTAAGTCAAGTTCTGCGGCACTTGGTGACAAGGCTTTGTTCTTTTCAAGACTAATTGATCAAGTCCCAAAGATGCAGTGGCGTATAATGAATATTTGGCAGTGTATGGATTCATTGAGTTTGTTGTGGCTCAGACACATCGGTATTAGAAGTTTCGCTTTCCTTGGCATGGCATACCGGATACTGAATAAGCACATTATATTTTCAAGGTTCCTGTTCCTAATAATGATTAATAATCAAAACCTACATAAAAGAACTCAGTGTAGTAGAAGGTCGTAATCCAGAAATGTATGTCCATGAGCAAATAATCGCTATGTGTTGAAGGCTTATCTATCAAATACATGATATCTACATATGATAAAGATTCCTGGGTATCTGTAACAGGATGAACTCTTGTATATCAGAAGCAGAGATTCTATGATCGTGCTTGGAAATGGAGTCAGTTTTGGAAATCGAAGGACCCGAGCGCTTCAAATATCAAGATCCCGATTGCCAGAGTCGGCACTAGATAGGAGAGGCCATAGCATTGCAACAGAAAAGAAGAAATCAATACCCAATAGTGAACACCAAGAAACAGTAACCATCGTGTGAATAAATAACTCGGCATTACTAATGCTGCATAACAAATATTTCTTTCTCACCACCTATGCACTAGCCAATTCTGCAGCGATATGAGAAAGCTCCGTCAACTAAGCTGAAGATTACCATGCGTACAATCAGAAATTATTCTATTTATTCTTATACTATAAATGCCGCCACCGCCCCGACCTTTAATTGACAATATACAAGGTCCTAAAACTACTTCGAATTCAACATCAGCTAATTTAAGACTTCTACAATTTATCGACATGTCTACCTACACCTACATTATTGAGACTTCACGAATTACGCATCTTGCCAAGATGATAGAAGTACTCGAAGATATCTATGGCAGGGGTCAATATGGAGTGCACTGGCTAAAACCACAGGGTTGCCGAATCAAAGTGACGACTCATGACCCCAAGGCACCATGGCAAAGACTAAGGGCCGAGGGTATGGTATGTCAAGCACTTCAGATTGATGGGGGAATGGTGAGAAAGGGTCAAAGGAGTGATTAGCTACCTACTTGGCAAGTCCCGATGGTCAAGGGCCTCTTTACGTAACTAAGTGATACAGTTTTCTTGAAATATACTTAATTATTCAGCTCTGTAGTGACAGATATATACACTTGCTAATGATCGGTTAGATCTTACATACGGTATTTGGAGAATTCCAATAACCCTTCTCTATCTTCGCATCATTCTCAGTCATGCCGCGCTGAAAGATTCCACCTTGATTGATCCACCCAAGGAGTTTTCAGCATAGTTGAAGATGCCGAATCGATAGGCAATGAAGAAAGCCCACCCGTTGTAAAGCTTGTAGTTGGGGCCGAGAGTCTCGTACTTGGACCCATCCCAACTGAATGAGAAGACCGTGTTTCCAGTTCCAGCAGGATCAGTATCCATTTGAATCTTGAACCAAACAGCGGTCCTTCCCGAAGGCACAGCAGCAGTGGCCTTAATTTCTCCCATGCTAGTTGTCGCTCCATTCCATTCGTCCATGCTCATTCCATGCTTAGTGGCAACAGTGAATTGTCCGTTTGTGCGATGAATCCCAATATAGGCGCTCTGATCACGGAAAGCCGAGAGACCTGCACGGTCTCCGTCTCTCATCTTGGAGAAGTCAATCTTGACGATTCCGACGGGGCGGTTACCGTGGGTCCTGTGAGTAAGTGTGTTTCGAGCTTGGTAGATATCCTTGGTCACTGTGGCTGTGCGAAGAGTTAAGCCATTGTTGACAGTGAAGGAGTTCGTGTCGGGGTTGTGGTTCCATTCCCAAGAGGGGCTAAGAGATGTACCAGAGAAGGTATCAGTTCTTGCCCAATTCTTTGTCACGCCTGATGTTCCGGGTAAAGTAGGGTATGAAGATCCCCAACCTCCATTACTACCTTTTGTGAGAATGGGAAAGCCATCACTACCCCAGGTGACAGGTGCTAGTACTGGAAGACGTCCGGCAGGGTATGCCCAAGTGAAAGACATAAAGTACCAATCACCCTTGGGAGTCTTGACAAGACTACCTTGATGAGGAGAATTTCCACCATTGATGGGGGGCGTGACCTTGTCGGCGAGGAGCTTCTTGTCGTAAGGACCCCATGGGCTCTTCGATTTCCAGATCCAAGTCTGACTGCCGCTCGGACTGTCGTTGAGGATGTAGTAGAGGCCATTGATCTTGTACATACGATTGCCCTCAATATCTTCCTTCCCAATGTCTTTATTGCTAAAAACATTTTGCGATTTGACTTGACTGAACCCATCCTGAGACAACTGGGCGACGCGGACATCCCCAGAGCCCGACACGATATACATAGTATCATCATCATCAATCAAGATACCATTGTCATAGTGGCAGTTTCCATCGCCGAGATTGCCGCGGTTAGTCCATGGCCCTTCAGGTGATGACGCAGTAAACACCCAAGTGTGGTAGAAGTTGACACATCCAATCCAGTACCACAGACCATTACTCTTTCTGTACCGCATTGACGAAGCCCAAGTTCCACCACGGTAGCTACGCTGGTTTCCAGTAAGATCATAGCCATCACCAAAAGTGAGGCGAGGAATGGAATGACCGACAAGGTCCCAATTTAACAAATCTTTTGAACGTAGGATCGGCGCTCCAGGGCTGTAGTGGAAGTTGGAAGCGGAGAAGTAATAATTGTTGTCGGGACCCAAGAATACATCATTGTCGGGGAAGTCTGAGTAAATGAGGGGATTGTTGAACGTATCAGCGCGAGAAATGAGGCCAGCCGACGCTGGAGTCAAAGAAGCGGCCCAGAGACTGGCTCCCACGAGGATTGTGGAAATCTTCATGGTGGGATTTTAGACGAGCAAAAGCGCTACCGTATGTTTAAAACGAACTTGGAGGGATACTTATACGTGGGCTATATTAAAACCCATCCTATTAATACTGCTGTCTACATAAGGAAATTCCAGGCTCGGACCTTCGACCTGATGCAGCAACTTCGGTAGACAACTCCCGGGTGTTCCAAGTTTGGAAGACTCAACAAGACCACTTTTTTCAAATCCGCCGTTCAATACTAGTTTCAGCCGAGATTGGATAAATGCGAATAGTAGTATCTTAAGGTAACAAACGTTCATGTCCAAAGCTCAACATAAGGAAATTAAGTATCCAACGACCGGTTATGATAGTTAAGAATGCCTAAAACATTTCAATACAAATACAAGCAGTACTAGGTTTTTTGCACCCTGGGGGCCTTGAATGGAAATTACTGACAGGTTACACTGAGCGATTGTGATCAAGTTGCCAATGTTCTGAAAGATGAAGATTCATTGCCATTATCTATATTTATTATATTCCTAGATTAACTTGTATTCAGTACTTCAAGAGCATATCAATCGCGAAGATCCACGACAACCTTCTCACTGCTAACACCCTTAAAGAACAACAAATCCAGGGCATTATTCAATCCACCAAGTCCACCGGGAATCTTTTTCGCAGGCACTGACACCAGACTACTGGTCTCAAGAGCCTTGGGGAAATATGTATCGAAAGTCCACTTCAGCAGCTCTTCATTTTCCTCCTTGCCTAAAAGCAGAGACCACCCCTCAAACTTGCGGGTAATACCAGCAGGTAGAGTTTCGGGACCAAAGGCTGGCTGCAAAGCGTAAACAGAATCGCCGCCCTGAGCTGCGACGACTTGGGCATTGAGTTTGACCGTGTCACCACTCGAAATTGTATCGACAACAATGTCATAGGGTCCAGCAGTGGTGAGCTCCTTGATCAGTCCCTCGGATTCTTGAGTATGATCGATGATCGCAGAGGCGCCAAGTTTGGACACAAAGTCCTTGTGCTTTGGAGAAAAGGTCGTGACAACATGGTACCCAGCTTGAGTGAGGTATTGCACAGCCATGCTGCCGATACTGGATGTTCCACCATAGATCAGGATCTTCTTAACCTGTGATATGGGTCGCTCTCCGGGCACAGGTCTCTCCAGTTTCAACGTAGCGTTGAACAGAGCAGGAAGAGTGGGGAGGTTACCGACAAGACGAACCGCAAGGTCAAGAGTATCATCGTCTGAGACTTTGGTGGTGGTAACCTCTGGTGAGATTGAATACTCTTGGTAAGCACTGTACTTGGTTTCCTGGGCACCTGCAGTCTTCATGCCGACCACCTTGTCACCAACTTGGAAGCCCGTGACTTTGGATCCGACCTTGTCAACGATCCCAGCGAATGAGCTACCCAGAATAGTGGGGTATGAGAGTGGAAGCATTGCAACCTTTGCGATTTTGGCATCAATAGGCTGGATGGCAATGATCTGGTTTCTGACGAGGATCTCATGGGGACCGGGTTGGGGAGTTTCGATCTCCCGGATCTCTAGGGGAGCCTTGGCGGCGGGGACTTGAGCTGCAAGATGAGGCATAATAATCTGAAAGATGTATTGAAGTTGAGTTAAAGTGATTGAGATACAAAGTTGTGATTGTTGTGGAGCTTGATGTGTTGAATGATGTTTGTTTGAGATGATATTCGAAATGGTTGGGACTTTGCACAATTAAGTACTCGTTCTCATTGTTGTTTGACCTTTATCATCTTCATCATACCATTCTCGGTATTTCTTGATCTTGGAAGGATTCACAGCTTAGACGATTTGTTCCTGTATGTCAGCATGTTGAATCGACCCAATAGAGCAGTTGATTATGTGACGGTATGAATCCATCCAAAAGTGAGGTCGCTATCATTGGCTACTCGGAGTCTTGGCATTTAGCGAGCAGGGCTGGTCGCATTTTCAATCAATTTGGGGTTAAAGATACTAACAAAAACTACTTTTTTTTTGTACCATAGCAACTATGTTCTGTAAGTAGTCGGAGTTAGTTCATAGCTGTCAGCAACACATCCTCCGCAGATTGGACGAAGACCGAGCACTAGCTTGGACCTTTGTTGACCAATCAAAGCCCCAGTCACCTACATTTGTTATCGGATTTCGTTGCATGGCCGAGCGCTGTCACAGCATTTGCAATCAAGGATATTCGCGAAATCATGGACATCCGACTTGTCCATTTTAAAAATTGGATGCATAGCTCAATGAGGATCATCGATGTTGTTGGTTGATAATCAGGCTTTTGATTTAGAATTGGTGTTTTCTAGTACACAAGAAATTGAGTACATAAAGATCATGGTCTCATTCTCAAATCCACCTCATCTCTCATCATTAATCACATCACAACCATAACCACATTAACATTTCAGAACAACAAATTCTATCAAGATACGCGCTCAGATATCAGTAACACTATACAAACATTACCAAACCCCCAACAATGTCTTGTGCAATCCTCATCACTGGCGCCACCGGAAAACAAGGCGGCGCCGTTATCAATGCCCTTCTTGCCAAAAGTTCTTCCAACTTTCTCCTTCTCGCAGTCACTCGCAACAAAGAGTCAGCTTCCGCAAAGAAACTAGTGGCCAATTCCTCCAATATCAAGCTCGTCGAAGGCGATCTTGACTCGATTCCTGCTCTCTTCCAGGCCGCTAAGCGAGCCGCGGGAACCGTGCCTATCTGGGGTGTTTACTCTGTTCAGCTTTCCATGGGCAAGGGCGTTACCCTGGAAGGTGAAGTCCGCCAAGGCAAGGGCCTCATCGATGAATCCATCAAGGCGGGTATCAAGCATTTTGTTTATTCCAGTGTCGACCGTGGTGGTGATGAAAAGTCTTGGACCGACGCAACAGTCGTTCCCCATTTCAAGACCAAACACGAGATTGAGCATCATTTACGCGACTCCACAAACAAAGGAAAGAGTTCTATGAACTGGACCATTCTACGTCCTACCGCATTCATGGAAAATCTCGAGCCTGTTTTCGCCACGAAAGTCTTTCTCACCATGATCCGCGACACTCTAAAGGACAAGCCTCTCCAATGGGTCGCCACTGAAGATATTGGCTATTTTGCTGCAGAAGCCTTCATTAACCCTCAGGATTGGAGCAAGAAAGCCATTAGCATAACTGGCGACGAGCTCACTTTTGCTCAACTGAGCGAGGCTTTTGAGCATGCGACCGGCGGCCCTGCAGGAACTACATTCGGGATCCTGGGCAAGGCTTTGAAAGTGGGTGTGAAGGAAATTGGAATCATGGTCAACTGGTTCAGAGATGAAGGATACGGAGCTGATCTTTCCAAAGTCCGACAATTGAACCCTGGTACCAAGACTATGGAACAATGGGTCAAGACCAGCGCTTTCGTAAGCCGCTGATCGATACATATGCATATTACTCGGAAGGGAAGTTTCATCAGTTCGTCTAGAAATGGAGCCAAGATGATAGAGTGTGAGGGACGGATAGACAACATTCGGTATCTATAGGTTAATCATAATATTTTTCTTTTCCTTTATTGACTTGACTTTAGATTCCACTGTGAATTTCCAGTTTGAACTTTGTGCTTTCCTTTTGGGATGCAACCGATCGCAGTGTTTCTTGGCCGGGGTTTCGCTGGACTCTTTTTGACACTCATCGGTAAATGATATGATGATATATGGACTAAAAAGTATATAACCAGGAACATGAGTAGTAAAGATCAATGCATAATACTTGACAGCAATGTGACTAAAACGTGAATGTGCCTCGCACAGCTTTAACCAGATTCTGTGCCAGAAGCTTATGAATAGCCTCACTGGCGTGATAATCATCAGCCCAAAGACAGTTACTGGACCCGAAACAAGTGGCATCCTTTGCTCCGTAGTTGGCGTAGTTGTCGATGACTTGATCAAACGAGGGTTTGGTGTCGAAAATTTGAAGTTTGACGGCTGGGTGTGAGGAAGCGAATGCGGCTGCTTTGGATTGTACTGCTTTGTTATAAGAGATTATGTCTGCCCTGAGACGAGCAAGGTCAATTTCAGGTTGGCCTATCATCTTGGGAAACTGATCGGCGTATGCTATATATGTTAGCTTTCACTGGTTCAATTTGATGTTATCAATACCGCACCAGGAATGTTTAACAGAACAAACTTGTCAAAGCCGTCATCGACAAGAGCTTGCAGAAGTTCAAAGTACCGGTTCACACATTCTGTGACAAGAGCGCTAGTCTTGCTCCAAAATGCTTCACCAACATCATTGATCCCAATCCAGATCGCCACTAAAGTATCCGCATCGCTGATTACTGGCGCGACGTATTGTTTGTACAGCGCTACTTGGTCCGACATGGAGTATTGTGCCCACGAATTGACAATTTTCTTGTCGATTGTGGCTCCACTGTAGGCAAAGTCGTATGTTAAGATGGTCGACGTGTTGAGGTTAGAAGTGACATGGCCAACCCAGTTCAGTCCGGCCGAGGTCGTTTGACCAGGTAGTCCAGGGTTGCCTATAGGATTAGCAGCTGAGGGTAGCTGTCCTCCTGGCCAGAATCCGACGGTTGAGTAAGAGTCGCCGCTGCATGGTGTCAGACTAACATTTTCAGGGAGTAATTGGCCCTCTTACAAAACTACCAAGTTCTTAACACTTGCCAATGTTACAGGGCTGGCGAATGCCTGGGAGCAGCACATTGCCAGGACTAGACGTGACACGGTAGCCTTCATTTTTGCCCAATAAGACTCAAAGTATATTGGATATCGCCAGGCGTAAAGTTTGGTCTTGGAAGCCAATTCCATTGCCTTTTCCTCTGCAAATTGCCTGTTATATATCTCCTGAGTTTAGGACCTAATTAACCCGAAGTCGTAGATCTCGGACAAGTCTTTCCGATTGGTGGGACAACTAATTGAGAAACAATTATCATGAATTGAAGGATCAAAACCCCTCTTTGCATCACCAATCACTTTCAATCGGTTATGACTGAAATCAAGTCGCATTGTTTACTACATGCATTGAGTTGTTTTGGGGGGGAAGTCCAGTATACAATAGAGAACCATGGTCGCTCACAGCTCTTCCAACTGTTTGAGACCTTCATCCTTGTCTCTTACCGAGGGGTAACTTGGTAGGAGGGCTTACATCAGACCAGACAAGGATCATAGGCGGATAAAATAGAAAAGTCCGTTCCATCTTTGGACGAGACGAGCATTGGTGGATCTGTCACATAATGAGGGATATTAATCAAGTCATGCTTTCATATGGAAGTATTTGCCGTTATCCTATAGTTACATCCATCGCCCCTACAATTAACCTTGTATGGACATATATACTACTGTTAGCCTCGACGCGCAGTACTTCTGACTGTACTCCAGGCTTCATATGTACTAATTTCTTACCTCAACCCTCACGACATCTTACCATCTCTATCCTTATCCCGATAGGCCAATCACCATCGGAAAAGTAGCGCCGTATGTATCATTCCAAATCGACTGCTACAATAGCAGAGATGGGTTGTGTCAGCCAAGCCCCAAAAGACCAAGCGAGCATAAGCTTACGTAGATATCAAGAAGCTTATAATGAGCAACACATCTCCCACTTCCATCGCCTTATAACTTCTTCATCCACAACATAGTATTATTACACAATAACGATGCCAGCCATGATCACCAAAAGGCCGGGACTTATGCAAGTCTCGGTCTCTCGCAGTGCCGAAGAGAAACGACTGATCCCAGCATATTGTAGCAGTCTCGCTCGCCGTGCAAAAGAGCTCGAAATCCTTCGCAAGAATATTCTTACTGATGCTAAAGGAACTGAGTTGGCGTTCGGCATCCAGTCTCGTTTCTCACCTCACCCTGTAGCCGTGTCAGATACTCTGTACTCACGAATGACTCAGCTTCATGCCATTCTAGGTCGTGTTTTTATCGACATCGTTGATCGGTGGTTCACTGACGAAAACGCTCGTTTTCCAGAGCGTATGCCTTTGGATCCGTCAGAAGAGTCTCTCCTTAAGTGGATAGTATCCAGCGGGACAATTCCTGATTATCGCCATCATGCCGGCTGTTGGCGAAGCGATATACTATTTGAACAAACCCCTGATGGTTTGTCTGATGTAGCGCCGCGTATCTGCGAAATCAACGGCAGGTTGCCCCTAAATGGAGTACTCGGCATCAGTTTAGCCACGAATGGCCTCAAAGAGCTTGGTGCAGCCAAAGGAGGTCTGGAGACACAGAGCGACATGGAGGTAAATTGTCTCATATATCTGCCTCCGATTACCCAGTGTACTGACAGTAACTGAATAAGTAGGGTTCTTATGAGCATGTTATGACAATGTTCGACCCTGAGAAGCCACTCTTTACTATCCATAACAGCTTTCCTGGTGCAGACTCCAAGACACTTTCTGGTGTCAGTCTTAGCAAAGATAGGCCTTCAGTTGAAGCTGTGGATCCCAAATATCTCGAAGTTAGAGAAGATAAATCATCACCGACTGGGCTGTCGCTTTGGGACAAGTCAACCGGCATTCATCTGGAGCAATGGATTTTAGAGATGTTGCAGGAAGAATATACCGGCTTGGATCCAGCGGTGGTTCGACAACTGGCCCTCTCACCCCTGAACGATCTTCGCACCGTTTTTATAGTTCACGACAAGAGACTTTTAGGCATCATACCGGAGGAACTTCCTGGTATGATCACCCGTGGAGTGCTGACGCCTGAGGAAGCCGACATTGTTGCGGATGGGATCGCTCAGACTATAAACCCTGGGTCCGAAGGCCTGCGAAGCTTGATCCGAGAATCAGAGGGTAACCCTGATGTGAAGGCAGGATATATCTACAAGCCTTGCCGAGACGGCATGGGACACGGTATCGAGCTTGGTCGGAATATGACGCAGGAAGCCTGGCTTGAGTGTCTGAAGAAGCTGGCAACACCAAACGTTCTTCGCCCGCACGATAATGCAGCAGTGATCCAGAAGCTTGTAGACCACAAATGGTTCGACATGGTTCGTCACGAAGTCGCGAGTGACGACGGTGCAAAGCCAATCAAGCTTCATATAATTGGATCCTTGTTCATGTTTCACAACCAGAACTATTACCCCGCTGCCTGGCGCATGGGGCTAGAAACGCATCTTGGTATCAGTGGTGACAAGCCAGGCATTGTAATGGCGATGGTTCGTCAGCCAGACTGGCCCGTCGGTTATGATCAGGAGGAAGAACTATAACTTGCGGAAGCTTCAACAAGTGAGTCTCGAGATGGATGAGATAAGAAAATACCATGGCGTCTATAGTGTGATTCTCTATATAGGATCTTCGTCAAGAGCCGCCATGTAGCTCAAGTTGTCATTCTCAAGTCACCGCTCCTACATAGCTGAACCATCAATATTTATTTGATCTGTTTAACTCAGCTCAAGGCGAAGAGCCACAACAGTTGTCCTGTCTCGTGGGGCTAATGGAGAGTCCTTGGTGGATTTGTCTTGTGGAGCAAAAAGCAGCCCTCGTGCAAAAACATACAACAGCGGGGATTCGCTGGTCGTCACCGACCCAACTACTAATCCGCCCCTTACCAGCTTGACTATAGGAGAGCGGACGGGATCCCGTATTTTCTGGTAGGTATGGTCGTATGTGAGAGATTATACCACTATTACGTCTCAATAAGGCCTGCAAGATAAATGCAACAAGCTTTAATCAATGATAGGAACTACTATGCAGATGTGATGATGACATGGCACTGGATACAATTTCTTTCTCATATCTCCATTTCTCTACGAATTCGTCTTCCAGTCTCGTATTCCTTCTCACTCTCGTCACACTAATCTGGTTTTTGTTTGCATTCCTTTTCAATCTTCTCCTGTCAATCTGTTTTTGGTTGCCAGCAACTCCATGTTATTTATATGTGCCACTCGTTTTACCTTTAGCACCCTGGCACTCGTGGATCAGAAGGGCAGAGCCCAGCGGCAAAGGAATTGAATCTCAGATGGAAGGATGCCACCCGTGAACGGCCAGATCTTCGTTCTCCAGTTGCCTAAAAGTTTATGGACATGCGAGAAGTTGTTAAAGTTTTGGTTCCTCCAGGCAAAAGATAAATTCAAATTATTCCATGGCCAATGAATTTAGACCCTCAAGCCTAACCATCAGTACTATTGTAAAATAAGTATTCCAAACCATAAAACAAAAGAACAAAATAGAACTAGACACAAAAAATGGTCGCATTGTAGAAGTGATGGGACAGTGCTGCACGTGACACCCTAAAGCTCAAAATGCTACACTAACGGATCTAGGATCAAGATAGCCGTGTATTGTTAGCACACTAACTGTATCAGCCGGCACTTGTTCCATCACTATGCCCTGGGGACTATGGTCAGACGGGCCTTCATATAACATCGAACACAATATAGAGTTCAATCTTTCGTTTTGCGTACCACTTAGACATATTAACGGCTACAGCCACCGCTGCTGATCTAAGCTTAAGTCTAATGGTGCTGTATCAAGCGTGTTAGCAAGTTCCAGTGCTGACGCCATTGGCCAATCCCAAATATTCCATTGAAGTTGTTCGAGATCAGGTGTTGTCTGCAAGTTTGAGAAGATCTTTTGGCGCAATAGATCTAGAACATCTGCGCACTGACTAATATGATCTCCGACGTCATCCGTGTGGTTGTGGAATTGCCGCAGCGATTCGATGCATGACTGGACGATGTTCTCATCCTCATCAATTGCCACAGGATAGCCTTTCCATCTCGTGAAAAGAATTGTCAACCCTGCTTGCCATAGCATGTGTATCCCATTAGGATACAGAAGTGCGACAAGTAGGCTCTCTCGCCAGTCACCCGGCACCATCGTATTTATGGTAAAATCAGTTCCCAGTGTGCCAAGGCCGGAGTTCAACAAATGTACAAGAGTTGCAGAAGCTTGACCACAGGCTTTGAGAGAAGATACAAACTGAGAATGAGCAGTCGTAAAAGATAACGCAGGCCGGTGCAAATGAATTGTCGCAACGCAGTGGGCAACTTTCAAGAACAAAGATTCCAGAGGTCTGCTTGTTACCGGCGTAGTGAACTCGGCATCAATCTCAGGTTCAAAAACAACTCGTTCCCACATGCTAAGATCGGCTTGGATACGCTTAATCTTGGCAATTGCCCCGCGACGCCTGGTGGTCGTGTATAGATGCTCGAGAGTGCGACCAATAATACGCGCAAGTTTAAACAGACTGATAGCTGTGTCTACTTGTGACCGTTCGCCGGGTAGAGGAAACTCGACGTGAGTTTGATACAAGAGATTATGGTCAACGCTTGTAGGGAGGTCAGTGTCGACATCCTGATCACGAATTAGACGGGGCATGCCGTGATAAGCGCTTGAGAACCTGAGATTGAAGTTAATGGATTGACATCGGATAGGAATCAAACTGTACATACGCATCCAAGGAATATTGACACCACCATGCTCTTCGTCTTAATTCTGTCTCAAGAGGGTTGAACCTGAATCGACCTGAATGTCGATGAAGTCCCAAGGATTGGGCCAGTCGGATGGCTAGGCCTGACGTCTGAGAAGCTGTTGAATGGCGCCCAGACAGTTGAAGATAGATTTGTATGATGACGAGGCCCTGCAAGCTCTGTAAGCTAGATTGGGCCAAAACCCTGTCGAATAGAGTCGTGCACATAACGTAGAAACGCTCCGAAGCACAAATAAAGTGATTGTGTTGCTGACAACAATCACCTGTCTGTCCAACCAGCCCAAGAGCTAGTAGCCCAAGGGCTTGGTACACGATGACAACATCGTTTGTGGCGGATTGAACTGGGCTAAACAGCTTTCCAATGGCGTCTACGGTCGAAGATTTGTGAATAATAGGGTACAGCGGTGTCCAAAGGTCAATAGCAACTTCCACGATCTCTATGGTGTTTGAGGGAAGCTGAGCGATTATGTGGGCTATCTGTAAGCCGGACGTATGAAGAGAGGCTCCCCAGGGGTTGTGTAAATATAACCCATAAGCGCAACTGGGGAGCGCATCATTGTGCATATGAAGAAGCTGAAGTTGTTGTTCAACTTGACTAATGAAATGGACACCTGTGGTAGAGCCGCCGAACATGGATGCTTTTCGGTCATCGACAACAAGGCGGCCCATATGGCCGATCACAGGCTCATTGGCTGGGTTGAGGGAAACAGGCTGATGAACCTCTGTCGCAGCACTTATTTGGTTAGAAGCATCTGGTGTAGTAGGTCTTACTGTGCCAGGAATAGCCTGCTGAAGAGACAAAGGTCGGTAGATGATCGTGTCAGACGGACTCAGTGATGTTGCAGAATGTTGTGCTGACCGACCGGTGGCTGAGACACGCTGGGGATCGTCAGATGGTGCCCGGCGGCGCTGCTGACTGTCCTCAGCTTCATAGAAACTACGATGGGTTAGAACTTAAGCGGTTTATACAAGAGTAATAAAGACTGACCTTTTTCGTTTCCTGTTTCTATTTAACTTGGCCGTCGTTACACAGACTATATTGGCTTGTAGACATGGAGAGCACTAAAGATGGGGTCAGCAGTGCTCAAGTGATATGGCACCTTGCTTACATCGTTCTCCTCGCCATGGCACCTGATCTTTCTTCTACTGTTGAGTTAGTGTGGAACACCTCATTCGAATCACAACACTAGCGGTAGGACGGCCTGTGACAAGCTGGGGTTTCCAGGATAGGACGCACCGTCGGCAACGATCACTAACAAGTCAGTATTAGTAAGTAACGCTAGGTAGACTAAGATCGGTTGCCATGAAAGAAACATACCATACTTGACCAGAGACACGGCCAGTTGATGAGCTCGGGGTTGACTCCTCCATACTCGAAGCCTTTGGAATGGTTGACAAGATTCGGTTACTCAAGGTGGAACGACGACGGATTGAACTAAATTTCATGTGCGGGGTTACACTAAGCGATGTCGGCAAATGGATGACTCTCTGAGATGCAACAAGATTGATTAGGGAGAAATGCTAATTCCAGACGTGGAAACAAAAGCAATAATTTATAAACCACATTGAAGAAACTTATTCGTATCTACCATTTTCCTTATGTTTCACTACGTTTGGTCTAATTTTAAATTGCACCAAACCAGGATCCAAGCTCCTTAGGTATGCAGAGTTATCTAATAAGTATAAAGAACACCCTCGTTTTCTGACGAATCTAAGATTCTGCGGTTCAGCTTCTTCAACCAGACCCTCATAGCCCATGCACACATGATGCTAGTAACAGCGAAAGCTACCATAGAAGAGAAACCCATAAGGTAATCGGGGCCATCTGATGAAGGCCAGAGGTATGCGCAGTAGATATAGGCCAGGTTCGCTGTAACATTGACCAGTGCATAGGCCACCGACTTCTTCTCAGGTGTCTGCGAGAGTGTGTTACTGACCCAGCCAAGGATAACAGACCCAACGGAATAAGCACCAGTGGCGTAGAGGAACGTTGCTGTATAGCGAGCTGCCGAGCTGAGTGTTGAACATGAGATGACGAACCCTACCACGGCTAGAGAGAGGCCTGCAGTGATGTGCCAGGTACGCTCATTGACGTAGCCAGAAGACCACGCGAATGGGATACCAAGAATTCCAGACACAAAGTAAGGAGGGGCAGTGAGAAGAAGGGCGGTAGTAGACTTGAAGCCCATTGAGCGAACAATGGTTGGGAAGAAGTTGTTGAAGGAGCAAGCGCTAGAGAACAGTTAGATCAAGTAGCGATCGCGGTCCTAATGGGACACGTACTAACCTAATGTGAAGGTTCTGCATCAAACAGAAAAGCCATGTTCGAGGGTCCTTGCAAGCTTGCTTAAGTCCCTCCCAGGTTGTGCCACGAACTTTCTGGCCTACGGTATCGCGACTGATTCGAAGGATGCAAAGCTCGCGTTCTTCAGGTGTAAGCCATCTAGTTTCTGAAGGGTCGTCAGGCAGAAGGAAAAAGCCAAAGACGGCAACGACAGCTGTAACGGAGCCTTCAATGATGAAAAGCCTAAATGCCTCTTGATTAGATCGAATTCAAGGTGTCAATCAGGTGAAGACATTCGTACCATTTCCACCCAGCAATTCCTTTGACTTGGTCGAGTGTGGAGAATGTTGCTGCGGCGATGAGTCCAGAGCAACCGGTGCTCACAACTTGACCAGTGTAGAGCAACGAGATACGAGTAGCGAGTTCTTTTCGAGTGTAATATATCGAGAGCAAATACAGGGCTCCTGGATAGAAAGGCTTGGTTTGGAAAGTCAGTCTTAATAGATCAAGGCTGAAACGCAATAAGTACTCACAGCTTCGACAAAGCCCAAGAAGAAACGACAAGCAACAAGACCGGAGTAGCTCTTAACTGTTGCAGTACAGGCTGATACTGCAGCCCAACCAATCATACAGCAAGAGAGATAGATGGATGGTCGGGTCCGTGTCATGAACATGTTGGAGGGAACTGAAGACATCATAGTTAGTCCCAATTGCCAGTGCCTTTGGACGGAATAACGCACTCTGCATCAAAAGATAACCAACAAACAAGATCGAGATGGCAGTGTTATATTGGACGCCTTTGAGGTTCAAGTCTCGTTCGAGTGTATTAAGTCGCGCCTGGGGCAGGGCATTTCGGTCGAGATAGTTGAGGAAGTACATTGCCCAGAGGATAGGCTGGTCGAGTCAGGAATCCTATATTACAGCAATTGTTCCAAGATCTGAATCTCACCATGATCATTCTATCCAGCTTTCGAACTAAGGCGATTTCAGCAGGATCTGTCTTGCTGGTAGCACCCGAGTAGTCGCCAGATCGATTGTTTTGCTCGTTTTGCTCAAGCACCTTCTCATGGTGAACGGCATCAAAGCCATGGCTAGGCTTCGCACCCTTGGAGGAAGTTGACAATCGGAGCTCGCATGGTGGGGCCATGACTGCGATGGAAGAGTATGTGAAAGTAATAATAAATAACTCTTTATGGAAATAGCCATAAAGCAAGAAAGTACAAAAAGCTTGTAGTTCAGAGCACAGAGAAAAGGGAGTTGATAAAGAGCCACTTCACATCTTTATATGCCAACTGCTGGCCCGGGTTAACAATCCAAGACTCTACTACTACCCCGGGCTAACGACTAAAGACTCTGGTTACTACCCCGTGGTGGAGCCTTATTTCTGGGGAAAACGCGGAGAAGGACATGAAAATCGTTGAACAATCGATGTGAATGCATCATGTGTTGACCATTTGCGCCTTTGCTCTGCTTATCCTGCTATTCCGTTATTCCGTTATCCCGCTACTGATATCGGTACTTATCCCGCACCCAACGTCCTTTACACCGTATTCCGTGCTCCACTACGTAGCAAAAACTGACATCAACGACGAATTAAGAGTAGTGATTGGTATGTTCCAGTATACGCAAGGTAATAAGAACGCTGTATCATTCTAAATCTCATTTTGAACTCGTGCATACATAAACGACGACGTCCTGTGGCATCAATCCAGTCCAGGCCTTTATTTCCTACGAACCCCACCTATTTCTTTTGATCAACTTACCCTACAAGCCACTATGGCCGCTGCCACTGTTTTTGATACCGTTTTGTTCAGAGACACCTTCGGAACTAATGAGATACGGGAATGCTTTTCTGAACGATCATATGTCTCGAACCTGATCAACGCAGAATGCGCTCTAGCTCAAGCTGAGGAAGATGAAGGGGTAATTCCTATTGGGACTGCCAAGGTCATCTGTGAGCTCTCAGATGTCTCAAAAATTGATTGGCCATTACTTGCAAAGAGGACAGAAGTTGTGGGCTACCCAATTCTTGGTCTTGTAGAGCAAATGGCGTCTTGGGTTCCTCACCAGCAGGGTAAGTTGGTATACTACAGCTTAAATAGCGCCACAAGCTAACAACACACAAGCTGGATACATCCATTGGGGTGCCACCACCCAAGACATCATGGACCTGGCTTCACAGCTACAGATCAAGGATGGCATCGCAATCGTAGAACGCCTCATCAATGCAACAATCAGGACACTCGAATCCATGTCCTTCAAATACCGCGACACACTAATGGCTGGCCGCACACACTTACAACACGCCCTGCCAATCACATTCGGCTATAAATGCGGCGTTTGGCTTTCTGGACTTCGACGTCATACAGAGCGCCTATATCAGATTAAGGAACGCTGTTTACTGGTGCAATTCGGCGGCGCTGCTGGTACATTAGCCTCTTTAGGCGATTCAGATAATGGCATCAGAGTACGCAAAAGATTAGCTGCGATCTTGGGTCTCAAAGACCCTGTGATTACCTGGCACGTTGCTCGAGACACAATTGCTGAGGTTGTCAACTTTCTGGCATTGGTTGGGGGTTCTTTAGGGAAGATTGCTCTGGACCTGATTATGATGTCGTCTAACGAGTTGAACGAGGTAAGTCGCCATCAATTTGCGCTGCGAATGCGAGTTGACTCTGAATGATTCTCAGGTTGCGGAACCCTTCGTACCTCACCGAGGAGCATCATCAACGATGCCTCAAAAGAGAAATCCCATTTCGAGTGAGATCATACTAGCACAATCCAAGATCCTCCGGGCACAGGCAGGACTGGTATTGGATGGTATGGTATCAGACTTTGAGCGTGCCTCGGGGCCTTGGCATCTGGAATGGGCATCACTACCCGTCGCATTCATATCAGCAGTTGGCTCGCTTCACCAGGCAAACTTTGCGTTGTCAGGCTTGCAGGTCAACTCAAAGGCCATGAAGGCTAACCTTGAATCGACGCGAGGACTCATCGTTGCTGAAGCCGTCATGATGAAATTGGCCGAGTTTGTGGGTCGCCAGGAGGCCCACGAGATTGTCTATGGAGCGTGTGTAGCTGCTGTCGAGAAAGACTTGTCGTTGATCGAGTCACTACAAAAGATAGATGAGGTCACACAACATCTGAGCACGGAGCAGCTTCTGTTGCTAGTCGACCCAACTAACTATCTTGGCTGCTGCCAGTTGATGGTTGACGAGCTTTTAGGATCAAAAACTGCAAGCCTCAAGCGGAAGGCAAGTACGAATGGTATGAATGGAACGGATGGTGTAGTTGGCAATAAAGAGAACGGCTATCACTAAGGTGAAGTCCTTACTTTATGGCAAGACTTAAACAATACGGTGCGACAGCACACCTTGGGCACATAGGATCAAGGATTCCTTAGAGGCTATAAATGGGCCAAGTTCAATCTTTATACGTACCGCAAATACTCGAACGCGTAATAAACACACTATTTGAAGATTCTTGAATAGTAATGTGAATCACTTTTGTCGGCCCGATGTCACTAGGATAAACGCTAGAATTAATAATTCTATGCTTGACAAACTTTATATCTTGACAAGCCGCGCAATACATCAGACGACAACAAGCTCGGTCCATGGTCTGGCAATGTGACGTTGTGTCGATACCCGCCTTTCCATTCCGCCGAGTATTCCGAGTGCCACTATGATTAGGGATGATGTTGTTATTACTTCGCCAACAAGTTATTGCCAGAAAGCCAAATGTCAACGACGCACTCGTTAAGAAATAATATCAGAAGTCGGTGTACAGAGTAATCAGTCACTATTTGTGACATGATTTAACAAAGTAATTCTAGTCACTCTTTTCCTACCAATCGCATTGTTATTGGAAGAAGGAAAACAAAAACAAAAAGCAAAGACATGTGCTACCACAACAAGACTTGTGGCGACTATCAAGCCCTCCATTCCACTGCAGCCTCAACAAAAGGGAAGCAAAAATAACATACAACACCGGGGATTCGCTGGTCGTCACCGACCCAACTACTAATCCAGCGCTTCGCAGCTTGACTATGGGAGAGCGGACGGGATCCCGTATTTTCTACGAGCTTTGGTCGTATGTGCTGACTTCATCTCGTAATTGATAATATGAGGGCATTGCTGTTCTTGGTAGGACGGCCATGTTGCTGCCGAAGAATGATCCAGACTATTTCCTGGAAAATATGTCGAATGACTTGGAACCCTTTTGGGATTGTGCCTGAAGTAGAAAGTCAAGCCAAGCATAAATGCCGATGCACGTTAGTTCGTATTATTCCAACATTACTTTTTCCGGCTTCTACAATCATGTTAAGAGGCTGTCGCCTTCCCCGCGATACGTGCATCTGGTCCAAGTCCGGGAGTTGCATTAGACTTGGCGGTGTTTCGATGAAGCAATTTAGCCGGATCATCTAGCCAATTAATTGGTCTGAAGAGCGGTCAGACTCAGTAACCATTCAGTTGTCAAATTAACGGGTAGAGTAGCATTCCGACTTTAGCGTGTTAAAGCCAGTAAATTAACCGGATATATTAAGAGAATAAATGCACCAATCAATTATACCTAGACAACAAGCAGTGTCAATGCATTGAGAGCCAGCAGGTCACAGGGCAGGCAGGATAAAAGTCTAGACTGCTCAACACACTGACCTACAAAACAATTAAAGGAGGGCTCTCGACAAAGTATTCTGAAACAGAACCTTCGGGAATGGAATAAAGAATTAGCCTGAATAAACATGATCCCCAGTTTCCCCTGCGTAATGATAATGCCTTGCCTGCTACCCTGGTTCAATGCTTCGGTAGTCAATGCTACCTCCCGCCCTGGAACGAAAAATGGGTTCCTTCAACATAAGCACTCCGCATTGGTGCCATGTGGTCCAACTGCTGCCCATATTACATACTTTGTTCCCTTTCAAGACTCATTCTTGACCTAAATGGGATGACTCGGAGCCCTGACCCTCCGCAGTTGCACCAAGACCGGATAAAGCGACGCCTTTAAGTTAGCACGTTTCATAAACCCGGAGATGAGTACCATGTCTGCTTGCACTATCCCGGCATCGAATCGACCCACTAATCAACATCAACAGCTAGTTGACCATGCATATCGATGATCCCTTACTTTGCCTTCATGTAATCTTGCCGGCAAAATGAAGATCGTAGAACCGATCATGAGCAGGTTTCTATCCTTAGTGGGCACATCGTTATTCTCCACCATAATATCGTGAACAAGATCAAGCCTGTAGTGACGTTGTCTCAAGATATAAATTAACACGTCGATCCTCTTCATCCAAACTCTTTTTCTCCATCAACTTCAAGCAACAGTCTTCAAGCTCATCACAGTCAAAATGGTTTCTTTCACTTACCTCCTTGCCGCCGTCTCGGCCGTCACTGGCGCTATCGCTGCCCCCAACCCTACCAAGTCCGAAGCTCAGCCTCCTTCCGGTCTTCTCGAAAAGCGAACCAGCCCTACCACCGGTGTCAGCAATGGCTTCTACTTCTCTTTCTGGACCGATACCCCCAACGCCGTTACCTACACCAACGGCAACGGCGGCCAGTTCAGCATGAACTGGAACGGCAACCGTGGTAACCACGTTGGTGGTAAGGGATGGAACCCTGGTGCTGCTCGGTAAGATACCGTCATGGAATCCTTCATGCAGAACTCCTACTAACCATTTCTCCAGCACCATCAAGTACTCCGGTAGCTACAACCCCAACGGTAACAGCTACCTCGCTGTTTACGGTTGGACCCGCAACCCTCTCGTTGAGTACTACATCGTCGAGAACTTCGGCACCTACAACCCCTCTTCCGGTGCTCAGAAGAAGGGTGAGATCAACATTGATGGATCCATCTACGACATTGCTGTCAGCACTCGCAACTGTGCTCCTTCCATCGAGGGTGACTGCAAGACCTTCCAGCAGTACTGGTCCGTCCGCCGCAACAAGCGATCCAGCGGATCCGTCAACACTGGTGCTCACTTCAACGCCTGGGCTCAAGCTGGCCTCCGTCTCGGAAGCCACGACTACCAGATCCTTGCTGTTGAGGGTTACCAGAGCTCTGGCCAGGCTACCATGACTGTCTCTGGTTAAGTCTTGAGAGCATGATTTGTTTCCGGAGCCTTGAGTTAAGGATCAATACCAATTGACTGATCCTCTCGAAACGCCGATGTAAATCTCCAGAAGGACCTTTGACCAAGGCTATATGGTTACTGGGCTGGACTTGTAGCTGGACTTCACGCAGGACCTGTCTCTATTTCGATGTACATACCTTCATCTCCAATGAATATACATTCACAGTCGGCTTGCCCGTCTTTCTTTCTTTCTTCTAAGCTCACTTTTTGTCTTGTGTGACATTTCGATAATCTTCAAAATGCAACTCCCGAAACGACAAGTAAAAGTTATCGTCAAGGGTAAGAATGGTTTGAACTCATAATCATCGAGAACCATTCATAAAGTAGACTCCTTATAGAATCCCAATTACCAATTACCCATCTCATGCCGAATTCTTTTCATCATGCAACCGAAAACGTACGTTGCACTTGTATACTCGTATGTGCATTTGCCGGCTCTTTCACCATATCCGGATCGGATGAGATTATTGGTTTATGTGAGTCTGTTTTGCTTTGCTTCCTGTCTTCTCCGTAATATTTGATCTTTTCCTTCCATTTGAAATAGGGTCGTAAAGACGGGAGACATGCAATTATCAAGCCGATACAGGAATCCATGAAACTCCATAGCTCTTGAAACATATTTAGCAGACGCCTTCAAAATGAGAGGTTGGATAACTTGACTTACCCACTAAAGTGATTGTGATGATCAAATCAGCACCGTATTTCTCAATCAAAGCGAAGCGGACGATAGAAAATGAGATGTTGATGATACCGAGCCCAAAGGTGACATAAAGACTGTATCTGAGCCTCGGTCTCAGTGTGAGCTCGGGAACAACTAGCCATGGCAATATAAATACTGTAATTGCCACCTGGTTAGTAACGTCTTGCGCCTACTAGAGTGTAGTGTTCTCACTTAGGATGTCTCCCATAATATTCAAACTCCATGCAATTTCAAATGTCATCCTGATGCTCTCAATTGAGCAACCCTCATCTGATAAGGCCCTTCAAAGTCTCAAGTTAGTAAAATAGACAGATGATTGATAGTGCTAGTACGAACCAGTGCCTCCATGTAGGCAAACACGAAACTGTGAGGAACAATATCGTTGTGGTGTAAGACGCAGCGACATATGTAATGACGGCCCACAGGAATCGACGCCGTTTTACCATGAAGTCGGGAAATACTTGGAGATATACAGACAGTAGAGCTGCTTTTGATAGGTAGAATGTTGTATGAAAGGGATAATCAGAAAAGTGGTAGAGCTGGTGTATATTGTCAGACCGGATCCCAGAGAGTAGATAAGTCGCTGCTTGCTCACCTTATAAAACTCCGATGCTTCTTCAGCTGTTCCCTCAAATCCGACCAAGCCCAGCGTGACACCCTGACGCATCGCGCCATCCTGGTAGAACACAATGTCGAAGCATGCTGATGCGGCAGCTGTGCACCATCCGGCGCACATAAAATAGTCGCTTGCAAGAAGCCGTCGTCTCTGTAGTATTAGCCGCAAGTAAAGTCGAGCTATGATGACTCCAAAGGCAACTAAAAGAAGAGTCCATTGTACAGCCTACAACGAGAAGTTAGTGTTTCTAGTTTATCCAAGCGCAAGGAGGATTCGCACAATGACTTCTCCACCTCGCGGATCCATCACCATGTTTACGGCTGAAGGTCTTCGAACGGCAATAGAACGGGTGGAGATATGATCACTTTGCAATTAAGGGTCTCACGAGTTGCATGACGTTGACAAGGGAAGTGCAAACAAAACAAAAGGCGAAGGGATCATCGCGGAAGGGAGGGGCAGCGCGATCATCTACGTGTCACGCAAACCAAAGTGAGACACAGGCTGTGCGCCTACATTCCTGCTCTGCATAAGCCACGGATGAAATTAGTGTAGTTCGATAGGTAACGGTGCCAGAATCCAAAGCCGCATACCAACCAGCTGCGCCAAACTCTGCCGCCTTTCCCGACACTCGTTTAATTCCCAACGCGACAGGTATGCCGCATCGTAATATTGACGTCAAGAAATTACTTTCAGTATTTCTGGCCTGTAGGTGTCAGGAATGTGCCGCATTTACTCGATCAAATACTTGGACAGCCACAGCCTCACTACCGTTCTGGTGGAATATCTTTTTTGCTGTTCCAGATTTCCAGATTTCTCTTTCCTATATGCTCGAGATGGATCACGGTTGATTTCCGATGTTCCGGAGGGCAAGATAATGTGAGACGGTCTGTGATATACTATTTGGTCTTCTACCTTAAAGCTCTTTGGGCGACTGCTTTTCCATCAAATCCTTCAATTCAGCAAAGGCTTTAAGGATCTCTGGACTCTGGGCAATGATGTCCTTTCTCGTGTCCTCGCCAAGATCTCCCGCACCTGCCAACCACAAGTCCGGGCCGACATTGTCATGGAAAACAAGAGCCGGACTAGTCTCAGTCACTTGAAGTTTCATGCTCTTCAGTACCTGATTGAGTTGATCATTCGCTCCTTTGCCTCCAAAGATACCATAGCTGATAACCACAACACCTTTACCAATCCACTCGTTGTACAGGTAATCAATGGCGTTCTTAGTACCGCCGGCGAGACCGTGGTTGTACTCGGGAATGACGAAGATGTATCCATCGTACTTGGCAATCTCACTGCTCCAGGCTATCGCATGGGGTTTAGTGAAATTACCCTTTTGAGGGACCATGGCTGGCATAATCGTTTCGTCAAAGACAGGGAGGTTGAAGTCTGCGACATCCACAGGCGTGATTTTAGTCTTTTGAGAGGCGCCTGCATCGCCGGTGATAATCTCGTGAACTAGGCTGGCAATTTTTGGGCCTACTCTGGGGGTTCTGGTGCTGGCTGTGATAAGAGCGATGTTCTTCGTGATCGCCATCTTGCTTAAATGTGAAAAGAAAGAGCAAATACTGTTGGGTTTAATGGAAGTAACGATTGTATTGAACATCGACTGTTATTGTAAACATCGACTCCTTTAAATAATTTTTGCAATTGTTAGACAGCTCGAAAGCGCCCCATCAACCATGCCAAGCCCCAACGACCTGTCTCGAGCTGTGAAGAGATTTCTAATCGACTTATAAATCATACCCTTTCAAGCGCGCGTTTATGTCGTGCTAGGGTTGCAAAGCACCAAAACTCATGCCTTGGCTTAGTTGCCTCAGGTATAATGAAACGCTCACGCGCGGTTCGGGATATTCTGGCTTGACAGTTTTTGGTTGTTGAAGTAGTAAGCAGCGGTATCATACTTGATTGGCCACTGGGGGCGCGCGCAACAACATTGGGGGGCTTGTTTAGAGATGATGTGTTTCAATCTACTTTCGCATTGGCCTCCGTTTGACTAGAAATAGTTCCAGAACTAACTATTATTCTTTGGCCGGTGACACTGTGGGCGCCGGAGAGGAAAATGGTTTGTTGGGCACCCAACACTTCAGCTGCACTGGCTATATGAAGGCGGGGTTCTATGTAGCGTTTGTGTACATCATTTATTACTATATAAACATTAAGTCTAACAACTTCTAGTGATGATCTACTTCGCAGCTTCGATGATGAACTCAGCAGCCTTTTCAGCAATGCCATATACAGCTGTCTGGATGTGTGCTGAGATCAAGAGCGGCATGATGCTGGCATCAACGACGCGAAGGTTCTCAGTTCCATACACCTTCAGCTTGGCGTCAACAACACCGCCATCATTCTTGGGAAGCATAGCACATGTTCCAGTAGGGTGGAAGATGCTGAGTGTAGTGCGAAGAGCATATTCCTTGAGCTGCTCATCAGTCTTGACATCCAAACCAGGCTCGTACTCATCATCCCAAATAGAACGCATGGGCTCAGTGTTTGCAATCTTGCGGTTGTACTTTACAGCCTGAGTAACAGCCTCGACGTCATGGGCGTTACTGAGGTAGTTGGGGTTGATGATGGGCTTGCCAGCGGGATCAGAAGGGTTAATGTGGACACTGCCGCGGCTCAGAGGATGCATAACGACGGCGATGAGAGAAACAAAGCCTTTTCCGAAGAGAGGTGATGTAGCAGCAGGATAACCCTTGACACCGGTGTAGCCATCAGAAAAGATGACCTCGACTTGGGGAATGGAGGTGTCCTTGAAGAAGTCGAGCTTCTTCTTGTCAACCTTACTACCATCCTTTGCAACAGCCTCCTTGGCAAGAGAAAGCATCTTGGCATCGCTACCAAGGGCCTGCTTCCAGGTTGAAAATGTGTAGGCGCTGCCAGTGTAGTCGTACAGGGACTGTTTACCAGCGTTCCAAAGCGCCATTTGCTCTGCAGCAAAGGTAGCATTGCTCTTGAAGATGTCAATGGAAGTGAACTGAGGCTTGAGCTGGTATGAACTCATGATACGAAGGTGATCTTGAAGGTTCTCACCAACCCCAGGAAGGTCGATGATTTGCTTAATGCTGGCAGCGGCGAGGACAGACTTGCTTCCGATGCCGGACTGCTCGAGTAAAGGAGGACTCTGGATGGATCCAGCAGAGAGAATAACCTCGCGGGTAGCTTTTATAATAGTTCCGTCAGCAAGAGTGACACCAGTGGCGACAGCCTTCTTGTTGCCCTTGGGAGGACTTAGGTTGATCTTGGCCACAGTGGTATCGGCAGCAATCTCGAGGTTAGAGCCGGAAATTTCGTCATATGCATTAGCACTGTATGATCGCTTATAGTTGGCAGGGTCAATGCTGCTAGGCTGGTACATGACACCTAGCGGGTCACCTCCGAGAGATTCGAGGTTCTTTCGGACACCGAGCTTGTTGAGAGTGGGAATCCACGACTCTTGGTGCTTGGGGATGACACGGTTGATAACAGCCTTAACAGGACCACTGTCGCCGACACCCTTGGAGCCATATGTAGCAGTGTTCTTGCCAGTGAAGGTCTCGGACTTCATCATGGCCTTAATCATCGTCTTCCAGTTCCATCCCGGGTTGCCCAGGGCTTCCCAACTATCATATTCGGCAGCGGCAGCACGATCGTAAGTCATGAGGTTCAAGGCGGAACTTCCGCCCAAGACCTTGCCTCGGTTGATAGGCCATACTCTATCATTGGCGCCAGTCTGGGGGACAGTGGTAAAATTCCAGTCGTACTTTGTTCCCAAGGTTGTACCCTTGAGACCAGGGATATTAATCTTTGGCTCATCGAGTGCCTCGGGACCAGCTTCAATAAGGAGAATCTTGGAGGATGGGAGGCCTTCGCTGAGACGAGCAGCGACGGCTACTCCTGCAGTGCCACCTCCTACGACAATCTGTCCAGAGAAAGTAAAGTTAGGCTGTGGACAGGACAAAGCGAACAGTGGTTTCGTAATAATTCGAGTAAGACGCTTTCATACTTACATAGTCATATGCATCTTGAGACGGAGCTGCGACTGCAGTTGCAGCAAATGCAAGCCACAACTGGGGTTTGACAAGCATGGTAACGAATGTGGGCAAAAGAGAGAGAAAAGAGTCAAAGATGGACTGGGTTACCAAGAATATGCACCGCAACAATCACGGACAAAAGAACGGAGATACGGAAGGACCTAACCATTTATTGATTATCAAATGGTTTCTCCCCCTTGTCGATTTTGGGTTGCATTGAACATGAGAGGTTTAATTATTTGATGCTTGCATTGACAACCGAGGCGGAGCACCGCTCCAGTTACACGGGGCTCGGCATAGCAGATTGCTTGGCTTATATCGTTAGTCCCTTGGACTAAATGAACTAACCGGCCGATATCTGGGGATATATGGGAACATATGGGATCTGGTGAGTTATTTCTTTTCCTTCCACCTATCTTGTTCCTACGAACCTACGAGACTAACATGGGCAGGGGTCGGTAGAGAGTCCTGAACCAGGCCACTAATATGGGTCCGTCCATAGAATGACCGAACCTTAAAACCTGCCAACGCTCGCTAAAGCGTAATAAGGTTTCCTCTCGCATCAGGGACTCAGGGGTCATCTACAGGGTCTTCGCGTTCTGTAACGAATCAAACATTCTGACAACGGAGACACTTGGACCCGAGCTACAGAAAGATCCAAAATTGAGTCCCGGCCCAATGTTAGATCATGCAAGTTATGAATCCTGATAAGCTCCTCAGTGGATCGCGCCGTTATGTTATGGTTTGTTGACATGTTCCAGAAGCAAGATAACCACAGGCATCGCTGGCGTCTTTACTTCATTCAGAAGGAGCTGATCACAAAAGGCTACCTTGACGAACCGCCTTTAATGAAACCATACAGGCCGAGAACGCCACCAAAGGCAGGCAATTATATCTTGGTCAGCCCCCTATAATGAGAAAAAGCTTTTCCCGGCTAGGGTCATCCGGGTGAGCCCGTCTCAAGTCAGTGACATCTCCCCCACACGAACTACTGCGTTTGGTTTACTTAAACATGGATAGACCTGACACTACCGAGATATCCAGTTTGATCTTATCTCGCTGATCCTCCCTCTCTCCCTTTTCTTTTTCCCCTTCTCATACATCTCTTTTCTTAAGCCATGGCCACAGTGGAACCGCCGAACCCGCTGCCACCAGATGACAACGTGGGACCAGCCTTGCTGGGCGTGTCTGGTACGTGCCTTGCCTTTGTGATCATCACCACTAGTGTTCGGCTATGGGTCAGATCAGCCCTGCGATCGATGGGCCCCGACGACTGCACCATTGCGATTGTCACACTTCTCGGTATAGCACGATTCGGCGTACAGGTCGCTCAGGTCGAGATCGGCAATGGACGGCACAGATGGTACATCGACAATGAGAACTATATGCGCAACAACATGCTCGGATGGTTCGCCCAGATCCTCCTCTTCGCCAGCATATGTCTTCTCAAAATATCCATTCTGCTACTTTTATTGCGTATCAAAAATTCGCGAAGGGTCAAATACGCAGCTTGGGGAATAATGGCGGGTCTGTTCATAACTAATTTCGGCTGTATTCTTATCTTACTCGCGGAATGCAAGCCTATCAGCGCGTATTGGACTGGCGTAGGCGATTGTTGGGATCCGCGCGTTCGCATTTACTACATCTATGCTACCATTGGTTCGTACATCCATGGTCGATGGGAGAGTGTTGAACTAACCACATATTTAGCTTTTTCGATTGTTACAGACCTGCTGTGTTCTTTGTTGCCGGTTTTCGTCATCTGGAGTGTCAAGTTACCAATGAAGACGAAGCTTTCTGTCTGGGCCCTGATGAGTTTGGGACTTATGTAAGTCAATACCCCAAAGAGGTTCCTTCTCACAATAACTAATGTATGTTCAAGTGCAACTGGTTTTGGCATTGCTCGAGCATCTTCCCTCGGTGTGGTAACATCAGATCTAAGTTGTAAGCTACTACTCCCATCTTTTACCTCGAGGGAGCCAATATTCTGACTCAAAGTCTTAGGGGTTTATGCTATCACAGCAATATGGTCCAACCTCGAACTGTATCTCGGCATCGTCGGTGCCAATCTTGCACTTGGCAGATCGATTTACGGGTATTTCTTCAAAGACCGGAGCCACTCCCAGGTTGGCTCCTCGTATGGTTACGGCAACGGGCCCAGGTCGACGACTACATCAGGGAACTTGAGAATACCTGGGTCAGGTCCATTCCGATCAGGACAGACACGTTTACCATCGCAAGGTCAGGAAAGTGAAATCTCGTTAGTGGACCAAACAAAGAAACAACAGCCGTCCACGTGGTATGCTGATGCAAATACGGACGATGATAACCCTCCAGGAGTCACTGAACATGGTAGAAGAAACAGCCAATAGGGTCTGTTTGGCTGAAAATATTTACTTTTTTTTCGGGTATTTACTAGGGGTTATGACTTGATGTTAAAAAAGGATGTGCATAGATACCACGGGTGTAAAATAGAGTAGATAGAGATAGCTCTTACCTTGATCTGTCTCGCAGAGGATATTGAATGGGATAATTTTATACTGGTTTATAGGCTCCTAAAGTCAAGGGTTTTCTCTACAGTAGAAACGCAGTGCTTCGACGTAAGCCAGAACGCAATGGCATAGGCGCCTTTGGTTGGGTGTATGGTATTAAGAGAACATCAACACGGAAGTTTACGAAGTGAAGTTGAGCCAGAGAATTCTCGAATCAGAGTAGTTTGGTGCTGTGACAAATTGGTGGCCGTGGTGATGAATTTGAGTCGAAGGCTGGATCTATTATCCTCAGTTTGACGGCATACTCTGGCTATAGGCCTACATGCCATGCTAGTGTGTAAACTTTCACACTTATCGAATGTATCTATTAACTTGTGTCAGCTTTGTAATATGGTCTCTTTCTCGGGGTTTATCGATCGTAGTCCCAAACGTATGATTTGTCTTCATGAGTCACAAGAGAACAATTGATCGGCTTACAACTGGGACGAGATTGAATCGCAGCGGTATCAAAGCTTGCTGGACAGATCAGAATCTTTAGATGTGGCTCTTTGTCTCCTTTGTTTTATAATAGAGGTTTCTGGCAATGTTGGCGTATAAGTTATATCTTTGCTGAAATCCAGTCTGATGTATTATTGTTTATGAGAGAACAGCAAGTTAAAGTAAAATGTTGCAAGCTGAATAGTGGCAAGTGACGAGATGCCATTGAGGTTTGCTAACAAAAGCCTATTATTTATTTCTCATTATTACTGAACTGCCTAGAAATAGAGGAAAGGCCCGCCCGCCGTCTTGGCATGGCACAAGGTAGGGCTTCGATCTTAGTTGCCTGGGAGTGGCCAAACGACCTTATAGCCAATAAGCTAATTGTCATGAACATTCTTACTGGTTCATTGGTCAGTCTGGCCGACATGTATTCTGTTTTGGTATCCTTGCTCAGTGTAAGTTACATTTGGACAAAATGTCATCCGACGTCCCGAGAACCGATGCACAACAACATGATGACCACTTCGCTTAGATAGACTTTCATAGTCCCATTATCAGTTGTTGGAGAGCCAATTTACAGTCTAAAATGTATTTCGGATATCAGGACAATGATTCCGTGGATCGTGGCCCGATAGTCAGTTGATCCAGCTCCGCGCTTCCCAAATAGGAACTGCATGGAGGCTGTCCTCCGAAATGGGCTTTTCCCAATGTTGCAATATTCTCCTACCCGCTTTTATATCCTTTTAGGCCACATGACTTGATCGGATGGTGTTTCCGGGTGCCATTATGGCTAGCACCGCTGGAGCGGCGGCTGAATTAATTGTTTTGTGGAGAGTGAGAGAGAGTGAGGAGAAGCTGGAGTCAAGGCTTAAAGCAGATGCTCCGAGAATTTCCACATTCTGTGCCTTGTAGCGGTTCGGTCGTGGAGACTTTCGGTTTGCTCTTGCTCTTATCCGTAGACATAGCAAGATGAGAAGGTTTTTCTGAGTGGAGTTGTCTTGTTTGTCCCTGAGGGGACGTCGATCTCATGGAGCTTTACTCCATGGTTCGAGATCCCGTGTTTCCGACGACTCCGTCTCCAAAGATGCGGCTCTGAAGCTTTTCAAGATGTATATAATGTCTTCACTTGAACCTCAATCTACATTTTCCCTTAACCTCATCCCCAGTCAACAGTCCAGCTTCTCCAGACACTCTTCGACTTCGACAACATGACGGTCTACAAGCTTTTCCTGGCTGCTGCCTTTGCAGCCACTGCTCTCGCAGCTCCGGTTGAAGAGCGTCAGGCTTGCAGTAACGGAGTCTGGTGAGCGTTTACGATCATGTTTTTAGAAGGGCAATTACTTACATACCCATAGGTCTCAATGTGGTGGCCAGAACTGGAGCGGTACTCCATGCTGCACTAGTGGAAACAAGTGTGTCAAGGTCAACGACTTCTACTCCCAGTGTCAGCCTGGATCCCCCGACCCTTCTCCCACAAGCACCATTGTCAGCTCCACAACTACCGGGGCTACTACCACTAATGGTGGAGGCTCTGTTACTTCGCCTCCTCCTGTTGCCACCAACAACCCCTTCTCTGGCGTTGATCTGTGGGCCAACAACTACTACCGCTCCGAAGTCAGCACTCTGGCTATCCCCAAGCTGAGCGGTGCCATGGCTACTGCTGCCGCTAAGGTCGCCGATGTTCCTTCCTTCCAGTGGATGTGAGTTGAGGATTTCCTTCTAATATACACCTCTTTACTAACATCGGTAGGGACACTTACGACCACATCTCCTTCATGGAGGACTCTCTTGCCGATATCCGCAAGGCCAACAAGGCTGGTGGCAACTACGCCGGTCAATTCGTCGTCTACGATCTCCCTGACCGTGACTGTGCTGCTGCTGCTTCCAATGGAGAGTACTCCCTTGACAAGGATGGCAAGAACAAGTACAAGGCATACATTGCCAAGATCAAGGGCATCCTCCAGAACTACTCTGACACCCGCATCATTCTCGTCATTGGTTAGTCTACATAAGCGGCTTCAGTATATCTCCTACTAACAACTATCTCAGAGCCTGACTCTCTTGCTAACATGGTCACTAACATGAACGTTCCCAAGTGCGCCAACGCTGCCAGCGCTTACAAGGAGTTGACCATCCACGCCCTCAAGGAGCTCAACCTTCCCAACGTCTCCATGTACATCGACGCTGGGCACGGTGGCTGGCTTGGGTGGCCTGCCAACCTTCCTCCTGCCGCCCAGCTTTACGGTCAGCTATACAAGGACGCCGGTAAGCCATCTCGCCTCCGAGGTCTCGTCACCAATGTCTCCAACTACAACGCCTGGAAGCTCAGCACCAAGCCCGGCTACACCGAGAGCAACCCCAACTACGACGAGCAGAAGTACATCCACGCCCTGTCTCCTCTTCTGGAGCAGGAGGGCTGGCCCGGTGCCAAGTTCATCGTCGACCAGGGCCGATCTGGCAAGCAGCCCACTGGCCAGAAGGCTTGGGGTGACTGGTGCAACGCTCCCGGAACTGGATTCGGTCTCCGACCTTCTGCCAACACTGGTGATGCCCTTGTCGATGCCTTCGTCTGGGTCAAGCCTGGTGGTGAGTCTGATGGTACATCTGATACCAGTGCTGCTCGCTACGACTACCACTGCGGTATTGACGGCGCTGTCAAGTAAGTTCCATCAAATCAATCCCAGTCAAACCTCATACTAACCTCAATAACTAGGCCCGCTCCTGAGGCTGGAACCTGGTTCCAAGCTTACTTCGAGCAGCTTCTCAAGAACGCCAACCCCTCTTTCCTGTAAACGAACTGCAGGATCCACGGTGATGAAGCCAAGAATAACACTCACCGAAGGAGGGAAAGGAATTTGACACGATACTAGTCATTTCTGGACTTTCGATTTTCTTTCCGTACATATTTAGTTACCTACAAAATTTGATTGATGATTTTGAATGAATTACTTTTTTGCTTATGTTTTCCGTTATCGTTTCTGTGCAGACTTCGCAAGCTTGTGAGAGAATAAATCCTGTAAATAAACACAACACCCTTGCGAGAAATGCGTTGTAGTTACGATATTTTCCTGATCAAATATACATGCCGAGTAGGCCAGGTAAGAAGCTGCTGCATCCCCAGTCGGAACTTGGGTATAACAAAATTGCAAACTGATACGATCTATCCTAGGTCTTCACGGTCTTCGGCTGTTCAGCTCTGGTTTCAAGAATGCTTTCTCTTTCGTAGACCAATTCTTCACTAAAAATCCGTATAGAAACGACAGTAAATATATACAAGTACCCTCAAGCGTCTCAATCAACGACACCCTCAGGCAGAAGCGAAATATAATCCAATGCGGCCTTCTCTGCACCATCAGCCTTTCCAATGATAGTCAACTCATCACCAGGCTTAATCTTAACTCCCTCAAAGGTCATTCGAGTAGCGGAGTGGCCGTCGAGAAAGTCGCTAGGCCAGTGTCCGAGCTTCTCTTCGTTATCTCCAATCCACTTGCCCACCAGTCGTTTGTTAAGGTATACCGCCCAGGTAGCCTTGCCCCTTGCAACATCGTAGTAGTTCACTGCGAGATTGTAGGTTCCCTTCTTGAACTTCAGCTTGGTTGTGGCTGTTCCAGTTCCGTTTGTGTATACGGCAACGTACTTTGACGCTGTTTCTGTCGGTGTCACGTTGACAGTGTGGTAGTTATCAAGGTCCATCTTCTCAGCCTCGATTCTGTAAGGGTGGTTGCGGACTCGGTCTTGAGTGTCTGCAATACCAGAAAGGTTACGGTAGAACTCATTAATGGCATCTCTCCAGACAATTGAGTGGCCGGCCTGGTAGTTAAGTCTGAAGAGCTCATGCTTGAACCGGTCACTGTCGACCTTTCCTTGGAGTGACTTCCACAGCTTGGGGAAAGTCTGTGCTGTATTGGCACCCTTGTAATGAGCATCATAGAAGTGCTGGATAACAGTCTTTCCAGAGTGGAGCTTGAAACCATAAGGGACGTGATGGAACCATAACATTAGATCATCGGGAGTGGTCTCAGGGTTCTCGAACCGCTCGGCCACCTCAGCAGGATATTGACCAGCATTCCCAGTTCCGTTCTTTACGGTACGGTCCATTCCGATGTGATCGCGAGTCGCCCTGGTCCATTGACCCCAACCGTTGTTGTCCTGAGAGGCAGGGTTAGGTCCGTAATGGGCATAGAGGATATCAGTCAGAGTCTGAATACCCAAGTTACCAGAATAGTTCTCGTACGCTGGCCAGGATTCCATAGACATCTCAGTGATTGCCTTTCGAACCTTGTTGTCCAAACCAAAGGTCAAGCGGGTCCAGTCTTCGAGAACTTCCTGAGGGTCGGCTTGAGGGTTCCAAGCCATGCGACCAAACGCATAAAGGTTGGACATTGATAGATGACTTCCTAGCCAAGTCTTGTCAAGCCCAACATTGGTGACACCTGCGTAGCCTCCCAGCTTGCGCTTGAAGACCTTTCCGGAAACAATGTCGCGGACGTTGGACTTCTTGCCGTCGACACGCATATCAAAGTCAAGGATGGTTCGCCACAGTGGAGGCAGATACACAAGATGGCATTGTTGGCCTAGGTATTCCTGACTGATCTGCAGCTCAATCGCACTGTTTGTGTTGCGAAGATGTGCGAACAGTGGGCTGACCGGTTCTCGAACTTGAAAGTCAATGGGACCGTACTTAATTTGCACAACAACGTTATCGTCAAACTTTCCATCAAGCTCGCTGAAGAACTCGACAGCAGCGTTGGCACGGTCAGCTTTCCAGTCAGTCCAGTCGAGCTTGTCGTAGACGAAAGCTCGGAACATGACAATTCCTCCATGAGGCTCCAGGGCTTTGGCGAACATGTTGGCGCCATCCGCCAGTGTGCCTTCTCAAAGGTTAGTGGCTATTGAAAATGAAAAACCTTCCACATCGTGGATCTTTCTTGTTTGGGAATCATGAGGAAAAGACTCACGGTTGTAGGTGATAGGGCCGGGCTGACCCTCAGAATTGGCCTTGACCAAGTAGCCAGCCATATCGGGAATGCGCTCATAGAGTCCGTCCGTCAAATCGTGCCACCACTTGATCACCTTTTTGTCAAGAGGATCAAAGGTATCCAGGCCGCCGAGCAAGTTAGGCGAGGCAAAGTTGAGCGAAAGGCCAACTTGAACACCCCAGGGTCGAAGAAGATCGGCAATCTCGACGAGACCGTCACGGTTTTCCTCATTGAAGAGACGCACGTCAGCGTTGGCATTGTTGATCACTACGGCGTTGATGCCAATGGAAGCGAGAAGACGACCGAAAAGAGGTACGCGTGAGAGATCCTTTCGAACGTTCTTGACGCCGTCAAAGAAGATGGAGGGACCACCGTAACCTCTCTCGATGGAACCATGGGTTGAGCTTGCGTTGAGGTTATCCCACTGATTAGCCCAGCGAATTGGCGCACTGGGGTTGGAGGCTTTCTCCACATGTTTAAAGTTGCCCTGACCGAGCATCGACAGGTACTCGAAAGCGCCGTAAAGGGCGCCGCGCTCATTCTGACCAATGATCTTGACAGAGTTGTCGGAAGTGCTGAGCCAGTATCCATCCTCTTCCAGTTTGGGATGCTTCTGCTTATCGTGACATGTCTTTTCCAGGTTGTCCACAGTAGTGACGACTATGGTCTTGGCGAAGTCGCAAGTCTTTTTGCTTTCTGCGGTCTTCAAATCGATGTCGAGAATGCCACTGAAGCCCTTCTGAAGCTCGGACGCAGCACTTTGCAGTGGGCTATTTTTTGAGCCGCCAATGACACGGATGTTGCGAGGCAAGGATTTAGCATGGCTTGAAACTTGGTGCGCTGGCAGGGGAGCGTATCGGAGCCAGCCGTCCAAGCCATCCTCTGCCAGGACGCAGGTGGAGAAGGCGAGGAGAAGAGTTGAAACCCTCATGGTGGACGGGCTACCACTGTGACTGCGATAGCGTGGGGGAGAGTCGGCATGGGTAGTTCCCTTGACTGAAATGGTGCGTAATGTCACATCTTATATCATGACTTATTTCACGATAATATTCTTGTCTTATGCGGAGGAGGAGATAATTCCCATTCAGGCTGATTGAATTAGCCTCTGAACATGACTTTGGGGAAGATCGACAATGGACCATTACTCCATCAATCGGCGTTGAGATACTGACTTGGGGTACCTGGCCCGGGGTCTGGTCTTCGTCCGATCTTGGTCTAAACCACTTGTCACAGTCAGATGATCACCCCAGGCAAAATGACATTTCATCGGCAATCTCTCCGAAGCCACTTCCCATCTTTGGTGTCGATGTTGATCTTGACCCTTGAAAGGCTGTTCATCTGAAGTTTAATATGTTTAGGCAAAATGTCCACCACAGACTAAGCACCACAGACTAAGATCAGCGATCTCATGCAAGGGGGAAAAGATGAAGAGGGGCAGGCAGCAGCCAGAATCGCTGGCTCGATGCAGGAATTGTGTAAAAACTTCGGGCGTATAAACATGCGAGAAATATGCACATGAATTTGCTGATCATTTTTTCTGACAAGGTTTAACTGGCCAGCAAATTCCCGGCTTAGTCGGCCTATGACAGACAACGCATCACGACGAAGCGAATTTTGGCGAGTGCAACACGGACAGCGCACAAGATGAGAGAGGGAAAAGATGGAGAGTAGAAGATAAAAGTACAGAAAAAAAAGGAATTGAACAGCACAAAACCTCTCTGAAGGTGAAACGACTGAGTCATATGATACAGGTGGTGAGTTGTCCATGGTTTGCCCCTGAAAGTTCTCTGTCCTGAGACATGTTCGTGGCCTTTGACTCATGCACAACAGCCATACAGACAGGCAGACACATGGCCTGATCCACTGTGGTCGCTGTGTTGCATGTGTTACAACAAATGTCACTTTACAATTTTTCAGTAGGACACGACATGCTCTTTTTTTCTCCATGCGAATTGCGGCTATCAATACATATTATGATTCGTTTAGAACCCATGCCTGGTCAGCAGCACATCAAAATGACTAACTTAACTCTGGGTCCTGTCTCCAATAGAGGCCTTCCAAGTAAACTCTCTCCACTCTTGGGCGCGACAACGGTCAAGGTCCAGAGCCAGACCTCTTCCAAAGTCAAGCCTTTTGGACCACAAAAAAATCGACCCGGATCGTCGTTGATCGAATTAAATCCATATTGAAAAGCATATTTAGATCCTAGCACTTGTAGAAAAACGACACTCTATACGGCCCGGATGCACAAAGAGACAGGTACATTGCCTTAGCTCAGTAGCATCTGCATGCATGTCCAAGTGCATTTAGCTTCGGGTAGCATGCCCTCTTATCCAAAATCCACTTGTTAGGCATGCACAACGCTTGTTTGGTCAATTGGACCCTCTCTTCATGGTATGTTGGCCGCGTCAGGTTTGGATTTGTTGGCTTTTCAGGCTGCAGGCCACTATTTTGGTCAAATAAACCTGGTGTACGCGTTGTACGATCCACTATCTTAGTAACTATAGCTAGTTGAGATATGACCTTTCTCTCATTGGCACCCTTGCTCAGAGCTTCTCCATGTATAAACCACCATTTTGACAAGACTCACTCCACGTCAATATGAACAGGTGTAATCCAAGAAACAACTGCCTATAAAAGCAGGTGATAGCTGTCCCACAGAACGTTTCTGAGTTGAAACATCTTCATCACCTTCTGCATCTATTCTCACTATCATCCAATAGTCGATTCATTTTCTCCATTTCCATCACTCAAATATCTACTCACTTTCTAATGATCATTTACAATGGGACGAACCAGCGACCATATTCACTTCCCTCGCCATGTTGAGCGAATCCCACGTCGACCAAACGGCCCCAGCGGATACAGCGACTCGTTAGGAAGAGCTGTACTGATCGACATCATCAACTATTTCGCAGATGTTGTCGACGCAATCGATGACATTAAACTTCCCAAACAACACAAGGACCGGACGAAACTAAAGAACGATAAGAAGAAGTTAAGCGATACAGCCGTGAGGGGTGCAAATACCTTTACAGCCCTTTTCAACTCTGCCAAAGGCCAAGCCAAGTACACTGATCCTGCTCGTACGTCTTTGCCGATTATATCAGGCCAGAGCCACATATCTAACATGATGAATAGCTAAAAACTTGCCAGTATACCGGGATGAGATTAACAGCCAACTTCTACACCCACTGTCGAAAGCCAAGTCAAGCCTCGGTCGATCTTTCACATTCACCCCATATCAACAAAGACTGATGGTCATCCTGAACCATATCGAGGCCGAGATATGCTGGTGGCTTAAGCTCCCCCGCCCAGGCATCAGCTATGACAAAGGGTTAAATAATACCAGTAAAGCCTCTGGCAAAGCCTCAACAACACATAGCTACGGCAAAGCCCCAACACAAGCCCAAGGCAAGGGTTCAACAACTACCCATACCACTAGCAAGTCTCATGACCAGCGCCCAACACAAAGTAGCAAGAGCCATGATCAGCGATCATCGAGACCTACGCAAACTAAAGGGGGGCAGCAAAAACAGAAGAGGAGCTCTTCTCCGGTGGACAAATCAGGTGGTTGCGCGGTCATGTAGCTGGCTACAAATGATCACGATACCAATTACGCGAAACGTTAAAGAAAAAACTCTAAATATCATATATAATAAGTAAATAGGAACATGAGCAGGCGGAAACATTGATTTGGCATACAAACGGATGTGGAGTTGGAACAAAAACATATCAATAGGGCAATGGGCTCATGGATGGCGGACTCTGTTGTGGGCTAAATTGCAGCGATATCCACGGGTAGGATCTTTTCTTGGATTATACACAGTTACTATTTAAAACTAAACAATCTTGAATCATAATGATAACCTTCACTGCCTCATCACTACTCATGAACATGAATAATACCATCAGCAAGTTCAAGAATCATCAGCCTTGCAGCTGTAGGCAATACCTCCTAGCTCTTTGTCAGTATTGTCCAGATAACGTCCACTTTTAGCTCTCCGCAGTCTGTCTTCCAAACATTGTCTGAATGTCCCAGAAGGAAGCGTCTCAGAGTCATGTTGTTCAATCACTGCCCACTCGAGCTTTTGCATCACTTCCAAACTGCCATATCTAGCTTCAATACACTTCAGTGTTTGCTTCTTCACATCATCCGCGTTCTTTGGGTCATTGAGAGCCTCTTGATAAGAATCCAAAATCGCCTTTGTATTCTTTGGAGTAATAAGAAGAGTGTTGAGAATGTCCAAAGATCCAACATTAATTGTTGTTCCGGAGTTCGGCCATTCAGGCCGGGACTTGTCGTTTATCCTAAGTTCTAGGACGCCTGAAATACTGTCGTGAAGCTCAACAAAGGGCACCTCAAAGCCTTCATCAGCCCAGTGGACGTCATCCACTCCATACAGGGGATTGTCAAGATGGTAGCCGTTCCAAGTACCACCAAAGCCATTGCTAATCTTGAGAAACTCCTTATAGTCATCTGGTAATGTGATATCGAGTTTTTTCTCAAGCGATGTAATCTGCTCATCCGTCGCTGGCGGCAACACAAAGAGCGTTTCTGGAACTGGTTCTTCCATTTCATCCCAATAGCTTGTGCCATTAGCTTTTGTGTGACGTTCCAGTTCCAGAAGGACTTCTTTCAGTGGCTTTGATTCTATATCTTGCTTTTTACGGCCTTGAGTAAAGCGCTCAGAGAATGTTGCGACGACTTCTTTGCCAACAGCTTTGAGTTTCTCGTTGTCGACCGGAACTTTTTGAGCCAATTCCCCAGTAGAAAGAATTCCACACAGTTCATGATATGCCACAAGCGATGGAATTATTCGGTTTCTGTGCAGATTCTTGGCGATGAGTTCGAGGGCTCTTTGAACTCCAGAATCATTCTTGATATCTTGTAAATCTTCAGTGTGCTTTGATGCCAGTCTTGTAGCAGTGCGCAGAGCATCAACAACAATAGAGTTTTTCTCGTCGTTGGCCCGTTTCATCTGTTCCTGAAGCTTCTTCTCGTCATTTTTGTCCTTCAAATTCTCTTCATCATCTAACGAATGTTTGGTAGCGGTCTTGCTGGCCGACTTCTCCGTTCTATCCTTCTCAGGAATCTCATCAGGCCATAAGTTGGCTGCTGCGAAGAAGGGTTCGAAGTTCTTAAGCTGTTTGCGCTGCCAATCCGAAGTGGTTTCTCGAAGCAGGAGTGATACCAACATTTTGGTGGTTTCAATTTCACCCAGCACAGCAAACTCACTGGCCACGTCGACCAACTTATGGTAAACCTCTGAGAGCGAGGGGTTGGTCAAGAGCGAATCATGATCAAATTTCCGAGGCTGAGACATTGTGTCTTGTCTGAGAATAAGGAAGAATCTGCTTTACTGGTAGTTATGATTCTAGTAGTTGTCTCGATATCAATCAGGTTGAAATACTGATTCACGTTGAGACGAGTCGTCAATGCTTATTTTCTGACGTTATGCAATGACGTCAAATCGCCGACTGCCTCCCTGCAATAGGATGGAAATATGACCTCAATTGAAACTAGTGTGTTCGTCGTGCTTCATGGGATTGCTGGGAACAAAACAAAGCTGATCACCAAAGGCCAGAGAAATAAACGAGACGAGAAACCAAATACAAATGAGACTAGTAACTACAAGAAACACAGGAGTCAATTTTACTGCAGGTAAAGGCGGGCGCGGAATTAGAAAGCTAACAAACAGCTCTCTAGATGAGTTTAAAGCGAGACAAGACATCACAATTTGCAGCGGGAAACAGGATTTTTGTCCTCAGATTGCTTCAGATAAATTAAGCAAAGCTAAATGACTACGAGCACAGTTCCAGACCATCCCCTTCCTCATCTAGCAGGTAAACTTGATGCTATCAACAGGACTCTTTTATACAAGAAAGTCGACCAAAAATCTGCAACCTCTTCCCTCCACTTCTTGGTCCTCCATTCATCTCAACACATCGACAAAACCAAGCAAAATTCGAATCAAATCCTTAAAGCACACGCTTAAGCGGAGCAGGGAGAGTTAGAGCCAGCGTTCTGGGCACCAGGGAAGCCACCCTGGTTACCCTGGCCGGGGAAACCGCCCTGGTTTCCTTGCTGCTGCTCACCACCCTGCTGCTGACCGTTACCGGCATCGGGAGCGGGAGTGGAAGCACCGTTGCCAGCGGCGGGGGTCTCGGCGGGGGCGTCGTTACCGGCAGCGGGGGTCTCGGCGGGGGCATCGTTGCCGCCAGTAGAGCCACCGGCAGAGGTGGTACCACTCCAGACCTTGGGGCCGGGCATGGGGAAGTCCTTAGCACCGTTGTAGATGGAGAAGTTGGCGTACTCGTCGGTGTCCTTGTAGGCACCGGGGAACTTGACCATCTCGGCGTCGACCTTGCCGGAGCCACCACCGGTGACAGCAACCTGCATGCAGGAGACGTAGTGCTCGGGTTGGTTGACGTGCGATCGGTGGATACCGATGTGCTCAACACGGAGGAGGTACTGGCCATCGGGGGTACCCTCGGGGATCTTGACATCAGCGGAGGGAGAGTCGTAGTTGCACCAGGCGTCCTTGGTGAAGTCACCGCCGGCGTTGCAGACGCCCTCCTCCATGATCTTGAACCAGTCACCGTCACCCTTGTAGGACTTGACGTCACTACCAGCGGCGGACATGTAGGCCAGAGTAGGTCCGGGGTGACCCATCTTACCGCCAACACCGAGCTTGAAGGTGATCACATCACCAGCCTTGACATCGGCGACCTCAGTAGAGGCACCGTTGGAGGTGGCACCCTGGTTGCAGATGATGTCCTCGCCATCAGCGAAAGAGTTGTCGCGGATGTCGGCGGAAGGGTTGGAGGAGAACTTGATGGGGTTGTACTTGGTAGCACGGGTGAAGTCACGGATGTACTGGAAAGGAGCAGAGTCCTGGCCGTTGACGGTGGCGACCTCGAAGAAGTAATGGGCAGAAGCGACCTGAGAAAGGGCAGCAAGGGCGAGAGTAGAGAACTTCATTTTGAAAGATTCGAAAAGTTGAGGATAGTAAAAAAGTTGCTTGGTTTGCTGGAGACTGGCTCGGTGATTGTAGTGAACGAAAGAAACGAGAGACTAGCTCTTCGAAAGAAAGACTGAAGTGAATGAAAGAAGATGAAGATCTGTTGATGGGGAGGAAGGGAAAAAGTTGAGAAGGACACGGCAAACGAGATGCCTTTATAGATTTCGTATCTCGAATTGTCTTGTCATTCTTTAGTCCTCTGAGCAGGGTTTGTTTCTGTACCGAGCACTAGAACCAGAATTCATCCGCCCATGGAAGACTTCCCTGCACTGTTTCGCCCCAATTTACCCATAGACGCCCAGAAGAAAACAATTCATCCCCGTCTTCGCAAGATCCCTGGAAGTTGTCCTTCAGCCATAACAATCTAACCATGTTCTTCTTCACTGCCCCTCACCTGTTACAGAGTACGGCGGCTTATTGGAGGCTGTTTCAGTGAACCTCGAATTTGCACCAATCAACAACGCTGTTTAATCTAACTAAGGTTACGTATGCCAGGGTTTCTAGGTTTCGCCTATTTACCCTTATTAAACAAGTTTAAAAACAAACATAAAATTCTAGCTTTGTAAGTATTTGCCTCTTTAGACTATTGTTATCAGTTTAATGGAGTTGGAAAAGCGAATCGTGATGTCTCTTTTGTTAACGATGGCCCTTCGCTGCTACGTTAGACTGGAGGCAGTCAAGGACCCCCCTTCAATCTTACAGTGGGCAAGTCTGCGGCGTGAGGCGAGAACAAATTCAAGACGAGACCATGAAACGCTAATTTCGGTTCAGGAGGGTCTGCGGCTCTTGGCGACAGGGATCTGGAAACAACATCGTGAATCTGAGTAGTGGAGTGAACCCCCTAGTTGGTGATCTTAGCTCCCAACCTGACCACTACCAACATGTCAGCTCTACAACCCTGTTCTAGTATTCGGTAGATGTTGGACTCGATGATTACTTCCTCATAGCAAGAGGATTTATGGTTGTCAATGTTATTATTTGCCTCGGTGGCCCTGATGAGGGAACTTTTGTTATTGCTCCCTCCACAAGACCCCCGGCTATTTACTTTCTTCGGGACTATTCTTGGAGCTACCAATTTTGCAGAGATTTGCCAAGACCCCTTTCTTCCCGCGGGATGTCAACTGACAACCTCAAGACATGAAACTAATCGTTTAAGTATCCAGTCAGGCAATTTCCCCACAATGGGACGAGCCACAATGCCGAGGCCGCTATGATGAGACAGCTAGACAATGGGCCGATACCAAAATGGTAGATTTTGTGATTTACTCAGCATTGACTGATGCCGTCCGGACTGTGCGTTAAGCTGAATCAGACTACTGGTACCTGTCATTGATCCAAGCTTGCGGTGACAGATTCACTAATACGCTTTAGTAAAACTTGACGCATCTTCGCAAACTAGCTACCGATTTGATTACAGGCCCGGTCACCGATCCAATATAGCCTTGATTATTGTCATGGGTGGTTAAACGGGCCGCTTAAGTAAACATTTGACTCCTCAATTACACGTCGATTTGTTTCTGTAGGGCAATATTGTGGGTAATTACATGGCCTTGCTGCACACGAAGCTATGGTAGTTTCAGTAGTACCAAAGAGGTAAATTTAAGCGCCATAAGCAAGAAAGGCGTAGCATTCATCATCGACATCAACATGTGATTCGAGCATTTATTGTGCATGTATCTCAACAGTAAGCAACCGTTTGAGGCGCTGGGACTTTCTTCGCGCCTGTGCCTGCATTGCTTTTTAACCGGTACCTGACCCAGGGCCTTGGCAGGAGCTACACATAAGCTTATTGACTGTAAGTTTGTGAAATGCAATTCTTTGAAATTCCATGCATTAGCTTGAAGAATACTAGGCCTTTCAACGATGGCAAAAGCCGGTGATAAGTCGAGAGTACGGTAACAACGGGCGATCTGGTAACCAGAATACTACTGCAAACCATACCGAACATCATAACACACGGGATAAGTTCTTAAGAAACTCTTTGTTAAGCTATGTCACAGCTATCGATCAATTTGTAGCTTTAGTATTACGCATCCCTGTAATATCAGCTATGCAGCAGGCATTCGACTTACGAGTTTACCGCCAGATCTTGTTACAGTTGCGAGCTTGAAAGAGAATTCCTTGAATCACTGTCCTTCTCGACAAAGCGGTGAGGTCTACGTAACAACAACTCGCAACATGGAAGTTGAGCTTTGGAAGCTTTGGAAGCTTTGGAAGCTTTGACAAAGCACGGTACCTTGTCGGTGCAATCTCTGCCTGATTGAATTTTTCTCAACCATTCCTTTTCGCGTCGATAAGCGAAATAGTACGACAAACCCAAAGGGGCAAAAGAATCGTGGTAATTATGGGTATATTACCCGATCTGGGGTTGAAATCTGTACTAACAACATCGTCCCGTTGCACATTAAAAGGATCTATTGACTGTTAAGGGGCAGGTAGCAACCGGGGAATCTACCGTGAGCAAGGTACATGAGTTAACGATTGGCTCAAGACTCCGGAGATTTAAGAGCAGGTTCCACCCCGCCAGATTGAGCGAACGACAGTAATTCCGCCAGTGGAAGAACCCTTGCTTGATTAATCCCTTCTATAATTCCGTACTCCAATGATAACAGCCGTATTAATTAGGTCCGTCATAATGATTGTATTGCAAATAGCCGTGGGACTATTCGCGCAGATACGGTGTAGATACTGTGATTTCAAGACTTGATCATTGTAGGGTATTAACTAATCGTGATGGTATCTGGTCATATGAGAGCCTGCATAATAAAGACAAATAAAAAACAATTAAATAACTGAAAAGGAAACCAAGCTGTAAGCACCATCCTCGCCTTTTCAAAGGGAGTAGCAATACACAGAGTTATTATTACTTTTATTTAGGGTAGGTGATGTATTGTTGATGAAAGCATTATCGTACTAAATGCAGGCAGGGATATATAATGTGCGGTTAAATGTCGGATAATATATTTGTCGCCTGCAATAGTGCAACCTTGTTAAGAATGAATGTGGAACAAGCGGTGTGATATCTCAGTACAAGTTAGAGTAATACCTAAGCCACTGTATTTACGACTTGTAATACAAGATGCCAATAAAAAAACACTGCGTCATTTGACTGTCAAGACTGTGCTAGTTTAGATTGTTCCAACTCGTATCTTTTGATCATCTTGATTGAATTGTTGGTCGTAGGAAAGGCGATTCCTGTAGACAACAAGCATTATCATTGCAAACCAGTCAGAATGCCCAGCCAAGTTCTCTATCTTATCAGCATCTAGAACCGTGGCGACGTGACAAGGCTGGCAGAAGTACAGACTGTGGCGGTTCACATACCGTGGCGTTTGAGCCCAGGAACCAACCGTTGTGGAAATAACATTGATGGCGGTGTGCGAAAAAGTACATCGTGCATGAATATCTGCTGATATTGTTCCTACTCTGATCATTTGATGGTTTTACAGACTCTTATTATTGACAGTGTGGTTTCGGATAGTCCGACAACTGTTGGTTGTTTGCCTGCCGATCTGTGTTGGAGTCCCAGCTGGACGCACTAACTTCACAGGCGAGTTGAGTTGGTGGTAAAGAAAAACGCTGAAGGGTGCAACGGAATGATTCTGGATCTTTTAGTGCTGTGACCACTAAGTACACGTCGCTTTATGTCGCCTATTTACCCCTCCCTCCCTGTTGTACGTGTTGGTCAAAGCAATGGTGTTGCATGCAAATGCTCAAATGAATTTCCCAACATCTAAAACACAATCACGTTGGCGGGAGTTGAGGCGGACTTAAGGTTTCAAATATGATGTAGTAACAATGGTCTAGATTGTCCCGTTGTTATTGAAAAGGGATTGTGAGTGGAGAAAGAGACCATCATGATCGTGTCATAAATGCAAGCTAACTGACGTTTCTACCGGTGTCCATCTGGAGCATCTGCCAGCTAAAAGTTTAAGGCAACATCTCTCATCAACCTTAGTACTCGCCACTCAATAGAACTGAGCTCGGCTTTTGTCGATATGTCATTAGGTGTGCGTAATTGTATCACGCATGGAAAGCATCTCGGAGTTTAGGGTAGCTTCCGTCAGCTGAGCCTGATCACCACTGATCATCACAAACCTTATCTCCTATCCGTAGTCTCTTATCTCTTATCACCATCCGCCTATTATATCCTGGGAGATCATCGAGATTGCTTTTAGCATCAACTTGTATGTACTTATCGCATAAAGAAGAATAAACGACGAATAGATGGCATTTGAAAGTCTTTTTTCCCCTGACGGCTATGATAGAATTGACCAAGCCTGATCGTCCTGTCCGTTCCTCTCCAATCGCCCCCCGACATGACCTGACCCCGCTGGACCAACGCTATGGATAAGCGTGCATACAGCAAACAAACCATATTGTCACCTACGACCAACCCGATAACAATCGGCAATCGTCAGCTCAGCTCAGCCCAGCCCAGCCCAACTAAGATTTAAGCTGAAGGGGCCCAGTCCAAACAAACTCCTCGTTGACGCCATGATAATCATTTTCACAAAAATTTGCAACTGAGCTACAGCCCACTCACTGTGATGCCCCCATGAAATTAATCACGACTAATTTGGTGCTAAAAAGAAGGCTCAAGCGTCAACCAAAACATACTTGTGAATATCACTCACTACCTTCATTTGGTAGTTCTACGTGATGTGTAATGCACTCACTACCTTCGTAGACTACGTCGTGGACACTACTTTCTCCTATCTTTCCGATTCACTCGGAACGCTGACACTGCATAGCTTTGATCACCTGCTCGGGCCGCAGTCTTCCACAGCGTCTTCGAGACCCAAAGTGAAGGAGCCAACACCGTATGCAAGGGGTGATAGCCTATAGACAGCATGCAAACTAGCGAAACCCAAGACAGGCTAACAGCCTGAGTAAAGAACGGCACCAACAGGGAGAAACATACATATTGATCTTCAGGCGCTTTGACCTAACAAAGTGGTGTGCTAAATTCCTCACTAGATGCTTGCCAAAAACGGCTAAGCAGGTTAGTTGCGACAAAGGTCTCAATAGCTCCACCACTACCAAGAAAAACGGTTGCCGTCAATTACGGTCGGCCAATCGTCTCGGCTCGTGAAAGTATCAGGATAGTGGTGAGTGTATGAGTGTCGCACGAGTAAAAGAGTGGTGAAAGCCTACTGAAAAGGTCAAGCGCGCGAGTCATTATCAGAATAGCCGTGGTTCACACACCCTCCATAGATCCATTGCTACTTAAACTCTGCATGCTCTCACTGAATTTGAGGCCCCAGGAAATGCAACAATAGATCCAAAATGGGCTCGCAACTGTTCTCCCAAGTCCTCAACCAGGCGACAAGTCCAACACTGGACTCTCGCACCCCCAAGATGAACATTCTCTTCCTCTGTACCGCACACAACTCGCTGTCTCAACAGCTCTACCTTCATCTCTGTCGGATACATACCGTCACTATTGAATACGCGCTGTCTGACAAGGTCATGATCGAGGCTGCAAACCTCGTGCGACCTGATATCATCATCTGTCCATTTCTTACCTCGCCTGTCCCAAGCGAGGTCTTCGCCTACTACCTAACTCTCATTGTTCATCCAGGACCTCCAGGTGATGCTGGTCCTAGTGCCCTTGATTGGGTATTGATGGGAGATGATGGTACGGTATCAGACTCTACAGAACTTCTCAAGTCCCAGTCATGGAACGACACCGGTCGATCCCACTGGGGCGTCACAGTTCTACAAGCTGTGGCTGAGATGGACGCCGGTCCTGTTTGGGCATTTGAACAATTCGAGATCGACATCAACGACCCTGAAACGACAAAAGCGACACTTTATCGTGGTTCCGTCACACGAGCCGCAGTCACTGCCACATTTTCTGCTATAGACCGCATCGTCTCGACAACCAAGCAACAGCCTCTTTCGCGTGCATACAAAGTCCACAGCATCTCAGTGCATCTTAAGTCAAACTCCACGTACAAGACGCTGTCCGTCACACAACAAAAGCCTTTCCTTGGCGGACCGACACATTGCCGACCGCTCCTCAGAGCAGCGGAACGAAACTTTGACATCCAAGCCGAATCAGCAAAGGCCATTTCCCGAAAGATCAGATCATCCGACTCACAACCTGGTTGTCTCACCAAATTGTTCGGAAGTGTCAATCTTTACGTGTACGGGGGTATTGTTGAGGCCGGAAGGCATGTGGACTGTAAGCGCCAACCTGGAGAGATCATCGGGTCCAGAAGCGGTGCAGTTTGTGTGGCTACATGTGACGGCATGGGCATTTGGATCACCCATGTCAGGAGAGTGAAGCGCAAGGTTGATTCCATGCTTTGGCCCAAGGTACCTGCTGTCACAGGCTTGCTCGAACTCGGCCTTGTTAGTCAAAGCACCATGGATGACTCCACATCACTACAAGCACTCACCAGCTGGTCCAAGGCCTCGCACTCTACCTTCCAAGACGTCTGGGTTGACTTTGCACCTTCCACAGGCGAGAAACGTGTCGCGTTTGTCTATTTTGAGTTCTACAACGGGGCGATGAGTACCTCTCAATGCTCACGACTCATCGAAGCTCTTCAGTTTGTCGCCTCGGTTGAGTCTCTTGGAGCAGTTGTCCTTATGGGTGGCAACTCTTACTTCAGCAACGGCATTGCACTCAACGTTATTGAGGCCAGTTGCGATCCTTCCACAGAGTCATGGCAGAACATCAATCGCATAGATGATGTTGTGCATATGCTCCTTGAATTGTTCCCGAAGAAAAACGTCACAACCATCGCCGCAATGAGGGGAAACTGTGCGGCGGGTGGCGTGGCTTTGGCAACAGCTTGCGATGTGGTGATAGCAAGCTCTGAGTCTGTTCTCAACCCCGCTTACCGAGCTCTTGGCCTTTATGGTTCGGAATACCATTCTCTATCCTACACCGGACGTTGTGGGCCAGAAATCGCGCAGCGCATTCTTCGAGAGATGCTACCAATCTCAGCTCGCCAAGCCAAAGAAACCGGTCTTATCGACCACGTACTCCCAGGCTCAGGGCCCAATTTGGATATCAGAGTCAGGGACTTCGTAGAGTCACTGGCGTGCGCTCCTTACAAGCCAAGCAACTGGAAATCTCGGGTTGATGTTAGCCCTTCAGGGCTGGTGACAGCAAGGGCCCGTGAGCTTGGCGAGATGGCTAAAGATTTCTGGAGTGCAAGGTCAGAGAGATACACCTTGCGCCGACGGGATTTTGTTCGTAAGATCAAACCGACAAAAACACCCCTACGTTTTGCCACCCATAGGAGACGCGAGGGGGAAGTTGACGAAGAGGAGGCTGATGATTTTGACGACGTGGCAAAGTATGAGGCTATGGCTTTACAAAATATCCCTAAAGAAAAGCCTCAGGGAAAGCAAGCAGCCTTCGTGATGCGCAACGAGGAGGCCAAGTCTCATAACGGAGGCGTGGTCATCATATCGGAATTGCTTAGCGAGACAAGAAGCGCACAGGATGGAAAGGATATGTTATTTCCTTGTTATTATGGAGTTGATACCCCTGTTTGTACTTGATTCTTGATGTAGTAAATTGAGCTTCTCGTGATCATATCAGGAAGACTCTCGGGTGTCTAATATCAAATAATTCCTTTGTACTGTTATCCTATGCACCCAAAAAACAAACAAATATCCTAATACTACTCAGAAATTCAAACAATCACATCTCAGACATGGCCCCATCGACCGACTTGAGAACTTCACTTGTGGAAGAACAAAACATTTCTAGCGTCTCAGTAGGGACAAGGTCGAGTTTGTGGCAACCCAGGATATCCAGGACAGCAAGCTTGGCGTGGAGAGCTCTTTTCCCCTTTATCTTTTTAGCAATGTCTCGTTTGCTCTCGGCAATGTTCGCATTCAAGATCTCAATTCTCTCAAGCGTCTCTGTGTACTTTTGGAGACCACTCTCTGCGTCATACTCCAGTGCTTTGAGGTTCATCTCCGCGCGGTCGTGTCTCTTCCTAGCTCCTTCCAGATTCCTGATACTCTCGCTGTAGGCGTCGTAGTATGGCTTTGGGCATTTATCACCCTGATGATTGACTCTCACAGCCATGGATCGCATGAATGATTCCGCTTCCTGAAGTTGTCCTTGCGCCTCTTCGAGTGACTTGAAAGCCTTGCGACGGGCTCGCTCCTTATCATTTACATTGAGATATTTGACGGTGTGTTCCCGCTCAATGAACTCTTCCGAGCACAATACCATGGGTTTCTCAGCATTATCGATACGTTCATCTAACGCCTGGATATTGCGGCTAGCTGAAATTAGATAGTAGGTTTGCTACGATGAGCAAAATAGATTAGTATCTCGATCGTAGATATATCCTGACATTGAAACTCACAATCTGGCGCACGTCATCTGCGTTGATAACATGCCAATTGGATTCTTCCTTTTGCAGGATGCCGTAGTCACTGTCAACACTAGCACTTCGTCGAGTGCGCTTCAGAGGAATCGATTTTTGATGCATGGGAGCTTGCATCTGGTTGACGGGAGAGTGATTGATATAAGTTTCGGGCTCTGTGGGTGAATGATCGTTGGTGATGGATTCCATCGCCATAATTTGGGATCGCAAAGCCTTGGGGGATGTTCGGGATATCAGTATTAGACTCCGTTTGTGCAACCTCAACGATGGCTTATGCCAAGATTGAAGAGTACAAAGGTGAAATGGTAGGTGCCGTTTGAAATAAATAAAGCTTAAATCTCTTCTATCGTATTGAATTCTAAACGATGCATCCATTATCTAAGAGATGGAAAGTCAACTGGTACATATGAGCGACATACTAGGCCTCTCGAGATGCACTACCTTGTTAATATTGAGACGATAGCTCATCATAGCAATCTTGGATTTCGAGTCGATTTTTCATCAAGGCTTCCTGCCCCAAATGAAATAAACGGGAAGATAGATATGAATAGCTGGGTCTTGAAGCTCCTTCTTAGCCTTTGTCATGAGAACCTGCACTTCATCGTGGCCCCAGCCAAGGAATTTCCCAAGGAGCATAGGGGTATAGGAATCGATAGCCGCACAAGACTGAATAACCTGACACTTTCCAATCTCTTTCAGAACCGGGTCCTTAGGCCAGCCGCCTATAGGAATCTGAACGAACGTCAGCAGTCTCCCCAAACTGAGTCAACTGGTAGGACATTGACTTACCTTTCGTATCTCCTGATACACGTCCACGAAGCCCGCCTTGATCATCTTGTCCTTCCATCCCGTTACACAGTCAATCGGCTTTCCAAACTTGATGCTGCTCTCTCGCAAGGCCACAGCCCAGATTTCGGCATTCACAGCTTTTTTGATTGACTCGTCATCTGACATGAAGAATGCCCTCTGGCCTTGCATCTCTAGGTATCCACCGCTGCTGAGGTTTTGGAATGCGCGCTCAAAAAACTGTTCCTCATTGGCGATGCAACCTTCCAACTCGCGGGCGTGGATGTAGTCGAAAGGTCTCTTGTATACCCATGGGTCCTCAAAGTCATCAACTTCAAAGACACAATTGGTAGGAGTCCTGCAGAAGGGACTATAAGCCTTTGATTCGAGAGATGTTGGATTGTACATACCAATCAGGTTGAATAGGACTAAGATCAGTCCCAATGACCTCGGAAGAAGGGTGTTCACTGTTTGCAAAATGAATAAAGTGGCAACACTTTAGCAAAGCAGACGTCGCTACTTACTCGGCAAAATCGATAGCCCATATACCAGTGCCTGTTCCCAGATCAAGGACACGCTGCGGGCTGTTACTGATCGGAGCGGTATGAAGCTTCTCATGCATGAGTAGACTGTAGATGTGATGAACCAAATCCATTCGGTTCTGTTCTTCATCATCGTTGGGCTATATAGTGTGAGATACTCAGATCACAAAGACTAGGCGAAATAAAATTTTAGACGAACCACTAAATAAGTGCCTTCATGAAACGCATGATATCGACGTCCGTTCTACTACAAGGTTAGGCGTATGCTCTCGATAATCTTACGAGACAAACCTCATATCTAGAAAGGGAATATTAGCCCCTCAAATGAGTAAAAGCCAAGGCCTTGTTGCGAGGTCTTACCTGTAACTGAAAATGCTGGACTTGAGGGATGTGAGGTAACTCGATGAACCATCTCTATAATGGCTTATTAGCAACCCATGTCGTACGAGAACCATCAGTATAGAGTTCTACATTAGCTCCAGAGTGGAATCACTATCCACCGCACTATCCTAGGTAATAGTTAGCACACCAAGCATTCATCGCGCATCAAAATCTTTACTTCTGCTTCCAATAACCCGGGGACGTCTTCAAAACGCTGGTTTGGCCCTTGGGCGGTTTGAAAGGCCATCGTGGAGAAATGTATGACTGATTGCAGAAAGAAATTTACATAGGGACGCTCGGAGGACATGTGGCATGTCCCGCCTCTTTATGGAATATTGGCCGTCAGACTCTTCAATGTCACATCATGTTGGTTGTTCATTGAGAGGAATGAGATCAGACATTGGTTGGCGACCCCACTCAAGTGATGCAACTACAGGGAATCATGAATCTAATTGGGACAGTCCCCGATACTACCATTGCCTTTTGGGTTTGAATCCTTGTTGATCGACTGAGTTTCCGCGTAAGCCGCTGCCCGTGATCCTTCGGCTAGAGAGTTTCGGTTAACGACGATGAACGACAGAGTGATACATGAACATGTGTGGAGATGGAGGGGTATAATATCTAAACGAAACTCTATGCGACTGCACGTCTACAGGAAAAGAGAGACAAATGATCCCCAACGATAAAATAAAGAAAACAAAGAGCCCAAGAACGGCTTCTACAAGGCGTAAAACGGGTGAAGTGTCTTGTATCATGGGCAAGTAGTACTGACCTTCCTACAATGTCAATTCCTGTTCACTGATGTGGGAGTGGCATTGGAATGTAGGTGTAAATACGAATGCGGCACCCCAATTGGAAGGTCTGTTTTAGATGACCCTGTTCATGCTGATACAACAAACTGAGGATATTCACATGCGACACATAGACAACGCCGCAATGGCCCCCGGAGTAGTAACTAGCAATGCATCCATAGGCGATACGAGAAATCTGGCACAGGAACTCAGTAAAAGGGCTGTGAAGTAGTTGGATAGAGATGTAGTATCGTGCAGAGCGGCGAGATAATGCGTAGGTCCTCTTGATGATGAAGATCACTGTCACATATATACCTTTGCATCAAGTAATCTGGTACATACGACCAAAGGTAGTGGAAAATACGGGATCCCGTCCGCTCTCCCATAGTCAAGCCACTAACCGGCGGATTAGTAGTTGGGTCGGTGACGACCAGCGAATCCCCGCTGTTGTATGTTTTTTTTTGTTTAAAATTCCAGCAAGGTCTCACTCTGATCTGACCTAAATAATAATATTTATTATCTATCAACTTTCCACATGGGTAAGTTTTATGTTTTTTCTTAGACAATGTATCTCATTAAAGTCGGAAACCAATTAATCATTTGTCCCCGTTAAAGCACATCTGTAGCGCATCTGGCATAACTTCATTCGGTTAGGTTTAAAAGCAGTCGCGGATCTGAGTGGATCGATTTGTTTATTTGGGGTAAAATGTTTTATTATTTAGACATGTATTATAGATGCAACGCAATGCTATTGAAAACACAACTGAGACATGCTGTAATAATTCTAATCATAGCCGTGAGGCTGATTGTCCCAGGCTCAAATCATTGATAATGATATCAGCAGCCTTTTCACCAATAACAATAGCAGTGTTGTTCGTGTTGGCGCCGACATTCTCTGGTGCAACACTCAGATCTGCCAACTTGAGACCCTTGGTACCCCAGACGTTCAGACGCTCGTCTACGACACCGTTCTGCTCACGAGGAGCCATCTTGCATGTAGCCATGGAGTGCCATGTAGTTCCGACGTTGTTTCGGATCCACTGCTCGATAGCCTTGTCGTCCTCGGCAGAGTACTCAATATCCTTGACGTCGCTCAGGGCCTCGTTGAGATCTGCTGAGGCAGCCTTGGATCCTTCAGGCCATATTGGGTGGCCAGCTGCAACTTCGCCGCGGTACATCTTGGTACGGCGCATAATCTCTCGGGACTTCTTGTAAGCCCAAATTTGCTTCTTGAGGTCGATATCGTGCTCGTCGCTGAGGAAGCCCACGTCGAAGTCAAGCTGGTCGTCAAGCTGAGGCCCTGTGATGTGGATGTGACCTCTGGAGTAAGGGTAAGCAGTGTAGTTGCCGACAGTGACATATTGTTCTTCTGGCACGGTAGAGGGATCTCCAAGGAAGCTGGTATCATGTTAGTTTGACTGATCAAGAATGAGTAATGTGAAGGCTCTTACCAAGAAACAACACCCATAAGCATCAAAGGGCGGTTAGGAGCATCCTTGAAGTCCTTCTCCCACTTCTTTTGAAACTCAGGCCCAAGTGCAGCTACATCGGCTTCAGTAGGACGGAGCTTGCTGGAGATATCGATAGAGTTCCAGCCAAGAACGGGATCTTTGGAGTCGATCAACTCTTGGCGTTTGTGGGGGTTTCGAAGGACTCTGTCAATAGTCTCATGCGGCTGAAGAGCAGTCTTGTAAGGGTACAGGACAAGCTGATGATCCTGGTACTCGTGACCAACACCAGGCAAGTCAATCTTGACATCAACGCCAACCTTCTTAAGAATGCTGGGGTCACCGAGGCCTGATCTCTCAAGAACCGGAGGAGTGCCAAGAGCACCACAAGAGACAACAACAAGCTTGCGAGCCTTGACGGTCAGCTTGGGGTGTTGAGTAGGACCTATTTGTGCTTGGAATGCAGGGTTGGGAGTGTACTCAACACCAACAGCTCGCTTCTCGTCGTCAAGAAGAACTCGGACGACCTTTGACTCTACTAGAACGTGGAGATTGGGATATTTGTCATTTCCAATCTTGCTATGCAGATAGGCTGTCGCGGCATCTTGTCGTCGACCTTCCTTGGAGACATATCGCAACCATCTCTCAACACCGTTGTTGGCGTCGAGTGTCTGCAGATCTTTAATTTCGGGCCAGCCAACCTCAGAAGCAGCATTAATGAAGTCACTCTCTGAATCCTTTGAACGGTATGTGCCGTCGGAGACATGGACTGGGCCGCTGTATCCGTGATTTTCAGGGTTACCAGGTCCGTGGTATGTCTCGAGCTTGCGGGGAATTAGTCAAATATTCAACAAATGATTGGAATGTTGAGAATTACCTTCTTCAGAAAGGGGTAAATCTCATCTGCGGCCCAACCAGGTGTCTTCCAGGAGTCAAAGTCTGACCGTTGAGCACGCGTGTACATCATAAAATTAATTGACGAGCCTCCACCCAGCGTTCCACCGCAGGGAACAATGGACTCGCGTCCCCCCAAGTGGTCTGACTTGTTGGACTTGTAGAACAAAGTGGTGGTGGAGGTTGGTAGTAGATGATCCAAGAAAAAGACAGGGTTCTCAATGTTCTGGACACCACGGTTGTCTTGGCCTCCTTCGATGAGCAGGATGGACAGATTTGGGTCAGCCTCTGCTAGCCGACCGGCAACAACACATGCTGCTGTTCCGCCTAGTAGTGAAATGGAGTTAGCATTGGCGTCCGGTGAAGAATTACTAGAAGGTGATAGGTGTTGGCCGTACCTCCAGCGATAATGACATCAACCTCATTGATGTCGCTAGCGAGCTTAGTATACAAGCCCATGGTGAACTAAGTGTTGGAGATCTTTACGAAAACGGGTTGGGAACAGAGAATGGTAAGTGGCTGGCGTGCTATATGATTCAGGGTTGAGAAAAAGAGACCCTTGAGCGCGAGGGGGGAAGGTATATATTCACAAAGTTTATCTGCACAGCGGCTGCATAGAACCATAAGCATGTCCCCTCCATCCTTGAACTCATCCATGCGGGAATTTGTTGGTTGGGAGCAGGACCCCGAGAAACAATTCATGATCCTTACTTGACGTAGGACGTTTCATCCGGGGTTGTTGCGATATTGGTCAAACACCGGGCAGGTCGGGGTACGTTGCAATGAACTGGGGAACGGCATCTCTCAATGAGTTGGCTAGTCGGGTAACGGAAGGCCAGTGTCTTCTCCATATTGACTAGCTTTATGGAGCTTGGTGACTGTGGAACATGACCCTCTAGCCGCAGTCCGCGGCAAACGCTAAACAACAACTGGATAATAAAGGTCTAAATCCTCCCCCCACCAGCTGTGCGCCTTGCGGTCTGGAGGTTAGTGGGCATATGCCTGGAGGATCTTTGATGGAACGGTGACGCCCAAATTATCTCTGCGTTGTAACGCTATGCAGGTGCAGTCGGTCAAAAGGCAATGTGGCAGTTCGACATTTGGTCCCTTGTCTGCTTGTGCTGCGCCGCACGATACACAAGACACAATTCGGGCAAATTGTGTTCTAAGGGCTCTCAATGGCTTCGAGTCAGCCGCTTGTCCAAGTTTGCCACTGCAATCACTTTAAGATCTTTATCCATGATGGCCTGTACTCGCGCAGCTAACTATTTATGGCTTGAGCTAATACCCCTAGGCCCAGTCTACGTCGAATCCTTGAATAGCTCATTTACCACAATGGATCAACCCAATGTGCGTTAGTAACCGGCCAACATTGATTCCGACCCAGGCACCAGGAGCCTGTCTTCAAGGTATCAGAAAAGTTGGCCGCATGAGGCACAAGGGACGAAATTAGCAGATCACTTCATGCTATTTTAGGCTGTGTTATGATGCCATCTATTCTTGCACCCAAAAGCTGAGGGTCCATGTTTTCTGTACGTGTTGACCTGGGCGGGGGACCTGAGTGCCAGGCACATTACGTATCAATTCAGCAAGGAATGTCACGACACTCGCATTAGTTCAAGCTTGGAAATTGGCTAAATTATTAATTATGCGCATTACTGTGGGTAATGCTGAGGCTCAAGTCAAGGCCTTTTGAGAGATTCTCTTAGTTCTAATGTTGTATGTACATGAAATTACAGGGATAAATGCCCAAGACATGTTGGGCGGTATGAATATCATTAGTTCATACTGCAAGCATCGTTTCGCACCGCACGGCCTCAACTTGGTGAGGCGGGTCTAGAATGAATTGTCTCCATCTTTAATACTCCTCTGTCAGCCCTATTGTTTCACGGGTATGCGTACGGCTCCTTGAGATGCCGTGTCGAGGACTGGGAGCTTGCATCATCCTCGTCGTGCTTGTCCATTACCTGTACGTGGGTCTGTGTCACTTTTGTGATTCCTGGACCTTGATGAGGCTTAGCTTGGTTGTCGGCGGATTCGTTACCAGCATCAATGCGGACTTCGAGATTCCTTCCTGTTGTCGAGAACATGGCACCTCCAGCTCTGGTTGAACC